TTATATTCCCCGCTTCTGCGCATATCGAGGCTGCTTATATGGCTGCAAAAGAATTTATGCCACTCGCAGACGTCTGGTTGGAGTACCTCAAATTTGAACACCCTTTGGTGCTAGCCCCGCCCGAGGAATTCGCTCCTCAAGTCCTCCTTGAGATAACATCTATTGCAAAAACTTACACCATCAGTTCCCGACCAGCGGATTCTCCCCCCTCGACACCATGGCAGACTTGTTCTACAGGTCGAATCAATGCCCTTGATTCGATGTCAAACACCAGTGCCGAAGCACTAGAAGATGTCAGGTCCCGAGTTCAAGCCGGGAAAGCATTTGATAAAGAAGAATTCTACACAACACTCGAACGATCCGGCCTTCGATATGGTGAGGCATTCCGAGGTATACAAGAGTTATGGCAACTCGGAACAGAAATCCTTGCCCACGTCAAGCTTCCCGAACCCCTCACTCATGACACAGCTCGATTTCGATTTCATCCTGCGTCCCTAGACGCTTGCCTACATACAGTATTCGCCGATGTGCAACATCGTGGTGACGATCGCTATGTGTATTTACCACACAAGATTGAAAGAGTGCAAGTCTCTGATACATATGGCGCAACCGAGGTTTTTGTATATACCAAAATTCAGCACCATGACAGCAATTCACTGAGCTACGATACACATGTATACAACGCATCTGGCCGTGTAATTGCAACAATTCTTGGAGTGACAGTCAAACGCCTGCTAGGAGCATATATCCCTGAACCAGTTGAGTATGAAACTACTTTCCAGGAGGAATCGCGATCCACTGGCGACAGAACAGAGGCAGACTTTGCCAGTGTCTTGGTCCTCGGGAACAGAAGTTTGGAAGTCACTCAGCTTGCCCGAGAGGCATTCCCCCGGGCGTCAGTCTCCCATAGACCTGTGACATGGATCGAGCGGTTCGCCGATAGCAGTGCAAAAGACTTCAGACTAGACCGCCGGACGCTCATCGTGATATCAACGCTGACACCGTCGCCAGACCACGACCTGGTAGCACAGATGGGGTCTGTCGTTCCGACTCTCTTACATCTTTCCCACTGGATTCACCATCAAGGTGGAACCCCTACAGTGGCAGTACTACTTGCGGGAGCGTGCATGACACCGTCAGACTCACAATGCAACCCAGCCACGGCTGCGTTAGAGGCCGCGGTGCGTTTGATGGTGAACGAGCTTCCCCAATCGGACATCCGTGTCATTGACCTTCCCTTGGGCCAGAACGACTGGGACTTCCAGTCCGTTAAGGAGGAGCTCCTGTCTAATCGTCACGACCGTCATGACACTGTTGTCGCGATACGCCCCGGAGGGCGATTTGTTAGACGGATTATCCCCCTTACCGCCGAGGAAGCCGAGAAGCGAGCCATGGAGAAGCTCCCCGCGCAAGGCGGAAGGTATACATTTGAGCCAGATCAAAGTGGCATCATCATCAGGCAACAAACTTCGAAAGACCTACGCGCAGAAGAAGTAGCTATTGAAGTCCATGCCGCTTCGTTGAACTTCAAAGATGTTATGAATGAGAGGAACTTGGCAAGTGATCTCTCCGTCTCTGGCGCACTTTCCGGTCGGAAGCTTGGCCTCGAAGTAGCAGGGCAAATTGTTGATATAGGGGAGAATGTCAAAGACATCCAGCTCGGTGCAAAGGTCATGGCCCGGGTTGCGAATGGGCTTGGTGGATTGGTTACGACCGATCGCTGTCATGTTTCCCCAATCCCTAAGCAACTCACAGCCTCTCAAGCTGCTTCTATCCCAGTCGCCTACGTCACAGCATACTATGCTTTAGTCCATCTCGGCAGATTGACTGATAAAGATACTGTTCTCATCCATGCAGCAGCTGGAGGGGTCGGGGGGGCTGCCATCCAGATTGCTACGCTCTGTGGGGCTCGCATCCTTGCTACGGCTGGTAACCCTAGCCGTCGCGCTTGGGTTCTTGGTCAGGGTGTTGAAGCGGTTTTTGACTCACGGTCTGTATCGTTCCACGACGATATCAAGACCTTCACTAACGGCCGAGGCGTCGATGTCGTGCTTAATTGTCTCACGGGCTCATTATTCTCCCAGTCTCTCGCCTGCCTAGCACCTTTTGGACGCTTTTTAGAAATCGGAACGACCGACATCAACAGGAACACGAACTTGGGCCTCTATCAATTCAGCGAGAATCGTTCATTCCTAGCTGTTGATATTGACCGAATGGCACTTCAAAAGCCGGAACTCCACACCCGGGTGCTTAAAGATGTTTACACCCTCTTCGAGAGCGGGAAATTGGTGCCTCCTCCCATCACTGAATACCCCATAACACAACTATCGAGAGCCCTCAAATCACTATCTCGTTCTGCAGTAATCGGAAAAGTGGTTATGACTATGCCAGAGAATACCACTATTGAGGCATCTGTGCCGACTCGACTGAATTTGCGGGCTGACCGAAGCTATCTCATCACTGGAGGGGCTAGCGGACTTGGCCTGCAAATAGCAAGATTTCTGGCTGAGCGAGGAGCAAAGCACGTTATCCTTGTGAGCCGTTCTGGCCCAAAAACGGCCGAAGATAAAGCGATTCTTCTCGAAATGGAGGCAAGTGGTGTCGCGATTACAATTGAGCACGCGGATATCAGTAACCGGGAAACGGTCGCATCGTTATTCTGCAAGCGAGACTGGCCGGCAACTGCGGGTATTGTTCACTGTGCAAATGTTCTGCGTGAGCTCTACTCATATGATACATCTATGGAAGATTTCTGGACAGTTTTTAATCCAAAGGCACTCGGTGCATGGAACTTGCACCTAGAGACAAAGGATATGCATCTTGACTTTTTCGTCATGACTTCATCCATCTCCAGCATGTTAGGGCTTGTTGGTCAATTCAGCTACGCTGCGTCGAACCAGTTTCTAGACTCGTTGGCACACTATCGCCAGGCAAATGGCCTGCCGGGGCTATCACTTAACTATGGAGTTCTAGGAGAATTCGCCAGTATGACTCGCAAGTCGGCGGAGACAGATAAGCTTATGGACATTTTGCGATCGTATGGCTTATATGCAATGAGTCTGCCGATGGTCCTTTCCGCATTTGAACACTCCATCCTTCAAGGTGCAGCGCAACGAATGGCTTTGAACATCGATTGGTCGATATTTCTCAGAGCACACCCACATCTGCTCCGTGATGGGGCTTTCTTCGGGTTAGATGCAGAAGAAAGTAGGAATGGTGATCCTGCATCTTGCGGATCATTCTTTTCACCTCCAGGGCCGGCACCTTCCGAGGCAATCGCTGAGACACTGCGATCTAGGCTCGCCAAGATCCTTGGAGTCGAGGTAGACCAGATCTCCCTTACTGAGAAGATCGACAAGTATGCATTCGACTCCATCACCATGACTCAGATCCGAGGTGTGATACTTCAAGAGTTTCGAATCTCGTTTGCACTCATGAGGTTATTTCAGGGTCCTAGCTTGCAGGAGATCGCCAACGAAGTTTCGGTACAGATGGGCAATGATACTAATAACCTGACAAACAGCGAGAACGGAAGCGGGTCAGATGACGACCACGGCATGTATGATGGCCTCAGCGTGGTATCGAAGTGGTTTGTCCGCGGAGTTCCCCCAGTGAAGCCCCGAGGCCGGCTTTTCCTATTCCACCCTATGGGGACAGGAGCTTCATTCTTTGCCCAATTCCTGCTAGATCCACCAGAAGGCTTTGACACTGTCGCGGTCCAGCTACCAGGGCGCGAGGGGAGGAATGATGAGCCTGTGCCTTCTCAGATGGCCGAGATCGTTACAGGTATAGTAAGCGAAATTGGCGAGATTGGAGCCCAGGACGCTTTCTGGGGACACTCATTCGGTGGCGTTGTCGCTTTCGAAACTCTCAGAGCTCTCAAAAGGCGAGGCAGTATCTTGCCTCGCCTGGTAGTTACTGGCACCATCGCGCCTCATCTTGTCCGTCTATGGCAGAAGCGAGACGTTCTTCTCCGAGTTATGGCCGACGACTACAGCCCAGACTACATGCTTGCTGTATCGCGATACGTGGACGACGCCAACTTTTTCCGGGCCCTACTACCGAAAATGAAGAAAGACATGCCATTTTTGATGGGATACCAATATGTCGAAGAAGATGAGGCTCTTGGTGTGCCAATCACGGCGTTTGCGGCACGGCAAGATGATGTCGTGTACCCAGATGAAATTCAGCCATGGGCCTCACATACAGCAGATTTTAGGCTTTTTGAAGTTGACGGAGACCACTGGTTCTTGCATCGTAATCGCGACTTGCTTCGCCAGACATTGGAAGGGATGGCAAAATAATCTGCTTCTGCCTATGCAGGTAGGAAATAGGCATATAAATATTAATCACTACTGTTTTTCGGATCCAGAGTGAGATTCGATTCTCGGGTTTTACGTGTTTCGTTAGGATTCGGCTAATTAGAAACTGTTGAACACGTGCTGGGTTATCACATGCAGGCAGGGGACATCTAATATTGCGCACGTAAACAGTAGAGACGTATAGTGAGCTCGCTGCGAGTCTCTTGACTTTTCCTTTCTCCGTAATCTTAGACAGCTTATTGCGAGACCACCCATTGTTAAATTAAACTCAGGTTCAGCGCCTGAAATAACCGTTATAAGATTTCTTACATGAAGTTAATTATCAGCTGCTAACTAACGTAAGACATAAATGCCAGGCATAAGTCACATAGATCTTCAGTTGACTCTGCCTACTGGTATTACTTACTACTAACGTATCTCACCACCACTCCGCCCCACCTATAATCATCTCACGATATTCAGTTTAAAGGAGTAGCTTAATTATTGCGCAATGAATATAGCTTCAATTTTCTTCATTTCTTAGATACCTATCAAAAAACGCCTATTCTTCCGTAGGTTTTTCTCTCTTTCTATTTGTACGATTTTCTGCGGCTAGTTGGTTATTTAGCTTCCATGTATTAAGCTCGGCACAATCATAATGCATAATCAGGTCTTGAATGTCAGGAAATACCTTATTAGGGTCAAAATTGATTTTAGATTAACTTGATAGCTTTAATGTTGCTAATTTGGCTCTTTGGACTGCGATTTCTTTCTCCTAGAACGCTGTAGCTGCTATTCTTTTGTCTAGGGACTTTGCCGCACTTCTGTAGGATTAATCTAACGTCCCTTTAGGCATTCTCTGACGACCAATCGACCCGTTGGAGCGGTTTTTCGATATCATGACTTGTTGAAGGCGTCGCGAAGATATTATCGCCCTCTTCATTCTCCCAAGAAGCTGGTCACAAGAATAACGCAGCTCTGTCCTTCTCTTCAAGCACAGTCCGCTCCATTCGTGCCATATCCTTCAGCAGCCGGTCACGTCTCAGGGTTGATAACTCAACCTCGTTTTCTAGCTTGATAATTCGCTCCCTCGCGGCCTCTAAGACCTGCCCCCTGCTCAGGTAACGACCAGGATTGCCTGTAGCATCCTTGCCAGCGTAATTGGGGTCTTGTGGCGTAGGCAGCACTGCGAGAAGATTCTCGAATTGAGCCTTGAGCCGGGTGCGATATTGCTTCTCTACTAGATTATGGCACTCCCTGGCGTGTTTCTGGCTGTTGGACAAAACTGGGTGACGACGCTTTCGATTCTTTGATATGCGTGATGCTGATCGGAGTTGGATTTCGGAATCCTGACTTGAATTGCTTCCGCTTGGTACCAACAAGTCTGATGAGTTGTCATCATCTCCAGCAGGAAACACGGGCTCGCTCGAGTTTCGGCTCCGTGACTCCACGCTGGGAGCGTATTCGAAATGGTTAGAGACCGTTTCAGTGCTCGTTTGGTAGGTCGTTGGCAGATTGGCTTGGAGGAGACCAGAAATTTCGAATTGCAGGACAGCATCATCGAAGAAATGCTGTGAATTGCAAGACCCGTCTGTATCCCACATATCTCCTTCGATGATAGTTATTAACAGGCCATGTGAGCGTATGCTCCCAGCGTGAGGCATGAGCTTACCTTGTTCAAGAGAAAGATTGTGAGACATCTGCCGCCTAACATTAGCTCACTGGGCCCCTCATGGCTGTTGCATTCAGATTTGGGAAAGTAAGCATGAAACAAGGTTGTCATCCCGGTCAATATGAAGGGGCTGCGCAGCGGAATTACCTGGAATTGAGGCTCATAGAATCTTTGTAAGAAAACATCGATTTCGTCGTGAGTTTCTAGGTTGACCATCTTGATGCCTCAAATAGTATTCTGATTTGGTGTGGATTTTGATGAACTTGTCAAAGGGGACGAACGATTGGTCAATCTTCAGAAGTAGCCTGAGTTGTCACGTTTTCACATGGCCGCATTGGCACTTTCCAAACCAACGCCGATGAGTACCGATTAATCGTATGTCCCCAACGCGAGCGCATCCGTATTCCCAAACTCAATCATCGATCGATCTATTAATTCTCAGACTTCCTTGTCGACAGCAAACCTAACAACGGACCACCGGAACCTGCAGCCGGCGCCGGGGATCTTATCCATAATTTGTCACACAGTTAAGAATAACGTTTTGTTGTCGATCTTCTACATCGCGACCTTGATGGTTTGGTGGAAGATAAGCAAGGATTATATGGGTCTCACATCCTACACGGGACAATATAAGCTTCCGCAAAGCCTGTGATCAACCTCAAATTTACCTTTCCGGCGTTCCTTAGGCTTAACGCTTACCTCGGCTTACCTCGGAATGCTCAAGGTACTCTTGTAGCTTGTGAATGCTGATGTGGATAGGCTTGAGCTATATTGTAGGCTACTTTGTGGTTGTTTTGCCTGTAGGCTTCGAATTAAATGCGGAAGTGGTACATGAAAAAGTGACGAATGTGCGTTTTGATTGGTCAATGCTTATCATACACCTGGGAATCCACAGCTTGAATGAACCCCTTGCTCCTTTGCAGCAAGACTGAACCAGAGCATGCAAGGGTGCAAGGATCTGAGCTTCGTTCTACCAACATGTTCAGTGTGACTTATGTAGAGATCGTCAATGGTCTAACCATTGAACGGCAGTTTGTTCAAGTGACTGATACACGCCCACATCCACTCACAACATGATGGATTGGGATTCCAGTTTTTTTTCTCACCCCTTGCCTTGACTGGCATTAATCCATCTTAAAACTCGTACTACTTAAATTTGATGTAAACTAGTGAGCACTTCTTAACAACTCGAAATGAAAGGGGGCGGGGGCCTGTTGCATTGTTCGGCTGTAGCCTCGAATCACTTCGTTCGGATTCGTCATGTTTTCACAATTGGTTTGCAAAACCCGGGCTTGTTTGCCCTTTTCTCCAATGTTGGTGGCAAACACACTTTGTCTTTTACTGTTAGACCACGCACTCATTGTTGTATTCATCATAGGAGCATCTCGTACGTAATAATGGAATGTGACAGTGGAAGCGGCACTCAAATTCATACCTGTTTTCATCGATCGTGCTTTCACCTATCGTACAAACGACGCAATTCTTCCATAAACGAGAGCGATGACCTCATCTACGCCATTTTTGTCCGAGTTTTTAAGGATTTCTGTGTGTGTCACATTACGTACACGTTTTTGCTCCTCGTCCCGAACTCGCAGTAGCCGGCGAATCGGTTTCGACGTTGTTCATTTCGTCTCGATCTTATTTACGTGCTCTGTCAAACTCAAACCTTTGTCCAGGAATGTTACGCTGGGGTTATGTGTCACACTCGAAGACATTGACCTATATCGCGATTATTCGTACCAGTTGCCCAAAGCTTGAGCATATGGTCAATAGTGTTGTTTCCTTCTCAGATTTTGCTGTGAGAAGGGCACGTTAACGAAATTAATAACCGGAGGCATTGTGGTCTCCGAAGAGCTTTAAACTTTCAACATTCCAGTCATTCTATTATGGCACTATCTCGCGCATGATTTCTCTTGCAAAGTCGAAGAAATCCTGAAACATATGATAGGTATATACAACAAAAGAAGTTTACCGCTCGATACGACAAAAAGGTTGTGAGATAACATATCCTACGAAGCCGACACAAATCTGCAATCAGTATATACTATTCCGTCACATCGCAACACGAACATGGATGGTTTCATCAATCAATTCAAGGTTCAAGATGATCAGCAACTTAAGGAACCTTTTTCTTTCTTTCAAGCGTGCCAACAGCAAAAGGGACGTAATATCAGCTGTATCATGAACGGGCTAAACGCGAGCGGCCAACGTCATGTACAGTGCATATAGGTCCTTGTTTGCCTCGGGACTTTGACGAGCCATCGGGGGTCTCGGAGCAAAGGAACGCGCGCAGATCTTAACTAGACACAGATTCATTCCGCATCGGGCTCTAGAGACTCAGACGGTAGTGGAACCAGACCCACAGCAGCCGGTCCTGCAGGGTTTTGTATAGTTCTAGGACACGAGTAAGTGGGCCGTTATCTATCAGATCATGGGACGTCACAGGCAGCTATTGGGTGCTTTTCCATGCCACTTTCAAATAAATCCTTGGCTTGTGGAATAAGCAATTTGTGTTAATATGAACGGCTTAAATTCGAGCCAACGTTTGAAAAGGTAACTTTCTCGTGATCTGACCTCTATCATCATGATGCTTTCAGCGAACGAAATAGTGTCTAAGTAGAGTTCTAAAACCAGCTATCAAAGGACTTCCAACTTATTTACAGCTGCCTCATCTTCAAGTCATCGGCTTTTAGCTTGCTTTTGATATCCTGCCCAGATCCCGCCTTTTATTAGTTAAAGAAACGACAACCCTCTTCTGAACCTCAATTGACTGCCTGCCTGCTGCTAGTGACACTCACTTCTCATCGCAAGCAATCTCCTGTTTTTATTGAGCCACATATACTGTACCCTTCTTCTCCCTGTCTGTTACCATCGCACCGCCGAATCCTTGTCTAAAGCGCGCCGCTCCATTTTAGTGATACGTAGTGCTAAAGTTGGGGCATCGGATGTTGGCCCAACTTTTCCTGTGCTACTTTTCTCTTCTCGAAACTTGTAGTCGCCGTCTGCCTTGGCTTCCGACGGTGACCATCTTGGGGAAGCGAAACCTTAAATCTACACTCTACACCTTTTTATGAGCCTTGTCAGGTAGACCTGACACTGCCATGCCGGGCGAAACCTTGACGCCTCGGCATCTATACGGAGACCCGTACATAACAACTACCAGGCTGCCTATCGAAAAGAGTACATCGTCCAGCTCTTCGCAAAATTGGAGCTTGTATGAAAGTTTTAGAAAGACATCACGCTGCTCGCATCTAGCTCGTTGCGACGAAGAATATATCGATCTAATTGATGAGACGTCACGCAAACCGTTACAAGACGTTAAGGAGGACGCCAAGAAACTCTTGCGACAGCTACTCTCATCACTGCCAAGTCAGAAGTGCGACAGCAAGGCCCATCACGGTTGTCATCAATACATCAGCCCCAACTTCATCCCTACCAGTCTCAGGAACAAAAGACGAGCAAGAGGCGGCTTACTTTGGAGGGACACGCCACATAGTCCACCGTTAGGGACTCATGTCGTTCTTGTCAATAATACTCACATGTCGCAGCCAGAATCAGAATTCCAGATCGTTCAAAGGCAACGGGGAGACACTCAAACAAGTCGAAGTAGCTCCAATGAATCTTTAAGGCCAGCTTTACGAAGGCATGCTCATCACCGGAGCTCCACAGAGCCGGCACATTCCAAAACAGTGCGCTTCAACCCTGATTTGGAACATGTGCGCCGCTTTTACCAAACGGATTCTTCTCTCGCTATCAGTACGGACCCGACGCTTATTAGCGATCATAGCGAGGACAGATTTATCATATCAAGTATGACGAGCGGCGCGCCGGACGAACATCCTCGTATTAGGAGGAGTAACTCACTCTCAGCTTTCCGCGAGATGCTATAACTTGACAATCGATGCACATCAGGCTTGAGAACCCGCCGTCTGATATAACCAGGTGGCAGTCTTGGAATCCGTCATAATAGACTATTTGGGCTTTCCACAGATCGGCTGTCTGTCTGTTCACTTTTAAACACTGCAAAACTGTCTCGAAAAACATTTCAGAGTACTCTGGTACCCGCATTGCTCAGTCCATTTCTAGCATCAGCTAGGCAGAGACAATTTTCCTTAAATTAGAGCTGTTTTTTCTATGTCTTCGTCATCTGGAGGGTTGATGAGATCCCTGGAAGGACAGTTTAGGGACCAATTCTCAAATAGTTTTTGTACGAAGGAAAAATAAGCAAGCCGTATGATAGAATCAGAAGTTACCCATAAAGATCGGAAAGACTACATTATTGTTAAAGGCTACTTGGGCAGATGATATTACGAGTTATCAGTTGACTAGTCAAATTCCTCGGTCAACGTCAGCATAAGTCTGATTTGGTTGTTTGTAGCACACTTCGTAGTGGACGCCTCTTGGTTATCAGGAACCTATTGCCTCAAAACCAAGTCAGATGGAAAACACCGAGAACTTCACCAAGAAGACCAAACGCGGTCGTAAACCTGAGGCTGACGTTATAAAGAAGCTTCCAGCCGCGCGAGAGCTTCACATACGTGAAAACAATCGAAAAGCTGCAGACAGACACCGTAGCCGGAAACGAAGAGAAGCGGAAGAATTGGTCGCCCGTCAAAAAGCCTTAGAAGCACCAAATAATTACCCTTATGCTTCCTATAACTCACTTAGAGTGGAGGCTCTCTACATTAAGTGGCATCTCTTGCAGCATACAGATTGTGACTGTGTTATGATCCAGCAGTACATCAAGAACGAGGCGAAACACTGCCTGGATAGTTTGCTTTCCTTACATTCCTCCTCGCCCTATGTATCGGGATTAATGAACGATCAGGAGCAGCAAGGAAACGATGACGGAGAACGTTCAGTGGCAACAAACCTGGCGATGTCACCTGGCATAAACCACACGGATAATGGCACATTAAAATAGATATCAAGTATTGAGGATAAAAGGTTCCTCGGGACTCATGGCCTGAGAGCGATGTTAGTCGACCAACAGAAAAGGATGGTCGAAGGAGCAGGCCAATCATGAGCTTGGAATGCCAGTCCGGTACCAACTACTATGCAAACGTTTTGTTTTCGGCCGGCTATCACAGAATGGCGCGAAATCTCGTCAAAACCCGATAGGAAGTTTAATTCCGAGGCCGAAACACGTTCCAGGCCTATCTGTGCTGGCTCTTCTAGCATCTTATTTGGGTCAACCATGTTAGCCCCATATTTGACACTTTCGGGACGTGTCTCCTCTTTCTTAATGAGGCTTTAGCGCATAGCCACAAACTGATTTTCTCCAACTTTATGCTGGGGATCAATGTCAATTCAATTGCGAATTTGTATTTCTCATAACCCACTAACTATTCGACATTATTCACAAAAATCCCATATCTTGACAGATCAAAGGCCTGATAGAGCTCACCTGATGTCTCGATCAAGCCATGTCCTTTCCCCAAGTTGGTTATCAGCTGAAGACAAATGACTACTGAGACACAATGGTCTAACAGAAGATCACACAATGAAAAAGCCGAAGATGGACGCAGTACGGGCCATAATCAGATTTGCGATCGTTACAGGTCGCCAGCCATGACCCAAACTACACCAACCTGACATCATTTAGTCGATATCGCTAACCAACAACCCCTGACGCCCTCAAATAGCCAATAGCAGGCATCGCTTCAGCCGCCGAAGATAAAAAACTGAACACTGGGAATTGGGCTTCAAGTTGACCTGCTACTATGCTTGAACGAGATGCTCCACGCTGGGTGGGAAGATTGAGTTGTCAAATTCCATGGTCGTAGGATATGGCTCGTTGCTGACGATGTAGTTCCAGCCGTTGTAGGTCCAGCCGTCGCAGGTAAAGGGATCATTTGGAGGAGGGTTCATTGGGATTTGTAGTATTTTAGAGCCGGTCGTTTCTGATGACACTCTTGTAGTAGTGGTAGCGATTGGAATTATTTCTTCCCCCAATACTGGGGGCGTAAACCCTCTTGTTGATGCGTGCGTGGACGATTCGGATCTTGTGTCTGTAGCAGGTTCGCTCGTGGTCAAGTCAACGAGATGACAGCGAATAGTGGAGCCTAGCGAATCGAGCACTCCTAATAATTTATCCCTTTCCTTTGTAACGTGGCCCAGCTGATCCATCAATGAGGTTATTTGCGACTTGGTGTCGTTTTGTCGTAGATTTTCGACCATGCTCTCGAGGTGCGCAATGCGCCTCTTTGTCCTCTCACGCGCTGACCTCTGCGCCTTGCGATCGACTTCCCGCTTCTTGAGCCGACGGGCTTCGGCCCTAGTGCTCTGGGTTTCATCGTACATGGTGACCGTCATCAGGGATGGAAACCGAAGGAAAAAAGACCCAGCTGGAAAGCGGACAAGTCGGAGTCGTGTCTCGGAACGGAGACAGACGGAAAGAAGTATTTTCAGGATAAATCGGCGGAAGTAGACCAACAGGCTTTTGATGGGCTGCTCATGCCAGGGAAAATAATGTCAACTTTAAGTACCAAAGCAGCAAAAGGGATAACGCCAAGATTTGATAGTGGTGTTATCTACTAAAAGTCATAGGTGAACAAGGCTAAGCCTACGGCTTGTTCCGAATTGCTCGGCAGTGGTTAAACGCTCGTCTCGATATTCCCCAGTGGCCGTTAACCAGATCCCGTCCTTCAGTTTTAGTGGCGACCGAATGTCTCGCTAGCTTGTGATCATTATAAACGTAGTAATAAACGCGGACACGATGCTCTTATTTCCCGGCCCCACTCCGAGGTCCGTTATTTCTATCACTCGCTCTCTGTCATTCTTTGTAGAGGCTGGCTCAAGATGGCCCCTTGCAAACCTGAAAATCGGCCTGTGCCATTGACGTACCACTCAGCGGTCCCAAAGACGACGTGACGGGCTTCCTACCCTCAGCTTTGTGAACGGAGTCTGTTCGTCACTCGCCAATATCCGGACGGCGATGTGCAGTCATGATTGGTCGACTAAGTTCCCGAAAGAGGCCAAGGCGTTTTCGTGCAAGCGACGACAGCGTCCACCGTCACGCCATGGATCTGGTGGGGCCCCTTTACCGGCCGCTAAACGATCTGTACCGGAGCGGGCTGATCTAGACTAAAGGAATCTCATGCTACAAGTTGGTGCGGGACCGGCTGCTTATCCCGGCCGTTCAGCTACGTAGGCTTCACTTTTAGTGTCAGGTCATGTGATAACTGACAGCTGACAGCTGGCACACGGACGCGTTTCACTGCCCTTGCAATCGAGCTCATTGCCTTATTATAATCCCGGGATGTCTTACTACTCAGCCTGCCTTGGAACTCATTTGCATGTACGGCATGTCGCCCGAGGGTGGGCTTCGATGCCGCCTCCCTTATGGTGTCTCCATCACAATCCTCTCTAGCTACCAGATGGTGCTGACATCTCATCATCGTCGGGCAACTGCGAGTTAAAGACAGTCCCATTCCATTCTTCACTGGTACTAAAATGCTCCATAACACCGGGATCAAGCTCGCAAGTAGGCATAACCCTGTCAGATCCAGCAGGAGGATTATGAGCTTATCTATAAGATTCAATCAGATTTTCTAGACGTCTACGTCCAGCCGTGTGCGATTACACTTACCGGGTTGTGCAGCATGCGTTTCCCCCAGTGTAACACCCAAAAACTCTCACGACGAGGGTCCTAACCAATTCTTTTATGAGTTCTGCGGAAAGAACTAGCTCAACCATCAAGATAACCTCTACAGGCACCTCAAATGGCACGCACGGCTCAACGGCAGTACCCGTGGTGTCCACTTCATCCCTGCACCGGCGCCTGTCATAGACCAGCATTAGCGCCGTCGTAAATGATGAACCACTGAACAATGATCATCATTGGCACGGCTACCTAATGCAACGTTAGGCATGGTGCATGGCTTTTGAGGCAGGAGCGCGAGGAACCACCAATACGTACCAACTGAGACACAGCAATGAATTTGCTGCAGCGTCTTGCCACAGGGAAATCAGGGGTAATAAGAGCCATATCAGTTAATCAGTCTGTTTCCAAAATGACCAAGCTCTGCCCCTGACTGGACGCTTAGAAATGCCTCAGTGCTCGCCAGAAATGTCATATGATGATTTGCATCCCCCATGTCGACCTTTTGTGCTGTTGTGTGATCTCGGTAAAATGAATTCGAACTATGTCCCACTATTCCCTGATCTGCGGGAAATGACCAGGCTGCGGTTTAAGGCTCAGAGAATTCTCGATCGTGGTCGCGACCACTTCCCCTTGATCTGATACCCATATGGGGTGATAAAGCAAGGCTTTGTATTGCCTTGTTAATACTGGCCTGCCGCGGCTACTGAAACGAACAGGGCTTATGCTATCGAGGTTTCAACGGAACCTGGTAATTTACCTGATATTCTTGCTACCACTAAGAGGTGAGGTGAAAGAATATAATGATGAGAATGCAGTCTAATTTGTAAAAGCCCAGGTGTATATATATTTACTCTACCCTGGAATTTACAATTGGCCTTACGGAACTACCCTGTTGCCCATTCCCGTCAGCCATCTCAATCGTCTCCGATGTCTCACAACGGCACGCAAATTCCGAAGGGGATTGACATGTGATTATCTTTAACATGAAGAAAAAAGATATGCATGTACGGACCGAATTATGCCTCGTGGGTCCAGGTGTAAGTGGCATACATCAGCAAAGATAAAGGCTCCTGTATGTTTGTAAAGTCCCGTAGTTAGTGACTTGCACCTATTCCCACATCGTCTCTAATCTAATCCTTTTGTTCTCAACAAGAGCAGCCTATCAATTCCCTCGATTCTTTCCTTACTAGCTCTTTCGCTAGGTTATACAAGACATAGGAAATAACAATCTACTCTCCCGAACATCAGGGAGATCCTTCGACGAGCTGATTCATGCCTGCCCAAGGATTTATGACCTATGCACTAGTGAACAGAGACGAAGAAGCACGGTTAGTTCATGCTGGCAGGAATGGCACAACTTCAATCTCCGTTCACTGATCAACTAATTTGGACACAGTCATCACAGCCCTTTGACTGTAACCCCCGAGGAACATGACTTTGATTCTCCCCCAAGCCATGCTTCTATTGGGCGCCGCGCAAATGGATGGTCAGGAATTGATTTTTCCGTGTTATCCGGGACACCATTGTCTAGCAGAAAGAAAGCGGTCCTGATAGGCGTCAACTATTTTGGTACTCGGGGCCAGCTACCGGATTCGAACGTGGGCGGATTGGCATGTCTATTAAATCAGAATTACGGGTATCGCGAGGAGGACATAATCTTGCTCACAGACACGCAGCAGCGACCAACGAGTCAACCCACCAAGAAACAGATTTTGCTGTCTATGCACTGGTTAGTCAAAGGTGCCCGGTCTGGAGATCATTTGCTGTTTTATTATTGTGGTATGTATTTGTTTCCTCGTCGGCCTATTCTACAGAGCTAATTTGTTAAGGCCATGGCGACTTACAAAAGCCACTCGTACCGCTCGATTTTCTAGAGAACGGTTTCATCAAGATCTCAGGTGTCCAAGATATTCTGACCTCGCAGCAAAATCCTGGGGTGCTGATGACGGTTATCATCGACTGGTACGGCCATAGGAGCAGTATGCAGGAATGGTTCGGCAACCTATAGCTCACCTGTTGGGGTTTAAATAGGTCAGCTAGACCTTCTGTTGTATTCGTACTTTTTGACATATATATGTTAAGAAAATAGCCTAATCTTCACCCACTACTTAACAAGGGCACTATAACTTTATTCCCTATCCCAAATCTATAAATAAAGTGGTATAATCTCCGGTTAACGGGGATTTTGATATTATCTGCAAACTGTGTACGTAGAAAAGCAATAACAAATATAATAAGCAAGTAGACCAGACAAGTAAGTAGACTAACTATATTATATACCTTAAATCCTAAATATTAAATTTTTTAAAACTTTATCTAGCTTATAAAACTTAAAAGTCTTAAAAAAGAGAGCGTAAATAAGATATTCCTTAATTACTTTATAAGTAAATTTTATATATTTATAAAAGCTTAAGTATATAAAGTATATTATAGATTTAATATATTATATAAGTATTAGCTTTTATTAAGTTAAGTTTAAATTTTAATAGCTTATTTAAGTTACTAGATCTTAAGGTATAAACACCAGCAGGTATATACTATAAAGGGATCTGTTTGGCAATTAACGCCAAAGGAAATCACTATATTAGACCGTTTCTGCGCGAGAAATGGCATCCAGAAAAAGCAGGTTTCTGAACTTGCTAATCTTAAATCGACGCCGCTTGTTGTCCTTGAACGAGACTCACAAACTGACAAACTTCACTTTAATCAAGGAATTATCGAGATCGTTTTTCGTCGACTCGTCGGTGCCGTTAGGTGTAATGCTATGTTAAGCTTGACCGCTGCTGATTCAAGCTCGATGCTCGAATATAGGGATAGTATCACTGAGGTTAAGACTACTGCTGAGCTCAAGGTTAATGGAAAGACCTACCACAATACTTTCACCGGCAAGGCTATAATCGACTGGTTAATGAACTATTCTACCATTATGGAAGAGCGCGAAGCCGTTGCAGTTGCCACTCTTTTCGTGGCCTACAACCTAATAAAGTGTGTGACCAAGGACAGGGCATATACTTTCCAGAATCCAGACGCTGGGAACAATATCTTCCATTCAGCAGGCATGCTATCTATCAATTAACGCAACGCGCTAAGGACCTCATCAATGGCTCAAGTTCACTACGACCATCTCCAGAGAGGGAGCACTATACTAGCTACCAGCGGAACGGTATCTTCAAGGATTCTAACACGCAACGACTCGACAAAATCTTGAGAGATCCGTCAGCGCGACTTCTCTTCCGCGAGCAATCCCGAGACATATTGCGAGGAGAACCTGACATTCTACCAAGACGTGGATGAGTTTATATGGAATAGTAAGGTGGCCACGCGTGGTGCCTGTAGGGAGCTCAATATGACCACGAACGCCGGCCTCAATGATAGCATAGCTCAGGCGTAGAGAATCTATCATGCCTTCCTTGCTGCTGGCTCGCCTTGCGAGCTTAATATTGACCACCAGCTGAGGAACAGTCTTACAACGCGGATGACCAAGGCTGTAAGTCAGGTCGCTAACATGATCAATACTCTTGAAGAAGTGATATTTTTATTCGAGGAAGCTCAAGATGTTGTATTCAAATTAATGGCTAGCGTAGGTTTGATTTAATACCCACCTCGTTATCCGAAAATCCCAACTCGAGATCTTCGACCTGGTGCTAACAGAAACAGGACTTGGGGCCAAAATTTCTGAACAACCCTAAGTACTAGCAGCAACTGAGAAGCTATAATTTTGGCGTAGTTAGAAAGGGTCCCGGGTGGGGATAGGGATGGCTACCTTTGTGTCCCTTGTACGCTGATAAAGATGATTCGTTATGAGTCTCCCAGAGTAATATGGTCTGACATTACAGGTCGAAATTATAAGTTTAGATTTGAAAGAAAACGCAACATAGGTCACCGAGTCGTGATATCTATCCGCATACTTAATATATTTCCTACTATAAACAGACCAAAGTCGGACATTGCTATGTTCAGGCGCGGATGCCAAGAGTTTAGAATCTTATAAGAGTGTTATAAATACAGCATATCCATGGCCTTGAAGCTCTTACAAACATAAACGACTATCGGCGAGCCAAATCATAACAATTCTATCATTAGAATCAGATGCAAGAATTTTGCAGTCGTGAATAAGAGTTACACCCGTCACCCAGTTGCCATAGCCTTCTAACACCTCGAGCATGTGGTATTTCAGAAACTGTCTTATAATACAATTCTTTTAGGTAAAGGCCAGGGCTGCAGAGTATATTTAAAAAGGATAGGAGCAGATAATCCGGAATTAAGAAAGGTCAGCCGCATAACATCCTGCAGAAGCTATGCCAGGTTTCTGTTTCCGTCTCTCTCAGCCTTAGGCAGCATAATATCTGATAAGTGTATATCCTCAATCCCTAGCCTCTTGGCTGGTGTTGCTTAATCTATGCAGGGTTCACTATAGATGGGTCCTGATAGGGTTCAGCGATATGTCGAGGACGATGCTTGGTGACAGTAGTATTGGCGCAAGTAAACCCCTGTGGCTTATGGGTCCTCTGATAGGGCTGCGGTGAATGTTGAAGGGATGAACTCCTTAGACGAGTCACAGCCGCCTGCTTTGGGAAGGGGGAGTGGTTTGCTATAGCTTCTTGTGCAGTGTTTGGGGAGCTTCTACCAAGAGGTCGAGGATCCTGTTCCTTTCGGCTAACTCTATCTAATCTTTTATAGAGTCGAGTTTGTGTAGGGATATCAGGAAGTGGTTTTTCTAGAGGTAGTATTAACAGGGGTTCTAGTAAGTAAGGGTTAGTAGGGAACAGAAAGGTATAATATAGGTTTTTTAAGAAATAAACAATTATTACTTTTATTAATTTCTTTAGGGTTAGGCATAGGGTTAATCCAGATCTTATTAGAGGGTTGGTAGTACTGGAAGGCCTTCTTATAAGATATCTCTGGTTCGGCTTGGTCGTTAACAGTACCAGGTGAGGATCTGTTAAATCTAAATGACCTTATAACCTTGTGTCTAAAACATTGACAGGGGCATTTCTGCGAGCTAACCTCCATATGTCGGCTTGTAGTGCTGCCTTGATAAAAGTGATTACGAGCCCACTTGAGGTGGAATGGCCCGTTTAGCTGTTTGGTGATGCAGGCCATTACAGGAAAACGAAGAATGCTCAAGTGTAGTCAAGTGGCAAGCAGAAAGAAGACCAAATGAGGGCTTCTAAGGCACAACTAGTCTGGTGGGATATTTACACACGCACGGGGTGTTATAGGCGTTTCTTTCTTCTATATATCAAGACAAATCCCTATTTCAGAGTGAGCCATGGATAAGGGTATTCGCACTTGGAGGGACAGATACACAACCAACTCGGTAGACATAGTCTAGCCTTTTTCTTCTTTAGGGGTTAAATTTAAGACGTGGAATTCTGCATGCTGACCTCAACGTTGAAGCCGCCTCCCCGGAATCCCTTATATTGTCCTAATTTGCACTTTTTAGTTGCGTAGTTTAAACGTCATATATATCAGTCGCTAAGCTTTATTAAAGTAAGAGCCAGTTAAGAGTAAGCAATTAATTACAGGACCAAAGCGCTGTGGCGCCATGCTTTATTGGGGTAGTAAGAGTATTGCTGGGTTATTGCGTGTTCGCTACGCTCAGACTCCTTATCAGCTGGAATAAATTGGGAATTCATTGCTTTACTTGGGACAGATTTATATCGTGACGTAATTTCAAGTCACAGGACATATAGATAACTGTAGTTTGCAGTAAATTAGAAAATTTACCTAAGCTTGATACGCCCTAGTCTTTAGAATCCCCTTACCTCTACTCCCTCTAGTCTTACTCCTTTAAATAATAATACAAGTATAAGCTTTTATTATATTTTATAATATAGCAATCTTAAGTATTACTTAATTATATTTATCTTTAATTTATATTTATTTTATTATATTATCTTATAACTTAATTTAATTTAATATTTACTTATTAAGTTAGTTTTAATTTACTAATATTTATACTTTTTATTATAACTCTTATAGTTATGTTATATGCACCTTACTAACTTTTTTATAAATTATATTAATTATATATAGACTAAAGCTTTTCTTTTTATATATAATTTTTACTCTTTTTCCTTTATATTTAATACTATTAAACTAATTATTTAATTCTCTATCTTATAATAAAGCCCCTATCTTAATTAAACCTAACCAGCAGTTTATACTTAGCTTATAGTTAAGAAGTATTAGAAGATATTGTCTTATATAGTCTTTTCTTTATTATTGCTCTTTATCTTTAAAATATTAAGTATATTATTAAGAGATGTAATACTTTAATAATGCTTAGTATATGCCTTATGCTATTTATTAATAATAAACCTAGTATAGCTTAGTTTAATATAATTAGACCTAACTATTATAATTTTTTCTTAAATACTAAAACCTTTTTATTTTAATTTACCCTTTTCCTCCTTATTTCCCCTCTTTTGCCTTATAATAGCCTTTAATCTTTATAATAAAATATTTATATTATTAATTTAATTAATTAAAATATATATTTTAATTTTAATATACTAAACTATTTCTAATATATATTATTATTATTAGCTAAGACAGTTACTTATATTCTTATAATAATAAAAAAAGAAGTATAAGTATAAAATAATACTAATATTAATTTTATTAATATTTATTAAAGGATTAGTTATATATTTATTAATTACCTTAATTAAATAATTATAATTATTATAATTCTTATTAATTATAATTATATAATAATATATTTTATAATAAAAGTTAAGGTTTTTAGTTTATTTTATTATAGCTTTTTATAATTAAGATATTAATATTAATTACTTTAAGAGGTTAATAATCTAAAAGATAATTAGCCTATTAAAAATAAGAAAAATATCTTTTTTATATTTATAAATTAAGGCTATTTATTTATTTAAATTCTAAGGTTTAAGATAGTTATTATATAATTTACTAAGATTTAATATTAAATTTATTATTTTTTATATAATATATAATAACTTATATTATATTATTAAAAAAAAATACCTTTATTATATTATTTTACTTATATACCTCTAGCTTTACTTTTTATATTATTAAATTTGTATTTTAATATTTAATATTATTAATATTAAAGGTAAATATTAACAGAGGTTAAGTTATATATTAAATATAAGTATATATTTATTTAAACTTGCCTTTAAAATATATTATTATTTATTTAAAAATTAAGTCTTATTATTAATTATTATTTAAAATTACTATTTTATTATATATTTTATAAGTAAAGAAATACTTTTTATTATATATATAAGGCACTTTATAATAAAATAGGAAAATAACCCTATAATAACTTTACATGCCTCCTAATGTTTAATTGCATATTAAGAGCTTCTTAATTCTCCAAGCACTAAAACCACTCACTCTAATCAAAAATTGCTAAAACAAGTTCTATATAAAGTATTGTATACTAGTTTAGATGTTATTATAGGCCCCGTCCGCGCTCCCCTGTAGGGAGGCAATGTGTTTAATTATTGCAGTAGGTTCCATTTATAAAGGGAAAGTGGGAGGGAAGAAATCCAGCCCTGACTGCGTGAGAAATGATGAGCTACTGCAGAATAAGCAATTGAGTCCCATGAGGTAGTTACAGGAGGGAAGAACTCCTCAGTAAACCCTGCGAGGCCGGGAAGCCTATTATACAGTGTGGCCGTGACGTGAGGAAACGCCAATACGAATGCTCCCTTTTATTGTTTCGCCTCTATAATCTCAGCCGAGACTTTAGCCTAGATAAGCTATCCTAGGTCACGAAAGCGCAGCTATAGCGATACCCAACAGCAGTGGTGTTAAGGACATAGGGACAGTCTTTGTTAGAGAACCGCTGTTTTTGCTTCTGCCAGCGGAACCAGTTTGACTCGGCACGGCATTGCATGGGCTAATCGATGAAGAAGCATCATTAACCCCAACAGCCGGAATACACCCCTTGGTGGCTTGGTAATTGTCGTCATAGGGATAAACATTAGTGTAGTTGTACGACCCCCAGACCTTCCCCACAGTGACTTCACAGATCCCAAGACGCCTCTGCCGGCTGCGCACTTGGCTTCCGTGTCAGGTTTCGGCCACCATCCGGGCAGTTCTTGTACATCGTTAAGCGGCCCGGGGTAGGATTCACTCCACGACAAGCCTTGGTACGAGATGTCGGTGTTCTTGTAGCCCACTTTATTAGCCAGGACAGAGAACACATTAGCATCGCAGTCCCAGCGGCCGAGCGAGGGGAGATCCCAGTTCACCGATATGGTAGACAGCATGGAATAGTGGTTGTAGTACATGCTGTCTGTCGTGCCGTGTAGGGAGGGGTGAATGGCGCCTCCGAGGAGAACCGTGAATACCTTATTAGGAATGTCATCCTGTTTAGCCTCATCAAAGGTGACCACTATGAGAGTCCTGTTCATAAAGTACTCATTCTCCATAAGGGGGCCAAGCCACTTATGGAGCCATCTGCCTGCAAAGGCAAGCCCAGTGTCGTGCCCATCATCGCGAATATTTGGTGTGAAGAATGCCCATTGAGGGAGGTTCCTACCCGCCAAATCTTTTTCGAAGCTGGTGAAATTCTTGATCCGAGCCATGCGGGTGGCATTTCTTGAGATAATATCGTAAGAGGACAGTGGATTATGCTTGCTCACATACCCATCGCCATTAGCTCCTTGGACGCCACTGTACGAAAAGTTCTCTTGATACTCAGCCCAGGAGATCTGCTTAGTGTCGAGGAGTTCAATGACGGTAGAGACGTTAGCCGGGATGCGATGGTAGCGGTCGTTCTGTAAACCAAATGTGTCGCCTCCCACGGCGGCAACATAGTTGGGTTGCGATGGGTGGGTGACTGCAAGAAGTGTTAATTGCAGCGCGGTAACTTGAGAGCTTAGTATCTCACCTGCGTAGTAATTCTCGAGCAGAACACCGTGCTCGGCGAGCCAGCGCATGTCCTTATTACCAGCTGCTGTCTGTCACTGATATATAAGCCTGTCCTATAGGACCTTTACAACCTACCGTCCCAACAGCCCAGAACTGGCACATACCTCGAAATTGACATTCTCCAGCCATATCTGAAAAATACGATTGAATCCTACCCCTGGTACAGTCGACTCTTCAATTGCCCGTGGAATGGTTGCTTGAATATCACTGACGGTTTCCACGCCTGGCTTTAGGAAGATCGAAGTAGTCGGTTTGCCGACGACTGCTATGTCTCTGCGTATCGTTAGGATGAGGATCTTGAGAATTAGAGTGCTTAGGAAGGTCTTCATATTTTGTGAATCAATATCAGTTAAAGAGTAATTCATGATATTATAAAAGGTTTTCTAAATTTTCTAATCAGACAACTCTGGAATTTACCAACGCATCTGACTCGGATTAGTCTCTCTGCGTCAAATGACGTAATGTCATTTGTCCTTCAGTGATGACGAGCTCTTGTTCCTTGCTCTCGTCATAGACCGGGATTTGATCACATCTGTCGCCTCAACTGCGGCGAATATTTCACGGTAACCCAGAATAAAGTTCGGGAAGCGCGGCGAATGCTTACGTATATCAGAGCTGATACCGGTATTGGACATCCATTAATGAGAACGTAGTGACATGCCAGGCCACCATCTCTGCGCCCTTCCTTTGATGCAATTCGACTTGCCACCTCCGCATGACAGAGACATATTGTCGCACCTAGCGTGCTGAAAGAATCTAAGGTTAGGTAAACGATAATGAGTAGTAGTAGTCTGTTGATTAACTGATATCTAAAGAGCGCGGTATTCTAGCCCAAAGACTTACTTGGGCACATAGCTCGATCACTAAGTACTGTTATTTCCTGATACTCGTGGAGATCATGCGTGGCCTAAGACACAGATCGTCACTGCGTGAATGAGGGGAAATATGGTGCCTGGCATTAGCGAAGATGGTCCGACGGTCCCTGTTCTACATCTTGAATGCTTTTGTGCAATACCTCACCTGTTTTTAAGAAACATGATTGGATATCTGACCCCGATGATCACGCAAATTGTGGTAAAGGGCGGGCAAAGAGAGGCTACTGCATATCCACGGGAGACGTCCTGGTGCCAGTCTCGGCATTCGTATTAACAAAGCTTGGCATCAACTAAGCATGGGGTATGGGCTCTGCCACGAAAGTCTGTAGTAATGACGGATGGGTATCCCGAAGTCTATGTTTCAGGTCTCCGTTAGGCGCTTATCCCTGGCTGGCGTGGCGTAAGGCTCTCCAAGATCAAACTCCCAAGAAAGAATTATTACATCGCGCCTCCTCCAAGAGCATCAAGAGAGTCCGAGACGCCATCAAACCTCTGCTCTGCCCCTCCTGCTACCAAGCCAAGCCGATCGTCAGTGATTGGGGGGGGGGGCAGTTTACAAAAGAAGTAAGTTACACCAGAGCCCAAGCAGCGGGTTGCGCCGTGGCAGGTTTCAACACGCCGTGCAGTTGAAGATACGCAGCCTTCCTCATAATTGGCCAGACATGCGATGTTGCGAACACTTTGCTAAAACGTAAGCAGATTCACTAGCTCGCAGAACGGACGCGTCAGCTTATTTGGCGTGGTAATGGATGATCCCACTTCGTTACCCTGTAAGACGGAAGACTGAGGGCAATCGGGGTGAGAGCGTCCAAGACGATAGCAGGTCGCGGATGTCATGTACTCTGAATGTACACAAGTACTGCATCGTGGTGCATTCAGCCTCTTATTCGCAGAACCATTTACATTCCCCATTCCTCAATCTTACACTATAAAAACGATAAAATTTCTACTTAATAACGCTACGTTTGATTAACAGGAGATGCTATCAGTTAGCAGGGTGAGGCTTATAATCATTGCTCTTTTGCTCGAATTGACCTTAGGAAGCGTGGCCAGTCCCATCTTTCTTAGTGCAACCTCGCCAACTGTATATCTTACCCGACTCAAGGCCTGCATTTATCGTTATGTAGTCTACCCTAGAAAGATCGACGAACCCTTTATTTCGCCACCAGTAACGAACCGGCAGATAGTTCTAAACACAAAAGCCTCTAATCGTCAAATAACGGTATCACTAGGAGCCTATGGTCCCTACTCAAGCCCGTTTGCTCCGGTGGCCAATGATAATTGAATGACAACCATTGAGACTCAGGGTGGCCACAGCAAGGAAGGGGCTTCTTGGCCCCTACACATCCATATTTCATCTCTATGCTATATATTACCCTCCCTAACTCAAGTGGTGGTGGACCCCGTTGTCCTAACGCTCATCATGATCTCTTTGGAACCTTTCCTCACAGCATCCTTTCCTTTATCCCAGAACGTTATGCATTCTATAAATGGATTCTAATTTGGTGGATCCCGAATCTCGAATCTAGAGTAGAAGACGAATACATAATGGCATGCCGAAGAATTTCCCTACCCTCTCAGAAAGACCAATAGCAGCCCGACGAGAAGCATAAAACCTGAGAAGGAGACATAGAAGATTATTCCCTCAAAAGAGGTAATTGATAACTTAATATGAACCCGTGCCGCTGCCATGCTGAGAGGTACTGGAAGCCGTCGAGGAGACGTTTATGACCGAACGTGGTTTAATAAAGTGTTCTATAGATTGTATCTGGTTAATCTATGGAATCGGTGATATATTCGTATTGCAACAAGTATGTGGTGAGAAAGAAAAATAACAAGGCCGTGGGTTGGTCTCGTTTGGGGATGGGTCGGAATCATGGACATCTTCCTCCGATGAGCATTGTATGACCTTGCATAGCATACGTAGCCAAATACTAACGGTAAGGTCCAGTTTGGAAAAGTAGGGAAACGAGTCTACGTCGTGGGCCCAGTCGCTGGCATCGGTATCTTGAGTCTGTAGATGAGAGGAACTAAAGTTGTTTCTCCCTGTCGCATTCTATCATTCAGTTCCCTGCTTTCTCTCAGTTCACACCTTTGATCTGATCTGATCCGATTTGATTATATCCTACACTGTTGTAGTCGTTTAAACGACTCCGGCTAGCGGGGTCCGGCGAACAGCCGTAGTCTCGCGGATCGACACTGATCGCGGTGCCTCACTTCGGACCCATTGCTTAAGGGTATTGCTTAATTATCCTTGCCGCACGAGACACCGCATATGCCATTAGTGGTCAGTTCGATGATTCTGCGCCGGAACCATCCAGCGAATCGGACCAAACGATCATTTAACAACCATTGTCAGTTGAAGAACCCGGACTCTTGGGTGGCGGCCTGGGTGAACAAGGATGCTGTCACTGTCCCTCGAGACCCGTCAATCAGCCCTCAGGACAGCAGCGCCATGACCAAAGCCCGGCATCACTGTCTGTCACCAAAACCTCAACCGAAGATCCAACCACATCATCTTCACTTTCTGCAGATCAAACTGTCGCCAACCCCGTCGTTTCTTCTTTGACTACGCAGTATGACCATGACAGCGAACTCCCCCTCGTCGCTCGGCGAGTCCACAACGCTATCCCGGGTGGCATATGAGAGTATTGCTCAGCAAAACATGACCGGCATAGACATTTCTGATATGGAAATAATGGCTGTGGCCAGGATTTGGGCTGGCGACAAAGCAGGGCGCCCAGCGAGGTCCAGGATAAAAATGGTCTTCTCATCTCTAGTTCTTTCTCATGCGGCTTGCCCTCCTTGGGGATGGTCTCCCCCCTTTGCAAAGCTAAGAGGCTTCTCATCGGCTTCTCGATTCCGTGACGCTCCCAGTGGGCGAATCTCAATTATTATCGTATTTTTGACCCATATTGTTATATTCAGTGGCTAGCACGATGTTCTAACCAACTTCGCTCTTAACGCCGATGGCAGCAGCCTGAAAAAAGCCCACACAACGACTCAACTAATTTCGGTGTGCCGAGGTTGCCACAAAAGCGCCTTTTCACGTGTGATATTCGTTTCAAGTACTTGAGTTCAAACGACTACTTAGACCATTCAACGACCCCAAGCGCCAGTATCACGAGGGCAAGTGTGGAAGGGAAAATCCTAAAGCACGTATCAGTAACTAGCATCAAAGTGATGTATACTGAGGGCGGGACTGTTGCATGTGACTTACCAAATAACGTAGCTTTGAAACAGAACCCTTCCTATGGTCGTCACAAAAATGCTATTGATCTGACAAATCTGCGCCAGTTCAAGAGCGCTAGGCGCGCCGGCGAGCAAGAAGCAGACGACCACGAAGATGGGGTCGTTGAGGATACTAATCGGTAGGTACTTGGCCATCAGCGCCAGAATCGGAGCCATGGTGATGGTGGGCAGCAACATTCGGGAGATGAGCGAGGCGATCAGGAGCTTGTTTCCATATCGCTTTTCTTCGGGATCCTGAGTCTCGTCCGTGGGCATGGTGTTGCGTGCCAAGTTGGCGCCTAGGACTACCAAAATCAACGTAACCGCGACGTTGCCACTAGAGCGGATGGCAGTGGTTATGCTATTCTGGACCAAGGAACCATCCTCAAAGAAGAATCTCTGAAGAGAGCGGATGGATCCAGTAAGAATGGCAATTAGCATGGCCCAGAGGGGTGGGTTTATGAATTCCCAGATGAAGTTGATGCACTTCCTCCCAGTTCTCTTCGACAAGCTCAACGAGTACTGGATAGGATAAGGCAAACTTTCATACCAATGCTCGAGGGGTTCCAAAGTTATGCTCTTCCAAAGACCGAACCTAGCCTTGACCGTTGCAAGGAATCTGTTCGACTCCTGGTTCTTAATGGGGCGGATGCGAGGGAAATAGTATATGTCGGCGCTTGACGATCCACTGTCCCTCAAAAAGTTCATCTTGATGTTCTCATCGCTAAAAATCGTTAAAGGAACCTTCGAGGTATTGGCAACGGGTGTGCACCCAACGGGATCAAAGCCTTGAGAGTCGATATTACGGCGATCATCATTGGAATCCAAGCCTCCGTTGGCTGCACCTATAAGAGACTGGGTTCCATGCTCGTCGCCTTCTTCATGGCGGAATTGGCCCTCCTCCGTGGTATCCCCTGCTCCAGCGAACAAATTGACCGAGCTGCTGAAAGATGAGCAGGTACAGAATACCTCGTGCACCAACTTCTTCATTATTATCTTCAGGAATTCTATCCCGGTGTAGTTCTTTGATGGTTTGCGACACCAAGAGGACCAGGGAAATAGGAAGCGAGTTAGAATTGCCGAAAACGCCCACGGCCGTTATGAAATTGGCAGATCGTCTGCTAAAGCCAAACAGCCTGCCGACTATAACAGAAATACCCCAAGAAACAAACGTCTGTATGAAAAAGATAACCGGGATAATCGCAAGCTCGGAAAGCTTGTCGGTTGTGAGTCGAGAGGCAAGTTTTGTAAAAACTGAGAGGTGCCGTAGTCAATAGCCTTGCTTGTGATAAATGCAGGGGTGTGCATCAACTTACTCAGACATGGCGTAAAGAGCATCATGTTCAAGTTTGCCAAAAACTTTTTCTTCTCGAGATCTAAGTGATCGAGCCTCACGACGGTGTGTCCCAGGAGGCTGGCACATACGACCTTGACAACGGCTTTGAAGACTCCTTGTATAAAAAAGGTGGGGTAACTCATCTGATAAGATGCAAAATGTCGCTTATTGTGTTAATATCTCTAGAGTATAAGCCTTTATTTTAGTAAGTGGCTTTAATATAATTTTAGGTTAAGACTTTTTATAGGCATTTTCTCGCTTTTCTTTAATTTACTTAACGCTTTAGGCTCCTAAGATATATTAAGGAGATATTATAACTAAATATGTTTTCTTATTAAGGACCACTAAGTAATAGCTAGTATTACTTATTAATTTTAATATTAGGGATAAGTCTTTAAACTATATAAGGCTAACTCTTTATTACTGATGAAGATAAAAATTATCGGGCATTCCTTAATAGATCTTATTTATCTGCCTAGGTGATATCTATATAATTTGCGCCAGCGTAATTAACCGCTTGACTGCCCTAGTGCCCCTTTCTAGCGGCGCTCAATAGTTTCGACAAACAGAATATCCACAAACGACAACGCATTGCTCACTAGGCCCTTAAGAGGCCCGACTTTGCTAGAGATCTGTGGGCCCGCCTGCGCGTTGGTTTCACAGTGACCTATCACCTGGAGCTCAATGTCTATTGCCGGTGGCGTCTTTGGGTTATTCGCTGGGATCGTGAGCTTGCATGAGCCTTCTGATCGGGCGCATTGCTCTGATTTCTGTTTGCTTTCTTCACCATTGACCAAGATTTCCTTTACGCTAGTGGCACCTCTACACAACAGCTGGTCCGGTCGTGAATCTTCATGAGCTTGGCCTATTCCCAGATCCTCTGTCAAAGACATTGGTCGGACTCGATTGACGTGGCCAGACGGGTTAAGATTGACAGTCGAACTGGATTTCGCTGAATCAGCGGACAAGCGTCGTCGTTCATTCCCCATTGCCATAGTATTGCCGTTTAGTATTTTGACCGCTGAAAGGTTAGACCGTCTAAATGACCAGAACCTGAATGAGAAGCCGGATCCGCTGCCTTGCGATACTTCACCACTATCCCCCAACTTGACAATATGTTCGAACCTTTGGTGTACCCCTTGTATAAACTCGTGCTGGAATTGTGCTGGCGCCTGGCGTATCTTGAAGAAGCTAAGAGGTATAAATTCACAGTTGGTACTAGACAGCACCGAGTGGATGGGAATCATCAGCCGCATCACAATCATGGTCGATTGCCCCCATTCTTCGTTGTCTCGGCAGGGTGCACAGGATATCGTAGACGTGAGTGCTGCGTCTTCAAAGAGTGGCTCTTGAATCGATTCGCATAAGGCTTTGATGGTCTCTGATAGTTGAGCCGCAAACTCGCTCTCCTGAGCGCTTTGACACACCGACGTCTCGTTCAGACTTTGAAGTATTTTAGAAACTGACATGTCTCCAAACCGCTTGAGGAACTGTAAATGCCAGTTCTCAAGTGTCTTAAGTGGAAGAGCCATAGATGGGAGAAGATTTCTGGCGTCTTTCTGTACCAGAATATCGAACCCGGATCTGACGGAGGCTCGGATGGCGAAGAATCCTATATGAACACCTGAGGGTGCCTCGTTGTGCTTGGTTGCGTATGTAGACATGGAACGGAGTTTCGTCTCAAACTCGGTACTCTGAATCTGCATGCCCGACCTAATGATGTTGCTGACCTGATGAAGCTCGGCGAAACGATAACCAGCTGATATAAAACGCTCAGCGTCCTGATCCGAATCAACGCGGCGAGCCAACAGCATCAACAAGCCGCGTCCAAAGACCTGCTGCCGAGCGTTGAGCCCCCTTTCTACATCAGGGCCACTTTTGTTGTCCTCCTGACCGTCTACCATTCCCCAAGAAAGACTTAGACGAGAACTCATGCGAGACTGGGGTCGTGGCCACTGGCCAACTGGACCTGTAGGGAGAATCTCATCCCACAAGACACCTACCGAGGTCAAATCCTCATGGAACCGGCCCGCAAGTTCCGCTGCGGCAAGACAGAAAAGTTCCCTAAAAATGATGTCGTAATTCTCAATCATCTCTCCATACTCGTTAAGGAGCTGAATGCCACATCGTCCGTCTTTATGAGTGCTTGAATGAGGCAACTGTAACACGTGCTGCCTCATACCGCCAACAAGGCTCGAGATAATACTCCAGTTTCTTGATGCCAGGAACATCCACTGGAAGATTGGGTGTCTGATACTAAAGCCGTCTTTGGTATGCTGGTAAAGTGAGCCGAGGGCCGTCCAGGATGTGTCAGAGTATATATATCTACCTTTTCCAAAAATGAATCAGTGATAACAGTACTGGGAATTAGTCCATCGGGGTCGACGAGAATCCTTCCGCCTTTGTCGAAGACAGCTGTTCCCAATGTGACTTGCTGCGCTCGAAAGGCGGACTTTCTCAAGTTCCTTATGCGAATAATGGTTGATATGACAATGATAAAACAGGCACCGAGAGTCTATTCTGGATCAGCCATACCCTTCATATTGTCAACTGAATATTCTTACTGACCAAACAGATAGCCACGACAATATTTGCAGCTTTAGGTGGCTCGTTGCCCTCTGACTTGGCATTTCTGAAACGATAACGAGTTCCAGCAGCGGCACACCAGTGCATCCCTGATACAGCACTTGCAAGGACCGCAGCCGAGATAGCTCGCCTCCGCCACGAATTTGTCCACATAACCTTAAAGACAAATAACATTAAAAGGGCAGCGTTACTGGCAACAACGGCGATAATAGCGGATCCGACGACGTAGGCTGGCTGATATACACAGGTATAGTTCTTAATAGATATATTCCCGAGATAGTGCATACCGCAGATAGAAACGCCGCAGAGAACGCCGCCAGCGATGACTCTCCACCAGGAAATAGCACTATTGGTGCCGATTGCTAGAAATGCAGACAGCAAGACGAGGATAGGAATAAAGAAGGATAGAGCCGTAAAGCCCTTCGAATAGGCTACTTGCATCTCGGGTTCTCCGTTGGCAAGATGGATAGCTCTATTTCCAGTGAAATGCTAGTTAAAGACCAGATCGTGAGCATTCAAGGGCTACGTGATCCAGATGGATATTGTTGTAACTCACCATACACCAGATGGCTACTCCGCCCATGGTGACGGCGGAGCTCACGAGTAGCAAGCTTATTTGGTCAGCGCGATGATTCAGAGAAATAACATGTGGCTTTCAGAATCACAAAAACGTGAACATACTGATTGAATAGGCCTCTGAAGCCGGTTCGTCTGCTCATAAGCTCAAGACTTGAGCCCGCGCCGACCAGGCTGACAATGTAGCTAAGAATGACGAAGCCAGCATTGTAGCTCTGGGGCACAATATGATCCTGATACTCACGAAGCAACTCATAGGAAGTCATGATGAGCTCAAAGAACATAGACGAGCAATGACAAGTTACTGACACCGTGCAAGAGAGTGTGGATACTTATTTGGTAGAGTGTAGCATAACGCGACGGGGGCAAAGGCTCTTAACTAGGACCTACAAACGAGGCCATAGCCTACAGAGTTTGGAGGCTCGGTAGCATTGCGTCTGGTCAATTATGGTTGCTAGGAGAGTCTGAGTACGCCATGGGATTTAATTAAGATGAATTGGTCACTTATTACAAAGCCGGAAGCCATTTTGGGATTGCAAGATGCACATCCCGCTGGATGATTACCCTGCCCACCATCAGACGAGGATTACTACCGCAAGACAAGCCAGGTAGACTAACCTAAAGTGGGTAAAGATTTAATTGTGATTTAAGGACCAGGTTGCAATTAGGACCAAACCGTCATTCATGATCTCTTTCCATCGGGTCTTTTAATTTTGGGTTTGCATCAGAAAGCCTCTCATATGGCCGGGTTGCTAAGCCAAAGACTTGAACTTGTTGGGACTACTTGGTGGTCAGATGCGCCGCCAGAAGGGCATACCTATCGCTTGTACTAGATCATAAATTATATCGTGCTCGGGACCGGGGGCCATCAGATACGGACTTCTGAAACGCCCAAGCTTGTGATGAGTGCGACCGTAAGCTTTTTTTCGCACCCTTAAGTTAGTAATTTCAAATGGCGTAAAAAAAAAACTGCCACAAAGCATGTGAAATTACCCAGACACTCACTAAGCCTGTGCCGTCTCTGCAGCGGCATGGAATATTGTCATCTATAAAACCTTTCGTCGAGTTTGTCCGCCAGTGGTGTAATTGGCGGATCTTAGGAGTCAAGAGTCTGAAGAAATTTACTTATTACACGTATTGCATCTTGTCTTCCTTTCTCGATTACTGTCAGATCCCACGTTTCTATTCTATTCAACGGCCGGTTAATGCAGGTTCTTTATACAGCAGAAAAAGACATTGACAGCAACGCTTGCATCAGCCGTAGAGCTCGCCATGTGAAACCATATTGCTCGCAGGAACAACCGGTTGCCAGGGTTCAATAGCGCCTGTTGGAGATGTGTTATTTGCAGTTGAGACCTGTGGCTGAGAGCTTATAATCACCACACAGAACCTGGCGCCTGTTGGGATCAATTGCTGACCAATCGAGCGTATGAAATTTCCGTGTGTGTTTGTGTCAGATTGTCTACTCCTCAGTTCCTCGCATATTTCAAAACACACGCAAACGGGTCCGTGCGTATATTCGTGTGCCATAGATGATATACGCAGTCATCTTCTGTGCGCAGGTAGAGGTCCAAGCAAAAGCAAAAGCGCAGCCCCTAGTTAGATTAGAGTCTAACCTCACAACTTTGCCACATCACAATTTCGTCATCATGATCCTTGAACTGGTTCCATCAGAGGGTCAAAAAGAACCCAACCAAAATATGAATAATTTATCTTGATGTTCCTAGGTGGTCCTCTACAGATAAGCAATAATCGTTTGTTCAGGAGACACAGAACTGGTGGAACTGCTTCCACTAAAAACGTCATCATAACGCGCGCAAAGGTCGAAATTGGGTCGATGATGTCGCATGGGGGTCCGGAGTCGATGAGCATTGTGTCGATGTAGCAAGGGTATTTTATGAGATTATCTGCGACGGCGGCATGTCTGATCTTACGGTTTGTCAAGCCCTTCATCGAGCTGTGCGATCTTTACGTGATCGTCACTTGACATTAGAGCACTTTCGAGGAGACTTATGTTACCATGAGGGACTTAATGACGGCTCTGGCAGACACGATACAAACGAAAACCAGGCTACTGATTTGTACCTACAGAAGGAACGGGATGCGGTGCTGTCGAAGAAAGAACCTAAATTGGAGACCTCATGGGTTTCATATGTTCATTTTGGACCTTAGCTTACTAGCTGTATTAATAAATAGTTATTAGTAATGATAAATAGCAGCATATCGTATTTATTTCTTATTAATAAGTTCTAAATATTAAGTACAACAAAACCATAAATAATTGTAAAGATAGAAAGGCACGGTGTCTGCCGATTATGTCAGGATGGGCACTCCATTAGCCAAGTTCGACAGTTTCAGAGGTAAAATTTAGAAACCAGATGGGCCCACATCGCAATCTCCACCGAACGAATTAACCTAGAATTGCATTAATCCCTCATATATGCATAACTTCATATTCTGACTGTACTGTTCAGCCAAGACATAGTAAAGGTCATCCTGCTCCTCTAAAATACTTTCATCAGCATATGCCGCAATTTTTAGCCTCTCACGGAAATATGGATATAGCATGTTCTACAAGGTTCATTGAGACAGCGCTCAATTACGGCCTTGAATCATGTTCTTACTGCCAAGCGATCGTTATTGATCTAGCTCTGCCGGACATAACAGGCCGCAAAAACCACAATTCCAACTACATAGAGCCCTCTGAGCTCAGTTACACGTCAATGGACCACTTTGGAAATGTGCAATATGCAAGAACCCCGACATCGTGTCACTATAAGTTCTCCGAGTACTATATCGTCACCGCCGCTGCTACCGGTTGTCTGTTCTTCAAACAATTTGCTGTCTGGGTTCCTGAAGTCACCGACGCGGAAATGGGCCTATGGATGGGCATGAAAGTTGATATCGATCTTGATTCTTGGAAATGCGTCGGGAACATAGTAGTACCTGAAGAGTTCGAGATCAGGTTGAACAAGGGTATGATCCAAGCTAAGCTTCACGCAGATAAGCTAAGATTATATCTAGAGACACGATCTTTGCTGTCAAGTCCTGGATCTTGCGGTGCCATTATTCACTCTTGCATAGACTCAGACCTGACATTCTCACGGGCCAGGCAGTTGCTCAACAAATGCCTCGACGAGCATAGTGCTTGCAAGCAGACCGGGTCGGCACCTTCTCGCTTACTCGACGTATCGTCAGACGCTAAGGAAGTGCGACTTGTCGACACTAATACCGTTAAAGACCCAGTCTGGGCTGCTCTATCATACTGCTGGGGCGGGTCACAGGACGCTCAAACGACTTATCTCAACGTCGAAGACCGTTATAAGCAGCTTGCAATCGATCATCTTCCCTTGACTATTCGGGATGCAATACATGTCTGCCGACAGATGCATATCCCCTATCTTTGGGTTGACTCTATCTGCATCATTCAAACAGAGGACGAATCCGAGGATGCTGTCAAAGAGACTGACAAAGACCGGGAGCTGCGTAAAATGGCCGGCATATACCAAGGAGCCATTCTGACCATCTCTGCCTCTTGTGCCATCTCAGCCAATGAAGGCTTTCTCCACGAGCGAAAACCTTTTACGCCTGGCGTGGCTTTACCAATTCGACTGAAAGACGACTACCACGTCGCTCAAATCGTCGAAAAGGGTAGCACAGATTGGAATCCACTTCAAGCAGAACCAAGCGAGAGTCGAGCTTGGATCTTTCAAGAGCAATTATTATCTTCTCGTTCTCTACGTTTCACAACCCATGCCATGGAATGGCACTGCAAGTATTTCGATTGTTGCATATCACAGGAAGAAGAGTACAACGTATACAATCAACCTGCCGTATTTGAGGATTTTTCTCTGGGTCGTTGGAACTCGGTAGTTACAGATTATTCCAAGCGCCTTCTAAGCAACTCAGAAGACAGACCTATTGCGATCGCTGCTGTGGCGGAAAGCTTTGCCAAATCCGGATCCTTGTTTAATACATCGGATTACGTAGCAGGTCTCTGGAAGCCAAGCTTGCTTGCCGACCTACTGTGGTTCGTCAAACCACCAGTTCGTGGGAAGGCATGTGGTTCCGCCCCGTCATGGTCCTGGACATCTGTTCTGGAACATGTCGAATGGCTTGAAGATTGTGATTCCTTCGCTTCAGCAGCAAGAGTTCTCTCAGTCGACATTCAGCTTGCTGATCCCAAACTGCCTTGCGGTGCCGTAAAAAGTGGAAAGATCCGCTTACGCGGACTGACGTCACGCAAACCTCGACCAGTCGTCTGTGTGGTAGAAGATGAGCCAGCTGGTAATGAAGGACATTCTCAATTCATCTTACCTGATGATGTTCAGGAGAAACAGCTGGAAGTGTTTTGCTTTGAGCTTGCACATGCAACTAATGGATTAGACAGCATGAGGCTGGGTCTGGCACTTCAGCCGACTGCGAATCCGGGAGAGTTTTCAAGAGTTGGGCTATACATCGCCTCAAAACCTAAAGTTGACGACAGAAGCCATGGTGAGAATTGTGAGGCATGTAAGATTGAGCAGGATACATGGGAAAGGACGATAGAGATAGTGTAGAGCTGTTCAAAACCTCGAAGAATAGATGACAGTAAACGTCTCTTGCCGTTCCAATAAGGCTTGTTCCATAACTCCGGAGCATCGGCGTCTGAACTCGAGAAAATGGGACTTTACTACGATATCTGGGTATAATTGCCCTACGCTCGTAGCAGACAAACCTTTTTGACAGTTGCGTACGAACAAACTTCTTGCATATCTAACTTATGTATGTCACATTGTGAATGGGCTGTTAATTACTTTTACTTCCTTGTTCGTATTACAATCAACCTTCGTAAACGCAGTTATACCGCCTAGTACCGAATCGTACGATTGAATGACTCGTGCGATCTGATAAAGTGCGTAAATGCGGGATGAAGAGTCTCCAGTAACGTTTATCTGTAGCTTTTATCTAGCTTCTGGGTGCTAGCTATGGAATTGTAACTAATAGATAGATGAAATCTCAGATATGCATATGAACTTCCTTTTCTTATGCCTCTCTACCTAGGTTTGAGGAGATTTTGCATTATTCTAATTGTTTCCTTCAAAGCCACGTGTACTTGACTGGTTGCTCATAGTCTGCATGACATTTACATACCAAGATTATAGAGTTTAAGTGTTTGTGTCCCTGATGCTGGTTGTATTCGGCAATTAATATGATGCAAACTCGTATCGAGGTTCCCACTGCACTGTTATGGACCGATGCCCACTTACTCGGCACGCCAACCTTAATATCTGGAGAAATAAGATATGTATGACTATGATCTGCAACATTCTCATTACCGCTCTTTTCGGATGCTCCGAAGGTTTAGTTACTGGCTTGACCAGCATGTATATGATGCTTCTTACTTGGTGAAATGTTTTCCAAATTACAAATATCTGCCCTCGTATCTTATGACCAATTTCTCTTTTTAGCATAACTTTCTTCGTCTCACCGAATATTCTCAGATATTAATTGACCGTCACAATATTGTGCATTCAATCCCTGGTTTTTTGTTGCCTTACTAGAGTTATCCTGGCGTAGGTATCACCTCCATATTTCCTTGGACTATTGGGCTGACATTCGATCTTAATATATAGAACAAACCATGACAGCCATAACTGCTGCACACGCAGCAGTGTAGACTCAGCCTGGATATCGGCTGGGCCTCTAACTTCCGATGTTTTTGCGAAGTATTATTCGGGCATATGTATCTCTGTTCAGAATCTTCAAAGTATATATATCTATATACTGATACGCATAGTAGAAAGGAACTTTTAACGAGCAGACCTCGACATGCGATGAGAATTATGATGGTGCTATTAAGGGTGGAGATTTCTATAGTAATTGTGGCTTGCAATGAGGGGACCACTTGACCTTGGCCTGAGATGGATAAGAACACTAAACCTCTCACAAACGGTGGAGCGCGAGTCGCGAGATCAGTCCATATTAAAACTCTGTTAGGCCACCTCTATCCTCGAATGGTGAGACACAGTTTCTAGCGCAACGAATCAGTATTTATAGCTTTACTGACTATCAAAGTGACATTGGAGCCGAGCACCATCAGCCTCAATTTGGCTCCTCACCAGAGCCATTCATGTCCCGCTGGTTAGCTACTATATCTTCTCAACCACATACACCTTGTTCTGCATGATGAACTGCCAGATGCTATCATACTGGATAATTAGACGGCCCGCCAGTGTACTAATGCAGCCGTACTAATTATGCGGTTTCATGCTCCTGAAGATATTATTCATGGACTATTTTTATTGCATGTTCTATAGCTCTACATATAGTAACGCGAGGGTTTCTGGTGCAAACCTAGATTCTCATTTGAGACTTACCTAAATCTCGCTCAATCAACACCCAGATGGCTAACCAGATACAGAAAAGCTAACGGCATGGACGTGGTTCCTCCTCCCGGACAGCGGTTGCGTCTGACCTGACGTTGACTCCGCCTGGGCTATGACTGAGTACGAGCCGGATGCAAGACTCAGCTCAATATTCCATTTCTGCCAGCTAAAGTCGATCCGGGTCTCAACCTGGGTTGCAATCCAGGTTTCACCGTTATCATAGGAAATGCCAACATTTTTCACCCCTTCAAAACACCAAGCCCAACCTTCGATCACCACCTTTGGGCCTACTATCACAGCCTCGGGTTCAGGACGCACAATGACCGAGTTGACTTCAACATTCCAAACTGGCCGTTTTGTGATTCCTTTGGGGTCTTCGGGATCGACTTCGTTGTAGAAGGTGGTGGTATATGGCCCTTCAGCCCTCCTGTTCTCCAGCGTCAACCGACAAAGCCATTTAGTAGAGTTGGTGCCGAACCACCCAGGAACAACGAGCCTGACCGGGCCTCCCCGCTCCTTCGTCAAGGCTTCCCCATTCATCTTGTAAGCTATCAAGACTTCTGGGCTCTGGGCTTTATCTAACGGTAGGTCTTTTTGGTAGCGATCCGCCGTGACACCAGCAAACGTTCCGTGATCAAGTCCGTCAGACCACACAAAACGGGCTTCGGGGAGAGGTGATGCAAGCGATATGAGGAACGCAAGAGGGACGCCAGTCCAGATAACATTGCCTACCCGCCATACTGCTTCCACTGGAGCCTTGATTGGGCTGCCGTAGCACTCGTGAAATGAGGTGATGGATTCTTGGGGTAGGCGCTTGAGCTGGTCCAACGAAAGGGAGAAGGGATTTTCCACCAGTCCATCAACAACAAGGGTCCATTTGAAAGGGTCTACAACCGCTGCTCCCATGTGAATAGTCTGGAAGAGTAGGTTATCTGGAGTAATGGCATCATTTAGTACATGGGGCTTTGGAGGATGCCGTATGTAAAATCCACAGGGATTGATATCTATAAGGGCATGGCGTTCGTCGCCGTCTGTTGGCACAGAAGATGTGTCGTGATCTACCAGCAGCGGCGATGACATGATTGAGTCCGATTTCGGGAATGACTTAGCTGCTGCAGACTTGCTGTAGCATTTGTTTAAATAATCACGGCGCGCCAAATTCTAAACTCATTAGTCTCCCCACTTCTCCCTCGTTTCCCCTTTTAGCATATCAAACATCCATGGGTGCAAAAGTAGGTACCGAACTGACGCCATCTCTGCGGCAACATCCGAACAGGGTAGAACCATTTAAAAACTTTATTCACGGCAGAGGTCTCGCTTATTGAAACTGTACTTATTCTATTGCATGACTCTCGCCAACGGCTCCCTACTCATTATGAAGCTCTCCAAACGTGGCCAAGCGACGGCCGATAACAAGGGTGGTTCTCTTCTATGGGAAGTAACGGCAAACCACTGGGATGCTACAACCAACCCTTCCGGCTATGTAAGCTTGGGCATGGCAGAAAACGTCCTTATGCAAGATGAGCTGTTGAAGCACATCGCTGACAACATCTCCCTTCAACCGCAGACTTTGACCTATGGCGACGGTACAACTGGTTCAAAACGCTTGAAGCTTGCCCTTGCATATTTCCTCAACAAACACTTGAACCCCCATCAGGATATCGATTTGAATCACATCACCATCACCAACGGCTGTAGTGCAGCTATCGAACATATCGGCTGGGCGGTTGGAGATCAGGGGGATGGTTTCCTCATCACCAGGCCTTTTTTCCGCGCCTTTATTCCAACCTTTGGCCTTCGCGTTGATACAGAGGTCATCCAGGTGCCATGCCACGGAATTGACCCCTTTTGCGTCGATATCGTCGAAAGATATGAGGTCAGGCTACAAGAAGTCAAAGCCAGTGGAAAGAACGTCGCCGGTATTCTTCTCTGCAACCCCCATAACCCCCTTGGGCGCTGCTATTCCAAGGACGCCCTGGTTGAACTCATGCGATTTTGTCAAAGACATCAACTTCACTTGGTTAGCGACGAAGTCTATGCCTTATCAACGTGGAAAAACGACGAGTCACAAGCTCCGCCTTTCACCTCTTGTCTATCCATAGACCCTACGGGTATTATTGACCCGTCTCTTATAACCGTAGTATGGGGGGTCTCAAAAGATTTTGGGTCCAACGGCCTTCGGCTCGGAAGCATTATCTCCCAGAACAACCCGTCGTTACACAGCGCACTTGTCCCAGGGGCCTTGTATAGCATGAGCTCTTCTCTCGCTGATCACGCCTTTGCCAATGTATTTGAAGACGATGCTTGGGTTGACAATTACCTGGCCGAGAACAAGACAAAACTTGAAGAACGTTACAAGTTGATGACAACGTGGGCAAAAGAGCATGATATCCGTTATGAAAGGGGGGCAAATGCAGGCTTCTTCTTGTGGGCTAATCTCGGAGAGGCCTACTGTCGAAACCATCCTGAACAAGATCCTCTGCACGCTGAAGAGCAGGTGATGGAGCTACTGCTCGAGCGAAAAGTCTTCATAGCTCCGGGAGCTAGTTTTGGAGCCGAAGCCAATGGCTGGTTCAGGCTTGTGTTTTCAGTTGACAAAATAACTCTCTCAGAAGGACTTACTAGAATTGTTGATGTTTTAAAGTAGAGTATTCGCTAAAACATAACTTGATTATTTCAGTATAATAGGTAGTCCTAGTGGGGTTCCATACTGTCTTTACTTGAAACCTGAAACACGGAAGAAGCGGGAAAATCGGGGAAGATCGGGGGAAACGGAAAAGACGGGAGGAACGGTAGAGAGAATAAAGTCAGTTCGTAGAGACGCTAGAGAAGGGCCGATAAGCCATTGACTAATTACAAACGCTAATGCATGAGGAACATTACTTTCTTCTGGGAACATTTTTTGGCTCAGGTCTAATTCCTATGAAGTTTTATGACAGGGGTAAGAACGCCATATCTAAATGAGTACGGTGCCCAGGAAAATACAAGTCAATATCCTCGTAGCCTGCACGCAAGGTTGATTCATTATGGCAACATTCTTTGAACAGTTGCTCAAGCAAGCTATTGAAAATCTTGATGTTCCTTCAATAGCAATTGAAGCAAAACAACGTGATGGTAATCGTGTTATTCCCTCTGCGCCCACCTATTCGTAGCTAATACACCAGTTGAGGAACTCAATTGCTTTCCTTGTATCTTGATTCGCCCTCACCGCTGTTCAGTTCCCAAGATGCCATTGATAGCAACACTTTGTTCACCTTGGCTTCCTTAACTAAACTTCCTACATCAGTTGCTGCTCTACAGCAGGTGGAAAAAGGCATTATTGGGCTGGACAACGATGTCACTCACCTCCTCCCGACTCTCAAGCGACAGAGGATATTGCAAGGCTTCAAAGCAGATGGAGTTCCGGTTCTCAAGGATCGAACAAATCCCATCACTCTTCGCCACCTGTTAACTCATTCGGCGGGTACAGGGTATGATTTTTCAAATGATGAGCTTCGCAGAGTGCAATCCTTGAAAGGGGAATGCCTAGGTTCCAAGCCGACTGTTGAGCAGCGTTTCAACCTGCCGCTGCTATTTGAGCCTGGTGAAAGTTGGAACTATGGCTGCTCCATTGACTGGGTGGGAAGGCTTGTCGAGATACTTACAAACATGGATCTAGAAACGTACATGTCGAAACATATTTGGCAACCACTCGGGGTCACTCGCTTCACGTTCCGGCTAAACCAAAAGAACGCCGCAACGAACGAGGTGGCGGTCTTGGCGGAGCGAGACAATGAGACAAAACGCCTCAGACCACTCCCTGAAGGTCTCCCACTGAACAATGGCGTCACTGACTGTTTTGGTGGGCAAGGCGGGTATTCTACGGTGCCAAACTTTATGCAGCTGCTGTATTCACTTTTAGCAAATGATGGCCGCATATTGAAAGCTGAGACAGTGGACCTTTTGTTCCAAGGCCACTTGACTCCAGCGAGCAAATCTGTGCTTAACCGCAAAATGGAAGATCCGTCTTGGGCAGTCGGCACTTTTTACCCTGGAGAAACCTACAATTGGAGTCTGGGAGGGTTGCTTATCGAGAAACCTGGCTCTAGTTGCCCTTTTTCGCGGGGTCTAAACACACTGGTTTGGAGCGGAGCTACGAACTTGTTCTGGGTAGCGCATCGCGTATTCATTCCTACTTCAAAAACTAGAAAATGCTAATTTAAAGAGTAGTTCATTGATCGCGAAAATGGCATTTGCGGATTGTTTGCTACTCAAATCTTGCCACCCGTGGACCAGGTCTCACAAGCTCTGATCAAAGCGTTCCATGAGGAAGTTTATAGACAAGTTGCAGACTGTACAGTAGGCCAAAGTTAGTTCCCAATAGATGAGCTCAGGTCCGAGTATTATTTGCAACTGCTCTACCCTCGTGATGAATACAATCTCAAAATACTATATCACACCTGCCGATATCCGTGGTGCAATTCCCGTAGTCGTGGAGAAAGCGCGCTCGCGCAACTGCTTGATGCTCTCATACCGTCTAAAGTCATTATGAAATCACTAATTGAGGGAAATTAAGGTCTCTTGTGATGCTGAAAGGCAGGGCTTTTGGATTTAGCTATCCCTTGAGGTGTGGAAAACCTCCAGCAGGGTCACGGTAGGGGGTGCAGGCAATTAAAATGCAATAAATTAAACATACTTAGGCCCTCCTATTTTAGCCTATAATAGAAATACTAGCAATCTCTTAAGTTATAGATTACTATATTATACTACTTATATCCTTATATTAATCAATGCCTTCTTTTATTAGACCTAATTAGAGCTAAGGGCTGCCTTAATTAAAGCCTTTTATATATAAGATAATTTAATGTTTTTCCCTCTTTATATATACTTATATTATACTATAAGTTTAAATTTATCTTTAGCTTAAAAAGTCTGCCTTAATTAGCTTTATAAATAGAAGGCCTTAAAGGCTATATTATTTATATATTTCTTCTACTTCGTCTAGTATATATAATACTCTTAAGCATTAAATATTATATATATTTAATTTATTAAATTAAATTTATATATTAATATTATATTATATTAAATCTTACCTCTTATATGTTTTACTATTTTAATTATAATCTTAAAGCATTTCTTAAGGTTAGGGTTAAGGTTGTCAGTACTACGAGGAGATAGGATTTGGTTTATGGCCCTTATGTGGCCCAAGGTCGAGGAGCTGGCTAGAGATCTATATGTAGAGGGTAGTAGCAACACGATATTATACGGCTGCTACCCACAGATAATCTGCCTTACTTGGATTATCTAACGTGGCCAGCAGGCCGTTCCAGACATCAGCTATCATCACTACTTAGAATTGCTCGTTGTTGATGGCGCGCATGAGGGTGGACCTATCGTCACTAGGTTAGCGCCTCTAGATATGCATCTCGTCGAAGATACATGGGCTTCGTCTCGACCAAGTATAGTCAGAAGGCTTGTTGGCCCAAGCACAATCTTTCAATTAATACCGCTGTATAACTACTTGCTGCCCATAAGGTTAAATTTTAGGCCGCCAACGCATTGTGGCCATCCATGCTATTCAGTGGCGGGCGCCGCGGAAGATAATTAGTCAGCGTTCTTGGATTAACTAACACCCCTTTACTCCGCTTTTCTACGTAAACTCTAATTACAGTATTTATACGGCGCTTCTTGCGACGCCAGCGTATCTTCCTGTAACGCAACACGGAGGCATGACAAATATGATTAGAAGGCGGAAAGGTCACAGAAAGTCCCGAGAGGGCTGTGTTCAATGCAAGGAGAAACACGCCAAGGTAAATATCCTCCCTGTGCCATTCCACTTACTTGCCATACCGAGAACCCGCAGCTGAACTTCCTAGTGCAATGAGGTCCATCCACGATGCCTCCAATGCGAGCGGGCCAATGTCGTGTGCAGCTTCTCGTCTCCTAATCTGACTAAGCCACCACTGAACGAAGACAGCATAGCTGATCTGGAGTTGCTGGAGCACTGGCACCGATATCCTGTGACAGGCGATATGACAGAGCCTACAAGGCAGCTGCAATATAACCTTGTTCGCTTAGGCTTCTCTCACCACTACTTACTGAATAGTATCCTGGGCCTCACCGCCCTTCAACTCTACAGTGAAGATCGTTCTCAATCTAAGTGGTACGTCAGAGCTGTTGCACACCAACAAGCTGCAATCACTCGAGCTAGGCCGCATTTCGAATCCTTGAGTCAGGCGCACGAACAAGCTCTGTTGGGGTTTTCCGCCTTCACATCAATGTATGCCGTAGCGGAACCAATCTATCGCCCTAGTAGCGTCCGCTCCGAATCGTCATTCGACCCAGTTGAGGAGCTGTTAAAGGCGCTTCGCTTTAGCAGGTCTACGTTGATGTTTGTACAGCAGAGCTTTCCCCCAGTCGTCGTCTCAGGATCATGGCTTCTCACTAAGTTTGTTGCCAATTACCAAGACACTCTGAATGATCTCGAAACAAGATATCCACAGCTTGCGTTTCTGCAGCGATGCATAGTTCGTCAGTTTGAAGGAGATCAAAGGAAAGCATGTCTCCATGCCGCGGAAGCACTGTTCCGCCGTATTTCAACGCTTTCGGATAACCTCGACGACCCTGAGCCTGGTAAGATAGTTTGGGGCTGGGGACTTGAGGTAAGCCAGACCTTTCTGGATCTGTGCTCAGCTCGACATCCTCTAGCACTTGTTATTCTGGGTCACTTTACTGTTTTGATGAGCTATAATCAGGAGCATTGGTGTCTGAGCTCCTGGCCAAGCGGTTTGCTGAGCTACATTAATGGGGTTCTTGGAGATGAGTGGGAAGATGCTATGAAATGGCCGGGAAGTCTTGTCTTTTGGGGAAATCTTGCCATCAATAAGCTTACTGCATCTACTCAGACCAGCGGAAGATATTACGAGGTCTAATAGAGAAATGGTGATAGAGGGATGTCTCATTCACGCCTCGTCAATACCATTCTCGTCTACTGCAGTTTATTAATTTTCCAGTATCTTGTCCTATCAGTTCCCATATACACCGCATTGCCTTATTATTGTACAAAGCGTAGATTAGTCACAATGAGTATTCTCGTTTTAATTGAAAGAGCCTTGTATTCTCCAATAGAAGGTGGCGGTCAGATTGACCTCGTCCAGCTGCTTAAATACCGCAGTGAGTTTAGTCCAATACGTAATGTTATGCACAACGCTTATTAGTGCCGCTGCCCCTTGAGTTGCCCCCACATGGCCTAACCGCGCTACCGTATTAATACGGACAGTGATCCACTAGCTGTACCCAACCACATGCTCACCAAATACAGCTATTCTAAGTCTCTCAGCACCAGCCATAATATTGCGGTATACAACTTGGTTATGTTCTCTCTGAGAAAACAACTATGGAGTTTTTTGCAATTCTTACACTCCTGAGTGAATTGGTCAGCATTAAAGATGGAGTAATCAACATATTCATTATTAAAGCAAGGCTGGAGGAAGTCTATTTCTTTATATATAACATCACGCATTCTACCCACGTATTAACTGACCCATCAAGCAGCAACTGAATCAAATTTCTTCACGTCTTCATTACAATCTAACACCATTCTACTATATTTATCATGTCCTTGCCAAAAACTACAAAGGGTTGGGTGGTCGAGGGTCAGGGCAGCTTTGACAATCTCAAGTTTGACACCCAACAGCCTCTCCCTGAGCTCTCTGACAACGAAGTGCTGGTAAAGTTCCATGCAGCTTCTCTCAATTTCCGCGATGTCATGATTGCCCAGGTAACTAAAAATTCTCTACTGTCACCAATCTGACTAACTTGCACAGGGCACTTATCCTTTCGATGTCAAGCCAAACATCATTCCAGGCTCCGATGGTGCTGGAGAAGTCGTGGCTACCGGAAATAAGGTCACCCGCTTTCAGAATGGTTCCAAGGTCGTGACGTTGTTCATGCAAACGTATTATGGTGGACCGCTGACCCCAAAGGTCTTGGGATCTGGGGTAGGTGGCTCTATCGATGGCACTCTGCGGCAGTACGGTATCTTTAACGAGAATGGACTTGTGGATATGCCAAGGAACCTCAGTTATCTGGAGGCTGCAACGCTGCCTTGCAGCGCCCTCACGGCGTGGAATGCTCTCTACGGGCTCAAGGCAATCCTTCCCGGCGACTGGGTCTTGACACAGGGTACTGGTGGTGTGAGTATCTCTGCCCTGCAATTTGCGAAGGCTGTGGGTGCTCGAGTTGTTGCCACGACTTCTTCGGCATCCAAGGCTCAGAAGCTGAGGGAACTCGGAGCAGATCATGTCATCAACTACAAGGAGATTCCGAACTGGGGGGAGGAGGCCAAGAGGCTCACCGAAGGTGGTGTTGACCATGTCATCGAGGTTGGGGGCGCGCATACTGTGACGGAAAGTCTCAAAGCCGTCAATATTGGTGGTCTTGTCACCATCATTGGTTGGATTGCTGGACCGGGAGAGACCGGACCGAGCTTTCCTCAGATCCTATCCAGCATGGCTGTTGTCAGGGGAATCGTTGTTGGAAGCCGAGATCAATTCGAAACAATGGTACGTACTTTGGCAATGTATTCCCTCCCTACGATTTTCGCCGGCTTTCAATTGAGTGGTTGTTGACTTGACAAGATTCGTGCAATTGAGGCTTCCAACATCAAACCCGTTCTCGACCAACAGGTCTTCAAGCTCGAGGAGCTCAAGCAGTGAGTCAACTATGTATCCTAGTGACTCAGAAGCCAGGCTAACCAATCTAAGTGCTTATCAGTACCTGGCGGATCAGAAGCATTTTGGCAAAGTTGCAGTTAAGATTGAGCAGTAATAGTCTATACTAATTTATTTCTTTCTTAGCAATTCAGGTATAAACTCTTAGGGGTAGGGTTAGACTCACAGATGCTATAGAGTAAAGCTATATAAGTATAATAAATAAGTTGCCAACTGATATATTAAGAGAAAAGATAATATAACTGTTGTTTATTTTATCTGAAATCTTCTTGCATTTAAGTTCTATCTTAAGCTTATTAACAGGGAGTTCTAAGTTATAAAAAAAGCCAGGCAGTTCGGTCTTATCCATTATCTCTTTAAGCAGTCTGGCGTTTTATAGCATGCCTACTTTAGACCACAATCGCAGATTCCCGTTGAAAAACCAACCCTACTTCTTAGAGATGAGTCTTGCAGAGAAGCCAGTAAGTCATCTTTGCTAAGCCTTGGTCTAATGTTTGCCCCTAAGAGTAGAGACTTCCCCTAACCTCGTTCTCCAGTAATAACTGCTATAATACTAATATTATAAAGGCTAATATAGAAAGGAGTATACTTTAATACATATATTTTTATCTTAATATATAATCTAAACTCAAGCCTAAGTTCTCACTATGAAATTACTACTCTTCCTCTTTTAAATTCCTTTTCCACACCTTAACGGGCATAGGCCCGAGGATGTGGTTCATTGTCTCCTCTCTCTTTAGGTTAAAACCTGCTGGTAGAGCAAACTCATACCGGTGAACTATTGAAGCAAGGCACACAGTCTGTTCAAGATAAGAAATGTTACGCCCAATGCAACCTCGAGCGCCAGCTGAGAAAGTAATAAAGTGAGATTGAAGCTCCTTACCCTTCTCGCCCAAGAATCGTTCAGGAATAAACCTTTCTGCCTCGGGATAAATGCTCTCGTCGTGATGCGCCACAAGGGCGGACACACTAACGGATGTGTTGCCAGGAATATACTGGCCCATAATCGTTAAGCCTTCAGGAGGGGTCTGACGACCAAGACCTTGAGGAGTCGGGGGCCAGAGGCGAAGCGACTCATCGAGACAGGCGCGGAGGTAGGGAAGGTGCTTGACCTTTTCATAGGGAGCAACCAGCTCATCGGGCTCGAGGACTGAGTCAAGTTCTTGTCGCAGGAGCTCCATTGCTCTAGGGTCGAGCAGCAACTGATACAGAATGTTGGCCAAGGCAATAGCAGTGGTGACACTTCCGGCGTTCATCATGATGTTGATTTCGGCAACAACTTCGCCCCATTCAAGGTTGTGAGAGTTACCGTTCTTGTCCTCCATGAGAGCCTGGAAAAAGTCATCGAGCTTTTCTCCCTTCTGGTATCGATCTAATCGGAGTTGAGCTCGTCGCAACACGATACCATCCCAACCCTTGGCTGACTCGGACATCTTTCGGTAGAAAGGAATGATGTTGGAAATCTTATTGAGCAACTTGTAGTAGTCGTAACTCCAAAGAAGATAAGACTGCTTGCGTGCTGTGGGATAAAGGCATTTTCGTAGATCAGTTTCATAGACAGTACCGCATGTCTCCTGGGCTTCCACACGATCGTGACCTTGATCAAGAAGACCAAGTTTCTCAGAAAGACCAATGTCGGCGATGGCGTCGAGGGAGAAAAAGTTGGACCAGGCACGGAAGTCGAGATTGAGGTCTTGAGGGTCGGGAAATCTAGCACCCTTAGGCAAGGGAGCCGTGCAGACCTTATCAAAATGGTCCATCATCCGCTGCACCTTATCCGCAACCTTGTACTCCCAGCCCTCGAGGTTCTTGAGTGCGTAAGCAGATGACAGGACCTTTCGCTTTCGGGCGTGATCATGTTTATCGACCACGTCGGCTAGGTGAAAATGAGTTCCAGCTCCTACGATGTATGATTCATCCTTTGTACAGGGAGTTCCGTGACCATAAATGTCTTTGATGGCTTGGCCGCCGGCGAAGGACAGTGCGTTTGGCCCTGTTCTGATGATGGGCTTTTTTTTATGTAATTTCGCAAGATGAGTCGACCGTGCGCCCCCATGAGCGAGGATCATGAAGGGAAGGTTAGACATGCCGGAGAATGGGGACATGTTAGGGAAGCGTCGAAGACCTGGATAGAGTCAGTATGGCTATGCTGAAGTTTCCTCTTCAGATAATATATCTTACCCTTAGTGTCCTTGAGGTAGAGGATAAAAGGGTAAATGACAAAGTAGAAGACTACAGCCACACCCACTGCAGCCGCATAGGGCGCAGAGCCCAAGGAGGCAACGGTGGCCGACATTGTTGAAAATCTCGATAACAGGTAAAAACTCTTGATGAGACGGTATATGATCGCTTGCAACTTGAGGCTAAAAACGGAAGTAAAGGAAGAGAGCGTTATTTAGCTAAACTCGTAGGGATACAATGCATACGACGTAGACAATATGGCTTTCTTATACATGGCAGTTTCTACGAGGGTAGATAGGCTAATCTTTTGCCAAATGCAATCGTGATCGAGATATTGCCACATTTGGCGACTTTCTCCGCTCCCAGCAATTTTACCCCGCGTGAATTTATCCTGCGAGCTCTGAACATTTCCTTGCCAGTTCAGACAGGAACCAAGACTAAGATGCCAGGGAGAACCTAAAGTTGAGATGGCGGACTAGACTCGCTTCTCGAGCCTTGATCCCTTTTGTAAATCCGGGACAATTTTCCTTATACGCTGGCTGTGTCCGCCAGGTCCACCGACAGTCTTGGACCAAGCGTGGGGGACAATTGCCTATTTCAGACACACGACCTTAGACATCTTGAGCTATTTTTAATCCACCATACAGGGCAAGTTACTCCATATACTAACACTATCAGAGCTTTCATAGGGCAAACTCAGGCGTGGACTGACGCAGTAACCCATAGTGAAAGCGATGATCATAAGATGTGTATGACCTCCGCTGCCCGCCGGAGGAATTCTCACCACTCTTGTTGTGCTGGCTTTGAAAGTGAAGGTGAGGCTCGGCGGTCCGGCTCCTTGATACTCTTCTCGGTGAGTTGACCATCAGCCACGCCGTACACGGATGAGACGAAGAGGAAGATGTTGTCTGCCCCCCACCCGATGTCCCATGCATATCCTCAATGCTTTGCCTTCAGTAACGCAAAATATAAAAGTTCAGGTTAACCCCCGAATGCCCCCACATGGAAGAAAAAGCAACGCCAAGTCACGTTACGGCTCGTTGAGCTACCAAAAGAGCCCTGTACTCACTTACCTGATGGCTTGGCTTAGGCACAAGATGGAAGGCTTTGTTCCAATACCTCAGGCTTGGTATGTCTTAGTATGCTTGGTTTGAGAAACTTACCTCGGACAATGAGAACATCCAGATTAATACAAAGCTCATAATAACACTCCATTCCAAGCCTCTGGAGTCACTCGGGAATCAATGTCTTCTAGCTTTCGACCAAGGCATGATGAGAGCCGACCTTGATTGTGACGCAGATAAAGCCGCATCTGGCCCTTGAATTACGGATGCACATTACGACTCTACCCTTGGAGTTGTTCCTTCAGCTCCATCCACTCACATGCAAGTTCACTCTGTCAGCATCAATTTTTCCATTGGTTCAGTTATGGACTGATCAAAATGACTAAGACCCAAAGATAATGACGGCTCCGGGTGAGTATTTCAGTCCGCGAGAGCGTTGCTAAAAGCTGGACGTGGGAACCGATATATTTATTTGTTCCTCACCATAGCTTGGAGCAATTTGCACAGTGCAGGTGCCATTGAATTCCAATGTAAGATAGACTAACAAGTATATGGAGAACATCCTCAATATATGGTATGAAGTGTACAGTGTATCCGTGCCGTGCAAGACGCGAAATCCACCATTTAGGCCTTGGACGCCACAGAAGCCTGGCTGTTAGTCCTGAGATCACGCTGCATCTGCTTGGCCAGCTTGACATCAAAGCCATTCTCGAAGACCTTCCTGACCTCCTCAAGTGGAAGTCCCTTTACCTCGGGGTAAAAGAAGATGACAAATATCCAGCCAAAACAGCAGATACCTGCGTAGAAGCCGAAAGCGCCACTGGGTGTCATGCTCTTCATCATGGAGAGGAAAGTAGACGCGATGATGAGGTTGCAGCTCCAGCATGTAACTGTGTTCATCATCGTGCCAAGCGCGCGGACCTCCAAAGGTAGAAGCTCTGTTCCAACCCAGCCGATCGTGGCGACACCACTAGCGAAAAAGGCGACGTAGAAGATGATGGTGACAAGCACAACGATACCAGCCCAGTTGACAGAATCGGCCTGGAGGACAAGGTCTTTGGAGATGGGAATCCAGTGGAATGCGACGGCGGCGATGACCATACTCACAGCCTGGAAAGATGTCAATATCGTGGTTTTGCCGAAAACTTAAGAATTTCTTACCATGCCCAGCACAGTGACTAGCAGGATGATGCGGCGCCCGACCTTGTCTATAACAACCAAGTTGACGAATGTGAAGAGGAAGTTGGTAGCACCAACAACGATCGCAACGGCGGTGGGCTTGTTGAAACCGACGAGGGAGAATAGGGTCGCAGAGTAGTACATGAGAGTGTTGAAACCACCGAGCTGAGAGACTGTGATATTGTCAGTAACAAAAGTTCAGACCCGCAGGCATCCTCGAAAACTTACTGGCCATGACGGTACAAGCAGAAATCAGCGCGCGAAGGTTGGAGGGCACAGAGTGAAGCTGCTTAAACTGCCACCAGAGAGACTTGTTGGCCACAGCCGAAGACTCGACCTCAACAGTCCACACAAGACGTTCAAGCTTAGACTTGAGCTGCTCCTCAGTAGCAGCGGGGTAGACTCGTCGCAGACACCTTTCAGCTTCGTCTCTCTTTCTATGCGCAATAAGCTGTCGAGGCGATTCAGGGCATCCAGGGAGCAGAGCGGCGAGGATGATGGGAGGAACGCCGCCGATGGCGATCATGTATCTCCAGCCGTGAGGGACATCGGTGAAAGCGGCTCCAAGACCGTAGGAAACCAACTGACCCAGTGTTACGCTGAGGTTGTCGAAGGCAATCATGCGACCGCGGTACTTGGCTGGGGCGAGTTCTCCAATGTAGAGAGGCTAAACACATTAGTTCAAGACGACTGCCAGAAGAGGTAGGTTCATACAATGATCATCGCCGCTGAGCCCACGCCGAATCCCACGATAAGACGTCCAGCGGTCATGGCAGCAAGATTGAATGCAGCAGCCTGGACAACAGACCCGACAAGGAAGAGAAAGCAACCGATATAGATTCCAAGCTTCCGACCGTATTTATCAGCTGGAAGGCCAGCGATCAGAGCACCAATGAGAGCGCCGCCAGAGGTGATGGAAGTGATGAGCTCTTGTTCATGGGAATCGAGATTGTGGCCGAGATCGTCGCCAAGGGTGACCAGGACAGCCGAGATAACACCAGTGTCATAACCTGGCAGTTCCTGTTAGTGGAGTTCAGAGGTGAAGGATGTAGGTCACGAACCAAACAAGAAACCGCCCATGGCGACGGTAAATGTGATGAGCCAAACTGATTTGGATGGTTTGGTATCTTCGATGGAGTCGTCAAACTCGACAACGGTGCCGTGGGACTTTTCGACGTGTTCGATATTGGTGGACGTCGACTTTTCCATGCCACGGCCCTCAATTGAGGACTTGTGATCATCGTGGGCAGACATGTTGCCAAACGTCAAGATAGAAGACAAGAAACAGAGATGGATGTTGTGATGCAGATGAGCTTGTTGAGAGGAAAACCCCAATGCACAACCGGAGCGTAGCGCCATATATATACTCTCATCAGGCTAACGACTCATGCGATAATTACATGTTGTCTCATTGGCCTAATCCTCTCTCAAGACCGCGAGAAACCGTGTTTTCTGGGGGGAGGGGGGGATCACCTCAAAAGCTGGGGTACTATCGGGGAAGCGGTTAGGATCTGGGAATTCAGTCTTCCCCAGATAATGACCCCATTCCTCCGTATTGACTGCCGTCGGCTCCATGCATGCTTTGCGACCCCGAGTCTGAGAGTGTGAGAGTCTGGGGTAAAAAAGTGGACTTCTTTTGTGCCGGAGTTAGTTTCCTTTATGAATCTGCAAGGTAAGATTTAGCGTAAGGGTGTCGGGCCCCCATGGGGGAGAATGGCCTGTTTAGTCGCTGTCCCTTGAAACTCACTATATTCACAGTTTATTGGCAATGGACAAAAACTAGATAGTGCTTCGGCTTGTGGCGTGGCCGAGACTATGTGGAGAATAAGTGGCGGGGAGTAGGTGTTGACACTCGAATTTCTTCTTGTTTTGGTGTGCTTGTTCCGAACCTTGCGGAGATGGTCTCGTTTGTCGCCGGAACAAACATCCCGGATTTGTCACGAAGCTGTTGCCGTCATTTATTAGGCTCTCTTGCTTTAGAGCGATTTGAGTTCAGTGGTACACCTTCCGGAGTACCCTATGAGGAACCATGCCATGTTCTGGAATACTTTATCTGTGTTTTCGCTCTCCTCGGATGGCCTTGTGATTACATGGCTTAATTTGAAGATCGTACGTATTAACAATCACTCTCGAAACCCCCAAAACTAGTAGGGCTATTAGAACCTCATATAAAGAGGTTGGCGTGTGTAGAGTGCAGACTCAAAATTATGCTACTTTACAGCTATCATCATGGCCTGGCTAAAGCCATCCCCACGTCTTCTTTAGACTTTCTTGGCTACAAAGAATTAGCTTTCAGATTGTAAGTAAATATATCGGTTAAATCATACATGTAAGAAGTTGGCCATCCAAACCGATCGGTCGCATTAGTTAGAACACGAAGGAGGGTATCTTGTTCAGCGCGCTTGTCGAAAAGATCTCCGACCAAGGCTATGGCCATGCAAGCAGTCCTCAATATACATGAGCATGATCACCAAAGCTTCGGGACTATAACATAAACGCACAGGTATGTGGGACTGGCTTCGCCCATGCCTTGGGCGATTGCGCAGACTATCTTGGTATCGTTCTTCATTTCGAGCTACTCGACATTAGACAAAGGTCTCTCGGTAGCCCCGTGCTTTTGTACCTCTATTCGCTTCATTGTGCTGTTCTTTGCAAGTCCAATCTTGGGAAGACGCGGATCGTGAGAAATAAGAAGCATCCTGCCAAGATGGTAGTATTGCAAGCCAGCAGCCACTGGCTCACTATACAGCCATATGTCTGGAAGTACTTGTTCCTCGGAGTGATGACATGTATATATAGGATCGAAGGAATCTGGTTTTGATTTAGACCAGATAGTAGTATCTTTCAGCAGCGCAGCATAGTGCCCGGTATCTTTATTGTCTGAGAAGCAGTATCGGATGATGTCTGCCAGGTGAAGAAGCATTAGGTTCGCCCAGTCTTTGTCATCGACGGGAGCACCTTTTTTGTCTGCGCGCAGGGAATCTAAGTTTGATGGGAAAGGTGCCTGAGTGACAACTGCCAAGTAGGCTTCCAGTCGCAGGTTCGCCCACCAGGCAGCTTCGGGGAGGTCCTCTTGTTTAAAGGGTTCTATCGGTTCGTCCGTCATGTTCGCTTGACCGAGGGAGGGAGGAGAGGCCGAGCATTTAGCTGCGCGTACCGAGCAATCAGTGAAAAAGGTTCTGCCTTAGCAAAGTCACCACCGAGGTGCTTGGGGACGACAGAAAATAAAAGACATTGATGGAAAAGACACTGACCTTCCATGCTATGCGCAAATCGCGATAACAGGTTCGCAACAGAATGAGTCTTGTGGATAGTAGAGTCAATATATGAACTAATGCTAGGCAAGCATTGAGTGTAATCAGAAGACGGCTCAGCTGCTGAATCCAGGCAAGTTGTATTGGTCTCCCCCTTGCCAAAGTGTCTCGAGGCGATCGTCAAGATAGACTCTAGAAGTCGAGGATGTTGCAACACTCGGGTTGATAACCAACTGGAGAATGCCCGATCTGGATCCCCAAGATCGAAAGCATCGCTGAAACCGGAAAAGAAGTGACGAACCAACTCTGCCTCGTCTCGCTTGAGCACGCAAGTGGGTAGACGTAGCTGGTATTTATCACCGTATGAAGAATAGGTACCCTGTGTTGTATATCCGGTGTTATGCAGATTACTATCGATCTGCTCGGTCGCAATGGTTGTGTATTCCTGAAACACCAGCTCAGGCAATTGGTCAGAATGTTGATGAAATGGCAAAGTGGCGTGGTCTAGATTACTAGACGCTTGGGGTTGACTATCTGTATGCGAGTAAGTCGAGCTGGTCAGACGTTGTCCCACACCGTCGACATCATGTTGACCATCGATACATGGTGAGGTATGTTCTGCGTCTTGTCTTTCTAGGAAGCAAAAGGGCTGGCCTTCCGAAGAGCTGGGGTAGGCTCCGGGGTCTGAAAATGAGTTGAATGATCGAACGATGTCTAACGTCTGATCCACAAACTCGATCTTTTGCTTCAAGAGCTTGCACCACCGTTGACCAGATGGAAAGTCTAATCCTTTTCCACGTGTTCTTGTGCTTTCTTAGTACGTCGGTTGCGTTGTAGGACATCACCATTGCTTACGTCGAGCCAATACTGCTGTGGCGAAATCGACATTGGAGACTTCTGTCGCAATGGAGGTTTCTCTTGACGCACTGAGCACACGGCCTTTCATCGTCGCCTTTAATGTGGAGATCTAATCAGCATATTGCTGCTGTAGATGGATTGAAAGACAATAGGTTACATTTCAGATGTCTAACAGGACAGACCTAATTTTAGCCATAATCAAGTTACCTGTATGACGTAGCTCACTTTAAACGGCAATTCTGGCACGAATTAGTCAGACAGCGATAAACAATAAGCATGGGTCTTGGCTTACCTTACAACCCGAGATTCTTTGCCCGGTCCGTCCCATATCGTGTCATGAAGTGTGGGCGTCTGGGAAAGCGAAAAGCAAAATGGAATTAGGGGGTACGGGGAACAAGCTGGGATGGATCAGGAGACTTATACCTGTATTTGGCTCCGTAGGAAGGTAAATCCGGGCCCAAGTGGATCAGAAACAAGTGTTACTAGAATGACGAAATCCAGATTTGGGATGCTTTTTCCGAGGCTAGTTCCCAGGCCTCAGGCTTAGCTCCGGGACAAGTACACCGGATTGAGCCATCCTCTGCGGGGAGAATGCGGGGAGTCTTTTAACTTACTAAGGGACAGCATTATGGGGATATATTCTTTACCTACCCTGGTTCTCGTAAGCCCGCCCCTGTGGACATTTGAGCAACAAATTATATAATAGCAATTAGTGGCCTTTTCTTGCTGTAATAAATATACGTCAGTTGTATTTGCTCTGATATCCAAGTTTTAATGCGTAATGCATCATGAGTGCCAGGTCAGGCAATTTCCAGGGCGGAAAACACGCCATTCGATCCTTTGTCCCCCGTAAAATTTCTTAATTACCTAATCATAGTAGCCACTGCTTTATTTGTCCCCTCCCAGTCATTCTCCACACTCCAACGTAGTTTTCTCTCGGCTCTTCATCTCATAATGGCGGATTCCCCTATTCACGATGCGGTTATGCCGCCGTCTCTATCCCTTGCAGATAACACGCCAGAATCCAGATCAAGCGAGGATATGGAGTAAGCCTTTTCGCCAGGACTGAATATTGGCCCCGAATTGACATATAGCAAGGCTGTCTTCTCCAGCATCTTGCCTATCCAACTATTTTGTTGGCAGCCCACGTGGATTTACCTCCCCATTAAAAAGTCGACGGGAAGCTTTTCTCTTGATCAATTACCTCCAAGATCTTTCACCAAGAGTGAGCAATCTTCATCCATATACTATAATGTCTCTGACGTCCCATTTCCAGATTGATATCTGTGATCCTTCAAAGCGCTTCAGTCGCGAAGTGCCAAAGAGGGCTCGCCAACTGCCCCTCCTAGCATACTCCATCCTGGCTTTCTCATCACGCCATCAAGTAATGATTACCGGTATTAACGATGAAAGTAGCGAAGAGTATCATAGCTATGCTCTACGCATTTTGATCCCCATTCTTGACGACCCGATGTCATCTTTGGATGAAAATCTTTTAGCGGCGGCGGTCCTACTACGGCTATACGAGGAGATGTGTGGTAAGCCAGTCTAAGCAGAGTCGCCACTATAGTTTGGGCGTTAACGCCTTAGAAGATGTCGACACTGGAACTCATCTCGTTGGATGCGCACGACTCTGGAATAGCATCCCTGACTTCATAGCCCAAGGCGGTCTAAGCGAAGCGGCCAGCTGGATAATGCTTCGACAGAATCTGCACATCTCTCTCATTAAAGGCGAGCCCATGCAAGTAGATCTGAACAAATACAGACGTTCCAGATCATTTGTAGACACGACTGACGAGGACTTTGCCAATCGGATTATTCTTCTTTGCTGTCAGGTATTAGCGACTTGTTTTAGCCCAGGCGCACAACCCGACTACGAGACGTGGGCGCATCTTGGTAAGGAGGTTGCGAGATGGCATGATTCTATACCGGCGCATTATTATCCTTATCATTCTGATGTGAAGAGTGCTTCTATTGGGGCCAAGTCGGCTTTTCCTATAGTATGGATGATGAATCCTGCTCAAGGTCAGTGCGTCGCATACTTTTTGACTGAGCAAAATGACTTATGCTTTTGCAGTAATGGGATATCAACACTATTGTCTGGCTCGCATTCTGCTGCACATCTCTGAGCCCAGACTATGGGTTTCTAGTTTAAGAACTATCGAGCATCGGGTAGTCGCAGATGTATGTCACTTATCTTCATTTAAGCCTGATTGCTAAACTTGAGATGCTAGAAAGCGGCCTTAAACGACCTTCATATCGCTATCGGTCTCGGCATCCACAACCCTTCTGTAGTTGGTGCTGGGTTCACCGTACATCATATACTTTTCACTTGTGAGTTCTGAATAAGTTCTATTTACTCAACAAGATCGCTAACGGTCTAGGCGGTTGTTTATTAACTAATCCTGTAGAACAGCAGGAGGTGCTTAACTTTCTAGATAGCTTTGGTAAGAGTGTTGGATGGCCAATACATCGGTTAAGAGATAAACTAAATGCAACATGGAATTAAGGTAAATTAATAGAAAAGAAATGTAACTTTAATATGACTTGTTTTGAGCGTCGGTTGTAAATTAAGTAATGTACCTAGGTGACTAGAACAATGATGTCCTCTGAGTGAAGTCATTGTCAGAATGTCAATTGAGGGCCTGACTTTTGAGCTTCTCTACTTACTCCAGACCTGTAAAGTGAGAGACACTATGGATTTAGCCCGGCAATTAGTCAGCCAGCTTAGCTGTCAACCCCACAACATTGAACCTCGTTCTCTCATTCTTTCTTGTCACTTTCCATCTTAAATACGCCTTATCGCCCTACGTACTCTACACGTGAAACGTGACGTTTGATAATAGCATCTAGTTTCATTTGAGACCATGTCCAGGTTTATCCACTTCTCACATCCCGACCAGGGTCGAGACTGTCAGCATCAAGGAGTAATCCCAGAGGATGCTATCCGCCGCGACAACACGAGTCAAAAGCGAGAGCGAGCACGCGACCCTAATACGAACATCAATCTTGGTATTTCCGATGTGCAATTGACGGATGCTACTGCTTTTGGGACTGGCACTGTTGCTTCGTCTCAACTTACTTGGCTCGGCGGCATGAGCGGCAATTCTTTTTCTCGGGTTTCTCCCAGTCTCCTCGACCCGTTCGACACCCTGTGCGAGAGTCCCGAACGACTACGACAGCTTCTGAGACAGCGTAGGGCCCGAGATCCTCATACTAAGCTTAACCGCTAATCATATCCCATAGCATTATCCAAGGCTGCTGGGGAACCGCTGTTTCGAATCGATCAACAAACACATTGTGTTGTGTTCCAAGGCTTAGGCAATGAGGATGGCCTGGCGCCATTGTTGACCCACAAGTCTTTGTTCCATGCTCTATCTCTTCTCCTCGCTTTAGCAGCCAACGACTACCAGCCAAACTACGAGACGATGCACCACCGCAGCCAGGTTCTTCAGTCTCTCAATCGAGACTTATCCCGTTTTGGCGGTGATTCGTCATTTCTCCATACCATCACAGCCATTCTCATATTGATTAGCTATGAATACCGAGTCCGAGATACTTATCCACGTCCTGCCAGCGCCGCTACACATATCCATGGCCTTCAAACTATAATCTCCCAACGTAACATTTTGACCAGCCGATATAGTGTCGCACATGTTACTCAGATTCAGCGAGCCTTGTTCTGGCAGGACATAATATGCTCCCTTGCAACTGGTGCACCTCGGCTCTTGCAGGTCGACGATCATGGGATCTTTACTCGCTTGCGGGAGGGCCAGATGTACCGTAGCTACTTTTTCTTGCCGCAAGGGCTTAGGATGTATACCTATAGGTGGCCTGCACCAGCATCTGCTGTGTTTGAAGACCTCAACGCATTATGCTGCCTCGTGGACAGAATACGCAGACGAGGAAGAACATCTATCCACTTAGTCAATGACGACATGGATACTGCAGTCCCTTCGATACTGTTGATGGAGGATTTAGATGACGAGGGCTACCCGTTATGCAATAGCCAGGCCAACTTGCAGATTCGACTTGTGGATCTTCTCAGTAGAACAAGGAGAGATGGTTCTCAGAGCCAGGAAGTTCTAATTTACAGAGCGTGCCTATATGCGGCATATCTTTGTACATATAGACTTTCTGTAGGTCTCTGGGAAGGGTACTTTGCGCCCGAGAAATGTGTCGCCGAGATACTTAATTGCATGACAGATTTCACAAGACAAATGTCGCCGTGGAAGCTTGCGCCGGACGTCTCATTTTGGTTGCTGTATATAGCTGGTGGCCTTACAAAAAACCAGCTCCATAAGAACCAAGCGGCTGCGTTGGTACAACGTTATCGATGCTTCTACTCAACTGGTTATGACCAGGACTGGGACCTAGTAGAGATGAGATTGAAGAAGTTTATATGGTGCGAACACATCATGGGGCAAACAATGTATATGTTCTGGCAAATATGCCAAACTGCTTGCTATTAGAGCTAGGAGACAAGGATACGACAATGTCACAGAAGGTAGAGAGATATATGATAATATACTTGACTTAGGAATCAAGGTTAAATGTTCTACTACGTAGACTCAATATAGATCCTTTCAAAGCTTTCTAACTCAGCAATAAGGTAAAGCTGGATTAGAGCAAGAACCAGGGATAAAACCTTGCTTGGTTGTTTCAATATCAGCCTCGTAGATCATCGCATCGCCGGCGAGAATGCGATCACTAATATGCACAAGGCCCTACAATCGTTAGTCCCCAATCATCCAAAGCCTAGTCTTCTCTCTCCCAGACACTCACATTAGTTACAGGGATGTTGGCTTCGACGATGGTCGCCACGTTGTTGAGCACAAGATCTCCGCCTTTGATCTCAGCTGATGCCCAGAGGTATGACCCTAATTGAATTCGAGTTTTCTCCTCGGTGAAATTGCTCGTGTATAGGCGCGAGTTGGGAATGTAGTGATGTTGAAGCATTTGTCCAGACCACCAACGTCCCTTGGGTGTGCTGGCAAAAGTCTTATAGTATTCACCTGTATTATTGAACGCTTCATTTGAAGGCGCGATGAATGTGTATTGCCAGTCCGCGCTTGTACTGAACGCTTGGGCGAAACCTATATCAATTAGCTTTACATACATTGGCGACGGCTGGGAAGTTGAGGTCACCAACCTGGTGTCTCTTCAACAAGTTTCGAAAGTTCGGACAAATCATCCCGGGACTTGATAAAGTCAAGCAATGTAGTTTCTCCAGACTTGGCGGGAGGCTGGTAAATCCCCTCTGGGATCGGAGCGTATGACAGTGCTTGTCTATCGAAGACTTTGGCATCACATGATGCAACAGCAGCGTACAAGACAAGCAACGGTTGAAACTTCATGTTGAGTAATCCAAAGTCTATTTCTGTGAGACGCTGAGAAATTTTGATCTTAACGACTAAGCGATTTTGTAGAAGAGTAGATAGAACTTTGATGATATAGAAGGCTGCCTGGATGATATCAAACTGTTTCCCCAGAGATCAAAGGCTGGTTGTTACTAAGCTTCTCATCAATTAAGGACCAACAGCCGGGAAACATGTCGTAAGCCCGAAAGATGGCCCGCCACTCGCCACTAAGTTCATTATGGTTTGGAAATTGCGGGGTGACTCCCGGAGGTCGGGGGAGGCGCAAGTGCGGAGTATGGGGTATTGGTCCGGTAATTGGTCCGAACGACCGTTCACCAAGTCCATCTCTCTGAAATTGCACATTTTGTATCGGGCGGCTTGGAAGAAATAACGGAGATGTCGCATTGTATCACAGTTCGTCAACATCGAATTGATTTGGCCATGAATACTTGAGGCCGGAAGAAGATTACGCTTCAAAGATTTCCACGCTGCATCAACTTTCCCTGACACCTCAATTCGTTGATTACAATGAGATCTATTTTCTACATTTTGCTATCGGCAAGGGTGGCATTGGCGACCAAGCTCTTGGCCCAAAAGCCACAGATGGGTGAGTGTTCTCGACAATATGCCACAGCAAGTACTGTGCTGACTTGAGAAAGGCTGGAACTCATGGAATAGCTTCAAACTCAACGTCAGCGACGAGCTAGTTAGGTCGACCGCCAATGCCCTCGTCGATACTGGTCTTGCTAAGGTTGGGTATGACCACGTGTTGATTGACGACGGATGGCAAGACAGTGAGCGTGATTCAGACGGCAAGCTCGCAGCAAACCACACCAGGTTTCCTGGCGGTATCTCTGCCACGGCCTCTTACGTTCACACCAAGGGACTCAAAGTGGGAATCTATAGTGATGCCGGCATCTTCACGTGCGGAAAGTATCCTGGCAGTTATGGCTATGAGGAAATAGACGCACAAACCTTTGCTGATTGGGGCGTCGACTACCTCAAGTACGATAACTGTGGTGGCTTCCAGAGCAACACTCTCTCCGTGCAGGGACGATTTCTCAAGATGTCGTACGCGCTGGCCGCCTCGGGTCGTCAGATCTTTTATTCGCTTTGCGAGTGGGGGAACCAGTTTCCGTGGCTCTGGGCCGACCAGATTGGCGAGTCTTACCGAATGTCTGGCGACATCTACTCGTCTTTCGCTAAAGACAGAGCAAGTATATGCAAAACGGCCTATTGCATGAACCAGGGCTATGCTGGCGTCAGCGTGTTGACCATGATACGCAAGATGAGAGAAATCAGCCCATTCTCGAAACCAGGCTCTTGGGGTAAGTCTATTCGTCCGTGACACTATTGTTTAAATGATCTTGATGCTGATTTCCGATCTAGCTGACATGGATATGTTGGAGATTGGGACCTGGACTATGACGGAGCTGGAAGAGCAAACCCACTTCTCCTTCTGGGCCGCCCTCAAGTCTCCTCTCATCATCGGCGCAGATCTCAAGAACATCAGCGATACCTCGCTCGCCATATACAAGAATAAGGAAGTCATTGCCTTGAACCAGGATGACGCGGGCCAGCCTGCCGTCTATCTGCCAAAGCTCTCTGAAGAAGGCAGTTATCAGGTTTGGGCGGGGCCACTAAGTTCTGGGAAGAGGCGACATGTAATCTTGGCCCAGAACTATGGTAGCGAGGACGTGGACGTCGAGATCTCCTTGAGAGACATCCCTGGTCTTTCTGTGGAGCAACAATTGAAGATCAGGGACGTCTGGGCAGGAAAAGCCATTGCTGCATCTGGTGGCAAGGTTAGCTTGAACGGCATCAAGCCGACGCAAACAAAGGTCCTCGTCATTTCAAAGTAGGAAGAGCTTCCATAGCAGTATTAAGACTAGGCAGTGCAGAGTTAACACGCATCTTTTCCACGATTAATAGTTAAGTTTCTTTACTTCTTACATGTCGCTTTATATGGCTTCCAGCAAATAAAACCCTCTTCTATACGGTGTCGACCCTGGCGATATGTGATTTCCCACCAGCATTATTCGCATTACTGCCAGCTCCATCAACTGTAGAAGTCAGGCCAAGCCTTCAATCTTTGCGTCATTTATTCCTCGCCAAAAGTCTACGGTCTGGGATAAGTAGGCCGACTATGAACCTTAACCCAACAGTTTTTGTTACAACGAAATGGTTCCTTGAGGGCTTGAACCTGAGTGTTGAGTCGAAAATCAGTAGCACCCGAACTATATTTGTAGTATTAGACCAAGTTCCAATGCATTTCGACTGCGACCGTAGCCATAAGGTCACTGAGCTACATTCACGAAGTTGTGCGGAAGAGGACATTGCACAGTCTGAAGCTTACTATAATACAACAATCTATTCTCCGGGGCTATTGTAACAGTCTAGCTACTTCTTGGATGTAGCCCAGAGCAGATCTCCGAAGCCAGGCATGTCACCTCCAGTCACCACCTCTCCACCTGCAGCATCGGATGATTCCTTGGCCTTCGCAGTCCACTGATTGTTCAATCCCTTGGCTTCCGATGTATAGTAGAGGAGATCCCACACTGCCGGTGCTTTCTTTGTTACACCTGAAGCTTCATAAACAATGCCCCTGTTGAATTCCGATATTTCATCCCAGGGACCGTCGACCAAAACTGATTCGCACCGGCGCCATTTCGAATCGTAGGGTACTGTTCCGTTCAGGTTGTATTTGGCTGCGTATTCTGCACCTTTGAGAAGTAAGTTGTTCCCATACCCGAATAAGTCATACCCTTGAGTCTTGGAAGTTCTCGCGGCAAGGGCAAGCCAACCGAGACCAGACATGACATGGCTCTGGTCTCGGCCGGACTCAGAGTTCTGTCCTGTCTTGGAATTGATGGTCGCATCGATACCGGCGCACCAGTCGTTCTTCCAAGACCATATGGCATAGTTGTATGCTGAGACATCCTCGAGATATACAGCATAGTCCATCAAAGCTTTGATCGAGGCGATGCCGTAGTTGGCCTGGCCAATGATCAAGCTCTGTCGAAGAAACAACCAATAGAGCTGGATACTGAACCCTTGGCCTCCCTGCCACTTTGCCCCTACCTCTGTCCAACCGCCCTCCCATCGCATGATCTCAGCAGCATTCGCAAACAGGGTCCCTTCAATGCCGATGAGCAGTGAGCGGTCGGTTCCAATGATGTTGGTCAAATTTGTACCCCAACTATCCAAAATGGTAGTAGAGCGATTCCAATGGGCTTGATCCTTGGTGATATACCCTGCAACATCGTAATTAGCTATGAACTATCGCATAGACGTAAAGAGAAGAGAGATGACGTACACATAATGGCATTCTGGTAAGCGGCACGGGCGTCATTGGCAAACGAGGTGTAGTTGCTAATGGATCCGCGGGAAATCACAGCATATGGCCCCTTCATCGTGTAGGAGGATTGCGAAAAACTGCTGTTGGCAAACTGTTCGTAACCTGATTTCCATGGGTCAAGTCCTTTAAGAACGCCGTTTCTCATGACTTCGAGATCGTTGTGAGAATGCCAGAGGCCCGGATGGTTGAAGTCAGATGGCTTCCGCTTCATGCCCTCGGTCCAAGGAACATAGGGAATCGCAGCTGCACAAAGGGTCAATAATGATCAATTTCAATGTTGGCATTCTGCTTGGTGGAATTACCATTGAGGCTTGGGACATCCTGTACAAGACCAGCCACTGGCGATATGAGTAAGAGTGAGAACTAAGTGTTGGTCAGCCAATTGATGAGCGTAATACAGGGACGCAGCATACAGCAAGCAGTCTCATTTTGACTAGTTCTCGTTGATTGCAATAAGGTGGAGGGTTATGAAAATGCTATGCTCGACTAGTTATTAAACGTGACTTATTATCGCAGAGGTCAACAGCAGTTTGATCAAATCAACATGCAGGTACACTGTTATAAACAATACCCAGTGACACTATTGGTGTCCTAGGATTGCTGGCTAATGAGGCTTAGTGGCATATCGCGGGGGATCTCTCGGGCCAGCTCCGAATTATTAGGTTTAAGTTTATGAAAGCCCTGCCAATATCTCGGCATGAAAGCACCGAAATATCAATTCCATGCAGATAATTAATTGCGCATGGATTTGCGGGGGGAATCTGGGGAATCCGGGGAATGATCGCCGGGCCAGAGAGTGAAGGGCAATCTCTTGCAACTGCTTCATTATCAGCAGTCACAAGGACACTCCTAGCGTTAAGACATCAATCACACGTGGCACATAAGCGGAGTATTAATCGGTCGACGGCCCGCGACTAATTAAATGAGGGGAGTTGACTTGCCCCGTAGTACTCCGCACATTCTGCCCTGTTCCTCGGCTTGAGGTCTCGGGTTCTCGGCTGTTTTGGTGCCGAGGGGTGACATGGAGTATGACATGGACGGCGACGAGCAACTGTTTCTCCGTGGATAGAAATGGCGACAGCTAGTCTGGTTCCTGGGTGCTTAGTCAATTCACCTAAATCGGGATCTCTGTATCAGAACCTAAGCCGGTTTCTCCTATAGATAATTTATAAAGCTGTCGCAGACGGGCCAATGACGCCTTTATGCTTACGTCCTTGTTAATCAGAAACACAGATACGTAGTCGATATAACAGCTACCGTTATAATTTAGTACCTACTATCAGATACTATGGCACAATTAAACCACAAAATCTCACAGGGTGACCTTGTCGATTACGAGGATCGCGAGCGGTGGTCACTGGTCTACGACATTCCACTCAAAACTACGACGTTGCGAGGTTTATGGCGATCATTTCAGTTATGGGCGTGCTATCGGAAAAGATCATGGGTGCAGTCTTTACATATCGTTTTCCCCTCTTTTGGCTCATGGTACGTGGCATCCGGTCTCTGCCAAATCCGGACATCCCTTCGTGCAAAGGGTTTCGTCTCTATGCGATGTATCGGAGCGTTTAATGCTCTCAGCCCAGTGGTAGAGGCACTATAAAACAATTGCATGTTCGCAGGCAGTCGAAGCCAAAATAACAACCATCAGCACTATACCCAACATGGTAGCTAAAGGAATCGTTTGCGTTGTTGCACTAGCCGTCTCCGTCACTGGATTCGTCCATCCTGGCCTCTTGCACACGTCTAAGGACTTGGAAAGAGCCAAGGGTCACGTAACCAAGGGTGATGAGCCATGGACGACAGACTGGCAACTCTTGCTCAACAATAGTCATGCATCGCCAACATACGAGCCAGATCCCCAAGCTACTGTTTACCGTGGCTCAGACGGAACCCATGCGGAGAATTATCGCCGCCTCTTCAATGACGCACATGCGGCATATCAGCTTGCTATCCGGTGGCATATCCAGGGAGACGACCAATACGCCAACGCGTGTGTTACCATTCTCAATGCTTGGTCATCTACCATGAAAGCTATTGGGGGTAGTAGTGACCGCTACCTCGCTGCTGGCATTTACGGCTATCAGTTAGCTAATGCAGCAGAGCTTCTGCGCTCATATAGCGGGTGGAGTACGTCAGACCAACACCAGATGAAGACGTTCCTCCAAGATGTATTCTTCTCGGCGAGCTACACCTTCTTGACTACCCACAATGGACAGGATGAATACCATTATGTCAGTTCTCTCTCTTTGCTTATGAACGGTTATGTATTGCACATCGATGGCTAATGAGTGATGCTGCAGTACGCAAATTGGGATTTATGCAATATTGCTAATATCATGGCAATCGGCATCTTTACAGACAACCAAACGATGTACGATTGGGGGAAGAACTACTTCTTCAACGGCGACGGACGCGGAGCCATCAACAACTTCATATACAAGAATTATACCGAGCCTGGTTCCGGCAAAATTCTGTCCCAAGGCCAAGAGGCGGGGAGAGACCAAGGCCACGCTACTCTGGACATTGCCTTACTTGGGGTTGTCATGCAGCAAGGCTATAACCAGGGAGATGACCTGTTCTCAGCATTGGGAAGTGCTGCGCTTCATGCGTGAGTGAACCATCAGAACCGATGCTGTCCCAAACCTGATAAGGCCTGTTACTAATCCGAAGCAAGATCTGAGTATGTTTCAAAGTACAACGTTGGGTACGATGTCCCATATACGTGGTACAATAGTTATGAGGGCAATCAGACTGTTATCTCAGAGAGCTCAAGATACACTCACCGTCCAGGGTTTGAGCTTGTCTACGCCCATTATAACGACATTAAACACGCTAATGCTTCGTGGACCGGAATTTATCGGGATCAAACCAATGCAAATATTACCGCCGGCGTGGAAGGCGGAGGCGGCGACTATGGCCCTAACAGTGGAGGCTTTGATCATCTAGGATATGGGACCCTCCTCTACCGCCTATCTGCTTGAAGTTTTGTATTATTAGTTTCTGCAGAATGTATCTCAAGAGCGAGGAGATTGAGCATCTGTCTAGTGATAGTATCCTGAGGAATTGAGTATGTGTTGATTTCGCTGCATTATGAAAGTATGTAACTGCAATAGTCCAATTAGTTTTATGCATGATTGGACGTAGCTATGGATGACGCTTAACTTAAGAGGTCGAAGTCTTTGCATAATCGAATTGACTTATTATCTTTTGACCATAAGCATGCGCTATCGTCTCCAACTTGTGTAGGGTTGCTGTTGAGTACGCACAGTCAACTACCAGCGGTTCTAGCTCACTGGTTTGAGCATCGTTCCGGACACCAACTAAATAGATTTAACCTGAATTAACCGCACAGAATAAGTATAAACGGTTTCAAAGCCAATAACAATGCACTTATATTCTCCAGCTGACAAGTACAAAATGACAACACTATGTGTACCATGGATGACCCTCTTATCGTTGTATGCTCCCAAGACCATCATAACATTTCTTGCTGCCAGCTCGCATATTATTGCATCAGAAGTCGTATCGGAAGTCAGGATTCTCCTTGTCCGTCAAATCGGCGAAAGCATTCAAATGCCCCAACTGCTCGCCTTCGGAAGGCTTGTGACCGTCATCACCCGTCTGAGACGTGTCCAGAGACGCCTTTGTCTTCTTAGCATTTCGACGAACTAACAAGAGTCGAAGGATAACAAGGAAAATGTTGAAGAGGACATAGAGACAGAAATGCGCTGTAAAGCCCTTCTCATAACGAGGAGAATCGGACTTCTGGAAGATCTTGAGAATGTCAGTACATATCTTGAGAATACATACATGCGGGTGTTAGCATACCTGTGGGGCGGTCATGTTACCAGCAGCCCAAGCCACGAAGGTGATGGCTAACGTGGTCGACTTCTTGGTCTGACCGGCAATGTTGCGAGAGATGAGGGAAAAGATCAGATTTCCCTCTGCGAGATAGAATTGTGTGCAGTAGAAGGCAATGAGTAGACCAACACGATTCGAAGATGTTGGTGGAATGCTGTAAATAATGGCAGTTCCAATGATTGGAGGGCTGATAGATATGTTAGTTGGACCTACTTACAGGCTTTTTTGGTAACTCACATTGTCCATGCGTGCATCACCCAAGCGGTCTGCCCCGTGGCTGTCGCGAGCGTGGCACTTCCGATCATGACTATGATCGTCACAGCACCTTGAGCGATGTTGAGAAGCTGGGTCTGAAGATAGGTAAATCCGAAGGAGGAGATGATGAGATTCGAGAAGACACCCAGCCCGCCAATGATCAGAGTGGAGGTGAGTTGGAGCATAACGTAACACCAAACAATAGGATCAGTGACTGCTTCAACAGCCTGATACCTCTTGTAAGACTTGTTCTGGATACCAGTCTCGTTGGCTCTCACACGCTCGACCATCAGCCGCTTCTGATCTTCATTGAAGCACTTTGCTTTCATTGGAGAATCTGGCAGCCACCAGCCGATGAACAAGCCCCAGACACAGGTGAGTAGGCCAAGGACAAGAAACAGCAGTTGCCAAGGGAAGATGACACCATCCTTGTAGTGAGAGACACCCCATGCAATGATGCCACCGATCTAAAGTATTTGTGTTAGTTCGTCACTCTCTGGTGTTATATTTAGAGGATCGTTTCATACCATGAGCTGAACTCCAGTCATACAGTACCAGAGGGACGTTAAAATGCTTTGTTCTCGCTTTGTGTACCACATACTCGTCCTATCACACCATAGAATTAGATCAGAAGAGACAAAAAAAGGTTGAGGATACCCATGACTTACATGATGATGAAAGCCGGCTGAACACACGACTCGAACACACCCAAAAGAAAACGGACTACCATGAGGCTTGCAAAGTTTTTAGCAGCTGCAGAACAGGCAATCACAACCCCCCAGCAAAAGACATTGGTCGCCAAGTACTTGGCAACTGGCAGCTTTTGGAGTAGGAAGTTGGTGGGATATTCGCCGACGAGAACTCCCATATAGAGGATTGTTCCTAGCCATCTGATGGGTCAAGTGGTCAGTACGTTGGATCGACTGTCTCGCGGTATTATCTCGTCGCGTAAAGGAACGGCTGAACTTACGAGAATTGTTGTCCGTGGAGATTTGCGTCTTCCTGGATACCCATGACAGACGAAAAGCCAAGGGTGCCCTTGTCCAGAGATTGACAAAAGTAGGTTCCGAGCATACACGCCAGGATGCGCCTGTTGACAGTCCAGAACAGTTCCTTGTTTGTCTCATCGTCAATCTCGACCGGGGCATCTTGGGCGTAGTTGGCAGTCTAGAATTCAGAGATTAGTACATCAACTATGTAAGCCTTATGACATGTTTTACAGTACCTCAAGATCTGCAGTCTTCTGGCCGTAACCGGCAGTTGTTTCAGCAGGAGTGATGGAATCACTGTGCTGTACCTCGACTTCTTTGGCCATGGCGGGGCTGGGACTTCGATATAGTATTCGTGGCAAATTGATGTAGGTGATGTGTAATTATTGACGTCGAGTTTTGAGTGGTGAGCGGAAGAAATCCACGACGACGATTAAGACTTCATATAACTACAGCGGGGTGCTGCTGCAGCTCCGATACAGTGCCCCAAGTCGCGAACGAAAGTTGCTGCGGGGATGTTGGAAGCGGAGGACGGGGGATGTCTCGGAGCCACGCCCGACATCCTAACGGATGATGCCGTCTCATGGCCCGCAAGTGGTTAGTTATTGTAATTAGCCAAAACGTCATTGACGGGGCATGGGATCATAACTGGGCCTCCCCATTCTGGAGCCGCTCTTAATGACGTTGCTTTAGGACCAATTCTCAGAGTTACTTCCGCCGCAAGGATTTGTGATCTAGCACGATTCTCTGGAAAGTTTCGGCGAATGTACGGATACGCTTGATTGAGGGAGGGACAAATATCTCGTCTGAGCGTGTAGTTGAAGACAACATATCTACTGCAAGAAAATAGGACCAACACTACGTCATTCCAGGCGGCTACCTATGGTGATGAAAGAGCTTAGAAACTCTCATTATTTGTGCGGCTACTAAATGCCTTGTGTTTTGTGACAAACGTAGAGCTCCAAACCTGATACGAGCGATATTTGCGTGACAACGAGAGACATAAAACACTGTTGATTGCAGCGGCATTTTAGATGCAGAGGAAAACATTTATATTCAGTTAACTAAAAATTCTAATTGCGTGATACAACATCCATATCTACCAGTACAAAATCTACGTCAGTGACCTCAATGCATTCATTTCTAAAAGCTTGTTTCCAAACAAGACAAAGAAGTAATCAGCATAAACAAGCCCATGATCAGCCCAGCGACGAGGAGCAAATTCGAAATTGTTAATGGTCGCGCCGTTGAGGATGGTATCTCCGAGCCCTGCAGCTGTCTCAACACACTTGACAAAAGTCGCACGGCCGTTTTCCACTGTGGGAATCGTCCCCATGTCCTCTTTCTGACTGGCAGCGGGGTTCAAGTGTCTCTCGCAAACAGAATCCACTATCCGTAGTGCATGGCCGAGATACGGAGAAGGCTCGGAACGCTTCTGGAGGGATTCGTGAATCAGCAGCATGCCATACGCAGCGACCATGGCTGCGCTTGTATCCGGGGGTTGCGGAATAGCACCAGAGTCTTCCTGTGCGTCAAAGTCCCAGGGCGGAATATGCGTGTCAGGCAATCTCTCCAAAAAGTAATCGGCACAGTTCTTGGCCGTGTCAAGAAAAGAGCTCTCGCCACTCCATTCATATGACTTTGCAAACCCTGCAATGGCCCACGCCTGACCTCGCGACCAACACGATTCATGGCTGTAGCCCTGGTTTGTAAGACGCTCTTTGAGAGTGCCAGTCGAAGGGTTGAAGTTGGCGACGTGGTAGCTAGACCGGTCGGCACGAATAAGGTACTCTTTCGATGTTCGAGCATGGGCCATCGCGATATCAAAGAACCGAGTAGAGTCAGCTTTAGAAGGGGCCTCGGATGCAGCCCAGAAGAGGAGATCGAGATTCATCATATTATCCTGATCAAATCAGCAATGCTAATCTAGGCATGACACGCAATTGTGAAAGATTTAACTTACAATAATAACGAGAAAATCCTTGCTTGGGTCCGTAAAGGAATAGATCTTCGTTTGGCACACATCCCATGATCGTATACAGCCGACCTTTTCGGAGAAGCGGTCTGCTAGGGTGTTGGCCGCCCTCATCAACGTGTCGAAAGCCTTTGGGTCACGATGAAGATCCCACTGCAAACGGGCCCAGGGGCAAATCATGAATCCCAGATCATGCGTGCCCATAAGAGACCCATTTTGGTGAAGACTCTCCGTCCACCACTTAGAGGCATATCTAGTAGTGGCCTGTTAGCAATTGACAATGTGTTGCAGGTGGGCAAGAGGGTCGTACTCGAGTTGAAGCATATGAGGGAAATCTGGTTTGGGTCGCGAAAGGCCAAGAAGGCGCAGTTGAGTTTGAAATTTCTTTCTACGCTCCATAATCAGGTAGAGTAAACCCGGAAAGAAACCCGAGGTCCAGAACGAAGCATCTCTGTAGACATATTCTGTGCTTCCTGGTTTGGTGTATTCCGGAAACCAAGTGGGCGGCTCGGGCTGGTTTAGATGTTAAACTCGGAAACCCTTCACTGAGGTCTGCAAAGGTCATACCATGTTCAGGCTTCTCTCAGCGACAGCCCATATCTTCATCTCAACACACGGAGAGAACAGAAGCTCAAGATGTTTGAATTCGCTAGATAGCGATTTCTTGATGTCGACCTGCGTTCTCTCCGTCCCATTTCTCTTCGTACCGTTCGTGTATTGACTTTCCGACATCTGGATAAATAAGGATTAGCAACCGTCCTGATGCTCAACCAACAATAGTGCGTACTGGAAGCTTGCGTTTCGTTGCCAGAACCTGACTAGGCTGAATCATCTCTGGGAGCTCCATCGTCGCGAAACTGTAGGGACGCTAAGCACGGTAGGAAGAAAGTCAAAAGGGATTAACAGAAACGCCGAGTTAGTTATTGCAGCAAAAGTCTTAATATCTAGAAAATAACTAATCTGATTTTAAACAATGCTAGCTAAATTGGTAATTGAAGAAGCTTGATGTTTCAACGGGGATCGGAGAAGGTGTCGGATCTTGTCCCGTAATCGTGGATGAGACCGCTTGCTTTTCCTTTACCAGGAGATCCACAGTAATTCTTATTGACCGTTTCCCGTCTTCAAGAAGCTGATTACGGGTCTTATCGTATGGGGTGAGGCTGTCGGAAAAGTTCTCGGGGTTTTTCCCTTCAGTAACTACATCATTCTGCAAGGATGTGTGCCAGGCCTATCATAAATACCAAGGATGTCATCGGACTGCCAAGCGTGAGCCGCAGGAGAATGAACATATGGGCCCACCTCGGAACGAATCTCCGTGACTTAGTTTCATGGTGCTTATTGAATCCAATCGTGGTCAACAATCCTAGTTCTACCCCGGGGCTACGCTGAATACTTTAAGACATCAAACGTCACATCATACTTGAGACAAATCCGAGTACCTGCCATGCATCGCTTACTTTGCATTACCATGCAGTACCCACCTGCCGGTCATACCCACCTACCGGTCAGCGAAAAAAAGAATTCCCCATACAAAATGTCAAACTTCACTTGCACAGTCCTTGGCCAAAATTGAAGTTATTTACATGGAACAGATTGTGTCTTACTGAGAGTTTCATGCTGTTTCATATTGGCATATTCATTTGTATTTTACACAAGCAGTTTGGTCGCATGACACTAGTGTAAAATTTCTCAAATGTCTCCTTCATCACCCAGCCTCCCCAAAATTTCATCAAACTTTTATCTATAGCAGCTTCCTTTAATCGCCTTGAAAATGCCTCAACAGCCTTATACAGAGAATGATGTCATTGAAGCTATACTGGATGTTACAGATAATCACCTCTCGCAGCACCAGGCCGCCCAGAAGCATGGAATGCCCCAAACCACTCTGTCTGACCGACTAAGAGGCCTACCGTCAAAGTCCGAGGCCACCCAACCTGCCCAGTTGTTATACAAATCCCAAGAGGCTAGATTAGTTACATGGATACTTCGACAAGAGGCATTGGGCTATGCTCCTTCCCACAGTCAAGTTCGCGCCACGGTAGCTGCCCTGTTGAGACAGCAGGGCCGGGAAAGGCCTATCGGTGTACACTGGCTAGCCAGGTTTATTAAACGCCATCCAGAGATCAATACGAAGGTAGGAAAACGCCAGGAAGCTGCAAGGTTTAATTCTTTTACCCCGATGGCCGTCAATTGGTACTTTGATATCCGGGAGAGCGAATATGGCTGGATCAAGCCTGAGAACACGGTTAATGTTGACGAGGGCGGTATCATGGCTGGATTTGGTGAGTACTGACCACTTCTGATACAAGACTTACCGATAAATTGCAAATCTAGGTTTGGATTCCTTGGTAATTGGCAGTAGCGATTCCAGGAGGAAGGCCTTCCTCAAAGGCTCGCAGTCCCGCACTTGGACTAGTTTTATCGAAGCCGTCACTGCAGATGGCCGTCTTCTAAAGCCGGGAATTATCTTCAAGGGCAAAGAACTTCAGAAGCAGTGGTTCATTGATGAGTTTAACAAGATCGCCGACTGGTATTATATCACGTCCGATAACGGCTGGACAGACAACCATATCGCGCTCGAGTGGCTCAAAGAGGTTTATCTGCCCCAAACCCAGCCAGCAGATGAGTCTGATGCAAGGCTCATCATATTAGATGGCCATGGGAGCCATGTATCTGTGGGTGTCTACCTGTTCTCGATCAGAAATACCGCTGACTGAAAATCCAGGATGAGTGGATGGCCACGTGTTTTTTGAATAACGTGTATTGCTGTTACCTGCCTGCACATTGCTCTCATGGCCTACAGCCACTGGATAATGGTGTTTTCAACGCATCCAAGGCTGCATATCGAAAAGAGCTCCAAAAACTGGCAAGCCTGACGGATTCTGCGCCCGTGGATAAGGTCAACTTCATTAAGGCCTATGCCAAAGCCAGGGAAGTGGGTATGACGAAGAAAAACATCCTTTCAGGCTGGAGAGTAACTGGGAACTGGCCGATTTCACGACGGAAAGCGCTCATACATGCCGAAATCCAACCAGACAAGAAGGAAACGACGCCTGGATCAGACGGCCACAGAGACGGGCAAGTCGACTCTGATAATACGCCAAAGACCAGCCGTCACATCAGAGACCTGGGGAAGAACAAGAGCCCCTCTACCAGAAGGAGGTATTCTGTGATATCAAAAGGATTTGAAGCACAAGAGTCAAAGATCGCGTCCCTAAGCTCAAGAGTGGCCAGTTTAGAGGAGGAAGTCGGCCGGTTGAGTAGAGGCAAGAAGAGAAAGGCGATACCGAACCCCATTAAGAAATTTATGACGCTAGCAGAGGCTCTAGCGACTAGTGACACCATTTCAGAGCCAAACGAAGCAATTGAAGAGGTGGATGTTATTGAGGATGTGATCGAGGTGGGAGGGATGGAAGAAGATGAGAGGTCAAATTCAGGGAAGGAAGAATTAGGTGTCGTACGCACCCGCACAGGCCGAGAGGTTAAAAGGCCTAGAAAATATTAAAATAGATTCAATTTTGATCTGAATTCTAGAGATAAACTTATTTTTACTATTTTTATTACGGTTTTCCCATGAGGTTAAAAAAGTGCATTATGTATGGGGGATTTTTTTTTTCGCTGACCGGTAGGTGGGTATGACCGGCAGGTGGGTACTGCATGGTATCTGCAGCTGGTGTTTCCTATTCCAACCAGTGGCCCAAGCCATCTGGAACCCGATCATTACAGGGTGGAATCCGGATCCTGCCATCCTGACCGTGGGCGATGATTACTACATTGCCACTTCCTCTTTCGAGTATTGGCCGGGTATTCCTATCTATCACAGTAAGGTCCTATAACATCCTTTAATTGAGCCAGGTTTGCTTACTGATTCCAAGGCAAGGATCTATCCAATTGGACTCTCAAATCTCATGCTTTGACCCGACCAGAGCAACTACAACTCTATGGAACGCCTACTGGAGCAGGTAAATAACAGTTTCGAATTCCCATGTCGACGCAAAGCATCTGATTCGTTGCAAACAGGGGCCTGGGCGCCGAGTCTCTCTTTTATTGAGGGAAAGTTCTGGCTTTCAGCAATGACACGTTGGACCTATGACCCCGTTGCCCGTGTTTGGCCTCGTGTCTGGTTCATTTCTTCAGAAGACCTCGTTAACTGGTCAGACCCTGTCTGGGCTGAGCCATGGGGTATTGATCCTGAGCTTTTCCAGGATCCTGTATCCAACAAGACCTATCTGAACCTGATGGCCCCTAACAATAACAAGGATCGGCTCTGGGGTATCTCTCAATGTGAAGTCTCGTTAACATCTGGCAATTGTGTGGGGCCTTATGTTAGTCTATGGAACGGGACTTTGCCTCACAATTCGACGGCCAGACCTGAAGGACCCAAGATGTATTACAAGGATGATTGGTACTATCTCCTGATCGCCGAAGGTAAATCGTTCTGAGTCTTTCCCTACAGATAAGAATAATGATGCTCCCTAGGTGGCACGGATCAGCTGCATCGGTCGACAATCGCAAGAAGCAAGACTCCGTCTGGTCCATTTACCGCCGGACCACACAATCCTTTGCTGTACAATGGTCAATGGGGTTTTGACAACCTCACCGTCCAGTCCACGGGACATGCTACCTTGACAAAGACCAAGGACGGGCTTTGGTATGCGACGTTCTTAGCTCGCCGCAACGTCAACGGATCCTCTCCTCTGGGTATATTCACCTTGTCATCATTTATTCATTCATTACTAACTATCATAAGGCCGAGAGACATTTATTGTCAACGTTGACTGGAAACATGACTGGCCAGTCTTTAATCAAGGGGATCCTGTTTTACTAAGTAAGCAGATAAAGCCAGAGGTTGGCGCTAGACAAGTTCCTCGTCCATGGGTTGACAACTTTTCTCACTCCGAACTCGACTCATCATGGTATCAACTCCGGGTACCATATACTAAAAATTACAAGTTAAAAAAAGGGAAACTGGTGCTTAAACCCAACGTCTTTGGGCTCAGTGATCGTGATACCCCCGCAGCATTGCTGCGCAAGCAGAAGTCCCTCAATATGACATTCTCAGCAGAGCTCTCCAGCTTCAAGGGCAACCTCGGCCCAAGGAATAAGATCGGAATCTCTTCGTACCTATCCGAGTTTCAGCACCAAGACATCGGCATTCGAGGATGTGTTAACACTACGGGCATTTGTATTTATACGGAACTCAACAAGAATGGCACGCAGGAGGTGAGTTCCTATTCTGAAAGTACAGGCGAACCCGTGGCTAATTGTAACAGTATTGGCAAACTCCACTCAACCAAACAAGCGGTCTTGCTGGTGGCCTTAGACTACATATCAAGGCTGAACCCCTCGAATACCGCCTAGGTTATAGTGTTGGAAAAGAAGCCCCGGTATATGTGGCGTCAATCGCATCATCCTGGCAAGCCTTTGCACCAGCAAATTGGTTTGTCTTTTCTGGCGCATCTTGGGCGATATTTGCAACTGGAGATGGAGAGCCCTGGCCTCACAATGGACCGCAAGTTGGATTCAACGAGGTTACAGAGACTTTTCACAGGGAGGACATTCCTGATTACGATCGATGGTAGAGGTCGTGAGCTGAAGGCTGTCGTTGGTTTATCTTTGTCTGTTCTTACTTTTCCTCCCCCATCCGGGCGGCACATGTCGGAGGAGCTATAAATATCATATCTGAGGCTTGGGTTATGGTGAGCCATTATGGCAATCAAACCAACGTGTGACGACTAGCTAATTGCACCAAAAGTGAGCTTGAAAATAACCAATTTATCTACGTGGCTCGCTTCAGATAAGGGAAATTGCGCTAAGATAAGTTCGGTCAGGTCGATCTGGACCATAGATTTCCCAACACCTACCCTATAACTAGCCGTACCATTTAATTTAAGCCTTCCGATTTACGTACCCTAGGTATTTAGTTAATTTAATTCCAATTAACTGATCTCTATTATCTTACTTGCTTGCGTATATTCTGGTTGGCAAAGTGCCCTCTCACCGCATACCCTCGTTGGGCTAAAGAGGTATTCCCATTGCCACAATGCTCTAGACAGAACACTGGCAATATAGTTCCTTAGCCGACGGGCAACGGGATAAATCACGGACAACCTCCGAAAACCCCGCAGACTTAGCCCAAGCGGCCTAATTAGAATTGAGGATATGAACACAGAACATGGATTACCCGGTGGGTTCCAATGCCATTTTCCCCACCTCTCTAGAGTTCTAAATTCGCCTGGTAGGGAGCCCCTCACAAAGACACAGCTTGACTATACTGGTAAAAAGGGGGCTACAAGTTAAATAAAATAGAACTCTGTATGTAATTAAGATGTAAATAATATTGATTTTAATAAAAGTGTAAAATATAATATGTATTCAGGTTCTGACTCAAGACAAAAGCATTGTCGGGTTTTATTCCGAGACTTATTCCGACAGTAAAAACCAATGAAATCAACCAAACTCTTCTCCACGAAAGCTAACTCAATCGATAACGTTGGCGTCATGTGCCCCATGGGGCCCCGCTCCCAATTATGATTCTCGGACGGGTCCAGGGCAGCTTGAACAGCTTCAGTTCTTTTCGGTTCTACCCTCTCGCATATTCGTAAAACGTCGCGTACACATTGTGGCCTCAGCCCTGCTTAATCGCGACCAACCGATTCAGAAGATGAGCTTCCAACCATGTTCAGAGGGAGGCAATGACGTGGAGTCACCTACCCGCCTCAATGAAACCCATTCAGACGAACCTCGGCCTGAGAAACGCAAACGCACCAGCAAAGACGATGCCCAAGGACCTTCGTGCTCATTATGTCGCAAGAGAAAGGCAAGGTGCTCACGAGATCAACCATGCGGCACATGTATCAAGCTCGGTAAATCCAACTCATCAATTGAACTGCGGCAACTGACATGTTGGAGGTGCCGAATGCCTATACGACCAGGAAAAGTCAAAGCCAGGCATGCGAGCCGGGGCTATTGAGACCTTGACCCAGCGCGTAGGTATGCAGCAACGTAACTTCACATGCTTATTCTTTGTAAGCTCACAAATTGCTGGTAGCGACTCTGGAAAATATGTTTGTTGGCCAAGGTGTCCTCTGGCAGCAGATCTGGAACAGTATCAACCAACAAAATAACCAAGAGTATGGACGAAAACCCGACTCTCATCCAGAAATGTCCATCCAGCAGATGGCATCTGATGTCCGAAGACATCTTAGTGAATTACCATTGTCGGAAATCGTTCAACAAGCGGATCCAGTAATAGCAGGAATTCAACAAAATGGCACGTTCGATACACCACATACGCATCGGCCGAGGAATACTTCCAGTCTTGAACACCAGGTTAAGCTAGGGACTCTCCCTCCAGACGACCTAGTGGACTCCATGGTCGACATCTACTTCAGTCAGATCCACCCGTGGATACCGATGTTGCATGCCCCAACATTTCGGGGGTACCTGTCTAATCCTTCAGGAAGAGCGCGAGTGTCGACAATACTCCACGCTATAGTATCGCTATGCGTACGATTCTCAGACGACCCACGGCTACGGAACGCTCCAGAACTTCGTGCTCAATATTCGACCAGCTGCCGCCAGACGGTCATACTTGCGAGTATGGAGTCCTTTTCGGTTGAGAACTTGCAAGCGATGACTATCTGTGCGTTTGACATTATTGGGAGCGGTAGAGGTCCCTCGGCGTGGTCCATAGTTGGCAGCATGTCGAGAACGGTCGAACAGCTACGCCTCAGCACTGAGGAAGAGGAGACCCAGTCACGCCAGTCAAGGTCCAAGGCCCTGATCGAAAGAGTGGCGTTTCTGCCCCCGGCGACAACTTGGGCTGAATTGGAAGAGCGGCGCCGCATCTTCTGGAATGTTTTTCTCATGGACCGCTTCTGCAGTATCTGCACTGGATGGAACTTCTCCTTGACCAGTGCTGATGTCACGAGGAGGCTCCCTTGCGAGGGCGCTATATGGGAGACTGGAGAACCAAGTCAGACACCTACTCCGTACTTTGGAATCTCGACTCGATCCCACGACCGCGAGAAAGATTATTTGCCTGCCACTCGCGATACTGAAGATGGGCAGGCTTCTCTGGGAGGCTTCGCGTTTTGTATAGAGGCGACCGAGAGTCTGAGCCTTGTCACGTCATTCTTTCTTCAATACAGAGTTGATTTCAAGGAGGTCCACGAAGTACAGAGATGGCTTATGAGATTCAAGCAGTTGGATCTACGGCTCGTACAGTATGTTCCGTTCCAATACACGTAGTAAATAACTTCAGCTGATTAAACCAGATGGAAATTCTTTCTGCCTGAGAAATGGCGCAAGGCTTGCCAATTTAACAATGACGGCAACTTGGATCCCAATCTAGTCCTTGCGCACATAGCACACAACACTGCAGTTGTCCTTCTACACCAGGGCTTGGCATATCCACCGGCAGAATGGCAGTCTCTTCCTGTCAGACTGCCTTCTGCTTCTAGTGCAGAGACTTGCCAGGTCGCGGCTGACGAGGTTGCCACAATCGCTGAGCAATTCCTTGGTCACTCACATATACTTATTAGTCCGCAGTTTTCTTTCTGTCTTTTTGTGTGCGGCAAGATGCTGCTGACTCACGCCGCATATTACCAGTCCACTCTAACTTCATCCTTTGACTCCATTATATCAAGCCTCGAAGAGATATCTCGTAGGTGGAACGGGGACCAGCCTCCAGCCCGGGCCAATCTGGCTTCCAAATTCTGCTCGCGCCTTAGGAAGGCTCGTGTTGATGGCTCTGGCGCGGTCGACATCCGAGAAGCTTTCTCCGAGAAACCCTCATCAAGAAGTTCGGGCCTCGATTTTCGTAACACGGTGCTTATACCGACGAGCACTTCAACTGAGGCAACGATGCCAGGCGCGCTGGACGAAGAGATCGGCCTTCATAGTACTCAGACCGAGTCGCCCGAGAGCATTTCTTTGGCTTTCCCACCACTTCCGCTATCGTTTCAGATCAGCAATGCTACTCACGATTCAATCTTCAACGCGCCGGCAAAGTCAGACAACAACATCGCAGAAGTGGTCAATACAGACATGAATATCGCCGCAAATTGCTTGGATTTCTATGATCTCTCAGAGCAGACGTTTCTTCCATCAGATCGCGTAAGTATGCTGAGTCGTTCATATATGGGAGACTGATGTCATCATCATCAGCGTGAACTCCATTGCAAAGCTAGAAATGTGGCAGAGTGAGTACTTAAGGGATCGACAGATAGGAGATGCGTCTCACCAGTCAACACGTACGGCCGTTCTTGGTGTAGTACCAGCACGAACCGTCAGTATATAATTAGCATAGGCCAGTGTACCCCACGACCAAGGACAATAAATTATACTGTCATGATAAGCTCATTTCTCGATTTCCATGGCTGCATGTTGTTGAAATGAATGTTATGCCCGCTCATTATCTCGCATTGTGTGGATTATCCATGTGTGCGCGTAAGCTCATCTGTCTTTTTGTCTTCGCCGCTTAGACGAGAGGCCTAATCGCAGTTGCAAGCCACTTCGCGAGAAAACAAGGTTAAAAAGAAAAGACAAAAACCACCCAGGCCATACCGGCTTCTATACTTCCAAAGAACGATGAAATGGAAAGTGGGGTGTGAGAACTGTGTCCAGGTTTTCTGACTAGCCAATGTCGGCTCAGCCGGCCAAGCTGTCGGACTGGCCCCGAAATCCACTTGCACACGTGTGCCATAGCCTCATGATAAAGAGCGTAATGGCTAGCCCACTTCCTCAGAGCACTTTAATGCATTGAAACCTCTTTGAAGAAACAAATAGGTGCCATGGATGACTTATCGCGCCGGCTTGAAGAGTTTGGCCCTTCCATTCGAGAGCTGATGAAGCTCGGCGGCACACCAGGCTTGAGTCTCTCGGTAGCGACAAAGAACCAGCCTGTTTATCATGCAAACTACGGCGTGCGTGACCTGGAGGCCGGACTTCCTGTCACACAAGACTCGATATTCCCAGTATGCTCACTCGCCAAAGGCGTGTCAGCAGCGGCCATGGGCATATTGGTGGATGAGGGCACGGCATCGTGGCAGATGCTTGTTAAAGACGCAACACCCTCTTTCCATCCAAATAACAGTCATCTCCATAACAACACAACACTGGCCGACCTCTACAGTCACCGCAGTGGCATGTCCTCATGCGGAAACCTAGTTGGTGGTTGTGAGGGTAACATCTTGATCGGCAAGGACGACTGCATGCGGGTCGTCAACCACCAGACTCTGGTCCCTGCGCAGCTCGGTTCATTCATGTACAATAGCACTGCATATGATGCTTGCGACGAGGCTTTCAGAAGCCTCAGCGGCGCCTCTCTGGATGACTTCCTCCAGCGGAAGGTCTTCGACGAGCTAGGCTTACGAAGGACCTTCATGAAGCCCCCGCCCACCGACATGGACAACGTGACCAAGTCATACAACGCTCTGGATGATGGCACACCATGGTGCATACCGGGACCCAAGCTGGGCGAGGACGGTATCGCCTGCGGATCTGGTGGGCTCTGGTCTTGCGCTGCTGACTTGATCAAGCTCTATGCGCACTTCGTCCAGAGTTTCAACCATGAGTGTCAAACAGGCCAAACCTCTACACCTCGTTCACCGCTGAAGCAGGTATCAAAGCTCATGTCTGCTCATGTGCCGATGCTCGAGACTGGGTTGGGAGAAGTGTCTTACGGACTGGGATGGGCCCGCGTGCAGCTACCAAACACCTTGGGACATATTGGCCTGAACGGCCGGCTGATGCCACATGGTATGCCGGTTATCGGAAAAGGAGTACATGACGAACTGATATTTTATCATCAAGGCACGCTCCCAGGCGCTCTTGCGGTTGTTATACTGATACCCCGTACGGAAAGTGTCGTGTTGGTCATGAGTAACTGTCTGTCGCTTACTGATGTACCTGATTGGGTATCACAAATGGTACTTGAAGAAATCCTGGGCATCCCGCTCAAGGATCGCATCGACTTTATTGCATACGCGAAGACGTCCATTGCTATCAACTTGGGATGGCATGACCGTATTGTCCAAGGTCTCGTGCAGGGCCAACCGCAAGCCATCAGACCTCACAAACTGTTGGAGTCATACGTAGGGACATATGTCGATGAGAGCCGTGTGTTCAGCGTCGTGGTCACTCTGAAAGAGGGAGTGCTGTTTTGGGCATTCCAGGGATTGGATTCAGAAAGGTACAAGCTGACGCATTACGACGGGGATACATTTACGTGGTTGCAACCACGAAACGACTTGTCGCGCCGCGGTAGATGGGTATTGGGAAATGATAACGATCCGTCGTTCTGGAAGATAGAGTTCGGTGTCGATAGACATGGTAGCGTAAACAGAGTGCTCTGGCGCCACGACGCCTCGCTTGATCCCATTGTCTATTCACGATAGTGGTAAACAATGGCTTCTATTGGTATGTACATTCTATGTGCAATCTCTTTCATAGCCTGCTCTAAGAATTGAAGTGATATTAAGCTACCAGCGCTATCAGGTATCCAACGTACAATCTGCGGCCTATGATGATGTTCCATCCACCCCGGATACTCAATCTGAGATTGTGGAATGTAGCAGACATAGAATGATGCAAGAGGGATCGGTTTAAGTCTTGTCAATCAACACATATACGCTAGTCAGAGAGCTTATTCCACACAAGCCACCGACCGGTGATGGGTTCAATCATTACCCCATACACCGGGGATTCCGAAACATAGCCCGCATGCCGAGGGCAAAACTTCAAGGCAAATAAGCAACGGACTCAGGACAAACTCTTGGTCGATGGTATCAAACTTCTCTGGCATGATTGTTGGGCTCTTCACGTTGTCAGGTTATCGGCAGTCGTCTATTCCAGCTTATTCCTACTCACTGCAGTGTGAACAGTAGGTTTTCAAACAGAGTAGCAGAGCTCTAAGCACTTTAGTCACATAGTGATAAGGGTTTACAACATAAACGGGTAGGCCCAAGGTACATGTAAGGATTCAAGTAAATCATCAACAACATAAAAGGTAAATACAACTGAATATGCGTCTCAAAGTCCGTGGTTGAACGGTTTGGGCCGCTGTGGCAGCAAGCTTGGGGCCCGATTCTATGAAGCGACATGCCCAAGATCGTGTAAATCATGCCATAACCGAGGCTTCAACGAGGAACCAATAAGGACCATAGAATCGCAAGAATTGGCCGCTAGGGATTGCTCCGATGCTTTCTCCGATGTCCTGTCGCCAGCTCAAGACCCAGCACCCCCAGATTTCCCCGCATTCTACCAAAGTGAAGGGCGGAGCTTAATCCGAAATCCGTGAGGGCTGAATTTGTCTGCATTCGTCTCCTACTTGGTCTATTTCCACTTTGTATATATTGGCGATCTGCATCCACGTATACGAACAACTGTACCTTAGCAACAGAGTCAAAATTTATTCTTGCTCAGAAGTTCCAGGCTTCCACTCATCAGACCCTGCTAATAGCCCTCACAATTGATCTGTAAACCAACTCCATCCAGTCTTCCACTTCGTCAACATGACGGATCTGAACGACGCCAAGAGAGACATGGCGGATGTGGAAGAATTTGAAGGCCTTGTCCTCGCGGATGTCATCCCCAAATTGGACAAGTGGTGGTTCCAGTACCCCAATCTACGCAAGCTGAATTTGCTATTGCTCAGTGCCTTCCTGGCTCAGTTTACTTGTGGATTTGACGGCAGCATGCTGAACGGCATGCAGTCTCTGCCTCTCTGGCGGGAAGCATTTGGCAACCCGGTATGTTTCTGAGAAGAAGTGACATTTCATCCCGTCTGAGACACTAACACGTGAGCTGACAGACAGGTGCTAACCTCGGTACTCTTGTCAATGCAATTAATATCGGTGTTCTTGTATCCGCAATCTTTTCCTCTCAGCTTTGCGAGATCTTCGGGCGGAAGAAACCGATCACACTTGGCACTTTCTTAATTATCATCGGTTCTGCCCTTCAGGGGGGCGCCCAGAACTTGGGCATGTTCATTGCCGGACGAATTATTATTGGTTTGGGTACTGGCATTGTAGCTGTGGCAGCTCCTCAGTTGATGACAGAGGTCGCATACCCGACCCATCGCGGAAAAATGGTGTCTCTGTATATGACACAATGGGTTGTCGTAAGTGCTCACTCCCCTTTTGTTGTGGATATTTCAAACAGGCACTCTTCAGCAACAAGGCTGACATGTTTTTACCCACCAGGGCTATCTTGTTGCTGCTTGGACTACGTTCGGCACGTTCAAGATGAACTCCTCCTGGAGCTGGAGGCTTCCTAGTATCTTGCAGGGTGTGCCAGCCATTCTGCAGCTAGTTCTTAGCATCTGGGTTCCTGAGTCTCCGCGTTGGCTCGTGTACAAAGATCGTCGAGATGAAGCTTTGCGTGTCCTCTCTCAGTACCACTCCTGCGGCGACCATGACTCTCGTCTAGTACGGTTCGAATTACTCGAGATTGAAGCAACCCTGGAAGAGGAAAAGAAGCACAAGGCCATCCAGTGGACTGAGTTCATCCGCACTAGTGGCAACCGTAAGCGTCTTTGGATCTTACTATTCATGGGTTTCGCTGCACAGTTGTCGGGCCTGGGTTTGACCGGGTACTACCTGACCAAGATTTTGAACAGCATTGGCGTTACCAATGCTAACACGCAGCTCCTCATCAACGCAATCGCCGCTGTTTGGCAGCTGTGTTGTTCTGTTTTCTTTGCTATGCTTATTGATCGAGTTGGTCGACGCGGTCTGATCACATTCGGAATTACTACCATGTTGGTTGTCTTCATAACATGGACCATCTGTTCTGCCCTTAACGAGGAGCGTGACTTCTCCGATCGGCCTTTGGCGCTCGCCGTCGTTGCCATGATTTTTCTATTCCAGGTCGGCTACCAACCCTTTGCTATCTCAACAGTACCTTACGTTGTCGAATGTTCCCTCTACTCGTTACGCTCCAAGACAGCTATGATCTTCCAGTTCTGTGGCTACTCGGCCAGTTTCTTCACAGGCTACGTCAACCCTGTTGCTTTGGACCGCATCGGCTGGCGTTACTACATCTTTGCATGTGCTGTGCTCGGCGTTGAATGCGTATTTGCTTGGTGGTATCTGCCTGAGACAAAGGGTAAAGGTCTGGAGGAGATTGGCCAGATCTTTGACGGCGACGAGCTTTTGACGGGTACGCAAGCCATTGCCAAGAAACGCGAGGAGAAATATCGTGAGTTAGATGAGAGTAGTCTTCGTGAGCGTAAAGTTCTCAATGCGAGCCACATTGAGAAAGGAGAGAGCGAAGTCTAAGAGGTGCTATAGATAATATTACTGTGTTGCATAAAAATGTTCTCATTCCTCAATCTCGTATGTATATAACTGCCATGGGTTTCACTATGATGCACAAGACCATTCAGAAATCCCCACCTTTCACCAGAGACAATGAGTACGTACTGGTCATTATTTCCGCGGAAACGTGACAGGAGCATGTGAAGGCATTTACTAGGTCAGAGTTTTCATTCCAAAAGACCTTTTGCAAGGCCAGTCGCTACATTCCTAGGTTTGGTGGGAAACCCCATATCGTCGACTGGAGCCGTGTCTAAGTCCGGCTTTCTCGGCTGCTGGGTACGGGTGCTACCGTCATAGAAGTGGTCATTGTGGGGGTCTCAGGCCATTGGTGACGTGCTTGTGCCTTGATACCTAGTTAAGAAATGAAGTCGTCAAGGTAATTTCCGATGTCACAGTATGTCTCGGGGTTTTGACTGCGATTGTATTCTCAGAAACGGTTCAGACAAAGCCCAAGGCTAAGTATATCAGTTTCTCAAGTGCTACGAACCCTTGTGGTAGGAGACATAACTGATGTAATTCTTGTTTTTCCTTGTTTGGCTGTTACGGGATGGCATTTCTACGAACTGAGTCCTGACCAAGGACAGTACTGGCGCAACTCTCACTGCGGCTATTATTGGTGAGGTCTCTACCCAGTCCTCATAGGTGTCGAAGATCTCGTATTCCGTGACTATTAGTGATCAACTTCCTGACACTCAATAGTTCGCTGGTACAGAAAAGGCTGCAGAGAGTATTGCTGGCTTTTTTCTGATTCAGTGTTACGTTATACCCCGCTTGTGGGGTCAAGTTATGCCATCCTTTCGGATACTGCGGCAGGCAACGTTCAGATTCAAGCGACGTTGCAGTGATGGGCTCAGATGATGTTGAAGGTAATGGTTGTGTTGGGCAATGTAGTGTTTGCAAGCTATTGTAATATTGCCGCGTGAAACGTCGGTCATAGTGGCACGTGAAATAAAGTGTCGCTTCCATGCATCTATGAACTTTCTATGTGTAGATTTAACTCAATGGATAAGACTTATCAAGCCAATCGGTATTCCTACTCTAGTGCTTACCCTAGCAAGATGACTCTAGATCGCTTTTGGATCATATCATCCATTCATAAGCATTTGTTTTACCGGGATCTGAATCCTGCTTCGGTAGATAAAGATTGCTTCACGTCAGCCGGATACAAAATGATGATCATCAATGTCTGAGAGTACGGAATTTGCAAATAAAAACACGGCACTCATTAAGCCCGAAATTCCGGGCTTCGCCTTTACCTGGCATAAACCCCGCGGACATTAAAATAACATCATGTTGAACACGAAGGTAGTGGAACGCGGATCAGTGGATACCTTTTGGTTTCAACTCGGCACTCGGCAGGCATTAACACGGCGATAGGAACAGCAATTCACATGATGTTCACTATTATTGGTTGCGGAGAGAATTGCGGTTGGTCCCGACGTCGCATCCCGATGCAGATGAATGCGAAAAAGATGAATGATCGACGTGCATCAAACAGGTTTGGTTGTCTCTACTCTCTTTGCAAGACGGTTATAAATGCTCGATGAATTCTGCCTCTTGAGCTTGAAACCTACCAGGGCAAAGATTCCAGATCTCAACCATCAAGACAATCATCTCAGATATCTTGCACTGTTCCTCTACTAGGCGCCAGTATGGGTGTACTATATACCGAAGCACTGGCTGAGCTTAGCCTTGGCTCTGTGTTGGCTCTTTCAGGCATTGCTTTAGTGAGTTCAAGTGACACAGTCCTCTCATTATCCCTCTAATCATCTTGTAAAGTTTCTTTACCTTGTCGTCAGTTCTGCATACTATGCTTTCTTTCACCCCCTCGCCAAAGTCCCCGGGCCGAAGCTATATGCCATAACTCAGATTCCCTATCTCTATTATCTCAGCAAAGGTGACTGGGTCTTCCATCTTGCAAAACTCCACAATCGATATGGACCAGCTGTTCGATTCACTCCCAACGATGTCTCCTTCATCACCGCCGAAGCTTCCAAGAAAATCTACGGTCACAAAGCGGCTGGAAATAAGTCATTCGAGAAGGACTTTCGTATGTATCGCCAGAACCGCCCTTGCGCAAGCATTGTTCGTTCCGATCAGGAAGACCACAGACGTATGCGCCGTCTACTCGCACATGCCTTTTCGTCAAAAGCACTTCGCGGTCAAGGCGATGTTGTGGATCATTACGTCGAACTGTTCATGAAAGGTCTTACAGAACGGGCTCAGCGAGGAGAGGACATTGACATTGTGGCTTGGTATAACTTTGCATCTTTCGATCTCATCGGCCATCTCGCTCTTGGCCAGCCTTTTGGATGTCTCGAGAATGGAAAGTATCATCCTTGGGTCGGCAGGGTCTTCAAGGGCCTCAAGGTTCTCTCTTACACTCAGATCTACGTACGCCTTGGTCTTCAAAATTGGATCTCCCTGTTGAGTCCGCCAAGCTTGAGGAAGAGTTATGAAGAGCATATGCAGTTCGCAGAGCACGCGGCACTTGCTCGAATTGAATCCAAGGACACGAACAGCCAAGATTTTATGTCCTATGTTCTTCGTCATAACGATGAGAAGGGTATGTCGCAGCTTGAAATTATCGAGAATTCGGGCGTCATGATCATCGCCGGTAGCGAGACAACTGCTACACTCCTCAGTGGGACCACCTACTTCCTTCTCAAGAACCCCGACAAGCTTGAGAAGTTGACAAATGAGATACGCTCTGCGTTCAGCTCAGAGGAAGAGATCACTGTCACCCAGGTTGACCAGCTGAAGTATATGTTGGCTGTCTTCAACGAAGGCTTTCGCATGTGTAAGTTTCCTCGTCCTTGAGTTATGAGTCATTAAACCATTCGACTGATCTCATGCCATTTAGATCCACCCGTTGCCGTCGGCCTTTCGAGACTTTCCCCAGCTGGTGGCGAGTTCATAGACGGATATTGGATTCCTGAGAATGTAAGTAGAACTCATTGCTTCCCATTGTATTAACCAGACTCTAACATTTATATACAGACTGCAGTTTCGATGCCTCACTGGCCTGCATACTACTCAGAACTAAACTTCAGAGATCCCAAGAAGTTCGTCCCAGAACGCTGGTTAGATGATCCTCGATATGCGAACGACAACAGGGCTATCCTTTCGCCATTCTCCCTGGGGCCACGTGACTGCATTGGCAAGAAGTAAGTGTACCGCGGTAACTATCATAAAACACGGCTGACACTGGAAAACAGCCTGGCGTATACCGAGATGCGACTCTTGTTGGCTCGTATGCTTTGGAAGTTTGACCTCGAGGCTGTGCCAACCGAAAAGGACTGGTACGACCAGAAGATTTTTTTCCTTTGGGAAAAGGGTGGACTGCCTATCAAACTCAAAGAAGTTGTTCGTGAAAAAGTGTGAATGCATGAGAGTCATTGGCAAGCAGGAGAATTGGAAGTGTCAAAATGCTAAGGCTGTGGCCAAAGATGAGGTCATGTAAAGCAAGGCTTAGTTCGGTCATTTCATCGGAGTCACATAGCTCTGATCACAACAAATACAAACTTATTTCCCATTGCCATTCATTCCAAGCAGAGACTACATATACTCTGTACATGGTAGTCATAAGTTGACAGAAACTGCTAACCCTTCTGGTTCTCTGCCAGCTCTGACCGCCTACTTGATCCTCGCCACCACCAGATCTAGACTCTTGAGGTCTTGCACTATAAACATCAGCTTCATCCTCAATCAAAATGTCATACAGTCAATTCCCCAATCGCAGACGAGTGATACAAGCATGCGTAAACTGCCGTATGCGCAAGACACGCTGTGACGCTGCTCAGCCAAGATGCGGCCTCTGCGCTTCACAGAATGTCGATTGCGTCTATCGAGATGCAAAACAACCCAAGATCGACTATAATACCCAAGTCCTCCTGGAGCGGATGCAAATTCTCGAAGATCGCATCCTTTCATCAACCTCGTCATCCCAGTCTCAAACAGCTTCGCTTGAAGCGTCATCTATGAGCCATCATGACCCAGATGAGCAGCTCCAACAACCCGACAGCTTGCATGACTCAGCCACCGAGGGCCGAGAGCCTGTCTTCGAAGTTCAAATACCTCTATCGCATACGGCCAACGCAAATCATGTCTTCTCGTGGAACTTGGTCCAGACGCTTCTGTCAGAGAACAGCACAGATCAGCGAGACTTGCAGAGCTACACAGATGCAACTGAAGTCTTTTTCCAAGAGCAGCAGAACAATAAACATCCCTCGACAACTTCGCAGCCTCTTACCTCATGGAAGCTTTATGACAGCGACTACTTCAGCTCGTCCCGTGAGGATACTATATCACGATTGCATGACTTGATTCACCTCTATTTTACCAAAGTCAACATTTTCTTTCCTCTGCTATCAAAAAGCAATATTCTCAATATCTTAGAAAGAGTCACAGCCAGAGAGCTTTATGGAAACGACGAGACACCGGTGGTTGATATGCCGCATTACGGCCTGCTTCTCGTGGTCCTTTGCCTGGCACTGCTGAGTTCGAGTGGACAGTCTGACATAAGCATCGAGAAGAACCGTACATATACTCCGGTCTTCTCAAGCGCCTCCAACATGCATGAGGAGCAGCTGAGAAGCGAATTATGGGATAAAACAAGGTTTATACTAGGTTACATCTCGACTGATATGTCATTAGAAGCTGCTCAGGCCAGTATGCTTGCAAGGTGAGTCACCATTCCACGCCTCATAGAAGCCACTGACGAGTCAGCATCTACATGGGAGCTTCTGGTGCGGTAGCAGAAGCCTTTCACTGGGCGCATGCAACGGCCGTCAAGTGCGAGAGCATGGCCCGATTACAAGCAAAGAGTGAGAGTATCTCGGACGGTTTTCGTCGTTTGTACTGGATCTCCTTTATATATGAGTGTGATTTCATATCTGAGTTATCGGTCGTGTCACCATCTGGTATAGCAAGATACGAAGACAAAATCCCATATCCAGCCTTCACTGCTGAGAACCACCCTATCTCGCCATCTGTACCAGAGTCATCAGAAGCCAGCTCGATAAGGAGTCAAGAAGAGCTCGTTGCCTTTCAGATCACTACAAACTCAGCCATTAGACGCTTTCTAAATACTGTCAATAGTGTTGTTTACGATGACAAGGAGAAGTTTCGGACAAGACGATCGAACTACGCATCTTGGCTACTCAGAATATCAGAAGATCTATGGTCTCATCACTCCGCCATATATCGCAACCTACCTGAGTTCCTCTTAAGCAATCCCTCCCCAGATGTTCCAATGACAGGTGCTGATACAAGCTCTCCTGCAAGCCTTCAATCGCCAACAGCGCGCATCCAGGGTATCCCGGTCGGCAATAACTCATGGAACATCTTAAGACTCAAGGGGAGATATTATGCAGGTCAATACATTATCCACAGGCCTTTCATCGAATTTATTGTTCTCAATATCGACAACTTCGAGTCTCATCCCTGCAAAGAAGCAGTTCTGAAACGATCCAAGTCATGTTTGGATGGATGCATGGGATTCATTAAAGTATTCGATGTTGAGACGGTAAATAGCTTGACATGTTTGTTCCCGACTGGCATGGTGTAAGTAAATCTACTACTATTGTTATGGTTATGGCTAACGATAGCCTTTCTCTCAAGCACCTTTACTATGACTATTATCCTGATGGTCGCGACCATCTTTCCGATATTCAGGGATCTACTGCCCGACGATGTTGAGGATGCAATCCTGGGTGGAAAGAGGAACCTAACTCGATTCAGTCAGAGCGTGGCAGAGTTTTCATGGCATATTGAAATACTAGAGAGGCTGGATGTGGCTCGAAGAAATAGAATGGCAAGAAACGAGAATTGATCGATGACACTACTCTACTTACATGATCATATCTCACTGGAGTGATATGCGGATATCGGTATTACTAGTCTTTTTATTGTATCTTTAGGATGCCTATATGGTGTGTCTAATGACAAGGTTACGCTGCAACAGGTACAGGTTGGGCTTGCGGTTGTTGTTTTTGTTGTTTCTTAAGCTCAGCCTTCATCTTCTCCTCTGGCGATAGCTCAAAGATGCCAACACCTGAAACAGATGCCTCCTTAGAGGCCACATCACTTGCGGTCCCTTCTGATTCAATGACCTTCCCTTCCAACCACTTGTCTCCAGCCTTCATGGGCGCATATGTCTTCAGTAGTTCATTCAACTGTTCCCTCTGCATGCAATTCTCATACTTCCAGCTTGCCGCGAGTTCGTCCAGCTCTTCGAAGGTTTTATCCTTGAAGTAGTCTGCCCACTCAGGGATCATATACTCGGCCATGGTAATTCCTCTAATACCACGGAAAACATGCATATGCATACGCCATTGCCAGGGGTACTTCTTGGAGTATTGTGTAGGGACATTATCTTCAAACCACTTATGTAATGGACCGAAGAGGCCGTCTTGGAGATGTGCGTCGTCGTAAGCCCAGGAGTCGACAGCGAGATCCCGCTTCTTCTTGATGATGGGTCCAAGCAGCTTGAGCCAAGCAGAGTCCGGGGAAACATGGGTCATGCCCATGACGTTGACGTCTTTGTATGCCCAAATCGACCAAGCTGGAGCTGTGTTAGTGCCATTGGTAGATCGCAGTTTTGGGGTGACTTACCGATGCTCTCAGAAGTGTAAATAGCCATCTGTCGATCCAGCATGTTGTATCGCTCTTCGTTCTGGACTTCCCACTCTGGGTTGTACTCCTTTCGTTCGTAGATAGGACCGAATTCACCTGCAGCGATTAGTTTAGGTCACTGGAAGGGCCCAAAGAAACTCACCATTCCAGATTGGCACGTTGTGCTTCTTCATGAACTCGACCTTACGATCATACATTCTGCGAATGTAGCTCTCCTGTTCTTTTGTGCCTTGGAATCTACCGATTCGGTTCGGGAACCCAAAACCACAGTAGTCGTGGATGGCGTATACCGAGTTGTCCCATACCCTGTCGAAGCCTGTGAAGTCCATGCTGAATCTGTGGCGAAGCCTCCGTCAGTATATCTGTATCAGGCTGGCTTCAAGTGGACGGTACTTACGTGTTGCCTTCCAGGAACAAGATATGCTCAGGATCGATGTTCCTGATTGCCGGCACAATACGGTCGTAGAATGCCAACAGACGAGTCCATTCAGAGTCAGCAGGCTCGTTCATGGGATTGTAACCAGCAACCCAAGGATTTCCCTTATATCTTCGGGCAATATGTTCCCAAAGATTGATCGCTCGGTCTTGGAAGTGTTTGTGGTCCCAAAAGGCGGCATATCCGGTCGGGTTATCGGAGTGCCAATCCTGGTTTTGTCCACCGGGTAGGGCGTGAAGGTCAAGGATAGTGTAGATGCCATATTTGGCGCACTACGAAATTCGACGTTAGCCGTTGACAATAGGTAGACTGTCCTTGCGACTTACGAGGTTGATGACTCTGTCAACATGCTTGAAGCCTTCTTCTTTAATAACAAACGGGTTCATATCATCTTCAAAGTGTCTGTAATTGAGACATAATCGCAGGCAGTTGAAGTTTAGTGAAGCAAGGAACTCGGCATCCTTCTCACCAAAGAAGTATTCAAGGAACTTGTCGAAGAAGAAGTCGTGCTTCTCTTGGCCAAGGACCTTGAGGAGTGCTGCTCGGATCTGATGTTCTCGTCCAGGGAAGCCGTTCATGAAGTTCTCCATAAGCATCCATCCGCCGAGGGCAGTCTATAATCAGGGAGTCAATATCTCGCCATTTGAGTTACATCATGGCACTCAGCATGGGCGTGATAACTTACACCACGCAAGAGAACCGCATCGCCGTTTGCATCGACGATGCGATCACAGTCTGTCTTCAATATTCCAGTAGTCATGATTGCAGCCAGCCGTCGGTGAATTGGTGAACAACAGTGCAAGTAATGGAAAATGGGCGCGCATGAACTTGTCCTAAATACTCCATAGCGTGTTCTCCCCAGGAGTATGTCCACCTTGCACATCTCATGATCATGCCAATTATGTTGGCTCATGAGATTACCGAGGATAAACAAAGTCTCTTGGGTATCATTATACCTCACGGGGGAGTAATTTCGTTGCCCCGATATCAAGTTGGAGGGGAATTGAGCCAATCATAGTGCTTCGGGGCAGCTAAATTCTAACCCCGATATTCTCAAAGTGGAACATGAGTCGTGAAAGACGTAGGGGCAGTGTTTTAGCTCCCCCGAGACGCTATGATTGGTTCATCTGGAATCCTCCGTCTCCGCAACATCTCACTCATGACTATGAACAATTCTCTGGTGATGCAAAGACTTCACAGTTGCCCGATGAGTTTACCGTTGCATGACCCGACAGATGGAACGATACCCATGAGCAATATGCGGAGCTCCCCCAGAAATTGGTCTCGACCCCGCAAAGTTTAGCTGCAACGCTATCGAATTGATGGACTGAATGACACCCGAGTTTTCGGATGCTAACCAGGTTTACTCTAGGTTGGTATACAATATAGGCAAAAGAAGGTCTTCACTCCCGGTTTTTTATCACATAACAAACGCATATATAAGACAACCGGCCATGCATGGTGACTTGCTCTTATCTACAAGTATCTCGTTCATCTACATCGACATTTCCTTGGATTGATTATTCGCCATGAACTTTCTTCGAAATCGTCTTCCAGCACCAAAGCAGGACTTGCTCGCAAAGCAAGCCCGCCAGCAGGGTACCACCGATGCTGCATACAAGCCTTCGCGCATATCTGAGCTCTCCAACGAGTCTCCAAGCTGGTACAGGTCAGCTGCGCGGAGACATCTTTACTTCTTGCTCTTCCCAGCGTGTGTTGTGTCGTATGCAACTTCTGGGTATGATGGAAGTATGATGAACTCCTTGCAGACTGTCTCTTACTGGGATGACTTCTTTGACAACCCACGCGGGTCTCAGCTTGGACTCATGAGCGCCATTATGTCGCTTGGCAGCATCTGTTCCACACCCGTTGCGCCTTGGGTTGCCGATAAATATGGCAGACGGTGGGGTATCACTACAGGAAGCATCATCATGATTGCTGGTGCTATTCTGCAGTGCGAGAGTACGAACTTTGCCATGTTCGTTATCAGCCGTTTCATTCTGGGTTTTGGACTGTCTTTTGCTACGACTGCGTCTCCTAGTATGGTTAGTGAGCTATCTCACCCCAAGGATCGAGTCACCATTACAGCTATCTGCAACACTTGGTAAGCCACTATTTTCCGCTTCCCCTTAACTTTGCTGACTTATCTAGTTGGTTCCTGGGCTCTATTGCAGCTGCTTGGATCACCTACGGCACTCGTGTAATCCCCAGCACTTGGTCATGGAGAATCCCCTCCTTGCTCCAGATGGCACCCAGTCTCATCCAGCTATCGACTGTCTGGTTCCTCCCCGAATCCCCACGATGGCTCATCTCGAATGATCGCAGCGAAGAGGCTCTCGAGGCTCTGACAAGATACCATGGAGACGGTGTCAAAACGGAACTGGTAGAACTGGAATACGAAGAGATTCGAGCCGCAATTGAGCAAGAGAAGTGTAAGTAACCTGCTTCCGCTGTGTCATACTTTACTGAGAGTTTGCAGTATCTGGTCAAACAACTTGGAAGTCTATGGTCAGCACCAAGGGTAACCGATACAGAATGTTCCTCGTTATTTGCATGGGTCTGATGTCTCAGTGGTCTGGAAACGGATTGATCTCTTACTGTAAGTCGACTTGATCAGTCACAGTCCGATGCATCAATGGCTGACTTATTGACTTTGCAGATCTGTCTCGAGTCATGGACAGTGTCGGCATCACGAACAAGAAGACACAGGCCCTGGTCAATGGTCTGATCAACATTTGGAACTGGGCCCTTGCTCTCACTAGCGCCTGCTTCGTCGATCGTGTCGGTCGCCGTCCTCTCTTCCGAATCTCTACAGTTGGCATGTTGCTAGTCTTTACAGGATGGACTATTGCATCGGAGCGCTTTGCCGCCACGGAGGCCAAGTCTGCCGGCGTTGCGGTTATGGCACTCATCTTCGTATATGAGATCTTCTACTGCATGGCCTTCTCGCCCCTCCCTGTAGCATACTCGGTGGAGGTTCTCCCGTACTCAATTCGGGCCAAGGGAATGGGCGTATATGTCCTTGCGACAAAATGTGCTGTTTTCGTTAATCAGTATGTCAACCCTGTTGGATTAGACAGCATTGGGTGGCGTTACTACCTCGTTTATGTTGCTGTCCTCATTGTCGAGAGTTTCATCGCCTACGGTTGGTTTCTCGAAACGAAGGGTAAAGCCTTGGAGGAGATTGCTGTCATCTTTGACGGGGAGGCTGCAGATGTCACTGTTGACGAGCCTGCTAAGTCCAAGGTCTTCAGCACTGACATGCCAACGACTCTTGAACAGGAGAATGTCGACCGCAAGGTCTAGGATGAACACATGTTATTTGATCCGCTTGGCAGGAACTTGGTATCTTGCAGTTACCTCCTTATGGTCCAGTCATGACACCTTTGAAGAGATAGTTGAACTTAATGATCGTGACCTGGATATAGCTCCATTCATTTAATATATAAAGCAAATGTATGCATATGTATGAAGCTACAGCTTTGCTGGTGGTGTGAACAAAAAGTCATTGACCAATGTTCCAGCAGCCCGAGCAACACCGAAGCTGAAAACATAACCCCCACCACCAGTGCCTGTTCTCATTAGTCGATGTTTGCAAAGACCCGTGCATCAATTTGAGCTTACCATATGCATGAACAATGTTCTGGCCACCATTTCTCTCCTTCTCAACACGCACTCCACCTACCCTCGCTGGTCGGATGCCAACATTGTCCCGTATGATCTCAACGTTCTCAATCTTGGATCCTTTAAAAACCTCGGGGGCATTCTCATGAACGCGTCGAAGGATCTAAGGATGCTATTAATAGAAGGAATAAAAGCTTCACGCGTCACCTACGTCATTTCTAAGGTCCACATCCACGACTGGATCCCTGATGCGTGTAAGCGAAGGGCTAAGCCTATTGATAAGAGCCGATTCAGTGGTACTCACGTGTTATCGACTTGCTTGATCCCTCCAAGGATTGCTGTACCATCTAGTCGCGGAATAACATATGTATAATCCTTCCCGTGTCTCATGAGAATCTTGTTATAGTCAGTCTTTACAAGAATTGTCTGTCCCCGAACTTGCTGCACGTTCAGGTCGGCAACGTCGCGTAGAAACTTTGAACCGCATCCTGTTGCATTGACAAGGACATCATAGCCAAGGCTCTTTAGCTCTGCTAACGACCCCACATTCTTGCGAAGAAAAGTGACGCCACTGTTCTTGAGCCTCTTTGCCAACCATGGAAGAAAGGTTATTGGTGTCAAAACGACGGTTTTGTCTGTTTCAGGCCAGTTGGTCAGACATTTCAACTCGGGATAGCGAACATACTCACAGCTCATGCCCAAAATGACACCCTTGGGAAGTTCATCCTTAGACATGACGCGAAACTGATAACGCGTTAATGAGTCTATATCCAAACGCGTTCTAGATTCATACCTCAGGCATCAAGTCTTGATACCAAATCTTGTCGAGGGTAGTACTGTCTTGAAAATCGTTCATCTCGATTCTCTAACAGTGGTGTTTAGCTGAGGCCCATGGCCGTTATAGAAAAGATGACTGTACCCTGACGCTTGACTCTGGGTTCGTGATTGCCAAAGACCAGAGATAAGCAAACGCGTCTCTCTGCATCTTCTGCTCACTTGGCGTTGATCCATCAAGGCCGAGGAAGACAGCCCCAGCCCATGGACTTGCCCAACCCAGACTTTCATCGTCGCCTGGAAGATTTCGCGCAACAATGGTTACCTCGTGCGCTCGAGACAACATGCTCGCAACAGCCATGCCAATAATGCTAGACGCGTGTTAACAGGGGTATGTCATTGGTTGACTGGCATAATGACTTACCCTGCACCGAGAATTGTAATCTTCGCCATTGTAGGAATCTAAATAAAAGAGACTCAGTATAAAGTAACAGGCCTATTTGAGAATTGTAATAGAAAAGGGGAATCAATAATAACCTATGAACTTTTGGTCTTTTGTCTCAATGACTTTACTAGATACCAGAACATGGTTATATACCATATGGACTAGAATTTGGGAAACGTAATGGCGATATGCAGCTTGGCTAGAAATCCCCATACAGACCCGGAGGATCCGTCGGAAAAAGGGGAAACAAGCAGCTTCAGCGTATCGAGTGCCTCAATAGGCTTAATTGGACTCAAGTCGCAATCAGTCACACGGTAAATTTGTCCGAATGGCTAGTTGAAGCATGACGATACCCGTTCTTATCAGACAATGCTTCCGATAACAAGGACAGGACAGACTCCATATTTCCTAAACATTCCCCTCACCCTAGCCTGTCTTATCGATAGCCGTGTGGATGCTTCACCTCGCTTGCGGGTATAAAATCACGCTAGGTAAATGTCACCGAGACTAGGACCAAGTTCGTCTGAGTTTCCCGACTTGTCCGATCAGGTCCGAGGCATGTCAGTGCGCTCTGCGCCCCCCGCATTTACAGGGGGGTCACCCAGATAAGCCAAAACAGGTAGATTTTGAGGCAGGCGTTGACAGATTCGACGCCGATGCTAATCAGTTTACCGAGTATATATCATACACAAATCACCAAAATCCTATCAATGCAGTATGATATATTGACTCTATATTTATTTGGGAAAAAGACAAGCGGAATCAGTATTAGTTCATTCTATCATGGCTCCTCCTAGTGATAAAAAACTTCCCAGGGAAGATGCACATGACGCCACGATGGATGTTGCCAAGGGCTCAGTCCACGCCCATACAGAATATGACGAGTACCTTGATCTATGCCGGGAATTCACAGGTCACCGTCTCCAGAAACTCATTCGCAAGGTTGAGTAAGTTGCCAAGTTGTGGGATAAGGATTTCATTGCAGCATGCTGATTCAGAAATGAAGCTGGCATGTACTCCCCCAGCTGATAATTATTTATCTTATGTCATACATCGATCGTACAAACGTTGGCATGTTATATCTTATGATGTCAATAGTCAAGACACCATTTTCTGATCATTCTTCAGGTAATGCAAAACTCTTCGGTGCTATTCCGGACATGGGCATGACAGGTCAAGACTGGAACACGGCTCTCTCTGTCTTCTTTGTCACCTACGCTGCAGGTGGTGTGTAAGTTAATGGAATATTACCGTTGTTTTGATATAGCCTCTGACTAAATCTCTACTAGCCCCTCGAACATTGCTCTCAAACGATTTGGCCCCAAGGTACTGTCCTCCTCCCCACAACTCACAAATATGGAAGCTTAATGAAGTCTTAAAACGTAGATTTGGCTCCCTGTACTCTTGGGGTTTGTTTCCCTGGTGCTAATATTCTCCTCGATGCAAAATAACAGACCCGGATGGATCGCTTTCCGAGTTTGTAAGTTGCTAATTCATCCCATGCCAAGACTCGGAACTACGGACAGCTGACACCGATTTCAGTGCTGGGATGGTTTGAAGCAGGTAAGAAGCTTCGCAGAAGCCATTTTTTACCCCCTCTGACTAAACTCCAGGAATTTTTCCTGGATGCTCTTTCGTCTTGACCTATTGGTATTCACCCGCTGAGATTCACTCTCGCATGACAATATTTTATTGTGGTGCATCTGCGTAAGTACAAGATCAGTAAAAGAATGCATAACAAGACTTACAGTCGTTTAGCGCAGGTGCTTTTTCTGGCCTATTGGCTTATGGTATTGGGCACCTTGACTACACGTGGGGATTCCGCGGTTGGCGTTTCATCTACTGTATCGAAGGTGTGTACTTGGTGAGCGATGGAGAAACGGAGACCTTCTGACACCTTTGTTACAGGCCTCTTTTCGCTTCTTCTTGCCATTGCTGGGTTCTGGGTTCTCAATGACACACCGGCCAAGATCACCAAATGGCTCACAACGGAGGAGAAGAGGTTCCTGATCCTGCGTAACCGCTATGCAGCTGGTGGAGAGACCGGTATTGCAGAGAAGGAGGAATTCTCGTGGAAGGCAGCGAGGGAAGCTTTCACAGTATGTCCAAAGTGCCATGCATTCGTCAGATCGTCGAGTAGCTAACAAATACCAGTCGTTTCACATATACGCAGTGTAGGCCCATCCACAAATATTTCCGACTTCAAAACACTGACACAGCTTTTAGTGCACTCATGGAATTCACTCTCTGCGTTACAGTATATGGTTACTCCTTCATCTTGCCAACAATCATCAGTAACCTCGGTTACACCGCCGCCAACGCCCAAGCTATGACTGCCCCACCTTATATCTTCGCATGCATCGTCACGGTATTCTCGGGCTGGGCGGCGGATCGATACAAACAGAGAATGCTCTCAGTCGTTTTACCCAACACTTTGGCTGCATGGTAGGTTTAAAGGACTATTTGTATCCAAATTGCCAGAATAGCTTGCTGATATTGCGGTCAATTGGTAGCGGCTTTGTCATCATGATGGTGACTTCGCGATACTCTCATCTTCCTGGAGTGACACGTAAGTTCACATTCTGATTTGCTGGAATTTGTCTTCGTCTCACATTCCTGCAGTGCTTGGAGTATTCCTCACCACGGCTGGCCTCTATCCAATCTCTCCAGCCGTTACAGCCTGGATTGCACTCAATTGTGCTGGTTCGATGAAGCGGGCTGTTGGCATTGGGGCCATGATTTCATTCTCTCAACTTGGAGGGGTAAGTAACTCTCTATGGAGTTGCTCATTTGCCCAAAATCTAACCACAAAAATAGATCGTTGGGTCCAATATCTATATAGCAAGTCAATCGCCAACGTACCCCGTTGGTTTTGGGATCTCCCTAGGAATGCTTGTGGCTTTCGGTATTATCTGGCCCATCGTTTACTACTTCATCTTGAAGGGCATTAATAAGAAGCGAGGTGCGATTCCTATTGAGGAGGTTCAGGCCAACTACTCCGAGCAGGAACTTTCAAAGATGGGTGATCGAAGTCCTTTGTTCAGATACTCAACATAAGGGTCACAGAGGTTAGACGAGGCTTGTGGCTAAAACGTCAGCACTTGATTTAGCTAGACTTTATGCTTTGTAAACCCTTTAATAACACTGATACAACAAACCAGAATTGTTTCAAAGTGAAATTGTATACTAGCAAGAGAACAACGTAAGATGTTGTTGATATAATCTCGGGGGTCTCAAGACGGATCGTTGAGACTTAGTAATACCATTTTGAGAGCGCATCCAGCTAAACCGATCTTGGCCGGTCCGCGAGGCGCCAACCTCAGACTTGATTCGAGAATAGCAGGCTGCGGACCCGCAATCAGCTTATAGTCAAAGATCATAATGTATAAGTAACGTCATGCCCCGCAACGAGATACCAGCCACCAACTTTCTAACTGTAGCAAATCGGAGCTTTAAAGGCTTCCCCAAACCAACTCAGGCACTATTTTAGGATTTGAAAATGAGTATGTCTTCTAGCATATCACCAGAAATTCGTCGTAACGGCGGCCGAAGAAGCACAGCTTGTCAGCGTTGCCATAAGCAGAAGGTCAAGTGTTCCCGAGGTAAGTAATAGCTTCAGACAGTTTCTTGTTGCTAGAGAAACCCACTAACAAGTTGAAAAGAAAGACCTTGTCGAAATTGCCAATCAGCCCACGTCGAATGTATCTACTCTGGTCGCGATAGACTACTTACAGTCCCCGAAAGTTATCTGAGGAGCTTAGAGGCAGACAGAAGAAGACTACGCAATAGTTCACAGCCAAGCTCACACACCAGTGCCAGAGATGATGTTGCTTTGATATCGGATAGCAGAAGTCAGGACTACAGCCACCATTCGGTGGAGAACTCGGCAGCTGAAGCATTTCTGGCAAAAGTCAACCAACTCCGACACAACACGACGGTCTCTGGCGCATTCGATCCGTCACCGATCGAGCAAGGTGTTCCTGGCCACTCAGGAGGCTCAGAGATTCAGTCCGCATATGACTACTTCCGCCTCACATTTGACACATCACGTATGAAAACAGCTGCATGAGCCAAGTTGCTGATACTGACAAGGCCAACAGACTCTCCAGTATCTCTCAGCCTCCCCCCCTACCCTTACGCAGATCACTTACTCGAGCAAATGGAGATTTACATGGGCCACGACTATCATTGGTTCTTGAGGCAACGGTTTAGAGAAAGGATGGATGCAACATATAAGACCTCTGGATCATTGGAATCCAAGGATCGACTTTGGCTGTGTCGACTGCTGATTGTTTTTGCACTTGGAGAAACCTTTGTGAACTACCGAACCCCCATTATCAACCTGAGATCAACTACCAACGAACCTAACAATCAAAACAACAATCCAGACCAGACAGCTGAAGCACCCTCACCGCCTCCTCCTGGCACAGCGTTTTTTGAGCAGGCATTAATGCTACTGAAGCTCCCTTATGAGGAGCCTAGCCTTGAGCATATCGAGATCTTGAATCTGGCCGTAAGTAAATTCCAGTGATACACATTCGGGTTTGACTGATAGGATTTCCAAGACATTTTATTCATACTCGCTCAATCGCAAGAAGGCAGCATATATGTATGCAGGGATGAGCGCCAGAATGTGTAATCTGCTTGGGCTGCACCAAGTCCCCGCGAAAGCTTACTCGACATTAGAAAAGGAGCATCGCAAACGAGTCTGCTGGACATCTTATTGCCTAGACAAAATGACCAGCAGTGAGCTTGGACTGTTGCCATCATTCCAGCCAACTCAGATTAAGCTGGACTATCCAAGCGATCAACAGCTTGAGCCAGAGGATGCCGTCCAATTTTACGAGGCAGAGTTCCTCCGCGCACGCATTCAGCTTACTTACATGAAAGCTGAAGCTGATGTGTTTATTGACTTATGGCAGTCTATCCGAGATGACATCCCCGATGGAGAGAGACGAGTCCGACCGATTCTAATCAAGTTGGAAAAATGGCTGGACGAGCTGCCTATGTCCCTGAAGTTCAATTGTGAGGCTGGGATGCCAGAAGAAATGGCGGTTGCGCCAAACATGCGGTCAATGGCCTCGTTATACTTACGATGGCAACAGGCAAGTTGAGACCAACGATGAATCATGTGTTATCATTAAATGCAATGCCGACTGACTCATCATTTTAGTGTTTCATTCTCTTACTTCGACCCTTCTTTCTCAAACAGATTGCATACATCGTGTCGGATGACTTAAGCGACCCATTTCAGAATGGTAACCTGCAAGCCCTCAGCGACACATGTATTCGTGCCGCTCGCTCAAATCTGCTTATCGAGATTGGCCTGTGGCATCGTGAGCGAATAGGTGAGCAAAGGCAAACCACATGAAACGGCTCAATACTTATTGAAAATCCTTGCAACAGCTAAATTTGGATTCTGGGACAGCCTACATCTCTTCTCAAGCTTAACAATATTCTCCTTGGCAATCTCCGTCAACAAGAGACGACCCGCCAGCTTTGACGAGAGCAACGCCGATGCTGCGACTTATAACACTGCTAAAGACTTGCTTCGTGACCTAGTAGAAGCTGGAAATCTGGCCAGTAAAGGACATGAGAGAATGCTGCATGACGTTGAAGCCCTGGGAGAGGTTCTTGGTTCAATGCAGACAAACACCTCTGACTTTATGCTCGAACAGTGGGACATGGATAATTGGATGGCGCAAGTACTAAGCATGGACTCGAGCTCACTGAACTTGTACGACTTCGAGTAGAGGTAGTTTGGCGCTATAGGCACTACAGATAGCTGCCTTGAGTGCTGTCACCCTCGGGGCAAAGGTCTCCACGGGTTATTCGATGTCAAGATCCCTATGAATGCCAGTTTTTCTGAATGTGGAGATTACAAGTAATCATTTTTCGGTCCCTGTTCAGCCGATAGTCAAGTGACCGGCTCGAGGGATTATGGGGTAGCGGAATTACAAATTCCGTGCCTGAGATGACATTCGAATTTAGGTTCAAGTCAGCTGATGACCGAGGTGAGGTTTAAACGAGTCAAGTTAAACGAAACTGAACGAGTATCCCCGCATTACCAGACCACCGGGTTTGTGGGGAGGAGAAGAAATGAGCTCTAGTTAAACCTCTAGCTAGGTTCAAGACACTGTAACCCTAGTCACTCAGACTGCTAGTTTCCAGATCGGAGTAACATAGCCCGAACACGAAAGGCTGGGAGAAAGACATATAATAGGTCAAGTAATCACCATCATGATAGTAATAGAACAAACAGACAACTAATCGAGCCTCGTCGATCGCTTTGACACAATGGTTCACTTCCTTTTTCTCGCGAGCCTTGGCTTGGGCAGTTATGTTCTGGCTGCTCCTAATTATGTCGTTCCTGATGCCCCACCAAAGAATGCTGTTGCAATTGATCCCGCGCCCGTGGGAGCCTCGTAAGTCTGCGAGTGTAAATTGTTATACTGGAATGATCTAACTCTGGACAAGATTTGAGTTTTTCATGTGGCCTTCTTACATGACCAACATATCGTTGACCCTTCCTTGCATTGATCACTTTAATAAGCTGTACAATCGCAAAATGCCTATTCGTATTGGAGGAACAACACAGGACAGAGCGACCTACGATCCCGCTTTTGAAGGTTACGTTTCATACAAAGTCAATGACCCTCTGGAGGCTCCCATGAGTCTGACCTATGGACCAAAGTTCTTTGACTTGATCAGTACGTCGACCTCCTGTATTTTGCCGAAACACATGCTAATTATCTGACCTTGTATAGAAAAGTTTGGGAGCGAGACCGTCCTCGGTATGAAGTTGACTGATGAGAAAGGGATAACACTAACAGAGTCACAGGCTTCAACCGGGCCCTCAATAATAGGACAAATACCTTTGCTGCCATCTTGAAAGCCAAGGAAAAGGTGGCCAAATACCTCTGGGCAATCGAACTCGGAAACGAGCCTGACTGTAGGATCCCTTCCCGACACGCGCTGGGTAACAGAACTGTATTGACTCTTTCTCTAGTGTACTGGAAGTACTGGCAGTACCCAGTAGCCGAAGCTCCCTGGAATGAGACCCAGGAGGGTGATAATGCAGCTGACTGGGCACAAGACTTCATCAATCATTGGAAGAGCCCTCTCCCCATCTTAGCTGGCGGCGGATATGCCATCCCATTTGAGATCGAACCCGATTGGCCTAACCTGCCATATCTCATTGAGAATAGCTACAACAAAACAGTCAAGGATGCTACCAAGGTGTACAATGGCCACTTGTACGCATTTTCTAATGCTACCGCCGATGACTTGGGCCCGGAGATGAAGCATCAGAGAGTTGTCGATGACCTGAACCTGCTGCCAATTTCGAGCGCCAAGGCTGCCGGAAGACCATATATCCTGGGTGAGGCTCAGACTGCTCCTCATATAATCCGTACCTACTAATACACCCACTCAGGCGAGACGGGATTCCATGGGCTCGACTATGAAATGGACTCCACTTTCGGATCGGCCATCCAAACAACTGACAAGACCCTTCGTGCATTGTCTCTTGGTATTCAACGGCTGTTCTATCACCAAGGCACAATCGACCAAGGTAAGTTCAATCCAAGCTTGAGATTATCATGCATTTCTGACTGACCTTGAAGCCTTCTTCAACTGGTGGTGGAGTGATCGGGTCAACGCCCCTTTCTACGGTGCCTACTTTGGGGCGCTTGCTGCGGCCGGAGGAGACTCCATCGTTGCCAGCGACGATGGCACTGACCCCTATGCTCAATACATCGTTTACAGACGTGGCAAAGCATTCAAGGCCGTCCTGATTAACACGGATTACTACTCTGGTAGTGGCAAGCGCTCTGAAACCAAGTTCACTCTCACTGGACTGAAGAGCAATTCGGTCAAGGCTCTCCGCATGACCGGCCCGAGTAGCGAAACAACTATTCCTATCACGCAAACAAAGTCATCTCCGCAGCCTAGCATCGGAGGTATGTACTCATCCTCTATGTTAGGAATCTTGGCTAACTAACCTGTACAGGCCAATCCTTTTCAAACAAGAATTGCGAATTGGGCGGAAAGCAGAACACTGAAAAGCTTTCAGTCAAGAAAGGAAAGCTCGAGGTAACCCTCAAGGCTTCCGAAGCCCTGATTGTGTATCTGTAAATGAGGAAGTATCATTAGAGTATCAACCCATAGCGACGGATAAAATCTCATAGCCCTACTCTACTCCCTACTTCATTTATGTGATTTCATTTCATTGAGCTTTTACAACCGGGCCAACTTCTTCTGCTGTTTAGCAATCATATCCTGCAGGATTTCCTCGCTCCCACCAGAAACCACCAAGACCCTGACATCCCTACTAATCTGTTCGACCCGGCCTCCAGCACCTACACGAGAATAGCTAAGTCCACCAAATATCTGTTGAGCCTCACGGGAGATTGTCTCGAGGTTATGAGCTGCTTGCATCTTGAGCAGGGCAGCCCATGGTGAAAACTCAAGAGCCGACACAAGAGCTGAGTGGCGTACCAAGTCCTCCATCAGATGATGGACAGACTCTATCAACCCACTCATTCTGCTGAACTTGAGCCGGATAGCCTGGTTCTCGAAGAGTTTCTTGCCAAAGGTTTCTCGACGAAGAGCATATCGGTAGCTGTCTTCCAAAGCTACTCTAGACAGACGCAAGGCTGTTATTCCAACCCAGAGACGTTCGTGCGTAAAAGCTAAGCATTAAGGGTCAGTTTAGCTCTCATGACAGAAGTACTTGACTTAATGGACATGATAATCTCGAAACCTTGCCCTTCAGAAACTCGGTAATTGACTTGGCTGTACCAGCAGATACCTCGACTCCCTTCCTGGGCACCACATAAGCACGAACTAAATCGGACGAGGCTTCCTCGCTCCAAATACCGCACACGGCTACCTCTTCAACATCCGAATGACGAACCAGTATCTCTTCGAGCTCAACGGGTGACACCTGAAACCTGATCGAGATGCGTAAGCGATACCTCTCCAACATAGGCTAGATGGGTAAACTCACCCATTGTACTTGATTGTATCTTTCAACCAATCCTTAACGACTAGGAAGCCCTTGGCATCGATGTAACCTAGGTCTCCTGTTCTGTACCAGCCACCTTCAAGCATATCTTTTGCAGTTGCTCCCGCATCTCCAAGATATCCCCCAGGTCACTGTCAGCAGCTGTTGTGAAGACGAGACAGTATGATACTGTTTACATCATGACATTGGAACCTCTTAGTGTGATTTCTCCTGGTATGTTAGGTCCTACGTCGTTGCCTTGCTCATCGAGAAACCTCATGTCGATATTTGCAATTGCTTTCCCTGTGGCATTGGATGGCATATCCTTGTCTCGCACACCACTTTGAACACATGCACCAGAAGCCTCTGTGCATCCGTACGCTTTCAATCGTGAGTTGGTCGGAAATAGGACGAGGGAGATAAGGATAGAATGCTTACTTTGACATAGCATGACGTTAGGGAATGCGTTCCTCAACTTCGAAGCTACTTTATCCTATGCGGACATGAGTTATTATGAAGCAGATCCAAGATGGTAGGCATACGCTAAGAGGCGCCGCAGAGCATGAAAAATATTCGAGACACGAAAAGTCGTATAGCCTGACTTGGGGACTTTCTGCGAGAAGTTTTGCAACCGGGGGTACTAGCCGCGCTAAAGTCGCTTTGCGTGTTGACATTAATCGAATAAAGATTTCTAGATCGAATCGTGGTAATAGACAAACGTAGTATCCCAACCACGGAGCGCCATTTATGACGGTGTAGGTAGCATAGATGTGAGAGAGGGGGGGGGGGAAGAATACCTCACGCATATCGTGACGCCAATTCTGTGGGTTATCTGCACGTAATTGGTAATTAATGGCGATAAGGTTATGGTGGGATATCATGACAGCCTTGGAACGACCCGTGGTGCCACTGGAGAGAACTATTGCTCCGAGGACGTCCCTATTGTCCCCTCCCTTCAGAGAGTAGGGGCTGAAATGTGGATGATGGATCTTCTTTGATGGTGGTTCTTTCGAATGAGAACATGTACGTGTATGATCGATAGGAATAATGCGACAGGCTGAAGTTTATATCGATGACATTCGCAAGCTATTGGACGCTTTATCAATGATTGAAGGCCCAGCAAGAATAACCTTTGGTTGAACCAAGTTCAATGCATATGTCATGTCCTTCGGCGACACGGCATAGTTGACCAGTGACACCACCCCGCCGAGCCACCAGATAGCATGGGCGGCGACAATGTAGTCAATGCAGCTTGGAGATGTTATTGTGACTACGTCTTCAGGATCAACAACGAGACCGTGCTTGAGCCAACAAGCCGTCTGAAGAACATGACCTTTAAAAGCATGATAGGTTATGGTCTTTTCTGTGATTGCTTCCTCGAATATTATCTTGTCTCTGGGAATAGGCACTGCAGGCTTTAGAAGAAATGCTTCAGATACTGAAATATCAATAGGAATGTGCACATGAGCCTTCGATCGATAAATGCGGGACATGACGGTGATCAGGTGCAGGAAATTGAAGATGATTGTCGGGGCCTTCATGGATCATGGGGGTCATCACATACTATAACTCCCTTATCAAGAAAATGTATTACGGAAATAGGTCAAAACGTAAATTTCTCATGATTTAACATAGTTTGAACAGTTCCACGGAAGATATTTAGCTTGTGAGCCCAGTCATCAGTTCCGCCGAGAATTCCACGGAATTGCTACAAGACAGAGTATCCACTATGTATCTATGAAAAAGAGCGGCATCACAGCAGGAAAGCCAAGGAGTTACTATACTCAGTTTCCGTTCAAATAAACTTCATTGCATTATTATCTTGAAGGACTATATGGCGGAAGTACATCCTCAAGTAGTTGAGGCTCTCGGCTGTAAGGTATCTTCCCAAGTTAGCATTTCAAGTTCCCAAGAGAATTATAAATCGTGCACTTACGCAACGCAGTTGACCATTGTCTGCCATATTATCCAATCCTTTGGCTGCTATCTGGAGTGGTATTACAAGAGAGATCGTAGTGCCATGAGTGCCTATGGCTAAGGTGAGTCTAATCCGGTAGGTTCGGCTGATCAGACAGGAATAAAAGGTAGGAAGGAACATTGACTTCTTGGTAGGAAGCTTGAATGACTGTAGAATGGTAGCCCTGTATGCAGGAGATCTGGACGAGTCAAAGTCCCCATGGGAGGCACACGAAGCTGAACGTGGTAAGGCCTGGGTTTCTGCGCAGTCTCGAATAGTTTGCATGGGCTCTGAAAACCTTCTCTCTGATCCTTTCTCTGGATCGAGTTGTTGGCCCTTCTGCCAGCTTACCCTTTCTCGATCAGTGAGAACAAGTGCATGTGAAGTTGACCAGGGTGCTGTTGGAGCAGCTGAATTTGATGGTTTCTGATGGTGATCCGGTAGATAGCCGTCCAGACCGAGCCAGAAATTTGTAAATGTTTCGATGGTGGCTGATTTAACGCGCATTTCGGGTGGTGCTGCACTGAGTGATACCGGAATGTATTCCAGATTGATAGGTATTTGAGATCCGGAAGCGTTGAGTCCATCTAAGCAGAGTACGATTGGTCTCGGCTGAGTGGCCGAAGCCCGAACAAGTCCCATCTTTGTGCCTATGACACCTTTTCTGATCGTCTTACTCTGAGACAGGCAGTACTCTGAGTTTTCAGGACTGACGTGAAGTGGAGGTTGCTCAGGAAGAGCTGGAATAACCTTGACGGAACGACTCTGGTCGAGATACTGTTCCTCTCCTCGTTTGTTCTTGCTCAACACAAGTCGCGCCCTGATCACATAATCGACATGTGCAGAGCCACCTGCTAGATCGTCATGGTCCCAAACACCCATGCTTGGTGGTGGCCGCAAGTGTCGCTCCCTGACTGCTATGTTCTGGTGGTGGCATGCGGTGGGAGAGAGTTGCTCGGGAATCACGAACCGAAACGGAACGTGGTACAATTGTCCAGGCTCAAGTGACTGATTGATGGGCAGAGCCGATGCAGATATTGGCATCTGTAGCTGCATAAAGGTATGGGTATTGAAAGGTGTACCATACTGGAATGCGTGACCACAGGTTGAAGTGATGCCTCTTAGATCAATCTGAAGAGACTGAAAAGGGAGATAGTTTTGGGATGTTATTGTGACAAAACCCGAGATTGTAGAACCGAAAGTATAGATTTTGGACTCGTAATGCCCATCAATGTTGATTTGAAGAATAGGATCCTCACTCACGCGTGACTGAAGCAAGCATCGCGAAAGCATGATGGAAGCAATATGAAGGTTTTCGGTTTCTCGTGTCTTGGTTTTAGATACAGGTTTTCCTTGACTACCAAAGCCTGGCTCCTCTCAAACCTATATATAACAAGCTGGCCACTACCCTTGTATTGCACGTTCATAAGCAAATGACGCCCTTCATGATTCTGTTCAAGTCCCTCTGGGTTGACGCAGACTGTTTGATTGGAGGTTACGCCGTGGTTTGAGAAGCGCTAGTTGGATGGCTTTGCCGTGCTGGCTTAAAACTCGCCGTGATTGGTTCATTTCCCCGAGGGACGGAATGATTATCGACATTGATTGGTTGCTTATGCCGAGACTCAAGATAAACAGTTAGAATTCGATGTAAAGATGACAAATACGGCTAAATCACACTTTTAGAATTACTCTCTGTTGCTTTACTACTGGAATTGTAATTATCACTACCTTTTCAAATTTCAGGTTGCTATAACGAGGATCTGAGCTTAATCGATACGAGATTAGCCACATTACCTCGCTGCGCCACTATTACGCCACACATCTGAGGAATGCTGATTACGGCGACTAAACGAGATTGGACGGACAAATGACTCTTGTTCTCAACTTTGTCATCATTGCACAATACTACGAAAATCAGTGACAGAAAGCTGGACACCCCAACACAATCATTGGCCGAAAAGCCTATCTACGCTCTTCTCAAAGCTGTTCCCAAATGCCTTGCCATCGACCAAGATCCCAGAATATCGCGGCCAAGAGGTCACAATTGCCTCGCGTAGATGGACCTACCAGTGAGTTCACCTACAGTCGTTTCTTCTCATGCATCACTACTAATGACCGTTGATTCAAGGGCGTGCTTGCATCAACTGTCGCCAAAGAAAGATCCGCTGCGATATTGTCGACAAAGGCGTTCCCTGTACAAACTGCAGCACTCATAGTCGAACAGGATGTCGTATGTGTCCCAACAAAAAGGACGCGAGGCCGTCTTCAAATCGGCCAGCTATTCTTGCTCCTCTCCGTCCCCGTGAATCGACAGACTCACCAGCGGCTCCATCACCTGTAGTTACCGAGACAGCCTCCACTGCAAAAGAAGACGGCGAGCAAGATCTCGGATCTCATCTCCTGAATTGCAATGACAAATCATGGGTCGAGCTTGGCCATCGAACTCGCTCACACTTCATTGGGTCTGAACTTTCTAACTGTCACTATCTTGTTCGGCAGAGCTCTTCCGAGATAGGCATTGACAAAGTGTTTCACTTCAGCAATGGCCAGTTGGATTCCTCAGAGAATTGGTATGAAGCACATAACATTCCAGATGAGATTCTTATACGGCCAGATAAGTTGCTTGAAACCAGGCTTATCAGAGTGTATTTTGATCTCGTCAATCGTGGATGGCCAATAGTGGACGAGGAGTTATTCATGTCACAATATGAGGGTCAGGATAGGATGAATCCGCTGTGCCTGACGCTTCTCAACGCTATATTACTCGTGGGAGCTCACGCCCTGTCATCTCAAGATGAGAGCATGCTTCCTCTGCTTCCTGCGTTCTTCCGAAGAGCGAAGTATCTCGTATTGAGTGATTCATGGCACGATAGGCTTGTTTATATCCAAGTACCGCTCTTGCTGACATGGTATTCTGACGCCAACGCTTGGCATTGGATTGGGATTGCTACCAGAACAGCAATGGCTATGGGACTCCATCGCGATGCTAGTCACTCAACGATGCCACCAGTCTACAAACGCAAGTATGTTCGACTCTGGTGGGTTCTCTTCCAGTTCGACACAATTTCAGCGACCTCAGCAGGTCGGCCTCAAGTCATGTGAGTCTGCAACATAGTTCTCACTCCCTAAGACATGCCTACTAACTGTGTCAGAAACCTGTGGGATTCTGATGTACCAGAATTACAGCATGCTGACCTTGAAGGCATTCCTGGAGCAGAATTCGACTTTATAATCCAACACATCAAGCTGTGCAAGGTCATCTCACAAACTATAAGAGATGGTTGGTCACCTCGAGCTTCCATGGAGGCACGAGTTGAGGCTATTAAGAGAGCAGATGAATCTCTGGGGCATCTCATGCTTGAGCTTCCACCGAGGCTGCAACTGAAACTTTCCGGTCTTGATATCTGGCAGTCTCTATTTCACCTGACTCATCACAACTTCATTCTGTTGATCCACCGCCCAGCACCAAATCCCGGCACAAAGGATCAATCTCCAGAGGCGAACGATGATGCTATCCTTTGCAGGGAAGCAACAGTAGCGATTGCATCTGTTTTCGAAGTCTTACTCAGCAAAAGGATGATCTCTTCATTATGGCTATACAGCAACCATGTTCTGTTCACTGCAACTATCTACATCCTGAATCAGATCAGCACTAGCAAACCACTGTTGGCTGCCAAGTCTCGGCATATACTGGACACGTTTCTTGCGACGTTGCGGGAGCTAGCAAAGTATTGGACTTACGCGAAAGGGCTACTGCAGGTCCTTGAACAGAGGGCTTCCAAGATCAGGGATGAGAGAGCTGATAAGCCGTCGACAAGAATTCAATACACTGCAACATCTGGGCAGCATGGTCGCCAACCCATTGACCCTCATATTAACTTGCCAGATGGAGCATCACCATTTGAGCAGCAAAGAGAGGATTCATCGGCGTGGAGTAATCAGGAAGGTCAAACACCGAATGCAGGCTTGGCTGACCTTAGTTCAAACCCTCATGCCACAGCTGCTGACTTTTATCCAAGCACAGGCTTTCTAGGGTCCAGCCAAGACCCTTTATTAGATGACTTATTTATGATAGACACTTCTGCGCTTGATCTTTTCTTCTACGAAAACACTCAATAGAAAGTTACAAAGAGATATAGATAATAAAGACTGGATCGCTGAACTTCTATCTTCAAGAGTTTTTGTTGCTGTCTATAGCTGGGGCAAATATTGTAAATACATTAGTAGCACCATATCAGTGGCATCAAAGAGTCATCATATCGGACATCTCTGCAACAGGACCCATCGAAGGATGATATGTAGTTGGCCTTCCATGCATGACCCTTTGCCATGATGGGCTCTTTTCTTTCACCTTAGCCCAACGCTGCAACTCTGGAGGTACAAGATCATCGTTTCCAACTTCCAGACAGCGCAAGGTAAAAGGGAGCAGATGACTATCGAGGATGGTTGGTCCAATATCCGAGCCAAAAGTCCATTCATCATGTTTCTCGTAGGAACTACTTTGTCTGCGATGCTCGACAACCTCTTCAAAGATAGCCTTGAGATCCGCACGATGCTTAGCTACAACATCAGGTTGAAAGGCTACCGCGTTATGCTGGTTATGACTTAAGGGTCGTGTAAGTACAAGCGATGTTTTAGCTGATGAAGGATAACTGACAAGGCAAGCTTGGCTTCCAAAGCGGCGCGATATTGCGGACTGATATCTGTCCTTTGGAGTATCTTTTCGACTGGCGAAGGATTTCGCTGAGTCATCTCTGGCGTCGGATTCGGGTTGCTAATTGATAGCCCATATACAGAATGCAGCCTTTCAAAGAGATCCCTGACAACATACTCATGTTTGGCTCCTAGCATGGCAGGGTAGTGCTTCTCTGCCAGATGGAGGGATATGGCACGACTCTCAGTAAGTGTTTCTCTGAGAAAGTTACCCTTCATAGCCGGAACTTGACCTCTTGGGTTCACGTTGATCAAGTAATCTTCACTGAGATTTTCATGAGCCTTGTGGTTAATGAAGTGCAGAGTGATGCTTTTGGGTGGGGCTGCGCCATGAGTCGTCGGGCCAAGTTGGATTGTATGACGGGCCATCATTGAGTAGAGAGAGAAGGGGGATGAATAGAGAGTGTACTCGGCGTTCTTCCAGTCTGTCATGGTTGCAGCTGTTCTGACAATAGACAAGTGTATCGCAATGAGGTTATTGATGAGCTATAACTCTTGAACACTGAGCTTTTGGGTAGTAACGTATGTGAGTCTTGCGGGAGGGGAAGATCAAGCAATCAGGTGATCCAAGCCAAATAAGTGCCAAAAGAAGTACACTGAATGCAGTGGAACAAACACTCGCGACCTTTTTCCAAAAACAGATAGATAGGCATGCAGATCGCACGATATTGTTACCATTCATTCCCGTAGGCAACTAAAACTTGTTTGTCATGAGTTGTTACTAGAACGTACCTTGTTCAATGGTGCCGATATACCCGAGATGGCATGCAACCAACAGTGATAAGCATGCGCCGTAATCTTTTTGCGCACATCGGCAAGCAAACATCGACCAACCACCAATCAGATATTGAAAGTCATCGGACTTGTAATGATAACCGAAAATCGGAGGTCGTTGCCTCCCCCACTCCAGGATCACATCATTTGCAGGGAAGGCAAACAACCTTGACGTAGCAAGGCGTATCAAGTACCTCATAAGCTCTATGTCAATGGTAGTGTGAGAGTAACTGGATAACGTCAATATCTATAGACATGAACGGGAACCATAGGATACAATAAGATTAGTGAGATACTGCTCAACTCAATAGCCTACTAATGCCAATAATTGTTGACGTTGCCCTTGGTGATCAACCACGCTCTGTCCAGAGCATCCACAACTTCCTTAGGTAAAGGACCCTTCTCCAGAAGGTTCAAGTTTTGCTCCAACTGACTCTTGCTGCTTGCTCCAATAATGACCGAATCACCTCGCTCAGGGTCTAGTTGCGAATGGTGTTCAATCCAGCGGAAAGCACAATCCATCTCTGTAAGCCCATGTTTTCCAGCTTCATCCCTAATCAGCTCAACCGCATCGAAAATAACATCGTTCCAGAATCGCCGTCTGTACTTGCGACCTTGGAAAGTGTTTGGATCGAAGCGGGACATGGATTCAATGTCTGTATCCTGAGTGTCACGCTTGTACCGACCAGTTAGCTGACTGCCCGCCAGAGGGCTGAAAGCATAGAATGTAATGCCGTAGTGTCTCAGACAAGGAAACAACTCCATTTCAACTGTTCGGTGGATGGCGTTATATACTCCCTGGTAAACTGTAGGTCGAATCCACCCTTCTCGGATACACAGCTCGCTGATGTAGGCAACCTCCCAGGCCATGTAGTTACTGAGCCCGAGCCTGTTGAACTTTCCTTCCTTGTGTAGTTCATTGCAGGCTCTCAGAGTCTCCTCAAATGGCGTGTTGCGGTCTGGTCCATGGAGATACCAGAGATCTATCTTGCCTGTCTTGAGCGCGTTGAGGGACTCATCAAGGTGCTTCCGAAGATCATCGGCAGAATGAGTAATTTTCCCGGTTCCGTCGTGGATGTTAGGGTATAGCTTGGTGTCAACTCGAAGACCTCGATCTTGCCAATCCAGCTGTCCAAGATATTCCTCGGACGAACCTTGGGCATACACACGAGCTGTATCGACAACTGTACCGCCGTGTTCTTGGAAAAGATCCAGCATAGCACCAGCTTCCTTAAGATCGTGAATACGCGCTTGCTCGACACCTACACATATTAATAAGATTATTTTCTCTGTTACAAGGCCATCTTACCCTCTCGTCCAAATGTCATGGCACCAAAAATAACTGGTACACGGGCTTTTTGTTTAACAGGCATTGTGAAAAGAGGTGGTAATGAACACTGTAGTGTGAATGATAAAGGTGAAGAAGCGACTCAAAGTTGAGAATTGTAAGATGATTTACTAAGGTTGAGGATCTCTCTGGCCTTTTAATACAGGAGTGAACAGAACATGGGTCCTCTCTTAACCCTATTTCCGCTGAGCTGGTACTGTACCAATAGACAAAGGGCGCGTGGCAAAACCCCTCACTGCGGCCTGCATACTAGTACTGTTTGTTTGTAGATCAGCCCTTGCTTCACTGTAATAGTGCGGGGTGTAAATGATCATAGAGTCGGCCATATCATTCATCAGTAGATAAGGGATTAAGCTGCGATGATCATATAATATTGAAAAGGTTGCACTAGGACACATATGTCTCTCAATATTGTTTTTTAATCTTTCAACAGAATGACCTAAAGTTTAGAGAGATAGCGCAAAAGAATTCTAAATTCTACAGGAGCATAATGGAGTTTAGAAGGGCTATTAATTTCATTATTTCAATTTCAGACTAAATAATGGATCTTCGAACGAGAAGTTCATCTACTTGGTAAAATGGGAGATGAATGCATCGCGCAACTCAAATGGGTGTTCCGAAGGACGAGGCAAATCCTTCGAGACATCCTGATTGACAACAACAACAATCAGAGCAGTCTTTTCAGCCCACTCAAAGGCCTGAATAAGGCCCTCAGCACTATCCACAAAGAACTTCTGCTTGTAAGGCAAGCTTCCACATAATGAAAGAAGGTTGTTGGTGCTGATTGGGATAGGCTGGTTTCCAGTTGAACAATGTATACCGTTGTGAATCACAACATGGATCAACTTGTCCGAGGCTTGAGCAGCCAAGACGGCCACATTGCCTACGTGCATCAAGAATGAACCGTCACCTTCAACGCAGACGACACGGCCTCTGTGATGACCAATCTGAACACCAAAAGCGAGAGGGTATGTATGACCCATGGCTCCGATGGACAAGAATGCACGAGACAGATCCTCTTTGTTCTCCTTTCGGACCATGTAAATCTCTCGAGAATTACCTCCAACAGAAGATACGGTAACATCTGATGGATAGAGCCTCTTGAGAAGGATTCTAATGGAATGTTCCCGTGACAGAGGGGGATGACCTTCAGATGAACGCCAATCTTCAGGCCTAGCTGTATGTTTGGCTAGGTTGGTAACAGTTGGCTGCCAAATGCCATTGCTCTCTGCCTGCTCAGGATGGTATGCAGCGAATCTGTGGTTGGGAATGACAAGAGCAACTGGAGTGTGACCCTCCTTGGCGGCTTTGATGAGCCTTGCAACGGCATTCTTGGTTTCTTCAAGAGTGTCTGGCAGAATCTCATAAGGAAAACCTTGTGACTCCAAGGTCTCCAGCGTGCGAGGGCCTGCCAAGAGGTGTTCTGGCTCGTCATGCTCTCCTGGTCGTCCTCTCCAGCCGACCATCAGTAGCATGGGAATCCCAAACACTTCTTTGGCGGCCAAAGACTGCAAAGGGTTCAAGGCATTTGCAAGACCCGAGTTCTGCATGTATGCAACAGCAAGATTCTGGGTGGACAGATAGTAGCCAGCAGCCAGCGCAACAGCAGCGCCTTCACTTGCTGTGACAATCTGTTCTGGAGACTTTTTGGTCGCATACAAATATGCTAGAAATCCCTTCAAACAAGAGTCAGGGACACCAAAGGCATGAGTGATCCCATTTCCGACGAGTGCCTGCTCGTAGAACAAACGAGGATCAAGAGTAGCCATAGTGATTGTAGAGTGTAAGCAGCTGTAGGGACTTTGAAAAAGTTATAATAGATATTTGCTTTTGCAGAAGGTTTGAAGATGAGGCGATGATGGAAGTGCTTGAGATATTGGCTGCTGTGAAGGTATATCGAGTGATCTCTTCTCCTGACCAAGGCAGACCACGTTTCGGGCATATGGAATCAACACGAACCCACAAACTTGGAAATTCCGCACCTCCAACACAGTGTAACCATGATCATGCGACGACTTGCCTTTTCCAGATAGTATTCTTACACATAGTAAACCCACGCCTGCTTTCAACAACGGTTATCAGCTCTTCTGCAATACTACCGTGATACATGCCGAGATGACGTGGCCTGATTGTTGAAAGCACTTGATGAGTGTTACTGGCTGAGAAAGTACTCAAGTGTAGCTCTTTACTGTGACTGGTAACCATAAACCTTTTGTGATACTTTGAACACAAGTTTCAAAGTGATGGTCCGAGCGTACAAGGATCATCGGTACATCATAACATCAGGAAATACAAGTACAAATAAGGGTGTCAATGTCAAAGATTACGAAAATACAACATAAGCTTTCTGACAAGCATGATAAGCAATGGAAAGGATATGTCGTATCAGGAAACAACTGAGAGTAGATCAATGGTTTCATGGGGTTATGCATCAGTAACGGGGATAATGGCATCATTGGCAGGATTTTGAACATATCAAATCTTGATTGGAGTATCTACGCAACCAAGTGCCTGTCCTGCGGTCTTACCATGCATGTATGTGCCCCAATTCGGGGTTGTAAACCACTGAAGCGTTTCCCCGCTTATCATTGTGAGGCGGATTTACCTTCGAGAGGGGCCGGAGCGGACGTCCGTGTGTTAGTGGGTTCGGTGTATTTTGTCCCCGGCTAAACCCCAGACCAAGAAAACAGGGGTCTAATTGCATAAGTCTTCCTCTCAATGCTTTGACACTGTCAACATCCGCACGGCTTATGCACTTGTCCTGCAAGACTGCGGGTACGGCTCGCAAACCCTGGCCTCAGCTGCTACCCGGCACTATCTTATGCTTCTTTCACTTGCCGCCCCTAAGTACGTCCGTGCCGAGATATCCGCGAGATGCGCGTTCTTCACGTTGCATTTTACTAACCCTACACCTGCACCTCCTATACGAATAGTGGGGGAGGGATGAAACCATCACGATTCATGTCAGCGATAGCATCGGCATCCTCGTTCTATACGGGTGAGCCCACGAAAGGATCCGCTGTCCAGATGATGCTACAAGACCGGCTGTGGGTTGAGCATGGCTTGTATCCTCAGAGGTCCGCACCTCGGGGAGCTCACCAAATCTGGCAAAGCATTTGCGTTCCCTTGCCAGGTTGGCTCAGACTGAGATTTCTCGAGAGAGAAGCATGTTATTTTATCGAAGTGCGTACAGTGGCTTATCCAACGGTGGCTCACTCCGTAATTTGCATCATTACGGTAACACACGGCGTTTTGTCTCCCAGTCTGTCTCGTCAGTTGCTTGATACATCGAATATCATAATGTTACGATACCTGCTCGCTGTAGTAGTATTTATAGGTGCAGCTCAAGGTTTGTTTCACTTTATGCGCTTATAAATGAATTATATAGGCTAATTCATGTAATAGGTGAGCCATCGATATCGACTGTTGTGCAGTCCAAGACGGCCTCTCCTGAGATTGCCGTCGCTCCCAGCCTGACGCCAACATTCCGGGACCCTCATGCACCCAATCCACAGAAATGCCCCGGCTATAAGGCCACAAATATCAAGAGAGATCTCAAAGGTGTGAAGGCAGACCTGATCATTGCTGGACCTGATTGTCAGGCTTTGTATGTATTCAATTCATTCGGCGGAACACTACTCTGATTAGATCTAGTGGTAACGATATTCGTGACCTGGTACTTGAGGTTCAATATCAGACAAAAGAGCGGTTGAATGTCAAGATATTTCCCAAGTATCTGTCTGAACAGAACAGAACTCAGTATGTCCTACCAGACTCGATTGTATTTGAGCCTGAGCGGGACAAAAAAACGACGATCTCGAATAGTGACCTCAGATTCGAGTGGACGTGAGTTACTCATTTGCGCTGCTAGAAGCTTCTTCGGAGCTGATCCATTTCCTATAGTAATTCTCCAAGCTTTCAATTCAAGATCACCCGAAGCTGTACTAGGGAGGTCCTCTTTTCAACGTATGGCCATGCTATCGTTTTTGAGGACCAGTTCATTGAATTGGTAACCAACATGGAACCTGACTATAATGTCTATGGATTAGGTACGAAAAAAGGCAAGATATATAACCAAGCTAACATTTGTACTAGCGGAGAACATACATGATTTCCACCTAGGGCAAAATTTCACACAAACTTTCTGGACCAATGACGCTGGCATTGAGCACGGCAACCCCATCGATGGTAATATCTATGGTGTGCATCCCTTCTACCAGGAGAGTAGATATAACAAGGGCAGCAACACCACTTCGCACGGTGTGTATGCACGTAATGCCCATGGCCAGGAATGGCTTCTGAGACCTGAGACTTTGACATACCGCACTATCGGTGGAAGTATTGATCTCTACTTCTTGAGCGGCCAGAATAAGCAAGGAGGGTCTACAGCTATTGAGACCATGCGTCAGTATCATACTGGCTGTGTGGGTCTACCTGCAATGCAGATGTTCTGGACACTTGGTTTTCATCAATGTCGATTGGGATATGACACCCTTGACAAGATTGAAGCGGTCGTCGAGAATTACAGGGCCGCTGATATCCCCCTTGAGGCTATTTGGTCAGACTTTGACATGTTTGATGGCTTCCGCAGCTTCGCCAATAATCCCGTTACCTTTCCACCTGATCGCATGTCGAAATGGGTAGACTGGCTTCATGAGAATGAGCAGTATTATGTTCCACTTGTGTGGGCCAACATCTACCGCCCAAATCCTGATGACCCGAAGGATACCTATGGTCCTTATGAACGAGGTGCCAAGCTGAAAGCCTTCATCAGAGATCCAGAGTCGAGCGACTTCTACACAGGCAACAACTGGCCTGGGTTTGTTGTCTGGGGAGACTTCATGCTGCCTGAGACACATAAATGGTGGGCTGAAGAGCTCAAGATATGGTACGACAGTGTGCCTTATGATGGAATGCTCTCTGATCTCACAGAACCTGCTTCATACTGCGTGGGACCCTGCGGAAATAGCCGTCTTGATATGAATCCAGTTCATGTCCCGTTCTTGATTCCTGGAGAGAAGCTCAACATGTTCTATGAGTATCCAGATGGATTCAGTGTGACCAACGACTCTGAGGCTCAAATGGCAAAAGAACTTGCGGCCAATCAGTCAGCGGAACTTGAGGCCACTCATGTCTTCCAAGTACCCGCTACAAGCACGCTAGGACGCACAGAGCCAACACCAGGTGTGAGAAACCTCACTTATCCACCTTATGTCCTTAACAAGTAAGTATATACTCGTCCCATTCTTGACAGGATGGTATGGCTGACATTTATCTCAGTCTGCAACCAGGCCACTCCATCAGGAGAATGACCATTTCTCCAGATGCAACTCACAATGATGAGTGGAACACCACTGAGTATCAGATGCACAATCTGTTTGGCAACCAGATCTCCAATGCGACCTATCATGGATTGCTTGAGTTGTTCCCTGGTCGTCGTCCTTTCAATATCGCCCGTGGCAATTTTGCTGGCATTGGCCGATATGCTACGAGATGGGGAGGTGATAACTCATCAAAATGGGGCAGTATGTTCCTATCCATATCACATGCCCTGACACACATGATGGCTGGAATTCCCATGTTTGGAGTTGACATCTGTGGTTACTCCCATAACGCCAGCTTTGACCTTTGTGCTCGATGGATGTCTCTGGGTGCTTTCATGCCCTTTTACCGCAATCACAATATGGGCGGCACGATATCCCAAGAGGCTTTTGTCTGGTCATCTGTTGCCGAGGCTTCACGTCGAGCTATAGCGATAAGATACAGCCTTCTCAACTACATCTACACTTTGTTTTACTACGCCAATACCAAGGGCGACCTTGTGATGAGGGCTTTGGCATGGGAGTTCCCAAACGACGAAAGCCTCAAGGCCACCTATTCGCAATTCTTGCTGGGGCCCTCTCTTCTAGTAACACCCGTGCTCACCCCGAACTCCAACACAGTCAGGGGCGTGTTTCCTGGGATTGGAAAAGGAACACGATGGTATGACTGGTACACATTAAACGAAGTCCATGCCAAGCCTCACGAGAACGTCACTCTTGATGCTCCCCTGGAACATATAAATCTTCATATGAGAGGGGGCACGGTATTCACATTACAAAAACCAGGAAATACAACAGCAGCGACCCGGAGAAACCCATTCTCACTTCTTTTGGCTCTGGACGATAATGAATATGCAGAAGGAAGTGTGTACTTTGATGATGGTGTTAGCCTCGAACCAGAAGCCACTAAGACAGTCTCTGTAAGTAAATGTCCATTAGTCTCAATTTGTGAGGTCGCTACTGATCTCACTCTGCAGTATACTTTTAGGAAGGGAGTCTTGAGGGCGGACACCCACGGTGACTACGAAGTCAATCCTCCTCTTGTAAACATAACTGTTGCTGGCCTTCGCAAGGAGCCCAAGAGCGTTGAGTTCCATTCTAATCAAGGGAAGCAAAAAGGTTTCTTACCCAAGCTTGAGTACAGTAACGGCACAGCATATGTAACAGAGCTGGAACAAGTTACACAGAACGGGGCCTTTAGATATGACTTTCAGGTTACATTTAAGTACTAAAGCTGAATTAAAGAAGCTTTTGGAGATATCACCAAGTTCTTTGTGGTAATTATAAGCTCTCAGCCACAGGTCTCAAATGCAAAGAACACATCCTTGGAGACATCAATTTGCCAACTCGTGTTTAAGACCTGATATCGTCCTACTTTATTGATGGGTTATGTGCTGCTAATACTTAAGGCTGTGAGGCTTTCCTCACCACTTAGCTTGTCAGTACCAATAGGTAAAGCTGTACGTATTATGCTCAGATAAAGAGAGTGTTTCGATATAAATGCCCTTAGACTTATTCATTCTTTGTTATACGTAAATATCTATGAGTGAAGTCAATTCATAGCGGACCGCCATTTCTCAATTACGCCGTCCAAAAGTCCAAGACTCAGGCCACCAACTCCATACCACAACCCAGCCTCCAGCAAGAGATACAAGTCCGGTAAATATAATAAGAGGCCCATAAGTGCTGCCATACCCAAAGTGCTGGCAGTCAGAAATTGTGCCAGCATTGATTAGCCAGACACTCGCTGCACCTCCAACCAGATACCCTACTCCTCTGACACCGTTTATTAAACCGTATATCAGCCCAGCATCGATGGACTCTCCCCTCCCTGCGGAGTCACTCTCCATCTGCTTAAGGATTCCTCCCCAGGTGGCACTGTAGCCACTGGAGAAGAAGCCAAACGTGATAGAGAAGAGAACAAGGAGAAAGACACCTCCCTGCGTAGTATTTCCCCAGAAAAGAAACACTGCTAATCCGCTAGTAATGCATGGAATTGCTGACACTACTTGCGCTGATAGGACAATGTGTTTGTTGTCACTGAGCCATCCGAAAAAGGCAGAAGCAAGGATGCCTACGGCGTTCTGTAGAGCCAAGACAACAGTTGCCATAGTCTCCGATAACAAACTAAAGTCTTGGGCATAAGTACCCAAATACGTCTGCGGCAAACCATAACCAGTGCCTTGGAAGAAGACAGCAATGCCATAGAAGTATATAGCGGGGTGCTTGAGAAAGTCCCAAGGGATGTTTCTTTCGGGTGTCTTATGCATAGCAATTCTTGAGGGAGGAATAGGAACAAGGCTGATACTGAGAATGCTAGCTGCGCCGACGAACACCGCCCAAGCATTCATAGTTGTTCGGAAGCCCCACGTATCGAGTGAAGCTTTGAAGAGGAACGGGCCAAGGGTGCCAACGATATTCTTGCATGACAAGACCAGTCCGTATGCTACAGACCGGTTGCTAGTCGTGTACCATTCACCCAGGGAGAGGGTGATGGGGCTATAGATGAGCGCGCATCCAAACGCTGAGGTGATACCTTGCGTAACAAGCAGGTGCCAGACGTTTGTGCTAAATGTTGACAAGAAGAAGCTGATGGAAGCAATGAGGGCACCGCAGAAAGCAGCCTCTTGGCGCCGATACGCCCACCGTCTTGTGAACAAGGCGAAAAGGAAGGGCATGGAGAGGTACATGATGCCATTGGCGGTCGTTCCAATGGCACCTGTAATGTCTTTATTTCCCTGGAGTGTCCAGTTGTTGAAATAATATTCCTCTAATACGCCGTAGCTAATCGCGAACCCTAGACGTTCTGTGAGTAGACGTAAAGTCCAAGGGTGCAGGGAGACATACCCCAGATTGGTATCTGGATAACTCCGTTTGCTGCCAGAACGCGAATAAGGGTTCTTCTGGGAATATGATCGCGCTTCAATTCGGACTCGCTGATGGCGATATCATTTTCAAGATCTGAGTCGGACGCATCGTCACCAGCTGACGCGCCTGACTCAACGAGTGGAATTTGGTCGACATGGTTTCGAGAAACGGGCTGGTATTCGGGTCTGCCAAACAGAAATCTCGTTAGAGAATGAGTCAAGTAGCTAGGGAATACAATTGTCTTACCTCGCCATGATGTTGAGAAGTAGTAAAGTATTTCTGGTTGATGGTGATATTAATTAGGATATTCCTTCAAGACAATGTGAGTCCTGAACAATGGCATAGAGTTTCTGCTTTGGAAGAGAAGAGAGAGCAGCTATGGCGGTATGACGAGTGTTGCTTGGCGGGGCACACAGAGGACCCCTCATCTGCCAGCCTCTCCAAGCCTGCGCCGTGCTAATAGCACCAGAACAGCAAATTAGGCAAAGATCTGACAATAAGCACAAAGACAGCCTCGGAGGGAAAACTCAGGACTCATAGCTCGAGAGAAAACAAGGTCAATGACGTATCAGAGAAGTACAGCTTCGTTTCCTCTCAGCAACGGATATTACGGCACCTCAGACCCGCATCAGTAGCATTGCAGCATGCAAACACGCAGCACGGCCAATCCTTCAGACCCCCGAGGTTCCAGGGCGTGTTACTAATAATCTCCATTAGTTAGACTTTCCCCATATCCACCGGCTCAACTTGTCCCCTCAGAGTTCTTATCTCCGCTTTAGCACGCCTTGACCCCTGCAATTGCTGTGTCACCACACTGGGAGCAATGAGTCCGTGCCTCAAGTCTGCAATCCTGAGAAACATTAGGAAATTGATCGCGTGCTTGCTTAGATTGCGAGGTTTTTAGATACCGCTTTATCCGGGCTGTAAGACTGCATTGCATGCATGTAAGCATACTTGAGAACAAGCTTTGCCAAGCTTGTCCAAGATCTTCATCGGACCCTGGTTAACCCCACGGTTACACATTTCAGTTTTAAGAAGGTTTTTATTAAGGTTTATACTGGGACCGCGTAAATGACTACGAATAAGACTGAGGCTGGTAAATAACTAAAAGATCATATCATTCTTCATTCTATCGATGCATATCCACATCTTGTTGTAAACTTGAGCAATTGCCATTCAAGGTTAACAATCCCACGAATAGAGACTTGAGAAGCGTTATCTTCAGTCTGCATGGAGCAAAACCTTGTGAGGACGATCATCAACCTGCACCCCGCCCCTCCTCTTCCAATCAGAGTCATGATAAGGCAGTTTCCAGCCCCCTTCACTTTCAGGTGTAGAGACCCACAGTCGCAGAAGATGGCGCCTGGGAGCGGGCGGCTCGTGGTCTGTATAGGCCTGTCGGGAATGGTAGAGATGGTTGTTTGTCATGAAGTGAACGTCGCCAACCTCAAGAACATTGCCGATTGATTCTCTGTAGCAGGTTTGATCAAAGAACTCGATCGCCTCTGCCTGTGCATCAGAGAGAGGGGGGATGATGCCTTTGTCAGAAAATCGCTTCAGAGATCTGACGTAGTTCGGGTCAAATCTACAGTCAATTTTGTAAGCATCATGGTTTCAGGGGTCAAGTGAGCGAGCGGAATTCACATACTTTGAGTAGACTCTTCCATTACCCTTCTCAATGTAGTAAATGGCACATCGAATGTAATCCTCTTGTCCATCACTGACTTCTCCCTTTCGGTCAAAGTACCAAATGGGCTGCGTGAGAAGTTCCGCGATATCAGGACGCTCCTCTTGCATAACATTCCAGACTTGGTGGCCTGAAACTATGTTGTTCTCACCTCCTTTCAGAGGAGTATTGAGGCAAAGAAGGCCCACAATATCTGCCGGGTCGGCATGGAAGGTTTGCCTGAAATACGAGTAAGTTCAACTGCCGGTCAGGGGTTGGACTCACATACCTGGCCGTGGTTCGGTACAGCCGGACCTTATGAAAGTCTGCCGGATTCTCACCAAGATCCTTGATATGCCCCAGCACATGCCCCCTGCCATTCTGACTCACGATGTGCCCGAAGTGAGCCCCCAAGCCCATGTATGCCGTAGAAGACTTACGCATGCCCCATTCCTTGACAGGCATGCCTTGAAACAAGATGAATCCGTAACCATTGATCATATCATCTCGAACCTCTTCAAGGTACTTAGCCATGCGAGGAAGAGGGAAGAGTTCCTGAGCACGCGTGTCAGTCTATGTACTAATGCAATGGTGGACTCATACCTTGCACATCTCGTTCAAGTCCCGACCGCTGTTGATGTAATTCTCAGCAGCGGTGCTCAGGTCTTCGAGCTCTTCCTGAGCGAATGGGTGCTTCCAGATGGCTTCCTTCTCAGGAGATCCAGAGAGATCATCTTTAGTCCAGGCTGTTATACCTGTGATCTTCTTGGGGAAGTCTGAGTATGGGTGTATCTCATCGTAAAGAGGAGGCTGTTGTCCAGTGGTTTTGTAACCATCAGGGAAAAGCGCTGATTTGGGCTTCACCTCTAGCTTGGTGCGGTACTCAGTCTTGGGGAGATGAGAAAAGTCGCTAACTGTTTCAATGAGACCAGGAGCCATTTTGGAGTGTCAAGTTCAAAGTGAATAATATATTTCAGATGGTTGTGGTTTGACGTGATTTCTTCAGTGTAGTTAACCTGTACGTTCCTTCAAAGATAACGAGATGTTCTTATAATATTCACTATCTGTCGTACACTTTGTCGGCACTAGAGCTCCCTGAATTAAAAGGGTCGTTGTTACTCAAAACATCCTGGAGTCTCACTACATCACGCCACGTCGACAGGCCCATTCACTTCGTACAGTTCCAAATCAGTCGTTACATATCGACAGTCACAAGCGTGACGTAGCCAGCCCGGAAGGACCCTCACCCCTCACTTTGCCGATGATCCGTGCGGTTAATGTTGACAATCTGAAGTAAGCTTGACCATCTGCAGTACTACCCAACCATAGCTGGAGTGTGGTAGTAAACACCCTACTATTATGCATGTGCATGAAACGCGAGATGGCGCAACGCAAGATATCAAGAAGTGCCAGCTGCCAAATTCAGGCTAGAACGGCATGGCACAGAATGATTACAGGCGATCCTTCAACAAGAGACTTAGCGTCCAATATGTAACCCTCTCTCGAACAGTAATGGCATGCGTGGAGTAGCATTGCTTATCTCGAACGACACAAGCAGTTGGCTGTTAGGATTTCATTGCAGGGTAGGGTTATTGCACAACGAGTATTGAGACGTGACTGAGAGATTTACAGCAAACTGAGACAAAACAGGCAGAATGAAATAAGCTTAACCTAATCTAGTAAACATCTACCTGGGTGACAAGATCTCCGACAGGAACCACCTGCTTTGCGTTGATCTTCAGAAGTTCCTTCACGCTGACAATGCGTGTGTCTGCCTCACATCCCGCAAGCTTCCCCTCCAGCAAGTCAATGACTGTTGCCTGAATGTTCTCCGAGGCTGTCGCCTCCGCAACAATCCTGTACATCCTTGCCTCATTGCTCTCCTCCCCCCAAACGCTACGGTTGCGCAGCTTTCTGAGAAGGCAACCGTAGTTACGAGCCTGGATTATTGCACGGATCTCTGTGTCGTTGTAGAACAAGTCCAAGTTCTTTGCCAGGATCTTGTCCGAGATAGAACCAACAGCGCTAATCTTGGCACGCATCAAATGGTTGGCATAGATGATAACGTTGGCGCCAGCTTCGTACAAAGCATCTTTTGGTATCTCCGAGTAGGTAGTGGGGACAACAACAAGAGGTGTCTGGGAGTCGAACTCGCGGTATTCGCGCAAGAATCGAGTAACCTCATGAGGAGATTTACTCTTGGAGTGGATCATGATGGCGTCGATGCCCGCCTCATGGTAGATCTTGGCACGCTTCAGGGCATCCTGGTGTGCATCCTCGTATGACCTGCTTTCCTCTTCCGCATCTGCCTTTGAGACGCGGCAGCAGAAGGACTCAATACGAGCAGTGATCATAGGACCCCCTTTAGCCTTTGCATTAACAGCCTTGAAAGCGCGGATTACTTCCGCGAATTCGTGAGGATCAGCCAAGGCCTGCGAGGCAGATGACGCAGCAAGCGAGTTGACCTTTTGGCCCGGTGCTGAAACGGCCTTGTCCTCAATCACAATCATGCCAACCCCAACAAGGTTCATGAGTGCGACCAAGGCAGGGATATCTGCAACATCACCACCACTATCGGCGTCAAAAGCGGCACAGAGGGAGCGGTTGCTTGTTTTGCGCTTCAACTCCCCGTCAAGTGCGAGGAGTGATGCCCGTTGGAGTGGGGAGAGTGTCTCGCTGTCTGGAATACCTAGATAGGTAGTCTGACAGAGACCGCTGTACCAGATGCCGTCGAACTTCTGGCCGTCCTTGCCAACGGCAGCTCTGATGATCTCTGTAGAGGTACCATCATGGGATTCACAAAGGATGATTCTGTTGTTGTTCTGAGCCAATGCTGCTCGCACAGAAGAGAAGGCTGGGGAAGGCGATGGTTCAGTGTGAAGAGAACCCATTTTGCTTGCTTTGGGTTAATCTCTTTGGCTTCAAAACTGATTAATTCGTGGATTGAGAAAGAGCAAGACTGCGAACGAGAGAAAAGAGTCTATCAAGAAATATCGAATTTGTGTTGTAAATTTGGCCAAGAGTCGGCCGTTTTCCTTATTATTATACTTCTTTGCTATCTCAGGCATGCCCTCTTAAACAATTATTACCCTTGTCTGCAGTCAGTGGGACATATTCTCATCAGCTAGGCTTATTGTCAATACTGGTTTTCACTTCCTACTCGAGTCTTGTATCTTGTGAGTTATTGCCTAGTTCGTTTGCCCCCTATTGTCACCTCGTTCACCGTGCTCAGATGGGTAGGGGGATTGGCATGGCCCAATGCGGCTTCTATCAGATTCCCCGAGATATCTTGGTCCGTGGTGATGTTACACACCATCTTTGCTCACCGTATCTGGGTATCTGTGTGAGACCGTGGACCAGGTAGACTGTAGTAAGGATAGACCATGGTAGGATGTATGTTTCTTGGCTTTCGGTAAAGATGCCGATGAACCCCACGTAATTACAGATAAGAATAAGTAACGATTCCGTGTCAGCAATTGCATCATCCGGGTCTCGTGCCTCGTTTCCGCATTTGCTGTAGGATAACAAGAGGATGCATTATCACGCAATATGACATCGCCGATCTTTACAGATTAAGCTTTATGGAGGTGGGGAATAAGGCCACGTCGTCAATCCCCTGAGACCAGAACAGGGACACGACCTGCCTCACGCGTCAAGATACAGGAACTTGTGCAGCGGCAGTTATATCGTTGAATTAATGGTGTCCACACTGCAATTCAACTCCCCGTCTAAACATTAACATTCGTAACTGCAAGGATGAAAGAGGATTGTTTACAGAGCCCCGAAATTCACCAAATCGAGGACTTTGGTGCGTAGATCCCTGCATAAGCGGATCCGACTTGTTATGCACAAGGACGGCACATGATATGATAAGCGTATTGCGGGGAGACTAAGCTCAGATCATGGACGTTAGTTTACGGAATTATTCACCTAAACATATTTACTGTGTGGAGATGCCTCGCTTTCGGAGACTCCGTCTCAACTAACCCGGCCCGGGCCGAATCGCCAAGCTGTCTTGTCCATCTGGCAGGGCCTATGCCAAGGAACTTGCATCGCGCTAATGCTCAGGAACTATTGCGGATAACCCGTCTCGCTACATGGAACTCTTCCGGGTAGATAGTATCTTTAGTGTTGCAACCTGGTGCATGGATAATGTTGCAATGCCAGCCACAAGTTGGCGGGCGGCATGGAATAGACTGACTCAGGAATCTACAACGCGACACTGGCACTTCTTTGTCGTATCTTCTTATCTTACGAAAGTCTTTCAAGTAAAGAATAATGATTGCAAAAGTCTTTGTCATGATTGGTAGATCGTCGTGTCAGCAGGCTAATTGTAGGTGCCGAGCATCCTTTGATTGCCATTTTCTTTGTACAGTAAGGACGCGTAGCCCTGGTCCTTACTTACTTGAAGGGAAAGTATACTACATGGAACCATACGAGCAGCGACATCGGATGGTTTTGGTCAACACGCCAAGATGGATGAATTCCGCTCGGGAAGCTTAGTATGCACGAAGTAATTCCCAGCCCAAACCGTCTTTTCATATATAAATTCGCCGGAGTATATGTGGGCTTCACAGAGAAGTAACAATGAGGCCCAAATACGCCGATATGCATGTCCTTCCTGTCTTGTGTTCCCTTCTTGTGTCAGCACTTGCTGAAGACGTACCCCCTCAGTTCGATGACGGGCAGCTCACTGGCAATGGCTTTGGTATACCCGGTATCAATGCCACCTATGACTATGTCATCGTTGGTGGTGGGACAGCAGGCGCTCTCGCAGCGGCGCGTCTAACTGAGCATAGCAACGCTACAGTTGCTTTAGTTGAGGCGGGAGGTTTTTATGAACTGAGTAACGGCAACGTCAGTCAGTTGCCATTCAGTAAGTCTCATAATATGTTCGCAACTCTGAGCCATTAAACTTACTGATATGTCTTAGGGATCAATGACTGGAAAGGTTCTGGTGGTCCATCAAGTTGGCAACCGCTCATTGATTGGGGCTACTTTACTCAACCTCAAAACGTAAGTACTTCCGTGATCGCGTCATGGCCCTCTTTTACTGATATAGACCAGAATGGAAAGAAGATTCACTATGCACAGGGTAGAACCTTTGGCGGCAGCAGTGCCAGAAACCTGATGATGTTCAACCGCCCTACCAAAGGAGCTTACAAGCACTGGGCTGAAAAGGTCGGCGATGATGCCTACACATGGGAGAATATGCTCAAGTTCAACCAGAGAACTATGAAGTTCTCAGACAACAGCCAGCATCGTCCTCAGAATGCAACGCCCCTGTATGACACTGCCGCTTTCTCAAAGGAAGGGGGCCCTCTACACCTCACCTTTCCAGGCTATGTCTTTCCAGTCTCGTGGGATGCCATCAAAGCTTTTGAAGCACTGGGATTCAAAGAGATTCCGAGCTTCACTGCTGGTGTCTTGCAAGGCTGGGGTTGGTGGCAATTCTCCATCAACCCTGAGACTGGCCTCCGTGATTCTTCTGAGAGTTCATTTCTGCAGCAAAGTCTTGGCCGTCCAGGTCTGACAACATACATCAATACCATGGCTCGCAAGATTCTATTCTCCGGTACCAAGGCCATCGGTGTCACCGTTGATAACTATGGCCAGCAATCCTTCAATCTAACAGCCCGAAAGGAAGTCATCGTTGCTGCCGGGCTCTGGAGCAGTCCTCAATTACTCATGGTTTCTGGCATCGGGCCTGAAGAGACACTCAAGAAGTTTGACATCCCAGTTTTGTCAAATTTACAGGGAGTCGGCCAGGGCACCCATGATTCAGCTGCTGTTCATGGGCCTATCTGGGAGATTGAAGGCATTTCAACGGGTGGTTGGAAACAACCATCCAAGATGAGAGAGGCCATCACTGAGTTCAACCAACACAAGCAGGGACCTCTGACCAACGGAGGCGTTGACGTTGGGGCATTTGAGAAGGTTCCTCTGGCAAATCTTAGCAAGAGAGCCCAAGAGGACCTTGCTCAATACCCAGAAGACTGGCCTGAAGTAGAATTCATCATGCAAATGGTAGATCCTCCAGCCGGCGCAACAGGAAAGAACTATGCCGCCATGACTATCAGAATGGTTGGGACTGTGAGCCGTGGCAACATGACCATCTCATCTGCGAGCAACCTTGACCCTCCCATAATTGATCCAAACTGGCTACGCGCAGACACAGACAAAGAGGTTGCTCTTTACGCCCTCAGGAGAGCTCGTCAGCTTTGGGAGCATATTCCTTCTCGCATCGGAAAAGAGATATACCCTGGTGCCAATATCACTAGTGATGAGCATTTACTGGATCTAACATACGACAACCTGGATCCTACCCATCACGGCACTGCTTCTTGTAAGTTGAACATTGGTGCCATATGGGAAAGAGCTTGAACTGACCCCTTACAGGCAGCATGGGGAAAGCTGGTGACTCGTCAGCAGTGGTTGACTCCAAAGGTCGCGTTTTTGGCATTAAGAACTTACGCATTATCGATTCTTCTACAATGCCACTAACACCACCTGGACATACAATGGGTCCGACGTATGGCAATGCTGAGAAATTGGTACAAGATATCTTGAATGCCTATCATGGTTTAGAGTAGCTATATTTCAACCTGGTGAAGTAGTGTTAATAGTAGAGACATATTCTGCTATCAACTATAGGATATTGAGTAGCTACTGGCATTGCATTGATATGATTTCATTTTTGGTGCTATTTTGTATAGCCTCAAGATTACCAATCTACTTCATTTGAACTTCATTGCAATATCCAGTGACAACGTTCCAGCCAGAACTGCTGACTATTCCATGAGCCCCAATCCGTACACTTCCCGAGTATTCTATTAGCTTTCCCGTCAGGTCATTACCCTAGCAGTTATGAAACCAAGTTTCAGTGTAGCAGACTTGTTGTTGACGATGTCGGAAGAGCTCTTTGAAGGTACCAGACCCGATTAGTGGATGTGCAGGGTGGACGGCCGTGCAAAGTTCCACGCATATACACCGCCATTTACTCCACATTATTGCAACATGTTCGTGCAGGTGTGTGTGAGTGTGAGAAGAGACAACGTCTGCAGGGTGTTGGTAGGGTGTGCTATGATAATAATATGTGGGCACCAAGTGATTGGGCGTTTATGCTGATCAATTCGGAACCGCTTATCACCCCGAACCCGGCTAGGGGCGTTCACTGCGGTGGCATCGAGAAAACGAGGCTGCACTTCTTTCCAACCCCCGAAAAAGCACCGTTGCTTCATTTCCCCTTCAATTTGTAAAGTAGTCACTGGCTTGGACCTGTTCAAGCTATCGCAACACAAGATCGGCACCTAAAAGGCAACCTTATGGCAGAATCAGAGAAGCAGGAACGGTCTCAAGATGGACCCATTCTACGAAGCAGTTTTCAGCAAGACGAAAACTCTGCTGAACAAGCTTCTCATTCAACTGACCAGACCGTGTCAGATATGGCGATTGGTGATGATCATAGGAAGAAGCTAGGCGTGCTTTGGGGTTCAGCATTGTTGCAGCTCCCACTTTGGGGTAAGCAAATCACGGCTTAGTATTGTATCTTGACTTACAATGCCCTTCTAGGCTTCAACCTCAGTTACGGTATCTTTGAAGAGTACTGGACAAGCAACTGGACTCTCGACGGTGATCTCTCTATCACTGGCACAGTTGGCACTACCTCTAACGGTGTCATGTATATCTCCATGCCGTTCCTGTTTGCCATATTCACCCGCTACTGGGCCCATCACCGGCTCAAAGCAGAGCTTGTAGGCCTTGTCATAGCATTCCTCGGGTTCATACTCTCCTCTTTCAGTACCCATGTGTGGCATCTCATGGTGACACAAGGCGTCATGGCTGCTTTTGGGTGTACCCTCGTTTATAGTCCAGCAACATGTTCCCTCGGTGAGTGGTACGCCACTGGCAACCGAGCCATTGCATATGGTATCATTCTATCCTGTAGAAATATTGTTGGTTCGGCCTGTCCTTTTCTTCTCCGGTATCTTCTCGATCAATACGGCTTTCGGTGGACAATTCGCATATGGGCCTTCATCTTGGCTGGTTCAGGTCTTCTGTCCATTTTTCTCGTGCCAACTCATCCCTCGAAGCTTTTGGCTCGAGAGGGAAAACCTCCTCGCATACCATGGACATTCTTGAAGCACCGTGGCATTTACACCTACTTCATTGCAGTTATGGTCCAAAGTTCGGGATACTGTCTGCCGCAGACATATCTCCCAACGTTTGCCCGAGAGTTCAACGGTGCCAGTCAAGCAATTTCTACTCTCTTGCTTACATTGCACAATATTCCAGGCATCCTCTCGTGCTTCTTCTTTGGTTGGCTTACTGACAATAAGTACCATCAATTCTCAGCTACTACTATTACCTGCCTCTCAGCATTCGCATCGTCTGCCTCTGTGCTCTTGCTTTGGGGTTTATCTGTGGACGGAAGCCCTGCCCTTACTCTCGTATTTGCTATCGTCTTTGGCTTCTTTGCTGGTGGTTACAGTGCGACATGGGGAGGCATTACCAAGGAGCTAGAAGGTGAGGCAGAGGAACACAATGAGACTATTGACTCTAGTCTTACATATGGACTCCTCAACGGAGCTCGAGGCATTGGGTTCGTAAGTGGTGGCCTTGTGAGCATCCCACTACTGAGTGCTGGGGATACAGGATGGGGAGGAAGATTTGGCTACGGAACCAAGTATGGCCCGCTCATGGTGTTTACTGGTATTGCGGTTGCTTTTGGTGGCCTGGGATTGATACGGACTGCGAGAGTGCTATCGAACAAGTCTTCAACATCGGGTTAAGTCTAGGACTGCATGTTCAGTATACTGAGTGGATATTGTAGTAACCAACAATTTATCGTGCATAATGAATAGTGAATTGGTCATACATCAATTTATGTATTAAAATATACCCGATGTTCGATCCTTATACTACACTCCGTGTAAACCATTGTTTAAGGTCTCAACTTCTTCATCTGACCATCTCAGTTTGCAATGGCTCGGTTGATGAGCGTTGAACCTAAGGAAATGGTCAGTATCAGATAAATCATAGGTTGATGAGGAAAGACTTACCTCCATCGGGATAAACTATCTGGCCGTTATAAAACAATCCGCCCTTTCCAGCAAGGAACAGAATAGTCGCAGCCATATCGGTGTCATGACCAGGTCGCCCAGCGGGGTTGGTCATCTTCTTGTCAATGTTGCTCTTGTTGCCCTCATCAGACTCTCCGGTGGTCATTTCACTGGGGAATAAGCCTGGTGCAATGACATTAACTCGAACCTTGATGTCTTTTGTGAGAGTAGCAATCATGCGGCTGAGGTGCGTGAGAGCAGCTTTGGAGGTAGCATAGGCTGGTTGTCCCATGCTGGAACCTTTCATAGCTCCTGAGATCGAGGAGACATTGACAATTTGGGAGGAATAACCTGGAGTGGTATCACGACCTCTAGCCAGTAGCGGCAGGAAGGCCATAGACATGTAGTAAGGTCCAGTCACATTTGTCTTCAATGTATCAGCCCACTGCTGGGGCTCAGTCTTGAGAAAGTGCTCCGAGAGAGCTTTGGCATCGGTTGTGTCTGGTTCACCAGCTGAGGCTACAACATGACTTATATCAGCATGAACTCGTATATGACAGATCAATCAACTTACAGAACTTGGTGTTATCATCCTCTGCAATCCCAGCATTGTTAACGAGTAGGTGAATGCCTTTTGGCTCCTTCTTGCCTACCTCCTCCGCAAGACGGATAGCCTCATCCTTCTGGCTGACATCACCAGGGAGGACATGGATGCTTCCAGGACCTGTGCCATAGGTCTTCTGGGTTTGCTCAAGGACCTCTGTACGACGACCCGTGATGTAGACCTTGGCTCCGTTGGACTGTAGAGCTTGGGTAATCATCAGACCAATGCCGGTTGCGCCGCCTGTTACGACTGCTGTGATGTGAGATACATCAAATAAGGTAGCGGCCTTGAGAGCTTCATTATTTGCGTGGTCTGGGAACAAGTCAGCACAATTTTGTGGCTGATATGATTTGTCGCTAAAGGCTTTGACTTACGATTTGCCATGATGATCGCGGTGCTTAATGTTTAATACAATATCTTTGCCACAGTAGAAGATTACTGAAAGAAGAGAATATGATTATCCAAGCCTGCTAGCATTCAGAAAAGATAGAAATAGTGCAGATATAGATTTTAATAGAGCGTATTAAGCACGTAATATTCTGCAAATAAGACCATCAGTCTTTGCAATTACATGACGCTGAGACACTATAAATAACGGGTCGAACGGGAGAGCCCACGTCATCAATATTCGCGACGACTTTTCGCCGGACCATCCAACTATTGAACTCCATCAGTCGGAGATTAACTAATAATGATGCAATACTATAGAACCAGAAATATCCCGGATTATTGCTTTTTTGCCTTGGTACTTTGGCTTGCCATTATTATCACCATCAAAGGATATACATATCCTTCGACTCTCTAAGCTCTATCATGCCCAGAAGAATATACAAAACGCCTTACTCTTCCATAACGCTTCTTAAGCTCACTCAGCTTATCAATCCAAAGTTCACAACCCTCCGAATTCGCTTTCTCGAGGGCTTCATCTATATCCGCCCCTGCAATAGCCAAGACCTCAGCACCGCTCCAATGACACATCCGGATAGCAAGCATCAAAGCAGAGTCACCACCAAGGTCGTAAGCATCCAGTAGCGCTCTATACTCGCCACTGCACAAAGACCTAAGTTTCTCGGGATTCATTGCACGAACTGCTTGGTGTAGAACTGTATCGCCGTATGCATTCCTGGCTATGTCGCTCACTACAAAAGATTCGGTGTTTGTTGACAAAGCTTCGTGGAGGATCTTCTCAATCTTCTTCTGTCGTAATTTTCGTGCTGTGAATAGCGCTCTTCTTTGGTTGTCGAAGTCGTCGGGGTAGGCAATTAAGACCTTTGCAACCAATGCCTCGTCTCCAGCTTTGGCTGCTGCAATGATATCTTGGGGCTGGTAGTCGACTTTATATTCGCTCAAAACAGCCTTTATTCTTGTCAGATTGGCGATTGTTGCAACTGCATATGGTGTCTCTCCGGTGTCGCGATGCTGCACATTCAACTGTGCCCCATGCTCGAGAAGAATCTTTACCATCTTCTCATCTTCTTCCTTTACAGCTGTATGCAGAGGCGTCTCCCCTGATGAACTTCTTCCTGAGATATTGCTCATGTACTTGATTAATAACATGGCAGCTTGGTCAGATTGCTTCCGAATAGCATTGCACAGAGCATCGGTAAAAGCTTTTAGCCGCTTGCTTCGACGTTCATCAGTATCCTTTTTAACCAGCAACTCGCCAGCCTTGTCAGCTTCCACAAGCTTAGTCAAGATTGTTATATCGGAGAGCTCAATGGCTGCCATGAGAGGTGTCCCACAACTCATACCGGGCGTGGCTAGAAACTCAACCAGAGTCTCTGGCGCAGTCTGAAGAATGTTATCGAGAAGGCATTGCAGGTTCTCATACCGTCGAGACCTCAAGGCCACCGTGATAGGAGTTTCTTTTCTTGAGGTTGGAGTTACCAGCCGAGCGTTGTTCTCTAACGACCATTTCAAGAACGTACTGTCGTCTCTACCAGCTGCTATGTGACAAACACTGCGGTTAAATCCGTTATGACTATTGAGATCAGCGCCCTTTTCGAGAAGCAGATTCAGGATTGAGAGAATCTCGGGATCAATATAATTGCCTTGTGTTGGAGCAAGGTCAACGAGGCTGCGAAGAGCGCTGGATAATATCTCTTCGCTAAATGGAAGACTTTTGAGCAGGAAGGAGGCAGCGGTCCAGTTCAAGTAATTAATTGCCACATGTAATGTGGTACGTCCTTCTTTGGTAATATAGGAGGTATTGGCTCCTTTATCAATGAGCCGCGTCATTAAGCGTAAGTCATCGTCATTCCCGACTTTCACGGCGAGGTGAAGGATGTTATCCGGAAGTGGTGTAGTTTGAACTGGCCAGGTATCTAGTACCATATGTGCAACTTCAGGCGTTAGCCTTTCGTCAGACAATGCCTCTGGTAAAAGCCACTTGTGTGCGAAGGTACTGTCAAGTCTTTGCTGCAAAATATCCATGAATATTCCGCCCTTCTTGATAGCGTCAGGTAGAATAACTAGTATGCTGTGTGGTGTCGAAACTGGAAGTAGCTTCTTGAAGATGGTCGCTTCAGTTAGCATCATTGATGCTTTGAGGCACTCTCCATCCTTCTGTAATAAGCCTATTTCCTTTCGACCATAGGTTTCGGCATAACGGAGGAGTAACTCAACCCCAAGCTTGTAATTACTCGAAACTGCCAGAAGTAATGGAGGCGAGACTGTTGGTGGTTGGGTTTCGGACGATGATTCCGGTGCCCAATCTTCTGAGAGTCCACTTGGGCCTCTACGAGTTCTCGCAGCGGAGAGTCTCGATCTGTATGCCTCACCATATTTCCCTGTCATCTCAACTTCATGTTCTTCCGCTCTTCTTTCAGTCTCCTGTCCGTGTCTAGAAAATGGTAATTTCGGAACATTGGAGATTAGTAACTCTGTGGCGCAGTCCAAATGTTGTTGCTTGATAGCAGCATGCAGAGGCGTCCATCCGTTGATATCGCCACTTTCTATACAGTTCGGATTTGACAATAGAATTTTGACAACGTCCAAATGACCCCTATCAACAGCATATAGTAACGGGCTCCAACCACGCTGGTCAACTTTATTTATAGCCCTTGGGGTAAATGCGAGCAGTAGACACTTCATCCACGTTGTGCTTCCAGTTTGTGCTGCCAGGTGGAGTGGCCCACGCCCGTCTGGCATGGCTGTATAGGGGCTCGCCATCTCTGAGAGTTGTACTGCGAGACCGTCCCAGTTGTTTTCGATGGCGATGAAAAGCGGTGTTCGTCCGTCTTTTTCGCAGTGGTTCACATTTGCACCAGCTGAGATAAGCTTGGCGACAGCTTGTTCGTTTGCACACTCAATAGCTAGATGCAGAGGGCTTCTGCCTCTTTCGTCTGTTGAGTCGGTAAGATCTAAATCCAGAAGTAGATCGATTACTGAGTTTTGACCGTTTTCAATAGCCATATGCAGTGGCGTCCTGCTCCCCACAGGAGCTTTCGATATCTGCCAGGTTGCTTTGCTGAGATGAGTGTCTTCCAGAAGAATTCTTGCCAGGCCTGACAGTCCATGGACAGCTGCGACGTGAAGTGGCGTGATCCCGGGAGGATACTTGTAGAACCCATGAAGATAACGTGCTTTGCGGGCCCAGAATCTGAAGAAGTTCGAACTAGGCTCAAAGAACGGAAGTAGAACAGAGGTCCAAACATCTTTAAGTTCAGCATCTGAGAGATTTGAAGCGTAAGCTGGCCAATTACTCACGGCATGCTGGAGGAATGGTGTATTAGTAAACACATCGGGGCTGATGTACAGATCGTCATCCTCAAGTGCGGCTTCTACCTCTTCGGGAATACCACCAGCTGAAATGTTTTCAATGGTCAGATACCGGATGCAAGCTGTGAGAAGCTCGATATTACCACCAGACTTGTCAAGATAGAGATCATTGTCCCTGTTTCCCTCTAGTCTAGGGGATTGTAGAAACTGATAGACAGAGTAGTGTGCCAGATCAATTTTTGAGGTTGCCTGAGACTCTCGGATGAGGCTGCCGCAAAGCTCAAAAACGTAACTTTTCTCACGCAGTGAGTTTGATCTCACATCGTCGAGAGTCTTTGTGTCTGATGTAATGGCGATTGCTTCGACCAATTCTGATAAGTCAAAGGGCCTATTAGAGAACATGACAAATTGCAGGATACGCTTGGCAAGCATTTTCTCTTCTTCATCTTCGAGCATTTGAAATGCCTGCTCGAATGTCTTTTCGAGGTTGCGAGGTAGTGCCTGCACAAGCTTTGGACTGAGGGCTGTTCGAATGCGGGAGAGATGGTCGATTTGACAAATGACCCAGATAAACCTGTAGAGGGCAGTTGTCAGCCATTAGCTTTGCGATGTGATGGTTACGTACATCCCATCAGCACGGATGATCAGCTCTTTTATGACCGCCTCGACTTCAGATCCGCGGAATCGACGCTTGCTGAGCTTCTTGCGGACCAAGCTTTCAATGTCGGGTGCGACGTCTTTCGATGAGATTGTTATTTTGAAGCAAGGTGAAAAAGCATCGTCGAGGCCCATCCCGGATCTACTCGCTATAAGAACCTTGAACTCGGTATCTGCCCCAGGTAGAGTCTCTAAAAAGTCCAAGATCTCCCAGTGGCCACTCATTTCGTCCAAGCCATCAATCACAAGGAGAACTCTCTCGAAGTATTTGGAGAGATCAGTGAATAGAGCTTGTAAGTCTTGAAGACTTGGGTGAGCCGATCTCCTGCGATGTTTTTCATAGACATTGTTTACGACTTCCAAGAGAAGGCTTGGGTTGGAGGATTGTTTGAGAAGCTGGCCTATGAGTGACCCGACTAGATTAGTAGGTGAGAGACTAGATGGGTTAGTGAAGCGGCAGTAATGGTAAACTACAGCATTACTTCCAGGCTCAATCATAGACTCCTGAAGCGATTCGATAACCTTGGATCTGCAGACCTGTCAGCTGCCACGTCATCATGAAGAGTATATTGTGCAGAAACTCACATGATAACCGACTTTCCCGAGCCCTCTAGGAGAATGATTAGCATTGGTAGCACCTAAGTAAAGGCACTTACGCGTTCCATTGAGGCATAATAACGCTGAACCTGGACAAGACAGCCACTTATTGAATTCTTCCCTCTTTAAAATCCACTCAGCCGAGGATGAATCGCGTTGCTTGCATAGATCATAGTGCTCATCTTCTGTTTGTGTTCCTAGCCATTTGATGATCTTTTCTTGTTGTTGAACTGCATAGCATACTTTGAGTGCCAGTTTCATAGAATTCAGACCAGTACTTACTTTGACCAGCGTCTATCAACTTGCCAACAGATTTCTCAACCCCCTTCTGTGTTTCGATCAAAGAGTTCAATTGAGTCATAATCTCCTCCATCTGGGCCTGGAGGGTTTCAGATTGAGAGCTTGTGCTACGTCAACATTTCTTCTTTCCTCGGTAGACCAACAGAATCGCCTACCTTTGCTCGAGCTGGAAGCACAGAACAAAGAAAATCTTGTACTGCTCGATGCGCCGAAGCAACTTCACCGCCTGCTCCTCCCGTCCACCAGCTTTGACCAACATCTCAAGGCGATTTGACCTCGAGAGTTTAGCCACTAACTCATCGATAAGCTTTAGCGTAAGCTTGCTGTCTTCGATGGTGTTATAAACAGCATCCAAATCGACATCGAAAGAGCGGAAGGACTCGAGATGTGCCTTAACGCCCAGTAGAATACCCGAGAAATTGGCTGTCTCGTTAACTAGCGTTTTTGTGTCGCTCGTATCCTCATTTAGCTTCGAGTTGAGTTTATAACCGGCTGATACCACAGCACCCGCGAGACTCAGCAGGCCAGCAATACTGGCAGCGAGCGATAATGGATCCATGATTGCGCTGTAAAGAAATGGGTTAAAGGATTATGTTCGAGCTTGTGCGGGGAATTCAGCCGCACCATAATTCAGGTCTAGGACTGTTCGGCTGCGTTGCGTAAGCAGAATGGTGCAAGCCCACATCAGCTGAAGAGCTTCTTACTGGTTGGGAACCTCGGCCCATCGTATCACATAGACTAGCTCTCTCTACTATCGAGCTAAGTGGTATTATGTAGTTCCGTGTGGAAACGGAAAGCGGCCTTAGATCAAGGAACGATGTTTTTAATTTTAATTGGACCCCTCAACCGATTAGGCTACATTGTAAGCAAGTAAAAAAGGACGAAAGTCGCTCCTTTGAGTTCCTTCAGCCCAGGTAACAGTAACATGTTTCACAGATGCAATTCCATTGACTTTCGACGTTTCCAGATTATATAGAACCGATTTATCAACTGATCTTTTATTATAGATTACTTAGTCACAAGCTACATTCTTTCTTCCGCCCTGCAACCCCCTCAGACAGTGAAGTTGCGGTGAGCAAGCTCATAAACAAAACCAGCAGTGACCTTGGCATGTTGAATAACATGGTCAAAGTCAACATGGGCAATAGTGTCGTTAGGAGTGTGGATGTAAGGGTTGTGGTTTCCGAAAGGCGTCTCAAAGAGGAACGACGCAGGGAAGCCGTTGCGGTTAGCCGAGGCATGGTCAGAGCATGCATATCCGCAGGTAGACTCCTCGTATGGGATGTCAGCATATTCCTCAATGAGAAGCTTGAGAAAGTCGTTCTGAGTAGGGCTGGTGTTATCGGTGATGAGACCGAAACGCTCGACTCCGTCACGGCCCTTGTAGCCAACCATGTCCTGGTTCAGCATAGCCTCGACCTGGATGCCAAGTCGGGCGTAGTTGTTGAAGATATCTTGGGATCCAAGAAGTCCAGTCTCCTCAGCTGAGTACCAGTGGAACTCAACAGTGTTGAGGTGATCGCCCTTGGCGATTCTTGGGTCCTCAAGGAAAGCGGAGAGGAGGTTGAGGAGCATGATAGATGCAGAGCCGTTATCATCGGCACCTGGAGCTCGGCCAGCTCCACGGTCGTTGGAAATGACCGAGTCAAGATGAGAACCAGTGACTACAGTCTTGAGGCGAACCTGTCCAGGAATCGAGACGATGATCGAAGGCTGCGACCAAGCCTGGTGCTGGACCAGACGAACCGAGGCATAAGGATGCTTGCTCTTCTTGATAGCCTTCTGGATCTCCTTGTGAAGCCACTGAGCAGCTTCAACTCCGTAGGCCGAGTTAAAGTAGCGGTTGTGGAATGATGAGAACTTCTTGAGCTGTTTCTCAATGTTCTTGATGCTGACCTTCTTGACGATCTTGTCGACATTGGCTTGGTGAGCAAGTTTGTCGGGATATTTACTGGTCGTACTGGCCAGACGAGCACCTGAGGGAGCGGCGCTGTGATCCTTCCACTCTGTGATGTCAAAGAAGTGAATGTGGTCCTGTCATACAGTTAGTAATTCACTCTCTTAACAGCCTGCGCACACCTCTTGCGGGAACATACATCGATCATCTGAAACTTCTCATCCTCGGTCACCTCAACAGTCTCACCAGGCGCCGTCTCCAAAGTGTAAAGCTTCTGGGCGCGCTTTCCGGCTTCAACTGGTGCGGTTGCGGTAGCCGAGGCAGCAAGCGCCGCCATGAGAGGGACCGTGTAACGCATGATGCCGACTAGAAGACTAGGCTGTAGTAAAGATAGAAGATGAGCCCAGCAGCGAAGGAGAGATTATTGGCAGAAAAGGCCTTGCAAGTGGGTTGGGTAGAAGCACCAGATAGTGAGACGGTCACCTTTATATAGATGCAGATCGTCTGCAAAGTCCAGTTGCCCCGGATCTCAATGCTACCAAGCCTCGTGATATCTCTATACCCTGCAAGAAACTGCAAGAAACGGTTGGCAATAAACGGTCAATGCGACGTTTTGGCAAACGATTCGTCTGCATCGTCGAATGCCAAGTCATTGGGTGGTATTGCCTACTCCACGTTGGGAAGCTCAAGAGGGCTATTGCAAAAGAGCCAAGCGGTCGGATCGAAGGGCATTGGCTAATTAGTGGAAAATCGTAATAAGGTCAGAGATAAACATGATGCGGGTCAGCATTTGTTCCTGGGTAGTATGCAAGGAACGCTGGGCACTTGGCATTTCCCCGCATCTTGATACCATATGATAAATGATCCATTGAGGGTTAATATTGCATCAAAATGTAAGGGCGTTTTAGTAAAGCAGTTCCTCAAAGAACTGAGTTGATCATAGGCTTCAGTTAGCTTGAAGAGCAAAATTTAAGCTTAATTGGATCCTTGCCTCCGTCGATATTCACCGCTCCGCTTCTTATTTAGTAGCGCTTCAAAAGTTCTTGAAGAGGGGTAACCAGGCTCGGCATTGCAGGAACATGCCCGTCTAGGCAGGTCGCTTGGTGATCATCCCACCATATCCCACGATTGGAAGGTGACGAGAAGGCTTCGGGTTTGAGTGTTTTTCTGAATAACCCATCGACTGAGCTTCATGGCGAGCAATTTCTCTCCCGAAACAGAACTGACATAGATGCTGAACTTCAGGCGTCGTGTCATCTTAACATCGACTTCTCCGATGAGGACGGGACTTATACCGTCCGTCCATTGTTATGTTGGCTGTAGCAAGCACTGTTGCTTTCTCGGCAACGAATTCATCAAATCTGTCTACCCAAGTATGAGAGTCAGACGTAGCCATAACGCAATAATATACGTCAAGTAATGAAATGCTACATAACTAGTCCTTTAATTAAAGCTATGCTTAGCCAGTAATTCAACGACCTCGCTATGACCATAGGATGATGCTACTAATTGTGCCTTTTGCATAGAATACAAAGGCACGGATTCAAACATGTCCAGAAATAACTTAACAACCTCAATCCTTCCACTCTGAGCAGCCGCACAAAGCGCCTTTTCAATGCACTTTTTCGTACCATTGTATTTTGCCCAAGCATTCAAGAAACGCTTCGTAATATCGACATCACCAAGTAGAGCAGCAAAAGTGAACCCGCTATTCTCCCGCATTCGATCTTTGCAGAATACCTGTGACAGTAATATTTCCACCAGTTTAATTTGTCCGGAGATGGCACTGACAAGAAGTGACAATTCCTTTAGTTATTTGTTGTCGCGCAATGGTAACACTCTAAGTGCATCTTCCTGGCCGTGGGACGATATATTCCAGGCCAGTCCAATTGTCTTATGTTTGGTACTGACTTGTCTGTGTGCTTGAGTTCTATTTGGACCTAGTCGTCGCGATACACCTCTTACCACAGACATGACTACACTATGCTCAATACGTAAATGCATCCTCGGGACCGAGACGGATACCCTGTACAAGACGGCTCCGAGACAGTTGCTTTAACTTCTCGATTCACGAGTCAGCAATGGCTATTCAAGCGTCGATCAATCGTTACTCGCCATAAACGGAGTATTTCTCAGCCAATCTTTTTCGTGTTAAGGTCTGTTGATCTGCATAAGGATTTGAACCCCTACTCACGACTTCAGCGAGGCCCACTTTTCCCAGCCCATCATATTAGTGAGTAGGCAGCAATATGCTCGGAGATGCTCGCAACTTTGCGTCCTGTTTTCTAGACAAGTCTCTCTATCGTTAATTCGTTCGACTCCGCTTTCTTGTTCAATAATTTGTCAATTGATGTTATTTTCATGATGACAGTGATTCTTGATTCCTCCTTTAGGTCCGTGTCCTTCTGCCCCACGGGGCGCAATGACGTAGCATCCCATCCTTCTCATCCTTCGACAAGCTAGCCCATAACTAAATTAAACTATCCTTCCTCAAACTGGGGATAATCGTCAAAAGTATGGGGAATAAGCTCAAGGGATATAAGTTTTTCCAGATTAACTAGCCTTTGCATTGACTGAATTGGATGACAAAACAAGATCATAGCCTCACTTCATAATAGCTAGATCCACCAAGGCCGTGCGACAACACCAGCCAAGAACAATTATACGTCATTTCATGTCTCTTTATCGATGATCATTTCAGGCAACATTTTTTATCCTGATAAATATTGGAAAGATCGTCAGACTGTTACATTTATAGTCTGAGTCTTGGCAAGCTCATGATGGATATATAACGGTATCAAGTTCAGCTCGACTTCTGGGAACATCAGCAACTTATCAACCTCAACTTGCAATCTCAACATACTTATAATTTTTTCCCAAGTCTATACTCGTCACAATGTACTCTATCCTTCGCATCGCTAGCTTGATGGCCTTGATTGGTTACGCTCAAGCTGATTTTGCAGTCGGAACATCTGCATCTCAAAGTATGCACATATCCCTCCTTTTGCTGCCACTGTTAGTTCTAACCTCGACGCAGTGGGAATCGGAGAGATTGTTCCTGATACAGGAGGTGACGTTTACAACACCGACGAGGTTGCTGTGTCATACCCAGGCGGCTGCCTCGACAACGTCCAGCAATTCGAGGTAAGTCAAAACCTCAAAATACTTCAACTTTCCTGATGCTAATGCTCTGTCAGTGCGTGTCAGAGAGATGCCTCATCGAGGGCTTCTTTGAGATTCGGGGCATGAAGACGGAGGATCAGTACGGCTTCAACTGGAATGGCGAGGGCTGGGAGTTCTCTCAGAACAGCGAGATCTTGGGATTCTGTACTAAGAACGATGATGAAGGATGCACCAAGACTGAGGCAAACTACTCGCTTGGATTCTTTTCACGCATGCTTTGCACCGGTTCTATCAACTCCGGGTTCTAGATTTAAATATGCATATATAATTTAATTGCTCTGGTCTTACTGGACCTAACAGCCTCTCTGCATCGTGGCATGCACCCCACTCCTCATCAACCCCATTGCATATGCGAGCTGCACTGCAGGTTGCGGCGTGGCTTTGCAGATAAGGCCAATGTCAGCCCTCGCTTCCTACCCAATAGAAGCGTTGTCTTGGAGAAAAAGTCGGCTCAGTGTGCTGGAGTTTGCAAGCGCATATCTCACTTCAGCCACAATTTAGAAACCCTATCGCTTCCGATCAGTCAAGTGCAATTTTCCTTGCAGATTCTTGAAACAATAGCTCTGCCCGTAAAACGTTATCCGAGATCCCTTCCCTAACTAAAAACATCGGCTAACCGTCGCTAAACTCGGGAGAGCGGGCGGGTAACCCGGGTGATCCGGGCGCTATTGTTGGTCCTTAGCCCGAACAAAAGCAGGACGTTTGATTCGCCCAGTAGCTAATCCTTGTTTCAGCTCATTTCTCGTTTGCCTTAGCTACCTGGTCTAGGCAGGTCGTTTGGAGATTCAGAAGCAGGGCAAAGGAGACAGAATGATCTGATGATCTGACTAGATTATCTCTTGAGATATGTTACTACTATGAATGAAGTGAGATATTTGAATTGGGGGTAGAATGACTAGACTCTCAATTACTGCAAGTGGTCCAGGCATGTTTGCGTCTTTATCCCTCAATCTACCTACAGCTTGAGGAGGGATATTCTATGAAGCTGGGCAGACAGCCACCAAAAGGGATCGCCGAAAAAGGCAATGTACAGTGCTGAACTGACAAGTAGGTAGGCATTCTGAGACGCCACTAAGCAAGGATGTAAGTCTGTCAACCAACAGATGTAACCTTGCCGTGCATATACTTATGAGAAGAACCCAATAAGGGGCATCGTTGTCTATCTGTACTCTCTCTCTTCAAATCAATCTCTCCAACTCTCGCTGTCTCGAAGATTATGTCTTGGAAACGTTCCTCTTTAGCTGATACCGGCTTCTTCTACGATGAAGACCTCCGAAATGAAGTCATGGACCCATTCCCGCCCCATGTTAAAAACCTAGAACAGGCAATGCTTGACTTTACGTGTCAGGAGCTAGACCTGCCTACTAAGAAAGACCTCAACATCCAGCGCGAAGCTGAAAGACTTGCCAATGGGGGGTTTTCAGAAGATCGATGGGTAGATTTCTTTCGAGCATTTTTCTTCAGCCCACTTCTGCAACAGGCCTCAGTCTCGGGGGAGAAATCTCGAATGTCAGTACAGTTCTATTTGAGGGCGCCCTACTGATATTTATCCTCTCAGATCTTCACGATGCCAGTATTACTATGATTCCATAGTGTTGTAAGTAGCTCCAAAACGCAAGGATGAAGAGTAGAAACTTACCATGGCAATAGCGATACTGACGCTATGTGGGGAACATTTGACAAGAACGATGAAAGAAACGGACCTGTAAAGACTCCCAAGCCCGATCTCGTCTTTTACCTTCCGATGTATCATCTGGACACTCATATACCTACGATAACTGATCACGAAGCACAACAATGGCACAAAGAATCAACACCATCCCTTGTGGAGACATTCTCATGGTCCACTATGAAGAAACTACATGGACACGGCTTGCTAGCCACTCCCTTCAACGTTCTCAATAAGAAGGAAGCCCAAGAACAAGACCTGAGTTGTTTTCCTTGGCTTATCGTCGAATACAAGAAAGCGAAGAGTGCCCCTGGTGAGCTTGAACGACTGAAGGAAGTTGTTTACTGCCAAGCAGCCAATGCCAGTGGATGTGCTGTCAGGCTGAACCAGAATGCAGCCAGGTATGCTGTTGAGCTGGTCGGTGACGCACAGGTCCCTCCTGTTGCAAGCGTTACCACAGTTGGGCCCCAAGTCAAGGTCTGGATAACGTTTTTGGCCAAAGGTTTCATGGCATATCGCTACAAGGATAAGAATAATCAGCAATTCCAGAGATATAAAGAAGGTTACGTAAGTACAAATTGAGGTTTCGCAGCGGAGCGGCACTAATCACTCTGACTAGATGATGCAATGTATCTGGACAGGTGACATGACAGAACCTCAAGATATCCTCAAATTCCGACTTATACTCGAAAACACATATACTTGGGCAAAGCGGGTCTTCAAGCCATTGATAGCCACATATATTGATCAATGGATGTTTGCTTGCTCTATTGATATCCCTAGCGCTGCAAATACAGAAATAACACGTCGACAAGAGAGACTGGAGCTCTCGAGGTGTGCACTTCGATTCACTCTAGCTTCTCTAAAAGCTCAGCCAAGCCTCGAACCTAACTATGGATCGTATCTGACTGTTACAAACAGCCTGGTTGACCTCTGTGATCGATTCGTCCAAGATGTGGACCGAGTGATTGAAGAGGAGCTCGAGCTATTAAGCCGAGACAAACAAAGGGCATCATCCTCCAACACCTCGCGCAGACGGGCACGTACACCCAGCGAACAATCTCGGAAATCAACGCAGGCCACGGAAATCAACAGCGACGGGCCAAAACATAATGGCTATGTGGACTCGCAGCCCAGGCGGCCTGGGAGTCCTGATTCTGCGGATTTGACTCCGCTGAGTGCTCCACGACGAAGCCCGCGGTTGGAACCACGAAACAAACCACAGCCATCTCGTGAAAGCAGTTCCAGAGTAGATACAGTCTCTTCATGTCTCAGAGTAACTATGGCAGCTGGGGCACCCAAGAGACGACAAAGCCAGAGTAAATATCTCGCACCACCAATTGAGATTGAACTTGTATCAAGTTCTTCATCTGGAGAATCAGAGTTTTCTGGCATAGTGGCTGACGAGGATATTTCACTTGGGACCTTGTCAGAAGGTGATGTTTAGAGAGTCAGTACGGGGTAACTGCTAGGCGAGATATATTATGAGTGTATTTCTTTGGACGGAATGATCTTCATTGCTTGATACCTAGTCGCAGAAGGAGATTTTATTATACTGTAATATTAGCTGAGGTTCCAGTTATATATATATAGACCTTAAGAAATAGTTATTACTATTTTAGCATTATTTTCTCATATGTCCTGGCTTGCTGTATTATACGCTGTTTGCCTTTCTCAGAAACTCGTTCTGCGCGGCAATTGAGCCGAATATAGTTATTATATATTTCATCGCATTGCACTCCTATGTTGGTCATTGTGTCAGCAGCAACCAGGTTCTGATTTTATTCGGAGATCCAAATTAACTATTGATTGGACTTTCTACAAAGTCAGCACCTGCAAAGCGTGAGATATTACGGCACAGTTTCAGCCTCATCACCAACAACCAACATATCAGCCCACCTTCAAGAAAGTAATTCCGAATTTTGCGTCAGCTCCAGGCAACAATGGTCAATAAGAGATAAGACATAGTCTTCAATTATTAAGGCTGGGGTTCTAATCACTTCTCTTCTGCTGCATTTCTCCTCCTTTATGTGAACATATCAATCTCTCCGTTTCATTCGTCATGACATTAGCAATGTCCGCCGGCGGCTTAGAAGTCAATAGTGTTGCCTTTGGCGCCAACGTTGATGGGGATGTCTCACAGATATGGAAACAAGTCGAGATTCGCGTTGTGCAGATGGCAGGAGACTCTTCCAAGATCAACCAGAATCTGGACATAAATAGCGTCCTGCAACATTTGGAGCAAGCCCACTCCAAGGACAAGAAGGCGTCTGAGAAGTATGGTACCGTTAAGAACCTTTTCAACCGAACCCTGCAATGCATCCAGACTGTAGGAGGCATCATCGCAGACGAGGCATCATATGTGCGTTTCGACTTCTATCTTTTACTGTTCTACTGACAAGTATCATAGTTGTTTGCTCCAGCTGGTACCTGCTACAATGCTCTCACATTCGTGATTCAGGCCTGGCAGGGCTATGAAGGTATCTTTGAGAGCCTCGGTGGCCTTCTCGAGAAATGCACGGAGTTTCTGGAACGACTTACCTACTACACTGATTTTGGCATGGACTCGAAGCTTACCAAGATCGCCTGTCAGCATCTCCAGATCTTCGTGGACATCTGTGACCATACCCTCAAGCTGCGCTCCAAGCGGACCAAGTTTGCTGCTTTCATAAAGCAGATGTTCCTTAATGACGATGGTGTACAGGACCTTTTGGGTGCCATGAAGAACCTGATGGAAAAGGAGCATGGACTCGTATCTGCACAAACTTGGAAATCAAGCAACGAAGCTGCCGCCAACTCGAAGGACGGGTTATCACTGACGCGTAACATGCATACCAGCCTGGTTGACGATAGAAAGCAGAAGCAACTTGAGAGAGATATTGACAGTTGGAAACTCATCATTGTCAACGCCCTGGACTTGGACCGCGCCATACTGGAACCTGGTCGTGAGCCATGGGATAAAATGTGGAAACGGCACAAAGGCAATATCCTCGAGGGCAGCGGTGAGTGGCTTTTCCAAGACTCTCGCTTTACTCGCTGGGTTTCTAGTTCCCAAGATTCGAAGGGTATCCTGGCCCTCGAGGGTGAAGAAGGGGCTGGCAAGACACTCCTTGCTTCCAATGTCGTCATTCATCTACGCAAGATGAAGGGGTCGGGAAAGAGAGTCGTTACTGCACACAACTTTCTCGACATCGATTCCAAATCGACTACAGACGCCAACGACGCCAATATTATCTCCAGATATGTCATGTGTCAACTCGCACTAGCAGAAGATCCCGTCATGAAGAGCATCGCAGGTATTTGTGAGAAAGCTCAGTCCTTTAGCAGCCCGCTAGACATGTGGACACAGCTGCTCCTCGAGAACCAAGACCTGCTGGCTATGGATGTGGCATTCTATATCGTACTGGATGGACTAGATGCCAATGCTGAGGTTCTAATCAACTTCTTGCAACGGTTCTCCGACAATCCGATCATCCAGAGAACTCGTATACTCTTAACCGGAAACAAAGAGCTCTTTTACGCCATCAATTTGGCTGGCGGGGTCAAGATGGATAAGATTGTGCTCGAAGACGCAAACAGTAAGGACCTTATGCTGTATATCAGCAAGCGAATGGATAGTATGGATATCCTCAGAAATACGTCCAGGCCGGGTGTTTCTGAACTAAGGACAAATATTCTCTCATCTCTACAGTCGTCTACAAAGGGAGACTACTACAAGGTCGAGCGAGTGCTCGATAATATTTCCAAAACAGACGATGTCGATGAGATTGACGCTCTGCTTGAATCAGCGGGCAACGTAAGACCCGACCAAATCGAGGCTGATATCGAGAAGTTGAATCAGCAGCGCACGCCAAAGGAGATCCCTGAGATAAATGAGATGATTCTTTGGGTCAACGATGCACGGATATGGTTCTCACCAACCGAGATTGAAGCAGCACTCGCTCTCAAAGCTGGCCCCAAAGCAAGCACCTCACTCATGTCCATCGAAGCCAAGATTGCGTCGAAATACACCATCTTTACAACCGATTCAGGCCTTGTCCAGTATAAGGTTGGTGAAATCCAAAGAAAAATTCCCCTCAAGAAACGAGACGTTGAGGACAGTGAAAGCTCCAGTGGTTTCAAGGAGATCCAGCCTGCTGAGGTTAATATCATAAAGCACTACCTCTTAACTATCTGTCCAAGCGACCTGTACCAGAAATTCGGGTTCGATGATTTCTTCGATTTGAAGATGGCTCGTGAGGGTAACTACATCTGCCGAGACCCGGATAACTCCCAAGCTTCTATGGTCTTGCGCTGTATAAAGTGCCTTACCGATCAGCGCACCGAGAAGACGGAGCGTCTTTTGGATTATGCATCTGGAAACATCCATATTCACCTGAAGGACACTGACCTATCTTTGACGGACCGTTCTCTAAAGGCTAAAGTTGGGACTGCTTTACTTAGACTGTTCACCGAGCAGTATTCTCTCGACTCCTTATTCGGATTTCACTTGCTTCATGAGGATGCTGACGAAGTGCAATTTTCCAAGGACGATCTCCCTGAGAGCTGGAAAGTATAGATCTTATCGGACCAGGGAGTCAACTCGGTTACCAAATGGCTCAAGGACTCGGCTGTCATCGAAGATGTCAAGGATAGGTCATTGGTATCCTCGTTTAATGCACCCGACGCCAATCGCCATTTGGCTCTTTTTGGCTCCTCTTCAAGAACAGCCGCTGAAGACTTGTTTTCAAAGGACACGACTCAGCATGAGATTATTCGGGCCTATATTCTCCTCGATACAATTCTCACCAAGGTATGTAAACACTATCATCATTGAGCAATATTGCAGCGAATAACAGCTTTCTAGGACCAACACCCCACTGAGAAAAGCGAGAGGCCAAACGATAGGGCTGAGTTAACAGAGACAGTCTCGGGCAATGACAAGGAGAAAAAGACAGAAGATGGTGAAGACGTCGATTCCGTCCATAGCCCGGCCTCAGCAGACATCCAATGGTTAGAAGATTGGGCACAAGAGATACTCAAAGTGTCGGATAAAGACTCCAAATGGGAGTCCCAGGCATCGCTACTTCTTTCTCACGTGGCAGGCGAAAAGATTCCCAAGTCAGTTGCAGAAGAGAGAGCACGAAAGGCGTTGGACATGAATCCAGAGAGTTGGGTCGCCTCCTACGCACTATCTCAAGTCATCGAATCGAAAGAAGAGTCTCTTAGTCACCTTGAGAAAGTACTTGATAAGGTCATGAAAGACAAAGAATGGCAGAATGAGCGAGGCCACAAGAGAATCTTGGCACGAGTCATATACAGTCTTGGAGACAAATGCTGGGAAGATGGTGAAAGACAGGAGGAAGCCATTGCGACATATTCCAAGGTTTTTGACCTTAATAGGTCAATCCATCTTTTCAATAGCTTCTCAGGTGTTCTCCAAAAGTATTCTACAGCTAGCTGCTGGGAGCCCATGATCACTTTCTTCGAACGGCTGCTTGACGAGCCTAAAGACGGCCCCAACACAGCAGGCGAGTTCCTGATGGATAGACTCCTAGAGCCAGGGGAGGCATTCTTTTCGATGTTTTAAAGCTTATCGAAACAACTGCAAGATATGATCTCCTTGAAAAACTATTTGTTCGGGCTATTGCAAAGGCCACCTCCAAGGGTGACCACGACGATCTCTTCACAATCCGATACTACTACGGCAAGACTCTTTCTAGCATCAAAGGCCACGAAGAAGCTGGTATCGCGGTATGGGAGCTCTATAAAAGCGAGGCTACGAATGAACTTCACGAGCGGGCTGTCAACTCGATCGATACCTACACGGTACCCGCATGGCTAGAACTTGCTACTGCCAAAGATATTGATTCAGCAAGAGCCCAGGGCTTCTTTGACAAGATCGAGGCCGCGTACGTTGAGTTTGAAGCTCTTGAGTCACATGATATCGAGCCTACTGTTGCTTTTGCGCAGTCTTTCAGGTACCGCGGTGACACCGACAAAGCTAAGCAGATCTTACGACCGCGTGTGACGGAAGCGCTTGAGATGCTCTCTGATGACCGCACAGACAATGATCTGTACTCACTATACAACCTCGGGCAGGTATTGGCTGTAATGCGGGATTTTCCTAATCACATAACCTGTATGGATCTAATGCGCCAGGCCTTACGTGTAGCCAAAGCAGGGTGTACCAAACTCGCTGCCAAGTATGAAGAAGAGGACTCCCAAATAGAGCTCGCCATGTCAAAGGGTGAGACTTTTCGTCGAACCATCCTCTCATTGCCTGACGACCCTGGGACGGCGATTTACGAATGCGATGGATGTGGAGCAGATTTCGCGTTTGCAAGTGAGCTTTGGACTTGTCTGAGCGAAAGTGGAGGTGTGCAGATAGATGATAAGTGCTACAGGAAGCTTAAAGAAGGAAATTTGGGACCGGTATGTGGCAAGGAACATGAACACTACTGGGTGCCAAAACGCAATGTTGAGGAGATTGATGCGGTTCCGATTGGCTCTATCAAGTTGGGAGAGGAGATTATGTCATTTGAGGCTTGGAAAGACAAGATTCGAAAACAGTATGTTAGTACCGGTATAGCCACATAAGCTAGAGGTGTTGTTGAGCATCTTTTAGAGGAGGAGTAATGATATATGTATTTCTATGAGACAGGTCCCTTGCTATCTGCCATCATCTTCTCAACTTGCGGTGTCTCTAATACATCCTCATCATCCACTTAGTAGCGGACGATCTCCATGCGCTTCTTGAGGCGGAAAGCAATAGCACGCTTTCGTGAAGCAGCAGACTGAGTGAAAGCGCCAGAACCACCGAAAGGTCCAGCAGCAGCGCCATTGCGGACACGGACGATGCAGACGTTGTTGGCTCCTCCAACAGAGCCTTCGCAGGTCATACCCTGGGGCATCTGGACCTTGAGAGGGAAGTCGGTGTTGGTGGCGAGAGAGAGACCCTGGATGCCAATTCCAGGAACATCTTGGGTCACCTCAGCGGTTTGGAAGGCATCGGGGTCAGTGCCGCCGGAAGTAGCATCGATTTCAGCTGTCATTGGACCGGCGCCGTCTTGGTTGATCTGATAGAGTTAGTTAAAGCACTCAGGTAAGATGCATAAGACTTACCTGTCTATAAGTCATGGTGACCTCGCCGTTATCAGAGGCAGTAGGCAAGCCCTTGCTAGCACCCTCTCCAGCCGTAGCAGCAACGCTGGTCTCTTCAGCTGTCTCGGTCTTTTCACCACCACCTCCACGGCCACCGCCAAAGAGTCCACCCAAGAAGTTACCCAACTGACGCCTCTGTCGGTTGTTGCCCTGGTTGTTACCCTTGGGCAAGTTGGACAAGTCATCCTCAACACCAGTAGCACCAGCAGTGCCGTTGTTGGTGGGGACGTTATTAGCGTTTCCGCCTCCCAGAAAGTTGGAGACCATGACGGATGCATCAACAGGCCCGTTACCCTGGGTCCTGCCCAGAGCGCTGGCTTCTCCACTGCGGATCTCACGATCACGAATGATGGAGGTGTCGGCTTGAGAACCGCATCGGTTGCTTGAGCAATCACGAGGAGTTCCATCAGCAACTGCCTATTGTTAGTGGTTTTCTCACATACAGCCAAGTGGGATGGCAACTTACTGCTGAGACCAGGCATGGTAACTCCATTAGCTCCCTCAACAGAGAGGACGACTCCATGAGCAGAAGCCATGGCGAAGAAGGCGGAGACAATAGCAAGAGAATGCATTTTGAAGGTAGTATAGATCAAAAGAATTATTAAAGTTTGGGTTGCTGAAACTGAGCCGCCAGGGCTGACTTGAGGCTTTCTTAGAAAGGAAGTGAAGAGAAGATGATTGAGATGCTGTTGAATTATTCTCCAAGATGTCGAACAATCAGACTCTTTTATACAAATTCGCGTCTATATCTGAAGTTGGATGTTTGATATCGCCCTCCTCGGTTGTCGGCTCGCGATGCCCTCCCCAGTGCTGATCATCAGCGATCACCAAATCGCATCACGAGAATCCCCATCCTCAGCTTCAGGTCATCGTTTCCATTTGTCTCAACGCTCATCACAGCCACATTTTTTTCTCAGTTCACGAGTCTCGAGTCCTCACCCATGTTTCAAAATTCTTGGTGTTTCATGTTTCGCTCAGACCCAGAAAACTGACACGTGAAACTTCAGCTCTAACAATTCGGAGAATTCTTGGCTATTTTGGTGAATGCGATTGGTTTCTCAGAATTTTGCATCTTCTAAACACCAAGACGTTCCATCCCGTGATTCCTCATGTCGGCCGCCGCGTATTATTAATAAAGATAAACCTTGAAACTAACGCGCATTTAGCGAAGAGTTTTAATGGCTTTGTTTGCGAGAGAATGTTCTTTTGATCGGCGCTAATAGGTTCGTGTTCTTTGTGATGAAACCGGAAACGAAGAGTACCAGGTAGGCGCAGTTCTTCGCGAACAAAAGGCCAAGACCCAAAGCGAAGCACTGGCGGCTAATTCGGATATAGCCATCTTCTATTTCGTATAGCCTGTACTCTCAGTTTATACGTTGCTCGTATCATGGTTGGATGTTACGTGATTCCCAATCAATTCCGAGGACTAATATGTTCTCGCTCAAGCCACATGGTTATGGGCAGTGATAAACTATTCTGTTTCTACAAACACATTCTATCGTTTATAAACAATTTATGCGTTATTTCTAAATTCTTAGACACAACTAAGTTTATTTGTCCTGGATGCGAATCCATGTGCACTCAATTTTTCGGCGAGTGCCGAGCCGGCAGATCTCGGCTTTCACTCCACTCGACTCCAGGAGTCTCGCGATGCTGAAACAGCCACTAGGCGCCCCGTTTTGACAACGTTTCACCGCCACTTTTTGGGCTTGACACATTCAGCTTTCCTTTGATTGAGTATTAAGTTAAGAATTAGGCGCTTATAGCCTAACTCTGAAGAAGAGGCGGTTCCATCTGCGTCAAAGCGTCATAACTACTACCCCAAGCTCCAGAACGTTTGTTGTGTCAAGTCCCAAGACTTGGCTTCTATCGCGAGGTCAATGACCTATCGCAACTTTTGGTAGTGAGAAGGCAGTGCAAGAATGAAACGTCGCAGATGGCAGTATCTTGCCCAGATTGGATAAGCATGCGAGCTCGATCAGTGTTTGGAATCATTATCACGTCTAGCGGCAGAAGACATCCTATTAGTCAAGATACGCAGCGCAAAAAACATGATTTTGAGGCCCCCTTTGGAAAGCAAACATTTTGTCGCACTCTCTAGTACGACACTTGGCCAAGGCTGTCATTGAATTGTATCTATCACCTCTTCCTCAGAATTGCTGCTGCATGCAGTCAACCATACCGAGAGTCACTTCTGAGCCTAGTCACTTATCGTTTGTAAGAAATTGGAATTCAGACTAAGAATACACTCAGCTGACTTGAGTAGTATGTACACTGGACACGATCTACTAGCTAGGTAACAAGAATGAAAAACACAAATGTGGCTCGGCACTACCAGAAGCCTCCATCTATCCCATGTTGATAGGATCATTGATAGGGTCAACACCCTTTGCAGTACCAATACGAGCCTCGAACCAGAATCGAAGTCTCTCAACCAAACCACGATCATTCATGAATCGCGCAAACTCAGCTGGGTTGGTGGCAGTCTCGTTGCGAAGATCAGGGAACCCATCTGGAGTGGCAATATCGCGACGAACAGACCAAGTCCCCATAGCAGACTGATACTCCTCACTGAGGATAAAGTTGTGCAAAAGCTTGGCTCCCTCGGGGTGAGGAGCGTCCTTGAGAATACCAGCGTATTGCGACCAAGATACGTATTTGCCGCGTGTAGGCTGAGAGAACTTGAGAGGCTTGGACTCGCCGAAACCTCCGCCGGTAGCGAAGTAAGCGGCTTCGGTGGCGTTCTTCAGGCTGATGATGGCGCCGGGAGTTGCTGTACCACGGACCCAGCGAGGATTCTGCTTGAGGAGATCCTCGAACCAGGAAGCTCCATACTCTTGCATGCTAGAAACTGGTCAGATATGGCCCCTGTAGGAGACATGATAAACTTACATAAGATAGAAAGCAAAGAGAACTGCGTCATCGTCGTTGGGGTAAGTTAGAACAAGCTTGTTCTTGAACTCGGGTCGAAGCCAATCGGTATACTCGGCAGGTGCCTTAATACCGCGAAGCTTCTCCGTGTTCCAGGCATTGGCCCAGAAAAAGATGTACACTCCATACCAATAAGCCGTGCTGTCCTTAAAAGCATGATCGATTTGATCAAAGCCTTGGGGTGCGTAATTGAGCAAAGCGCCCTCTTGGGCCCAGCGAGGATAATCGTTTAAGGTCTGCAGGATCACGCTGTCGACGTAAACTGACTTTCCACCAGCAGCAAGTTGCTGATCCAGTCTGACGTCATGGTACTTGGATAGATCGACAGTGACGTTGAGCTTGATGCCGGGGAAACGTTTCTCGAAAGCTTGTTTTAGGCCGGCTTGTTGGTTGACTGCATCTCCGCCGTGCCAGAGGGTAACGGTGTCTCCCTCCTTCAAGGCAGCTTTGTAAATCTCATCGAGGCTTCTGGTTTCGACCTCGACTTTTTCGTTGAATCCGAGGACTTGGTCATAGCTCATGACAGCGCTAGCCAGAAAGGCGAGCGAGAACAAAGAGTGCTTCATAGTGATAGATCCAAACAGTGATGGGTAGATGGAAATGAAGATGATGCTCTTGGATCTGTATGAAAAGATAGACGGGCATTGGGTATTTATATGAGAATTGGCATATACGAAAACTTGGTATTTAGCCTACGTTACATAACTCAATCTCTATCGGAAATACCGTGACGGTGTTTCCGGCCAAATCGTGAATAGAGTTTGCCAATGCCGATCTCGCATGATGGCTTATATGAGTACCGGGATTACGTGATCCCCATGTTTCTACGATTCCTCCAATGAAAAGCACGATTGATTATCGAAGCGCGCGGTTCGGAGGGGCAGTGGGATAGACCTCATCCCGCCGACTCTGCTTAGTCGTCATTTTCGTACTTCTCCTTCCTAAACAGAACAAGAAGCCCCAATGGCATTACGTGGTTGACTATATTCGCGACTCGTAACGAGGCTCAGCTTGAACTCAAAATCCGCAGGGATGCCCTTTTGAGAAGGAATCCTCGTGATAGCTCGTGATACTGACTAATTAGAAGACGGCGAAACTACTATGCTCAAGGCCCTTTAGTTCCAGGGTAATAACTTGTTTCCCTGCTGGCTACCATTACGGTTAGAATGTTCACCGCGGGACAGACTTGTGTTATTCTGCTCCGGTTTTGGCAACTGATGTTACTTCATGATTCCATTACACGATGGATTATTCACCGCTTGACTCAGGATTCTTGCTACTTATATACATGGCATCAGCTCAAGTCATTCCACCAATTATGCGAGCGTCTTCTCGCCCTTCTCGATAATGGGAGGAGGGCGCGGAATGTCCTTGCGAAGGACGTAGCGCTTGAAGATGTAAGGCAGCCAGACTTTTGTCTCATGAGACAAGAAGCTCTTTGTAGGGACGGAGAAGACCTCTGTATGTTTTGTTAGTAACTGTATCTAATTGGTGTTATGGTGGAGAAAACTTACGATCCAATTCCTCAAGGGTCATCTGCTTAGTCTCGCGAACGAAGCAGAAGATCATACCCCAAGCAATGAGGTTGAGTCCAGCATAGAAGCCGAAAGCTCCAGTAGGTGTCATGACAGTCTTCATACGAGGGAAAGTCAATCCAAGAACACCAGCGAAGGTGTTGTTGATGCAGACAGCCCAAGCCATACCCTGCTCTCGCTGAATGGTGGGGAAGACCTCGGCGGAATACTGGAAGGCCACAGGTCCCTCGCCGAGACAGTAGGCGATGGTGAAAAGGTAGACGAAGAGAACGACGGGACCAATATTGGCAGCTCGGTTGTCGCTGTTGTTGAGAAGAGAGAGACCACCTGCCAACAAGAAGATGCACATGAAGGGGAAGGTAGCCAGTGTCAAGAATCGACGTCCCTTTGTGTCAATCAGGAAGAGAGTAGGGATAGTGAAGACGACCTGAATAGCACCATATCCCAGAGAAGCATACAGAGCCTCGTCATGACTGTAACCAGCTTCTCGGAAGATACTAGAGCTGTAGAAAGAGATAATATTGATACCGCACATCTGCTGGGCCAGCATAACAGTGCTAGCACCGTAGTTAGCGCGTCGAATTCTAGGAACAGCGAAGCAGTCCCAAAGACGAGCAAAGTAACCAGCGCCGGCGTTCTCGCGGAGCTCCTCGTGGTAGATGATGTAAGAATAGTAGTAATCGCGAGCACCGATGATGGGGTGAGCTCGAAGCTTGGACATGGAGACGAATCCATCAGCGATGCGGCCGTGTTTCATCAGCCAACGAGGAGATTCGGGGCAGAAGTAAATGCCGGCAGCGAGGAAGAAAGCGGGGATAAAGGCAGAGCCGAGTTCAAGGCGCCAGGCGATATCGCCGATATCCTTGACGATGACATTGGCGCAGAAGCCGAGGAAGATACCTGTTGCTGTTAATATGCTGAACCGATTAACAGGACGTGAGAGGCGTCTTACCAATAACGACCCAAAGCTGCCAGAACATGACGAGAGCACCTCGAATTCGAGCAGGAGCCATCTCAGCGGAATAAATAGGCACGGTAGCATTCTTGGCACCAATCCCTATTCCCATAATGAAACGGATGGCAAAAAGCTCTTGCCAGTTCTTGGCGAAACCTGAAGCAATTGGGGTAGCAACCAAGCAACAGGCTGTGATAAAGATCTCTCCACGTCGGCCGAAGTAGTGGTTGAGAGGGTCGACAATAAAAGCACCGCTAGAGACCAATTGTCAGATGAAGTCAGGATATTGTAGGTGAGATTTGAAGCTTACATCAAACCAGCGGTAAGAAAGATGATAGAGTTGATAATACCAACAATCCACTCATCGCGTCCCTTGCCATCAATACCGAACTCCTTAGGGAACGACAGATTAGCGCCATTGGCACCTGTCTGATCCCATCCCTGCGTAGCAGCACCGACGGCACAAAGACCAATTGAGTACCACAGCATCTTGGAACCATGCCACTTGTGATCTCTCTCGTAGATGAGAGCAGCTCGTTCGTCATCGAGAAGGTCATGGGATTCGAAGTTGTCGGGGTCACGAGCGATGAGAGCTGCTCGGCCGAAGAGGTCGACGTGCTCGGACATGCCATTGGACTCGGCAAAGGCGCGAGCGTCGGCGACGACTTGATCGCGGGATTTGCTCTGCGATATTGGTCAGTAATTGGAGGGATTGATGAGGGGCAGGTGGAATGTACCTGAAGAGGGTTCTGAATAATGTTGAGAGCAACTGATTGACGACGACCCTGAGAAGCATGCTCTAGAATCTCAGCACCTCCCTTCTCAGGCGGAGGCGTAACAGTCTTGTCATCATAAGACGAGCCACCATGGCCAGGTGAAATATCCTTGTCATCCATAATGAAGTCAGTCCTAGTAAATCAACAGTCAGGGTAGAGAGAAGAGGAGACACTGCTGAAACAACAAGATCATCACAAGTTGAGGCTGTATTATATATAAGCTTAAATTTAAAGCACGGCAGTTGGCAACCCTCTGGGGTCAAACTTGGCAACCCGAACATGTCCACCCTTGCCAAGCCTAGGCAGCAAGTTAACAGTCTTGGCCAGCATGATATCACCTCACGCCAAGACGTGTTGGAGGTGTGCTACCCCATGGGATCAACGCGGAGAAGATGTGGTTTTATTGGACTGCTGTGTTTGAGTGGGGACCGGTGCAGGACTTTTGCTTGCTTATGCTGGTTTACTGTTTGCAATTGAAGATCATTTCCTATTACCTGAAGTCACCAATTGCTGTCAATTTGGAAGTTATGCTGTCAGATTGCCCTGTTGTTGTGAGGCATATCAAACTCATCAAATTCACTGAGATCACTGAGATATCCCCAGCTTCTCATGCGGAGAAAAAAAGTGGCTTTAGGCACCGAAATTCTTGACTCTTTCTCCCCCTAAAAACCAAGCTTTTCCTCTGTCCTCCCCGCTTACCCCACATGTTGTGCCATGGGGATACGGCGATATTAACCGCAAAGTCTTGGCCCATCCTTTGAATTTCTCCACTCAGACAATTGATCCAATCATTGATATGTTTATTTCACTGCCTGTTTTTTAGATCAGGAATCTAGTCCGGGCTTTTTGGGGAAAACGGGCGTTGGAACCATGTGAAAGGGAAGAGTTGGGACTAAGTGGGACGGAGGGTTTGAGGAATACGGGTGCCTAATAGAGGGAATTGAGTGTCGCTGAGTTGATGAAAATTCTGTCGGCCAAGTTGAGATGGTTTGGGCTCGGGTATCTCGGTCAATGTTGTTGGTATTGATCATTTCATGTCTTGAATGGTCGATGCTACCCTCCGTGGCTTGGTTCATTTGACGAGCACAGTCATAAGCGAGTCGGCCGCAATGGAAACGTTTCCATGCCATTTCTGTCAGCAGCTAATTTTGAGTTCAGACAACCCGTTAACGTTATATATAAAGTTAAAATGCGATCGTCGTTGTTTAAGTTGATCAGAGTTTCACTGCGATCGCGATCATCGGTGGACCAAACACCAACAAGCGATTTCAACGTTCAAGACGACGATGACCGTATAAGTCACCCTGGCAGCATCGGAGCATTTCACGATAGTCGAGATGTTTTCAGCTATGCGTCACTAACCCAAATGACACTAGCCAAAGTGCGGCTCAGTTGAAGCTCGCCGAAAGACAATGAGTTCTGGTCATTGTCATCCCCAGGTGTTCTCTTGACTCCAGAATCATGCCATGGTATATAAACTTATGTAACAAATACTTACCAATGTCTACCAACCCAAAAAGACCATTAGACCAGGATTATTCCATGCTTTCCTCAACTCAAATTCGTGATCAAATCTTGTCGCGTAGCCTAGCGACGAACGCGTCTCCACTCTTACCATTTTCTCTCCAACGTGCATCGGGTTGTATCGGGAATACCGGAAATGGCCTCAAAATCTCTGAAACAAGGCCATGTCTGCATGCCTGAGCAACGGGCTACTCCCGGTCATCTGCCCCAATAAGCAGGGAATGGAGTAACAACACGTGAGATTAAAGAAATGCGCAGGTAAGACGGGAAGCAAGAAGAAGCTTAGAAGCCAAGATCATCAGCGGAGTAAAGCGCTCTATTTGAACTCGTTCAGGTAAAGTGTCGGGGCCCCACGGGAAAGTTTTGGTGGTCTCGCATGCCTTGGTTTTGATCCTGCAAATCCGGGGCAACGACATGCAATGTCTTTGAGTATTCGGTCCTTTGCCTTGATCTGCGTTTTGTGTTACCGGGCTCGGATAATCATGCAACTTTCGAGACCCTTCTCCGTTGTAGACCCTTGCTGAAGTGTCAAACCAACAGATTGAACAGCAACAATAAGAGATCAGGTCGGAGCGGAACCAAAGGTGACGTTTATATCCTCAATCGTAATGTTTCCTGTCGCTGAAACTCCTTCACTAGCCACAACGCAAACATCAAAAGTAAGTATCGGCAGAATGTTATTAAAGCATTGTTCATTGGTATTTCAGGGTCTTACAGATCTTCATATTGTCATTCCGTGTACAGAGGATGTGTCAGACGCTTATTTGAAGTTGGGTGCAGCAAAAATACCCTACACCAGCATTTCCATTTTCATGGCCTGAGGCAGACAGAAAAAAAACGGACGGGATACTTAAAACAGTCGTTTTGGCGTCGATCTCTATCTGACTGTTATCCACCAGCCAACCCAAACCGAGGCCAATCAGTAAGCGGCAAGGAACAGGATAATCCCTGACGTATATCGGATAAATTTGCGCCGTCCTTGCCGTCTTAACCTAGATACGTCACTTTATAATTAGAACATGTGAAAAAGCTTTTGCGTCTTACGCATCGCGTTCTGAAACATGGTTTACGCGGTTGGCATTATCTGTTAGCTAGTTCATTTAGGTCTTCTCTTAAATAGCATCTCTATAAAGTAAGTAGTAAAATATTACGCATACTTAAGAGAAAAAGTATTAATTAATAAGGCTTAACTATATATGGGGTAAACACTATTAATATAAATAGTACCTTACTACTGCTAAATCCATTTAAAGGACATTGAGGTTGATGCCTGTATTGAAGCATGAGAAACCAAAAGCAACACCAAACTGGTCGATGCGGACGCGCTATATATTTCACATTCCAATGTAATGTGACAGGCGGGGTTTAAGCCTGAATGTCCAATCATACACTGCATTGGATTCGATGATATTTTGTGGCCCAAATAAATGCCAAGGCCTCCAGCCCTTGTCAGCTGTTCAATATCTTATGATCTTTGCATACTAGGATGTCTTGTTTGGGCTAGAAAAGAGAACTAGTGCTGTGGCTTGCAGATATATTGATTATTGAATATAAAGACAGTCTAGATCCATAGCCTCAGGCTGGCTGAAGAGGGGCTGTAGGGAGGTTAAAGCTGGCTTACAGTACTCGACTCCCCGTTTGATTTTTGGTAATAAAAATTCCAGAAACAGATTATCCATAATCGCTTGACTACATTTTTAGGCACCGCTGCCACATCCTGCAGCCTCACTCTCTCTTTCTTTGAAAGGCTCAAACAGAAAGAACAGCTTCAATGTCGGATATAGAGATTGAAGATACGATATGGGTATCAGAGGTGATGTTTATCAATTCTCTAGAGAGAGAAGGCACTGTGTACCGCCATGTGTCAGACCTCAAACTTGACCATACGTATGAGGATCCAGAACCATTGGACACATACTGTCCAGTGAAGGGATACTATGTTAGACTGAAAAAGAGTTTGTGCGCAAGAATTGGCGTGGTGGATAAGGAGCCGGAACTATATTTGTCTGTCGGCTTTCTGGACATCTGTATGGATGATCGCAGCAAAACCCCTTACCAATGGCAGGTTTACCGAACACAGCAACATGATAGAGACATTGTCTCCCGCAACATCAAAGACAAAAAAGGAGATTCCACAGCCTATCATTCCCTGGTCAAAGATCTGGAGTATCGGGTGTGGAAGAGTATGGTGAATAACCATCACAAAGGCATTGGGAAGGTTGCGATCAGAGGTGGGTATCAAGTTCCTGCTCGCCGCCGAAATGGCAAGGCGGAGATGGTCGAGCTGCAAAGAAACTTCATGGGTATGGCAACTGCTAGCGTTTGGGAGACTGTGTTTCGGCAGGCAACGTCACTATGGAACATCAACAATACGGGCGCCGCGTTCCGTGGTATCGATCCAGATAAGACTACAGTATACATCCTGCCAAGGTCAAAAGTCAGACGAATTGGCGAGGGATCCCATATCACTTGGGCCGATGTGAAAGAACATTTTGAGAGTCTATCCAACCGCCTAGACACCAAGTACATTGTCTTAGATAATTCTCAGATTATTAAAGACCGGGGGTTGGTGTTGGTGAGTTTACTGTTTTGATTGAAGTTGACTCTTACTGATCATAAGCACCTCGATAGTATTCCACCAATCCTTTATCCTACTACGAGTCCTATGTCTCCAAGGAAGTTGCAGAGGCATTCGGATTAACCTCTTTGCGGCCTTTAAACCCATATATCGACGAGGCAGGTATCAAGCTGAAAAGACTGATGAAGCCTCGTTCATCAGATCTACGAATTCGAAGGAAGCTTGCCATGGATGGAATCGTGATATCGAGAACCACAGGATCTATTGCAATTTCAACTACTCGTATGCTCAAGGCTGCTTTCAAGCGAAATGAGGCGACCTCACAAAAGACTGTCATGGGCATTTCAGCACCGATGGTTTGTTTCCTTTTTCTTGCTATCAGCTTTAATGATTGCCCCTCGTGGCTCGGCTGATAGGATGTTACAGCTTGCGAGAGAGTACCTAGGCTGGGGGAGTCAAAACGTTGACACATCCCAAAGTGGCCAGAATAAGCATTCGGCTGAGGTGAGTACACTGCAACCCACGAACCGAATAAAAGATTCAAGATAGGCCATATTCCTTCAAAGCCGTTAGCGTTACCACAAAATGCTAATTATATTATGACTGACAGTGGCTTCATATCAGCGCCTTTTCATTTGGCGGACTGACCGACGGGGCCAAGGCATGGGAAACGAGCCAAATCCAGCCCAACATGATGCTTGGTACATGGGAAATGAACTCGTGGATGCTCCGATATGAGACTGCCTTTCAAATGCTGTTCAAACTAGAACGCGAATTCAGGAAAAGGTTTACGGAAAAATTCGAAGTGCATGGCGAGTTACGCTTCAAATCCTTCCCTCCTCCTCTGCAAAATGAGAAAGTTTGGTTCCACAAGTGTGCGTGGATCCATTTCCAAGTTCAATGGGAACTCGAGATGAAGGAAAAGTCACATCTGCTTGATAGAGACCTGGAAGTTCTGGCATTGGAGATAAACCCTTTCGAAAGATCCTGCTTCACCAAGGGCGAAGCTATGGTCGACATTGCCTTGCTCAAAACTATCTACAATCGCAAGGTAGAGAGCCTACCCAAGCGGCTGAATATTAAAACTCTTGAAGCACAGCCCGCATTACCCATCCGTATGGGCCAGCAAGCTGATGGAAGCGTCTATGAGGTGCCTCTGACGGATGTTGAAGCCCAGCTTGTGTTGTCAGACAATATCAACCGATTAGACTCCCCTGACGGCCTCCAATCTCAATTTTTTTACTCTAGAGACTCTCTCTTCACGGCTACTAATGCTGGCACTGTTGAGATGAAGATCTTGGAAGCCCCGCGAAAAGGCGATATGGTTGTTGTGGGAGGTATCCCCTTGAATAATATCAGACTGATTGTCCTGGATCACCAGGGCAAGTATGCAAGTCTCCCCGTTACTGTTCGGAGTGTTGATCCTCCTTCTAACGAAGCTGGGATACTGCTGGTATCAGCCACCCGTAAAGAACAAATCATCGTCGCCCAAGCATCAAAGACGACTCCTATCTTGCTATTGTCCTCATCTCCCCGTACCGGCATGGAGATTATCGGGCCCCCAATTGATACAGTCTCTGATATGGCTGAGCTAGCTACTCAGACTTTCGGAGAGGCTGGAACATTGCCTGCCGCAGATTATGTCCTCCAGGGCGACGTTCAAGATCTGTTTGGGATTCCCGGCCTAAGCGGCGAGCTATTGAGTATTCAAAGCTCAAACCCCCAGGACCCCATACAGGAGAAGGTCAAGCCCAACCTGAGTGGTCTTGTTGATGGTTTCATTGCGTCACTTTTTCCCTCGCTCAATAGCGATATAATCCAGAGGCTGCCTATCGATAACGTTGAATTTGCATACTCGAACAAGCTGGATGACTTTTATAACCCGGAGGGACTGTCACTGAGTGCTGACATTACCTTTACCGGGCCGCTAGACCCCATCAACGAGCTACTGCAGTTTGTCTACAGTGGCAACGGGAAAAACACGCCGCCTACTAAACTTCGAGTAGAGGCGCGACTGAGCTCCGAAAGAGATTGGGCTGCACCGCTAGAGTTGAACAACTTCGCATTGCGAGGCTCCGTTGATCAGTCGCTTTGGCTTGGAGACATCATAAGGTTCCGCAAGGTCGGCGTGGAAGTATCTGTGATCAGCATTTCGTCGCTTGGCCACGATAAGACAGCGTGGAAGCTTGGGTATGGATTGTTTGGAGAGCTCGAGATTCACAAGATTCCAAGAACATACTTGCCACTGAGAGTCAATTACTGGATGAGAAAGATTGGCGACACTTACGGTCTCAGGATGGCCCTTTCGTCGGAGGAATGGACTTCCGTCTTTGGTATCAAGAATCTGGATGTAGGTTGCTGATATGGAGTGCAATATCCTGATATAGCTAACAAGTGCGAAGATCACAGGAGTCGAGTTTCATGCCTCGATAGACATGAATAATTTGGAAGACTTTCTTGCAATAGGTGTAAGTGCAATGATGAAGCTTGGCGATGGGGACATCTTTTTAGCAGGGCAGTATTCCAAATGTGAGAAGAATTCCTCTCAACTCGACCCTACAGCATATACTGACGTTGAAGTAGCGGACACTTACCTGGAAGCTGAAGTAGGGAACATGACATGGGCTGAAGTCGTGATGGCCTACACCCAGATCACAGGAAACTCTGTTGAAGTTGCGGCAAATGTCGATGAGCTTGATTTCGAGAACATGTACATCATGATATCTACCACTGGTATTGAGATCAGGGGCAAGATTTCCTTCAACGGTAAGACCAGTGTCGCCGGGTATATCAAGTTCAACGATGACGGTTTATCCATTGGCGGTGGAATTGAAAGCTTCAAGGTCCCCGACACGAATATCATGATTGAAGAAGCTGGCCTTGACATATTCATTGGCTCCAGGGGAAGTGACAAGACAAGTGGGCGCGCCAGCAGGTTTGCGCTCAGGGGTGTCGTCAATTTCCAGGGCATCAGGGTGGCTGCAGGCCTTGAAACCAGCACCGATGGATCGCCAGACTCACGCAGATGGATTCTCTATGGTGCATATGAAGGCAGCCTTCGGTTGTCCGCACTGGAAGCAGCCAAGTCACTCAAAGAGCATCCGGATCTGGATATTGAACTCAAGAACGTGGCTATCATAGCATCTAACAAAAAGGGGATCTGGATAAACCCTCTGAGCAAGAAGAAATACTCTCTTTCTGACGGACTCTCGCTCTTTGCGCTCATTGATCCCCTACCGGCAATTAACAACCTCGCAAGGAACAAGACTGTCGGTGGATTGGCTCTCATCGCTTCGATGAGTGCCAAAAAGCTCTCGGTGGCAATTGAGCTTCCAGAGAGTATTGGTGTAAGTGAACAAACGCAGACTTATCCCAAAGCTGCCATAACTGATCACGCAACAGATCGAAATGGGCGAGATTGCAAAGGTCGATAGGTTTACCGTTGGATTGGACATCTCAAGCACGCCCAATTTGATGCTCAGCTGTGACATAAAAATTAACATGGCAGAACAGCCACCGCTAACTTTGCATGCCAACCTGACGGCGTTGCTCCACGAAACGAAGGGTAGAATGCAAGTATAGTTGTGTCCAAATTTCAAGCTGATGACTGATATTTCATGGCTCTAGTCACCTTGACCCTGAAGTCCCATGGAGGAACCCTTTTGGCGTTAGCGACAAGATTATTGTGCAGAAGCTGGGCGGCAGCATTGCATTTAGATACGCAACCGTTCTGGTGGAAGGTCCAAGGTAAGAAATGCACCCATTAGTTTCAAGGAGAGTTTCATCTGCTAATAGGGTGGTCGTGAACAGCGAGCTTGGCTTTGGCGGCGTGGTGAAGTGCGGTGACTTCACTGGCGAAGCCTTTATTGTGATGACCAAACTTCCCACTCGTCAGGTCCTCAAAATCAACATCTCAAACCTACACGTGACTCAGTTAATTAGAATGGCAGGGGATATTGGAGACTTGGACGCACTGCGAAATATCAGCGGCGGCGACTTTCTTGTCTTCAACGAGGCTGGTATGTACTTCTCTACTGGCATTGAAGAGGCTCTGGGAGAGTCGTTCCCCGCAGGGATCTCAGCCAAGGGAGATGTCACTGTCTTCGGAAAAAGGGCCAACTTCGAGGCATCACTGAGCTCAGGGGGCTTCAGACTGAAGGGCGAAGTGGATGCCTTCAAGATTGGTCCCCTCGAGGTGCGCTCTGCCAGTGGAAACCCAAGAGCAAGGCTTGAGATTGCCATGACTTCCGAGAAGCAGCTGTTGGAGATTGACGGTTTGATCATGATTGGAGGAGACGATGGTCTTCAGATTGGGGCCCTGATCCAGGCTTCTCTAACTCCTGTCGTGTTCGACGTCTGGATCTTTGTGACTTTCACCGACCAGATCAAGTTTGATCTTAGAGCCGTGGCCACAAATGTGTCCAACCTCAAGGATCTATCACAAGCAAATGTGAATTTCACCCTCACTCTCAACACCGAAATACTAGAGCTTTTCTACATGGGTATTCTCGACTTTTTGGGCGAGCTGCAGAATCTGTCAACGGCATCAACAGAGGCGCTCGAGTTTGCACTCCAAAAGAGAAGGGACGAGGTTTCTGACGAGATCAATGCCAAGAAGGAGCAAATTGTTGCTCTTGAGGCCAGAATCGTGGTAGAGGGACAAGTACGCGAGAAGGAGAGAGCCGAAGCCAAGCGAAAGAAGCAGGAGGCGGAGACTGAACTGAAGAAGCTCCAGAGCCTACACAGTACTACTCGGCAGGAGAAAAAAGAGGCTGAGCGTAAGCTCCATGACCTCTGGAAACAGGCATGTCTCGAGCGAGCGGCGACCGAGGAAAAGAAGCGTCTGGAGTGGCAGTCTCTCCTTGAAACCGCCCAGAGAGAACAAGAGAGGCTGTCAGAACAGAAAGCTCAGCTTCAAAACAAAAAGAAATCAACAGTTGGGCATCTTGCTCTTGAGCTGCAGAAATATATTGAATGGTTCGAAATTGCCAAAGCAAGACTGGAAGGACTTCTAGCCGATTCAGACAAGAGGAAGAAAGACTTGCCAAACCTGGGCATGTTTGCACGTGTCAAAGAGGTACTGACCATCATAAAACAGTTGTCAAGGAATGACATAGGTGCTAATTCGTTTTTAGAAACTCCATATCATAGGGATTGACGCAACAGCCACCTTTCTTAGAGACAGACTTCAGGAGGGCCAGGATGCCTTCCAAAGAATGAAAGACATCTACAACCGGCCGGAATTTCGCGACATAGAGATTGAGATTGACGAAAAAGAGAGGGAGCATAAGAGAGTAAGCGAGATGATAGACGGGCTTCTTAGGCAGGGCGTCGATGGTTTCCTTCAGGCAGCGTTGGCGGAAAATGATAAGAGTGTGGATGCCAGAAAACGCGAGATCGACGCCCTGCAAGATGGTAACTCGCAATGGATGAACGCCATTCGTGAGGCAAAAGCCAAACTAGACGCCAGACAGCCTGATCTGGATCGTGTTATCGCCGAGGAGGAAGAGAAGATCATCGAGGCTAAAGACAGCATGCAACTTCGCCAACTAAAGCAAGAGCTACAATCAGTCGAAGAAGAAGAGAGGCGCAAGCGAGAGCAACAGGACGCCATCATTGCTGGTTTGCGAATGATTCGTAATGAGATCAATAGGGGTTCTGATTCGGTACGACAACTGGTGCAAAGCATCAAGCCGGTCAATTTCAAGATTAAGGGAGTATCCATCATGGCAGATGGCAAGGAGATAGTTCAGGGACGTGCTATGACATTCAAGATTTCAGTTGAGCATGAGGGCAAAATGATCATGCTGGAGGAGAGGTGGGCGCCGTTTCAGAAACCGGCGGAGTTGTATCGAGATATTATGAAGGGGTTATTAAAGAGTTGAGCTTGTAGTGAAATAGACAAGGTTGAAGGTGTGAGCGATTGGTCTGTTAGTGGTCATTTCTGACTGTATTCTACTATCCTCATAGTAGCTGCCCGAGAGGAACTATGCCATTTGCGTAATCAGAACACATTAAAATCTTCACGCGCCTGATACATTGCTTTTCGAACAACGGTTCCCTCAGGTTCGTTAACTCAGTAGTCACAAACCCCAGAACATTTATTGAACTAAGAAATAGAGGGGCTTCATTCGGAAGCAGGTCGATTGCTCGGTAGACCTATGACGACGGGGGAAGACCACAATAAGCCATGTTGAACATAAGTCAGAAGTACCAGGCGTGCGATGACGACGAAATCTAAGAACCTTGTATTCGGGCTGTTCATGGTCCAGAGATCATCTTACTGATCGCGGCTTTATCGTAATTTGACCCGCAGAGGAGTACAACACTTGTCTGTCCACTCAGATTCGACGTGACTTTGTTAAAGCCAGCAAGAGCCAGAGCTGCAGACCCTTCAACAATCATACTCTCAGACCAAGCAAGTTCCTTCAATGCCTCTTTAATCTCATCTTCATTGCACTCAATGACCTCATCAACAACTGCGTTCGCCAATTCAAGTGTGATCGAGTCCTCATCAATACCGCCGGCAACAGCTTCAGCTAGAGTGGGAAGATGCTCTGTTTCGACGACGTGACCTGCAGCCATTGATGCAGCTAGAGCCTTTGAGTTGATCGCTGAAACACCAAAGACTTTGACGCGTGGATTGTATGCTTTGAGGACGGATCCAACGCCGCTGATAAGACCGCCACCACCCATTGAGATAAAGATGTTGTCGATGTGGTCGCATTGCTCAAGAAGCTCAAGGCCAATGGTGCCTTGTCCAGCAACAATATCGGGGTCATTATACGGCGAAACATAGGTATAATCACCCGAAGATGCAAGCTTTTGAGCATGTTGCTCAGCGAGACCAGTCTCAGCGCCGTGAAGAATCACCTCAACGCCATATGACTTGATCATGTTCAACTTGGCAGGAATAACAGTCTCTGGAAGCACAACCGTGAGATCCTTTGATAGAGTCTGCGACGCCAACGCGCATCCAATTCCATGGTTGCCAGATGAAGCAGTGATTAATCGACCTTGCCCTGGTGCCGACAACTTGGACATAGCGCCTCGGACCTTGAACGATCCCGTAAATTGGAAGTTTTCAGCTTTGAACAGGACGTTTGCTTTCAGATTGCGACCGATCTTCTTTGCAGGGATGAGAGGTGTTTGGTAGATGTGATGACGAATGCGGCTTCGTGACTGTATTGAAGCTGCCGCTATTTCCTGAAAGGTTGGCATCGCGACGGCAATCAATTGTGAGTTGAGGTAAAGATACGAATGGCGAAGTAAGCTGGTGTGGTGGTTTGTGAGACCGTAGTGGTGAGAAGTGACTGGTGATGAAGCAAATAACAAATCTTCGATCGCATTTATGTTGAGTCCGGTGGCATCAGGCTCAACCAATCATTTCAGGTGGTTACATGTCTTAACTAAGGCGCGCAGAAAACATGTCAGCAAGCAACTAAGCTAAACCGCAGTTGGCAGCTGCTTTCACCTCAACTCAGCTCAATGGTTGGCTGCATCGCCAGTACCCACTGGGGGCTCTTTTGCTACGAGGTGAGTTTGATTGTATCACAATATTAGAAACTATATTTGGTATATCTTATTACATAACCTTGTCTTAAGTTATATAACTATTACACAAGCATAGCAATATAGTGCCTCGACTCAAAGTGGAACTGAAGTATCCTGCTTACAGCGTCGCTGAACATACAGCTCAACTTCTTTCTAAGCACCCTCACGCTCTCCCTAATTAATAGTGGTGCGACCATCGAGCCTTCGAGCGCTCCAACACCAGCAAGGTAAGGACGTACGTTCCCTTTCCCAGAAACCCAGTCAATGATGGTAGAGCGATCAGTAAACCTATCGAAACGGAGGGTCTTAAGGCGACCCTGTCCGAAGGAATGGTCTTCTGTCGAGGGCCACGACGGCTGAGCACTGCGGTTGACGGACATTGTTACGGCCCAGATGGCCAACGTGGCGGTCAGAAACGCCATTGTCTCGCTATAGATAGCAAATGGGCGTTCACGTATACAGCTATAGACCTTGGCCGCATGGTAGATGACCAGCCGTGCCCCAGCTCCTTCATTTCTGACCCAGCGGGCCAGTCTGAGATCGGCCTCGCTGCGTTCTACCTCGTTAACACGCCAGCCGGAAAATGCCATAAGCTCTCTTATGGGCAAGGGAAGAAGGAGGCTAAGGATGTGATTATGTTCGAGGGCTAACCAGCCGAGCCGGTCTGAGCCTGTAATTTCATCCTCGTCCTTGCGTAACACATCGAGATAAACGCTGGCGTCTGGCCCGCGCTGTTCGTCGAAATAGACACCAACTGCCAAAAGAAGTCTTGTAAGTTCGGTGCAGTGGTTTGGAACCTTCCTGGATACGTAAAGCTCGTCCAGTGCCTGCCGCAAACTGTACGAAACGGAGGGATCTGCTGGAGATAAGTATCAGGAGTCTTATGGCGGCAATGCTATGTGCTTACCAGGGGTTGTTGCAAAGTCAGACAGCCAAGAGTCCTGCGATTCCGCCGCCCAAAGTGCCTGACTCGATGGCATTGGAACCTGCAGGAGATCGATAGGAAGAGTAGGCGATAGGTCGAAATACAAGGCAAGTTGACAGTCCACGAGCTTCAAATTCGGTGTCAGTCGAAGTAATTTTAGTTTAGTGTCGAAGGGGGAGACTGCTCAATGATGACGCTCTAGTAAAGCTCGGAACGTACCCAGGAGAGATAAGCGAGACGCCTGCAGCTCTCTGCATAGACCCAAGTCTCCCATTCTTCTAGACCTTGGCGCGGACAATCTGCGGGATCGCGGTACGATCGATATCTAGAAGGATCACTTGCTTTCTTACAGATGAGAGCAACGTGCGACATGTTCTTCTGCGCATGCTCAGCCATCTCCATGCTACCAGAAAACATCATCCCAATTTGACTGAGGACGGTGGCTTGAGCAAGGCATAAATTAGACGACGGATCGGATGCAAAGCCTCGTTCGTTCTTGTAGTTCAGCGATTGCACTGTAAGCTTGCATTCCGAGCAATGACGTGACATAGGCTGTGAAGGAGATTGAGCTCACCCAGAGATTTATTGACCGGCGCAGAAACTCATGTAAATGCAAGGCGGCGCTATCCATACCGAGGGCCGAGTATCGACTTCCGATGACAGTCACAGCGAGCGTTAAGATCCACGGTGTTTCGCGAGGATGGAACGTTGGCTGGTGAATGATAGGGAAGAGTGGCTGGAAATGCTCGAAATATGCTTGGACAAACGCCGCTGTGGTTTCATATGTTGGGAAGGGCTTGTAAGTGAAGGCTTGATGAAACTCATTGTCTGCGTTTAATGTGGCGAAGTGAACGCACATGACGCTGTAGGTCTGTTGACCTAGGGCTGGTACATGGTGGTAGTCCTCTATCTTCCAGGTCATATCATTCGCCATCACGTCATCGGTATGATCAGTGACTTCTGTGACACTCTGATCGCTAGGTTGTTGGTGCAGGGGGTGATGAATGGTTGGATGATGAGAAGGCCATAGTCCTATAGGAGGAGGTTGATTGGTGATGATCATATCCAGCGCTTGGTCGCTGGTGAATATAGGCCTGGGTGCTCGTGCTGACGGCCAATTGGTAGGGTCCAATACAATCTGGTCGGATGCATTACCCTGGAGCCCCTCAGTGCGAGTGCCGTTAGAGCCTTCAGTTGCGTTGTAGCTTTCATTCATGAAGCTCAAGGTAACAGGAAGCTCAGGATACCAGTCCGTAAGCCACGATGTTCCATTTCCGAGGGGTGATCCATCGAGGACTGAGATTCCCAGTTGATGACTAACTTCATCTGGGAGACAGAAAGACGAGGCCAGTGAATTGGGATGCTTGGGCGCTACGGGATGGGGCGCGGCCGGCTCACAGGATTCTTCAAATGCCTATATGCCTGTAGTTTAGCGTCAAAGGGCGGACGGTAGGTTTAGACTAGTGAGCGGCACCTTTGATGTTTCCGATGCTTGATTAACAATAGCCTGGCTTGCTTCACATTGGCCGGATAGTGAGGGCCCATGATCTAGAGACGAAAGCGTGTCCAGGCGGTGAGCACTGCGTCTCTGATCGGCAACATAGACACATGTTCTTTGCTTCCCAACGCATCTTAGGAATGGATCCCGGCCGTCGCACTTCTGCTTGGACTCAGCGCAGGGGCGACAAGCCCTTGGAACGCAGACACGGCGGTGACGGCTTCCTGGACCTGGTAGTGCGGGAGGCGGTTGGGCATGACTCCGTACATGACGAAGAAGAGTATCTCTTGGACAATCAGTTAGCAGGCTTTCGGTATGTCATATTCATGTTGGTAGCGTTGAACATGGCTCCGATACCATTACCTTCTCGCAAAGTCCGCCCCACAAGTGGTACAGACGAAGGGCCTGGCTCCGATGTGGCGCAGAAGGTGACGCTCCAGGTGCTCGGACCTGCGGAAGTCTTGATTGCAGAACGTGCATTGCAGAGTCATGCTGTCCTTCTTTGATCGAGAACACCCAAGCTGATCGAGCAAGAGCAGGATGGTCGCCGTGTTTTCGTGATCGGGGATGGGGATGTTGAGTCGGAGGTTGCGGGGTTGAAGTACGGGGAGGGAGGAGACGGTTCTTGAGCTATATCCGAACCCCGCATTTCTGTTTCCCGTCGTTGAGTGCCGGAAGGGGCCAAAGATGGGAAAGGTGGAGAAGATCGGAGATGCCGGGGATCCCGAAGGTCAGTGTTGGAGATGCATGCGTGTAAGGGCCGGAATGGACGGCTTCCTTGCCCCTGACAGGCACGCGCCTCACATCTACATGCCAAGAACTCGCATGATATCCAAAGAAGGAGTCCACGATGGACTCCCCCGGGTAGAAAAGTCAAGCCATTGCTTTGCTTTGCTTTACTTCGCTTGGCATCACATCCTTCGCATCGTGTCTCATCCCTTTTCGTAGCCATCTATCTACCTGTTACTGCACAACTCATTGCATCCAACAACGCTTCGATCACTCTACCTGACTTGAGACCATCCTACAATGGCCACTTCTGACTTTGCCAAGCTCGGGAGACTCACCTCTGACCCTGAGGGCCAGCAATGGGATGTAATAGTAGTAGGCTCCGGCCACAATGGCCTCACAGCCGCTGCATATCTTGCAAAAGCTGGCCTTAAGGTTATCGTCCTCGAACGCGCCTCATACCCGGGTGGTGGCGTCGCCAGCCTGCCCATGGCAGAGGCTGGATACACCAGTGAGCGTCACAGTGCCATCCACCAATTGATCCTCGCAAATCCCATGATTACGCGGGATGAGCTGGGTCTTCAAGCCCGTTACGGTCTCAAGTACATACCGCTGGAACCTGCGTATGCCATCATCATGGAAGATATGGCCATACCCATCTATCGCGACCGGCAGCGCACTATCCAAGCCATCCGCGAATTCTCGCCCGAGGACGCTGATGCGTATGGCCGCTTTGTCGAAAAGTGCGCGGCGATCACGGACGTGGTGATGCCGTCTATGTTCGAGCCGCCTCGGGACATCTCGGCTGAGATTGCAGAGAGCCCCTACGCCCAAGACTTTATGGCTGGAACAGCTAGCTCTTCCCTCGATATCATCAAGCGCGAGTTTAAGAACGAGGCTCTTCAGGTAGCGCTACTACGGTTCGTTACCGAGGTACAGCTGGCGCATCCTAGGACCGTGGGCACTGGTCTCATGGTCTACCTCTGCTTTGGACTTGTCGACAGATACGGTCTCGCCGCCCCTGAAGGAGCCGGCAATGGCTTTACCAACGCGGTGATTCGCTGCCTGGAGGATCACAATGGTGAGGTCCGCCTCAATACTGAGGTAGTCAAGATTGTTACCGAGGGTGGCCGGGCTGTAGGAGTGCGAACGCGTGCTGGCGAGCTGAGGGCCAAGATGGCCGTCATTGGGCAGATTCACCCACATCAGCTTGACCAGATGGTGGACGGTCTGGACAAATCTGTCACGGCTCCGGCCAAGGCAACCCATTTGTCTGAATTCACTCTATTCGCCACGCCGCCCTGGAGCGGCCATTGAAGTTTAAGGCCGGGCCTATCGCCGATCAGGCTGTTATGAATACCTGCTGTCCCGGCAAACTGGACACCCTCCTCAAAAGCTACGATGAGATGGCACAAGGTCTCCTGCCTGAGAACATAATGATCGGCGCCTCGAGCATCAGCACAGCTGACCCTTCCAGGTGCCCTCCTGGGAAAGCCCTGCTGCACTGTGTCGTCATGTGCAAAGCAGATCTTGCCGACGGAGGTTGGGATTCTTGGGACAGGGTCAAAGATGAATGGGCCCAAAAGGTTTTTAAGTATTTCTCCAGATACCTCAAGAACTTCACGCCGGATATTATCCGATCTTATGAGGTTGTCACTCCAAGGGATCACCAGTCTGATAGCCCCAGCTTCCAGAGGGGTGATATCTGCGGACTCGCCATGTCCGCAGGCCAGATGGGTGTGGCACGGCCGACACCTGCCCTGGCGCAATACCGCGTGCCCGGTGTCCAGGGACTCTATCTTGCTGGGCCCTACATGCACCCGGGAGGCGGTGTTTGGGGCGGTGGCCGCCCGGTAGCGATGAGAGTACTCCAAGACCTTGGGATGGACTTCCAGCGGATCATGAGTACCGAGGTTGCGAAATTGTAAATCGAGACAGTATGATCATTACTATAGCAATGAATGCGACTTCCTTTCTAAACCAGTCAATGGAAATATAATCAAAAGAACACTACTACATCTGAATTTCGTCCCTGTTAAGCTATTTGATGGATCTGCCTGGGAGGCACTTGTTGATTCTCAAATCGTCTCTATATAACGCATGGCCTATAGCGATAGGTTTAGATCTTAGAAGAACTCTAACTATGTCTACCCTTGACTTGCCGGCTTATCGTGTCATCATTCCAGTAGAGTTGCGATGGGCCATTAGGGTAATAATCCGTTGGCTTATGAATGCTAAGTTCTATGTGGAGATTATAAGCTCTCAGGCACAGGTCTCAATTGCAAACACATCTAGCTCACAATTTAGATATTATACCATAATATCTAACCAATTGCTGCGGCATAAATGCTAATAAGAAAATCTAGAATATGACTCATGAAGGCAATCATGTTCAAATTGTATAAAGAGATTTATATGTTTTATATGCTGTTCTTGCTGGTTGCTTCCATCAGGTAATCCCTCGCTGGGTCCATCTTGTGCTTTGCCCACGTCACCAATGCATCCTCGAACCCAGGGCAGGTGTTAACAAAGAACTCCCGGCTTCGAACTCCGTCCACAATATTCTTCCCAACGACCTCAGCGCTCTGACCTTTCTCCTTCAAGAACGCACCGAATCCCTTATGAAAAGCCTCAGACGACGACCCAGAGAGGCCTCGGACCGTTTCCGTATACGTGACGTCGGGGAAGACGACGCTGACACTGATGCCGTAGGGAGTGAGGCTCGCAGCCATGCTCTGGCTCATTGAGATTGCCGCAGCCTTGCAAAGACAGTATGGGAGAAGGTTCTGTGCAACTATAGCAGCGGGGAAGGTCCCGTTCGGGGACGCTGTGTTGACGATATGTCCGCTGCCGCGCTGTATCATCTCGGGGAGAAAGCCCTTGACGACGCGGATGTAGCCACAGATGTTGACGTTCATCTGTAGCTGGAGGCTTGCCATGTCCAGATCGAGAATGCCACCAGACCGAATCAAGACGGCGTTGTTATGCACTATGTCCGGAACGCCAATATCTGCCTGCACTGCAGCAGCGAATTCGCGGACGCTGTCGTCGCTGCCAACGTCGCAGTAGTATGCCCTGGCATCCAACCCGGCGCGGCGCAGCATCTCAGCCACGGAGCTTTGAGGCTTCTCATCGATATCTGCTAATACGACACGGGCACCAGCTTTTGCGTATTCCGTGGCCAGGGCGCTTCCGATTCCATGAGCAGCACCTGTCACGACGACGATCTTTCCGGCGTAGTAGTCCATTCTTTTACGGTAAGAATATTCAGAAGTCCACAGGGTTCGAGGAATAAGAACTTGGCCACTGGCCAAAATCATGGCTCAAAGGAATAATTTAGCATTTTCTCCTTCGGATTCTCGGCCCGGAATAACAATTGCCGCATTTCTTCTTGTTCCTAGCCGAGTAAACATGTTTCGCATACTGTAGGACTTTCGGAGGATGTGGGGAGCGAGCTTCGGAGTCGCGTGGGGTAGACTAAGCTCTTAGCTGGAGATCTGTCGGAGATTGTGGGGGCTAGCTCTAATCAAGAATCACTAACACGCAATGAGATAAGCGCACATAGACTTTACGAAGAAACAGGCTAGACTAGATCTCTGTCTTTGAGAACAGTGGTCCTGATTTCAGCTACCAAAAGAAAAGTGCGACGGCTGGCCTAAGGTTAACTCCGGGATCTCCACGAAAGCAGAGCCCGTCATATACATATATATAGACTGCCTTTCGTTGATATATCCTACTGCTGTACTTGGAGGGCCCCAAAGACCTTAGTAGTATATGAACCAAAAATATCATACTGCAAGCGTTGATGCTTCTCTCTTCTTTACATAAACCTGTACAATGGCAAACATAAAGCTTACACAATTGGAGCTTGAAAAGACCCGTCGTCTCGGCAAATTCATCCCAGGTCGGTTTATTTCACATTCATACGCCCTACATCCGACTGCACACAATTTATTGCCTTGGAGAACGAGCACTCGCTAATCTTAATATCAGCCTGGGACCCGAGTCAGAGGGGTCTGGGCAAAGTCAACCCAAGAACCATCGAAGACGATTTGCTCGTGAAACATCTCGACGTTGCCATCCCCGTCCGCGATGGGACTATCTTGCGAGGTAATATCGTCCTGCCCAAAGCAAGGGCCGGAGAGAAACTGCCCGTCATCTTCAACTACAGTCTGTACGGCAAGGACGGTGGCACAGATATTGCCATCTTCCCCGCTGCCGCAGGATTGGAGGCATCTAGGCTTACTAAGGATTACCTTTTCGAGGCAGCCGATGCTGGATGGTGGTGTCCTCGAGGATATATCGTCGCGACCATTGATGCTAGAGGTTCATACCAATCGGATGGAGACAAGAGCTATTACTCGAGAGATGTTGGTCTCGACGGTAGGTTCACCCATTCTTCTTTAGATGCTTCGTTACTAATAGTACGCTCAAGGCTATGATCTAGTTGAGTGGCTCGCAGCTCAGGAATGGTCCAACGGAAGGGTTGCGCTGTACGGCGCCAGCGGATACGCCATGGTCCAATGGCTTGTCGCGGCTGAAAGACCACCGTCTCTGAGCGTAAGTTACATTTCACCTTCTTTGAATATATCGCCGCGTGTATCGGATTACTAACGAGAAGCTCTGCTGGCAGGCTATTATTCCTATCGATGGTATGACGGATCTGTATAGAGAGATGGCGCTAAAAGGCGGCATACCTGAGACCCAGTTCAACCCTCTGTCAGTTCTTACATCTATGAAATAAGTTATGACGAGTCGAGAGCTAACATGAGTGATTCCAAGATACCCTCAATTCTATAACTGGGGTCGAGGACTGGTAGAAGATCCCACTGATGGGCAAAAGTCCCACCCATACTTCGACGAGTATTGGCAGAGCAAGATTCCAGCCCTCGAGAAGATCGATTGCCCGGCATATGTCATTTGTAGCTGGGGCGACCATGCTATTCATACTCGGGGTACAATATATGGGTACTATTTCATCTCATCCAAAGTTAAGTTTCTTGAGATCCACCAGTATCAAAAGTCAGTTTACCTTTTAGACTTACTCGAGCTCCACTCCATCAGCCGGCTAACGCATCTATTATATTTTACAGGTGGGAGTTCGCTATTATGGAGGAGTCTCTTGTGCGGCAAAAGGCCTTTCTGGATACCTACCTTCTTCGTCATGAAACTGAAGTTCAGTACTGGCCAAAGGTGAGATATGCAATGCGAGAGCGCTATTATGTTGGAGAATGGCGCCACACTGAGCAATTTCCGCCCCCAGAAACAAAGTATACAGCCCTATTCCCGACGCAGTCGAAGGGTCTAAGCCTCATTCCACAACCTCTGCGCTCCTCAGTCACATACGATGCCCAGAAAGGGGAGGTATCCTTTGACCTGCCAGTGCTCCAATCCCTCGAATTCGCTGGGCATGCCAAGCTTAAGCTGTGGGTTGAAGCTAAAGGGGCTGAGAATATGGATCTCTTTGTTACCTTGCGGAAAACAGACAGACAGGGGAAAGAGGTCGTGTTCCCGTGGCTGACTGTTGTGGACAATGGTCCTATAGGGTTCGGCTGGCTGCGGGTTTCGCGGCGGGAGCCGGACGAAGCTCGCTCAAAGCCATGGCAGCCCTATCACTCGCACGCCAGAGACCTTCCGCCTCTGAGGAACGGCGAAGTTGTACCAGTGGAGGTGGAGATACAGCCCACCTCTTGCAGATTCCGGTCTGGGGACACCTTGCACGTCGTGGTCTCTGGGCATGACTACCGCCAAGGCGAGTACCCCGAGCATGCACCTATTGCACGGCATACCGACACGGTGAACAAGGGTTCTCACGTTATTCACTTTGGTGGAGACTACGATAGTCATCTTCTTTTGCCTGTCATCCCGCCAGTTGCCCGATCTGCCCTGCAACATCAAAAGCCGATAAAGATGTCCGTCATTGCCCGCAGAGTTACCGGCTGGTCTGACGAGAAGTTCTTATCTGAGTATACTGGTGTACATGCGGAGATGACGAAAGCAATAGCCGGCATAGTCCCTATCTTGCGGAATTATACCCAAGCAGTTGCTTGTCCCGCTTTGCAGACCCAGAACTTACAGACACAACTGAGTAAGCCTTGGGATTGCCTGACAACGCTAGGTTGGACCTCTCTTAATGCTTTATGGGGCTCCTTTCAGAACCCTCAGTACAAGGCCACAGCCGGGCAACATATCTTCACGGATCCTGAGGCGATTGGCGTTCTGAGCGAACCGGCGAGCGAGCTGATGTTCGACCCCGTCGCATTCCGCACGAGGCAGAACGGCGTATTGCTTTGCCTCCTGTTAGCTAAATCAGAAGAATACGAACCTGACTCGAAGAAGCTAGCCGATGACATTCTGGCAAGGTCTGATGCAATTCAAACGGCCTTTGCAGGGACGAGCCTACTCCGATACATTTTCAACAAGGGCGTCACACCAGTTGATCCAGATGCTTTCTTTGATGGCACTCCGTTTAAGACTGCTGGCTGGACTAGCTTTGGAGCGTTGGAGCAGTTTTGGTTTCCAGATATCCAGACTGTGGATGCTGTATTTAGCAATGTTGATTGTAGGCAGGCTATTGAGACGCTGCCATCTTCGTTCACTGCAGATCAAAGCATCCAACTGCTGGGCCGGGAGAACATAGTAGTTTCAAAGGACGCAGACTTTTGATGACTACATCGAATAGCGCTAAAGAAAATACTGATGTAGCATATGGTGATTCCGGGACGGCCTGGGGGGCCAGATATTACAGAGGAGGCACCTGATGTCAATATACACTTTTAATCGAAGCCCTTATTGTTTCAGGCTTGTCTTCTGTTGATTTGACTAACATGAGACAGAGCAAGGAACTAAGCTAAACCGCACTTAGCAGCTGGTTTCACTTCGACGATTGGTTGCATCGCTAATACCCTCTTTTACTAAGAGGTGAGATTTATCCCATAGACAAGAGAGGAGTCATTTGCTATGCCAACCTAGTAGATCTTACTACACAACCTCGTTCCAACCTCGGCAACCAACTCAAGCCATTCTCCAGGTGGCCTCTGATACTTATGCTCAACATGTCTTCCAAAAACCTCCCAGACCTTAAGAAACCTATGATTGCTCTCCTTGGTCGTATCAATAGCATCAAACGCCTTCATCATCCCGTCATGCTGCTTCACCATCCTATATGCCTCACGAGCCTTTTGCTTCTCAGAATCCTTCGCAAGAAATATTCTGACCTGGATACAATAGAGGATCAGGGCTGCGAGACCCGATGCCAGTGCAGTCGCTACTGATGACCCGTCCACGATCTCTGGGGTTGTTCGTCTGGTTGGACCGCCGTCGACTTCGACTTTGTCGCCGGGGAAGGTGTAGCTGATCTCAGAGGCATTGCCGACGTAGACTACACTTGCACCTGAGGAGTTTGCAGCGCCGATGGTGAATATCTTGCCTGTTTCTTTGGAGGGGTATGTTGGGGCATTGTGAGCTCCTTTGTCCCTTGCTGAGCAGAACATGAGGATGTTGGCGTTGGCAGCCTCCACGACGGCATTTTCTAGATCTTGTCTTTCTCTGTCATCCTTGGGTGGATCGATGGTCCATGACATAGATATGATCTGAACTCCTTGTAATATTGTTGCACGAATGGCTTATTGATCGTTAGACGTATAAACTATGGCTTGGGACAGTCCACATGCCTTTGCAGCACTTCTGGCGGTGATGTTCAGCTTAGTCCCATCTTCAGAAGGAGTGTCCTTAAGCCTCAAAACACAGAGAGATGCATGCGGACACACGAGGTGGATATTCTTTGCCATGATAGCCCCGTGCCCCGTTCGAGACATATAATATGGATCTAGAAGACCTCGATGTTCGGAGCGTACGCAAAAGCTTCTACCACCCATGAATCGGTAGTCGAGGTCCTTCATGTCAACCCCATCGTCAATGATAGCGATCTGGATTGGCTCGATGTTATCGCTGACTCTGGACTCAGCGGCTATGGCATAGTTTGCTTCGTCGTCAGAGATCATCCTGCTAAAGTCTGTCATGCATTGAATCCACTCGTGCTTCGTGGTGTGCTCTGCGACTTCTTCAGCGCGAGCGGGGGCCTTGTTCGTTCGTCTTCGGTGCATGTTTGGCCACTCCAATTCGACTTCGACATTGGGACATAGTTGCTTCAATCTGTTATGGAACTCGTTCACGTTGTTTTCGGTTCGGGAGGACGTTTCAAGACCCTTGTCATATGATCTCACTGCCGAATGTTGGATGCGACACAACTTACTTATTGGATATTTGGTTTCACGAGCCCCAGTTCCGGTAACTTTGCTAACCCCCCTGCCTCGCTCCAGCCTCTGAGGATGGTATTGTTACCGCCCTAGTATAGATGAACCTTTCGTGCATCGGGGGCAGCATTGACGATGACTTCAGTGCACAAGTCTGTCTTGTTCTAATCCCAAATTTCAACTCCTATACCTTTGAGGGCCTTCTCAATAGCTTTATCACTGTGAGATGGCGAATCGGGATGAGAGTCTTTAATAAAGGCGCGTAAGACTGTCTCGGTGCCTTTGTTGCGAAGCTGCTCGAAGATGTGCACCAAGTCCCATCTACCAGCCCCGTCAGGTACGGGTTTGGCTGATCTGCGCATGGATTTCTTCGCCTTACTCTGCTGAGGTTCCTCGACGGTGATTCTGGGGATCCAAACGTATTGAAGAGTATCCTCGAATTTGATATTGCGGAGAAGGTTACTAAGTCCTTTTTGAGTTAGACATTCATCTGGATGGATCATGCCAGAGAGTTCAAAGCTAAGCTCCTTGTCTAGGATGTGTCAATCAGTCTCGGGATCTCAAGTAGTGCAACTTGAGCCAGCGTTCAACTCCTTTCACAATAGCCTCATCCACTGGACCTGACTTGCTGCCACTCTTCTTGCTCTTGGACTTGAAAGCGCCAGACTCGCCAGTTGCTTTCTTCTTGGTGTCTGCAGCATCTGGAGCAACAATCGGGACTGGTGAGGCGACGGGGCCAGAAGCCTGGATGGGAATGCTGCCTCCATATTTTGTTCGATGATGGACTTGTATGTTGTCTCGCATCTCAGGTTGTATCGAAATGTCGGCTGAAAGGATAGGCGGCATAGATGACGAGATGCCTCGACTTGGGGCAGATTCTGTATCGTTGCCAGGCTTTTCCGCTCCCTCCACCGCTTTCTTTCGACCCCTTCTGACACTTTCTTTGTGGCACATGTAGGGAGAAAGATTGGCCGTATTGAAGTCGCCATTAGGACTGTCAAAGATCGCCCGATCACCCTTTTCCAAGATCATTTTGATGTATTCGAGCTTTTCTCTATTGCAGTTCTCGTAGCCAACAGCGAGATGGAGCAGTGTATTCCAATTATCGTCCTTTGCAGCCAAAGTCTCGTGCTTTACTTTGTCTATCAGTAGATCAAGGAACTTGATTCTTTCGTTAATACCGATATGAAGACAATTCATACCCTTGCTTCCGACGATAGAAATAATGTTGCTTATGTCAGGATGAGCATGACACATCCACTGCACCATAGTTTTATTTCTCTGCTCAATGGTGAGGAATAGTGGTGTATGCCCCAAACGGTCTTTGATCTCGAGATAATTCTTTTGCTGACAGAGGAATTGGACGAAGAGTTCCATTTTCTCTTCGAGGTTAGGAAGTAGCTTTTTGTCTTCGTTTGCCATGATTTGAAGACCTGTTGGTTGATCTTTATCTCCAGTCTGGCGGGCGAGGTCTGGGCCCCGATGGGCAGTGAAGGCAGCGAGGAGTTCTCCGTTACGAATTTCTTTGAGAACCTGAGTGAGCAGATCCTTTACTGCGACCTTGTCTTCCTGCTCTTCTCCATCTTTTCTTCTTCGCTACCACTGTCTTCACTGGAGTCATGGCCGGCTTTCGATTCAACGTCCACCTCAACTTCGACAAGGTCATATTCTGGCTCTGCATCGTTGGGTTTGTAATATTGGATTGCCGTACTCATTCTTCGTGTTGATGAGATCTTAGACATCTTGCTTGTAGTTTAGACCCCTGGGGAATCGGTCAAGCTATATCCTACCATCACAGTGATGAAATTGAACTGGTAGATAATTCGATCCTTGGTATTTCACGCTTTGACTCTGACAGAATTCAAGGACGCTCGAATCGACACCCCGCCCTTGTCTCCAGTTCCTATTTTGCTGCGTTTGATAGTACTCGTGAATAGAGTTATTATTAGTACCTGACTAATCTTAAGAGACTCTCCCTCTTACACAATTGATCATAACACTATTCCATTTCATCCCCTTTCTCCAGCACCGTTTAACTAATAGTACTCCAAGAGAGTGGAGCTACGTCATAGTCGCACTAGTACGGATAAGGAAAAGAGCAACGCCAGTGTCGCGATTGGACGTGTGGGAATTCAAGGGACCCACCTAGTGGTCGGGACTTTGACCGTCCACTATCCTTGCACAGCCCAGAGGGCGAGTATATAACCCAGAGGATTTCCTCCACGCAGGTGGCAGACAGGAATTTGATTTCTATTCTTTCATCTTTTTTGCTTACATAAGAAGTAATTGGTAAACGAAACGGATATTAAGATATATAATCTATAAACATAGAAGACTCTATAGGGTATCTAAAGTCTTTACTAGGATTAAAGAATCAAGTAAGAAGGCATCTTATATTTTCTTTTCCTTTTTCCTTTCTTTTTTTTTTACAAATAGGAATGCACTAAACTGTAATCCGTCGAAGATGGCATTGATCCTGAATAGTGCTGATTAAGTGGCATAAAGACGAGGGCGCTAGTCTGTTTTCTTTTGACGAATATAGTGAGATAATCTCAGAGAGATAAACTGTCGAGGAGTACGTGTGACGGGTTAACATGCTTGGAGTACAGAGTATGACAGAGAGACTGGGGCTTCTCTCATCCCTAACCCGTAAGGGCAGAATGAAAAGATATATGACACCTGAACAATTGAAGGAGTGGCTGGTGGAACTCTTTATTGCGCAGGTCAGAGCGGAGCTACTTCTGACACCTCGGCCTGAGTCAGAGATCCATGCCGGTTTTAGTCCAGATGACGTTTCATATACCCTTAGTCGTGAAATATGTTCAGATGCAGTAGCGGTGGCTTGCTACACGTCGACCATTAAAGCTCTCATTAAGTATCTAACGAGCTGTTGTGCAAATGGGATGCTTCACATTCGAGAGAATGGAAAGGGTAGGACACTCGATGCCCTGCCAGTGCTTAATCTTAGGTATCTGTATAGCCAGGATTGGCGTTATGGTGATACGGATTCTGCAGTTAAGGCCCTTAGGTGTTTACCAGAGGTATCATTTAGGGAGCAGTGTGATTGGTATGATGCGCAGCTGCCAAGACGAACGAAGTTGAGAGGCGCGAGACGGGGTCCGCACCCGCAACGACCCGGCAGCACCTTTTCAAAGATCAACAATCACTGAGAGGCAAGGCATAACGCAGGTTCAATGCTTTTCACGCGAAATCATCCATGGCTCTTTGTCGGCCAATGGAAACAACGCAACCCTGCTCGTCTACGATCTTCATCTCGACACAACCAAGAAATCCCGACGTATTCGCGAGGCCCAAGTCAAGTTCGAGTTCAGGAGCAGCAGCACAGGAAGCTCCGCGCCCCAAGTAGTAAATATAGCACCGTATAGAAGCGTATCTCTGCTGTCTATATCTGCTGAAGAGTCTAAGACTCTGGGATATGGACTATCAGCCGGAGCCAGCCAGTTTACCAGCGTGGAGAGCTCAGTAAAATTTGAGAAGACGGTCAACCAAACCAAAAACGACTCTGCTAGAGTCGCTGGTGGTTTTCTCTGCAACGACTACGGCAAGCAAGTGGGTGCACAGTGGATCCTTTTCGAGAACGAGTTAGTAGCTTCGGGCACCCCGAAATTTATGCGCTTTGCTATTCTGCTTGACAGGGAAAACGATGAGGACAATTTCGAATGCAAGGTCACTATCGATGCCAGTGGGGATTGGAAAGCAGTACTAGGAGGATTGGTTAGGTCTACGCCGCGCGATGATCCTATCCTATTTGACCCGACTTTCCCGCCTACAAACAAACTTCGTAAAGGCTACGATATTGAGAATTTAGGATCTGTAGACTTGGATGAGCTTGTGGAGATCGAGTTTGATAAGCCGCTGAAGAAGAAATTTGAGGGGCATTTAGTTTGACAGGCCTCGGCAGATCATAGTAGTTTAGGGCATTATAATATGCACGCACGGGCCGAGTGCCGTGAGGGATTTTATACGCCGGATCCTTCAAATATACTTTCAGTTTAACAACTATTGCTTCACATTGTGGCCTTGTACTATTGGTGGATAATATATACTACTATGTGAATTATTTTAAGCCCTACCCATGTCGATCATAATTACGGTGAGTCTCCACATGCCAATAAGCACGGAGCCGCAGGATAAGACAGATTTTGCTGACCATCTTTCTCTCCCTGGAAAGTCGAGTGAAAGACAAGGAGGCATTCTTGGAACCTTCGCAAACTTTCTGTGGAATACCAAGGGAGTCGAAACGTCTGACTCTGGGTTGTCTTCCGGCGATTCGGTTCCGCCACGACAGCATCAAGATGAGAACAAAGACAAAGAGACCGACGACACCGAGAATAGAGAGGAACAAAAAGAAGAGAATGGTAATATTGTTGGAGACGCAGTCCCGAGTTCAGATCCTATCCCAGAAACAGAAGCAAAGACAAAATATGAGGCTCTGCATCTTCTCTGGGAAGAGTTACCGCAAGAAAGTAATGCTGATGATCAGGCTACTACCGAACCTCGACTCATAGAGTAAGTAACGCACTAAAAGAAAATCTCCGCTGCTAATAATCTATAGCTTCGTAATTATACCTGGAGTCTATGGAAAATCGGCCGACGAAGATCTTGGACCGAGCCCTGGATCTGGAAGCTCAGCTTGGGTGACCAAATTTGCCGAGGAAGGCTGGGAGAAACCCAAGAGCCCTCAAAACAGCTGCCGTGTCTTCCGCTTCAACTACAACTCCTCTGAACTCTTCTCTGGTCATAGATCTCGAGAGGCTATCCACCGGGTTGCATTGAGTTTATTAAATGGCTTGCGATCAAAGCGTTGTAGCGAAACGAAGGTATGGAATAACTCACCATATTGATGGGATATTTAATCTAACGTGGCTGACGACTATACATAGAAGCGTCTCATATACTTCATCAGCCAAGATATCGGAGGTACTATTGTTAAAGATGTAGGTGATGAGGTTCTTAGAAGTGTATTATAACCTGTATTAACCAATATTAGGCTCTTGTCACAGCTTCCCTTGATAGGGACTCATGGCAAGACATATCAGAGATGACACGAGTTTTGGTGAGCGAGCCCTATCCACCATATCCCCTAAATCGTCCTGACCACTCTAGATCTTCAATGGATGTCCACACCGCCAAAGAGACATAGCTGATTTGGAAACAAGACTGGCTAGCTTTCTCTATGAGAACTACAGTAAAGACTTCGGAAAGCCTCGGCCTTCAACTGCCTCAATATCAGGACTTACTAAAGCCATCATTCAAGTGAATGGTCTCTTTATAGCCTCGCATGTCGCATTGCGCAGCTGGATCATTAATATGCACTCCTATGGAGAGAAGAGCACTGGAGTAAGTGTTCTTGCATCAGACGCAGTCCTTGTATAACACTGACTGACTTGATATTAGGGTTTTGACGCGTATTGTGCGACGCTGGGTATCCCATTGGAGAAAAGACTGCCAGCACCGACTGGGACGGACTATTCTCCTCTTACCCAGCACCTCGCAAAAATTGAGCCAGGTAGGTCCAAGAGATCTGATCCCACTTCTTAGAGTATAACTAAGTCTACTAATCAGATATCCGAGAGCCGAAAGAATCAATCGGACCAACACAGTATGCCCAAGAAAGAAAGCTACTGGCTCTGGCATCTCCAATATATCCACTTCGAAATAAGGTAGAGCCCAATCCATTGGCTGATCTACCAGACTACCAGGCTTGGCTGAACAGTCCTTGTCCTCAAATACTCTATCTCCATGGAAGCCATCAGGTTAGAGATGTGGCTGAGAGTGTATTCTACTCCCTTGAAGACGAAACAACAAAACTCAAACGCCGCGCAAACGTTCTCTACTTTTCTTTCGATAGATTCGACGTGCGTGCTGATAGTATTCGGGACATGATCGCCACCTTTTTGGCTCAGATTTGCAACCATCACCCGAAACTGGGACCTGCTATCAATCGACTCTGCTGCCAGATCGAAAATGAGCGTGGATGGACTGAGACAGAATTGATTCAGTTCTTTGAGATGTTCAGAATCTCAGCCGAGGTTGAACAGACGATGATTGTTATCAACCACTTTGATGAGTGCACAAAGGGCTCACGAAAAAGGTTTCTGGATCACATCACTGACAAGTATTACAACGATGAGACTCCTTGGAAAATTGTGGTAACGAGTCATGAGCCGGGTGCCTTGAACGAGGAACTATCGGGTCCTTTTTGTGTCCCTATTGATATATCGTCTGGGGAGTTGGGAGACCTCGCTGTAAACAGTTTTGAAAGCGATATTCAAGCACTGATAAGGTCACGAGGAGACCTAACCTTCAGAGAAAAGCAGATTCGTGACGAGCTACGCTTCACTGAGAAGCTAGATCCTCCAGTGCGTCACATCATCATTGAGCGGCTCAGGGTACGGGAAGAATGGCCAGACGAGATATCAACTGATGACGCCCTTCGCTTATTAAGCCTTTCTCAACAAGGGGAGGAGAGTGGCGAGACTATGGTCTCTGTGTTGAATGCTGTGCTCAGGCAATACCCCGACCAGAACTCTCTTGAGTGTATTCTCTCCTGGCTCCTATATGCTGTCAGACCACTCACTATTTGGGAACTTGCGACTATTGTTTCGTTCTCAGATGAGAAAGAACAAACTAAAGTCTCTCCAAGCTTCATGGCTGTGGACAGACTTGTTGAGAAGGTTGAGAAGGACTTTGCTGGTATTCTCGAGGTGGATCATAACGAGGTCAGATTCCAGCATCCTTGCTTGCATGAAATCATGGTCAACGGCGACCCGTCAACCCAAAATGCAGAAGAGAACGATTATCCTTGGAATAAGATCAAAGGCAAAGCTCATATTCTCATACAAAGCATGTGCCTGGATTACTTATCTAGGGATACTGTTCAAGAGTATGTCAGAGAGACATTCTCAGTCGCAGACTCAGCAACCTTCGAGACACCGCCTTTCCCAGACCGCACAAATCTTGCCTCATATGCTATTCAAGCATGGGCACATCACTACTCTCTCAGCTCCCCTATTCCAGATATATCTGCTTTGTCATCGAAGAAGGACCTAGTTCAGACCCTCGCAAAGGCCCAGTGGCGCTTGGATAATCCTGCCACCAGACGTTCCCCTTGCTTTCAATCCCTATTTCCAATCTTTGCTGGACTTGGCCTCCCCAACGTAGCGGAGCCCTTGGGTAGTGACGATGCTTTACGAGGTCTCATCGAAGCTGCAAGCAAGGGACAGAAACAAGTTGTTGAAGATCTCCTTGGTGAATACGACTTTACGCCGACTGAGAAATGGGAAGTTCTCAAGGCCGCGAGTTCCTCTGGTAGTGAAGAGCTGATGAATGCCTTGCTCGACAAGATAGAGGCCAAGGGCAAGATACCCAAAGACTTTGAGTGGCCACCTGTTTTGATCTATCGGGCTGCAAATCTGAGCCTAGAAGCTTTTGCAGAAAGGATTCTCAGTCTTGGATGTCCTCCAGATCCAGATGTTGACTGGAGAAACGAGACATCCATGCAAGCTTCTCCTCTCTATCTAGCCGCCTGTCATGGATATACGAACACTGTTCGAGTTCTGCTGAAGCATGGCGCCAGAATGGAATACACAAGTCTGTCTGGAAGAAATCCACTTCACAAGGCTGCCCTCGAAGGTCATACCGAGACTGTCAAAGCCATCTTGGAGGAGTCGCAAATCAACATTGACTGTACTTCTGAGTCAAAGTTCACTCCCTTGTATCTCGCAGTCCTTGGGGGTAACCACGATACAGTGAAACTATTGTTGGAGAAAGGTGCAGACCCGAACATGGGCATCCCAGATACCTACACTGGCGATGATCAGTGGACTCCTTTGCTTGCGGCCACTGATGATGGCTTCAAGAAGTGCATCAGACTGCTTTTAGACAACGGGGCTAATCCAAACCTGCCAGGGCCATCTGGTCCTCCGCTACACTGGGCAGTTATTCGTGGCCGGGTCGATGTTCTGGACATGCTACTTGAGGCTGGTGCAGACCCTCGGAGTGAGCTACTCAAGAAACCTCTTTTATTCTCAGCTGTGGGCGCTGAACTCGAAGGAGCTGGCCTGCCTATGCTGGAAAGGCTTTTAGAGCTCAACCTGGATGTGAATGGCGAAGACATTGATGGAGTTACAGCACTCCTCGTCGCCTTATTCTCCTACCCACGGCAAGATTTCGAGGCCACTTCTTTAGGCCCTACAGATGTCCGAAGAGACGACGCTGTCAAGATGCTTCTGGACCATGGAGCCGATCCCAATAATCGACCGTCCGGTGGTCTCTCGCCACTGATGCGCTCTGTTGCTTTTAAACAGTATAAAGCAACTGAGATGTTACTAGAAGCAGGCGCAGATCCCAACAAAAAACTATTAGAGAGACTGTCACCTCTTATATCTGCCGTGTATATACCAAGCCTTACACGACTTCTGCTCAAGCATGGTGCACGCCCAGAAATAGGTTCCAAAGATGGATGGACGAACCTGACATATTCTGCATGCAGGGGATATAACGAAACTGTCAAAGTGCTTCTCGAGTATGGTGCATCGGTTGATACTCCGTTTGGCGCTCCTATAGAGTACCCTGAACGCACTGGCACCTCTTTGGAGTTATGTGAGAAATCTGAACTCACTCGAATGACCGCCGTTATGTTTGCTGCATGGCAAGGACATCATGAAATAGTTCGCGTTCTGGCCGAAGCAGGAGCTGATTTGCAACGCACAGGTGGAATTTTTGAAGATGAACCTCCTATACTCTTTAGTTCAGGCAAAACGTTATCGGCGCTGCTAGAATTCCCCACGAGGATCAATTTGAACGTTACCGACAGCATGCAAAAGGGAGCTCTGCACAGACGACGTACTACTCTTGACGACATGCGACGAATTATTAACGCTGGAGCGGATATTGAGCTGACTGATTCCACTGGGAACACACCTCTGGGAGTGTTTGCCGGCTCTGATTTGAAAAAAGTCAAGTTGCTGGTCAGACGAGGGGCAAATGTCAACCACATGTCTCCGTGGGAGGGCTCACCTTTACACCAAGCTTGCAAAGTGGGATTCTTTGACTCGATCAAGTTTCTCATTGAGAATGGCGCAGACCTTACTTCAGTGCATCCGTACGATGGCACACCATTGCAAACCTTATGCGCCCCCCAGGCAACGATTGATGCACTACAGCATGAAGAGATGGTGAGATATCTTGTGTCCGAATATAAGAAGCAAGACGTGGATATTACAACAGACAGTGGAATCTTTGGCTATCTTATCAATGCAGCAGCTTTTGGGAGCTCACCATCTATTATCAACTTTATCCTTGAGCAAGAAGGGATCAACGTTGACGTTAAGGATGACATGGGTCGCATGCCAATTCATCTTGCAGCATGTAACGGATTACCTAGTTTCAATGCTATCCTAGAGAGAGGTGGTGATATTCACGCAAAGGACAAACAGGGACGTACGCCGTTGCACTGGGCTGCTCAAGCAGGTAGACTGCAAGTTGTGAGGAAGATTATTGCTCTCATGGAAGACAAGCTGGACATCGACATCATAGATGTTGACGGTTGGACACCTCTTTGCTGGGCTCTTCGTGGTGCTTTACTATTGACCCAGAAAGAAAGCTTAGGAGAGCCGTCACTGCGTCTAGATGTTGTGAAGCTTCTCATTGAGAAAGGGGCCAAAACAGCTGTGGCTGTAAGCTACAAAGAGGAAACATGGACCCCTCAGAGTATTGCTAGCTATCACAGCAGTGATGCAGAGATCATATCTCTGCTCGAAAAGGACATTGGAACAACAGATATAGACGGAACTCAAACTACTGAGAAGGATGGTGCGGAAAGCAAAGGGCAGACTCCGATGAAGAAAGGAGTTCGGCAAGATTCTGCTTTCTGCGATTATTGTTTATCAGTAAGTCTTTGAATGAGTGAGTTTCTTTTTAATGCAATTGCTAATGACCACAGCAAATCTATGGGTTGTACTGGGGCTGTGAGACTTGTGAATGGTTCTGCCTTTGTTTCAAGTGCTATCAGCACGCTGACACGCTGCATCCGGCGCATTCCAGCTTTGAACAAAGGGGCGAAGAAGAGCTTGAGGAAGGTGAAGGTGAGGCTTCTACAACAGCAAACTCTGGCTCATCGGACACGCAGTCGAAATCTGGGTCAGATTCTGGAGGGTCTGAGGATGGGAATGAAGAGGATGGTTGATAGACTCGGAGATTAAATGTATTAGAGGTAGCTGTATCAGAAGCCATGATGTAACCTCGGCAGACTGGTTTGTGTACATCAATACTATGCCCTTGAAAAGTCTTTCAGAAAGCGCCGTCCCCTATCGTGTTGCTATGTATCGTGTTTCCATCCACTGTTTTCTCAACCTGCATATCTCCATCCTTCGGGCTCACCAGCTGCATCCTCTGCGGCCTTCAGGGCCTTGTTCTTTTTGGCCACGTACCACTTTGTAATCAGAACAAAAATGACGACAAGGCCACAGCCTGCAATGATAGCACCGCCACCGGTCTGATAGTAAGGCTCCTGGTTTCGAAGGAAGAAGTACGGAGTGAACCAGTGGGAGACAGATGACACACAGTTGGCGTAGGCGATAAGTGCTGCACGCTTCGTGCGAGGACGAGGCACAACAGTTGTTTCCCAAGAGATTTGAATCTAAAAAGTAGTCAGTGGAAGATCTTGTCGGGGATTGTTAGTATAGGTGAGAAGACCCACGTTCAGACCGACGAAGGGACCGACGACGAGAAGGATCATGCTGAAGTATCGAGCGCCAACGTTCAGAGTCGTAATCATAACAGCACAGCCGATTAGGGTGAGAAGGATTGGAACGATGATGTGATAACCATGCTCTAGTCGTCGACCAGAAGACCACGAGATGCCGAGGGTTACAAGGAAAGCGATGATAGGAGGAGGTGCCTGGATGAGGTAGGTGGTAGTACCAGAGAATCCGAGGGTAGCCACAATCTTCGCATCATTGTTAGTGAATGTGATAATAAGGGACATGGGTCACTGACGGAAGGGAAGAAGTCCTTGTATGACTGCGCGATGATCAGGAAGAAGTGAATGGCGGCGAAGAGATGGGCAAATGGCTCCTTCATACACATCCAGAAACCGTCCCAGTAGCCACCAGCATCATCTTCGGCAATACCGCCTGCAGAAACAGTCTGACGATATTGAGCCATAGCTGCTTCTTCCTCGGTGATGAAGTACGTGCCCGTCGAGTCAGGGAAGTTTGGGATGAACCAGAAGCTCACGAGAGCCACCAAGATACTAACAGCACCTGGATGGACTGTTAGCTATATAAACCGTGTTGCTTTTGTTGGAGACATACCTTCGAGAAGCAAGAACCATTTCCAAGCTCGAAGGTTTGCAACGCCCTCCATGTTGGTCAGAATACCGGCAGCCAACAGACCCGAAAGTGCCTGAGAGATGGTATTTCCAGCATGCCAAATACCCATTCTCAGAGGCGACTCATGCTTCGTATACCAAGAAGAGGTCATGAGTGACACGGCAGGTACAAACGGCCCTTCAGTAAAACCAATGAGAAAACGGCAGAGACAGAAGCCCCATCCTGCAGAAACAGCAGGCATGCAGATGGTTACACAAGACCATACAAGCATGCAGCTAGGCAACAGAACTCGAGGGCTGCCCTTGGCGAGGATGACGTTGGCAGGAATCTGGGAGAGGATATATCCCACGTAAAACATGGAAATACCGAGAGACCAAATCGTGTCTGTCATGTGAAGATCTTCTTGCATGCCGGCGAGTCGAGCGTTGGAGACGTTAATTCGATCGAGGTAACTGGATCATGTTAGAACAGGAAATGTTAGTGACGATGGAATGACTGACTTCATCAACAGCATAGCTGTGACCATGGGAAGAAACTTCCAGTCAAGCTTACGGACTAGAGCCTTCTCAATGGCAGCACGCTCTTCAGGAGTCTTGTCCTTGATGAGGGGATAGCGTTCGAGGATCTCATCTCGCACAGGAGCAATCTCTTCATACTCGATATCTTGTTTAATGTCAAAAGACCCAGGTTTTGAGTGAACGGAGCCCGTCATGTTGAAGGCAGAATTGTGGCTCTCGTAAAAGAGTTTTTAGAAATAACTCAACAGTGACAAGGGTGGATGGTGAATGGCGAGAGAGTGCTTGCTGAGCATTTTAGAAACCATGGGTATCAGACATTTTTATATATCACAACCCTTCCCCTCATACTGGGTAATTTCTTCCGAAAATGCCAAGGTCTTGTTGTTGCTCCAGCGTGTCTTTTCGCTCTTCCATCCGAGCTTCACTACCGCGTCACCCCCGCATCCCCGCGTTTGTGGAATAACCTTACAAGATAGAGTGCAACATTCGCGGGGGCTAGCGTTCGGACTCAACCCGTCGGCCATTATCCACCAATAAAACTTCATGATTGACAACCGACGGACTTGGCCCGAGGAAAGGTCTGGGGGAGAGTAGTATTGAATCAGGTCATGGCGGTCAAAGCGAGTTACTGATCGTTCCTGTTGAGGAATAGCGCTGCACTATACGACGTAGATGACTTGGGACCTCCGGGGGTATGAAGTCCTGATAATTCTGCAAGAGTTAACCATATTTTAAGCATATCTAGTTTGGGAAAGGTGGACTTGCCTGCAGATTGCCCTGTCCTTCCATGACCTTGGTAGATAGTGATAGGAGGAACTGCTGAAAGACACTCAATGCAGAGAATTTGGATGAGCACTGTGTTAGCAGTATAGAGGCTTTGCTCACTACTTCAAAAGTTTGCGTCAAGCCTTGTTGGTTCGGCTGTGGTGTGCGCTGCACGAGCCAAACATAAGCTACCGCAGCTGCCAAGATATCATATGCGTCTAGGAAAGATACCGTGGTGCCACTCCCGGACCTGTTATAGAGTTTCTCAATGAGTGCCTTGCAGCAACTAAGTGTATCGGACTCAACCTTAACGGAGTCTTCTGTCTTGAGGTCAGGGTTTGCCAAGCTATTATCGGGGGCATCGACCATTAGGATCAGTGCCCGACATGCTAGCTGATCCAGGTAGTCAAATTGGGGGCTTGTTGGGGTATTAGTGCCGCCGTTTTGTGGAGGAAACTCTCGCCAGAAGCACAGGTTGCTGTAGGAAAACAGTGGGCTAGAACGGTGGCTTCCACGGATGTCTGCAATGAGCTGGGCATGCGTGATGAGATGTTTACTCAAAGCAAGCTTATTTCTCACTGCTCCCGATAGGCGAGGTTCCGTCTCATCTTCTGTCACATCTGGTACCTAATCCAGGTTAGTCATGCGGATGTCGTATCCTGTCGCGCATCTTACAGAAACTGATATGTCACCGTCAGTGATACTAAACGGTCTACCCATAGCCGACGCCAAAGATCTGCGACATTCTGTCAGTTCTACACAACGTTGGGCTGCGGTATCAAACCTACCGATCCCAAAGATATACGCTCCAGAACAACCATTCTGCCCGATAAGTGTATTCTGAATCTGATGCATTCCGTGGCGGTACTGTCTTGTGTAAACCTGCGGCTATGCAGTTCGTCATAATGAAGCCCATAAGGTGCCAGGTTGATCCACCGGCAGCACTGAACATTGAGAATACCGCAAGCAGAAGCATGCAATGCAGGGTATCAAGAGGCTCTTGAGAGTGGAGAATGAAGGGCAATAGCTTCACAGCTGCAGCGTGGAGATTAGTAGCCAGCGAAGATAGGCGACTTGCATCTCGCGACATGCTGATGCCTATTGCTACAGCCAGGTATGTATTGAAGCGAGGCAATGCGGTTCTAGCTGGATCGACACCTTGGTTGCTCATGTCTAGTACAGCCTCGTACTGCTCTAGTAAGCGTTGCTCATCAATATGCGGAAGCCAAACGCTCCAGTCAAGAATTCGCTGGAAGTGGCCGAGCGTCAAGTCGCGTGTAAGTGGGATGAGTTGGTCATCCATTACATACACAGGCTGCGACGACGAGGCTTTTGAAGGGTCTCGACCATCTACAGCCAAAGCGGCCGATATCGACTCAATAATGGCGAGTTTATGTGGCTTGTCACCTGTATTAGTTCGAGATTCAGCCATAGCCTTGTTAGACAAGAGGCCAATGGCGCTCATGGTGTCCTGGACACTTGACTGCTCCTCTCCACTGCTAGCAGTAGGTTCATTCACCAGCGCAGATGACATAGATCCATAATTTGACCTTCGGCGTTTGCCATTGATTGGTGAGACAGCATCTGCTGTGCCAAAGGAAGCATGTCTGGCTTGAACATGTTTCTGCTCAGCAATCTTGATCTTTTGTTCAAGCCCAGCAACACGTCGTCTCAGAGACTCAACATAGCTACGAGTCTTAGCAATAGGAACGATGACTACTAAGCCATGGATTTCTTGTGATGCACTAACCCATTGACTCTTGCATGTGTCAGAGTGGTATCCTCACCATTAAAGTCAAACTGGTGAGACCGAGCGATGCACTCAACGCCAAGATCTGCACACGAGGTACATGCCGGACGCAATCTATCGCACTAATACATATTAGTAAAACTCTCAATATGCATGATAGTGACCAGTATCACCTTCTGCTTCCGCTTGAAGCACCGCTCACAAGCGAGGCTGTTCTTCTGCGGAGGTTGGGACTGTGATGAACTGGGGCTACTGGCCCGTGCAGGGCTTGGTAACGAGACGCGGGAAAGTTCGCGCCAATCAGTTGCCATCCTGCATGTCCTTGGATTGATCTGGTGGCCGAGAAAAGATACGACACGGAATGAGCCCGAGGAACGCGTTTGGGTCGGAGGGGGAAGTTTGGGGATGACCCAGCTTTATCGGACTTGGTCCTATGGTCACGTGCTACCCTGGATCATCATGATTGAAAGTGGTTTAGACTGATCATCTTGAATCAGGCCAGACTGGGACTGACAAGGAGAAATTGGACTTGAAATATCCCGAAAGAAATATGAAATTGACTATCTATAGATTATTTTGCGTATACACAATAAATCCCATTATTTATGCTGCAACCGGAATGCCATTACTGGCCCCATTTGTGATGCCACTGCCATTCGTGACAGCACCATTTGTCGCACCGTTTATAGCAACGCCATTGGTAGCCTTCTTCTCTACAGAGTGACCATTCGTCTGCTGTGACTTGACAACTGAAGCATTCAGCGCAGCCATCTCAGTACCTCTCTTAGTAGCAGCACCAAGTAGCAGAGGACCATCAGTAGCGGCCATAACCCAACGAGCTCCCATCTTGCAGAACTTCTCCACAAGATCAAGACGAGCATGAAGCCCTCCAACACCAAGCCACTTTCCATGCTTCTTGCAAGCAGCAATAGTGCGCTCGTAAGCTTCAGTGACACGAGGATTCTCGTAATCTCCAGGAATACCCATCTCGGCAGTCAAGTCATTGGTACCGATGAGCAGAGAGTCAACACCCGGAAGAGCGGCGATCTCGTCGACTAGCTCAAGAGCTTCAAGGGTCTCGATCATTGGGATGACCATGGTAGCGGCGTTTGTGACGGGGTTGGAGACCTTGGCGGGGATGGAGCGGAATTGATGATGGGGAAGGCCGTTGGTGGAGGAACGGTGACCAATGGGTTGGAACTTGGCGGCGTTGACGACATCTTGAGCGTCTTGGACGGAGCGGATGTGAGGGACGATGATTCCAAGTGCACCACCGTCGAGAATTCTTGAGACGAAGAAGGGGTCTTTGCTGGGGGCTCGGACAATGGGGGAAATGCCAGCGTAGAGAGCGGCGACACAGAGTTGGTTTGTTGTCTCAAGATCAAAGGAAGAATGCTCCATATCTACGAGAATGCCATCATAGCCAGCTGTCTTGACCATACCGGCAATCTCAATTGACTTGACGAGCTTGATGCTCATAGTGTAGGCAACTTCATCTCGGAGAAGCTTCTCACGCATGGGGTGGGGAATAGGCGCAGCCATTTTGAGAGTAGATTGGGATGATAAAATGCAACGAAGAGCTTGATCTGATGTATTGGAGTAGGTGATAGTGGATATTGGTGATTGGAGATGCTGGTAACTGATGAGGATAGAAGCGGTCAAGGTGGTTTCTCCCGCATATTAATATACACCTATACAAGATCGTAAAGAGTCATATTTCTCTTAAGAGTCAAAGTCCCGATAACACCTTCTCCATGTCCGATCTCGTTCCCCCATCGATTGTCTCCATCCATTTCTAGGAACGGAAGCCGATTGTTGGAGCCGAGAAGATCGTGGGGTCGGAGCGGGGCCGCATACAACCCCGAAAGGTCCTCGGACATTGTCCATCTGACATCGGCATGATACCTACGGGTAACGGATGCCGTAAAACGGAACAGAAAAGAGGAATGATTCACCCGTCGAATCCCGCGGGAGTCAGAGGTGCCGGAATTTGCCTCGAAGGAGATACATAAAAGTGCAAGACTTGAAGACTCTTGTTCTCCAAACAAACACTACCCCACAAACATCACCTTGCATCGCAATAATCCCATCTCATTCATCATGGCACCAGGCGCTGTAACAGACACTCCTCCAGAGAGTCTCCCCTCTGGAAAGCCGACAGTCTATGTCCTCGATTCATTTCACCCTCAAGTCATGGCTTACTGCCAAGAAAACTTCAACGTCATTACACCAGATAACCCCAAGCACGGCCAATGGAAGCAAGAAGCACGCTATCTCCTCATGAGATCCTCACGCTTGACTGCAGAGGATATCAAGTCGTGCCCTAGCCTGATCGCCATCGGCAAGCAAGGTGTTGGTGTTGACAAGATTGACACTGATGCCTGTGCTGCTCGTGGGATCAAGGTCTTCAACACTCCTGGTGTTAATGCACGTGCAGTCGCTGAGCTTGTTCTGACTCTGGCTACTGCATCTGCTCGTCAGGTTGGCACTATTATTGCTAAGCAATCTTCGGGTATCCTTGTACCCAAGGAAAAGTGCTCTGGTTTGATTCTGCATCGCAAGACGATTGGTATTCTCGGAATGGGAAACATTGGCAAATGCGTCGCCAGTATCTTCAGAGGCGCTTTTGAGGCCGATGTCATTGCCTATGATCCGTTCCTCCCTGCTGACGCGTGGGCCGATATTCCTCATCAACGCGCCTCGTCTGTTGAAGAGGTTCTGGAGTCTTCAGACGTCATTACCGTTCATATGCCTCTTACTCCACAAACAAGAGATCTCATCGGTTATGCTGAGATGAAGAGAATGAAGCGAACAGCCATTGTCATCAACACCGCACGAGGCGGTATTGTCAATGAGGCTGATCTGAAGCGAGCTCTATCTGAAGGTCTCATTTGGGGTGCCGGTCTTGACTGTCACGAAGAGGAACCTCCTAGCTATGAGAAGTATCATTCGCTATGGGAGGTTGGAGCTGTTAGTACACCTCATATTGGAGCTGCGACGGCAGAAACTCAGATGCAGACGGGCATGGCGGCCGCGAGATATTTGTTAGAGTTTGCTCTCAACAACCCATGAGACAGAAGACTTCGTTTCTAGTTATACATTGTTCAACAAGAATACACGATTAATAGTGCCAAGTCGTCTTATTTCATGCCTTCCTTCAAAACTCAAAACCGTCCCATACACTCGGGTTCGTAGGATCTCCATACACATACTGACCTAGCGCAGACTCCATATTCCATAACGAATCGTAGTTCAGCAGCGTCCAATTGACTGATGATCCATCCTGATACTCCTCCGAGATGTCGTTCCCATCTTGTCCCGGAACAGAAAACTGACTCACAGGGTCCACAAGACCTGTCCTTGTCTGCAAACTCTGATCAAATAACTGTCGATTTGTCGAAAAGTCTGGCATGTTTCCCAAAGCACTAGGTAAAGACCCTGTGCCCAGGTCTGGAGAGAAGCTTCGTCCAGTAAAGTTGCTGATATCGTTTGGGAAACCTAGAGCTGGATCGACCGGGAGGCCTACAGACACATCTCGCACATTGGGCCATAGTCTTTGTGATACGTCTCGATGCAGAGCTTCAAAGACGGATACATAGCTCTTTGCGTCTGGAAGTTGTCGGGCGACGCTGTTTAATAACTCTTGACATCGGATTAGTCCTTGATGGGATGCGCGCATGTCCTCTTGAGTGATCCTCTTGGATACAGATGTGCAGTACATGACTGATAACCCAGCCGTGAAGAGCATGTGAAAGTAGCTTCTTGTATGTGTCATCATCTCTCGCTTCTGGCATAGGCTGTGATACCTCTCGATGGTTTCAAGTGCAGATCTGAGAAAGACTGTCAAGATCTCTTTTGGGGGAGATCCATTAACCTTTGGGACCAGATCAATTGCACGACGAAGGACAGACAGTCTCTCACGAGCAAGTAGCAAGTCATACCATTCTTGCGTCTCATACAGACAACTCGGTTCTTGTATGATAGGGTTGCTGTTCCTCCACTCTTTCAGCTCTTTCAACAGTTTCGTCATGACAACATGGACATGGCCGGCGAGCAAGTGCTTTGACCTGGTATTAGAGATCTTCCGCCTTAGCTTCGAAAACTCCGTTTGTATATGAGACGATATCTGTCTCAGTCGTACAGAGATAAAGAATACAGTCATTTCATTCTGCACGTTGGGCTCGCGATTGAAGCTGAAGGAGTCGAGGCTTTGAGCATCGTGGCTGGCTGCTTCGAGTTCTTCATCGCTGACTTCAACTGGAAATTTTGTCTCGATGTCCGCATCGTCGATCAAGAATGGACGATCCAGAGTTGTTGAACTGTAGCGATCGATCAGATAGAACTGCCAGAATAATCTCCTTCTGAGCTGTGTTTGTAGTAGATCGCCTCGGATATCGGTACCGTTATGAAGACCAAGTTCGATGCAGAGACGTCCGCAAAGCCGAACAACGTCCCAAATGGAAGTACCTATCGGGTGATCAGCATGGCGTTGATGGTTGAGGTCAGGCTTCACAAACCAATCGGATGGTAGATGCCAAATCTACATATTAGCAACAAATCTTGAACAGAGTCCAGTCCCCGCGTAAGAAAATCGGGACCGAGATACTGTAAAGCTGCATTATAGTATGCTTCTGGATGGCGATGATGAAGCTTATTCCGATATGGCAGAACTGCCCCAGTGGCACAAATCATGAATGCTCTGAATAAGTCATGGCTTGATGCTTTGCTGGGAGTGCTCTGGCCATTGAAGAGACGCTGATGCAGTGCCCAGACACTTCTACGGAGGAGAAATGGGTTCTGTATGTGCGCCCAACTCAAGCTTCAATACCATTAGTTGAAGGTTAGATATCGGATAGCTTTAACTGACTATTTGTCAAAGAGCATCTGTGCCTCTACTGCGGATGGCAAAGAGCACGGACCTATCGAGACTTCATCGGCACCAGGTGCATCTGCCAATGTTCTCAGCAATGTGGCATGTGACTTTCTCCAATTCACGTCAGAGAACAGGTGCGCGATGAAGCTATCAACATATGTTAGCCGAGTCGGTCCTAGCTCATCATCACCATGAACACAAACCTCAAGCTTGCTCCCTCGCGTGTAGCAGGCGAAGACGCTGCTATAGATCTCACGGTATGCCTGTCATCTGGACTTGAGGTATCCACGGTGCTTAGGTCGGGGGCTGCGCTTGACTCTAGTTCTTGAAGTCTGTTGGATAATTCTTGCTCTTTTTTCTCGAGCTCATCGATCATTCTGTTGTGCGGTATTGTCAGAATGGGTAAGACGAGGCATTGGAAGAGACCCACGCTCTCGACAACTGGCCATTAGTGTCGGAGTCAGTGCACGAGACAAGACATTCCAGGCCATTTCGTGTACAAAGAGAGCAGCTTGGCCGATTATTGTCACACTAAGATACCTCCGTCAGCGTCTCAATTGAACATATATCTACTAAGTCTGACCTTTGTCTTCTTCTGGGCGCAAGATTGACACGCTGGTAGTCTTGGGAGACGCGACATCCTCTTCTCTACGTGATTGGTTTAAACCAAAGCTGGGGTTGTTGGAGGACAAATCTGGGGAGCAGCTTGGTATAAATGCTCCAATTATGAGAAGGCTACGGAAATAGAGGGGATATATCACGTGCAGTGCCCCGCAAATTGCTGACCAGAATAGGAATAGGTCGAGTTTTGATGTCTTCTACAACACGCATGTATTGCTGCCGTGACTAGTAATGTCCCTTATTGACAATATCATCAACCTGAAAGCTTCATTCATTCTAACTACACAACCCGAAAAATCTTTCATTTTGGACACTTAATACTTGTTCTCAACATGTTTAGAGACCACCGACTCTTGATCCTTCATCTCAGGCTCAATAATCTCTCGTGCCGCTGGCTTCAGATCATCAGCAGTAGGGTAGGCAATCTTATGCACCGTGTACCAAGGTCTCTCAAACAATTTATCCATGCTCTCCAAAGATCGACCAGAGGTCTCAGGCATAGCAAAGTAAACATAAACAAGAGAGATAGTGCAAATGCTAAGGAAGAACATGAAAGCGCCATAACGTTGGGTCGCTGCCAGAAGAGAAGGCATAGCACGTGAGCAACCGAAGTACATGGCCCAATGAACAGCCATGAGAATAGAGACGTTGATGGAACGAATTCGCAGAGGGAAGACTTCGGCTGAGACGAGGTAGGGAATGGAGAACCAGCCGATGGACCAAGCGATGGCGTGGATGTAAATGGCTGCAATAGCTGCGCGACTGGCAGCCATGGCCGACGAGCTTGCCTCAATCTTCTCGGGAGTCCAGCCATTGGTGACTTTGAGGTAAGCTCCAACGAAAGCTAGAGTGAAGATCTGCATGGTGATACCAGTCATGAGAGATCGACGGCGGCCAATAAAGTCGATGACAAAGACTGAGAAGATGAGCACAGACACAAACTTCAAGATGGCGTAGCAACCAGTTGCCAGGAAGCGTGCTTCAGTGCCTTCAATACCGAGATATCCAAAGATAGTAGGACTATACTGAGTGATGGCATTGGCACCGGACCACTGTCCAAAGACGTGGCAAGCAAACATGAGAACAAAGCGTCGTCGGTTGGAGATGTCTGTGAAAGTCTCCTTGATCAAGTCCCAAGTATTGGCACCAGAAACAATCTCAATCTCATGATTTAGCTGACTCTCAATGCCTTGGAACTCAGATTGAACATAAGGGTGATCTTCCGGGAGTCCTCGGAAGCGAGATAGGGTCACGAGCGCCTCTGTTCTCTTGTTCTGACTGAGCAAGAAACGAGGAGTCTCGGGTGTAAAAAATGTGCCGGCACCCCAGATGAGAGCGGGAATGAGCTGGAGTGCTGTGGGGAGCTGCCATTGGAGGTTCGTGCCGGCGTGGTATTTGGTGACACCGTAGTTGAAGAAGAAGCCGAAGACGACGCCGAGCTGTTGACAGCAGGTGTATTGGAGGGTCAAGAGACCTCGGATGGGCTGAGGCGAGATCTAAAGAGTCTTACGTTAGTCTCAAGCCGGTGAGGAGTGTCGGGGCAGATCATACCTCTGCAATATAGACCGAAGGCAGAACGGTCGTCGCACCAATGCCAATACCAGAAATGACGCGAGTCGCATAAAGAGCTCCAAGGTTTCCACTACTGAACGTCTGACCAAAGATACCAGCCATATAAACAACAGTGAAGAATTGAAAAGTGCGTGTTCGTCCAAGACGCTGGGTGAGCCAAACACAACCCAAACACCCAAAGACCGCACCAGCCGTAGCGATAGCGACAATCCAGCCTTTGGTGTTTGCATATTGATGATCGGTCTGGTTATCGATTCCGAAACGCTCTTTGAAGACTTCCATGATGACAAGAGAAGCAATGTTGCCTAGATGAATGTCAAGTGATTAGTTGGAGGTGGTGGTAGATGGATGTGAGACTAACCTTCGTCAAAACCCTTGGCGACACCAGAGAAACTCCAGATGCAGGTACACATGAGAAGATACCAGTTGAAGATCTCCTTGGGACTGTCTTTGATGGCCCGTCTCGTGGCCTTGATCATATTTGGTCTTGCCATCTTGAATGAAATGTGATTGTCGCCACTGGGGAGGGTACGAATAATGGAAGGGAGGAAGATAGAGCTTGAAGCTGAAGAAAAAGGATCGTGCAGAGGAGAAAGGGGGTGCAATATATCCTGCCCAGCTTCACGGAAAACCTTCCTCAGAGAGTCAAGGGGGTCGCCGACTCCAAGCGTGGAGAAAAATGCAACGCTCTCGTCGCGGAGAAAAGGCGGGGATGATCTTGGTTTCCTGAGATCCCCAGTTCCAAATTCGATCAGCTTCCCCAGAACTCGGAGTGGGCCCCTTGTTTAGCGTGGAGGCGAAAGTGTTGTCATCGGAGGATGTCCTAATGTTATCGGGCTGGGCCCGGGGTGGTTTCGGAGCGTAGATTTGAGGAACTTGCTGACGAAGCTGAGTTACCCCTCGTCACGAGTCAATCGCTGTGTTACATCCGGGAATGCCTTGAGAAAAGGGCGCATTGATGGGTTTCGGCCAGCGTTGTCGGAGATGGAGTTTTGGCGCGATGTAGGCGAACTGGCACAGAGATTTACAGTGATGATGTTATGGGACCAACGTGTAGGCTCCCAAATGAGCCCTGGAGATGGTCACCTAATCTGTTGATCTGAACTTGAAGCTGTAACTTAACAAAGAGCAATGAGATCAAAGGAAAATAGCTAGTTGGATGTTTTTCTACCTCCTTGGGTTCATGACATAAGAGTTACGGCTTATCAACTCATATGATGGTGTTTACCAGCAAGATGTAATGCGGTTAAAGTTTAAATTTATCGTTATTTACTGCTACTTGCTTTGTTTCAGTGACGGCGCAGCCACAGCTCCCCGACAATGCCACTCCACCGTCTGAATATTCCCCTCCAAACTATCAGTGATGAATAAAGTCTTATGCTCCGGTCCTCCAAAACAGCAATTTGTCAGATTGATTCCCGGTGATCCACTAACAATTCGAGCCTTAGGCACACCATGAGTATCGACCACAAAGATTGAACCAAGACTTGGATGGCAGATGAACAAATTCCCTTCTTCATCTAGGGCCAGACCATCAGGACCCGCGTTCCCAAAAGACTGGAAGAACACCCCAACTTTGGAAGTAGTGCCGTCTGCGTGTAAGGGTAGGCGCCAGACTTGGTTTGCTCTTGTCATAGCGACGTAGAGAAAGCGCTCGTCTCGTGAGAGCACGAGACCATTGGGTGAGGGGCCGTTGTCAAGGAGGGTATCGAGTCTTCCATCAGCTGATAAACGGTAGACACGGCCTGTTGGATCAGTCATTCCGGTTTGACCTTGGTCTGTGAAGTAGAGATTTCCCTTTGAATCGACAATCAAGTCATTCGGGCCTTTAAATCTCTCAAGGTTCTTCCTCGTCAACTTTGGACCTATCTTCCCTGTCTCGGGATCAAACGATAGTATGCCCTGTCCCAATTAGCCTCACGGGTAACGCCAGCCCTAAGCATTGTCATACCTGCTTGTAGTCTGCCACCAACAAATCTCCATGAACAGTCCCCACGAGACCATTCGGCTCGCCATCCCAAGAACAAGCAACGGTAACATCCTTCTGGTGATCAATCTTGAGAATACGGCCATAAGGAATGTCCACGACATAGAGATTCCCAGCGCTATCGACAACTGGACCTTCAAGGAAGATGTGCTGGAACGACCCCGCAAAGCCCCCGCGCCATTCTGACTCTTGGCCTAAGCAGCGCTTGTCGTCTGGGATGTGGAGATAAATCTCTGCTTTGATCACAGGAGGTGGTGGATAAAAATTCATTTTGTCGGAGGATATGCAGAACTTGCCCGGAAATGATGACCGTGAGATCCTGTTGGAATCTTTTATAGATTCGGTGTTTGAGACGCTTTGGGGTAAGCTATTTATCTGTGCGGAGGAACTCCGATGGGTCTAGTGCTATGGCTTGTAGATTAGTCAGGCTTGAATCTACACTGGAGAGCTAATTGCTTCACACAGCGACATGAACAATGTCCGATGAGGTCAGTTTCAATACTGAGCCAGTTAATCCTCCAGTCATTGCTATTACACATAGTGATACACGTCCGCTCCGACCTTGGTCGCGACTTGTGAGACAGATAACCTCGACCTCGCTCGGGTTACTCATAATTCCCATGATCTTTATTGGATCTCGTTCATGACCGAGGCTTAATTGTAGAGTATCTCTATCTGAATTGTGCCAGCCAATATTTGCAAGCCGATAAGCCTTCCCACCTTTTTGACTTGGTCTATGTTGACCTTCTGGAACCTAGTTACAAGTTGAGACATAATAAAGCGGTTTAAAGGCTTTATGGAGTTGGCCACCCAAAGGTTCAGTTTAAAGTTATGCTTTAACCTTAAGTATATTCCTTTGGTCTTTGTCGTTGAGTCATGTGACAAGGTTCACAAATAAAAGTTAATAATTTCACGCGATACTATGACAGTACTTCACAGCAAACAGTACCTGCTTCTGATAGTCAAATGATATGTATAAGCCATTCAATAAAGATAAAATCTCCAAAGCTTGCTTCAGGTAACTTCGTGATAACTCAACAACCGTCAACCTTACGGATGTTCTTGGTGTATAAGAAGCCGTCCTGACCTTTTCCCCAAAGCTCCATCGTTATACACAAGTCCAATGCACCCTCTAAGACGAGAAGTAGGAGATCCAAGATCAACAGAAAGCATGGTACTCCGAATCGTACCAACTCGGCTGGCTTCCAAGGCTATGTTAATAAGATCTTCTCTCCGGAGCTTGAGGGCGTCAGTACCACTGAGATGGTAAGTCTATCCACAGTAAGCTCTGGACCATGTGCTAAGAGAGGACAGGTCACATATATCGAGAAAGGTGCTGCGCTCAACACAGCATCCCGAGACACCAGACCTCTTTACTGACCGCCCTGAACATCCGCGTAGATACAGATTGCAGGTCAATCCTCCCTGGAATCTCGCACGTATCTCCTCGTGCAATGCCAAAAATGGTAGTCCCCGTCGATACTGCTACGATACAACCGCAGGCTTTGGCGCATATGTGTATGTGATCGATTCAGGCATTAACCTTTCGCATCCTGAATTCTCAGGTCGAGCTTTCCAAGGAGCAAACTTCGTCCCTGGGTCTATCGACGATGATGAACTCGATCATGGCACTTATGTCGCAGCGATTATCGGGGGCAAAACTTACGGGGTGGCTAAGAACTGCACCATGATTTCTGTCAAGGTGATTAGCAAAAGCGGCAGAAGTAACATGTGGTGGCTCTGGCAGGGCATATACTGGGCTATCCGTGACGCCAAGGCGAGGGGTATTTCTGACAGGAGCGTTATCAACATATCTGCAGGCGGTCCTCAAAGCGTCTATGTTAACGATGCGGTACAGGCTGCTACTGATGCAGGTATTACTGTGGTTGTTTCAGCTGGTAACGACGCTGACTTCGCCATGTTCCGCTCCCCTGCCTCTGCCCCATCCGCTATCACAGTAGCCGCAAGTGGTCCAGATGACTGTCGCACTCCTTGCTCCAACTACGGTCCCTGCGTTGATATCTTTGCACCAGGTGCTAACATTGCTAGCGCCTGGAACAATAAAGAAACTGAAACAAGGTATGCCTCTGGTACGAGTGCGGCAGCACCACATGTTGCAGGTCTAGCTGCATATTTCATATCCAGTGAGAATCTGAGGGGTTCTGAGGCTGTTAAGGAGCGAATTCTTGGCGCAAGTTTGGGTGGTGTAATTAAGGATGTGCGTTGCAGTAGTAACCGCCTTGCGCATAACGGCAACCAAGTATTTTAAGAAGTAACCTTTTTGATAGCTTTACCAGGAGCTAAATAGAGGGCCAACTCTGGCAGAGGGGTCACTGGGATAAGGATAGATAGTGACTTGAGTAGCAAATCTTCGCCTTTTTTATACAACCGTTATCAACGTTGTCTTCTGGACCATCAGCGTGTTGCCGGCCGTTTTGACAATTTGGAAGGTTGAGGGCCGTGTTAATCGATGAGGAGTCTAATGCCCCTGCTGGAAAGAAGAATAGTTTATCACAGAACGCGGTTGATAAAGGCAGTGCTGTGGAGAACCCTTCAAACAAGGTAACCGTTTGAGATATAGCATCGAAGAGAATTCTGGTCAATGTATGATATTCTTCTAGATAGGTTTGATTACGGGTTGTAACTTGTGGCCTCGTTCCCTTCTGACGTACTGCTTAGAAGCCAAAAGGACACAAAGTCTCGCTGTTCATCCAAGAAGTCTCGGTAGTTGATTTGAATCGTGAATTAAGTCCTAGTACAACCCCTGACAACATAAAGCGCTATTATATCAATAACTTCAAACCCGCTCACTTTCTTCAGCAATAGCTAGAGTCTTCTCAGCACTAAGGTCGGCACCCTCCGCATTACGTCGAAATTCCTCCTCCTGTAGCCTCAGTTCCTCAGACAGTTGGCCATGGGCCTTCCACACGGGCTTGATTTCAAAGAGACGATCCATCGTGTCAAGCGGCAGGCCCTTGGTCTCAGGAATGAAGAAGAAGACGAAGATAGCGGAGAGGATCATAAGCGACGCAAAAAAGAAGTAGACGCCATAGCCCATCTTGATAAACATTTGCGGGGTAAAGCGAGAGACAATGAAGTTCCAGAACCAGTTGTTGGCAGCAGCGGAAGCTTGACCGAGTGATCTGCAGCATGTTAGCAATGTATCTCGATAGAGGGACGACTCAAGAACGTACCTGGAATTCTCGTTAAACATCTCAGAGTTGAGCACCCAGGGGATCGGATTCCACGTGGGGGAGTAAAAGACAGTCCAGAGGTAGAAGAAGAACACCGCGGCGATTCCACCGCTCGACATTGACGGAGCTGAGGCTCCGGTGGCCGCAGCAGCCGCCACCTTGGCAGCCGGGTCTGCTATCTTGATATAGCTTCCGATAAACCACATACAGAGGGAACCACCGACTGATCCAATAATCAACAACTTCCTGCGTCCCACGGTCTCGATCAGGAACAGAATAAAGATGATAGTAACGCTCGTTTTAACCACGCCGAAAATACCGGTAGTCAAGAACGAGGTATTAGTGCCTTGGATGCCGATACTCTTGAACACAGTAGGGCTGTAATAGTTGATGGCGTTGATGCCGGAGCCGTTCTGCCAGAGGAACATCATGCCGCCGAGGAAGAAGCGCCATTGAACCTTGCGGCTCTTGAGCGCAGTGAATGGCTTCCAGAAACCGGGTCCGACTTCTTTGTTGTAGCGATCGAGTTCCTGGTCAATGTAGCTAACCTCTTCGACGAGATAAAGGTCATTAGCCGGCAGCTGCCTCACCCAGCATAGGTTCTTCATGGCTTCCTCACGGCGGCCCTTGGAGAATAGCCAACGAGGCGACTCCCTGATCCAGAAGGCACCGAAGAGCAGCATACCTGCGGGGATGAGCTGGACAGCAAAGGGAATGATCCACTGCTTATGGCTAGGAGCCATCGTCTCAGCCAACCCATAATTGATCCAGAACCCGACAAGGCCGCCAATCTGCCAACCAAGTTCGTAGATACCAACGAGGCGACCTCGAATAGCAGGAGGAGACAGCTCGGAGCAGTAGATCGGGACCATGTTAGAGCAAGCGCCAACTCCAACTCCAGCGAGAACACGGCCGCCAATAATGAGTCCCAGGCCACGCTCAGCATTAGCGCCAAGCATCATGCCGGCGCCAACCATGAACACAAAGCTGAAAGCAATCAGGGAGTAACGTCGCCCGATGAAATAGGAGGTGATGTAGGCGAATAAACTGCCAAAGAAAGCACCTGCTTGATAGACGGAGACAATGTTGGATTTGAGAAGAGCAAGATCGTTGGGTTCGTAAGATGCAAAATCGAATTCCTCGGTAAAGGACGGCAGCGCGATCGTGGTGCCGATAAAGGCGGAATCATAGCCGATCATGCATGATGCGAAAGAGGCGATGGCAGCGCAAGTGTAAACGCGCCAATTGTAAACGACCTTTGGAGTCGGCCGGTCCTCATTGACGGCGAAGATATTGTTGATGGAAATACCCATGATGATTGTCCTAGTGCTACAGCCAGCACAAGGGGTCGGTCGGCCAGTGAAGTTGTCTGTGGAGGACTTGAGATCTGGGGTCGACTGAGCAAGGGCAAGAGACAGCTTTAATATATATACACGTCTGGTCCAATGGCCTTGAACCAATTACAGCGACGCCTGCGCTTGAAAGTTTATCCTATCCCTGGCCGTACTGTTCACTGGCGCGACTTAGGGCGTACTCTAACTTGTGCGGGGACATGGAGCAGAAGGGTCATGGTAGCACTAGAAAGGTCGAGATTCAGAGACCCCCGCATACGCTGGGGTAATGCCAAGGGTCTTGTTTTGCTCTAACCGACGCCAGGAGCGTGGATGGCTAAGAGTTTACCCCTGCCCAGCCCTCTCGTATCGTGGGCTTAATTTCCGTATTCAGTCTTAGATCACATTCAGCTAGCCCCTCCCTGTCTTTTGCCTGCTTTTGGAAGTTCTGGGGTTGGAACCAAATTCTGGGGACCCCGCATTGAATTAAACTAGTGGGGTAAGTGATCATCCTGCCGATTTAAATACTCGTCGCAAGCTCGGGGGTTAAGTATTGATCCGTCTATATCGATGATTCCTTGGATAAGTGGCAAGTGCTCACTAACTTAATATGCGTATACCCAGATAGTATAAGGGAAAGTTAGGTCTTGTATTACCTCGGATAAATAGATGGCTAATGGGATTAACCAAAAGAAGAGTTGATGGTAGAGCCGGTCAACTGAAAGAAGGTCGTGTTTGATAGTTGGTGTGGAGAAAAGGGAAAGGATCCGGCGTGGTCAGGGGTGTTCGGCAAGTTGAACCGCGCGCGTTGCTCAACAGGTGTATTGCACCATTGACCCTGCTTTATTAGATCGCTTGCTGCTTTGGCTATAAACACCTAGGTAGAGAGCAGGTTAAGGACTCACTACTCCCGACTTGGTGGAGTCCACGAGGGCTGGATGTTTCTGGCTCTATCTGTAGGAGCGTCGATAATAGAACGAGGAGAGGAACTATGTACGGCACTAAAAGTTCTTTAGTACCGCTGTGCCTATCAATCTTTAATAGGAGAATGTAGACAAGTAAATTATCACTTTGCATAGCTTAATTCAAGATTAAGACATTAATACTATATATATATATATATATGTATGCATGTATATGGTATTCTATGAACTATGGCCAATTAATTAACCAGTATATCGAAGGGAAAACAGGCCCCGCTCAATGGAGCTAACTAGAATATTCCCACTCTGGAAGTAAGGGTAAACAGACCAAGCACCATAGAACTGTGCCTCACCACCAACTGCATCATCCTCAGGATGAACGTCAAAGAAACCAATCTCCTCAAACAGAGCGCCAGTGTCATCTTGAGCAATTGAAGACACATTTACCATGCGTAGACCAGATCCATAGTTTGCCTGGTATGACACGCCACCAACAACATACTGATTGTGATCGATGGCGCGAACAGGGCTCTTGTATACACCACGGAAGACGGGATACTCCAGGTCTTGGATATCAACAATGTATGTCGTGGTGTGCTGGTCAGCTGCAGGACCAGTCTTTTCTTGCTCATCCAGCTCGTCGTCCAACAGGAGATACTTGTGATCCTCGGTCAACCAACCCTGGTGGGTATATGTGGCGCCGTTGTATGTGGTGCGCGAGATCTGGCGTGGCATAGTGCGGCGGGAGATGTCAACGATAGTGAGCGCATCTTCATTGTAGTTGAAGCAGATCTCACGACCCTGGAAAGCTTTCTGGGGGCCCCGGTATATAACGCACTGCGCGTCGTGCACGTAGCCGTCCGAGGCAACACAGCCAGCATCCTGAGGTCGCTTTGGGTTCGAGACGTCGATCATCCAGAGCCCGGCGCGACACTTGAGATCGTAGGCTGTACCGACAGCTGCAATGAGGGCTGTCTCCTCGTTGGCGACGATGTTGTGGCTGTTGCCGAAAGCGCTGAAGTGCGCCGCCAGGTCGCTCCTTATACTGAAGGTAGGAGGGTTCTTCTTATCAGTGTTGAGGAGCTTGGTGAGGTCAAAGATCTGTAGACCGTGGCCAGCCGCCTCAGAGCCAATGTAGGCGTAGTTGCCGATGACCTTGATGTCACGCCACGAAGAAGCGACGGTCTGGGTTGGAAGGCGACCGACATAGGTCAGGCTACCGTCGGGGTGAACTTCTGCAAAGGCCGTGCCGTCTGACTGCCCTAGAAGAGCAAACTCGCGACCACTCGAGGCATGTGTCCAACCTGACGGGGGAGATAAGTTAGCATAACTAACCTTCACGAATTAACAGTTGCTCTGGGACATAACATACCCCAGACATCATTACCGACGCGTGTACGACTGCCCATGTCCTGGTGGCGCAGGAAGCCCAAGAGGTCGATCTTGTTACAAGAATAACCTCCCGCCTTGCCGTCAGAACAAGGCGTGCCGGAACTGAGTACTTTGTAGCGATCTTTGTCGAAGACGCCAGCCGCCGCCTCACTCTCATGGAGAGCCATCTTGCGCTGACGAAGCTCTCCCATTCCAATGGCATGAGGCGCACTTTTGGCACGGAGGTAATCCTCATTGTACTTGGCCGTGTTGATCCTCTGCGTCTGTGCGACGGCAGAGCCCGCTAGGGTGGCTAGTAGGACGGAGGCGATACTGGCCTTCATATTGACAGATCGAGAAGGTTTCAAAGCGGCAATGAGCAAGAAACTACAGAGCGAATATTACAAGAGTCAGAGGGACTCTTTATACTTAGTTTCAAGGTCAAAGTCAAGAGTTGGGAAACTATTGTCGATCCTTCCCTGGATTGGAAGCTAGATATTTTGTTCTTGGAAGCTGGACCTTTTGTCCTTGGCAGCTTATTCAATCAACGAGTTGTGCGATAAGGTCCTCAACTTGATCCGGGCCAAGTTAGTACTATGGATACCAATACTACCCTGGATATTCACAGTGACGATTGGAATCAAACATGCAGCGTCGCTGACCATTGAGATGTCAGATAACCCCTTGAACGATGTACATCATAGCCACTTAGAGTTAGCAAGGAAGGCAAAGGTTCCCCAGAATTATCGGGCCAAGGAGCAAGATGCACAGGCACATAGATAGCCCATCTAGCTAGCTGGCACAGATAATCAACAAGACCACCAGTCATATTTCATGTTTTTCTAAGCGACTCAGGGCCAAGGCTGTGCCAAGCTATCGTGTCGATTAACTACCAGTTTTATCTTAAGCTTATTATAAATATCTCATGGATAAATCACACGACCCACTAGGGATTTCGCGAGATGCCTATTTAGGATAAAGACCCGCCTCTCGCCATGTGGCCTGCTACCAATACCAAGACAAAAGCGCGGTCTTGGCGCCAATCTTTATCCTTAAATCCCTAGTATAGTCTAGAGATCTTCCTCTTGTCGTATAGAAGAGTAACGCGATTTGACCCGACTCGGCATTCCCATGCTCTGGGGTGATTGTCTAGAAGAATACGCAACTCCACCTTCTGCTTCCTTTGGCATCGTTGCAGTGTATCCAGCACAGTTCATCATCTCCGGATGTCTTCTTGGGAGAGGAGCATCAATGATGAACTTGTACAATTTCCACAGAGTTGACAGAATAACAAGAGTGTTTATAATGACAGACGCAACCAGGGACGGTGTACTCTTCAGGCGAGGGATCTGACAAACGAGTGTTGTGGAGATGACGGATGGATTGATTCTGAGATTCCTCGCAGAACTGTCCTCTCCGGTGAATGCACGATCGGCTAGCCCAAACGCCCCATCGACTCTGAGATGGTTGCCCCAAGTATAATTACGATCTCGGATAACTTCATAGCTGCTCGTGGACTGCGTCCAGAGCTCAACGTTGTCGAGAATGTTAGGTCCAGAGTCTGTCCGGCCAACATATCAGCCGAGATCCAAATACCAGGGAGGGGCCTGTAAGAATCGCTTTCGTTGGCTCGAGATAGTTTCTCCATCTCGTTGGTGTCGCAGAAGTAAATGGCGGGTGAGACTCCATTATTGTTAAATGTGACGAAGAAACAGCTGACTTGAAAGAAGTCAAGAGCTTTGATATCTTGTACCGAGGGCACAGTTGTCTTTCTTTTGGCGAAGAAAATATTGCCCTGGTAAATTGGAGGACGGTTTGTGATATTCGCATTTTAAAATCCCTTGGAGAAACTTTCACTAGCGAAGTGCATGTCGTTCGTGAGGGCGATAGAATACCGTGCAAGCATAGGCTCTCCCCACCAAAGGCTAGCCTTGGTAGTCTCATTGCGACCTGAAAATGAAGACTTTTCATCATATTCGATGCCGTTATAGTTGTACGTTGTTGTCATATTGAGAGTAGTCCTACCGCCAGGCGTGTTAGCCTGATAAGAGATGGACGCTTTTAATTTTGCACTCCATTTCTGTTGTGAGATCTCCCAGGAACTCCGCTCTAAAGCCTCGAACCCGATGGTGATGCCACTCACAGCGCAGTTTTCAAGGGGGTTGCTGAGGTATGGCAACGACCCTAACAGTTCATCTGGAGAGTTGGGATTATCGCCTCGCCAGATCTTGGTGATTGTATACTTGAGGGCTGTGTTATTAGTGTAGAAGCCAGTGCCAATGGTGATTGTGGTTGCGGAACAAATAGACTTTGTATTCGCTGTGAGAAAGGAAGGCCAGTTGGAGAAGGGATCGCGATTCTCGCTGGTTACGTTGGGGTGGGAAGTAGCCGTAGAGACGGTCTCATAGCCTAGAGTAGCTACACTGAGGAAAGCGATAAGTCCTGTCGCAATCAATCCGCCGATAAGGACAACTGGAGTGAACCATACATATGGGTATGGTGCTCTACAACACGACGCTTTATAGAAGGGAAGAAAAAGAATACAGAACTGGTTGAACGACAACCGCGATAAAGGGTTTACTCTACTTACACTATTACTAGATCTGCGGATAACAGAGGCAGAATTAAAAATCCACCAACTTTATCATCGCAAGGCTCTGGCAGGTTCTTACCAACAGCTGTTGGTTGGGACGAGTGGCTTGGGGCTGCTGACAAGTCCGTGTTACACGAAGCAGTTGGTAGCACTAAAAATGGATATACATCCTGGCACTCGACCAATGATACATTATATCTTCTCAAGGACGATCGGGCGCTGAGCCTCGTTACTGCACAAAGCATTCCGTTGTCTCTTGCTATCAAATTTGTGGCTGGTGAATAGCCTGTGCCGCATCTTCTTTGGTTCATATGCATTTCAGCCTCTTGTGGGGCCTTACTTGCTGGTATTGCAAATTGTGAGACTATCAAAGTGACAAGTCGAACGCAGTGCTGCCTGCTGTCCTACGTCTACAAGGGAGAATTTACCCACGTGGGCTTGGAGTTGCTCTGGCTCAGAGATGGCGCTTCCATGACGTAGCTTGTTCCATTTCGAAGTTCAACAGTAAAAAGTAGGCAATAAAACAAAAATACGACCACTTCATACCCCCCTAACACTGGTATAAAGGGCACCACTGAGATATAGTAGGCATAGTCAGGTACATGAATTAAAGCCAATCGTCAGTCCTCAGTATCACTTCCAATACAGGCTATAACCGCCAAGAAACAGCTGCCAACCAAGACCCACAGTTTCGACCATGCAGCCAACTTTCCTACCCAATGACCACGAATAGCACTACTTGATGCTGGGGCCTTGATGCTTAAAGTGTATCCTTCTAGTTGGAGACGCCGACGGGAGTCAAGCAAACGAGAGCTTGACCAAGCTACAGCACGAAATGAGTTAGTATCTATTCTTTCCTGTCCAAGAGTAGGACTTACCACAGGAAGGACACAGCATCGAGCTCGTTGACCACTGGCAGCGCAGATGGCTTGGAAGTTGTCGGCATCGGTAGGAGACTCGGTGGCTATTGATCCTGTTAGCTAAGATCTGTCTTATGATATGACGGAGGTACTCACGTGAATCGCATTCAATGTCTGCAACGCCACCAACATCGATGGAACAACACTGAGGGTTTCCATAGAGACTGTCGGGGCAAGGATCAAAGTTCGCGGCCGCTGCGCTGGTGGACGAGCTGGGAGCAGACTCTGTTGAGGAGGCAGCTGCTGAAGTTTCAGCTGACGAAGCAGGGCTGGAAGTCGATGGGTTTGCAGGAGAGCTGGTTTCGGTGTTGCTTGGCGAAGAAGTAGATGTAGGAGCAGAAGAGGTTGCTGAGTTGCTCGTCTCTGCTGCGGGGCTGGATGGTGTCTCGGGCTCTGTGCTTGATGACGCCGCTGAGCTGCTTGTAGCTGCGCTAGCTGAAGTGCTCGAAGCGTTATCATCGGTGGTCGCCTGACTAGGAGTAAAAGATTCAGGAGCAGAAGAGAGTGATCCGGTCTCGCCAGGGTTGCTAGATGGAGCGGCGCTATCGCTAGGCCCCTGAGTAGCAAGACTGCTTGGTCCCGACGAGCCGGGACCTCCAGAGCTGTTGACACCAGGTGATGTAGACGAGGGGTTGTTGGTTGGAGGCGGGATTTCGACAATTACGGTGCCTGGGCCGGAGCTTTCGGCAGGGGTGATAGTAGTCGTGGAAGGCTCACCATTACCATCGTCTCCAGTGACAGTGCGGGTAACAAAAGAAACGGGAGTGGAGGATGCGTCAGAGCCGCTAACAGAACTGGAAGGCGGAACCTCCACGATGACAGTGCCTGAGCCTGTTGACCCAGACGGGGAAATAGTCGATGTGATGGGATCGTCCGTGGGGTCAAGGGTACTACCAGTGGTGGTAACAGTGACAAATGGAACGGAGGAAGCAGATGAAGCCTGAGAGCTTGGCACAACGATAATAACCGTGCCGGGTTTGGTCGGGTTACTGGGAGGAATAGTGCTTGTGCGAGGGTCATCAGTAGGGGCAAGGTCCCCTGGAGTGGTGACTGTGACATAAGATGCTGAAGAAGAGCCAGTCTTGGTGTTGGGGACCTCGATGATGACACTACCGGTTGCCCCTGGTTCGTTGGGAGTGATGGTCTTGGTGGCTGGACCGGTCAGAGAGGGGAAGTCTCCAGTGGTAGTGACGGTGACGTATGGGACTGAAGAGGTAGGGACCCCATCAGCTCCAGGAGGAGATGTGGGAACCTGGATGACCACAATGCCAGGCTGGCCGGGCTCGGTTGGAGGATAGGTCTTGGTGACAGGATGATTGCCAATATCATTGGGGTCCGCAGGAACGGTGAAGGTGAGGTAGCCTCCGTCTGGAGGATTGCCGTTGCCGTTGGTAGCACTACTTGGGAATGATTAGTTAAAGCTTAATCCAACTGTCGGTATAATGGCGAACAGACCTGGTCAGTGTAGTCAGGCTTGTCGAGACATCAGTCAGGACAGTGCTCAAAGAGGTTGGAGCATTGGTGACATGAACGACATGGCCATCATCAAGGACAATGTCAGTGTTGGCAGGGAAGTAAGAGTCAATGAGAATAGGCTGCTGGAACTGATATTCAATAGGTTGAAGATTGATGATGGTAGAACAAAGAGGATCAGCAGAAGCTTGGGCAAGAGCAAGGCTCATCACTGTTGAAGCGGCCACGATACTCTTGGACTTCATGGTGGCTAACAAGTGTTCAAGGGGAGATAAATAAGCGAGTGGTTTGAAGTAAACGAGTGTAATTAAGAAAGTAGTGAGAAGATATCGTTGAGATTCAAGTGATTTACGTTGAACTCGAGCTCAGGAGGAGCCGTATATACATGCCCAAACCGGCGGATGGAGATGTTTAATGTTGAATAACAACAACTCACGACATTGAGGTAATTTCTGATGTTTGAGTTTAGATATGCCGACACGAACTCCATGACCCGACTTCCAACCGGAAAAATGAGGCCTTTCAGCTGGCATCGCAAAACTTTGTCTCTTGAAATCGAACTATTGACACTATTTCCTGCTGTCTCACATTCTCCCCGTTAGACTAGATCCCCATCGGAGATATCAGCCGTCGATCAACTTCCCGAAACAGCTTTGACGTGGGAACTCTTATGCAAGGCAGCGATGTGAATATTACCACCTTTGGAGGGATCAACAGGCATTGAGTTTTTGCTTCAGCTGCTTTGTGCATGTTTAGTCTCAAAGTCTAGAGGAACTAATCTTTTGCGCGATGTTGCGAGGTATGGAGGTGCGAAAGTAATTTTAGAATGGTTTGGTTGTTGAGAGGTCGGTGATATATAATACTTGACCGAAGGGATATTTTCAGGACTACAGACATAACATACAAGTCATTTAACAATTTTCACTCGTTCACACATCTTGTCACTCGCTTCGTCACTCGCTTCAAAATGCAAACCTTCAAGTCCCTCATCCCCTTCCTCCTGACTGTCAGTCTTGCAGTCAACGCAGAAACAACTTCCTGCGTTACCTCAACCAAGACCTTTCCAACCATCACCTCCATCATTGTCGAGCCGACCAGTACTTGGTCTGGTAACGGCACAGGTGGTGGTCTTGGACCTCATACCGTGTATACCACTGAGTATCACGAGTTCTGCTCCACGGGTCTGCGTGTGCATACCTACACCATCACGGAGGCATGCCACAAGGAAAAGTGTCAGCCTCGCACTACTGGTGTTCCGCCTGGCTTTACCTCAACTGTTACTGTTTGTAACTCTTGTGGTTCTGAGCCCATCACTGCGACGCTGACTGTCCCGTGCCCTGAGGCTACACCTACCAAGGGATCTGGCGAGGACTTCGAGCCTCCCAAGCCGCAGCCTGAGCACTGTGAGACATGCCACGAGCAGGGTGAGCCTTCTGGCAAGCCTCCGGTCCAGCCCCAACCTGTTCCATCTGCCCCAGCTGTCAAGCCAGTTCCTTCGGGTCCTCAGCCAGAAGAATGCACCACGTGCGGCCGACTCAAGCCTTCATCTGCTGCTCCTCCTCAGCCCCCCAAACCAACCAACAATCCTGGCGAGGACAAGCCAGAGCACCCCAACTCCCCTGCTTGCACCACTTGCGGCACTTCAGGACAACAGTCGCAACCCCCTGCTCAGCCCAACCCTCCTTCTGCATGCACTACTTGCGGTGCTGGAGGAGAAGCTCCTCAACCCCCTTCATCTATGGCAACTTCAGTGGCTCCCAACCCCTCAGGAGAGAAGCCTGCTACTAGCCCTACCAGTGGCCCTGCTCCCGGAGAACCATCTGTTATCACTGCTGGCGCTGCCAAGGCCTCTTACGTTGAACTGGGCCTTCTTGGTATCTTTGGGTTTGGATTCATCCTGTTGGGGCTCCCTCTGTAGATCATGGCATCGCCACATATCTGGCTGAGCTCGGTAGCGCAATGTATTGAGTCTAGGGATTATTTTGTTGAGTTGTTAGTAATCCAGGAACATACTTCCTGACCCCGAGTGTTTAATTCCGAGTTTAGCCACTTGATCCGCGATCCTAATAAGTTTACCTTCTTGTACATAGTTCTGTCATAGTTTGCTTGTCGAATCGAATAATCTTTGTCAATATTGCTGAGTAATGGGAATCCTTACCTTACCCTAATATGTAGTACATTGTAACAGCATTCAATTCAGCTCTGCTGGTAGTTCTTTGTATACACTAAGTGATGCATGACAGGCAATGGTCTCTTGAATGCAGTAGTGATCACCAACTAGTATTTCCTTGCTGTCACTAATTCAAATCAATGCGGGGATGGGAAATTGAAACAAGTAGAGATCAACGACTTTTTCGTGACGTCTGAGACATTGTCAAGGGAGAAGCTGTCAGCCGTGTTGCCGGTAACATCGTGGCGTGGGGAATTCTCCGTAGCTCCAGTTATTTCTATGGAAATTCTCCACATACAAGTATAAGATCGGCGGCTGGTTCCTGGTTCTGTCTAAGACATCGGTACGGCAGTTGCAAAAGGTATGCCGTTGAGTAGGTTACATCTGATTCATGAGACATCCCTCGCAGCTTCGGCAATTTGGTGTTAGTGATAGCGACTTCCGAAACTCAATTCAAGGGATGCTCCTTGCATTTTCCTTTCTTGAGTCAATCCATAATGAATTCAATTCCTCTCGATTCTGTGTTTTCCGTGTTTCGGTGCTGCAAGCATAGGTCTGGGGAATTTAATGGTTGCAGTTAACCTTCAGAATAGACGCAAAACCAATACTAGAATATCAAGCTGGAGCTGTTAATCTTTGAGATTGTCACATCTATTAATTAGTAGAAATATTAAATCTGATAAAATCTAACTTCTTAATAAGAGAATACTACAGAAACCAAATTCAACACTACAGGGTACCAGATTAGACTGGTGTAATATTTACTCAAAATTCAATACTCTGGGGTAGGCCACTGTTTAGACATTGGGACATGATGATCTGCAAATGAATCAAGTTAGCGTCACGCAGCTTGACAACCCGGTTGACCATATCAAGTCCATGGTCCATGCTCGTGCATCAAGAGAGGACGATGCAGAGCTGAGAAACATTCCAGCCTTCAACCTCCCTCGTCAAATGCGCCGGAAACAGAAGTCATGTTGTTGAAACACTCAAGCTATTGGGGAAGGGAACTTGGAAAAGGATATTCAGAATACCAAAGAGAGATGACCTGTCTTACAACTCTTGAGCATCTTTCTCTATAAAGACTGCATCTTGCGCCAGCTATCAGAATATTTCACCATCTTCACTCAGCATCCAAACAATCCATCACTACTCACTTCCATCTTCACCAACCAACTTTTCAACACCGCAACCATGCAGTTCTACACTATCGTATCTATCTTCCTCGCCGGCACCGCCTACGCCCTGCCTGCTACCTCTCCCAACGGCTACGAGGCTTGCCCTAGCGGTGGCCTCTTCGGCAACCCTCAGTGCTGTAGTCTCAACCTCGTCGGTGTCCTCTCCGGTGACTGCCGCTCTCGTGAGTTGATCCATGATATGCGAATATTTAAGAGTTGCTAACGATGACAATAGCTACCGAGACTCCCACCAATGCCAAGGAATTCGAGGCTATCTGTGCCAAGTCTGGCCAGCGCGCCCGCTGCTGTGCCGTCGCTGAGGTTGTAAGTTGCTCTCTATTAGACTAATGACGATAAAAAGACTGACTGAAGTGTAGCTTGAGCTGGGTGCTTTCTGCCAGAAGCCTGTCGGTGTTTCTGCTTAAGTGGTTTGTGGGCTTATCACTTGCCAATCGGCGCGGAGTTATCCGAAGTTGTCGGCGTGTGTAGTAATACTTGGGGGGGATACTGAAAATTGCAAGTAACTCTGGACTCTACTCGAGATGGTTCGCATGATTAGGTAGCAAATCAATACTCCTGGTTATCTTTGCCATATAATGTCTTTCCACCCATATCAAGCTTCGCGTAGTATGCTTCTACAGTACCTATCGCCACATAATACTTATCGCCCCCGAAATGCGTCTCTCCAAGCTTCTACTTCACAATCCGAGGATGGAAGTAAAATTTTGCTTTCTCGTATGCCATGGCCGATAAGAACAGTGCAAATTATGGAGGGTGAAGATATCGTCCCTAAAAGCTCAATGACATCTCAGAACGACACAAGCGAGGGTGACGGCGCTGATGAGAAGGATGATAGATAAGTATCCTTCCGTTTGTTGGAAGAGGCTGTGATCAGCAACATTCGCACCACAAGAGACGTTGGATAAACTCAAAGATGATTAATGTTATATGACTACAGAGGAGGGTCGCGTATTTGATTAGGCAGCTGCCAAACTTGCAGACTAGTCAGTTTCCGAGAAGGGCGAATCAGGCGTCTGACATCCGGATGGATATACAGTCTTACATGCGTCAAAAACTCCCCGTTAGTTGCCACGAGAGGATCTCACACCCCTATAACATGGATATTGATGCAACCATGCAAGTGAAAAGCACGTTTTACCCAACGGCTAAAACACGCGCCTCGCGCTCTTATGCCTGTAATTGGTGCACAAACCGCCACACCAATAAACATCTGTCACTGCAGGGTAGACGAACGGAGGACAGGAGGAAGTTTTACTCCGGCTCTACCGTTTAGATAAGGATTGAGGCGCAGGAGCCAAATACGTAAAATGTTCAACACAAACGAAAATAGCTTGCTTACAATGGGCCGAGTTTGAGAATGACCCACCGACGGTTCCTTCGATGAGTTAACGTACGATCTCGGAATGTAAAGCTCGTGATTCCGGTGGATTAAGATCCTTTTTGTTGGGGTTGTTCCTGGACTGTCGGAGATATTGGAGAAGATGGCGAACCTGCTTGACACCTGCGCTACAACGTGGAGTTGGGTACACGCATTGATAAAGTCAAAGATACGGAATCATGGCATAGATCGTTGTGCAGCAGGATATGATATATAAAGCCATTTACAAGTCCATGCCAATTTATCACAAGCAATCTTCTTTTCTCGAGAGAACATTTCTAGCGCCGGGAAAATCACTCCTCTTCCGCTGCACGCCAAGATTGATCGCCCAGCTCCGACGCGCAGGGCTGATGGGTTCAACTGAACATGTTTCGCCGCAGCGTATCCTTCAGTGGCTATTAGGTCAGATTGGCGGGCCTCTAGGAAAGTTACACTTCTCTTGGCGGTACGATTTTTTTTTAAAGCCCTCAATTACCGTCGAGCTTCCCATGCCGTACTAGTCTGACGGGTAAGCGGGAATGGCACAAAATTACCCGAAGCTAAGTACTTACCTACCGTGATGTTTGCAGAAGGATCATTCTTGTGTTTTCGATATCTTGGGGGTTAAATAAGAGTGCAACGTCGCGTAAATGTGCTGCATGGCTTGTGGGGTGATTCATCGGAGAAGAACAGTCTACTTCCACCTGGACTTTTGTAGAATTGCAGTAATGGAAGATGCCGAACTTCTGTGCCGTCCAGGGTTTGAGATCCTTTACTGCGGGTGGTACGATGAGTGCGTTATCACAAGAAAATGTCCATAACCGTTTCAACTGCCCAATGCATACGCTCTAGATCTTACAGTGGAGCAGGGGGATTGCAGGGGCCTGTTTGCCAAAAGCAATCATCTGCCTACAAGGGACAAACGTTGAATCTTATTCTCGACTTGGGCACTCGTAAAAGCATGCCCCAAAATGTAACGGTAATCCCGAATCCTTCCATTTGGGATACTCAATTGCTACATTACCATGCAATATAACGTTAAAACCCGTTGGTGATTTCTTTTGCATTCTCATTTCCGTGAGTGAAACCCCAATAATTGTATTCTCTTTCTCCGCAAAAATGCACAGTCCATCCGGAACAAGACCAAAGAAGAGACTTGCGTGCGACAGGTGTCACTCACGTAAATTGCGCTGCTCCGGGGACTTGGATGGTTGCTCGCGATGTCTGGGTGATGATTCAGTCTGCACTTATAGCCCTGCTCTCAAGGTTGGAAGACCTAGTAAAGCATCTATGGCGGGCAGAGAGATACAACAGACACAATCTATTTCTGATACGGCGTTTTATGGTGGTTTCTCGGATGGAGATGCATTGACTGCAGATTCGGGGATATCCATGCCTCCGTCACCTCCACAGCTCGGCGATAGTTGCATTACAGGTAAGTCTCCGTTGTCGCCAATCTCTGATGCATCGCTGATCTTGTTTCAGATCATACAGCGCTATTTGATTCATTCGACTTTACAAACAGCCTCGGCGACTTTAATAGCACGCATCCATTTCTCGATATGCCCATGAATGAAGACCCGTGGTCTGTTCCGACAAGCCCACCTATTGGTTCCAACGACTCCGTCATTGATCCCCGTTTACGTCCGGCGAATGACACAACGAATGCACCCAGCCCGCTCGAGAGATTACCGGTCCTTCAGCAAGAACTTCTACGCACAAGACTACCGCCCGCTCATGTGAGGGGCGCTAGCACTCAATCTCGACCGGCGAAATACATAGAAGCAGCCATGCGACCGGTGCAAGAGACCCTTGGCGTTGTAACCGAGTTACTACACCAATGCGTGAAAAGCAATGGCGATGTCGCCGACTCAGTTTGCTCTAATTGGCAGACAGTTCTTCACCTGGTTCTAACGCCCTTGTCTCTTCTACTGTCTACATACGACCAGATACTACACGAGATCCGCAACGCCGTCTCATCATCAGTACCGAACCAAGATTACACCCTGTTCGACTCAGTAGACTGCCGGGTCGCAGGCCTCAGGCTTGATCCGCCTTTGAGATTGATCTTGCTTGCTACGGTGGTAGACTACCAATTGAAACATCTGTACCACACTGTGAGGACGTTTCAGTCCAAGTTTATGCATTCGGGAAATTTGGGAATAGCAGATTGCATGTCGTCGTCGACCATGGCTGAGGTTCAGTCTACCATTCGGTCGCTACTGGCGGTAACCAGGAACACATTGCAACAATCACAAGAGACATAAATTTAATACCTCGAAGGGCTACTAGTGGAGGACTTCCTAGAAGATGAAATACATAGCGGTTGGCTCTTTTTCAAGTTCAAAAGGCCAATATATGAAGGTGATAAGCCTATTATAGAGTTATAATTATAACTAACAGTAAGGGCAAAGTCTTTCCACATTGTGATAAATATAAGGGATGTTGGCGCTCGACCACAATGACAAATTCCCGTCATGCACTTCGCTGCTTTGCCCTTCCTAAATAGCAGCTTTGCCCGTTACTTAGTGCTACATGCATACGTACCGCACCGGTTACGATATGTTTTCCCGAACCATTTTCAAACATCGTCAGTAGGTTTAGCGTTATCTAGAAGCGCGTGAGCTAGACCATCTATAGAAGATCATTTCCCCAGCCAGAATACCGGGGCCGGCTTCCAGCCCGGAATTTAGCACCATGAGAACTACCGGGGACTGATAAGCTAGCGGGGACAGACCCGGGACCGGCTGGCGATCCTCCCCTCACCGAAGCGGGGAAGTGCCGTGTTCTACTACTATCCGTCTTATCCGATAATCGGCGATTCTCTTTAGCTTGCAATACACTAGTAAGAGCTCGTATGGAGGCCAGGCCAGATGACGACTCGAGATTTATGACAAACATTTCACTGACTAACAACCGCACCGGAAAACGCGACAAAGAGAAAGAGAGTTTCAAGGAGCTAATGGCCCTCAACGTTGTATCCGGTCGCCGACAGAAAGTGACTGAAGGCCTACTGACTGTACGTTTGTGACAGAGCCGGTCACACTTTTCGTCTCAAAGGTAGCGAGACAGGTTATATAGTAATGGGTGAACTATATAAATCTGTTTGTGTAAACCATTGCAGACCTCAATGTTTGAGTATTCACTATTCACAGAAGCAACATGACACGAAACTTACCTTTCAAGGTCTTGTCCCCTTCCAACTACCAACATATGCTGGCGAAAGATTAACAAATGCCTTACAGCTGGACGATCCGTCCCTTCTTCATGAGGAATCACTATTAAACGGTCAATGGGTCCAGTCCCAGTCCGGAAAACGTTTTGACGTTGAAGGTAAGCTTCGAGCCTCCATGCCCGGAAAGCAAAGAAGGATTATCAGCTCATACAACGCTCTGCAGACCCTGGCTCTCGTCAGATCTGGGCCACCAGTCCCACAAACGAAGTCTCCGACGTTAACAAATATGTCGAGTCGTCACATGCTGCCTTCCAAAGCTACCGCCACGCCAATCCCCGCCAACGAGCCAAGATCCTTCTCAAGTGGCATGAGCTCATCACAAATGCACGACAGGATATCGCCAAGATAGTTGTCTTCGAAACCGGAAAACCTATGGCAGAAGCTGTCGGCGAGGTCGATTATGCCCTTGGCTTCGCTTGGTGGTTCGCTGGCGAGGCCGAGCGTGTAAGAGGTTCTATTGCTCAGCCCGCTATATCTAACCGTCGAACTTTTGTTATCAAGCAGCCGATCGGTGTGAGTGTTGCTCTTGTCCCTTGGAACTTCCCAGTCGCTATGATTATCCGCAAGGTTTCGGCCGCACTGGCCGCAGGATGTACCATGATTGTCAAACCATCCCCAGAAACACCATTTAGTGTTATGGCCCTGGCAGATCTTGCCCTCCGCGCGGGTGTGCCTCCAGGAGTGCTTAATGTTATCTCAACTGATAACGCCAATACTCCATCGGTCAGCGAGACACTCTGCAAGCATCCGCTGGTACGCAAGGTCACGTTTACAGGTAGTACTGCTGTAGGCAGCATTATCGCAAGGCATTGCAGTGAGGGATTGAAGAAAGTCACTATGGAGTTGGGTGGAAATTGTCCTTTCATCATCTTTGATGATGGTGACCTTGACCAGGCAGTCGCCGCTCTTATGATACTCAAATGGCGGACTGCAGGCCAAGCATGCACCCACGCCAATCGAGTCTATGTCCAAGCCGGCGTTTACGAAAAGTTTGCGCAGATGATGCTTGAGGCCACCAGCAAGATCCGCGTGGGACATGGAGCTGATTCCCGTTCCACAATGGGACCTCTCACTACTGGCCGTGGCGTGGATAAGGTCAAGAAACATATCCAAGATGCTATCGGTAAAGGAGGCAAGATTCTCTGCGGCGGTAAGCAGCCAGAGAATCTGAATGGGTACTTTTTCGAGCCAACTATCATCTCGGGTATGACCGCGAACATGCTCACAACTCAAGAAGAAATATTTGGACCTATTCTGGGTCTATACAAGTTCGAAACCGAAGAGGAGGTTATCCAGAAGGCAAATGAAACGTCAATGGGATTAGCATCTTACTTCTTCACTGAAGACGTCTCCCGAACCTGGAGGCTTTTGGAAAGCTTAGAGGCTGGAATGATCGGGATGAATACTGGTATGTTTGTTTCTGTCACTTAGTTGACAATTGAGACTAACGACTCTCGACAGGTAACGCCTCTTGTGCCGAGTCTCCATTTGGTGGAATCAAGATGTCGGGCTACGGCAAAGAAGCAGGCAAGGACGTGGCTATTGAGGAATACCTTATCCAGAAAACAGGGACTTTGACTGTTGAGGGCATGCCCAAGTTGTGAGCTGAAAGCTATGTAGTTATTATAACCTCATTGGTGAGCATGAGAGGCGACGTTGGGCTAGAATGGAGTGACGAGTTATTTTGCGTTTATTATAAGTGCTGCAAACAAGTTCGTGCCAAGCTTTTGTATCTTCTTTCTTCTGGGAGTCGATTTCCAGCCAAGATGGACTTCTGAACTGGAATATCTTGCCACTTCAGCAGCAAAGCCACGGAAGGCTAAAGCAGATAATGAAGAGTGATTTTTCCATCCAGGCAACAAGATGAAATCGTGCAGACCTGTTGATACCCCATTGCTGCCGAGTTCGTTCGCGACACAAAGTTAGTACTCCTCTAGACGCCACTCTGTCGACTACGGTACTTACGATATACTCCTTATCCTCGTCCTGTTTAATCTTAGATGATCTTGATTCCAGGACTGTAGCCCTTTGCCACTATAGGCACATTACCGCTGTCGAAATATGGACTTTCAAAGGCACCCACGTACTAAGTAGAGAAAATAACCAAATTTCATTCTGAAGAGCAAAGCTCAAAAACCAAACCCCGATAGGATACATGAATGCAAGTTTGTCTTTTGCATAAACCTTACCAACAGTTCCGTTTGATATCCTCCATTATCTGGCGTCTCAAATGACCTGCTTGTTATCAGGTACACCCTCCATGACTGGCTCCGCATCTATATCCGTAGCAGCCGGCGCTTCAGGGACTAGCTGAATCAGGAACACCATGCACGGAACAGTAAGACACAGGATTGCAGCGTGAACATAGAAGGGAATTCTGGCGTCGGAGCCGCTGTGAGAGTTGATGGCGTATGAGACAGTTTGTCCAGCGGTCTCAAACGCCCGGAGCAAACCGCCTGAACGAGCGGAGGATCCGGCGTTGGTGGAGAAGGTACCGAGGATCCAGTACAGAGATAACTGGCACACGTAGCTGGTGGACTGCATTATAAGATATGGGAGGTAGGCTTCGGCCCATCTCCTGGTATTGCTTCAAGAAAAAGCCGTTAGAATTCCGTGTGAGACATGGGGACTAGGAGGAACATACGTTTTATAGTCTAGAGCGTTTTCGAGTTGGCCTGGACCAAACTTTGCGTACTCGACACCAATCCAGATGAAGCAGGCTGCCTGGGGAATCAGCCAGCAGGCAAAAGATATCCATGCTCGCTTGGTCTGGGACCAGCGGGACCTGTCCAAAAGCTTTCCGTAGGCAATTACCAGGATGATGGATAAGGTCGCTAATCAGCCATACCAGATTATTATTTTGCGCTCAGGATGGTTTGAATGCATCAACTTACGGAGGAGAAGAGAAGACAATGCGCGCGCCCGCACTGAAAAGTGCAACGAAAGATAGGTGCCCATGGTTCCGCCACAGAAGAACGAGTAGAAAGCAGGTAAAGCCATGAGCCAGGTCTTGATTCGAATGTCAGCCAGCGCTCGCAAACGCAATTACAACATAACTCACCTTTCTGCGCTGTAAGTGCTTCCACAACGCACCAAACTCTTGCTTCCAGCTGGCTCTATCGGATATAGGAACCTTGGTGCTATCACGACGTCGCACCCGTCTGGTGGGTGATAGCAAGAGAGCCCAAAACAGGCCAGTACATTCTATTCGTCTCCCGTTAGACGCTTTTGCGACCGGTTTCCCAGAAGTTTTATAGGTGTCACTTACCGAAAGCAATGAAGACGAGGTAGGTAGACCACGCAACGCCTCCTGCTTTGGAGTCACTGTGATTATTGGAAAAGTTGATGGCGCCTCCGATGACGCTACCCGAATTACGCATTGCAGACCAGATACCTGATCAAGCCTGTTAGTAGCTGCTGTCTACCGAGATTATAAGCTGCTCACCTAGATAGAAGCCCCTGTCGTTTGCCAGAGGATATGACAACATGGCCGTAGACTCTGCGACGTATAGAAAGCCATATGTGAATCCTGTAAGTATCTACCAAACCTGTCAGTTATGGTACACTACAGATAGATACATGTAGCTATAATTACCTTTGCAAAGATAAGATACCAATTTACACGATACTTTGCACATACGTAGTACGCAGAACCCGAAAGAGGCATCCCCACCGCAGCTATTGTGCAGGACCACTTGATGCCAAACTTGTTGATCAAGGGGCCGCCGAAGAGAGTAAGCAAACAGCCTGCCGTGTAGTTCAGCGAGGTCGCCAGGTTTGCCAGATATGGAGTGGAGAGACCACCGCCTCCAAGGTTGGAAATGGCATCTGACATGGCTGGACCAACACAGGAGAGACTATGAGCATAGAGACGTTAGCTAACAGTGATTTGGAGGACACGACGACTCACAGCCCAAGGAGGATCATCTGGAACAAAACGCTCCTGTAGAACTTTGTGAACTTTGAAGCGCTTAGGTATCCGTGGTCAATCTCTTCGTCGAGAACTTCGCCGTCGATGTAGCTGGTTGTTGGAGCAAGGTCATTCTGACCTGTAACCTTGACATCGTCCTTTGGGACTGAAGTCGCCATGATACGAACAATGATGATCCGTTTGTATGATGAGAGATACTTAGTCGTAATATCGTGAGCGTGAAAGGCTTCGATTCTTATGAAATGATTCCGCTTGCGAAGGGCAGTAATAGCGTATATATCATTGGCTGCCAAGTCAGTAGGATGAACCCCTCACTGCCCATGGCATAGGCTAGCAGTGGGAGGGTTCCCCCTTGTTGGTCGGTCCGAGTGCTTATCGCGGGGTATCCCCAGATTTGGTTCAGATATCAGGCACTAGATTGCCGTGCTATCCTGTTACACCCCGATCTGCATATGTTGATAGGCTATAAAGGGTATGTAACGGTAGACTGAAAGCTACTTAGCCTTGCATTGAGGCCGGGCCGGTGATGACTGGACTATTCTTTAGTAATTTCATCTAGGTTCAAGTCTTATTTCATTCTAGAATGGTCTGGGGTAATCTTGGAAAGATTAAGAGAGAGTTTGATACTACATTGACATGCTTTGTTGAAAAATGTCTTTACTCCGCAAACGACCGGGCCGGTCAACTATTAGCACATTATCGGACTTGAGTAGGCATGATAGAGTTTGCCCTTGTGCTTCGCCTGTGTGTGGATGGTTGCTTGTAATCTTTCGGTCTGATTACTACGGTGGGTTACATTCACTTCGTTTACTAACTGTGGTATGAGGCCAATAAAGTGGAGGTTATCAAGCTTATAACGAACTGGCTGCTTACGCCTTTTTTACTTAACATTTCACTAGGTCCTTCATCCAATTCTGTAAGAAACAGATAACAAGTGATCCAAAATACGACCCTGCAATTCATTCAGCCACGCTTACTCACTATGTCGCCTTCTGCCCTTCCTGTTGATAAAGCCACAACCTCTTTTTGGAGGTCAGAGCCGCATCCTCTTGATAATCATCGCTCAACTACTGAACTCCCTGCCCAAGTCGACATTGCCATTATCGGCGCTGGTTACGCAGGCGTGGCGACAGTCCATCATATTCTCGAGCAATGCAAGGCTCGGAGCGTTCCTGCGCCAAAGATTGTGATTCTTGAAGCTCGTCAAGCTTGCTCGGGAGCCACCGGACGTAATGGTAATTGACCCTTCACCTTATCACTCCAAATTTGTGCGTTAATAGGTTTTGATGCAGGCGGCCATCTCAAGCCCGATCCGTACAATAGGCCTGCGAATCTTCTGGCTACGTATGGCATCGAGGCTGCAGCTGAGGCTGCTGAGTTCGAGGCTAAGAACCTTGCTGCTGTTAAAAAGACCATTGAGGAGGAGGGCGTTGACTGCGACTTTGTCTATACCCGTGCTGTTGATGCGCTAATGTCAGATGCCATTTTGGACAAGATAAAAGCGGGAGTAGATGCTCTCAGACAGAATGGAGTTTCTGTTATGCAAGATGTCTACTTTGCCCAGGGTGCTGAAGCCGAAAAGGTAAGCGATATCTAATTCCCTCTGGATACGTTATGACATGCTGACAGTCGCTTATAGCTTTCGGGTGTAAAGGGAGCCAAGGGCTGCTTTTCTTACACGGCAGGCCACTGTTGGCCATACAAGCTCATTCTCCAACTGCTCTCCAAGGCTATTAACGCCAATGTCAATCTGCAGACCAACACGCCTGTCACTTCAGTTACTGAAAAGCCTGATGAGGAGGGTTATCTGACACTGACGACTCCTCGCGGCACGATCCGCGCTGCAAAGATCATCTATGCAACCAACGCCTACACATCATCCATATTACCAGAGTTCGCGGACAAGATCGTCCCAGTGCGGGGCATCTGTAGTCACATCAAGCCTGGCAAGACCCCGGCGCCCTTACTTCCCAACTCGTACATTATTCGCTGGTCTGATACCAAATACGAGTACCTGATCCCAAGGCTTGACGGAAGTATCATAGTTGGAGGTGCACGATCAATGTACTATCATGATCTGCCCAGCTGGTATAATAATGTCAACGACGATCAGTTGATTGAGTCTGCGAGGAACTATTTTGATGGATATATGCAGCGGGTGTTTCACGGGTGGGAACATAGTGGCGCTTACACGTCCAAGGTTTGGACTGGAGGTGAGTTGATATACCTGACTTGAATATCAGTGTTACTAACACGCAGACTAGTTATGGGCTACTCGTCTGATGGCTTGCCCCATGTCGGTAGTATTCCTGGAAGGCAGAATCAGTTTATACTTGCGGGCTTCAGTGGACATGGTATGCCGCAGATCTTCTTGTCTGCGAAAGGCGTGGCATCCATGGTGATGGACGGCTTGAGTTACGAGAAGACAGGTATACCTAAACTCTACGAGGCTACTCAAGAGAGGCTGGATAGCCCGAAAAACACTATACTGGATACTTGGAAAACAGTACAGAGGAGGGAAGGGGCTAAACTGTAGATAGTGCTTTGTCGCGAGATTGTAAGCAGGGTCTAGAGAGTACATGCACAAATGACGAATACAGACTGATCGTGACTTGCCTACTCGTTTCTCACCATTTAGGGTTTGTTCTCATGTCTTTTACCCCTCAAAACTAAAACATTTACCGAGCATCCGGTATTTACTCCTCACTCCCATGAGGTTACATTGCTAAGCGTCGCCCGCACGAACCCTACAGTGGGCGTGCAAAAGTTCCGACACATTCCGGATCCACCCCAACTACCTCGATCTCATACTGCCATTTCGGATTGCAATTGCATGGGCAATAATTCTTCAATTTAGATAATATATATATCAATCTGTAGAGACTTAAAAGGAGATTCCAGAAATATAGTTTAATACTTGGTATAATAGCCATTTGCGTTGTAACAGGCGTTCAACCGGTCGGGCATCGATTTTATCACGTTTTTGACCACTTCATCTTCGACCTCCGACCAAAGCTCCTCTGCAGCTTCAATCAGCCGGGCCAAAGCTGCTGCAGACTTTGGATAAGCAGCAATTTCAGGATATCTATCGCATATCCTCTTCTTCAGGACTTTCCATAGATTTTCAATGGGGTTGAGATCAGGGCTGTATGGCGGCCAGTCAGCAAGAAAGACTCCTGTTCTTCTTGCCCAGGGCAGCAGCCAATTCTGAACTTTCCGGCATTTATATGTACGGGCGTTGTCGTGCTGAAAAGTCTCTCCTTCCTCGACCAGTCCGGGAAGATAAGACTGTAAACAGGATAGAATAATCCTTCCTGTTACGCCTCCCCTCTCAGACTCAGGATCGCCGGCAAGAGGGACGATCCTAGACGGCTTATCATAGTGAATTGCACCAAAGAACATCTGAGAATGTCTGGCAGGCCGTCTACAGGGCTGCACCTTATCTTGATGGAGTCTCTCACCCTGTGGTGTTGTCAAAAGAAGCTTCTGAAATAGAAGGGGCTAGACTTACAGCAGAGTAAAATGACCACTTGGTATAGTCACCGTCTGTACGGTCGATAGAGACCTCATCAGAAAACCACCAGCTATACCAAAAAGACTCATCTTCATGACGATATTTTTCACAGAAAGCTTTTCTCAATTGAGCACTTTCTTCGCTGAGAAACGGGCGTCGAAGTGCAAGCTTGTGTTGTATCTTCTGATTGATAAGCCAGCGACGAATTGTGCTTCTTTTGCAGTTCAAACAGGTGCAATCAATTATTTCTTGGTATGAGATAAAAGCGTTTCTTCCAATGAGTATTTTGATATGATTTTTATCTATATCTGATAGTCGTGATGGCCTTCCAGAGCGAGGTAAATCTTTTGCTGATTGTTGGTGACGGTACCGTCGAATGACTCCATAGATCGCGTGCCGACTTAGCCCCTCACTGTCTGCGATATCCTGCACGCGAACACCTGATTCGTACATCGTCACAAACCTCGTTCTTTTGCAAGGAGAATGATGTGTTTTTTGCCGTATTCGAGGCATCTTTTCCTATAGAAATAACGCGATGAAGTTGTGGTGTTGATGTTGATGTTTAATTGAAAGCGGGGTCCGGACCTCGGATGTGTCGGAACTTTTGCACGGGACTGTACTAACGAGGTCCTTAGCTAGCGACACCGAATCATGCACAGCTAACTAAGCCTAATTAGGAAATCTTCAACCAATTAGAACTTTTACGCCTCATTTAGCCATAAACCAGCTATAATACTAAGAATCTTAGGATGGTTGTGCATGATTCGGTGTTGCTTAGCTAGCGCACAAACACTACGCGACTATCCCTCACGACGGGGCCGTGACCCGAAGCAGTGGTTGTGATCCGATGGATTTGATTTGCAAACACTCTAAAGCGACATAGTCTAGTACGCTGCTACGGAAGTACTATGGCCAACAGGGCGCCCTCGCTTTTGGCGTGATAGCAGCAGTTGATAAGATGGGAACAAAGACCGGCATCGCCAGTCCGGCTCCATAGGTAGAACCGTTATCTGGGGAAGGTCGTGAAGGTTTCATAGTCAATACTCCATCACGAAGCATCATCTATCATTACCCCGTCTTAGAAACCGACATTTCTGCTTGGCTTCCCACGGACTAACAAGTATTAACCTGAGCTTTGCCGACTTGGCGGTCCCGGCTGGTGGCACTGGAGATAAGTCTGATCGCTGCACTTAATAGTATTCATCGTGTTTAGCTCCACCTAACTACAAGACGTTCCTGGAACATATGAACTGGAGTATACATGCATGGGCTTAGCCTCCGAGATCCCAATACTGATCATGATGGGTATTATTTCTATTACCTGTGCAAAGGCATGTTAACGGTAGCTAGTTCTATAAAGACCAAAATGCCAAGTTATGAGAGATGTCTGAAGGTCCCCCGTGGCAGTTAAGCTTCCATCACTACTATGGAGATATACAGAGATAGCTGAGGACTTACAGAGTCTCTAGAAGACGGCTATGGATCCCGAATCAAACGCAAGATGGCTAAGGAGCCTATGGTGCGATTGGCAAGGAGTGTTGGAAGTGTTGCCACAGCTTTGGCATATGTAACATCTCCACCTCATTGTGTCTGCTGTAGAAAGCTTCTCATGAGATGTCCCAAGGGCTTACAAGCCACATAATTTTAGAAGATTGTGTCGATCAGAGCGAGGCCCTGAAGGAAGTCGACTTCCGGTCCGTATTAACCGTTCGTTGGTTAGTAATAAGGCATGAAGTCCGAGGAGTGATCGTCCCGGTGATGCCAGTCCGGTTCAATTAATGATAATGTTACACGACCGGTCCGGACTCCTCTCGCCTGGCCATCCGAAGCCGGGAAGCAAATGACTGATTGACAAGGTTCCAAGGAACCTTGATGTCGCATGAACGCTTCCATGTTGCATTATGATGCGGGTAAGATACGTCCACATGCTCGCTTGGCTAGCGACGAACCTTCTATTTAATCTGCGTCACAATGTCAGCCAAACACTGTGCAGCAACCAGATTGAGTCTCCTCTATCTCTCTTCCCCAATAGCCCTATCACAATAACTCTCCCACCATGACTGCCCCCAACAAAAACGTTGTCTTCGACGTCGTCGGCACACTCGTCAGCTATGAGCATCTCTATGAATCCATTAAAAACCGCCTGGGCGATAAGCTCATCCCCCGGGGCATCCAGCCCACGCTTCTCGGTATCTGCTGGCTAGAGATGGCAGAGCGCGAATACACATACCTCTCGCTTCACGGCCAATACGTGCAATTCCTCAAGCTCTTTGAGGCTCTGTTCTACCGCTGCCTTCACTACTCTGGCATTGAAAATCCCCGCTCTTTTGCAAGCGCAGAGGATGTTGCTTACATCATGAACGAGTTCAAGGAATTGAAGCTCAGGGACGGTGCTGCAGAGTGTATCCAGAAGCTTCGCGATGCGGGCTTTACTGTCTGGTGCTTCACGACTGGGGATATCTCCCGCGTGGGGGGATATTTCTCAAAGGCTGGCGTGGATCTGCCGGCTGAGAATTTATTATCTTGTGATACGGATGGAGTGGCGAAGCCATGCCCTGAGGCATATAAGCCTATTCTGAACAAGCTAGCTACTCCTGGTTCCAAGCCTTGGTTCGCGGCTGCGCATCTTTGGGATGCGTCTGGAGCACAGTCTGTTGGGTAAGCGGTACACTTTGAAGCGATTGGGTGCATGGGATAACTGACATAAGATGCTACAGGTTTAAGACTGCTTATAGTACTGTATTGGAGGGCGAATACCTTTCTGAGATCTATGGAGAGTTGGATGTGGTCGCTGAAACGCTGCCTGCCATGGCAGACAAGATTATCGTGGCCAAATAGAACAGTCATATAGTAGAAGAATATTTTGTATCATATAGTAAAAGGATAGTTTGCCATAGCCAATGCCAAAGATCCTCCAGAAGCTCCATGATCAGAAATCGGCAATTAAATATAAAATACAAGAACAACAAGGAAACGCCGATAACGCCAATGAATCACCCAAATGACCATCACAAGATCTCAATCAAGCATCGCCATCGTGTGCCTCCTTGCGCAGTGAAGCAGGAAGGATCTTGCTCTTAAGCGCAATATCGCCCGCCAGCGCATTCAGCGATCCCTTACCAAGAACTTCAAACACTGCTACATCCGCCTTGGCTTCTCTAAACAGCCAGTTCCTCAACTCAACCGCCACAAGTGAGTCCAAGCCATAAGCAGCCATGGACTGCGATGCATCAATGCTCTCAGCAGGCATGCCCAGCATCTTTGCCATCTTCTCGATGATGGCGTCGCAGATGAGATTAGTAGCTTCAGCGAGAGACTCAGCGGCGGGAATTGACTCGGTGAGACGGACGCCATTTTCTGAATCGGTCTCGTGGACTTGCTTCCTGCCCATCTGGAGAAGATGAGAGAATTTGGCGTCGCGGAACCAGAAGGGTAGTTCATCGGGACTTGCGTCACTACCTTCTTCAGCCATGCCTTGAGTACCCAGACCAGTAACCACCTGACAGTTCGTCGCAGAGCGCTTGGGGTGGAGGATAGCCTGCTTGATCATGGAAAAGAACTCAGCCTGGGAAATGGTCAAGTAACCCCATCGTTCAAGGTTGACGACGTAGTCTGCATTCTCAGCGACGAAGCCAACGTCGTCAATACCACCCAGATCAAGAGTCACGGCTGGAAGACCTTGTTCGGTACGGAAGTGGGCAAAGGCATCTTGGAATGCGCCACCGGCTGCGTAGTTGGCTTGACTGGAGTTACCAACGACGCCGGCTGCGGATGAAAGCATGATGAAGAAGTCGAGAGGCATGTCCTTGGTGAGGTTGTGGAGGTTAATAGTTCCGGTAACCTTGGGACGGATGGCGTCTTGGTATTGGGCGTAGGTCATGGCTTCAAAGATGGAGTCCTGTAATCGTTAGTAACACATTATTAATGGTAGTGATCGGGGTTGACTTACGTTGAGAACCATTCCACCGTGGATGAGACCTCGAATTGGAGGCATTGTCTTGAGAGCATCATGAACACCAGTAGAAAGCTTCTCATAGTCTGAAACATCACATCGAAGAACAGCAACATTAACGCCATTCTTCTCAAGACGTTCAACTAGCGCAGCTGCTTCAGGCTTGGAAGTGCCGGATCGAGAGACGAAGATGAGGTTCTTTGCGCCATGCTCAGCGAGCCAAGCAGACGTCGCGCGACCCAAACCTCCAAGACCACCAACAAGCAGGTATGAGGCGTTGGCTGGCAATTGGAGGGTCTCTTCACTCTTGGGAAGAACCTTGACGAGATCATCGGCGCCCGCGGTGATGATCAGCTTACCCAGATGCTTACCAGCCTGCATGACTCGGAAGGCATCCTCAATCTGGGAGACAGGGTATGTAGTAATGGGGCTGATCTCATGAACCTTCTTGTCCCGGACTAGGTCCATGACCGAGTTGAGAGCAGCGGCACCAAGAGGCTTGCGATGACGGAAGATGACTGTGAGATCAACAGACGCGAAAGTGACGTTGCGAATGAAGGGTGTCATCTCAAGCTTGGTGTTGATCTCAATATCCCGCTTGCCAATCTCAATGAAGCGCCCAAACATAGAGATACAATGCCAGGTCTCGCGAAGCAACTCACCCGCCAACGAATTGAGAACGACCTCAACGCCCTTACCATTCGTCATGCGTCGGATACCATCAGCAAAAGAGCTATCGCGACTGGAGAAAATATGATCATCAGGAATACCATACGTCTCGATCAAGAAGCGACGCTTATCAGCAGTGCCAACAGTCGCGTAAATCTCTGCGCCGACCATCTTGGCTAGCATGATAGCTGCTTGGCCTACACCACCTGCTGCAGCGTGGATGAGAATGCTCTCGCCCTTCTGAAGTCTTGCAGTGTCGATGATGGCGAAGTAAGCCGTGCAGTACACGATGGGGAGAGAAGCAGCGACTTCAAAGGCCATTTCGTCGGGGATCTTCTGCACGAGAGTGGCGGGGTTTCGCACGTATGTGCTGTAGCAGCCGAGGGTCCAGGTACAGACGCGATCACCTGGCTTGAGGTGCGTGACGTTGGCGCCGACTTGGGTAATGATACCACTGCATTCACAACCGAGGAAGTTATCGACAAGTTGACCCATGGCGACCATGATATCGCGGAAGTTGACACCAGAAGCAGCGACGCGAATGTCTACCTCATCGTCGCCAATTGGTGCCTCAAAAGTCGGATCGTCCTTGAAGCGAAGCGTGTCAAGCAATCCCGGGATACCAATCTCAAGCTTCAATGGACGTCCAGGTTGATGGAAGGGCTGTAGTTCAGGAACAGGCTCTTGGGTCTCATGCGCGATGTACTGATTCGCTGAAACGTCCTCAATAACGCGGGGAATCATGAGGCGACCATCGCGCTCGCGGAACTCCCAATCGTTCTTGGAGATGTCATCTTCGCGACGGAAAAGACCTTGGAAGGCGTGAAGAATTGTGTTGGCAGCGTCAGAAGACGTCTGAGACGACGCATTGTCCAGGTCGAGAGTGACAAGACGCTTGGTCTGGTCTTCTGAGCGGATTGAGCGAGCGAGACCTGTCATGAGGCTGACCTCGGGGAGGGTTTCGCCAGATGCGCCATTGCGCGACACCCAAAGAAGGCCTTTGCTGGAGGAAACAATGCTGCGGACCTTGAGGAACTTGTCCTCGTCGATCTGATGGACGATTGGCTGGACAGTCTCATCGAGACAAACGCAGACCTTGTCCGAAACATCAGCCGAGGCGTAGTCATCCAGGCTGCAAACCTCTGGCTGAACACCAGTCAGATTCTTCAAGCCTTGGGCCAATTGCTTCGTCGCTACGTTATCGCAACCAAAAGAGTCCAGAATGACAGCAGGAGGATAAGTACTCTTCTCCTCCCTCTCAGCCGTAGTGACAATAACGCTGTACATACACTCCTCATAGTCAGGGAAATCTCTCAAACAGATATCCAATCCCGAGAAGCCAGTGTCGCGCAAGAGTTCAGACCACGACTCTTCAGTCAAAGTAGGTCCATGGGTACGACCCTCACCTGCACCGAGCCACCAACCGGGCAGGTTGCCAAAGATGACGGATCCGCGAAGAAGAAGATGCGTGACTTCCATGAGTATGAGCTTGCCACCAGGCTTGAGAAGTTTTCGGACGTTCTGCATCGTCTTCTTCATTGTTCCAGTAGCGTGGAGGACGTTGGCTGCGATGATGACGTCGTAAGACCCAAATGCAAAGCCCTGATCTTGCAAGTTACCTTCAACGTCGAGACGTTTGAAGTTGATGAATGGAGCCCAGGCTTTGAAGTTCTCTTGGGCCTTCTCAAAGAAACCACTTGATATGTCGGTGAAATCGTACTGGGCGAAATGAGGGTACGATCCAGGCTCGTGGCCGCCGAGAGTCTCGAGGATAGGCTTCGTCGCACCGCCTGTACCAGCGCCAATCTCTAGGATCTTGAGATCGGGTTGCTTGTGGGAGAGTTTCTGGATCACCTTTGACATCTGCTCGTAACAGCGATCGGTGCCTAAAGCGGTACGATAAAGATCGTAGAGTAAGTCGTTCTCCAGCATGAGAGTGAGAGGATCAGCTTCTTGTCGAAGGATGGGGATGAGGTTCTCGCCCATGCGACAGATCATCTCACCCTCAGCACTGAACGAAGCAACCTTCTTCGCTAACTCTTGGCGTTCAGCATCAGAGACGGAGTCCCAGGAAGCTGATTGAAGAGCAAATTCCTTCTTCTCAGCGCGTTGGCAGACACCGACCATTTGATCGTAGAACAAACGGTGGTGAGATGACATATTAGCGCGCTCCTCCGGCTTGAGACTCTTAACAGCCTTCTTCATGTACAAGAACGCTGCGGTCTCCATGTCACGAATCTCAGCTGAGATCTCATCAGTCGCAGTCGTTGGCGGGAGAACCTTGGTAATGTTCTTGGCTTCGAGAAGACTGAGGTCGTCATCCCAGATCATGTCGAAGCAGAGCTTGCGGCTATCAGTGCTGGTCTCAGCTGCTACCATGTGCGCGATTGAAGAACATCTCAAACCCTGAATCTCAATCATTGCCAAGCCATCACTAGTATCCAGCGCAGTGATATCAGCGTCGGCGTGTCTGAAGCCCTTCCATAGCGCTGATGAAGCCACCTTGAGGACCTGTCCAGGCGAACTACAAGGTCTGTTGGCAACCATCATTCGCTTGATGAACGTCGGGACAAGAGGGCTGGAAAGGTCCTTGTCGCCAGATGCCAGAGCAGGGAAGATGGTCTGGAGAATAGAGTCTAGAGTGACAGGGTGTAGAAGATGAGGGAACTCGAACTTGTGAGGCATAAGATGTGCTGTGTCTGGGACTGTGACGTTGGCATACACCAGAGGTTGCTTCTTGGCGCTTCGCAGGTTGGAGATGTTCTGGAATGAAGGGCCGTAGTAGAGACCAACGTGCTCGAGATCATCGTACATACGACGAGTGTTGACGGTATCATCGCAGACCTCATCGTGCTGAGCGACAAGATTGTGTGATGTCTCGGCGCGAAGCTTGGTCTCTTTCGCACCGCCGAGGTCACCGGAGGAGTAACCCTTCACAGCAGCGATACAACCACGACAATGCTCACTCCAGCCCTCATTCTCACTGACAGTGAACAGCCGGAATTCCCACCAATGATTAGAGGACTCAACAGCAGAGGTACTCCAAGGACGCGCGGTAAACATAGTCTCCAGATCACCATCCTCCTCACTGATCATGATAGCCTTACCGATCTGGATGTCGCGCAGCTCAAACTCAGTGACTTGATCAGCATCCACCAGTTGTCGCATCGCTTCAACGGCCATGGCGATCATACCAGCAGCTGGGTAGAGAATCTTGCCCTCTACCTTGTGATCCTTGATCCAAGGGAGTTCCGAGAGACGAATGAAGCCTCGCCAGCGGGGCTCAGTAGGGTTCCAGTCAGAGACCGGTGCGCCGATGAGATCCTTGCGAGGCTGGTTTCGCAGGCGGTAGTTCTTGCTGATGCGTGACTCGTGCCAGTATCGCTGGGAGTGGTTCCACGGATATGGCGGAAGATCGGGGAGGACACGAGGGCAAGGACCGTCAATTGGCTCGTTGATGCGCGCGAGATTGACAGCGTATCCGTTCATGAACAAATCACCAGCTGCCTTCTGAACAGCACTCACAGCGTCTTCCTTGCGGACAAGACAAGAAGTATAAGGCAGTTGGGCCTTGCTGCTGAACGAGGGATCCTTGAGGATGCTCTTGATAGGTCCAGCGAGGGCAGAGTGAGGACCAACCTCAACCAGCATTTGCACGTTCATCTTGTTACCCCGAGTAAGACGTTTCCCGTCTGGCTTGAGACCGAGACACATGCTCTTCAATGAAGAGGTGAATTGAACTGGTGAGGTCATGTTTCGGACCCAGTACTCAGCGTCGAGTTCAGAGATGGGCGTCAATGTACCAGTGACGGATGAGTAGAACTGTACCCCTGAGTCGCTCGCGGCAGGCTTGGGAAGAGACTCGAGGGACTTGCGATAGACGTCGGCGATTTGTTGCATGTGATGCGAATGATACGCGACAGGAACTTTGAGTCGTCTGAAGAAGACACCCGTGTCTTGTAACAGAGACTCAAGTTCGTCAAGAGCGGGAACATCGCCAGAGAGAGTGACGTTGTAAGGCGCATTGTAGCAAGCAATCACCAGCTTACCAGTCGTCAACTTGTCCAAATAGCCTTGCGCCTCATCAGGCGACAGACCAACAGCAGCCATGCTTCCATCGACACTAGAGTCAGCAGCCAGTTGAGATGATGCAACACCACGGTAGTAAGCCGCAATCATAGCAGCCTCATGAGACAAAGCACCGGCAGCATATGCAGCTGCGATCTCACCACTGGAATGGCCAGTAACAGCAGTTGGTTGCACATCCCATGAGTGAAGCAAGTCAACCAGCGCAATCTGCACCGCCGTGCAAAGCGGTTGACTGTACAGTGGCTCATTGACAAGACTGCTCTCAGCATCCTTAGAGAGCTCTTCGACAAGATCCCAAGTACAACCGATGTTCTCGAGAGTCGCGCCAGCGCGATGGAGACTATCGGCGAAAACGCCGTATTGATGCATGAGACCAACGCCCATTTGCGCAGTCTGTGCACCTTGACCTGTGAAGACGAGACCAAGACGCGTGACACGCTGGGACTTGACGAGGCTGAGCTTTCCATTCTCAAAAGTATCGATGAGTTCTTCAACAGAACTAGCAGAGATAGCTAGTCTGTGGGACAATTGAGAACGGCGCTGGGAAAGAGTGTAGGCGAGTTGCTGAAGAACGCGGGCGTGTTTCTCGGTGGGGATGTCGCGCAGGTAAGATGCCATGCGAGCCAAGAGTGATGACGCTGCTTCTTGATGACCTGCTGAGAATACAAAGACTCTGCGGTCGATTTCTGAGTCAATGGTCTTGACTTCATGTTTCGATGCGTCGTAGCTGTCGAGCACGACGTGGGCGTTTGTACCGCCGTAGCCGAAACTGTTGACTGAGGCACGACGGGGAACGTCTGCTGGCCATTGTGTAAGCTCCGTCGGGACCTATAAAGTCAGTCGATTTTCTATCAATGGTTATAGTGTCACTAGCCTTGATGTTCCATGCCTCCAGATCAAGCCGCTCATTCGGCTTCTCAAAGTTCATATTCGGCGGAATCTGTCCCTTCTCAAGACACAACACCGCCTTGACAACACCAGCCAAACCACTCGCACCCTCCAAATGCCCAATATTCGTCTTGATAGACCCAAGATACAAAGGCGAAGAGCGCTGACGATTAGCTGTAAACACGCGGTGAATAGCACCAGCTTCCATGGGATCTCCAGCCTGGGTACCTGTACCGTGCGCTTCAAAGTATCCCGTCTCAGCAGGATCAAGACCAGCGTTAGCATAAACCTCACGAATAAGCTCAGCCTGCGCATCACCATTCGGAAGCGTGATTCCCGCGGTTCTCCCATCGGAATTAACGCCTGTTCCACGAATAACAGCGCGGATAGGATCACCATCCCTTATAGCTTTATCCAACGGTTTGAGAACAAGCGTCGCGATACCTTCACCCCTCGCATAACCCTTCGCCCTATGATCAAAAGCATAAGACCTTCCATCTGGCGAAAGAAAGCCGAGCAAACTCATAGCGACCATGATATCAGGGCTGAAGATGAGGTTCGTTCCGCCAACGATGGCTTGTTCGGCTTCACCCATACGTAAGCCTTGGACGGCGAGGTGGAGACCGACGAGGGAGGAGGAACAGGCTGTGTCGACGGTTACGCTGGGGCCTTTGAGGTTAAAGAAGTAGGAGATTCGGTTGGAGAGGATGGATTGGCCGTTGCCGGTTGCTTGGTAGAGGGGGCCGGTTTCGGGGTCGCGACACATTATGTCGGCGTAGTCTTTGTTGAAGACGCCGATGTGGACGGATGTTTTTGTCCCGGAGGCTTGGTCGATTGAGATGCCGGCTGAAGATGTTAGCTTGGCCAGGGAGAGTGGGAGGGAGGCTGACCATTCTCGAGAGCTTCGTAAGCGGACTCTAGCTGGAGTCTTTGTTGAGGATCCATGGCCTACTCTTGTCAGTACTGGAGAGCTTGAACGTCTGGTGATGGGTTTACCTTTGCTTCGTTCCGGCTGATGCCAAAGAATGGCGCATCAAAGCACGCAATATCTTCATCCAAGAAATGGCCACCAACAACATTCATCTACTCAAATCAGCGCATATCACCCCACTACTCTCATCGACTTACAGCGCCATTTCGGTCTGGGTCAGGATGATAAAAAGCATCCAAAGCGAACCTATCCTCAGGAACCTTTGACCAGGCACTTTTACCCTTGGAGATCATCTTCCAAAGAGCTTCAGGTGTATCAGCACCACCTGGAAATCTCGTACTGATACCAGTGATGGCGATTGGCATGTTTGGATCAACTGTAGGCTTGTGAGATCCGTTGATCTTGCCGTTTGTGCCATTGTGGCCGTTGGCATGGCCATTGGTACCGTTTGTGCCGTTTCCGTTCATGTTGAATAAGGACAAGTATATAATATGATGAATAATTTAGCAAACGATAGTCGAACTAATCTAACATTAAACATCCTTGGGTATCGAGCCTTTCTATATCAACATCTATCTTGACTTACACCATCTTCTCGGTCTGTGAAGTTCACGCTTATTGACATTGGCTATTCTGATTGGCTGGCCACTTCCGACGCGTCCATCGTTCGATCCAACAGTCTCACAAGCTCAATTGAGAAAGTCGTTGGTCCGAAGGATTCTTGGCAGGGATGTCGGATAATTTAATGGAGCTGATCTCCCGCTCGGCGAGTTTCGTTTCTTTCCTATTTCCCCCGATCTACATCGCCATCTCGCCGATATCAGCTCAATTAGCCTTTAGCATTGTTGCCTGTAGTTTATTCACTCAAGTCCTCACGTCGCTCTTTGAGGCTGTGGTCGCTATCGCAATCATGGCTCCTTCGAATCCACCTCGTAAGATTTTGATGGTCGTTACTGTGGGCGGCTACACTCACGCTGGTAAGACCCCGTCGCCAGACTTTAGCTTCTCAGCGCTAACATTTTGTCTACAGCCCCGGTATTGGAGTTGGGAAAGGTTCTTGCTCAGAGAGGCCACGTTGTTGACTTTGCGACTCTTGAAGGTCAAGAGTCATGGACCAAAGGCTACGAGTACATCAGCCAGCTTCATCTCATGGGTCCCGGCCCTTCACATGAAGATCTCGAAGCTCATTATCTCCGCATGCGAGAATGGGACGCTTCGAAGGGCTTTGCTGGTGTCATGGACTCCAAGTACCTGTTTGATTGGTACTGGACTCAAACGTATCAGCATTTGAAGCAAATTGTTGATGATCCTGCTACAAGGCCTGATATGATGGTCGCTGACTTTTTCGTCGACGCTGTCAAGGATATTCTGTATCAGTACAATATCCCCATGGCTATGGTGTATCCTCAGATGCCAGCTCTAATGTGCCCTTGCTCTTACATACCTGGTCAGCCAGGCTTTCAAATTGAAGGGACGTTAACTTCTGAGAACGCTTCAATGTGGCTGCGTTTCCGGAATGAGCTTGTCATTTACAAAGCATTGCCTTCTATCATTCGATGGGTCAAGTGGACCAAGAAGATGAGACAGGACGCGGGAGTCGACTACAAGCTGCCTACTCCAAGCAAGCCCAATTATCTGGTCTTGATCAATTCGTTCTTTGGTTTGGAGGTGCCAAAGGATATTCCACCGCTGGTTCAAGCAGTTGGTCCTATCCTCGCTGATACTTACCCGCCCCTCTCAGAGCCGTATGAGTCTTTCTTGGAGAAGCATAAGAAAACTTTATACTTGGCTCTTGGTACCCATATCATCTTATCCAACGATCATGCTGCAAAGCTCACTCAAGGGCTCGTCGCTGCGATGGATCAGGGTCTCATTGATGGAGTCATCTGGTCCATCTCCGAGGCTGCACGTCGAGATATTGATGCTAGTCATCAATTCACTGACAATGGCGGCAAATCTTTTACCTTTGCATCCTTGTTCAAGGGCGAACACTCATCATTCCTCATCACAACCTTTGCCCCTCAACGTGCCATCCTGGACCATGATCACGCAGCCATATACCTGACCCACGGTGGTGGCTCCAGCGCCAACGAGGGTCTGTACCATGGGAAGCCAATGCTGGCCATGGGCTTCTTCTTCGATCAGATTTCCAACGTTCCTCGCCTGGTCGCAAGTGGAACCTCTGAAGCCCTTGACAAATTTCGCTTCACCCCAGAAGAAGTCTGCCAGAAGATCAAGTTACTGTCTGAGGATAAGAACGGTTCATACCGGCGTAACTGCGTTCGCATGCAGCGCATCGCCCGAGCCGCGTCCCGTCGCAAGGAACTTGGTGCGGATCTTATTGAAGAAGTCATGTATGATACAGAAGGACGGTTTGATGGCAAGAAGGAACTGCGACCGATGCACCTGCAAACGGCTGATATGCGCATGTCAAAGTTCAAGGCTAAGAACTGGGATCTATGGCTTGTTGGATTGTTCACTCTTGGCCTTGTACCTTTGGCTTCTTTCACTATTGGGAAATGGGCTTGGACAGAGAAGAGAGCTATTGGTGATTGGGCTGGGGAAACTGTGAAGAAGTGGATGGGTTGATAACAAGTACTATTCCGAAAACCATCACGTTCAATGCATTAACTAAACGAATTAGTTTGGCCTATTGTCTCCTAGCCCTCGTAGCAGACCATTATCCTAAACAAGATCAAGGACTAGTCTATGCGTTGGATAGCTCACAACTCGCCTGGAAACCGAGGGATCTCGAAGAAACGCTCCAGCATGACGTTGAAGGTCTCTGGGTCTTGCATGAACCTATGGAAAGTTAATTGATGTCGCATGGGTACCTGATGCCGTGACTTACGCAAAGTGGCTGACTCCGGGAAGAATAACAAGATCAGAAACCCAGATCTGACATACTATTAGCAATAGAAGAAAAGTGAGCAACGATTGACTTACCCAGCTATGGATCTCACCAGGAGTAGAGCGAGTGACAGCCTCCTCAGAATCACCATCAACAATCCACATAATAGGAGCATTAGGGTCAGAGTATCTCGTAGAAATCTTAGCAAAAGACTTTGCATCCCAGTCTGGCAGACTTCCCCACATTGTGTTCATTCTCTCCTCAAACTCGTGGAATGTGCCCTTTGACGGTGAGTTCTTCTCATACTCCTCCTGAACTCTCTTCATATACTTCAAGAACACAGTGCTCTCTGCAGCAGTAGCGTTGATGTTCTCAGGACTGTAAGTTCCACCAAAAGCAAAGGAGCGGTCGAGGCGAGAGGTGAAGTTCATGGCGAGGTCAAAAGAAATGCATGATCCATCGGACCAACCAATAGTTGAGAATTTCTCGATTCCCAGATGGTCCATCAAGCCAACTACATCTTCGGTCATGAGATCATAGGTCAAGGGGCGGCTGGTACCATCTGAAGAACGACCCTGGGCTCGAGAGTCGATTGTGATCAATGTATATTGGTGATCCTTGAGGTGGTTGATCTGGTTGGCCCAGTAATCACTGTTGGCAAAGCCACCGTGGAGGAAAATAACAGGATTGAAGCCTTTAGCCTTGCTCTCCTCAAGCGGTGCGCCGAATGTCGCGTACCAAAGATCAATGCCGTCAATTAGTGCTGTTCCTTCAAAGTTTGCCTTGGTCATGGGAGGAAGTTCAGGGAGCGTCTGCCAAGGAGCAGTATACTCACAAGACTTTTCCGCCTTTGGGTCAAGTTTGGTGCTTAAACCCGAGACTATGTTGACGAGCATCAGCACTGAAGCTGCTACATGTGACCAAGACTGCATGCTGAGAGTCTGTGTAATGGATCTTGGGACTGAAGATGTAAGATGGTGATAAGGTTGAGATACATTAATTACTGGGGCCTGCCAGGAGCTTTTTATCTTTTTCTAACATCCGTGAAAGTCAATTTTGCATGATTCAGTAACTAGTCTTTTCGACCGCTCGGTACGTGATTAAACTTTTTTATAACAGGGGTAAGTCTAAGGTGATCGTTTAAGGGTGTTTTTAACTGGCACAGTCGACGAATGTGCAACAGCGTTACATGGCAGTGTCGTGCTGAAGACCGGCATTACATGCCGCTGCATAGGGGATTTAATAGCATGTCTTGGTACTCCGTATGACAGAATTCGGCGATGAACCATGTTGAGGGAGCGAGAGGCCCTTAGACCCTGGCCATAACCATAAATTGACCTATCAGCATTGGTATTCCAGGCTAGCAAAAATAGTGCATGCGGGGAATGAAGTTCGGAAAACTAAGAAAGACGCCAGGAGAATTACGCAAACTTATGGAGATTCAGGAAATATATGGAAAATTACACATAGGGAGCTATAGGGTATGCACTCCTGAAATCAGATAATGCTGCACGCTCAGGTCTGCCGAGATCTTCACATTGACACATAATAATAGAATGCCCGAAAGGCGAGTCCTGTAAGAGTGGCAAACACTTGTGCTCTACCAGTCAATCCTCAATTGCAAATTACTATCATGAAAGCCAGATAAAAAAGCTACGCGCTAACCAACAATCTCATCGAACATTGCTGTGAATGGGTTCACTAGCGTATCTGTCAGATCCTCGTCTATTTCTTCACCCACTCGATGGCTTTATTGGACGATCAAGGTTCTTTTAACGCAGTTTACTGAATAGTCTGAGTTGACATAGTACTAGAGAAACTATAAGCTTCTCATACTAGCAATTATTAATAACTAACAGCGACCCCATGATGTCATGCTTCCGTTGATCCGAGAACGTTCACATCGATTCTTAACTAACGGACTCAGGCTCCAGGTCATATGGTAATGCAATTATACTTCTATCCCAACTGAGAAGATCTATTAACAAGCAAAATTCGCCTTTGCACTCAAATTCTTGAACATCTGTGACACAACCCCCGTCGTCTGAGAATTAACAGGCAACGAATGTCCCTGCCCATGATCATAAATCTTGGCAGAATGACCATCACACAGCGCAAACAACCCTAAGCTCTCTTTATACCATTGATCCTTCTTGCCCACTACATGCGCCGTAGGTATCTGAACAACAGGCTTTCCGCGCTGATCTATACGATTCATGCCGTCGTATGTAAAAGGTTTAGAACCGCAGATAAACATTGCAAATTTGAACAGATTGGTCTGGGGCTGCAGTGGGTTTCGCTTGGAGTAGTGTGCGAGCACGGATGCTGTTATGGCTGCGCCTTGGGAGAAGCCAACGACTCCGTCGAAAGGGCCTTCTTCAGCTATTATGTCGAGGACATTGTCGATCGCGTTGGTGGCTGTTTCGGCTGGTGGGATTTTCTGTAGATGATCCCAGGAGTACCATTCGTAAAAGGGGCCCTCAGATAATGCCTCGATGCCTATCTTGTATGTGAGTACAGTAGGGTTGATGCGATTGGGGTGAGGCCATACCTTGAGCAGGAGGGCATTCTACTTCTGCATCGTAAAACTCAAAAGAAAGGGTTGGGTCATCTTGGAGCAGATGGTGAATAACGGGGCCTGTAAGTATTAGCTCCGAATGTGCAGTGCGAGACTTGGCTTCATACCAAGCTGGATTCGAAAGATCTACTCGTGCTGATTAGCCATTGTCAACAGGCTCCTACCCGGAGGTGCTTACCTCGGAGTTGGTGCCAGCACCATGGAGACAAAGAATTCGCATGTTGGATGAAGATTAATCTGAAATTTACGTCTAAAAGCAATTGAGAATGAATTTGCCAACGCTGAGAGTTTACTTGACTGTGTCTTATTAAATATGCATGGTACAAAACTCGGCTCGGCGAGTATAAAACTGGGATATAAAACCCGCCGAGGCCAATCAATATTACCACAGAGAGAGCCCGCACGCACCCCTAACTGCTAACAGTGCTTGTGCCAGGTGCTAGACTGAAAACACCTGTCTTGGTATACTGTCTTATCAAAATGATGCCAGCAGCCAACGCAGACGGTATTGACAAGATGGCCATGACAAAGAATTGTTTGTTGTAGATATCGCCATAAGTGGACTGAAGATTTGAGACATTGGATGTTTTATCCAGTTCTTTGTTAAGAATTGCGCCACAGACTGCAATTGAGACGCAACCGCCTAAGGTTCTGAACGTATTCACAAGGCCCATGGCGGTCGCTGAGATGCACATTAGCAAGAGAAGTGATACCGGAGACGTTTACTTACCGTACTGCTCCTCCGAGACCCAATCTCGCGCGAGGATCATAAACGACGGAAGCATGAGTCCAAAGCCAATTCCTGTCATGACTTCAAATCCATATTGACTGTTAGAGACAGATGGCCCAGTTGGCAGACTAGATAGCAGCCCTACGCCAATAACTTGGAGAACTCCACCACAGAAAAGAAGCAGAGGTGTTGCTTCCGGAAATTTGCGATAAAGACCACCAGATAGCGCAGAGAACCCAGCTGATGGGAGAAGCACTGGCAGGAGAAGGACGCCTGCCGTGGTTGGCGACTTGTCATTGACGTGCTGTAGACGTTGAGGTAGTTGGATGATGGTTGAGTAGAATGAGCTGCCCATGAAGAAAGCAGATCTGAGATTTCAAGTTAATGAATGCCTAGAAAAGGTAATTGATCATACTCACATCATGAGAAGAGCATTATCTGGTTGCAGAAGCAGCGGAAGAGGGAAGAACGGAGCCATTGATGAGTATCGCGGGAGCACCAGTTCATACCCAATGAACATAATCAGCGACACTCCAGAACCTGCCAAACAGCCGATAATGGTCGGACTTGACCAGCCATGTCCATCACCGATGGATGAAGCACTCTGTAAAGCGTAGATGAGGAGTATCGTGGCCGCCAGGAAAAGAAACGCGCCGGGTACGTCAATCTCTCTCCATCCACTTCTCACGGATTTGGAGTTATTCTTCCATTTCAGCGATGGAAGCAGTAGAAAAGCGCATACTGCTGCACCTGGTAAGCTGGAGAATAATCAGTCCTGGAATAGCTGCAACTGAGTATGTCTCACGTACTTGAGCAAAAACACCCATCTCCACGTCGAATGCTGCGCCAGCACACCGCCCAACACCGGGCCCAAAACACTCGAGAACGCGAAAACTGAGCTCACGACACCAGAGTACAAGCCCAGCCAGCGATCAGGAGTGATGTCAGGCACGATGACCATTGTCAGTGAGAAAAGACCAGAGGCGCCGATGCCCTGCAAAGCACGGAAAACAATTCTGTCGCTGGTTAGCCGCTGTAAAATGAACAGACTGAGAATTGATACGTGCAATTGTGTCATGGACTGTGCTGCTCCGCAAATGCCAGAGAATAACGCGAAAATGGCGAGACAGGCATAGAAGACGATGAAGCGGCCAAAGACATCGCTGAGCCTGGCGTGGAGAAGCAAGAAGCCTGATGGATGATCAGATGACGGTATTGGAGAGTGATTGAGAATTCTTACCATTAAAAGTGACCATGTACGCAGTGACTATCCACGAGTATTCGCGCTCATCGTCGAAATGCTTCGCGATGGTGTCTAGCGTCGTTGACACGATGGTTGTTTCGAGCGCAGACAGGAAAAGGCCAAACGTCAAACTGTACCAGTCAGCATCACTCCAGCAATTGCTTCAGCGTCGCTCATACCCGATAACAGAGAGGTGAAGCCTATAGCCTTCCATCGTTCTGCTAGCTGCGCGATTCTGCGCGCTTGACTCTTCTTCCGCCATTGCTGAGGTTCTGTACCAGTCGCATTATGGCGTCGTAGGATTCAGGCCTGGAGGAGTGATTTAGTGGTGCGATTCGGGTGATATATCACCTGAGGTGTTGGCTCGGGGTATTTCACACATTCTCGGCGCGTTTTACAGCGACTCAATGCGTACTGCAGTGGCAGACATAACGACAGAGTGTATAAATCAGACAAAGTAATATGCTTTACAATGAATCTGAGTCGTTCAATCGTGTCATGATGCTGAACCTACCGTATTCTTACACCACGTTAGCGCTGTTCGTTGTAGGCCTAGAGCTGCTGCGGCGGGTGCTGAAGGCGCTAATCTTGGGGTTTACTGGTCCCCTGTCCAAAGTTCCAGGGCCGTTCTGGAACAAATTATCACCGCTACCATGGCGTTTGGCATTCCTGAAGGGCACTGCACCTTTTCTTGCACAGGATCTTCATCGTCGATATGGCGATGTCGTGCGAGTCAGTAAGTCTACCGCAGTGGATTGTCCGTATAATTTTACTCATTGTTACAGCGCCGAATTTGGTCTTGGTGTCTGATCCAGTGTCGGTCCATCGGGTTCTCGTGGAATGGGATCTGCATAAAAGTCCTCTTTATGAGAAGTATCGCCAGAACCCGCACGTCGCGACGTTGTTTACGGAGAGGGATAAGGCCAAGTATCGCATTAGAGTGAGAAATCAGTGCAAAATAGCGCATATGTGCTAACAATATTCAGCGAAGACTGCTCTCGAATGGATTCTCCATGAGCTACCTCAAAGCGCTGGAGCCGCTGATGCATGACTGCGTTCAGGTGTTAGAAGATGTACTGGAAGAGCGCTGCGCTGCTGGCGGTGGAACAGCGACTGTCAATATTTATGATCTGCTCAGCAGTCTCGCTTCGGTAAGGACCATTACTGCACTTGAATGACGCGTGATTGTTGACAATTACAGGACATCATGGCCGAGTGCTCTTTTGGCGGCTCATTCGGTCTCGTTCGCCAAGGCCACCATCCACTGAAGACAAGAATCACAAATTACATGAAGAAAGCGGCTCTGTACCAAACAATACCGTTTCTCAGTCTTTTTGGAAAGCCGAGAGATGAGGAGCTGGATGCGATTGTCCAGGGCATCATCGACAAACGCCTGCACAGCCAGAAGAAGAGTGAACGAAGGGACCTGCTTGATATGCTACTTGAAGCTTCGGCCGAGAATCCGGATAAGTTGAGTATGGAGGACATCAAGGCCGAGATGTTTGTCTTTCTGTAAGAAACCAACTCTCTGCAGCGAATCAATTGCTAATCATTTGGAGGCTGGCTGGAAGCGACACATCGGCTGTAACTGCGACTTTCTGCCTCATGAAGCTTCTAGAGAACCCCAGTGCGTACCAGGCACTGAAGAAAGAGCTGGATGAACTACTGGCATCGCCGAGCGATCCAATTGTCGACGAGAACACTCATAACTTGCCATATCTCAATGCAGTCATCCACGAAACACTTCGCATGCTTCCTCCTGCAGCTGGCGGTAAGTTATTTCTCCTTTCTAAGCGTGGTGCCGACTAATGTCAATTGAAAGGCTTTGCGCGACAGGCTTTGGAACCTGTGACGGTTGGAGACTACGTTTTGCCCGCTGGTGTAAGTCCCTCACCCCGTGACCACAACGTTAGAGCTGACAGAATTAGACACTCGTTACAGCAGATACAACAGCTCTCCACCGCGATTCACGCGTCTATCCCGACGCCGATAAGTTTATTCCCGAGCGATGGATCTCCGGTCATGGAGGTGAAAAGCCTTCTGAGAAGAATTGGTATCCATTCTCAGCAGGCTCGCGAGTCTGCATTGGCAAGCAGTAAGGTCCCAACCAGTTACTTCTACGATACGACGCTAATTATGGTAGTTTCGCATTGAAGGAAGTCCGACTTATCCTAGCTGTTCTGTTGCGACGATTTGACATCTCAATCGTACCAGATCAGAAGATCGAGTATCGGCATCATAGTGTGCTATACATCGCCTCGGGGGAATATTTGGTTGGTGTTCGTAAAAGGGTGGCGTGATAGCACTGAATTGCGCTGGAAATTCACCGAGGAAAGTCTGGGGTGCCCAAATAACTCCAAGCCGGTTGTAAAAACGTATATATGTTAGGTTGATTAAAGAGAAAATAGATCGAAATCTTCTTGACTAACTACATTGTAATCAGAAGCTGTCAATTGCTGGAGATGAACGACCAATCGAAGCCCATCCGCGTAGCCGTTATTGGTGGTGGTATCGCTGGTCTTCTCCTCGGCCAATTACTCTCCTCCGCCCCAGGAATCGATGCACACGTTTTCGAGCGCTACGAAAATGAGGATAGCCTCTCTGGATACCGCATTCAGCTAAGTCTCGAGATCCTCAACCTTCTGAAGATCCATCTACCACCCGATACATGGGCCAAGGTTCTGCCCAGCGTGGCTAAAACGCCAAAAGAGGGCTACTATCACTCGTGTTTCATGCGACCAAACGGGCATGTATTCTACACTTATCTACCCGAGGAGTTCCGGCGAACAGCCGCGGTCTCGAGAATCAGATTGAGGAAGGGACTTCTTCATGAGTCTGAAAAGTGGTTGACGACTGGGAAGAAGTTTACGGCTTACGAGGAGATGAAGGATGGAACGATCAAGGCCAATTTCGCGGATGGGAGTAGTCATGTCTGTGATCTAATTGTTGGCGCTGACGGGATCACTTCACGAGTCCGACGTACGCTGTTACCGAGTGTACAGACGGTGCAGACAGATTTGGTGATCATCTACTTCAAAGTACCTTACACTCGAGAGGTGGAAAGCATGATCCCCTACAAGACCGGGAGTCTGGTAAGCATATGCATGCACTCAGTTACAAGGGAAAGTACTGACGGAAAAGGTTCTTTACCCCAATGGTCAAGAAATTACCATCATGACATGGCAAAACCCCGAGAAGCCTTATGCCAAGGGTCTCGATCCCGAGCACATCGACCCAGAGACATCATACGTTATGGTAGGCTTCGGCAGCCGCCTCGAAGATTTCGCCGATCAGTCAAAATCCCCCGCCGAGATGACACCCCATGAACTCAAAGCCGAGTGCATCTCCCGCGCCAACGCGCATCCAACGCATCCCTCCATCAAAGCACTAGTGGAGCTCATCGTCACGGACTCTGCCTACGCCAACGTCTTCCGAATGGTAGACGTTAGTGAGCCGTGGGATTCGGGTAATGTAACTCTAGTTGGTGATGCCACATTCAAGTAAGCTCTCGAAACACTTCTAGAATCCTTCGGTGCTAATCTTTCCTAGTATGGCACCATTCCTTGGAAAAGGAGCTGCATGCGCCATGGAGGATGCTGTGGATCTTAGTAGGACTATCATGCGGTTCCCGGGCACTCCCGTTGAGAAGAGGGCGGGTATGCTAAGGGAGTATGTGGATAAGATGAGGGCTAGGAGGTTGAAGGAGCGGAAGAGGAGTGCGTTTGTAATGAATATTTGCTTCTTTGGGACGACACCACTCAGAGCGGCTGTGAGGGATTATGGGATGGAGATTGCGAACGTTTGGTTGACTGCCAGTGGGTTCGTCAAGTTTACTATTCTGGTATTGGTGATCGGGGCGTTTGTTGGTGGGATTTGGGGGCTGAACGGCGAATTTCTTGGGAAACTGGCCGAGGGGCTCAGACAGGTGTCTGCAACCAAATGATCTGCCTGGGAGTCATTTAATATTTGGTATTCAGTGTTGCTAGTTGTAATTCTTGCTGAAAGTACCGCCAATTTTGTTTCATTATGGCGCAGCGTATTGATCTTCACCATGATGATCAGGGGAGTGGCGATAGAGTCTTCCCGCTCAGCTTCCTCGACACCTACTTCATGCCAGTTGATGTCGTCTTAGTCATTAACGGAACCTTGGACAAGGACAGGCTGTGTGCATCACTGTCCAAGACCCTGTCACTGTACCCACCTGTGTACGGGCGCTTCAGGAGACCCTCTGCGGCTACACAGGGAGAGCTCTCGCTGCACCTCTACCACCCCGTCCCCCTATACTGGCAGACAAATCATGAAGGGGCATTCCATCCTTCAGTCTGGAAGAGCTTCATCAACCGCATCACGACTAAGAAAGTCCTCAATGGCCAAGCTCCCCTGTTACAGATCACTGTGACATACCTACCAAGCACTTGTCAAACAGTCCTGGGGGTGAGCTTCTGTCATGTCCTTGGTGATGCCTTGTCTCTATACCAGCTCCTCAAGGCGTGGCAGAATATCCATACCCAAGAGGTGACATCAATCCCTCCTCCCGTAACTGAAAGAATACGCTTCAAATCTGCTCTCAAAACTGTATCAGTCAATGAGATACCCCGACGTCTTCCCCGCCGCTCCCAGCAATTCTCTCCCACCTTGATAAGCAAGATCAAAGCCTATGCCCCACTAGTTCACACGATCATGTTCAAAACCCTGGAATATGCAAGATTCGATGTCACGGCAGATGATCTTAGTATCCTTGTCGAAAAGACGCGTGCTCGGCTACATCCGACAACATGCTCAACTCAAGATGCTTTCAAAGCTTATCTACTGAAGGCCCTTAACCGCTTTGTGTACAATGGGCTTACGGCATACTCAAGAGTTACTCGAATTGTTACTATAGTAGATGCGCGCAAAACTAGAAATATGCCCGAGGAGTATTTTGGGAACTGTATCACAGCGGTAGACACGCCGTATCTTGCAGCATCTAAGAACCTGAGTGAAGTGGCACTGGCGGTTCGTGAAGGAGTCATTGGACTGACGCCAGAGAAGCTGGCCAAAGGCGATGAGTGGATTCAGTCTATCCAAAATGTGAATGGATTAATGGACCTTACCCCTGCATTTGACCCCGATACTCTGTATGTAGATGATTGGACTAAAGTTTCCATGGAGGAGATAAACTTTGGACAGGGGCAGGAGATGTTTTGCCAGCCTCTGGAAGTGGAGGCGTTACCTGTTAGAAATTGGTGCATGATTTACAGGGCGAAGGCGAGTAACGATGCAGGTGGTGGAAAGAGACTGGGATACCAGGTACAAGTCTCAGTGCCAAAGGGACGGGCAGCTGAGCTCGCGAAAGGCATAGCCCTGGATGTGCAGGAGGGATTTGACGAGTACTTCTGGTAGGGTAGCAGCAATCTAGGTACACAATCGACATGTCGCATTTTTACAGAAATGGGAGCACCCCCTTGTCAGCTGAAGTCATTACATGCAACGATAAATCGTAAGATTAGCCTTGGAAGGGATACAAGTCTAGACTCTTGCGCCTCTTTTTATACAGATTAGGTTGGGGCTAATGGAGCTGGAGAGATGAAGGATTGAACATTTCTTGGCATGTTACGATTCATTTCGGCCTCTTTTGGGGGCTGTGCGGAACTCGGCGAGAATAGGATAGTGGATGCTTAACTTCTTCCAGAGTGGATGAGTTGGAGTGTATATAAGGCTGAGATGCTAGCGACTTGGTTAACGAAGCTAAGACAATATCTCAAAGACTAAATATTCTGCACTCAAGATGTATGGACTCAATTTGGCGACCTTACTATCCTTGGTCTTGCTTGTAGTGGCAGAAACTCTGCCCAAAGAGTCATCTTCAGGTTAGTTTGCTCTAAAGAACGTCATCAAGGCATGCTGACATTGCCCAGCAATTGAGCCCTCACAATGGCTCAACGCCCGTGATAAAGCAGATTCATTGATCTCCAAGATGACACTCAAGGAGAAATCCTTGATGGTTACAGGGACGTTTGATGGAACGTGCATTGAGCACATCGCACCCATCAAACGTCTTGGCTTCGGCGGTCTTTGCATTCAAGACGGTCCCATTGGACTTCGTCTTGGAGATCTGGTCAGTGTCTTTCCTTCAGGTGTCACTACTGCTGCGACGTGGGATAGGCAGTTGATGGCCCTGAGGGGAGAGGCTATGGCGGAGGAGTTCAAAGCGAAGGGTGCCCACGTCATTCTCGGGTAAGATCTGATACACCTACTGATTGTTCTCCACTGACCGGTGATTAGACCCGTTGCAGGCGCTCTTGGTAGGAGTCCATACGGCGGCCGCAATTGGGAAGGCTTCTCCCCAGATCCTTACCTAACCGGCATCGCCATGGATGAAACAATCCGCGCAATTCAAGATACTGGTGTCCAAGCCACCGCAAAGCACCTCGTTGGCAATGAACAAGAAACACAGCGAAAACCCACCATGATAAACGGCAAGATGGTCGACGCGGTATCCTCCAACATTGATGATCGCACTATGCACGAACTGTATCTCTGGCCTTTTGCTGACGCCGTTCACGCTGGTGTAGCATCAGTTATGTGCGGCTATAACCGTGTCAATGAGACGTACAGCTGCGAGAACAAGAATCTCATTAACAACCTCTTGAAGAAGGAGCTTGGGTTTGAAGGTTATGTCATGTCTGACTTTCTGGCGACGCCGCCTGGACTTATTCCTGTCAAGGCAGGTCTTGATATGAACCAACCTGGACCTGTCAATCTACTTCCCCTTGTTGAGACGTACTGGGGTGATAACCTTGTCAACGCTGTCAAGAACGAGACACTTTCTGAAACTGACTTGGACGGTATGGTGCGTCGTATCTTGACGCCTTACTTCTACCTTGGTCAGGATAAGGGATATCCTTCTGTTGACCCTTCTTCCCAGCCTCTTGTCTACAACGGCTTCAAGTATCCTTATCCTGGCCCATCTCCCGTTGGTCGCGATGTTCGCGGCAACCACTCTGCTCTCATCCGCGAGATAGCAGCTGCTGGAACAGTCTTGCTCAAGAATGAAGGCTCTATTCTCCCTTTGAACAAGTCTATCACCAACATTGGTCTCTTTGGCAATGATGCCGCTGATCCTTCCGTCGGTACCCTCTTCAGCGACTATGACGGCATCGATATCGGGACTCTGATCTCTGGAGGCGGTTCTGGAAGCGGCCGACCCAGCTACGTTGTCAGCCCTTTGGATGCGTTCAAGGCTTACGCGAAGGAGAACGACAAGCGGCTTCAGTACGTTACCAACAACACTGCTATTCTCAGCAGCATGCCTGGCCTGTACCCCTGGCCTGAAGTCTGCATCGTCTTCCTGAAGTCTTTTGCCACCGAGGGTTTTGATCGCAAGACCCTTGTCGCAGATGACAACTCAGTCGAGGTCGTCAATAGTATCGCATCCCGCTGCCCCCGTCGAACAATCGTCGTAACTCACTCTGGAGGGCCAGACATCATGCCATGGGCGATGAACCCCAACGTGAGCGCCATCGTCGCTGCGCATTATCCAGGCCAGGAATCAGGGAACTCCATCATGGATATCTTGATCGGAAAGGTCAATCCCTCTGGAAAGCTCCCATATACTATCGCCAAGAAAGAGGAGGACTACAACGGAAAAATCGTCAACATCACTGGGTCTGCCGCAGAAGATGCTTCAAAATGGCAAAGTGATTTCACTGAGGGACTCCTCATTGACTATCGACACTTCGACAACAAGGGCCTAGAGCCCGTTTACGAGTTTGGGTACGGGCTCAGCTACACTACCTTTGATCTATCCTCAAAGCTCGTCGTCGCCTCAGCGAACAAGATCTCCGCTCGTGCACCTCCCTCCAACACTACGCTTGCGCTAGGCGGTAACCCTCATCTTTGGGAAACAGTGGTCAAGTGTTCTGTCGAGGTATCCAACACCGGTCGGGTTGCAGGCGCGACAGTCGTCCAGCTGTATGCTTCTTTACCCGAGAAGAACATCCCAGCAAAGAGCCCAGTCCGGATGCTGCGCGGGTTCGAGAAGGTCCATCTTGAGCCTGGGAAGGCCAAGAAAGTTTCGTTCAGCCTGAAACGTCGCGATCTGAGTTATTGGGATGTTACTATCCAGGACTGGGTGGTTCCGAATGGTCATATCAAATTCAGTGTTGGCTTCAGCTCAAGGGATTTGAAGTCTTCGACGACTGTTCGATTGGTAAAGTAACGTTGTAGAGTACGGGAGATGGATTTGTTGCCCTAAAATTGGTCTTTGTCTTTCTATTTGTTATGCATACTCATTGGTGGAAGGTTTTCTTTTTCTGTCAAGGTTATACTCCCTTTGCTATATTCAATCTAATGTTCAATTTAATTCTGTTCATACTCCAACGTTACCTTTTTGATAGCGATGCTCTTTGTTCATGATCTCAGGTTAACACTATAGCCGTAGGAGAGGAAGTAGAGGTGGGAATTATAGGTCACAATGTATATCAGACTGAATCATTCTCATTACAGACAAATCTCTTTCATGACCTTGTGTAAATTATCGGTGGAAGCTCAACGTCAGGAACCCAGATCAGCTCTCTGACCTTACCAGATTCGTTGGCCCCGAATTCCACCTTCCAGAATGTCGCGTCTTGGTCGCTTCCAACCCACCGACCTCTACTCGCCAGTTCGTCTCGAGCCTCAAGCCACGTGAAAGTATCCTCATGGTAGTGAGTCAATTTGAACCTTTCTGTTTCGAGACCCTGCATGAGCCAATAGAGCTTGTCCTCTAGAACCCTGACTTCAACCTTGAAAATTTGCAAGTCATCCCAGTAAGTGCCGACGTACTCTGTCAGTGGCTTTGGTGATGTTCCCGCTTTTCGACCCTCCCTTAGTTTATCAACTACTCGGGGTTACTACTTGAGATTCTCGGCAACAGCCGCTTCCGCTAACCTAGTAAAGTCGGTTCTGAGCTCTGACGGTACGTTGACAATCTCTTCAATTATTAGCTGACCGATCCAGTCTGCTGCATCATTGAGAGCGAGTGAGTTTGTGAGAACAACGATCACAGTCTCCATCTCGGGCAAAAGAGCCACAAAGGTAAGTGAGCCAGGAAGGCTTTCCCTGATGAAACAGAACCAGGCTGGAGGTCCCTTTACCGATAAGAGGCATACCATTAGGGAGCAATGCTGGGTTGAGGCCGATCTGTCCGAGGCGGCCTGGTAGCTGAACTCTTCCCCATCCATATGCATAGGAGGCCTCATGCTGCGATGGCTGGTCAGAGGGGATCTTTCCAGACATGATCTGGTTTAGCTGCTTGAGGGGCGAGTCCTCGTTGGAGGCAGAAGTCTCACTGAACTGGGAGTTAAAGCCTTTCATATAGCTGCTGTATAGTTTGACCAAGTCTTTGACTGACGAACGTGCCCCACCGTTAGCGGCACCGTACCCATCATCGCCCATCCTGAGGAAGTCGATGGGAACCGTGGAAGCATTTTCGAGAGCGTTGTAGCATACTGCTACACCGTCGACACTCTTTGAGGGTGTCTGGAAGAAGGTCCTTTCCATTCCAAGAGGATCCAGAAGGCGGCTTTGCAGGAAGTCGAAGTAGGACTGTCCACTGACTTGTTCAATGACAGAGCCAACCATTTCGTAATTGAGGTTGTTGTATCCAAACTTAGCACGGAATGGACGTATGAGAGGCCTGTTGTTGATAAATTTCATGACATGTTCCGACCTGAGAAGAACGTTGCCTGCAGTGCCAAGAATGAGATTATCACCCCAGCCCATTCCGGTACGGTGGCAAAGAATATCGCTTATGGTAGTGTGATTATGAATAATAGGGTCCACGGAGTGGAAAGTCGGCAGGACATCCTTGACAAGGCTGTCCCACGATACTTTCTTCTCTTCAACAAGGAGACCAAGTGCTGCGGCAGTGATGGCTTTGGTTAAAGAGCAAATCGGAAAGATTGTATCTTCAGTGACAGGGAGCTTCCTTTCAACATCGCGAAAGCCATAATTGTCATAGATTATCGGATTGTCCTTGGTCACTACACCAATGGACACACCTGGAGTGCCCGCGATAGACATCAAGCGCTCGATGGGATGGGCCAGGTGGCGGAGTCTGACTGTAATGTCAGCCATTTTGGGTTGGTGTTGCCCTGCTTAATGAACAGGTCAGTAGGGAAATGGTATCAGTGTCATTGCGGTCCATGAAGTTGGTGGGCTATAAAGTGCAAAACCGTCATACCCAATCTTGGAGGCCAGTGAAGCCGATATGCAAGAGCCAAATTCCAGTACAGAGAAATTATTAGAAATAAAACGCTCACTGCCAAGAGTAGTTTTCCCTTCAGTGGCATGCAATCCATTCTTGAATTACGCCTGCCACGGCGTGGGACGAAGGAATGAGTATCTGAGGTTGAGCCGAGTGGCGGCTGGGAGGAAAATGTGTCACGCTCCATAAGTACTTCATGAATCAGACCTGGCAACTGCAAGCAGTTCTGGCCCGATGGACATTCCAAGCGTGAAAGAAATGGAGATTTTAAAAAAGTGTCGATGGAGGAAAGAAGAGAGGAGAGAAAACGAGGCTTACCTTGGCTTGTTGTGGCTTAATTGACCGCCAGGTATTCCGCTGTGATGAAATGAGCCCTTGGCCTGGTTGTCGGCAAGGATGATTAGAGAGAGTAGTCGGGCGTATTTGCGTATGAGGCAAAGAGGTTGAGAGGGAATGATTGTGGCAGGGGTTGAGGAAACAACAGGCTCAAGGTTAGATAACATCGTGGAGGATGGCTTAGAGTATCACCAACTGTACCCGCCTAATTCACATGCCCGCCATGATTGAGAGCGGAGGTCAGTGGGTGGACCTTCCGGACTATCTCTACTCAAACTTCACTATGGAGGAAATTAAGAAGCTGCTGGAAATACAAGTCCCAGTAAGTAATCTATATAATTGACCCACAAAATGGAAGAAGCTAATTCTGTTTGTTCGTAAGGATGCTGATAGTAAGGTGTCACAGAATGCTGGAGAATACTTTGGTAAATCTGAGTTTTGATTGTCTCTCGCAAATGCATACCTAAAGCATCAATCTCATGATGTCATTTCCCTCCATGTTCCGAATGATAGGTCAGCTGAATCTATTCAGAGAGGAGCCACGATATCTACAAGGCTAATTCAAGGAGCTATTAAAGAAACAGAGCGTTGTTAGGCTACCCTGTCAGACTCTACTATTATATAGATATAGAGAATAAACACGGCCAATTACAATAAAGATTACCCGCATACTATGCCTAGTATGGCCATCGTCAAACCCATATCATCCGTCAAGATGCTGAACGACCCGGGGATGCCATTTTGAAGCAAGCATAAGCAGCGACAGCCAGTGCAGCGATTCCGAAGTACAAGTCACCCGTGTCCGTGATGCCGCTCACAGGTGACTGGCCCTTTCCTGCATCACGCGGAATCAGGTCAAAAGTCTTAGAAATCGAAGACCATGCTGTGACCGCCGGCGCCACAACCGTATCCGCCATGCCGAAGCAGTACTCAAACGGCAGTCCAGTACTCCATGACAACAAATACGTCAGGCTAAGAGAATACACCTCCATGAGACGATGACGTCTCCCAGATCCAAAGCATGGCAGTGTGAGTAGGATGAATCTGTAGACTGCGTGCGCAAGAACCCAGCTCTTAGATGCAGCGGTGAAGACGAAGAGGTTGTCGTGAAGCATGATGGTTTTCCACTGTACTCTGTATCCTTGAAGGATTATCCAGGCTGACAGCGCGAGGCAAGCGGCTTTGCAGCAAAGACCGCGGAAAGTGTCTCCCGACGGTGTCGCGACCATCATGACGATGTTGCCATAGACTGCAAAGTTGACGTAAATGGTGAAAGCGTGGAGCCATCGCGCCTTGGTCGGTCTGCTAGCGACGATGAACAGAAGGACGGAGCCGAGACCGAGTGGCAGTTCGGCCATAGTCTTGATCATTTCACCTTTGCTGGATGTGTGGTCAAAGATGGCGATGACAACGCTGGTGATGAAGACAATAGTGAGGAGAAGCCCTGGTTTTGAGATTAGGCAGCGGTATGTGAGGAAGAGGATCCCGCTGAGGGATGCATTGAAGGGGATGTCGAGATACGGCTCTAATGCCGCGTATACTGATGAAAGGCCCATGGTGATGCGCTACCGTGTTGCTGCGTTAGAGATGAGTGAATGGTGGTGAGTGGTTTGTGAGGTTGTGTTATCTTATCAGCTCTCGGTGAGAGACGCGAAACGTAAGGATCCTTACAGGGGTTGTGATGAAATGTTAGTGGCCAAACCGCCGAACGATCCGCAGTTACCGAAGTGGAGTGCCCTGAAAAATATTCCGCCTGAAACGGACGGAAATACTACCTTGACGCATCAACACAAACAATGCGACATCCGTTTATCGCTAACAAGACCGATTAGCTCTTTGGTCGCCTTTCGCTATGGCTCGAGGTGTACACAATAAGGCACAGCTGGGAACCTACTATCAGACTGCAACAGGTCCTCGGACTGTCCCATTAACCGACCCTCAAGGTCACCGTCTTCGATGGCTGATAGATATTGGGGGTATCCACGTTTACTCAAGAGACGCTGACTCTGTTATCTTTGTGCCCAGTTCCCGACTCTGGGTTGAAGATGAAGCCGACGAGCCAGATGCTTCGTGGCGAGAAGACCCAGAGGCTTTCGACTGCTTCAAAACTTCTTATGCTTATAACATGATTGGCCAAGAGCATCCAAGAATCGTGCCGTAGATCATCAAAAGCTATCATCCCCACGGTCCCTCCTAACTGGATATACAAGTGATGTAGGTCAAGATGTCTGGACAGGTCTTCCTATCCTCCAGAAACCGTCGTATGGCTCTCTTTGGAACTTTATACAGAACTATGAGTCTCAGCTTTACACGGCTGGAGCAGATTCTGTACCTTCCACGTCCCGTATCAAGCCAGAATTCCGACCTTTGGCCTACCAATGGAGCTTGCAACTACTATCAGCCCTCTCGTTAATCCACTCTCACGGTAGAGCTTACGGAGAGCTCATCGAGACAAACTGCTGGATTAGTGCAGACTCTCTATCAATGGCGCTAGCAGGCTTCCTGGGTTCTGACTTTACCGATCCAAGCAATGGCTGGAACTTCCCCGGTTCTTTCTTCAGCGGTATAGAGTTTTCGCCACAATACCTTCCTCTATCGCGGGCGGTGAGAGTGCCAACATCTAAAACCGACATGTTCATGTTTGGTAGGTTATTATACCAGATCATGACATCTCAACTACCAGGTGATGGAATAGGTAGGGATTGGGGCGAAACCGAACGCTTGATGGCCGAGCAAGACTGGATGCCTGATCTTGAAGATGAATTTATGGGAAGTATTGTTCATAAATGCTGGAGGTTTGAGTATGAGGACATTGAAGAGTTGCAGAGTGAGGTTCAGGTATTTGTTGAAGCACGTGGGTGGTCTATTAGAGGGGATGAACTTGAGGGTTTCGACGCCCACAGTATTCATCGCCAACTTGAGGCAAATTTTGTTCCGGAAGAAGAGGAATAGGCTTTAATTGGTCATTACTACTAGGAGCTTTCTATAGATGTCAAGTTTCGGATAGAAAAGTTCGATTCTCGCGCAATAAACTTCCTTAGGCATGCATGAGCTTCCGTCATTTGAAGCGAACCAGGTGGCCCTGACGAAACTCTAGGTCAGCCTCTTCATGCAAAGGCGAGTGGGTGGAGGGTATTGTTTAAGTTACCTCATTCAGATTCGCGTGAGCGCGTGTATAAGACTTAACATCCACGCATGCAGGAGCCGTTGCAGCATCGAATGCCTTGAATACAAGCAGAGCATCCCGCCTGGCGGATAGCAAGTTCGAACTCGTCGCGAGAAACAAGCTTGCCAGGAATCTCAACTTCAGATTCAGGGAGAGCAGCAGCCATAGCGGTAGACACCGAGGCGATTGTGAAGATGATGATGGAAAACTTCATTGTTGGAATAGTTCAAGTAGTAGGAGATGAGAGGGCTAATGATGAGGGTAATGAACCTCTGTTAAGCGGGGGTTTCGCCAGCCTTTTATAGATCGGATTTGTGCGATACTGTTCACCTGACTTAGTGGTCGGATCACTGATTAGATGATCAGATAACAGGTCCATCCTCCCGCGCCATACTGATCCATGCTCCAAAGAACGGAGTTTCGTATGACGACCTATAATCTGTGAGAATCATATCAATCTGCGGAACGTTGTGTCATGTAAGCTTCCTTTAATGGGTCCCTCTTCGTAAATCTTACTGCCAAGTAGGCTACGGAAGCTGACCATCCCTCTCATGCGCGTATTCCTTCGGGCCATCGCCCTCGTAAACCGGAGAAAACCCCCAGAGGGTCTGGCTGTGTGATTATCCCACGTAACAACGGTAGTTCGCGCCACAGATACTAACCAAAATATTCGTGATAAGTCTGAACCTTTGTCCTGGTAGCTTCATCATGTGTCGACTGAAGGATGTGGCACAGGAAGGTCAAGACTTCACATTTGGTTCGACCTCTTCTGAACTATCTTGGCAGAGACGAGTCTGAAGACTTCTGCAATATATCAGGGCTTCAGATCAAGCCAATGTAGTTGCCAATCGACAAGTATAGGTGCCGAAAGTATCCGAAAGTCAGCAGACATGCATGACAGGCTTGAGATCCTACACCTGCCTACCTGGGATTAGCAAGAATGTGTATGAGGAAAACATTTTTAAGCGACTCCAAAATTTCGAACGGGATTCCGTTGCATGCAGAGTCAAGTAAGCTCAAAACGTATTCCAATCGCCGCAGTCATGGGAACAATATTGACAACTTATTTCCCCGTTGACTTGGTGGTTTGAGGTACTATGAATCAAACGAAAATCGATACGAGGTATGAATGCACTATTTTCATGATAGTCTCTTTCTCGAGCTTGATGCCGTTGCTTGGGACACGAAATACAAATAATACAGCCTCAGACATGCATCTTAGAGGATGAACTTCTTCTCGCCATCTTTATACACTCATATGAGTTCAATAATTACGGCCCCCGGATTCTTCCAGAAGCTTGACAGAGACATTACTCAACCTAACGCCTCCCACTTTCAAGCTCGACGGGAGCGTCTTCCTGAGCCTCCTTTTGCTTAATAGCCCAAGCAAGTTCCTTATCAGCCTGCGCCGCCCTCTTCTCATCCTCAGCTCCAAGCTTAACGTTACGAACGAGATACACCAGAACCAAGAGAAGACCCGACACGCAGACTGATCCAATAGCGAGAGTCTGCTGAGTCTGGCGGTAGCACTCGTCCACAGCGTTTCTATCAGCAGTTCCAGCCTCGTATGCACGCGCGACAACGATAGAGCCAAAGATCTTGCCACCTTCCTCTTTACCAAAGTACGCGTTGAGTTTTCGGGGGAGGACGGAGTTCCAGATGGCGCCGCTAATGGTGACTCCGAGATTGGAGCCGAAACCGAGGGACGAGAGGAAGACGGCTGTTGCGATGCCGACTTGCTCGTTTTCAAGGACGGCTTGGAGCGAGACCTGGAGTGGGACCTGGGTGAAACCACGGCCAACTCCGAGAAGGGACTTGGAGGTGATGAAAGCGGCTTCGCTGGCGATGTGGGTGCCAGAAACGTTGGTAAGGTAGATAGGAAGACCGCAGGCGAGGATGATCAAGACAACTCCAAGCATGATGAATGGCTTTGTGTTCTTGGCGAACTTGAGTGACAGGCCAGCCACAAGTGCACCGATATTGTACGCGACGCGCTGGGCGTTGTCGACGCGTGTTGCGGCTCCGGGCGAGTAATGGCCCGCAACTTGGAGGAAGCTCGAGAGGAAAGGTCGGTAGATACTATCAGCCATGGCGATGACGATGCACGACGCGCAGGCGACAATGACGTTGCGCTCGCGAATAGTTCGGTAGGGAATAATTGGGTTTGACGCGAATTTACCATCCCAGACCAGGAAAGCGATGAAGGTCAAAACACCAACGATAATAAGAACGATGGACGAAGGTCTGCTCCATCGATCGGTATTATTCCGTCCCGCAATCGTCATGGGCAACAGCGTCATAGCAAGACCGCCAATGAGAAGAAGAGCACCAATAAGATCAAGCTGGGTAGCAACATGCTTAGCCTTGCCAATAACACCAGGCTCAGCACCATGCATGAAAGAAATCTTCTCCGTGATCAAACCAATACGCTTCGCACGACGATTCATCCAAATCATAATACAGATGGTCGGAATAGCAGTGACGGGCAGAATGATAGCCCACATGCCATAACCCCATCTCCAGGAGGAGTTGAGAAGGATATGTTCGCCGAGATATGTTCCACCGTAGAGAGTGGGGATTGCGGAGAGGGATTCGGGAAGGGTGAAGATTATACCGCGGTTGACGAGGGTGGTTATATCGGCGACGAAGATCTGTTGGATGATGTTCCACCATGTATCACCGAAGACGTCAAAGATTCCACCGGCCTAGTACTTATTAGTCAGAGGAAGTGAGTGGATGCAAATGTGCGTACCAAGAAGGTGTCGACGTTGGAACAGGCTGCGTACATGGCGTTGCCGATGGCCATGCAGATAGCTGCGCCAGCAAAGCTCTGAGGGCGCCCGAAATACTGCGGACTGAATTAGCTACACTTCAAACCACCAGTCAAAACAAGTCCCTCCCTACATTTGCAAGCTTTGCGAGCAGTGGATACGACACAATGCGCACGAGGCCATTGACAATGGCACCAGTCGCAAGAAGAGAATGCGCCTTGAAGTGGCTCGTCGCATAAGGCTCGTAGACATTACCCGTATAGACAGTCAAGTTCATAAAGAAGAACATGACAAGAATACTACATCAAGATCAGTTTCACCCTCACAGAAGATCGATCAGCTCACCATCCAATCGCAAAACCAAGGGCTCGTTTCGTCCAGAGCTTCCTAAAAGCCTCATTCGTCGACCCTGGTCTCGAGATCTCCTCCTCCACTACCTCTTCACTTTTCCGCTCAGAATTGTTTGCCATCTTTGCTGCCTTGAAGCCGAAAATAATAGCTGCCAAAATTTCCCTCAAACTTTTGGGAAGACCGCGCCTTATGTGTAAAATATTCCCCTCAGCGTACGGCACTTATTTCCTAATTCACTCACGCATCACGATGATCCTTTCTGTTAACAGTAAAGAAAGCTGATTGATAGCTAGTCTTGGCGTGGACCCCTTCTTCGTTTAACCTTGCTTTTAAGCATGCCTGACAAATCCCATTACCGGTGGAATTTTCTCGCCAAGCAACTAAGTACGTAAATACGGTATTTAACTTCAAGTTAGACCATTTTGAGGGGTCTCTGCGGTTGGCGAGATGAAAAATGGCAAGGATGCTGATTATCAGACCGTTGAGATCTTATCTGATCGTGTCAGAGATTGGTCAGTGGGCAGTACCCCCACAGGAGAATGGGCTGATGATGGGTTAGGTTTTTTTTAGGCTATGGGAAGTGTCCACTTTGGTGAGTTTGGAATGTTGACGCTAAGATGGAATTGTATAATGGACCTTGGCGGTGGTGATTCCGCTGATGCGGATTGATAAACGGAGTACCGACTGTTTGGACTGGAACGGGATTTGTCCGAGATGAGAGCAGAAGATGATCGGCGTTTGTGAGACGCTTTAGAGGCGGGAGTTTGCATTGTTGTATAGATTGATGTGATATTTGACATGTGTTTGGTAACACTGTGGTACTGGATAGGGTTAATGCTGATGCTACGAGTGACTAGCATGAAAGACAGACATAATGAAGGAACAACGAAAGAATGAAGTTGATGGCTAGCGGTAACCTTATAACTATATGCAACCCGAATGCAATCTGAATAACCTAACGCGTTGTGAATAGTCCATCTCTCTAAGTACTACTCCATAACCCCGATCGACTGGTGCATCTCTTGTTAACCCTTTGCAATCTTCTCCGCCTCCTCCGTCGCCTCATTAACAATCTCATCAGCCTCGTCCTTCGTAAACGCATCCGTAAACTTCACCCACGACCCATGCGCAAGCCCCGTCCCCGCGCCAATAAGCAATCCCAAACCCGCCGTCGGAATCGCCACAACACCCGTCAACAAAGCGCCAACCCCCAGCCCCAGCCCACTAGCTACACCCGCTCCTATCCCCGTCCCTATAGCACCGCCCTGTATCCAGCCCTTCTCCAGCCTTTCAGCAATCTTCATGAGCTTAGCAGCCTTTTTGTCGATTTCTCGTGCTTCATGCCGTATGTTTTCCGCTTCTTCGGGATCTTCTTCCTTGTCTGCTTTTTCATGGAGTTCAAGGGATTTTTCTTGTAGACCTTTTGCTTCTTCGACGCGGGAGTGGATTTCTTTGGCGATGCGGTCTTGGGTGTTTGATTTGCTTTCCGAGGGAGCCTCGCCGTCGGCGGGCTTGTTTTGCCCGCCCATGAATTGGCTTGGTATTGCGCCGGAGAAGATTGATCCTAGTGCTTCGTTCATAAGGGTTAAAGTATAAAAAGTGATTTTGGGAAAAGATGGGGTTAATAAGGATGTGGCTTGATGGGTTGATGAGCTAGGAAACCTGGTTTGTTTTATCAAGATTGTAGGTGGGGGTGGCGGATGACGTAGTATCGTTATCCACGTATGTCTATGCAGGTAACCGTTGCTATGATGCTATAATTTTGTTGTATGCATCATTTACGAGATTCGTGTCTCGCAGCATCGAGAATATCAAGTTTGTTATAGAAAACTTCCAATAATATCGTAATCTTGTGTCGCGTAGAGGGTTTAGTCCCGGTAAACCATCAATAGTGGTCGAGTTGTAGCTCAAAGTCAACACGTAGGCAATGACAAAGCTCATGAACCCAATGTCCTCCTTGCTCACGCATAAAGTGAGCTTATTTTCATGAATTCCATTAATTAGTACGATATTAATGCAGTTTTCTTGTGTTCTGCCATCATGAACTTCCAAATTCAAGTTACCCTAGATCTTGTCGCGAATCGGGTTTGCTTATCTAACCCGTCTCAAATCCCCCAGCTCAACATCCATGATTGGCCAAGATCAGCAGTCATCATCCCTTAACCATCCCTTGCACCCCAAGAAAGCCGTCTCAACATAAACCTGTCCTCTCTTTCAAACCCCTCCCTCACTAAACTCTACTATCACAGTCATTTATCTCACTTGATTCAGGCTCCATCAAAATGTCAGCGCGAGGCCTGGGCTCCACATCGCCCGACCCGGGCGCGTCATCTCACGACCAACTCCCGCTGATGGATCTCGTAGACGGAGAAGAGGCGCGTGGGAGAAGCCATCCCGATGGAGCAACTGGTGCTGCGGCTGATCTAATGAGGAGACTTGGTGTTTCGCCCGAGAGGAGGATTAAAGTTACGCCTGAGGATGATGCGCGCGTGTTGAGGCGGATTGATAAGGTTGTTCTGCCTCTCATGCTAGCCGTCTATTTCTTACAAGGTGAACATATCATTCACTGAGCAATCAGATATGGATGCTGACTCTTGCAGGCCTTGACAAAGCTACAATCGCATACGCCTCCATCTTCGGCCTCATAGAAGACACAAACCTCAAAGGCAATCAATTCTCATGGCTTAGCTCAATAGTCTACGTCGCCCAACTCATCGCGCAATTCCCCCTAGCATGGCTTCTCGTCAAACTCCCTATTGGAAAATTCACAAGCTGCATGGTCACCCTCTGGGGCCTTACCCTTACATTTATGGCGGCAGCACATACCTTTCGTAGTCTGCTCTTTGCGCGTTTTTGGCTAGGTGCTTTTGAGGCTAGTATTGCGCCGAGCTTTGTGGCTATTACGCAGATGTTTTGGAGGAGGAGGGAGCAGCCGCTGAGGATGTCGTATTGGTATGCTATGAATGGCTTCACTGGTGTTGTAAGTTGATTGCTTAGATAGCGGGGTTGGATTAAACTGACGGTGTTTAGTTTGGCAGTTTGGCGACGTGGTGGCTTGCGCAGTTGCCGTTTGGACTAAAACCATACCAGGTAGGTTTGAGATGGCTCTTTGTGTTATAGGGATACTTACTGACGCGTTAGACCATCTTTGTTGCCTTTGGAATCATCACAGTCTGCTTCTCTACCGTCTTATTCTCATATATGCCCGACTCGCCAGCAGAGGCCAAATTTCTCGACAAGCACGATAAACTCATCGCCATTGAACGGTTGAGGATGAATCAGACTGGCGTCATGTCTCGTCAATGGCGGTGGGATCATTTCTGGGAGACCATCCGAGATTTGAAGACTTGGCTCTGGTTCTCTCTTATCTTCAGCATTTCGTACGTGGACCTGATCGTTGCTGCTGGCTGACCTACTGACAATCCGATTCATAGAGTACCCTCTGGTGGCGTTGGTTCTTTTGGGCCTCTCCTCATCAAATCATTTGGCTTCGATTCTTTCCAGGCGATTCTCTTCAATGCCCCGTTTGGTGTTGTTCAGTTCATCTCTACAGTTGGAGGCTCTTATGTCGCGACAAAGTACCATAAGAAGGGTCCGGTCATTGCCTTTTTGGCTCTTTTCCCAATTGTTGGCTGCATGATCATGCTCTCAACGCCGCATACACCTGATGGCAGGAATACTCTGCTGGGAGGCTATTACATGATATCTGTCTTTCCGGGCATCAGTGCGTTACCTTTTTCTTGTTGTAATCTTTGCTGCGTATGCTAAACCTGCTATAGTTCCTCTGATATACTCATGGTCTTCCTCAAATACTGCCGGCGACACCAAAGGCAAATGCAACTCTTCAGTACTCTTTATCGGCCAATCCCTCGGAAATATCATCGGCCCTCTTCTCTACAAACCATCAGAGGCGCCCGAGTACCATCGAGGGCTGTACTGGAATCTGCTCCTTTACATCGCAATCGTTGGACTCGTCGTGGTTACGACTATGTACCTGACCTATCTCAACCGCGACCATAGCCGCCGTCGCGTCATGGCTGGAAAGGACGCGGTGATTGTTGACTACAGCTTGTACTCACCCGAAGAAGCAGATCGTCTTCGAAGGTCGAAAGTGACGGAAGGACAACATATCGAAAATGCAAGGGATGCGACGGTTGGAGATCATGCGTTTGATGATATGACGGATTTGATGAACGACGAATTTGTATTTGTATTCTAAAGCAATTGGAAGACTTCCAGATATTCCTCTAGACTGTTTGCGATATTATCTCCATAGCACAGACATCTCGAAAAATCTATCAATACCTTCTGTAGACCAAACCTCCGCATCATGCAAATCGGCCTTCTTCCCGTGAACGAGATTCAGACCCATCGTTGATCTTGTTATCGTGAGGCTTTTGATCCAATTCGGTCTCAAAAGTAGCGACCGAATAGCATTTTAGTGGAAACAATTCTCAACATTGCCCAGATCATCCAACAGGTTGAAAAACGAATGCCACGAATCTTGATAATCTAATGTAACTGGCCAAAACAGGCTCGATCTGCACTTCAGCCAAGCACCCTCTCCACCTCTCAGATGCTGACAGTTGTACCTCGTTCGGCAAATACTCCCCCGAATCTGCGCGGGGTACTACTCTGAGTAATCCGACGTCGGATTAGGTATTTATATCTCCTCGTCTTCATGAGGGGTCATCATCATCGTTACCTTTCATCCCAGAATTCTTTAGTTCATCATGGCTACTCCTCAGTTTAAGCGCTATGTCATTGTTGGCATGGGCGTTCGCTCAGCTATGTACTACCAAGCTATCATCCAGGACTTCAAAGACGTCGCCAAGCTTGTTGGAATTTGCGATACGAACCAGACTCGCATGGACGTAGCAAACGAGCACATCGTCGAACTCGGCGGTGAAAAAGTCCAAACCTACAAAGACACAGATTTTGACAAGATGGTCCAAGAGCAAAAAGCCGATGTTGTCATCGTCACGACCATTGATCTTTTCCATCATCATTATTGCATTCGAGCTATGGAGTTAGGCTGTGATGCCATCACGGAAAAACCAATGACCATCGATGAGCATAAGCTTCAAGCTATGATTGACGCAGAGAAGAAGACGGGGAAACAAGTCCGTGTTCTTTTCAATTATCGGTACGCGCCGCATCATACCAAAGTTCGAGAACTCATCGACTCTGGCGTCATTGGCGAGATTTCAACCGTGCACATGGATTGGATTCTCGACTGTGCACATGGCGCGGATTTTATGCGACGCTGGCATCGGCATAAAGAGACTAGTGGTGGTATTCAGATGCACAAGTCGATCCATCATTTCGACCTTGTGCATTTCTGGCTCAATACTGAGCCTGAGCTCGTTTACTGTCTCGGAGACCTTCGTTTCTACGGCAAAGAAAATGCTGAGAGGCGGGGTGAGAAGAATCTCGGTGAACGGTATCAGAATAATGAGAATGCCAAGAACGATCCTTTTGCGTTCCAGCTTGATGAGAATGAGCGCATGAAGAAGTTGTATCTTGATGCTGAGCATGAAGATGGGTACATCCGCGACAGAAATTGTTTTGCGGAGGGTATTACCATCGAGGATAACTTGTCTATGATCATCAAGTACAAGAACCGCGCAGTCATGACGTACAACACATACGCCTACGCCCCATGGGAAGGATACAGATGTGTCTTCAACGGCAGCAAGGGCCGTATCGAAGTCAACGTCGTTGAGAGCGGTTACAACCCCCTCGGCGATCCAGTAACCAAGGACGCTACTGGGGAGGATGAGAAGTATATTCAGGGCGGTGTTGAGCAGACCAAGATTGTTGTTTACCCCCTGTTTGATAAGCCGTATGTTGTTGATGTTGTGAAGCAGGAGGGTGGTCATGGTGGAGGAGATCCTGTTTTGTTGAAGGATGTTCTTTTGGGGGGTGAGGTTGATAATTTTAAGAGGGCTGCTAATATTCGGGATGGAGGGAATGCGGTTTTGGTGGGTGTTGGGGCGAATCATAGTATGAAGAGTGGTATGCCTGTCAAGGTTCAAGAGTTGGTCAAGTGGTAGTTGCAGATAGTCAATCCAAATCTGAATAATTAAGAAGATGATTCACTCTCACAGTTGAAAAGAAAACAAGTGCTTTTATGATCCTTGCCATACAAATACAAACCTCGCTCAAAAGGAATCCATAGTCAAATCATTCGCTCCACTCTCCTTCCCATTCCCATCATAATTCTTATCATTCATATCCCCCATCAGTCCCGTAAACATACCACCCATCCCGACCTCCTCCACCTGACCAACAGTCTGATCCGGCGGAGACCCCAATAAATCATAAGGCCAAAAAGGAACGCCGCCAACGTCGTTAAAATGTGTTGAATCCATCAAAGACATATCACCAAAGTCCAGCGGTGGAATATTCGTAATCTCACATAAAGCTGCTGTTAGATCCACGGGGAAGGGCTGTTTGTTGTTGAAGAACGCTTCTTGGTCGATGTTGCGCAAGTCTTGGGTTTGGAGGTTTGAGGACATGATATTGTTTTGATCGATAAAGTCTGTTAGATTGTCGGGGATGAGATGTTTGTTCATGGCAGAGAAACGTTTCATTGATTGTTCGTCGACGGTTGGCATGGATGTTGCTTGAGATCTGGAGCTGAGACCACGGCCTGCTTTTCGTAAAGATGGTGGAAAGTCGCATTCGTCTGGGAGTCTGCCGTTGCTGATACTCATATCAAGCGTCATAACGAGTCGTAAGTAATAACTCGGTCGCGTTTTGAGCATATCCAGACAACTACTCGGCGAAGGTTCGTCCTCGGTGGCCATAGGTGCCGGTGATCGTTGTCTCGCTAGTTCAACGACATGTCGAATAGCCCGCATAACCCAGTCTGTGATGTAGTATTTCTTCTTATAGCTCTTCATTTGTTTCAGGATATTTTCAACGTGTTGTTCTTTTTGGGTGAGTTTGACGCCTTCTTCTGGTGAAGCTGGCTTCTTGGGGCGGAGAAGTTCGACATCGATCATTTGGAGTGCTAGCGGAAAGGCTGTGCACCCGATGCTTCAGATTGTTAATGACGGGCTGAGGTCAGTTGAGGGATTGACTTACGCAGTCATTGGTAGCCAGCGTGATAACCCTAGACGGTCGAATTCGAGAAGACATTCAGTTACGCGTGATGCTGAACCTTGAAGATCCTCGCTCTGTCGTCGGAGTTGTGTATCGGATTGAGAGGGCGGTAATAAGCTTGATCGCAGGATGTTGTAATGACAGACAGAAAGCCTCGCGGAACTATCAATGTCAGTTTCTGCAATCCCCTTCATCCCGTCGAAACTTACTGGTAGTACATCTCAATGAGATTCTTGAACAAAATAATCGACGAAGCCGGAGAAATCTCCTCAGCCATCCTCTCATCCAACGTCGTCTTCGTCTCACTCCACGAACTATACCACCGACAAAGCTCCATCTGACACAGACTCGCATCCTTCCCAACCTCCATCCTCCCCGACAGCATCCACGACGGATTATTATAAAGCACCGACGTAACCGTCAAAACATCCGTAAGCACCACACAAAGATCCACCAACCTCGAAAGCAACTCGGCATGCAGCGTCTTGGTCGTAGAGTCGTAGACATCAGAATTATACAGCTCATCGCATAAATCCGCACTTCCCAATTTCGAACAAGAAAAGCTGAAATTCGATGGTGTGATTTTTATGCTCTGGCGAGATGTTAGGGGGAGGAGGCGATCGCAGATAATGCAGCACCACCAGAGGCGTTTAAGGGTGTTGCGGAGTTTTTGGACTTTGGCTACTTCGGTGTCTTTGCTGGGACGCAGGGAGGAGTAGCAGTGGGCTTTTGCGACGCGGGCGTAGGATATAGCGATGCCGAGCCAGATTGAGCCGAGGGGCTTGTTGCCTGCTATGCAGCGGGGGATGAGGTGTGTGTGGGCGAGGAGGAGGGAGGCTTGGGCTATGGCGATGCAAGACTTTTCGACGCTGAAGTCATAAAGAAGCTGCGGTCATGAGCAACGCTATGGTGCAAAGGGTGGAGAGCATACCTTTGATCGACGATAAAACGCAAGTTTGGCCTGATGTACATCCTCAAAGCCTAGCATTTTAATCGTCTCCGACGAAACAAACTATCTCTGTCAGCATCATGTCCATCTTCTCGATCCAGAACCCTTACACCTGAAGAAATGAACAATATCCCCTGCAACACCAGCATCGGCATCTCATATTCCACATCATTATCCACCGAATTATACGAAAGCCAAAAATCCTTCTCATTCAATATCGGAAGCATCGGATGAACATGCAGAAAATACTGTCTCAGAAAATCATCCAGCGCCGCGCGCTGCGGCACAACAAAACATCCTTGACTAACGAGGAATGCTAAATCTTGCGGGAGCAAGTCTTTTGTATCGGGGACTTGAAGAAATGCGTAGTCGGGATGCGTTGGCGATCCAGCGCAATTCGTCGGTTGTTGTGATGTTTGCGCGATTGTAGTGGGTATTGGTGGTGAGGGCTTCTGTGTTGCGGGGAGGATATTTCGGGGTTCGGATGTCGTGGTTGTTGATTCTTCGATGGATCGGGGCGTCGGGGGTTCGTTTGGTCGTAGTGAAGGAGTCGTTGATCTGTTTAGTTAGTATTGAATTGAATTGTTGGAGGGTTGATGTAGCGTACATTATTCCATGGCGGCGCTTAAAGGTGCAGACCTTGTCGTTGTGTCTGCAATTGACACAAGGACCAGCCGGATTCTCAATGATGCACCGAACTTTTCTTGACCGACATAAATTGCACGCTCTCGAGACTCTTTTTCTCATGGTTTTTGTCGGCTGCATTTTTCTCACTTTTCCCAACAATAAAACAAATACCGGGGTCGGAAAAAAAGTCTGGTGATAAGATATCGGGTTAGAGGTCGTGATAATGTTGAATCAAAGTTGTCAACTCGCAATCCTCGGATTGAAAAGCAAGACGCCAGCTGCCCTGTTCCCCCCGGGATCCGATGGCATTTGCCGACGGTCTTCCCCACAGAATGGTGATCAATCCCCGCAAGATTTGACTGGTTTGGCGGACGCTAGAACGGTGTGAGCTAAGCGGTTTGAGGGTCGACACGCCGGTGGCCAAGGAGCTATTGGAAGCATAATTGCTTTAGCTGAAGCGAGACGACCAATCTTGATGGGAGACGGTCATTCTTTGTGTTTAATTCGTTACAGGGCAGGCGTTTCCATGTGGTGAAGAAGTTCTATGCAGAATATCCACTGATTAATTAATTGATGTCGGATAACGTTAATTATCATGGGCACACGTCACAGAAGACTCGCATTTTGATGGATGTTGCAGAGGGAAAATAGCCTAAGCGATGCATACCGACTGGGAATAGCTTCATGCACAAGCATGCACAAGATAAGCACATCTGCAATTACGACGAATTGGATCCAACCATTCACTCACCAAACACTGAATCTCACTAAATAAACGAAAATCAGCAGCGGGGTACCAAAGCACGCAACATAATGATGAAATTGCTCTCTATTTATCCGCCTATCGGGCCCTATCTCTCAGATCATTAATATTCTCTTATTCCCCTCTTAATCCCAACCTTCGACCTTCACCTTTCAACGTCAAACTCATCAAGATGTCCGCAAAAGAACTCCCCCCTCATCTCAAACAGTCTGTCGAGGCTTCGAAATGCGAGTATCGCAACTTGGGTAAATCAGGTCTGCGCATTTCAGTTCCTGTGTTTGGATGCATGAGCTTTGGTGATAAGAGGGTGCTTCCTTGGGTTATTGGAGAGGATGAGGTATGGCACCAATCCTCAGCAGAGAAACGTCGCTGATAGCTTTATAGGCCCTGGACCTTCTCAAGGCTGCTTATGATCGCGGTTTGAATACCTGGGATACCGCTAATACCTACAGCAATGGCGCGTCGGAGGAAATTGTTGGCAAAGCGTTGAAGAAGTTCAACATTCCCCGCCACAAGGTTGTCATCCTTAGTAAATGCCGCTGGGGCGTAGGCGAAGAACCAGGTCAGCCAAAACAAATCCAAATGTTCGCAAAGACAGCAATTCTAATGCATCACAGGTGCTCGTCACATCAACTTCAAAGACGAATTCGCCATCTCAAAAGACTACCAAAACCAATACGGTCTCTCCCGCGCCGCAATCTTCAACCAAGTCAACGCATCCCTCAAGCGTCTCGACACCGAATACATCGATCTTCTCCAAATCCACCGCTTCGACGACGACACGCCCCTCGAAGAAACCATGAAAGCACTCCATGATCTCGTGCAATCCGGAAAAGTGCGCTACATTGGAGCAAGCAGCATGTGGGCAACACAGTTCGCGCGCATGCAATTCGTCGCTGAAAAGAACGGCTGGACGAAATTCATCAGTATGCAGAACCACTATAACCTCCTGTACCGGGAAGAAGAGCGCGAGATGATTCGTTTCTGTAACGATACTGGTGTTGGGATTATTCCGTGGGCGCCGCTTTGTAGAGGACATCTTGCACGGCCGCCTGCGCAGTTTGGATCTACGGATAGAAGTAAGGAGGAGAAAGAAGGGTCTGGGGAATTATCGGAGGTTGATCAGAAGATTATCGGCAGGGTTGTTGAAGTTGCGGAGAAGCATGATTGGCCTATGGCGCATGTTGCGCTGGCTTGGATCAATCAGCGGATTACGAGTCCGATTATTGGGTTTAGTAGCGTTGAGAGGATTGAGCAGGCTATTGGTGCTAGGGGGAAGAAGTTGAGTGATGAGGAGGTGAAGTATTTGGAGGAGTTGTATCAAGCCAAACCGATTGCCGGGCATACTTGAGGACAGTCGCGAGCCTCCAGGTACAATCATAAGAAGTGACTACTGTTAGACCTACATCAGGGATAAGACAATAAACGTGATCATTGTCAAAAAGTTCATGATGTATTTCTTAGCGCTTCAATCTGTGAGTCTGTGGATTTCCGACGTAGAAATGTTGATCCGGGTTCGGCATGTCTATCGGCAAGATTCACGGAACGGCACTTTAGTTCGGCTGCTAAGCCCACTAAATCTCCAGGCCCCGCGCCCTGCAAATAACAGTGACACGGGCCCTTAAACCCGCTCAAGCCCCGCCACCACTTAGTTCAACTTCATCTTCACCATGAGCGATTCCATCCCATCGGTTCAAAAGGCGGCCTTGATCAAAAACCCTGGAAATGACGCACGAATTGTGACTCAGTCGGACATCCCGGTTGCAAATCCTGGCTCAAATGAGATTCTCGTAAAGTTGACCTTTACTGGTGTTTGGTTATTACCCTTTCTCTTGTTTAAGGTCGGCATGTTGACTGACTTCACTCAGTGGCTCAGAAATCCGTGCTTTGTCAGGTTGGGGCCCTTATGACCCCATTGTCGGACATGAAGGTGTAGGAACAGTCGTCAAACTCGGTCAAGACGTTGACGCAGGCCTGCTCAACAAGCGAGTCGGCGTAAAATGGCTCTACAGCGCCTGCGGGGCTTGCACCATTTGCAAAAGAGGCTATCCCAATAACTGTCCCAAACAGCTCAACACCGGAAAACATGTCCCCGGAACATTGCAGGAATACATGATTGCAGATGCGAGATACGTGACTGAGATTCCGGATGGTCTTCCTGGTGAAGTTGCAGCTCCTCTGCTCTGTGCGGGTTTGACGATGGCTGGTGCTGTGTCGAAGCTGAAGGGGTATGCTGAGAAGGGTGATTGGGTTGTTATTTCTGGCTCAGGTGGTGGACTTGGACACCTGGGTGTTCAAATTGCTAGCAGACTGAGCGGTCTGCGAGTTATTGCTGTTGATACTGGAGAGCCTAGGCGGAAGTTGAGCTTGGATAGTGGTGCTGAGCACTTTATCGACTTTGCAAGTGAGGACGTCGAGGGAAGAGTCAAGGAGATAACCGGAGAGGGAGCATCAGCTGTCCTGGTGGTGACTGGCTCTCAAGAAGCTTTTGTCCAAGCACCAAATCTAGTACGAAATATGGGCATCATCGTTACGATTGGCCTGCCGAGGAATGACTTCAACATTCCACTCTCTGCAACGATATGCTCTGCAAGATGTAGGTACCTTCCCTGTTCTCATATACAGTTGATTACTCACTCGATGACCAGCACTTACAGTAACCGGCGTTGCGGTTGGCACGGAGGAGCAGATGAAGGAGCTCTTGCAGCATGCCCTCGATAGAATAATAGTCCCGGAGGTCAAAGTGCTTGAGTTTGAAGAAGTAGGCAAGGTGGTTCGGGAATTACAACGGCAGGAAGTTACTGGTAGAGTAGTCGTCAGAATACCATGAGCAAGTGACTGTGGCCGTACCCCACGGTCTATGGCGTATTTACCAGGGTAGATGTTATAGTCACATTGAGAATACGGTCTGAGTGAATGGCCCATCATTTCAAGCAAAGCTTTTCGTAGTTGATATCTGCTTTCTACAACTTCGCTCTTTGTCTTTTTGGCAATCCGCAAGAAGCGCTTTCAAGAAAAGCGCCCTCTTGTCCTCCGTTGACTATTCCTTGTCTCAGAGGAAGGCGAGAAAATCTCAAATGACCGCCATCGACCAGGTTCTTTTGACTTTCACAACATCATTCTCACCCAAGCAGGTCAAACTCAAGGCTACATATCACTCTTGACCATCCTATCCACAGTTTTCAACTGCAATCATGATTCTCTTCGTGATTCCAGTGTAGCCTGCGCCCCTCACCACAGAATACCGCCAACCAATCTGAATTCGACAAAATCTGGATTTTCCTCCGCCCAAGAGTCAAGCTTCTTGTTCTGCTCAGCAGTCCAAGGATTTCGGAACCTTCCACAAGCAAAAGGGTTGTGCTCCTCCTTCTGAGTCTCCTCAACTCGGTTTTGCGACTCTTTTGCCACTAGATCCATAAAGCGAGGTGTCGACCGGCAGGTTTTCGAATACAGTTCGGGCATGAATTGAGTATTTCGGCAGCAATATAATTGAATGTACGGAGGAATCGGTCGTTTTTAGAAGACTCTGTGGGATCCTCCAGGGGTGCGTTTATATAGCCACTCTCCGTTGAACTTGTCGACAAACCACCGTTGTCGCGCTGGGCCACGAACCATTTTGTGAATCAACGTTTCGAAAAGCTGTAAACATTCTCTCTCAGATTCGTTTGGACGACAAGCGCTCTCCATCAGTTGCAGGTCATGAACCCTCTCCAACTTGATACCATACTGAACGTATAAAATGTGAGAGTCATGTCGAACGTCAAAAAAGACTTTTTGGTAAGATGGAGAATCCAAAATACTTCGTAAACTGGCGCCGTAGAATCCTCGAGTCGAAAAAGCCATGTTTGCGAGGATGCTAATGTCCACGAGGTAGAAGCGTCGCCGAAGGTCTGGCCCGTAGCACAGCAGGATCGTCAAAATGTTGAGTTCTCCATCTTCACCGAGACTCATTTGCTCAATGTCGATGTAGAGTAATGGCAGGCTGCTTCTATGGGAGGTGTTCAGGATTGCTATTCCATCCACGAGTGACTTTATGCCTTCTATTGTGTTGATGACCTGTATATCTGAGGTTGGCTTTTTATTGGATTCCATGGTTGATTGTGTTTTGGTTATCTGTTTCTCGACATGGGGGTTACTGACAATATTTATACCTGTACTAACTAGCCTTATGGTAGGTTTGTCCCTGTAATTGATTACAAAAGTGTAATTATTAAATAGCCTGGTTGAATGTATTTTGTAACACTCCTGTACTGATTTTACATCATTTTCTATTCTTATGTATATCTTTTTTCTTAAAGAAAATAACTTCCATGAAAACGGTGGGGGCTTACAATCCTATGGCTCGCCGAACTGATTAACTTTTGCACACACCCTTGACAATTGGTAGCAGCTCTGGTTCTTCTAGACCCCTGTGGCATAGCTAAATCCTCTCCGACGACGATAAGGTCATTCTGCAATGCACATCCGTCGAACAGTTGGCTCAACAACTGATCGAACAATTCAAACCACCATACGCCGACTGGCTCAACTACGCCGGAGATCTCAGCTACAGCAGAACAACGAACACCTTAACCAACAGCAAATACGCAACGAAAAGGCAATGCTAGGCAGCCATGACATTAGCCAGAATAGTCTACGGGGAAGACGACGTCGCCCAATGCCAACAAGATAATGGGGTACCAGACTGAATTCCCTAACTCAGAGCCAGATAGATAACGCCAGCTCATAGGAAGTAGAACTTTAATCCAGCCCTGATGATCGATCGCTGTATCAATGGACCCGCCATGTGGCAAACGTCCAGCGTATCACATCGGTATTATAAAAGTTTCGGGAGCGCGCACGAAAGTAAATCTGCCTCCTTTTATTACATGGCCGTGTGAAATTATTCAGCCCTAGGGCATGACAAGTTCCAACTAGAGCCCTAATTTCACATTGTAGGGCTGTCGAATGACACCTCTCGGGTTTTCGGCATCAAAGCTCCATTTGTTGTCATGTGTCCGGCTTGTCCCAGACGCATTTCAGAAACCACAGGCTAGAAAGGTGTCGTTACCGATATCATGGGGCAGGCTTATTCTTTTCAGGGGTCTCATTCAGCCCAGTTGCAGAACGGGCGAGTTATTGATGACGCTATTTAACCAAGCGCGGCACTGTTAAGTTCTAGATTTTCGGGAGTGGATCAGACACGATATCATCAGTACAAAAAGAATGTCACCGCCACATCTTCATCGTGAATAATGAAAAGTAACGAAATGATATGAGCAACCTTCGATCTATAGATCTTGGCTGTTTCTATAAGTGCTGGTACCGTTGCCGTTGCTCATAATTGCAAAGTGATGTCTTCGATGGTGAAGAATAGTACTCCAGAAAAGGAAACGCGTTGGAAATTGGCAGCCACAGTCCCTGACGCTACACTTGATTAAGCATAAACCTCTGATTCGGACCCTTTTTTCCATCGGCCACTATCCTCTAGTGAGTTCTATGGCTGAGCTGAGATACCCATCACAATCGAACTATTTGAAAGCTATACGCAACTATCGTTTGTCCGCTCACAGATCAGGGGCAAAGCGCATTACCGTTGTCTGCCGTGTAACCGAAGATGGGGAAATTTTCGTAGCCTTAATAACTCAAATGTCCAGAAACTTTGCATGTTTCTCTTCCTTTCTTAGTATCCGCATCATTCGTGAGTGTTCGTCCTCACAGCCACTCTTTCATATTTCCTACACCACGCTCTTTAACCATGCGCTCCCTCTTAGCTCTCGCAGCTTTGGCCCTCAGTGGCACCCTCGATCTCGCTGCTGCAAGTGTCTGTAAGCCTCGCGCCTCTCATCTCAGCTCCGCTACAACCGATCTCACTCCCTCCGACACCGCGACTTCAGCAGCTGCTTCAGAGACCGCCGGATCTATTGTTATAAAGAGCGTCGTCGACGGCGGTGGTTTCTCAGTTGCTCCACCAGAAGGTGGCGTCCCAGGCTTCACTGTTCAAGGTGACGGCGGAATCGTCGTTGGACCAGGTTACAAGGGCGATGGAAGTAAAGACTCAGGCTGTCTTTCGCTAAGGGCTAGTGGCGATAAGAAACGAGATCTCGGGAGCTTTGCTGGTGTCGCTCAGTCACTTGATCAGTTGAGCTTGACTAGGCCTTACACCGTTCGCTTCTTTTACTTGGTTGTCACTGCCCCCTCGCTGAACTTCTGCCGATTGACTGCTTCGCTTGGTAGCCAGACTTTCTTCCAGACATGGATCATCAGCTTCGGAACCAGTGTGCAGTGGGGTATGGCTCTTGAGCAAGTCACGGCTGCTCAACGCTCTGCAGCTCTGTCTATCTCTATGAACTGCATCGTTGGCGGTTCTGCTCAGGTTTATGTTGACTCGTTGTTCATGTCTAACCAGGTTACTCCTGCGACTATCGATGACCATCCACTTGATCTTGGTGGCTCTGATGTTTCTGACTTTACTACCACCTCATCTTCTGCTATTCAGACAACTACTTCGAGCAAAGTTGAAACTACCTCGGTGCCTCCGATTATTCCAACTCATCTCCAGAGCTCAGATGTTACTTCAAACTCTGCTACCCCTGGTACTGGAAGTCCCAACACCCTCCCAACTGGCAATCATACGCCGGTCACCGGAAACCCTAACACTGTTCCTACTGGAAATAATACCCCCGGTCCGGCCGGCAGCCTGACCTCCGCTGGAGCCAACACCCAAGCCACTACTCAGCCTGGTCCTCAGACCCCCGGCGCCCAGACAACTACATCCAGCACTGAAAAGCAGACCGGCACTGAGTCAGCTGCGACAAGCGCTACTACATCAAGCGGTAGCTCTTCCCCTCGCCAATCCTCAACCATCAAGCCTGACGGCCCAGTCAGTCGTGTCTGCGCCAATATCGGTTCATCCTCTATCGCCGGTCGCGGATGCGGTATGCAGCCTTACAACAGCGCCAGAGCATACAGTCGCTTCACAAGCAGCAACTACCAGAAGGAAGACTGCGCAGCTCTTTGTCTCGCCGATGAGAACTGTAAGTCTTTTGAGTGGAGCTACGGCAACAACTGTGCCAACGAATGTCGTCTCATCGCCTCTGTCTTGAGCGATGTCCCTATTGGTAACACTGGTACCCAGTTCACCTCTTACGACCGCAGCTGCATCATTTCCAAGCCATGCCCTAGCTTTCCTGAGGATAGTATCTGCATCAACAAGATGGGCAGCACACCAAACAAGGGCTGCGTCCGTCGCAAGGGAACGCTCAAGTCTTGTGCTCAGGAATTTGCGACTCTTACTGTTCAGCCTTGCGGTGGTGGCGATCAGTGCAGAGACATGTGCGCCATGTATGCTGATTGTCAGTCCTACTCTTATACTTCTCTTTTATCTCAGAGAAACTGCAAGTTGTACGCTGGCACTACTGATGAGATCGCTGATGAGGGAGGTAGTGACTACTTCTCTGATATCGGCTGCTGGGCTTGTGGAAAGAACATGGGTTTCTCCACGTACGGTCTTCTCACCAATGATAATGTTGTTCTCCCTGAGATGACATGTCAAGCTCCTACCAAGGCTGTCTCTGATACTCCTACCACCTTCAGCACGAGAACTACTCAAGCTGCTGAGTCTACTTCTTCGTCATCCGACGTGCAGCAGCCCCCAACCAGCACAACAGAGTCTTCCAGCTCTACAGCTACCGTCATGACCTGCCCCACTGGCATCGCACCCCCCGGGTTTTGCCAACCCCTCGACAGCCTCCCCACACAATCCGTTTCACTCCCCGGTATCCTAGATCACTGGCCCCAGAGTGACGGCGACGTCGAGCCTCCCGTCCAGCGAACCTGCAATGCCTTTGGTATCAAGAAGGGCGGCTGGTGGGGACGCACTGTTCAAAGCAACAGAAGGCAAAACACCATGGAAGACTGTGCTTTGCTTTGCCGCGAGGAGGGTAATTGTGAAGCTTTCGGCCTTGATACAACTAGTGGATGGGGTAATCAGTGTGCTTTGTCGACTTATAAGCTTGGTACTGAGGGTATTGATCTCAACGTCCCGTATTCTTTCTGGTGGAGTGACCTGGATTGTTATGAGTGCCATGACTGTCAGGCTGCTTGAGGTCGCTGAACTACAGAAATGCTGGGGTTGTATATATCATTTATGAGTATCTTAACATCTATATTCTAGATTCCCTATAGCTATAATAATATCAATGATAAATCAATGCTGTTTCTGCAATTATTCACAGGTCTGCAAGAGTTCAGGCCTGAAGTTCTCGTGCAGATATCCCGACGGAAGTACTGCAATTAATACATGCACGGATCAAAGTTATTACTTTCAAGAAAATAAAGATTCTCAATGATACTAAGAATTCTGAAATACTATAGAAGCAACCCATTCTCGTAGCAAATCATAAAGTAACTTGATAGGATCAAACCGCCTAAAACGGCCATTGGCAACCACCATACCTAACCACCATTAGTCGTAATACTCCGGAGCAAGTCTGTGACGCATCAAAACATCTCGATCATTTCCAAGAATGACTTTCGCTCCCGTCGCTTTCTGCAACATGTGCACCAGCTGGTTAGACTGAGACCAAGCAGCATGATCTCTTGTCAGCTAACCCTGAGTGCTGAGATTATCGTAAAAGCATACATCGGGAGCCACTTGATAGTTGGGGTGCATTATGCAAGGCCGGGTAGTTCAGAGTGGGTAGCTAATTAACTTGTATAGATGCTTAGGACAGGCACGACCTGACAAGAAGAGTTTCAATATTTCTGGAGAACAAAGGGCAATCGACACTTGGAATAGGACAGTCTGAGGTTCAAATGTTCTTATCGACATAAAAGGTTGCTGTATTATGGTCAATCGCGAAAATTTGAAATATATACCATACAACATCAGGCGGACAAACCTACGCGCCAACTAGCCAATACCTTATCTTTCTCAACCACTTACATGCTTAGCAAAGACATATGTAATAGTATCTACGAGCGGCATGTTTCCCTTCCAATTGAGCCTAAACGCAAGTATATGGAAACTGGTTGGCTAATGAGCTCACAGCTTCGTATCCTACCATCTTGATATGACATGGTACCTTTGGGTCCCCTGCTCCCTTGATCTGCGGTTCCTGGCTCCACAAACACGAGATCATGGGTCCTAGCGACTAACCGAGAACCGAGCGTGTAAGAAATCTTGCTTCTGCTGTTGAATGCGCAAAGTTCAGTCCACCTTGAACTAGGCGTGTTGGGGTTTTGTGAAGGGGAAAGAAAAAGTGTCGATATTATATGGACAATAGATAGGTACGGTGAATTATGCACCAAGTTAAAAGGGTATATGCAGATAGAAGAGTGGCGAATGACCTCTTGGTAATACAAGCAAATGCCCAACAGCACTTAAGCTTGTAGCGGCATTAAAACTACAAGCAGCACAGTCTATGTCTAGTCTGGTCTAGTCTGTGGGCTATGCCCAAATTCAGCAACAACAGTGTATAGCTCTCGCGAATTTTTAGCGTATGGTCCCTAGTTATCTTATCTCACCAAGAAAAATGCTCTCGTACTGTGATAAGGTGATAAGGTTGAGAGGTTAAAAGAAGCTTCAGCTACGTCATTAGCCTTCAGCGTCTACACGTTCGCAACGTTCACATTTCACGAGAAGATGGTACTGTTTGGTACGTTGCTACGTTCTGCTTCTTGGAATTAGAGCAATCAAGATGATGTCATTTCCTTAATCCATACCATACCTAGTCGCTGGAAATAAAGCAAAACTATCTACACGTTCAACGATCCCTTGTCATGCTAACTAGCGGGGAGCGATTGATGCTGTCTACAAGGTTGATGGCCTTCTTGGGGATGAATGAATTTTGTCTACTTGTAAGATAAACCTTTCCCGGGAACAAGACATCAGTCAAAACAAAACTGCTTGCAATGGCCGAAGATTTCTCTGTCGTGTTTCTCAGCATTGCTTAATTGTCGGTGAATATGGTATTTCTACCGGGAGTTCGGGTTACTGCCAATTGACTTAACGTTTAGCGCTGTCTGCAGTGTCAGTTGCAATCCCCTGGGCGCAGCCTCATATACTATAAGTGTGTCTAATGTTCCTAAATGCTGCGTCCGCCTTGATCCAATGTCTCCCGACTGAGTCGCGACTTGACGTCGGCTTTAATGACACGTCCATCAATGCCGCTGCCGCTGTCGGCAGTTTAGTCGCTAATTATACCTAGATTGGTTGCATTTCGCTTCTTAGCGGCCTCCTCAGAAGACATGTTTATATACACGGTTGGTGCAATACACCATGGCGGCACTGCATGCGCTTGGCGCTCTTCGAGGGACATATGTATGTACAGTAATACCATAAACCATATCAGCTATCTGTGTAACAACGCTGTGTGTCATCATTGTTTTATTTACCCAGCAGTGGCATAATAAAGAAGAGACAAGAGAGCCAAAGAGGCACCTTCATCATTGGCTAAGATATGCTGACTTGCCTTGGAGGCCAGATGCGGAATCCATTGCGCGATTTCCTATACCCCTGTCCTTTGATCGACATGATTGCCCCGCACGTCGAAAAACATGTCACCGGTGCTTGCTGGTGACACATCACTTCCAACGGTCTTCAATTACCAGGGTCGTGTGTCAAGTTTTATCCCAGCTCGCATCACCGATATCCGAAAATGCCCTGATGCAGCATCTGATAACTATCTCCTACCATTTTCTCCTGCACTTAATCTGGACATGATAATCCTAGAGGTGGAATATTATTCTGCTAGTGCGACTACGAATGCACATCAAGTCAATCACGCGGTACTGTTTGTAATAATTGGACGAATTGCTGATCCTGCGGACCGTTAATCCGACCAACTGTAATCGGGCGTAAGCACTAAAGTTATCACCCAAAACTTCAGCCTTGGTGCAGTCTCCTGTTTAGTGGCTTTACCTCTTAGGGCTCGTGCATCGTGCGGCTGAGGATCAGCGCCAGCGATTATCGGATGATCAGTGAAATGGCTCAAGAATACTGAGGAAAAACTTGGCTTTCCTTTCACTGATCATCCTAATAGGCATAAGTTTAAGGTTAAATAGTCAAATAATTCAAAACAACGGGACCAAGTATGGGCTTGGCGGCATGATGAGTATTCTGTCTGATCATCACTAACCTGCAGACACTGAACGCCACAAAGCGCTATTCACAACGGCTAATGCACGCCCGGACATTCCAGTCACTTAAGGTTAATTGTCCGTCCCAGCCTCTATTCGTTTTCGGTATAGCACTGCGTAGGGCAGGGAGATAAAGGCTGCACTCTCTTTATTTCTCAGCCTGATTCTTCTTGGCAAGGTTGACGGTCAGGGGAGATCCTCGACAGCTAGAAGATCATGACACCACAAACCGGAATCCAGAAGAGGGGTAATGAATTGGCAACGAGTTATAAATGACTCTTGAGCGCCACGGCCCAGCCTCCTTGTCGGAAGGGGCTTTCGGGCTTGACTGACGTTTATTCTTTCATTGAAGTTTGAATCAGACATTCTGCCCACCATGCTGTTCTATCAGATTGCACCCCTCGCCCTTTGGGTAAGCAAAGGCGCGGCGAGTGGCAGCCAGCTCTTTCAGGATACCTTCCAGTTGAACAAGCTACCCGACATGGTTTCACTGGCCGATGCCAAACTTAAAGACATCGTACTCCCGGACTCCATGGCTGACTTCACAGAGTGGATCGGAGGTGGCTCGGAATTACAAGCCTTTGGTTTACGCCCCAGGCAACAGCAGTGTGTCGATGCAGGATATTGTATGATAACCGCACAGGGTTCTATAAATCACCGTCACTGACAAGACCTTAGATCCGTGCTCGAGCGGTCTCGGATGCTGTCCTGAAGGCAGCACCTGCGTATCCAGCGGCTGCTGTCGGGGTAACGCCAAACAATGCGGTGCAGGTCGATGCTACAATCCATCATCGCAGATCTGCTGCAGTAGCGGTACAGCTTGTCTCAAAAGTCAGACCTGCGTTAGTGGAGGCTGCTGTAGTAAAGGCGAGACTAAGTGCGGCTCGTCCGGTTGCTATAACCCCAACACTTCAGTTTGCTGCGGTGGTATAGGTAGAAACTGCCCCAAGGGATATGACTGCATGTCAGGTGGTGGATGCTGTCCCTCTGGTCAGAAGCGTTGTGGCAATAGCAAGTGCTATAATCCACGAACAACTACTTGCTGTACTGGCCCTGGCACTGTTTGGGCTTGTCCGAAGGCTAGTGAGTGCTGTTCTACTGGATCTTGTGCCAACCCCTCGACGCAGAAGTGTTGTGAGAACGGATCATGTCTGAAAGGTACTACGTGCTGCGATAAAGAGTGCTGTCGCTCAAATGGCTACTGTGCCTCTGATGGGTATTGCAAGATATGCCCTGCTGCTACGAAGACCATCAAGTCGACGGATACAGTCACTACCACCAAGATGAAGACTGTGCGAGTTACGACCGACATCGAGCCTGATACTGGCAACGCTCCTGAGTTTACTTGCGTCCCTATGACGGCTACTAATGATGAGGGTGCGACGCTTGAGCTTGATGAGGGCTGTACTCTGCACTATGAACCTCCTGAAGCTACCACGACCGAAGATGGCGCTGCTCGTCTTCGTCGTGATGCCGCGACAGCACCTGCCCATGTCAACAGAGGAAATGACCTCTTGGCCAGACAAGCATCCTGCACGCCGTATACAACCCTGACAAGGACTGAATGGGAGACCGAAACCGAGACTGAAACTGGTACCAAGACCATCACGGTGCAAGGCGAAGATGCGACATTCTCTTGCCCTGAGATGGAAGTCACCAACGATGTCGGCGATACTCTTGCTCTTGATGCTGAATGTGTGTTGTCATTCACACCAGCTGAAACTACAAGCTCCGAGGAGGGAGCGTCAGCACAAGATCAGCCGACGGATGAGCCCCAGGTCCCTGCTGGAACTGGGGAAGAAACAACCGCTACGGTGACAGCTACGGCAGGGAGTGGAAGTTCGAATGACAACGGTGGTTCTGCTTTGAGAGTTTCTTTGTCACTAATGTTGAGTTTTGCTGGAGTTGTTATGTTCGTGGTTATCGTTTAGTGTATGCGTTTGGACCGCGGTCGATTCTGTCAGTGGTGGTTTTCTTGTAAATAGTCCTCTCCCTCTTGATTTAATAATTATATGGCCTCTACCTGACCAAACTCAATACAAATAACTCAAAGAGACAGGATCTTGACCTGTATTGAGAAATGTGATATTCTTTACTGCAGACCTCTTAGGTTCTTAGTTATTAAAAGTAAGCATGAAGTTAAGAATATGTAATACAGGGTAGGGAAGTTTATAAGTAGTTAATCACTTAAGTTTTAATTAGTAAGCCCTTTATACCAAATAGTGAGTTAATGATTAGACCTAGTGAGATAGGAGGAATAATACTAATAGGGAGATTTATTCATACTTTTATTGTCTCAATACAAGAAAGCGACAGGTTGAAGTTCTTACGACAGAGATTAAGGGCAGCCAAGACAACGGAAGAATTAATGGCCCGAGTTTCACTTAGCGATTAAAGCCGCGATTGGTGGAAACCCCCCTTTCATGGGGACCGTAACTGTCCAATCTAAGCTGAGTATTTAGTTCAGCGCCACCGGCTCACGGGACCAACTAGAGAAAATCCTTCAGTTCTCTTCGTTAAGCTTATTATCTTCTATCACGCAGGCTTTGAAATTTAACCTGAGTTGATTGCTCGGGAACTAACAACTGCGCTGGCCGTAGAATTATTCTAATAATTCCAAAGAAGGGCTTCAATTATGTCTCCTCAGAACAAGACACAGGCCAATCAACATGGAGAGTCCGAGGCTTCATCTCTGTTGGCTCCAGCCGCTGTCAACAGAACCGACTCTTCATCAGAAACATCCTCGGAAACAAACCAAGACTCCGACTCAACGTTCTTGGAAAAACTTCAAAACTTCTACTCCCGCAACATCGGCCTCTTTTACGTCCTAGTCGCCCAACTATTTGCTTCCATCGTAAGCAAGCCACTCCCGAATCCGATGAAACGGTCACACTAACAAACTCAGATGTCTATGACAACGCGGCTGCTTGAAACGGGGTTTGAGACAAAGTTTCACGCTTTGCAGATCATATTTGTTCGAATGTTGGCTACTGCGCTGATTGGGTCTGTTTATATGTGGTGTAAAAAAGTACCGAATTTCCCTTTGGGGCCGAAAGAGGTGAGAGGGTTGTTGATATTGAGAGGTTTTGCTGGATCGGCTGGGCTTTTGGGACTTTATTGTAAGGATCTTTTAATGAATGGTTTGAGGAAGGGATTCTGCTGACCAAGTGGCTTAGATTCGCTGTCGTATCTTGACATATCTGATGCGACGGTCATCACTTTCCTTGTTCCTACTCTCACTGCCTTCATTGCATGGGTCGCACTGCGCGTAAGTCTTTTCTCGACAGTTAACGATAATCTCATTTAACTCAGAATCTAGGAACCATTCACCATCAAGGAAGCAACCGCAGGTCTCATCGCCTTCACAGGCGTTCTCTTCGTCGCCCGCCCAGCCTTCCTCTTCCCCGGAAGCTGGCGAACATTATCGGAATTGGAATCTCGTTCTGTAGACCCAGATTTCTCGACCGATGGCGGTATCCTTCCACCAGTAAAGGCAACACCACAAGAACGCACCATCGCTATTCTTTGTGCCATTTTTGGTTCTTTTGCTGCAGCGACGGCTTATGCAACTATTCGTGTGATTGGCAAGCGAGCTCACTCACTTGTCAGTGTCAACTATTTTGCTGTGCTTGCGACTGTTAGCTCGTTCCTGATCATCATGATCCACCCTGATCTTCAATTTGAGATTCCGAAGACTGTCGCTGAATGGTATGTAATCATTATTGGTCATTTTGATGCACAAGCTCACATATTAAGGTGCCTACTTCTATCAATTGGTATCTCGGGTTTTCTGCTCCAGCTGCTCCTCACCGAAGGTCTTCAGAGAGAGAAAGCTGGTCGAGCGACCAATCTAATTGTAAGTTGCTTCTCATCAATGTCGTTATGGCCATTACTAACTTCGGGACAGTACGTCCAGATGGTGTTTGCTCTAATCATCGAGCGTATCGTGTGGGGAACTACCCCTCCCATCACGAGCTTTATTGGCAGTGCTTTGATCATTGGTTCAGCTATTTGGGTCAGCTTGCAGAAGAAAGCTCCCGCGGAACCAAGACCACTACTTGACGAGGAGAGAAGACAGCAATAGTGGGAGTAGATTGCTACCTCGTCTATTGGTGGGCATGACATTCGAGGCTTTGATAGGAAAAGTAACTTTCCGTGGCGCGTGGGCAGATCGAACATACACGAAAAAAGGACTCGGGATCCGTCGTTTTGGTAGCTGTTGGTAATGCATATAAAAGCCAGTTGTGGGCTTGCAATCTGGATAATTCATGTACAAACTAATCACATCATATATACAACAGGTTTTTATTTGTCAACTATGAATCAATATCTTGCCTAAGCCGATTGTCTCCCTCGACTAACTCAACCTGCATCTCCCCTCACCTTTAAAAACGAGCATGGTGCTCTGGCTAGCTTCACTTCTTCGCCTTCTTGACACAAGCCGGGCAAACTTCCGGGACGTTGTGCCGCTCCACCGATGACTTTCCACATGCGCCCCATTTGTTCTTCTTGCGACCCTTACTGCACATTCGGTAATCTCTCTCCATTTTGTGATCCCTGCCGCATTTGGGGCATTCATAGTTTTTGACGAATTCTATGCACATGGTAGATATCTGCTGTATGTTTCCTTGATTTATCTTTATGCAGTTGGGAATATTCCTTGAAGTTTAAGGGCATATTGCCGAGGGGGCGAGAATTTATATAGCTTGAAATCATATTGAGCAACCGTGAATATATACCGCCAGGACACTTAAGTAGGTGTTATACCTCTTGGCTGGCTCTCTGATCAGGTGAGCATGACCTTGATGCACCCACTTTGATATGTTTAACGGGAGACTGAGCCAAAGATGCCTTAAACTTTAACCTTATGGCTAGCAGGAATCCTACAGCTGAGCCAAAGACATAGTTATGAAGTTTTCGCAACCACTCTGATAATGATAGCTGGTGGCCCGCTGTCTGCGTCATGTTAGCCGAGCCATTCTTCAGTAACCGTTGCAGCTGTGGACCAGCCCTCCCGTTCTCCCGCGTGCCCAGGGGATTGATAATATGCTCATAAGGCACTTGTTGAATGAGCTATTTGTGAAACCGAATGAGGAATTGAAAGAAGACACAGATTGCGCCGATTCTGATTTGTGCGCAGGCTATCACATAACTGCCGCTTAGCGTAGTTATATCAGCCCAAGACTTTACTTCGCTAGGTATATTGTGTGAGACTGGAATATCGTTAGCATATTTCCACTAGAGAAATACATTGAACTTGATTGTGAAATCTCAATCTGCCCTTAACCCAACGACCTTAGGACATGCCTACGTCTTTGCACACGATCCGCATTTTTCCTTTCAGTACTCATGCTGGATGTTTTGATTGTTTCCTCCCGACCTTGCACGTCTTGCAGTCTTTCCTATACGTAAAGTCCCTGCCACATACCGTGCACTCCTACGATTTTACAACCTCTGTGCACATGGCTCTGTGCACATGGTTGCTACATTGTTATACAATATCTTACAGATGCTGGCTACTGTAAATTGGAAACTACCGAAATGAAATATTGTCTCCAATTTACACAAGACCAAGACTAAGTGCAACTTTATATGAACCCTATAAACCTTTCAGTTAGAGGGATAGACTCCTTGAATTTGGGCTATTGTGTAGGTAGTTGGTATACTGCCTGAAGTGCGTTTTTGAGACTGTTATTTTGGGTTTGATAGACCCGACAGCTGATGCTTGCATCGCGCGCCTTACCTCGACTCTTTGAATTGTCGTAGAATAGTAGTTTGTGCTCCACAGTGCGGAATGGCTTACCGTGGCGGTTTCCTGCCGACATCAGATATATAATTCGTCGCTGAATCAGTGAGATTCATGATCTTGCAGTTAGAAACATCAGCTTTATATGCAGCTCACGAGGAAACAACGGTGGTAAAGACAAATATCTATCTATTAGTCTTTACACTTAATTCTTGTACAACTGATTTACTGTCTTTATCTGCCATCTTATTCTCTGTGTACTGCTTCTACAACGCATGGAACTACTAGAGCTCTCGAAACTTATTCAGGATCTTCCACACGGTGGACTCACTTGTAAAGTGTGTTATCTTCAGGCCACAGACCCTTTTGAAGCCTTTCATGTGCTCGGCCCCACTACCACATTTAAATGTGCTGATTGGATCTTCATGGGGACTTCTGAGGCGTAGTGATTCAGAGTATGCGAGTACAGGTAGGATACAGTATGGTTTCATTTCAAGGTAAAGGCTTGAAGCCGTATTCGGAGGAGCACCCTTCACTTATGCATTCATCATTCCTTATGTATAAGCGAAAAAGTAACATCATGCGCTAAATGGATTGTGAATATGCAAAACGCCCTTTATAGCCGAAGGCTGCATAGGTCAGTCCATCTTCATACCTGGAGGTGTGGTTAGACTATTTTGTCTGCCTTCGTGAGGCAGATCAGGCTGTGAGAGTTTTGTGTATAAAAGGGACATTATCAACCAAGGCCTTGATGGCTACTTTAGTCTGAATCACTTACGAATCGCCACGACCAAAATTTGTCAAGTATGTGTTTCCCACATTCCCTATTATTGGGCACCTAATTAATAGCTCATAGGAACCGTTAACAAGCCAACTTGCTCACCCTACCCATATCATGGAATCTCCGTCTTATCCATCTCCACCTGCTGGAATCACCGAGCTCTATAACTCCTCTCCAACAAAGCTTCAGCCTTGGATCCAGGCTACTGGCAGCATTCCTGGTCGGTCCCAAAAGAACACGTGCGGTGGACCCCCCGACCCCACACATGGCATCGCAAAAGGGGACTGGTTGATCATGGGAAACAATCCCGCTGGAGTCCAGGTGAAGGATCCTGAAGCCTGATGATGGGCTGTTCGAGGTTCTCCATTTGGTTAAAAATGCCAATGAAATACGGCGAATGTCTCATTCAAATGGGGCTGAAGAGTGTCGTTGTTCGAAGATCAACCAAAAAATGCATCCTATACTATTTACTGTATTGATACGTGACAAGCAAGGCAACACTACATAAAGAAAATAGTTGTTTGCGTGTATCTCCCAATGTATCTAACACCTAATGAGACTTGGGGAATGAAATGACTAACATGACCTCTACACTCTCGCGTGGCTGCTCTTGTTTCGATTCCGGATTCCAAAAGGCAGCATGGGGTAGTCCTGGACAGATGTTAAGCTGATCATCGTAACTGGATGGCCGTAGTGAAAACAATACATACCTGATGCCAAGCCTTTGTCAGATTGGTACTGTCTAAACAGAAGCCCCTCGGTGGCCTTGTGATCACTCAGATACCACCACTGATGAGTCTCACGAGCATAGACCATACAATGCTCTCTGCTCGTGGTGGTAGTAACATAATCGGCTACTTCGACGTCCCGCTCTTGATCAACTGTCGATGCATCGCAAACTCCAAGAGGCCAGTCTTGGTTAGTTCCTTTGAGAGGATGCCAAACACTATAATAGCACGTTAGTTCGTTTAATACACCTTTGGATACTGCTTGGCCACCATACTTTGCAAAAATGTATTTCCCTGCAAATATCTCTGAGGCGTCTTCGCCGAGACATTCTTGAATCAGCTGTTCTGCCGAGGAGCGGACCATGTCTATAGGGTGTATTAGATATCTGGAGAGTGTTTGCAAGTTATTCAGTGACTTGCCAATATGGGCTGCCCGTAATGGCTGTCCAAATTCATAATCTTTACCAGTTGACTTTGGAAACGAAGGGTCCCTCTTGCGAATCTTTAAACGAAAGTTAACTAGGGAGTTCAAATAATGGTGGGCTAGACAGACCTGATGACGAAGGATGATGCAGCGGGCCCCTTGAAAAGCAGCTTCTACCGATTCAATGACATTCGGATAATGTAATTCTTTGACAAGCTTTTCATCAGTCCAATCAAAGTCGGGATCTTGTTCACGTAGATCTATTATCGTGAACCCATTCTTGTCGAAGGTCAAAACATCCTTTGCAGTACGGATATCTGATACGAGAACTTCGACTTCATGGCGCGTGATGTTCTCTCGTGGGATCTCTGTTTCTGGAGTAAAAGCTAGGCTGTAGGGCTTGACTGATGCATAAAGCTCTTTCTCTTCCAGGAACCAGATCGAAGATCGAACGTCTCGGGCAGCACTGATAACTTCCATGGTGCATGGAAGCCTTCACTGGGAACCTAAAAGCAGTCCGCGGACAACAGGAGCGATAAGTTCAGTTCGAAGATACAGAGGGCTTATCAGAACTTGCTGACCCCACCGATTCTGGTTAGAGGTTGGGCTCCGACCGTGTTCTGCTGTTACCATCATGGTTGCCATACCTGCGCAGTTGTTTGTGCTTTTTCTTCAGTCTCGCAAAGGCCTCAACGGCACAGAGGTGCAGAGTCGCAGCCATTCTTGCTGACCCAAAGCTTACTCACTGTAACACGACAGAGGAACTTTGCAAAGATCAACGTTCCGATGTTGCATAATTACTCTACAGTTGAGATAAATCCGATTATTGGCTCGATTCTCCGAGAGCCTGCTTCCGGTGAGGCTTTGTGCGACACACAGCAACAGGGATCCTCACAGTTTTTCCCTGTCCAGAAATGCACGGCACGTACCATAGATTGAATCTTTCCATCTTTTCGTCTCATTTCCGGTCGTCTCTTTACTGATAATTTAACAGCTTTCATTGCACCGGTTACTTTTGAATTGATGCCTTGGGGGACAAAACATCCGGCCAACCTGCGTTATTCCTGCTGGGCAACCACCATGAAAGCAATCATGAGATACATTCTCTTCCTGTACAAGTGATACGATGACTACATAAATTGCTGACACGTATGATGTTACCCCGCTCTCGATGGTAGTGCACGTTGTTCAAGTGGTCTGCCAGCCTTCGAGTGTCCCAGTACACGTTGATCGATAAATGTGTTTTCAACCATTCAACAAAGCCAAGACGCTATAGCCACTCTTATCCTCCCCAACAAATAACCGAAAGATAAACATCCAATACTACCCATCAGCGAGACCAGTAAATTATCAACTTTGTCCAATCATGCTCTTGAAGATCGTCGATCTTGCCACTCTCATCAGGCGCAAGTTTACGCCTCAGTTCCATCGCTTTACCAAAGAGCTGCTTCCTCTGTAACTCATCGCCCATTCCTTTCAAGACAATGCCTTTCTGCCATATTGCCCGCGCTGCCTGAGCCTCTCTGTGGGGTGCTGCGGTAAACACATCAATAGCGCTGTCAAGGGATTGTCTTGAGTAGTCTCGGTCAGATTATTGCCTCCCCAGTTGCAATGTCATGCTTACATTGCTTCCTCCTGCTTTCCTTGGCGCAAAAGGTCTTTTGCCAAACTGTAGAAACAGTCTCCAGTGAAGTAGTGCTTGTCGCCACCAGTGGCCTTCAAGTTGTCCAGTGCTCGGTTGTGATAGCCCAGAGCTTCGTCGTACCGATGTTGCCCGTTTCGAATGTCACCCATCGTACGCCAAATAAGCCCGGAGCTATAATATTAGTGCTTGGCTTGCTAAATGACTGCTGTCACATACCGGGTCGTCGTTTTGTCATCTTTTCCTAACACCTTTTCGTGTTCCTCTAGAAATGGCGTTAAAACATGTTCGGCCTCGTCGTACCGATCCATGAGACAATGCAACATCGATTGTGAAATAGCGGGGAATGTTGCACTGAATTGAGGCGCGTTGGCGACACTATTGTAAGTCACGACGCTCTTGTTAAAACTGGTTACGGCGTCGTCGAATTGCTCTTTGTTACTCTGACAGATACCCAATTGGTTATATGCAGTCGCGAGCGCCAACTTGTCGGATGGCAGACCGTATTTCTCAATGCGGCTGTTCAGGTGCTTTTGCCAAATGTCGGCATCCTCGAGACCATCTGAAGATTTCGTCAGGCACGCGGTCAGTGATAGACTGTGGTGAGCTTCTCCCAGCCAGTGCGTCACTCTCTCCTGATCACTGGAGTTATCATTCAGAGCGTGTTCGAGTATGGTCTTTGCAAGAGATGCAAAGACCTGTGTTTGCTCGGGGAGCCCACGTTCCGAAATGTACCTATTATATATCTTAGCATATGCGTGCAGAAAAAAGATTATTTGGGTGATACCAAGCGTAGCTACTGAATATGTAGCCACTTATCGCTGTCCCTTGAAACCGGTTGTTTTTGATGTCGCTGCCAAAATTTTCTTCCAGCTTGCATATCTGTGGTGCGTAACGCTCAGCAACTGGAATACGCCATGCCTGGTTCCGTGTTGGATCAGTTCCAGAGACATATGGCCATACACTTGACAGGAGAATGGAAATAGCGGAATAGACGTCGTGAAGACGATTTTCATCCATTCTTTGCCTGACGACCTGCTGAACAAGGCGGTGAATCTGCAACTCATTAGATGCCATGTTTCTTTTGATAAGGGAGGCATGAATGAGCTCGGTGCGAGCCTTGAAATAAATATGCTTTTTGGCAGGGTAGTTCGAGAGCTTCACATCCTTGGCAGCGTCCATCAATATTTCTTCAGGTATTCTGTCTGGATCGAGGAGAGAAAGCACATCGAGCAGCGCAAGAGCCTTGTCACTGAGATGCTCCAAAGCCCAGGCTGTGGCAACCGTGTGTTGATAGTTTGTCCAACGGCCACCAGCTCGTAGATCGTAGAGCTCCCTCGCATCTTCTTGATACCAGTCTTCGAAATCCTGGAAAGTGAGATGGTGTTCTCGTATGATTGCGCTCATCTGGGATATGGCCAGAGGGTGTCCACCTAGCTTATCCGAGATACGCATGCTCGCTTCAGTAGCCCCAGCCTCATCCTGGCGACCTGACAGCTTGCACAGCATCTCTCCTCCCGATTCACTTGGAAAAGGTTCCAAATCAAGCCCGTGATCAAGGCGATATGAATTCTCCTTGACATATGGATATTTACCAGTGACCACTATGGAACCAGGCCCTTGACTAGGAAGCCAATCGTATAAAAGCTCTGGGTCATCTGCGTTGTCAAAGACCATTAGCCATTTGATATTTTCAACATTCACTGGTTTTCCCCTCTCGAAACGGTGGCCAACTGGGTCTGCTAACCAGCCATTGACAAAGTCCCTTGCGGAAACCTCATCAATAGTATCAGAAATAACATCCCCGCCAATTTCTTTCGCCAGTGCCACGAATTGAGGGCCCAACTTCCTTTCAGTGTCAGCATAGACCCAGATGACAACGTTGAAATGGTGCGAGCGTGAGTAGAGAAACTCGCTGGCGGTCTCTGTCTTTCCAATACCTGCCATTCCACACAGTACGTAGGTTTTAGGAACCACTGAGCCATCATTTGGATCTGGGCTCCGTGGTCTTTGCTCGTTGTTCAAACCAAAAGCAGAGTCGATCTGATCCAGCGCGTCTGTTCGTCCGTAGAACCGGGGATTACGGGTAATTGAGCCGGTATGCAGAAATGGCAACTCTAAGCTCTGGCGAGAAACGGGACCATGGTAGCTTTCTCCCTCCCCATCTTGACCAGACTGAATACTGCAGGTCTGAGGTGGAATTCCGTCGGAGTCTGTATTGGGCGTGTATATCTTGCCGTCTGGAGAGTCTGAAGATGCTATTGACGAGCTAGTTTTCAGCCTGATACTAGTAGGGCCGCCAAGCGAGGGTTGGTGAAGAGCGTATTGTACATTCTTTGGAGCATGATGTACAAACATGGAGAAAAATGAGATGAGTCGATTGTAGAGAGGTCCCAGTTCCTCGATGTCGCAAAGGTCCATATGAGTTTTGTCAACTTCAAATAAAGACTCTCTGGTGGCTCGGGTCTCGACCATGTCTTGAGTGAGGAGCTTTTGTAACCAATTAGTTTTGGTAAGGCTGCAGACAGGACGTAAGATTTCAGCTTACCATTTTCTTAGCGTTGCTTTTCTTTCGAAGATTGCTCAAGCGACTGTCCCATGACTTTGTTTCACGCTTTTCGTGTACAGATAGTATCGGAATATCGAGTTGGAGATCTTCAAATAATCTGCAGGACATTGCGACCCCTTCCATCTCCTGTTCGGTCATGTTGTCCTTGGAGATGTCTCTTCGGCTACCCTTCATAAGTAGCCTTATTATATCCCAGCCATTTCCAGCAGGATCTACTAAGTGTGGAGTACCAAGAAAGATAACCCCGGCTGTTGCATCTTGGAGAGACTGTCGGGATCTAATCCCCAATGTCAAGAGCTATGAAGTTGTAAGTGAAGCTGCGAACGATACTGACAATTACTCTTACCTTTTTCAAGATCATGCCTCCCAAGCTATAGCAAATAAACAAAAGCGGTCTAAGATCATCCTACGAAATCAGTTAGTGTGCAACACTTGCGGAATAGGTTTGAGATGAGCTACGTGATCCCGACATACATTTGGCTGGGCGCGGTTCTCATCCAACTCTGAGCTCAATGCGTAGCTTTGGTTAAGTAGTTGATCCCAAAGCGATGAGCCATCAACTTGTAGCCGATAAGTGAATAGGAAAACACGCGTATCCCCAGTTGTCGACTCTGTCAGAGGTCTGACCCATGAGCAACTTCCTTTCATTCGGCCAGGGGAATTCTCATTCCATAGGCCTGGTATCACGACTAGACTATTGGTGTATGTTATTTATACTAACTTCGCATGAGTTCGAGTGACGTTAACTTACTCAACACCTTGTTCGGAAACCGCAGGTTGCCCAATCTGATGAATGATCCGGAGTTTCCCTGGATTAGTCAAGGGCATGGTCTGGAGTCAACAGTTTCAAGTTTGATGGAAAGGAGATCGCGAGCGCGTCTACTAGTAATGTTGAAGCGCGGATCTCTTTCAATGTATGCCTCCTTTCTGGAATGCGCGATTATGTTGAAAGCTGTTTTGGCATTTACGTCGTTGCTTCAGTTTGGCCTCAGGCGCATCTGGTTTGGGGTTATACATGTGCAACCAAGAACCAAACTCGCAGTGTATAACGGGATGATGAAAGTTCCGGCCTTGCTATAAGTGCGAATCAGGCGCAATATGAGCTCATTATTGCATGCAGGATGAGTTGGCATGCTGGTATGATATTCTTGCTTGCTGATAGGATCAGAGCTGCAAGGATCAGAGCTGCAAATTGCCTGACCAGTCACTGGCTGCTTTGTGACATATCCCAAACAGGCAGCGTACATAACCCAAGCTCAGAAGTCAGATACTGGTATAAGGGCGTTGGCGCTTCAATTTGTTCTGCTTCCTTAAGCACAATTTCATTTGATTTCGGGTTCCATACCAAAAAGTACAGGGAAGGTTGTTCCGACTATCTAATTAAATGCGGTGGAACTGGCTTGTATCCTGCGATTCCTATCTCTAAGAAAGGCTACGCGTATTATTAGGTCTCATGATACCTTCTACGCCAGCTTTCTGTGCAAAATCTCCAGCAAAATTTGCATGTCGCCCTGACGTCTATGAACCACGCGACCATAGAAACAATTAGAAGGGGGGCAGCCATGGCAAAAAAGCACCAGATGCTCAGGTGATCTCCCAACTCGGCAAAATTCATTCCATAAAATGAGGTAGCAAACGTAATGGGGATGTAAATATATGCCAGCACACTCAATTTGCCGAGTCTATCGGCTTGTGTCATTGCCTTTACCGTTTGTTGATGAGCATCAAGGCTCATCAAAATCGATATGCCACTCGCGCAGTGCTCCGAAAGACGGTCGCATTTGCCCAGCAAGTGCTCATATCGCAGATCAAGACGTTGAGCTGCCAGGTCAGCACGCTCGCGTTTCTTGGGCTCTGTTTCACGAGGCCATTTTGGGTTGCCGCGAGTCTTGACCACCTTGAGGACATTACCGAGATAGCTTCGATAGTCATCGATGTACGACTTCAGGATCAGAAGTTCGGAGATCTTGGTGGTGTCTGGATTATCCAGTCTCAGTAACTCGCCAATGCTGTCTTCAAAGTGCTTCAACAGTTGGTCCACCGAAGCCGCTGAGAACTCAAAGATCTCACCCAAGGCATAGAAGACATCGTGCACCATTATCTCCGCTTTTAGATTTCTTCCATAATTGGCATGAAGGTGGTTTATGCTTTGCGGAAAGGGCTCCGCCTCTTGGACACTTGAAGCAGCGACGTCGGTAGCTCCAGATGAGGCCATACGGGGGCGATGCTGGAAAACCGGATGCAGGGTGGCGGCATTTTCCAGGTTTAACCAACGCCCACTGGTACTGTGACTAATATCTTTACCGGAGTCATGCCATACGACAACTAATTAAAATCTCAATACATGTCCGGTTCAAAAACAATGTCGGATCGCCAATCAAGACTTAACTTACTAGACCAGGTTCGCGTGTGGTGAATGACCTCTATTGATAGCCGTTGCTCAATGGAGTAGCTATGTCGATTATGAACGATGAAACGCCGCACAATAGAATCACCGACTGCAAAATTACGTAGGTGTGCGAAATCCTCAACGTGCATCCTAAGCTTGCTTTCACAATCTTTCCTCAAGTCGACTAGTGTGTGCCTAGAACCATTAATATCCCAAGAACCGGTGTTGCAGACCCGTAACTGGATTAGATCTTGTGACCAAGGGAAAGGTGTTGAAAAAGACTGATCAAGGCGCGGCGAGACTTGGCCAGTTGAGATCGTCCCTTCAAGATGGCGATAGAAGAACTCGGGGTCTACATCGATGGTAGATCCAAGACAGTTGAGCCATTGGGCAGAGGGGAAACCGCGCAAGAATACTAGTCGACCGGGATACTTTCTTGCACTGGATGATGCTCGGGCGCTGCTAGAACGAGTTGGCTCCGAGGTTGTCGATACGGACTGATCTTCCGTTTCAGTCAAAGTGGGTGTTTGCTTCAGGTGATGCAAGAAATCGTCTGGCCGTTGGAAAAGCGTGGTGCGAGACAAATCTTCATTCGACATTGTGAGGTCACACAATGCAACACACTGGAATCCGTTTTCTTGGGGTGGAAATGACCACTCCTCGCCATAGGAAAGATAAGGATAGATTAAGAATTTGCCAAGTCGACTATAATGAAGTCCAGGCAGGTACGCGTCTCTTACACCTAGTTTGGAGTAATTCACGACTTTCTGAGCGTAACGCTCGGCGGACGAAGCTGTGAAAGAACGAAAGTCAGTAAACGGAACAGCGCAAAGGCCGATTCGGATAAGCGCAAACGTCGCCGACAGAATTGGCCACATGAGTAGAGTTTGCCTTACCAGTCTTGGGTGGCATGTTGCAGTATTGCCTGTCGAAAAATAGCGATGGTTGCACCTGTTAAACGGTGCTACTGGGGGGAACATGACGGCATTTAAGGATTGTGACATTCGTGCCATCAGAGACTCAATCGCTAGTATCTCTCTAGTCACATAGCTATTTAATTCTATTTCAGCTTTGCCGAGCTGAAAAACCAGGATCCAATATCAACCTGTCCGTCTTCGAGCGGGCTTTGGCCCGGACAGGCTGCTAAGCCGAAGGAAAGACCAATAATTCCCAGGTGCCAGGACCTCCTCCCAAGAAACTCTCCCTTTTTCCCCTCTCGATTTTTGTTAATGACAAAGTGGCGTACCTCAGGAGATTGCCCCCCTCTACAATTATTACAGGTGGTTGGCTGATCACATTTGGCTGGTGTAGTACCGTGTTGAGCTGACTGGTTTTTGCTTATTCGGTGACGTCACCCCTGCACTGAGGGGCTATGCAGCGGCTCGCAGTGGCATACAGCCCTGAGCACCCAAGGAAAGCCCCGCCCGGAAGAGCCTCAATGGCACGGCCCGAAACCTTGTACAGGACGTGGTTTTGTTTTTCAACGGGCCCCTTCGTGACCTGAGCAACCAACACGGGCTATTTTCAACTAAGCATCATTTCGCGTCTTCAAGCTACCCATCATGCCGCCCTCCTCAGGGGACGACAGTGGTACTCAGGCCATTGCACCCCATCCTTCTGCCGCTCTCGCCGATAATGGTCTGACGTGGCGGGCGATAGTGTGCGCCCTCATTCTCGGCACAGGCGTTTGCCTCACCAACATGTACTTTGGGCTGCAAGCCGGTATGGTAAATGCCATGCCGATGCAGAGCGCACTGCTTGGTTTCGCATTTCTTCAGTGCTTCAAAGCTCATTTCTCGACGGCCCTGACGCCCCAGGAAATAGCTCTCATCGAGGTCATGGCCGGCGCCCTTGGCCTTGCTCCCTTCACATCCGGGTTAACGTCCTTTATCTCTGCCTTACAATTTCTTGTCGATTCAGACCACGATACCGGACTCGAATTTACAACATCCCAGCTCCTTATCTGGTCTTTATCGACATGTGTACTGGGTATTGTCCTAGGCGCGCCGTTCAGACGTCTCTTCATTCTTCAAGAAAAGCTTCGCTTCCCCTCAGCAACTGCTACGGGCACCTTGATTGGCGTACTCTTTAACCGCAAAGACATTATTGCTCGTGCGAATCCGTCATCAAAACCTACACCCGATCAGACATTGGGAGATGCACAAGCGACACCGTCCACTGGTTTCGAAGGTCATGTTTGCGACAGTAGCTCAGCCATCCGTCACGACTATGATGAGCCCACCGTCAAACAAGACGAACACCGTTCCAACATCAGAATTCTTCTGCTTTCACTAGTAGGTTCTGCCACCTTTGTGAGTACTTCCTACCAAGATCCCTTGTTCAGATGACCCCTACTAACCTGGACGCCAGGGCATTGTGTCTTACCTTGTGCCCGTGCTGCACCGCGTCCCTCTATTCGGCAGCGAGATAGCCGAGAAATGGCTGTGGGCATTGGACTTGTCACCGGCGTACTTAGGATACGGCATCATCATCGGACCGGCGATCAACACATACACGTTGCTTGGTGCTGTTGTAGGATGGGGAATACTGTCTCCAATAGCCAAATATAATGGATGGACGCCTGGGTCTGTGGACGAATTTGACAATGGCGCCCGTGGATGGATCCTTTGCGTGGGCATGGGACTTATTCTCGGTGACACGTTTGTTGCACTGGCTTGGATCACCATCCAACTAATTGGCAACTCCGTCAAAGCGTCGTTAGTTTCACGGAGTCGATCCCCAGCCGACCACCTACAAGAGCAAGTTTCTTTGTTGTCCGGTTCCTCTGTTATACATGACGATAGGCAGGTGGAAGACCATAGCCTTCCTGATCAGCACTGGTCCAGCTCTTCCCTTGTTACACCCTCCTTGGTCTTTTGGCTCGGTAGCACCCTTTTCTTCGTGCTATTAGTATCGCTACTTCTGGGCTTCAGGCATGTCGTGTCTTCCTTTGCGATACCAATCACTGCTTTGATGATGCCGTTCGCAGCCCTCATCTCGATGCGCTCACTTGGAGAGACAGACAACGGTGCAAGTCTCGCAATTGGTATGACGCGGGTCCTCTCTCGCTATTTGATAACAGTGGCTGACTTGCCATAGGAAGACTTGCACAATTCATTAATGCATTGGTTGTGCCCCTGTCGAGCACAATGTTTACATCTACGAACCTTCTAATGAGTGGCGCTATTGAATCTGGTGCTTCGCAAGCCTCACAGCATATGGGTGGTCTTCGCACTGCATATATGACCAACACGGCGCCAAGACTAATTCTTCATGCTCAGATGCTTGGATCGTATGTTGGTTCTTTTGTTGCTGTGTCCCTCTACAAGACATACACATCTATCAAGAAGATACCCAGCCAAGAGTTTGGGATACCAGATGCACGCCTGTATATTGTTACCGTACAAATGATTCGGCAGCAAGGTCTTCCGCCGAAGGCAATGGAATTTGCATCGGTTGCCTTCATGATTGGGGCTATTTGCGGCGGTCTTCGGATAGTCGGAAAAGATCATTGGTGGCGATACTTGGTTCCGTCAGCCGTGGCCATGGCCGTAGGTGAGTTAAGAAGTAAAGGGATCCTATAACAAGGATCTCGTTTTTTGACTGACGAAAACACAGGTATGTATATCCCTCCAGCTATTACGATTCCTCGTGCCATCGGGGGTTTGATTCCCGTCGTAGCACAGCAGCAAAGTAGTCTCACTAGCTTCACAATGACCTGTTGCGCAACAGGATTGATCCTTGGACAAGGGCTTTTCAGTCTCGTTGCCCTGTTGCTCGATGCCTTTCATGGGTGAAGGGGCACATTGAGCAAGAGAGAGAAAGGCCTCATTGTAGTAGACTGAATCACCGCTCTTATTCTACATAAGAAAGACATATCTACTAAGTAAGAGACATAATTATATCCAAAGGCCATTATTAATACTTCTAAGATGTGACATGTGCAAGACTGGTATTGCATTAGCACATGAATTCGCACTGAAGTACAACTTGTAAGCACATGCGATGTACATGCTCTCCATTTGCTTCTGCATTGTGAGCTGTTACTTCAGGTGGCACAGAGTTACGTCAGCCTGCGTTTAAGCAAGCTCGGAGTAAACGCTGCCGCATCTTTTGTTCCCCTCTCTACCCCTCTTTGCTTTACAGGCACATTTCGACTCACGCTCTTTCGTAAGAATTCTCCGAGTAACGATAAGGCAGTCAATGAACCCAAAAATGACTTCCGACGAAGTGAAAGTTATCGGCGGAAGGAACAACTTCTGGCTCTGGAAGAAGAAGACAGGCTTCGATCTCACCCACCCGCCAACTCCAGACTCTCCCCCAATCTACCCAAGAATCACACTAGAAACAAGAGCAGATAAAGCGGCCATCGATCCTGCTAAGACTGCGCTAGTAGTCATAGACATGCAGAACTATTTCCTGTCACCCCTTCTGGGTCGACCGCCTAAAAGCATTGGGCTGGGTATTGTCGATAAGCTCGTCAGCGAAGTCATTCCTGTTTGCCGTACAGCTGGCATCCCCGTTGTATGGCTCGGCTGGGGAGTGGAGGATAGCGACCTGGACGACATACCACCCAGCATAGCACGAGGCTATGACTTCCCTCTTGATGAGAACTTCGTCAAACCGACATACCTAGGAAGCATCGGTGCTGAGATCGGGCATGTCAAGGCGGATGATGGGACTGACATTGACGCGGGTCGCGTGATGATGAGTGATCAGTGGAACACCGAGTTCTATCCTAGTCTGAAGGAAATCGCCGAGCCGCAAGACCTGCACATCAACAAGAATCGGTTATCCGGCTTTTGGGGAGGATCAGGCATCGAAGAGGCCCTACGAAACCGAGGTATCAGAACGTTACTTTTCGCCGGAGAGAACACGGATCAGTGCGTCGCTGGTACCATCCGAGACGCTTACACCAAGGGCTGGGATTGCTTGATGCTCAGTGATGCTTGTGCAACTACAAGTCCAGCTTTTGCCAAGAAGTGCACTGAGTATAACTGCGAAGGAGGCTGGGGTTTTGTGTTGAGCTGCAAGGATTTGGCTGATGGGGTGGATGCTATTGATCGAGGAGTTTAGCAAAGAACGCTTATTTCAAAAGAATAGGCAATTTATATTTAAGGGTATGTAATAATATGCCTAACCCTATGCACTGAGCCTTATAACCGTGTTAGAAACAAAGAAACGCCAAAATGCAATACCAATACCCAAGTGTTCCTACTGCTTCCTGGCTGAGATCATCGAATCATGACTCAAAATACCCACAAGCGTATCCCTCTTAATACACTTCTCAAACGAAAAGCTACTCGCAAGCTCCTCTAACTCCTCTATGCTCTTATCCCTAAACAACTCCGCCAACTCCCATCCAACATACTCACTTATCAAACACTCCCTAATAACCCGTTCAAACTGTCGTTCAAATGTCCAGATCTTGGGATACTTTGTGTCTCTGTACTTCTCCAGCACTTCGTTCTTCAAACCTTGGATAAACGGTTCGTAGAGGTGTTTGACACCGTCTTTGTTCACGACACCCCAGAAATCAAGACCAAGACGTTGTTTCTTGGCGATGAAGGGCGCGATGAGACGCATGTAGGGGGACTCGGGATCGACGTATACCATGCCTTGATAGCCGACGTCTTTGTATAACCAGATGGACCAGTTTACATCAGTTTCTCTGTAAATAGCCAATTGCTCCTGCAACAAATTAAAGCGTTTGGCGTTGGTCTTGATGGCTTCGTCACCTTCCTTATGCTCATTCTGATAAACAGGACCAAACTCTCCATTCCAAATGGGCACGTTTTTCTCCCTCATGAACTGCACTTTTCGCTCAAAGCTCTTTCGAAGCTTGGCGTTTTGCTCGTCTGTACCCTCGTATTGCTCTCCAAGGGGAAACCCGTAGAAACTATAATCGTGACAGGCGTAAACGGCGTTGGGAAGAGGGTTTTCGGGAAAGGCGCGGAAATCCATTGCGTAGGTATTCCCGTCAATGAAGATCATATGATCAGGGTCAATGGCGCGGACTTCCTTTTCAGTGCGTTCGTACCATTTTACAAGTTTGGCGCCGTAGTGGCCTGATGAGGTCTTGGTTTCGTCGGCGGGTTCGTTGAGGAGGTTGTAGCCCGCGATGACAGGGTTTCCCTTGTAATGAGCTGCAAGAGCTTTCCATAGCTGAATAGCACGGTCTTGATGGTCCTTGAAGTCCCAGAACGTAGCGCGCGATAATCCCGAATCACTATGCCAATCCTGGTTCTGACCACCAGGAACGGCATGGAGGTCAAGAACAGCGTAGAGATTATGTCTTCCGCAAATATCCACACAGCGATCTAACCAATCGAAACCAGATTTCTTCAAGTTATCAGGATCCATATCATCAATAAAATGACGGTAATTGAACGGGATACGGATACAGTTCAGACCCAACGACGCAAAGTAGGCAGCATCAGAGTCTGTGAAGAAATGGTATAAGAGCCTGTCGAAGAAGAAATTCGCTTTTTCTTCGCCCATGACTTCAGCCATTTGTTGTCTGTGCTGATGCTCGTGGCCTGCATAGCCGGTGATGAAGTTCTCCATGTTAAGCATACCGCCGATGGCAGCGCCCTTGAGGATGACGGTGTTTCCAGAGGGGTCGACGATGCGACTGCCCTCAGTATGAAGCATTTTGCATGTTGAGGATTTTGGAGGGGTGGTTTTGGGGACGGCTTCGTATGAGCCGGAGTTGTCTGCCGTTGCGACCATGGTAGAGGATGCCTGATATTGTTGATATGAAGAAAGAGGAAATTGGAGGATGAATGGTGAATAGGTGACAAGGCAGTTAATGTGAGTCGTGCTCTGTGAGGTCTGCTTGTTTCCGAAAAGACATTACAGCCTTCACCTAAATAGTCCGTACACTTCAAAAGTGGAGTGTTTTCTTACGAGCGACACTCCCCGATAGGATCCGCCACGACACCACCAAGAACCATAGCCCCGGAATCCCCATACCATTACTCGCAAAAACACGGGGAAGTACGCTTTAACCATTCTATTAGTGTACATCATAAGTTAAACATCAATTTACGGTCAGCCCATGTAAAACCTCCTCCAAGAAATTCCGATGGTTCGATAATCCCGGTATATCATCTTCCCACGCCCTCAAAACCTGCATTATCCTCTCACACGCATCCCTCCAACCAGCAGGCATTCCCGATCCCAAGAGCCTAGCTGCAAGCAACACAGTCGCTGAGCGAACTAAAGCTCGAATCATAAGCCATGTTCCATGATGACGATGCAGAAAGCCCGCTTCGTTGACATCCACATTCAGAACATGATACTCTAAGCCCTTCTCTACAAACTGTCGCCCTGGGATAGGTGTAGTCACGCCTCGTTCGAGAGCGGCGAGATGAGCCATTACAAAGGGCCAGTAGAGACGTTCGAAGAAGTTTACTAGATGCCCGCGGAGGACGAAGCAGCATACGTTGTCTTCGAGGGGTGTTGAGGCGATGGAGAGTTCGGGGGGCAGACTTTCGGCCCATTCGTTTGCTTGGGTTTCGTAGGCGGGGATGAGGAGGGAGAGTTGTTTGAGGAAGTCTAGGTTTGATGTTGATGCGCGATGGAGTTCGAGAATGTCGTTGCATGTCCGACTTGAGAGGCGTCGAAGAGATATTTCGGAGAGGTAGAATAGCCAAGCTGTATGCTGTCTGCTTGACGCTGTGGTCTTGGTGGACTCGAGAGGATGGGGAGGTGTAGGGAAGAAGGGCGGGTATAGCACGCTTGAAGAATAAGGCATGCTGAAGTCAGGCAGTGATAGCTCTCCTCGAAGTTCTCTTTCAGACTTCCAAGCAGACCAGTATACAGCCTCTTGCTGCGTCTCACCCAATTCTGGCCCCCCAAGATCTGATCCATCCATTGCACTAAGAGATTGAGCCCTCTGCAGGAATGGCAGCGTCTGGCATGTTGCTAAAGCCTGCGAGAAATACCGCCAAGCCTCAAATGGCCTGAAAGTGCTCATCAAAAACACCCCAGACAAAAAGAAACACTGTGCCCCAATGATATCCGATCTCGCCATTAGAGTGCCAATCCTCTTCTGCGCCGCCTGAAACAGCGCCTGAGCCTCCAAATACGGCGTCGAATCAGCCCTCAAGTGAAAACTCGCATCAAGCGGCGTCGCAATCTTCCCCAGCGCACAAATGATCAGTGTTAGACATGACCCAGGCGACCAATCTATTCCCTCAATAACGACATTGAGAACAACCTTCCTAGCAGCTGCTTCTTCGAGAATTGGGTTTTTGCAGTGCACGTGATCGAAGAAGTTATCAAGAAGTGATTTCACACCCTGCGTGTCGAGATCCGCTATGTCGGCTAGTGATGTGCAGCCGGGGGAATAAGATGGGGATGGTTGGGGTGGATCGGGAAGGAGAGTTGTGTGGGATGACTTGTCGCGTGAGAGGACGGACCAGAGGAGGAGGCTTTCCATTTTCTCGGGGAGGATGCTTCTCAGGGGTATGTCGCTCATGCTCTCTGGGGATAACTGTAAGGCCTCTGTAGGAGACTCCTCAGCTAGTGACACCTCTGGCTCATGCTGCGCAACATCTTGACTTGGGACGCCATTGCGTGGCTCGCGAATCAACTTCTCCAATTCATCCAAGCGTTCCAAAATCTTAAGACTCGCAGGGTCAAATGCCGATAGATCAACCGGGGACTGAATACACGTCGCCCCAACGCTGACGCAGTACGAACAAGCCGGCTTTTGGTTGTCGCACTTTGTCTTCCTAGCTCTGCAGACTTGACATGCCGTGTTGGCTCGTTTGCGGGGATAAAACGCTGTACCCCGGGGAGCTGGTCTCTTTCCTGGCCGACGATCCCCTTCAATCGGTTGGTCTGCTTGCGGAGACATGATCAAGTTGCAGGAACAGTTTCGATGTGGAGGAGAAGAATCAACGTGGATGTCACGTCGGGGAATATCGCTCCTTATACGTCTTGACTCGTGACGCCGTAAAGTGGATTGCCATCGGGGAATGTCGCTCGTGTCAGCCAAACTGGGGTAAGCTCAGCTTTCGGCATCCCCAGATTTTCCAATGCTTTGGTCTCCCCACAAACCCCAGACTGGTCTAGACCGTGTTAGCAAAAGCCAATTCTTTTTGCGCATGACTTTTGGGCTTCTTTTCCTCGTCATGCCATGTCACCAATATGGCCTGTCTTTAACCGGAAACTATTGATGATACTACGCTCATGACTTGGTTATGCAGCTGTATATAAGACTTGGCAGTTGACCCCATCTTTATCACCAGCATCCATCATCAGTTTCCACTTTATCTTATCAAGAACTTGTATCAATCATGGAGAGTTTGAATATTACCGGCAAAGCAGATCTTGAACTTCAGGCCAAGGTTTCTGGTACAGAGTTCATGGATGCCAAGAGCCATGCTGTCGAGGCTGATCGTCAGGCTGAGCATGAGTTGACGCTGAAGCAATGCTTTCGTCAACATCCGGCTATTGTTTGGTGGTGCTTTTACTGGTCAATCGCAGCTGTAGGCTGGTAAGCCAATTCATATCCTATCTCCTCGCTTCCTGTCACTAACTGATGCCTTATAGGGGCTTTGATGCTCAGATCAACGGTGCCATGATCTCCGTCGCTGCCTTCCGACGTGACTTTGGGTACGCCCGTTATCGGACCCCTCTCCTCACTACCACTAATTATTTTCAGATATGTCGAAAATGGCGAAGCTATCCTCCCCGCCGACTGGCAAACCGCCTTCAACTGCATCAGCTCCGTAGGCGGTTTCTTCGGCGGTTTCATGTGTTCCTGGATCTGCGATTACGTCGGCCGAAAGAACTCTCTCGTCATGGCACTCCTTCTCGCGACCGGCGGTACGATCGGAGAGTGCATGTCCAATACCAATGTCGCTTTCCTAATGTCCAAGCTTATTATTGGTCTTGGACTCGGTTTCTTTCTGACGCTTGCCCCGTTGGCGACGTCGGAGATTTCACCTGTTGTGTTTCGCGGTATTGCTACTGCGGGCGTTAACCTTGGAATTGCTATTGGTCAGTTGGTTTCTAATGGTGTTATCAAGGCTTTTGGTGAAAGGACGGACCATTGGGCTTGGCGGGGTGCTTTGGCTACGCAGGGTATCTTTATTGTCATCCTTGCTATTGGTCTGCCTTTTGCTCCCGAAACTCCGTGGTATCTGGTTCGCAAGGGTAAGATGGAGGAGGCCAAGAAGTCACTCATCCAGCTATACGGATCTGGAGTCGACATTGACGCCAAGCTCGCTACTATCAAGGAGACCATCGCCGAGGAACAAGCCGCCTCTGCTGAAGAAGCATCATGGGTCCAGTGCTTCAAGGGAACCGATCTTGTCCGAACCATGATCAGCATGGGAGTCTTTGTTTGCCAACACTTCGTCGGCATCATCTTTGTCCTGGGATACTCGACCTACTTCTTTCAACTCGCCGGTCTCGAAACCTCTCGCAGCTTTGATCTCGGCGTCGGAGTCACCGCATGCGGTGTTCTTGGAAACATCTGCAGTTGGTTCGTCGTCAACTCCTTCGGCCGTCGCAAGATCTTCCTCTCAGGCATGGGAGCTCTCACAGTTCTCCTATTCCTCATTGGTATCATGGATGTTGTACCAACGTCAGCTGCCAAGTGGGTGCAAGCCGCATGCACAGTCATCTACGCTTACGTCTACTTCGCCACCGTCGGAGCCATGGCCTTTGCTGTTCTTGGCGAAACAGCTTCGTTGAACCTCAAGGCTAAGACAATGGCGCTTGCTACTGCTACACAGTCTGTCATGGGCATTGCGATGAACTTTGCCATTCCGTATATGGTTAACCCTGATGAGGGTAATCTGAAGGGCAAGGTTGGCTTCATATTTGGCGGTCTTGGCTTGATCGGCTTTATTTGGAGTTGGGTCTATGTTCCTGAGCTCAAGGGGCGACGATATGATGAGATTGACCACATGTTTCATAACAAGGTCAGTCCTCGACAGATGGGAACTTATAAGCTGTAAAGGATGGGCCGCTGGCGAAACGCGGAGATTCTGAGATCATGACTGGGCCTTGTATTTTGTATTTGGAAGAAGTGCGGTAGTCTCATATTAATAACTACTTCGCTATTGGACTTTGATGACTTACAGAAGACGAAACAAATCCTTTTGGTCGCATTTCCCCACTTGATCAATCGCCTTGTTAGGTATGTATAGCGGCCTATCTCTTTGACCGGCATAAGCCGTCCACGAGGTCACGACAGGGGCGGGGGGCCAATCAAAATGACCGTGACGACCGGTACCTCTACACACACCTAAATTAATGTGTGATAGAAGTACTAACAGTCAGCATTATTACAAATCGCTACATCATACACTTTGCAGCCATACCTAGTCTGCCGACCTCGCGCATTTCCTAATAACCTCGAGATAACCTCCTTTTTTTGCCTTTTTGGGGGGTCAAGGCTGCCCTTGCCGCAAGCCTTTACAAGCAAGGCAATAAGAAGAGCTATTTCTGCCTCTATAGACATAATTAATATCTCTTTATAGGTGATTTTGCTATACTTCTGTATTATTAGTGTCTTCCTCCTTCCCTATGCGGTATCTCTTCCTTATGCCGCTATCGGTGCTATACTTATTAAAAATGGCATTATAAATAGCCTCTTTCTAGTCTCAAAGCATGCTATAGGGCTTCTAATAAGGCTGCCAGGTCTTCTTCTGCAAAATAAAGCTATTCACAAGTGCAATATCAAGGAGGAAAGACTAAAGCAATGCCTGCCAAGGACCGCGCCAGAAACAGTACTAATATAAGGTATAAGATCTTATCTAATCGCTGCAGTCTATATGATTTATTTTATTATTATACTAAGCGGCAATAGAAGGAATAGGGATTATCCTAGCCTGATCTCTATTAAAGACCTCCTTTAGGCATTATGCCTCTGCCTTTATGCCTCTTTTAGCAGGTAATTTCTTCTCTTTTAGTATATAGTTAAGAGGGGCTGCGCTATATATAGTTAAAAGGAAGAGCACTACAGAGCTATCCTTCTAAGCGATTTAAAGGACCTAGAGGGAAGGAAAAGAGATAAATTAATAAGGGAAATATAAGTAAAGTTATCTATACTTGCTTATCCTTTATTAGGATTAAATATACCTTATTATATAGCAAAGGCTTACTATTAGGAAGCTTCCTGGTCTCTTTTATCTGCTTTATTATAATAGTAATACTGCAATTAGGGCATATTATGCCTATAGCCCTATATCTAAGCTACTAAAGGAGGCAGAAGAGCTGCAGTAATAAGAAGAGGTTATTTATAAAGATATAATATATCGCTATTAATAGCCTTTATAATAGGTAAACTATAATGCTTTATATATTGCTAAGAGGGATCTCAGTCTATAGCTTTCCCTTCTTGCTATATAGTATTAATACCTCTAGCTTAACTGTTATAGGTATAACTAGTAATGCCTTTATATACTAAAGCTACTGCAGAAAATAGCCTTATTATACAATAACCTAGATTTTAAAGCCCTTTAATATAGGCTTTCCCTTAATAAGCGTTATCTCTTTTAATTTGCCTGTAAATAGCACTATATACTTATTTATAGTTAGATTAGTCTTTAGAAGATAGAGCTTAATAGATACCCTTTATATATACTTAGATTACTCTTTAGCCGCTTAGAAGGTCTTTAGAAGATCCCTCTTATTACTTATATTAAGATTAGTGTAATTAAAGGTACAGAAATACTATATAATTAGCTCGAACTTCTATAGTAATATGAACTTTATAAATAGATAAAGGGGGCGCTAATCTCCTAGGCTAGGGGCCTTTTAATAGTCCTCGAGGGATATTTCCCTATGAATTCCTAGGTAAATAAGGATACTAAGCTATATATAAGCCGTTGCAGTAGAGATGCCTTCCTAAGCATACAAGCGCAAGTAGTCAGAAAGGGGGGTATTCTAGCTATCAAAGCTATAATCATCTATTATATGTATCTCTTGGGAGCTTATCGTTCTAATTAAGACTTGTTAAGGTCAATTCATATAAGGATTTTGATAATTTTGGTGGTGTTGAAAGAAGAAGCTGTCTGACGGGAACTTCATGTACCCTGCAGGTACCTGTAAAAAAGCGGGGTAAGTGACCTCGTGGACGGCTTATGCCGGTCAAAGAGATAAATAGACCTCCTAGATAAGCGCCGCAGCAAATCCTGTCATCCTATCGTCCTTTCTCATCCTTTCTCATCCTTCATAAAACATGTTAAGCTTACGGTGCTTACTTTGGCTCCGGTCAGCATGAAGACAGTTAATAAAACAGCTGATGACAAGACAGCCCTTCATTCCCAAAATCTATTTTAACATACTGAACATCAGGCTGTCGAGTCCTGGAAAGCCTCTACAGTACATATCTGCCTTTTTTCAGTCCTTCGCGACACATTCACCATGTCGTACAAAGTAATTCCCGATCGACGTTCAAGGTCGCCATTGTGTAAAACATGCTTCGTTTTCTTTACCATGCCACAAGACATCTCGACACCTGGCAGGCTGATCAACAACCCTCACTCTCCCAGCATCGCTAAGCTCCTAGCCTCATCGCAGCTTACCAAATGTGCGTTCTGCACACACATTGTGCAACAAATGAAAGATGCGCGTATCAAATCTGACTTTCCATTGACTTGTAACATACATAAAAGGCACGGGAAGCTCTCTAAACCGGTTTGGAGAGTCTCTACGACCTTGTCTAGCAACATATACGGAAAATCCGTAGATTATGCACTGCTTCCCTTAGCATGTATGCACCCAAGTTATGATTCATGTACATCATGGACTGACAATACCTCTAGATGTCTGGAAGTCCGTGGAGTTTCGCAAGCAAGACATTGTGTCTAATGAGTATGGGATCAGCTACTCGACCGACACGGCGACTAGTCGCAATCTAGTTCAAAGATGGCATCATGATTGTCAGCAAAAGCATCAGACTTGCAAATCCTCAAAGGACTGGGCCCCTACGAGACTAGTCAAGATCTATGATACCCACTTCCGTGTCATCACAAACAACGACCACCACTCCGAACCATACCCCTACGTCGCTCTAAGCCACTGCTGGGGACGAGTCAATATTCTGAAGCTCACATCAGCAACCAAAAGTGACCTCTTCCAAGGCACGCCTATCTCAAGACTCCCTAAGACGTTTCGCGACGCAATCACTGTATGTCGCTGGCTGAATTACTCGTATATCTGGATAGACTCGCTCTGTATTGTACAAGATTCTCACGAAGATTGGACGACCGAAGCACATATGATGACGGATGTCTATGGAAACTCTGCGCTGACGATTGTGGCTGCACACGCACGTGACGGTACAGAAGGTCTTTTCTGTAATCGCAGCCCACTGGGAACTAAAGCACTTATCATTGACTGCTGCTGGGGGCCTACTGGAGCCCCCGAGCCGTACTGCCTTGTAGATCATCGCTTATGGGTCAATAGCGTTGAAGACAGTCACATATCCTCAAGAGCCTGGACAGTCCAAGAGCGCTTTCTGTCTACCAGGACTTTATACTTCACAGACCATCAGATATTCTACCGCTGCGCCACCCACGAAGTCTGCGAGTCTTTCCCAGCGGGTGAAACGCCTTCGCAACTTATTGAGAATACGCTCTACAGTCCGTCAAAAGCGTTCTTGAACCTAGGGATAAATGGATTCGAGCTGCGGAGGTTTACTCAAGAGCGCGTCTTACAAAGGACACGGATAAAGTCGTTGCTATCGCTGGAATAGCAGAGAACCTGCGCCCACTTTTGGGAGATGAGTATTTGGTTGGCTTATGGAGGAGTAATCTAGTCCATGAACTGCTGTGGCGATCGTCTTCAAATGGTGGTGACCAGTCGAGACCGGATCCATGCCTCGCCCCAAGTTGGCCTTGGATGTCAGTCAAGGGAGTTGGCGTGGACATAAACTCCACGATTTGCAGCTCAGGTTGCAGACACCATTTGACCATCGTACATGCCTCAGTCGATCTTGTTGAACCTTCGCGCCCAACTGGGGATATTCAGCAAGGTTCCGGAATCCTTCAGGTTCGAGGTTCTCTCAAACAAGTGTACTGGTCCCCGCGGGACTATTCCGATAGAGATTGGCGAAAATATCAAATCACCTTTGAAAGCGGAGACAACGACGGGGGCTTAGGGTTGAGTATCACACACCCAGATTACCTTGAGGACTCTATCACGGATCGGAGACTCTTTTTGTTGCCTGTTCTATCAACAGCAGATGGGCAAAGTACTGAGTGTCTCGTTCTCACGCCAGTTATCGAAAAGGCTAGATTGTATGAACGCGTGGGATTGTATAGTATGAGTCGTGGTAATGGAGGAGATTGGTATTTGTTCAGACAGAGGAAGTGGTGTCAAGGGGACGGTACTTCCCCACGGTGGAGGAGGGTCACATTTGCTTACAGAGATTGGGAAAGAAACCCTGTAGTTGATTTATGTATAATCTAAATATTTCTTTAGATAGAAGTGTGCTAATATTGAGTTTATTGCATGAGAGATTGTTCGAGATGGATAATGTTTCTTAACAGTGTGTTAAACAGTGTTTCCTGATATACCCTCTTTTCCCATATGATAGACTAAACAAGCTGAACCCAAGACATAAAGTAGCTTTCTCAAGAACCCCCAACAGTAGTTGTTCCACTGGTCACAGTAACTGCATCCGGTTTAATCACACTGGTAGCCATAGAAACCTCCACACCATGTCCAAGGAGCTGAAGCATCTGGCGTAACCACAACAATCCTAGTATTGAAGTTAGTACTGAGTACAAACCAAGATAGTACCTGGCACTGGGATTTCCTCCCAGAATTGTTTTGACTCACACTGTGCCCTAGCACTAGCGCTCGTTAGAGTTGAATCTGAAGCTGGCGGCTTCCGAATCGCTGGAGCAAAAGTCCCGGCATACACTGAAGCTAGGACCTTTGATGGATTCACCAGATCCTCCACTCCAATAGTTGCTGTCTCCATAACCAATAACGTCACAATGGACCTCCGCTGAACATGTGTCAGTGAGGCCTCAGCAGTATTGGTGAGAGGGGAAGAACTTACTACCAGGAACATACACCGTAGGAGTTGGTGCTCAATGATGACTATTAGTAAGAAATAACATTCCAAAGTCACCGTTGCAGAGACTCACGTAACACTGTATGTTTCATTGTAAGTATATCCCCCTTTACAGATAATGTTTGGTAAGCACTTACAAAGTAGAAAACGTGGCTGAGATGGTAGTCAGAACATCAACGGTGGAAGCGTCAGTAACATCTGTTGTAACCGTTGTATCAACATCGACTGTAACAGTCGTGGTGACCCCCTTAGTAATCCTCTGAGTTATCTGCTCAACATCCGTCACAGCCACCTGAACTGACTTTGTATTAGTGACTCGATTAGTCGCCGTGTTCGTAAGTGTCTTTGTGGTAACGTCAGTAACTAGAGCGGTGCTCGTCTGGGTAACTGTAGTCAAATCGGTCTTTGTCGTAGTGGTCACGGTCACGAGGAAGGTGGTGGTTCTAACGGTAGTGACGCCGATTAGAGTAATCGTTGTGACTTTCGATTTGAATGAAGTAGTTCGAGCAATGGGGGTTACGGCTGTGGAGGTGGTACTTTGGATGTAGGTTGAGCAGAAAGCGGATCCATCGGCTTGATGTTTCTTGAAGGCTTGGTTGTTTGGATCACTGGCTTTGCAGACTGAGAAAGGTGGACTGTTAGTTTAGTTGCGTTGTATAGGAGGTTTACATACCTACTCTTGGGTCAAGGACGTCTCTCCTGTCAAGCATCAAATCAGAGAGTTTACCATTGTTGTCCGCCGCTGGTAACGCGTTCGCTGTGCTGATGAATAGCAGCGTCAGAATTATCTTCAAAGGAACCGTTTTTGCTCAACAGAATGAAAACACTATTGTCTAGAACATAACTGGGCTAGATATATCCTGATTTATGGACAAGTCGGTAGGAAATAGAGCGGTTATTGCTAAGATAAAGAATAAATAAAATTTAGATATATACTTTTAGCTCTTAGAGATAGATATAACAAAAGGGTGAGCCGCTCAAAGTATCAAGTGCATCATCGATAGTGATCTCAGCTGCATTAACTCCCATATTTAGAGGATCAGACTTCAAAGCGTCCCGGCTAGGAGGTCTGTTCGAAATAGTGATAGTGCCAGCAATGTCTCGAGCCTGCTTCGGGTGAAGGGCCTGCCAGATCCAGTATACGCGGTCGACCATAGAATGGTGCAAAAAGAAAGCAGGCTCATTTGGTGAAGAGTAGAGATCGGATGAGTCACCGCCCATGACAAAATGACCAGCTGCATGCAAGCCCAAGAATCCATCCGCAAACCGTCCTTGAAATTCATCCTGCATAGCCTTGACGCTATGCGAAGCGTCGCCGAGAGTGATGTTGTATAAGTTGTGAAGGGTCATCCACTTCTCAATGGTGTAACGGCTAAGATCTCGACGTATACAGCGGGGATTATACTCGAGAGGCGTCGTAGTGGCTTTCATTCCATCCATACCGGGAGAGGGAGGTCCAAGGTTGGCGATTGCACCGGCGAAGGGACCTTTCTTGATACAGCCGCCTCCGTTACCACTCGGAAGAAAAATGGCTCCTGCGCCGGAAATAGAACCGTTGTGTTTGAAGAACTCGCCGTCACCGCTCATACTGGTCTCGGAACCGTCAAAGACAGGGTTGGTTGCAAAGTCGCCAGTCTCAAACCAATTCCAATACTACATGAATTCGTACGTTCTAAGTTTCTGTCATCGGGAGTTATCGAGCTTTACTTACTGGCTGGGTGCCCTTATAACCACACTCATCTCGCAGAGCTTTTTCATAGGCCCAAGTATAATATCGATGCCAGGTGAAGAAATTTCCCTAGAAGGCTATTAACCGCCATTTACACCTCACGAAACACGATTCTCACTGTTCCATGTATGCTTCGAGTCTGATTAATATGGACAGCGACGAAATCATCATATCTAGTGCGTGCGCCAGGTGCGAAAGAAGGGTCCGCCTTGGAAGGTTTCTTTCGCAGACATAAGACGGCATTGATGTAAGCCTTCTTCTCCTTCTTCGAGAGGGCTGCCCTGTAGCAATTGTTAGTAACGGTTCAAGGCCTTGGGGAGAACAACTTACCAATCCCGGCGTACTTCGGCGTTGGCGATTGTACACTTCTTGCGGCTTGTCGGTGCTCTGGTATTCTCTAGTGCAGACGTCGCCTTGCTGTTAAGATGTAGCATGAGATCACCGGCAGATTGAGTTGGTGAGGCAGCAACTAGCGAAGAGGCGCCCAGGAAAGCAGCGATGATTCCGAAAGAAATCTGCATGGTTTCGAAACTTGCTTTTGTGCTTGTACTCTGTGATATTCAGTTAGACAAGAGATGACAGGAAAGAAAGTCAGGGAATGCGGTGAGATTGAGCGCGCGGGATAGACTACTTAACTAATAAGCAAGCAGAAAAATGCGGTCGAAATTGTATTAGTGCCTATCCCGTATAATTGATGGGATAGAGACAAAATTCAAGAACCCCTGTTAAAGCCAAGCCGGAGCAAGCCCTGTTCGTAGTGTTGTGCCGCTGTATCGCGCCCATCATTGCTGGAAGGGGATTTGACAAGCCCTTAACTCTGCAGCCCTAGGGCGCAGGGTCTTACAGGCTACACCAAAACTACCAGGTATCTTAACCAGGCAGAATTGAGGCTAAAAGATATAGAGTAGATGGATGGAATAACTATCTCTCGGCATGGATTTACTCCTTTTCATTGAAGGCATCCCGCAATCAAGGTTTGGTGAGGGATAAATCAGTGAAGAGAAACGTGTTAGATGGTGATTTAACCGGATGCCCCTGGACATGGTTATGCATCTAAGATTTTAGGGTAACCAATGACTGACCGTTGTTGATTCGCAAATTCATACCAACTATGGGGTAGCTCAATCTGTTCACTTTCAAACAGCCGTTTGTCCGCTATTCTCGTATAAGGCACCCCACAATGCTGACCGTATGCCTGTTCCACATAGTGTAGTAGACCATTATACTCGTGAGCAGCAGGGATAACAAGAGTCTTCATGACAGCTAGCAGGCTGCTGCTCAGCCCGGACTATTTGGACAAGTCTGGCTTCTCGAGTGGCCAGTGCGGTTGAAGGCGCTGTGAACATCTGTGTTGTTGTTTATAGCATTATGGTATAATGTCTAAATAGTGAGCTAGGTGTGTTATTTGCAGTTGAGACTTGTGGCTGAGAGCTTATAATCACTACATAGAACTTAGTTTATGGCCTTTCCGTCAATTGCCTAATAAACTTCGGACAACCAACTCGCGACCAACGGAAGAGAAGTCACAAACAGTGGCCAAGCTGGTTGCGCCTCTCGATGTAACCCAGAACTTTTGAATTAACCTTAAATGTATTTTAGACCTCAACCCTTATCGCCTGACGCAACACAAATTACTTAAGGAGGAAAGAAATTGAGGAGAAATAATTACCAATGCAATCGTTTAAGACCGTAGGTTGACTGGAACCGCAGAGCGGTACATCTAGTACACTATTTAGACGCAGAATTCATCATTAACAAATGATCGAAGGGACACTGTATGTTGAAGCTCCCATGACTCTTAAGAGGTAAATGGAAGAGTTACATCAACGGCAACTTCGAATCCTTCAGAGTACCTTCGTAAGGACACTGCTGCAGTGGCAGAAGCTTGGTGGAGCTGTGTTTCCCTTGGCCCCAGCAATGAAAGTAATACCAGTCTTAAGCTAACGTTGCATACATGTCTGAGCCTTTAAGTCAATCTATTATGCCCTCCAAGGCCAATTTACCTGCCTTTCAAGCCCTTTGCGGCTCTAGCTGAATCCAATCATTCATCTTCTGACATGCTTACTTTCTAATCACTTAAGACCCCGTATAGAGTCTGGGTTCTGAAGACTTATCTGCTTACGAACGCATTCGAACCCAGGATCTTTAAGTGGTTTTGTAACATTATAGGTTTATTAAGTTTAAGTCCTTTCTCAATAAGAGGTCATCATGCTCTCCATAGAACTCCACCCAAACCTGGATTGGACTATAATACCACTATAAAGGACATATTCGCGTAGCTCACTCTTTCTGCTGGTAGCTATGAACGTTTATATGTTTAGCAAGGCAGTCAATTTAATATTCGAGTTGACTAATTGACTGCCAGTCTTACAGGGTTTTAGGATCTATGGTAAGTGGGTTCATCAAGCACGTCCTCTTGGCACGGAGGACTGTGGGTCGGCGTTGTTGAATTCAGCCCCATACGGACGGAGGTGACACCCTCATATAGCCAAATAATTGTTTCAAGGGTTACATTGTTCTGAGTAAGCGAGAGGGCAGACGGACATTAATCATGTGATTGAAGGAATAAACATTCAATCAATCTCTATTTAAAAATCCCTTATTCTTCGGCCTTTCTCCGCCAATCCCCGTTGTCATATTGTTAAGCTTGAGACGCGATGGCGGACGCCCCTTGGTCAGCCTTTCAGGGCAGCATAACGTCGCTGACAGTCCGAGACTGGATAGTGGCTTTGATATTATCCTGGCTTGCATTTAAACTTTTGCAAGCATTATACAATATCTCGCCTTTTCACCCGCTGAGCAAGGTCCCTGGTCCAAAACTTGCGGCAGCAACATATCTGCCCGAATTCTACTACGATGTGATCCTCGTCGGTCGCTATACCCATGCTATCAAACAAATGCACGAGAAATATGGTAACGGCAATTCGACAACACGAAACGAATCATTCTAATCCTTTTCTAGGGCCTATTGTTCGGATCAACCCCAATGAGCTGCACTGCGCTGATATGTCCTTCTCGGACGAGATTTACGCAGTCGGCGGTCGCAAACGCGATAAGCCTTTCCACCAAGTCAACGGCTCCGCAGCTGGTACAGGAAATGCTTTTGGTACCGTCGATCACGATCTCCACCGTGCCAGGCGTGCGCCTGTCGCCAAGTTCTTCTCACGAGCCATGATTGCACGTCTTGAACAAGAAGTCCACGACCTGGCACAAACACTCTGCAATAAACTCTTGGCCGAGAACAAGGATGAGAAGGAACGCAAACCTTTTGAAATCGCGCATGCATACAGCTGTTTCACATCTGACGCCATTTCAAGCTATTGCTTCGGCGAAGCCTTTGGGTTACTATCACAAAATCAGTGGCAGCCTAATTATCGCGAAGCTACACTCGCGGTACTCAAACCAGTGTTCTTCTTCCGCTTTTTTCCTATCCTTGTTTCTAGCGTGAAGCTGGGTAAGTATCTTGTCGACTATTTACCAGCTGATACTGCGCTTCTCATTCGAACTTTACAAATCGACATCCCGTCTCGTGTTCAAAAGACGAAAAACGACTTGGATTCTGGCATTGTCTATGATCGGCCGAGTATTTTTGCAGATCTGCTGCAATCTGAGCTCGATGAAAGTGAGAAGAAACAGGATCGTCTAGTTGAAGAGGCTGTTACTATCGTCAACGCTGGCACTGAAACCACGAGCTGGGCGTTGGCTGTGATAACATACTTTCTCTTATCACAGCCCGAGACTTTGACGAAACTACAAGACGAGCTGAAGCAAGTTGTTGAAGACCCATGCCATTTACCTTCTTGGACGACACTGGAGCAGCTTCCCTATCTTGGAGCTGTCATCAATGAAGGTCTGCGTCTATCCTATGGCGTTTCCAGCCGCACAGCCCGCGTGCCGACAACAGAAGACCTTGTGTACCGAGGGGAGTTTAACAAGAAGCCAACGACTCTGGTTCTACCTCGAGGCTATGCAATCGGCATGTCAGCAGCCATTTCTCACCACGACGAGGCTGTTTTCCCAGACTCGTATGCTTTTGCTCCTGAACGATGGATCGATGAGGACATCAAGATCAGAAAGGATCTGGAGAGGTCTATGATTGCGTTTTCGAAGGGCAGTCGTGGATGTCTTGGTAAAAAGTGAGATACACCATTATGCCATGAAATAGAGGATTTACTAACATTTTCTTAGTCTCGCTCTGTGCGAGTTATACCTCTCTCTTACAGCTCTAGTTTTGAGAGTGATGCCGTACATGCGTCTATATGAGACAACGGAGAGGGATATTCGCTATGACCACGACATGTTCATTCCGATGACGGAGAGTGGAAGTAAAGGAGTCAGAGTAATCATTGAGAGCTAAACTATACCCTCTACCTAATACGAGTTACTTTCTGCATACTTGTTGGCTCTAGTCTGTACCTCGCGCTATACTACCCGATGTGTACTAATCTCATGATCAGAAGGATGCCACAAGAGGTAACCCGAGAGTACATCAAGCTTCACAGCCACTCGCATGCCGTACTGCTTTATCGCTTATCAAGCTCTATAAGACAAACTAATAATGATCAGCTGCCGAAAGTGCCGAGAAAGCTTTGAAGAGATATGGTGCTCTCTTTCTAAAACATAAAGGGAATTCCAGATGGAGTTCCTTGTGAGGCACCAGCCAATCCGATAAGACTATTTGCTCAAGCTTTTGCCACCAGGTCTCCAGGTCGAATGACTAACTGATTCTGCTCTAGCTCAGATACCCTCAGCTATCAGAAGATCGATAACATGTTAGCTATATAAACGGTCTGGCATCAGCATTTACCATTCATTGATCTTTCAATCCATATCACGAAACTTGTCGTTAATGATATGGCTAAAAATATGGATTCTCGCAGTCACTCATACCCTGATGCGCCTCCACCATACTCCAGCCTAGTTGCAACAACTTCAGAACCAGCATTCTCCTATAATAGCCGTCCTCGTATTCTACCTATTCCAACACTTCAACAACCTACACCTCTTACATCAGAGAGGCCCATTGCCATTCCCGCAACAGGCTCAAAAATTGGCTCCCCCTTCCTACGAGCCTTCCCGCCTATCCTCGAAGATAGATATCATCTTCCCCGAGAAGTCTTCCTCAGATTTCTCGATGACCTCAATCGTGTGACAGTCGCTAGTCCACCAGTTCAGATACTGGGAATGGTAGGCGGTATCGTATCAATGATACCGCTACATACCGCACAAATCGTCGGTAGTTCAGTCAATGCGGCAGCTACTCTTTCGACCTACGCTATGAGTAAATGTCGAAGTGAACTCTGCATCAGCAAAGCCAACAAAGAGCTCTTCATGCCTAGAGGTCTCAAAGCTGAGTTTGCGAAGTTGGATGCAGTTGCTCGTTATGCTCAGATCCCCATTCTGGATAACAAGGGCAAGGTTGAGAAGAATGGCATGGTTCTTGGACCGTTGGAAGATGCATCGATACAGTCTTCGGTTACTGTACAGCAACGCAGGCTTCAGGCTCTTGAGCCATGGATTGCACCATTGAAGCTAACTACCTTACCTGATTTGCATGTTCCGGATAACTTTATAAGCAAAATGCATGCTTCAACGAGTGAACGACAGAGAAAGAAAGAGGAGGAGAAGATGACCAAAGATAGAGCCAAGGCACATGACGATTGGACTGAAGATTCTGTAAAGGCTCGAAAAGACTATGAGAAAGTCATGAGAAAAGTAGAGGAGGAATTGGCGAAGGTGCAAAGAAAGCACGCAGATGATCCTCGGAAGTTGGAAAGGGAGTTAAAGAAGCTGGATAGAGACAGGGAAAGATGCGAGAAGGAGTATGAGAAAGAAATGCGAAAGGTTGATAAGGAAGAGGAGGGTGTGAGAAAAGTCCTCTGGCTGCTCATCAGACCGATAGGTGATGAGCCTATGGAGTGATAAGATCAGAGCTCTGTGGTGAAAAGGACGCTAGAGGTACGATTGGGCTCACTAAGAGATGGGCTACTTGTGTATGAAGTCATAAATATCATTTAAATCCGCTGCGCCTATGATTTTACATACAATTTGTTTCTTTTACAATCCCTTCATCGTCGCGCCAATCCAACATCCAATCCCATAGGCTTCCTCAAGAATCCCTCCCTAGTCTCCATAACATCCTGTCTCAAACGAACATCATATCGCTTGATCCAAGTAGTAGCGATAAGCCTCATCTGCATCTCAGCCAAGTTCCTTCCAACACAAGATCTCGGACCGTAGCTGAAGGGGATGAAAGCAGTCTTCTGCTTATCAGTCAAAGTCTCCCACCGCTCGGGCTTGAACTCTTCAGCATCAGGACCCCAGATTTCAGTAGAGTGGTGAATCGTATAAGTGGGGACGCTGAGAATAGTGCCCGGACCGAAGTACCGTCCGTGAAGAGTAACGCCCTTGTGGTTGGGAGGAATCTCACGGGGTAGACCGATACCCGAGGGTGAGTGGATTCGAAGAGTCTCGTTGATGCAGTGCCCGAGGTAGGGAAGATGCTTAACGGATTCGTAATCAGGAATAGCAACGTCTTCAGGAACAACAGCAGAAATCTCCTCATAAAGCTTCTGCATGACTCCAGGAGTTCTGACGACATGGTACAGCAGCGCACAAGAAGAGTTAGAAGTGGTATCACTTCCAGCGATGAGTTGGGTAAGAGCTTCAGCGGTGAGTTCATCGCGACCAAGAGGCTCACCCTTCTCATCGCGACCTTGCATAAGACGAGCCAGAAGATCCTTGCGGGTAGAATCACCGCCACGCTCGAGACGTTCGCTTACGCGAGCGATGGCGATACCGGCGAGGTTCTCGACGGCTTGGAGACCTTGGCTGAAGAAGGGGTCGGGGAGATATTTGGCATAGGGCTTGAGTTGGGGGAGACAGCCGAGAGTGGCGGAGACTTCACCGCGACGGTTCATGATCTCGACGGCTGGGGCGTAGATGGTTGGGCTGGTGGGAGAGGCCTTGACTTCAGCAATGTCGGCTCCAGTTGAAAGCATGCCTAATGCTATTAGCTTTATACTTATTATATATCCAAATGAACCTACCGAATGGCTTGCCAAAAGCGAGATCAGCGATGATGTCAAAAGCAAGAAAGTTGACTATTCATGTCAGTACGTTTCGAAACTCGATTCGATGATTACTTACACCAGTTGAGGCAGTCAACGCTTCCATAACCATCAGCTTCCTTGTTGCTAGCGATGCGATCCCACTGGTTGATAAAGATATCGAGGTTCTGTCGGATATAAGGCTCAAACTCCAAAACAGACTTGGGCGCAAAAGTATGCGAAACAAGCTTTCTCTTGCGAGAGTGTTCAGCTCTGTTGCGAGTGTTGAAAAGACCCCGGCGAATAGAGACGAAGGTATCATAAAAGTCACTAATTCGTTAGCTCCTCGTCCTCATACTATAGTGCTAGATTGGACTTACGCCTTTAGGAAACCATTTCCGTGTCCGTAGATAGTGTTGATAGCATCTGCATCAGCAACACTAACATGGTTCGGCGCAATGCGAGCCAAAACACCCAGCTTCTTATGAACCTGATCAACAATCTCATAACGCTTTCCACGACGACATGCAGACAGTAACCAAAGGTTGGTGAACTGCGCAGGGAAAGGAGCGGGGATACCGCGGAGATTGGAGTTGCTGATCCATGGGAGGATGTACCAGACTACAAGAGCCACGGCGAGGGCTACGGGTGCCCAGGGGGAAATCAAGAGTTCTGTGAAAGCCATTGTAAATTGACCAAGATCGAAATTGGAGGATGGGTTAGCGATAGTTGAGGAGTAGAAGGTGAGTATTTGTATCAAGATATAACTACTAGGTCGGATAGTAGGATGCCCCGGATTTACCCCAGACGTGAACGTTCATGAGCTCCGAGGAAGCCTTTCCCTGTTAGGGGTAGTGCTGTTTCCTCCTCGGCACTTCAAATATATGGCATATGATTGGTCAATTGATGCTTTTCTTGTCTACTATTGGCCAGATTTTGGTCCTTGAATAGAGGTATAACCTGGCAAACGTCTATGAGATAATTAAAGACAATGTCAGCTCTCTGTTTTAATGCTATTAAATCTCTTTATCCCTCAGGCCTTGCCATAATGATCAGACCAAAAGCCGTTTTCCGCTGCCTTTGTTCCTCTTCGTCATCTGAAGGTTCGGCAATTCAACGCATCCGATTGGCTCCTGTTCCGAGGAATTGATCGGCAAATGGGCACGGAAGCTGGGGCGTCGCCGAGAATGATAGACTATATCGATTATACATTCATTCTGCACGCGGTATATACAGGATAGTTAAGAAAAGATAACAATTGGACGTATATCAAGGTATCAAAGAAATTAACTATTATTACGAAATAGGGAAAACCGGGCGAACCGATAAAAAACCCTATCCCTCCTCCATTTTGCAGCACCTGCAATGACATTGACCACAAACTTCAGAAGCTCAGCTCACAGCCAAGTACCAAATATCTTGATGTAAATCATCTTGACAACCTGAACCTCCACAGCATAAAGCAACAACTCAGCAGCCAAAAATCCAACAAAAGTCGGTGCTGGTTGAGCAAAGCTGAACGCGGGCCTGAAAGCCGGGATCCAGGGTAGGACGAAACCAATGGCCATGATGGATGCAGTTGAGAATACGAGAATCGGTGCTGCGCGGCTCTGGATGATGGGAAGTTTCGCTGTACGCAGCAAGTGGACGATCAGAGTCTGGGTGAGAAGACTATTGTAGCTGTTAGTGGCTTGAAATGGGAAGACTTGAGGATAGCTTACCCTTGGAGGAACCAATGTGTTTGTGCGAGCTTGACATTGTCGTCGGTAGTTCGGATGCCGTAGAAGAACCAGTTGAGAAGGAAAGTGCACATGTCGATGACCGAACTCGTGGGACCGAGGACGATGATGAACTTGAGGATATCTGCTGCTTGTTAGACACACTCATATGAAGAGACAACGAGACCTACCCATCGCGTTCCATCTTCTTGGCTGTGTCAAATACTCCTCGTCAACTCGATCCCAAGGAATGGCGATCTGGCTGATATCGTAGAGCAAATTCTGAGCAAGAAGTTGAATGCTGGTCATCTATATCCAAGTTAGCATACTCCCGTCAAAGAATGATAAATACTCGCAGGTGTAAAAGGCAGCCAAGCACTAGCCGCCAGAATACTAAAAACATTACCAAAATTGGACGAAGCCACCATCTTGATATACTTGATAGTATTCCCATGCGTAATCCTTCCCAGAACCACACTCCTCACAATAATCGAAAGTCCCTTCTCTGTCAAGATCAAATCCGCACAATCCTTCGCAACACCGGCTCCAGAATCAACAGAGATCCCAACATCTGCATCTCGAAGCGCACCACAGTCGTTGATTCCATCGCCGAGCATACCAACGCAGTTACCGGCTTTTTGAAGAGCGAGAACGATTAGACTTTTCTGTTTGGGGGTTACTTTGGCGAATACACTGCATCGTTCGACGGCGAGGTCGAATTCGTCAGAGTCTTCGAGGAGGGCTAGTTCAGGACCTGAAATGGCTTCTGCGTCATCGTCCATTGCTTCGGAGTGTTGGAGGAGTTCGAGGGAGCGGCAGATGTTGAGGGCGACGGGGAGGGAGTCACCGGTCAAGACCTTTACTTGGACTCCGAGCTCGGTGAGGCTTGCGATGGCGTCTTTTGCGTCGTCCTTGGGAGGATCGGAGAAACTGATCATTCCTTCGAGAGTCATGTTTGTCTCGAGCATATCGAGCTCATTGACATAAGACTTGCCGAGGATGCGGGATGCAACGAGAAGAACGCGATATCCTTCCATGTTCTTCTGCATGGCGAGTTGTCTCCATCGGGTCTGCATTTCAGTACTGAGATACTCACTTTTACCAGCGGAGCGCATTGAAGAGCAGCGAGTGAGAACTTCATCGAATGCGCCCTTGACGATGAGGAGGTATTGGCCTGTGATGCCGCGGACGATACAGCCGGACCGGCGACGCTCAAAGTCGAATGGAATGACGCGGACTTGCTCATAGTGGGCTATACCGACTTCGTCGCCGTTGGGGAGGTGATAGTTGAGAATCGCCCTGTCCATGTTGTTGCCGCTGTTACCTTGGATTTGAGAGTCGACCTTTGCGAGTTCCATGATGTTGAGGTTGTCTTCTCCTTCAGCGTTGGAGTACTTGTGCACTGAGAGCTCGTCTTTGGTAAGAGTCCCCGTCTGCAACATCGTTAGCCCTAAAACAAGGCGATGAAACGGGGGTACATACCTTGTCGCTGCACAGAACAGTCATAGCACCGAGGTTCTGAACCGAGTCGAGACGCTTGACGATTGCTTGCTTCTTGGATAGTTGATGGGCAGCGCGAGCGAGATTGGCGTTGACGATGGCGGGGAGCATTTCGGGGACGAGGCCGACTGCGACGCTGATGCTGAAGAGCGCGGCGTTCTTCCAGTCTCCGGTGACCTTGCCGGAGATGCAGAGAACCTGAACGATGGTCAGTAGAAGTAGGCGAATGGGTTCGAAGATTGCTTACGATAGGAACCATAACGACCATAAATCCGATGAGCATCCAAGTTACATTGAGAATACCTTTCTGGAAGGCATTGGGCTGTCTCTTTTTTTCAACTTCCTTGACCATGGTAGCGATCATAGCATCTAGAACTGTTAGCCCAAACTCCAGGAACAGATTGGAGACACTTACCATCGCCCGTCCGAAGAACAAGTCCAACACCATGACCACTCACAATATTCGTCCCCATAAGCGCAACATTACCAAAGTCAAAAATCGAGAACGCCTCTTTCGCATCATGAGGTCCTGCGTCCTTACCCACAGGTTCACTCTCACCCGTCCAAGCAGATTGACTAATCCTCAAGTACGATGACTCAAGGATAAGACAATCAGCTGGGACAATAGCACCAGGAACAAGAATGACAATATCACCGGGGACGAGGTCAGTCTCGAGAACAGTGCCCTCTGTCCAGGAGAGTTGAAGTTCATCGGTGTAGGTTGTAGGTCGACGGACTCGAATCTTGGGAATGATGGCGGATTGAAGACGAAAGATGGCGACACCGCTTTGGAACTCTTGCCAGAAGCGCACGGCGACGGAAATGACGATCATGACCATAAGAACAGCAAAACCCTCCTAATCACGAGTCAGTATAAATCTCATCCAACCAAACGAACCAAGATAACACACCCAGCTAGGATTCGGCATCGCAACATTAAGAATCGCCAGAAACATCAACAAGATATTAAACGGATTCGGAATAACACTCAACAACAGCATAAACCAAGACTGCGGCTTCCTCGAAGAAACAACATTCTGCCCATGAATGCGTCGCCTCGCAGTAGCTTCAGCCTCAGAAATACCATCGCTGTTCGTCACCAAATGCGCAAGCGCGGTATCAGGTGTCATAGACGCAATCCATCGAAGAATATCTTCTGCTGTGCTCTTTGATGCCCTGTCTGGGTTTAGTTGCCATGTCGCGGTTCGTGCTCGGGATTTGCCGTTGTGTAGGCCAAGACGGCCGAGGAAGTTAATTTCGCGGCGGGCCATGGTGTTGACATCGGTTGATTGAACATTCGATTTCTTCTTTCAAGCCTTTGTCCCAGATCTTAACGGTCAGCTTGATCTATCTCACTGGAATATCATGAGGTTCGTACAAACTTAGGGCGGATCAAAGTCTGCTGCTTCAGACTTGGCGATTCCTCTGAAGAGGAGAAGTTCCAGCGAATTCTCCAGATTTGCGAAAGGTAGGTAAACTGCAACAAAAGAGTCGTTCATCGAATTGAACAGAATAATTTGGTGTGTATTACAAGTAAAGCTCTGCACAGAAAGTTGGGGGGGATCAGCGATATATACAAATCATGAACTTGTAAACTTTCTCCTGATTAAAGCCCAAGAAATGATAAACGAAAATCTTTTCCAAACTAACACGGCCAAGAAACAAAAGCATGTGTTAATGTTGTTGTGGGGGTGACTCATGCCGAGAGATCCATCTAATAACCTCTCGTATAAAACGTGCCGAATACCCTTGGCGACAAGAGTTATAAGACCAGGCAGGACAGGAAATATCTCATAGCCAAGCGCCAGGTTACTATCAAGGTACCTGCATATAAGAGCCGAGTTCCGAATGGCAAGAGGGACTATTTGGAATGTGGTCATTGATGTGCAATATGGAACTTGGCGAGACATTCGACTGATGTATCTTCATGACTTATTCCTCAGCAAATTGACTTTCTCCTTTTCTGAAAAAATAGTATTATCTTGTCAAATTACAAAAAACACAGCCCAGCGGGCAATGCCGTGATTAACATTTTGGCGATCAGGCACTGCCGCATTGTTGCACTGCCCCGTTGAGCTAACTACCGACCTCCCTTTTTTCACATTTGCGTCTTTTTTTTTGTGATTTCATAAACGGCACGTCAAGATCCGAAGTTGGATGTGTTTTATAAGAGTAGCTTGTTGAGGCTTGGGTCTAGACTCTGGGCGATGGTAGAGGACGCGTAAGCCCGCTAATATGAGCAAGGGGAGTGAATCGTGTTATACCCGGCGTATATGCACGTATAGATAGACTATTCCCCTATGAGTCAAGATCAAGATTGATGTGTTGTATGGATGAAGCGGTTTATGGCCAAAGAGCTTCTTTGTTCCATGTGCTTTGCGCAAGATCCCAATTGTAGCTCAATCGCTGATGCAGACGATCACTAGAAGCTTGCCAGAACTCAACCGTCTGCGGAGCAACCGCATAAACCATCCATCCCTCAGAACTTGGCTCTTGTCCCTCAATCTTATGACTTTTAACGGCTTCCGCCATCTTGGCTTCCAGTTCATGCGGGTCATTAAGTGGTTCGCTCTGCCTCGACACCTTGGCAGTGATCTTGGCCATAGCCGATCGAGCCGTCCAATCCTGATCACACTCACTTCTAGACAGAGCATTTGCTTTTCCTCGTAGACGGATTTGTCGTCCGATTTTGGGCCAGTAGAAGGTGAGAGCGACGTTATTGTTTGCTGAGATTTGTCGGCCTTTGGGGCTGTTGGCTTTTATGGCGAAGTGCCAGCCGCGGTGATCGACGTTTTTGAGGATTAGAACGCGGGCATCGGGGTGGCCTTGTTCATCGACTGTTGAGAGCGTGACGGCGTGAGGTTCTGGGACATTTGCTGTGATAGCTTCGTCGAGCCATGTGTCGAATGCTTGGTGAGGGGTTTCGGGGAACGAAGCGAATTCTGTTTTTGGGTACGATGCTCCTTCTAGAACAGGAAGTGCACGAAGCTTGGCTTGGAGTCCGGTGCTTGCCATTGGGTCCGTTATTGCGCTTGACTCTTATATCTCTAGTTGAGAGAAATAAATGAGGATTATGAGTTAGAGGTAACAAACAGAAGCAGAAGTGTTAAGTGTGACTCGCACGATCTGGTTCTGGAAGTATCATGGATGATCACCTAATCCGTATGTGATTCATCATGATCCGGTATCGGATTTCGACAGCCTCATGAATTCATGCGCTCTATAGCAAGATGACTGATTTAAGGACTTTCGTAGCGCCCTTTCCCAAGATAGTTGGAAATGAGGTTATTCGTATTGAATTGACTGATTTCGATGGTACGCTCAAACCCAAGCGACATCGATCTACATATTAATTTTAGCCACGCGGCCCTCAAGTTATTGATTATCTGAAGAGGCTTATGGCATTTCTTCGAGATAAATGAAGATAATATATTGAGCATGTCTTTTATCCGACTTGAAATATTGGCTCGAAGAGTAACCAGAGTGACTTAATAGAAAGTATACCCACGAAGTGAGCGACTTCACAAGTAAAATGATAACTAGAATCACATCAAATTATCTCTGGATAATTAGAAAACGTGTTCAAGAAGAAATCTGTCATTTATCCATTTTTATTTTCAGCTTTCGGTTTATGTAGAGCTGCATATTGGTGCTCTTCCGAAACATGAGCTTGGTGGACACTCAGATATCGCAACAAGGACCAGTCTTTAGTAGGGTCCGACAATGTAAGTTCAGTCTCGATCTCGAAGCCAACGGTGCTTCACTCTGATAGAAAGCTCTATGCTCACTGGTTCACAAGCTTGCGGAGAGAAGATTCAACTTGACTCTCTTTATCGCCCAGTCTTCCAACTTCCTTTCCCTAAATATCCCATTAGTTCGCATCCCCCATTAAACCCAGTCATGCAACTTACATTCTTGACCTTGACGACAGTAGGAACGCCATTGATGTTATAAGGCGCACTGCGATACTTGTTCTTAGGAGTACCTCTCCACTCCTCACGCGAACCCACACGGACAATGTAAGCAGTAGGATCAGAAGCGCCGCCAAAGACAGCATCCAAGGCGGGGAGTGCATCGCGACAGTCGGGACACCATGAGGGCTCGCCTGAAGCGAAGTAGACGACGTAGTGAGTGTCGGTGGAGGTTGGTGGGGTGTTGGCGTCGATGAGAGGCATTTTGGTGGTGTTGTTGATGATGATCTTTTGAAGGTGGATGGAGAGAAACTATGAAAGGGGTTGGGCTTTTTGGTGCAGGATTGAAGGATTATAAGGATGAGAGACGAAGCTTCGGCGTGATATGTCAGCGAAGATTCTCGAGCGAGATACAAAGTCGCAAAAACTTTACTTGCCTCAAGCTGACTAAGACAGTCTGAGGTTCTATTGGCACATGGTAGCTCGCACAAAATCCACAGCACACCACAGTGCGCTATTCTTAATCCGTCGCCTACATGAGCCTTATAGCTGGCCTTCGCCAATTGTTATTCGATGCCGAACCTGCAACGAAGCTTTATGCCCTCCAAAGTTCTAGCATTAATGCTCTCTCTTGGATCTCGTGGCCTTTTAGGGTACACAGACTCGCACAGTGAACTGAGCGGGGCTCATCGTATGACGAAAAGTCTGAACGAATGTCGTGACTGATGGTTCTTTCTGGACATGATATCCAATGCTTATACCATTATAAGCTTCCACAGCATCGAGCCAGATCGCCTTTTGACTAAAGCCCCAAGAGAAAAAAAATAATTCCACATAAAAAAACGTCTTGTATTTGATAGAGAAATTCATTCATTCCGTCAACAGCTGCTCAGCAAACTGTCCACGATCTACATGGTATATCATAACTCATAACATCCATCACTTAAGAAGTCTCCAAGAACCAGTCTCAGCCCAGATTCGCGCATACCACTGATGCAGCTCCGTCACCCATGGAGGCATAGGTCCCTTGTTCCCCGCAACCTTACCCTCACTAGAGAACAAAACGCTCTTGAGCCTCAGCTCAACCTCCTCATGCGCCTTGTCGATAGTAGCGCTGATCTGGAAAAGACCATCAGACGGGCGAAGAGGTTGGTTGCGCGGTGAGTCGCCGCAGCGCACGGTGATGGAAGTAGGAGTCTTCTCGACGACTTCGAAATGATCCGTGATAATGGCGCCTTTGTCGTAGGTGCTTGTGGCGAGTTGCTCGCTATCCCAGAGCTGCTGTTCAGTCTCGGGACCTCGGTGCTTGAAATCAGCATATCGACGCTGAATAGCGAAGCCTAAATCGGTGAGCGATAACTCAACTCATCTGAGGTAAGGGTTACTTACCCCAACCGCTCCAAACTCCACGACAGAACTCAAGAGTCAAGTCACTGTTATTCTGAAGCAACTCGGGACGAATCTTGCTGAAGGGAATGCGCTTGATGACGACATCTTGAGTAGTAGGGTTACCGTTTGGATTAGCCCTTCTGAAGAGTCGAGAAGACCAGATGGGGTCGTTGGCGGGGAGCGGGGAGATGACGGGGTTTTGAGAAGCGAGGTACGCGGCGGCTGTGGATGTGCCCAACAAGCCCGTGAAGACTGTTTTTCTGGCCAAGCGGAAGATGCCCATTTTGAGGTATGAGTGATTTGAGCGACGGGAGTGAGGTGAAGTGAAGATTTCAGGTTGAGAGATAAGAAGCGCGTTAATTTTCGGGTGGATAATTCATGCTCGTAGGTGGGTAAATATCCACTTTTTGATTGGTCGGGAGTAAATGCATCATGCGACCAGCTGCATTATTGTGCATAAATGTGGCTGGGAATAGCATGAAATCACATGCTCTCAATCCAATGATCTATCATGCATTTCACTATCATATCATAGGTGCTACCAAGTTTCCTACTTTCCGAGGAAATTTAATTGCTACTCCCCTACTTCGTATGGATCGTCTAAATACCTCCCATCTAGCAGTTCAATGTGCATAATTTTATGCTTCAGCCATTATCTACTCCCATCTGCCCTGCTCATTAAACTTGACCAAGTTCCCACTCAGCAGCGCATGCTGAAGCGCCCGGCCAATGTTCATGACCTGCATACCGCCCTCAATAGGCAAAGGCACAGGTTTGTCCTTCAATACCGCATCCGTAAACTCATTGGCCTCCAGCGCAAAAGCATCTTCAAATCGCTGCCAATATTCAGGCTGGACTTCATGACGAATTCCAAGCTTGTCCGCAAGAACCACATTGTTAGCCTTGGGAACAACATTAACCGAGATCTTGCCAGTCTTTCCAGTGATTTCGGTACAGACATCGTGACCGTGGGCTTGAGTTCGAGAGCAGTAGAAGTAAGCGATTTTGCCGCCCCAGAATTCGACTACGCCGACTGCATTGTCGACGTCGTTGAGGTCTTTGAGCTCAGGGTGGTGCTGGAGAGTACCGGTTGCCCAGCATGCTTTGGGGATAGGATTACCGAGGTACCAGAGTGACAAGTCGATGTCGTGGATTGCGCAGTCCACGAAAATGCCGCCGTTGCGAGAGGCATAGCGAACGAAGAAGCCAGTTTCGTCGAGTAGATCACAAGTATTGGATCGAACCATGAAAGGTTCGCCGATAGCTTTGTCGTTGTAGATCTTGTGAGCTGCATCACGATAAGAAGCGTCAAATCGACGAGAGAAGCCAGCCATGATCTTGAGCTGAGGATTCTTCTTCGCTGCGTCAACGACAGTCTGAGCCTGTCACGGGGGGTCAGCAAAGTCTCAGTATAAAACAAATGGGCGACACATACCTCGGTCATGTCAGTGCTCAAAGGTTTCTCGCAAAGGACATGCAGTCCCTTGTCAATGGCAGCAAGAGACTGGCTGGAGTGCACATCGGTACTGGTAGATATCCAGACAGCTTGAAGTCCAGAATGATTGAGCATCTCATCGTAGTTGTCATAGACAGAGATGTTGAACTCCTTGTACTCTTCGCTCTCCTGAGCCCACTTGACTTCGTGCTCCATTGAGCTGCATACTGCGACAACTCGAGCGCGAGGTACCCTATACAACAGAGTGTGGACGTGTCGCTTGCCCTGGTTATAATAAGTAAAATAGATGTGAAGTAGAAAGGAATGTTTACCATGCGGCCAAGGCCAACAACCGCGATATTGAGTGTTTGAGACATGGTGTAAGGTGAGAGCAATAGAAAAGGTTGGGAGACGACTTTGTTGGGCTGGGTTGAGTGAGGATGTTGAGAATGGTGAGAATATGGAAGAAGAAATCACCTCTTTATACCTATCTAACTCTCCTCTTTACACCCATCCTATAAGAGTTTATACTCATCTTGCGAACTATCTCCGAATACCTCGTCTTCATAGACATTATCATTTCAGACGAATTCAAGATTACTTATTCGAGGATGTGTCGCCGATATTTCGCGCCCAGCTACCGTATCAGGAAAAGCCGCGGCTTGAGATGCTCGATCAGGTAATAGAGATTCTTGTGAGCTAGCCCAAGTAGGCAGGCCTTGGCGAGAACGCCCAAGATTGCCGAATTTGATTCGATGGCCTCCTACAGAGAAGTCGGAATGATACTTCGTTGCGATCACCAAAATAGACCGTCAATGGTCACACTGGAATATGTTGACTGAAATAGAACTCTACGTAGTTGAAGAAATCATCCATCGTCGTATGTTTTACTATGGCGGGCCTAAGGATTAGGCCGATGGCCTCGGCCCATTCCCTCCTGTAGTAATTCTTGTTGCCTAGGTTTAGGCACTACCACAATCCTCAAATATGCCCAAATATATACATTCCCAAAATTCCGTGGAAGTCCAACCCTCACCAAGTGCACTTGACCTTGGTAGGCAAATACACCCTCCCAATAGCAGGATACCCATCCTTAGCAACACAGCCCGAATGCTCAGTCATCTTCAGCGTATAACATACTTTCCCTCCAGGACCCTTCCAGTGCGATCGCATCTTCTTGACATCAACACAAACTTCCTGAGACTTAGACCACTCGCAGTTATAGAAGTTCGCACATCCATCGCCAGGGTAGCCGAGGACGTAAGCGCTGCATTCGCGGCATCTGTTCTGTCGATACGAATGCCTACTCGTGGGATATAGGGAGTTATGACTTGGAGGAAATCCCATTTCTCTTTTTGATTGTCTGGGAAATGGCCTTGGTCGCAGCCGGATTGGATGGACATGTCGTTTTCTGCTAAGGTGATGTTGGGGGAGAGTTCGAAGGATGATGTGTCAGTGACATTGGGTACGGTGGCGCTGAGGGAGTGCCCAACGAGAGCAAGTGAGCTCAGAGCGCTGGAGAAGTGCTGAAGAAGCATGATAGCTTAGTCAATCTCTTTAGGAAGAAGGTTAGACTTGGAAGAGTTCGGATGAGGATGAGTTGAGATGGAAGTTGGCACAGAAAGATTAGAAATGTCTGGACTTTTTTATACATGGAAGTGGCAGATTAATGCACCAGAGGCTCTGGATCAGATGTCATTATACGTAAATGCCTCTCCACAACATAGTAGGATGGGTCTCTATTCTAAGCTTACATCCATAACACGAGAAAGACAGGTGATTATTGTTGCGATGAAAACTCTGCATTTGCAAGCGGAAAGGGGCACGATCATCGGTCGCATGATTTCATGTAAGTCCATTGGCCTATTACCGTAGTGGCTGCTCCAAGATGGGCAGGTCGCTTATGGAAGAATGAGGCTGCAAGTCAACTGCAATAAGCTGCATTCTTTCACTATTGGAAGGAGTTGCGACGAGGATGTAACATGTCACAGGCAACCGACCTTTCATGTTAAATGGTTGGTTGAAAGCCTTCCCTTCAAATTTCCGAAAGGGTGTATCAACACAACAGAACGCACAGGGGGGATATCAGCGAATACGACATGACTTCTTCTCTAACCAATGAGACTCAACCTGATCCGAGCAAACCCGCTATGACTTACAATATCGCTCTTTCAACGCTTTAGGCAACGGCCAAGCCTGACAGCCCTTAAACATCTCGACCGTCTTCTTGAGTGCTTCTTGTTCCCATGGATCAGTGAAATAACTCCCGTACATTTGAATAGCTAGAATGGCATTTACTAGACCAGGTTGAGTATCGGGATGTTGGACCGCGGTGCCACAGACTTGGAGGACTAGGTTTCGCACTTCGCCTTCGGCTTTGCGGTATGCGGCGCGGACATCCTCGGCTCGTCTTAGCGAGTTAGTGGAGGTGGTGAGGAAGGTAGGGGACGGCTTACGAGAGGAGAGGTGACTCTGCGGTGAGAATCATCTTTGCTATCATCATGTGTTGCATGCCTGTGAGGGCGATCGGTGAAGCATACCACATCGTTGGGAACACTTCTCCCAAGACACGGTCTGGTGGTCGATAGAGAATAGGTTCAAAACGGCCGGTCACATATTGGTCGAGGTATTCCTCCTGCTCTTTGAGTTTGTCTGCGCATCGAGTCATTAGCAAGTGAACCTTGTAAGAGCTGGGAGACTACCCACGCCATCCACTCTCCGACTTATCGTCAAACAGCCACTTAGTAACCTGACTCGTATGGAAGACGATCCTATTCGCTGGCGATATATCTGACCACTCAGCAGGTGGTTCAACCATCTGCGCAGGGTATCCTTTTCGAAGAGCATAGTATACTTCTTGTCGCAAAGCAACCCAGTAAGAAGCGATGAGTAGCTCTCGACGGTTAATAAGATCATCTGATGTTAGACTTCGTAAAACAGCGTTCAAGATAGCAAGGAAGTTTACACCTTCGTCTATCCGTGTATCGAGAGCTGGATCATCATCTTCTTCGTCATCAAGCTCTTCAAAGTGACGTAGGATGACGGCTGTTGTGACGATTAACTCTCGAGTTTCTCCATCTTCCGTGGTATGGAAGTCTTTAAGAACGGGAATGCACTTGAGCATGTACTCAACTGCCGAATGTGAACTGAGATTCGGTAATGGTTGGCCGCGATATACAATTCCTCGGAGTGTCTTGTACTTTTCGACGCGGCATAAATGCCGTGCTGACATTGCCAGGATAGCATTGAGCAGTGGGGGATATCGCCGAGCTCGCTCTGGAACGACGAGTTGATATCGCCTCTGCGGATCAACTAGATCGAACTGGAAAGTCAGCATCAACATTCCGAGTTAGTGTTGCGGAACCCACCCAATGTGACAACTCCTCGATGAAGTATCGTAAGAGGCATGCTTCTTGAACGCCTTCTAATGGCAGATCTCTTTGATGCGGTGGTTCGAGGGCATGTAACAGGCCGCCCCAAGATGGACCACGTTGAGATAGTGCTAAAGGGTGTTGAGATGGCTGGACTTGGAAAGACGGAATAGCTGGACCTTGTGGTAGCTGCTCACGGACAGGTGGCTGGCTAGTTGCTGGATGGAAATAGGATGAACCTTCTGGTCCAAGGCTAAGAGGCCCACTCGAAGTTTGGCCATCTTCTAAATGGGGACCGCTCCTCGTGGTTGTCGACGATGAAGCCTCGTCTGCCAAGGCGATTCTCTGAGTTGAGCGTCGAGAGCTTGTTTGTAGACGGACTAGTGCACAATTAGTTCTCTATTATCCAAGCACATCATCTGAATATCTTCGAGAACGGATGATTCCTTACACTCTTTGGCACTACTATTCACCCAGCTCTGAGATCCTGAGAACTTGGCATCGTATTTTGCCGAAGAGCCATGTCTGAATTGCCGATTTCGCCCCAATCGGACACACTCTAGTCCTTTCTTGAGACATCGTGTACATACAGCCTCATCACCAGCACCTAGGACCTTGAGTTAGACTTCACGCTCGTTTTTTTCATGCTTTCAGGGTCTTTCGACTGAAGTGGACCGACATTTGAGATGCTTGCCTAAAATGGTCAAAATGGTCAATAAGCATTAGTGATGCGGCTGTCCGATGAGCCTGTTTCTTACTTTTGCATTCTGAACATGGGTTTTTAGGTACTGGCATGCTGTTGCAGCTTGACTAGTGTATTTGATCTCATGGAAGAACGGAGTAGGAATCGGCGACATCTGATGTTAGGAGCGGGGTTGGCAAATCGTCGCCGATACATTCCCGAAACGGTAATCAATCGACGCTAGGTTAAATCTGGATGCTCACTCATTGCATGAAGACTTACTGTCTCAAGAACTATAGAAAGTATTTTTATTAACTAAAATAAAATGCCAATCTTGGAATATTTCAGGCTGCGCGTCTTTCAGGCTGCTATAAGGGACGATGAGGGCCACATGAAGTTTTCAGTGGTGGGTGAAGCACGAAATTGTTCTCTGCCAATATCAGCTACTTAGATGATTGCCGGCCATAAGGTTAAACTTTAGGCTGCTAACACAGGTGATGAGGATATATATATAAACTTCTACCCAAAAGCTTCCACGATCTGCCAACATCAGAATCCAGCCATGGGAGGGGATTCTATCTGCTAGCTCGTCGCCTGCTATCAGAACTCAGTCAAAGTCCTGTCCTGGACCAAGCAATGGAGGCGACTTTAAGCAGGGGATATCTAGACGCTGCTCAACAGGCTTCCCAATCTTTTGCTTCCTTACGACAGCTATGCTCACGCATTGTCTGCCACGAAAATACGAACTGTATTGACAGAGCACTTTCTGTCTTTTTGTACTGATACACACTATCTCCACGCTTGTTAGCTAACAAGGCCTTGAAGTAACACCCACACGCTCTGGTCTAGAGAAGCTATACTGGACCCAGAGGGGTGCAATTGGTGCCCTAGGACACTCAGACTTCGACCCGGCAATCCATGGTCTGCTGGATTTCTTGAGAGGAGAAAAGGCAGCGATAGCCCTGTTGCCGCTTCTCACATTGGCCTGTGTTTATCTCTTAATACCTTGACTGAGATCACATCTGATCATCAGAGACCTTGTGTGGTATCTGTTGTTTCTGGTAGGATCGAGTGGAACGATTCTAGATTTGATTGTGTCTGTAACCGCATGCTCAATGGGCTCTACGGACGCACCAGGGTGTATCCATGTAAACAACGATCATAAGCTGTCTACCTGTCAGCGAAGACGCCAAAATAAAGCTCGTCTTGGCCGAGATTGACCGACTGTGGAGAAGTACCCCAGGTCTTTCCGCACGTTAAAATCCTTTCTATCGGGCCGTTTATGCCATGACCATATGGGGTTGACAAGGTATGCTTCATTGTGACATTGAAGATCGGGACATGTTCCGTTGAAGACTTAGCCTCGCCTTGGCTTTCTAGGCAAGCAGCCTAACAAAGGATAAAGACAATATTTCTATCCGTACCGGTCAGCCAATGAACCACTATTACGGCATCACTACCGATATTTCAGCAAAGCACGAGATAGTTTGGAGATCCAGGCAATGGACTATGGCCAAATTAGGCAGTTTTGAACACCCCCATGTCTTCATCTACCGGTCAACGTTCTCTCCCCCGCATTTTCTCTCAAAATTCCCTCGACCGTTCCAAATCATCGGTTCATCGACCACTCCATCGAATGTGGAGTCAAACCCTGTCATGACGTCTAGTCTGGGGATGGTGCTTAAACTTGAAGAATTAAGCAAATTCTTAGCGCACAATCGTAACGAAGTTACCCCATTCAGCAACTCTAACCACCCAAAATCTCAGAGAAGCAAATGTCATGATTTATCACCAGTTGCTGATCGGCAGTCTATAAAGACAAGCTTTTCCTCACAATGGACTTCAATGCTTCACTGGCGCTGAACTACACCATGCCAAACATGTTCTCTCAATTTGTCGGCGCTTTCGCCCTCTTCACTGCGCTTCCTTTCGCGCGGGCTGCTCCCAGTCATGGCAGGCAGTGTTCGACTTCGCGCACGGAGCATAAGCACAGATTGTTTGTACTCACGGATATAAGCAATGAGCCTGATGATCAGATGAGTCTGGTTCGGTTGTTGACCTACGCCAATGAGATCGACATTCAGGGCATATCTGTGACGACTTCGACGTGGATGCCTGATAAGATTGACTATGAGTCTGTCGTTGGCGTTTTGGATGGTTATAAGAAGGTTGTGAAAAACCTTAACGCCAATGTTCCATCTCACGCGCCTTATCCTTCGTACAAGTATCTTCTCGACCGAGTTCACAAGGGTCATCCTGTCTATGGACGAAAATCACTCAACATGAGTCTGAGCGACGGTGCGAAAGCGCTTGTCAAGGCTGCTGACAAGGCGAGCGTCGACGATCCTCTGACAGTTTCTGTTTGGGGAGGATCTGCGATTTTGGCCGAGGCTCTTCAGCATGTTTCCCGCACCCGAAGTGAAGATGCCGTTGACGCGTTTGTCGAGAAACTACGCGTTTACGCCATCTCTGACCAGGACGATACCGGCATCTGGATCCGCCTTCGTTACCCTCAACTCTTCTACGTTGTCTCCCTCCACGGCTTCAGCGAATACACTGTCGCAGCATGGAATGGTATCTCAGGCGAAGAGTACCGTAATTTCGATCATGGCGGCCCAGACTCTAGCATTGTCTCCAATGACTGGCTCGAGAAGAACATTCGCCTCGGTCCTCTGGGATCCCATTACCTCAACTGGTCTTTCATCATGGAGGGCGACACACCCGCTTTCTTGCCTCTTGTCCAGAATGGTTTGGGCGATGTAAACCATCCTGAGTGGGGTAGCTGGGGCGGTCGTTATACCCTCCTCGACCATACGAACCAGTCGCGCGTCTACGCAGATACAAGCGACTACGTCGTTGGTGCCAACGGCAAGGCCTTTACCAGCAAGTTTGCAACTATCTGGAGATGGAGACAAGATTACCAATTCGACTTTGCTGCTCGTATGAAGTGGACTGTCAACTCTAAGTACTCCGAGAACAACCATCAGCCTGTCGCCATCGTCAACGGCTCTTGTGGTACTGCCCCGTTGAAGCTCAAGTACAAGCCTGGCGGCAGCGTTATTCTCGATGCTTCAGACAGCTGGGATCCCGATGGTGATGAGCTCAAATACGATTGGTTCCACTACCGCGAGCCTGGTGGCGCATACGGACGAGGCCTGGAAGGCTTCGACCCTTCGTTAAAGATGAAGCCAATCTTGACGCCCAAGAGCCCGAATGTCAACATCACAAGCATCAATGATGATGGCAGCGCGGTGAAGCTGGAGACTGCCAAGAGTCTGAACGATGTAAGTCAACTCTTCAATGACAATACGAATAGATGCTAACTTGCATGTAGACTATGCACATTATTCTTGCTCTCCGCGATGCGACAGAGAAGCCTCTCGCTACCTACAGGAGAATCATTCTTGAAGCCAAATAGTCGGGATAACTATGCTTAGTATCATAATAGTACACAATAGGATTTAATTTTACGTTGTATAATCTACAAAGAATGTGATTTTTATGAGCCGTCTCCCAGCCCTTGTTACACTCAGCTGCCTACCTCTTCACAATGACGACCAGCCGAACGTCCCGATACTGCCAGAGCCTGATTAGCAAGGTCGTGACGACAGCTATATTAATAACATCCCTGTCCCTCTTGACAGCCCCGGGCATCCCACCAGGTAGCCCACTAACATAGAAGCATCAAATGACGCACCCCATGTTAACACCCGCACTACACTTCAGCGGAGAAAAACCATACAAGTAATGGGCTCCTGGAAAGATTACATCCAGTTCGTTGTAAGGATCAGGCTGAAAGAGAAGCCGGAATACTGCCCGTGCCTTTGTGCAAGGTATCTGATATCACATTACTCTCCTCCTATCCGCCTACTTGTCTATTATGTGATCATTGCTAATTAGCCTTCACAGATCTTGCATATAGGGCTCTTAAGTATTCGCTTTGAGGTTATGAATAACCTTGTTTGCTATTTTAATGAGATGTTTGTGCGCTTGACGGCCATCAACTCCACCTCCCTTCTTTTATCCAGATAATGGTGTCGTCGACTTTAACCCTTCCATCCCCAGTCTGGGGTTTACTAATCGCACAGCAGCTATCAGCGAGATAGATATACACTGGCCCGGGTAGTGAAGATCATCGCACACTCTATAATCGTTCATTGATACGCTTCTCCTTACCCTACCAACCTTACCCTAGGTTTAGTAACCTGACCCTGGTCGCCGGCTAATATTGATATCAGACCATATTTGATGGAACACTGCAAGTGTAAATGTAAGTGTAAGTATGTGTTTTGATCTGGTTCATAGAATTATAAATAAAGGCTCTTGTTTATTCCTACGGAGCTTGCATCCTCATCACAACCAATTCACTTTGTCTGCTTGTCTCTTTCTTCGAGATGATGCTCATTTCCGCTCTCATCGTCGCAGTTGCGCTCTTCCAGCTGCCAGCCGCTGCTGAGACTTTCAACCAGCCCTCTATCTTTCAAGACCTACCCGATGTTGATTTGATCCGCGTTGATGATGCGTACTACTACTCCACTTCGACCTTCCACTACTCCCCAGGTGCCCCTATCTTGAGGTCCTATGACCTAGTCAATTGGGAATACCTCTCCCATTCCATTCCATCCTTCGACTTCAACGACCCCAAGTTCAACTTGACAAAAGGAAGGGTGTACAACGGTGGAGTGTACGCTTCTTCACTTCGATACCACAAATCACAGAAGAAGTTCTACTGGCTCGGCTGCATCCAGAAGAATGGAAAGACCTACGTTTACACTGCCCCCAAGATTGAAGGGCCCTGGACGAAAGCATCGACTATCTCGAATTATTGCTTGTACGATGCCGGTCTTCTCATCGATGATGATGACACTATCTACGTCTCGTCTGGACAATGGACTCCCAACGGTGCCGAGTCTCAGACTTGGATCTCGAAACTAGACGACTACCTACAAGTTGAGAAGAAAGAGTCTGTCTTCAAATCTAACGAGGAGCTCGGATACATCGAAGGTTCTCGCTTCTACAAGATCAACGGTACTTACTTCCTTTGGTTGACGAACCCAGGTGTCGGCAGAGGTCAGATCATTGTCAAGTCCAGTGTTGATGTCTGGGGCCCGTATCACTCGTGGCACCGTGTACTCAAGAACAACGGAAAGCCTATCGAGGGTAGTGGATCGCCTCATCAAGGTGCTTTCGTCGAGACACCCGAAGGTGACTATTGGTACATGGCCTTTGTGGAGCTCGGAACAAGCGGACGGTTCCCTGTTGTTGCACCCCTGGAATGGGATGAGGAGGGCTGGCCCAATGTTGATATTGACAGTAACGGCAACTGGAAGAGTTCTTACAATTATCCATTACCAAGACGAAATGTCGAACCTGTTGAAGGAGCATTCGAGTTCAAGGGATCAAAACTCCCACCTCGTTTCGAGTGGAACCATGATCCGAACAACGAGAAATGGACCACTGGACCAGAAGGGCTGATATTGCATACAGCTACTGTCACTGATGACTTCTTCTCAGCGCAGAACACACTGACGCATAGCATTCTTGGCCCGCAGTCTAATGTCACGATTGAGCTTGACTATTCCTCCATGGCAGACGGGGATCGTGCGGGTCTGGCGTCACTAAGATATGATGCTGGCTGGATCGGAATCGCCAAAGATGGTGGTTCAACAACACTCCAAATGGTTGACAATTCTGAAATGGATCCTTCTAATAACTTTGTCACTGTCTCTAAAGGTAAAGTCATTACAAGCAGGTCTATCTCCGGTGGAAAGATCTGGCTGCGCTGCCAAATCTCAACGGTGTCCCCTAATCACTCAACCTTCTTTTATACCATGCAGTACCCACCTGCCGGTCATACCCACCTACCGGTCAGCGAAAAAAAAAATCCCCCATACATAATGCACTTTTTTAACCTCATGGGAAAACCGTAATAAAAATAGTAAAAATAAGTTTATCTCTAGAATTCAGATCAAAATTGAATCTATTTTAATATTTTCTAGGCCTTTTAACCTCTCGGCCTGTGCGGGTGCGTACGACACCTAATTCTTCCTTCCCTGAATTTGACCTCTCATCTTCTTCCATCCCTCCCACCTCGATCACATCCTCAATAACATCCACCTCTTCAATTGCTTCGTTTGGCTCTGAAATGGTGTCACTAGTCGCTAGAGCCTCTGCTAGCGTCATAAATTTCTTAATGGGGTTCGGTATCGCCTTTCTCTTCTTGCCTCTACTCAACCGGCCGACTTCCTCCTCTAAACTGGCCACTCTTGAGCTTAGGGACGCGATCTTTGACTCTTGTGCTTCAAATCCTTTTGATATCACAGAATACCTCCTTCTGGTAGAGGGGCTCTTGTTCTTCCCCAGGTCTCTGATGTGACGGCTGGTCTTTGGCGTATTATCAGAGTCGACTTGCCCGTCTCTGTGGCCGTCTGATCCAGGCGTCGTTTCCTTCTTGTCTGGTTGGATTTCGGCATGTATGAGCGCTTTCCGTCGTGAAATCGGCCAGTTCCCAGTTACTCTCCAGCCTGAAAGGATGTTTTTCTTCGTCATACCCACTTCCCTGGCTTTGGCATAGGCCTTAATGAAGTTGACCTTATCCACGGGCGCAGAATCCGTCAGGCTTGCCAGTTTTTGGAGCTCTTTTCGATATGCAGCCTTGGATGCGTTGAAAACACCATTATCCAGTGGCTGTAGGCCATGAGAGCAATGTGCAGGCAGGTAACAGCAATACACGTTATTCAAAAAACACGTGGCCATCCACTCATCCTGGATTTTCAGTCAGCGGTATTTCTGATCGAGAACAGGTAGACACCCACAGATACATGGCTCCCATGGCCATCTAATATGATGAGCCTTGCATCAGACTCATCTGCTGGCTGGGTTTGGGGCAGATAAACCTCTTTGAGCCACTCGAGCGCGATATGGTTGTCTGTCCAGCCGTTATCGGACGTGATATAATACCAGTCGGCGATCTTGTTAAACTCATCAATGAACCACTGCTTCTGAAGTTCTTTGCCCTTGAAGATAATTCCCGGCTTTAGAAGACGGCCATCTGCAGTGACGGCTTCGATAAAACTAGTCCAAGTGCGGGACTGCGAGCCTTTGAGGAAGGCCTTCCTCCTGGAATCGCTACTGCCAATTACCAAGGAATCCAAACCTAGATTTGCAATTTATCGGTAAGTCTTGTATCAGAAGTGGTCAGTACTCACCAAATCCAGCCATGATACCGCCCTCGTCAACATTAACCGTGTTCTCAGGCTTGATCCAGCCATATTCGCTCTCCCGGATATCAAAGTACCAATTGACGGCCATCGGGGTAAAAGAATTAAACCTTGCAGCTTCCTGGCGTTTTCCTACCTTCGTATTGATCTCTGGATGGCGTTTAATAAACCTGGCTAGCCAGTGTACACCGATAGGCCTTTCCCGGCCCTGCTGTCTCAACAGGGCAGCTACCGTGGCGCGAACTTGACTGTGGGAAGGAGCATAGCCCAATGCCTCTTGTCGAAGTATCCATGTAACTAATCTAGCCTCTTGGGATTTGTATAACAACTGGGCAGGTTGGGTGGCCTCGGACTTTGACGGTAGGCCTCTTAGTCGGTCAGACAGAGTGGTTTGGGGCATTCCATGCTTCTGGGCGGCCTGGTGCTGCGAGAGGTGATTATCTGTAACATCCAGTATAGCTTCAATGACATCATTCTCTGTATAAGGCTGTTGAGGCATTTTCAAGGCGATTAAAGGAAGCTGCTATAGATAAAAGTTTGATGAAATTTTGGGGAGGCTGGGTGATGAAGGAGACATTTGAGAAATTTTACACTAGTGTCATGCGACCAAACTGCTTGTGTAAAATACAAATGAATATGCCAATATGAAACAGCATGAAACTCTCAGTAAGACACAATCTGTTCCATGTAAATAACTTCAATTTTGGCCAAGGACTGTGCAAGTGAAGTTTGACATTTTGTATGGGGAATTCTTTTTTTCGCTGACCGGTAGGTGGGTATGACCGGCAGGTGGGTACTGCATGGTAGCACGGATGGCAAGACTTTTGTTAAGCTTGGACAGGAGCATGTTACGAAGCAGGGCGGGGTTTGGTTCACTGGTACTCGACATGGCCTCTTCAACTTTGCGACCAAGAAGAGCGGCGGGCATGTTGTCATCAAGAAGTTTGACATTCGTCTTAGTTGATTACCGGAATATTTCCCCAGATCACGATGCGTGTTACTCTCAAGTGGCGGAGCTATTGAGTCACGCATATGCAGTTTAGGAGAAATCACACATGAGCGCCAGAACAGACAATCCTAAGTAGACGTTGATTAAGCAAGCAATTAGATCAACAGTGATAGTTAAATAGCAATTTGATACAATGAAATGATTTCCCCAAAGCCTCACAGAAGACGCCAAAGTTGCAATGTACATATCAAAATGATGGGGTCGTCAATAATAGAAGCTTAGCGGCAAGCCTTGGACGAGGCACACAGTAATTCGATGACAGCCTCGGTGTATTGCGTAAAATAAAGCTGACCAACTTTTTGAGCGTCAGCCTGACTCAGCCACGTTGATCGATTGGGCCATCATCCGATCATGCCAATAGGACAGACACGCATGGATGCTCAGCACAGCCCAGTTGTAATTGAACTAATCTTCCACGACAAATCCTAACACGTACCCATTCTCTCTTTCTGTTACCTTACTCTTTGATACTTCTTTACTCTTTTCTTTGATAACAATAAACCTCTATCCAATGGCCAACACCCTCCCGCCCGAACTTCTCAGCAAGGTGTTTGAGAGCATCAGCCCTTTCGACAATCAGAGACCCACCGTCATTTCGTGTCTAATTGTCAACCAAGAATGGCATGATGTTGCTCTTCGCTTCCTCTATAAAGACCTAGTGTTATTTTGTGGCCCTCAGTTGGATCTCTTCACAGCATGTCATAATCGGCGGGCCGTTTCTTCTCTGACACGATCTTTAACCCTCTACATAAGTCGACCGGGCGAATTACCGGGAAGTGCTTTCAACGAAGCTCAAAATCGATTCCTTCAATTGGCGACGCATGTCATTCCGCGTATGAACAATCTTCGGTCTCTCTCTGTCGCGCGCCATCACCGGGTCCCGTTTTGTTGGATTAAAAAGTCAATTGTTTCGATCATTCTGAGAAGCATTCCACCAAGTTGCACTAGTCTAGAGCTTGCTTTGGGGACGTCGGATATGAATGATATCGATGGACCTGAAGACGACTCTATACATCTTTGCGAGGATTTGCGCTCCCTGCTGCCCCGTATGCACCATGTCCACATCGATATGAGCTCTCTATGCGATGCACTGTTTGGCACTTGGGACTCAGATGAGTGTTTTCACCCCACCGCACTACCAAATCTTCGGAGCCTTCATATTCCTTGCGTGGGCATGCAGAACAAGACACCGTGCTTAGAGAGACACCGGCAGGACCAGTGGTCACTCTGGAATTCCATCATTCCGGCTCTGCAGCTTGTAGTTGAGCTGCCAGACACCGCTGATGCAGATATAACCGTCTTGGGGTCAGTGGCGCCGTTGAGCTCTTACAAGCTGGATATATACACGACGCTGTTGCGCTGCCACATAAAAAGAGGGCGGACGACAACTTGGGCATTTCCAACTACCAAACATCTCGTGAAAGAGGAGATAGAGGGGGAGAGGTGGAAAATGCAGCTTGTCTATATACGTTTGTACCACGAGACGTATATGACGCAGAGAAAATGGATCTACATGTTGGCTGGGGGACGACCATGGAGAATACTGAACTCAGGTTCAAGACTGCCTGTACCTTGGAGTAACAGTGCAGAATGGATGCCAGACGAGAAACTTGGTATTATGACTTGGGAGAAGTGGACGAAGGGGAACCCAGGTGAAGTGCCCATGCTGCTAAAGAATGAGGAAGTTGCGGGAATGCGGCTTATAGATGCAGAGGAACGTGAGGGCCATGAAGAGGTTTGTTTGGCGGAGAAGACGCCGGCTGGGTTTGTGAGACCAAGTCGCTGGTCCCGAAGCCAGCTTTTCAGAGCAGACTAACAATAGAGCCATGTTTCTTGAGCACTTTGGAAATGTGACGATGCTAGCTTGTGGAAGTTTCGGGGCCAAAATTGAAAAGAATATAGGATTTATGCTAAGAACTGTCTATAAAATGAACTAGGAATCATAACGGAAACCAAGAAACAACCCCAAACGAACTAATGCCTCCGAAGATTTGTCTCAACGTTTTAGTTGCTAAGGACAGGTGACTGTCCATCCCACTCACTGCTCTCAGCTGCATCAACCAGCCACTTCCCAACAGTCCCCCTAGTAATCTTGGGCATCCAAGCACAGCCCTTTCCATCATCAGGCCAGACCTTAACAGGCTGAGCCTCACCCTCCGCAAGCATAACCGGTCGAGAAAGAACAAAAGTCAAACCACTCTCTCGTACCATACGGTCAACTTCGTTATGATCCTTGAGGCCAATACCCATGCTTCCATGGCTAAAGATCATCTTGCCAGGAAGATTCATCGAGCGCCACGATGAGCCAGCACCTTGTGCTGAGTTCACAACAATCTTTGGGGAGATGTTTGTTTGGGCGATAGCAGCGAGGAGAGCGCGCATGCTAACAGCCATGAAATCGGGTGTGGTATCAGGGTGAAGAGCTGCGAAAGGCGACTCTGTAACTCTGACTTGGGCGAGAGCTGAGATGACTACTTGGGGAGGTTGAGGAGTTGTAAGAGCCTTGACGATGTCTGACTCTGAAGTTGGTGTACCCTGAACGAGGGTGAGGTTGGAATGAGAGGGGAGTTTGGCGGAGTTTGTGTTGCGGACAAGGGCAGTGACTGTGTGGCCTCGAGAGAGAGCTTCTTGGACAGCCAAGGACCCGTTGCGGCCTGTTCCGCCAATGAAGAGGAAGTGCATCTTGAAGTGGTTTTTGGTGGAGAAGCGGTAGTTGGTGTTGAGTGGGGTAGATCTGCGTAGATCACAGATGCCAAGCAAGGATGATGGTGATGAGGCGCTGATAGTATGACACAGAGAGGTATAGAAATCGTTTGCAAAGGTTGCTTGCAGAAGATGAATATGAATGTGAGTGAATTGATGAGTAAAACCAACTGCGTGTCGCATCCTTAGCCTTTATAGCAAATCCCCTTTCCATTCCTCCCTCCACACCCGGCCGAGACATTCGGTCCCGGTATTCTCGGCCGGGCGGTTGGTACGGCTATGCGAAAACCGCGCCACAGCTTAGAAATCAGCACTAACGAGTCCGAGAATGATTCTGCATTAGGGCGGGCGCATGAATAAGCGATCTAGCCTATCAAAGGGTCTATTAGTCAATCCAGAGAGGTTGTTAGCCTAAGGAAGAGGCTGTGCTGACTGTAAGCCGGCCGAGAAAGGATGCGTTATCGGCCGGATGGATTGACTCGGCCGATACGTGAGGGGTTTTGACAAAGATAATTGGTTGAGACGGATGTGAGCGGCACGATTGTGTGAGAATGAAGGGATTTTTAGGAAAAGACCGACGCTGAGCAAATTACCGGAGGATGAGGAGAGTTTAATTTGAGGATGGTGAGAGGATTGGGGAGGAGGGTGGTTGAGGGGGTTGTGTATATATAGGAGGCCATGGGCGAGGTGGCAATGATCAGAAACTCATCAATCATACCAACACTCCTGCCCTCTCTTAGAACACCATAACAAAACATCACTTCACTATATACATCTTCAACTTCAATCTCTATCTCTATCTCTATTCTTCTTTTTATACAACAACAACATGTCATTCCCTAAAGTCGCCATCATCGGAGCAGGCCTCTCAGGTCTCGCCCTAGCCCTCGCCCTTCACCAACAAGGCATAGAGTCTATCGCCTACGAACAACAAAGTGCCCCCCTCGACATCGGCGGTGCAATCATGCTATCCCCCAACTCCCTCCGCGCCCTCGACAAGCTCGGTGTCTTTGAACGCATGCTCCCCAAGTCCTACAAATTCCAGGACTTGTACTTTTACTCCCAAGACGATAAACTCGTTGACGTTTTTGAGTTTGGCAATAAAGATAAATACGGTTACTCTGGTATTCGTGTTTATCGCTTCGAACTCATTAACATTCTTCTTGATCTTGTTCGTGAGGCGGGTATCAAGGTTGAGTATGGGAGAAAGTTTGAGAGTATTGTTAGTGAGACAGAGGATAGCGTTACGTGGCGCTTTACAGATGGGAGTGAAGAGACGGCTAGTCTTCTTGTCGGCGCGGATGGCATTCACTCTCGTGTGAGAAAGTATCTCCATCCGGAACTTGAACCAAAGTTCACGAACATGATTGGAGTCACAGCTGCTGTTCCTGCGAAGCAACTCAAGCTAGAGAACAATGAGTATAAGCTACCAGCTACTTTCATGCACGACAAGCGCGGCGCTTTCGTCATTGCACCGCAGTTGGCAGATGGTTCGGAAGTTCTTATTGGAAAGCAGAAGATGTTTGTTGGTGAAGATCCAGGTCGTGATGCTTGGAAGGCTATGAACTCTGATAAGACGTGGTGCGTTGACTTTTTGCGCGAAGGAAACGAGGATTTCCCCGCCATCGTCGCAAACTCCACCTCAGAGATTTCACCTGACAGGGTCAACCTTTGGCCGTTTTATCTTCTCCCCAAGCTTGAGACTTGGGCATCAAGTGACAAGCACGGTCGAGTCGCTATTCTCGGCGACGCAGCCCATGCCATTCCTCCCACCGCCGGTCAGGGTGTGAATCAGGCATTCGAGGATGTTTACACCTTTGCTGGCGTTCTTGGTCAGCTGAAGGGGAAGTACAGTGAGGGTATTAGTGATGCTCTTGAGCGATGGCAGAAGGGAAGACAGGAGCGTGTTGACAAGATCATTGAGTTGAACAATGAGATTAACAAGAGGAGGATGCCTAAGCAGGCTGATGTTGAGACTAAGCCTTTTGATATTGATTGGCTTTACTCTGTTGATTTGGATGAGATGGTGGGACAGTTTGTTGGTGGTAATTAAAAGAGGTGACTTGGGTTTATGAGTTCTTGGACGAATGGAAACAAGGTGTAGTACTGGGACAGCAAGAGATAGTAACGAAGTGTATTCATATGCATCTTTCATTTATCATCCTGACAGCTCGTTTATCCAGCTACTTCAACTGTAACTCACTGCAGCACCTTTTCCAGGCTATTAATAAATAGACTGTACTTACCCCCTAATCAACACACAGTTAAGCGTTTGTGCATTTGTGCGTATTCCCAACCCTCAGATCTGGCACGATCCATAGCTTGCTCAAACATGTACCGATCCTGAGTACTATCAAGGTCCAATCGTGGATATATTGGCTCCTGAGACAGTGTTGTTATATGGTCTCTCCACTTGAAGATCTGGACATTTGTTACAATAGTCACAGCCCCAAACTTCTCCCAAGACCCATCAGAATTATCCCGCAAGCAGTCGTTTAGTTGGTCGGCGGCCAGGTTCCAAGATAGATCCGAGGTAAGCCAGGTGCTAATAAATCAATCATTATGAAGTTCATCTAAGCGAAGGCCAAGAGTGACCATAGATGGTGTTTAGTGTCAATTCGATCATATAACCTCAGACTTCAAGTCATAGAAAGGGGCCAAGCATTGGAACGTTCCGACTTCCATTGTGTTGGGACGAATAGCAGATGAACACCTGTACGCCAAGGCTTTGTTGGTTCTTATACATGTCTTCTGGCAACGCCGCACTTCTGCATCAAACAGTCTTAGTGACCCACTGACCATGCTCGTTACCAATTTTGACTCAATTGCGCCAGCTATCCTCTATGGGCTCGCCTCACTCTGGCCCCAATGCTCTTACGCCGTGCTTATAATGATACCAAATAAGGAAACCTTTGCAAACGCAAGTAGGGCCTAGGCGTAAATGGCTGCAAAGTTAGGCAGCAATAAGTCTTTTCACTATGATAGATTTACAATGAATGGTAATGTTCGCTTTCCCTTGGCTTCAGCTTGCCCAAAGGTTTCTCTATGACTTCCTTTCAAGATTTTGCGCATGTTCTACCAGGCTATCATTAGGCGATCCTACGATCCCGTCCTAAAGGTTGCATGGAGATTGCTATCCGATGGAACAGATCATCGTACCTTGAAAAAGCCAGTCCAGAGACCGGAGGATACGAACACGCCCTGGGGATCTATTGCCTTCTGCACCTCAGCCAATCTTTTCTGGTTGTCCTTTCCATAACTAGCGAAGACATCCTGCCCCTTATTCGCATAGTTTATGTATACAAATGGATGGAACGCATCGAGACTTTTAGCAGCTTTCTGGAAATCTGCGATGAAGTCTTCTGCCAGGCTGTAAGCGGTATCGTCCATCGAGCTATCGTTCCAGCTTAGAGAGAAGAGGTTGACTAGTTTATTGTTAGTATAGATTCTTGCCACTTTTGATCCAACTGCTGAGAGCAGACCTATTGCTTCAGGGCGATGACTTACTAACAAGATGACCTTCAGCGTCAAGGCCAAGAGCGTTGCCACCCCTTCTCTTGGATAGTTCTATTACCGCAGCAGGAATAGAATAAGTGATCAGCTGCGGGTTCAGCCCGGTCAAGTTTCTTGCTTCAACAAGCTTTTTGAGAATATCAAGGCCCTTCTTTCCAAGCTCTGTAGATGGATAATGCGTCAAAGTAGCAAATACATTCCTAAAATTATTAAGGAGTCAGTCATAGCCAGAAATGAGACATTAAGCCCTCATACCTTGTTACTCCCAGCGGTCCCTCGAAACTTGTGCTATTAGCTAGACTATTGATGCCTCCAGTGAGATTTCCTAATGCAGGGATGCTGTTCAAAGTGTCAAATACAGGTGGGGAAAGGACAGGCTCTGCGTAGCGTTGGGTAGTTGAGATACTCCAACCATTTTGCTGAGTATAGGCGTATCGATACTCTAGTCCAATAGCAGTGTCATCGTAGTCCTGGATCGCAAAGATCTTCTCGGCTTCTTCAAGCACCAGACCTGTCTGGTTGTGGCCAAAGGTACGTGAGCCGGTGTATACAGAACCTTGAGGAAACACGCTGACATTGAACGAGGTCACGATGCCGAAGTTGTTACCACCTCCTCGAAGGGCATAGTACAGATCTGCGTGCGTATTCTCAGATGCTGTCACAATTGTAGCATTCGGCAAGACAACCTTGTGACGTGAGCACTCCATGTTTGGCCACTTTAACAGAAGGGACCCTCACCTCATACTCCAAAACATTATCAAGCGCCCATCCGTGTTGAGAAGCGAGCACAGAGCTGCCACCACCGAGAGTAAAACCCCCAATGCCAACTTGTCCAACTCTTCCGCCAACATATGCCAAACCATAAGGATCGAGAGCAGCAAAGACCTGACGACTGAGTGATCCGCCGCCGACTCGAGCGGTTGTTCGGTCATTGGAGACAACGGTATCATTGATCAAGCCAAGATCGATCGTGACTCCGCCAACAGAGACCGAATCGTCTGGGAATCGTGAATGGCCTCCACATTTGACAGCAAATCGGCACCAATTCTCCACAAGAACCCGCAAGACTCTGGAGACCTCAGTGGCAGACTCAGGTTGAACACGACAAAGATAGATGGTTTCCAATTGCTTCTGGTCCCAGATGGTGAAGCCGGAGTCATCGTCCTTGTAATGAAGGCGGCCCGGGAACTCGGACGCTAAAGTAGTACACTAATCTAGTTAGCTGGGTCCGGACATTGTCATAGCTCACTACTAACAGCCTGCGCACAGTTTGCTCCGGCACGCTGGGCGGACAATCTCTCATCGTTGATAGCGTTCGTCGACGCGAACAATTGGCCAAGTAGGCATAGATGCGTGAGCTTCATCGTATTTCTGGTTGAGGTAAAAACTCTTGAGAACTTGAGAATACTGTTTTCTGGACGGCTTATAAGGACATTCACCACTATTGACTGCCAAATGTCAACTTTGACACGCGTTCAGGTGGTACGCCAAGCCCCCCACTGGTAGTTGATGATTAGGCAACTGAGCATAAGTGCTTGCGTCACCATCAAGATTAACACCGAGATCAATATAGTTCGACGCTTGGTGGTTATGGTGTGGGCCGTCTAGGGGTCCGGAAAAACACAAGACTGAAACAGGTGAAAGATCGCTGGGTTCTGGTGTACTATCTGCCATTGTCCAATCGCTGGCTATATACGTGAAATCGGGTGCCGCGACGCTAATGCAAGTTTATGACAGTTGCATGAGTTCCCATAGTACTTTGCTTATTCAGGCAAAGTGTCTCACCAGCTCCAGTACTTATAACTCGATCAACCCCGCCCCAGGTGGACGCACCTGTCATCCACCGACATATCCGTACAACGGTATGTTTACTACCAGCTACGTCAATTCTCCCAGCAATCATGACTGAAGAAACGGACTTTGGCCAACATCTCGCTCTACGGGCTTCCATCATCGGCGATCCGGATAACTGGTCCGGTGTAAGCGATGCAGGCAAACGGAAAAGAATTCAAAATCGCATCAATCAACGATCCCGCAGTATGCTCACCGTAATATAGTGACGTTTTCAGTCTTGTTAATAGCCAAATTACAGGAGATCGTCAGCGGAAGAAGCAACTGGTTCACCACAGTGCCACGTCTATCCCTGCTCTGATCAGCGCTGTCCTGAATCACAAGTTGGATCTGAAGATGCTTGTGGACAGAATGAACATGCTCCAGCCGCATTCGTGGAACAATCAAACTATTGTTCAAGTCTTCGAAGCTATTGCGAGCCAAGACAGAAGCGCTGGATTAGTCAGGGCCAATATGCTATCCAGCCTATCGCAGTTTAACTTTTCTCGGACATTGATGTTGAATGCAGATATTCTTGGGCTTTCTGACGATTTAATGCATGACGACGCTTGCTCGTTGTTTGTGGTTGCTGGACCTTGGCCGGTCGGGATAAACATCAACGCAGAAACCTTACCGGATGGTCTTCGACCGACCAGTCTCCAGTACTACAGGGAGCACCACCCCTGGATAGATCTACTCCCGGTAGCCCAACTGAGAGATAATATTATCCAGCGAGACGTGGACTCGTATGATGAGGCGGGTCTCTGCTGTGCATTCACGGGGCGCGGCCACGACCAAGGTACCGGTGTGGTTGTCTGGCGCGAACCTTGGGATCCTAGCGGGTGGGAAGTGACAGCCGAGTTTGCTCGGACCTGGGGCTGGGTTATTTCTGGCTGCTACGATCTCTTCCGGTCCACGAATATGTGGCGCGCTCAAAGAAATGAACGCCCTCTATTCAAATTACCAGATTGACAAAACGGGTTCTTTGAAGAGATGATGTAGGATTAATAACACGAAATAAATCTAGTTACCCACCAAATGAGCCATGCTGGCGGCAAACCTCTCTCCAACCGGCTTCGCATTCTCCACAATTCTTCGCATCTCCGTCTTCTCGTCATCCGTCAAGACAATCTTGCGAGACTCCCAGTTCTCTTCTAAGCGTGAGGCTTTTGTCGTACCGGGGATGCTGATCAGCCCCTGCGCCGCCACCCAAGCTAGTGCGATCTGCGCAACAGTGCAGCCTTTTCGTGAGGCTAGCTTCTTGATCTCGTCCACAATTGCCTTGTTATTGTAGAAGTTCTGACCTTGAAATTTGGGAACTGCGAATACGGAAGTCAGCATCTATCTGATAGTGCGGAAGCTTGTATATAAATAAGATCGCTTACCTGTTCGGCGGAAGTCATTAGGTGCAAAGTCATCAGGAGACTTATAGTCAAAGTTATCAACAAGCCAGCCATGTCCCAAGGGGCTGAATGCGACAAACGCTACACCTAGCTCCTTGCATGTATCGATGAGACCGTTCGTTTCATGCACTGTCTCAAAAGCCGAGTATTCAGCCTGGACCGCATCAATCTTCGCGACTGAGAGGTATTAATACACGACTTAACCTGAGGTAAAATCCCGCAGCAGTACATACTCGACATGGCTTTGCGCAAAGTAGCAGCAGAGCACTCAGATAGACCAATATATCTGGTCTTCCCTGCGCGGCGCAGTTCATCCAAAGCGCCAATAGACTCCTCAAGTGGCGTATCTTGATTGCGTCAGTATTGATGAGTGCAAGCATGAACATGGCCCTTCTACATACTGGGGTCAATTCGATGGAGGTAGTAGAGATCAGGAGTAAATCCAAGCCTTTCAATCGTCCCCTCGATGTATTCTTTGATGTGAGCTGCCGAGTTGACAACACTTCTGGTGGGTGAAAAAACATCAAATCCGCACTTTGACGCCACTATATCAAACCTTGGTCAGTAATTTCTTTATTTGATCAATGCCAGTATTAGTCTTCTTACCAAAAAGCTTATCGCGCACATCATGCTTCTTAATAAAGTCGCCAAGTAGCTTTTCATTACCGCCATTCTTATAGGCGACCTAAGAATAGCGACTATGAGTAGTAATTCTTTGAGTACCGGATGTGCGAGGTGCTACTCACGGCAGTATCCCAGAAGGTACATCCAAGGTCAACCGCTTTCTTGAGAACTGGCTCGGCCTCTTCAAGGTTGAGGTCGCTACCCATAGCTGAACTGAGACCCATGGCCCCGAAGCCAGGTATAGGGACTTGGATGTCACCAATTGGCAGTGTGTTGGTCATTGTATTGAAGGCGGCTTGAGATGTCGTAGTGTCCAGATGTAAAGAAAAAAAATAAGAGGAAAGTTAGAAGAGAGATGTGAAATAGGAAACCCCTTAGTTTTATATCCCCTTGCAGTGCTAGGGCTATACTAGTATGCCCCCTTAGTTTTTTAAGTAAATTAGAGGATTATTTGTTTTTAAGTAACGTACATAATAAGCATATGCATTAGACAAGCATGTGTATTACTTTTCTACTTATTAGTATTTATACCTTAAAATATAGCTTTTTTTAAAATATTCTAATAAATTTAAACCAAGTGTAAAATAACTAAAATTTTTATAATAGCTATTTAACTTTAGTTATTTTAGTATATATTCTTTTCAATTATTATTTTATTTTATTTTATATAATATAGTTAATAAGTAAGCGTTATATTACACTGTGTACTTAAAAATAGCATACCATATATAGCACCTTATTAGCTTAAAGAAGTAGCTATAAAATCTAGAAAAAAATAAATAGCCGAGAAATAGCCAAGGACAAGGAGGTTTCTCATGGCGACAAAGCTACAAAGGAATAACGGTGAACAAGAGATATAGGATTGGTTATTGGAGTTTGCATACAAGAATATCAAGTATCTATCGACGACGACAAGTGTACTCGACTCATCTAGTTAGATGACGGAGGCGCGGTAGGTGGATACTGGTTCAATAAGCTACGTGCTAGAAATCTAACAGCAGTTCATGCAGTTCCCTACCTACGACGCTTCCGACCCCTGCAATCTGCACCTGTCAGCCGCATGCATTAGCGCAAAGCTAAACCGTCCCGTCTCCCTTGGGACCCATGGTAGTAATAATCTCTGAGAACACGGGTACTCAGATCATAGGCTAACTTAGTAGTAATAAGAAGTCTCAAAGTTTATCTGCTGGTATCTAATTAGTTATATAATCGAGAGGGTTAAAACGGAAGCAGCCGGAGTCTCAAGGAGATGAGTCCCTCTGGCTTTAGTTATAGGTTGCAAAGGGTGGGAAAACTAGTTTCCGCTAGAGATTGACGTAGCGGTACTTCTTCTCATAGGTGGTCAACATAGCAGTGGCATGACCTCAAAACTAGAAGTACTAACCTTTTGCTTGCTATATCAAACCAGAATATCGATATACCTACAAGTTGCTGAATAGCCTTTCATACAACAGGAATTGGGCCTTGTATAGTACCGCACCATATTTCTGGTTTTCTCACACTTGTAGCCTGTATTTGAACTTCTCACTCAGACTGTAGTCAGTAATGACCAGAAATATTCACTGATACAAAGCCGGCAATTGAAATTGCCCGATAGTCCATGCCATTTTGGGAAGCGATCCGTAGGAGACTCAAGGAGATAAAGACTAGACTAGTCAGATAAACAACACGACCCATGACAAGTGTTCCCAATAGGTAGTGAATTCCGCGGGTAATGAAACCTGAAAACCCTCTCCAGCCACCCTTGATACGTGTAATTTACTAAAACCCTCGATGATGACGTTGATTCATTATCAGTGACGTCTCAATCATGATGGAGCCGCGTGTAGGCCACATAATCTTGAGAAAGAGGTCGGAATACCAACCAACCTCGAGCCTTGCCTATGGGGCTCTGGCTTTGGCTCAAATATAAAGCCTCCTGTTCTTTGTCGTTGCCTCACTCACACGCTTGATTGTCCGTAAGCAAAGAAAAACCTCCTCGGAAGCACCCACCACCATGGCCAACTTGACTACCATGAGGGCTGTGGCCTATTTCGGCCAGCCATACAACGTCTCGGTTATAGACATGCCTCTACCATCCATCGTCAACCAGACAGACGTCGTGGTTCGCATCACCAGCTCCGCCATTTGTGGTTCCGACCTCCACTTCTATCACGGCTTCAGTGGTTCGCCGAATGTGCCGTGGGGTCTTGGACATGAAGCCATCGGTTATGTGTCAGAGATTGGTGATGCTGTCACGGCTCTCAATATTGGAGACTACGTGATCGTTCCAGACAACGCTGACGATGGCCACTGGGGTCCATCCCACCCGCTTTCCTTTGGAGTCGGATCCCCTGACTATGGCGGCCTTCAAGGTAAGGATTTACTCTCTTCATGAGTCTTACATACTGATATATGGCACAGCGGAGTATGCACGAGTCCCGTTTGCCGATAACACCCTCATTCCAATCCCGATCAACTCAACTCATCGAGAAGCAGAGCTCGACTATCTCATGATTGCCGATGTTTTCACCACTGGATGGCACTCTCTGAGCTACTCGGGTTTCGAAGCGGGCGATAGCGTTGCTGTCTTTGGCGCTGGGCCTGTCGGTCTTCTGGCCGCCTACTCGGCTGTACTTCGAGGAGCTTCAAACGTTTACGTAGTGGACCACGTCGAGAGTCGTCTGGAGTTGGCCCGTTCTATCGGAGCCTCCACCATCAACTTTGACAAAGACGATCCCGTAGCTGCTATCATGGCCCTCGAACCTGAAGGTGTTACTCGAAGCTTAGACGCGGTTGGGTTTGAGTCTGTTAATTCGACTGGTCAGATGCATACAGGCATTGTTTTAGAGCAGATGGTCGCGGTCACGTCTATTTATGGCGGCATGGGAATTGCCGGAGTATACAATGGCGGAGGCAATAGCACTGCGGGTGCACCCTTGGCAGGGGAGTTGCCAGCTGAGATACCAATGCCGATTGCTGCCCTTTGGAGAAAAGGGTTACATGTTGGTGCGGGTATTGTTCTACCCTTAATCCAGGCCCCTCCCCTGCTCGACCTTATTGCATCTGGAAAAGCTTCCCCGAGCTTTGTGGTGAGCGCAGAAATCGGCATTGAGGAGGCCCCGGAGTATTACCAACGATATAGTAATCATCTAGAGAGCAAGGTTGTACTTCGGTTTCCCTAGGTTAAAATACAAGACCCTGATGCTGACAGCTTCGCTGTCATCCTAGGCATAGGCAAGCTGCGTGCTGGCCTATCCCTGCCTCTTGGTCTTCCTCTTAGTATCCTTACTAAGTCTCTTCTTCTGGCGAGGCCTCTTCTTCTTACTAGGTCTCTTTATAAATACCACTAGTTTTTAAAATATAAAAATAAGAAAGTAATAGTTACATACCATATTATAATTTTCTAATAAGGCTAGAATATGTTTTATATTCTAAGTACTTTAAAATAACGTAAAATTAAACATTTAATATATTATAATAATTTATAAACTTAATTATTATATCTTATACTACTATTAAATAGAATTCTTATAATGTTTAATTATTAAACGGACCGCATATGCCTTAATGTCCTCAATTATATCTGTATTATTTCTTGTCTCTTCCTCAGCGCTGGGTCAGCTTATTATGCTTTCCTAAACCGGCCTAACCTCATTAATAGTAGGCCGATATGTCACATGATGCCCTTTTCGGCCGCCCTGTTCTTCAACAATATTCTGCTAAAGATATAAAAATTATTTACTTTAGCTTGTGAAAAATGAGCTAGTGGCTGATTCGTACAAGTTCCACAGCCATGACTGTATTCAACCAAATCGAAGCCCATCTTCTCCAAAAACATGATTGTTCCAGTCTCACCCAGTGAGCGTGGGTAGAGAGGGCTGGATTCCAGATAGAACGGGCAAGTCCGGTATATCGACCAGTCTAACAACCACGTCCCTGGCGAAGTTCTCGTGAAACAGGTCGACTAGAACAGTAAAACTTTGAGTCCAAGATTAAATTAGAGATTTGAGGCCAAAAGCGAGCATGGGAATTAGAAACGCACCCAACTTGAAAAGCAGCTTCGTCGTCTCTAGGGACCTTGTCAAGTCCAGAGCGCAACGTCTGTCGCTGTCCAGCAAGTCAGGATCTGCCCCATTCTTGAGAAGTAACTAGACGCTCGCAATATTTCCGCACGATATAGCCACGTACAAAACAGTTAATAGTTTTTCACCTTGATTTCATGATCATATGGCTCAAAGTAGTTACAGCAAGACTTTTTGGTGGCTGTTAAAGCATTTATGTATCTGTAAAAGAAGGTAATGACGAGTGCAGTCAAACCAGGTTAACAAACTGACTCAAGAATGTCAGCATTCTCCTTTAAGTGTCTCACCTTGATGATCGAAGCTCCTATGTTGTCTCCCCGAGCTGCGTCCTGAAATGGATCTTTCCATTTAACCCAGAACCCTCCTTCGCCGAGACATCGATCAAGATGGTCAGTAAAATAAATATAGCTGCTTTGTACCTGCATGCCGGTTCGATTACACAGCAAGTAAGGGAAAAGCACATTGGATATACATTCCACCAGGACTCCTGCTCCGTTGACGAGCAACCATCGAGCTGTACCAAACTCGCCATCACTGAGAGCGCATACTAGCAGGGCATGTTTCAAAGTATCTTTGGATACAGGAAAAGTAAAAATTGACAAATCAAGTACAGGTCAGCAAGCTAAACTTATAGTTGTCGGGATCAAGATCAAGATTAAGAAATTGTTCTAGTTATTATTTTGCGAAGACTTCAGCTTCGAAGGGAAGGCAGTCCTCCTTTTCAGCAGATGTCATGTTTTCATGGGTGTTGTTGATTAAGCCTATAATATGCTCTAGGTTGCAAACATATCGCGAAGAGTATGAAAAATAGGTAATCTTTCAGCCGCGGCGGAAATAAAGACACTTCTAACAATTATGGAAATCCGGTATCGGATCCGTTATCTATCTGGGGGTTGTCTTGGGCGCAAATGTTGCTTGGTATCCCAGAGTGGGATCAACAGCTGCACATGACAGCTTCTCGACACACTGCAAAGATAGTCCCTTCGCCACTGCAGATCAGGTTCACCAATACGGCTACTTGTACTACTGTATCTTAGATACTCACAGGGCAAATACGGTACGCACTGCATTTTCGACATTCTTCATTCGCTACGGAATCCCCTGCCGAAGGAAGGGCTATTCACACATGGCTTCAGAGTAATGAGGCTATATTCAACTAAAGTGCGCTAGCCTGTCTTTTTGTATCTCCTTCCTCCTGTGCTCCTCATTCGGCGACTTCAATCAACTGTTACGATGATCTTTCCCACATGCTGGTTGCTCTCAAGATAGCGATGCGCCTCAGCAATATCCTGGAACGGAAACGTCTTGTCGACGACGGGCCTCAGCGCGCCGTTGACAACGCCCTCAAGCACGAACTCTATCATCTTAGCGCGCTTCTCTGCATTTAGCAACGTTTGAAATACAGCGGAAAACTTGATGGTGGCAAACTTGGCCATTCCCTTCAGCGGGTCTATCATGGCTGGGGATAGGTCCAGAACGCCGTAGATGAGGATCATCCCGTTTATTGCAAGTGCATCAAGTAACTTGCCGATATTTTTTCCAGCAACTGGGTCGTAGATCACGCGGCAGCCGATGCCGCCGGTAATGCGTGCCACTTCCTTCACGAGGTCCTGCTCGTCTGTCACGATAACATGTTCAATGCCGAGCGACTTGAGTGCCGCAACTTTTGACTGACTCCGGGTCGTACAGATCGGAATGGCGCCCTGCGATTTGGCGACCTGGGCCGCCGCAATCCCCACCGACGACGTCGCAGCCGTCAGCAGCACGTATTCGCCCTTTTGCAGCTGGGCAGTGTCAACCATGCTATTCCAGGCTGTGCTGTACTGCATCCATAACGCGGCACCATCAACGAACGACATGCCGTTGGGCAGTTTCACCGCCATCTCCGCTGGCACATAGGCCTGCTCGCCATATACCGCGCATTCGTGGCCTGCCATCTCTGTGGCGAAACCCGGGACGCTCGTGAACCCCGGGATGGTCGCTACACGATCCCCGATCGAGAATCCATTGACCCCTTCACCGACCGCCAGAACCGTTCCAGCGCATTCCGACCCGAGCATGGCAGGGAACGCCTTGGGCAGGCCGAAGCCACCTGCGCGGAAAAAGATTTCCATGCGATTTATCCCAATGGCGCTGACCTTCAACAGCAGTTCGCCAGCAGACGGATCCTCAAACGCAATTTCGTCGAGCTGCAGCATCTCTGGCCCGCCCAACTGGTGAAACCTCACTACCTTTGGCATCGGTGACTTTCTTTGGCCTGGTGGGAGAAAGGGGGATTGAGTATAATGGAAAAGGCGAGATTGGATGAGATAGAGGGATGGAGTATGTACAACCGGGCGCTTATATACCCATGAAACCTCTTTCCCATTCGAAATATATTACGTGGTCATGAAATTACGCAGGAGTGGCTTGTCAGGCGAGAAGTGCGGACGTGAATATCACATTCATTTCTTTATGTTGTATGCTAACTATTTGGAGCACTATCTCTTGTAATGCGTATTTCGTGTATATTTTTGCGCGTCCCCCTACCCTAGTCACAAAGACTTATAATTACTAAACAAGACGCCTTGGATTTCTAATGGCCATCACCGATGGAAACAAAACGCAGGCGGAATGATTGGTAAGAAACCATGATTACCAATGTACATTGTTCACGGAGGGACCGTAGTGCCAACTGGCCATTGAAGACTAGTGAAGCCATTTCTAAGTGATTTGATCAGTCTGAGTTTCCGGTCTTGGGTTGATTTGAAACTCATCAGCCAGCAACACAACCCCGGCAGCTGAGCTGGCGCATGTCAGGTCAAACTCCGCTAAAAAGCTATCTGCCGTTCTCCTCTTTTATGTTACCAGGGCTCTCGGGAACCTTTAGAAGATTTAAACTAACAATCTATCAATTCCAACGACGAAATGTGGCCGAATTAAGGTACAACGGGCACAAACTAGTGCGACGCTAATGCAGCCTGCTTATGATCTATACTGGGGCTATTATCTATACTAATGACTCTCGTCTTGCATCTTAGGTCTGAGAGAGTTTAACAAAATCTCTCTTTATAGGGCTGTTAGTGATAAAACAAGATCCAGAAAGCCTGCGGAGACTGTAGTTCAAGTAGACTGCTTAGAATTAAAGATTTATTGCTCCAGAAGATTAGTAGATGCAAATTTACTACTCTTTCTTCGAAACTAACCAAGACAAGATTGAAATCATCAAGGCGGGTACCTCCCTCCCTAGGAAGTCTGTTAGAAATAAGCGAACGTAGAAGCACTAATGCGATCTGCTTACAAGCTAAAATCAGGAATTCAATATTCTACTTTACACTCTCTCTCAGTATGTTCACGGCCGGTTCTATGCCGTTCCGTTAACTCCGACCATCCATCCTCTGTGTTTTGACTTAGTTTGCGGAGTTTCAAAGGAGAGTGGGTTGCTTGGTAATCTCAGTATGTAACCTTAATGAGTAAGTACTTTACTTTCATTAACGTAGTGAAGAGCGGCACACGTATAACATCAAGGCAATCTGCGATAGACGCGGATATGGTATGATCAGGTCATCCTTTCGACACGACAATCCAGTTGATCGTTTTTCCTACCCAACATGAGAGTTGTAATTATCGGCGCAGCTGGCCAAACCGGGTCGGTCATTGTGCACGCCTTACTGGAGTCGACAGCGCCGACATTTGTAAGCCCATCTCTTGGGACCTATTTGGTCGCCATAATGCTAATGCACCTTTTTGTCTATAGGAAGTTGTGGCCCTGACCAGGCCCTCATCCGTGAATAAGCCAGCAGTGCTCGAGCTGCAGAAGAAAGGTGTCAAGATTGTCTCCGTTGACCTCGGTGGCCCGGAGTCAACCTTGACAGAGGTTCTGGTTGGAGCAGACGTCGTAATCTCTACCATCTACGGCGGTAGCGTGATGGAAGAGGTTCCGTTGATCAATGCATCCAAAGCTGCGGGTGTGAAGCGGTACCTGCCCTGCTTCTTCGCCACTGTGGCCCCACCCAAGGGGGCACTTCGCTTGAGAGATATGGTTGTCCATCTGAATATCACTTGAAGGACCATGACTGACTTTCTTTCCAGAAGGAAGATGTATTAAATCATATAAAGAAGATCCACCTACCCTTCACCGTCGTGGATATTGGTTGGTGGTATCAAGTCAACTTGCCAAAGCTTCCATCGGGTCGTATCGACTACGCAGCTATGGAGACTGCGGATGGTATTGCTGGAGATGGCAATGTACCATTTGCTTTGACCGATGTACGAGATATAGGGAGCTACGTGGCTCGAATCATCAATGATCCTCGAACTCTGAATCGAATGGTATTCGCGTACAATGAGGTCTGGACGCAAAATCGGGTCTACGATTTATTGGAAAGACTGAGCGGGGAGAAGCTAGAGCGCAAATATGTGCGTAACAAAATTGGCTTAGTGGATTTCGATGGATAACTGACTTTGGCAGCAGGTTCCTGCCGAGACCATTGAGGCCAGCATAGCTGAAATCGAAGCGACTTCGCCCAGTCCAGATTCTTTGGAATTTGTGGTACTGTCACAGTACCAATATTGGTACTCTTGTGGTGTTCGGACAGATAATACTCCCGAGTACGCGGCTTATTTGGGATATTTGAACACGCAGGAGCTCTATCCTGATTTCGAAAGGAGGAGTTTTAGGTCGTATGTACAGGAAGTCCTCAACGGACACGGGAAAAGAGTCTACGAGCACCTGAAGGACTTACCGGCTGCTAGTGTAGACAAGAAGGCGCAACAGACGGACACTATGGTAGAGGGTTGAGGCTCACCAGCACCAAGAGGAGCGAGACACTGAGGTTTATTTCTAGTTGTAGGCGAGCATTCAGATATTAAATGCACCATTCATTGTTGCGAAAAACTGTTGCATTCTACTCGTTGATCGTACGTTGTGATATATAATTTTAGCAACAAGGTTAGCACGGAATTCACATATCCTAGTACGCGTCAAGAATTACAAGCCATGGTCCTCTCGCCTCTCTTGAGGCGCCAGCAATTCGTTGCCACTATCATTTCAGAGCAGCCCTCAAGTAAACCACCCCACTTCCGCAAGAACGGTACGCTCATCTCCCATCCATTTGGGTCCCAGGATTCGCCCCAGACGATGAGGCAAGCTGCTTCGCTCCTAAGGTCTTGCACATCGAGGATATCCATAGCCAAGGGGGTATTGTCGTGGAGACCCTCCTGAATAGTAAGCAGGATATTATCACGTAACCGGGGGACAGGTATGAGGTCGATCCAAGGATGGTGTCGCACAGTTAATTGCAATGCTGTAGGCCTCAGCACATCCGGAAGCGTCCGTGACGGTAGGACCATCTGGAGAACGTCAGAACCCACATGATTGAATGGTGAAACGAGTTTTGGGCAGCATAGTCCTTGAAAATTGAAACCAAGTAGGGTCGCATTATGTGCGAAGGCAGCAAGGACGTTGACCTTTACTAAAATATTCAGCTGGTCAAGTCGAGGCTCGCCATCTTTGTAACTCTGGTACGCTCTTTGCGTAAAGCTATGAAACGCTTCACGCGACTCAGGAGTAGATAAGAGGAGGTAACCCTCTGGCTGTTGGACCTCTGGCTGGATATCTCTCCCTTTGGCCCCCCTCGATTGTTTCGGTACCAGATCCTCTGCTCTGGTACTGGCACTTTCTATGTAATTGTACTTCGGGCTCCGCAGACCCTTGACGATAGGGCGTTTGTTTCTGCCTGCACCACAATATGCCACTAATCAGTCGGAGGCCTAGAGAAGAGGACGAGTGTAAGACATACGGTACAGCCTCTGATGGATCCGATTCTGCCGTTTTCTTCTCTCTGTTGGGCTTGTGATACCAGTCCAATCATCGCCGACAGATCTTGCTTCCAGCTGCTGAGGCATTGATTCGAGGACTAGTATGGAATCAAGGTGGCGTTGTGACTCGTCCATGATGCAGAGCTCGAATGTAACGGGTAAACCTTGCGTGGTACGTCGGAAATGCACATGGATCGATAGTCGATATGCAGTCTGCTTACCCTCCAAGCCCAAGCCAAGGTGATTCGCCCGTGTCTAAATACGCATTGCAGCATTCGTGTCCCACTAACGCTAGATTGCATTAGGTAAGGCTCCTCACACCCCCTAAAGCAGGCTCGGTCCAGAACTAGCCGCTTCTAGTATAAAGCGTAAGCAGGTTGCATTAGACCAGAGCCAGGGTCTATTCTTATTGCAACTGTCAAATGTAGGAATGACTACAGTGGAGACTACCTGAGTATCCAAAACCGGGGTTTTCCAAGGCCTGCTCAGCTGTAACAGGGTTCCAATCTCGCTCATCATAGGTATGACCAGGCTAAAAACCCTTGGAAATATCCATCATGGAGCCGAAAGACGATGTAATGACCTGGCACGATGAGTGGTCGTGATATAAAACGCGTGTTACAGTTGTTAGGCCACACGCTTCATACAGGGAGCGCTTTTGTTGATTGCATGGAGGATGCCGGTTGTGCCATTGATGGCAGGATCCAAAAGGTCTCGCTTAATATCGGTCACATTGAAGTGGAAAGGGCTTGCGGTATGAATGACAGCTTCGAACGGAGGGTCAGAGACAACCACTTCATCGAAGGAACTGGCGTTGGCGATGTCAGGGACGATGGCAAAATCGAGCCTGTCGCGTTCAAGGTCAGGATATACCTTCTTGATGCTTTCCGCCTTGGCATGATTACGCACAGTGGTGACGACAGAGTGACTGTACATTAATTAGACGCTTTAGATCCGCTGCTTGACATGAGGAACCTACCCTCGTTCGAGGAGAAACTGTGGAATGTTGGTGGCAATAAAGACACTGCCACCAGTCAGAAGTACTCTGTCCATATTGAGAAGTGCGAAAGGTATTCTGATTCAGGAGGATGAGCCAATGGAGCTGTTTAGCAAACGAATAATGAAGGTGGCATTTCTTCCACTATTTATATCTCAAGATGCCCGCCAGCGTTGTGACAGCAGTACGGGGATAATAGTACACCTCATGCGTATGAGACAAGATTACGGCCCGAGGACTTAGGATTTGCTTAAACCCAGCCTCTGTACCTTTTTCAATTAGATCGTGTGGGAATCACCGTCAGCAGTTCAATTAAGCTGGTTACTCACAAGTATACAAGTGCTAACTGGCCTCGGCGTTACTTGGGTTGGGGCTAACTCCTAGACATGCAATAGCAGGATGATAATTGACACTTGAGTTATCGGCAGTGCTAAGTTGATCTTGGCTAGTGTTGAAAGAGCTGGTTTTAGCATTGAAAGTCTTATACTCTATTATTAACCTTGAAAACAACAATAAGATAGATTTAAACGCGAGGAAACTAGCTAAATGATAATGCAGAACGCTCCTCTGTCGAACTCCATCCTAGAGAAACCGAAGCACGACCTTGATCTCTAGACTATACGATTGCTGTATAGTCCGTAGTACTCCGGAGCCTCCTTAATTCCGAACCACAAAGCTCGGGCAAGCTTTTCTAGAAGCAATGAGGTCGAGCAAGGGAGGGGCCTGAATCAAGGGCAGAATAATACATATATAAACTTTATACTTAACACTCTAAAGTAAGAGATATTAACCTTAATAATAATAATAATAATAATAATAATAATAATAATAATAATAATAATAATAATAATAATAATAATAATAATAATAATAATAATAATAATAATAATAATAATAATAATAATAATAATAATAATAATAATAATAATAATAATAATAATAATAATAATAATAATAATAATAATAATAATAATAATAATAATAATAATAATAAAAATAGTTATTTTTTATTATTATTAAGCTATTATAAATTAATGCTTATATGATTACTTTTTAAGCAATAAGGCAGTAAAGTTTATATTACAAATAGCTTCTTCTTCTAAATACAATGGCCTGCTGCTACTCCCTTGAGTTAATCAAGCTCAATAACAAACATCACAAGCAGTCGAGGTGGCCACTCCGATGCAGAACAATACCCATGCCGACACGTAAGCCTTTTCGTCAAGGGGTAGTAATCGGTATTTGTATTCCAGCTGGAAACTCTCCTGCTAAGCGTGCAATCGCAGTGTAGTTGCCTTCGTGGTTGTAAATTTCCGCAATTCCCATACCTCCGTAGTCTATGTCTTTGGTCAGCCATTCCAACTACACTACAGCAGCTCATCTAGCCGCCACTGTTCTTACCATAAAGCAATGCACGACGAAGATATACTGTTAGCGACACGGTTTGATTGTGGAGAAATTAAAGCTGGCCGAACAATCCTCGGATTGAACAAAAGTCGGGCAGCACATAATGAGCCACACACCTCTACTGTACTGCTGTATGTATAAATGAATCGACGTCGGCTGACGTAGCGACGCTTCTAAACACAGCTAGTCTATTTCGGCAATGTCATCCGATCATCCGGACTTAGCTTTGCTCATCCAGAATAGGATCCTGCAAATGCACCCGTCCACTGCTCAATAGACCAGCATTACTAGCCTTTATCCGCCCACGTTGTCATTGCCGATACTTAGGAAGTAGTAGCTCAGGTACAAGCTCAAAGCCAGGGTACCGACAAGATACTCAAGAGAATAACTTTCCTCCAGGCTAAGTAGACAGAGAGAGGTGCCCATTCTAGCCCCCAGATGTGCTGCGCATCAAGTCGATAGTGAAACAAAGAGCAACCGAAGTCGGAAGCTTGAGCGACTAGATTGAGAAAGCTAGTCTCTTTTATATAAAGCATCTTTCTAATAGGAGGGATGATTATATGAAACCTAGAATTCCCCAAGTCTATATATCGTAATGCTTTTTATACCAAATTAAGATCTGTTAAATTTAGTCTAGAAATCGCTAATTAGAGCAGCTACCTTGTTTACTTTGTCTCTCACTACACTATATCCAGCTTAAGGGACAATGAAAACATTTAAAACCTCATACTTATTAAGCTATTACTTACTATATAAGTTATCCAGCTTACCTAGCACTATAAGAGACAGGATGCCTATTTATATAGCCTTAAGAAATTATATATATAAGTTTATAATACCTCTATCTCTAAATATCCTAATAACAAAGGCTATATATCTAGGATACTTATATATCTATTACTCTTATACTGCTTTAGTAATAATTTAACTATTAACTACTTTTTCCTTTTAGTTTATTAATATAACAAGCTTGCTGCCTTCAAGAAAACCTATGATCTATTTCTTAGCCGTGGCTTTATTACTATTATAAAGATAACTTTATTACTATTATAAAGATAACTTTATTACTTAGTAGTAAAATCTAAAGAATATAAAAGGCCGGCTAGAGTAATTAAAGTAAAACTCTTAACTTGCAGTAGCCTTAATACAACATAGCTAGCCATAGTTACTCCTCTAAAGAAAAGGCTAACAAGGTAAACTAAAGGCCAGTTCAGGTAATCTAATACGTCATCCAGTAGCTAATAGAATAACGCTAGCTTATGCGCAAGAATAGGCATATTACTAAACCCGTGACCCCAGAGATTAATCAGGACTAGGTGCGCGTTAGAAAAGACATCTAGAGGGCATGCGCGAAAGGCAGCATGCCTAGTGCTGGAGTCTGAATGCCATAAATGAACAAGACGTGATTGATCGTGCTCGAACTTCCACTGGTTATTAAAGGTAGTATCTCAAAGTAGGACGCTTTTCTATGAGCAGTATTCAGAAACTTAGTGGATGGAAGTAGTGCCTCAGAGCTTCAAATGCTTCTTAACGCTCCCTTATCCTCCAGGCTTGTTTCCATTTGCATATCTCATAATTTAATGGCTGAATTCAAGATATTTTGTTCTTCGCATTCGTTGCAGCATCAACTGTAATTTTCACAATGTTGTCAAGATTTAAGCTTGTCTCTCGCTTAATTTAAGATTATGTCCGCTAGTTCTAAACTATTGACCAGACTATTGATTCTCATTAAAGAAAAAAAAAAAACGTGGCCTGAGAATTGCGGACGAAAGTATACCACCGTGGTTCCCCAAGGTAATACCTTTCTACTTTGTTTCTCGTTTTCTTTTCCTTTTTCCCATCTGCTTTTAGGTTGGTGCTTTATATCTCTCTCCCTCGGTCTCTGCAGGTGTCATTCGTTAGGAATCCTATCGCTCATTAAACAAAGTCTCTCGTTAAACAATATGCATATCAATGGATTTTCATCGGTGGCTTTTGGCTTGTTGGTGGCGCGGTCTGTTGTCGCAAGCCCGTGTAAGCCGTTATCCTCCCGTGCCAGTAAGTTCAAACCAATATGGGGTTTGGCTGAGCTACTCAAGTAGCGCCAAGCCACTGGGAATAACTTCATTCTGCGGGTGAATAGTTTCTTATACTGATTGTTTATAGGCTCCAGTGTCTTGACTACTGCTTCAGAGTCCACAACCCCTATCTCTGCACCATCCTCCACAGGTTCTGAAACTTTTGTCTTGGAGACAACCTCGACCGAGAGCGAAGCTGTTACTACCGCTAAGACAAATGTGGACGAGACTAATACAGCCACAACGATTACCATCGATACAGCCACTGCCAGCGCAAACTCATATACAGAGATTGAAACTTCAAATGTAATCGAAATAAGTACTATCCCCACCGGTACTGCGGCCGATGACACGACAACCACGACTACCGATGTGTCCTCAACTGCTGAAAGTACTACTACCACCTATACAAGCAACGCTGAGACAATTACTGAAACTTCAGCTGCCGTCGACACCACCGCAACGATCGCACAGACAACAACGGAAACTAAAACTACTACTAGTGTAGTTGGTGCAACTACTACCTCAGTCGAAACATCAACTGCATCTACAGACAGCACAACAGTTACAACCGAGGAGAGTACACCATTAACATCCAAGGATATCACAACAACATCAACAACCAAGGAAAGCACTACGTTTGTCTCTTTGGGCAGCACGACAACAACTGAGGGGGCCTCAACAGTCACTGATAGTGTCACCTCTCCTTCCGAGCGCAGTACAACAACAACCTCAGCAGCAGATTATACTACTTCAACATTCGAAAGCGGCACTGTAACATCTGGTGACAGGACCACTATCATTACAACTGCGTCCGAAGGTATCACTACTACAACATCTGAAGATAGTACGAGCACAAACCAAGACACTACGGCTACTTTCACGGCGTCAACTGAGAGCATCGCTATTGCTATGACGACTTCATCCGAGGAGATTACTGCAACGACCGACGGTACTACTCTTTCTACCACGGCGCCATCCGAGAACGGCAGTACAACAACTGGGGGTAGCATTACTGCCATTACTACATCATCAGAAGGCAGTGCTGAAACATCTGGACTAAGCACAATAACTTCTGGCGACAGCACTACTACTGTCACGGCTTCATCTGAAGACAGCACTACTACGATTGCAACTTCATTAAGAGAGAGCACTGCAACAACTGATGAGCTTACTTCCACGGCTGTGGAGAGTTCCACTACCGCAGCGGCCACCACCACCGGCTGTGTTTCAAATACCGTCCTCGCAAACCCCACGCCTCTGTTCACCTCGGGGGACGTTCACTTTGATGAATATGACACTGTTCAACTTCCTTTCCAAGTCGGTATATACGGCTCCCTCTCAGACACAGTCTATGTTGGTGTGGCCGGGATGTTATCAATCCTCGAAGCCCCAAAGTTTGAGTACGTCGGCAACTATGAGCTCCCCTTCCCTTACTTCCCGTCTGTGTCTATCTTCCCATACTGGAGCGACATGTTCATTTCAACCGAGACTTGTGGCTCAGGCATTTCGTACGATGTCTACGGGACCTCCCGAGGCCAGACGTTCACTGTTGAGTACAGCACAATTGGTATAGGTGGTAATGGTGTAGAGTTTAATCACTTCACCGTTAGTCTGTACAAGGACCATCCGGGGTTGGTTAGGTTTGTATACTATCGCACTGATAATAATGGTCGAGGTGCAACTGTTGGTATTCAAGGAGGGAACTCTTACTCGCAGTTCTCTTATGATATGAGGTCTATACTGGATGATTTCTACGTCGAGATTGACACGAGCAGTGGAGATGCTTTTACAACCAGTGGCCAACTGTGATGAAAGTTTAGGGGTTTGTGTGTATAAATGGAGAGGCAGTATCATAGAAGAAGCTGTATATAGTTCAATAATCTTTTAGTCTATCTGACAGATCTCACGATATGCCAGCAATGCCTCTCAAAATGTATTAGAGATGTACTCACTCGCTCCTCACTCGCTCAAGTACACACGCAGGTAAGAAAAGCCGCCTCGATACTACACAATATCACTTGCCTCTCATTAGCAAGACTGCCTTCCTGTTTTGTAACAGAATCAGTTCTCCTCCAGCACTACATGACGGTCATCTGACCTGGCGATGTTGATATAACTCAAGATAGCAGCGGCCGACTGCAAGGTATCATGGATAGGAGCCCTGTCTCTCCATGCACGATCATCAGTATTAGCCCGAGGGCCGTTCTGTCTCGCCAATCAACCAATCGACGGCCAATCACCACTGTGAACCCTGTCAGTCAGCGGGAACGGTTGCGTATTTCCGAATCGACCCTTTCCCGTATTTGGTATGGCAGGTCGTATCAAGGTATGGATCGTGCGCTTTGATAGAGAGGCGCACCAAGCTTATTATAATCTTATCCCAATTACAGATCATTCAACGTTGGTTCATACCGCCGCCGCGGCTTTGTCAATAGCTTTTTAGATTATTTTATTGTAAGTTGCAGTACTACAGTTCATTGTCAGGATTGCAATGACTCCTCAATAGTAGGTCCTCTTACTAACATTTTTGGCTGGACCGAGTGCTTGGGTTTGCCGCTGATGACCATATCGCCCCGTAGCTGATACCCAGACAATCTGATTGCGTCAGAGGCGAATACCACCTTCTCAATTGATTCAAACAAAGGTCTTGGTCAGCAGAAGAACTTCTGTAGTTTTCGTTTAGTCTCTATACTCTTCCCCCCGAAGGATTCCTTGGCAACATGAATCCCGTCAGCCTAGAATCAACCCGCCACTAAGAGCCATCATGAGAATAACCTTACACTCAGCCCCCAACTTAGTCTCGATCAGTCGATACTTATCAAATACGACGCTGAGCATCTCCAATACCATGGTAACAAGCAAATGCTATGGTAACAGCGAATGCAGAGGTGGGTTGACGTTGCTTCACCTTCCATTTTGGGCCTAGACGCTAGGCAAAAGGAGCACAGAGAGCAAAAGTGCCAGACTTATCACTGGACCGACTTCCGAAAATGTTTCAAGAGCTTATTTTGGATACATGATTCGAGGATCTTTTGATCGGGCTATCGCGTTGACTGTGGATGTTGGATATCGTGGTGTTGATCGTGAAGGATCAAGTATAAATGATCAAGACTCTCGCTGTCAAATATCAGTTCCTCTCAACACTCAAACTCAGGCAAACAAACCAATAACGAACATCTCCGAATAACTCATCAACCGCCAAAATGAAGTTCCTCCCCATCGCCGTCGCCTTCTTCGCAACCTTCGCCATCGCCGCGCCCTCCCCCGCAGGCGACCTCCAAGCCCGCTCATGCACCTGCAAGAAAGTCGGCGACGACTGGATCTGCACCGGCACCAAGTGCTACGACAAGGTGAAGCGCGACCTCGTCCCGCGCCAGTGCTCATGCCACAAGATCGGCGACGAGTGGCTCTGCGGTGGCCCCAAGTGTCCCCGAGATCTTCCTGAGGAGAACCAGCTTGAGAAGAGACAGTGTTCGTGCCACAAGGTTGGAGATGAGTGGCTCTGCGGCGGGCCCAAGTGTCCGAGAAGTCTGCCGGCTGAGGAGAGTGGGCTAGAGAAGAGGCAGTGTTCTTGTAAGAAGGTTGCTGGGGAGTGGATTTGCAGTGGACGAAAGTGTCCTCGGGACTTGTCGCACCTCATGGGTGAGGAGTAAACATGTTCTATGGCTGAAGGATACTATCGAGTAAGTATGTTCTGGGATATTTGTGTCTACAAATCTAACGGCTTCGTTAGACCCATTCTTTATATGCCAAGATGGAAGCATCCAGCCGATCATCAGAGTTCACCCATGCAAAATTGGTCGCTTGGCAGGAACTAGTGTTTGAAGCATAATCACGTTTGGCATCAGATGAATATATATATATGACTTACAAACCAAACTTATTCACCTACATTTGATATCAGTAGCCAAGCGAAAGACGTACTCTGGCTCGTGAGAAGATCATCCCAAGTGTCAATTGAGAATCAAGTAACCATTTCAATCGTTTACTTCTCTATTTGTGTTACTATGTATGAATAATATCAAGGTCATGCTCTCTCTCGCCTCGTTTGACCTTCCATGCCGCACTATGACTTAGCCGCACAAGCTCCATCACAAACTCACTAATCTCCTGAATATGCTCGATCTCCTCCATCGGAAGTCTGTCAGAAGGCACCTTGCGCGTGATATTGCTTATTGATGACAAGATACGTAAGTCATTATCAGCCGAAGAACCAAGCGGGTGAATAAGAATGTTCATGAAGAGTGGCATCGCAGCCATGGGTGCATAGTGGGATACTATCCACAATGAGTCTTCTTTCCAGAGATCCACTATCGTGTCCAATATCCGGAAGATAGATCTGCTGGCTTCGATGGATAGATCAGCGCTTGAGTGTACCACGCTGTGGAGATCATCTGGTAGATTCTCCTCCAAGTCGCCGCACTTTCGGACAAGTGTATGGATGTTGATAATGGTAAAGAGGTAATCGAGCTGCAGATTTATGAGATATGTCCGATCTTGTAAACTCATAGTCGCAGGTAGCGAGAATGATAAATCTGACAAGATCGATAACCGTGGCCGATATCGTGGATCAACTGATAAGCGCCATTCCTCAAGCTCATCATCAAGTTGCCGAACGTGCGCAAGAAGTTCGCCCTCAGTATATTTGAACGCTCTTGGGGAACAGAGAAGTCGACTTGCGTTTTCTTTGACTCTCGCGAGATTTGTATCTCGTGGATGACTGTACCATAACGTCTGGTCTTCAGCGTCACTCATATCGCAGTGATCTGACGTCAGGAGTGGCGGTTTATCTGTTCGTAGAGACATGTCCTTGTCATAACAGTAACAGATCCAGAATATTCTTCGGATATGGAGCCTTGTTTGGTTGTCGAATGTCGGGATGTGTTGAGGGGAGATTGCTGGTCGTGATAGAGGGAAATGACCGCCGAGATCGCACACCATGCGACATGCGCTTGCGAAGCTGACAGCAGCTTCACGACATTGTCCTCGTATCTTTTGACTTGCCCACTGGTTTCGTCAGCCTCACGCACGATACTTTGTGGCTTTAAGATTACTTACCAGAAGAAGAGTTCCTTGTAAGCTATCCAAGCTGGTATTGCCACTCACAACACCCAACAACCGAGAGGCCTCATTCACGCAATCCCTCGGCTCAAAAGAAAACCCCAGCTGTTGAGCATCAGTCGTCCTAACAACAAGAGCAATCATAGCCCAAAGACAAGCCTCAGCAGGCGCCCTTCTCCCCAAATCAATCACCCCCTCATCAAAAGCCTTACTCAGGGTCCCCTCAAAGAGGCCTCTCTCCAAAAATGGAAAGATAACAGCTGTTTTGGACTTGAAAAATAACTCAACGACATGGGCGCAAATAGCCCTAGGCGGTAGAACTCTTGGTGTTTCAGAAAATGAAACAGAGCCAAGCGGTGGCGCAGGATTACCGAAAATGTCGAAGTTCTCAAGGAAGACGCGCTCCCCTGCACCGTCTGAAATCCACTGCCAACCGCGATTTGAAAGAATTCCTATGCCTTTAAAGTACCAATTTGTTCCGATGTGACAGCGTGATAATTTGTAAATCGGCTTTGAGCGTGTTGTAGGTGATACTCCAATAGGACTAATCACCGGCTGACGAGTGATTGGGGAAGAAGCGAAGCGAAGACTCGTTGGTTCAGACCATGGTGAGGGGCCTCCAACAGACATGTTTGTGCTATTCGTCAGGGCCGTTTGAAGCGCCTCCTCGAGCGTTTCCACGCGGCGTGATAGTTCCTGAACGACATCGGAAGTAGTTCTGAAATGGTCAGCCTCAAGCACCCAATGGAACGGTTCAGCCTTGGCTGTCACAGTAACAAAAAACAAGCTTACCTTTTGTTTGGGTCCTTCTGGATCACTCTATCAAAAGTGCATGTGAGCCCCTGGCTGTCGCACCAGTCACATGGATCACCTTGAGTCTTGATCAGGCATTGAATCTATAGCAAGGGTTATTATAATGCTCCTGTGAAATGATGTCACACTGAAGGAAGGGGGGGAAACAAAACATGTTTTTATTACCTTTCGCTTATAGCATATGTCGCAGGCTCGTCGGGGAGGCATTGCGAGGGGATGGAGTGTAATCGGAGAGACGGAAGTGAGACGGGAGAGAGATTGACGGAGAGGCGGGTTTCCGTGGGGCACAAAATGTGTTGGTGCTAGTGTGCTGTACAGTTGGCACGTGGATCTGTGAATTGAAGTGTTAGCGAGACAGGGATTAAGATCAAATCATTAGCGATTGTCTTGCGCATTTACCGCTGAGGCCTGAGAGGGGAACATCTACTCCGCGTGTCTCTCAAGAGTTAATTGAGAGGACAAAGGTAGTTGAAAAGGACAGAATAAGCTTGAAGAGTCCAAACGAGTCGACGTTTCATCTAGATCCCAAATCTCGATCTGTCAAACAGGCATCCCAAGCTACAGGGTAGCATAAAATGCTGTGACCTTGTAGCTTGGTAACCCACTCGATCGATCAATTCCTCAACGTAATGCTAAACAACAAGCGAGATTCTCATATTGCGGGGTGGGGATCTGATAATTACAACACATACTCGTCACTTAATAAGCTTGATTGGGCGGTATCATCGAGGGAGGCTGTGCAAATGCAGCAGAAACAAGATCAAGCTATGGTCAGAGCTCCAATCTTCATTTCCGTCTCCGATTACATAACTCAACACCCACACTCACTACTGTGTCTTATTGGCTGTAGAAAAGAGCTCCCCTGCTCACCGTCGCAGATCTTGGCTTTATTTTGAGATCTCGGAAATCCGTTGTCCGATGATATAAGCACATGTTTCGTTTATCAGATCTTTTAGAGTTAATCCATTGGTGGGACTGTACACCTCCTTTGTTGGTACCGACAACAGCTCCCCTGTAGTCTCAAGCTAAGCTGTTCAAACGTGGACATGGGAAAATGATGTTAGCTTTTTCAGTCGGAGTGATAGTCAATAGATATAAATTGTAAATACCCCACGTACTCAACTACCATGACTCACCCATCGCAGCTCACTGGTTTGGAGCTCACTCATTTCTCTACTGTATTTTCTCGCCAAGGGCCTAAGCTACTATGTCTGGCCATCTTGACCCAAAAGCCCTGCTAGATCCTCGCCAGCGATCTATCAGCGAAGCAGGCACCATATCTTCAGCTGGAGACACCACTGTTGTTCCTAGTATCAACACCGCTGAAATCCCCCAATATCTCGATGCTGGCAACGAGAAGCGCTTTCCTCACGATCCCAACAATCCCTTCAATCACAGCCCTGAGGTTCTGAACCAATTACTCGACCCCAAATCCCTCGATGTCCTCAAAGGCCTCGGCGGTCTGCCGGGTTTGGCTCGCAGTCTCAATGTCGATCTGAAAGCAGGTCTTAGCGTTGACGAGCTTAATACCCAGAACTGTCCTCGTATCAAAGTCTTTGGTCGCAATCAACTTCCCCCCAAGAAGCCAAAGTCAATCTGGAGATTAGCCTGGATCACATTCCAAGAAGCAGTCCTCATCATGTTGACTGTCGCGGGTACTATTTCTCTTGCCCTCGGTCTGTACGAGACTTTTGGTGTTTCGCATAAACCGGGTGATCCTACGCCTGTTGATTGGGTTGAAGGTGTTGCGATCCTCGGCGCCGTTCTCATCGTTGTGGTTGTTGCTTCGCATAACGATTGGCAGAAAGAAAAAGCGTTTGTGAAGCTCAACACTAAGAAGGATGATCGAGAGGTCAAGGTTCTGAGATCGGGAAAATCGATGCTTGTCAATGTTGCTGATGTCGTCGTTGGCGATGTTTTGAACCTTGAGCCGGGTGATTTGATCCCCGCTGACGGTATCTTCATCGATGGCCATAACGTCAAGTGCGATGAGTCAACCGTCACTGGCGAGTCTGACGCGTTGAAGAAGACTCCTGGTGCCATGTGCTTCATCGATGATCCTATGCGCACCAAGGAGCCTGATCCATTCATCATCTCTGGATCTCGTGTTCTCGAAGGCATGGGAACTTTTCTCTGCACCTCCGTCGGCGTCAATAGCAGTTTCGGCAAGATCATGATGTCTGTCCGAACAGACATTGAGTCTACGCCTCTCCAGAAGAAGCTTGAAGGTCTAGCCGTCGCTATCGCTAAGCTTGGTGGTGGTGCTTCACTCCTTATGTTCTTCATTCTTCTCTTCCGCTTCTGTGCTTCTCTTCCTGGTGATGACCGACCAGCTGAGGAGAAAGCTTCGACGTTTGTCGATCTTCTTGTCGTGGCTATTGCTATCATTGCTGTCGCTGTACCCGAGGGTTTGCCACTCGCTGTCACTCTCGCACTGGCTTTTGCGACGACGCGTCTTTTGAAGGAGAACAACCTCGTTCGAGTTCTTAGAGCGTGTGAGACTATGGGTAACGCGACTTGTATTTGCTCCGACAAGACAGGAACTTTAGTACGCCGCATTCTCCCAGCACAATAGCGTCTGCTAACATCTCAGACTACGAATAAAATGACAGTCACCGCCGGCCGTTTCGGTTCCTCCAGCTTCACCTCCGACATTCCCACCTGGGCATCCAACCTCTCCCCCGAAACCCGCAAACTTATAACCCAATCCGTCGCCGTAAACTCGACCGCCTTTGAAGGCACCAACGAAGGCGACGCCGCATTCATCGGCTCCAAGACCGAAACCGCACTGCTCCAACTTGCGAAAGACCATCTCGGCATGCAGTCCCTCTCCGAAGCACGAGCGAACGAACAAATAGTCCTCATCGAGCCTTTCAACTCGGTCAAGAAGTACATGCTCGCTGTGATAAAGGTCCAGACTGGATACAGGGTTCTCATCAAGGGTGCTTCAGAGATCATGGTTAGCTTCTGCTCCACTGAAGTTAACCCGTCTACTGGCGCTGTTGAACCTTTGGATCGCAAGGCTGCTGATGATGCCATCATGGCTTTTGCGAGAAAGTCGCTGCGTACTATTGGTTTGGTATACAAGGACTTTGAGGAGATGCCTGATCTTGAGCACCTCGGTGACCTGACACTTCTTGGTATCGTTGGTATTCAAGATCCTGTTCGAGAAGGTGTTCCGCAAGCTGTGCAGAATGCCAGACGCGCCGGTGTTGTCACTCGCATGGTTACGGGTGATAACCTCGTCACAGCTCGAGCTATCGCCACAGAATGCGGTATCTATACCGACGGTATCGTCATGGAGGGTCCTGAGTTCCGCAAGCTCTCTGAGGAGGAGCTTGACAAGGTCATTCCTCGTCTTCAAGTGCTTGCCCGTTCTTCACCTGACGACAAGCGTATTCTTGTCACGCGTCTCAAGGTCTTGGGCGAAACAGTCGCCGTTACTGGTGATGGTACTAATGATGCTCCTGCGCTCAAGGCAGCGGATATCGGTTTCTCGATGGGTATTTCTGGTACGGAGGTTGCGAAGGAAGCGTCTGAGATTATCCTTATGGATGATAACTTTGCTTCTATTATTACTGCGCTGAAGTGGGGACGGGCTGTTAACGATGCGGTGCAGAAGTTCTTACAGGTATGTTTTCAGTCTTGAAGTTGCATGGGTTACTGACTTGTGAAGTTCCAAATCACCGTCAACATTACTGCTGTTTTGCTCTCTTTCGTTACGTCTATGTATGACGACAAGATGGAGCCTATTCTTAAGGCTGTTCAGCTTCTTTGGGTAAGTCACACTCATCTTCAGATGTCTCTATGATACTGACTTTAGTAGATCAACCTTATCATGGACACCATGGCTGCTCTCGCCTTGGCCACCGATCCTCCTACTGACTCTATCCTCGACCGACCTCCCCAACCCAAGTCGGCCCCCCTAATCACCATGAACGTAAGTCTACTCCCACTTCCCTTCCATTTCCACCACTAACAACTCCAGATGTGGAAGATGATCATCGGCCAATCCATCTTCCAACTCGTCGTCGTCCTCGTCCTCTACTTCGCCGGCGACTCCATCCTCAACTACAACACCTCAATCCCCTCCGAAAAGCTCCAGCTCGACACCATAATATTCAACGTCTTCGTCTGGATGCAGATCTTCAACGAGCTAAACTGCCGTCGTCTCGACAACAAATTCAACGTCTTTGTCGGCATCCACCGCAACCTGTTCTTCATCCTCATCAACGCCATCATGATCGGTCTTCAAGTCGGAATCATCTTCATCGGAAGCCGCGTCTTTGACATTGATCCTGATGGTCTGAATGGTGTGCAGTGGGCTATTTCTATCCTTATCGCCGCCTTTAGTCTGCCGTGGGGTGTGCTTGTTAGGATCTTTCCTGATGAGTGGTTTGCCAAGGTTGTTTACTTCTTCGCGCCGCCTTTTGTGGCGGTTTATAATTGGATGGCGAGGGGTTGGGGGAGGTTTATGAGAGTGTTTAGGAAGAGTAAGAAGGCGGATGATGAGGAGGATATGAGTTCTTTGGAGGACAGAGAGAGTAAGGAGAAGTCTTCTGGTGTTGGGCCCATGATTGTTGAGCCTAGGGGCTAGCTCATCTATGTGTAAGGCATACGTGGGAAGGATAACTTGGCGAAGATTGGATACCAAGGGGGAACAAAAGCAATGGACGGTGCTGGTGCAAACATGTTGAATATTTTATGGCAATGGCCTGGCGTTGATTAGAGGAACAAATAGCGTATAGCACTCTCATTGAATGATTTTCACTACTTCAATTGCGTCAATGTTTCACAAGTACCCATTGGCCACTAAAGATGCACGCATTGCACGCCCATAAAGCAGTGCATCAAGTTAGACGAACTCCTCCCAACCAACAACAATAGCCTAATAAACAACCTAACTAATTAGCAAACATAAACCGGGCCTAACCCACCACGATAAACACCTCAAAAACAAGCTTAAACACAATAAACTCACGGAATCCTCGGACTATTAAAAAAGTTCCTCAACCCCGCATCATCATGATACGACGCTACACGGTTATCCAACCCCAACACGGAAGGTCAACCAGAGCCAAGCAATTCCTCGTCGTATGACGCAACATCTTATCGTGCATCTCATGGCAATGTTGTACGCTCGTGAACTTGACATTCCTCTTTCAGAGATGCGGTGTAAGCGCTAGCTTATCGTTACTGGGTGTAAGTGAATCCCCCGCACGCGATGTGCCAAGGATGGTTTGGAGGGGTAGTATAAATATGATGTAGTTTCTCTGTTGCAAAGTGGTTCGTCACGATTCTTGAGATATACTGGAATCATGGCGAGGAATTTGGCGACTTGTCTTGTTGCTGCGGCGTGTGTATACGCTTGTCTCCCCGACAAAGATGAACTCTCCACTCTTCGAGCACGTCGTTCAGCACGAACCTCTCAAAGTCGTCATCTCAAACGCGATGCCGTAGAATTTCCTCCCGTCCTCACTGATGTTGAAACTCTGCTCGTCAATTCCTTTGACAGCAACTCCATCTCAGACTGGTCCCTCTACTACACCTCTGGTTATCGTCTTGCGGGACATAACAGATCTCAGGCAGAGTGGACGCAGAAGAAGTGGATTGATGCAGGTTGGGAATCTTGGATTGATGAATATTGGATCACGTATACGGAACCAATTGAGAGTACGCTTAGCTTGAAGAGACCTGATGGGAGCGTGCATGATGTGCAGAGGTTAGAGGATAAGTTGGATGTTGATGAGCAGACGAGGAATCCTAATGAGCAGGTTGCATACCATGCACTTTCTGGTAGTGGAAGGGTCAATGCTGAATATGTTTACGTGGGGTAAGAACATGACCTTGAGGTGTTGCTGGCATGGCTAATGTGAGTGATAGTCGTGGCTCGAGGGAGGATTATCAGAAGCTTAAAGATCTTGGTGTTGAGTTAAAGGGAAAGATTGCTCTGGCTCAATATGGTGGCGCGAACCGTGGAGTCAAGATCAAGAACGCTGAGGTGAGTTCCATCACACGATCATGGAGAGTCAGATACTTATTGAAAAAACAGGCTCATGGCATGATTGGAACTATACTCTACACCGACCCTCTTGAAGATGGTGAGATCACTGAAGCCAACGGTTATCTTCCCTACCCAGGTCAGCAGAATAAAGAGTCCCCTAATACCAGCACATATTAACAGCTCTAGACGGCCCTGCTCGCCATCCCTCCTCCATCCAAAGAGGCAGCACCCGCTGGGGCTCCCTCTCCTTCGGCGACCCCTCAACAATCGGCTACGCCTCCCACAAAGACTCTCCCCGCGCCGACATAACCCCCTACGGCCCCTCCATCCCATCAATCCCCATCTCCCCCCGCGACGGTCTTCAACTCCTGCACGCCCTCTCCAACCACGGTCTCTCCCCTGAAACCGTCAATCGCACCAACTACAAGGGTGCTTTTTCAAATGTTACATATCACAGTGGTCCTGCACAGGGAGCTACGCTTAATCTTGTGAATATCATGGATACAAGACTTGAACCGGCGTGGGATGTTATTGCTTCGATTAATGGGACGAATGAGGATGAGTATGTCATTATTGGGAATCATAGGGATGGGTGGACGGCTGGTGGTGCGGCGGATGCTGTTTCGGGCGGTGCGTTGCTTATTGAGATGGCCAAGGCTTTTGGGAAGCTTGTCGAGAATGGATGGAAGCCTCGTCGAACAATGTAAGTTCATTAACCCCAATCTAGGATGAAAACTAACGGGTGTAGTATCTTGGCCTCTTGGGACGCCGAAGAGTTCGGTCTCATGGGCAGCACAGAATGGGTTGAAGATCATCTTCCGGAACTTATCGAAAAGACCGTGGCTTATATCAACCTCGACACAGCTGTTTCTGGTCCAAGAGCAGAGATTGTTGGATCAGGAGAGATCCAGACTATTGCTATTGAGACTATGAAGAAGGTCATCTTTCCTGAGGGTTATGGACCTGGACCGACGTTGTATGATGCGTGGTTCAATGCTACTGAGGGTGTTTTGCCTGCTATGGGTAGTGGAAGTGATTATGCTGCTTTCTACCATAACGGTATCACTTCTGTAAGTATTTCGCGAGGCTTGATTGCGGATATGACTAACTTTTGATAGCTTGATATTGCTGGAGGTCCTGGTCCTAAAGACCCAGTTTACGCATATCACACGTAGGTATTCCCATTTATTTTACCGTAACGCCAACTTACATGCCTCAGTCTCTACGATACCCACCGTTGGATGACCGAGTTCGCAGACCCAGGCTTTCATCTCCACACAGCAATGGGCCAATTCGTAACCCTCCTAACCTATCACATCGCCGACGATCCCCTCATCCCCTTCGATCTCACCCACGCCGGCACCGCCCTGCGCGACATCTTTGAAGATCTCGAAGAAAAGATCACCACCCGCTTCCCCTCCTACGACCTCGATCTCACACCCCTCTCCTCCGCAGTATCTTCATTCGAAGAAGCAGGAAAGCGTATTTCCACGCTAGCAAAACAAGCACTCGCTCTAAACGATACTGTTCTACTTAGTGCAGTTAACGCGAGGTACAAGGCTTTCAGTAGAGGTTTTGCGAGTGAGGGATTGCTGCCGGGTAGGTTTTCGTTTTATAATGTTGTTAGTGCGCCGGGGTTGGATAGTGGGTATGGTGCGGATGTTTTTCCGGCGGTGCAGGATAGTTTGGATCAGGGGAATTTGACGCAGGCTGAGGAGTGGGTTGAGAGGAGTGCGAAGGCTGTTTTGAGAGCTGCTGAGATCCTCAAGGTGGGACAGTGAGTTGCGTTTTGAAGCACCGCTCTTATGATGCTTGGGTCTCACTGGAAGAAACCAGCTATGCTAAACGGCTGTAACATTTAAAAGCATGTTAAATCCAATGAATTGCTTGCATTATGCTGTGCGTCGCTACTGTTACTCACAGATTTAAGCGATAATGCCACATCGTCTGCATTCGATAAGCGACAGCACGTCAGTCAGACTGGGGAGGTAAATTGAACACGATGGCATCAGCCCCCAACGCCGACCCGAAAGCGAACCATTGGACTCGTAGGGCTGATCAGTTCATCAGTTCCATTTTCTGGTGCCTGGAAAACAAGCAACACAGCCCATGCAACAACGGTCATCACGAGCGAATCAGAACTTACCGCCATCAAGGATCATCTCTAGTCTTACCCCATTCATACCAGCGCAGTGGACCAGAATAAACGGCCTTGCCAATTAGATCGAGAGTCTAGGACTTTTGGATGCAGGCTTCAGGCGAGGCAACCTGTGCGAAGTGAGATGAGGTGAAACGGATGTCCGACTTGACTCTCCCTTTTTCAATCTGTTTCCATTATTATAACACTGCTGACGCCCTGATTCTTTCTTCGGTTTCAGAGATCATTGATCATAATTATTGTCAAACCTGCCGGGTTAATTCATTCCTTCAATCGTCTTTTTCCTCACGACGCTCCTTTTCCCTTGTTTCATCTGTATTACAAGCGCATTAAATATCCCTTTAATCTCACCCTGTTAGTTTAATACATCCGAAACACCTTCAATGGCGTCAGCCTTTATGCACACCTTGAACTAACAAACGCCTCCAGAATTTCTCCATTTCTTTAAAACGCATCGCAACAATGGCAGATAATAACCACATCGGCGAAGCTGGTCTTCACCATCTTCCTCTCCGAATGAGAGACGCGCCACTTTCCAAATTCCCTACTCTAAACCAACGCCATGGCAAAAAAGTACCTGAGAGTTTACACTTCACCCCCGGAGCTTTTCGGCTTCGATCACCCACGGAGTCGTCTATGAGTAGCATCTCTTCGGCGAATGTGCCTGATTCTGCGACGACGCATTCGCTTTCTACGCTGGCGAGTCCGATTAGTACGACGTATGCGAGTTCGATCCAGGAGCAGTTTGCTGCTGCGACGCTGGATGGGTCGCGGCCTGCGAGTCGCATCTGTCATCGGCATAATCCGTCGAATGGAACTTGTTCGACGTTTGTTAATGAGGATGATGATGCGATTGTCACGGGATATCCCGAGTTTGATATCAAGATTAGGAATTTGAATGAGCTGAATCCCAGATCGGTCGTTCAAGAGGTTAAGCCTGAGAGGTGAGTCTTCCGATGGTTCCGTGTGATCGTGTCGCTTACGTTCGCAGCCCCAGTACAGAATCTTTCGTCAAAGAGGAGAGGGTTCTTACGCCCACGACAGAGTCACATCACACAGATGATGTTTCTAATGATGATGAAGATGACTCTGAAGATTTGTCACAAGAGGATGCAAACTCAGTGCTCAATTACGCACTTCAGGTCATCTACGGCGTCGACCTCAACGACGTCTCAATCCCTCAAGACAAGGTTCAAAGCCTCGTATCCAATTTCACCCAAGACATAAGCCAACATATTTGGCAATCTGCTTCAGATGGGCAATTATCTCATACAATGTCAACATCAAGCTCTTCTTCTACACCCTCGCAAGACGCTAATGGCGATCGTCGAGGCGGAAAGAGGAAGAAGCAGGGGAGACGTGACGACGAAGGCGATGAGTTTAGCGATGGTGAAGGCTCAGGATACTTGCCTACAAAGCGTTCACGACCGAATCCCAAGGAAGATGAAAATCTTCGATTGAGTTGCCCATTCCGAAAGAGGAATCCTCATAGGTTCAACGTGAGGGATCATCATAGCTGCGCAATGACTTATTTCCCCAAATTCGCAGAGCTCAGGTCAGTCGATCCCTTCTTTGCCAAGATACCTACTAACATTTTGAAGGCAACACATTGTTAAGCAGCATAAGCGCGATGATCCCTCCGCTTTTGTCTGCGATCGCTGTAGTCGCGACTTTCCCACGCGAAAGGAATTACGTGATCATCAACGTTTGCCAAAGGAGTATATGTGCGACATCGCTGATGCTGATGCCGAGAGCGGTATTGATCCCCAGACAGCGACGAAGCTGTTAAGTAGAAAGAGAGCGAGCGGTACTTCTCCTGAGGTTCAGTGGAAGGAAATCTGGAACATCGTATTCCCTGATGATGATGATAGTGATGTTCGACCATATGGTAAGTATCCACTCCTCGTCCTTTGAAGGGTTAGGGCTGATTCTTAGCAGAATACACTCCTGTGATCGAGCACTTTGAAGTCGAATCCAAGTACCGAGAAGCGTTCGACCAGCTCAAATACTCCCTTCTCGACAAAATTTCCAACCCAGCAACCCTTGAAACCCTCTCTACAAAATTCTACCAATGCTTCGTCGAAACACTCGACCAATGCATCGCCAACGCTCAAAGCATGCCCTACACAAACCGCAGCAATAAAAAGAACGACATAATCCGCTCCCAAGCAACACAAAGCGTCCGCAAACCCCGCGGTATAATGCCTAGACCTGATTCCGGCGTTGTGATGGACGATGGATCCGAAGAGAGCGGTAGTGTGATGCTCGGTCATAGAGATAGTGTGCGAACTGTCAGAACTGCCTTACGGGGAAGTCAAGTTCCTGAGACGGTGAGGGAAGTTGTTCCTACTACTGGGTTTGACGAGTTGATGCAGCCGATGCTGGGGATGGATGGGGCGGATGTGCAGGCTTGGAATAATGGGGTTATGTATCCGCAGATGATGCCTGAGCAACTCATTCCTACGGGGGGAATGACGCCGCAGACGGAGTTTGTTAATTGGGGGCAGATATATCCTGGTTTTGATACGTTGGGTGGTGTTAATGGGTTTACGGGGTTTAATGGACAGCAGTGATGAGGAGCTGGGCTGGGCCTAGTTGGATTAATTATTCTTGTACATGATTTTGTTCATATGATGAGACTAAGATCTCAATAATTGACATGACTTACTTTACCGAAAAAGAACCAAGATTATGCTCCCAGGTCCCATTTGAAGATGTGCAAATCTAGGACTGGATTCTTGATGTGGCGAGCTGAACTATTCAGCCGCTCCAAATCAGGCCAACATCAGCCACACGGGCAGACATACGATACCACTTTGGAAGCTGAATATCTCCGAAGAGCTAGATCTACAGCTGGCTTGTGATAAAACCCCTTCGAATGTGATAACTTTGCATGGATTTTCAGCTCTTCATACTCTCAGACACTCAGCTGATCCATATAATGGTCTAGCCTGCTATGGATTCTGCAGTCCCTCGTTTTCAGAAGTGCCGAGTCGCTAGTTCGGCTGTGGCGCTGCGTAGTCACCGTATATCTACCCAATGAGGACCGGAGCTTTAGGCAATATGTCTCAGTCGGCCTATTCTTATTCTTGGGGAAAGGCCCAAGAGACAACCATGAAACTGTTATAAAGTACCCAGAGGATAGATCTTGTTTTCTTAAGCAACCGCATTTTCTTCATCATAAGGTATCTTCTCTTGAACTCACCTCATAATGGACCTCCAAAATCTATCCGCAGCAGATCTCGTTGCAAAGTTCGACAATGATCCAACAAACACTACTCTCGCTGAGGAAGTACATCGTCGTACAATCGACCCCTCCCTCAGCGGTGAATTATTCCAAGAAATAAAAAATCTTAAAGATTCCATTGAAGGTGTTCCCAAGTCTGGCAGAGAAATCTTCAGACCTCGCCCTCCCCCCAAGAACTCATGGGCCAATTGCATCGGCCAGCAAAAATGCACTCCCAAATCCTTACGCTATCCAAGGAGTCTATCAGACCTTATTCAAGCTGTCAAGGATGGCAGGGAACAGAAATTGAATGTCAGGGCTGTTGGTTCGGGACATTCGTTCTCGAATATTTGTCCTACTGATGGGATTCTTCTTGATCCTCATGGCATGAATAAGTTTCTGAAGTTGAACTCTGAGACTTTGAAGGACCCTTCCAAAGCTTCTGACCACGTTCTTGTTGAGAGTGGAATCACGATTAAGGATTTGAACTCGCAGCTTGATAACATGGGTAAAGCTCTTGCGACTATGGGTGCGTATGATGGACAGACTCTTGTCGGAGCTATATCAACTGGCACTCATGGAAGCGGTAAAGATTCTGGAAACCTTGCCAGTCTTGTCCGCGCGATTATCTTGGTTTCAGAAACTGGAACTGTTTATCAGATCGAACCAAAGGCTGGAATCACTGATCCTGCCAAGTTCGTCCCGGGCGATGCTCAGGAACTCAAGCAGGATGATGATTGGTTTCAAGCCGCGCTCATCGCTATGGGCTGCCTGGGTCTCGTCTACTCTTACATCATCGAAGTGGTACCCACGTTCTTCCTAAGTGAGGTCCGCTCGTTGACAAATTGGCAAGACTACAAGTCCCAGCTTGCAGGGGGTCTTGCTTCCAAGCCTCTTCAAGATCACTACTTCGAAATCGACCTGAATCCTTACGAAACACTGGGTCGTAACATCGCAGTTACCACCATCCGTAAAATCTCGGACGCTACAGAGCCCGAAGGCAGTCGCGGATTCCCCAACTGGCTCGCTGGCCTTCTCGCCCAACACCACTGGGTCGAAGACATTCTCGTCTGGATCCTCAATCGCTGGCCCCTCCACAGTCCCGGTATCATAACCACCGCCATGAAAAGCCTCCCCGTAAAGCACTACATCGACAAGAGTTTCAAAGTCCTCAACATCGGCGCCGTCGACGACGTAAAAGCCTACGCCATGGAACTATCCTTCGACGCCAACCAAAACATAGTCTCCATCGTCGACCGCATCCTTGCACTATTCCAAAAAGCAGCTAGCGAGAAAAGATGGTTCCTGGCTGGTCCGTTTGCTCTGCGGTTTGTGAAAGAGTCTACTGCGTTTTTGGCGCCGCAGCAGGGGAGGACGACGATGATGGTGGAGATGGATATGTTGTTTGGGGTTACGACGGGGGAGGAGTTGTTGAAGTTTATGAGGGAGGAGTTGTGTAAAGGAGAGGAGGGGAAGAGTGTTAGGGTTCATTGGGGGTTGGACTTGGATACTGTTAGAAAGGGGGATTTGGAGAAGATGTATCCTGAGTCGGAGAGGTGGTTGGCTGTCTATAAGGACTTGAACTCGACGGGGATTTGGAATAGCCCTTTCACGGAGCGTCTTGGTATTTCTATGCCTATGTAATCAGTACATCATCTGACTGTTGAATTTTTATTTATGTTTTTTTTTAACTTCGAACGATTATTAAAGGGGCAAGAAGCATCTTCTTAGATCCTCTGTTGTTCAGAAAGACGTCGAAAAGGTTCAAATGGTGTTTGATAATACACGACACTTAAGGCTCAATGAGGCAAAGCCGCAAAGGCCAAGAAACGAGACATAGATAGGTAATCTTCATTTTGAAGGTTTATTTACACTTTTCTATCTGACAACGTAACACTTATTATTACAACTACTTATCATTTGTGATAAGAAGCATTGGAGTCCCCATCACTATCGCCATCGTCTTCAGAGTCCGTGTATTCCTTTTCAGACTGAGCAACTTCTTCAACTGCAACACTCTTCTGCTTCAGTGTTTCTTGTACCCACTCATCAACAGCAGCAAGGGCCCCATCAGGATCTTCCTGATGGGTAAGTAAGAACCCCTGAATAGCTGCAGGACTAAGAGCAAGGTTGGGAATCTTATCCCTAAACTCCCGTGCCTGATCCCGCAAAGATTTTACCGCCTTCTTTTCCGACTCATGGTCTATATCTGGCGCATCGTACATTTGAGCGAAGAGCGCTTCAGCTGCTTCTGATGTAGCGAGCTGGAAGTTGATGGTAAAGTCGATTCTGCCTGGCCGAATAAGAGCTGGATCAATATTCTCGGTGTGATTTGAAGTCATGACGAGAACGCGTCCCTCTTGAGCAGCTGCGCCGTCGATTATGTTCAAAAGACCTGAAAGTGAGAGGCGCTCTGCACTCTTTTTCTTCCGTCCTCGGGATCCCATCGTCGCTGTATCTGCGCTACGTCTCTGCGCTAATCCTGTAGCGTCTATGTCTTCAAGTAGTACCATGCAGGTATATGGCAGCTTCTGGAAGAGAGACGCAAGGCTATCTTCATTGATGCGGGGGGAGTTCAAGTTAACCATGTAGATATCCAGGCCCATAAGTCCAGCTGCCGCGAGAGTTAGACTCGTTTTACCGGTACCGGGAGGACCTGAGAAGAGGTAACCGCGACGATATGGGATGCCCCGATTTGCATACCAGTGTTTCGTCTGACGATCTAGATATCTCCGGAGGTCTTTGATGAGCTTTTGCTTAAGATGTTCGTCCAGGGCGATTGTAGACATAGGCCTCGTCGCTTTCGACATGCATCGAGTCCAAGACATCTCATCTTCGCTATATGGTTTGGTGGCTCGAAAGATACCAGTCTTTCCTTTTTGCTTCTCACAAAAGTCGATGCGAGCGTTGTACAGCAGGCGTTTGAGTACCGTGGCGTCTCGGCCAAGGCAAGATATGGCAAGTTTCTCAGGCTGCCGCGGTGTAGATGTATAGTTTCCGCTCTCAAGTGATCTAGTGAACGCTAACATACGGCCCTCATATCGAAAGAAGTGTGTACCGAAAGCTGGCGTCCAGTACAGAGGTTTAGCGTTATTGAGAGATGCCGTTGATTTGGACCGCATCTCGTTGATCTGTCTGCCCACAGGATCATCTTCCTCGTCATCATCGACGTCAGGTTTGTCATCCTGCTCATCTGACCAAGTAAAAGAGGAGTTATTCAGTGCAGCGGAAGCTTGGAGGCGATAGTTATCTTGCGAGATATTGTTTCGGGAGACCCAGTTCATAAGATAGTTGTATGTTTCATCCTGAGCATGAATTTCGACGGTTGAGATGAAGCGCGCGGTAATGGATTCGGACCAAGATTCGAGAGCATATTTGATCAAGAAAGCAAAGGCTGCGAAGTAGGGGAGATATGTCATGCCAGGAAATATCATTTCCAAGAGGCCGATGAAGAGGCCTTGGCTCATGATGCTATCTTGCTGGTCTTCCATCTTGGGTGAGGATACCTTGCTGATTACTGTATGATGAAGAGTTTAAAGTAATTGAGCCTCCTGGAGTCATTTTTATCATTTTTCGATTATATACAGCCTTACTGCCTGATTTTGTGAATGACATAGGCCAAGTTTACAGACCTGCTATCTTGAGAAGGTTATACGCGAGAGCCAATCACGCATCAGGGCGCCGGGATCAATCACCATTTTGAGATCCATATTGACCAGGCGGCGGGGTTTTGAGACAGAGGACGCAACTGTTTAATGCTTTCAAGCCACTCCGTATGAGTCAGAGATGATTCCCTCAGGTATCTAGGCATCCATTGAATTGCGTAGGAGGTTCTTTTGGTGTGAGTACCACCTAATCTATAATTAAGATCAACTGGACTACCAGCTGTAAAACCACTAGCACATTTGCGCCTTCGAGATCAACATTTCACTTAAAGCTGGATCAAATTGAGCAGCTCATTCAATTAGTAGATTTAATCCCGTATAGGAACGATATATACAAATTACGTCATCGTCTTATGAATTCCACGCTGATCATCAACGCGCTCTTCAATATCCAGAACCGGACTTGACCTGCAAACCTATTAGAACATGCTCATAAACGTCGCAACAGCCACAAGCGTAAGACCAAGCACTCCAATGCGCTCCATCTCACCAGCAGCATTCCTCTCATCAGCCGCCTTCTTCTCCGCGGGTTGTCGTACCTTTGTCAAAGTAACATTGAAACCAGGACTTCTCACAGCCTCACTAATACCCTCCTCACCCTCAACAAAAACAAACAGGTCCAGGGGTAGATAATCGTAAACCATGCGATCTTGTTGGAACCATGTCTGGCAAGTTCCGTCTTTGAAGAACAAAGCGCTGTCGTATTCAGCGTCGACAGTAGAGTTTGTACGGTCAAAGACGGCGCGCCATGCTGTTTGGCCCTTCTTGTTGAGGTTGCTGGGATACACGCGGGCGTCGACGTAGGGAGTCTTTGTGGAGGCGTTGGACTCGAGGGCGTTGAAGTTGTAGTTTCCGATGTTGTTAAGGACATCGAAACCGCGGATTTGCCAGCTCTTGATCTTGAGACCCGGACCGCTGTCCATTGTGAATGTGATGGTTGAGTTGGTCTCCTTGTCCTCATAATCACCTACAAAAGCCTCCTTGGCATCATTGCGGCCAACCTTTTCGATGGCGGGAAGAAGGGTCTGGAGAACGACGCTGAGGATTGTGCCGGTGACGTAGGGGTTATCGGAAGCTTCGAGACCGCCGGACATGATGGAGATGACGATGTCGTAATCTGGGATCAAGACGGTTTGAGAGTGGTAGAGACCGAGATCACCGCTCTTTGTGTAAATATCGATGAGACGGCCGTCGGAGGTGATGTTGTCACCGCGGAGGATCTCCCAGGGACCGCCGACTTGGTAGCCCCATGACGCGGTGTTGGCCTCGGGCTTCATCCACTTGCGGGTTTGAACGGGTGTGAGGAATTTGTTGCTGAGAATGCCATCGGCAAGGAGGAGCATATCCGAGACGGACGAGAACATGCCACCAGCGCTTAAAACAGTCAGTGAGAACAAGCGTGTCTGAAAATCTAACTTACGAGTCAAAGACAGCAAGAGTGGCGTTCCACGTAGGCTCCTTGTAAGGAATGAAGAGATCATCGGTAGGAGGCGTCTTGTCGACATAAGTATGCTTCATACCAACAACATCAAGAATATCACGCTTGATGACATCCTCAAAAGGCATGTCTTCAGCAGCCTCGATGACAAGACCGAGAAGAGCATGGCCAATGTTGGAGTATATGGGGTTGGTGAAGGGAGCATAAACCGGAGGTCGAAGGTTGACCTGCTCAAGAAGATCCTTCCTGGTGCAAGGAGTAGTTCCGGGCAGGCCAGAGCAGTTAGGACCCTTGCCCTTGGGGATCTCAGGAAGACCGTATGGCTGCCACGGTGCGGAACCAACGATTGCAAGATCCTGTGCCACTACTCACTGTCAGTTAAGTAAGTTGAACATGCAAATGTGACTTACTATCAACACCAACTCCTGAAAGATGACTAGCAAGTGATCCAACGGTGATATCTTCCCACTTCAACGAAAAGATATCATCATCCCCAGCCGTCTTATTCAACTCAGGCAAATACTTCAGCACCGAAGCCTCCAAATCAATCTTATCACTAATATGCGCCGCCAAAGCAGTAAAAAGCTTCGAACCACTAGCAATTCGAAAGATAGTATCTTCATCTATCTTATCAGCGCCCTCACCGGGGTTAGGCGGTGTCCACTGATACGTAAACAAAGGCTCATCCTCGTGAAGGGACTTGACACCAATGGAGAGAGCGGAGGTGTTGAATAGAGCACCAAACTGAGCATCGAAACCTTGTTCGAGGATGGATACTGCTTTTTTAACGAGGGAGCTTTGGCTGGGGGTTTGGGGTGCTGGGAAGACGGCGCCCAGAGGGGGACAGGCTTTTGCGTCGATGAGGGTGAAGGATACAGCAGCTACAGCTGCGATTTTTGAAAGAGAGGGCATTATGAAAAGAATGAGATGTCAACGAAGGATGAGTAGAGACATGATTGATACGTCTGATGATGTTACTTATATACATCAGCTTGAGGATCATCAGAGCTTAATTCAATCTCGGATTTCAATGCGTAAATCCTCCCAAGGCTGAAACCTTGAAAAATCTCATTATATTCTGTATATATCATCACTACGAATCTTGGCTTTAATCTCGGACAGTGAGTGCGAGCAGAGACATTGCCGAATGAGGAAATAGAAGTGTTTTCGAAGGATTTAGCGTCTGACTGCGCCTACGATTTGAGTCCGAGGTATGAGTCCGAGCGGACCAATCAATGGTGAGTGTGAGTTGCGTGGAAGGATTGGAGCTATGATGGGGTACTATAAGGCTGAGGCGCTGGGGGTTGAGTGGTTATCGTGGATATTGACAGCCGTTGGGTTTCGTTTCTTCTTTTCATAATTACTAGGTTTGACGGTTTCATTTGAAGTTTAATTTTATGCACATTAACTATTCATAGTACAGGAGCGGATGGTTTGGCAGATATCCAATCTATCCCTATCTTGTCAATGCTGACAGCCACTGTAACAACCGCGATGTTGCTGTCTAATTAACCAGATGGAGAGCTGAAGCAATACAACAAATTGTTATTATCTTTGTCAATAATTATAACATCACGAAGTTCCATCATGAATCACCATCATGGCTATCCGGCTATACCCTTCGTCAGCTCCGCCTCATCCTCGTCAAGCTGCTGCGCCCCAATCCATTTAGAATCTGATCCCAGCGCCTCTGCAGCAAATAAGCTCCATACACTGCCGAGGGGCTTGTAAGCACAGCGTCAAGATCAAGCAAGGATCATCAACCACTGCGGGGGAAAGGATTCAGCCTAGGCCCCTACAATTACAGCGGGCACCCAAGCAAATAAAGGCACCGCGTTCATCCACGAAGCTCCTTTCATTTCTTTGGCTCGGACTCTTGATCTCGGACTCATTCTCAGCTTTGTCACTTTATCAGCCCTAAGACATACTAGCTCATGTATTCAATCCCGTCTCAATCACCACCCAAGGCTTCAGGCCGAAAGGGTAGTAAGAAAGTACGCACTGGCTGCATCACCTGCAAGTCCGTTAAACCACTCGCTCGCGTAAATCATTCACTAACAACTCTTCAGAATACGCAAAGTAAAATGCGATGGTAAACAAGCACCATACATCCATCCAATCTTGTTCTAACAACCCGCAGAAGCCAAGCCTTACTGTCTACGATGTATCAAAACAGGTCGTCAATGCGACGGCTACCGTCCCTCCCCAAACTCCTCCCCAGAACCTACGTCACTCTCTCCTACACCAGGCTTCGACTCACCCCAAGAAGTACGCGCCTTTGATCATTATCGCCTGCGCACTGCGAAAGTCCTCTCTGGTCCTATCGATGCTAGTTTCTGGGGCGGCGTGGTTCTCAAGATGAGTTCCACCGAACCAGCTGTTCGACATGCTATTCTTGCTATTAGCAGTTTACACGAGGCTGTTGAGGTTCAGAGTAAGAGTCTGAGGGAGATTGATACACGGTTTGCGTTTAGGGAGTATGGAAATGCGATTACTTCGCTGAGGAATTGGGGACAGAGGAGTGAACCTTCTGTTGTGCCGCTGCTTGTTTGTGTCTTGTTTATTTGTGTTGAGTTCTTGATTGATCGCGATACAGCTGCACAGATGCATATTTGTCAAGGACGGCATATTCTCTCTACTCTTGGTGATGGGCGCTCACCGGCTATGGAGATGATTAAGCATTCCCTTGTGCCTATCTATGCTCGTCTCAGTCTCTCGAGCTTTCTCTTCGGCAGCCGACCGGCGCCTATACCCGCACACCTACGGAGCTGGAGCGACATGCCCGCTGTTTTCGCTAGCATTGAAGAAGCTCGATATGCTCTTTATCTGCTGTTGGATGACAGCTTGCAGTTTAGCACAAGCGCTCGAGTTCCGATCTACAATCCGAATGCAGAACCAGAAGAGATTCGCAAGCTTCAGAATGAGCAGCAACGCCTTCTTTCACAATTGAGTCGATGGCACGCTGCATTCACCGTCACGACATCAATGAGTCCTCAATCCCCTTCTCTGGAGAACTCACTAAACGTTCTCCGCATTTACCACCAGTCGACTCTCATCTGGGTTTCCACCACCTTGGACACAGGCGACACAAAGCTCGATGAGTTCATACCCAACTTTGCAAACATCATCACTCTCGCATCAACCATTATCGGCTCCGTCCCCTCCAACGCTAAACTCGAGCCTTTTAGCTTCGAAACGGAGATTATACCACCTGTGTACTGGACAGCTATAAAATGTCGTCATCCTCTCCTGCGACGCGCAGCGCTTAAACTTCTTACCCGGAACCAAATGCGCAATCGCAGAGAGAATCTGTGGCACGCTCGCGAAACAGCCGTCATTGCCGCGCGAATCATCGAGATTGAGGAATCAGAAGTCGATTACCCTCTCGATCTTGACTTTACAATGGATCCCTTCATAGCTCCAAGTCCAAGTGGTTTGAGCGAAGTATCTGCTGAAGCAAACGCTGCTTTCGACCTCTTTACTTGTGATCCCAAAAAGATCAAAGTCGACATCTCAAATCCTCCCAGTTTACCACCACCGCCTCCATCGTTCAGCGATCCAACACCTGAAGAGATTCTCTCTGGTTCGCCGTGCAGTTTGGCGTCGAGTCGCTCATCTCCTACTCCTACGCCTGAACCTGCGTCGCCCATCTCAGCAGCGCTTGAAGGTATTCAGCATCTCGATTCTGCGGCGCTTAAATCTGTCAGTCTTGAGTCGCCGTATGGAGTGCCGGAGAGTAGAAGGATTAAGAATGCGCTTATTGGACCGGCGGATGAGGGTGGCATTTGGGTTACGTTCTTTCGGGATCCTGAGCCGGGGGAGACGTCGTGGAAGGTGACGAGGGAGTTTTTGAGATGTTGAAGTATTTGATGGTTGTTATGACTATAGTGGAGTTTGTTAGATATGCTGTTATGCATCATATACCCATGTTTTGTTTGTTGATAGACTTTGTTGCTTTAATGTCCGATGATTATTCTCCTTTGCGTTTCATGACTGGTTTGGTCGTGAAACAGAACACCGTCGTTGCTGCGACCGTTTGCTATATCTCATTCTTCATAATGAATCACCAGCATATAGATCTTACGATTGCACTACTGTTCAATTCAGTAGAAACTTCTTTCTTGGTAATGATGTTTTCTCTGGCTTCTCAAGCTCTGTATTGGATTGCAGTTAGTTACCCTAAGTACATATACCCCAGGGAGCAAGAAAACATCAGACTAGAAGAGGATGTCAAAATAAACTCATCAAAGAGGCCCCTAAACTTAGGCTAATTTATCTAAATCTTTTTATTATTTAGGATTAAGGTCCTAAGTTTTATTGCCTCCCCTAGATATAATATGGGAAATTTGTGCAATAATACTCAAGATTCCCCGATGAAGAAACTCCCATTGCACGATTCATTTATTCTTAAACTCATAGTGTCTGCTTAAACTTTGGCTTTCACTTCTGACGCTCCGTTTACCTTTCCAGTATAAGGTAGAGCCTCCAATGCTTGTTGTTCATGCGAGACTTCATTTATTTTGGGTATCATTATGTACTGTAGTCCTATTCTCAGCCTCTAGCAGTCTCCCGTCTCGCAGACTCTGCCACCAGCTTTCTCCTCTTATTCCTCTCATCCTGTTCAGCCAATACCTTTGCCGTTAACGAAGCCGCAAATGAATTGTTGATACCGCTGATTCTAGCATCCTCTGTTATCTTCTCCTTGGCAGCCTTGTCCTCCTTCTCGACATCATCACCCTTGCGCTTCTTCTTCTTTTCCGACTTGTCCTTCTTCAGGGTATGTGTAAGTCCTTGGCTCTTGAGGTTCTCGATTCTCTTCTCCAATCGCTCAATATCCGCCTCGGAGTTTGTAAGAAGTGGAACGATGTTGTCTTGCTCAAATTCGGCGCCGCACTCTGGACATGCCTTTTCCTGGATCTCCTTCATAGCGACATCTGCAAAAACATGTCCGCAAGGTACAAGGTAGACAGACTTGACAGCAGGGCCAAGCTCCTTCATGGAGATGGGACACACCCACTTGTCACCATTCTTGGAAACCTTCAGCTTCGCCACATCTCGTAGTGACTTGATACCCAAGCTTGCGGGTGTGATATCAACTGGTTCATCGGAGGGCATAAGACCTTTGATAATCGCTTCGTAGTTGTACAGACGGCCGCGCCAGTCGGAGACAAGAGTATCGACGTCGAGGGGTTCGCCGCTGAGAGCGCAGTGCGCCCAAGCGTGAGCGAGCGATTCGAGGGCTGTCGCTTTGAGTTCGGAAGTAGTTGGAGCGCGCGCCGCATTCTTGACGAGCTCGCGACGCTTGGGGATGGAGCCGCCGTCGTTACCCATGATTGATGAGTTGGCGTCGTCGCGTGATCGTGGAAGGTGATGGATCCGGTAGATGATATCAACGCAGTGATTCGGGATCCGCAGTGACTGGGATTGGCAGCACGAGAAGTAGAGATGGGCGTGAGAAAGGTGATGTGGATGAATAAGTTATGAGTTCTGGAAGACTGAGGCGAATCCTAGAATCGAGCCGAGATGGCGCTTATCGATAAGGAGGATAAGGACGACGCAAGCTTGAAGTAGTGGTACAGTATGACGATTGGAATTTACGGTACAGTTTGCATAGTTAAGCTCAGTACTTTCTTTTACAAAATGTATAAAAAGACCCAGAAATCACAATTCAATGAGTATTCGTGCTTTATTAGTGTAAATATATTAGAAAATCTATTCTTATAATTGAATTACCCTCTCAAACGAAGCTGCTTGGATCCCACTGATGACTATCGGCACTGTGATGACACCTCGGTAGGGCTCCACCGCTGGCCCGCCATTTCCAAACTTGATCCATCTAATGACCTCCGCCCGACCCAAGCTCATCAACCTCCAACTTCAACCTCCCCGGTGCTATGCACCTCTCTTAATACCTACCCCGGTCGTTACCCTCGAAAGCGTCCAACAGAACTGAGCATCTCCTCTCAGTATTCATATCTTAGTAAAGTCTCAGTCGCCTTCACAACAAACAACACGTGCACGCGTAGCCACGCTCGAAGCTTAATTACGATCTCCCCCTCCACCTCAAACCCTTCTCCACGAAATCGCCCGACCACGATCGAGCGCTCGATATTCAAGTACATGCGACGTTGATCGCTCTCACACCAGTGCCGCGACGGCATCATGGCGCAAGCACAGCAGGTCGCCTTGGACCGGCTGGACAACATCTCCCGCGCTCTCAAATCAAGGTCGGTTTCACCATGTGACGGTTGGTAGGGCAAAGGGGCCTAATATTCCCACAGAACAAGCGATGATTTGCGAAAACGATCCGCCGTGCAGCTTCGCGAGCTTGTAGCTGTCTGCCATCGAGACCTTAGCCCCGAACAATTTCAGGTCTTCTACAATGCGGTCAACAACAGGATCACACAGCTCATCACACATGGCAACGACTCGTCCGAGCGACTCGGGGGTATTTATGCCCTCGATGCGCTCATCGATTTCGAAGGCGTCGACGTCGGCGTCAAATACACGCGTTTCACACAGAACCTCAAGACCATTCTTCGAGGCAAAGACATCAACCCTATGCAACCAGCTGCGATCGCGCTCGGAAAGTTATGTCGACCTGGTGGCGCAATGATATCGGAGGTGGTGGACTCGGAGGTTAACACCGCTCTCGAGTGGCTGCAGAACGACCGCATCGAGGAGCGACGATACAGTGCCGTGCTTGTCCTTCGCGAATTGGCCCGCAGTGCCCCGACACTTATGTATCAATACATCCCGACAATCTTCGACTGGATCTGGGTAGGACTCCGAGACCCTCGACAGCTTATTCGGGCGACATCAGCGGAAACAGTTAGCGCCTGCTTCCGAATCCTTCGCGAACGAGACCAAGAGATGAAGCAACTCTGGATGAATAAGATTTACAACGAGTCGAAATCCGGTCTCAAGGTGAACACTGTCGAATCGATCCACGGATCGTTACTGGTGTTGAAGGAACTGCTTGAGCAGGGAGCTATGTACATGCAGGAACACTACCAAGAAGCATGCGAAATTGTCTTTAGGCACAAGGATCATAGAGATCCGACTATTCGAAAGACTGTGGTTCTTTTGATCCCAGACCTTGCCAGCTACTCGCCAGCCGACTTTGCGCACACTTGGCTACACAAATTCATGGTATATTTGTCCGGCATGTTGAAGAAGGACAAGGAGCGAAACGACGCTTTCCTTGCGATTGGTAACATTGCCAATTCGGTCAAGAGTGCTATTGCTCCATACCTTGATGGTGTCTTAATCTACGTGCGCGAAGGTCTTAGCCTTCAGTCTCGCAAAAGGGGCTCAGTCGACCCTGTGTTTGACTGCATCAGTCGCCTTGCTGTAGCTGTCGGCCAGACCCTAAGCAAATACATGGAGGCGCTTCTGGATCCCATCTTTGCATGCGACCTCACCCCCAAGCTCACACAAGCCCTTGTCGACATGGCCTTTTACATCCCACCAGTCAAGCCGACGATCCAGGAGAGACTACTCGATATGCTCAGCGTAGTTCTCTGCGGTGAACCATTCAAACCGCTTGGTGCTCCACAACCAAATACTCTCAGCTCAGTCCCTATTATTCCCAAAGACGCAAAGGATCCCCATGCTTATGAGCACCGACGGGCCGAGGTCAAGTTGGCGCTCAACACTCTCGGGAGCTTCGATTTCTCCGGACATGTTCTGAATGAGTTTGTCCGCGACGTCGCAATCAAGTATGTTGAAGACGAGGATCCAGAAATCCGTGAGGCAGCGGCCTTGACATGTTGCCAATTATACGTTCGCGATCCAATCGTCAACCAGACCAGTTACCATGCGCTTCAGGTTGTGGGTGATGTGATAGAGAAACTTCTCACTGTCGGAGTCTCAGATCCTGAACCGAATATCAGGCGGACAGTTCTGGCGGCTCTTGACGAACGATTTGACAGACACTTGGCCAAGGCCGAAAACATCCGCATCCTATTCTTTGCGCTCAACGACGAGGTCTTCTCTATCAGAGAAGTCGCCATATCTATTATTGGTCGCTTGGCTAGGTACAATCCAGCATATGTCATTCCTTCGCTCCGCAAGACTCTCATTCAGATGCTTACTGAGCTCGAGTTTTCTGATGTCGCCCGCAATAAGGAGGAGAGCGCAAAGCTGTTGAGCCTCTTGGTCCAAAACGCGCAATCGCTCATCAAGCCCTATGTTGAGCCCATGATTTCAGTACTTCTCCCCAAAGCCAAGGACAGCAACCCTTCTGTTGCTGCCACCATTCTCAAGGCTATTGGTGAGCTTGCTACCGTTGGTGGTGAGGATATGATGCCGTACAAGGACCGATTGATGCCTATCATTCTTGATGCGTTACAGGATCAGAGCTCCAACGCAAAGAGAGAGGCTGCTCTACATGCTCTGGGACAGCTTGCGAGCAATTCAGGATATGTCATTCAACCATATATCGAATACCCACAACTGCTCGAAATTCTACAAAGCATCATCAGGACCGAAGGACAACGCGTGCCCTTGCGACAGGAGACCATCAAATTGATGGGTATTCTTGGTGCCCTGGATCCTTACAAACACCAGGTAAATCTAGCTCGATGGCAAAAAATGATTCAACTATTGACACCAGATCAGGCCGAAGAACGAACTCCCGATTCCGGACGTGGCGAGGCCAACCAACTAACAGACATTTCTCTCATGATGACCGGATTGACACCCTCTAACAAAGAGTACTTCCCGACTGTTGTGATTAATGCTCTTCTCCAGATCCTGAAGGACTCTTCGTTGGTTCAGCACCACGCGGCTGTGATTGAAGCGATTATGAATATCTTCCGCACACTGGGCTTGGAGTGTGTTTCGTTCCTTGATAGAATCATACCGGCATTCCTACAGGTGATACGATCGGCGACCTCCACGAGACTCGAGTCTTACTTCAACCAACTGGCCACTCTCGTCAGCATTGTACGACAACATATAAGAAATTACCTGCCGTCAATTGTCGAGATTTTGCAGGAGTACTGGCATACCTCACCATCACTACAGACTACGATTCTGTCCCTGGTTGAGGCCATTTCGAGGTCGCTTGAGGGTGAATTCAAGATTTACCTTGCCGGTTTGCTACCATTGATGCTTGGTGTTCTCGACAAGGATACTTCAGCCAAGCGCACACCATCCGAGAGGGTGATGCACGCCTTCTTGGTGTTTGGCGCCAGCGCTGAGGAGTACATGCATCTCATTATTCCCGTCATCGTTAGGACATTCGAGAAGCAGGGTCAGCCTACATTCATCAGAAAGCAGGCGATCGATACGATCGGCAAGATCTCTCGCCAAGTGAACCTTAACGACTACGCTGCGAAGATCATCCACCCTCTCACACGTGTCTTGGACATGGGCGAGCCTGTACTCCGTACCGCTGCTCTAGATACGCTCTGTGCGCTCATCCAACAGCTGGGCAAAGACTATCTACACTTTATGGGTACTGTCAACAAGACCATCAATCAGCACCAGATCCAGCACTCCAATTACGAACTGCTTGTGAGCAAACTTCAGAAGGGAGAGGTTCTGCCACAGGATTTGAGCTCTGGAGCTGGCTTTGCTGATGGCGCAGACGAGACTCCTTTTGCGGATCAAGGCACCAAGAAGCTGGAGATGAATGCAATTCATTTGAAGGCTGCTTGGGACACTAAGGGCAAATCCACAAAGGAGGATTGGCAAGAGTGGCTGCGACGATTCAGTACAACGCTGCTTACCGAATCACCAAACCATGCTCTTCGAGCTTGCGCCAGCCTCGCCAGCGTGTATCTACCTCTGGCTCGAGAGCTCTTCAACTCAGCTTTCGTGTCTTGCTGGAGTGAGCTTTATGAACAGTTCCAAGACGAGCTCATCCAGAACATTGAGAGCGCTATAAAATCCGAGAACGTCCCGCCCGATCTGCTTGGCCTCCTACTCAACCTCGCCGAGTTTATGGAGCATGACGACAAGGCTTTGCCGATCGACATTCGAGTTCTCGGTAGGGAGGCAGCTCGCTGTCACGCGTACGCAAAGGCCTTGCACTACAAGGAACTCGAGTTCCTCCAAGACCAGAGCAGCGGCGCAGTCGAAGCTCTGATCGTTATCAACAATCAGCTCCAACAGTCCGATGCTGCTATTGGTATTCTCCGCAAAGCTCAGTTGTATAAGGAAGGCATCCAGCTGCGAGAAACCTGGTTTGAGAAGCTGGAGCGCTGGGAGGAGGCGCTGGCGTTTTATGAAAAGCGTGAAGAGGAGGTGCCTGAGGATCAGGCGATACCCGTTGACATTGTTATGGGTAAGATGCGTTGTCTGCATGCTTTGGGAGAGTGGGAGGCTTTGGCTTCTTTGACTGGCAGCACCTGGGCCAACTCTACGCCTGAGGTCCAGAGAATGATTGCGCCTCTCGCTACAGCTGCTGCGTGGGGCTTGAACAAGTGGGATTCCATGGACAATTATCTCTCATCGCTCAAGAGGTACTCACCCGATCGATCGTTCTTCGGTGCGATTTTGGCACTCCATCGCAACCAATTCCGCGAGGCGATTGCCTGCGTGCAGCAAGCTCGTGAAGGCCTGGATACCGAGTTGAGTGCGTTGGTTAGTGAGTCGTACAATCGTGCATACCAGGTCGTCGTTCGAGTGCAAATGCTTGCTGAGCTTGAGGAGCTCATCGTCTACAAGCAATGCGATGAGAAGAAGCAGGCCATCATGCGACGAACTTGGGAGACTCGATTGAAGGGCTGTCAGAGGAACGTCGAGGTTTGGCAGCGCATGCTCAGGCTACGTGCCATAGTAATTGCACCGACCGAGAACATGCACATGTGGATCAAGTTTGCCAACCTTTGCCGCAAGTCTGGACGAATGGGTCTGGCTGAGAAGTCGCTCAAGCAACTCATTGGGACTGACGCTCCTCTCATATCAACGATTCCTTATTGGAATGAGCAGCGACAACCAGGGCCTGGACCCAGGACCGCACCGGCTGCACAGGTCATCTATGCTGTGCTCAAGTACCAGTGGGAGCTTGGACAGCAGCTGCCTGCCAACAAGAAGTCGAACATTCCGGAGAAGACGCTGTATTGTCTGCGCAAGTTTACTAATGATGCTGCGCATCGTCTGGAGGTTGCTAAGGCTCATCTGAATGCTCAGGCTGGTAGCGACGTCAACATCACTGGCGACTATGGATTCCAGAACCCGATGGATCCTGCTCTCATGAGCCCACAGACCCAGCGTGCGTTGTATGACCAAACAGTTTTGTTGGCCAAGTGCTACTTGCGACAGGGAGAGTGGCTGATTGCGCTCAACAAGGATGATTGGCAATACACTCAGGTCCAGGATATTCTCACATCTTACTCTCAAGCAACCAAGTACAATCCCCGATGGTACAAGGCCTGGCATGCTTGGGCACTGGCCAACTTTGAGATTGTGCAGACCCTCACAGCTGGAAACGAAGGACACTTGTCGAAGACGGACCACAATATGGTGATTGACCACGTTGTCCCAGCTGTCAAGGGTTTCTTCAAGTCTATCGCACTGTCACAGGGAAGCTCGCTGCAGGATACCCTCCGACTGCTAACACTCTGGTTCACTCACGGTGGAAGTGCAGATGTCAACGTAGCTGTTACCGAAGGCTTTGCTAATGTCAGCGTCGACACATGGCTCGAAGTCATTCCTCAACTGATTGCACGAATCAACCAACCTAACAAACGGGTTCAGCAATCAGTGCATAACCTTCTTGCCGATGTCGGACGAGCTCATCCTCAGGCTCTGGTCTATCCTCTCACTGTCGCCATGAAATCTTGGCAGAACACGCGTAGATCTCGTTCTGCAGCTCAAATTATGGACAGCATGAGACAGCACAGCGCAAACCTGGTCGCCCAAGCCGACACGGTCAGTCATGAACTGATTCGCGTAGCTGTCTTATGGCATGAGCTTTGGCACGAGGGATTGGAAGAAGCTTCGCGTTTGTACTTTGGTGATCACAACATTGAGGGGATGTTTGCGACACTTGAGCCTCTTCACGAACTTTTAGAGCGCGGCCCTGAGACTCTTCGTGAGATCTCTTTCGCACAAGCCTTCGGCCGAGATCTCAAGGAAGCGCAAGATTGGTGCCGACAGTACGAGACAAGTCAAGACGTCAACGACCTGAACCAGGCGTGGGATCTGTATTATCAGGTATTCCGCAGAATAAGTAGGCAGCTACCTCAGGTTACCACCCTGGAGTTGACGTACTGCTCGCCCAAGCTTCTCAACGCCAAGAACTTGGACCTAGCAGTTCCAGGAACATACAAGAGCGGACAGCCCATCGTGAGGATAATGTCCTTTGACACAACGTTTAGTGTTATCAACTCTAAGCAACGTCCACGAAAGCTCAACGTCAACGGCAGTGACGGAAAGTCGTACGCCTTCCTGCTAAAGGGCCACGAGGATATTCGTCAGGACGAACGAGTTATGCAGCTGTTCGGCCTATGCAATACCCTCCTCGCCCACGACTCGGAATGCTTCAAGCGCCACCTCAACATCCAGCGCTACCCTGCCATCCCGCTCTCGCAGAATAGCGGTCTGCTCGGGTGGGTTCCCAACAGCGACACTCTGCACGTTCTTATTAGGGAGTATCGTGAGAGTCGCAAGATCCTGCTCAACATTGAACACCGCATCATGCTCCAGATGGCGCCCGACTACGATAACCTTACCTTGATGCAGAAAGTCGAGGTATTTGGTTATGCGCTCGACAACACCACCGGACAGGACTTGTACCGTGTTCTCTGGCTCAAGTCAAAGTCTTCTGAGGCTTGGCTTGAGAGGCGAACAAACTACACTCGTTCTCTCGGTGTCATGTCCATGGTGGGATATATCCTGGGGTTGGGTGATCGTCATCCTTCCAACTTGATGCTTGACCGCGTCACTGGAAAGATCATCCACATCGATTTCGGTGATTGTTTCGAGGTGGCGATGAAGAGAGAGAAATACCCGGAGAGGGTTCCTTTCCGACTTACTCGCATGTTAACTTATGCTATGGAGGTTAGCAACATTGAGGGTAGCTTTAGAATCACATGCGAGAACGTGATGAGGGTTCTACGAGATAACAAAGAGAGCGTCATGGCTGTTCTCGAAGCGGTAAGTCGTCCACTCTCCAAACTGATACATCTCATACTAACATATCCAGTTCATCCATGATCCTCTCCTTACATGGCGTCTCACAAACGCCGCATCCCCAACAGGCCCCAACTTCAACTCCAACCACGACACAGCCATGCCCGTCCCCGGCGGTGTCCGCGCACGTCGCCAATCCATCCTCGACAGCGACGTCGCACCCTCTGAACTCCTCAACGCGCCCGAAGCATCAATCCAGACACGCGCACGCGCCCGAACAAACAGTTCAGCGGCTGAAGCCATGACAAACGGCGGCGCACCAGAGGTAGAGAGCCAGAACGCGAGGGCGGTGGAGGTGCTGGACCGTGTGCAGCAGAAGCTTACGGGTCGTGATTTTAAGAACAACGAGGAGCTGGATGTCATTGCGCAGGTCAACAAGCTAATCATGGAGGCTACTAAGCTAGAGAATCTGTGTCAGCACTACATAGGATGGTGCAGCTTCTGGTAGATTCTGCAGAAAAGAGAATTGCTGAGATGAGGGGAGGGGGTTGTTATTTGCTTCAAGGTGCGGGAGTTGGGGAGTTGATATCAGGGACTTTTTTTCTTGGACGTTACAATATTCATGCAAACCGAGTCGTGTTGTATTCTATCTTAATCAACATTGTTCCCAACATTCTAACCCTCCGCTGGCTGCCTATAGCTCATCTCGAGATCTGGGCTTCTTGGGCTGACTTCCAACATCCCATCTCGAAAAGTCACAAGCAGCAGGCGTGCCAATCTCCATCCTGTAAACGCACTTCTCACTCTCACTGACCCTCCACAACTCCTCCGTCTCCGCACATCCCAGCCAAACATCCGTTCTCCTCTGCGGTCCATTCCAGCACTGCTGACCATCCTCATACCGCAACACCATCCTCTCTCCGCGTCCAAGACTCTTTCCGTCGATTCTGTCTTCTTCGTCTGCCATTTCGCGGTCAATGCGCTTGAAATTTCCCATGTTGCTTTGACCGTGGCCCTTTTTGGACTTTTGCTTGGTGCTGCCGAGCCAGCATTGTTCGTAGGTGTACTCGCCTGCTTCGAGGGTTACGCATTTGTCTTTGAGGGCGCGGAAGATATCGTCGGGACCGTAGTCGAAATCGAGATCGGCTTGTTCGACGTCGAGAGTGGACTTTTTGTCGGAGAAGTCGCGCTTGGCAGCGTCAACGGCTTCACGGGCTGCGCGGACGAGGGTGGATTCTTTGCCGGGGGATGTGTTGTCGGCGAGGATGCCGTTTGTAATAGCCCAGACACGAAGGTTGTCGAGAGAGTTGTGGATGAAAGCTCGAACGGGAGGAGGGAGGTAGGCCTCAAAATTGTAGACTAAATCGTTAGCAAAGAACACATCATCTTCTAGGAGAGTTGACTTACGGATATCAGTATCACTTCCCTCACCCTCCTCAAACTCACTCCAATTAATACCACCACCCTCCCCATCCTCCTTAAGAACACTCAAAACATCCTCATCACTAACAACCTCCTCCTTGCTCTCCACCCGCCGAGCCGAATAGTCCTCAAAAGATCGAATCGCCGCCTTGACACCCTCATCATTGAAGTTGGGGTTATAGTCAGTCTTGAACTTTGTCAAAAGCTCCTCAAGTTCACCGACTCGCTCCTTGAGAGCGTCACGCTGGCTGACAACCTTGTCCAGAGTATCCCTGAGCTCGTTGACGCGTGTCTTGGCAAGACCAACGAGAACACCGAGTTTCCCACCGCTGGGACCTTCGCGGACAACTTTCCCCTTATCTTGCTGTTCAGCGTCGCGGTGCTTCTGGGCGAGGTCTTCTTTCTTGACTTCAAGCGCTGCAATCTCCTTCTTCAAGTCCTCCACCTTTCTCTCAACCTTTTGTCTCAGATCCTTGGCCTCTTGAACCATAGCACCTCTCTTCATCGCAGCTTTCTGTAAAGCCTTCTTCTTCTCATCCTCCAATCGTCTATACTCCTTTCCGATCTCGGCACATTTGTTCTCGCACTTGACACCGCCTACACCACCGTACTCCTCTGACCCATCACAGCAGAGCTCGTAATCGCACACGCCGTCGTTGACGTAGAGAAACGGAACATACATTCCAATATGTCCCTTGTTCTCGCACCAGAAGCCAGGGAGGGCATTGGTGGTGTTTGTGGTGCCGGTGATGGAGCCGGCGAGAGGTTGTTCGGGGGAGAGAGGATCGAGGTTGGCGCAGGCAGCGGTGCCGGGTTCGTCTGAGCCATCAGGGCAATCGCACGTGTTATCGTTGACTCGGTCAAGACTCAATTTGATCGCTGCGTTGGTGATGCAAGAGAATTCATCGCCCTGGTAGTGAGAAGCAACTAAACACCTGTTAGCTCCGTATAGCTTCATGATCACCAAGTACTCCTACATTCTGGGCCAACACCTCTAGGCACACTGCCAGCAGCAGCCAGAGTAAAAGCGTAAATAGCGCCCAGAAGCGCCAACGAATTCGGATGTTGCATCTTTTCTGGTGTTTGTGTAATGTGCAATGCTCCTGGGGAGGAATTGGAGGTTAGAGTTGGCCAGGTCAGCTATAACAACGGGACAGGAGCATTCCAGGGGTCTCCACTGTAAAAGCTCCCCTGGGCGGTAAATGTTCGGGAGGATCTGAGACGCGGAAGTAAATCCGTGCCTGGGGGAGAAGGGCACTAAAGGTGGGGGACGAAAAAAAGAATAACTAAGGTAAACCCCTCCAACACCAGCAAAACTGTGACGCATCATCACCAAAAGTCAACTCTACAGCTGAAACAAAATGGCTCCCAACGATGAAGAATCCCGCAAAGCTCTCGCAACACTCATAGCAACAGCTACAACCCTCCTCGAACAACTCCAATCAACCCTCACCACCATCCAACGCAACCCACTAACCTCATCTCCAACACCCTCCACCGAAACAACCTCCATAAACGCCCTATCCCTCGCCCGCGACACATCCCTCCTCATCCGCGCCCACTCCACCAAGATCTCCCTCCTAATAATAAACGAGCCCTTCACCCCCAGCGCCATCAGCACCGTGATCCGCGAGCTCATAAAAGGCCCCATCCCAGGCCTCGCCACCGCCGCGCAAGCCTGCACCCCCGATCTCTACACCAGCGTCGTACGAAAAGAACTAGCATACCGATGTCAAAAAGTCCTTGTTGAGCTGTGGGGCTTGTTGAAGCGTGTTCCCGATGATGGCAAGGTTTTGCCCGCGGTGGGGAGGGATGGGAGCAAGGGAAGTCTTGTTTTGACGGGCAAGCTTTGGAGTGCGTGTGATGAGGTTGTTAAGCTTGCGGATCTTGGGGTGGGTGGTTTTTATGTTAGGAGGGCGGAGGAGTGGAGGGATACGCTTAAGGATGTTATGGAGGAGTTGAAGGAGTGGGGAGAGGAGGAGGATGGTGAAGATGAAGATGATCTTGCGGATCAGATGAACAATGCGTCGCTCACGGAGCAAGAAATGGTCGACGACTTGATGAACTCCTCTTCCGCTATACCGAAATCCGACCCCGATAAGATCCGACCCCGTCTCGACTCAACACTCAAGCGCTTACGAATGATCGTTCTTCTATACCAAGCCATTTCCAAGCGACGCTTCAAGAAACTGCCCAAGGATACTACAAAGGGCGACATGCCTTCCAAGCTGGACAAAGCAGCGAGTGTCCTCGAGACGTTGCCGGATACATTTGGAGATTTGGCTGGTGCATTTTATGAGCTCGATGCAGAGGAGATTGATAGGCTCATGGAGGAATGTTTTGAGAGTGCGGTTGGTGTAAGTGAAGTTCTAAAGCTTGGCTGGGAGGGTGAGAGTGATGAGTTTAGTGAGTGGATGGAGAAGTTCAAGGTTGAAGTCAAGAAAACATAAACAGACCACGAACGAAATAATAAAACATTTGATACCAGTCGAGCGATTGTGCATTGTGATGATCCTCGTGGCATAGATAGTACATGCCCGCTCTCTGCATATGCTACTACACATGATGCTCCCTTATACAAAGTACATTCCCCAACAACGACGCTTCTTCTGTCCGTCGTATCTTTAAAAGCCTATGCATCCCAAAATCCCCCTCTTCCCTCACAAAAAGCCCATTCAAACGTATCTCTGTTCTGTAGCAGGTCGGCCTGTCACCGTTGTAAATTGAGAATGTCCGAGTTGCTTAGCCTCGTGTTCTGCTTCGTCCACAGGAGCGGGAGTTTCTGGTGTGATCATAACAGCCGGTGCAGCCAGAGAACTGGGGACGACTTCTGTCTTAGCAGTTGTTACGCCCTCAACATGCTCTGCCTCTGCGTCTTCCTTCTCGTCCTCTTTCACTTGTGAGAGTGGTCGACCATGTGTATCGTGAGACTCTCCCTCGTCGTCGCGATGCATTTGGCCATTTTCGAGATCAGCGCCGACCATCTGGGCGAGGCTACTAAAGTTAAACATAGGCTCAGATCCGGCGCTTCCACCATCGCGTTCTCCGTCGTCACTGTAAGCACCAAGGCTCAGCCCACTAGACCGAGGACCTCCATCGGCGCCCAGGTAGTCAGGCCCTGTGTATGTGCCAACGGGGCTATCGTTGACGGAAGACCCAACTGAGGAAGCATTGCTCATCTGCCTAAGATGTGATCCTCCACGCGAAGGGCCAGCCGGTAACGGTAGAGAACTCGATGATGAAGTTGGTCCGGCCTGGTTGTCAGACGTGCCACGATCCACTCCCTTGCCTTTTCCAGCAGGGCCGTCGTCCTTAGCTTTCGGTTCTGCTGGCGAATCCGGGGTGCTCGAAGCTTGTGATGCCCTAGACATGGTGGCTTCTACACGGAGATTGCTGGCAGTACTGTTGCCTCGTCGTCGACCCAATCCTCCGAGTGACAAGCTACTAGCGCTCGCACCACTTGCACTTCCACTGTATGGATGTCCACCCTTCTTGGCGGCCTTGCGCTCCTCCTTCTCTCTTCTCTTAGTCTCCTTTCGAATAGCCTTTTCCTCCTTACGTTTGCGCTCTTCTTCAGAAGCTAGAGAAAGACGAACAGCCTCCATAAACATCATCTCCTCAAGTTCGTCCATGCGACTCCTTCGTCCTGTACCGTTCCGTGAAGATCCTCTAGCTCCAGGTTCCGGCCCCTCACTTGCGTCGTCCTGTGCACTGTCTGCTTGGCCCTGTCCACTGGGGCTGGGACTAGCATTTGAATCGTTGTTTCCAGTGTTCCTTCGGCCAAACCTACCAGGGCGAAGAATCGATCTCTGTTCGTTTCCGCCCATGAGAAATGCAGCCGTATGAAGGGCAGTTGCTGCTGCAGCTCTTCGAGCTTGGTGGTTCCTCGCTGATGCAAGTTTCGCCGCCCAATCGGGACGCACGCGATCGGTGGTGATAACATTCGGCGCGTTCGCAGACAAACTATGTGCGCGTCGACGGCCGGGTATGGGTGGGGTGTGTAGTGTGCTGTTTAGTGAAGTCTGTGAAGACATGGCGGTGCCATGTGATGGGTTGCTCGAGTAGGTAAGACCCCGGCGGAAGGGAGGAGGGTCGTAAGTGACGCCGAATTCAGGCTGTTGGCAGTAGGGGCATGCCGAAGGCTCCGAGATAAGCATCTCGGGCGGATCGTCCGGGTTGAGACCTTCATTAGGATCCCGAGCTTCACCGTTGGGGTGATGCTCAGGAAGGTGAGGATCAGCGCGCTTGATCTGAACAAAGCATTCGCTGCAGATATTCTGGTCACAACATCTGGTGCGGTTCAAGTAAGGGGGGTATGTCAGGAAGCAGATAGGGCACTCCTCAGCATCTTTGTAAAGGAAAACCTCCATAGGTTGACCATTAACAAAGGGATCATGAGGGAGAGCGATCTCCTTGGGTGTCAAATCGGTTGACGAGGCATTTCGAGAACCTCCACTGAGTGCAGCAGCAAGAGCTTTGGCTCGAGGCTTGAAAGGCGATTTGCTCGCTCCAGGTGTCGACGGTGAAGGGAGAGCGGAACCTGTGTTTGATGCACTGCGATCCGATGCGGCAGAAAGTGTCCTAGGTCCCATAGGCACAGTCAAGTTATGGAGGTTCTGGCTCGAAGAAGATGGGTTGTCTGCGGGAGGAGGTTGCGGAATGAGATCCGGGTCGGGAGGCGCATCGGCGGGGGGATAGGAAGGCCACGGGCAGCAGCGACGAGTTGATGCTCGGCCCAGCTCGAAGACCAATCATTGAGGCCTCGCCAGAATGGCGCAAGCTTTCTCTCTATCTGAGTGATGTCAGCTTACCGATAAGGTCAACAGAGACAAAGAACGCACCTGTAGCTGTCTCACGACAGGCTTGCTAAAGTCCTCAGTGCCAGTGTAGGTGCCCAATGTAACCAGATAACCACCATCGACATGTTCTTCGCGCATACTCCTCTCCCGTTCCTTCGCTCGAGCCACGCGCTCCCTTTCTAACCTCCTCGCCTCACGCTCCTGCTTTGTTTCGCGACGCTCAAAAGGGGCATCTTGTTGTTCACGATTGCGAGAGGAACTGGGGCCGATACCAAAGATGCTTATCTCGGCTCTGCTCATTCGTCGGTTCGATCTCGAGTTGGCGTTTTGTAAATGCTCGCGTACTGAAGGATCGCCGGGACCTGAGTAGTGACGAGAATCGCCTTCGGGGCGAGACTCTTTTGTGTTTGAATTACCCATGGTGAAAATGTGAAAGAGAAGACGACAGCAGCTGGGTTATGTGGCGCGATCGCGCACTTGGGCTGGTCTTATCTGGCGTAGGGGAGGGGCGTTGTCGTCAATGATGATGTCGAGAAAAACGAAAGAGTAGTGAATGAGAAATAGATGAGAGGATCAAGTATGAGGCTGTGTTGTATTGTGTTGAGCGATATCGAGTGAGACAAGACCAAGGAGCTTGTCTCGATAGGAAGAGTTACCGAATGTCCCGCGATGGGTTGGGATGGGGATTGGAGCTGATGGAAATGGGGACACGATAGAATGGGGGAGGGGCCGGGCGTCAGACGACGGGGGTCACCACAGAGGGCATCTCGCTTGGGCCGATAGTGTATGGAGAAGGTGGTATTGACAGCCTGGGGGGTCTCTGCGATGCCAGCAATGCGTAGCTTAGGCGTTGATGCGTATCGTGATCAAGAAAGTTGGAGTTTGAAAGGATGATGATAATGGATGAGAGTGGAGCGATAACGGACGTTGTTGGTTGTTGATGAATCAAATCAATTGAGGTCTGGGTGAGAGGTTGGGGGGAGAGGCAGCCTGTAACAACGTCCTAAGGGTGCTGAAGCTAAAGCCTAGAACAGCTGGTGGTCCCTGCTCCTACTTCTGCTGGCACAGTCTGGACCTGGTTTAGCTGAGATCGGATACTGGAGCCCGCGAGCCAGGCGGGCGGGTAAATGATGAAAAAGGTATTAGTCCGCGGGGTAGCGCGAAGCTATTCAATAAATCAAGAGAGAGGGGAGTAAAAAGAAGAACAAGATACAGATTGTTGGTGTTGAAAGGTAAGGTTAGGTATGTCTCAAGTTGATGACTGAGGAATCGAATTGACATTGACGTTGACAGCTCACTCACTCAAGTTGGAGAACCTTCCAACCCTACAAGCGTCGTAAGCTATCCTGGCAAAGCTATCTTTTTGGTGTAAACCTTGAACATGGTGATATTCCATGCCAACAGTATCTCCTCACCAGACAAATACTGCGGATTGAGGCCCGCATCATCATCAGCTCAATTACTAACAACTTTACCCTGGACATGTGCTCGGTATTTGCTTTTTTTGATTCGATATCTCCAAGTCACAAGTCCTGACTCGGCCTCCCCTATCAGTGTCAACGTCATGATCCGTCACTAAAAGTGAAAATCCTTGAACCCAGAATGTCAAAAAATCAAGAAACAAGCATTTCGGTTTCACATGAACTTTTTCAAGGTGACTGATAAGTGTTTCGAGTTATGCATATAATTACAGAGTAATTGTGATTTCATCAATTACATTTGTGTTGGGTGAGAATATCAGACCATCGTTGACCTACTCCGAATGATCCGGATGGTGATATGAATGTAACTATGCGTCGTATCTTCAAATCCGTATTCGGCATCTTAGAAGCACTGCCATGCGATTTGATCCATTTGTATCATATTGAAACAGTTTGAGGTTGTAGCATGCTCTATACCGTCTATCTCTATCCCCACATCATCATCATAATCATCAAATTGTACAACAACCCTACTTCGTGGGCGCCCAAGCCTGCAACCAGTCCCTCATCCTCTCCAAACTCCCCTTCTCAGCCTCCGCCGCAGCAATACACCACTCAACATCCCAAACCCCCTCCTCCGCCATCATCTCCGCCAACTTCCTCCCCCTCTGACTCCCCTCATCCGTACAAAACCACAGCGGCGCATCCATATTCCCAACATCACCCAGCAGCGGCTTCACCAGCGGTAAAACCTCCCTAGCACTGGATGGTTTTGCTTCAAGACCTGCGTTTGCGCGGCCCGTTTTACACCATGGATTCGCGCAGTGGGGTTTTCCGCAGCCGGTCATAAGTTGTCCGAGATAGCGTCGCTCGATGCGCCGTTTGAGGGCTTTGCCTTCCGGGTCGTGCATGCTGACGTATAGGGGGCCGAAGCATATTGAGCAGAGACCGATGTCGTTGGAGGCTTGTTCGGTGGAAGCTGTTTGGCGGACTTGGCCTCTTGATCCGACGCCGAACATTGTTCTTCCGCAGTTGGCGTTGCGGCAGATTGGCGGTTTGAGACGAGATACTTTGTCGAGTTCGTGATGCTTGAGATGTGTCTCCATGTCTTTCAGACGAACTATCTTATCGCAAAGATGACATTCTGTTGTGCGTGTACCATCTGCAAGTTCGTGAGCTGTTAACCCAGACAGAACAACCTCTGGACTAGGATTGAAAGGATCGCCTTCTTGGGGAACCTCGAGATGACAGAACCGGCAGAGGATCAACTTCCCAGGACACACGCTCGTTTGATGCCTCGCTAGATCAGCCATCGAATTTGTCGAGAACTCGCAGTTGGGACATTGTCGTTCTGTGTGAAATATATCATCGTGTTTCGCCTTGCTCTGTGTCGAGCTTCCAAAAGCATTATCCTTTTCACAATGCCAATGCGCTTCCCACTCTGGAGAACCCTTCTTGAACACAGATTTGCACTTGGGACAAACGATGTTATTCCTCCGGCAGAAGTTTTCGTGTAGAACCATCGTCCGCTTGGGAACGAATTGTAAGCAGTTACTGCACTGCTCCTCGTCGGGAGAATGCTCTTGTTCGCTGGCTCCATTAGATAAACCGTTTGTTGCGTCTGGTAAATCCACTTTGGCTCGTAATGAGTACTGTAATGTCTTTGGAGACTCCGTCGCATCTGGATGTTTGTATCCATGCACCGATATCGTGATCTGCTCTGCTCCCTCCAATTCCACGTTGGTAGGACTTATCACAATCCTCTTCACCCCATTAACCGCTGGTGAAAAATCCCCAAAGACATGAACACTTTCTCGTGGAAGCGCTCGTTGTCGCGAAGATTTCGGCGTAACAAATAAATCTAGCGCATCTTCGTCTTCGTCGGTAGTAAGTTCAATCGCAAGAGCCTGCGACTTATTCCACGAGGGAAGAACGTAATCGACGTATTCGCTTTCAAGAACCTGCCCCTCAACAGCTTTCCAGATATCAATCTCTCCACCGGTGGAGCTTCCGTCCGTAGATCCTCTTTGCGCAGACATGATTCGTCGTAATGTTTCTCTCGCTTGTTCTTCGTCCAAAGCTTCGATATCGACTTCGAGATCCGTGTCCACTACGCAGATGCCGTCTCCTTCGGGAGCGACCTTGTCCACGAGCAACTTGAACTCCTCCCCACGTGCACCCTTCACTGCCAACATTGAACCTTTACTCAGCGTTGTAAAGTTTTCGCGTAATTGTCGCTCGAGTAGTGGTTTCCAGTCATCGGGGTTGTAGCCTGCTTCTAAGGGTCTGAGTCGAACATATGTGCCCTTTGGAAGTTGTCGCGCCTCGACCTTGATCTGAATACCGTCCACGTCCATTTGCTCGCTTTCCTGCGTCGGGTCTTGTTCCAGATCTATCACCTCTTTCGGCGACACGCATTCATCCTCTTGAATGCCCAAAGCCTCCGTCAACCAAGGACTCAGTCCCAATGTTCCCTCCGACGCTGAAAACTCTCTGATACCCGCAAAGACAGCATTTTTGTTCTTAGGATTCACGAGTCGGAATATCAACGGATTCGGTAGTTGTTGTGCGGTATCGGCATCGCTCGAGGAATATGACCATGGATCTGATCGGGCTGTCGTCGTCGAGGGTCGAGATCGCGCCGCGGCTAAAAGTTGTTCGAGAGCAGATTGTGGAAGAAGAATCTTGTCACCGCGAAGATTCTTGGTCGCTATCGCAGAGGGACTTATCACGGGTAATGCGCTCGACCACCGCAGGGGTGCTGGCTCTTCCATGATTGGGCTGTAATGTGTAGAAGTTATGATGTGAGGGTCTGTGATGGTTTTGGTGGGGGTTGATAAGATGGAATTACGTAGTGGCAGAATCAAACACGAAAAATGACAGTCATAAGGTGAGAAACAGAGATAGAAATGATAAGATTAATTAACCCTATTTTTTCTTCGAGTACAAAATGTTAGGAGCACTGAATCACGAGAAACTGACTCTCGGCGGCGATGCTCAGTCAGCCATTTCGGTGACGTTCTTCCAGCATCGTCCAGAAGACAGACGCATCAGATCTGAGCTGCCTACATGCCTTACATAATCGGAAATCCGATCTCCGACGGACTAACAAATCACCGACACCACGTGCATGTCGCTTTGACAATCTGTCCACCTCCTACATATTCGGTATCAGAGCTATCATTAGATCTCGCAGATCCGTATCATGAGTTGACTCAAAGCACAGACAATGTCCAACTCTTAATATCATGGTTAAAATTAGACTACAGACTATTCCTCAGACCCTGTTTAAAACATCCAAGTTTCCGTGCAACCCGGGGAGAATCCCGCCTCACTTTACACGTAGCAGACTGCAATGCCGGTTCAACACCAGTAATGTTGATTGTTCAGTGATCATCAGCGTCGTAACGTGGCTTGAGCAACTACGCGTAATCTCGCGCTACCTTCCAGTGTAACGAAGCTGGCGGGCTGTATCACAGCAGATCCGTCTTGGCAATCTGTATGGGCATAATGTCGATCGAAACAAAGACCCCAAACAGTTTTTTTTATTCACCGCTCTTACAAGTCCGCGACTCTGAGTGAAACAGAGCTATGTTGTTTGTGTGTTTGACCCCCACAGAATTTGAGCAATGGCTAAATGCAGCGTAACCCATCCATGATGGCTGAATTCAAGCGGTCATGATGAGAGCCGGCAATGCATCCCCGGACCGACGAGATACAGAGCTTATTTCCTAGCTCTGTCCTGTTTCTTCGTAACTAAATTGTAGACTATGTGCCCTGAAAAGATATTCATTTCATCATTTCCTTACACCAGAGCTTATCTTGGCAATTTCGGACGCCGAGATGTAAGATCTGCGAAAGACCTGGTATGTTGATCAGGGCAGCTGTACACCTTTCTCTCCCCAAATGTGACACAGCTCATTTTACCCGCCATCCATCTTACAGTAAACACGTCTCAAAAGGGGGCTCTTTGATCTACGGAGTAAGGACCCCTACACGACCTACCCTTGCTCGTTATTAGCTCCCGCCGCAAAGCTCAGCTATTGAATGGTGCGCCTCCAAGATAAGATCCCCCAACTGATGCCATCTTGTCAAGATATCATCAGTCTGGCCGATTCTCTCACCTTGAAGTGCATCCAATCCCCACATCGACTGCTCACACGGGCCGATCTCCAAGGCCCCCCTCCCTCACCTCTCACAACCACTGTACTATGCATGTCTGTATCCGGTTCAGCCGGGACGTTTTATGTATCTGTTTTTGGTGTTGTTGAGTGTCCCCCACTTGATCATCAAGCTTTTAACTAACAAGCTTGTGTAATGTAATTTGTAGCTTGACTCACAGCGCAAACGTGCAGCATGTTAAACCCTCCGAGCCACCTGAACTTGGCTCGCCAATCCAATCTCATCTCAGCCCATCTTTCTACTATCCTGGCCATGTCATGTCCCCATCCCACCCAAACGGCGCATATCTCCCCCAGACCAAATCTCATCCCAGTAAATCGTTGCCGCTTTGGCCGCTGGCATGACACGGCCCATCCCTCATGTCTTGTCTCAACATCTGTACTCCGTATATAGTTATATATCCTTCACCACCAACCCTCATGGCTCTCCTTCTTCTTCTCTATCATTTCCCCCCTTATATCCCCCATTAGCCCTCCTTGCCAGTTGGGCTGCCCCATTCCATTGAAAACACAGTCCTTTATAATACTCATGCCAGCCTGACATGAGCCAAGTTATCGTCAACCACCAAACGCGCGCAGAGATCACCAAGATCCAAACAAAGGGCTTGACCCTCTTTGACACTCTATACAATTCTCTCGTCCTTCGTCACACCCTTCCTTACCTCCCCGTATCAGGCCTTTTAAACCTCGCCGCAACCTGTCGCGATATACGTTATCTCCTCCACGAAACACCCGGTGTCTTTCGTCATATTGATCTTACACGGGTCAAGACAGCGCATTGTGAAGACGCCCATAAAGAAACAGAGCGCAATCTTGCAGTTTGGCACAATGTCACTCTTTCTGATTACCTGACTGAAGATGAGTGAGTTCTCATTATCCACTCTACCCTTGTCCATTGCGCTGCGACCACTTTAAAACGGCTGTTAGCTTACAGGATCCATAGCTTCTATGCCGGGCCCTTGAGGGGCATTTTCACTACCCTACGACAACGCGATATTCTTCGTGATGTTCAATCTCTAATCCTCGACGGCCTCTCAGTCACAGCTGAGCTGTGCCATGATATCATCAACGATCCGTCATACAGCGTGCGCATGCTCTCGATCCGCGGCGTCAATAACTTGAACCATGGCAAGCTTCGCGCTGCGCTAGCATACGCCTGTCGCAGTTCGCGCCCAGAGAACACCCCACGACTCAAAGCAATCTACGTCTTTGGCCCCATGCCCTGCGATGAAAATGCACAGCAAAACGACTCCGACGCCTGGTGGTCCAAAAAGGGTCGTGTCCTCAACAGCACCAGCGACATGGACGACTGGGCCCAATGTCTGCTCGCCTGCCAAAGCCTAATCTCCTTCGACACAGTGCTCTGCCAAGGTCCTCGCCACGCCAGCTCACCAGCCTTTGGGTCCTGCAGCGTCTCCTCGCCCTGCAACCCAGCCGTAGCAACCTTCTCCGTGGGCGGCTGCGCAGGCTGTGGCAAAGCGCCCGAGGGTGTCATGACGGCCAAGACGCACTGCTCTTCGCTACCTCTACTAGCTCCGCCGCCGATCCTCTCGTCATCCGTGCAGGCTGCCACGACACCGCGCCCGGGACATGAGGATTTCGTGCCGAGGTGTGCTGATTGTTTGAGGGATAGGTTTTGTGTTGCTTGTAATAAGTGGTGGTGTGAGACGTGTTATCACCCTTTTGGGGGTGATGATACGAAGAGACATGTTTCGCGAAGCTGCTGGGAATGCGGCATCAATGTGCGCAACCTTTACCATCATTGAATATGGAAGCTAATTGGTATCTAGTGTAACGATTGTATTGAACGCACGCAAAAGTTTTGCAAAAAGTGCGGCGGCGGATACTGTCTCATTCACAATGAAGGATCATCAAGCGCCTTTGTAAGTTTCCCCATCTTTCTAGACAAGAACGTTTACTGACTATTCTTAGTGCGACTGTATGTCATTCCACTCTTCACTGTCTTAAATCTATCTAACTTGCTTCACAGGGTGTTTCTGTCGAGGTCGTGGTCTCAGACGAGTCTGATGCACCACGTATTTGACATGTGTCAGTCAAGGTGGAATGCAACCTCACATCTGATCATGGTACAGTAAATGACTTGGCGCATTTGACAAGGTCCCTGGGATATGAAATGGAGTCCCTTTGGAAAGTGGACTGAGCGAGGCGTCATGATGAAGCGTATTCGGATTTCCACTCTGGTTTGTTTTCTTTGCTGGTTGCTTTGGAGTCGGGGCGTAAAATATGGATTGGATGAAACTCGACTCTTTTCAGATACTCACCACTTTTTTGTTTTCAATAATTGATTATACAAGGACTGGCTCCTGGAATCATACCACTTTTCCGCTCCAATCTTGAATAAGGCGACTCAGATGAGATATGGCACGATACCATCTCGAACCACCACTGCACCCCAGTCTCCCCGCTCGGAGTCAAAGTAGATCCGATAGAACATGGTTATGGAACGGAAATAGAACAAGTTAGTGAATCCACTCATTTTGGGGGTTTCATTTGGGGGTCACGATCTATTTTATTATTCCATTGCTGATCGCTCACCTTAAAACTATCTCATTCCCCTCTCTTCACTGTACTCACAATTTACAACGTGCACATTTGACAGGTCAGGTCCAGATGGCGCAACCGAATGCGCAAATTACGTACTCGGTCCAATACTTCTCTTTCAGGTTTGGTCTTGTCGGTCCGTCGGGCGGATAATTCCCTCTCTATTTGATAATGATTCATCATAGAGTGACACTGATATGCTCGCGATCGCGCTTGATGGCGATGGATCGCTCGATTAGGGGCGACCCTTGAAATTACTAACGGACCCTTGTTTTTTTCTTCCTTTCGTGATAGATAACTTTCACAGACAGAGAATTTTATTTCTTCACTTGTGATAATTGTTTCGTGCTCCCGATATCGCCGAGCCCCTCCACTACCCGAAAACTCCAACGCCGCAAAATAACGGACCCAAGACTCTAGATCCAATTCTCAAGCGCATTCTTTTCTCCTCTCTCAATCTTGACCATGGCTGTCGAAAGAAAACCTCTCTCAGAGGTCATCCCTCCTCTCATCCTCGGAACAGCAACGTTCAACCACCAATACCATCCCGATCCAACTCACATGCCCTACACCGACATCGTAGGCCGCGCCCTCGCCCACAACATCCTCGGCTTCGATACATCTCCCTACTACGGACCCTCCGAGATCCTCCTCGGCGATGCGCTACGAAAATTAACGCCTCCCCCACCGAGGGAGAATTACTTCCTCATCACGAAAGCTGGGCGCATTGCGGGTGATGAGTTTGATTACTCACCCGCTTGGATCCGATATAGTGTTTGTCGCAGTCTTGAGAGACTGGGCACTTCGTATCTTGATCTTGTGTACACGCATGATGTGGAGTTTGTTTCGCCCGAGGAGGTCCTTGCCGCTGTTACGGAGCTTCGACGGTTGAGGGATCAAGGTCTTATTCGATATGTCGGAATCAGCGGATATCCTGTTGATACGCTTGCGTCGCTGGCAGAGATTATCTTGCGCGAGACGGGAGAGCCGTTGGACGCTGTTATGTCGTATAGCAACTTCTGCGTGCAGAATAGCCAGCTGGGAAACAAGGCATTGCTAGATCGGTTCCAAGCAGCTGGCGTAGACTGCGTGCCGAACGCCAGCATGCTCGGTATGGGACTGCTAACCACCCGCGGTATCGACAACAGCCCCATGCGCGCATGGCACCCCGCCCCAGAAGAACTCCGCGACCTATGCGCCAAACTCTCCAACATCGCACAAGACGCAGGCGAACATCTCGAAGAAGTAGCCATCCGATGGGCGCTCGAGAACTGGGCGCTCGTGGGTTCTCAATTCGGCACAAAGATAAATCCCAGCAACACAGGCCGTCTCGGCGTAAGCGTCATGGGCGTATCAAGCGTAGACGAACTCGAAGAAACATGGGCCCTGTGGACGAGCGTAGTAGGCCTTGTAGGCGATGAAGAAGCGACGCAGCGCAAGGTAAAGATTGAGAGTCTCGTGAGGGAAAGGATGTGGCCTGCGCTTGGAAACTGGAAGGATTATGCGTGGGAGAGCGGCGGTCCTGAATTTGTTAATGCGAGACGGGTTGAGGATATGGGGGTTGTGCCGAGAGATGAGACGGCGGTGCGGTGGAGGTTGATACCCAGTGCGATGAACTCACCCAAGATTTAACGTGAGGATTATGAATAGATGATTTGTTTTTCTGTTATGACGAGGGGTGAGTGATTGATGCAGGGCCAAGAGAATAATATGGGGATGTGCATCGTATCTCGCATTCAACCTTGCTTTAGCGCGACGCCGTCTTACAACTGCCATGTCGATCATCTAGATCTTCATCCCGAGATCTCAGCACCGAATGACGATGGATCTGAAGATGCGTTTCTTTCGTATTTCGTATTTTGGACGCGAATTGATGTTGATAGTCTTCAGATGATACGTGAAGTGAGGTATAAGAGCTCTGCTTTCGTCGGACATGATGAATGACAGTATACATGTGAGACAGTCTCTATTTACTAGGTCTCAACCATGAAATTCTCATACTCAACCGCTTACACACTGTCTTTGGCAGTTCAGTTCGCTACAGCGGAGCTCAAATGTCGTCCCCAAGGCCCTGTTCTCCCAAGACCAACAGCCCTCGCCAGCTCTCCAATCTTTCAAGCAGCAGCCGCCAACTTGACCGAAACTCTCGAAGCAGCTGTCTCAGGTTCAGTCACTGCAGGATGGCCTACAAACAATGTCTCCTTCTCACTCGCAGTGGTAAGCGCAGATCAAGACGACCCTGGTATGCCAATATGGGAGTATCACCACCTTACAGCCGCCAATACAAAGGGCACTAAGCACCTGAATAGAGATTCTCAGTATTTAGTTGGGTCTATAACAAAGGTGTTTACGGACTATGTGCTGATCAAGAGCGGTATGGATCTTGATGCGCCTGTTACGGAGTATCTTCCGGGGCTTGATGGGAAATCGAAGATTCAGTGGAGGGATGTAAGTTTGAGGATGTTGGCTTCGTACTTGAGTGGTACACCAGCGAACTGTAGGTTACCTCCTTTATCCGAATAAATAGTGTGCTAAGCATTGGTAGATGGGTTCCCCGACTTTTACTTGTTGAAAGAAATCTTCTTTGCATATGGTCTTCCCCCGATTGAAGATAGCGACTATCCACTATGCGGCGTTGTAGGTCTCAACAAGGGCTGCACAAGACAAGGTATGAAAAACCTACAAGGCAATGACATTTATATTAATTATGTTCAGAGATTCTTTCCGGAATGAAAAACTCTTACCCACAGACTACTCCTAACGAGAGGCCAGCTTACTCTAACATGGCCTTTGTCATTCTCGGCATGGCTCTTGAGGAGTATACCAGGAAGACCTTTGCACAGTTACTTGAAGAGTTTATTTCAATTCCATTGGATATGAAAAATACTTTCCCTTCACCTGGCGATGATGACCAAGCGGTAATTCCACCTGGGGAGAGCAGTTGGGGCTCAGACTACAAATTGAACACTCCGTAAGTTCAACACGACAAAAGGTGCCCTTCGATACTAACAACTATCAGTGCAGGAGGATTAGTTTCTTCCCTCTCTGATCTCTCCAGGTTCTCATATACCTTGCTCTCAAGAACCTTGAACATGACTTCAACTGAGATCAACGGCTGGCTCAAGCCCAGTGCCTTTGCGGGAGATGCATACACCATGACAGGCATGCCATGGGAGATCCTACGTCTATCAAACCTAACACCGGACCATCCTCATGCTGTTACACTGTATGGTAAGAGTGGTGGTGCGCAGAACTATAGAAGTCAGCTCAGCTTTGTGGATGACTATGGTCTAGCGATCATCATCTTGACTGCCGGTCCGATGAAGGCAGCGCCTATTCTTACGAATGCTATGCTCTCCACTTTCGTAGCTGCTGCTGATGAGGTTTCGCGGGATCAAGCGAAGAGGTATGAGCAGAAGTACATGAGCGATCACGAGAATGATGTTGCAATTGAAGCGTCGTTGAAACAAGACAAGGACTCAATGATCCTCGCATTACTACATCGCAACCGCACAGACATCCTCTCCAGTCTTACAGATATCTGGGGTCTGACGCTGGGCGACTTTCTTCCAAAAGTTGGACCCAAGATTCGAGTCTTTCCAAGTCAACTTCGTGAGAACGCGACAATAGATGGGAAGCCTGTTACGAAGGAGGTATGGCATTTGTGGCCTGATCTAAACTCAGGGTTTGAAACGGATCTTCCCGGAATTGAGATTGAAGAAATGAATTGCGTCGGTTGGTCGATTCAGGATTGGGTTCATTATGGGGGTGAGCCTCTGGATCGGGTGTTGGTGTACGTTGGTGATGATGGAGATGTGAGAGGGTTTGAGGTGCCGTTCTTGCGATCGGGAATTCTGTACCCAGTCAAGTAAGACTAAGAACATATAATCTCTCACCAAGTAATTGAGTACATATTACGTTTCTAAACTAAATCCCTGAGGAGCGATGAGCTCCCTCATGCCAAGAGCAAGATGACTGTACATCATGAATTCAACTCATGATGGCTTACGTAACACCTCTCCCATCAAATCCATCGCGTCAACTCCAAAACCCATCACCACCACCTCTCTCATCCTCCAACTCCCACCATGGCCGGCCCACGTAAACCCAAACCCGCCGTCCCAAAAGGCCCATCAACAACCCTCATCCTCGACAACGGCGCCTCCACCATAAAAGCCGGTCTCATCCACTCCTCCACCATCCCCTCCGAACCCCGAATAATCCCCAACGTGATCGCCCGCGATCGCACGCGCAAAATCTACGTCGCATCCGAGCTAGAAAAATGCCGCGACTTTGGAGAGATGCAGTTCCGGAGACCTGTGGAGAAGGGGTTTATTGTTAACTGGGAGGCGCAGAAGGAGATTTGGGATAGGGAGATTTTTGAGAGGGAGGAGTTTGATCCTAAGGATGCGAGGTTGATACTGGCTGAGCCGCCGAATGGATTGCCGATTTTGCAGGCGAATTGTGATCAGATTGTTTTTGAGGAGTATGGGTTTGCGAGTTATTATCGGGGTATAGGTATGCAATCGGAAGTGGTGATGGGTTGAGACTGGAGTACTGATTGAGACAGGATCGACGTTTAATGCGTATCACGATGTGCAGAATATCTTTCGAACGCCGCAAGAAACTCCTACGGTCGCTAATACCCCCGCCGAAGCTGTCATGATCATCGATTCCGGATATTCACACACGACCATAACACCAGTCCTTCGGGGTCAACCGTTACAATCTGCGATCAAACGATTAGACGTCGGCGGCAAGGTTCTGACGAACTACCTCACACGATTAATCTCTCTGCGACACTTTGATATGCGTAACGACACATATATCGTCAACGAGATGAAAGAGCTATCATGCTACGTCTCACCCGACTTCAAAGCCGATCTCGAAAAGTCATGGAAGGGAACGAGAGGTGAACGTCGACCAGATTATCTGTCCGGCGGCGGTATCGCCAAAGATTACATCCTTCCCGATTTTCACACGCGTTTCAAAGGAACTCTTGTCGACTACGATCCCTCCCGGCACTCCAAATCCCGAAAACTAGCAGCCCAATCCGAAGAAGACGCCCTCACCCTACGTAACGAACGCTTCACCGTTCCCGAACTCATCTTCAACCCCTCAGACGCTGGGATCCGACAACCCGGTCTCGCAGACCTCGTCCAAGAATCTCTGCAAGAACTCCCCATTGGACTCTGGCCTGCTTTACTAGCCAATATTATTGTCGTTGGTGGAAATACGCATTTTGATGGGTTTATTCAGAGGTTGCAGAAGGAGGTTGTGCAGAGGGTGCCGGATGATTGTATCGTTAGGGTTGCGAGACCTGCGGACCCAGTTACGCATACTTGGTTTGGGGGTGCGAATCTGGCGTGTCACACTAATATTGAGAGGTTGGCTGTTACGAAGGCGGAGTATGAGGAGCATGGTGCTTCGTGGGTTGCGAGGAAGTTTGCTGCTGGGTTGGGGACTTGAGGGAGAGGGGGGTCTTGAGTATCTTCTTCTATCAGAGTCGAGGAGTGGTCCTTGGCGAGACGTTTGCATGGTCATTCGGCTGGCATATCGGATTTCGGAAACGTTTGACCTGAGCGGCAGAGCAAACACTGAGCGCGGGCTTCACATCCGGTCACAGATGGGCGAGCCATACTCCGACGATCACCCCGACAGTCGGTTGCGTTCCCATATCTACATCTCCTGCAAAGTCCACGCTCAACTAAGTATGCGATGGCCATTCGGACAAGCCAGCTTTGCACGTCACACCCTGGAGCCCAGTCAAAGGCTCCTGCGGACTTATTTGTCCATCAATATGGCATTGATGAACATGCTTTCAGGCCATCGCTAGACGCCTTGCACTTCACAAGCACAATGACAAAGCCGAAATACCAAGCAAACAAATACATTACTGTAACAATAGTCTATACATCTAATAACAAAACGCCCGCGTCAATCGCTCATGGTATCACAATACCCATCCCTTACTCAACATGAATCATAACCTTACCACCACTAGACCCCTTCTTCAAATGCTCAAAAGCCTTGTCCGCCTCCTTGAACCCAAACGTCGTATCAATCACAGTCTTGACCTTTCCCTCCACCAACCAATCCCTCAACTGATCCAGATCCTTCTTCTTATTCGCAGTAGCATACGTGACAAACTTTGCCTTTACGCCTCCTAGGAACGAAGGTCGCACGAGGTTCGTCGTTAGGCTGAGAACACTCTTGGCTGAGACATGACCGCCAACAAAGATGAAGCTGCTACCGGGGAGGAGGAAGTCGTTTGATGAAGCGTAGAGATTGGGTGGTGCATCACCGACGTTGTCGACGCAGTGTTTGAAGACTTGACCGCGTTTCTTGAGCTCGGCGATGACGTCGCTTGTTTTGTAGTCGATAATATCGTCCGCTCCCAAGCTTCTGCATAGATCTGCTTTTCCAGTCGAACACGACACTGTAACAGAGCATCCCAACGCCTTGGCAATCTGAATGCCCCAAAGTCCAACACCACCCGAACCACCATTCAGAAACACCTTATCACCACTCTTAACATACGGCGCAATAGTCTGATACGCCGTCAGTCCCGCCGTCCCAACACCAGCAGCCTGATCCAGATCCAAGCTCTGCGGAATAACACTGTAACCCTCCTTATCGCAAACCGTATACTCAGCAAGAGAACCCCAAGATTTTGTCGGCGACGCTCTGGCTAGAACGAAATCTCCTTCTTTCGCATCGGTCACGTCTTCTGCGACTGATACAACGTGGCCGCTGAGATCCATGCCTGGAATCTTGGGGAACGAAGTTATGAGACGGGATGCTACGCCGAGTTCGCAGACTTTGTAGTCAGCTGGGTTGAGGGCTGCGCGGGAGACTTTGACGAGAATCTGGCCGGGTTTGAGGGTTGTTGGTTTGGGGATTGTGGTGAGGTGGAAGACTTTTTCCATTGGGCCTGGATGGGCGACTTGCCATGCTTGCATTTCGGCCATTGTGAAGTTGTTTCTGTATTATTGCGTGAGGGGTTCGTTGGGTCAGTGTAAAACTAAAGAACGCTGAAGTCGAAGCCGAAGTTGATAACAAAGATGTGATGTAGTAGAATCGCCAATGATGAAATCACATGAAACAAAAGTCAATGGCATGCAGCGTGCGCATCATGATATAAGTATCAATGACGTCTTGAACAAGAGGCGAAAAAAATAAATAATTGTTAAGAACGGGTGGAGATGCCTCGGCTCATGAATCGGAACAAGGACCAAAACGGTTCTGGAAGCCCGTCGATTTTGTGGAGATATTTCTATATACGGCGTATGGTTTAAACTTTGTTATTAAACACTAGGATGTTATTATTCAGCTCGTTACATTCATGCAGCAGGAGTTATTCGATTACGTTCCACGTGTTGTTTTGCGTCCCGCGGGTAGAATTTTCGTAATGGGTTGTGGATTTGGATGGGTTGCATCGACGGAGATTGAAGCTTCGAGGGGGTTCGTGAGGTTTGCGGAGTGGTATTTTGGCGGAGTTTTGTGAGGTCTGCGGAGTTGGATGAGATTCATTTTGAGGTTGGACTTCCAATTCTCTGTAGACGAAGTGTCTTCAATGTGGCGACCTCCAAGGCGATGCCAGGTTGTGCGACTCAGACCACTTGGTGAGTTTGCGCGCATTCCTGCAACCTCTCACCAATGCATCTTGTGTATATCCGCAAGGCTCCAATTGTGTATCTTGAAGCGGCGACGTCAACCACATCGCGATCGTATTCAACATTGACACTTGTCAACGATCACCGTTGAAAAGCCTCGGTAACGGCCCAGCCTGAGGTCGGTCCGCTCACCCCACGTATGCCTCCCAGTCTGCTGGTCAATGCAATGGCTTCAGAACCCAGTATAACGGTACACACCCAGCCTTCCGCATCTTGTTCATAAAGGAGGCGCCTTGTAGCCACAGGATGAACGCTGCTTCAGCGACGGCGTAGGGTGGCATTGGTAGAGATCTCACTCCGATGGGGAGATAAGATCATGATGCTTGTATGTCGTGGCTTTTCGGTAATGCGAGAATGGCGTTGTGGTTGTCGCGTTCGAGATGTCCAGTAGGGTTGGTGATGTGAGGAGCGGCGACATCCTCGGAAGGTCAGCGCATTCAAGCTTGTGAAAGGACTGCGCATTTACTGTTGCGCGCTTGTTGTCTGCTGAAAGTCAGCTCTTGGATCATGATGGAAATGATCGGTCATTGTGACACGCGCAACGCGAGAGGCTGCTGGCGCATGAGCTTCATAGAAACAACTTGTCGAGTTGCGATACCGGAGCTATTGAACAAGCTGCATCTGGGAGGTATGAACGTTCTCAACACCGGTCAATTGATCGTCATTGATGGTAATTGTGGATGATGGAGCTTTCACTTCGAGTCAGAATCTGAAGTCCTGATCGATGATGCTTACTCACAACCCCAGATCCCCACGAAAACCAACCCTGCAGATCTAGGGTAACTTTCAGCAATCACATTTCAACAACGACAATCGCTAAACCGTTGCATTGTCAATGATCACCGCTTTTTTTTTTCGCATGTTACCCTATCAGATCTAAAGATCTTCATCATGTCATGTCAAAGCGGCGGTCGCCATTGATGATATGACGAGGTTTTCGTATGCACACGTTGACCGTTAAAAACACACGATACATGCGATCGCCATCCAGAATTTATCGTTTACACCAAGCCGGAAAGAGCACGGAGCTCATCATCACGAGACCTCAAATCATTATAAAACAGGAAAAAGATATACAATGCATCTGCGTGGAGCTGACGATCTTGGCGCCAAGGGGGAAGTCAATTCTATGGCTGAAGCATAATTGTAACTCTCCTGTTACCCTTTTTACTTTATGATTGCTACCCTATGGACATGGATCTATCTGATTTACGATACAGTGACGGGTGAGTCACGGATGTCTTGGCCGTCTGAACCGAACGGATTCAACGTTGCGTTTGGCATTTAGAGTCAATGGGCGAATCATTGAGAGGAAATGGAATGAATGGCTATTGTTGCATGTTGCGGGGAAGAAGAAATGAGATGGTGTGGATGGGATGGCAGCGTCGATCAGCGGGCGTGCCAGCATTGGACGGGCATCCGAGACAAGTGATGGTTGTCCTGGGCAATCATTACAATGAGATATCTAGAACTAATCATTCCATGGACTACAGAGAGGCAAAGAAGGATCAGTGCCGTCAGAGGCTTGCTCTACTTTACTAAAAATTAGCTGGAAAATATTGAATATGTCTGATGACTTGCTGGAATCCAGAATGCAACAACGCCACTCATAAGAGTCGATCTGATGAGTGACCTCCAATTAACCAGCAGAGCAACGAACGATATGGAACAAGACTGCATTCGGAATACGCATCCGCGTGTCTTCGGAAAAACGGCTATTCAGCATTCTCGGCCGAGTTACAAAATCACCATGCTTTTTTTTTATATATGAAAATTCTTTTCTTTTTTCTCCAGTCACGAGGAACCCCGGAGTTAGGCGTATTTAATGAGCTGGGGGAATCTGACACGATGGCTTCAGAGTGAGTCCGGCCGAGGACCCACTTGGATCAGAGACAAAAATTGATGTGATGTGAGCCCAGGGGTGATTTTTCGGCAAAGCTTAGGAAGAACTTCGAGACTCCAGTTTATATGGAGTGGTTGATGGAGTATTGCTTGGTCATGGTTGACATTACTCTATCTCAATAACCATCTGGTCTGTTCTTGTGACCCACGGAAATATGAGGGTCGAGTTAATACAATGGATCGATTCCGAGGCCATGGTTCAGATCATGTGTTGAAGCATCTGCTTCTGCTTCTGGTGAATCCAGTATCTCGGTGCAATATCAAGTGTAACTTCACTTCGCCACTGACATGCTTTATCTCGACTTGCAACGGAACCAATGGTGAATGCACCAATACAAGGTAGGTAATTAATTTACAGCCAACATGGTAATTGCGGCTATTCAATCCAGTATGTAATGTTTTCCATAATGTGAACTAGTCCCGTTCGCGGCAACCATTTACGGCTCGTGTGAGCGTTCCTTTGAGTCTTTGACGGAAGAAAACGCTGTACGGTATTACCAAACCGCAAACGCACCCCTGGCTTTTGAGTGGTGTGGTGCAGCCAGCACCTGTTCTTGGCCAGGCCCTTGACGTTTCGGCCCGGAAATTATGCATGACAGGACGATTCGCGGTTCTCGTGACGATGGTGGCTTATTCGTCTTCCTTTCAGACATCACCAACATCATCAATTCATCACTGACTATCGAATGTGAAGTTCTGAAGGAATCAGCGCTCGGTGAAACGGCGATTCTCCCCGCAGCGTCGCTTGGCTGAAAATCCGGAGATTCTGGGGTCAGATGCATGCCACTATAAGGAATCTCGGTCGCCGACTCGGAGGCACTCTTTCTCTTTTGACACTTTTCTCTGGGGGAGGAGTCTCAATCTTTTCCCCAGAGTGAGTGAGGTCTCATGAGTGGAAGCTATTACCCCAAGTATTGGGTTGGTTGCGGTGGTGAGCTCGGTCAATTACAACCCATCCATGCAGTCGGAGCGCAGGGGCGTAGCGTCTCGAGTACCACCGAGCGCTGCCCGGGGACCCCTTTTTGTATCTGTTTTTTCTGCTGGGTCTGCTCTTCACTGGCTGACTGATTCTACGTGTGGTGAATTTCCCCGCGTCGGACTTTTGAGGAGGGTGCTTGAGACTGCTGATTACTGGCTGAAGCTCAAAAAGTGTGGTGTATGCTTACGGAAACGTTAGCATGGGATTTTTTTAGATATGGTTACAGTTAAATCAGTGATCAACATCAAGATAGACTTCACTTCGCATTCAATCTAAGCTAATCTTTTAAAAATTCAGAAGGGTCAGTGCCACGATGATATTTTCATGGATTATACCGCCAGCTTGGTTCCCTCTTTCTTTAGAGTCCGTTCCCGTCTGACTCGAAACTCTAGAACATATTCCATGGATCTTTCTCTCATAGAAGGTCCCGTGACGGAAGAACAAGCGCAAGGAAATAAACGGCCGGGCGATACTCGGCGCTTCTCATGTAGACCCAGGCCCGTTAACGTTATGGGTCAACCGCCGTGGCCCCCTCCACTAAAAATACGGGCAAGTTAATTGTCTTTTTGTTCGGCCTTACTTCGTAGCACGCCCTCAGCGCAGCCCCACGAGATTCCCCAGACCAGCCCAGATCAAGATATTGGAGCACTTCAAGTTTTTCGTGATGATTTTTTAATTAAGAAAATGAGATCGGGAATGAGTAACGAACGTGTCTTGTGAGACAGTGACATGTTCACCACATGATTTTTTATCGTTGTACATGAAATCTTGGTTGTTGAGTCGGCAATGGGTATGTGATTAATTGGCCTTGGGCTTGATTGTTTATTGTGATGCTATTCAGTGTCATTCATGATGGATATGGAATGCATCTTCACTTAGACGCCCGAAATCTTCAAAGCTTTTCTCCGTACTTTTGCCATGTTTTTCTTACCCGCACCCCACTACCCGAACCTCATGGCATTCTTGCGGCCGCCTCCGCACTTTTTAGGGGCGTGCATACAGCGATATTGCCCCCTGTTCCCCCATTTACCGTGCCCCATGGGCCCCCGGGACCATTTTGGTCTGCCCCCCCTAGACTAACAACAGGCTATGGAGCTCGCAAAGCTCCGAGGTCATGGGCCATTTTCTGCTCTGTCGCGCCAAAACAGACGCGCAGAGTAGTAGGATCAGAAGAATCTGGATGCTCGTGAACGGCCGATGGTTGCCAAGTTTACCTTAGTTACCCGAGTAGGCAACTTGTAACCTTGCTCCTTTGCCCTTGTACCACTTCGAGTCCTTGGGACTCTTGACCTTGTTTGGATTAGCTGCGATGCAAGTTGGGCTTTTGCAGCTTACAGCAGTGTCAAGGGCATGGTAGACAGCTGTTGGTAACAGAAAGACACACGAACTTGCAGGCAATGCCTTCTTCAGTTCCGTCTGAGATTAAATAGACCTTGTTCCCCCCCTCCCTCGTACAGACTCTCTCTCCTCATCACAGCTCAACACTTCAACAACAGACCTTGTTTCACATCCTTCTCCTCTCTACTCCTGTGATTGACTTCACACAACAAATACCACCTCTTCCCCCCCTCATCCTTCTTCTTCTGCCTGGTTCACAAAAGATACCACCTTCAAAAATGGGCGTTGAAGATCACAACGAGGAGCGTCGCGGCTCCGTCGCCCTCCAGACTGCCGAAAATGTCGAGCAGATCGAGGCCCCCGTCACCTGGAAGGCCTACCTGATGTGCGCCTTTGCCTCATTCGGTGGTATCTTCTTCGGCTACGATTCCGGTTACATCAACGGTGTCAACGGCTCAAAGTACTTCATTCACCAGGTCGAGGGCGCTGGTGCTGATAAGCTCAGCGAGAGCCACCAGTCTCTGATCGTCTCTATCCTCTCCTGCGGTACCTTCTTTGGTGCCCTCATCGCTGGTGATCTTGCTGACCGCATTGGTCGCAAGTGGACTGTCATTGCTGGTTGCTTTATCTACGCTCTTGGTGTTGTTATTCAGATGATTACTGGTCATGGTGATGCTCTTGCTTGCATCGTTGTCGGTCGTCTCATTGCCGGTATCGGTGTCGGTTTCGAGTCTGCCATTGTCATTCTTTACATGTCTGAGATTGTAAGTCCTCAACTTCTATTCACATTAACATCATGCTAATAGCTCTATCAGTGCCCCAAGAAGGTCCGTGGTGCCCTCGTCGCCGGTTACCAATTCTGCATCACCATCGGTCTCCTCCTCGCTGCCTGCATCGTCTACGGAACCGAGAACTTCGACAACATGAAGTCCTACCAGATCCCCATCGGTCTCCAGTTCCCCTGGGCCGTCATCCTCGGCGGTGGTCTCTTCTTCCTCCCCGACTCTCCTCGATACTTCGTCAAGCGTGGCCGCATCGAAGAGGCCATCGACGCCCTCGCCAGGGTCCGAGGTCAGCCCAAGGACTCTAAGTACGTCCAGTCCGAGATCGCCGAGATCATCGCCAACGAGGAGTACGAGCGCCAGATCATTCCCTCTACTTCTTTCTTCGGCAGCTGGGCCAACTGCTTCAAGGGTAGCCTCTGGGATGGCAAGTCTAACCTTCGCCGAACTATCCTCGGTACTTCTATGCAGATGATGCAGCAATGGTAAGTTTCCTCCTCAACACCAAGAGAGATCATCACTAACAATAATCAGGACCGGTGTCAACTTCATCTTCTACTACTCTACTCCCTTCCTCCAGTCCACTGGTGCTATCGACAACGTCTTCCTCATCTCTCTCGTCTTCACCCTCGTCAACGTCTGCTCCACTCCCCTCTCCTTCTGGACTGTTGAGCGATTCGGTCGCCGAAGCATCCTCCTCATCGGTGCCTTCGGTATGCTTGTCTGCCAGTTCCTCGTCGCCATCATCGGTGTCACCGTCGGCTTCAACCACACCCACTCCTCCCCCACCGCTGACGAGCCCGACCGCATGATCGCCAACAACATCAGCGCCGTCAACGCCCAGATCGCCTTCATCGCCATCTTCATCTTCTGGTTCGCCTCCACCTGGGGCCCCGGTGCCTGGATCGTCATCGGCGAGATCTTCCCCATCCCCATCCGATCCCGCGGTGTCGGTCTCTCCACCGCCTCCAACTGGCTCTGGAACACCATCATCGCCGTCATCACCCCCTACATGGTCGGCGAGAACCGAGGCAACCTCAAGTCCTCCGTCTTCTTCATCTGGGGCGGTCTCTGCACCTGCGCCTTCGTCTACACCTACTTCCTCGTCCCCGAGACCAAGGGCCTGTCTCTCGAGCAGGTTGATAAGATGATGGAGGAGACCACTCCCCGAACCTCTGCCAAGTGGCGCCCTCACACCACCTTTGCCCAGACCATGGGTGCTGGTGATGTCAAGGTTGTCCCCAAGACTGAGCATGACGACCACGTCTAAGATGATGAATCTTGTTAACAATTGCTGCTATTGATGAGGAGGTTATCTCTTTTTTTTTAATTATACCTGAAAGTTAAGAGGTCACGGTGGTGACCTGAGGGGAGGAGAAAGTACATGAGAGCATAATGTGTAGATATCAGAAACAGACTGAATATCGATTCAACTTTATCAATTATCTTTGCCTTTGTGATGTCAATTGTTTTGTCTCTTTATGAAGTCTTGAAGTTCCTTGTTAATATTCCCGCCGCATTTGATCCTCAATTCTCAACTCTCGACTTATCTTTAGGTCCTAGCTCAATCCGATATCGCACTAGCAACAATAACAATGAAAATACGTCGGCCTCATTCACCCAACAACACTCAATTGGCTTGAAAGACGCCATCAACAAAAGTCTGCCTCAACTTTCCGATACCGAAGCTTTAACCACCGCGACGAAACGAAAGTCAGCATCTCAACTGCTCATTGCTCTGCCCTTTCAAACAACGCCTCCAATTCCCCCAGCAACACCTCAATCTTGGTTGCATATCAATAAGTTAATCATGACAGTATATACAGTGTAAAATCTACTATTTTGAAGTTCAAATAAACTCTGTTGGGTGTGTGGGAACCATCTTTTGGCGCGTTCGGATGACCCGGATAGATCCAGCCAAACGGATGCTTCGGGGAAACATTGGATCAAGATATGCTTAACGAAGAGAACTTTATTAGACGCGAGATGCGACGGGTTTTGATCGGTTGAGACTGTTGATCTGTGCTTGGTGGTGTTTTTGAGGTTACTGAATGGGATGCTCTTGAGTTGTTGGGGGTTGCTCTCTCGGAGCGAATGATTACAGGCTCATGTCTGCGAGATTCATGCGGGAACTGAGAAGGTCTCGTAATGGATTATTTGGACAGCTGAGTTTACCTTAAGAGCACTGTATAAAGAGGTCGATCTACAGCTGCGTATTGGATAGTCTGCTGCTGCTTGCCCAGCTACAAGTACTGCTGGTCTTGTGAAGATAAGTAGCACAGACATTTGTGAATACTGGGGATCCTTGAAGGAATACCGGTGTGAAGACGATAATAGTTTAGGACATGATGGAGGAAACGAGGGGAAGTAAGAATGCTCAAGACCTCGACTCTGATAGACAAGAAGACTCAGCCAAGTTCAGCATAAGTTTAGGACGCCCTTTAGCTACTGTATTTGGCACACTGATATAAGATCTGACATTCTTTTGCTTCTCCAGGGAAAGAAAGAACGCACAGTGCTCTGGAATCGGTGGACTATATCTCATATCTTTTCAACTGAAATAAACAAGACTACTAATAGAATCACGGCCTCACGACTCTCTACCATAAACTCCCAGTGTTTGGTAATATCATATCTCATAATTTCATGGAAATTCTATCAACAAAGCCCCAAAAGCCTGCGCCAAATCCCCTTTCAAATCCTCCAAGTCCTCAACACCAGTACTAATTCTCAACATCCTCTGATCCTCCCCACGGCTCGACATAGCACGCCACTCACACAAACTCTCAACACCGCCCAAGCTAGTAGCATGCTGGAAGATAAACAGCTTGCTCGGTAATCGCTTCGCATGCTCTGGTTTCTTCAGCCATAAACTGAACACGGGGCTGTGACCACCTGGCATTTGTCCCTTCAGCCACTCCGCATCTTGTTGGATGGATGAATGTGCAATCTTGTGGACTATACGTCCGATGACCGAAGATGAGTCTTGAAGGCCGGCGTTGAGCCATGATACGAGCGCTTCAGCAGTTTGGGACTGACGCATCACGCGTAGGTGAAGAGTTCGCAGTGATCGAATACCTAACCAACCTTCCAAACTCCCCATGACATTCCCCAATACCATTCGTTCATCTCTCAACGTCTTCTCCAAACCCGATTTGACTCCCTCTGGAGAAACAATGACAATACCACACAGCATATCAGAGTGTCCGCCAATATACTTCGTTCCACTATGCATAACCAAATCCGCACCAAACTGAATAGGATCCTGCAAAGGCGGCGGCGCAAGCGTAGCATCAACAGTAAGAAGTGCCCCAGTTTCTTTCGCCTTTTTACTAAAGAACGCAAGATTACGAGCTTCGCCTGTTGGGTTCAGTGGTGTTTCGATATGAATCATATCTCCAGGCCCCGCTTGATCTATCTCATCAAGAGAAAATTTCCCCAGACCGTTGAGTTTGGTCATAATGTCGATTACAGCGTGAACACCGTGATAACCCTCAGAAATAAAGATTTTCTTTGGATTTATCGCGATTAACATTGCGTGAAAAGCTGCGACCCCGGAGGAGTAAGATACAACGGGGTTTTTGAAGAGGGTCTTGAGGACGATTTCTAGTCTGTTGTAGTTGGGGGCTGTGTAGCGAGAGTAGACGTGTGAGTCGAATGGAGCATTTGGCTATAAATGTTATGTTATGTTATTAGCGTTTGGGGAAGGGTGAGTGAGGGTGAATGTACATCATCGTTCTCCATCTCAACGAGATCATCTGGGTTGCGGGCGTAGCGGTAGTTCACAGCGGAGTGAAGAGCTGGGGCGATGGCCCGGTGAGGACTGACAAAGTCATCTGCGTGGACTGCTTGGGTTGAGAAGTGGAAGTTGGGTAGGGCTTTGGAGTGAGCTTCTGCTGTGAGGATGAAGTTGTTGGATGCCATGTTGAAGCTAAGTTAGCGAACTATTGATATTCTGGTGCTACCGGGGTTCTCTTCGTTGCTTGAGGAGATGACCGACTCTCTTATAATATTTCATGCTATCGGATCTCGGTCGGAACGTCGGTTGGTATGTAGATGTTCACTATGCTGTCTTGTCAAGATGGCTGCGAGCTAATGTCATGACATTAGAAAGGGCGTGCAGTTGTTGGCTTATCTCGGTCCGACACCGGAGTTCGGTATCATGAAGTTTTCCCAATTATCAATTCGACAAGGTAGCAAGGGATAGTGAACTTAATTAGTGAGCTAGAATAGATCTTAGATAATCGTTCGCTTACTCAGTAAAAAGATATCAGAAATCCTGTTGGTATCCTCAGGCTAACCTGGGACTAAACATCGTGTCTAATTCCCTCACCTTATCATACAACTTCTTAAAAACCAAATCATCCAAAATCGCCTCAGCACGATGATAAAAAGGTCTACGAAAAGGGAAAAAGGGCACAAAACATTCCATCTTGTCCGACGAAAAGATTCGCGAGTGGAAATCAGCCTGCAGATCGTACTGGATCGAGTATACAATAAAAGGAAAGTCATGCGCAAGTATGAGCATTTGTTCCTTGATCTGGTCGTCCTTCAGATTCTTTTCCTTCAACGAGAGGTATTTGTCTGAGCTGAATCCGTTCTTCTTCATGATGTCCAGGTCTTCCTGTTTGAATTTTAGGGCTCTGGTCCCGAATTGCTCGGGGCTGGTAGATGCATCCCAAAGGATAGGGCTGGCAAAGTCGTTGCAGCATATATCCAGTTTACCTGTGATTCTTGTATCGGGGCTAGCGAGATCACGCTCAGCTAGGAAGAATCTCTGCCAAGCCGTTTCGTATCTATACCTTGTGTCAATAGCCAGAGACTAAAAAGAGTTAACTCTCGCTTACCTCGTCATGAGGGAGTTGGTCTCGGATGTTCCAAAGACCAAGTTCTCAAAGTTCTGACTTGTGGAGAAACCTTCTGGATCATCGTCACCAGTAATACCTCCCCAAGAGAAAGCCGAAAGATGGAGCCACTGCGTCGAAAGGTCAATGTTAATGCTGTTCAGGGACTTGAGGTATAGTACTTACTTCCGCCGGGAAAACGCGAGATTTCAACCGCTTACTGCCCCAGCCCATGGCGCTACCAATCTACTCGAATGTAAGTATGCCGGGAGTTAAGGGGTGGCACTGCCAACTCACCTCCGTCGCTGAAACACCTCCCATGATTTCCTTCTGACCCGCCTCATCAGGTCGTTTCCCAGCAGCTCGTTGGATCTTCTCAACATCAAGGTCATTCCAAAGGAATGCTGTTCCGCACCCAACTTGATATACCTTCTTCAAAGCCTTGAAGCTTTTCTTCCTCTTCTCCCTCTTCTTCTCAGCCTGAACGCGTGCTTTCGCATTGAGTTTTGTCAAAGGCCGAGGCACTTTTTTCGGAAACTTTCCCTTGAGATTCTTCAAGTCCTCATCTTCTGAATCGTGACTTTTACCCTTTTCTTTGGCGATAGATGCTTGAAGGTCGATGTCAGCGCCGCCGACTTTGAGCATAATGCCATTGCAGAGATCGTATAGCTTTTTGTTGATGCGAGGTAAGGGGCGAATAGGTGACCCGGTCTTCTCCAATGATTTCATGTACGCGTTCCAATCTTCCTGGTGGATATAAGTCTCATAAAGGTTGAAAGGATCATGCGAAGTCTGTAATTCATGATGATATTAGTTGCTTTTTGTGCGATATGTGCATAATGTAGGATTTCTGGACTTACCATAATGTAATCCTTCTGCTCTTGATTCGGGTAGATTTGAAGCTTCCATTGATACAAGCGATTGCGACCCGGGGAATCTGGATCGGGAGTATTGTGAATAGCGTCGATGAGGTCTTGGAAAAACTTCTCCGGAGGCATAGAAAATCTATCCCGTATCATAAGCTCATGATGGGCTTTCAATGGCTTGATAAGTATCGGCCATTTAAGCGAAATGTTGAGATGGCGCACAGGTTTCCCTCCATGCTTTGAAGTAGTGTCAAGGATGCCCATCTGAGGAAGGACATCGTGCCAGCCCTGCCAGTCTTTTGACAACTTGATTCTGTCAACCTTATTGGTCTTGGTTCTTATAGGAATTGTCGGTAGCCCCCGCGAAAAGTTGGGTTCCCAGTTATTCGTGCGCTTCAAGAACTCTTCTTCCAATTTCTGCCACGCTGTTAACTCCGACTCAGAGTCCCTGGATGAATAAACACAGTTAGTATTACCCCAATGAAGTATTTCTGAAGAACCAAGGATCTCGAGCTCACATTTCCCCGGTCTCTCGCAACCAGTCAATTGCATCTTGAGATCCCAGGACAATGAGGGCAAAAAGCGGGACAAAGAAGTCTTCTTCGAACTTATCTTCGAACAGGTTACGGTGATCTTTGTTATCGGCCTCGATCTTGATGTAAATAGGCAGTCGCTTTGCATCTGGACCGGCAGGATAAGGTGCGTAGAAAGGGAAGGGCTTCTTGAACTCTTCAGGGTTAAATTCCCAAACAATAGCTTCGAAACCTTTCGTGTGAACTTTGCGCCATAGGTCTTTACTAGAGCGAGTTCTGCGCCCAATGAAGTCCTTGGCTTCATATTCATTGGCCACATAATCGTGGGTCTGATGGCTGAACGGAGGTGCTTCTGTATCCATGTTACTCTCCATGTCGGTAATGGTGGGATTGTGGTCAAGAAGGTGAGCAGTATTGTTTCAATATAGTACGAGGTGATTATGAGAATCAGTCTTGGTTACTGACAAGCATATATTATATTTCATATTGAAGAAATCGCGTATTTGTCTAGTTATGACCACTTAGACTAGTGGAGCAATGCATTCCTTGTTCTCGAGCCCAATTTACAACGTGGTAAGCGAGAATTGGCACATGATCGGCGATTGCCCCCAAGTCGTAAGGGCGTCAGAACTTGCGTATGCAACAATGTATCGATGGTTGCGGTCATCGTCAAAGAATGACAGCTACAACACCCAGCTTTTACGGCGCAGATAGATAAATCATTAGGAATGTGATATGAACCAGCTGAAAAGAACAAGAGATGATGCCGGAAAGTAAAATGTTCGAGACCCTCTTTCAAGCTTGTCTGGAGTCATGTTTCCACGGTCTGACCCATAAGGCTCCACCTTGACTCCTTTTACAAACTGAGAGTAGACGAGAAGGCTAAGGAGAATCCCAGAATGATGTCAAGCTCACATTGAGTTTGAGTTGTGCGGGACGGACCGCTTATGGGCAAGCTGCTCGAGAAGGCATGCTAGTGATTGCGGAACTCGGCGCTCTCTGGGTATCAGCACCACCAACACTACAGAAGCCCGTATATAACTACAGATGTGGGTTTCAAAAAGGGACTAAGGAAGAACGTAGAGGTCCTGGCGTATGTGATAATGTGATAATGTGATATTGTCGTTCGTCCAGCTGAATTATTTAGACTTCCGCGTACGGAGGACTGGGCTACTATGTGACACTTTACAATAAGTTAAAGCTACTTATAATTGAGTTTATATGCAGAAATATACTCTATATGGCTGATTGTGCTTCTTAGTCTTCTATCAACTCCTTCTCTGTAGTTGAGCTTGCTTGATAGAAACGTGGCTTGCTGCGTCCGGATTTGGTACTCAGCTGAAGTGATTCAAGCCATGCTTGCCGTTTTCCCCGTTTTTATGTCGAGACTCCTGAATGGGGTTATATATTCCGACGTATTTACGGGGTGTAAGCCTTTGTCAGCCTGGTCTCGAACAGTCTCTCTGAAACTCAAAACATGCCAACCTGACTTGGCGAGAAACATCACATACCATACCTAGTTGTCTTTGAGTTGCATTTTGACAAGTGACAAAATACATCATGGGTTCTGAGTGATGGTTTCAACACGAGAATCAAATCATTCGAATGAAGATGAATAGCTAGAAAACAAAGCTCAACTAGCTGCTTACAGTTTTGCCTTGGGGTCCTCCTCAGCAGATCCTCCATTCTCGCTATCATCATACTTGATAGACATGAACTCACCAGGATAATACTTAGCAGCCCACATTTGCGCCAGCATCTTCTTATCAATGTCCTTAAGATAGTAGTTGATGGGAATACCAGCATTTCCATCCGCAGCCTTTCTTAAGTAATCATCCAAAGCTGTCATCATAGAATTAACATCAAGAATCTTATTCTTTTCTCCGTCAATAGTTGCCAGAGTACTCAGAGAAGCCTCGATCTTCTTGCCCTGCATTTCAGATGCCTGGCCAGTTGTTCGGGATGCTTCAGCCATGGACTGGACGGAGGCTTGGTCAGAAGAAACTGCGTTTTGCATAGCAGCCACAGCCGCCATGTTGGATTGGGGGTCAAAATCGTTGAATTTGCTGACGGCGGTTGCGACTTCGTTGGCTACCATAGATGGAATAACGCCCATGGTCAGGACTGTAACGTGAGACTGGATGTTCTGCTGGCTCAGAAGATTCTTCACGTTGCTGGCGAAGTTGGAGTCAACGCCGACTTTGCCTTCTGCCTTGGCGAACCAAGCACCGACATTCATCGTCTGCTGCATCTGCGAGGCAGCGGCCTCCATAGAATCTGAAGCAGACGAAGTCGTCGTATTGAGCACGTGAACCATTCCAACGAAGCTCGATCCATAAGTGACGCCTGAAATGATGGAGAACTTTTCTTTGTCTTCCTGGCTCTCGTTCATGGCACACTGCATCATGCTTGTTCCACTGGTCGGATCCAGCTTGCTCCCAGGGAAGAGGTGGTTCCAGACTTTGATAGCCTTATCGACATGTAGCACGAACGGAGCTACAATCGAAGCATTCTTGTGCGTGCAACTCACAGACAGAACGAGAGTACCTTCGATACTGTGCGAACTGACCTGACGACTGACTTGTCGAGAAGCCGCGTTTCCAATCTTCATCGACTGCTTCGCCCCAAAAACACTACTAACAGCCCCAGAAACATACGACGCAATCTGAGCGCTATACGTAGCAGAATTCTGCGAATTCGAATCGAAAGAAAAATACTGAACATCCATGTTCATCGTATCATTCGCTAGCGCCATGTTCCTAATCTCACTGCGCATATAATCAACCGGACTCTCAATCTGCTTGTGAACAGAATGGATGTCCTTTCTTATAGCGGTGATCTGAGGTTCAGCTGCCATTTTTGCAATGGCATAAGCACCAGCTGATGCTTCAACAGCGACGTTGAGATTCTTGAGCTCTTCGTCGAGAGCGTCGGTGCCGACGCCGAGATTTTTGAGCTCGGTTTTTGTCATGGTGAGACTGCGCTTTGAGGAGATGAGGGAGTTGAGAGCGTCCTGGGCGGCGTCGACGGGGGCTTGGAGTGCGGAGATTGCTTCGACGCTTCTGAGGGCATCTTGGTTTACGACACTCATGAGAGTGAGGCTTGAGTCGTAGGGGATGGATGTAGGCATAGTGACGGGATATCTGAGTTCAAGTGAAGTGATTTGAGTAAATTGGAGTTTCACAGAACTGGACAAGTTTGAGAATATCTGAAAGAAAGAGGAGTAGGAGATGTATAGTAATCTTGTTATGAGATTTGTATACTTACGAGTCTCATGAGCTCGGCAGCTTTGCAGAAGCGTTGTCTGGGCGATCAGGGGGAAGCTAGAAGTTGCCATGCACCAAACGTTCTGCGAGAGCTTGACGAAGTCCAAAGCTCCAAGCACATAAAAGCCAATTCACCGAATGGAATTGACAGAAAACATCAACTAATGCTGCGGCTATAGTATTGGTATGTGTTTTCAGCTCGTGGTTACTAGGAATGTTTTCCAGCGTCTAAATGAGCTTGCATTGTTTTTGTAAGTTCCGCCAAGAAACAATAAGTCTGTAGCAATGCGGAAGTCTATCAGAGGGGTAAAAGAGCTACTTCAAAACGAGAGTTTCTCGGCAGCCTCGCCGTAAAGTGGTGTGAATCCCATTCCAGCTGCCAGGCTAAGAGCTTGGAGCTCGAGGCTGGCTGACATTCGTAAGCTTAGGGTCCTCAAACTCAATTAACATAACTTCCATACTTCATCAGTAACTTCAGAGCTTCAGCTTCAAGTGAAATCTGCTTACGTCTGACGGAACACGTATGGTGGAGTTGTTGAAGTGTCTTATCACATTCGTCGTTGGGGGAGATGTAGAGAGGTGAGAATGTAACGAAAGCTTCATCTTCGCAAAGCTAACTCTGTAGGATGAACAATTCCTGTTCCGGACGGCAAAGAAATTTGAAGATATGGAAGGAACTGATTGAAGTCTAATTATTTAGCTATCATCAGTGCTTGCTTATGTCACTTCGCTCCAGCTTTTCCCAAGTCGGGCAAACCTCGACCAATTGCGCAACTACTGACTTGGAGCCAGTTACTACAGCGCGCCTCAGTTATTCTAAGGAGTCTTGGCTCACGCTAGCCAAATCATGGTATATATGACCATAAACGCATTGCAGCCAAGCCAGTCATAAGTACAGACTTCAACCACGTCGTTATGTCTTACCAAGAAGCAGTTGACGAACTTGAATATTCTCATATCCAAGAGCCAACTATCTCAGACTACAACCAGCAGATCACTCCCACCGAAGCTTCAATCACACAAGCTTTCAAAGTCATCCCAAATCCAATGCCTGTCCAGTCAAAGGTTGCGCTTAATGTGCCAGACCGCCTGTTTTTCAGGTTGAACGAGTATGTCAATACCTTATGACTAAATCTGACCACCATCTGACTCTCCTCATAGACTCATGAAACCAACCAAAGATCTTGGATCTGTCCTCACTACCTTCAACTATGGCCTCTACCTGCTGGCTTACTTCGACTCCAAAGCCTACAATCTCAAGTCCAAAGCCCTTTCATTTGTCAGACCAGAAACTGCCTTCACCGCCCTGCCTGTAGCTGCCGAAGCAGAGTCATCTCCCTTTGCCAGATTGGGCTCTGTCGTTGCCAATGCCAGGTTGACACTAAGACTCTTCGGTCTACTCCCTATCTACGTTCGTGCCAGGAAGCTGATTAGAGACTCAAAGAGTATGGACCCTGTACTCTACATCATCTCTTTTATCCAATGTTCTCTCTTTGCGACGTTCCAGCTCCTCGAGAATATCGCATTCCTCACAGAGAAAGGTGTCCTGATGAAATGTGGTCTGGGGTGGCTCTTCAACGGCACAGGCGGACGTGTAGCAAACATGTACAGGGTCGCGCACCGTGCTTGGTTCTTGGGCATAATCTGTGATTTTGCCCGTCTCATGCGCGAAGCTCAGATATTCTTCACAAAGAATCATCTTGAGAAAGGCGAAATCACTCGAGAGGAAGCCGAGAAGGCTGTGCAGTGGTACTATGATTGGATTCGTCCTCTGGCATGGTTACCTATCGGTTGGCATCTTTCGGGATGGATGGGAGATAAGACAGCGGGATTCAACTTGGGAGTTCAGGGGGCAGCGGGTGTTTTGGCTGATCTTAGAAGGACTGCTATGCTCTGGCATGCAACTCAGGAAGCCTGAAATATCTGCGTCATCGAGAATATTCAAACAGTGTGAAGATGTGTCATATGGATAGAGTCCTTAGTACAGGGATTAAAACGCATTTAACCGCGGGGGTGAATAGGGGTTTCCGGGTGAGCGGGAGAAACTTTTAGCCATTGTGTTAAACCAGAAGTGTATTTGCTAACCTTATAATTGACTCATAAACTCAATACCGCCACGACCTTCTGATTGCCCCAAACCTTCTTTCCAACTCTCCTTCCCACATAATACCGACATACATGTCATCTCGAAACCTTTAATCAACCTTTTCTCGTACATCAGTGTATCTCGATAAATCTGACAGCTATACGCCTTACCTTAAAGCCAAATATGCATCATCTACGCAACCTTCGCCAGACTCTCCCCTATAGCACAGTCTTCTATTAACTTATAGGCAGACTTCTATCTATAGGGTAATTAGTAACTTAATCTAAGGCATATTCTTCCTAATTAGCTATATAGCCTTTTCCTTCTTTTCCTTATTTAATTTATTAAGGCTATTTAAGGCTATCTTTTCTTGCCAGGCAACTCTAAGGACCTCTAGATAGAATATTCTCCTATTAGCTATATAAGTAAGGGTATTATAACTAAGGGCTACTAGTTAGATAAGGATATAACTATTAAGCTAATTATATTCCTTTATATTAATAATATAATCTATAGCATTATATTATTTTTAAAAAGCCTTATAGCTTTTTTAAGTTTAGAAGGTTACTTTATATAATATTATAAGTTATAATATAACTATAGCTCTATTAATATAATTATTAATATAAGTTTAGTCTAAATAATATTAATAAAAGACTTCTCTTATTAATATAAGAGCTACTATCTTACTTCCTTATTATCTTATAAAATCCTTAGTTTTTATAATACTAAGTTAGATTATCTTAATAGATTTATTAAAGCTTCTTATACCCCTAAAGTTAGGCAAAAGATTTATAATCTAGGTTTTATTCTTATTAGTATTTATATTATAGTAATTAGTTAGGTATTATGGTATAATGTCTAAATAGTGAGCTAGATGTGTTATTTGTAGTTAAGACCTGTAGCTGAGAGCTTATAATCACCACACAGAACTTAGAGAAACTTTTAGTAGTGGCGATTGTAGTTTCATACACAAGTGTCTAGGGCTAGACGAAATATTTACAAGTACATGTTCCTAATTCTCTTTCTGACAGCGATACCAGAGATTTGTGGGGTTTTCACAAAATCACCTCGTCTGAAATGAGCGCTTGCGAATGATAACTAACAACCCCATCAGGCAGGAGATTACTATTCACTTGTTACAACATTCCAGTTTCCAATTCACGTAATAGTTCTTGGGTGGTAACGATATATTTAACTATACCACGTTTTCAACATAAGTTTCTTCACCAGAGGTCAAAGAGTGTCTACTGTATGTATAATGTCGAGGCGTTGAAAGAAGCTCCAAGCCCCAGCAGAAAGTTAAAAGGAGTGTCTGATCCATGGAAAACACGACGAAGATTAGCTAATATCTTTGCCTCTGCATATTCCCTGTTTCCCGCCCTCCTCTTGGCTACTATCTTATACAAGTTAACATCACATACAACCAGCGTAGTAAGGAAGGCTTCACCGACCTAAATTCGTAGCCCCTAGCTTACTTGGCAAGAGCAGTCTTGATTTCGACGTGCTTGACAGCTCTCATTTCCTGACCCAGGGCAGCGGCACGACCAGGGAAGTCACAGTCCGAGCCTTGACCCTTGCAGCACTTATCAAATCCACGAAGATGCTCAGAGATTGAGCCAGCTCTGCAGTCGTTTCCAGAGTAAACGCCATGGTAATCGTTACAGCACTTGTGAGTTGCGCCATTGTTCAGGTTGCCGTTGCTTCCGTAGCACTTGCATGCTTCTCCAGTGGCGGAGAGCAGGGCGGTGACGCTAAGAATAACGAGCTTGGAGAGTTGCATGTTGGCTAAGGAGGAGAATAAAAGATCTGATAAAAATGTTCTGAGGTGAGAAGATGATTGTTGTTTGATCTTATGAACGCTGATATGAAGGCTCAAAGGGGGCTTTTGTATACCTGTCTGAACCGCTTCTTGTTTACCATCTTGGTCTTAGTCTTGTCTAATGGTCTGAGGACAGCCATTTGTCTTTGTTGGTATCGACAGACTGACACAGGATTTTTGGTTCAGTGACTGTATTGTTTGTTGGTTGTGACCATGATCCTGCAGATTTACTACAAGGGCATAATGGGTCGTCGGGGCTAGTAAACCGAGGAAGCCGGACTTATGTCCTGTTATGTTTTATGTTCTTTGAAAGTCTGAGCCTTTTGACGAAGCCTAACATCTATCACACTCATAGTTCCTCCCACTTTCAATAATGAGGCCCTGTTCTATCACAAACAGTCGCAGAAAGAAACGGATTACTTACTGGAAGAGGGCCTCTTGACGTTGCGACGTTCCATAGTTCCCAAAGAGCAAAGGTCAGGCTTCGCAAAATAACCCCCAGAAGGTCTGTAGACTCGGTCCAATGGAAGCCCGGATGTCCCATGATGCAAGTTCCAGTCCAGCGATTTCGGCATTCGACAAATGCGATATGCAAGGATGCACCATGCAGTTGAGGAGCAAAACAAGCTTGACTGGGATCGGGAGGACAATCCTCCAATCGGGCCAGCCGGGACTGATAGCTCAAGCGAAAGCCCCTGCACAACCGATGGTTTTGATTGGAGTTCCCAATACGGCCCGTACCGTAGTAGAAGGTATTCAAGCTTTTATCAGACCATGTCTTAATTGCATGGTACAACCAACACATGTCAACTTTAGTCCAGCCCACATTAGAGAGATCCGTAGACTCCTATTGGCGTCTCTAATTTGCTATGACTACAAAGTGGAGGCTGATAAGAACCGAGTGAAGCACTCAGCCAACACAACTCAGTAACCTTGAGGACTAGAAGTTTCAGACATTTCGCAGAACCAACAGCGTCTGTGATATGAGTTTTCTGCCACCACAATTGGATGTTTACGGCAATGACGTGCCGTGAGCGGAATTCTCATCCAATATGACACCTCTTTACTGTTCAGTCTGTTCTAAAGCCAACGTTGGTTCTCTCAGCTATTTTGTAAACTCTACGATACAAATTTCCAATGCCAGTTAGCTCATCTGCGCACCTACGAGCACGATTAACTAGATTCCATCGAAAATACCTCATAAACGATGTTCAGCTCACGAGCCTACAACAATACCCCACAAGCTTCAATTGCGCTGGCTTTGCTGCTCGCAGTAGCAACAAGTTACCTCTTCCGCCGAGAGGATGAACTTTTGTCGGAGATTTTCTGTTGGGCATGTCTACCAATGATATTTGGAGCCAATACCTTTATGGAACAAGCCCGTGCAGATCTACCCATCAGGCGTGAGACTCGGCATGCTCATTCCTCACCGTTGTCACTGTGGGCTGTTGCGGGTTGTCTTTCCATCGTATCCGGATGTCGAGCTGAGGCAGATAGTTTCAAGCTCTTAGTATGTTCGATGGCATGCTCTGAAAGAAGCTGATGGTAACAGAAATGCGTAGCCTGTTTTAACCCCCTTGCTTCTTTTGGCAGAGGGAGGCCTGAAACCCAACACCCAGGGGCACGATACGACGGGCACTTCAAAGCTCGCCCCCCTGTCCAGTAAGCTCTGGATAGCAGCATTCATTGCTGCTCTTTTGACCTTGGTTCTGATTGACCGGAATTACTCTGGACTTGTGCCTTCTGGTATTGCTACTGGCGCCTCTTTCATCGCCTACGTTTCGTTTCATCCAAGAGCAAAGAGTGGTCGCTTCTTACCTCACCGGACTCCCTTCGAAAAGTATGTTTACTCTCTTGCACCAAGAGTGACTGGACTCCTTTTAGCTGGTAGTCTTACCAGAGTATCGATCTTTGGCTTTCCACGATCTAGTCCCTTATACGCGTTGTTCCTGGGGCTGATGAAAGCACTTTCCTGGCGATTTGCTTCCCGAGCTGTACGTCATCCACTTTCCTTCCATTTGTCTATGGGCTTCTAACTCCCAAGTCAAGGCTCATCACACATCATGGACTCTTCCGACTATGATGACCATATTTGGTCTTCTAGCGACGCGCAACCCGTTCGATTTCACATTTGAGAGTCAAGCTTTGTTAAATGCTGCTTGTTCTTTGCTTTGCCTTGGCCAGATTGTTGGTTTCATCCCGAGACAGCCACGGCCAACCCGATTCTTGTATGCCTGCGTTATGCTGCCGATGATCCCATTTCTAGCCAATATTATGGCCATTTATCACGCGCGAAACGATGCTCCTATCTTCACTCCGGAGACACCACATCCAGTAATGGCCCTGTTCAACAAAGCAAAGAAAGAGTTCCAGAACCAATCTAGCATGCAATCCACAACCTTCGAAGCCGCGTGGCATAACTATCAGACCAAATACGGTATGGAGCCGCCACCAGGCTTTAAGGAATGGTACGACGCTGCACGCTCCAATGATTCACCATTGATCGATGAATTCGACTTAATGTATCAGACAATATCGCCGTTCTGGAGGCTAAGCGGGAGTCAGGTTCGTGATGCTATGCTCCAAGCAAAAAGCCTTCCTGGAAGCGATTTGTGGCTTTGCACGTTCTCAAGCACATCGTCGACAACTAAATGCAGTCACTCCCATCGTACCTTTGACAGGCATATTTCTCGAATATTCAACAACATCTTGGCCAATTTCACTAGGCTTCCTGATGTGACGTTTATTGTCAACCACATCGATGAACCTCGTGTTCTCTATAAGCCTTCCTCCGAAGCATCTTCCTCCCACGATCGAAGAATAACTGTTGAAGATCGCAGCCGACAACCTACATGGAATATATTGACCAAGAACTGTGGTCTTGAAAGGAGAGAAACAGATGACCGACATGACATCAATTCCTTTGGCCTACCATTCGTGACCAACATCTCCTCAGCTCAAGACCTCTGTCAACACCCAGAATACAGCGCCTCACATGGTTTCATGATGAGCCCTGTGTCCTTTCGCCCAATCCATGGCCTAGTTCCTATCTTCTCAACCGGCAAACTATCCTCAATGGGTGACATTCTCATTCCGAGCCCAGCGTATACCGAGCAAGAATTCATTTACGACGAGTCAAAAGATGTTGATTGGGACCGAAAAAGAGACAGCCTCTACTGGGCAGGCTCAACTACCGGAGGTTTCGCGCTTGATACCCACTGGCAGCTCTTCCATCGACAACGATTTGTCGAACTCACACAGAATTTGAGAACGAACAAAGGTCATCACTACCTGCGAACGAAAGGTGGTGTTGTGCAGAAAGTTAAATCGTCTTTTCTAAATGGCAGACTGTTTGACGTCGTCTTCACCCGCATTTTTCAATGCCATAGAAAGGCCTGCAGAGACCAAGATGCCTATTTCAACACCAAATCCTGGGTGGATAAAGATGAGGCCCTCAAGTCAAAGCTTGCCTTTGATATCGACGGGAATGGTATCAGCGGTCGTTATTACAAGCTACTTGCTTCCAAGTCTGTACCGCTAAAGCAGACGTTATTTCAAGAATGGCATGACGATCGACTCATACCTTGGCTGCACTATGTACCTATTAGTCAAAGTATGGAAGAGCTGCCGGAGCTTGTTTTTTTCCTCACCTCGACAGCACCTGGAAAAGAGGTCGCGAGGCAAATAGCAGAGCAAGGTCGGAAATGGCACACCAGAGCGTTCCGCGAAGTCGATATGGGTATCTATGTTTACCGGCTGTTGTTGGAATTAGCAAGGCTTCAGGATCCTCAACGCGAAGCAAACGTTGCCAAAACAATGTATTTGTTGTAAATAGGATCGCTTGTGCATTTTCGATCATCCTTTGAAGTCAAGCTATGGAATTACTTGCTGGCCATAAGGTTAAACTTTAAGCTGCCAACACGGGTGATTGAACAGAGTCGACAATCGCAATCAACTTGGCGAGCGGACCAATCAGTGCCGAACCTCCGGAAGGATTCAAAATCTGGTGCCTTTCCAATTGAGATCTTGGGTATGATATTGGATGATTCGTGTGAGAAGGAGGGTAAGCAGCGGGGTTGCATACGTAGTGCTTATTCGTATGACTTTTTGCATCAGCTATGTCCGAGTCCGAGAGTGTTGGAATAAGTATAAAAATCGTTAATGCCTCGTCTTTTGTTCTGAAAGGCTCGCATCGGGTGATATCAGTGTTGACATCTTGCTTTAGAGTATGGCTTCAACTCAGAATCCTGTTCGCATTGCTATGCGCGATAAGCACTATAATGAACGCTCCGAGATTCAGAATGCAGCTATGAAAGCTGGCCTGGATTTGATCCCCAGCTTTTCAGACAGTAGGTAAAACTCATAAAGGTAGCTTGGGAGTGGTTGGATATGTTCTGACCTTTAGTAGGAGACAATTTGGTGGTCGTTGACTATGGGTCTGCGCAGGGTGCCAACTCGTAAGCCTCAAAACCCAACTTTGCACTTCCTCGCTGACGCTCTCAAGCATCGAACCTGTCAAGAAAGCTATCTCAACCTTGCCAGATGGCGCCATTGCTTCTCTCATCTTTGAAGACACCCCATTCAATGACTTCGGAACCTTGGCAAATACTGTCTCGGATAACTTTACCAACCAAGACAGCAAGATCCAGATCATTCCAAGTCTTGTTCCGTTGGGATTCTATCAGCAGGTGGTCCCAACAGGTCAAGTTGACATTGGCTTCTCCTGGTCCTCCTTCAACTACCTCGAGAAGATTCCTTCTGTTAGTCTTGACGCAACAGCTTCACCAGCTGAGTTTGCAGTTGCTCGTCACAAAGCCCTAGCCGCAGCAGCGCACACAGACCTGATCAAGCTACTCACGCTTAGGGCCAAGGAGACTCGGAGCGGAGGATACTTCATTGCTGCTATCGGAGGTCAGGCACCTGAAGGAGAGATTACGCCTTCCAAACCAGGATCCCAAGTTCTTCAAGCCGGATTGATGCGCATGGTCGGTGAGGGGAAGCTCTCGCTGCCTGAGCTGATGCAGATGGCTCTCTTCCCAAGTCATGAGCGCACGCCTGATGAAGTGCGATCTGCTTTGAAGGATGAGGCTGTCGCAGCGTTATGGGACGTGGAGCCTATGGAGTCGAAGCTAATCGTGCAGCCAGCATGGGAAGTCTACCAAGATAAGATCAAAGCTGATGAAAGTAAAAAAGACGAAGCCCTGAAGGAATACGCCCGGGTCGCCATCAACAACGTGGTCTCAGCCTCCGGGTGGTTCTGGGTCGACGTCCTGAAAAGATCCAGAGGTCAAGATTGGGACGGAGGCGATGCCTTTCTCGAAGAATTCATCAACATCACAGTTGAGGAATTTGTCACAAAGTTTGCGGACTTTAAGTTGGAGATATGGTACAACTACATCAAGCTCAAGAGAACCGATAAGAAGGCCTAGAACTATTTTGGCAAGAGGGTAGCATTCGATAGGAAACTCCATGGAGTTCTCGGAGTGGATGGCATCACGTCATATTGAGCATGTCGATTAGTCAGATTGAACTCCACGGATTTCCATAATATACAGATAAATGTGACAGGCAACGACTCTTCATTTGATACAACACAAACCCCATTTCAACACTATCAATTCACTGCATCGTCATCAGAATACAATACGAGCTTAACATGACACAAATTGGAATCTTCCCCGCTTCTGGAGCCCTTGGCACCAGCACATACACTCATCTGCTATCTCAAGTTCCTAACGACCAAGTCACGCTCATCAGCCGATATCCCGAAAAAGTCCCCAAAAAATATGTGGAGAATGGGACTACCGTTCGCCAGGCTTCTTACGAGTCTAGCGCTGCAGAACTCGAGTCTGCCTTTGCAGGGATCGATGTCCTCTTCTTGATCTCGTATCCTAGCCATGTTCACGAGTATAGGACGAAAGTGCACACTAAAGCACTTGATGCGGCGGTCAAAGCACGAGTAAAGCATATTTTCTACTCATCGCTTGGATTCGCGTCGATTAATGAGAGTACTACCAAGGCTGAAGTCATGGGTGCTCATCTCGACAGTGAGGCGCATCTGCGACAGCTTGCGAGCGCGAACAGTGGATTGACATGGACGAGTGTCCGAGAGGGACTTTACAGCGAGTCATTCCCAATCTACACATCATTCCTCGACCTAAAGAACCCACCATCCAAGATTCTCATCCCTCATGATGGAAGTGGACCTGGAGTAAGCTGGGTCAAGAGAGATGAGCTCGGAGAAGCGACTGCACGTCTCATCGCTTCATACGCGAAATCACCATCTTCATTCAAATACACCAACCAGATCGTCACTTTAACCGGTCCTAAATCATGGACGTTGGCAGAGACCGTTGAAGTCCTATCGCGCGTGGCAGGAAAGGATTTCAAGATCCAAGAAATCAGCGTGGACGAGTATATCAACCTCCCTCAGATCAAAGAATATTTCGGAACGGAGGAAAAGGCCAGGACGTGGGCTACAGCATGGGACGCGATTCGCGCTGGAGAAACAGCTGGTGTGACGAACACGATGAAAGAGATTCTGGGAAGGGAACCTGAGGATTTTGAGAAGACTATTGAGGAATACGCCAAGAATCAGCGGTCAGGTTGATAGAATTTCGGTGTTTGTTGAGGCTGAACGGTGAAGATACAAGAAGAGAACTTTCGTGGAACGGTGAATACAATGCATGATAGTTCTATTTTTAAATGTGGATAGTCTCTGTGCTACAAGGCATGACGCGGTGAACGGATCTGCGCCTCATTTGGATTAGAGTTTGTCGATGAAATGAATTCATGCGACGTCGCTGTACCACCCATAAAATGCATTCTAGAAACAATATAGGAAATACAAGAAACATTTAAGATAACTCAGCTGAACTAGATAGCAACTCAATGACGGTAGGTAGCCCGTAAATGATCCTTCATCCGCTCCCGTTCCGTTAGCCGCAGTGGATCTTGCATAGATCTCGGCATACGTCAGTGGGTATTTATAGCCCATCGCAGCATCTGGTTTGTTCTGTTGTCAAATGCAGGGGTATTCTACCGGCACGTTGCAGGCGATCCTCGGCACATATGCCGTTCTTTACGAGATAGAAACCCATCATGTGTTCATCACCATACCTCGATCTCGTATCGGGGAGGCAGTGAAGTGGCGATGTTTTTCAGCTAGCCTCAGGGAGCAGGAAAACGTCTGACCCTAAATTAGGGCGCCAAAATAATTAATCTACAATCAATTAGATTTATACTAAAGATACTTAGGTCTTTTTTGCCATTTAGGATAGAGTGTCTTAAGTTTTCTTACCTCCTGAGGCGGAAGAATTTCTATGTGAAACACTCCGAAAGACCCGACAGTTTGTAATTGGATGTAACGGTACGGTGACATTAAAGGGGAAAGATACTTACAGGGGATAGGCCGTTTCATTGAAATGATGTCAGTAACTGCCGTTGCACTCCTCATTTGCCAAAAGATCAACTGAAGATCCCTTGGGACCTCGTATTCACATTTATATAAGTCCTCACCACCAACCACTTTTTACCTTCTCAGTCCAACCCAAACAACGCAAAAACATCAATCAAAATGCAGTTCAAGACTCTCTTCACAGCCTCTCTCCTCAGCGCTCTCGCCGTCGCTGCGCCTGAGGGCACAAAGACTGGTCCCGCCAAGTCTGGCAACTCTCCCGCCCCTAAGACTTTCGGTCTCGTCGCTCTGCGATCCGCCAGCCCTATTCACTTCACGCACTTCAGCGCCTCCGAGAACGGTTTCTTGCTTGGCCTTCCCAAGGATAAGCAGAATGCTACCTGCACTGGCAAGTCTGACGGATCAGCTGTCTTCCGTCTGAGCGAGGGTGAATTGTTCCTCTACAACACCGGAAAGAAGCAGCAGCGCGCTTACACTGATCGCTCCGGAATGGGTAAGTTTTATTTCCGTCTCACACGCAATTGAATAGTGTCTAATGCGATGCAGGACAAGGTGTTCTTCAGTATGCCACCGTCACCGACAACGAGCTTCCCGAGGCATTCGAGACAAAGGGTTGGAAGATTGACAAGGCTGGCAACCTTAACTTTGCCGATGCTAGCGGTTTCACTGCCTGCCCCAACGGCCCTGATGGCTCTTGGAACGTCTGGGTTGCTACCGGTAACCCTCGCCCTGGATACAGCGAGAAGGAGTGTCTTGGCTTCAACGCCCGCGTTGCTGAGATTGAGCACGCTGTTAGCTGCGTTTACTCCGAATACTCCGGTTAAGCTAGGGCTTGGATCATTTATGTATATACTTCTAGAGCGTATGCCTTTCTTGTAAACTGATGAGATCATGTTTATTACCTACCCTACATCTAAATATTCAATTCATGCAAATGCCAAGTCATCTCCAATTTTATGGAGTAAAACCGGATCACCGGAACTCTTAAACTTCCGCTATTACACGTGACCTTGCCGAAGTCTTTCCGTTATCAGATCATTTGGTTCGATCTGATAAAAAATATCTCAATCAACCCCTGCTTCTCCCCAGTTTCTTTCACCAGCCCAACTGCGGCGCCATGAAATTCGCAGTGTCTCTGGGCACGCTGCTCATCAACCTCTCACTATGGACGTTCATCGTTGCAGCCGAAGATAGATCTCCTGAGAGAGTATGCTATGACGCGTGTTTTGCATGCCTAAAGCCCGTGCATTTCGACGACGTGTTGCGGAACCAAACGGGTTTTACGAAAACATGCTACAGCCCCAAAGCGATACTCTCGCTGTATTTATGTCTTGATGTTTATTGCGCGCCTGGGGCAAGAGAGGTGGGCTTGGGACCGTATAATGAGACGTGTAGGGAGAAAGCGCATGTTGTTTTACCGCCGTTTGACGTGATTTCGAATTATACGGTTGAGGATGTTGAGAGGGTGAGGAGGTTTGAGCAGAATGAGACGGATGAGGGTGTTTTGTTTAGAGAGGTTGTCGTGCCTTCTGAGCATTGGTTTGGGATCTGGTGGGATACTTTGGTAGGTCATCTGAGAATGAAGGTTGAACGAGACTAATTGTGATGCAGGACTCTGTGGCGTATACTTACACATACCACGATGTCTACGGGTAAGAATACCTCCAGATGTCTCAGTCAGAATGCTAAACATGAACAGGCGCGCCATGATCACCTTCTGGGTAGTCGTAGTAGCCATCGGCATCTTGAACCATGCTATTCTTTATATAGCCAATCTGCAAATGGTTCGCAACTATTCTTCACAATCAGGCGGAAGACTTTGGAACTTTTACAATTGGGCACTCAACCGAATCACCGTTCCAGCAACATTTGGAAATCGATGCGCACAGAAAGTCGGCTGGGGAACCGTCCCTCCTCAAATACAATCTTGGACCTTATTTGCTTTCCTGCTTCTCAATATTGCGTTGAGCATCCTTGGATACAGGATCGTACCAGTCAACATGTAGTAAGTAGCGGCTGATCTTTGACAGTCATATTGGCCAGGGACTCACACTACTGCAGCTTCCCATCGACAACGAAACAGCTCCTTCGATATGTCTCAGACCGTACGGGTATCATCTCGTGGGCCAACTTTCCAGTTATCTGGCTCTTCGGAATGAGGAACAACCTCCTTATGTGGTTGACTGGCTGGGACTTTGGAACGTATAATAACTTCCATCGCTGGGTTGCTCGGATTGCAACTCTTCAAGCGATCGTTCACTCTATCGGCTATACCTGGTTGATTGTCTTAGGTACGTCATAACTCTTGTCGTGGACTATTTACATACTAACTCAATGCTAGAGGGAGGATGGGAGTATTATCTATTCTGGTGGAACTATATGTTTTGGTGGGTTGGCGAAGTGGTATGTTTTCTCCCATCGTCGGCTTCTTGCAATTTCGTCTGACATGTTAAGGCAACTATCGTCATGTCGCTTCTCGTTGGAGCATCCTTTTACTGGATCCGGCGTCAACAGTACGAGCTATTCTTGGTCGTACATATCATTATGTCCATCATCCTTCTCATCACAATGCTTGCGTAAGTCCATCCCTCCCATCACTACCAGCCTTGTCTAACAAATCAGCCACGTCTCCATCTTTCAAGGTGAATACGACGTGTTCTTCTGGGTTCCATGTTTCATCTGGGTCGGCGACCGCGTCATTCGAGCTCTTCGCATCGCAGCTTTCAACCCCAAGCTATGGGACACCTGGGCGACTTCCATTTACCATCCATCCTCCAACATTGTTAGACTTGTCGTTCCATGGTCAAACAGTCTGTACAAACCAGCTCCTGGAACCTTTTACTACATCCACGTTCTCAACGGCCCTCGATGCTGGGAAAGTCACCCCTTTACCGTGGCAATGGTCACGGATGAAGGACAACGTGCTTTGAAGCTCCTCGGCGAACAAGTTCCTCTGCTCGACGGCACTGTCGCTGAGCAAAGCTCCGATCCCGTCGACTCACAAGACATACTCAGCGACTCTAGCACAATGACATTCTTAATCCGTCCCTACGACGGTTTCACCTCAAGACTTCGCGATACCGCATCAGCAGTCTGGCCCAAGAACGTTCCCCAACGCGTCCTCATCGATGGTCCATACGGCCACACCCGTCCCCTCCAACTCTTCGACAACGTAACCTTCATCGTCGGCGGCAGCGGCATCGTCGTTCCCCTATCATATCTCCACCTTCTCACCGGCCCAACAGCCCCTCGCTCCGTTAAAATCCACTGGGCTGTTCGCGAACCCGCCTTCGCACTCGATGTTCTCCAAACAGACATTGCTGATGCACTTGGGAGTGCGAATCTTAGTGTTGAGATACATCTTACTACGCATACTCCGCAAGATGAGTTGAGTGAGTGGCCGTCACAGGTTACGTTGCGAAGAGGAAGGATAGATGCGTCGGATGTGGTGAGGAGGAGAAGTGAAGAGGTGATGGGTGAAAGTGTTGCGGTTGTGGCGTGTGGACCGGCGCAGATGGCGGATGATGCGAGAAAGACGGTTGCTGATTTGTTAAGGAATGGAGTTATGAGGATAGAATACTTTGAGGAGAGTTTTCAGTGGTGATAGAGGTACATTCGACGTTAGACTTTACATACACGTTATCATGAATATCATTATGCTACTCTGATGTCAATAAATCGTGATATCTACAAGCGCGTCCTCCCTGGCTGTTACCTCGCCGTACATAACACCATGAGTATAACACTCACCCATGAGCTTCCAGCCCCCGTTGAATTCTCTGAGTATGAGTGGCGTGTTGCAACCCCTCAGGAGAACGATCTTATCGTTGACCTCAGCTGCACATGTTCCCAGTCCCATTCTGCCATTCTTCGTCCCAAAAAGCCTTCTCCACGCCATCGCATTAATCGCCCACGACAAAGCCTCCCGCTGCGCCTCAGTCGAATTATAGTAGTCATCACCAACAGTCATCCTCAACTTTGTAAGCCATTTTTTGTGACCAAATATCAACTGCTCCAAAGTGTAACCGCATAGACTGAGGTGTTGATTTCGTACCATAAAATCATGCAGTCCGAAGCCATATGTATACACGCCAGCAACGCCTCTTTGCCATAACTTGTGGTTAAGAAGCCATGAGTAGCTCTCTGGTGCACGACCACTCTCTTCTGAAATTGTATCAGCCACTATAGTCCGCCAGAGCGCTTCTCGTGTACTTTCAATATTTCCGTAGATACTGCAGTCCGAGGCAAAAGTGTTGTCAGGATAGCGCTCATCGCATTCGTCGATATGGAATGCGCTCAATGAAGTGATGGTATCTATAGCTATCCCCTTCACAGTGAGAGCCATATTCGTAATCACTGGCATCGGAATCGCGGAGCCAAGATTTCTGTCCGCATGGTATATTCCTCGAAGTTGTGCTGTTGGCGCCGGTGAACAGGACCAGCATATCGCCCAAGAAGGAAGGCTATGCTCGCAAGGTGTTCCAACCGGAGTCTTTTCCTGTAGTATAGTAACACTATCAAGCATGGATAGTAAAATTGGTGCAATAGAACGATGTCGTGCAGCTGGAGGCAGATTATCTGAGGTTCTCTTGAACGGGACATACCCACCATGACCAGAAGCTAGGCGGAGAATATTAAGGTCTCCTTTCGACAAGAGTTCCTCTGTAAAGTTGGTATAAATGGCTGATAGGGAGAGTTTGTAATCGGGCTCAATATGAACCCTATCAGCAATGGCTTTGATACCAAGAATACCATAAACCCTATCCTTCTCTTCCGTGACGAGAGAGTCACGCGCAAGATTTAGTGCACGTACAAGCTCTCCCCATTCAGTTGACGTAGACGTAATCTTTTGGCTGTTTTGGATCTGCGTCATGGTCTGATGAATCTTCCACATTCTCTCCGGCGCACAAGTTCTTTCATGAAGCAGTCTGTCTTGAGCGAACTCAAACGACCACGCGGGTAAAATTCGTGGTTGAACAGTTTCAAGAATCTCGCGACCGAATCTCGACTCATCTGCGGAGATGATGCCCACAGCTTTGTATAGATCATTCCACGAGATACATGCATTGCCGCAAAGCACAGGACTGTTCATGTTACCCATTGCGACTTCTTGGACTATCCACATACGGCGCCAGTATGGTCTTGTGAAGAAGTGGAATAGCGCCCGGTAAACGTCCCTCTTCATTGGACTTTTGTACCTGGGCCATATGATGATCAGAGGGCGCAAATCGACTGAGAACTCTTCGTAGTAAAAGTTCTCCATCGGTTCTGCTTGCTGTGACTCACGGGCTAACCAGTATAGCGCAGATATAGCTAGTGAGCTCTTATGCTCTTCGGGACCAAGCCATATAACTACCTGCCAGGCAGACTGGTAAATATCACGCATTCTAGTGACCTGCTGGCTGCGCTCATCGAGGTCAGCCTGGTTGATACAGATTGCATCGATCCAAACTTTGAACCCTTGCCTAATCCTCGAACTTCGACTCAGTTGCGTCAGAGCAAAGTATAAGTTTGGTCCAACTTCGAAAGCAACGCCGTCAACAGTGATGAGGTGAGGAGGTTCCCCTTCTTTTCTCTTCGGATATCCCCATACATATGACAAAGCGATAAAATCGCCCCATTCGTGTCTCCACGGTAGATCATCTTCTGCAGCAAGTCCTTCTTGAGTCGAAAGGGCCATGCTCCCTACGCTCGCATGCGGATCTCGATCATTCTTAAAGAGCACATCGGTATTGGGTGTGACAGAAAGCTCAGACCACGTTCCACTCCCTTTGAAATTTTGATAGGACGATTCCTTTGCCGCCGGTGGCAGACAAACATGTTCAAGTGAGCATATTATTGAATGGCTCTTGGCGGTGTTGGCCGCGTCTTCAGCAGCCTCGATCTTGAGCACGCGGATCTCGTCGCCATGTAATGGAAGATACAAGAAAGGGGATGCCATTTCGGCTACTATCAGTCGAGAGATGATATGTGGGAACAATAAGATCCATGTCTTCCCCATGGTGTTGTTGACATGTCAGGCTTATTGCGTGTCGGCGCTTAAAATGGAGTCAGGATAGCGAATCAGAAAGACACCCTGAATCCCTGTCAGATTGACAGTAGATTGGTATTAGCCCTTGTTCAATCTTGATGAACTTTGACTGCTTGGAAACATAAGTCGATGGCAGAGATCAAAGTCAAACATTTTTTTGGATCCATACAAGTACACACATTCAGCGAATTACGAAGCTAAATGATAAACCACGTGTAATTAAAGATATAGAACGCAAGTCGAGGAACTGTCAACATTATACCTATCCTAACAACAGTTAAACAAAAAGAAAAAACGAGGTAACTGATCATAGGGGGATGAAGCAACACTTGATAGGTATAGGGCAGGGAATAATAAAGCAGAAGCGGCCACGACACCAGCCGTCGCAGTCTTCACCGCCTCTTAGACTGAGCTCAGGTTCTGGGTTTTCTTGAAGCTCCTGGATATCTAATGAAGCGAATTATTAACTATTTATAAGAACCTCAACCCTAGAATACCGGCAAATATACCCATAGGCTGGTGCGCTCGTGGTTGAACCATTTCCATGGACTCAGGAGTGTATCCTTGCTGATTTATGCCCGTAGGCTGAGCAGCTGGTCGAGGTGCTGAGATTAGAGGCATATTTTTAATAGATATAATAATGATATGAATGATATTCAATGTCAGTGGAAATAATGGAATACCAAGACTCTTGTTATGGCAGAAGGAAGAAAGACCCAGTTCCTTGGCTTCGGGTCGATGACCCATATTTACCAGCTGGCTGGGCCCATCGCTTATCTGCCCGAAAACTTGGAAGTGAGATCATGGCGTCACCATATGACTTCCACTACGAGCTAAAGACAGAACACATTTCGTCACCTTTTATGCCCGGCAGTACGCTACGAGGGACAAGATTGTTTAGCTGACGTGTGTAACTAGTCTACCTTGCAGGGCACTAAAAGCGCCTGAGGAGCCCTAACCTTGATCTGCGTCGTCACCCAATCCTGCATCCTCTTGACCTGCGAGATCGCATACAAAACCGCCTGAAAGAACTCCTCATCCCAGATTGCTTGACTAACAGGGTTCAACGCCTCGAGCCCAACACGCAGATGAGCCAAATACACTTGCAAACTTCGCAGCGCTTCCAACACTTGCAGCTGACTTGGTGTATTATCACTCTTGGGGAACAACGAGTCGCGCAGCGTATGAGCGGCGTGTCTGCCACGGGCCTGATTCTCACCAAATTTATCAACTTGTGGTTTGAGACGTTTGGTTGTGTCTTTGGTGATTTGGATGAGAATTCGGACGCCGGAGTGAGCTTCTGAGTCGGCTACTAGATGGTCTAATAGATACTCCGTGATGTCTCTTAAGAGTAGAATGGACTCGTAGGTTTCGCCTAGCCAAGTCTCTAGTTCACGCTCGCGATTGCTGAGATCGCTCTCAGTGGTATTCGAAGTCGTGGCATCGTTCTTTTCTGCCTTTGCCAAGGCCTCGGATTGGCGTTCCTTTGCGGTTGGGCGATCATTTGGAACTTTTTCGATGGAGATAGCTCCGGATTTGAAGGTTGGCTGTTTAGATATGGGATCCCACTCAGCTAGAAACTGTCAGTAAAAGCAAACATGAAGCTCTGAAATAAACATACTGATGGTGAGCTCATTCGCTGCTCGTGCTCTTCCATCCTTTGTGTCCCAGTATCCGAAATGGAACGGGATGAAAGCCTGTCCTTGAGATATCTTCCCAACTTTCACCTTCATCTCAACCTCACCACGTCTGGACTTGATTACCACCATGTCGCCGGTCTTCGCATCAAACTTCTCAGCATCCTTCTCAGAGATTCGAATCTCAGGTTCGGGACAGGCTTTCTGCAGGGCAGTTCTTCCTGTCTTGGTCCTGGTATGGAAGTGATACACATTGCGTCCAGTTGAGAGTCTCAGCGGATATTGATCATCTGGGTCTTCATACGGAGGTACGTAGTCGCACGTCTTGAGGATAGCACGACCCGCTGGTCTGAGCTCTTTGTAGTACTCTGCGGAGTATGGAACACCAGTCTGTAGATCATGACCATAGCTCTCGCAGTAGTCTATATCAGTGAAGAACACGCCGTCATCGAATAATCGCTCTTTACCGACAGGATACTGCTCGTTGCAGGGCCATTGGATCCCAGAGCCACCTGTGAGCTTTGCATAAGACATGCCTGTGTAATCGCAAGGTCTGCCTGCAGATAGACGTTTCCATGCCTCAAATACTTCCTCTGGCTGTGTCCACGGAGTGAGAGGCCCGCCTTCTTTATTCTTGAAATCCATGCGACGACTATAGTCTAGAAAGATTTCGAGATCCGGTTTGGCTTCTCCAGGTGGCTCAACAGCTTTATGCGATAGATGCACAGTCCTATCAACATTCGTGAAGCAACCTGTCTTCTCACCCCATTGAGCGGCTGGGAGTACAACATCAGCGATAGAAGCTGTCTCTGTCATGTAAATATCCTGACAGATAACAAAGAGCTCTGGTTGAGTGAAGATGTCCCGGACTCTGGGAAGGTTGGGCAAGCTGACGAGGGGATTCGTCCCAGAAACCCAAACCATTCGAATCGACCCTTTCTCCATAAACGTCAACATGTTATGAACATGAGTCGGTTCATTCCAGTGCGGCACTTCGATTTTATTAATGTTCCAAAGGTCTGCCAACTCCTGCATGTGTTTCGCGTTCTGATGGTTTCTAAAACCAGGAAACTCTCCATCACAGCCTGTCTCACGGTTGTTCTGAGCAGTTGGTTGGCCATTCATCTGAAAGATGCCACTTCCAGCCTTACCAATCAAACCACGAAGGAGATGTATGTTGTTGATCTGACAAGCACTTGCGGTAGCTTGATTCGACTGGTACACTCCTTGAAGGGCTGATGAGAGAAGACTCGGAGTTTGGCCGAGAATACTGGCGGCTTCTTCAATCTTACTTGCCGGAACGCCCGTGATTTCTTCCACTCTCTCGGGATCATAACCTTTGACTATGTTCTTCAAATCTTCAAGACCGACGACATGTTTGGAGACATAGTCCTCGTTGATCCAGCCGTTCTTGAACATGAGGTGCTGAATACCGTTCAGTAAGGCAAGATTGGTACCGATCCTTGGGGCTAGGTGAAGCGTAGCCTTTGAAGCGCTTTCACTGTATCTCGGATCCACGACGATCAACTTTGGCGGAGTAGGGCCCGCCAGTCGGTCGAGGACCCTAGACCAAAGAACAGTCTGGGTAGCTGCCATATTATGGCCTACCATAAAAAGACAATCGGTGTAGTCGATATCAGTGTAAGAACCAGGCTGTCCATCAGACCCAAATGACTCTCTCATTGAAGCTGCCGCCGTCGCAGTGCAGAGCCTAGTATTTCCGTCCCTGGACGCATCAGCATCTGGTCTCTTTCTTGAAGCAATAGCGAACTCACATGTGAAGAGTGTTTAGTCCAGCTTTTCCGATCAAAGCAAGCACGTAGTATTCTTCAAGAAACAACTGGCCACTGGTGTAGAAAGCGATGCTATGAGCCGTAAGTTTCTCAACGAGCTGCTTTGACTTTTTGACAATGAGATCCATGGCCTCATCCCAAGTAGCGCGCTCAAGTTTGCCATTCCTTCGGATCATGGGATGAGTGAGCCGTTCCTTACTGTTGATTGCCTTCCATCTAAGTACCCAAAGTCAGATTCTTGATGTCCAAGCCACTGCTCACGGTATAACTTACCCATTAAGTCCTTTGGGACCCAGTCTTCCTTTATTGACACGATCGGTAGCACGGCCTCTCACACCGACTACCTTGCCATCTTTGACGCCAATGTCAAGTCCACAGCCGTTGCTGATAATTTGGTGTTAGCAAGGTAGGCTATCAGCAACCATTTTTGTGGTGACTCACCTGCAGAGAACACACGCACTCTGCACCCATTTCTCCGGCTCCTCGTCGCAAGCATGATCAACCCTCGTAGGCCACTGATGAACATACGGTGTTCTCGGCCCCCAAATATCCTCAATTGAGTCTCGAGAGCATATCGTGGGAGCATCTCTGCACGGATCCATCTTGACGTCGTCAAAGAAGTAAAGAGATGCTTGTCCGAGACTAGCCAAGTTACTAGAGGTAGATAGACCTCGAGATAAATCGGTAAGATTTTCTGGGCGGTCACAGCTCCCCCAGAAATTTGTAATGCGACACAAATTACTGGGCTTTACCAACCTAGTGGTACCGAGGATAATTCGGCGATTGTCATGTTGACAGGATGATGCTAGCCTGACGTTGTAAGTGACGTAAATGACTATTTCCGTGATAAATAGAAAACTCAACAACGAGTTAAATCTCATAAATTATTTAGCGTATGCTAGTTCGAATATCACGATCCGCATTGGGACAATGCATCTCCGGCGCTCACATATCATGAATATCCAGCACTGCCGACCGGGCTGGGTAGCTGAAGTCTGAAAACATCACCACAAAAATGACCACAACATACTTTTCCGCACGTTCAAAATTGGAGTCAGCAGTTCGGGAACTCCAAAAGAGCCGAGGACAAAAAGTTGATTATGAAGTTGTGCCAATTGAAGAAGCTGTCGGTCGCGTCTCGGCATGCGATCACTTCAGCCCCATCTCAACACCAGAATTCGACACATCTGCCATGGACGGCTACGCAATTCGGTCAGAGAGCACGAAAGTAGCCTCTCAGAAGTCGCCAGTATTCTTTTGTGTCAAAGGAACTGTTGCTGCTGGCGACGACTCTCCTTCGTTGCCTATGGAACAGGAATGCGATGGCCCAGAACCTTGTTTTGAGATCATGACCGGGGGACGATTTCCAGAAGGTGAAGTTGGAGAAGTATTCGACGCATGCGTCAAGGTTGAAGACACTGTCAGGATTGCGACCAAAGAGCCAGGGCTCAGGAGGTGTATCGCCATCAGCAAGCCCATACCGAGATACGCCAATCGTCGGTTCGCTGGTGAAGATATCCAGAAAGGGGACCTTGTACTGAGGAACGGAATGACTATTCGGTCATCAAATATCATGCCCCTCGCTTCTGTAGGGATTGACATGATCCGCGTGCGCAAAAAGCCTCGAGTATGTATCTGGTCGACTGGCAATGAGTTGACCTCTCAAAAGTCTCATGTTAGAGACGTCAATGGGGTTTACCTTACGGCAGCATCGAAAGAAGCCGGAACAGAAGCGGATTTCTTTGGCTCTATAACAGATGAAGTGGAATCACTTGTCCAGGAAATACGAGACCGTTTGGAATCTTCGCCCATGGATCTTATGATTACCAGCGGAGGTGTATCTGTTGGCAAATTCGATCACGTCCGTCAGGCATTGGAACTTCTTGGTGCGACCATCGTCTTTCACGGTGTAGCCATTCGCCCAGGCCATCCAGTTCTCTTCGCACTTCTCCCCTCTGCCTGGGGAGAAGTAGCTTTCTTTGGGTTACCAGGGAATCCTGGTGCAGCAGCAGCCTGCTTCAAGTTCTTGACTATCCCCTACATGAAGTATCTGCTGGGTCAAGAGCTGGAGAGGCCTGTCCTTGCTCGTCTAGAGAACCTCGAGTTGGGCAGTTCATCAAGAAAGAGTATCATGGATGCACCCAACAGAGGACTCAGCTGTGATAGGTTTAGACCTGGTGTTTTGCATGTGACAGGAGACAAGGGACCTACAGTCTACGAAGGTGCCGGGGTATTGGGACCAGCCAAGATGGCACCTTTCGTGCAAGCAAATTGTTGGATTCACATCAAGGCAAACGAGATTATCGAAACAGGGCAAATGGTATCATGCTATCCAATGAACGACTCGTTGATATCCTAAAATACATTTCTCACAATACTTCCAAGGGTTCTTCCATGAAGTTGTCAGCTGGCTCATCTCTCAGTGATTTCAGCGCATCATCCCATTCCGACTTGATGTTCACGTTTCGTAGTAGTGCCTCCGAGTTTTCAGGAAGATACGTGTGGCCGTCAAGTTCCCGAACAGCCTTGCTGGGACTGAGCTTTCCTGCTTTGCAGTTCTCCTTGAGCTGGCTGATAGCTTCTGGGCTCCAAATTCCCAAGAGAGGCTCACAAAACCCTTCACTATTGCGGAAGCAGGTGACCGGTGGTCTGTAGCGTGATTGTAGTTCTTGAAGAGCAGATGGAGTGATGCAAGGGTAGTCGCAAGCCACAACTAACCACGTCGCTTCAGGATCCGACTCATAAGCGGCAAGTAGTCCTGCTGCCGGCCCCTTCGACTCATCCCCTTGACAGGACTCTAAGTCTAGAATAATCTCGATGCTATTTTCTCCTGGGGTAGCTTCGTACGAGACTTTGCTGGCGTTTTGCAGAAGCTCGTCCATCTCAGAATCTTGAGCAAGAGAAACATATACGGTCTCCGCTACGGGACAGGCCTTGCGTAGAACCTCGATTTGGTGTTGATATAAAGGGCGTCTATCAGGCATAGGTAACAGATGTTTCGGAGATCCCATTCGAGTGGATTTTCCACCTGCTAAGATGAGTGGCTTCATGGTTGTAGATTTTGTGTCAAGCCCAGAACTTGCTTTTAACATTGACGGAATACTTTAGGTTTGTTGGAGCCGGGAATGTAGATATACACAAATAATAACCGAGGGCCGATCTCTTTGGAGGATAGGATCCACCGGATGAGATTCTCATGGGAGGCTCATTATGACGCGATATCGAGCTCAAGAAGTCGATATAAGCCTGTTAAATCAGATCATAGTACACAAGTAAAGCGTACGAATTGGAAAGATATTTTGCAACCTTTGAGGGCAATCTCAATTAAGACTGATTCCCATTATCATCCTAGGTTATTAAATCTCAAAACATTAACTTCACGAAATGTTTGGGCGAAGACAGCGAGAGAAACTTCCACTAAAACTGCTCCACCATGAGCTAATGTGACGTAATACCTTATATAATCATTCTTCTCAATATTTACTATTCAGAAGAAGCTCATCGAGATATCTCTTCATTCGGGTCACCACTATCGTTGAGACATCTAACAAGCATCTCAAATCGTCTACAAAATGGCTTCAGCTATTCCCCGAACCGTCCGGAGCATCCGCGCCCTACCAAAGAGGGCCAATTGGGCTCCCGCTGCTATGCGGCCTCTCGCTCAACCCATGGCACGTCGACTCCTCGCGACGACGACCCAAGAACAGCCTCGTCTGCGATTGGGATCAACAGGTACTACAGGCAGCTTTCCATAGTGAAAGACAATGCACTAACATCGTGATAGCCCCCAACTTCAAGGCTCAGACTACCCACGGAGAGATTGACTTTCACAAGTTCATCGATAACAGCTGGACCATTCTGTTCTCTCATCCTGCGGACTTCACCCCGGTCTGCACGACTGAGCTGGGAGCCTTTGCGAAGCTGAAACCGGAGTTCGATAAGAGAGGTGTCAAGATGATTGGACTGGTAAGTACTCTCATTCTCATTCTCGCTCAGATGTAAAAGTATTAATGGTCAATGATTAGAGCGCCAATGATCTCAGCTCCCACGACAAGTGGGTAGAGGACATCAACGAAGTCTCAAACACAAACCTCCAGTTCCCCATCATCGCCGACGCAGACCGCAAAGTCGCCTTCCTCTACGACATGATCAACCAGGAAGACCTCGACAACATCGCCGAAAAAGGCATCGCTTTCACCATTCGTTCAGTCTTTGTCATCGACCCTTTAAAGAAGATTCGCTTGACCATGATGTATCCTGCTTCCACGGGTCGCAACTCAGCCGAGGTTCTGCGTGTTATTGATTCTCTTCAGACTGGTGATAAGAAGGGTGTTGTTACACCGATTGATTGGCAAGTTGGCGAGGATGTTATTGTCCCACCTTCTGTGACGACGGAGGATGCGAAGAAGAAGTTTGGTGATGTTAGGGAGGTCAAGCCTTACTTGAGATTCACCAAGGCTTAGATGACTCGTAGCACAGTAGGGTGTTCATAATTAATGAAGAGAGTTATATAATTATGAAACGAACGGCACCGTTATGAAAGAGTTTGTGGAGCAGCAGTGTCAATTATGACGGTGTAATGCTTACTACGACGTACAAAGTTCCAATATCTGTATCATCCCGTTGCACATGATTCATGTCCAAAATGCCCTTCGTTGAACAAGGAGTCCGTGCCGCTTTGTCTCACTTCGTGGCTGTCTGGCCTCAGTCCTCAATGCGGGGGATCTGTCCCGGCAGATGTCCATTGCGTCATGGACCTAACTATAGGCGAACTCAATATCGAGTCAATTTAAGTCCCTTGATCAAACTCAACTTTTTCATGGTAATTGACTTTTGGATATGATATTTTTCTGTCGGCTTTAGCCATGAAGGACCGGAATGAGACTCTCACCTTAGAGACTCATCGGCGTGTTACACGCTCCATGATCAAGAACGATGTGCGTAACACAAAGATGACCAAAGTTGAGAAACGCAAGACAACGTTACGAAAAGTACCCGCAGGAATAGTACTTTCGGCATCTCGAATCCCCCCGATCTCCAAGGAACGATTTGGCCTCATCCAAGAAACTGTCGGAACAGATCTGTACAAACTTCTCGTTGCAGCCGTTCTCTGGAATCGTACTCGAGGATCACAAGCCCGCCCTGTTTTCCAAAAGCTCATATCCCGGTACCCAACACCAAATCACCTCGCAGAAGCATGTTTCTCCGACCTTGCAAATCTCATCCGTCCAATAGGACTCTACAACTCCCGCGCCGCTCGGTTCATCGCCTTCGCCAAGACATGGCTTGACCAACCACCCCATAAATCAAGGCGGTACAGAAAGCTACATTATCCCCTGCAGGGCACTGGCTTAGACATCGGCAAGGATGAAGTCTTGGATGAAGATGATGAGAGACAGGGCTGGGAAGTGGCACATTTGCCGTCGCTTGGTCCATACGCCATTGATAGCTATCGGATCTTTCATCGAGACATACTGAGAGGTCTAGCTGACGACTGGAATGGCTTGAATGCAGTGCGGGGGTTTGAACCTGAGTGGAAGAGGGTTCTGCCACTTGATAAAGAGTTGAGGGCTTATCTTCGATGGATGTGGCTGAAGGAAGGCTGGATATGGGATCCTGAAACTGGCGATAAGATTAAAGCTTCAGATGAAAGGATGGAAATAGAGCATCGTCGATCAAGGAGTTTGTCTCCAGAGGGGTTTCGAGTACCCCGTCGATGAACCCTGCAAGTCTTGTCTTTCCATAGCTGAAAGGGATCGGGCCTTGAGCAGTGGTCAATCATGTCTCAGACATACTTCAGCTCCAATCCTTGAAGATGACTGTCTCGAATCTAAACCATGGGCTTCCTCCTTGCATTAGCTTTCTTTCCTCGCCCCACGGAGCTATTCAGCTGAGCAAAAGTCCCCGACTTGCATGTAGTGGTGTCATAGATTCTTCTCCCTGGATAAGTACTGAAATCTTACGACCGCACTGCCGAATGGAGGTCTCTGCATGGCGGCAGTGTAAGTGAGACACGGCATACACATTCCTCGAATTTGTCCGACGGTCCGGAGAGACAGATTACCCGGTATCACTCCATTCTGTGTTACGCAACCTTCGTAGGGAGACGAAGGCTCCTTGCTTCCCAGGCAGTTTGTTATGAAGCCCTCAATGCGGGGTTGGATCGAAGGTGCTTTCCCGGGATTACTTTCTATGAGGCAATAGCCGTGATATTAATGAGTTTGACGATTGGTTAAATCAAAGTCACGGGGCATGGGGGCTTTCTAGTGTATGAGCAGTGTATATAGTGCCTCAAAGTCTAAGTGCAACAAACATACATTCTCTTGATTAGCTTTATTTACTTCGTTGAGACGTCGGTTCCGGGTTAACTGAAACTCAATTCAGGCTTGTTATAAATAAAAGAAATTAGAGGAAGCCTACAAACTTGATGGTTAGGTACTGCACTGATGCGTTGGACATGTAAACAACTCACCTAGATCATCGGTTTTTAGGCTAGAACCGCCTTGGCAAAACGATGCTCCGAACTCAGTGTCCCCGAAGTCTTTTATCCCCAAGGTTCCGAGGGCTTATCGGCCATTCAGCCCAAATGAGATCCGGCTACTAAGTTCTATGTGGTGATTATAAGCTCTCAGCCACAGGCCTCAAATGTGAATAACACATCTGGCTCACAATATAGACATTATACCACAATGCCTGGCCAATTGCTACAGCATAAATGCTGAGAGATCTGGCTACATGTCACTGATCCCTCCCAGCATGGCAACGAGGTCTCATTATACTGTTCATTACCCTTAAATAAGCTTCCGCCTCCGGAGTAGCCTTTAATGGTTGATATCATGACTACCTAGAAGCGAAGATAAATCTATGACAGCGTCTTCCCATTTTTTAGTTTAACGCTATATATATAGTTTCCTCAATTGTCCTCCCACAGAACATGCCAGGCGCATACCTTTCGGTTTTTAATTCAAACTCTCCACAAACACAATCTTCCAGACTCAACGAACCTTGGTATCCATCATGAGGTTCAAATTGTCGTTCTCTCTCTTGCTTCTTCTCGGACTTCTGGGACACTTTGTCTTGGCTGGCCTACTACCCCTGAACCCAAACACTGGCTACCCTGAGACCAAAGACCGAAGCCAGAAACATCGCTACCCCGTTTCGCACTTCCGATATCAAAACAATGAAGACAACTCAGAAGCAAAAACTTTGCAGCGTCGACGTAAGCCTCTACCTCCTGCTAATGCGGGTCCAAACACGAAGCCAACCAGCAACCTTCCACCCATGCCTCACAATCTGTATGGTGAACCTGATTGGGCCCACAGCTGGATCCAGAGAGACGGTGAGCATGAGGCAGTTCGCAACCTCAATGTGAGCATACAGCAAATCAGCAAATCGCCAGTCATTATCAAAACTCGACTACAGAACGCAGGCAAATATCACGTTAGGTTTTGGGGACCTGGGTCTCCGATAAGCCTGGAAGCCATTGAATATGGGCTCTTCAAAATCTATGCAGACGACCTGAAGGCGAATTTCGGGCAGGCGACAAAAGAGCGCAAGAAGAAATACGAAGGCTTGGATAAGGACGATGATACTATCCTTCACCTGAATCCGTTTTCGGTTATCGAGCGCGACTTCACATTCCCAGGGCACTCCCAGTCAAATGTAACATGGTACAAGATGTTAAATGTTGCAGAGCAGGTTAACGTCACTCTTGAGGGAGAATGGTATGGTGTAAGGGCGAGAGGGAGGAAGGCTTTTGAGAAGAGATGCATGAAGAAAAAGATGGTTTGGGCGAATAAAAAGTTTTGGTTCAAGTCAAATACCCTGCAGCTAGACCTTCCATAACTGCCTCTTTGAACCTGGGGAGTAGGGCTACAAGATGCAAGATTTACAAAATGCTGTATGTCTACTCTGCTATAAGTTTAAGGCTTTGAGTTAATTGTTTCAAGTACGTGTTCAAATGCCGTATATAGGTGAATTCAAGTATTATCCTCAGAGACGTTAAGCCATCCAACAATTTAAACAGGATCTCAGGTACTGAAGCAAAAGTTTCATAAAGCTTTAGGAACGTTAGATAGATTAATCGTTGTCCTCCACTTGCAAAGCCCAAGTTAAATGGCACATGAGGCTAGAAACCTGCCTCGCGCGCCGCCAAGATTGACAATTGAGTCTGAATACTGCGTTGGGGCTTCAACACTAACGCAGCGAAATGAGACATGAGTAGTCCGGATATCTCGATTTCCGATGGCCCGATGCAGGCGGCTCGATCGAGTCAACTTGTCGTGCCACTGCGTCAGTTCTGAGCACAACTCCAGCTCCCCGCCGTTGTGAGACAATGGTACATTCATGGTACCTGGGACGTTCCAATAGGGGCCTTGTATGAAATTTGAGCATCCAGCTGCAATTACCCGATGCCAATATTTCCTCAAACTCAGAAACGAGGAGTTGCTGAGAGAACATACAGCAGGTAAATTGAGACAAGATTGGCGATCGCTCGTATCTATGTCTCACTAGGGGGGTCAAGCCGCTTCCCGCCCGTGCCGTCTTCGACCCCCCTGCATGATTGATCGACAAAGGGAGCATTTCTCAGGTCAGACATGTAAGACATACGGATCATCGGCCAGTACAGCAGTGCAACGGAACTGCGAAGACTCAGGCATGGCTGGTTCACCGTGAGGGGAGCATGTAGCACAGAGAGGCTGGCTAACTGCTGTACATCGAGGGATGATATGGAGAATTGTACGGATGAAAAGTCTATAAAGACCGAGGAACTGTCCACCTATTCTCTCATCTCATCACCCTGAACAGCTTCACTTTCGCACTCTACTACAACCCATCCCAATTCTCCAAGATGAAGTTTTCCATCGCCTCCACTCTCCTCCTTGCCAACGGCATCGCTGCCATGCCTTGGTCTTCCCTCAACGCTAAGCAGTCCAGCGGCGAGGAGATCACGTACGTTCCATCTTGCTCAGGTACACTGCTACACAACTCCATACTAACTATTCATTTACAGTCTCCGCATCCAGGTTTCCCAGCCCTCTTCCAAGCTAGCCTTCTCCCCCAACCACAAGGGCGTCGTCAACGTCCATAACTACGAGGTCTGCCTCAAGGTCTGCTGGCCTGAAGAGCCAAAGTGCCCCGAAGGCTGGGTGAGTGATACTGAAATCTATCTTTCTTTGATTGTTGCTAACTATTTGGTCAGAACTCCAAGAAATTTGTATGCTACCTGGTAGAAAACAAGACCCAATTGTTACTAACAACCTTTAGGGAGATGGAGACTATCCTTGCTGGACCTGCTGCAAGTCTACTGGTGATGATGATCTTTAAATATCAAATTAGCCAGGGACCTAGAGAACTAGGCTACAAATATGATACTAAGACACGGAGGATATGATTTTGAACCAGCATAGCTTAAATGGACACTCGTTACATCTAAACATCGTCTGGGATTTATCTTTGCTTGTGATTTGTGCATGTCCAACTGCTTATGCAGTCGCTTCCGTCCGCCAATGTTATTTGCAGTTGAGACCTGTGGCTGAGAGCTTATAATCACCACACAGAACTTAGCCCGTCAAGGAAGGTAAACTACTAGGAACCATTGATTGGTATCACGTAATACGATCTCAGCCTAAACAGCCCCATTACACGAGCCTGGGGAACTCAACGGTTAAGTACGTATTAAAATTCGGCAAGTCTTGGCTTTACATTCAAGCTTTCTGAAAATCTCCGGTCATATGCAAGCAAGTGAATGCGGCTTGGTGAACTCTTCAACTTGGGCACCAGGGCCAAGACTGCCGCTCTCAGATTCAACATTGGCCCCACGTCTCCATCGCTGGACACCAGCACAGACAAGGGGTCGTCGGTCTCGGCCAATTCTGATCTCAGGAGTTCTTCTAGCTCCCCCGAGGACCCCTGCCGTTAAACTCCACTCGATCGCATGATAATGCCCACATTCTCACAAGCTCCATTGAATCAGGACCGTAGTCGGCGTTTCAAATCCACTTCGCCCCGATTTCTTCAAAGTCCAGTTTAGACTGTCTATACTAGATATCTTGGTTTATCCTAGAAAGAATTACAGCAGTCTGGGGGATTTTCTTCAGGTATATATTGAAGTTCACCAAGTCTGGCTCCATATTTAATCTTATGAACCTACCGTAGCTATGATACCAGCAAGAAAATCGCTTGCCAATTCCTCCAATTTGAATACAAGCCGAAGACTCCCCCTCCTCCATCTTACCAACGATTGCTTGCGAGGCATATAAAGTACAACCTGCTATCCTTGCCTCTCTATGTCAAAGAGCGCGACCGGTTGAAAGCCCATACGCGATATCCGCAAGTTGTTCAATCACTATAGACTGGTGGTCTGAAAGCTTCCCCAGCACCATTTCAGCATACTCCTTGTTCCATGCCTGAACCTGCAGCGCTGCTTGTTCAAACCCTTTCGGGTATACGCCAGCGCACCCCCAGTCGAGGACCCATAACTTCATATCTTTGTCGAGTACTAAATTTCTCGGCGCCAGATCTTGGTGGGTAAGAACTATATCTTTGAATTCGAATCTTGGCGTTCCAGGTGGCAGTTGTTTAACCATGACGCAGACATCGATTTTGTGATTGCACCAGTCTTCAAGTTCTCCCAAAGTGTCAAAAGGCCCTGCACCATAGTCTGTGAACCATGGACCTTGGAATTTGGCATCCTACAGTCGCCCAATAGGCCCGATCGGCATATGATTGAGGACCGTGGTTTGCATCTTCTTAATCACGTCCGCGACCTGCTGTGCGACAGTCTCTTTCGTAGCTATATCATAGGATTGTCAGATTTTATTGATAGCTGGTCCGGGGATGTAGTCCATGACAATGAAATGGCCCTCTATGAAGCTTGTTTGAGACAATTCTGGATACTCTAGAATATCAGCTGTAAAAGTGCGATGAACCCTGGGGACTGGAAGCTGCAGCGCTTCAAAGGCGAACTTCATGTTTTCCGCCTCGCTTTTTGCTACGCCGGGACCACCTTTGATGACAAGATGCTTGGATATACGTGATACTGTGACAGCGCCATAGTGATGAAGTTGAGGCGCCGTCAAGAAACCCGATAGAAGTTCCTCAGCAGAGACAGAGGCGATGTCGCGTTCATCGAGGGGGAAGTTATTGTCTTGATCGATCGATCTGGGCTGTTGATAGTGATTAGCATATCAGTAATAGCCATTTGCTGCCCCAAAACACGTTCTAAACTCACGTCCTGGTATGGCTGGGGTAAACCTATTTCGGCGCCAGGCTGGGGACCTTCCTGCAGAGCGTTTCCATTATGCGACTCTTTTCCAGGAGGTTTCGACAAGTAGCAGCCCATTATTTCCCGAAAAGAAAGGTGGAACTATTCCAGAAGTGTTTGTATAGATTGAGATGAGACTAAGGAGAGCCAGCTGGGAAAGAGCCTCAGCCTCGTAATGCCGCATAAACTTCGTAACTCTAGACATTTAAGTAGGACAGCCCTTAACTTACGATGTCGCTGTACCTATAGTGATGAAATATAGCATTCATTTCTTTATTTATAAATTCAGAACAAACAGACCTCTACTTTGGTACCTGGAGTTACTAAGTATGTATGGTATTGTTGCCTATTCCAAGTCAGACTTCGCCGCTCGCAGTCAATCACGTGACATATATGAAAGGTGCAGGCTTCTATGAGCGTTGAATGAGACCCTATCTTTTGTTCTAGTTGGTATTCTGAGCAACATATAGCTAAACGGACCAAGATCCTCTGGCACTTATTGGTCTTTGGCGTCCTTCAGGAAACAAGAAACCTTCTAACCTTAAGCCAAGGTGCCGAAGATAATTAGTGTCCACTAGATCTATACTAATCTACCGTAGATTTACCCAAGTCTTTTTGTCGCCTAAGATAGACATGCTAAGTTTTCTTGCCTCCCCTGGACCGGGCAACATGAAGCTAAGCTTACCGGAATCTCTCCATCCATTGGCCTTCGCCGTCTTGATTCTTTCCGATAGCTTCTTCACAAGCTCCGCCAAGTCCGGAGCGTGATCGGCGCCCTTGATCCACTTAGCCCTGACTCATTCTAAATACAGTTTAGACTCTCCACGCTAGAAATCTCTTGTCGTTCCAGAAGTCGGCTAGAAACACCGGCAGTCAATTCCTCCAAAACAAACTTGCAGTAGCTTGGCGAAGGAGGCTGAAAAATTTCAGCTGAAAGAAGCGCGCGCCTACGGTGAGGCTCTTTTGACTCTATAACAACATATATCGTCAGTCTCTGGTGACGAGATCGGTTGTCTATCTGGTCCGGGGAAACCCTTTGTTTTTACGTGGAGATTAAAGAGTCTGGAGCAGTGGATTTCTGCGCGAGAAGGCCACTCTTTGTGGGACCATAACGTAAAAGTTAGCAAATCCATTGAAGCAATACAGATCTGGCCATTGCTTGTTTTTCCCTCCATGAGCCGATCTCGCCCAATGAAGGGTCGACTAATTTTAACCGCCATCACCTTAGCTACCTACTCTTGCTACTCTAAGGCAATGTCTGTCTGCCCGAGTTCGGTGCGCGACGCCATCGGGCCAGGCCGAAGAACCTCCAATGTTAGTGGGCCGACTTGACTCGGGACTAACATGAACATATTTTTCATTCCACCGTTGTCGGCCATTTCTCGCCCCAGAGTGGAATTTATTTAAATGTGACTGCCGTTCCAATTATCGTCGAGTCAATTGGTCTTACACTTTTGAGCTTTTCTCTTCAACACTTGCGCCACCAATTCAACGGGCGAATATCGACACTATGAGCCATACAGAACCTAAAAGCGCCGCGGCGCCTGAGTCCCCTGTGGATCAAGAGAAGGGCGTAAACAATACTCCTCCAGCTTTTGTCGCTGAACCAAGAAATGATGATGCTGTCTTCGGTGATGAGGAAGCAGAGATTATTGACTACAAGACATTAACATGGTGGTATGTTCACCCACCAATCTCACCCATCTCATACAGACACTGATAAATCCCAGGCAAGGCGGTATCGTCCTCATCGCAGAAACAGTATCCCTCGGCATCCTCTCCCTGCCCTCCGTCCTCGCCGCCGTCGGTCTCGTCCCCGGCATAATCCTCATTCTCGTAATGGGTTTCCTCTCCACATACTCCGGCCTCGTCCTCGCTGAATTCCGCGCCCAATATCCCTTCGTCCAAAACTTTGGCGACGCCGTTGAAGTCATTGGAAAATCTATCGGAATGGGTCGTGTTTTTCAAGAGGTTTTTGGTTGGGCGCAGGTCATTTTTCAGGTCTTCGTCATGGGAAGCCATCTTCTCACTTGGACTATCTGCTTAAATACTCTGACTAATAGTTCCACGTGCACTATTGTCTGGGCTGTTGTGGGCTTGGCGGTCTTTTGGGTGCTTAACTTGCCGAGGACGTTGAAGTACACCAGCTATATGTCGATGGCATCTTGCATGTCCATCACTGTTGCTGTTCTCATCACTGTTGGAGATGTTGCCCATGAGCGACCTATTGGTTCTGGAAGCATTCAGGTTGCTCGTGAGCTTGGCTTCACAGGCGCATTCTTGGCTGTTACCAACATTGCTATCTCCTTCTCCAGCCACTCTTGCTTCTTCACTGTCATCTCTGAGTTCAAGAAGCCTGAGGACTGGCCCAAGGCTCTGGCTTTCCTCCAGATTGTCGACACTACTCTTTACCTGCTCGCCGCTATCGTCATCTACGTCTTTGTCGGACCTGATGTTCCTTCACCTGCTCTGTCTGCTGCCGGTTCTGCTACCATGCGAAAGGTCATCTGGGGTATCGCCATCCCTACCATCGTCATTGCTGGTGTTATTTACGGCCATGTCGCTTCAGCCTACATCTTCCAGAGAATCTTCCGCAACACCAAGCACATGGTCCGTCGAACAAAGCTGTCTACCATGGTCTGGTTTGGTGTCACATTCGGTATCTGGGCTCTTTCTATGGTCATCGCCGAGTCCATTCCTGTCTTCAACAACCTTCTTGGCCTCATCTGTGCTCTGTTTGCCTCATGGTTCTCTTATGGACTCCCTGGTATCTTCTGGCTCTGGATGCATTATGGAAACTGGTTCAAGGACGGAAAGCAGACTTGCCGATTCGTGGCCAATGTTATTCTCTTCCTTACTGGTTTCCTCATCTGTGTCCTTGGACTTTGGGCTTCCATTGAGGCTATTGCTGAGGGAGGAAGCAAAGATCCTTGGTCTTGCGCCAGCAACGCTGCGAAATAGACCACTTTCAGTTTAGAATAATCATGTTTAGACATAATACGCATAATACCCACTTTTGATTCAATCTTGTCACATGCAAAGTCTTTTATTGGTATACTTGACTTTCCTAGTGCTATCTGATGCCTATACCTCCATTGACTGCCATCACTTAAGCCTTGATGGAGCCCTCTGAGCTTGGAGCCACAACAGTTGTTCTCTGTCGAAGGTTTCCAGCTTCATCATGCTCCTCGTCCCATCGAGGAAGATCAGCATACGGAATTCTGACCAGTCGGTGAGTGTTGGCTCCGTTATCATCGACATTGGTGATCTCAGTGCGGATAGCATAGCCCCTCCACTTGGGCAACAGGAACATCCAAACAACGTAGTAAAGGGCGCAAACAATGACACTGGAGATTGCTGTTAGTAAACTACGAGACATTCATATTCTCAGACTGGCACTCACATTGCAATACCGACGACACAGTATGTCGCGTACCAGAAGCTGACATCACCAGCGTATGGGCCGCCCTTGGGAGGATACCAGGGCATGACGAGGATGAACACCTGGATAAGTATGTAGAAGAGAACGGCAGGATGCCAAGCCTTGAAGTCAGAGCGACCGATACCAGCCTTTGTGCGACGACGGCGAATTACATAAAGACCAACAGCCATGGCGAACCTGAACATGGCGTCAGGGTATGTACCCAAGCTGACAACTGTAAGAAAAGTTAGTATCAGAGAACATCAAGACGGCACACAAATACTAACCGAAGGTGAAGGCATCACCGGCTGAAGGCGCAACAATCATGATGAAAGTCAACACCCACTTAAGGATGTAAGGACCAAGCGGTGTACCAAAAGGCTTAGTCGAGACCCAGAAATTGGTGTAAGGTAGAACACCCTGTCGACCAATCTCACGAAGCATACGTGCAGATCCAATCAAGACAGCAAGAAGGTTACCAAAGGCACTCAGCAGTACAAGAAAGTTGAGGACATTGGCAGCAGACTTGCTATCACCAAAGAGCTTAGAAAAGAAGATCGATGCAGCGATCTCGCTAGCCTCAGCAAACTCCTCCTTGGGGACAACGGCGAAATAAGCAATGTTGCAGAGCATGTACAGCACAGCGACTACGGTGAGTGAGACAGTACCGTTTCGCTTAAGCGTGGGAATGGGGTTTTGGATCTCGTTGACGACGTTGAAGGCGTTCCAGTATCCGGCGTATGAGAAGACGATGCTGACGAGGGCACTGGCTAAGTCGTTGCCGTTGGGGGCTGCACCCTTGAAGGCGTCGCGGAAGTTATGACCTGGGTCAGGGATGCGCTTGACGTTGCCGCCGAGGACGACGAGACCTGCAATACTGATGCTATGTAATGTGTTAGGGAGTGAAAGGTATGGAGGGATGGGAGGGCTTACAAGACTAGAGTGAGGATCTTCAAGGCGCCGATGAAGTTGACCAGCCAGAGAGAGTACTTGTTATGAGCGATGACAAAGATGACTGCGAGGGTATAAGCTGCGATAGCGACACCTCGCATCTGCCATTCAGAGGGAGTATCGCCAGTCATTCGCCAAAGGTACTTTGACAGGACTATACATAGTCAGAACGCGCAAGTATACAATGTGAAAGATGAAGGTGACTTACCGACAGCATTGCTACTGCTGAACGAGAGAATTACAGACTGGACAGCGAAGGTAACAGGGAAGAAGTGCTTGGGCCGAGGATACGCCTGCTCAAGATACACAACCTCGGAACCACTGCGATTAGGAAAATAACTCGCCAGTTCCAAATAAACACTGAAACCCGAAGCAGCCATGATGAAGCCAATGAACCAGATGATCAGCGCCAGACCAACAGACCCAGCACGGTTAAGAATACTCGAAGCTGCACATCATCAGTCACTATACCTTCCTTCAGTATAGTAGATTACGTACGCGTAGAGAAAATACCAGTTCCAATCATCATGTTAACATTCAGAAAGATAACCGTGAGCCAACCAACGTTATATCCAAGCGGCGAGTGCGATTCAACAGGCGCACCGACGGCTTCTTGGTATGAAGGTTTAGACCCATTGCCGCCTTTGACGCGTGTGTATGCGAGACCACCATCGTGAATGACCGAGGGTTCGGAGTCGCTAGCTTCAGGGTCTGCTGAGACGGTGGCTGTGGTTTTTTGACTTTCAAAAAAGTTCGAGAAGCCCATTTTGACGGCTATGATACCAGTAGACTGCAGTAAAGAATTCACTTAGATATGCCGATGAGAGGAAATTGAATCGAGAGGAGAGATTGAGTTATATAAACATGGATCGTCTGTGCGACCGTGGTGCAGGATGACACAATTCTCGAGGGTCTTGACATGACTGACCAAGACTCGGGTTCCCCGTTGGAAATCCCACCCTGTATATCCGACCTGGAACGACATAGTCGCATGCATAAAAGAGCATCCACTCACAATACAGGATCTCCGCGTGGGATGAGCCTTGTTTGCGGACTATAGATAACCATGTTGGTGGCAAGGAATGGATCGGGCTAGCCGTCGGTCGTATAACGTTGCAGCGCATTGTGTCACTTTTTTAGCTTGAAAACTTGGTAGGCCTTTTTGCTTGGAGTTTGTAGTAAGAACTTATCAATCTAGATAAGAAAGTGGCATGAGAAGCGCGGGTAAAGAGTAACTGTTCTGCTGTATGCCGAGGTTAATGCCCATCCAGCGATTCTGATTGCCTCCTCTATAAAGCTCGCCCAGTACCAGAGAATACGCAGAGGCCAATCCATTCTCCTCCATCAATTCGCCGAACTCGAAAAGTTCATCCCCCTCCAACATTAAAACAAACACCTTAAACTACCGGCGCCTCCCCGACTCAACCATCCAATTCAGGAAACACATCGTCTGTTCAGACCAATTAAATCCCCTATAATTCCCGTTTCGCAATAACGGGGATGTGATTGTCTCATACCCCAAAACGAGTGGGATACCCGATAAAACATGATAACGACATCGACTGTCGTGATAGCGAATCTATAAATGTTGCTCAATTGGGTTTAGTCTCGGAAAGGATCGAGAACCCGCGGCTGCGGGAGACGAACCGGCCCCGCAGAAGCAGGTAAGGAGATGACACTGCAGGGTCTTATTGGTAAGAAGCTTGAATTTGATGGCGTACTCCTTAGAGGCCAAGCTTTTTGGTCTATTGATTTGGTGCTGGCCTAGTGGGGGTTGCGGGCTCTATGGCGTGCAGTCGGACCTATGTCTACACGGTCCAGAATGGCGAAAAGAGTGCTATGCTAGGTAGTACGTAAGAAGACATCTGTATTGAAACTCCAGAGCAATCTAGATCCCATAACTAACGGCCCTAGTTAGACGAATCCCTTCTCTATTTTAGAAGTTTTATTCTATTACTTGTCTGATTTATTAACATTTACTAAGTTCTGTGTGGTGATTGGTTTAAGCTACTAATAACGCATCTAGCTCACAGTTTGGGCATTACACCACAACATTAGCATTTACGGGACTATCCAGGATCCCCCAAGTTCCTGACCTTTATACTGAAGTAACGATAGATACAAATCACTCACCACGCTGGTCTGAACTCATCCCTGCGTTCTCCGCATTCACTACACAACATGCAGTCTATGATATAGCGTTACCGACTTCTTCTTCTTCGAATCAGCAGAAGTTGGAAGCTAAAGCGGTGAAATAGCAACGCAGACTGAATTATCCTGTGCAGAAAATATACGCGTTATAGGAAGACGTGTCGTCTGCCAATCTGGCGTCCGAAGAAGAAGCCTATCTCCTTTGACAAGAATGGACTAGAACCCATTGAGTACACTGCATATCTTACCTCCACAACTTGCATATGTGAATGCATTGTTAAGCTTATGCCAAATCTTTGAAGGCCCTGTTGCGAAATTCCGCGCTGGGAATGCTGCACTTGTAAAGTCGGTAGCTGGCATATAGGTCCTTGTCTTCCGCTGTCGTCTGTTCAATAACCAGTTCCGCTTTGAGGTCAAGAGGCGATTAAATGGAGTGATATTCATTCCATTCGTCTCGTGATTTAACCGGGTCGGGGAAAGAGTCCCCGGTGAGATTGGTTTTTGGACCCCATCATCCTTATGGGTTCTTTGGCCGCATGTATGCCTCATCTCATGGAAGCAGAACATGAACAGAGAATACGGGCCCAAATCGAAAAAGGGTCCATCAAAAATAAAACATTCACTACGCAAGAATTATCTTACTGCTGCCCGGCCGATAAGTTGTCTTTATGCACCATTTCGGCGCATGAAGGTTCAATTACCACCCATAAACGATAAAGAGCTTAGCACGAGACATGAAAGAAAGAAATGCATGACAGGTGCCCTGATATGCACCTCTTGTTGAAGTTCAGCTTTCTTTGTCGCGGCCGCATTAATGCAGACGCTGCCACAACTCACAACAAAGGGTCTTGTGTGAGCTTATGAGAAGTGACCAGTCACTCTTTTCGCCAAGAACTGAAGGCTTTCCGTTATGCTCATTAACTAAGTGGAAATAATGGACATTCACCTCTGCTTACTACAGCCAGGACTGTGCTTTAATAGCAGTCCTGTTGATGTTCGTCTTTAAAATATCTCTTCATCCCTCAGCGTGATTCTACCATTGGCATTCTGCTCCCTTGCCGTGAGATCAATTCATCTTCATTCTATCAGCACAGCACTCTCATTCTGAAGGATATGTCAGACTCTCCAAGTGTTGGGCTTCCTAGTCCACCATCCCGCGGAATCGGTCGATTTGCACACGTCTACCTGGATGAGTCCAACTTCAGAATCAGTGGTGAAACTGCCAACAAGAAGCGCCACTCTGTCCATCCCGAAGCACACTTAAGCTGGCATTACGATATCTGCGCGCTAAAGGGTATCATCCGCAAGGGCTCTGGCATCACAGTTGACGAAGCAGTGTCCTTTAATGTCCACGGATCTAATCTTCACCATTACAAGCCCCTGTACCGGGATCTTAAGCTTCATGCTTCAGAGGTCTTAAACTTACCTCGAAATAAGAACAATCAAGAGAGGCAGGTTGATACCAGTCTGGTTAAGGACATGACAGATGACGTTACCAAGTATCGGAAAATGAATGTGTCTGCTGTTTTTGCTTTTGTTTCTGGTGACAGTGACATGATTCCGGTAGTGAAGCATGCTATTTCGCACGGTTATGCTGTGCACGTCTGGTCTTGGAAAAAGTCTACGTCTCGTGAATACAGGCGACTTGAGCAGAATTCGAGCCGAAAGGATCTTATAACGCTCACGTATCTTGACGAATTTCTAGACATTCTGACTCTGAGTCACTCTAGTATTCCTCTGGGGAATATCCTTATCCCTCCTGATGCTGTCGTTTTTGTTGACCCGTAGAACTATGACTTTGACTTTCTCAACCGAACTGGGAAGGTGCATGCAGGTAACATCATTTGCGTCAAGAGATCGGATGATGTATTTCATCCCTGTATCGATATTATTGTTATCCCCAAGAAGAGTCTTCCAAATCAGGACAGAATTCTTCGTTCCATGCTGCAAAGCCTTGACAAGAAAGGGCAGAAGGCTATGAGCTTCGCAGAGTATTTTCACAGCTCATACCAGCTCGAGCTAACTAATTCTTAAAGATCGCTGGTGTGGAAGTGTTATTTTGTAAGTAGTATTGAGTTGAGTCTCAGTGGCTCTATTGTAAGCCGCAGGGTGCAGATGGCTTGAGGCTGGTGTAAAGGTACAGTTTGGGAAGTCGCTTGGTGTTCTGGTTCTGGGTTTGGGTCCGCTTTTGGTTGTTGAGTTTGATTGGGTTGGCATATTCAGGGTTATGAAGGATGCACTGTAACATGGGAGTTTATGTAAAATTAGTTGCTCCTACGGCGAGTAGTATGTGTGAAATTGCGATAGATATGCGAGTCAAAAGCTATTGTCTGTGTAGTTATATACCCTCGTGAGGGCCTATTTCTATCATTGCAAAAGCCGGGTATCTTCGTCCAAAACACCAAACAGACTCCCGATCTCCTTTCCAATCATCCTCAACTCGTCCGCAACCTGGCCTGTAACAAGAGCATACGCATAAAGCAACGCATAATCTTTCTCCTCGACAAGCAAATGATTTGAACCACTGCTCTCACCACCCTCGTTGATTAGTCTCCTTGGATGTTCTTTTCTGAACTCAAAGATCTTGCTCAACAAATTCTCGCGAGCTGACACAATGCTCGGCGTAGCGTCGGCGAAAGGATATTCCAGCATTGTTGAACTGGCAACGACCTGAAAGGCTTGACAGATGTGATCACACAGAATAGCGCGCTCACGAGCAGTATACTCTAACAATGCCCTTTCGCCTTCTGTAAGATGTCCCTTCCGGCATGCAACGAGACTCATGTTGTAAAAACCATCGAGAATACGCATAGTGCTTTTTAGAACACGGCCATAAACTTCCATTGGGAAAGGGCCTCGTAGCTCAAACTCTGAGGCGGCCGATAGTCTCAAGCTATCCAGATTTGCAGCATATCTCTGTAAAGCAGCCTGTTCACCTGATTTGAGATAGCTTTGAGAACCTTCGCTGCGGAAAAGTACAGTGAGAGGCCCTCGCTTCCAGATAAGACCCATCTGCAAATGAAGAACAGAGAGACTCTCCTTGAACTTGCGGCGGGCGGAAATAGGCCATATGATTCGACAGACGACTAGACCCCAGATAATACCTGCTGTGACGGCAATCGCTCGGCGCTTTGCGATTTCAATAATATCAGGTTGACTGAATTGTCCATCTTCTGTCGCATCATTCCCATCAGCCTTTCTCTTTACTCTATAAGCGTAAAGTGTAGAAACGTTGTAAGCAAGAAGACTGATCCTCCCCAACGAAGCCTTACCATGCTGAATGACGAGGTAAAAGTTGACGAAACTCGTCAACCAGCCAAGAGGGATGAGAGCTAAAGCGTAACCATGGCTGATCTTCCAGTTTACAACAGAGAACAATGCTCCGAATATCGTTCCGATGAAACGAGCCAGACTGACGGTGTTGGCAGCTCCCACTGTGAAACTACAAACGATTATGAAGGAGAGAAGACCCCATTCGCCGCGCCACTCGGTGTATAGTTCTCTTGTTTCTTCGAGGAAAGCGAGCATGGCCCATAGAGCAGCACCGATGCCGACTTTAAGGCCAAACTGAACTACCTGAAGTTAGCGAGTGAGGGAAGTAGGGACAAGATCAAACTTACTATCATCTCGCGCCATTTTCTTGAAAAGCACAGAGAGGTTTCTCCAGAACCAGGCCAGTATCTTATTCAGATCAGGCGCATTGTACCAAGTCCTCAGATCGACCGGCGCAGGGACTGCAGCTGAGCCATCGGGAACACTGACAGACCTCTGCCTCGTTCGCATCAGAGTATCAGCCTCTGCAGATTCGAATAGTCTGATCGCTTTGTTACGATCCTCTTCAACCCCACTCTTCCACCAGAGAAGCCATCTCCAGCTTCGACTCTTGCGTATAATCACATACTCGAGGTCATCCAGAACATCGAGATACTGAAGGACATCTTCGCCAAAGGATTGAAGACTGAATGTGAAGTGACCGCAAGCTGCAGCGACTTCTTCCAAATTGGCGCGCGTTGATTCGTGGGATGAAGCCATTAGTTCGATGCGGTCGTAGAGCCCTTGCAAAGCGTCTGACCTCGCTGTGTCGAAAGTACTCAGTGAATCCATCAAGTTCCGTCGTAGGTCTTCGTCGACGTTGATCTCGTAGCTGGGAGGTTGTCCGAACTGAGGCTCGTGAAGAATTCTGCAGAGATTTTGACGTACACCTGTCATGGACATCGTTATAGACTCGTTGAATTGCTCGAATAGCTGACGCGCCGTATTTGGTGAAGTCGTCCCCGATGCTTTTGGACTGAGAGGCTTCGGATGCTTGAGCTGCTCTAGCTGAGTATTCGTCGCATTCCTTAAACCACCCAAAGCCTGAGCTAGTGTCTCCATAGATCTCGCAACAGTCTTCTCATGCTCGTAGATCTCTTCATGCCCAAGAAAGTAGTGCTCGAACTTGGCTTCTCTCATATCCTTCATCATCTGAGCATATGATTTCGCATAATGTGTCGACGCCGCTGTAAATCCATCCGATACTAGACCCTCTTCGGAGCCACTAAGGAAACTGTTGGTTATCATGTATAGCATATCTCCAAGAGGAATCGAAACCCGATTCATTGTCTCTCGTAGCGAGGTGCGAGCGCTCGTTCGCCAGAGAAGCAGGTTCACCGCCGTCGTAGTCGTGATACCCATAACGAGCATTTTGAATACCTGAAGTACCTTCTCATTAGAGAATACGTTGGACATGACGTGACTCTCTTTCGTCACGACACCGATTATGGCGAGTGCTGCGAGGGTGCTGCCAACGTTGACGAGAGGGTTCAGCATCCTTTGTTTCACCCAGCCCATAAAGCCAAACCCACCACCGATGAACACCACAACAACCAAGACATGCGATAGCGTTACCAGATGCATCGTCGATCCAAAGAAGACAGAAGTAACCATTGACAACAGCGAAATGGTCTCGGCGTAAGCAACCGCCACGACAGCAATAAGAATGGCCTCAATCATCGATCCCACCGACCTCGCAGGGTGAAAGTAAACCGTAATAGTAGCAACAACATGTTTTCCCTCCGGCTTGCCCAGAAAATTCGCTAAAAACGGTACAAAAGTCGCAAGGCTGGCGATGGTGTAGGCAACGGTACACTTCAGCACGCCACGGCCATTCGGCGTGTTGAGCCAGAGCTGGGTGCGCGCCAAAGAGTCGGAGATGCCATTTCGAATGGTCTCGCTTAGAGGTGGCATGTCTTTTCGCGACGAGAGGGGGTGGTTATGGGTTTGTCATGGTTTTGATGTTGATATGACGACAAAAAGTATGATGCCGTGGTTTCCGGGCTGGTGCTTTGATGGGGTCATGTGATTGGTCAGATGTTGAGATTTTGGGTGGTTGGTTCTGACCTGAAAACGTCAGATTCGTTTTAGCTTCGAAACATCCATTTACTCACTCACGTTTGAGAACTCATTCTTATTTTGAGATACAGGAAAAAAGGCAGTGACATATGATCAAAACATTAAATATCCCTCTGAATCGGTTCTTTGCACTCTGATACGACTGCCCGGTGCGTGAGTCATGATATACGTGGAACAGTTCTTCTCACCAGACGAGGAAAGATTGTGTCGCTCTCACGATAGCCTCCCAAGTGGAAATAGTGAATCATGAAAGTGGTAAACTTATCTATAATATGTTATCTCTCAATGCTTTTTCCTAATGCCCTCTTTTTCGCGTGTTCTCAGAATAGCTTCCGGGAGTGTTGAGTGAGGGACGGGATAAACTTCAGGGAAATCTTATATATACATTACAACAGCCATGGTGGCAAAGAATGACATGTTATTCGTTACATGCGTTAGCTCACCCATATAACTTCTACTTTCCCCTCGATCTCACTCGCTGAGATAGATATCAATAGGGCTTCTGAAAACTCAATAACATAAGGTTCCCACTCAAGATGAAGGGAATATATATATACCAGCTGTGGGATCCGTTTCTAGACTTTCTACATACACATGAACACCATTTTATTCCTTCAGCATAGCATTCATAATGATGGCCAATCAACAAGCCGACTCTCCTGATCGGGGAAAGAACCCCGACATTGACGTTGAAAGCGCTCTCCCATATTTTAATATTTCTCTACGAGATGAGGCTGAGGATTCCGATAGCTCCTCAGATGGGCTTTCCAAGCCAATCATCAAAGACAACGAATCAGACTTGGGCGCATGGATCTGTGTCTTGGGCTCACTACTCTTTTTAATTTTCTCCTCCGGTTGGTCTCATAACCTCGCCGTGGTGTCAAGAAACGTCTGGCTGAATGATCTTCAATTTTATATTAAAATGAACTCCTTCATCAGACGCTTTGACACCATGAGGCCCCTCTCCCCCTTCAGAAATGACTAACAAAACCCAGGTTTCATGGGCTCCGTCGGCACAGTCCAATCATATTTCAGCCTCAACCAACTAAAAGACCACTCCGTCAGTGAAATCGGTTGGATCACTGGTGTCTATCTCTTCCTCTCCATGATCCCCAATTTTCTCATTGGTTCTCTGCTCGATCGTTACGGCCCTCGAGTTTTAAGTGCAACCGGTGGTATTTTCTCAGCCGTCACTTTGTCTTGATGGCAGAATGCAAGACATACTGGCAATTCATGCTCTGTTTTGGAGACTTTGGCAGCATTGGCACTGGTATTGACTGCACTGTTGCCGTTGGAGTTGTTGGAAAGTTATTTGTTCGACGACGGAGTTTGGCTATCGGCACTGCAGTCATGGGAGCTTCCTTTGGATCTATCCTCTTTCCACTTCATCTTCGCTCAACCTTTGACAGTCTTGGTTGGGCTTGGTCCATGAGAATCGTGGCTATGGTAGTTGGTTGCGTGACAACTATGGGAGTCATCTGTTTTCTACCTTTCAAACGACTTGTTTCCTCAGACATAAACAAGCAGGACAAGAGTGAGAAGTCGGGGCCTGCATTGATCTCTCAGCATGGAAGAACCCAAGCTTTGCTTTTGTGTCTTGTGGCATCTTCTTGATGGAGTTTGTCAATTTTGGCATAGGCGGTCTGCTTCCGACTGTATCAGCTGGTGCTGGTTGTACTGTCCAAGATGGATATACCATTCTTGCGATCTTGGGCGGTTGCTGGTGCATCAGCCGCTTTACAATGGGTCTTTTAAGCGACCGCCTCGGCGGAATCAACTCAATGGTCGGCACGATGGTCCTGATCATCGTTTTGATGTCTACCATTTTCATCCCCTTCACCACCACATCCGCTACCCTGCTATACGTGTTCTCGGCACTTTGGGGTCTCTTCTCAGGGTCTTTCTATGCGCTGTCGCCAGTCAGCGTGGGCAAGACATATGAACCAAGGGACTATGCGAGATATTATAGTATGTATTCTCATCAATACTTTCCCACGGCAATACTAACAGTTAAGTAGGTTCTACAAATTTTGGGGTAGGATTATCGCTACTGATCGCTAACCCTGTGAGCGGTATCATGTTAGAGAAAGTAGGTGCGCAGCCTTTCGCGTGTTTCTACCTTGGCATTGTCGTTCTTGCGGGTGTGTCATTTGCGGTAGCTCGTGGACTACTTCTGAGACGCTTCACCACTTTGAGGGCAAGGATTTAGAAGGCTTTCTGTTTTGGATGTGCATTATACAAGGTATACAAATTCTAATAGACAGAGGATCAAGGGAAAGGCGTTCGTACATGGGAATCAGAGAAAGGTTGCCGTTGAATGATATTTCCTAATAGTAATGGATAAAGACATACTTCTACCTACTGATGCTCTAGTCCCCAAGGATCCGAAGTCGGTCGTCGGATCGACTTCACGCCGGCTCGTGGGGTCGTGGCGTACAGCACGGCGTTGAGCTCGGCATCTGCGCCAGTAAGAACATCGTATGTTATCTAATCGATCTGATCTCTCCCCAGCATCGTGCATTAGATCCAAGCTATTGAGCTGTTGGTGGCGTGTTCGCGGATCAATTCCGCCTTTATGACCCTTGGCTCAAAGTATCTCATCGTGGTTCCATTCAATTGAGACGTGACATTTCGCAAAGAGTGGTCAAGTTGTGCAGTCGGTGTGATGGTGCTTTAATCAACTCGCAGCTTCGTGTTCATATGAGCCTGGCGGGCGTTTTTTTAAAAACACCAACGGAAGTTCGGCTATTAAGGTTAATAACTGTGGTCAGGTACAAAAGTTTACTAGGCTACTGCTCTGAACCGGGATGCTCCGTTGGGCTGACTGCGGCTGACCTTGATGGGGTCTGTGCTGTCAGCTGAGATGATGCCGGCTCTTTCATGACAATGAAACTGTATATAAGCTGAGATGCTGCTGTCAATCTACATCAGAAAGCAGTGTTGGAACCCAAGTGAACATGGGTAAACAACCTCCCAGGGTGGCCGTCATCGGCCTCGGTAAGTGTTCCTGGTATCTCATTTGAGGACGACACTGACACAATTCAGGCGTCGCTGGCCTTGTCGCTGTCAAGAATCTGCTGGAAGAGGGCTTCGACGTAACTGGATTTGAGCGCAGCGAATATGTCGGAGGGCTTTGGCATTATACCGAGCAAGACAGCACATCAGTCTTGCCGAGTAAGCCTGCAACCGGAGACCATACAAGCTCCGTCGCTGACATACTCTAGGTACCATCATCAACATCTCCAAAGAAAGGGTACATACTATATCTCGTTCACTTTGTGTCTTCACATCAGTGCTTACCATCTGTAGGGCGCCTTCACAGACTTCCCATACCCAGACTCTACACCGAGCCATTGTCCATCTGCAAAAGTGGAGGAGTATCTTGAGTCTTACGTAGACCACTTCAACTTTCGCGATAAGCTCCGACTGGGCGTATCAGTACAGAAAGTACGACGCGATGACGAGGGCAATCGCTGGGTGGTAGACCTCCAGGGCTCTGAGCCGGAATATTTCGACAAGGTCATTATAGCAACGGGCATCAACAATCGTCCTCATATTCCAAAGGTCGAGGGCATGGAACAATTTGAAGGCGAGGTTCTGCATTCGCGGGCCTTCAAAAGGTGTGTCTCTATGGTCTCTGTTGGTTCGCAGGTTGACTGATCATGGTGATAGACCAGAACTCTACAAGGGCAAGCGAGTGCTAGTTGTCGGCGTTTCTAATACGGGCGCGGACACTGCAGCAGCTCTTTGCGGGCATGCTGAAAAAGTCTGGATATCTCACAGCCATGGTGTTATAGTGGTGAGTTGCCAAAGGTTAATTGACCAAGTCGCCATGCTCATTGTCGCAGATCCCACGAAAACGCAACGGCATCCCATTCGATCACACCATCACAGCGCGCACAATGGCCTTGATGGGAATGTTTGAGAATGCATTTCCTCGTCTGTACGAAATCATCTTCAATGCGATATGCAAGAAGATGCAAGACAACGCGTTCAAGATGAGGCCCGAATGGGGTCTCTCTCCAGCGGATTCCGTCTTGCATACTCTGCCGGTCGTGTCGGATTATCTCATTCCTCTGCTCGAGTCGGGCGACATCACCTCAGTCTCCAAAATACAGCGCGTCGTAGGACAGAAGTGGATCGAACTCACGGATGGAACGCGTCTTGATGTTGACACGATCATCTGGTGCACCGGATACAAGGGAGATTTCAGTCTCGTCAACCCAAGCGTTGATCCCACGCGAAACACAACGCCAAAATGGGCAGAAGCAGTCGGATCTCGTGGTAAACCGCTTCCCCGACTCTATCAAAACGTGTTCTCGCTCGATTACCCAGACTCTTTAGCCTTCATGGGCAATCTCCTCCTCGCAACAAGCGCATTCCCCATCAGTGATCTCTGCACTATGGCAATCGCTCAAATTTGGAAAGGAAGCTCTCCTCTCCCATCAATTGACGAAATGAACCGCGCCACGGACAAACAGCATGGTTTAATCTGTAAGCTCGCTAACGAAGGTAGCGTGGCGCCTGGGTGGTTGCGACAAGCTGACTGGCTTGCATGGGCTGACAATGCAGCTGGAACGCAGGTGTATGAGCATCTTGGGTGGGGGTTGAAAGGGTGGAAATTGTGGTGGAATGACCGTGCTTTGTACAAGATGTTGATGGATGGGATCTTTACGCCGTTTGTGTGGAGGGTGTTTGATGGGGAGGGCAAGAGGAAGAAATGGGATGGGGCGAGGGAGGCGATTGAGAAGGTTAATGCTGAGTTGGCGGCTGCAAAGGCGAGGAATAAGACCAAGAAGATTCAGTAGATAGAGCCATTACAGCAGCCGATAGCGTTGAGCTGGTTGCTTACTTGCAGCAGAAGTTTTGACGAATATGGCAGAGCGGAAGCCAAGAGGCTAAGATCTAACGAGGTAATTTAAGCATAATCGTGGAGATCCCTCAATGTCCGTTAGTATTGGTTTTCATACGGGCCGGGCGATGAATGGTTCCGTGTTCTGCCGCATTTGTCATGTCCATCTCTTTGTTGCACCGTCTTGGCACAAAGCTGTGGATATTCAACACGCAAAAGCTGTCGGTCGGAGGTTGAAGATAATCGTCCTCGTTGAAGCGATCCTGGCTGTCATGGTCGCATCTTACTCAGATATGGAACGAGGTTAAGCCGAAAAACGTTATGCTAACGTTACGCTTGATGTTATGGTCGCAGGTCATCCTGCACGCCTTACTCTGCATGATGCGACGTAGGGTGAAGCTTTAGCATAAATGACAGAGTAAGCCACGATCAATTGAGCATCTCATTCACACTAGTTCTACCGTACAACAAACATCGAACTGTCATCTGCGTTTCAAGGCATTCTGCAAACATGTCTCAACTCAAGAGTTTCACTTACGAAGGCGCTGGCGAGTTTCTCACCAACTTTCTCCATTATGCGCAGGCTGTCCGTGTTGGCGACCAACTGCAGCTCAGTGGCCAGGGTAAATCGCCAGCTCCCCCATTTCTCGCCCACAAACAACTAACATACAGTCCCAGGCGGTTGTTTCATAAAAGACGGCGAGCTCGTTTTCGCAGAGACCCAACTTGATCAAATTGACCTGGCTTTCGAGAATGTTGACAAGGCGTTGAAGGCAGCTGGTGGAAAGGGCTGGGAGCAGGTCTTCAGAGTGAACTCTTACCACACCGAAATCACACCTGAAGTTGGACAGAGAATGGCTGAGAATTACAAGAAGTGGATGCCTAACCACAAGGTCATTTGGACGCAGATTGGAGTCAAACAACTTGGTGCTCCGACTATGCAGTGTGAGATTGAGGTGTCAGCTTATGACCCAGAGGGGGCAAACAAGGCATAAGCAGCAAGCGATAGACAAACACAAGCCTACGCCAATAAGAAAACAATTTTCTGGTCAAACCCCAAAACGCAGCATCTAGACAAATCATATTCATCTCTGATCCAAGGAATAAAACCCTTAGTCTACCGTCGCCTTCTTTCTTGTTTCTCTAGGGTAGCACAAAAACCAGTGACGCAGCATGCTGACTAACGACTCCGAGATCGCCTCTCCCTCGTTTAGGTTTAGTGCGGGTCAACCATTCGCGAAAGAAGGTTCTTTTTTTTCTTTCGCGACATCATCGTTTCATCCACCGCACAAAGAACAACTGCATTCACAAACACCCACAATGCCTCCGCGCAACAATAGGCCGCGCAACTCGCGTCCCGATACGCGCCCAAGAAATGACCGTCCTCTCCGCCCCGATACCGACAGCTATCGACCTGGCGACAGGCACGACTTGCCTCCTCGACCGCCCCGCGATAATTATGGCCAGTCAGATTCATACCGTCCGCGCGTGCCGCAGGGCGACTTTACCTTTCGTGTAGATAAGCCGGCTGGTATGCCTGATTTTCCGAGCGATTATCGTGGGCCATCTGATAGAAGAGGGCCGCGTCGCGATGGTGGTCGTGGTGGCCGAGGTCGGGGCAGAGGAGGACGACGATGGCAGCCACCGCCTCATCCCTCTGAACGCGCTTTGGTCTCTGGGGCGACTGCGAATATGCCTGAGGAGCGACTTGGTGAAGAAGGCGCTGCCAAGTTTCGCGATGTTGACCAGCTTTCGGACGATGATGAGCTTGAAATGGATATTTCTTCATCTTCCGAGACAGAAGGCCCTTCCAAGAAACGTGCCAAAACTGGAGACGATGGATCTGGCGATGCTGCACCTAAGTGGTCAAATCCCGATCCCTACACTGCTCTCCCATGTCCTGATGAGAGTACCCGCAAGAAGCGGGATATGGTTAAGCTGATCCGAAAGGCGCGTGTGGAAGACCAGTCGGAAAAGTTGGCTGCTTCAACCGAAGCCGAAGACTTTATCTCCTTTGACCTGACAGAAGACGAAGAGAGTAGTGAAGAAGAAGAGGAAGCACCGCCGCCTCCCCCGCGTGAACCCCCTCCGCCACCGCCTCCGGACGCGCCCTCTGGACCCAGAGCCGATACTGCGCGTCTCCCCGAGAAGCCGCTGGCGCCTGTTAATGGAACTTTGGATACGTCGCGAAGAAATGATCCTCTTGGATCTCGCAAGCGAACTGCCGACGATGAGATCAAGCCTCCCGATTACGGACAATTGAAGAAGGCTACTACGAAGCCTTCGAAAGGCGCGCTTTTGCCCAGTTGGCAACCGAAGGCAACAGAGGACCCCTGCCCTTGGGACACTGTTGATCATTCTGCCACCATGAACATGCCATTCCGGTAAGTTTGCACCACCCTTTCTATTAACTCTTGGTCGTCATGGATTCGCATTGTCGGCCAAGCTTTCTCCCCGTTCCTGTACCCAGACTGACGGATATAGGTTACACAAGGAGATCATCGACTTCTACGAATACGTCAGACCCCGCGATTTCGAACAGCGAATCCGTGACAACCTCGTCGAAAACCTCCGAAAGGCGATGCGACGCGACGGAAGAAACTTTGCGAGCGCCTCTGTCCACCCCTTCGGTTCCTTCATGTCCGGTCTCTACCTCCCCACCGCAGACATGGATCTGGTCGTCTGCTCAGCAAGCTTCATGCGAGGCGGTCCCCCAACATACCTCTCGGCAAAGAGCTGGCTGTACAAGTTCCAGAAGTTCCTCACCAGCCAACACGTGGCTGATCAACACTCTATCGAGGTTATTGCCCACGCTAGAGTTCCGTTGGTCAAATACGTTGACAAGCAAACTGGTCTCAAGGTTGACGTGTCGTTTGAGAACTTGGGTGGTGTCAACGCCGTCGACACTTTCCTTGAATGGAAGGCCCAATATCCTGCCATGCCTATCCTTGTGACTGTGATCAAACATTTCCTACTTATGCGTGGTCTGAATGAACCTGTAAACGGAGGAATTGGTGGTTTCACAGTGATTTGCTTGGTTGTCAGCATGTTGCAGCTTATGCCACAGGTACAAAGTCGAAACCTCATTCCCGAGCATCATCTCGGCGAGATGCTTCTCGAGTTCTTCCACCTCTACGGGCGCGAGTTCCGCCACGACACCAACGCCATCTCCATGACGAGACCAATTGGGTACATTCGAAAGGTATGTCTTGCCGTCCAATTTCGTCGTTCCTTACTAACACTCCCAGTCCGAGGTCCGAAGCCTCACGTACAAGAACTACGATCGTCTCTCCATCATCGACCCCAACAACTCAGGCAACGACATCTCGGGCGGCTCATCCAACACCGTAGCGATCCTCGACCGTTTCAAAGGCGCGTTTCATCTCTTACGTGACAGGATGGACGAAATTGCTCGTGATCCCAACAAGGGCAACATTCTTGAAGTAATTCTCAAAGGCGATTACTCGTCTTTCAGAATGCAGCGAGATTTCCTTCGCCACATACATGAGAAACATATCGGACCTTGTTCTTCCTGATTTGACCCATCGAAACCCCATATTGATACCCCATCGGTTGTGCATATTATTTGATGCTGGAGTTTTCTTTTGCCGGTTATGGAAATTTAGACGGGTGGTCCTCTCGACCAGGTGGCATGGAAGACGTATGATCTTCGCATTTCTGTTATTCCCTTGCATGTGTATAGTAACGCCGTGATGAAGGGGGGTTGAATGTTTTTCTTGGTACTGGCGCAGATTACATTCCATTGAAGGCGCTCACGCATCGGCCTAGTGGCCTAGAATTGGACGACGATTTATCACACCACTCGGCCTTGACTACTAACGTTTGATACAGTGACATGACGACACTGACGATACTTGCAGATTTGTTTTTTTGAAAGAGTGCGGAATGCATTCGACGTCCTTTCTTCGGTTTATAGCTGTTGAAAAACTCGTTGTTTTTTGGACAACACTTTTTCTCACTGCTTCTCTGCTTTATGTAGGGCTGTGGAGAGGATTTGAAGTGCTGTGAAGGGTCGAGACTGAGATGTAGGAGTTTGATCTTGATCTGGTGGGCGCGACAGTGTTGAAGGAGACTGGGCGAGGTCGTCCAGGGGGCCGAGGAGGTTGTAGTATTGGGACATCGCAGACGGGGCTCAAGGGCAAGACACGCCAGAGGGCAAGCAAACGCCTGACATTAGATTTCCCTCATTCGTTTTATTATTTAGGATAGATATCTTAAGCTGTTTTGGCCCCCAAAGCACAGTAGATCTCAGACGCAGATCCATGCTGCAGTTTAATTAACCGCCATGAAACTATCGACAGTGGCGTCTTGTTAGCCCCATACTATTGGCTCTAGCTCAGGGCATCGACGTGCTTAAACGTGAATCTCCCCTGATCTATTCCCGTTCTCTTTTCCTCCCTCTTCTTTGATTTTCTGGGGAAGTCAAGATGCCTTCAACAAAGTCCATCGCCGTTGTCGCGACCCTCGCAGCAGGTGTTAGCGCAAACAATTGCAAACCATCACCGAGACCTACAACTGAAATGACCACCGCAACACCAACATCTGCAACAAGCACCATCACCGAAGCTCCCAGCACAACATCAACAACAACATGCCCCGCCTACACACTCATCGAGGAACCATCCGAAGATATAAACTGCAACGTACGCGGTGATCTTAAAGAGGGGGATAGTCAGGTTCTCGAGAGTTTATACCTTGAGGATTGCGCGCAGAAATGTAAAGAGTTTGATCTTTTCAACTGTGAGCTTATCAGCTTCGAAGAACCTGCTTCGCCGTCGGAGAAGGGAAGTTGTACGCTTTATCCGGATAATGACTTTGTGCCGAGGGCGAGAGGTGGGGAGGTTGTGTATTATGATTCGAGGTGTTTTGCGTGTTATACAAGGGGAGGCAGGGGAGGGAGGAAGCTTAGGGGAAGGATTAGGAGGAGCTAGATGTTGGGTTCGTGATGGTGTTGTGATGTTTTGAAGATTGTGCTTTTGGGTCGTTGCGAGGTTCTTACGCATCATTGGCTCTTCAGGGATTTCTCCTTCGTGCGGCTTAGCTTATCGGCACAGGTTGTCTGCGAACTCGAACTCTCATCATATAGTCAAGTCCCACTGGATGTAAATAATATGTCTTATTCATTCTCATGCATCTTATCAGATAAGCATCTCTCGATCTTGGCATTGTCTAAAAACAGTAAGCGACTGATCGGCTATGAACCTTGATGGATCCTCCACTGAAAAAGAACTGGTCCAATAGAACCAGTGACATTATTAACGTCAATTTCTATCATTCGCTACACATTTGGATTTTCTCAAATCTTCAGTATCCTCAGACGAGGTTGAACCAAAGGAAAAAAGTAGGTTTCAGCCACTTTGGCTCATGAGGTCTTTTCTGATTGCGAATGCAGTGGTTGACTACTTTTGGGGCGACACGAGTAAAGAGGAGAAGAGGTTGATACGAAAACTTGGTATGTTACTCCAACCTTTCAACTGGAACGACACTAAAACTCACCAGATTTCTTTATTCTTGTGAGTTTCTCTAAACTCTGGTTTGAGCTGAAAACTGATTGAGCAAGACATTCTGTTGCTTTAGCTTCTTTTTCAATCATCTCGGTAGGTCTCCTCATTGCAGCATCCATGACGCTCTTCTGACGCTGAAGTCACAGACAGACAGGCCTTTGCCAATGCATATGTGAGTCAAAGGAAAGAGGTTGCTCAAGAGACGTTTGGCTGAGAGTGTGATAGGTAGCAGGTCTCAAAGAAGCCCTTGAGCTGAGTGGCAACCAGTACAATGTTCTGCTCTCAATGGCCTCAGCAGGGTACGCATCAGTTACAAAGCCTGCTCTCAAGTACTGACTGACGAATTTCGGTAGCATGCTGGTCGGCCAAATACCTAGCAGTATAATAATCCACAAGATCCGCCCCCGAATATGGATGTCTTCCATGGTCGTCGTATGGGCAGGCCTCACAATGGCTAGCGCAGCTTGCAAGACATATGCCCAACTCTGTGCCGTTCGCTTCCTCATGGGTCTAGCTGAAGCGAGTACTTATGCTGGCTCTATCTACATCATGGGCTCTTGGTAGTGAGTCTCATCCAGCCCCAGTCAACAAGCTAAACTGACGCTTTGACAGTAAATCTAACGAAATCGCTAAGCGCACTGCTATGTTCACAGTAGCAGGTCAAGTCGGCAAAATGTTCGCGGGAGCTATGATGGCTGCCATACATGAGTCAATGGAAGGCCATGCTGGGCTGGAAGGTTGGCAATGGGTATTTTTGATCGATGGCATCATCACCCTACCTGTTGCTATCTTTGGCTTCTTCTTCTTTCCGGATGTACCTGAGTATACAGATGCTTCATATCTGAGTGAAAAGGAACGACAGCTTGCGCTGGACCGACTACCGCCGAAGAAGGAAGATGGTCATAGTATACAGGCGTGGAGTCTTGTGAAGAGGGTGATGGGACATCCTTTGCTGTGAGTAAACTTCACCTATTCATCTAGCCTCGGTACTAATGGAGATGGACAGTTATGTGTGCTGCGTCTTCTCAATCCTCGGATCGGCCCTTCAGTCTTATGTCGTACAGGGCCTCATGCTTCTGTACTTGAAGTTCCGCAAGGACATCGACGGTTTCACACAGTCTGAAGTCAACACCCTCCCGATTCCCACTCACGCGGTCGGCATCGTCGCCGAGTTGTCCGTATCATTCTTCATGGACTGCTACAGCCGGAGAATGTCACTTGGTTTTCTGCTCTGCTTAATCCAGGTCATCTGCAGCATCGTACTCCTGATTCCAGGAATGTCTGTTGCAGGAAATCTCACAGCACTGTATCTCTCAGCTTCAGCATACGGCATCAATCCATTGCTGTATGGTTGGTCAAGCAACATCTTGGCCCGAACAGCAGATGACGCTGCTCGAAGTGTGACTCTAGCTTCGATGGCTGCAAGCGATGGACTTCTATGGACATTTTGGGGCATTGTCATGTTCCCGGCTGATCATGCACCTTACTGGCGAAGCGGTTACATCGGTATGCTATGTGTCAGTGCTGCCATGATTGGCTGGTTATTTGTTGTCCGTTGGGTAAGTTTGTCCCTGTTACCATGATGCATGGTCTGATAATGTCTAGCTCGATCGTTATACGGCGGAAAAGTATCCTGCTGGTGAGCATACAAGTGCATCGTCTCTGGTAGTGACGGAGGTGAATTACTCTACGATGGATCAGAACAAGGCAGTCTGAGACTTCATGGAACAAAACAACTGTCTCGAAAGGGACTTTAGATAACTTAGGAAGAAATTCAACCTAACTGGGCTACCATGGATGGCACTTCAAGTTTACCGCTTATCAACCTGTAAACATCTTCTACCTCGGTCTTCTGTATCGGTATCTAACGATGAAGTGTCAAGACGCTAATGTCGGTCCATCATTCAATTTTTGAGTCCCCACCATTCATACCGTGTCCCCATGATCCATCGTTCTCTAAAACAATGTGAGTTTTTTGTTGAGCTCTTCAGCAATCTCCGAAGAAAACTGGAAAGGAGTCTTGGGTCCCTCAGGGTTCAAAAGCCCGATCTTGTTACGCCTTTTCAATGCAGGACGACGCCTGTCGCAGGACTTACACACCCGCATCCCTGAGACGTTTCTAGCCTTGCAAGTTTTACAAATCCACTCACGGAGGACTTGTCCCGTTTCAACATCAACGATAGGAATGCCCACAACGTTTCTCTCAGAGCGTCCTTCAAGCTGACCCAGCGACTTGAGACCAAGAAAGTCACCAGAGATGGTGGCTGGGCCTTCGTCGAGCGAAAAGAACGGGTAGCCATATCTGGCGTAAGTTCTGGCTGTGATGGGGCTTGGTGGGGGTTCTCGACCTGTGACGCGACTGAAAGTGGCACTGTTGAGAATTTGCACATTAACGGTGACTGTGGTTGACTTTCGGTATGGGCCTTTGGGCTCCTCGACGATGTTTTGGCGGATGAGACCACCAGCGGCGATGTTCATCTCCGGCTGTTCAGGCATTGAACTGCCACCACGGAGGCGGACGAAGAGATAGAGAAGTGCTCCCTAAAGGTCAAGCTTCTGGTTAGCATACGACAGACCAGAGAGCTTGATATGGTAACGATTGAAACATACATTTCCAAGATTGTAGTCGCTTAATTTTTTCTCGTCTGCGAAATAGTCAGTTGACTGATATCGTACCACTGACCGAGGAGAAGAATTTATACCTTGAAGATGTTGAGATGTCCAAACCAGCTTTTGGTGACCAACTTCAATGCCATCCCTGGCTCGAATGAGCAACTTGAGATCCTCGACTTTGCTGAACCGCGAGAGAAAGTAGTTGAAGGTTTCACCGTTCAAGCCCTTGACCATGACGTTGATGTTGTACTCGGGACCAGAAGAAAGGGGGGGATCAAGACGGGTGATCTCAAACTGAATGCCATCAGTTGTTTCTTCACGGTTCATCTGGGCCTCGATGGAGCATTCAGTTGCAGTTGGAATAGCCACAAACTGACGAACATGACCTGGCTCGACAGCCACGCCATCTATCCACTTCTGGTCGGGAACAACGATGTAATCTTGAATACTCTTGCCTTCCTTCAAGAGATGGCGACGACGGAGTGAAGTTGCTGCAGTTGGGACTGATGGCTCGCCTGAAACAATGTTTACATCTCCGACGTAGATTTTGATCGCGTATCTCTTCTGGGACTTGAACCTGATCCACAAGGCTTCTCGTTCTATTGCATCGAATGTTAGCGGTGGTCGATAAGACAAGCCCGGGGATACTCACGATACATGGGAATGAACATGCCGCCTTTCTGCGCCATTGAGAGGGGAAGGTTTCCAGCATAGTCTTTGACTTGGAAAAGAGGAAACTTCCCCTCATTAGGTGGAAGTGAATTGGAGCGTTTGTTGTCGGGGACGCGGATCGTGCGGTGGAAGATGATGGTCAAGTCATCCAGCGTGATCACTTCCGACACAGAAGCTTTGGGGCTCCAAGGTGTCAGCACTTCCAGCATCTTGGTGGATGAAGGGAGAAGAGACAGAAGACTAGATGGTGACTGTGTTGTAAAAGAAGAGCTTCGTAACTGAGAGAGGAATGAGATTTAGGGGCTGGTTCAGTGATGTAGTAAACTCCTGCTGTGGCGATAGAGTGTGTTGAGGGCGAAGAGATAGAAAGGTGTAAGGTGAGAGGCGAGATGGTGCAAAGAGTAATGAAAGCTTTCTACTTAGCAGAGCGAAGGCTCTGAGGTTCTGGAGTGAAAGTGGTAAAAAGGCATGGCGAGGAGTTCGCCCGGAGACGAAGTACAGGTTTAACATGCTCTCGATTCTGAAATATTTTATTATGTTTATAACAGACATTTTTTATAAAGCAGTGATTCACTGGTGTAATGCAAACCTGCCAATGTTGCATAATATTATGCATGATTGACAGCGTTCAAAAATGAGGAGAATCAGTCTGGGTTAGCTAGTAACTCTCTCTCTATATATCGATAAGCTCCTAGGCTTTGACTATGCACTTGTATTGCAGAATGGCCGCGAGCCGCTAGCTTCAGGTACTAGGGACGTGGTAGAAAGCTTGACACTCATCAATTGCAACGGCCGCGTGGCCTAATGGCTAAGGCGCTAGATTTCGGTCTCCATCTTCTGAACTCTCTAGAGATTCCAGGTTCGACTCCTGGCGTGGTCGATACAAGATCTTCGGATCTTTCCTTTTGCAAATTTTTGCACCTGAGGTGGGTCTTTGGAGAATGGACTACAAGCCACCATAAGACGTCTCTTTGTTTTTTTCCCCCAATATTTCATAAGGTCCATGTAAGCATGATGAACTTCAAGTTATTTTCATCTATTTCACGTTCTGTTTATCACAAATGCTCATTTAACAATATTATATGATAACTGTCATTTAAATGTTGCTCACAACTGAATCAAGACTGGACTAGCAGTCTTGCCATCCCCATTAGAAGGCATAAGCTCATTATCAACGCTAATAGGCTTCTCGGGAGCAGTCTTTTTGCGCAGACCAAAGCATGTCGTAAGTGGTGTAAACACACCCAAATTTCCGTATCGCTCCATGTAAGTCATAGAACAGAAGCAGATGATAACGACAAGCCAATAGACGTTATAAGAAACCACAGAGCCAATAGTCGCAGAGTTCTGCCATCCGAGAATAGCGTTGAAGATACCCCAACCACCGCCGCCGTTCAACTCGGCGTTGCAGCAGTTGACGTGCCAGACACTCTTATGGATATCATAAGAACCGGGGCCGGAGCCAACTTCGGCGGCATCACCACCGATGATGTTGTTCCAGGCGTGAATTTCGAAGGCCCAGACGGCTTTGCTGAAGAGGCCGGCGGCGACGAGGTACAAGAAGCCGGTGGAGATGATGAGGAAGATCTGGAGGGACGTAGTGTTTCCTCCCCTGGTCAAGATGGTTAGTAGCATCCCAGGGAGTTGAAGGGTGAACATACCTGTAGATGATATATCCAACGACGCAACCAGCTGCAAGTCCGCAAATGACAGCCAAAGGAAACGAAGAAGCTGGAAGTCCCAAACTGACACCTCCAATATACACAACAGCCTCAAGACCCTCCCTCAAAACTGTGATAAAAGGTAGAATAAACATGACGTGCTTTTCGGACCAGAGCTTAAAACGACTCATAATACCAGAAGTAGCAATTGCATCTTTCTTATCCAGAGCCTGCATCAACTTAACCCGCCACTTCTCTTGGAGTTTATTAACTCTCAAAAGAGCAGCGCCCATAATGGAGATAATGATCGCCGCAATAAGACTAAAGCTTCCTTCCCAGATATCTTCTGTTTTGCTAAAGACATCTTTGCCGAGGGAGTAGAATGCTCCGATCATGCCGGCGCCGATACAGAGACAGATGGCGAGGCCAAGACCTACTCCGATCCAAACCTGATGCTGTTAAAATTGAAGGAGCATGAACTTGAGGGGAGTGAGGGTACCTGTTTGAGAAGGCGTTTGTAGGTTTCTTTATCACCTTCGCCGCCGACACTCTGCTTCAAGAATGCTAGCAGGACGGAGACGATAATGCTTGTTTCGAGGCATTCTCGGAAACAGATGAAAAAGACTATTCAAATGAAGAAATTCTGTCAGAATCATGACTAGATATGGGTCATGGCTCTTGGAATGAGTTATCACGTACTTGGGACAGCAAAGACGTTGACTGTCATGGCGATGGTTCAGCACAGCACGTTGACGAGAAATGAATAATTGAGCAGTCAACAATAAAGTTGAGTATCAAAGGGAAAGATATTCATGGGACCTTTGACCTGAGGGGATATGCAATGGAAGGAAACAATATATTGATACGCCCAACATGCTTTCACAAGATGGTGGATCCTCGAATTGACTTTATCCCTCCCACGCTACCACCCCATTAGCGTGCCAAAGATCCCAGCCTCAGTGCCGTCTTTCCCGAGTAGAGTCATCTGCCTGTAAAAAAGATGGATAAGATAACTTCTGACACTGCGCTAATCACTTCTATGCTTTCAGCATGAGTGCCGACTTTCCGAGATCTGGTGTGTCTGACGCCACCTGATTTGACAAGATCGATAAGATAATTAATCACGCTCCCGATTATCCGATAGTTATCAATCTAGAAGTGATACTATTAACTTTAATGGGCTGATCCTCGTATCTTGGGCGTGCCGGTTATCCAGAGTTTGATGCCAAAAGTAAGGTTACTTACTCAATTGCAAATAATGCTAGGGTTTTCGGTACGGCATGCCATGGTGAAGAATTGCCGCAGTCTTTATCTGATCGATCCCCTGCAAGACAAGTGAATGGTCAATTACTTGAGTCTGTCACCAATTGATTCAGTCCATCTTTCTTCATCAGCTACAGGACGAGTATATTCAGAAACAAGACGGATGAACTAAAACTCTAGTGACTGTCGCGATGTTTCTTTCCCTCATCGTCTCCTCGCTGGCAATCCTCTTTGCTGGGTCAACTGTCAGTGCAAAGGATGTGCATTTCGACTGGAATATTACTTGGACGACAGCAAATCCCGATGGATTACAAGCCCGTCCTGTAATCGGGATCAACAACCAATGGCCGCTACCAGTCATCAACATCACAAAAGGCGATAGAATCATCGCAAAAGTGACAAATCAATTGGGAAACCAGTCAACTACCATCCATTGGCATGGCATGTACCAAAATGGAACAAATTTCATGGATGGGCCTGCTATGGTAACACAATGCAACATCCCTACTGGCGCCTCCATCACATACAACTTCACGGTGGGTGTTTTATGTTGGAGAAGAGAACAAGTCTGACTTTTGACAGGCCGACCAAGTTGGGACTTACTGGTATCACTCTCACACAAGAGCTCAGTACCCAGATGGTCTTCGACAAGCTCTCATCATCCAAGACCCAAAGAGTCCATATGCCGGTGAATATCACGAGGAACGCCTCATCACGCTCTCAGATTGGTATCATGACGAAATGCCAGATCTCATGAAACAATTCGTCTCCTACAAGAACCCCACCGGCGCTGAACCTGTTCCAAACTCAGCACTTATGAATGATACACAAAACATGACTCTCCCTGTTGAGCCTGGTAAAACTTACCTTTTACGTTTGGTGAACGTGGGTGCTTTTGCGTCTCAGTACTTCTGGATCGAAGGGCATACGATGAAGATCGTTGAAGTTGATGGCGTCTGGACGAAGCCTGCTGAGACGGATATGATTTACATTGCTGGTGCTCAGCGATACGCTGTTTTGGTTACGATGAAGAATGAGACTGGAGCGAATTACCCGATGATGGCTAGTATGGATACGGTGCGTTAATCCTTCTTGAGCCAGCTTCTTATCCAAGCTAATTATCTGTCTGTGGTAGTCTCTTTTCGACTCCATTCCTGCTGGCCTCAACTGGAATGTCACAGGATGGCTTGAGTACGATTCCGACAAGAAGCTTCCCCCAGCTGCTGTCTTAAATGACTTTGAACCTTACGATGACTTCAAGCTGGTTCCCACAGACGGCGAGAAGTTATTAGAAAAGGCCGATCACACGATTACTTTGGATCTAAAGATGGATAATCTCGGAGACGGAGCGAACTAGTAAGCAGCCCTCCATCACTTCTTGCACCAATGAAGGCCGTAAATTGACACTGACGTTCTTTAGTGCCTTCTTCAACGACATTTCCTACGTATCTCCCAAGGTCCCAACTTTATATACCGTTCTCTCCGCAGGTGAAAATGCAACTAATCCCACTGTCTATGGAACTGACACAAATTCCTTCGTACTCAAACACGGCGAGATTGTTGAATTGGTTCTCAACAACGATGACTCTGGAAGACATCCTTTTCATCTTCACGGTCAAACATTCCAGGTCGTGCATCGCAGTGAAGAAAACGCGGGCCATTATAACGCATCGTGGACTAATATCACATATCCCTCGGTGCCTATGAGAAGAGATACACTATTAGTATATCCTCAAGGAAATTTCGTCATACGCTTCTGGGCCACCAACCCCGGTAAGTTGAATCAAACAACAGTAGAGGGCAAGGGCTAAATAGCATCAGGTGTTTGGCTCTTCCATTGCCACATCGAATGGCACATGGACTCCGGCCTTATTGCAACAATGATTGAATCGCCACTCGAGCTGCAAAAAACTTTGACGATTCCAGAGGAACACAAGCAGATCTGCACGGATCAGAGTATTTCGACTGTTGGTAATGCAGCTGGTAACACGAAAGACTATTTGGACTTGACGGGGCAGAACATGATGGTACCTCCTCTACTAGCAGGGTTTACCACGAAAGGTTACGTCGCCATGGTGTTTAGCTGTGTGGCAGGCGTTCTTGGCCTCGCTTCGATTACTTTGTAAGCGCCCCCCTTCTCAAAGTTATGGTAACAATGCTAATGATTCTGAATAGGTATGGCTCTGCACCCATTGCAGCCAAGTAAAGAGTTGTATTTATTTATTATAGAGAAAATGGTCAAAATGATATTTGCGAGAGTTATTTAACGGTATCTCCATTGGGAAACTTGCTGCATGCTTGAATCGCTTTACTCCTGAAATACCCAAGTGGCATCTTCCCAACCTTCCCTCCTCTTCAACGTAAACCCAGGATCCATTCCTCCCCAGTCCGGCATTCTCGGGCCAACTCCAACACCAGGATCCCTCGACTTTGGCAGACTCAGTCCCTCGGCTTCAAAGCTTAGCGCAACAACACCAACGAACCCTAATATTTCCGTAAACGCAAACTTGCGTCCAGGACAGAGGTGCTTTCCGCCTCCGAAAGATAGCAATGATCCTCTTCGCTTTTTCTCATCTTGTATTGATACATCTAGAAAGCGCTCTGGCTTGAAGGTATTCGCGTCTGGGCCCCAAATTTCGTCGATGAAGTGAGTTACTGACGGTGCCCATTGGATATTGAACCCCTTCTTGAGCAGATAACCGCGACCCTGTGCGTCTTGGACCTTGGTATCTTCCATGACACGTCTGTTTCCGATGGAATGAAGATACAGACGTAGAGATTCTTGATAGCAGGCGTGGAGGAAGGGGCAGCATTTCTCAAGTTTTCTGACATCAAATGTTGCTGTCTTTCCCTCGGGCCCGTCTGTAACAACAGTGATATCCTCAACCTCAGCTCGGATGTGAGATAGATACTCCGTGTTCGTCAAGACGTGCACAAACAGCCAGAACAAAGTGGGCGCAGTGTTAGTAACTCCAACCCAAGGCAGCAGCATTTCCATATGAGCTAGGTCATCATCTGTAAAGCCAGTGCTACGAAGAAACTTGGCCCTGTCACGTATGATGTCAGATACACCGTCTTCAAGCTCGCCTTTGGATTCATAGTAGTCTAGAAGGAGCTTGTTGATCTCTCTTCTTGCCTCGACTGCCTTTTTGGTTATGAAGCTTGGAACCCCCAATGCTACAAACATGGATTGCTTATCAAACGCCCTGTCGATAATTAGTGGCTAAAATGGCAATGAGGCTCCAGGAAGACTCACCACATGAGATGCGCTTTATCCACTGTCAACGGATTCTTCACCCCGAAGAGAGCTGTCGCAGTTGCATCCGTCAAGATGTCTCGAAGCCAGATAAACACGTCAGGCGCATCCAGTTCCTCTCCAGGTCGAATAGGATTAAGATACGTCATTAGTCTTGTCAAAGCACTGAGATTAAGTCTGTGCAATGGTTCACCCATGAGGGTAGATTGGATAATCGATAGCCCCGTCTTGAGGTAGACCTTGTTGGAGATGAGATCTCCTGCATTCTGACTCAAACCCCACATGGCTTTAGAGAATTCAACGAGAAACGGATCGAAGGATATGTCATTGTTTTTCAAGGCTGATTGGATGAGATCTGGGGAGTTGATGACGTAGACCTTGCCGTTCAGCATGGGAAGGGTGCAGATGGGCGTCTTGCGATCTTTACTGTGATCGGTCAGAACCGTATGTCATTGGCTGTCAAAAACTTACAATAGTCGAACATAGAACCCACCGCCCTGGCTGAACATTGAGATGATGTGTCCTACCAGCGGAACTCGAGGCTTCAGCAACGGCGGCTCCAGCGAATCGACGGAGGGCGACACATAGCGACTCAGAAGAAACAACAGTCCAGTCAGAATCACAATCACCCATGTATTTGGGAGAGAGACATTATCCAGAAGCATCGTGACTCTGGAGCTATAAATAAAGAGAAAAGATAGAATACAACAAGACAAAGATTGCCGTTCAGGTTGAGGGGAAGTGGCTGGACGCCTTGCTTCTTCCCCTGTAGCGCGTCATGTCAGCGCTTGGTGCTTAGCTCGATATTTTGAGACAAAGACAGAGACACGGAATTCCGGTGCTCTAGGGGCCTTCTTTGACTATGCAGGTCCCGCCTCATAGCTTACCAAAGGCCGAAGCTCATTGGTGTCTATCAAAGTTGTGGAGATTGAACGGGTACTTAAATCTCACCGAATGGCGAACCAACCAATAAGATAAGTCTCGATTAACTTCCAAGTCATACGTCCTACAGGATCTCTGGGATAGAGGCGCAGATATTGTTGTGGTAGAGTATCAATTCAAAGGTAGGAAATATAAAGATGTTGTGGCCCAATTAAGTCCCATATCCCATTACACCTCATCCTCTCCCCCAACGTAACCATCCAAATGTCAGAACAGTTAGTAACGATCCATAGAACAGTCTCATAGCCCATGCCGGCGCCAACAAGGGATCATTCTGTGGCATAGGTGACTCGCTTGTTGGCTCCGGCTGCTGGCTTCAACTAGCCTCGCGAAGCGCATCGATACGCTTATTGATCTTATCAATCTTGGCCCCGCTATCATAGCACTTATCCTGAAGCTGATTCACAACTTCATCCCACTCTTCCAATTTGCGCTTCAACCCCGTAATCTTCTTCTTGTTGGCCTCGTTCTCACGATCTCTGTCGCGCCACCTCTCCTCGGCCGAGACCAGCTTCTTCTGCGCAGTCGTGAGCTTGTCGGTCGTTTGGTTGAGGAGGTTGATCTTGGTCTGCAGGGTTGCCTTCTTCTCATTTAGATCAGCGTTGGTGTCCTTGAGGCTCTTGCTGGTCTTTGCGAGCTCTTCCTTGATCTTATCGTGGTCTTTCTTGGCGTTGGCGAGTTGGGATTGGAGAGCCTCGTTTGCCTTGAGTGATTTCTTCCATTCGTCGTCAAGACGGGAATTCTCGTTGACGAGACGAGTGTTCTCATCCCTTTGCACCTTGAGCACATTCTCGAGCTCCAGTTGTGTCTCATTGAGGACGATAACCTGGCTGTGGAGACTTGAGATCATCTCATGGAGCTCCTCCCTCTCAATCTGAGCCTTGGTCAACTGATCTTGGAGGTCCATGTTCTGGCCGTAAAGGCTGTTGAGATCTTCCTGTAACTTCTTCATTATCGAGTGGTCAACTTCACCGTGCTTCTGAAGTCCCTTAATCGTATCATCGAGCTCCTTGACCTTGTTCTGGTAAGCTTCGTTAGCCTTGGCAAGCTGCTTCTCAAGCTCGTCAATCTTGGTGTTGGCCTGGTTGCGCTCATCGCTGAGCTTAGTAATCTGACTCTCAAGGTTTTGTTTGTCCTTCTTGAGAGATTGGACAAGAACGGTCTGCTTATGGAAATCCTCGTCGAGAGCAGCGAATTTCTATATAGTGTTAGTAACAGACCATTAATTCGCAGAAAGTCATACATACGTTTTGGGCCTGGGCAGTAAGGTAGCCGGCTTGTTCGATAAAGGCAACACCATGTGTCAAAGTCTCCATGATAGTCTTGGGGAAAGGCATGGGGTGTAGGACGCGGGGAAGCGTTTGCACAGGCTGAGGGAGGCGGAACTCGGTCTCCTTCTTGGTAGGAGGCACGAGGTCATCGGAGTCGAATGAGCTATAACCGTCATCAGTATCATTAGTACTATCAAAGTCTGACTTTGAGACTTACTGCTTCTTAGGCTCGACTTTAGCGACAAGGTTCAATTCACCAATCTTGGCCTGTTTCCCATCTGCCTTGACCTCAATACCAAGCTTCTGAGTCTCCCTACTCCAGGCACAAGTGATGTCAAAGAAATTGTTGAAGGAAAACTTGTCGAACTTGTCATCAGATCCGACGACTTTCATGTTAGTACCCTTGAACGCCGACGTCTTAGCATTGCCAGAACCATCCTTAGTCCACTGCCACGAAGAAACAATAGGCTTTCCATCCTCATAATCCTCAGGGAGGACAAAGATAGCCTGTTCATTAACAGCATTCTCCCGCCAATCGATGCTACCAGCCCAGATGCGAAGCGCAGCATCAGGGTTAATCTCACCCTGAGGTTGCCAGTGGCGCTCAAGAGTAATGCTAGCCTTTCCACCAGAGGGACTGGTCATGTCCACCTTGATCTTGCTGTAGTTCTGCTCAGTGGTGATGGCATAGTTGTACCATGATCCGGATAGATTGAAGCTGACATCTGTTGTCTTGGGGAGCTGCTTTAGATCTTGGACGACGATGGTTTGGAAGAATTTGGCTTTCTCAACGCCAGCGGCGTCTTTTGTCCATTGGGTGAAGATGTAGACGGGATCGTTGGCGCGGACGACACCCTTGGGGAAGATGATGGTGAAGGTCTCGTCAACAGCGTAGTTGTACCAGTTGAGCTTTCCTTGATAGATGAACATTGTGAATTGTAGTATGGCTTACGGGATGAAAAGAGACGATTGAGGTTGAGGGTAGAAATGAAGTTGCTAGTAAAGAGAAGAAGTTGGTGGATACGATGAACCAAAACTAGTAGGAGATCATCATAACTTTATAGCTTTCAAGTATTGCTGCATGGGTTAGGTGTCGTCGCGAAGTGTTGGGTATCTGCTCAGCTCTGGATGCAGAAGTATTGCTTAGCGACTAGCCCGAATATTGATCACATCCCCGCGATACCTTTGCGTGCCATTCCCCATGCCTCGTGTGACACAGATATGGCAAGCTGAACTCCCTTGACCATTCCCCTCCCAAGCCAAATCACATCTTAGTACCACGCAAACTCCTCGTGGCTAGCTGCAAGGCTTGAGACATTGATCCTCAGCAATAGTCTAGAAGTCAGCCCTCACTAATAGTCCTCAAAACCCTCTCACAACTCTCGTTCGCTACCATCTTCAGCGCTGAGACAGGCGTTGCTTAGTCCAAGCTGAGACAAGACCCTTGAGAGGGAGCCCAATGATAACGGTTCCATAGTCCGCGCCACGTGCAGTTCAGCTCGCCACGGGCCGCGATAAACGGCTACGGGAGGCAAGAAAACTTAAGACACTTATCGTATATGATAAAAAGACCTAGTTAAGTTTAGTGTAGATTTAGTAGACCCAAGACTAGTTATTTTTTGCGCCTTACTTCGAGGTCAGAAGTTTTCTCGCTCCCTGAGGAACGGTTCCTCCGCATTGGGTCCAGACTACGCCAATCACACAACTATCTACCAATAAATTGATCACAATGCAGGGCTAGGCACAGAATGGTAATAGTTCACGGTAATGTTGCCATTTGGAGCTGGGGCTTAGACAGGCTGGGCTAGAACACTGCGGCTGATGTGCGCGGGGAAATCGTATTGGGATAAAGCATACCAATTGAGGTTTGACATGCTAGCTGAGATGCAGCGCTAGATTGCAAAGGTTGGAAGACGTGAATTGCGAGATTCAAGGGAACTATTCGAAAGTGTTAAACACTCGGGAAGTGATCACGTGTACGGAGTAGAACGCGATACTGGAGAGAAAACCTTGAAAATAACGGGTGCCCTACCAAGGTGGGTCCTCCGAATAGCCTCATCCTTGAACCACCTTAATCACCACGGGCGAGTCAACGAAATAAAGCCATGTGAAAGTACCGACAGTTTACAGAGTTATTGAATAATGAGATTATTCTGAGTAGATCAAAGAAGGGTACATGATTAATTGTCTGCCTCTCCCCACGATGATAGCGATCAAGAATCTCCAATTCCTTTTAACCCATCTCAGCATCACATAAAGTCTCCTCAAACCCGACTTGTCCATGCCTGATGTCGCCTCAACGAGTTCAAAATCATATCTCTTTCCTCATCTTCTTCTCTTGATGTAATGACGCGTCCACCAGTACTCGTCCCAAAGATCAGTTGAGATTCTTTCTTCGTCCGCCCTCCAGCATTCTTCTTGAGCTGGCTGAGTACCTTCCCGTGTCCATATCCGGATCAAGAGCTTCGGAGGCTTCGCGTCACCCGGCTACAGGCATCGTTCGATCGAGGAGGTTGACGCAAGGTACTTGCCATGCAAAAGACTGCTTATTTCTTGGGGGAGTAGCGTTGCCTTCCTTCCACCTTACTCGCGTTTCGATCTCGTACCCATGTTTGGCCCCAGAGACGGGACTGCTGCTCATTAAGATTACTCGTGGAAAAGCTCTCGTCTCGGAGGCATATTCATTCCCCTTTCTCTTCACATTGCCGTGAGCTATATTGTGAGCTCGGCATTGATGGTGTCGGCGCAGGTGATTGTTTGTGGGGTTTCTTCCTTCCTTGTGAAGATAAGTTTCCCGCTCTTGCATTGGGACTTGTCTTGTCAAGAGCTTACGTACTTGCTGTCTTGTTGTCGTGCCTTCTCCAGTGTCCAGTCGTGCGTATGCCTACAGATCAGGAGCTAAGCTCTGCGTTGACACTCGGTGTAAAAGATCTGATGCAGATGTCTCTTTGGATGTGTTGTTTGTTTTCTTTTCTTCTCTTCATCTTGTACTGGGTAGGGTCTCGTAGAGATCGTAACCTGCCGTCTTGTGGACCGACGTTCAAGGTGTCGGCGCAAGTGCTGCGCTCTGGGGCTCATCTTGTGCTAACACCCCAGTATCGTAGTAGGAAGGTAAGCCGAGGCACAATTTTTGATTTATCCTCACTGCTTGACAGTTTGTCTACCCTCGCCGTTTCTCTGGCTTGTCCAGTTGATTCGGGTTGAACTTTTGTTTTCTTTTCATTGCATTCACCGGCTTGCTGGTGGTGGTGACGATTTGCCGTGGATTTTGTGCGAAATGAAGAAAGGGATGCAAAGAATGAATTGAAGAAGGAAGACAAGAACAGGGAAAAGAACAAGAAAAAGCGGCGAGAGGAAAACGCCAGTAGGAGTACAGATGAGGAACTGTAGAGGCGACGGATGGGAGAGATGCTTTATTTATAGGAGAAGAGAAAATCAAGCTTTGTGGGATGGGAACAATTGTCCTCTTTGGCCAGACTTTGGCTTTGCGTTTGCTTGTGACTTATTGATGCCACGATATTTTGCTTGCGCGAGCTTATTTACCAATCCGAGTGCTGAGGATACGCCACGTCAGTGAATGCAGAAAGAATGCTCACGATGTGGGTGAAAAGACCCGAACACACCACGACTTCTTCCAGCTCGGTGAACAAAGTACAGATGATCGCTACCTAAATACTCGCATCAGAATTAGATGACCCGACCGCCTTATATAATTGCTGCGAACCGAGTCAAGGCTTCATTGATGATGCTACGAGCCGTAGGCTGCTTTTGCCCATCGACGAGTCTCGGCGGAGTATGACCAACGCGAGCCCCTATCACGTTCCAAGACAATACGGAGCTCCCAATATTTCGCGCTCACCAAGAGAATAAATCTTGCTCGTATCGCCCGTGGACTTGCTGGCCAGTAGGAGCGCGGACGTCGACCGGTCTCGAAAGGCAGTTGACCACGATCGAAGCCCAAAGAACCACGAGCCGAGTATCACGAAGTCACGATTTACGCTTCCAAGTCCATACCGAGATATTGAAGAGTCGATTACCAGCTGCAGGAGCAAGACATTCGTCGGCTAGAGCCCGTCATCCTTCATTCCCGTCCAAATCCCCAATTGACGGCGCGCTGGCAACATCGGTAATCAGAACAACATTATCGACAGAGCCGCGCCGCCCTTGCTCCGACACGATGGAGGAAAAACAGACCGAAAGAACACAATAAAGCGCCAAGTCTACAACCCCCCTCCCTCAGGTTTCGATGCTCTAGCCTCAACCTCGCAGGCCAACAGGCTAACCATGGGCAAGTATTCTTACACCGAGAGGTTCTGTTGTCAAAGCACATTTTCAGTCCGAAATTACGTGTTTAGAACATTTCCCAAGTCAGATCTGGTCGAAGACGTGATATATTGATCGTGGACCGCCACATCGGCTGACGTCGCCAACATTCTGTACAGCGACAGCACAATCGGGTACGTAACGCATTGTATATTGAACTAATTTATATCGACCATCTGCCTATCCCAAACAAGGTCGCCAAAGCTTTGTGGGACGTCGCTTACAGGCAAGGGCTCGAGATTAAGCACTCCAGCCAAGAATGATAGGTTTTCCTAGCGAACCCGCTACTCTTGCCGATGTGTCTATGGATCGGAGCCAAAGCGGCCACAAGATTCCGAGCCTGGCGATAGCTAATACTAAGCCACCGTTGCACCGAGTTACCGTCAGCCGGAGAAAAGGAGCCTTTGCTTCGAAAGACTATTTGTTAGGCAAGATTCAATCCGAGAGCTAGCGGCTGTGTACATGCTGGTCGAAATGAATAGGTATGGGTGCCGGTGCCGGGTCAGTGTGACATTGTCAGACCACCCACCACATTGGTTATCAGGGATTATTACTACCCCGCCCTCTCAGCTTTCAACAAGTACAACCAAGCTTGATTAACCATCTAAGTTCAATTACCAGCAAACTCACCACGATGACAACCGCTACCCGCTTCAGACTCGTCTTCAACGTGCCCACATTGTCGCTAACTAAATGCAAAGAGGCCATTTTCGCAGCTGGAGCGGGTCGCTACCCCGGACCGGGTAATTATACTGAGTGCTGCTGGACTGTTGTTGGGACTGGCCAGTTTCGTCCAGGCGATGCAGCCAAGCCACATCTTGGCCAAGTTGGCCAGCTAGAGGAAGTTGAAGAAGCTAGGGTTGAAACAATTTGCGTGGGCGAAGACGTTGCCAGGGATGCAGTCAAAGCTCTGAAACGGTAGGTGATTTCCCGCACTCATAGCTCTAGTTGCTGCTAATGATTCCATAGCGCCCATCCATATGAAGAGCCCTCCTACTCTGTGTATCGGCTAGAGGACTTCTGATAGGGAACTAGATGATAAAGAATGTTTACAGATTGGTCAGTTTCAGAGGCAGGGTGGCAAGCTTTACTTGAAGTATCGCTGATTTCTATATTGCACATATTTACTATGGGAGGAACGTCGGTGAAACGGCATGGGCAGAAGGAAAAGAAACAAAACCCGAGATGAATAGCCTATATCAAAGCCTTTCTTGAATACAAGTTCAACCGCAGAACTAGCCTACAATATACGTCAGCTGACATTCCGAATCGAGAAACTGATTTGGCACCCAATGTCAGCACGGCTTATCGTGTCGGCCGACCGTCTCTCGACTTTCAGTTCTTTGGTACTTACTTGACAACTCAAGAATATGTCTCGTAAAACTATCTCTAGTGTTGTGATCGCTGGTGTAAGTTTGTCTGGTTATAGACAAATCCCATGCTAACATTTATAGGGCACCGGACGTCTCGGTCCTTCAACCATCAAACACCTCCTCAAAAACGGCTTCAAAGTCAGCGTGCTTACTCGCAATCCATCTTCGGCAAAGCTCCCACCGAAAGTCGATGTCATCGGAGCAGACTACACATCAGTCGAGACTCTAACGCCAAGTCTCGTAGGCCGCGGGTTCGATGCCATTGTCATCATGCTTAACCGCCTCGCCTATGATGCCTCTGTTGTTACGATGCAAGCAGCCGTCAACGCTGGCATATATCGAGCCATTCCATCGTTCTTTGGTGTTTCGCTTGAGAACCCTGAGATAGCCAACATGCCCTTCATGAAGACTAAACTTCCCGTTCTGAACGATGTTTTGGCAAAGGCTGAGAAAGGCGAGATAACATACACGGGCATCAATACCGGCATGTTTCTCGATTGGGTACTTGATGAAGACATCTTCGTTGGGCTATCAGGCAAGGCACCAACTCGTGTTGCAGACGGTGGTGATATTCCGATGTCTGCTACGACGCTCGATGACATCGGCAAGGCCATTTCCGCTGTCCTCTCAAACCCTGAAGAGACCGTCAACAAGTTGTACTATATACACACTGTAGTCATGACGCAGAATAAGGTATTGGGATATGCTCATGAGGCTGCTCCCGAGGCTGAATTTGCTGTTGAACAAGTTGATACGAAGGCACTTGTCGAGGCTGCGTGGAAGCGTTACAACGAAGGGATAAGAGACCGTATCTCAGTGAGGGATTTTGTCATAAGAGCGAGTTATGGCATGGGAAATGGATTCTTTCCAAAAACTGATAACGAGTTTCTGGGGATTAGACAGTGGAGCGATGCGGAGCTGAAGGAAGAGATATTCAGGCGAGTGAAGGCTAATCAACCTGTTATTCTCAAGGCTCCAGAAGAGTAACTTCATATTGGCCTCAGATAATGAAACTGCACTTGCTAGGTCCCCATTTCGCAGTGGTCTGATCAGCCAATCTAGTCTTCTTCTATATCCTCCAACTCATATAGCTGCTCAAACAGTTTCACGCCATGCTCCCCTGACGCCTCGCTCAATCCTGACAAGCGCTTCCTCAGCGTCGAGTATCGATCCACCTCTGTGGGTTCCTTGTAATTAACATGCTCAACCGATACAGGAGGTAGTAAATCTGAAAAAGGATCTTGGAATGATGGATTCTCACGCTGTAGCTTACGTTCGCGGAACGAAAGTAACAATAACGCCATATCATCCTGATCGAAACCTGGGAAACATCTTTTTGCAATATTGAGTGCACATTGCACCTCCGCTTTTGTTGTTTTCTGTGTATAGTGCCATGCTTCGCGAAGTAGCTTGACATAGTTTGTCCACTGAGTTCTCACAGAGGCTTGAGGTTCCACATCGTCGACGTTAAACTCTGGATATAAGTCCCAAAGTCCAGCATTCACAAGGCCGCACACTGACAAGGTGCAAGAACGCCCTTCAATGAGAAGTTTTCCCTGAGAAAGGTACTCTCCGTTATCATACTGCGTTAGGTTGAGTCGAAGATTACGAAAATCGGACTCTTCATCTGAAAAGTCCCCATTCTTGAACGAGTTGAGTAACCATTTGTCCCTTGCAAACTGCCTGCGCGGAAACTTCGATGTAGCTACAGCACATATATGAATATCGTCTGGCTGGCCAAACCACGGGTTGCAAAATCTCCAATTGGCATACTGTATCACAAACATGAGAGAACTGCTCCACGAAACAAGGTTATTAGTCTTCCGAGTATTGTAGAGACCCTTGTGCAAATGGTGATGCAGCATTTCGGAAGCCTCTTGAGAGTCCATTGAAAAAATGTCGATCTTGTGACGATTCGCTTCACCGCGCTGATGAAGTACCGAAGCGACCATAGCGTCGGTGTTGAGGCCCGTACTGTTTTTGTCGTATGCTCTGAACAGGTATCGCGGCATGTGCTTGGGAGGCTTTTCAACGGAATCATCGAATACGAAATCCTCATCAGACTGGAATAGTGTTGGGCCACCGGGACACTTGCAGAGTGGCCGAATCCAGAATTTGATCCAATCTTGTTTTCTGTCTTTCTTTTCTATCCATTTGCTGCTAGCAAGGTAGTCCTCAGTATTAAGTTCGCCGGTCGGACTAGCAGCCTGATGATAACATTCCTCAGCAATCTTCCACAGGATGTCCTCACTTTTCGATTCCCCGATGACTCTCTGTGCGATGTTCCTTATAGGCTTCTTGAAATGTTGAAGGAGTTCAGCTACGCCGAATAACGTTTTGTCTCCTAAGGAAATGACTTGTCTGACAACGGCATGAATTGCAGAGTCGTTTAAGAGTCGTGCAACTCGGCCAAGCTCAATAGCCCTGGTTTGTGCCAGGTAGATGGACTCGACATATTCCTTGTTGAATACATCGTCAGCGCGAAGCAACTTGGCGATGTTGGCTCCTTGTTCTGAGAAAGCAACAGCTGCTTCGTTGAAACTGCGTAAGGCTTCGTTGAGAGACTTGCGACGTTGGCTTTCTCCCTTTCGGCCAGTAATGCTCAAACTGTCGATCTTACTGGCAACGTCTTCGACCTCGGCCGTAGCCTTGCTTTTATGGTTGCTCATCGTCAGGACAGCTGGTTAAACAGGACCTCCTAAGGACAGATGAGGTTTAAGAAGGGGAGATTCTGTCCTGGTGCGGGGTCTTTGAATACGACTTCCGTCATGCAAGGCGCGTAGATGCAGATGAGCCAATTGAAAGATGAGTTTCAAGCCATTTGTACTGTCTCATGAAGCGAATGTGTCCGATTCGTTAGAATATTCATGTCCTACTACCATTCCATGAGAAAAGATCAATACAATTTCGAGCAGCTAGAACATCATGCTCCTTTGGTCTCAAAGAAATGCCCGGAGCTGCTTCATATCAGGAGTATATCCATAATGAAAACCATGTTCTGCAAGTGAGCGTCTTTCTTAGCCTCCTCTGACAAGAGCTCACCCAGCTTTTGGTCAAATATATCTTCCGTAATCTTGAGTAGTGCCCTGCAACGACAAACCTCGTCGGGTTCAGGAAATTGCCTGTTGGAAAGCTCCCACCAATTGTCTGAGTTGTTAGGTTAGATTTCCAAAAGTTCGAGGGGCTAGGGATTAGATTACCTACACATCCAAGTTGTATGGCGGTTTCGAAACCCCAAGAGCAGCAAGATGGCGTCCCACGTATCAAACTCCTTTATGAGGTCTCTTGCAATATCATAAGCCAAGAAAATATCGTCGCTGGGTGTTTCACATTCCACTCTCCAGTTGGATCGAAGCTCTGACACTCGATTCGTCCATGACTAAGTTCTGTGTGGTGATTATAAGCTCTCAGCCACAGGTCTCAACTGCAAATAACACATCTAGTTCACAACTTAGACAATGCCTGACCAATTGCTACAGCATAAATGGCTGAGGATTTGAACGCAGGAACTGAGCCTAGCGTACACTTCGGCACCTTCCGACGCGATTGCACATGCAACGTGAGTAACTGCAACTTCTTCCGAATCCTGACTTCACAATATTACAGTGTTAATCATTAACCCCATTTCTTCTCAGATAGTTATTTAAAAGGGTAAAAAAAACATACAACACCGGGGATTCGCTGGTCGTCACCGACCCAACTACTAATCCGGCGCTTCGAAGCTTGACTCTGGGGGAGCGGACGGGACCCCGTATTCTCTTCGAGCTTTGGTCGTATGTGACAGTCCACGCTGCAAAATGAAAATACATAACTAACTAATTTTCGTTCTTCAGATTGGAGAAATATGAATATAGGTCTTGCCCTCAACTAGGACTGATAGCTTGATAAATCCGTCCTTATCAGATTTCACTGTCTTGTTAAGGTAACTGTATGTCTGCCCTGGAACAAGACGAGATATTCCAAGATCGAACACTCCTGCATCAGCTGAAGGATAGAGAACCAATTCCAAGTCCTCGGATGTATGAGATCGTGCTTTGGCGATAAGGACTCCAGGATATGGTACTTCTGAGAGAATGGGACCTCTCAAAGCCTTTTCAGATGCACCCTGCTCAATATTGTCAGAGAATATTCTGTGCTAGATCAGATTACAATGGCGTACCTTTTGAATCATCCGATGATATGCCCCAGGCCGGATAATAGCAGCCGTCAACGCCGCTTGATTCATCAAACACGGCGCGTTATCAAGATCAAGATACTGAGATCCTGTCGGTGCTGTCACAACACCCCATGCTTTCTCAAACTTCTCCACACAAGCCTCTTTCAGCTCTTCATCTCCATATTCACCCGCTGCAATGGCAAGTTGAGTATACATGGCATACTCATTCGAACGATAATTGCCCGCATCAATCTTATCTGCTCCCACAAGTCCAGTAAGCGAGACCTCTTTCGTCTTGGTATCAAACTTAACAGTCTCGTTGCGGATGATGGCCCACAGTCGTCGTGAGAAGTTCCTTAAAGTTCCACATCCCATCATGATGGCGGCCAAGTCTCCAGCTGCACCGCATAGACCGGGAATAGTGAAGCCTGTTAACTCGGATCGTATAGTCAAGACACTGCCACTGGTCTCGGTGAAGTTCGTGTTCAGTGACTCTTCAAATATGGGCAGTAGCACTTCAGTGGGCTTTGTTCCAAAGACTCGATCGTAGAGAACTGCACCTGTCATGCCTTGCAGGTTGCACATGACGTAGATCCAATTCGGCTCACATAAAATGAGACAGTATGGACTAGCAGACCATTGCCGCACGAGCGTCTCTTGAAGGTCATGAAGGTTGTATCTATAGGAGTGCTTGTCGTCGATGTTAAAGACTAGGCTTCCAGGCTTTGTATACCTCATATCGCCCGAGTTGGCTGTATAAAGCATAACTCCCTGTAGAAGGAACCCCGTGACCATGATGTTGTCCTTTTTAACTGGATCGCAGTCAAGTGAGAACTTGCCAGTTAAGCGTTCCCACTTCCAAAAGTTCAGAACCTTCTGAGTCAAAGACCGCTCAATGATTCTTTGAAACGCTTCGTTGACGTAACTGTGTGCATTTGGGCCGTAGGTGGATTGGTAAAGACCAAGCACGAACATCATCTGGTAGATCTGATACCGAAGAGCTGCAGTTTGATATTGATCGACAATAGTGAAGCCTGACCAGTCATCAAGACTCTGGAACGCTTGATCAAACAGAAATTGCAGCTTTCTCAGACTTTCAATGCTCAGCTCCTCATCTTCCTCTCTCTTTGAACCTGCGGCGACAAGCCTATCTGTCTCGGCAGCTTGCCGCAGAACAAATTCGTTTCTCACCAATCGCTTCTTGTGCCCTCGAGTTCTTTCGGCTCTCGATGAGATATTGGCGTACATAAATCCACTGATGAGAACACCAGAGGCCCAATAGCCCGAGTTTTCCCACAGGGTATTTCCTGTAGCGAAGTAGGCGCCTAGGATGCATAGGCCCCAGACAAGAAGAGGGAACAAGACTGCACCCGCACCAAACCACTGTCATTACGGGTCAGTAAAGCATTTCTCACCATAAACTAATGAACCGATGGGACTGACTTACCGCAAAGAGAGCGAGTGGCACGCTTGCCCAAGTCAGCACGAACAATATGCCGCCAAGTACATTGGCGCTCGCAAGATATCCAGCTCCAGGAAAAATCAGCCCAAGAGCTGCAGCTCTGTACTTTGGCCCGATATCAACATAGTCCTGGAAGAAAATGCTGAGGGCAACAAGAACCAAGGCTATCCAGGCGCCGAGTGTACGAACCTGCACATTCTTGCGATGAGGTCTAGAGCCGACGTTTGGCGGGATGAGGTCTTTCACGTAGGGTCTTAGGCGTGTCAACGGAGTTCAATCCTTCTTTAGCGTCGACTAGATAGTACCTACCTGACGTCCCATAGACTTGTCCATGCTGGAAGTCCGATTTTGCTGCGCCCATAATTAACTGCGATGATAGAAACCTTTGTGCAGAATATTAAGAGAATCAAAGCTGCGATATTGCGAAACTTGTCCGTACAATACACCTTTCATAGTTGTCAATCCGGGGTAGTACCCGATTGCCCCAAACTTTGCGGGGTTCTGATCATGATGATCTGGTCATCTATTTCTGACTATCCCCGAGCTTAAATGGTTCATGTGGGGAGTTTGTCAGAATTAGGTGACAGGACATCCCAATCAAGCTATTTTTCCAGACGTGCTCATCTCGTCCATGGAACCTATTTTCTCGTCCAAACTTTCATCCTCCTGTTCGTTGTCCCACCACGAGCATCTTCGCACACCAATCGCCAAACGCTCCAATGTCCAAAGAAATCACGTCCCCACGGCCCTATACCTCCGAAGCAGAATGTCTTGAGTACCATAAACAACTTTTCAACACCTTTGCCACTGGAAAGACCAAAAGCATCAAATAGCGAAAATGGCAGCTCAAGCAAATGTGGTGGATGCTAGTAGACAACGAGAAAGCCATTTCCGAAGCACTAGCAGCTGATCTCGGCCGCCACGAGTTTGAGGCTCTGACATCAGACCTTCATGGCTTGAAAGCAGATATTCTCGAACATCTCAATCATGTGGAGGAATGGGCAGCTGATGAGCCAGTTGCTTCAGCTGGATTCCTCATGGGCACTATAGGAAAAGCACGGATTCGAAAAGAGCCTCTCGGTGTTGTTTTGGTCATAGGTGCATGGAATTTTCCTTTCTTGCTCACATTACAACCTGTAATTGCTGCTATAACTGCCGGTTGCTGTGTCGTCATAAAACCTTCTGAGCTGTCAGTTGCATCTCAGAACCTCATGCAAGATCTTCTAGGGCGATATCTCGACCCGGAAGCCATTAGGCTCGTCACAGGAGGACCGCAAGAAACGACCAAGCTACTGGAACTCAAGTTCAACCACATCTTCTTTACTGGTTCAACGAAAGTTGCCAAGTTTGTCGCTGCAGCTGCAGCGAAGCATCTCACCCCTACGGTTTTGGAGCTGGGTGGCCAGGGACCAGCTATAGTGACTGCCAAAGCTGACCTCGATCTTGCGGCTAAGCGTATTGCTTATGCCAAGTTTCTTAATGCCGGACAGATTTGTCTCTCGGTTAATCACGTTTTTGTTGATCTAGAGGTTCATGACGCTGTTGTGCAAAGATTACATCACTGGACTCAGCAATTCTCGGGTGGAGAGTCAAGTCATATGTGCAAGATCGTCAACAAGCGCAACTTTGAACGCTTGTCGGACCTGTTGGAGAAGACTTCTGGGAATGTGTTTCAAGCTTCTGGAAAGGGAGGGGACAATATGCTGAGCCCAACTGTTGTTACTGATGTGAGCATCAATGGTAAGTGTCTTCTCCCTCTTGATGCGACTTGTTCTAATCTTCTGGTGAGAGGCGCTTCTGAGTGAGGAGTTATTCGGTCCTATTTGTCCAGTCATCAAAGCAACCTATAAAAATGCAGTCCGCGAGACCAATAGGTGAGGACAGTCTTGTATCTCTCATACTACGCTAACAATAATTAGTGGTCCTCACCCTCTAGCAATTTACATCTTTAGCTCAAATCGCTCTGAAATTGATTACGGTAAAGCTCCTCCCCACTGCGGAACACAGTCTTCACTAACACACTGTACGTATTTCTACAAAATACCATCTCAGGCGGTGTCACCATTAACGATGTTCTAATGCACTATGGCGTATCAGGCGCCCCATTCGGTGGTGTAGGTGATTCAGGCCAAGGCTACTATCACGGTAAATACGGCTTCATGGCCTTTACCCATCAGAGGACCATCTTGGAAATGCCGACTTGGATGGACAGACTCATGGCATTTCGTTATCCCCCTTTCGACATGAAGAACACGAGCAACTTCGTAGTCAAGAACAACTTGGGTTTCCGTCATGGAGAGACTATGGAGGATCAGGTCGTTGGGGGTAATCGATCTTGGACTTGGATAGGAGCTGGGGTCTTCGTCGCTACTGCGATTGGCATTACTATAAAGAACCGCGACAACATTCACGGAGTATTTCTATAAATCTAATACAGAGAAGATAGACAGTCATGTTTGAGTAGTGAGAAGATAATCATCGTTTTATCAGCTTTCTACTACAAGACACCATGTTGAGATCAAGGATCTCAATCTTAGGTTTCTTTGTCAACTTCTGAATATGGAAGTCCTGTGACCTTAATAATTGCCTTCTTTATGACTCAATATAGCAATAGATAGCCATGCTGCTCGCCTTTTGGGTTAGTCATCATAACTGCCATGTCAGACACGATTCGTATCGGAGTTTACGAATTCCTTTCCTAATTTGACTTTAGTGTCTTCGCGAATCCAACGCTAACACCCGATGCAGGAGCTCCCCAGCCGAGGGTCTTATTGTAGTCGTACCTCTTATAACCTGTCATTCTTTTCTGACTGCACTTTTATTTTGTGTGTCATGTATGCATGACAGTGCTTGTCTGAGTGTACACAACTACTAGATCAGCTGCCGGATTCTTCACGTGTCAATCAGTAGTACCTCGTTAGTACTCAAAGCCCGCTTCCGTTCCGTCAACCTGCCTCACCAAGCAACATTTGCATTCCCATCTTTATTGCGTACACATTCGTCTTTTGCTCAGAAGAGAATAGTAGTTCAGGCACAATGTTACCTCCCAACATTACCAACAATATTTCATCTCTCTTCTCAGAGGCTCACGTGTTCTCACAGCCGTTGTTAGATGGGCTGTCAACCTCTCCGTTAACTGTGCCTGTGTCGTTGGTGTCCGCACTGAGCCTCGGCTACTTGGCAAACAAGATTCTAGTCAGCAGGGCTCTGAATCATGGCACGAAAGCGTATTTTGATTGGGACAAAGAGATTGTGTTGGTAACTGGAGGATCAGGTGGCATTGGAGGCGAGACTGTGCAGCAGTTGGCCGAGAAGGGTATTCGCGTGGTTGTTCTTGATGTGCTTGCTTTGACCTACAAGGCTCGTGAGTTACCTCTCCTTTTGGGAGTGCGAAGGGGCGCTCATCATCAACAGCATCAAATGTTTACTACTATAAATGCGACCTTACGAATTACGAGCAACTACAGGAGGTAGCTGGAAAGATTAGGCGGCAAGTCCCATCATCTCAACATTCAAGTATTCCTGGCTGCTGGCTAGCGACGCATTAGTGAAGTTGGCGATCCTACAGTAGTTGTGGCGAATGCAGGTGTCTGTCGTGGAAAGCCTCTATTAAAGGCCGCTAAAAAGGACGTCGAACTGTTAGTACACTAAGTTCTGTGTGGTGATTATAAGCTCTCAGCCACAGGTCTCAACTGCAAATAACACATCTAGCTCACTATTTAGACATTATACCATAATTCCTAACCAATTGCTACAGCATAAATGCTGATAAGAGGAAAACCTAGATTATGACTCTTTTGCCTGACTTCAGGGGGTATAAGAAGCTCCAGTGTGTCCGCCAAGACGATCCAACTCAGCACAAAAACCAAGGATCTTGCCAGAGAAGGCTTGGGGCAATCAGAAGGTCGTGGCGGTATTGAGTTTCTGAGTCAATCATAAGGTTAGCAAATACACTTCTGGTTTAACACAATGGGAACTGTTAGTACACAATCATATCTCGGTCAGGAAGTGAAACTAATTTGTATTCAGGACAATTGGAGTTAACACTCTAGGCCTCATCTGGACCATCAAGACCTTTCTCCCCGCAATGGTATCCCGCAACCACGGCCATCTTCTCATCGTCGCCTCGCAAACAGGATACTTAGCCACTGTGGGAATCACCGACTACGCAGCCAGCAAATCAGCAGCCATTGCAATTTACGAAGGATTGCACTCCGAGATCAAGTACGTACACAAAGCTACCGCTGTCCGCCTTTCGTGTGTCTCACCAAGCCATGTACAGACCCAGATGTTTACTGGTGTAAAGTCTGTTCCTGGTATGTCGACTATGACGACGGAGTATCTGGCAGATAAGATCTGCAATATTCTTATGAGTGGTAGGGGTCAGAACATTATAGTTCCAGCTGCAGCTGCAATGTCACCTTGGGTTCGTGTCTTACCGGGTTGGGTTCATGTTCTTCTGCAAGATGCGGCGGCTCCGGCGTTCACGGACTTGAAGCCTCATGATCCGTTCAAACAAGCGGATTAAACAGGTGTTGCAATCTGTAAATTGTTCGTTTATCATTACTTACCAAGTATGATGTACTCTTTGAAGTGGGCAGCATATTTCTCCGTAGTCAATAGCTTCTCCCTCTGTTGGTCAGATACCTTCGACAGTCGTAAGATAATGATTGATATCACTAGGATGACTGCATGATGGATGAAATTGGTTACCGGATTACGGGCTCTCTAAAAGTCAGTTCCGTTTTAGTGTAAAAGTGACAAATATTCCATTCATTTAATCAATCATTTGGCTATCAAATCTTTATTCATAACATGCCTTTCCCCAGAACGTCCACATCGTGTGGAGGACCAGGAATTAGCGTTTTCCATCCAAGCATATTAGCTGAGTAGGCCCCATTCAACCTTGAGCTGTTCAAAAGCACGACAACACTACTAAGTCCCATTCCTATACTGGACCAAACTCTGTACCAATCATACATTAGCTATCTCCTCAGACCAAGGTCATGATTATAAAATATAGAAAGAACTTACGGAGAAGGCGGCGGTATCCCACCGATACCAAGTACCCAGGACGCAGAAAAGATGTTGTAGACTGCAGCCCAACAATGGTTCTGTGTCACAATACCTCTCGTACGCCGTGCCAAGCGTATCATGAACGGTATCCGACTCAGCGGAGAAGTCTCCGACGATATTAACATCGTATCAGCACAGTCACTGTCCACGAACTGCATATCTGAGCCTGTGACACAAATACTAAACGACGCAGATGCAAAGCATAACATGCCGTTGTAGTTATCTCCCACATATATAGCCGGTCCGCGTTGAAGAATTCGGGCTAAAATGCGACATTTTTCTTCTGAAAGAGCATTGGCAAATACCATGTCGAAATCAATGCCTACTTCACGAGCAACAGAGATAGCTGCAATCGCGTTCTCGCCTGTGATCATACCAACAGTGAGGCCCAGGTCTTTGAGTTGCCGTATAACTTTGTGAGCATCCGAACGGACTGTATCTTCGAGCACAATAACAGCAGCCTGCTTTCCATCAATGGCTAGAACAGCAGTGGTTGTTATACTACTTCTCAGCCTGACGGGTACATGGCCTAAATCGACGGCAATTCCCAGGCTCTCGATATACTTACGGCTTCCAATTACCAACTTACAAGTGGCGGACTGAGACCCAGGCCTAATGGCAGTCACAACAGCTTGAGCACCGCGACCAAGCTGGTGCTTGATTTCAGACACCAACATGGCAGTTAAATACTCATGTTTATCCGATAACCTTGAAATACTCTCTTGGACGAGAGCTCGGGCAACTGGATGAGTGATCCCGGCTTCAACATCTTGGACAGCCTTCCACAATATGTCTTGCTTCTGAGATAAATCCCACTCCTTAGAGAAGCCCACATGTGTTACCTTCAAATCGCCATGTGTGAGGGTCCCTGTCTTATCGAAGAGAATAGTCTGGGAAGCTGCGGCGTTTGGTAGCCTTGCATAAGAAGTCACCAACCGGACTCCAAGCTTTGACGCACGCACTGACCAGACTCCTGGGTCAGCTTCATTCCCTTCAAGTCTAGCTTAGGGTCACATACCTGTGGCTAGCAGTTTGCAAGTTGGAATGCTTAAACTCAATGAAGATGGACAAGCAGCGAGTAGCAACGCTGAAGCTCGACCCAACCCATCTATCCAGCAGGTCTCGTTCGTGAATGCAAGATGCACAGTTAGTAGTATTGTCGCAAGCAGGATAACTGCACTTGAGAACCATGACGTAGCACGATGAACCTGGGGCTCTGCGTTGGCCAGCTCCGCCATCACGACGGATGTCAGTAATTCTCCAAGGCGAGTAGAACGCCCACAAGCTGTGGTCTTACAGACGAGTGATCCTTGTTACACCTGGCCGCCCGCATATACGGTATCCCCGCACTCAACAGTCCTAGGCCCTAAAGAGCCGCTGATCCAATTCTCCGTGATAAGAGCTGACTCTGTACTCTCCAACACTCCATCGCAAGGTATATACTCTCTTCGGCTGACCATAACGCTGTCATCAGTAGATAGCAGGTCGATGGGAACAGATGTATGATCGGATTTGCTGTATACTGTAGCCGTGGCAGGCACAAGAGTTGAGAGAGGAGTTGCGAAGACCCGGTTACGCTGTGAAAGGATAGCCTTAAGCAAGCGGCCACCGAGAACACTCGTAGATAGAATCGGAATAGCTTCCAGGGTCTTTAAGTCCATACCAACAGGTCCACTGACACCAGTCTGTAGAGAAACAGTAGCAGCTTGCATCAGAGCCAACATATTACCCAGAGATGCAAGAGTTGCCATACTTGGTCTTCGTCCGTACCATGCTGAGCGGAGTGCCTCACGATCCAGCTACTAGGCTCAATATAACAGCGAGATATGAGATCAACCTTATGTAATAGCTCTCTGTAGTCCATAGATTGTTGACGCTGCGTGATGTGAAGAATATAACTGAAGCGGCAGTCGCCACGATAAAATCCCGTTGGCATGAGTTAACATGATGCTTCTGTGAGTTTGACGGATCTTGTATCATAGAAAATAGACTAGCCCAGTTCTGGGAGTCGGAGGAAGGTAGTGAGTTTGCATCATAGCCTGCAGAGCGAATTGCGTCTTCGATTTCTGCTTCCTTTACGATATTGTCGTCAAACTCGACTTGGGCTCTAAGTAGTCCGAGTGATACCATGGCCTTCAAGACTCCAGGAATAGTCTCGATGATGTCTTGAACATCGGAAACACAGGATGCGCAAGTAAGACCATTTAGACTCAGAATGCTAACCTGAGCACCTTTGACTGGTTTCTGACGTCGGACAGGGGCATGGTTGATATAGTTTTGACGCGGGTAAAGTGTACAAAGTTTCTCGTGGATGTTGAGAAAACGGAAGACGATGTATGCTCCGACAGCGCAGCAGGCCATGACCTTTGAAATTGAATAGTGAACTGGTAATATTTTTGATAACTTGGATGCTAGACTAAGAATAAAGATCAATACGCCCTATGATATACTATTTCGACCCATTCCTATTTCGCCGTAGCTTGACGCGAGGCACTAACACTTGCTTGCATTAGGCTGACAGAGATATTCATGACAATGATATTTCTGACAACGTCTTTTCTGACACGTTTTTTTCTGGCTGGATCAAGCCACATCACGTCACCAGCAGTAAACCGTCGCCGATGGCGCCAGATCTCGTGGGGTAACAGCTAAAGCAAGCCACATGTCAGTACACGACCTGCAATCCCAATGATCATCACTAACCTGTCGAGCAATCCAATTTTGGATATTTCCGCGCAAACTCTTTACTCAGTTTCCACTCACAAAAGTCATCGAGCCCCAGAAACTTAGCTACGTCGTTGGCCTGGCTCTCCTCCACGGGAAGATCATCTGGACTTGGCGCCACGGCGTTAATCTGTCGATCTAGTTCTTGAAAGATAGCCTCCTCGACTATATCGTGCTCAGAAGAGTACCATTCCCCAAGCTCTGGGCCAATGTGGAAAAGGGTCCATGATGGATCTGTGAAGTAACTTCTCGGAGGGGGTTTTTGGTGTTGACGTCTGCGCAGGACTTGGTTTTCGAAGATATCGAGAACATTGAGCGCGACGCTGTGGTTAGCAGGTTCTATGACTGAGTGCAAGACAAGGTCTTTGAGTAGTTCGTCAAAGTCAGTGGATTCTGCCTCGAGGACCAGCTGATCTCTGATTTCAGGCCAGTTGAATAAGTCAATGCCCCAGAAGTGCGTGGGGTTTTTGGACTGGAGTGGTGTTGGGCGGAATGGAAGGGGAACAGAATTCTTCGAGTCGATTCCAAGACGCCAACTAATGACTTTTTCGATGTATTTAGCCCCGTTCTATTATTCACATTAGTTTTGAAGTCATTAGTGGCTATTCATTCTTGCTCTTGCCACTCCATAGGCGTAGGATTCTAATCCTACACAGCGCATAGAGAAGCGCACAGCAGTCTTGACTATCTTGTCAACCATATCGGCATGATTACCAGAGTCATGCAAGTTATCCAGATGTCGACGACAAGCGCCGAGAAGTCTGGAGCCAAAAATAGACATTGACGTGATGCTGAGCTGATTCGGGACAAATAAGCGCGATATTGGTGAAATAGAAGAGATGGCAGGATCTATGAAGGCATCTCCAGGCTGCATTGTGCTTGATGTTAATGTTTCGTGTTCTTGGCCCGCTATAGACAGATCTAAAAGAAACGATGCGTCCTTGAATATATCAGTCTGGGGGGTGGCTTGCTCCGATATGTTCTGGAAAGACTGGTTATTGATCGAGGGATCAAGAGCAGAAGGTGTCTCGTGATTGACTAATTCAGTGCTAGGTCCAGGTTGCTGTGCTTGCCCGCTACCAGTGTTTTCAGCATCTCTCCGTCGAAAGATGGAGTCGAAAGATGGAGTCGAAAACCTCATCATCTAAAACCGGCGTCAACTATACCGCATGCGAGGCACAGGTACGTAGCTATACTCACCAGCAGCAGCAGTGGCAGCTTGACCGAAACTGAGTAACTTCTTGCGCAACCGCAGCAAGGCATCTTCTAGCCTCTGGTTCTCAGCTATCAACTTGAGATGCGCATCAACAAGGACAGAGCAACGATCTTGAGGATCTGAGCCGGTAGCTACCTTCTGTAGTAGCTCAATTGTCTCCTTGAGGTTACGAATGTAGGTGAGGTTTTTTTCGCGCAGACACTGTTGCGAAATGCGATTTTGGGCCCTCTTGCGCTCGGACGGATCAAGGGCGTTGGCAGCCTTTCTTTTGGTTGGAGGCATTGATGTGAATGACTTGGGGTAACGGAATGAAGATGAAATCTAGTAGTGATAACTCCCTAATAAGGTTGTTTTGTGGGGGCGGAACTGGTTTTTATCGGTACACTACTCCGTAAAGAGGGTTACGGGCTTTCGGGTCACCAGGATCCCCGAGTTCCCCGGAGATCCCCTCAGTAGCCGCGAACTAACCTCACATCTTCCCCACAATCATAGGTTCTTCTTTTCCCTCGGTTATGTTTAAATATTAAAATATCTTATTTTACTCTTTTTAGCCTTATCAAATCTCAAAGCTGTTATATTTAAAGTATTAAATAATACATTTAATTACTGTCGTCAATATAGAGATGAATATAGTTAAGGGGGCACGTTCATCTAAACGTCTGTAGGACCTCCTCCCGATGCTCCTCAAGATAGTCCGAGAATTTGGTTAGCCGGATCGGGTATTTCTCCAATTCCTTAAAGTCGACTTGATACCCAACTTCATTCGCCCACAATTCGGCATAGATCTTGGGGTTTCTCGATGCAAGGTCTTTCGCTTCCTGCTCACTATAGAACTCGAGCCCAATGCCCTCTCCGCTGACTCGGCTCAGCTCTTGCACAATCTGCGCTGGTGTAAGAAACTCGACGCCCAAGTCTATTTCGTGCTTGTTGAATGCCAGAGGTTGAATAATCGAAGCCGCCGCAAACTTGCCAACGTCGTTAGGATTAACCACCGTCATCGCAGTGTCGGGTTTGTATGCCGTCAGAAAAACACGTCTCTGAACCAAGTCAGGAAACATGAAAGATGCCGTCGGCTGGTGATAATTGTTCATGAGAAATGCAGGTCGCAGAATCGTCCAGTATTTGACGCCAGATCCTCGCACCATTGACTCGATTTGGGCTTTGTTTAGCCAGTACCACGCTAAGGGGTAGTCAGGTCCCCAGTTTGGGAAACCCTCGTGCTTTCCTGTCATGGTGACGCTGGAATAAACTATGCTGGTGACAGTTCCAGATTCAATAGCAGTGTCGATGATATTCTTCGCGTGAACCACCTCCTGTTGGGTGTCGGGAAGCACCGGCAATACATTAAGAAACACGGCAGTGGCGCCTCTGACCGCAACCTTGAGAGAGGATATGTCATCGAAATTGCCGGGGAACAACTGCGCTCCGAGGCGCTGGAGCTCGATGGCGGACTTGGATGACGGGTCTCGAACAAGTGCGTGAACTTTGACTCCGGCATTCAGAAGTTCACGAGCAGTAGCACCGCCCTGACTGCCAGTTGCTCCAGTGACAAATGCAATAGTCTGAGACATAGTCTTGAAGTGAAAGGTAGGCGTATGTTGAGCAAAAGGAAGTGGTAAAGTAATGGTTGACTTGAGATTCAACTGATGGGATTTTGGATGAATGTCTAAAGAGAGGTTTGCCTGAGTGAGGATTGAGATGCTTTAAGTAGTTGGTCACTCAATAGTGACCTGTGTGTAGCCACCACAACCCAGACCGCGAATCATACCCGCCCTACCGAAAGAGGCATACAGCTCGACGATGTGGATATTGTACGGGCGTCTCTGGGTGCGATGAGAAGGATTACGGTTTCCACGTATGCAGCAACCTGCAAACCATCTACTCCATACTGCTCGGAATTCCAGGCAAGAAATAACTACTATTTTCCTCAGCCATCGTGTTAGTTGCACGCTGCGGAGTTACGGATCAGCTTGAGGCGGACTTGGCTATTCCGGATTCAGTAACCAGCTCGACAGATATTCTAGGCTAGTCCGGGTTTAGTATAGAGGATTACAAAGCATGCGAGACTACGGGTACCACATAATTATGACCCTACCAAGATATCAGCCCGAAATCTCATGCTGTTTTACAAATGAAACAGTAAAGCAACATGGTCTATTGCGGTAAGCCCAGTAGAGCCTGCTCGGAGTGTCGAATCAAGAGAAGAAAGGTATATACTCGCTACCCAGATGTCCTACCCAGAGTGATCTTAGCGTGTTAACATGATTGGGCTAAGTGCGACTTGTCAAGACCAGCATGCCGTCAATGCCTCAGGGCCGGTTCCAGATGTGATGGATATCGAGAGGACAAGTCCGTTACCTTCCGAGATCAAACTACTGAGACTTTAGACAAGATGTCATTCTTTTCCAATTCACTTCCTGTCTCGCCCCATGGCAACCAAGGGGTCTCTGTAAGGCCTGAAGTATACCAACAGACTGAAGCCCACCAGTCTAAAGATCGACCCAACCATTATCCTTGGTTTAGACTTGCAGTCACGCCGGAAGACCAAGCTTTACATTTCTTCTTCCACCATTATGTTGTGCAAGAGTCTGGGCGGACCCCCACTCATCCCGATTGTCATGGCATAATCTACAAACGAGCAACAGGACCCGGATACTTGGCCAACCTGATCAATGCTGTAGGACTGATCGGTCTAGCGTACATGAGGAATGCACCTCCGCTCATCCATGCAGCGAGTCAGCCATTTTCTCGCGCGCTTCGCGGTATATGTGCAGCACTTGTGGACCCTAGTGAAGCATCATCCGACCAGATGTTAGTCGCTGTAATGCTTCTAGCGCTATACGAAGTAAGCCTTGTATCCCATGCAGGACAAGTTACGCATAATAATAATCCGGAACAGACCGTCACTTTTAATTCTAATGCGAACTTGAGTTCATGGAGTAGACATGTAGATGGTGCCTTGGCATTGATACAGCTCCGGGGAGTAGGCCAGTTACGCAACAGGATCGGCCGAAGCATTTTTCTCCACTTACGCACTGAAATCGTGGGACCCCCTCAAAATTCCTATATGAAACCACTTTCTGACTTTCGAATAGCTCATCGACTGCCTTCAGCGTGAGCTGCGGGTACCAACTATATTGATAAACTCCATGGCCGAGGCTCGAAACAATGAAACAGCACAAGAAGAGCCTGCTGCTCGGCTAGCAGACATTATTGTCAACTTCTGCGACGCTATAGCATTAGCCAAGGAAGACACCACGGACAAAATGAATTTGTCTTCCTTTGTTTCAACACTCTTGTCGATTGATACAGATTTGAAGTGCTGGGCCCAAACCCTCCCAGCTGAATATGGGTACAAGACTCAAACCTGTTCAAGCGGTCTGAAAGAAGCAGGAGCGTTTATGGGACAATATCTTATATATTCCAGTGCGGAGATCGCCAACATATGGAATTTACAGCGCTGTGCGCGCATTATTCTCCGTCAGGCACTCGTCGAAGCGATATCGAATTACTTCCCCATTTCTTCTTCGCCGTCAATTCCACCGTCCTTACCCATATCATACAGAGACCTACTCCACACTTCGGACATGGTCATACAGGAGAACTCCAGCGATATATGCTACAGCGTCTCATATATCTTACATAATTTTGACGAGGCAGGCAAATCGAGCGACTTGCGAGCCGCTCATGTTGTGCATCTATTGTGGCCACTTTATATCGCAGGAGCAACACATACTGCCAGCGATGCTTTGCGGGAGTGGATTATATCAACGATGGAAGATATTAAGGATGCTACTGGGATTCAAAAGGCAAAGCGTATAGCCTTGGCTCTGCAGCGGCGGTGATCGGAGAAGGTAACATCTACGCGCGCAGGTTGAGATGCTAAGGAAACACGGCACACCAAACTGGAATTTTTGTCTGAGTTCGATTATAGACTCGGTTTCGGCAATGGTGGTTTGTTTACCATGGGTCTTGGTAAAATGATGGTAATTAGTAATTCTTATATAAATGAAAAAAGGATAGGCCTATAAAAGATAGGTAAAGTACTTATTCTACTTTATAGTTAAGGTTAAAATACATAATTAAAGGCTTATATTACCTATTTTTAAGGAAACTAAATATAATTTTAATTAAATTTTTTTATCCTATATATAATCTTATTAATAGCTATATTTAAGGGATTAAGCTTTAAATATAATTATTAATTAAGTTATTATAAAAGCTTAAGTTAATTAGGATTTTTTTATTATATTAGCTTAATATATCTTATTAAGATATTATAAGCTTTAACTATTAATTAAAGACTCACACTGCGGCACTTGGCCATGAGTAGAGCCAGCGAACACGACAATAAGCTGCAGCGTCTTATGGGTGGCACGTGCAGCTATGCCATAATCGAGGCAAAGTAATCCAACATTGTTTCGTGTATAATAATGGCATGAATTCATTAAAGTAAGTATTCCAGCCAGTGTTCAGTGTCACTAATGCCCTATTACTGCTGGCGCTTGAGAAGCATACTCGCAGCCCGCGCACTCTGAACAAGGACTTTAAAACACCCAGCGAGTTCATCATAATTCTTCAACATGTCCTCCATTCGTCGACTAATATCTTCTGCCTCCGGTGGCCAGAGTCCCGCAGCTGGATTAAAATTCTCAGGCAAGAGTTTACCCGCCTCTTCAAACCCTGCCATGAGATTCTGGTATTCAGAGGCACTGAGCTCTGCCTGCATGACATGTGAGAAGATGTTATTTTCTTTGGGACACAATGAAGGCACCTTTGCCATCCGTATGTAGTTTGCTGTGTATCGCATTGATTCAAATGCGGGGGTTTCATGGAGGGCTTGGTTGAAGTCGTTTGCTACGGAGGTGCCTCGATCGGATTTCTTTGAGCTAGACATGTTTCTGTTTCGGAAAAGAGGCCAAATTGAATACAGAAATGTGCATCAACACATTCGAGGTAATTTTGAAGTTGCGTGGTTTATTCAAGATTATTCCCACGTCCAAGTTTGCCTCACCCCACCATTCCCCATTGAAGTCAGCCCTACAAGGCTTATTTGGTTGACGCCTCTGCGGCTCAGAAGTGGAACATTGTCCTTCGCCAGCAAATAATCTCAGAGACCTAGCACGTGATTTTGATTAAACCTCCCAACTTACCCTGGGCCGAACTACATACTTGCAATACAAAAGCAGGCATTACCACCTAGAACGCGCCTACCTAGAGACATATCAACCACTCGATTGGAACTACATCTCAATTCTTACCAACATGCTTTGCCAACTTTGTTCCAACCTTGATATTTTCAATCTCTTGAGTTATAGAATTGATAAATACTGTGCCAGCTTCGAGGGCCCTGCAGAATTCCAAAACATCTTCTACTACATGCCACGCGACTTGTTGCACCACACCCCCGGGGAACATCTTGTCCCGTATCACGAGGGACATGAAAATCTGAGCAAAAGTTCTGCAACATGCGATCTTTGCCGAGTTGTTTATCATACGATAACCCCCACTTTGAACGTACTTGAACTGTTCGAACAGACATTCGATTACCCATCAAATGCAGCGTCATACAAGCTTGCATTTTGCGGCCAGGAAAGTGGGCAAGGGATTCAGGTTGTTGGGTATAGAGACGAGCAGTTTAGTATACATGCGATCCTTGGAGCGATTGGCTTTGCTGTTGATCAAGGTGAGTATGGTTAGTGACCTATCATTTATCAACCAATTCTGAGTTTTTATTGACTGATGAAAAATCGTAGAAAGTCCTCTATCTGAAGTCCTTGGGAGACGTAAGCTCCCATCTTCACCGCAGTCGAAAGATGGCCTCGAATTCATGCAGAAATGGCTGTTAAAGTGTTCATCCCATCATGGGCATCAGCATATATCCAAGTTATTACCCACAAGGTTGCTGAGATACGATGAAACGACACAAACAGCCGTTCTTTGCAGCTCTGTCCCTGAAGATACAACCTACGCTGCCCTCGGTCATTGCTGGGGATCAGTCCAGCCTCTGACACTGGCCACCAATACAGCCCAGCAACTCTATAACGGAATGTCAATCGAAGCTTTCCCACGAACATTCCAGGATGCATTCTGGGTGACCCGAAAACTCAATATCCCTTATCTGTGGATTGATAGTCTCTGTATTGTTCAAGATTCTAATGATGACTGGGTTCGCGAGTCAGCTCGGATGTGCGACGTATATGGAAACGCACATCTTACCATCGCTGCTACCAAGTCCAAGGACAGCTCTGAAGGGTTTCTACGACCCAGATCAGAGTCTTTCTATACCGAAATCCCTTTTCTGGGAGGCGAAGTTCCTGGAAATGTTTCAATCTTTCCTATGCCGAATAGTCACGTAGAGGCGCCGTATCGAATCCTCGATCTTGACGAAGATCCATTATCGAAACGCGCTTGGGCCTTCCAGGAACGCTACCTATCCCCTCGAACATTACATTTCGCTCATGCACAGATGTACTTTGAATGCGAATCGGGCTTTCAGGCACAGGAGGGGTACACTACACCTACAAACCACCCACGACCGTTCAATATCCCCAAGAGAGAGGGGCGAGACCAAGACGAGAGACAAATCAGGGTTGACTGGAACTTTATGGTTACGAGATATACCCAGAGATTCATAACTATGGAAAGCGATAGGCTCCCAGCTTTGGGTGGCTTGGCTGCCCGCTTGTCTCTCGAATTTGCCCAGCAGGGATCGAACAGCGAGTATCTTGCCGGATTATGGAAGGACAATCTCTTCTGTGATCTCTGCTGGTTTGTCCTAGATCAACACCCAAAACGAAAGGACCCCACTACCTATTCGGCGCCAAGTTGGTCCTGGGTTTCTATGAATTACCCAGTTCATTATCACTACCACGATGAATCAGAGAATCTCGCAATTTTGAGAGAGGCAAAGGTTAACTTGGAAAACGATGTGAGTCCATTTGGTAGAGTCACTGGTGGCTGGATACGCCTGTCCGCCATATTTTACATCCATGCAGCGTGGACGACAAAAGCATAATGTTTTTTGTTGAGGAAGGTTCACGTTTTTGCATCAAGGTGCACTGGGATCACCTGAAACATGGCTTACCCACAAGTTGTCTCATGGACTACATCGACAAGTTATCTGAATTGGTTGCCGTACCCCTTTACTGGGTAAAGGAGCCAAAGGACCCAGTCTACAATGTTCGTGGTCCATACTACTTGATTTTGGTGAACACGGAACCAACGGTACGTTCAAGTGAAGATATCCCACGGTTCAGAAGAGTAGGGGCTGGATTTCCAGAGAGCACAGGGGGTAGCGAAGTGCAGCTGAGGCTGATTAAAGAAGCTTTTCTCAGAGGTAAGGAGCAGGACAAGCTAGATGAGATAATCATCGAGTGAAATGGGCTCCAGTGAAATAGGATCTGATACTTCTATTTATCGTCCCAAGAAGATAGCTTTGGGAAAGGCACGCAATACGCTATCGAGACCAAAATCAGCTTGAAATCAAATACATACAGAAAGCATTTAGCCCCATAACACTTTTATCATCATGTCCCGTGTCTATAATTCAACTCAAGAAATCTCAGAAAGACTCTACACGGAACAGTGCAGGCTGCCTGTTCAGCTTATCTTGCCTGACTCACGATTGTGGTAAGAATATAACTTAAATGTGCTGGTTGTTAGTCAAAGCTCATGACATACCGACAATCAGTTTTAGTTTCTCACTACGTGTGAAGTTGAGTTCCGTCGCTCATGATAAATGTGCGCCTTGATTATCAACCCCCCAAATGCGCCGAACCAAATCCACCAACAGCCGCACCTTCAACTTCAAGCCAATGGCACTTGTAATTACAGGGAACTTACAGCGTACCTCCACCAATTCTATAGCGGATCATCCACTAACATACAACGCATTTCAGCAATTAATAAGAATTAAATGTGTACAAATAATAGTTTTCTTTTTATATTTAAATCGATTTTCTCTATAGCTAGCCTCTGGTGTTGGTTCAATCCGCCTTGCACAGCCTGAACAATTGTTCACGTACAACGTATCTTCTCAGAGTTGGCTACAATACAGTGCCGCTCTGCTTGGTAAAGTAGTCAAAAGACGCTACCTTCAATGTTCATGGTCCATTGCTCTTGAGCCTCGCGGCTGCAGTGTCAGGAGAATACTAAGTGAACATATTGCCCGTTTCAGGAGAGTAGACGCTGGGCTTCCGTTGAAGAGAGGTGAGAGTGAGGTGCAGGGGCTGGATGAGGAAGGATTTATCAGAGACAAGGAGGAAGACAAGCTAAGTAATGTGATTATCGTTTGAGATGGGATCTGATAGTTCATGGCATCCGTGATCCCAATGAGTTAGCCTGAAGGTAGCGCAATAAAATTCAGTTCTTGGCCAAAAACAACTGTGAACAAGACCTCAAAAAAGACATCTTAGGCAGGCAGTGTGCCAGCTACGTACTCAATCAACCACGGCCGCGTTTTCAGCTTACTCTGCCTTACCAACAACATCGAGGACCGCTTTTGAATCTCGTGACACTTGTTAATGTGTATCAAGGTTCACATGACATTCGGAATGAGATTCAACTTACAGCTTCTGTTGTTGGTTCGATTCTCCGTGGACAGTCTGAACAAACGCCCCAGGTCTTTGAGCCTGGGAACTTGAGCTGCATCAGGCAGAATTGAGACATGTGAAATCATATTCATGTTGGTAGAGCCTTGTTCCCCTCCCTTGTTCTCCACTCATATTGACAGTGCTAGGGGATGAGTGAGGTCTGTTCTCAGTTGCGTACATGCATCCATTCCCCTCATTCGCCAGTTCTGGCTACATTGACAAAGAGCCAAGCAGCAAACAACGCCTGGATCGCACCAGATCAACACCGAAACCTCAAAGTTCACCCTCGGAGTCCCGAGTAGTCGCGAGGACAAAGAGCGAACAGAAGCCACGGCGTTTCAAGAGCCTCCCCCGATGAAAAATTCTTTTCGTGGCTGATTGAAGCAACAAACTTGCCTTTGTTACCATCGCGCACCACCCTTCTGCCCCTCCACTGGCGAAGTGGCGTCTTACCAGCCACGCCATAACGGGCTGTAGCCAACAAAGAGCATCATGTTTCCGTGAACCATGCGCTCTCGTGTAAAATTAAGATGGTGTTCTTCCGGCAAGTCCGAGATGCGCTAAGAGCATGACAATAGGAGTGGCTTGGGCCATCAATAGAGGTCGTTGGCAGCAGTGCGAGAGAACGGCATAGTAAAGTCATCGAGATCAGTGTCGCTGCTTTGCGTATAAAAGCCCCGAGTTGATCCAACTCCAAATCTAGTCACTGCTACCATCGGTCGCAAGCTTCACATCGCTCTCATTCACATCCATTCAACGTTCCAACTTGTCACCGTTTTCACAAACGTATTGCATCACTTTTTCCATCATGGCTCAAGAAAACTTCAAGAACAGTTTCCCTATCGAGGAGATCGACAACAACTCCTGGATGACCGGCCAGGTCGTCATCTCTCGCCATGCTTCTAAGCCTGATGGGCCATGCTGGGATGATGGCAAAGGCGCCTTCTTTACCATCTCCGAGGCCCCGAACCCAAAGCCCCCAACCCGGCCTCTCTCGGATTCTTGCCCCATCGTCGAAATGTCCTGTGGACGCGTCACTTCACTAATGGGCATATTTGAGGTTGGTCACGCCTATCTGACAATTCATGAGAATGTTGGAACTCCCGAGCACGTCACCCTGGAATGGCTAGCCGAAAAGACTCTTTCATTTCAAATCCCCAAGGTCTACTATCATGGAGTCCACAGTGATCATTACTATCTGGTCTACGGCGCTATTCCCTCCGGACGGAATGTCTTATACGCCTGGCCTGAGACCAAGGATTACGCTACCATGGTACGATGGACAAACAAGATTGCTGACGCCTGCGTGGAGTTATCCAAGTGGTCTGGCAGCGCTATCACTGGCATTGACGGTGGTCTCCTGGTTGATCAGTATTTATTCAAACAAACCACGGATTACAAGAGCGTCCATGATCCTGAGAATCTTCGCGAAGCCTTTGAAGAAATTCCGCTGGACTGCTCTGAGCTCGTGTTTACCCTCAACAACGTCCATCCGCTTGCATTCACGGTCAATGAGGAGGGCTTGGTAGGCATCAGCTCCTGGCGTCATGCTGGCTTTGTCCCCAAGGGTTGGATTGGAACGAAGGTGCACTGCAACAGTATCATTCATTCGGTCGATATCTGTCATGCGCTGTGGACGGAAGCCGATTTCAATAACTGGGAATATCTGCTCATGGAGGCTTTCAAGAATAGAGGCTTCAAAGACTTTTGGTATGACTATTCCAAGTGGAATTCTAAGAGAGCAGGAGAATATAGGAATGGAGCGATCTGAGAGTCATAGAATGAGTTCATCTACGAAATTCTGGAGGGATGTGGGATCTGTTAAGAGGGGGGGTTGCCCGAACGGTTTGCCTCTTGAATTCAATTATATTCAGCCATCGTTTATTTATTGGGGCGTTGAGAGACTCCAGTGTAAATGAATCTCGTGATGTATTCGCGTGATGTAAGCAATTGAAATGCTTAATCAATCTAGTTCGCCTTGAAAGTAAAGACAGAATAACTCCGAGCGACCCGTAATCAACCTTCCCCCGCACTCAGCAGAGATGATAAACATTTTCCTCTCTTCAGATTGTTTTTTTGTTCGCGGCTTGCGAACATGTTGACGATCTCTTGCTTCAAGACTAGCCGCCGTCTGCACCGCCACTCCCTGAAACAGTTAGCACTCCCTCAGCATGTTGCTCTTATGCGTAACTCACCATCGTCTTCGTTGCCTTGGGCAGTTCCGTTTCCGCCCTGAACTTGGTGAATTATAGGGACAATCCAGTTGCAAAACGACGTTCCTCCACGTCCTCTGCAGATGGTTTCATCGATGGGGTTATCCCACCGACAATGGGGGCATCTCCGGGGCGAGGCGGGATTGGCGCCGTTGAAGTTGGGCGAAGTAAATCGAGTGGGCGTCGCCATCGCCGATTATTCGCTGAGAGATGGATCGAGTAATGAGGTGTATTGTTGGGTGATGTAGGGAGTAGAGGTGACTGAAGTTGTAGGAGATGTTGAGGAGTCTGGATCCGTCTCTCGCAAGGCGATCGCCCGCCTTTTATAATGCAGGTACCAGCCTGACATGGATGCGATGACTACTGCAATTGTTTGAGCCCCAACATTGATCTGCCAGCTAGCTTGCTGCATCCTGTTTTAGAAAACGAACGCAAATAAAGGGTTGTCGTGGGCTAAGTGGATATCATGCCCTCCATAACCTCTTAGAGCAGGGATAATAAAGGTCTGTTCTCTGGTCTTGAGTCATTGGCGATGCTCCTCACCACAATACGAAATCAATATGTTCCCTGTTCGACAGTTGGGCGCATGTTCGGTCTGCATTCATGGCAGATGAGACAGCAGGGGTGTTGTCAGGGCTGACGGGGGGAAATTGCTTCTACCCCCCTTCCATGGACATTCTAAGCGCATGTCAGTCTGCGTTCATGGCATGCAGGACATGAGAGGGGCGATGTCGGCCAGGGCTGGAGGGGGTAGCTTCTGTCGGGCGTCCATGGGCATTCAACACGGTGTTCATGTTGGGCCTCTAGGAGGGCGTGGTGGAAGCCACAAAGTTGAACAATCAGTTGAGCTCAGTATTCAGCAGAAGCTAAAGGTAAATGATATATCAGAAAACAAGCGTCAGCCAGACAGGAGAGCATCGCATGCGACAGGCAGAAAAGAGCAAGCGACAGTAGAAGAACTTTTCCTTCTGACATGCTAAAACTGTGATTGGCCAATACCATAACAGTTGATCTAGATACAGCACTTGGGGCTGAAGTAGAAATAAGCTCATCATCATCATCTGGTATGTTGGCCGAGCCGGTCATTGCTCCAACACTTCTTCCAAGAGCCGATGGTTTGTCGCAGATTATTTACTCCCGCTTTAACAGTCACCATGTTTCTCTCCTGGTTATAGTGGGGCGCACGGCCCGAACCAAGCCAGCCGTGTACTGTTGGCTGGTCCAATAAACTGGTAACATCCTAAGCCGACAAGCCACGTTCACAGAAGCTGCACGGCTGGCCATGTATTTTCGACCTTCAGGCTGGATCATGACCGACAATCAAGCCACAGTGCTGAAGTGCAGGGATCATGGCTCTAATTCCGGAGGGACTCTGGACTCACTCTGAAGAGCGACATGTGCATCGGAGCAGGTCGGTTCATGGAGAGAGAGCTTGATGGGTAGGTTTGCTATTCTCATACGTTAGCCTGGAAGTATTCAGGGCCAATCGGGAGTAGTCTTTGGGATATGTGAGGCTAATGAGCTGCAGCCAGTTTGCGCACCAGGTACGCCCTCAGAGCTCCGTCACTCTGGGCTGGGTGGGATCCCCTTACCCGTAGTGGGGGGCTACAGCTCCCCTCCTTGCTCAGATGTAGTCTACTCCGCAGACCCTGCAATCCGTGCAAAATCCCCACTTACCTTTCTTGTCGTACTCTGAAAAGGTTGGGGAGAAATGTGGCGTCTATTGACGGGGCCAGCTCTGCTCCTCAGCGGAAGAAGATGGCATATTTTTGGTTTGGACATCAAACGGTCAACGGCAGCAGGTGAGTTCAATTAGTGTCGGCTTTTTCTGAACCGGAAAACCTCGACACCAACCTCCCAACCTCAAGAGACGTGGGAGAAGCCAAAGAGCCTGTCGCGCTCTGTCCCAGAGTCAGCGCTAGTTCTGTTTTGAAGAGCTGTGGCACTGTCACTGCGTCATCCGTTTGATTGCCGGCATGGGCGACAGGGGGGTGATGGGTTACAGCTGTAGCACAGTTCCCGAGCAGGCTGCATGACCTCAGGATCTCAGACGTAAGGCACGTGCTAAGCTTCAGCTCTGGTAAGCCACGTTGAGTTGCAATTATCGTTGTGAGTCGCAAGAAGTTGGCGGTGACAGAAGAACTCCGGTGCGCCCGATGGGCAGGTAAACATATTAACTCTTGATCTGTCATGTATGAAGAGCAAATAAACTTGGCTCAAGCAAGTCATAGCTTTACGCCAACGCGACAAGCCGAAACGGAAGTTGGAGGGGTGCAACACCTAATCTCAACTAACTTAGCGGCTGATCTTTCTGTCCCCTTGCGGACAGCACATCCGGTGCCGTTATTTCGTTTAAACGGTATTTAGCGCGACAAATACGGATACGTACAGGCCGCCTACCGAAACAAACACGTTTCATAGGCTGAGCAACAGCAAACTAAATGCAGCTATCTACGCCCGACAGGAGCCTCTGGACCCTGAGCCAAATGAAACCAGTTAATACTGTGCCGGTATTAAATATTGTCTCCCAGCACTGATAGTCTGGCACTATGTCGCTCTTAATGCTGGATTGGCACAAACAGCGGTACTTACCTCATGACGTGTTGCTGTATTGCACTAGGAGTATCTCAGATTCAGAGGTTTTGATTGGAAGCTGTTCCTGTAGGTAGTAGGTAACGTTACCCACGGTCAACGCAGCGACATGTCGACTTGTACTGCTGGTATCAGGAGCACCTCCTTTTATCAGACTGATAGCCTAAGATCTAGGTAGCTGTGTTTACACCGCTCACACATCCTCAACTTCAGTCCAACTGCCGTGCCTCCTCCATGGAAATACATCGCCAGTCTTAATCACGTAAGAGGTACTTGTGGATTTTTTGTGAATTAATTTGGCTGCAGACCAGTGACTTTCGACAAGGCATGAAGTCGGTCGTTTGGTGCCCCCACAAGGCTGCTGGCTTTTTCGCGACGCAACCGCGCGCTTAATAAGGTTCCCTAATGCAATTGCCACGATCGATGGATATCTTACGACATTCCGCCCCCGCAACACAGCAGCCCTACCAGGCTTGTGGAAATAAGCTCCATATCGGGGAAACAGATCTTCTTGGCAACTTGCCCTGCGTGATTCTGGCTCCGATGCACCTGATCCAAAATCACACAGACACATGGAGAAGCATGTGGAAAACCCTGCACTGTTTTTTTTTCCCCTTTAAACCGAAAAAAAAAAAAAACCGATTGGCTGAACCGTCCACCTGGTATAAACGGTAAACGGGTAAGGCGGTTTAGATCCATCTCATAACACCACGCAACGCTTCTAGAACCTTTGACGTGGCCTATACCCAACCAGTCAAGAACCCTTGACTCAGCGACCGGCCTGTTGACGCTGATGAATGTAACGACATTCCATAGTGACTCTTATCATGAGGCTCTCAAGTGCCCGTCCCTTCTTCTTCCACAAGAATCGCAAGTCTAGGATCTACCTGAATCAGCAATAACATTATCGTCAAGCCAAAATGACTTGGCTGGGATGCAAGCGTAGCGATGGACAAGATGGTAGAGAGGCATGTCCGAGTAGCTCAGCGCGTGGATGTTTCCGCTTGCCATACCATTTGACCATACTATTTGACATGGTGGAGATAATACAGTTTGGACTCTGACCTACACTGGGGCTGTTTTCTCGCAGCCGACGATGATAAATGTGTCATCCCTGGGCACCTGACGGTGAAGTCTCACCTCATACCAGATTAGGCAACTCTTACTCACCGCCTTCGAACTCGCTTCTCCCAAGTTCGGGGAATAATTAACAAGGAATAAGTATCCTCGCAACGCGTGGTAAAGGTGATTCAAGCCTGTAAAGCTTGCTATATTATTACTCAATAGATGTACTACATGAGAAGCTGTCGGGTCCTAAACACCCGGATGTTCTGAGCATCAATGTCTAAACCCAGGCCTCTTCGACGCGGCAGAATTTCAGGTACTTAGACTTTTGGTGTGTTCTGTCCCAAACTTCGGGTATACCGATGGAATTTGTGGCTGACTTCTGCACCGCCACACCAGGCTCCGACGTCAAGCACCAGCCTCATCCAAGCTCTCACCTCCAAACTGTCCTCAAGACCGCCTCTCTGAAAAACCCCTACAACCACCGCACTCTCAACCACCTCCCTCCTCCCTCCGCAACACCATCACAATGTCAAACTACTACTCAGCGCAACAACCGCAATACCCCCCCGCCGGCGCCCCCAACGCCGCGCAGAACCTCCAGTTCTTCCCCTCCCAGTACACAAACCCCGGATCCTCGACACCCCAGCAAGCTGGTGGCTACGGATACGGCAACCAAGGCGGCTATGGCGTCGGAGCTCCAGCGCAGAACTTTGCGGCTCCGGCGTTCGGTGCGCAGGGCGTTAGTGGGAGGATGGGCGAGCAGGGCGGGTTGAGGACGGGTTGGGTTGCCGCTTTCTCGTCGGAGGGCTATGATGGTGAACCGCCTTTGCTAGAGGAGCTGGGCGTTAACTTTGGACATATTCAAGCAAAGGTATGTTGTTTTTTCCCTTCGATGGATTGGGTGATGACGCTAATTTGTTCTAGACGCTCGCCGTGTTGAATCCTTTCCGACGTATCGATTCGCACATCATGGACGACTCCGACCTCGCGGGCCCCCTTATCTTCTTCCTCCTATTCGGTTTCATCCTCCTCTTCTCAGGCCAAGTCCACTTCGGCTACATCTACGGCCTCGCCGCCCTAGGCTCCATATCTCTCCATCTGATCCTCTCCCTCATGTCGCCCTCCGACGCCAGCGAACCCCAGGTCAACAGCTATCCCCAATACAGCAGCGATCCATCTGCGCCTCAGCAACAGCACGAGGGTCAGCAGGGCGGCCACTTCTCCGCGACGTTGACGTACCCCCGAAGCGCGAGCGTACTGGGATATTGTTTGCTACCGCTTGTGGCGACGAGTCTGTTTGGCATCGTCATGAGGATGGATACACCCCTTGGCATTGTCGCGACCACGGCGGCTATTCTTTGGTGTACTTACAGCGCGAGCGGGATGTTCTGCGCGGTGGGGCAGATGAAGCGCATGCGAGGACTTGTTGCGTACCCTCTTGCGCTGTTCTATGTTGGATTCGGCATCATGGGTATTTTCAGCAGCCGAGGTAGTGGAACGTTCTCCAATGCTGCTGCGAAGCTCAACGCATAAAACGGGTAACGACACGTTGCATAAATGGTTCTGACACGATGGAAGTTTCTGCGCGGAAACTCGATGCTGTACATGATAACGCCCTCGCGGCGAAGATACGATGGAGGGGCGGTAGGCGTTCAGGTGGCGAGACGCAAGTTACACAAACTGGGACATGTTCCCTTGTACTAGAATAATTATTTTTGTATGTCACGATCAAAAAGAAGCAGAGAAGGTTCAGTTTAGCGTTGAGACTCTTAAAAAGCAAGTTTCAGATATGCAAAGACATCGTGACCATCTATATACCACAAACCAGCATGCAAAGGCATCAAAACAATATGCATCCTCCTTGATCATGAAAACCCTTGTTTTTTTTTTTACCGCACTCAGAATCCGCCCATCCGATTCATCATGCATCCGCCGACGTTAAAGTACAAATATTGGAAGCTGCCCTTGGCAGCGTAATTAAAAGTAAGGGCTGATATGGAAAATCCCAGATTCCTCCGTCAATTCATTCCTCGTGTAAGGTCTAAGCGCCGTTGGTCTTGACGCCGTTTGTGGGCGCATCTTCAGCGATGCCGAAGAGCACAGAGTATTGACCGCCTGCGCCTGCTCCGATGATCTTCTTGCCGCGGATGGCGGTGTTGTCGATCACGGTGGGAGTGTGGATGTCGTCGATGGTGCCTTGGCCGGTTTGGTAGTTGCTGGAGAAGCCCCATGAGTAAACCTTGCCGTCAGAGGCGATGGCGAAGTTGTTGTCGGTACCGGCGGCGACGGCGACAATGTCCTTGACGTCTGCGAGTGTTGGTTAGCGGGTGTATCAGAGTGCGGGATTATGAGTGTGAACTTACCAGGCTGGACAGTAGGCTTGAAGAGAATACGGGCGTTGCCTCGCTCGTCGTAGATGGTGTTGTCCTCGGACAGCTTGTCAAACTCGAAGCCGACTTGGTAACCATCGACACGACCCCAGGTCAAGAGGTCGCCCTTGTCGGAGCAAGCAAGGGAGTGGTGTTCACCGCCATCGATTTCGGTAATGTTGTAATCATCGAGGTATGTAAGCTTAGCAGGTCGAAGAATAACAGCATCGTCCTCGCCAGCATTCGACTCAACACCGATCTCGCCAAAGTTGTTGAGACCCCAACCATAAACCTGACCGCTCTTGTCAATAGCAAAGCTGTGATAAGAACCGCAAGCGATCTTGGCAATCTTGCCTCGTGGCAGACCAACGCCCTGGGGAATGAGGGAGGACATCTTGTTGCGCTCGATGATACGGCGACCGAGCTGGTTCTGTTGGCCGCAACCCCAAGCGACGACATTGCCCTTGTGGTCGAGAGCGAGAATGTGGTTGGAACCGGCGGCGAGGGCCTTGATGTTCTTGAGATCGCGGATCATGAGGGGAGTGGACTGGACCTTGACGGTCTCTGAGAAGCCGAGGATGCCGTCGCTGGATCGGAATGTTCCCCAGCCGTAGACTCGGCCATCTTCTGTGAGGGCGAAACTGGCGCTGTCACTCGCGACAACCTGGACAAACTTGGTGCCAGGAGCGAAATGCTCGTCGGAAACAGCTGTCGGTGTGCTCTCCGTGGGGTTAATACCAGTATCGTCCTCATCCTCCGAGTCAGAGTCTTCTGACTTGTCCATGTCGCGAAGTCCTCCATCCCAGTTTGTATCTCTACCAAGCGCGCCTTGATCGTTGACACCCCATGTCAAAATCTTGTTATCGTGTGTCAACGCGACAGCGTGCATGCCACCGCAAGAAATCTGAACAACGCCGACGTTGGCGGCGGAGAGGTTATCGTTGAGTCGGGGACGCTTGACATCGATTGGCTTCTTGTTGTTGACGCGCTTGCTTCCGAGACCTAGCTCACCGGAGGAACCCTCGCCAAAGACGTAAACATCGAGGATCTGAGTGGGCGCGTCGTTGAGCTTCTTTCCGATCGCAGGAAACTCGGACTTCTTCTTGGGCTCGGCCTTGGCTCCAGCAGGACGACCGGGTTTCTTGGCAGCGGGCTTCTCTTCCGCCTCTTCGGTCTTTGCTCGGGCGGTTGTCTTGGCCTTTGTAGCAGCGGCCTTGGTCTTCGGGGCGGGCTTGACAGCGGGCTTTACGACGCGTTCTGTGGTCTTTGACTTCTTTGTCTTGCGATCTTCCTCCTGCTCGGGTTCAGACTCTTCCTCGCGAGCCTTGCGCTTCTTCGTGGCGCCATTCAAGGCAGCAGGCTCAGCCTTCTTGGCAGCAGCTTTTGTAGTCTTTGTTTCTTTCTTAGCAGGGGCAGCTGTCGTGGCCTTCTTTGGCGCTGCGGTCTTGGTAGCAGCAGCTGCTTTGGCTCGTGGCGCCATCGCGTTGGATTTGTGACGTGATGATTTGTGTGTATGTGAAGCGCGACAATATTTTTGCTCAAATAAGCAGCTTGATTGACGAGATAAAAAGTGCGCTTGATGTGCGAAACTCGATGAAGTGATGGTGTTGATGATAAGATCAAGCTTGGGGAGAGCGCGACATTGAGAAAGTGGGTAGATTTTTTTTACTGTCTGAACAATGGAAAAAAGCTGATCTGACCGCGCTGGGGGCAGTGATCATTTGCGGGCTGAACAGGGGTGGTGCCTGGATTGGGTGTCACCGCCCGGAAGCTGTCAGCCAGTTCCAATTGCGCTAGTGGTTTTTCTGCCGGACAAATCTCCCAGTTACGAGCCAGAGCTGCGAGCTTTTAAAGGCGGTGAATTGAGAGCGTTCAATTGTTCATCTTATCTGCAGATACGCGATTCATTGTTGATGAAATGAACGTTCCATCCTTTGAGCACAGACGCTGCAATAGCAGGTCAATTATATGTTGCAACCTCATTGTCGTCTGATCTTGTGAATGGCACAATTGACATCTGACAAAGTAGTGTAGACTACGCCTTCTCAGAATGAACAATTAAACATCCCCTTGACGCGTTTGCTTAGCGGCCAAAACATCCCATTTCGTCCCACTCGCGAACATATCGTAGTACAGCCTCAGAATATCCGTTTGTATCACACAATTGCAAGTTATTGCTCATTGACTAAATATCATGAGTATTGTTCATTTCTGTATCCGTGTCTCAGGTATCTATCCCCTCGCCACCCAACCAGTACCGTAACCATTCCCCAACGCCATTCAATAATGCAATATTTTACTTTCTACCCCATTAAGTCGTACGCATCGTCGCCCAAATAATAAATTTATTTCTTGGTAGTGAAATCGATCTCGTTGGCAGGGTTAAAGCCACCGTCAGCAGCCTTCTCGCAAGTGCAGCCACCTAAAACGGCTATTAGCAACAGTCGTCACAGAAACAAACGCCACATCATCCACATACCAGCAGGACGAGATCCGCAAGCGCAAGTTGAACCAGTAGGTGTAGCGTTCTCGGTAGAGGCGCGATCGCATGTGCATTCACCGGCGGGACGAGCGCGGCATGAGCATCGAGGACCGTTGACGGTGTTTTCGGAGGCGGCTTTGGAGCATGTGCATTGGAGAGCGGACTTTTGACCGCATGAGCATGTGGCCTTTTGAGCTGTGGTGATTGTTAGGATGACTGTGAATGAGGTGGGAGGGATGATGTCACGTACCACAGGCGCACTCGACGTTGTCGCCGGAGCGGCAGCAGGTAGCGGGAGTGTTGACGACCATTTTGAGGTTTTGAAGTGTTATTGAGCTGTTGTGAAGAGTGGTGAGATTTGTGATGATGTGAAAAGAAGTGATTGGATTGTGAGATGCTTGTTTGAGATACTGGATCTTTGAAGCGGCTCTTGGTCATATTTGTACTTGATGGCTTTCAACAAGCTTGACCCACTTCAACTAAAGCTTCACAGCTGAGGACCTGAGAGCTGGTAATCACATTCACTATGATTGGTTGAGAGCTGCTGACTCAGTATTTTCGACCAATGAAGGTTTGCTTATTCTTTTTTTGCTTGATTGTCGCCTCCCAGAACATGCCATGCTGATACAGACCATGTCATGCGTTTGTTAGCCAACGAGCTAGATCGACTAAACGAGCCTCAGCATTTTCGCTATGTCCGTCATTGGTTCTTTTTCTTATTCATGGTATTGTCACCAATGAAACTGTACACAGCAATATTTGTCAACTACAGAACTGTCTCTGGTCAACTCAATTTCTGATCTTAGAATAACCACTTAGCCATGATTACCAATGTATTGTCAATAATCAACTTAATTGATGTCTATAAAAAACTAGTCGCGATGAACATTCATCAGTCATGATTACTCACCGATCAAGACCAGGTCCATCACCGTCACACCGCGCCGCTTCCGTACTTGATCCGCTCCGCTTCGGGTCGGCTGTCTCCGGTCAGTCATCAATTGATTGAGGTCCCCTCGCCAGAAATCGGCCACCTTTGCCAAAACAGATAGCTCATGAAAGAAAGCAAACACCTGTTATGTTACCCTGCAATTTGATTTATAAGATTATCTTGCAGTCAACCTTTCTCTAACAGGCTTTAGCCACCCTAGCGTTAATAGAAGAATTCTCAATAAGCAAGCCAACTACAACACTCATTTTGTCAACTAAGTTAAGCTTGATCAATGTTGAACCACTTCAACGGGCAATAAAGTTATGAATAATAACTTAATTAGATTAGCTATTTTAATGCCACTATCCGTACAGTATTAAGGCCACGCAAATGATGAAGCGTTGTTATGAAAACCTAATTTAACTAATGTCTGTAGGGTATTGCGTTGACCTGCACCTTTGCTGGTCAATGTCCTCGCGCTAGTCATAGAAGCCAATTTCCAGGGATTAGTCATCGATCAACGGTCCTATAGTTTAGTGGTAATGACGTCGGATTTTGATACTCTCAGAAGCCTTCCGAAGACCCCGGTTCGAACCCGGGTAGGACCTCATTTTTGTCTTATCCACGTCTGGAGATGTATTATATCACCAGTAGTCTTCCAAGCATGGGTGGGTGTGGCTCTTTCATTTTCCCCCAGTTGTTCCCGTCGACGTTCTGGCCTTGCGCCACCTGTCGGCTGGAAATGAGAATGGAACAATTCGCGACAAACCCCATGCCCGATGTCGGCCGGCCGGCCAATTGACTGATATGAACTTCCCTTCTTGTCACGTTGCACGGAATTGACAGAGATACCTGGGTCACTTCAATAATGATATAAATAGTTACGTGTTGAATTTTATTATATGTTTACCGTTATTTGTGTTTATATTGAATCTCTTTGTCTTGTGCTCGAGTCTGTCTCCTCGTTGGGTTGTTTTTGTGGAGACAACTGATGTTATCCAACCTCAAAACCTCAATCTTGTCCATCAAACTTACCAGACTGTTCCCCTGTTTGTCTCTTCACATCTTCACATCTGAGCAAAATGCCAATTCATGGTTCATCTGAGACCAACGAGACCACCATTGTGGTGATTGGGTATGTATTCGTTATTAATTCCTCCCTACATCCCCTGCTAACGCTAATGTCCCAGTGCTGGCATCATCGGTCTTACCAGCGCCCTAAAGATCCAACAACTAACCGCCGACTCACCATCGACATCAATTCTACTCGTCGCAAAAGAATGGCCAACTTCAATCCCAGGCGCGCCAACAACTCACTCAGCAGACTATGCCTCAATGTGGGCTGGCGCTCACATTCGACCCATCCCCGCTTCAACGCCACAGCTGCGTCGTGAAGCCAAGTGGGTGAAACACACTGTCACTGAGCTTGAGAAACATCGACAGAGTGAACCTTGGGTTGGGGTCAGGCGCCTCCCGGGTATTGAGTATCTTGAGGACCCGTCACCTGAATACCTGAAGCAAGATGCTCAGAGCTTTGCAAACGAGACTGGCTTGCCGGGATATCGGAAATATCAAGCACATGAGTTACCTGAGGGTGTGAAGTTGGGGTTTGAGTATGAAACGTATTGTATCCATGCGCCCTTATACACCGCTAGTCTACTGCGCAAGTTTATTGTTCAGGGTGGAAAGACGCTGCAGAGGGATTTGAAAAGTGAATGGGAGGCTTTTATCACGGCACCTAATGTCAAACTTGTTGTGAATGCAAGTGGAATGGGATTTGGAGATGAGAAGTGCTTCCCCATCAGAGGTACGACGAGCGTTCATTACCACAAGGGATTACAACTGACGAGTATCAGGTCAGACTGTGCTAACTAACCTCGCCGCCGCCGACAAAACAATCACAACTCAAAAGAAAGACGGTACTTGGAGCTTTATAATTCCTCGTTCTTTCAATGGAGGAACAGTCATTGGCGGTACCAAAGAAGTGGGCAACTGGCAGCTCGAGCCATCACAGGAAACACGCAGTCAGCTGTTGAAAGCTGCACAGTCAATCATACCACAAGCTTGCGATAAGAGCCATATACATGGGAAGATACAGGTAATCAAAGATGTGGTGGGACGAAGACCAGCTCGTGAGGGTGGCATGAGAGTCGAGACTGAAGCTAAGGATTCGACATGGGGGGTCAAACATGTCATTCATGCTTATGGGGCTGGAGGACGAGGATTTGAACTGTCTTGGGGCGTGGCGAGCGAAGTGGCTGAACTTGCAAGTGAGATTTTGAATTCAAAGTCTAGTGCTAGACCGAAGCTGTAGAATTTTGGTGCCTTCGTGGTGGGAGTATATATATGATTCGGGATAGTGATGATGGGAATGATTCGGCTTCCTATGCCGAGCTTCGGTCAATATTTGACTGACCGACCGTCCATTATGATAATTTTCGAATTACCTCGCAAAATCGGGGCAATTACTTGGCAGATTGCCGCTGAGTTCAAGAATATGTCAAGTACGCCCTTATAAAGGTGGGGGTCTCGATCCTTCGCCGTGCAATAAATATCTATTCCCACCCAGCAAATACCCTCCCGTTCTACAAAACATCTAGTTACCACCACATTAGCACACTGAATTCACTGAGATGAGCGCCTCCACTGATGACAACTGGCAACCCAAAGCCATAGTCTTCGATCTTCTCACCGGCCTCTTAAACTCCTGGGATCTATGGGACGCATCAACCCCATCCAAAACCCACCAAGAAGGCGGCCGCTGGCGTCAACGCTATCTCGAAATCACCTTTGGCACTGGCTCCTACAAGCCCTACGAAGATCTCGTCAGACAGGCTGCTGCTGAAGTTGGTCTTCCAGCATCAGCGCCTGAAGCGCTCCTCAAGAATTGGTCGAGCATAAAAGCGTGGGATGAAGTCCCCTCTGTTCTCCGAGCTTTAAGAGCCCAGGGCTATAAACTTGGTGTTATTACCAATTGTTCGAAGCACTCGGGATATATCGCTATTCATGGTGTTGAGAAGCAGGCTAGCGTTGGGCTTCATACGCCTTTTACTTTTGACGCGGCGGTTACTGCTGAGGAGAGTGGGTTTTATAAGCCTGTTATAGAAGCATATCACAGCATCCTGCCTAAACTAGGGGTTGACGCAGAGGATATTCTTTTTGTTGCTGGAAGTGCAGGAGATGTTGAGGGTGCAACAAATGCTGGGATGAGAGTTGTTTGGCATAACAAGATTGGGTTGGCGAAGAAGGGTAATGCAGTTCCGTTGAGAGAGAGTAGGACGTTGGATGATGCTCTGAAGGGGTATTTGAAGAAGGTCGAGTAGTAACTACACATATTCAACCATTCTCAGCGAGTCCCTAAAGAACCCCCGTAGTATGCATAGCCTAGAGCTCGACGGGCTGTAATTTCTTGTTTACAGGGTTAAGTATTTCTTTATTTCTAATTTCCGCCGACTTAAAGTTCGAGTTATCTGTTGGTTGGTTCTGTTGGTCTGCCCATTGCGGGCTGAGGCAATTGGTCCGCTAATCCCTGCCCGATGCCTAATCCCGTTTTCGTACAAATACTGACTTCACTTCAACACACGCGCCAAGCTACCCCTCCCAACCTCCAACTCTATACTCATTATTTCCTCGGCAATCAGCCAATTTCATTCATTCCATGCTTTTGTTTCACTTACCACGGATTCGCTATGCCGCAAGACGAGCTACCCAAAACCACCGCTCAGCCGAACGATGCTGAACCTAAAAGTGAACGCGCCGCCTCGCTGGTCGATCGCTTCACATGGGGCAATTTCACCTGCACCCAATCCACAGGCGGCGTGGCCCTCATGCTGTCAAAGAGTCCATATGGATTTCGCGGCTTACATACCATTGGGGTCGTGGTCTTTATCCTCAATCTCGTTCTGTTTATCTTCTTTTGCACAGCCATGATATGTCGGTTTGTTCGGACACCGGCTAGCTTACTCAAATCTGTGACGAAACCGCCTGAAGCGTACTTTACTGGCTCGCTGTGGCTTTCGATGGCGACAATCATCATGGGGATACAGAGTTTTGGTGTTCCTCACGCTGGGTCCTGGCTTGTCGATACCGTTCGGGTTCTTTTTTGGATTTACGGTGCTATCACGCTGACGTATAACATTGTTATCTTTGTGGTCATGTTTTCTCTTGCGCCTTTCGCCCCTGGTAGCATGAGCTCTCCAATGTTTCTGATGATTTACAATGCCATGCTCACCGGAACCGTCGCGTCGGTAATTGCAGCCGATCAGCCTCCATTGGAGCGAATGCCCATCATCGTTGCCGGAATTGCTTTCGAGGGACTCGGCTGGATTCTCTGTCTTCTTTTCCTTCCTCACTTCGTGGGAAACTTACTTGTCAACGGTCTCGGTCCAGTCAATCTAAGACCAGGCCTCTTCATATCCGTGGGTTCTGCAGGCTATACCATCATCGCCCTCATCGGCTGCGCAAAAGCAATCCCAGATGGATACGGATATTTCGCGAAGCATCCCACTGCGGCAGAGACGCTGAACATCATGGCATTGTGGGTAGGAATATTCCTTTGGTTATTTACCTTTTGGCTTTTTGCAATTGCCGCGGTTGCGCACGTGCCCATCTTGGTGTCAAAACTCCGCGGCGATAAGTCTCAGCAGCAGATGAGTTTTGCACTTCCTTGGTGGGCGATTGTCTTCCCGAATGTTGGGTTCACGATTGCTACGGTGTATATTGGTGAAGAACTGGAATCGAGCGCTATATCTTGGGTTGCGACGGTTATGACTATATTAGTGTTTGTGGCGTGGTTGATGGATCTGTACTTGCATATGAAGTCGATATTTCAGAAGCGAATTATGTAAATAATGGCATAGAATAGAAGATGTAAATTAGATAAGGGCGTGTACAGCGTTTATCATCCGATTCAGGTGACACGGTCTACAGCGAGATCTTGAGGGATCTTCTATAGAAGTACTTGCTGGCCGTAAGGTTAAACTCTAGGTAGTCTTTAAAGTCTTGTATCCGCAAAGTTACTCCAAGCAGTTTTCTAGAGCCGAGATGGACACGCTAATCGTTAAATATGATAGGAAAAAGCACTAACCCGCAACCTTAAACAGACCTCGGCGTAATAGAACAGTCAGTATCTTATAGTGAAAGGATTGTCATTACTATATCGAAACTAATTAAAAGGAACGATTATACATGTTTCAATTTGCCAAAAGAGAATGACAGAGTGTGACAGCTGTGCAAAAGACATTGAACAATTCCGGTTTGACAGTTCTCCCTTTGTTGAAAAGAGAGAAACCATCGCGTATCCACCCCCTCTTCAATGCACCCAGCTTCATCCGGATATAGCCCGTCTAGGCCTTAAGCTCAGATGGGATATCAACACACTTGGGGTGCAGCTCAATGTTGCGCTGACTCCACCACGGGTTCTTCGCAGCAATCGAGATCAGATCTCGTCCCTCCACATCCGAATGGATACCCAGGTAATACGCCACGTAGACCGTGAAAAAGTGCCCATAGAAGAACTTCTTGAAGAAGTTGTCCTGGTTGAGATCAATGTTGATGAACTCGATGTTCTTGTTCTGCGGAATGTCCTTGCTGCCGAACAGACCCTCGAGAGTTTTGACCTTGTCCTTGGTGTATTGATCCGCATTGGAGTCAAGGAAGGTAATAATGGCTTGCTTCTCTGAGGGGTTCGAATAAGCCGCAACTTCGGTATGAGAGAACTCATGCAGAAGGTTTCTGTGCGTAGGTACCATGGCGATTTCATTGAAGAACATAGTCGTCTGCTTGAGAAGCGTGACGTACCAATCAGCGGTACTAAGAAGTGCAATACGACTGTTCTTCAACCTCTCCGCAATAGCCTGAGCCTTCTTGAGGGTAGCCTCGTTGAACTCAGTCTTCAAGAAGTTGACTGAATCCTGGAGCTCTTTGTGGTAGGAGGAGGGTGTAAGCTTGAGCTTGTGGAAGAGATCCAGAAAAATGGAGAAGAACTGCTGAACGTGGTACAGAGGGTACTCCCGATCTGCGTGGCGGAGCTTGTACAAGATGATAGAAGTGTTGTGCTCCTCGCACAAATGTGCGATTTTACCACCGCCCGAGAGAACAATCAAGTTCTTGTTTCCCGTCATCTCGCGCATCGTTTCAAAGAACAGACACGGCTCGACAGACCAACCACTGTAGCAAACAATGATAGCCAGCGTAGTGGGGTCTTTCATGACATTGCGGTCAACGAACCAGTCAAGGTCATAGTCGTTGATGACCTGAACGTGAAGGGGAATCTTCTCGTTGAGGAAGAATCCCTTGACGATGTCGGAGACGACAGAGGAGCAGCCCATGCCGTAAAAGACAAGACGCTTGAATTGGCCGGATTCGATTCTCTTGCGGAGATCTGGGTTGAGCTTGGAGAGGTCGTACTCATGGCCCCAGAGGATACTCTCGAAGAGAGGGTTGCCGAGCATGGGCTGGAGACGTTCAAGACGGGGCTGCATTTTGGTGGTTTGGTTCTGTGAGGTTTGTTAAAAGGGAAGATTCAAGGTAAGGTGTTGTGTAAAGTTAACGTACTGGGTTTGTTATAGTAATGAAGTTTGAAAGATCACACCTTGTATGGTGGGAAGGGTAGTCAAGTGATGTTGGATACGAAGATGGAATTGTTGTTGATGAAAAGTTAACCTGGGTTCTCGAGCTCTTTATATACACATTTCAAAACCCTTATCCCGTCTTATGAACGGATAGAAGGCATTTCCTGATCTGCTCGCCGACGTCTATCTCGAGCTGTTCCGCTAATACCGCAGTGTTGTTGATGCTATACCAATGGGCCCCACGCCACCATCAACGTTATAATTATCAATCTCTTCAACTTCGTCAACATCTTGAGGAACTTCGGTTATCCGGAGGGTGTTGATCCTGGGAACACGATGCATCCCAACGGCGTCGTACATAGTACCGTCTCCACTAGCGCAAGAATCGTCATGCTCGAATGGGTGCGTATCTCCGCTTCAGCCGTGCCGTGAGGTTGTTCCCTGTTTGGAAATATGGAGGGTCTCGTGATGGTTGCTGTCGAAAAAGCTCACATCATTCCCACTTTGATCCATCCCCAGAGCTGCTCCCCACGCCCTCAGAGGGGTACGGGAGTTGTGATGGTTACTATCAGTAAAACTCTAATTAACTACCGCGCGGGTATGGCCCGAATAGTTGCCTTAATGGGATTATGGAGGGTCTCATGATGGTTGTAGTGGGTAGAGGGAATATCATCTATCGCTCGAGCCGTGTTTTGAGCCGCAGCCTTGATGGGATCAAGGAGGCTTTCATGGTGATACCTATCGGTAAGGATCAGATCATGCCCGGTAGATTATCTACCGCTTAGACTTTCCCTTGAACGATTATCCTTACGGTATTATGGAGGGTATCGAAGTGCTGTTGTTGGCAAGGGTCAGATCGATGCGGTTCCGTGTTCCAAGTTTTACAAACGTTTCAGATTATTCATCACTCGAATCTCACTTCCATCATCGTTCTATGCAATAAATGGCACTTGTTAGTACACACTGTGATTTCAACGACCTTTCGGTATCAGTTATTTCCTTAAATGTAAACAAAACACTTTTTGTGAATCATTAAGTAGTTTGTAGATTATCAATGGCCAAGTTGTCGTTCAAGGAGGTTCTGAAGGAGGACCGTAGATCCCCCTCAATTGCTGCTATTGTATGAACCACTGTGACCAACACAGGATTGTGAATCTTGATATTCTTACATATTCTAATACATACTCTTATCTCTCAGACATGTTCATGAGTCAGAATATGATAGATAACATACCAATACGACGTCATGTATACATACCTACCTATAGTAGTAAGCCAAGATGTCAACACCTCACAAAGATCGACAACTAGTTCTCCCCAGTTTCCCCGGACTCCCCCGCCCTAGGTAAAAAGATAGACACAACTCGGTCTAGTCGGAGATAGGCTAGCCTCGGCTCACACTAATGCGTAGAATGGGGGGCCGAGCGAGCCGTCCCGCCCCCTGCTAGAGTCGTATCGCTTAGAAATGGCCGCGCAATCTTCCCCACCCGCTCTTGGCTAAGACCTATTCTGCGCTGTTTATGCAGGTCTTAGTTGTCTAAACTCTATTCCTTCGGCTCGGAATCTTTTTGGCTGCAGTTATTTCCAGATGCAGATATGTTGTGATATGACTTTAAATCGGAGCCGAGGTATTCGGCCCGCGTCGTTCGCCCGTGACAGAGAATGACGGACAGCTATACCCTGGACGGACTAAACACGGACATCGCCTTCCTAGCTGTATACGGGCATATATCTTGCGCCTCTTACATAGTCAGGTTTACCATGATGCCTTGTAAGATAGGCACAAACTATATAATCTCTTGCCCGTTTTGGCTCAGACTGTCCTAATATTACAATTTTGCATAACATATCCCCCTGCATAATTTTAACTCAAGCTGATATCGCGTCGAAATGAGAGTCCAAGCCACCGCAGAAACCAATTCACACAATGCGAGGAATTGGGTTCCTCTGCTAGACGAGCCCGCATACAAGCCTAGAAACATACGCATCGTTTGTGTTGGTGCCGGCTTTTCAGGCCTCATACTAGCTTACGAGGCCAAATACAACGAATCTCTTCAAGGATTCATTGATTTGACTATTTATGACAAGAACAAAGATGTTGGTGGAACGTGGTTGGTGAATCGATATCCTGGTGTGGCAGTGCGTATTTTCCAACAATAGACTTAAGAGACATAGTTAACTGACATTTCCTCAGTGTGATGTTCCAGCACACATTTACACCTTTCCATTTGAACCAAATCCAGATTGGTCCAGCTTCTATGCTTCAGGATCAGAAATCTGGGCTTATATCAAGAGAACGTCGGATAAGTATGGTTTGGCTGAAAATGTTAGATTTCAATCGAAAGTGGCACAGGCGACCTGGAACGAGGTTGCAGGTAAATGGAAGCTGAAGATCATGCAAGATGGAGAGGAAAGGGAGGACGAATGCGATATACTTATTGACGGATCAGGATTCTTGAAGTATGTATACACACTGCGGGATTCTTCATAACTCCCAAAACTGACATCACAGTAACTGGCATTGGCCTGATATTCCCGGTCTTCATGACTTCAAAGGGGAAATCGTTCATACTGCAGATTGGTACGTTTCTTTTGCTCACTCATTGTACTTGCTCTAACAGGAACTTACCAGGAACCCTTCTATCAATGTGACAGGCAAAAAGGTCGCTGTTATCGGCAACGGCTCATCTGGTGTCCAAGTACTCCCTCACCTGCAAAAGACCGCTGCTCAGTTGACAACTTATGTTCGCACGCCTACTTGGATATTTGCCAACTACGCGTCTGAGCTTACAAAGGACGGCACCAATTTCGCCTTCACCGAAGAGGAAAAGAAGGAATTTCGACAAAACCCCGCCTCGCTGTGGAAATTTCGTAAAGAGATTGAAAACAGGTCAGTAGCTGTAGTTGGTAAACCGATCGAGGGTTAGTAACTCGTATACAGCCAAGACAACTTTTGGAACGTCTTCTTTAAAGACACAGCCGCCCAGAAAGCCGCCCTCGAGAATGCATACAACCGTATGCGAGAACGTCTCGGCAACGATGAAGAGCTCTGTGACAAGCTAATTCCAGATTACGAATACGGATGCCGACGCCCAACACCAGGCGATGGTTACCTTGAAGCTCTCCGCCAGGAGAACACGCGTGTCACTTTTGATCCAATCGTTCAAATCACCGAGTCTGGGATTCAAACTACACAAGGCCATACTGACTTTGACATTATTGTTTGCGCAACCGGGTTCGACGCTAGTTTCCGCCGCTCGTGGACCGTGCAGGGGCGGAATGGCTATCAGCTCCATGAAGCGTGGGGGGAGTCTCCAGAAGCGTATTTTGGGGTTGCAGCGGCGAATATGCCGAATTACTTTATCTTCATTGGGCCGAATAGCCCAGGTAAGTGAACCTTGACCAAAGGCTGGGTTACATTACTGATAGCTGCAGTGGGCCATGGATCACTTCTTGACAGTGTATTTTGCATCGCGAAATGGATATTGAAGTGGTGTAGGAAGATTGCAACGGAAGATATCAAGTATACCCCACCCTCGGACTCTGCATGATGTGATCGAATTCGCTGACGTTGCAATAGGTTGGTTTGTGTGAAGCAACAGGCGCTGGATGATTACAACGTCTACCTGCAAGAACTCCTCAAACGAATGGTGTGGACTGGATCATGCAGAAGTTGGTACAAGAATCGCAAGAAAGACGGACATGTCACCGCAGTATACGGTGGAAGCCGTCATCATTTTAGAGGTATGCATACTCGAGTCCTGTCACATGTCAGGATTTACGCTTGCTAATATGAAACCACTTGTGTTAGAAATTCTCGAATCCTTCAGAACGGAAGACTTCGATGTCGAATATAGGTCAGTTAACAGATTTCGCTTCATGGGCAATGGAAGAACCCTGAGAGAGTCGCGAGGAGAGTACTATGTGCTGAAGTAAGCCTCGGGTGAAGTTACATAGGGAGTCTAGATAGCCTAAGAAACTCGAAAGTATTGGAACATAATTCGGAAGCCTTCTGTTACACGGGACATCCATCTTTGGTGATTCGTAATTGCCGACAGTAATTTACGTGACATATCATATTGTGGCCAAGTGACCTAGACATGCAGCATGCATGATATTCAAAAGATTGCCTAGACTCGTATACAATCCTTCTCGGCCTTTCGGTCCTATAGATTATGATCTGTCACTCAAGCGCCCGACCCGAAGCTCCCTTTTGCGGGGAGCCGGAGGATAGTGATACCGGTAGTTGAATAGACGACGGGCGGAGGGAGAGCAGGTATAGACGGGTTATATACACTGCATCATATTACTTCTGATATCACACCACTTCCCAGAAACAACGAGAAACAACTCAGCGCCAACCAAGCATCGACGATTACACTATGGATTCCACCAATACTGCTTCGGCTATACCCACCCTCAAGTTGAACGATGGAAACGATATCCCAATGGTCAGTCGTAGTCTCGCAATATCTGTTCAGTTCGAAGTTAACTTGGAATAGATAGGGTACGGTCTAGGAACCGCAAACTTCAAGAAGGGAGGAAGGACCGATTATGACGAGAACGCGTTTAACTACACATTAAATGCCATAAATAGTGGTTTTTATCACCTTGATGGAGCTTCAGGTACCCTTCTCTAATGTTTCACAAACTTGTACCTCTCCTCACAAGTATTTAGCGTACGGGAACGAGGAAGAACTCGGTGCAGCTATCAGAGCATCCGGCGTGCCGCGAGAAAAGCTCTATGTTGTCACCAAGCTCAACGGCTGGAAGAAGCAGAACGTTAAGAAGGCTTTTGATACTTCGCTGAAGACACTTGGGCTTGATTATGTGGACCTGTACCTCATCCATGCACCTTTCTTTGCCGAGAAGCCTGGAGATTTACAGGAAGCTTGGGCTACCCTTGAAGCTATCAAAGAGTCTGGACGTGTTAAGTCCATAGGCGTGTCTAACTTCATACAGGAGCACTTGGAGACCATCCTCGCCACTGCAAAGATCCCACCAGCCATCAATCAAATCGAATACCACCCTTATCTGCAGCATGGCAATCTCCTGGAATTTCACCGCAAGAACAACATAGCCTTATCAGCTTATGCGCCGTTGACAGCTATTATACGCGCGAGACCGGGACCTGTAGACGCTCTTTACGCAAACCTGGCGAAGAAATATGGTGTCACTGAGGGAGATATTGCGTTGCGTTGGTGTATTGACCAGAATATCGTGACAATCACGACGAGTTCGAGTGAGGAGAGGTTGAAGAGTTATATGGCGAATGTGTGGAGTTTTAAGTTGGAATCTGAGGAAACTGAGGGTATTGCGATGATGGGGAAGCAGAAGCACTTTAGGGCATTCCAGAATCAGTGGATTGCTGAGGGTGACTGGCGTTAGATTGATGACGGATGTTGTTAGCTCTAGCCTTAAGCGAGATAAGACTATAGGAGTTGCAAATATACTGCCTTTCCCAGTCCAGCGCCACTATTTAGATACTATTCAGTACTATATATAATACCTCTATTCCAATTCGACACGCGGCTTAAGGGGCGTTCACATAGGACGAAATCACGCGGGGCAATACGTGAGAGCCTATGCAGCTGTGACAGGGTTTCCTAGTGAACAAAGCCACTGTAAAAGTTCCGTATGCATGAGCCACAATAAGATAGTCATACATACCAAGTTCGGTGGTGGCTGGTATATGCCTCGCTTTGGCTGAGAGTGTTTATCCCCAGAGCTCATTCCCAGTCATGTCAGTCGCAGGTTTCAAGCCGAGTCAACCGGAAAAAGATGATATAGTGCATAGTTAATCGTGCAGAACTATGAGTTAATACTTGTGCCTCGTCATATACTTCGTGCTTCTCTTCCGTCCGTAGTTCCTCTCGTCAGTCTCCAAAGCAGCCAGCTTATCCAATTCCTCTTGCTCCTCCTCGTCTAACTCAGGAGCCATCTCCTTCTTTGGTTCTCTCAGTTTGAGGGGGTCTTTGGACTTTCCAGCAGTCCCCTTGCTTTGAAGCGCGTCTTCTTCAACATCGCCATCATCTTCTCCCTGGCAAACAGTACGTAGTGACTTTGCGGTCTTAGTGACATTCAGGTCACAGTTCAGATAGCCTGCACCCTCTCTGCTTCGATTCCAAGCCTCAAAACCAAGTATGTACAAGAAACCATCAACTATGCAGTCTTCCCACTGAATGGGATCGTAACCAGCTTTGGAAGAGAATGCGTGTGCTGCAACCAAGGCTTTTACGCACTGAGATATTTCCTTCTGTATCCCTTCGGTCGTGTTAGGTATCTTGCCGCCATGGGCTTCAATATATGGTTGGAAGCGCGAAAGATAATTGCGGAATGCTATGGGGGCCCAATACTTATAACCGTCATCAACATTGAAGTCCTCAGGAAAGGACTCCATAGCCCCGAGAAACCACATAATGGAGAGAACAGTATCGATGGCATCCTGCCAGTCTCTGTTCAGGTATCTCCACCGCGAAGAATCTATTGTGGTTTCTTTCGGTGGATGTGTCTGCGGTAATGTTGCCAAGCGGAGCAGTACATCGACTTCTCCGCACGCGATGAGTCCCTTGATGCCCAAGATCCGTTCGGAGCCGCTGAAGACATATCCACTCGTAGACGTCCATCGCGTGATTTGCATCGCAACTGGTCGTAGCTGTTCTCTCCCTCTGACAGCTCGACTGAGAGGTTCGGTATGAATCGCGTCGAGAACTCTGTCCGAGAAAAGCTTCGAGTCTGAAGTATCAAAAGTATTAACTCTTGGACGAGAAGTCTGGGCCTCGCCCGCAGCTATCACTTTAGCAGCCAACATTCTCGCGAAGCGGCGAACGTGGGGAACCCATTCTTCTCGAGATTCTCGTGGTACCAAGATAAGTGGCTCGCGATTGCCATGCTCTGCTGCGAATGATTGATAAGATCGCTTATACCATTGGTCTTGACGTTGAGAATTGGTGGCGACGACTTGGAAATGCTGCGATAGAAGAGCCTTGAGCTCGTCACTGATGTTTTCGAAGCCCTCCATGGCTAGCTTTTGACAGGTTCTCTTTTTGGTCGTTTTTTTGGTTGGTCCGTTCTGCTTATGCGGGATCTTACGCTTTTTAATACGTAATGTGCTGTTGGTCATAGCTGCTCAGCCACGCCGTTTGACTCATCTGACCCAAGGCTAGCGTAAAAGCTTTAAGTAGATTAACTAGAGGTCGGCCATCCCAGAGTTCTTAGTATTAGTTAGTAAGTATATATCCTAAGTATATGTTGGATGCTTTAGCTCAATATCTTTTTTTGCCTCAGCCAGACGTACTTACTAGGTACAACAATAGGGCTCCAGTTGAACGACCGACCTTTCCTATGACTTGAAATGTTTAATTGTTTCAGTGTGTCGGCGAACTTGAGCTCAAGGTTGAGATGAGACTCATGTACTTTTGAGAAGCCAGGAAACATCATTTGATGCTGTACAGGACTGGCAGACGTTGTGTAGCCAACCTTGATATTTTATCTGGGCTAACATTAGTAGACTTGTTGGATTTTCTTACTATGATCGCATAGAACAGTTATCTAACTACCCTTGAGATTTGGTATCTATTCAAGTACCTTACAGCCAGGAGACAGTACAGCGCCTACTCTTCTAGAGCGTGAGTCTAGTTACGCGCTTGTATCCTTCTGCGAATCCTGATGGCAGTGCTCTCCCTTGGAATTCTATATTCCCACATAGTCTTCATTGGAGGCTCTTCATCCCCAAACTTCACGTCATAATTAATAACCAAATAGGCCAGAACGACCTTCATGATGTGCGAGCCAAAGAAACGCCCCGGGCATGCGTTCTTTCCATAACCGAAGCCAAGGAAGCTCTCGTCAAGAGTCACGGCAGAACGAGACGTAGAAGTTCCATCAGCAAAGCGAAACGGCTTGAAAGAACCTGCATCTGCGTAGAAGCTATCGTCCATGTGCATGCTATGCATCGGGATTTCAATATGAACACCGGGAGGAACGTGAATACCATGGTCGAGAGTTATACCGGGAGAATTGATGCGACGTGGGAGAGCAAAGAGGCCAAAATCGGACCAACGCATCGATTCGCGGATTGCTGAGTCGGCGAGAACGAGTTTAGAGACAGTGGCCCGATCCCAGATCTTAGTAGAAGCCAGAACCGATGTCGCTTCGTCACGGAGTTGCGAAAAGGTCGAGGCAGCGTGTTCGCGGTTGCATATGTCGCTGAGAACAGTACTAAAGGGAATTGACCCGCCTTGCACAAGATTGAAGTTGAGGATCATCATTCGATGGCCTATGCGGTGAGCATCGAGTTGAGACGGATCGCCAGTTGCGGCGCTGGCTTCTATAATCCATTGGAGGATGTTGACCTGGATGACTTTAAGTTGCAGTCCAAGGTCAACAAGTCCGAAAATAAAGAACTTACCGGCTTCTCTTGTGTAGGGTTCTGATTAGCGTTCAGATAATCTTGTATAATTGGAATACAAGATCTGATCCCTGCCTCAGTGTCCCGTCTAGCATTCCACGATATCAACGGAGCCAAGATTGGCTTGAGGACTTTCGGAACCAGTGTAATGAATAAACCTTGGAATGGCATGTCGATAGCAAACCGCCGCATAGTCTCAAGGAACGCTGCGTCTCTGCCTACGGTGCTCAATATCAGTGCCCGTACGTACTGCTTTCTCGATCGTGAAGAATAACTCACACAATGGAAATCCCACAAGAACTCTGTTTAAGCCCCGGGTAAATATTCTTTGCACAGCTGGCCAGAGCTTTACCTCTTTCCACTCTTGGCTCATGCCGAATTGTTCATCCACAGCAATGCATAATTCCTCTTGCAATTCAGCTGCGAGCTCGTCAAATCTTTTGGTGATCCACTTCCGAATCACATCGACAGTGTAATTGCTCGGATAAACTTCTCGATCGCGAATTGTCCATCCAAATGACAAAGCTTCTGAGGCTAGATCGTGGGCTTGCAGCTCATTCTCGCGTTTGCCGTAGATGGCTTTCAGTTGGGCAGGAGGAAGAATAAGGACTTTGCCTTTTCTGAACGAAGGGATGATAAAGGGTTGATTGTGTCGTGAATACTTGGGCAAAGGTCAGTTAGTCCATTTGTTTCTTGTCTTTATAGAATGTGTTACTTGCCTTCTGGTATCCCTCATTCATCCACTCTTCTGTTTTCGAAAAGCTACGCAGTTGTGCTCTAGTCCATGCAAACCATTCACCTTCTCGAACACCAACGAATGGTATTGATTGGTAAAAGCTGTTGTCTTTTCTACTTTTTTGCCATCTATACCATCCTATGACAAGCAGCGCAAACGGTAGAAGCACAAGGCTAGCCATAACGCAGCTCGGATATCAGCACAATGTTCACAGTGGAAGGTAACTGTCAAGGCCTGGATAATCTTTAGAAATAGAACAAAGATTAAATGTAGAGACTACAAACATGCGACAGAGCGAAGCATTATAAAGTGTGAGGATAAGCTGAAACAAGAGTAAGCGCTAGTATTCGCAACCAATCGAATAGTGATCGACAGACCTAAGTCATAGCCTGTAAGCTACGTATTACTTTCATTGGCTACCTCGGTCTATAAGGCTCGCATTTCATGTATAAATATTCAGATTAAGAAACGCCAAGGATCGGACTCAAATCTGTGCCTCACTAGCAACTCAAACGTAGGCATATCGACATCATGTAACCTGCGACCGCCACTGATTAGCTGAAGCTAAGATACACTTGGCATGTCTCACAAAGGGACTGCATGGAAGACTTTGCTGGTTGCGCTATCACATATGATTCCAGTCGAGGCTTTCCCTCAACTTTCAGCTGTGTATACACCCGTGACGCTGGCATGGCCTTCATCATCTCTCACCACAGGAAGATAGAAACGAGCTCCAATTGCTGCCGCGACTACTGCGACTGAAGCACCTGGCAGCAATTCTGGCAGGATGAAGATTTCTCTTGCAGCGGTTACATGGATACATCTGGTATATATATACATATATATATTACTCGCCTGAGGATAGGAAGCCTCATAACTCTTGTCGAGGGCATTCCCAGTAGCAGAATGAAAGACTCAAACTGAATCAATCTGGTATCGAACCTGCTATGAATTCTTGACAGACCTGCGGTAACTTCTGACTGATGCATTTGGCGCCGCGTTGGTCGAAAATCTCCCAAAGGACTCCGAGATTGTTGCAATAGGATCTTCTTGCCTTTCTTTCTCGATGGCGTCCTTCGATGGACTATTTATCGTTTCCATCAATTCTTGAAAACGCTTCAGCTCTTCCATACATGCTGACCCATCTGGTAGAATCCGTTTAGACTCCAAATCATATTTAATTTCTCCCAAGCTGAGTTCCTCATCTGTGTGAACATATTAGTTGAGACTTGAACAATGAGTAACGGACTTACCAGTAAACATGCCACGGAATGCCTCTAAAATACGTGCATTATCAGAATGTTGGCTACGCAATCCCAGCAGCATCAGCGCTAGAGGAATAACAAACTTGTCCCCTCCATACACCTGAGCTAAGGATATAGCAGTTCGGATCTGTCTTTTATCGACGACTTGGCTTTTCCTAATACCGATCCGAAGGTTGCAAACAGTCCGGGCCCAGGATGCCCAATTATTATTGGGCTTGTTTAATGCAGGGCATATCACCGTAAAAAGTCCCCCATCAATAAGCTGTTGCATTGTCATCTGGATGCACTTCCCTTCAACACCGAGACGGCCTTGACTGAGGTATTCTCCAAAATAAAGATCATCCCTTCGCCAGCCCATCACTTTTCCCAGACCACAATCATACGCATAGTAGCAATACAGAGCGTCTAGATCGCGAAGAAAAGTCTGCTTCGGGAAGTCTCGAGTACCGATCATGATTAGACTGATCTCTGGCAGCTTTGGCCTTGAATCACGATCCGTTGTGTGGCGGTATAAGCCGTACTGGAGGAGGAAAAGAAGAGAGCTTGACCAAGACATAAGATTGCACGGGCTGCCTTCAAGTTTTTGGCATTCCCATTTGAGATGGGCTCTCAGTCGAGCGGCAGCCTCTGCAGGCGGGAGCTTTAGAAGATCTGTACCGCAAGCGGATCCCAGTTCATGTTTCCTGTCCATATCATCTGGGAAAGCTGGAGATTTAACATAGGTAGTGTCTGTGGAGCCGGCGGAATGCGGAACATGAAGACGGAAGAGATACGTTGGAGTATCATCAAACTTGAACCTCGTCTCTTGACCAGCTTTAGGCTCGAAGAGTTGAGGCATGTTTAAGAAATCGACGAGGGAGAGAGTGATGATGAACGATTCAAAACAGTCAAACGAGTTGAAAAAATGTGTTTATTTTCCGCCAAGTATCAGGTTTGCAGAAATGCGAGAAGATTACAATTACGACGAGGATCTGAGGCCAGATAAGGTTCAGTTATATACAGCCCGGCCTCGATATCAGGCCGATGGCGCAGCTGGACCAACAAACATTGTGACCCTTCGTCATTGGGCAATAGGTTGAAAAAGGTTCACAAAAGGAGGCTTCCCATTGGTGTACCAACCAACATAATTACTCCATTTGGGTGATCAATTAGGCATACAAATTGTTCAAAGAAAGCCCAACTCAATGAGCGTGTGCCTACAAGTAGAGAGAAATATGCCACCGTATCAGCCACCGTATCATGCATCAACACTCGAATGTTCCTTGATCGCAAGTTCGAGATTGAACTGTGGCTGAGTCTTGAAATATGCCTTGGCGCCTGTGTGCACCAAGGTCAAGAAAAGAATGGCGATTACATACACGTGAGCCCTCTACAGAGACTATGACAGCAGGCCTGGCCTGCTTCCTCGGCACATCTATTGTACTAACCCAAGATTATATAGATCAATCAAGCTACTTCCTGGCTCTGTTGTTAAGTTAATACATCGATGCACAAGTAAATGCTGAACGGAGCGTAAAAGAAGTCCCGAGCCTATTTATTCGCATGATCCCGTGATACCCGATATTGCCGTGCCTCCACCTTTAAAGCATCCAGAGTATTCCCAGTTACAAGATAAAGCTCATCCCTTCTTAGTCGAACATTGGAGAGTTTTGGCATTAATCAACATAATCAATAGCCATATTTCGCTGACCTAAATTACTGATACCAGCAATGACTATCATCCGAGTTGCCGCATGCCATGTTTCTCCCATCTTCCTCTCCGCCAAAGATACAACCTCCAAAGCAATTGTCTTAATCAAACAGGCTGCACAGAACAGAGCCAATTTGGTGGTGTTCCCTGAGACATACATCTCAGCCTTTCCCATATGGAGTTCCGTGCGAGCCCCCACTGAAAACCATGATCTCTTCAAGCAAATGGCGCATGAGTCCATATTCGCTGATGGCGATGAGATATACGCCATTCGAAGTATCGCCAAACAGGCGAACATCATGGTCAGCATGGGCTTTTCCGAAAGAGCTCGCTTCAGCAGCACAACATTATACAACTCGAACCTCTTCATCGGAAATTCTGGAGAGGTTCTGATTCATCATCGGAAATTAATGCCTACGTTCTTTGAGAAACTTACTTGGGCGCCTGGAGATGGACAGGGGCTGCGCGTTGCAAACACGCCGTATGGAAAGATTGGAAACTTGATTTGTGGAGAGAATACCAATCCTCTGGCTAGGTATAGCCTCATGGCTCAAGGGGAGAACATACATATTTCGACTTGGCCGCCCATCTGGCCAACTCGTGCTCCAGCGCCGGATGACTCTTCGGCGGCATCTGAGGGTGCATCAGACAAGCCGAATTATGACAACGTTACGGCCAACAGAACCAGAGCAGCTGCTCATTGCTTCGAAGCGAAGTGTTTCGGTGTTCTTTGTTCAGGTGTTCTGGGAGATGATGCCATTCGAGCAGTTTCTGGAGGTTCGTCTCACTTGAGCCAGGTGTTGAGGCAGTCTCAACGCGGTGCGACGCAATTTCTTGATCCAGCTGGAGCACCTTTGAAGGGATTCACCATCGACAGTCAGACTGAAGAGGCTGTAGCTACCGATTTCCTGCAGCATGATGAAGGAATAATTTATGCCGATCTTGATATTGAGGATTGTATTGAAGGGAAACAGTATCATGATGTCGTTGGTGGATATCAGCGCTTGGATGTTTTTGATCTCAAGGTGAACCGTACTCGTAGGGAGCCGGTTACTTTCACTGAAGATGTTGGAAATCTTCCATCTCAAGATTGGAAACCTCTTGACTGAGGGATTGTTCTTCGCGAGTTACTCATTTTATCCCATTGCATCATTGCGAGGTAATATAGCTTGACTGTCGATGCCGAGAATATGAAGGATTGCTGACGCTCGTGACCTGCCCGATCCGGCAGTTTATGTCATTTGGTTGACATCTCAAATGAGGGGGCGACTTTGATTGAAGCACCTGAATTGTCAAGAAACGTCGGTTCTCTCAAATTTATTGTTGGCCAACTCAACACGCCAAAATGAGCGACCGGGAGATCCCCAGTGTCATTGAGCGCCCGCTTCCCAACGGCGTCATCTATGACATGTCAACCGTCGGACAAGTGCGCATTACGCTTCCGGAATCTTCAACCTGGTCAAGTGGCCTGCATTGGCATGAAACTCACGATGAGTATTTGAAAGTGGTGAAAGGAACAATCAAGGTCCGCCTGGGAGATTCGCGACAAGTTATTCACGCTACCGATGGGATTCAGCCTGAGATCAAAGTCCCGCGCTACGCATGGCATGAATGGCAGCGAGCAGCACCAGACGGAGAAGAAGTCATCGTGATTGAGAGGACAGAGCCGGATGATAACGATAAGGCTATCTTCTTTTGGAATCTCAATGGAGTTATTCTCAACAGTCCCAAGATGCTGAATGATGAGGCCTCGGTAGTATCCCGGTTACCTTCTAGGCTGCAAGGGCTGTTTCTTGATATTTGGATTCCTCTGAACCTCTTCATTATTTTCCGAAGCCTGGACAATATTCCTGTATTTCTGAATGCGCCCGATATTTCGCGAATATCTGATAATAGAGTGAGGGGACCGTTACAATTTATCGATAGAGTGGTGTCGTACCTCATTCTGTTCGCTGCATCATTGGTTGGACAGGCTCTTGGTGTACAGCCAGTTCGGCGGCAATACACGCCTGATTATGCCTATGCGGCATGGCAATTGCGACGAGATGGTTCCAAGAAGAGAGTCGCATGATTGGCAAGCGGTGTTGATGGCGCCGGCTTTCAATCGAGCCTGGATTCAACGAGACGTCGAGAACTAGAGGCTTCTGAGATAGCTGTATTATCATGGTATTCTATCTCAATATCCAAGCGGGATATATAGAGACTCTATAGTCAATTTCTTCAAACAAATAACATTTTATTATGCATCGCCAAATGAATCCAATTTTATGCCAACCCATTTATTACAAAATCGCCAACCTAATTCTCAACGACAGGTCCGTTATACTCCTTTCGCGCCCAGGCGAAATAGTAAATGACACTGAAAATGACAAGGCCACCAGTGACCACGACGCTGTAGTTCATCATATCCACGGTAGGATCCACCATAGGAGGCCAGAAGCTGAAGAAGCCAACTACGATGAGGTAGCACATCGCAAAGATGTTGTTGGCAATGCCAAAAGTACCCTTGAGGTGGAACGGGCCCCAAACGAGCTCAGCGCCGGTGGTGTTGGCCAAAGCTGGGAGATCAGAACCGCCGGGTAGCGCGAAGCCCTTGGTAAGGCGGCGGTAAAGAAGAAGACCAGCGGCGATGAGATATGAAGAGTAGAGGCAAGAGATAGAGAGTGATGTGACGTTCATGAACGCCACGGGTGATCCGATGTTGATGAGCGACAACAGAATCGAGATGACGGCAGTGCAAAGGACCGAGTACAAAGGGACGGTGGTTCGGTCGCTGACCTTTGACAGAGTGCGCCAGCCAGGAAGGCCACGGTCTCTAGCAAAAGACCAAAAGACGCGAGAGGTCGAGGCGAGCATACCGACAGTGGCGCAAGCAGCAAGAAGAACAATAATGGCGGACATAACGGTCGCGCCGGCTCTTGAGTTTGTCGCCTGCTCGAAGATGTACATATAAGGGAAGCCGAGCATTCCGGGACCTGAAGCCATCGCATCGTCGAGGTTGCCCATGCAGAAGACCATGGCGATGACCATGGCGAAACCGCAGACGCCGTTGATGCAGAGACTGAGAAGGATGGATGCAGGGACGACGACGGAGGGGTTGACGGTTTCTTCCGACATCTAGAAACAGTCAGTGAGAGTTCATGGAGGTGAGAGGTGTGAACATACGTGGAAAGCAGCGTCAGTGCCAACGAAAGAAAACGCATTACCCATCATACCGACCATGAACGAGATACCATTAGTAGACCACCCACCATTGTTCACGAAGGTACCAAAGACATCCGACGCAGAAGCATGAGGACCAAGGGTAACAAGAGGGATCAAAATGGCAAAGAAACCCAGAATGTGGAGCATCAAGATCAATCCCTCAAACTTGGGTAGCACCGAACTGACCAGCGTATTGATGAAGACAGCAAACCCAAAGATGGCCCAGAACAGCAATGTTCCCTGCCAAAGCTCGGGCTGGAAGTCGGGGTAATTGAGAGTCGCCATTCCCAAGATCATGTTTCCTGTGAGCAAGGCGCTGGATGATACAGAGCCTTGCCATCCGCCGACCGTGAGCATGCCTGTGAGGTGACTGAGGAATTTGGAACACGACCGCGGCGCCATCATAGCGACCCTAAACAGAATGTCAGTTGAAGTTTGAGAGATGGAGATGATGTGACTTGCCAGTGATATTGTCCTCCGGATGTAGGTGCCATCGAGACCAGCTCGCACATGGTAGCAAAGACACTAAAGTTACCGACCCAAACGACAAGGAAGCTGTAGATGACACCGGCAGTACCACCATTGTTGAGACCCTGGGCGAAGAGAACAGTGATGGCTTCCCAGGTGATGAGAATGGTACAGCTAAATCCCAGAATCGTCATGAACCCAAAGTTGCGCTGAGCTGTCAGTCAATGCGCCTTCAATGAGGGACGGTGTAACATACGCGAAGAACCTGCTTCTTTCCCATCCGCTCCAACTGATACTTGTCATGATAATTGATCGTCGAGCTCCGTCCAGAATCTGGCTCTGCCTTGGCCGAGACATTGACATCGCCTGCTGCTTTGACGGTGGCATTGTTGCCCATCTCAAAGCTGGGTTTGCTAACGCTCTCCATGATGTTATACAAAAAATACCGGGAATACAACGGGAGGTAATTTGAGAGGAGAGAAACTGAGGAGAAAAGAAAAGAGTTAAAAGGGACTGCAGGAGAAGAGAGAGGGAAAAAGGTACAGGAATGTTAGAGCACCCCTGGAAAAAGGTCCCGACTGCGCTACAAACGGTAGAGTCGCATTGGGACGGCCGCCACCAACCGAGGCTGGGAATAATACTGGGTATGATGTGTTGCAGATTAACTTAATCGCCTTAGTATGGTCTACGGAGACGTTGCGTTGCGTTGCGTTGCTCCGCTATCTGCCCGTGTACATCCCCCCCTCCTCTTGCGGATCCGGCAGAATGCACCGATGGCCCCGGGGGGTCCACTAACAAGGGTCAGCTCCCACCGGGCGTTTTTGGAGGGCCTAGGGACCCCATGTCTCTTCAGTAACTTAGCGCATTACAGGGGACAACACTCAACGAGCCAAATTGACATTTGTTTGACGGGGAGTACTTTGCAACACAAACTGTCAGCATAAACTGAACATTTCTTTTTCCCCTCTCTCCCCGCAAATAAGATCATCGCCCCCTCCGTTTGACCATTTCGAGACTAAAGGGCATTCCTGTGAGGTTTATTGGCTTAGAGTTCTATTGATTCATAGCTCAGTCAAAGCGAGCGGCACGAGATCCTCAATGAACGCCACAGACGACGATTTGAGAAATAAGTTCTCGACAGCCGAAGGGGACGTGCTCAAACTCTCGAGCCACCAGATCTGAACTGAACTTGGTAGATCACGTCCGGCTGATTTTCCTCTTTCCAGGCACCTGGGTGCAAGGATCCATACTGTTACGTACTGTACTGTAAGGTTGACCTGCTCTATTCGTCATGGTGATGTATCATAATCATATGCAACCGAGCGAACCAGTAGGCCCCTGTATGTCAGAAAATGTTATGTTCTCTCTTTTCCCCCTTTTTTTTTGCTCTTCAGTGTAAGCACGGCATTGGTACTACGATCTTTTATGCTGTTGGTCAGGGGGAATTCATGCACGCCTGACAAACATTTTTCATCTTGCTTTTTCTCAGAGTGCTTGCAGTTCTGATACAAACATTCTATATTTAAAACAGCAACTGATTCCTTCTTACTCCAAATTCGTACACCTGCATTAAACGTCCTGCGCTGTAACCAAAATTCTCGGAGGTATGAATAACCGAGAAACAAACATTGCAAAAAGAAATTACTTGCCTCATACTTGTCGGGCTGCTGCATCTTGCGTAGTCTCTATGTCTACTTGCCACGTCTGATGGATTAAGATCTTTTGACTTGAGTGGCTCGAGCGACTCTGTCCATCCCAGCTCCTCTCATGGTCGGGTTTCGGCTTTATAGCAAAATCCTCCATCTCGTGAATCTCACTGCGCTGTGTCTCACTGCGCTGTGTCTTGGACGCATTATCCAGAGTTCGCGATCTGCTGCTCTGCCCTGTCTTCGACTTGTACCCCGCATAGCCAGGTCTGTTTGTAGGGTACCCGTTGCTGCTCGACTTGCCCTGTCGTCGCAAATCGTCGACCCGGATCTGCCCGGACTCCAGGCTGTCAAGGAAGGGCTTGAAGTTGGGCAGGCATACGGTGAGGATAGCGAGACACTGCACTAGCTGGATGGTAATGGAGGCGGGCCAGATGCTAAACGAATGATCGGCAGAGTCGAATGCCTTGTTGGAGTAGTGGATTTGCACAGCGATTGCCGGCGTTACACTATTAAAAGGTTATTAGCCACGGCGCAGATAAAAACCCACGCTGTACGTACAATATTCTGCTGCCAAAAACGCTCATTACGAGGATCTTTTTGGACCATGAGGTTTGGATCTTGACGACGTTCTCCGCCATAATGATGACGATGGCGATGTCGGTGATGATGTTGGCGGTGGAGTAGTATGTCCAAAATGCTTTGATATTAATGCATTTATCGTTATCGCCGTACATCCATGGTGCCGGTGGTTGACATTGGAAGAAGTTGACGAGGAGCGCCGTGATGCCCCAAACGCCGACGACGGCTTCGCAAGCGATGATGATCCATTTTTGGCTCTTCTGCGCCATGATTCGTAGACTCATTGTACCGGATAATTTACAGCACAGAAGTGAGGCGATGAGCATCGTGTTTGTCGCATATTGGCTCTGTACGAGGGTGTATTAGTTTACATGTTTGTTGTTGTCGCGGATGTTGTCGGGTGTTACCTTGAAGAAGGTCTCTCGATCGCTGGAGCTGAGAACCTCGAAATGTTGACCAAGTCCATGCTCGCAGGCATTAAAAACAATCGCAGTCTGACAAGCCGCGAGAAACTGCGCGCATAAGCATAAATGCACAAGATGAGATGAGATGTGTCTTACAGTTGCGACAATGATGAGAATATCGTCGACCCTCAATGTCTTGATCATGTAAAGCTTGGTGCCAGTCCTAACAGAACACGACAATATCGCAATGACGAGAAACATTAACGACAAGACCTGAATAAGCGGCGACTTGTTATTGTCAGTAATGATTCGTTGGTTTGAACTCATGTTGGCCGATGAATGCAGCAATCGCTGCGCAAAACGAGCGGAAAGATGTTACGGAAAAAAAGAGAGATCACGGTATAAAAAGTCACAAACGACGATGAATTCAGAGACAAAAAAAAAGGTATCACAGTTAAAGCTATGACACAGCTGACAGTGGAGCGTAGATTAAGGGAAGGGAAGGGAAGGGAAGCTAAGGTTACGGTACGGTACGGTACATGAGAATGATGGTGTGAAGAAATCTCACAGGCCCAGGAACGCGAATGGCTGGTCTAGAACTGGCGACTCTATTACTGGGCGCATCCCGGAAACGGTGATTATAACGGTTATTGCCACCCAAAAGCAGTTTGGAACCCTTTTCATGAAACGGGACGTGAGGACCAATAAATGGTAGGAATGAATCTATTATCACAATTACGTTGAACTTCCCCCTCTTCAGACCAGCCTGGAACTGTGACGCCATGTCTGCAAAAAGCAATTCTTCAACATGGGTCTTTTCCCCCCTGTATTCTACGCTATGATTCCATGGTCCTATTGATATGAAAAGACACCAATGACGCTTGATATCGCGTAGAGGAGAATTATGCACCTGAGCGGCTCAGCAAGATGAGCAATCCGAAACAGCCGGTCTTTGCGTGAATTTTCACCGGTTGAAGGTTATTTGCACATAATTTTGCATATTATTGCAGATCGTAATATTTGAAATACTGTGCAATGGCGGCACAAATCATCAACACGGCTGAGGTTCTTTACATCGATTGGTAGGGCTTAGTGAGCCTTAGACTAGAGTTACAGCCCCCTGTTAGTGAATCTTCATGTGACGAGGAGCTCTCTGTCGTTACCGAACTAGTCCGTGCTTTGACCCCCCTGAAATGGGTCCGCGCGTTAAGCCCAAAGGGTCCGCGCATTAAGCCCAATAGGTCCATGCGTTAAGCCCAATGGATCCGCGCGTTAAGCCCAATGGATCCGCGCGTTAAGCCCGATGGGTCTATTATCCGAACGGAGATCGATCCGCGGGTTACAACAGCAAAACGACCTTCCAACTCTGTTTAGACCTTTTTCGGGCGGATCATCCGGAGGAAGAAATGGATAATCCGCCTTAATGGAATTATAATCCAATGCGTGTATGCACTGCCGGTCAGAGATTTCCGCCTGCATGGAACTTGCTACAGTGGCGTGGCTTGTTGCAAACCCTTGCAAAAGAGGAAAAGATCGTTGTGGACATGGTGTCTGAGCTTTTGACCAACCGTTTTTCGTGGTGCCTCGGTACCGGAAGTCCTCTCCGCTGAGTGGCTTTATTGTCGACGAAAAAGGCATCGAGCTTCCGACTGCCGGTTTTTGATGGTACGAGTAGAGAAGAAGGATTCGGATTGGGAGTTTTGATGGGCTGATTGCTAAGGTATTGCTTTTTTCCGCTGCGTGGATCCACCAGGGATAAAATGGGTGTTGCATTAATTTGCCCGGGCTGGTTGTTTGCTGTGACAGGCCTCTTCTGTTGAAAGCGACTTAATTCAGTTGATTTATCCTTTTTGTGCTGCCATCCCAAACGTCGTGTCACATACCCAATACAACATCAAGATGACCCTCAAACTCATCGAGGTAGACACGGCCACCGATTTTGAAGAGCTCATCGCATGTCAATGGGCATCTTATGAAAATCCTCTCCAACCATTCTTTCGCATGTTTTGTCCCCTCACCGGCACAGGTCCAGCAGCACATGCAGAATCTCTCAAAGAGTCAGTAGCGCTTCAACTCAAATGGCACAATGAAGACCCAACAAGCTACTGGGCAAAAGTAGTAAACGACGATGGCAAAATCGTGGGCGGTTGTTTATGGAAGATTTATCCCGAGAATCCTTTCGATAAAGATGAGGATCATTCCTACGCTTATTGGCAGCCCGAAGGGGAGAGACGAGAGTTTATCACACAAGCTCTGAAACAATTCGATGCACCTAGAGCGAGGATGGGGGCTAGACCTCAAGTCTGTAAGCTTTTTATTCAGCGAATCCGAGAAACGAGACTAACCCAGATTTAGATGTCAATATCGTCTTTACACATCCAGACCATCGTCGTCAAGGCGCGGCGAATGTTATTATGAACTGGAGCAAACAGAAGGCTGATGAGATGGGTGTTGAGCTGTGGCTTGATGCGACAGAGCAGGGTGTACCGGTGTATGAGAAGCATGGCTTCACTGTTGTCAACGTCAACACCATACAGCCTAAGAAAGAGAATCCTGGTGAAGAGTGGAATAAAGTCAAAGAGGAACTAGGTCCTATGACGTTTAGACAGATGTGGAGACCTGCTGGTGGTGATTATCAAGAAGGCAAGACTGTGAAGCCTTGGGAGAGTGTCGAGATCAAGTATGAGCCTGAGGTGGCGTATGTGGAATCTCATGCAGCTTAAGCTCGATGGGGGCATGGTTTTGGCAGATGGCATATTCGATAGAGTTTAGATTAGCGTCCGTTTCATATAGATGATCGATGTGATGGGAGTGTCGTACATGTCAGACATGCATCGAATAAGAAAATATTATGCTAATCGTCGTTCGCACTGTGTCGTCAGACCCATAGCTGCCCCGCTTACCAGATGAGCTGAGATCTGCAATGACAAACAGCCAGCCTAGTCATCCTGTGATCTACTGTTTGCTCATTCATATATTGACTCAATAAACAGCCACAATAAAACTGTCACCACCGTTATCTCATCGAGTCTGATGTACGAAGAATGGACTGTTGATCGGAATGAGACTGGCTACGACTGATCAAGCAATCGATTCACATGGCACCGTCTGACGTCCACTTGGAGTCTAAACAGCTAGATACATTTATCAACTTTGACCCGGAAAAATGACGCAGTTCAAATAATGATATCGACTGCTGGTTGCATAAATGATCAGTTGTGTAAGGTTGAAGACCTGGTAGCGCTGGTAGTTTAAGAACTCTTGATTCAAGCATAAATCTGTGTAGTTACCCTGAAGCTGATGATTATTGCTTCAAGCGCAGAATAAATACCACCGAAGTGGAGACTTCAAGACGCTGTCAAACTGAAGATAAGGGCATTAAGAAAATCTGGCGCTATCACATCGCTCATTCTGTTTTTGCCGGTCGTAGGTCGACTTTTCTCAGTGCGACAACATTTAACAAAAGCTTGATGTTCTTGTTCATATTCACCGCGCGACGACCTTTCCAAATTCCAATACAGACCTAAAGATACTTGGAGGTGCGATACTTCTCAGGTTGCTGTTATTTAAATGTTTTGTTTTATGCCTGCCATCGTTGTTTGGCGTTCAAACGCGTCGCGACGCGTTGAGAGTCAAGGCTCGGGGTATTGCGGAGACCGAAGGCCGAACAGCGGACTTGGCCAGACGAATCATTTCGCGAACAGCGTAAACATCAATGTTGCATACCCTGAATCCTCACTATTCGCGTACTTGAACATGAAATTTTCGCGATTTACGAAGAGAAAAGAGTTGGAAACATGGACAAGGTATTGAATCCAACGGAGAAGCGGACTTATGATGGCCATGGGGACATGGAGTTGAGACAATTGGGATGGATATAAAAAACCCGTGTAGACCTGCTCTAACGATGTGAAGAATAATAACTAAGTCAAACGACTCAAGCCTCTTCACTATGTCTTCCAAGTACATCAAAAACCTCGATAACCAACGCGTCCTGATCATCGGTGGCTCAACAGGCATTGGCTTCGCCGTTGCCGAAGCAGCCCTCGAACACGGTGCAAATGTCATCATCAGCAGTTCCAACCAATCGAAAATCAACACTGCCATCGAACGTCTTCAAGATCACATAAAACATGCCAAGCTTCCCCCTCGAAAGATCTCTGGGAAAGTTTGCGACCTGGCCAAACCAGATACAATCGAGGCCAACGTCAAAGAACTTCTCGAGTCTGCTTCTCAAGATGGAAAACTCGACCATGTCGTCTTCACAGCGGGAGATTTCAATCCTTCTCCAAGCCTCGACTCAGTTACTGTCAGTATCATCTCTAAAATCGGCATGGTCCGTGTCATGGGCGCTCTCTTCGTCGCCAAACATCTCTCGAGCCATATCAACCAAACAAATCGAAGCTCGTTCACCATCACGGGAACGACTACAGATTCTCGTCCTGCTGGAGCGGGTTGGTCAGTGCTCAAGGCAGCTGCCGGTGGAATTGAGCCAATGACGCGGGCTTTGTGTATTGATCTTAAGCCAGTGCGTGTCAATTGTGTCACGCCGGGTTTTGTGCACACGGCACTCTTTGATGGGTTTCCACAAGACGTTAGGGATGTTATTTTTCCTTCTATGGAGAAGGATTCAGTCGTGGGTAGGCTTGGAACTCCAGAGGAATTAGCTGAGGCATATGTTTATCTGATGAAGTGTACCTTTGCTACTGGGTCGATTGTTGTTGTCGACGGGGGCAGGATTGTTGGAGATGACAAGAGTTAGCGAGAAACCTGTGATAGAACTGGATATATCATCTGTCAAGGATTGAAAGGCGCTGATTGTTATGCCTAACTGTGGCTGGCAAGGGCTAATGACCTTGGATATAATCTATGAAATTTACAAACAGTACCGCTTTCGTCCTAACAGCAAATGTGAGGTGATTTTGATCAGATGACTATTTTTCTTGTAGATGTTATATGTATGAGTCAAGATAGAAATAGAGCCCTAGCTTACAAGAGTCCTGATTTTTACCTTGTTCAGTAGGAGTACTTCCGAGCCGGTCGGAAGCATGGTCACACCAAACTCGAGCCGAACATGCTCGCGCCATAGTCAAAGCCGGTGGCATCCTGACGAGACAACAGGCTTACGACGGATGGAAGGCATAATCACTCAGCGATGGCTGACGCCCATAATTGTACTGGATACGCTGGACCAGAGGATTGCAGGTCTATGTGTTACGGCGCCGAAACTGAGCTATGTAGAGATTGAGGAGAAGAGAGGAGTTCTCGGCTGGCCGCGGAGATGAAGGTTAGAATCAAGGATAAGGTGGTGAACAAAGGCAAGAAGGGCTTGTCTTGGAGTAATTGGCACGGCTGCTTTGAAGCTGTCTTCCCGCATATATTCGGGCTCGTGGTTGTGTTATGGTTGGCCCTATGGCTCTTCCACCTGAACCTCTCTGGAGATCATGTACTTGGCTTTGGCAATGACGCTCCACTTATTGTTACAACCAATAATGCGAGCTGGGGGCATCTTTATTGAGCTCGGGTTCCTTTTATTTTATTTTCGAGTTTGAACTAGGGCCTAGAAGCTGAATTCAAGTTCATCCCTAATTATTCGCTGCCTGGAGAGGTGCAAGTACCCAGCTTATCAGCCGTTAATGAGTAGGTTGGATTACAGCTGTGTCCAGGAAAGAACATGGCGCATTCATAGGACTCGATATCGGCATTCTGAGACAAATTCCAACGTCTACCGAAAGGATCCTCATTTCCAGGCAGATTGACTCTTCAACTCGGCAGCACCTTTCGAGAGCAGTGATTTATACTCATGGCATTGACGTTAGGACAATATGATAAATCAGTTTAATTATTAAGATTAATCGTTATATGAAAGTGTGACTACTGTTCCAATTGTCAAAACGAAAGACAATCTTCATCAGCTCCTAAGCAACAAAGATACCCAATACACATAATACACGGGTGCCCAAGTCGGGTTTCTTCTTCCAGAGCACCCCAAGTGGCCTGCTCACCCTTTAGGCTATAGCAGTTGGCTCAATCTTCTTTCCTCCAAACTTGGCTTTCTGATGCGTGTCAGAGCCAGTCAATTAACATGCGAAAGAAATGATAGACGTACCACCAGTGGACAAGCGCACACGAAACTGAGCGCGGCGGCCGCCATAAAAAAGGCCCAGATGCTCTTCATAGCACTTGCGATCTCCGGGATAACCACGGCTTTTTCATCTTCAGAGAGGGCTTTGAACACGGCGCTGCTGGTGCCCGCAATCAGGTTGCCAATATCAGCGTCGGAGGTCGCTGGTAGGGCGTTGCCCACTTTGTCAACGGCGACGTTGTGGAAGAGGCTGCCGCTGATGGCGAGGAAGAGTACCATTCCGAGATCCTGGGCTAAATTTGACATATACGGTTAGCTGAAGATAATGCTGATTAGTTTGCCAAGTGAGACTTACAAATTGTCATCGCACCAACTGCATTGGCAATCTCGTGGGCGGGAACCAGTGACTGCATGATGGCGAACCCAGCGACAATATAACATCCGGCTCCGGCTCCGACAAGTATGTTGTAACCATATACCTTGTCGTTGGTTGTGGTCTCATCAATGGTATCTGGAGGGCGTTAGAACGGACTCTGAGAATTATGAACAACTTACACATTAGAGCACTACCGATGAGCACAAGGGCACTACCTCCAATGTACCAAGCAGGAATCATTCCGTATTTTGGCATCAGGAACCCATTCAACATTGAGACAGTAACCATGAACATGATCAAAGGGAGTAGGCGAACGCCAGCCTCGAGTGCTCCGTCGCCCTGAAGATGTCAGTAAGAAGGTCTTATGAAGCAGTCGGAACCCCTACCTTGATGAATTGAAAGTACAGAGGGACGAAGTAAGTCATGGCCTGGTCTTGGTTAGTGAGAGCCACTCCTTCGATGTTGGGTCACTTGCTAGAACAATGCCTGAAGATAGAAAGACTTGGAGCTGCATGTTAATCAGAATCCACTCCTTGAAGAAGTGCAAGGGGTACAAGCGGTTCTCCTTAGGGACTAGAGGATGCAGCTTAAGCAAGACGATAAAAGCAACGAGAAGAACACCCGTGACAGTCCACAGTGCAATAATGGTCCATGAGTGGAATGAGTACACGACACCGCCGAAGGTGAGTGCGACGGTCAGGCACGCAGACCCCGCCAGGAAGATGACAGCGTTAATCCAATCGACAAGGCGAAGTTTCTCCGCGAGAGTTTTGGTAGGGTTGGGGTCGGTACTGGGGAATAGAAGAAAGTATGCAGGGGCAAAAACAGCGCCGATGGGAAGATTGATGTAGAAGCCCTGGTTATTGAGTAAGTAAGTGCTGAGTGAAACAAGGAGCGAAATGTGCATACCCATCTCCAGGTCGCACTGCTTGCTGCGAATGCGCCACCAATCTATTGAAACTAATCAGTATACACGGAGTCAAGGACGAATTGGGGAGTAGAGCTTACAACGGGACCAAGAACACTGCCAATACCCCACACGACAGTACTTCCAGCAAGGTAAGCCGGCTTCTCTTGCCGGTTGGTAAGGACCGAGACATATGTCAAAGTGCCGGAATACATTCCAGAACCGCCGACGCCAGCGATAACTCGACCGATGATGAGGGCTTGGATGTTAGGTGCAGCACCGCATACAGCGCTTCCAGCTTCGAAGAGGAAGATGTTGAAAATGTAGACCCATTTGATGTTGAAGACGCCGTATACTTTGCCCCAGAGGAGGATGAACATGGTACCGAGAGCAAAGCCCGTACCAATCCATGACATGAGCTCGAGATGTCCAAAGTCGTTGATGATACTGGGTTGGATGTTGGCAACGATGGTGTTGTCGATAGCGAAAAGGAGTGTTGTAGACAGCATAGCTGCATAGGCAACGGCCCACTAACGAAGTCATCCAGTGTCAGCAAGATAGCACGAAGGCCATAATTTTTCGGGAATACTCACTCTCCATCCCTGAATGATACGCTGGCTGGTTTCATTGAGAGACGCATCGCTACTACCAGCGAGATCGCCAGGAGTATGCGGACTCCTGGGATGTGCTGCATGTGCAGGCTTCTCGGTGCTTTGGTCGCTCATGGTGGTGTGGATTCAGGCAATTTCTTGGTACTTTTGACAGTGAAGAATGTTAAGGCAGCTTTGTTTTTCGGTACGAAAGGGGAGCATTTTTGTCAAGTAGAAGACTTGCAGCGAGATTATACGGAAGTAGGGACGGAGACGGCGCGGACGCGGACATAGTGGGGCCGTCTCGACCGAGAACATCAGGACCTACAATTGGCAAATGTCTACTCCACCCTATGCGCTAGTCCGCTCGACACCGAGGAGGACCGCCGATTGGCTACATCTAGTGGCACGCCTAACAACAGAACAGCGGCGACAATGCACTGACTGCCAAGGATGACTTCAAAATGGGACAGAAATGTCTCTAGAGCATTCTTGTAAGCTGAGATGCTCTATAGAGTCCGACTCGGGCCTTTTTTCACGGTTTCAACACGGGTATTGGGACGCAGCCGAGGGATCAGATAAAGGTCTTTCGCAAAGCTCTCGAGGTACTTTTGGATTGTTTTCCCAGAAACAAACCCATCTGGGGATACATCCTCTTCTGGCATAGGATAGAAGGAATACTCAAACAATGGATGACTGATCTGAGCGAAAAGACTGGGGTAGATACGCTCCTAGGACCATACGCCGCCTACTGTCTTGCCGTCGTCAAGCATAAGGAGGTTCGAGGAATGTTCATGCAGCCATCTGAGCGAGACCAACTGACTGGTTACCTACAAAGCCGGCTGGGAAATGTTCAGTTGCGCTCGACGAGGTCTTTCCCGACAACGAAAGCCCCAAGTCTCTGCTCAGTATGCCGCAAGACTACAAGTATTCGATGCCCGGGCAGAGTACCAAGACCAAGTTGGCCCGCGGAGCAATTAGTAGGAGCCGACCATACCTGTTAGTATTCTCAGCCCACAACACTGGAGCTCTCAAGCGCAATGACATAGCTCATTGCAAGATTGCCGCCAAGTACAATCTGCTCGACCTGTCCTTCACTCTCGCCAACCACCGTACACGCTTCCAAAACAAAGGCACGGTGGTTACGACACTCAGCACTTTGCAGAGTACCTTCTCCGAAGACATGCCTGGCTTCACAATCGGCAAGAAGAATGACACAGTTGAGCAGTTTCAAAAAGAGTATCTGTGGAACCCTTGGTGCTGACGGCTGATTTGACGGCACAGTCCCAGGAGGAGCTCAAGCGCTCTTTTAATATCATTGTCGACAATCCATGTATATATGTCTCGAAGGCATGACAGCGGCACATGGAATCCAGAATACCATCGAAAAGTTTGAATCAACCCACAAACCTCAGAGACCCTCTTCATTTGCGACGATAAAAGGGTTCACGGAAATAAATCTATCACTAAATAAGCCACTCTAAATTCCCAGTCCCTGGATTCGGAAGGCCTGGGTCATCAGATCGCTGTGGCTTGCGTCGAATGCAGCAAAATCCGGTCACTGGCCCAATAGAGGAGCTTGGCATCCATAAGCGGCATGCTTTTTTTATACTTTTCTTGGCTCGTGCGATCGACAAGCCGCGTGAGTGTGTGGCATTCCCCTGAGTGATCAGTGGAGCGCCAGTTTTAAGGAGGTCGCATCACTGTAACTAATGCTCTGCTTTGACTTTAGCAGTGTCTGATGATGCATCATAGATAAATACTGCAATATCGGCATTTGATATGGCCCAATCCTCCAAGAGTGACCGGCGATGCCTCATCCCCAGTCACCAGCCAAAACATGTTTGCCACCTAAAGCGCCGCCTTGTTTGAACGAAGAAAGCCATTGTTCTCGATGGCGTCTACGCTTTGACGCTCGTGGCTTGGCTTAATCTTCATCCACGGTTATAGTGGGGAATATTCGCTCCAAATGCGGTTTGGCATTCCATGATTGGGGCCGGGTAACTCTATTCCTGCTTACCGTGGCGTGCGCCCTATCTGCTAGCTTAATACCAGATGTTAGGCTCTGATAATTGTCGGTCGGTATAATAAGCGCTCACTGTATACCCCAGCTTGTCAGAAAGCTGTTCCTGTTTTATTAATTCTCCCGATATGTGATGTGACTGTATTTTCTGGATCATTTCTTTTTCAAGTAGCCGATTCCCTTCTACGGGATATCGCCAGTATGATATCCAGTAGGGCTGTGATGGTACGTATTGATATACCAGTTTCATGATAGTAGAATGCTGATCTTTCCGGGTAACTTGCAGGGCTTTGAGTGGTCCTTCATGACCCTCGCGTACATCACAGTCGCCTGCCGCATTTATGTCCGCCTAGTCATGAGAAAAGCACGATTGTTTTCAGCCGACTATTGGCTTATTCTTGGCTTGCTATGTTGCCAGGGTTTACTGATCTGTGACACTATTACCTACTCCATGGATGCGATGGATGATTTCACAGTAGATAATGTCGCTATTAGAAAGGTGAGCATCCAATGCAAGTATAATCTTGATGTTTCTTCGCTCTTCAGGGTGCCAGCTATCGTGTATACTAATCCCATCTTCTCACTTAGATCCGATTCGCAACAAATCATTTCTTCGACACAGGCATATACTTTCCGAAATTCAGCATCATCGCCTTCTATTTTAACCTCGTGCCAATTACACTGCCAAAAATGCGCATTGCGCTCTATTGTCTAGCTGGTCTCACCACCTCTTTCGCAGTCATCACTTTCTTCTGTGACTGGTTCTGGTGCGGGCCTGATCCATCGGTCAACTGGTCAGTCACAATTTGGAGACTCTAGTATACCGCTAACGGGGATATCCAGGGCAAAAGGACAACCAGAATGTACATCCTTCACATCCATGACTCTTATGCGGCTTCTGTGGTCTATGAACTTTGTGTCGGAGGTGCTGAGTAAGTCTCGACTTTCGTGACCCAGCTGAGCTTTACACTCCGATTCCTGACCCTAAATTAGATGTTGTATACCCAATCCCACTACTGGCAACCCTCAAGATGACTTCAACACGTAAGAAGATTGGACTAGCTGTTGTTTTTGGACTTGGTGTTATTACGATCGCCGTCAGCGTTGGTAGATTTGTAACCATGGTCTATGTTGATAATGCCATATCTATATGTCAGTCATCTCAACCTCACCTCAATTTTATATCTAACATACTCTTAGACATCTGGGCAACTGCTGAGATCTGTATCTCTGTCATAGTCGTTGCTCTCACTGCAGTTCGACCCCTTCTTCGGAAGCTCACCAACCTGAAATCTTCAACATTACTGACGAGCGAAGACCGATCGGGTATCCAAGCAATACCATCAAATCGTTCCCAGAAACCCGGAAATTTTACTGGAGGATCGGGGGTCTACTGGCAGGGGACAGGAAAGAACCATCACAGGGATGTCGAGGCCTTGGGTCCGGAAAGTTCAGCTGGCAGTGAGATGGAATTGAACAACATAAATGGGATAAGGCTCACGCAACATGTCATAGTCTCGAGGGAGACAATTACTGATAGTATACCTGGGCAGCCAGAGTATATTATAAAGGGTTGAATATAAGCTGTGTAATAGAGAAATAGAGCTATAGAGGTAATATATATACGAACTTAGACAACAAGCCCTCTTCCTCAATTCTTTCCTTAACACCAATAGTAACAATACCACATACAGTTCCGCCTTTTAGAATAACTAAAAATATTCAGGGCGCTGTCAAAGGAGGTTATAACCATCTGTCCGAGACTATTTATATTATTCCTCAACTTTCCGCCTAGACTCTGACAATCAATCATACATCGTAGTTAAGCAAAATGCCCCAGTTCTACTCTTAGCAGTAATCTCTGGTCACTAGAGACTAAAAGTAAAACTGTTATATGCAATTGTATAAAGTCTGAGTTTAGCAGACGAGGACTGAGTATTATCGCGGGCAGTATAGCCGCATCTTTTAGAAAAAGCCACAAATCAGTGTAAGCAGCAACGGATTTAGGGCACGATAAAGGAGAGTCAAAGCGTTTTGGCACTAAACTTAATCGTAAGAACTAACAAACTCAATTCAGAGGGGCCAATTTGTGCTTAGGAAATAGCTAAGATGTCTGAGAACAGAACTTCGTTCATCGTAACGTAAGTGAGTTGAAACTGTTCTTCTCTTCCCATTCCTGAAGCTTCCCCTCAACCTGTGCGACACTTCGATGCCAATATCCTCCTGACTCCTCAATGTGGCCCAGAGCGGCAAATAGCAACCTTGACGATGCAACGACGCCATTAATACTGTCGCGACTACCGCTGTGCACCAGTTCCCGATGGAATGCTCTTAAGGCCATGGTCAGCGGCCATGCGATGAATATGGCTTGCAGCATGATAATGTCGCTGTCGGCCTTCCATGGTGAGGGGAGGTTCAAGCGCACTGCAGTGGATATCTGAAATGCCGCTGCCGTGGCGCGACGTTGACTCTCGGCTGTCATCAGTGGTGGAAGGCCTTCTTCTTCGCTCCGAGCAATAGCTGACTCGTGAGAAAAGATCTCTGTTGCGCGGAGGTTCAGGTACAGACTGAAGGCAACAGGGTCCTCGCGGATCGAAGTAGCGTTGAGGTGGCGTTTCAGCATCCCGAAAAGCACGTCCGTCTTTTTGACTAGATCACAGTAGCCATCCCAGAAGCTGTCCGAAGTTCGCTTTTGTCCATGGTCGAAACAGCGCAGGGCTAGCTCTACCATGAGGACGCACCCTGCATATGATGAGATCTCGGTGCTAGGCTCGAGGCCTATGTCTGACAGGCAGGGCATCTTGAGTGGGACTAGATCGGATCTCAGTAATCCGGGCGATGGCAGGTTGATATGAAACTCCTGGCATGGTGTTAGTTTAGCATCCGGACACCTCAAGTAAGCCTATCAGTTTTGTCTTACCTTTATATCGCCTATCATGCATTGCCATCCCGTACGTGTCTTGACGTAACTGAGCAATATGTACAAAGCCCAAAACGTCCTTCTCCATTCCTCCAGAAGAACTTGATCTGTCGTTTCAGGCAGGCTCAGACCAGAGCCATCCTGACTTTGAGAGTCCTGGAACCCATCACCTTCAGGTCGCTTATCCATGTAGGGCAGTCCAAGCAGCCTTGACAACATCACGGCGCGTCCCAGTGTCATCCAGCTCCTCTCAAGCTTCCCAGCCATAGCCTCATATCTACCGATGAACAGTAGAGCCTGTAGCAAGTTGAGCTCGTTCAACTGGCCATCTCTCTCGCACCTCTCTACATAGTTGCGTGCTAATATGTAACAGGTAGACTCCTTGTTCTGGGAAGTGGATGAGTGAGCGCATCCAGCGAGTGCGACGGCGTAAACGAGGGCGTTAATGGCGAGACCGCCTCCCATTGACTCTGCGGCAAAGCGATCTTGATTTAAGAACGGAAAGGAGAAGTAGATGGATTCAAAATAATACTTATGCAGTGAATTCAGTTCAGCGTGCGAGAATTCCTCTTCCGTGCCGCTATGGCCTAAAGATCGGGGCGATAGGCGAGTGAGTAGGATGTTGTCCAGCGGCTCCAGGGCTGTTAGCTGGTTGCACCAGTCAAAAGCCACATGGGAGTCAGCCCCTGGATTGAATAGATCAATATCCAGCATGGGTGAGCTATTAGTTGGCAGATCGATGGCCGTACCCATGTTTCTGTGGCTGTCTAGCTCCATGGGGTTACGACCAGTAGGCGGACCTGCAGAGCCGGGTATACTGGGAATGTGTGATGATGCCGTTGTCGGGAGATGGTACTGGGAGTTCGTGTTTGGTGTAATAGAACTAAGGGCATCAGGCCAACGTGATGGCATAACGGGTGCAGTAGTGGTCGACGGTGGCTGTGAGGTCATGGAATCTGTCCTTGGTCGCGGGGTCTCGAGGGCGAGCTGAGCCTCGGTCTTAGCCAATCGCTCCTGGAGCTCCTGCAGCTGTTCATCGCGGGTACGACGCTGAGAAATCGGGTTGTACCCGCAAGGTTGATTGAGACGGTTGCATCGTCTTCGCGGGACATAGGCCAAAGCGTCAGCTCCACATTCTGATAGCCACGTACGTACGGTCACCTTTTATTCCAGTGGACTAAATACGCTGCTGGACTGGACTGGATAGAACAAACCTGCATTTTGGCAAAGCCCTGTCACACCGGACTTTGCGCTCTCTGCTTATCGAATTGAGTCGTCAGTTCAGCTGTCGGAAACGGCGCACATTGCATATCGACGCGCAGACGGCTTGACTTGACTTACCTGCAAATCTCGCATGCGTGACGAGCCGCAAACGGAGAACCGCCAGACGATGATGGCCTGATCATCGCATATGATCTGTCTCGAGGTACCGGGCAAACTGGGTCGATACGCGTATACAGAATTTGAGTTGATCAGTCAGGCACAATCTTGCCACTCGTGAGTGAGAATGCCAGGATGAGTCTTTTGGTACTGGTGAGGGGAAAACTAACGGAAGCCAGATTGCGATATGCAACAAAAAACCAAGAAGCAACGCAACACAACGCAACATGAACATCAAAGACGCAATTTGCGGAGCTGAATCTCTTATCGATACCTACTGCAGGGGCCGTGCGCGCCGTTTGTCTTGGCTTTATGCTTATTATTCCTCCGTTCGCTGAGGCATAACAATACTCCGTTGATAACTGATATATGTATAAGGAGGAGTATATCTAAAATTAGATTTTATGTGTAAGCTGGCTGAGATTATACTGTTGAATAGATGAAAGCTTTTCTTCCCGTAAATGAGAGAATTTAAATAAAAGGGAATGTCAAGTTGAAGTAATGGAGTTTTCATCTCGCATAGCAAAACAGTACAATCGTATTGACCATCTCCCTCACGTACACGAGCAAAGAACCCTAGCTACCTTGGAGGATTTTATCTGGAGTACAAGATTCAATCAATGTCGATAGAAGACTTATGAAAAGGAAATCTTGGCTGAAACTTCGTTCATCGAGACAAGAGACTCCTTGCAAAGTCTCACTTCAAAAGATGGTCAACTTCCTCTATGTTGCATTTTCCCCCAGCTGCATCATGATGCATGGGAAGCCCTGCGTAAGTACCGACTCTCAGTTGAACGAGAAATATCCGTTGACTTGATACAGCTGACCGTTGGCCTCCCACGATCCGCTCAACTGCTTCGAGTTACCCTTGGGGCACTGATTGATGATGTCCCTAGAAGAATTAGACAAGTCAGATGTTAATATCGGATCACATACTCAGTAGCGTCCTGATTACGACACCAATTAGCACAGTTTACAGCTCAACATCAGGGTACGTACCCAGCAATCCTTGAATCCTTTCTTGCCCCCAGTGTTCTTGCGCTTCATCTCAACGTTCAAGACAGTATCAACACCAAGGCCCTTGACAGTGTAAGATCCGGAGGTAGTGCATGCCTCTTGGTAGGTGCAGCCGGAGTTATTGCACATCTTCTCACGGGCGTCCCAGTATGCTGTGATGAACTTTCCGACGTCTTTGTTACCGTTGCCGAAGCAGTCTGCTGCCAGGGCTGAGGTAGCAAAGACGGTAAGGGCGTAGAGGTTAATGAGTTGCATCTTGAAGGAGGCTGTTATAAGACTAAATGTTGAGAAGTTTGAGTTGATGTATGCTAATGGTCTGTTCAGATGATTTTATACCTTTGGGCTCATGTAAGGTCGGGTTGTCGGTGAATGAATTTGATATTGTTTCTCCCAATACGAATTTTCGCTTCTTGCTCGTGCATATCCGACGGTGCATTTCTTCCGCACCATCCTTTTTAAGAAAGTTGCATTTTCGTTTGTCCCCGTCGACTGCTCTAGAATAGCCTAAGCGATGCCAACTGAAATATCTCTTTGGCCACTGTTACCTTTCGGTCGGCCGCCTCACAGATAGCCATATCCTATTGGCCTCATTTCACTGATCCGATTCGCTATCAGTATAGGTCCACTCTGACAATGCAGAAATCCTTGCGAATGGACCCCAATGATAGGCTGTCTAAGCTTTTAGTAATGCCGTACATTGGGTTATCTTGCATATGGCCACTGCTGAGCCTCGCTCATACTTCAATACTCATCTGCACTGGTTATCAAGCCTGAATCTTCCTATGGATCTTGATTGCTCCCTGGAGGAATTCATAATTAGCTTGAAGTGTTTTCTTTGTGCTTAAATTGATACGTGAGCACTCGGCTTCGTTTCTATCTTTTAGGGTGTCTAGGTTGAAGGTAGAACAACACGATAGCTACGAGAGGTACTTTATCATAGAACTGCTGTTTCTTCGAGTTATTTAAGAAGCAATCTATTATATCTCTGGGCGGTGCCTCCTATACGACATACGGCTTGTCATCCTTAAAGATCAGCCCAGGCTTTCTCTCTGCCAAGTCAAGGACCATCTCCGCAAAATAACTATTCGCCCAGGCAAACCACGGTCGTGTAAACACAGAAGAGTTGTAAATATTAACACTCTCATGAATCAATCCCAGACCAGATGTATTCTCCAAAATCATGTTAAGTCGCTCGGTGATCTCATCGTCATCATCCGTTCCATAGATAGCTGAGACATGCGCCATAGGCCATGGGTTAGTAGCGTTCGCATGCGGCCCACCAATGCCACTGAATGTCTTTCCAACGGCGTAGTATGGGTTTGCTCGTGAGAAGAGAGTAGACTTGGTTTTCTTATATGTCGGATCGTCGCGCTTGAGAAACCCTAGATATGGGAGTGATACAAGGCTTGGAACGTTTGCATCGTCCATGATGTACTGGCCGCCGTATCCATTGGTCTCATAAGCGAAAATACCATTCGAAGTGAGGGTATGGTTCCAGACAGCTCGTCGAATCGTTTTAGCGTGACCACGCAGCGTTCCAGAAAGGCTCTTCTGTCCTCCTACTTTATCCAACACGTCGGCAACGTTATCGAGCTCAACCGACATCATGGCGTTGTCAGAGGTGATGTAGTTGAAAACGCTCAAGTCATCCGACGGACGATGACTGCATGCAACGAGACCGTTAGCCAGCTTGGGTTCGCCGTTTCCGCTGTTGGGTACTGGTGGTGAGAGTGAGCCTGACTGGCCAGTCCAGTTGTAGTAGCTGACGTATGACCAGTCTTCGGCCCAGGTGCTTTGAGATTGTTCGTCAATGACTCGAAGGATTTGCTTCATGGCCGATTTGACTATTCAACATCAGCACAAGTACACGGGAGAAGTGTATACCGATACATACAGTTGTCGTTGATGAATGATGAGTCCTTGGTGTTGGCGTAATACGATCGAGCGATCTTGAGGAAACCAGCGAGAGAATCAAGTTCGTACTGAAAGCAGTTAGAGTCGAGAACAGACAGTGACGCATGCATTATCACGAACCTTGCACTCAAAGACTGTCTGGTTATCGACAGGTCTACAAAAGAGCCTTGTTAACTTGACACCAGGAGGATATAAGGTCTCAGATGGAACTCACGGATTGACAGAAACAAGTGTAGCGTAGTCCTTTTAATCGCGTTAGCAACTGATACATAAGGCGTTGCCAGATCAGTCATGATATGGCATCTCCATGGGGCCCATACATTGACTGAAGGGCTTAATCCACTCTCAGGCGGAGGTTGGAAAGCACCTTGAAACTTTGAGTTAGCTCAGGGTCTCTCAATGGTAAAATCGAATGGCACATACCACAATAAGGATACTCAGAAATGTATCTCGCCTCAGTGTTAATGATAGCCTTGACGAGAGCCTTCAGGTTCTTGTCTTGGGGCAGAAGCTTGTACAAATGGGCAAATTGGTTGCCCGTGTCGCGAAGCCATTGTGCGCTTGAGCATACGTCAGTTGAAATCTTTGAAGGAAGACTTATGCCTACGTGATATCCTAACGATATGATCAGCCAATACTCTCTAACCCAAAAGTTATCGGACTCGGACTTACACCAGTAACGATAAATGCCAGATTCTTCTTCGCATCAAAATACTTGACCGTCGTGTCGAGCGTCGATGGAAAGGTATTCTCGAAAAGGCGCGCCAGATCGGGGTTCTTGACGCGCTTTTTGATGTCGCTGATGACTTTCTATCATCAAGTCAGCAAAGAAGTTTCTCAGCCCAAGATTTTTCATCAAAGCACCTCAACGGCAGGGCTCTTGAAAGTCCTGCATTTTTCACTCGGTCTCATAAAAGGTAGCTTCAACTTGCCAGAAGACAGCGGCTCATGCGGTTTTTGGGAATAGTCGACATAATCAGGACATGAGCTCGGCGTGCGACTCTGCGGCTTGTAATCCTTCCAAGTCGCTGCATCAGCGCCTTGAAGAAGAGCTATCACACCAGTCACAGCGCTGAGGAATTTCATGATGGCACTGTTTCTGAGTAAACCAAGATGTAAAAGGGAGAAAACTTCATTTTATCTACGAAACCAAGGAAGTTAAAGTTTATATTCATCTCCGACAGTCCCGGAAGTTTATGCAGATCTTGTTCAGTATTGGCTTAAAATGCGGGGGAAGTTGCACTCGACCCTGATTCTATGTAACGTTGAGACGTTGTCGGGCCTTTTGTAAACTTTGAATATCGTGACGTAGTTCGCTTGACTTTATGTGAAGCTATCGTGATTGGCGCGCTTGGCAACCTTGAATTCTACCAATCTCACTGCCAGGCTACCAAGCCACATATTTACAAGCATATTCGACTTCTCGAAAACGGAGTAATTGAGATAAAGCTCTTGTTTGATGCTAAGCAATTGTCATGTTCTTGAAATGTCATGATTTTATGAGTATGCGGACTTCTCGCCGATTTATGTGGATGCTTCGGCACTCACTTATACCGAGTTCGGCGAAGTTGAGGGGTTCGGCGACAACTTTGGACCCGCGGACATCATGCGACGACATCTTCCTCGGCATTTCCCACGATAGCTTCAAAAACTCATAACTGTCAACCTTGCTATCAACTCTTAGCGAATACCATAAAATACCCCTAATTCGATCACTTCGACCACATATTCACCATGGCTGACTTCACTCAATACGGACATGCGACAGCAGAATGGCTCGCTGTCACGGACAGCAGGCCGCCAATTCCAGGTCATCTGGACTTGAAGGAGATGCAGCGTCTTACGAACATGTACCGAGAGCAACTGGCTCAAAGTGAGATGGAGAAGCTCAAGGATTACCCTATCATCATGAAAGACTATATTGTCACGTCCAGAGATGGCTTCCCTCTCGAGGTTCGAACCTACAGACCAGCTTCCGCCGAAGAAGCCGCTCGTCTACCTATCTACATCCATCTCCACGGCGGTGGCTATGTCTTTGGAAACATTCCCTCTGAAGATGCTATCTGCACTCGCATCTCAGTCATGACAAACGTCACAGTCGTCAACTTAAACTATCGGCATGCTCCAGATTATGCCTATCCCACAGCTTGGGAAGACACCGTCGACGCTTTTCACTGGGTCCATGACCATATCGATGAACTTCTCGGAGTTCCCAGCCAGGTCGTAGTTGGCGGAATCTCAGCTGGTGCTCAACTAGCAGCCTCTTTGACGCTCCGGCAAAACATCGCGCCTGACGGCCTTTCACGACCAAAACTCGCTGGTCAGGTATTGATGATTCCTGCTCTCATTCACCCCGATTGCTATGCGCCTGTTATGGAGCAGATAAAGGAACCTTCCTTGTCGTCATATGTTCAGAATGCGGATGCTCCGATGATCAACAAGTCAGCGATTGATAAGTTTACTAGCCTGCTGAAGGTTCAGAACCCGGATCCCAAGGATGTTCGATTGAACATTGGTCTCACAACTGTTGAGCAGCTCAGGAACATGCCGCCTTCGACGCTCGGTATCTGTGGATTGGATCCTTTGAGAGATGAAGCTCTTCTTTATGGACAGAAGCTTGTTGAAGCAGGGTAAGTCGTGATACATGCGACATTCCAATAACAATTCTGACACACATTACAGGGTACCCACTGATGTGCATGTTTTTGACGGACTTCCTCACGGCTTCCGCCGCTTCGGAGACCAATTGACTGAGAGCAAGAGATGGGACAGCGTTATGGAGAATGGAATCAAGTGGGCTCTCTCAAAGCCCGAGCCTTCTGGAATGTTTGAGATCAAGCTCGAGTAGAGAGCTTAAGCGGATTTACAGCAGATATCCTTGAATTAGAATCACGTTGTATATACATAGAACCAGATAGAACTATAGATGCTCGTCTGTCTATATCAAACATGCGTTTTCGTCTTCGGTCTATTGAAGCAGGGTATCAACCAAGTCCGATATCTCGTCCTTCATCTAGCCTCTTTATCCCCATGAATGTTATCGTCCCTGTGTCATGTTCTTATTCAAAAGTTCGGCCATGCTCCGTAACGGCGTTCTGATTATCCACCATGATATAATCCACTCCAACAATCATCCTCATAGAAGAATGATCAATGAAGTTGTTTTCATCAGGTGTAATCACATCTCTATAGAATGGATCGGATCCCATAGCCTGAAAAGTCTCCATAGTCGGCACCCAAAACTCCGCAGCGCCATCGAATTCGAGCACTGGAGCTGCACCAGGGACGCGAAGAAGGTCTCGAAGCTCGGGAGTAGAGTGATACTGAAGAATTAAGTCAGCTTATATAATTGGAGGATGTGTTGAATTACTCACTTGTGAGTATTTGTAAACGCCCCATCGCAGATGAAAGTCTCCAGCAGTCTTGGTATGGTTGTTGGCCCAGTATGCGTTGAACTGCTCAGGTGTAATGCCTTCTTTTCGGTTGTAGAACAGTTTGATGTGAAACACTCGTTCGAGATTCTTGGTGCACGTTGGTTTATAGGTGAAGGGGCAGCATTCGGCGGATGTAGCTGGCTCAGGAGCAGAAACTGCCCGAGGCTGCGGGATGCTTGTTGCAGCCGCTGTCAGAGGGAGGAGAGATAACAAGAAATTTGAGACTTTCATCTTGAACGAAAACTATATTAACCGAAAGGAGTTGTCTAGAGGCTAGAAATGGTTGGGGTAATAAGCTTAAGAAGCCTTCCTCCCAGGCATTATATATCTCTCTTCCAAGTCTTGGTAATACCCATGACGCGGCCTCAACATCGCCAATCTTGCCTGCATCCCTGAACCTGCTTTCTTCTTTCGGAAGACCTTTTCCAAATAACCCAACTTTTTCTAATTCTGCAGGATCATCAGCACTAAAGACCATCATCTCGCGAGTTGTCGCGCAGCGAAAAGCGAGGCAGCGAGGGCGAATAGGAAGACTCGGCGTAAGCAGAGGTACCACATTAGGTATGATCCGCAACGGACTGTTGCATAATATGACTTCTGAGATAAGATTTTAAGCTTCGGAAGCCGAATTTCTTCGGGCAGTCTTGATCGTATTTGAAATAATATGTAGTGCTTATTAGATAAGGTGGTCTTGGCGGGAGATGATGCATTAGAGGAGACGTAATGAAAGGAATCGAGATTGTGGCAAGATTTGTTTGTCACACAAGATTTGGAATATGCTGTTACCAAGAATTAAAGTGTGGCGGGCATGGGCTCGTGTTTGAGCCTGTCGGGAGAGTGGCCGTCCAGTACGAATCTTATGCGGCAAAACATTAGCATCAAGTGACCCAATGAACTAGATTTCGTATTTCGACTTATTTAGTCAATAATTATACGGCCACGTCCATCTTCAACGGATATCCAAGCAATCATATCCCTACTACGTTTCGTCCTCGTGTCACCACCGACGTAATAGCTTCGTAGATACATCAAACTCATCGAGTTCCACTGAAAATGACAGTTAGACTGCAGTAAACCCAGGAACTCTTCGTCTTGATTCCTTACTTTCAAAGTTATCCCCAGAGTGACCCGAGTTTGCAACAACATGCGGTGCCACATCTGCCATAGTTTCATCTGTTCCTTCAAGATCCTGCTCCAAATCGACATGATCCCGGATCTTGAGAAAAATAACAGGTGATGCAATAATTAGTGACGCAGCTAATAGCACCCAATTGCTGATGAATTGTGCTTCGAATGATACTTTTCTTGCGTCCAAGTTATTGGAGATGGCTGCGCCGGCTGATTGAATACCTTTGTAGAAGCCGATGTAGTTTGCGCAGCGACGGCCTGAGTTTGAGAGGGCGCCCATGAACCTTGACTAGTCAGTGACTACCAAAAGCATACTAAACGTGTACTTACCAATAAACAGTAGCTTGCCAAGCCGCATCATAAAAACCATAGAAGATATAAAGAAACATGGGCCCAGCATACCCGTCGTCCCTCCAATCCGTTTCAAAGTCCTTGGCCTCCGACGTCTCTCTAGTGTATGTTCTCTGATGAACATAGCCTCCTCCCCAAACAACAAAAGTCATGACAAAAAGAACAATAAGTGCAATCTTGGCTCGTACAGAGCGACGAAGGTATTCCAAGTCCAACAGATACCCCCATATCGCTGCGGCTGCAATCTGCGCAAGCCAGTACAAGAGGCTATTCAAGGCTTTGGTCCTCGTTGAGAAGTAGGCACCGTTGACGACGTTTTGTTGATACACATAGAACCAGTTGGACGAGAAGAACATAGGAAATAGGAAAATAACAAATGGTTCGTAGCGAATGGTTTCGTACAGGCCGTAGAACTCGCTTTGCCAAGTTGGGTTCTTCATCAGAATGACATATGATCCGTCTTTTCTGATGATATCATTTGCATTACACAGAAGAAGGGCTAAGGCAGCTCCGAAGAACATCAGGACTATAAAGCCGATGTATGTGCCATCGCTGACGTCTTCGTTGTTTTCAATGTTGATGTTGCCACCCAATGGAATCTGCAAGCTCCGTTAGCTTCTGTTGAAGATGAAGTGACACTTTAAATAGAGGGTAGATGAGAAGAGATGAGACCGAGGAAGGACGTACAAGGCTGCCGATGACAGCACCCATATTGAAGATTCCCCAGAACCAGGCGAAGTAATGACCCTTCTGATGTTCATGGGGATACGAGATCATGATAGTTCCTTGAGCGGTCCAAAGCATTGCTGCGCATACACCAAGAAGCACGCCTGCAACGATGTTGAAAGCTCGGACATCGTTTTCAAAGTGGGTATAGAGCAGGATGCTAATGGTGTAGATGCCATAGCCAATACCACCAAATGCTAGTGTCAACTTCACCCCAAGTCTGTTGACGAACGTGCCTCCAAAGAAGCCGACGACAGCAAAGGTACTGTACAAGGCGGTGTTCTGCGATATTTAGTCCAATGCAGTCGCCAGCCAATGTTAACTACTCACCATGTCGTTGACAAGCTTGGTGTCCTTCAGCCCTCCTCCACCCATCCCATTAAGCGCATTAAACATTCCAGGACACATAAAACAAACAAAAGCAACCATGCCCAGCTGAATTTTCGGCGACGCATACCAAGGCAACGTGAACCCGAAAATACGATACTGACGATACTTGTAACCCTGTGGAACATCAACAACGCCAGTTGAGTAGTTGTACAATGCATCACGCTCTCGATACGCAACAGCCTCCGGGTTGTTTACCGGGGCAGATTGCCCTGCAGCAGGAGTGTTGAGAGACATGGTAAGTACTGTAGATTAGCTGAGACATACGGGGAGCGAGATAAGGGCAGCGTTGGGGAATTTATGAACTCGTAAGCTTTATGGCAAATAGCTGACGTGGCGGAGCACGACAGAGAAGGAAGAGAGCTGGTGGTACAGCTTCTCGGCAGCTCGTGTCACTTCATACCGCAAGTCTCTATGACGGAGTGGTGAGGCTTGCATAGTGGGTAGATTGGCTTGTAAACCATGGTAGGCTCTGGGGCTGAGCGAATATTGGTATTTAAAAAGAGCGTATATAAAAAGAGAATCCTTTGAATTGTGGTGTCCAGCTGCCATATATAGCTGTATTTTTAGAACCATTCAAGCCCTCCTTAAGTCTAAGCTTAATCTGAGGCCAAAGGAAATTGACATAGCCCTCAAGGAAGCCACGGAAGATACGCGGTGACACGCAGGCTGCAGGAAAAGGTCTTCGGATTCTGAGCTGATGCGGCAGAACGATTGGATCATGGATATGGCTGACTGCATAATTCATAGCCAACCATAGAAAGCTCTGATGAAAGAGGCTTCTTGCAGCAAATGAAATGTTTCAGTGGTATTACACCACTTTCTCACGCGAGACATTTCAGCGAGGTTGCATGGCCCCCAACTTCGCGAGGGAGAATTGGTGAAATACCGGTAGGGCTGGCTTGCGGGGTCGATGGCAGTGCTGTGGGATTGACTGTCGATCCGTAAAATTTCAGCTCAGCAATTGTATTATAGCATTAAAGGTCGCCTGAGTGTGAAAGATCTTTCAAGGTTGTAAATAAAGCTGTTGTTTTGTTCAAGTTGCTTCTAGGACATTATGTAACCATAGACTACCTAACATGATTTTGATATCATCACGTGATGTAATTAGCTCGTCTATCTGCAGGCGCATGAGAAATATCTAGCTACGACATTCATTGTCGAGAGTGATAAGTCGTTTGGCACGAAACGCCCGCCCTTCATTGCTAAAAGCAGCAGTCTCGATTTACCTTGCCGGACATACTCTCACCTACATCTCTCCAGACCCGAATATGTTCCCACTGCGCCTGGGTATATCATTTCGAGATGGATGGATTTTTTCAAGAGTCGCCCCCAATCTTGACAGAAGGTTTGACAGGAGGGGCTCCTATCATCTCGATGAAATTGTAGCTCTCTGCAACTATCTCAACAAGACTATGAGCGCCGAGTCGGCCGCCAGAGCCATCACTGCCGATTGCTTGGACAGATATTCAGAAGGAGACACGGCTGGGGCTCTTATGCGGCGTAATAACCTTTGGCGGCTTCTTGCATCTACTCTCCTGCGCTTTGAGGACGATTGCGACATGATAGTGGATCTACTCGTCGCGATTCAATCGCTGCCAACAATGGATAGTAGGCCTTGGTGGGTGACAGATCCACGACCCAGTGAGTCGTTGTGTGAACTACCTGAATTTCACCGTTGCTGGCAATTTTGTTATGAAAGAAATCGATGTAAATGTCATGATAAATTTCATGATCACCGGGATACAGATGACGATTTCCCGCATGACAGGAAGTACTACAAAAGAGCAGGGACGGCAGAAGCGAAGATGTATCTCCGCGGGATTCCAGGAATAACGGAGTTTTGGGCATACAAAACGATCAACCTTGTTTGTCTATGGAATCACGATCTCGAGTTCTTCATCTACGAGATTCACGCTTGGTTGCAGACTGCAGGACCGAAACTGGCAGAAGCATTAGATTCGAATCAGATCAAGTGCTTTGAGAGGGGAGTGAGAGGGCGGCCAGATAAGAAATATGATATTTCGGTCACCATGTTTGAGCATTGGCACCATTGGAAGAAATCGTTCTTGGAGGTCAGTTTTGATGAGGACTTTCTATCTCGTGACGCGAGGGAGTTGGCAAGGGAGTGTCATGATATCATGAAGGTGCAGAATATCAAGTTGCCTTTGTTTTTATAGCCGCATAGCCTTACTATAGACATGCAACCAGGCCGGAATTCAATTAGTGATGAATACTCTACGTAGACAGATTGAAAGCAGGCGCGCTAAACGCCGAAGACAGTGTGATCAAGCTACGAAGGTCTCTTGTCACCGTCCGCCGAAACGCTAGGAACTGCAAATATTTGATAGAAATTGTGGCAAAGGATGTTTTCAAAATCTATCATCTCATGTCAGAAAGGTAGCAAATGCCTGACGCATGTTGTCAACAGTTTAACAAATTACACTAAGCTAGGCGCCCTCTCTCCTTAGAAGTCGGGCATCTGAGCAACGCAAGAGTTCTCGAGGCAGGTACACTCATACGTCTCGCAGCTGTATCCATCGATGTCGGTCTTCTCATCGCAGTCCTGGTTAACATCGCAGTAGTGCGCACCCTGGGGAACAGGGCTAGCGAGAGCACGACGACGAGCAGGTGGCTGAGTAGTGGCGACCACCTCCTCAGCTTGAGTGGTGGTAGCAGCCTCTTCAGCTTGAGTGGTGGTGGTTTCCTCGTCGACAGCAGCAGTGGTAGTCTCTTCAGCAGCCGCAGTAGTAGTAGGCTCAGCAGTGGCGGTAGTGTCGGTCAGGCGCTCGCAGTTACGGTTGATGCAGCCGCAGCGGTAGGCATCGCAGAGCTGAATGAAGGCAGCGCAGTCGTCGCTGGTGACGCAGGGGAATAAATCAGCGGGAACGAAAGCAGAAGTAGTAGCGAGTTCAGAAGTGGTTGTGTCGGTGGCGGTCAGGGTGATGAAGGTGGTCACGTCGGTGGTGATATCGATACCAGAGGTGGTGATGACGGTAGTAGTGGCGAAAGATGTCTGAGCAGTGGTGGTGTCAGAGACAATCGCAACGCTGGTTGTCTCAGAGCCTGTCTCGGCAGTAGTAGTCTCGGAGCCAGACTCAACACTGGTGGTGGTCTCAGAACCGTTCTCGACACTCGTGGTACCAACGACGGTCTGGGTGGCTGAAGTCTCAGATGCAGTCTTAGCTGTAGTGCTACCAGACGAAACCACCGAGCTAGTCTGCGAGCTAGGACGGCAAAGACCAGCGTTAACACCGGAGATAGAAAGAGCGGCGACGAGGCCAGCAGCGAAGTTGGGGAACATCATTGTAACGAACGTGGTGATATCGAAGATATCTGGTTAAAAGAGTGACTGGTCTAAAGGATGACTAGAGAAGAAACAGAATACATCACAGAAAGAGACCGCGTTTGGGTTTATAAACACTGCGCATCGCAATAATAAAGGATCGGCGGCTATGATGGAAATTTCCAAGTGCATAGAGCTAGGAAGAGACTATTGATTTTGGCTCGTTTCTTTTGCGGGCCAGCCCCAACGCCGCCCCCCGTTAGGCGCCGTTTCCCCTGAGTTTACCTTGGTTGAGAAATTAAGTGGCGTCCATAAGCTCAGCTAAGGTTGAAAATGTCCAATAGCCCCATGGAAATAGTTATCGGATCAAAGACTCCCGCTTTACGCAGCCGGTAATGACGTCTCATCGTATCTTGACGCTGTCCTGACTAACGTTGCTTGGTGGAGCATGGGAGCGACGGTCCGTTACATCCCGGGGGAGCGATAAGATTCTCCCACTTAAATACCCTCTGGGGCCGGGCTTTTCTTTTTCTTACATATAGCGAAAATAAAGACGCTTTACTGAAGTTAGCTAGACTTGACAAACAAGGCGTTTTCTCAACCTGAAATCTCCTGCCAATGCAGTGAGCAACCAGCAACAACAAACACGTCTGCAACAGCGCGTCTTGAGATCCCCAACAAACACCAGCAATTTATGTTATAGCTAAGGCGAAATTATTGGATATAGGTCTAGAAAGAGACATAGTAAGACTGCAAGATTCAAACCAATTTAGCGAGAACTCGAAACCCGCTTATTTCGTCAATTCGACTATGAGTAGAACAGAACAGAAGCTGTGATACACAAATTATCCAGGCTTCCATCATGATCGGCTAAAATAGTATTAAAACATGCTGATAGCTGGGCACATATGAGTTTGGATCAATCCTCAATTCCAAGGTGCACTTTACGGATCATCAGAGCGTTAGATATCGACACCAAGGGGAAACCAAACGATCTTGTCGATACTGAGGGTATCGATCGGCGGCCCAATTATGGGTCCCTCTTCTGACGCTACTGCAGGGACACTGAAGCTTAGGGCATGCACCCACTAAAAGTGACCATGATTACGATGTAATAGGTCACCTTTTACGACATAAACGCTGAAGGTAATGGTCGTGCACTCACATTGTAAAATACAAAAGAAACCATAATGCACTATATGAGTTATGGTAGATGCTCTGCAGAAAGCTAATGCCATCTATCCATATTCCAAAGACTAACAACAAAGCGGTAACACCATTAGATATGCTTGTTTCTTACAGAATATCGTGATATAGAACGCAACAGAAATTCAGGAGAAAATATCTCCCAACTCCACAATTTCTTCATCGGCCACTTCTTTCTTTATCCTTCTGATCATACGCTTCTCATCCTTCAACTTCTTCTCCTCTGGTGTCTCTGTGTCGACCTGGATGTAGCGTTGAGCAGAGAGGGTCTCGCCAGTCGGCAACACCATCCCATCCACACAACCAACAAAATAATCAAGACCATCTTGGCTGTTGAAAGTGAGAAAAGCAATCTCATCGGACACCAACCCCGCGCCTATCGGATGGAAGTCGAAGAATTGACCCGCAAGCCTTATACCCGTGCGAATTCTAAACGGGAGTTGTCCTTCAGTCTTTACTGTTGCGATGAAGTCTTCCGACGTCGAATGGAAGATCTTGCTTCTGTATCCACGACTTATGCTATCGCAGACTTGTCGAAATTTGAGCTTGTCTTGATTGCTCTCATCAAGAAGGGCATGCGCCAAAGCACAAGTCGCTACAGCGTCGTCGCCAGCATTATCAGCTGCGCCATCGTTGCGGTGCTTTCTTCCAGGCTTGACGTCTTTCCAGCAGTAGCTAAACATCTGTAGTAAGCACTTGAGGCTTGGGATGACTCCAATAGATGAGGTGATGTCTGTCGCGATATCGCGAAGATCTATCCAGGCTGAAAAGAATGGTATGGCAGCAGGGAAGTACGTTGATAGGTAAGTCCATTCAGCTGCCATCTCAAACCCGATGAGCAGCAGCTTCTTGTCCTTAGGTAGATTCTGGAGGAACTCCACGACGGAAGCCTCCAAATCCTCAATGTCGAGATGCTTTTCCTCGCCGAAACGATGGCCGCGACGAACAGGCATGCCCTTGAACCGCCCAAGCCGAAGGATTTGGCTCCCCAGCTGCTTACTCGTATTGATATTTATAGTGAGCCCTTCCATTTGGTTATCTTCGTAGAAATGATGAAGGCGTAGCCGAGGTTTTCTCACTGGAGGTGTGCACGACGGGCATGAATATCTAGACTTCAGTGTCTTTGTGAATGCCAGTCCAACTTGGTGGAGAACACGGTCTCTTTCGCTCGTAATCGCAACGTGTTCCGTATCCAGTGCAAGGAAGTACGAGTCTTCAAGAATATCTTGAAAGCCTTTCAGTGTCGTAATTCTGTTGTTGAAGAGATCTCGCGACGCTTGAGCGCGCTCGAGTTGCCTGTAACGAATCATACTGAGTCGGTATGTATAAAGGAGCAGAATGGACTTTGAGATAAGAGAGGGTCCTTGTTGTTCTTATAATTTCCAATTGATTAGCTTTATGCTCGTAAAAGTCTATTAAAACGGCTGAGAAGTGATATTTATACAGATCTATAGTTCCGACTGGAGACTTGGAAGCTTAAGGCGAGCTGAGCGCTGGTAGGCTTATGATAATAAGCTCAAAATTTAAAATCTCCATTGTGAACTTAATTGACATAATTAAAAATTACAGAGAAATAAATGAAAGGCAATATAGATTCTCAAAGAATGTCGGAGTTATCGCAAATGAGCCTCACCCAAGCATACACCAATAGCAAAGCACGGAATGTAAGCCAAGATTAGCCAGACCCTCTTCGCTTCCACAAATCTCACGCCCTTGCGCCTTGTCAACGACATAGTGGGGACTATCTCATAAGCTCAGGCTTATATAAAGCCCCAATCACCAAATACACTTCATCTCACCCAAACTCAAAACATTCACTTCTCCAACTCTAAAACCATGTCTCAAACAACATCCGTCCCCGAAATCCTCTCCTCATTTACCGAAAAATGGTCCCCACGTCTCATCGCATCAGTCAACGACCATCACGTCAAAGTCGCTAAGATCGACGGCTCATTTATCTGGCACGCCCATCCCGACTCTGAAGAGCTCTTCTATCTACTCTCCGGAAAATTGACTATGGAGATCCAAGACGAAGAGCCTGTTGTTATGAAGGAGGGGGATATGTATGTTGTGCCAAAGGGAGTCACGCATAAGCCTGTGGCGGAGAATGCTGTTATAATGATGGTGGAAAGGGAGGGAACTGTGAATACGGGAGATCAGACGGACTCTGAGAGGACGAAGCAGGTCAAGGATGTGAGGGGGGATATATAGACACTGAGTTTTGGGACTGTCCAAGAAGCCATACAGGCCAAGAGGCTAATACAGATTTGATTATGTATATGACAAAAAATAATAATAATAAGAAAATCATGCCCGCTTCAATCTGCCCTCCCGTTCAGGCAACGCATCCGTGCTATGTCCCGGGCAAAGTAAAGATTCCTTCTCAGCATTGTATATACCTCCAAGCAAGCCAGCAATGTTCTTGAACATGCTGATATGGTTCGCACATAACCTAAAAGAATATCGATGCATATCAACAGACTTTAGCTGCCTCACAACATTGCGAGTGCAGCGCCAGCAATTCTCGCAAAGTATAGCTTGCTTGATTGAGGCAAAATACCCCCTGTTTGTCGCACTTTCAATAGAAGCCGGCTGATGCCTAATCAAAGCTGCTGCAACATCCCAGTTATTCTTCCACACTGCCTCCCTGAAAGAATCCTCATGGGCATGCAGCATATGCTCATAACTTGTCAGTAAAGACCCCCAGAACAATGTCTTAACGATGTAAGTTGCCATGTAAGTTGGCCAGAGGGTAGGAACAACGAAATTGCGAAATATTGCTGCTATTGAATCTCCGTGCAGCTTGATGAGTTCGCCAGAGCGAGCATATTGATGGAGATACTCTTCATCCGGGGCCTGCTCGCCATCGAAACCGGCCTCCAAAAGACCCAAAAAACAAATTGTATATTCTGTGGGAGATTGTTCAGATGGTGAGCTGACGGAATCTGGTCCGTTCAGAATATCAAGGAAAGTCGGTTTCAATGTGTATTCCATGAACCCACTGATAGAGTCTGAGAGTAGGATTCTCTTAATACCCAGCCTAGACGAGGGTCCCTGGGCCGGCGTATCTGAGAAGCGGATTCTGTCGGGATTTGGACTCAATAGGAGTCCTTGAACCAGCACATCAAGTAAAAACATCCCGTGGACGTTTCTGGCTTCCTTCATAGCACGAGCCTCCATATCACATAAATGGCTCAGTTCCCTGATATTGGGCACGTCGCTGCCATCATGAAGTATTTCCATCACAATTGCGAAGGCTTGCACGTGAGGCTCAGCCCTTCGTCGATAACCATTTTCTAGCACGTGGCAAACATCGAGCTTCGAATTATGAGGAGGTTGGTCTGCGCAATCACAGGGGGGAAATGGCGCACAATTTGGCAAAGCAGGGAAGTATGAAATCCCACGGGCGATCGCTTTCCTCAGCTCTGTGACGAGTGAACGATGGTCCAGACCTGAAGATAATAGACTTGCACAATCGTTTCGGCAGGCCTCGTGATTCTTGTTAGCTGTTAGAATGCAAACATGCTTGTTAAGTCCATCTGAACCCCCAGAGAATCTTGTCAATAACTGGAAGGATCGACATGCGAGGGCCCAGTAGCCGTTCAACTCAGCATAGATGAAGGTGTGGCAGAGGTGAGAGAATTCTGGCACGTCTGACCAAGACGTTTCTGAAGAACGTACCACACCCCTCCTTGTAGCCTGTATCACTTCGGCAAAGCATTTTGATCTTGGCTCATTTGGAAACCTCGCCATGGCTTCGTTCTCCCATTCCGTACTGTGCCAAGGCTCGCCCTGTGAGTGCTGAGGGGGCCTCTGGACTATTTGGCCTAATAGCCTCCAAACATTCTTGTCTTTTGACTCGATGCTTTTGGTATGCTTGAACCAGTTCCCCGAAGCATATTCGAAAAAAGGGTAATCTGCGTTCCCTTGGGCCTTGCTGGTAAGTGGGATCGGAGAACTCAGGGCAAAATCTCGCTGGTTTGTCGTCTTGCCTGTGTTTGATGTCTTGACAAGCTGGCGAGCTAGGCGGCCGACGCGTGTTCCAACGCCACCTTGGATGGCGGACTGTATTGTCTGCTCAGCTATTCCCCTTGGGTCGATTTTTATAGCTGATGGGCCCAGAGGTTCCCTTTTTCTCTCTGCTAGCGCGGTTTGAAAGTTGTCAAGATTGATGTAAGTAATGCAGACCTCGCCAGCAAGCTTATCGCACTGGTCAGGGTCAATATGAAGGGCCCCATGCTCACCCGAATCGGGTACCAAAAGAAACTCTTGGATAGAATGGTGGCTGAAACGAACTGTGTTGTCTGTTTCTTCTACATAAAGTAGGTTCTCACACCACGTAGGTAATCGCTCTATCCCGCTAATGAGATCTTCCTGGCGCAGAGTGTGTTGACCAACCTCGATAGACAGTGCTTCCCGGAGTTGTAACAAGGTCAATGGTTGTGATACTGCTTTTATCCATGAGAAGGCCTTTCTAGCAATATCCTGGTTGCGCTTCTGGATGATGCGGGCCAGGGCACGGTCAAATGTCGCAGGAAGGTCACTCGGGATGTCTCGGAGTGCTTGCCGAATCTCCTTGTCAGACTTTCCGGAACATACATCCTCAATAGCAAGAAACGCCCATAAGAACCTAAGCAGAAGATAGCATCGTTAGATTTGTAACATTTAACTGCGTAAAAGTTACTGACATTCCTTGCTCCTTGGAAGCAATTGTTTTCAGAATCTCGTTTAATAAACTGGGGTCGCTGACAACTAGCTCACCAGTCGACAGTTTGTCAATGATGATGTCGTCAACGTATGCGCCAATATCTGCACTGGTGTTCTGTAGGCCGGTAACCAATCGTCGAGATCCAGGGAAATTGCGTCTGATGGCGTTGGTGCATGTCTCTCTAGATGAGATGAGAATGTTTATGTTGTGGGCTTTAACATGTCTTGAAACAATCCCTTGGAAGAATTTCAGCAATTTTGACTGTTGGTCAGCGCTGCACTCATCCAACCCATCGAGAACTATGAACCATCGCTGTATTGCTTGAGCCGCTGACGAATAGAGCCTCAAAAGTATGTCATGCGAGAACAAAGCGGACTTAGCTTCTGAGAGGCATTCATCAAGTTTAGAAGCTAGCCGTTCGCCAAGACTATCCATAGAGATGGCCGATAACAGTTGTTGAACACAAGACCGTATGATTGTCTCTGCATCAAGGCTTGCCGGATCATCGAACCGAATAAAGAAGAACGAGACGAAACGTTGAGGTGGCCTGATCTGCGAAAGTCTCTCGACGATTGAGGACCTAGAGTTGAGAACGGTCAGAGACTTATATCGGGTACGTGAAGGACAATTAATTACGCCAAGACCGTTTTACCCGACCCAACTTAAGATGATGGTCAGCTCCAGTCATTCATTCACATTAGTTCGGTGCTGGGTCGCGGGCGACTCACTTTTGCCAGTGATATGAAGAACCGGTGACCCATCAAATTTGACCCATTCTTGGAATTCCGGAGTGTCGAAGACCCATTTTGCCGTACCAATATGGCGTTTGTTCCGTGTACTGTTAAAGGCCGATGTGAAGTTGAATGACGACAGTTCCTCAAGGAGACGGCGGCGTTTTTGTTCTACGACGCGCCATTAGTCAGGAACTGTCAGAGGATCACCCATGTCCAACTTAGTGCATTCCGTCTTCGCTGTGCCTGCAAGACTTCCATTTCGGCAGTTGACTTGGAAGTCCAAGCCATCAAGCGTTTCCGATGGTTGGTAGCCTCTTGTCGCTCTGTCGTCTGTAGCTGCTGTTCCTCACGGTCGCACTGAGCCTTCACCAGTTGGATATCCCCTTGCACCTCCTCTGCTTTCGCCCTTATATCTTCTACGTAGTTTCGAATTTCAGACTGGAATGATTGTGTGATTGCCTTCAGAAGCTGATTCTTTACTATACCGAGTGAATAGTCAGTGCATCTTGCCGTCAACTACCTGGCGATACTCACAGGGTCGCCGAACCGCCAGGACGATCTGCTGGCAGCAAACAACCACTGCAGTGTGAAACTGGCAGATTGAACTCTTAAGACGCGAGGATTCATTGAAAATGACTTGGTACTCGGCGAACCGTGTGCAAAGTGAACCGAATCCGTGGAGGAGCTCAACAAATGATTGAAAGTAGGATGCGAAGTTGGCTAGAAACTGATGTTGTCAGCCAAACTTCCATGTTTGTATCATATCTCATACCATAAAGGTAAGTTTGATGGAACCCCAGATAAGCGCTGCAATGTCGGGATTAGACTGAATATATGTATCGACTATGGGCGTGAATTGCTCAATCGTCTGCAGAAAAGAGGCCAATCTTGAAGCGACACTCTTGCCTCTCCGGTTCTTATCCAGAAGATCCAACTCGGCTGTGAATGTTATGATGCTTTGCGAGTCGTGCGACGTCGTTTTGAGCTGCTGCAACTTCTTGCGGTCCTCGTCGCTCAAGATGGCTTGGAACCCCGCGATAGTTCTCTCTAGCTCCTTGACAGGTGCGGCTGAACCATCATGGCCAGCGCCAGGTCGAGAAGCGACGGCAATTTGCGAGTCCGCGGGCCTGGAGAGCTCCATGGTTTCAATGTCGCAAATGAGGCATCTAGTCTTCTGTTGATGTGAGAAGAGAATGGAGGAAGTAGGAGGTCTGACTTCACAGCCTGATAGAGGCCTCACATGCAGCCTGCGACAGCCACCAAAAACGCGCTTGCATCCATGATATGATTGGGTACATTAACGGGAAGGCGTTATTTCAAGACTCAGCCACCACCGATTTTCTGCCTCAGCTGAAGCCACTTAATTGCGGCCCGCTCGTTTCTACATCGAAGCCAAAGTCGTCAATTCCTCTTGTATCAAAGATGTACGAAACAAAACGAAATGATATATAACCTCAAGTTTCATAAATTATCCTTCTTCAAAAGCAAATACTAAATATGATGCAGTAGATTAGTGCTCCGAATCGCTTTAATCACTTTCTTCAATCTCCTCTCCATCTGTTTCATCCTCGGAGTCTTGCTCCCGACTCTCACGAATCGGGTCGAATATGACATCTTCGCCGTGGGCTTCATCTACCATGCCATATTGATCCTGCAAGGGCGAATCAATCATCTCGTAAATCAAGAAATCGCGCAAAATCTCATTGTCACAATCCTCGACGTAAGCTTGCTGAGCTTCAAGACGTGCGCGAACATTCGACAATTCTGGCTTCCGCTCAAGACATTTGTAAAAAGCATCAGCAGCGTCTGAATGTTGACCATTACAGCTGTCATACTATATTTCGTGTTAGAAAGACTTCTGATGAGGTTGAGCAGGCAAAAAGATACCAATACGCCGAGGTTATACCAAGGCTCATGGATGTGAGCGTTCAGCCCTACAGCTTTGGTTAGTGCGTCGAGCGAGTCTTTGTTTTGACCGATATTGAAGTATAAAATGCTAAGTGTAATCCAGAAAGAAGGGCAACGGGGTTCGAGGTATATCGTGGTTTGTAAGCATTGATAGGCTCTTTCGTAGTCTTCTACCTCCATACAGGCTCGACTCAGCAGGTACCAGTTTTCGGGGATTGAGCTGTCTAAGCGATCCTTTTAATTTGTGTTATTACAAATAACTCGGGTGTCGTTACCTGATTTGACGGCAATCTCCAAGTGCCTTGTCGCATGTTGAACTTTATCCTCAGAAAAGATTTCTTCTAAAGCAAGAAGCATTTCAAGGCCGATGAATGCGTTTGCCATGGCATGCTTAGGATCCTCGCTTAATCGACAATAGGCTTCCTTAGCATCTTGTATGGGCTCGGTCGCTTGTAAAAACTTAACCCTGCGAAAAGTCTCTATTTGTTCATCCATAGCTATGGATGGTAGCTGGGGCCCAAACCTTTTCTTGTTATTGGTCCGGGTTGTGAATCGTTTGAGAGGGTGATGCGAGTAAGGGGCCTCATTGTATAAGCTGATAAGTGGTGTTGTTGTGAAAGATGTTCTGGTACATCGGGAACAGATATTGCTGTTCAAGTATGTGGTCAGCCGTAGAACTATAGCTGTGTTTTTAGATATCTGACTCACCAAACCTGGCGGTCTTCAAACTCCAGGGCTTGATCTAGAAGCTTTCCGGTACACTTTGGATCCAAACATCTCCTGGATGAGTGAGCCCCTTTGATGATAATGGCCTGCTCAAGATGGAACCCTGGTTTGACCATGGTTTCCCACGTCTGTTGATCGACTTCCTTGCCAGTTTTCGCTTGCGTCACCGCGAAGAGATTATGTGTAATGTATTTTGCTCCGGGCCTCTTGTTCGCATACACAACGAACTGGAGCATCTCTCTAAACGACTGTGACTTTTAATCACTATTTCTCAGTGGTTGAAATAAACTTGACTTACCTCCCAAGTCCTACAAGCCTGCAGTGGAAGGGCCCAACTCTCCCCATGGACGTCGTCTAACCGAACGATATCGAGTGTAAGATGAAGTGGAATAGCTTCAATAGCGCGTATAATACGTTTCAGCTGTCCACTTATATCGAGGAGCATACGCCTGAGCTTTTGTCAGTGCCCTAGCATGGCTTTCTAGTTAGGGAATCGTACGTGTTTCTGCTGATTGCCTCGAGCATTTCCCTCGAGCACCTTGTTAGACTGAGAATATGTTAGCTGGTGAATTTTATTCTTTGAGAGGGATATGCACAAGATGAATAGTTTTCTTATGTCCTGCATAAGGTTGAATAAGATCTTAGCGTGGCGAGTAATGAAAGCAGCTTCGCGACGGACAACAGCTGTACCGCGTTCAGTCTTCAGCGTCATATGACGCATACTCTGCTCCATAGAGTTCAAGTTCTTGTTTATCTCGTTTGCCTGCTTTGAATGAAGTTCCGCCTGCATACTTGAACTCACTGCCAGAGCTCCAATTGCACTCTGTGTTTTTGATGCTATATTCAGGATATTCGACGCGTGTCCGGCCATGGCATTTGCGTGTTTTTCGATCACCAGCGACTGGGCAGTCCCAGTGGCATGTAATTGCAATGCGAGGCGTCTGATGCTAGCACTGTTCATGAGTCAGTGGTCTGGAATCACCTTCGAGGTTGGCGGGAAGCTAACTGTTGCTGAACACTCATGAGGACATTGATAGCTGCCATCTGAGACACAACAGTCTGTCTTAGTTCCTGAACATCACTTAGACCGACCATCGACCAATGGAGCCTTGTACCGATGCTGCTCAGACTTCTCGTGCTCTTGAAGTGGCCCAGACTGCTTTCTTTTGTTCTCATCCTGTCAGCCATGGATTGTAAGGGTTTCGCACAATAGAGAACGATGGCTCTGATCTGCTCCAAAGTTTCGCGCTCCGCACTACACTTCGGTTCCAGACTCAAGACGCGTTTCAAGGTACCCCGCAGGAAATCGAGTTCGACAAGAAGCTGTTGGAATTGCATGGGCGCGTCCTTGTAATTGCGCAGCTCGATGGCGATACGCTCACAGAGGCCTAGTACGGCGATAACGTCGCCGACACCATATCCAAAAGACATATTCGCCAGTAGCACCTTGGAAACGAGTTTGCGGCAGGATGTTCTCCATGATGAGATGGGATCAGATGAGCATTATATGTAGCACGGCTGGTTGCATGCTCGTTTCTTGAAACTTGCGTAACAAGGGCTATTGCATAAACAGAGGTTGAGCAGATATAGATGCTAGGGCACCAGATACAAAGGCCATGAGGTATACAGCACATCGCCGTTGCATCGTGAACTTGGCTGGATGTTGAAATGGATAGGTAGACATTAAAACTCAGCCACGATTCCGCATCTACGATCAAAGGCCCTTCCGCGTGCTTGATATTTTGGTAGGCCTCACTCTACTTGTGGTACTCTTCTTTGCCAAACTGCTGGGTATTCTTCACATTATATGTATATGTGATTGGCCGCGCCACGAGGTAATCATGCTGCTGCGGCTATAGAGGTACTTTCTGGTTACACTTAAGCGGCCAACACAGGTAAAAAGAACGGGTTAAGGTGAAAATATGTTGGTAAATCTGCAGGGTAATTCATTTCCAGCCAACGAAATTCTTGTCCAGACATACCTCGTGTTCAGTCACAGCGCGCTTGTCCAAAATGGTGGCTTTGAGGGCAGAATCACTTGAACTTGGACAAACTCCCCTCGAGGGGATGGGGCAATGAATATCCTTGGGCTCCTGGTCGTCATGTTGGTGTTTCCTCGGCAGTCATCGCGTTGTTAGTGTTAGCAGAGTATTTATTATTGAAAGTAGCTGGATTGAGAAAAGACGATCAACCAGTTATCCCGACTAAAGCAAACTGATATGGTCCAACAAAAGCCGTGTTCAATAAAACTTTCCATGCTTCCGGCCAGTGTAATGCATGCCTGTCTGCAGGTTCTCAAACCACAAGTGTTCGATTACACAGACTTCATGTTTTGTTCACTGGTTAGACTGGACTTGTTGTTCACTGATACTAGGGTATACGTTATCATTCGCTGAGACTCGGTGTATATAATATGACAGGATGTCTGCTATCTCCTTGTTCCAATGTTCCGAGTCGCGACACCATCAACCACCAAGCGGAAAGCCAGGATACCAGAGACTTGGGAATAAATGTCCATAACTCGCAAGTAAGCTATCCCGTCCCACCCCATCCGCTCACAACCATGTTTCACCAGACAGACATCCATCTTCATCATCAGCGATGAACTGCTACAGCCCATTCAGTTTTCTCGTGCAGTCGCGGGGTTGTTTGTCTTTGTCTGGGTTGCACCTCGCCCTTCTCCTGTATGATTGTCAGTTCGCCGCGACTTGGTAAAAGCTGATAAAAGAAAGGCTTACTAGATGTAGCTGCAGTTATTGTCTGTCTGACTGACAGCGAGTTTGTATGGTAGGTCGAATCATGCCTCAGTGTCAGGAACCCCAACAGAGCCAGCAATCAGATGGCAGCCTTGCTGTTCCGGCGTCTGACACTTGCTCTTGGAAAGCAGATCATCCGATTCAGGATAGGCGATATCCAGCTTCCATCCAAACTTTTTCCGGAGCCGTCTCTCCATAGGCAGTCCAATCGCCGCAGGATTGTTATGCACTCTAGCGACCTCACAATACTCGGCGTCAGCATCGCAGTCCTCCGCATCCTCTTCCGAAGGATGAAACATCGTATCTCTGAAAGAAAACACTGGGCAAAGTCAACGAGGAAAGGCTGGTGTGAGGTTTGGTCGACAGCCACGTTGCGAGGGGCGCTATCGTCGAGAACTATGCCTCGCTTATTGATCTCATGTGCTGAGTCGACTGCACGCTGTATGATAGATGACCATTCTTGTTTGGTCACAGGGGCACAAGGTGCGTCAAGGAGATCACTTAGAGAGTGGCCTGCAATGGGCTCGAGTAAGATGCCAGGAACATCAAGGTATCCATTCTCCAGCGAGTTTTCCTTGGTGACGACGCGCACAACAGCGTAAAGCTTTGGGATAAGCACACCCTGAAGATCCTGCATACGCATGTATGCCTCAGTCTCAGTCTTGAAATGATTATGAGCAGATCTCCAAAGCGCAGCTTCAAACCGGGCAACTCCATCAGGCTCATCTCGAATCTCGCGCGTGGTGCGAGGGATAACATCGGTTTTCGACTGCTCGTCGTCCAGCTCTTCTATAAAAGGGCCCATGGCGCCTCTTTGCAGGAATGAGTGATAGGCGGCCTTGGCTTGATCAAAGTAGGGGATGTTTTTGTTATAGCACTTGCGGAATTGAGTACCAAATCGACGATCGTAGAGCTTGAGGACAGCGCAGCCAGTGTCAAAACTGACGCGCGCGACGGTAGCCATGGTGTTTGTGATGAGCTGGTTGATTCTGACCGAAACTTTGTCGGATTGGCGTAAGAGGTTGGTTTGGGTCTGGAGTATGTGCAACTCTAGGATGTCACCAATGTCATATCCAGCTATTGTGATTGTGCTGGTCAGCAGTCTGAAGAAACAAGGCAGGCAATACTGAAAGGCAAACGTACGAGGACCTTCGGCAGGGATGTTCATGATCGAAAAGAAAAGAAGGGAAAAAAGAGAAGGGCAGATGGTGTTGATGTGTTGAGGGTTTGGAGAAATGCAGTAGTTATGCTGTGCGGCTTTGTGTTAGGGCGTGGCTCGGCCCCCTCTGTTTTTCTACACTGGGGCTTCCTGCGAGACCTGCCTGTGCCTCGGAGGCGTTTATCTGTGCCGGACAGCACTAGCGAGCGAGCATGCGTACGTACACAAGTCCTCTCTACTTCATTGACTGATCTATCCTTGAGGCACTCCGTTCTCTCTTCCTTCAGGTCACACTGTCTCATGTTCCCGCCGATAAGAAGCGACAGTCGGTGAAACCGAACCCCTTCGCCCAAGAAAGAGCCTTGTTGTTCCCGTTGAACATGTACTACGCTCGCTTCAAACTGACCATGTGAGTCTGTTCCTCTGCCTGGAACAGGGAATATACGCGAACATGTACCTTGCCCAGCAGCAAGCGCGAACTTATCGTGACAGACAACATCTACGCTTATTCTCCGACACATACAACTACGCAAGGCTTCGTCTAAGCCATCTGATTTATCCAACCCGACAAAATCAGAAGCTCCTGGCAAATATAGCGGTTCAACTCGGACTTTTCAAGCGTCACGTACTAGTCCCCTAGCCATGAGTCGATCTTTTAGTTTTACCGAGCACATTTACTTATCTCCAGTTATCGTTACAGGATCCTTTGTGGGTTTTCCCAGTGCCATGCTTTGGTTCAAGTGCCGCTTTGCTGGCAAACGTTCGCCTACTGGGCGAGTTTGATACGAGATTGATGGTATGTTTTCCAGGACCAGAACCTCTTTGTAAACCTGTCATTTGATATCTCGGACTCTCCAACCCATCAGTTATATAAAATGGTCATCTCGAATACCTCCAGCAGAAGCTACCGACATGGTCAATCAGTCCTCTACTCACTATTCATCAATCTCCCTCCGTGTCTTGGTACAGATTCTGCTAATTGTCAACATGAAGGACAAGATCCTCGTCCTTAACAAAGGCCGCGAGCAAGAGCTTATCGAATAATTGGAAAAGGCCAAGCGAGGGTGCATCGACCACGGTAAATGGACCGTCAAGTGGCAGTACGCTCACGGAGAAGGACGTGTCGGCAGCACCAACAACAGCGAAATACTTCCAAACTATATCGCCTACCAACGAACGAGTGATGGTGAACATCGAACCCACCTCACCGTCAAGACTAGCAAATGTCACTATTTCCTTACCACGGACAAAGACAAGAGTAACATCACTACCGAGAAGTGTTGGGGCAAGGAGGAGCCGTTGATGAAGGATGTCCTCGGGGCCTATCAGATACAGTGGGGTGTCCCCGTCAAGAAGACTCAGTCTGAGGATGAGGCTGAATGGTTGCTTTGGTGAGCTAATCTAACGGGGAATGGCAAGGATGGGTATGCGAAATAACTTCAAGGCAGGGCAAGCGGACTCACGAGATCCTGTCAACTCTCCTCTCATTACGGTGCCCGGCAAGTCGCAGTATGTCATCGGTTCAAAGTCTTGAATGCAGGGTTTGTGTTCGCAGACAGATACAACACACATGTTAAGGGGGGAAATATACATAGCATTTACGCTAGGCCCTCCGTCAAGTCTTAAACGCACAATGGAAGACGCAACAAGAAATTGGCTTTATTTATGTTTGCTTTCCAACGCTGAATTTAGAGACATGGGGAATTTGTAAATCTACAGGATAAATAATAACGTCAAAGTGACCCAAGTAACCGCCATGATGGAACCCGTCATCTTCCCAGCGCTGTTGCCAGCTGTTTCTGTGGCAGTCGTCGCGGCAGCAGTGGTTGTAGCCCCAGAAGCTACTGTTGCAGCCGGTTTGGTAGCCTGAACCTCGATGCCTGAGAGTACACTCGTTGCTGCGCGAACGTAAGAGGTTGACGAAAAGGAGCATTGCGACATGATTTTATCGATATCTGTTTTATGAAATGTTAGTCACTAGATCAACATAACCCCATCTGTCGAGCTCTTACCTTCTGTGTCTTTGCTGTTTTGAGCCATACAACTCGCGCAAAGCCCCATCACGCCAGCGACGTCGAAACTTTTGTTTGTACAGATACAGGCTGCCTCGATGGGTTCGTCGTCGTCGCCGTGATCAACGATGACGAGGTCTCTTCTCCTGTCGCTATGCTTTTCGGTTCCTTTGGGGTCGATGTCGCATGCGTTGGTGAGATTGACGATGGGTTGGCAGATTGTCTCGCAGGCGGTGGGTACATCATCTGCATTGAGTTCCTCGGCGATAGCTGCGGGAATGAAGACGGCTAGAGTCGCGAGAAGAATTCTAGGATGCATGATGAGGCGAGGTTGTAAGATTGATTGACTGATAGGTAGCTGAGGATGTTGAGAGATCTGAGTTGGAGTGAATGAAAGCTGGTCTGGGCAAGAAGGAGCCTTATTAATGCTGGAGAGTAGATCTATCTATAGAAGCTATGGATCAACAAAAGTCCAAACAATTTGTAGATGTTAGAAAAGATCAGCCTTATTAGTGATGTTTCAGTCGTTTCACAAGTCGAGACAAGCATCATGTCCAAAAATAACTGGACACTGACGACATTGATCACAGAGCGGTAATGTAGTCGATAAAAATCTCATTCAGAACATGACACACTTTCATTAGCATGTTAGCAACAAATTGCCAGTTATTTCATTAAAAGTTTCACAGTATTCCGATTTAAAAGGGCTGGTGAAGTCTCGCGGTTATTTTTAGGCTTCACCCCCATGCTACAAACGGCAACATGTCACACGATCTCTGAAAGGGAACTGCACGAAACATGCAGGGTCATATTCCCTATGTTTCCAAACAAAGAGCGAGTCTCAGAACATTACTAGCGCGGAAAGATGGGAAATATTTAGATCTAGTATTGATGCTTAAATTAAGGGCAATTCTGCTTGAGCCTCATGAGAGGTATTCATTGGTCGGAATGATTGATCCTCCGACTTACGCGGCTTCCCCGCAATTCGCGCAACCAGGCATCAGCTAACAAGAGCATCTGACCTCGAAACACCAAGAGAAACAAAGTCCCTCTTGTTTCTATCCTCGCGATCCCTCCGAGACAAATCGCTGTTGCGCTGTCGAAAAGATGAAACTACAGACGGTGCTCCAGGCGCTATTGATTGCTGGAGTCTCTGGGGAACCCTTGACTAGTGCGATAGCCCCGCAGAACCGTTACCGTTGGACGCTAACAATAGCAACAGACTCGACCCACGATGTCAGCGATGCTTCGAGCGGAGACGATGACCCGAGCATATTGAAGAATCGTGGGGGCTGGGTGAATCCGGAAGACTTGGCACCGATGCCACAGTGCATCGCTCAACAGGATCAGTCCGCTTGGCTGGATGCCATGACGAAGTGCACTCGCCATCGCTGCACTTCGTACTTTATCTTCTGCACGCACTATCAGTGGCTTACTCACCTGGGCTGTCTGAGCGATGAGTTCTCGCCCAGCGTTGTCAAAGGCTACATCAAGTACTGCAGCAGATCTGTCCTCGCAAAGGCACAACTTCATCATTGGGTTCAGGCTATGACTGGTCGGAACTGGCTCGTCGAGGTTGGGGACACAAATGCATTGCAGAGTCTATCGCCCAAGAGCCTGACAGATGGATACGCAACCATCGACGTCGCCAACAAAGCACCAGGATGCCTACGAGAGTCGTTCTCTGCAGGGACGAAAGAGACATTCGACCATGTCATCGGTTCCTGCAGCTTCACAGCCACGACACAACATACTGGAAATGCAGGCCGACCATGGGAGTACAACGGCGGGCGGAACTCTATGACATCTCTTAGTTTCGATACTGTAGGCTACCAGCTAACAAAAACTCTCATACCGCACGGCGAGTACTTCGATAAAGCCTGTTTTTGCAACACTTTTGCTATGGACCAGCACGAAGAACCATGCTCGACATCTGGCGCGAAGGATCTGGAGATTCAGCGGCGATGGATGAACGAAACTTGCGGATATACCTGGCATGAACCAGCGCGACTTCAACCTCGTGATATGATCCCATGGCGATGGAGGATCTATCCTAAGTCCTCCGAAGACGATGCAACATGCCCTTCCCACGAGTGGAAACTCATGAGTATCGGATTCATCAACCTAGTAACGCTATTTGCTGTCTTGCATGCCAGGGGCCGAAATAGTAGAGGTGCTAACAGTCCCCGTTCGCTGCACTACGATTCGGCACGCTGGATTTTGGGGGGAATTCTTCTTGCAAGCATTCACTTCCTTGGTAATTTGGCCAACGTGAATATCGTCCAGAGAACTCCTGGGTACGAGGCAGTTCCTGTCCTACAGCTCACGCTGCTTTGGTGTTCACTTCCTCGCCTCAGCTGGCTCCCGATCTCATCGCATGGTACTAAAGGATCTGGATCTCAAGATATGACGTCCTCGATGTCTGCCATGTTTGCAGAGGTGATCCTTCAGGCCTTTTCATTCTATCACATTTGTGTGACAGTCAACTATGGTCGCGTGCACGACTTCTATTTCGGAGGTTTGGCAGGCGCGAAAAGATCACCTTTTGCTGCGGTTATGTATGGCGGTGCACTCGTATGGCTGTTCGTTGTGGCGATGATGGCCGTGCCGTTCATCCGCACTCTCCGAACTCCTTATAAAGCCAAGGCGCCCGATGAAAAGACAGACAGTGCCCCTACTACCAATGAGGGGAAATGCACCGTATCTCAGGACGACGACGCAGACATCCGAGAAAGTCTACTGTCGAAGCGACCATCCGTGAATAGCGGACATCGTAGTTATGGAACTCTTCCAGCCGAGGTCGAGTCTCTTGATCCACCCATGAAACGTCATTCACAACTACATATGGTTCTGGCCACGGGAGTACCTGTGCTTTGGCTTGCACAATGGCTATTCTGGATTGGATTTATCGGATTGAGCTCTGATGACTTCTGTCTTCCGTCGCTGGAGATTCTTACGGGTGTTTGGTTGGCTTCGTCCTTGGGAAACGTCATTATTAGATCGTATTTGTAGATAGCGAGCGTAAATGGCGCATGATTTTGATATTTGACAAGCAGCGGGTTTTCCGTTCAATTAATGCATATCTTCCCTTCCCAACAACCTTAAGCTTAAGTTATGCTTATTTATATGATCGTTCGTCTGGTCGGAGGCGTTCTGGAGACGCTAACCTCAAAGTGGCGCCAGTTGACTCTGCGACCTGAGCCGAAAGACTAGTTGGTGATCCTTGGAGTCAGCGACCTACGAAACAAAGAGATTGAAACACGTGGGCACCGCGAGACAAAGAAATTAACCAGTGGCGCAACCACAAACGTCCATTCATATATGCTCATGATCTCAGCCGCACTATATAAAGCCAAGGCCCAGCATTATCTTAAAACTCCCGAGATTTACTATTTCACGCCACAACCCAGACCGCATCATATTCTACCGTCGCGATGGGTCAAGATGAAGTCGGTTTGGAGGTCATCCCTCCTCCTCCGGGCTACTCAACCTCAAATCAACATGAGAATTTTGTTATGCCAACGTCTTTCACCATCCACAAAAAAGGCGATTCTGAGGTGAAATTCAACATACGGGGCAACACTGGCAGCACACCACTGTCAATCGCATGCACATACAAAAACACGGAAGACGATTTTGAGGCCAGAGTCAACCTTCTCCCACGAAAAGATGAAAACGCCTCGCCTTTGGCAACAGTCACGTACTCTCGTCACAGTGCCGAGCTAGAATTCACCAACACATCTCCTCCTTCACATATAACAATGTACTATCGTCTTCTAGGCGATAGAAACGCAACACATACTTTCAACGTCAACACCCCGCAGCGAACAGGTTTTGAGTGGAGGAATCTTGGTGATGGTGAAGGATGGAAGTTATACATAGGTTCGAAGCCTGAAGTTCTTGCGATAGGTGCGCTGAATATGGGGTCTGATAAGCCTACGCGATTTGAATTTACGGACGTACAGATGGCGAGTGAGTTGGGTGAACAGTGTAGACTGATGATTATTGCGTCGTGGTTGAGAATTTGGGATAAAGTTAGGATTCAGTTTCGACGGGCGCCTGATGAAGGGGAGACGGAGATGATACTGTGCAGCTGCGGTTTATGTGTCATTCTGTAGCGATTTATTGTCTACCTCAATACTCTTCATCGATCCAACTTATACATATCGATAGGACCAGTAAACCATTCACTCTTCAGATCTATTATTAGTAATTTAGTAACTGGCGATTGTTACACAAGACATCTCAACGTATAAACATCCCTGAAATGGATATATCATTGATCCGCCCCGTCAATATCTCGGACTGATATACCGATATGAAACAGCCAATGAACAGATGCAGAGGCTCTTACGTGGTGCATCACTGCATACTGCATATTCTCCCACTCCCGACCCAATTGACATCATAAACAAACCCAACTCCTCATGGCGCAAGAATTACAAATTTCCCCTCAGCACAAACGACTTCATCGATGAAACCAGTCACTGATTAAACCCGTGCATTACAATTTATTTACAAACGCTATCTTCCTACCCTCATGAGCTATCCTCCACTTTTGCCCAAGCACCCAATCATCCCATTCGTCGACGCAGTCCCTACTCCCGCACCTAAGAGGCGAGCCGTTGCAGTAGCTTGCGACGCGTGCAGGACTAGAAAGATCAGGGTACTTCCCGTCTCCGCGATCCGTCTGAGCTAATGCTTACTATATATAGTGTACGGCCGAAGTTCCAACATGTGCTGGGTGTCAGCGCCGTGGGGAGGAGTGTCACTATTCTGACGTTGCTAAAGAACATGAGGTGGACTCTGACCAGCTTAAAAAGAGAGTCAAAGAGTTGGAGGCCGAGAACCGCAATTTTAGAGCCTTGTTTGAAAGTTTAAAAGAACCAGATGCTGGGACGAGTCAGGAGATACTGGAGAGGATTCAGGCTGGCGATGAGTTGCAAACAGTTGTCAAAGATGCCCGCGGCTTGTTAGGCAAGCGGAAGAGATCACCAGGACCGACTACGATGTCGAGTCAGCGACCTTCAGATTGGACGACATGCCGGGGTATTTCACCCAGGAACCCGAATACTTCTCCTACCGCAGTCAACCCTGTCGTATTACCTTTGCAAGCTTCGACACGTTCCTTACCGCCTACTCCTCTGGCATCGCCCCCCATTCGTACACCAACTTCTCCAAGTGACGCTATCCCGGGTCTTTTAAGGCAGTCCTAAAATGGAGAGCCAGATACTGTCTTGCTCAACGAAGCCAGGGCAAAGGAATACTGTGATCCTCGTCTCAACGACCTATCCGTCTCATATTTGACCCGTGTGCCGATAAGTAACCAATCTGCGGCAACGCTCATCTCGACATTCCTCGAAACATATAATTTTACTGCCGGTTTCATCGACGGAAATTTGTTTGTCACGGATCTTGTTCAGCATAACTCGACTTTCTACTCGGCCTTTCTTGTCAGCTCTATACTCTTCCTCGTCCGTGTAAGTCACTCCCGCCCTCTTTTCACCAATAGCTCACATGTGCCCAGGTTACTCACGCCGCATCCGATTACCGAGCAGCTACCCTCGCACAAAGTTTCTTCAACTACTCAAAACAACTACCGCGCCGAAAGGCTACCTGATAATCTTACCACTTTTGCAGCCATCAACATCTTCGGCCGAGGGTACTTCTTTCACGGAAATTATAATTTAGGTCGGGATCTTCTATTTTCAGGACGGCAAATGGGGAAGCGTATGAACCTTTACGGCCCGAATTATAAAAGCTTAGAGGTCAGAGGGTTCTAGGAGCTATCGAGTGCGCGTCCATTGCCACAGGCTTCTTGGGGGACTTTAATTGGCTGGATGTGAATTCAAATTCTCGTTGATAGCTTTGCAAAGCGTTGTATTACTAAGAAGGGAAATCTAATCACTCCACGATCTCTACGTGGCCATTTTATCACTCTCCGTATTTTTCCCTTTCTTTTCTTTTCTGTACCCTATTGTGCGAACGGCACTCAAATGCTTCACATAGCCTTTGTGTACATGGCTGAAAGTTCTAAAGGAGTTGCATCCAATAATACACGGGCGTGTTATTCAAACTTCAGACAAAGGAAAGGAGCTCATATTTTTCGGTACCAAAGGCTCGGCCGGGCCAAGGGTCGGATTACCTGGCAAAGCAGCGGACGTCACAGGCTCTCTGGATTTGTATACAACGCCTGGGAAAATGTCTTGACTGGAGACTTGGACTTCACTGGAGGGAATTATGTACTCGAGGAATCGAAACTTCAGCTTCACGAGGGCTGGGTTACAAATGTCGGGGTGCTTTGCCTACATTTGAGGTTGAAGGAGCAGATTATGCGTGCTTCTACCAGGCAGATGATCTTGATATGTAGCCGGTGAGGTCGATGTCTTGTTTGCAGGTACCAAGACTTCTCTGGTAGTTATAAGATCTCAACTACAGGTCTTAGTTACAAATTACAAATCTAGCTCACATTCTGGACATTATACCACAATATCTGACTGATTGCTATAGCATAAATGAGACAAAAGAGTCATAATGTGACTTTTCTTCTTTTTCCTTTTCTTTTATTGGAAGCATTATTACAAGAGTAAGTATTGAGGCGTTATAGTATAGCGTCCAAGTTGTGATCCAGATGTGTTAGTTGTAGTTGAGGCCTGTGGCTGAGAGCTTCTAATCACCACCCAGAACTTAGGTGATAGAAAACCCTAGATTATGACTCATTTGCCTCCCTTCAAGGAATCTAAGTTCTGTATGGTGAATATAAGCTCTCAGCTACAGGTTTCATCGGCGAATAACACATCTCCCTTCAAGGAAAGGTGTCATGAAACGTTTATTTCAGTCATCTAGCAGCTTCCTCAAAGGCTTTTCATTGGTAAATGGAGGGGTTGTACACTTTAAACTAAGAAAGCTCAAATAAACTGCATAGGGAGTAACTTCATATAATTAGTCTTTGAGGGGTGTCCTTTCTAAGATCTACAGCGTGTTTGTGTCTCTCTTTCCTTTTAAAAGGTCAGTCATTCTTGAGTATAAAACCATTTAATATCCCAGAATAAAGAACCTTTATGTTATTGATCAATTTTCAACATATCCATCCTTTCATCTCCATGCCATGGCCTCTCCCACCACGGCCGCTGTGCACGATACAGTACCTTACCCGAAGCTCCCTTTCGATATTCAGTCGTGCATTATCAAGTCTCTAATAGAGACACACAAAGAATCAAGGAGCCATTATTTCCGCCTATCAAGCTTTGCTAGTGTCTCTAAAATCTGGCAAATTGTCATAGAGAAGGAAACATTCAAGCATTTAACAATAAAGTCACGCGGTCTTGACTCCTTCGATCTCCGTATTCGATCGCATCGGATACCACTAGTCAAACACATCCTTCTCGAGGTCTCATATGGAAATCCCTTCAATGCAGGACTTTATAAACAGGCGCAGTTTGCGAAAGCAGTACACGGTCTTTGGCGAATTCTCTCAACTTGGAAGAAACATCGTCTTACGGTGGAACTCGCCATTGCCACTTCTACCGCAAGTACTATTAAGGAGCAGGGTTGGACAGGTCGAGGAGGCCCCAACTGTGATCCCTTCGACAGTTCTGTAACTTCTGTTAACCTTCCGCCAGACTGGGTGACTGCTGGTCCTGATTTTCCGATGTGGGTCTGGGCTACTGCGTGTTTCTTAGGGACAAGACCTCTTGGCTTCGACCGAACTAGGGGCTCATGTTTGCCTAAAGTTGATGCAATCGCTGAACTGGTCATTCGCAGAAGATACCATCCAAACATCTGTCCAAGGTCCCTCTCTCAGATCATCTCGTCTACTACCTGTGTTGAATCTATTCACCTAGAGAGATGGTGTTATGGCCGTCCTGTAGCAGATAGTAGCTGCGATGTTGGTATGTATCTCTCTTTCCCCCTTTTCTTTAAATCTCTATGATACTAACATAAGGTAGCTTTTCAGCAGTCAGGATTTACATTGCCGCCTTCAATGAAGCGATTGACTTTTTGTGAAGAATTCCATACCCCTTATCACCAGCGAATTGGGGGAATGGTACTGCCACGATCAAACACAACACTTCTAGACTCCATTCTTCAGGCCGCAGACCACCTTGAGCATATCGCCGTCTCGTTTGCTTTTGATGCACATTCTTCGATAGGCTCACAAAAACGGAACTCAAAGCATTGAAGACTCTTGCACTTACATCTTGTTTCAATGACACCACCGAGGAACTCTTGATTAGTGCTGGAGAAGCACTAAAGACGATGCACGCTCTCAAGATTCTGGAGATCTGGAACTACGAAGCTGGGCAAGCTGATGTTTTCCGGTACGAGAGACTAGACCGGTACGAGGGTCAAATTACTTGGCAGAGCACCAAGGACCGCAGGATCTCTCTATATGTGGAAAAGAGTTGGAGGAATCTCTTGAGGAGAGGCCAGTATGGGTTCGATATCAGATGTAGCAATTTTTCTCCGATAGAGATAGAAAGTCTTCAGGATCTTCTCCCACACTTGAAGTTGGGGGAGCATATTCTTCGTAACAACACCCAGCAGTAGACATGGGGCTGAGAGCTTATAATCACCACAAAGAACTTAGTTAGAAACCCGGGCGTGTACTGGCTTCTTCATGTTACCATTTACTGCGGTATCACTCCGCGGCGAGAGTGTCACTGAGTTCCTTTTGTGCCAAATGATGTTTGCATATTCTATATTAATGACTATACTGACATTGAACATCCAATATATCGTGACTAATAACGTGAATCCCCACATCTAAACCATGCTCTATGTACTAGTGCCAAAGATCTCCATCCCTTACTTGGGAAGGTTGGCAGGGGTATAAGACTGATCAGGCTTAACAACCTTTCCGCTAGAAACCTGCTTGTCGGTATAAGCAGGCCAGACGATCTGTCGCTTGGAAGAAACAACAGAGAAAGTGGTGAATCCGTTTCCAGGGCCGAACTGGCCGCTCCAGCCAGAGGTGATGGTGTAGTCACCGCACTTGACTGGTCCTCCGTTGCGCTGAGACGCCTTGCTGCCCTTGACGACGTACTTGCAGCCGGTGGCAGCACCCTTGTGGGTGTCGATCTTGAAGTTCCAGGTGCAGGAGCTGTCGTCCTTGGCGCAGCTTCGCTGCATGTTTTCGATGGTCCATTGGGGGCTGGCGGCCATCATGTTGACGGCGGGAGCGGGGGCAGCGGAGACGCTGGTGGCCGAGAGGACGGCGGCGAGGAAGGCGAGAGAGAACTGCATGTTGATGGTTGAGGTTGTTTGGTGTTCTAGAATGTGTTAGTTGAGGAAGCTAGACTTGATTGAGGTCGCTTACTATTAAGGTGGTTGAGTGTTGGTAGCGATTGTGATTGAAGCGAGTGAAGAGTGATTGAGTTGAAGCTGATGAGAAAACAATTACCAGGAGTGCATCCCTCTCCTTATATACTTTTTTTCTCCCGCGGAATGTAACATTTCAATCATGAGACGACTATACGACCTTTCGCAGTATCCGAGTTTGAGGCTCTAAGGCCTGTGGCATGACAGATCAACCATAAGAATCTCGAAGGGTCCATTCAAGCCATGGTGCCGCTTCGCCCGAGCTACGACCCTGAATTCCTGCGCTAAATTCCCGGCTCAAGCCTTCACGTGGGCAAAGGCCAGAATCTCGTATGGAGCGATAGCCTGATCTGTCTAGAAGTGGTTAGCCACATCTCGTATTTCCTGTAAGACAACCAGTTAGAATTGTAGCTATTTTTGGCTAAGACCCTAGTCCCCTTGCAGGCAAACCACGGGGACTTTCGAAGTGTAAAGTGATTGTTCGTATAACCTTGTGATGTTCACCGATCATTCCACGCAGTGCACATATCGTAGATTATTGAAAGGCTTGTCCCGATGCGTAGAAACTTGCTCATTATAGGGCTATTTCTGAATGCCACGTTCCAATTAATGACGCCGTGGCTGGGGAATAGATCGTTTATTTCGGAACATCGGCATCCACATTGTCAAGGGTCAAGGGTCTCGGGCTTACCCGCTCCCCCAGATTTAGCCTTTATGCTACCCTGTGACGTTACAGACGCTTGGTTTTTATGTCACGTTTGAGTACGGAGTATGGCTGAGGGAAATGCCGGACAGATTTGCGTTGGACTCTGCGGCAAGTTACAATTACCGATCAAGGTTCCTTGTGAATACGAATTCTCACGCATTTATTCAGTAATTCAGCCTCACCATTTAGGGTTAAGCATATCTCGTACGGAATTTCTGAGACATCTTTGACGGAGACGTTACTCCGCCATGTCTAGGGTGGCTGCTCTGAGCATTCTAAGACTGGCTCAGCTTAAGCCCGATTAAACCGGCTTCACCGCCAACAACTTTAACCCAACAAACCACCTGTAATACTTTCCATTCTAAACGTACTGGTAGGTCGTAACGGCAGTCCAGATTTCTCATAAGCCATGTCGATCATTCTCGCTTGCGCGATGCTGTCCTCATAATCAACCCAGAGTCCAGAACCTTTATCACCACGAACGCGATTGACGAACTGCTCCAGCTGATGACGGTATGATGACCAAAATGGTTCACTCGGCTCATCAATATCGGTGTCTTTGAAGGTATAAATCTTCTTGGACTTCTTGACTGTCCATTTCTTCAACTCTTTCCCATGCGCTTCATCGCGAATGGTGTATTCATCCACGATATCAATGCGATGCCAGAACGATGACACCAGAAAGTTGGCGATGCTTAGCCTTCGGCGACACCACTTAGTCTGCCCTTTCGGAAGTGATGAATCCTCCATCTTCACCGCCTTATGGTTGACTGTTATGTTGAACGTCGGAAAAGTGGTGACTGACGCTCGCGAGTTAATCACAGCCTTCCCAACCCGATAGCCAGGAAATCGAAAGCTCGCTTCAGCAAAGTCATCACATAGCTCTTGAGGTGGTGGAGAACTCCTTGTTTTGCATATAGTACACTCTTCAGGCTCGTCACCCATGATCTGACGTAGTGCATACAGTGGATAGGTGCCAAGATGTAGTATAGTCCCCCCGCCTAATTTATAATCGAATTGTGCTCCACCCTTAGGGATCATGTAAGAGGGTAGCTCTGCGAAAGTGTCCATAGTTTGTATGTTCGGCCGATCAACTAAGCTGAGGAAGTATTGCCAGCTTGGTTGGAAACAAAAATGCATTGCTTCGAGAAGGATCGGAGCGTTGGGTTGTCGTAGCAATGGGGACCGGAATAGCACTTCTGATTCCACTGCATTGACTGTAGCCGGCTTCTCAAGGAGAACATGTTTGCCTTTGGCGAGTGCCTTGGTAGCCCATTCGTAGTGTAAGCCGGCAACAAGTGGGATATAGACAGCATCGATAGAAGGGTCGTCGAGAAGAGCTAGACAAAGTCAGCAAGGGAAAAGATGATGAGACACTGAAAATAGTCAAATACCTTGATAGCTATCGAAAGTGTGCGGAATATCATGCTTTTTGGCATATGTCTCGGCCTTTTCTTTCTGACGCGCTGCTACAGCATGGATCTTGACATCTGGGTGAGATTTGGCCGGAGTAATCAACGCGCTTGCCCTTATAAACTGTTAGTATCACTGACTTTAATAACCGAATAATATGGGTAGTTACGCAATATTTGCTGCACCAAGAATCCCGAATTTTAGAGGTTTGGTATTCTTTGGTGGTTCTGGAGGAGAGTAGGCCTGCCAATTACGGCGGAGGAAGCCAATGATTGAGAACATGATGATAAGTAGCGAGAAGCTTGTAGTTAAGGAGTCAAGAGAAACGAGGGGACATAAATGAGATTCTTATATAACAATTAATGCCCCTGTTATCAATCGAAGTGTCTTTCTTGCTTTCCATAGCACGTCCTGGAGGACCTGACCTTTTTACCAATTCAAGCCTAGCTCCAACCTCCTTCTGGCGACGCGAACCTGACATTCTTGCCTCTTTCGGTATAGCCTCAGATGCAACGAATGTTGATGACAAACTCCCCAACATTCACAAGTTTCCTCCTGTATTCCCTCATTCCTTTTATGCGCTGAATAAATGTATTTCTGAGGAGACTGGCGCGTACGTTCAATTGACTATGCCTGTTCCAGCGGTAGAAACCCATCCGCCTGCTGGTGCCACGCTGTCCAAGCGTGCACAGCATGATGCAACGGATGAAGGGGCCAAACAAAGGAAGAAACTCCAGAATCGACTTTATAAAAGGGCTTCTAGTACGTAATTCACCTGGAATTTCTGTTACTTCTTTACCTATTTATTTTAAATATTCTTAACGCCATCATACGACTAAGGAGCCATGAAGCTGACTAGCTATCTATCCAGGGCTGCGTAAAGTGGCCGGCGAGAAGTCAAAAACTAGAAACCCCCAATGCAATTACCAAGTCAATCGCTGGCGGCTTGATGAACTCGGTGCAACTACAGCTTCGAGTCTTCCGCAAAGGCACGGCGCGTCTACTGCAGCTCTGGAGACGACAGCCCAGAAGCCTCAAGAAGCAAATAGCCCCGTGGCCACACAGACGCAACAACTATGGTTCCCTCTCTCAGTCGATCATCTAATCCACCTCGTTAAATACAACGTATTTCGTGGCCTTTGGAAAAACAAATTCATGGTGGATAGCTTGACTGTGCCATATTGCGCACCAGGTCCCTCTATCGACACCAGTGTCGCATTTCCAAGATATTCCTCCATTCTTCCCAAGGCCCCAGAATACTGTGGCTCGTTGGCGCCAACACAGGTTCAGATGAACCTAAATCACTTCTCGTGGATTGATTGCCTTCCTTGTCCGATAATGAGGGAGAATCTGATCAGTCAGGAGTTCAACTTTAGTCATGTTGATTTTCTGAGGGACTTGGTTGGGACTATGATTAATTTGGATATGTTCAAGGCACCGTTTCTGCCGATATCCACTGATGATGTGGGTGGACGAGGGGCAGCCACTGCAGGCTCAGGACTTATTCTATGGGGAGAACCTCATATGATAGACAGTTGGGAGATAACACCGGAGTATTTACTCAAGTGGAGTTGGACAATCATGAACTGTCAAGAGCTGGTTAATTCGACGAATCATTGGAGATCCTCAAGAGGTGAAACACCTCTACTGCTACCATAGGCTATCCACATTCTCAAATCAAGAAGTTGGTTTCAGCTCATCCTTCAAAGTGCCGACAGGATCTTGTGTCTGATGATCACCCCAACTAGCATCCCATCCATTCTCCTCGAGATAATTCTTCCAGATCTGATCCTCCTTTTCAAGATGTTTCTCGCCATCCTGTACAACGAACCAGGCATTTAAGGCACCTAGAACTGCAAAGGCTGATCCTATGAGGAAAACTACTTGGTTGCCCTTGACGGTATCCGTGTATGAGCTGAGGATGGCAGTGAAGACCTGTCTTAAGTTAGCATCGGCGAAAGGCAGAAGGCTGAGAACAGAACACGACTTACCTGAGTACCGATGGCGGCTCCAGCCTTTGACCACGCGGAAATAAAGCCCAGAGCATGGCCTCGGACCGAAGTTGGGAATGGCTCCGTTGCTACGATGACAACAGTACTAAGAAAAACATTAGTTCAGCATGTCTTTCATGACTTATGTAGCCTGCACTGACCTTCCAGGACCAACCTCACCCAATGTGAGAAAAATGCCATATAGAACCACAAATAGTGGAAAGACCTTCTGAATATGCTCGTTCGCACCACCAAGCACAAATCCAAGGATGGCCTGAAGAGTGTATCCCAAAGCCATAGTCTTTCTCCGTCCAATCTTATCGGACAAGTATCCGCCGATGAAAGGACCGGGGAGGTAGAAACTATTAATAAGTGCTCCCCAACCGAGATTCTGAACCAGTGAGTTCGACGCATTGACTCTTGAAATGATGACAGAGCTAAAGATGCCGAAGGGGATAGATATCCAGTTATACAAGAACCAACTCAGAGCAGCGCCAATAATCCGTCTCCAGTATTTCTTCAAGATCAGGACATACGGCGTCCGTTGTCGTCGTAGGGCTGAGTTTCGATACGCTGTAGATACCCTCATCCTCAATCGGAACCAAAAGATCGACAACGGTGGAACTGCACCCAGCGCAAGCGCAACTCTCCAAACAGTTTCATATCGATCCGTTCTCTGATGCACACAAAGAAGTAAGAGTAACGGAACAAGCGCACCGAAAGTATATCCCAACCCAGCAGAAAGATCAGCAACCATGGCAAACATGAAGCCTCTCGACTTTCGAAACTGGCCGTCTTCATCAGACGCCTCCATAGCACCGGCACCAGACACGGGGTATTCTCCTCCTGCTCCCACACCAGCTATTCCACGAGCGATGACGAGCATCCACATTAGGCCTGTTGGAGTGAGACCGCTTGCGCCAGCACTCATTGCGATGCCGAGGAGGAGGATGAGTGTTGTCATGACAGCGCCTGTTTTGCGACCGAGTTGGTCTACTACCACGCCGAAACCTATCATACCGACGATCATGCCGATGAGGAAGGCGTTGGAGAGACGAGATCGCATTGTTGATGTTAGGGCTTCGGGGTAGAGGGTTGCGAAGAGGAGCTCGAGATTGCCGATTACGGCAGCATTGCTTGTCCTTGTTAGACTGCAAGAGATTGGGAATATCAGAAGGGGTTACTTACTAGCCATCTGAACCCAGCGCAAGGCCTGAGAAGACCATGGTCAGATACACCGAGACCTTACTGTACAGATCTGGCTTCCTGACGTCTCCAATTTCGACATCTTGGATATCTTCATCCTTGACTTTCTTTGTGTCATCAAGCTCATGACCTGCCGTCGCGGAAGTAATCTCCAGAGCTGACATGTTGTCGTTGAAGTGAGAATTCAACGTTGTTAACATGGAACAATGAGGAAGAAATGTCGGAGGTGTCCAGAAGATCGACAAATGGGTCTGAACACAAGATGTTATGCACAGTAATACCTATTATCTAGGAGCTGGAAATAAAGCATCAAGCTAAATACCGTCTTATCCGACGGCAGCAGTTCTATAGGCCGGTTATACGCATTGAAAGACAGCGTCTCGCTATATAATACATCATCGGCCAACTTTTCATGTCTCTGCCCGGGTATTAAAAGTGCGGCCGAGGGACCTGCAATTTCAAGATAAAGCGATGCTCAGAAGGGTAATTCTATCCTTGGTTCAGCGATAAGCATCACTATCAATCCATATGGAGTCGTGATCTACATAAATGGGGGCGGGGTTTGCTTAAGAAGCGGGGAATAACATGATATGCGGTCGCGATGTAACCCGGGACTCGGCCGCTCGGCGTAGCAGTCCTTCTGTGTTTTGAGATATTTAGGTGGTTGGCCGATACTCATTAGATTGCCTTCCTAGTAGAGTAAGCTATTTTGCCCATTGAGGTGGACTTTTCTAACTCAATCATGCTTGACCTCGCGTCTTTGTTCATGATCAGGAAACACGAAAAAGGCAGAGCAAAACGGCACAGCATTGCCTCACATAATCGGACTTGGGCCAACGTTCAAGCTTACTCTACAACCGTCGACGATGCAGCTCCCAGCAATTGACATCATCTATCATGAGCCCATCACCTTGAGTGATGGGACCGTCTTGTCGGCCATGATATGGCTACCCAAGAACGCCAAGTCACATCCTGTCCCAGCTATCCTCGAATACTTACCATACCGAAAGCGAGATATGACTGCTGTACGCGACGCCATGAACCATCCGTATGTAGCAGCGCATGGTTATGCCTGCGTTCGCGTTGATATGCGAGGAACAGGCGACTCCCAAGGTATTCTACGGGGTGAATACCTACCGCAGGAGCAAGATGATGCTCTGGAGATTCTAAAGTGGATCGCTGCGCAAGACTGGTGCACTGGATCGATAGGAATGATTGGTATTTCTTGGGGCGGTTTTAATGGCCTACAAGTTGCGGCTCGTCGACCACCAGAGCTCAAGGCTGTTATTTCTATCTGTTCTACGGATATGCGCTACGATGATGATATTCATTACATGGGCGGTTGTATCTTGACAGAAAACCTGACTTGGGCTGCTTCTATGTTCTCAATCAACTCATCCCCTCCCGATCCAGCATTAGTCGGTGATCAGTGGCGCAAACTCTGGTTAGAACGTCTCGAATCAGGAGGGCTATTCGCCGAGGAATGGCACCAGCATCAACAACGCGACGACTTCTGGAAACATGCATCCATTGGAGAGGACTACGACTCTATTCTGTGTCCCGTGTATCTGGTCGGCGGATGGATGGATCCTTATACCAACACGATCTTCAGAATGTTGGAAAACTTAAAGGTGCCTAGAAAGGGCCTTGTTGGTCCATGGGGTCACAAGTATCCAAACTTTGGGTATCCTGGGCCTCAGATTGGATTTCTGCAAGAGTCGATCAGATGGTGGGATAAATGGCTAAAAAGAAGTGAGACGGGTATTATGAAAGAGCCCATGCTGCGATGCTATCTTCAGGATGCGACCCCTCCTGCACCATATATGGAGCATCGCCCAGGCCGTTGGGTTGCTGAGAATAGCTGGTCCGATTCAAAACCGGCTTTGATGAGACTGGGTCTTTCAGCTGGTCAGTTAACAACTGACGGCTCGACCAGCAATGACAGGCTTGAAATTTGCTCTCCCCAAACGGTTGGCTTTGCGGGCGGTAGATGGTTGATCTTTGGCGTTGAAGGCGAAGGACCTGGTGATCAACGTCTAGAAGCGGGAGGAAGTCTCTTGTTTGACTCGCAACATCTAACCGAACCGTTAGACTTCCTTGGGGCTCCGGTGTTGAAACTGCGGATTGCGAGTGATAAGCCAAATGCTTTAGTAGCAGCGACCTTGTCCGAGGTATTGCCTAATGGTGCAGCGACCAAGGTCTCTCACGGCGTACTCAACTTGACACATCGCCATGGCCACGAAAATGTGCGACCCTTGGAGCCTGGGAAGTTTTACGATGTTACTCTCAAGCTAAATCATTTAGGGCAGCGTATCGGTGCTGGAAGTCGCCTTCGTCTTGCGCTGTCCTCGACTTACTTTCCCTTGGTCTGGTCATCCCCAGAGGTCACAACCCTCACTGTCGACTGTGCTCACAGTGCCCTTGATCTCCCAGAGAGGAGTGATAATCCACAAGACTCGCAACTCAAACCATTTAAGCCAGCCGTCAACGGGTCACTCTCACAAACTGAGCTTCGACCAGCTAAGCATAGAAACTATGTCACAAATGACTGGGACTCAGGCGAAACCGCCCTTTGCGTGGATTGGGATGACGGAATGTGGGAAGTCAACGAAACAGGTTGGAAATATGGTTGGTGGACAGGTTTGAAGTCAAGTGTGAAACCAGATGATCCACTGTCGGCGGAAGTTGAGCAGCGATTTGAGAGGGACTTTGAGAGAGATGATATTGTTATCAAGACGAAGGGTTGGACCAAGATGAAGATGACTAAAACTGATATGATCATCACAGCTCGTCTTGATGCTTTTGAGAATGGGGAGGCTGTCTTTGGGCGGGACTTTTCTTTTACGATTCCTCGAGATCACGTGTGATACTTGAATATTCAGAGAATATAAACAGCTTTACTTTTAAAGATACAGGTCCCTAGCCCCGTCGATTTTGTGACCGAAATTTTCCTTAATTTGGCATACTCACCATGGTGGGTTCCTGAAGAGGTTATGAGTACCATCATCTTGAGGAACTGTGTAGCGGACAGGATGACCGAATCTTGCTCTGTATCCGCTGGAATTATGCTCGCCTCGTCGTCTACCTCGACCATTGTCCGTCAAGTCTTGTCGTCGAAAACCTTCTCAATGTGGGTTATATTGCCCGTGTGATGGTTGACGGGAAGGAGATGTGCTTGAAAGCTGGGGATAGCAAGGGCGAGGATGTCGCACAACGAGAGCTTGACTGTCTCTGCGATTGATGAGAGTCGCCGGAGGAAGTGGGTATCTCAGATCGGGGATACCGTTGGTCTCCTGCATGAGATTGGGATTACATGGGGTGATGGCAAGGCCTCAAATGTTTTGATTCATCACGCAACGGATGACGCATGGGTCATTGACTTCGGAGGCGGATGGACTGAAGGTTGGGTAGACGAGGAATTAAGCGGAACGGTGGAGACGGACGAGATGGCTGTAAGAAAGATCATGGAATATTTGCAAGTCCCGTAGCTACCAACTAATTCTATTGTAAGATTTTTAATAAGCGTTTGCAAAGTGCTTTGCTCGATCTCTGGACTGCTCCCGAAGCCATCCTCGCAGCTCACGGCATGAGAGTCAAAACACGAACCGACACTGCCAAAACCAGCGGCGTTCTCAGGAACACCGCGGGGAAATCTCGCTCCCCTCAGTAGCAGCCACATTGACCTGGAATTCCATGATTGGCCACCGCTCACAGGTACTCTGGCATACGGTAATCCAGCTGCAGCAATGACGATAGATCACCTATCACTGACAGGGCACTCAGCTCCTGTCTCACTATGAGCCTCCCTGTCTTGGCAGCCAAATAGAGATGGCTGCATCTTGACGGCCATCGTGGTTGGTTGAATCTGAGACACCGCTCGTAGCGAGCGGCTGAAGCCGCGGCACCGAAGATCACCTTCCTTCATCGGATTGATCGGCTTGCACTATTGAAAGCCACACGCGCTGCTGTCACTCGCTAGGCTAGGTCCCGATGCACTATTGTTGTCAGAATCTTCGCTGTCAACAGCTCATTGTGGAAACCTGATCTGGGGCTTTGACAGTTCGGATACTATGTTCCTATGGCAGCAAGATACAATTGGCAGAATTAGTCTTCAGTTCCTGAAGCACCGTACTGCCTATTCTTAATTGACCAATTCTTTCTCGGTATTGTGGTATGCATCATGACCTCAACGATTTCACATGGATGTTGTCTTTGAGGATCCCTTGCTGCAATTCCCGCCGGCCGGTTTCTTTCCGGCCTGCAGGTCTCAGTTTTCGTGAAGACAAGGTGCATATTGAACTCCACTACCAAGTCTTACAGCATTCCATGCCATGTGGTGAGACAATATTTTACGTACGAAATGTTGATCTTGTTCACGACTGTATCAAGGAAGAGATGCCATACGTCAGTTCAGCGAAGAAAATGTAAATACGTTGAGCAGATGAAGACTACATAAACCCGTGGTTAACTGGCTCTTTTCCCGCGCTCAAAGACTCGCTTTTAAAGTCTTCTAAATTATCAGAGTCAAGAAACCAATCATCATGCCTAAAGAAAACGACGATATCCGGGACAAGGAGTTCGATGCTGTTCACGCATACTTCATCGGCCCCAAGGGCTCTAACCTTCCTGACTTTAGAGCCAACATCAACACCATTCTCGATGAACTCCTCGCCGCTCGTCAAAGCTACCATCCCGAAGACCAAGTCCGACTCCTTCCCCTCTTCCCTCCTTCCAGCTAACTTCTCTAGGCCTTCATCTCCAAGGAATACCGTCGTTCCCCCGTATTCCTCAAAGCAAGATCTGATCTCCGTCTCGCCACCGAAAAGGTCGCACAACTTCTTGGCGAACACTCAGCTCCTTTCTGGTCACCCCGCTATGAGGCGCACATGTGCACTGACTTGACCATGTCGTCACTCCTCGGGTATTTTATGACCATGTTGTATAACCCGAACAATGTTGCCCTTGAGGCTAGTCCAATGACGACCCTTGTTGAGCTTCGGGTTGGGCAGCAGTTGTGTAAGCTTTTCGGGTACAATATCGATGCACAGAAATCTCCGGTTTCGTGGGGTCATATAACTTGTGACGGTACAATCGCTAATCTCGAGTCTATTTGGGTTGGTACGTATTCTCATCCTGGTTGTGCAGAAGTGGATGCTAACAAGGGTAGCACGAAACCTCAAGTTTTACCCTCTCAGTCTCTGCCTTGCACTGCGACGTGGAAAACTTCAATTCATCGGCGACAAATTCTACGCCACTCGATGCTTTCATGCATCCAAGAAGACACTCTTCAAGGATCTCCAAGGATGGGATCTGCTGAACCTCCGCTCCGAGGTCATTCTCGATCTTCCGAATGAGCTGAACAAGCAATTTGGTATCACCAGCAAGTTCCTCGAGAACGCCCTCAATGAGTTCAACATTCAGACCATTGGTCGCGAAGTTCTTGAGAGGGAGTTCCATGTCAAGAACCCGATCAAGTATTTCGTCAGCAAGACACGCCACTATTCCTGGCCAAAGGGAGTCGGTAAGTCATTCTTAACGACGATAAGAAGTATCATCATACTGACTAGACAATCATAGCAATTGCCGGTCTGGGCTCAGGCAACGTGATCGGCGTTGAGGTCAATAACGCCGCCCAAATTGACATTAAGGTCCTTGAGAATCATCTTGAAGACTGTGTCAAGACCAAAACAGCCGTCTTCGCAGTTGTAGCCATCATCGGATCCACTGAAGAGGGCGCAGTTGACAGACTCACTGATATCCTCCGTCTCCGCAAGAAGTTCCAAGAGGAACACGGGTTATCGTTCCTCGTCCATGCTGATGCAGCTTGGGGAGGCTACTTTGCCACCATGGTGAATCCCGATCGACGCTACAGCGTCGAGGACCAGCGATCTACTAAGCCTGAGCCTGAGTGGTACTTGGATCCTAAGACTGTTGAGGACATCAAGGCCATGGCTGATGCGGACTCGATCACTGTTGATCCACATAAGGCTGGGTATATCCCGTATCCTGCTGGAAGCTTGGTGTATCGTGATGGAAGGATGAGACATCTGGTTACATGGTCGGGCCCTTATCTTTCCCAGGGTTCTGCTGAGAACATTGGTGTCTATGGTGTTGAGGGCAGGTAAGATTCCCAGCAGCCCCGATATGTAGCTGCGGCTAAGTCACCTTCTAGTAAGCCCGGTGCTTCGGCAATGTCAGCGTGGTTCTCTAACTCAACCATTGGCCTTAACCATCATGGCTATGGCAAGTTGCTCGGCGAAGCAACCTTTACCAGCGCCAGAGTAAGCCTCCAAACTACTTCTCCCAATCCTCACGTACTAAGACTTCTTAGCTCTCTGCTCACTACGCAACCATGATCAACGACGACTTCATCTGCGTCCCTTTCAACATGCTTGCGGCCGAGAACAATGGTAGTCGAGGATTCCTCTCTAAACCCGTCGAAAAACAACGCGACAAGATTCGAGATCTCATCATCGGAAAGAAAGACCACGAAATCTTCGCCTCCAAAGACGCCATGAATATTATCCGAGATCTCGGCTCCGATACCAACATCAACTGCTTTGCACTCAACTGGAAAGACAAAGATGGCAATCTGAACACTGATCTTGAAGAAGCGAATTATCTTATGAAGAGAGTCGTTGATAGACTTTCTATCACTTCAGCCAACACCGATCCCACCGAGATCCCAATCTTCCTGACGTCGACGCAGTTCCTTCATGAGGACTATGGGTCTTGTGCTCATAAGTTCATGGAAAGAATGGGAGTTGGAAAATCTGACCAGAGTCTTTTCGTTATCCGAAACGTGGTTATGAGCCCATTCCCGACTCGTCAGAACTTCATCGATAAGTTGATGGGTGAGTTTGAGGAAGTCATCCGCGATGAGGTTGGCAAAGTTCGAAAGAGGAATGACCCTGGCCAGAAGAAGGTTCAGTTCCTCGTTCAGGGCTCACCTGGAGCCTCTGAGGTATTCCTGTCTTTCCAGGCTTCGTTCCATAGTGCGACCAAACGGCAGCAGATTATCCTGTCAGCTACTCTTGATAGCACCTTGAGAGGCTTTCATAAGGAGCTTACTGGGGGTAGTCAGGATAGTACTGTTATGCTTGAGTCGACTGAGAAGGTCTTCATTGAGGACGTCGTCGAGGTACTCGGTAGTTTGGATGTGATCATGTACGAGAAGGGAACCAAGTAAGTGCTTCCCTGACGATGGATACTTACCACAATACTAATGCTTGGCAGGAAATACCATCAGAGAGATGGAACCATCACTCTCAACTCAGTAGTCAAGAGTCGCCCTCTGAACTCCATCCATCGCGATATTGACTATCCCGCCGAGTTCATGCCCTTCTACTTGTACGGCAACGAGAAAGAGATTCACTGCTCACACATGCTCGTCAAGTCTCCCAACATTTCCCTCGCAGCCAACAACATAACCTTCAACCCAAGCCTTTCCTCCGAGATCAATCATCGCCAATCCGTCTCTGAGCTTCTCGCAGAGGGTCTGATCCTAGGTCTCTCGGAGATCCCCGAGGATTCGATGCAGCCTTTCGCTGAGAGGAACCAAGACCTGGCAGAGGAGTTCTTCTTCCGTCAAGGCCAGACTTTCAAGGTCAAGATTTGGAAAGATCCTAAGGGTGCTGCTGCACATGGACCGGGCTTGCTTGATGATCTTGGACGACATTTGTATGAAGGAGAGATGACACTTGGTGAGAATGTGTTTGTGGATGCTGAGGGACCGAATGCGGATAAGCTGAAGGATAGAAAAATTGAGTCTGATTCTTGGCAGAGAAAGTTGGATGAAGTTGGAAGCTTGTTGGATGGCACTCACGTCAACTGTCAATAAGTCAAGTCCTTTGGGACTATGGAAGTGCTTAGACGAGATTTGGGGATTTTAGTATAGATTTTAGCTCGATCTATATCGCATTTTGTTCTCTCAAATCTGCTTGGTTCCTGGGTCTGATTTTGATAGCATATCCTTCATAGCCACTGTGAACTCTTCCACCTTGGTCACCAAACTCAGATGACTCTCCCCTTTCATGACTCTCAGTTCCGCACCCGGCATAAGCTGAACTGCCTTTTCAGAAACTCCAATCGGAACATTGACATCCAAGTCTCCATGCCACATTATCATCCTTCCCTTCTCAACTTTGACATCCTCCAGCTTAAACCCCCAATTGCTTCCAAACAACCGCGCTTCCCACGCAGTTGCATAACCGCCCTGCTTCATAGCCTCTCTCGTAGCCCGCCCTATAGACTTTCTCAAGTCCGGATGAGTCTCCCATACTTCTTTGTCACTGGCTGATCGAGCACTTATGTCTTTGTCCATCATCTCCTCCAACTTCTCTGGGTGTTTGGTGTCTCGCGCTGTGTTCCCCAACACTCTATCGGTAATCCAGCCCACGATTCCTGTAGCGTATGGTGCTATGTTGAACATGACTCGTGTGATGGTAAGCATTCCTTGCGTAGAGAAAGACATTGGCATGACTCCTGCCACAGTCCCGATGCCAACTAGGCGATCTTGGGGGAGATCTTTCAGACAAGCAATAGCATAGGGTCCACCACCGGAGACACCTAGTACCGCGAACTGTTTGATCGATAGAATATCCGCTAACTCTATGATATCTTTGGGATAGTCGAGAATTCTTCTGTTTTTCTGAAATGTCGAGTCGCCGTACCCTGGTCGCGTTGGTGCAATGACGCGTACGCCATGTTGAGCTGCAGCGGTGTTGATCACGTATCCCTCGTGATGAGACCCCGGAAAGCCGTGGAGGTAGAAGAAAGTGGGTGCATTGGATTCTTGGGATCCATAGACTGTATATGAAACCTTTCTCCCGTCGGCTAAAGTGGCGATCTTGTCTTGGTGGTCATCCATGTCGCGTCGTTGCAGATACAGCCAAGATACTAGGGTCTTGAGCACGAATTGTCCGACAAATATTTTCGGAGGGTCTTTTAGATGGTTCTCTGGGAAGGCGCTCGCTCGGACTGATCCTTCGAAGGATCTCTGATTTAAGTTTGTTAATGAACTACTGGCAGTTGACAAAAATACAAGACCAAGAAATGCGAGAATTGCATCGAGATCACGTGTCAAATGGAACATTTGAGTTGCACAAGCAGACCAACCAACAGCTCACTCAGCGACTGCCCACTATTGACTAGCTGTCAAAACATGCACTTATTTCCAAACAGGTACTTGCTCTAAGCTTCACCAGATGAAAGATACAGCAAGCAAGGGATACATTCTTTTCGGGCCGTCTCGAAATTGTTCTTAACTTCTTGCTCCCTAGCGGTACGTCCTTAGGTACAGGGTAGTTTGGCCCGAGAAGCCGACACTGATACCATGGGGAGCGGAGCTGAAGGATATTCCTTGACGTATCTGAAGTTCCTTGCAAATTGTAGCTGATCGCACTCTCACATTTCAGCTGATGGCGATGCTGGGATGAACAAGGCAGATGCTGGCCATGAGCCGCATCCCCCCACGCTGACGTAATGACTCAAGCGTCGTTTATCCCGTATTTGCAGGATCCCGCTGCAGGAACAAGATAGCTAATCTATGAGCTTAAATTACTCGTATGTCAACTTATTCTTTTCAAGTATCCCCAACAGATTTACGTAGGGTTGATAAAATGCCAAGTCGGACATGAAGGTATCACCAAGACTTCTTCTCAATATGGTACGACAACATTTACCCGCGACCGACCATCTTCATCTCCATAAGGTTCAACTATCTGCGCCCAGACTCTTAGTTGAAACTCATCGCCTTGCCGAGAATATGGGTTACGGCCCGGCAGCTCTACGAGCGGAATGATACCCTCCCGTGTCTTCATCTCGGCGAGACTCTTTTTATCCAGGGGGGAAGTTTAAATCATTCACATGACTCTCCATTTCAACGGCTGATTACATCCCTTCCCGACGGTCCGTTGCCCTTAATCGCCAAGTAATTCCGTTTCAATGTTCGCTTCCAAAATGGTAGGTGGGAAAATCTGGAGAAATTCCCACTCAATCATTAATGTGATAACTCGACAAGGGTTCTGAAACCCATGAAACTTTAATCAATCACAGCCTGAGCTATATCGTCGCGGTATTTCGGCCCGCGCTCCTCGGCCGCACTAATCGATGACATGGGTCAAGCCCGCGAAACTATTTGAAACTCGGTACTTGTTTCTTTATTGGTTGGCTTGGCATTTCCAATTAGGAAAACGGAGGGAGCGGAGATATTGGGATCTTGATTGGTTAGGGTTGTATAATGTCGGAGTCGTGACCTGAGATTTCGGATCAGTATGGTTGAGCTTCCGCGAGGACCTTCATGGCATTGATTTTCGGGGTGAAGCCTAAAGTGGAAGACCCCTATCCGTAAAATGGTGGACATAGAAAGAATAGATATAAACCGAGTTCCGGCGGCTCTTCATGATGTTTCTCATGCTCTTCATCTCGTCATTCCTTCGAACTCTCAAGTCAGATCTCTGAAAATCATTCACTATGAAGTCTCTCTCACTCATCCTCTCAGCCCTGGCTGTCCAGGTCGCTGTTGCTCAAACCCCCGACAAGACCAAGGAGCAACACCCCAAGATCGAGACCTACCGCTGCACCAAGGCCTCTGGCTGCAAGAAGCAAACCAACTACATCGTCGCCGACGCTGGTATTCACGGCATCCACCAGAAGAACGGCGCCGGCTGCGGTGACTGGGGTCAAAAGCCCAACAGCACAGCATGTCCCGATGAAGCATCCTGCGCCAAGAACTGTATCCTCTCTGGTATGGACGCAAATGCTTACAAGAATGCTGGTATCACTACTTCTGGCAACAAGCTTCGTCTTCAGCAGCTTATCAACAACCAGCTTGTTTCTCCTCGAGTCTATCTACTTGAGGAGAACAAGAAGAAGTACGAGATGCTTCACCTTACTGGTACTGAGTTCTCTTTCGATGTTGAGATGGAGAAGCTTCCTTGTGGTATGAATGGTGCTTTGTACCTTTCTGAGATGCCTCAGGATGGTGGTAAGAGTACGAGCCGAAACAGCAAGGCTGGTGCCTACTATGGCGCTGGATACTGTGATGCCCAGTGCTACGTCACTCCTTTCATCAACGGAGTTGTAAGTTCATTCTCTTCACACAAGCAATGATTGTACTGACTTTCGTAGGGCAACATCAAGGGACAGGGTGTCTGCTGCAACGAGCTCGACATCTGGGAGGCCAACTCCCGAGCTACTCACATCGCTCCTCACCCCTGCAACAAGCCCGGTCTCTACGGCTGCACAGGCGATGAGTGCGGCAGCTCCGGTATCTGCGACAAGGCCGGATGCGGCTGGAACCACAACCGCATCAACGTGACCGACTTCTACGGCCGCGGCAAGCAGTACAAGGTCGACAGCACCCGCAAGTTTACCGTGACATCTCAGTTCGTCGCCAACAAGCAGGGCGACCTCATCGAGCTGCACCGCCACTACATCCAAGACAACAAGGTCATCGAGTCAGCTGTTGTCAACATCTCAGGCCCTCCCAAGATCAACTTCATCAACGACAAGTACTGCGCTGCCACTGGAGCCAACGAATACATGCGCCTCGGCGGCACCAAGCAGATGGGTGATGCCATGAGCCGCGGTATGGTTCTCGCCATGAGCGTCTGGTGGAGCGAGGGTGATTTCATGGCCTGGCTGGATCAGGGTGTTGCTGGACCATGTGACGCCACTGAGGGCAATCCCACGAACATTGTCAAGGTCCAGCCTAACCCTGAAGTGACATTCAGCAACATCCGAATTGGAGAGATTGGATCTACTTCATCGGTCAAAGCTCCTGCTTATCCTGGCCCTCACCGCTTGTAAAACACCAACAACACCGATGTTCAGTATGGATCCTTAGTGTCCACTTGCTGTGAAGCTATTGGAGCACATATGCAAAACAGCTGTCCACTAGCTTGACACGTATGTCGGGGCGAAAAAACTCTTTCTAGGATAGGAGAACATATTGGGTATTAGGGACTGTATATAAACGATAGCATTTTCAGAGTATATTATTTTCAACATTTTTTATTTCATGACTATCGTCAACACCAGATCTTGATTTAGTACCCGATATTAACCGTCCCGAGTGGCTTGCATTAGTGGACTCTTCAGCATCATCCATGTACGTCATCTTCACGTGTGCCTGAATTATCGCTGATCAAGAGCTAATCCAAAGTCAAAAAACGTCATGGGTCTTCTTGCTTCCAACAATCAACATCAACTTCATCTCAGCCACTTGGAGCATCGCGTTCCAATGCCGCGCTCATTATCGGCCGTCTCGTCTCTCGAGATTCGTGATCTTAACAGAGATCAGATTCGTTTCTACCATCCTGGTTATCTGAAACCGTTGAATCTGCTTTTTTGCCTCCCGCGTGTCGACTATAACCCGACAGAGGGAGCTTTTGGCGTGCATTATTTGACGGCTCTTACGGCGTGTCAGATCGTCGCGAATAATGCATTTGAGAAAGGATACCTAGCGAGAGATGAGAGAGGAAAGGAAAGAGTATCTGACGATGAGACGATACTGCTGCAGCGAGATTATTGGTTCTTTGTCGAAGGCGATGGTAATGACGAAACCTTCACTCATAAAACTGGGCATCCTTACTGATACATTACAGATCGATATGCAATTGTCCCAAGCTTTAGAGACTGGCAATTTCCTCATGACAGACTACCTGAATGGTGGAGTGTCCCATCCTCTCGAACATCACTCTATGCAAAGCGCTGCGCCGTCACGAACACCAGTTATGCTTTTACATGGGCACATCTGATTCCCAGAGAAGAACAGAGTTGGTTCAGCAAAAATGGCATGGGCCTTTATGGCGGTGGATCACATACTATCGATGACCCGCATAATATTTTACCGCTCAAGGCGGATCTCTACGTTTGCTTTGATCAAAGCGTCTTTGCTCTTATTCCAAAGCAAAGTGGACAAGCCAACGGTGTAGAAGCAAATAATCAATATGTTCTTCACGTACTCGATGGCAGGGAAGCAGAGTTCACAGCCTTATACCAGAACAGACCAGTTGAAACACTCGTTGAAGGAAGTCGAGAATATCTCTTTGCGCGCTTCGCCTGGTCCATCTTCTCATTCCTAAAGCCCTTCCTTACATCTGGCGTCGGACGAAGAGTCGTCAGATTCCGCCTCAGAGCATCTGATGACGACGCTGAGGAGGAGCACCTTATCTCTGAAATGCAGAACGTCTTCCTCGATTCTAGAAAACTTGAATCGCTGTATGGCGGGGGACATCGACGGAAGACGGTATCGCTGGAGGATTCTTATGTGGATGTTGAGGATGAATGGGACGATGAGCATCCAGGACGGACTGAGATGGAAGGGTAGTGTGATTTTTTATGAATTATGTATTTGGCCAGCGCGAGGTGATTGCTAATGATTTGTCTGATTTAGGAGAAGAAGGCGGTAGTCTTTAATGACTGTATTTGTTTCATTTGGCTTTTAATGATATTATGAAACGAGAGTAGTGATACCTGGGTCTGGCATATGTGATGTTGCTTTCAGTCCGTCTAATCTGTGGGCATCTTCCACTAATCTCCCTACCCATCCAAATTACATCTGGACTACCATAATGTACGACAAAATCTGATTGATGGAGGAAGAGAATTCCGCAAGACCTGCGAGGTGAAACAGATGAGTGTAAGGGGAAGGCGATATTAGAAAGAAAGGGTCTTTCTGCTATAAGAAACGACGATGAGGTACTGACTATTATGCATCCTCTTTCCATGTTGAGGCTGACATGTGTATTATGAGTAGAGCGATAGTGACCTAGATATTCTTCGACTTTATTTGCGTCGGTCAAGGCAAGATACAAGATACGCCGTAAGATCAACTGAGACCTCTCAATCTTGTGAAGTATCCCCTTGTGATTCCAACCTTCTACTTTCTGGTGTTTCTAATTTCTAGAAGATTACGAGCAGAGTTATGGTAGACTATGAGTCTTACTCCCAATATGGGGAATCAGAAGCATGAAATGGGTCACTGATACCTCCCGGCGGTAGAGATACCTCTGCTCTGACTGCCAACAGAATACCGGTTTCTCCGGGCCCGGTTCCGAACGCATTTCGACGATGGTGAATGTATCAGTAGAAAGGAGTGGGATGACGAGCAGTATTTGATATGCTCACCTCGTGTCCTCGGGTATATACTAAAAGAAAAGCAATGAGCTCAACTTCAAGTATCCTTCCTGAAGTATGTTCCTCAACAAGACAGAAAGGACGTGATGGGCCGCCTCAAGTTGGCTGATGATGAAGTCCCCAAGTCTAAAAAAGGGCAGTAGATATATGGATGAGATATTCCTCGAATTCTGATGCTTTATCTAAAAGGTGTTGACGGTACTGGACCTCGTTATGAGTTACACATGAACGAACCCCCACAGGGATGATGAGGACGAACTGGCTCTTGATACTGACGATATCATTCCTGATAAAGGCAAAGGACTTATTATACTTCTTTACGGTAATTTCGACCCACCACCGCACCATCTCAATCTAAACATCAAATAGGCCCTCCAGGGGTTCGAGAGACATCAACGGCTGAGACCATCGCCATGGTCACAGGCAAAGCATGATTCTCAGTAAGTGTAGCTGCTGTAGGCACCCAAGCAAAGCATGTTAAGTCCAACCTCGGGAGAATCTTTGCTCTGGCGACCAAATGACAAGCAATTTCTCTCATGTACGTATTTAGATATCACACAGCCTGAAGTTTTATTCTCCTTTTCAGCTAACTCATGCTCAGCGACGAGGCGGGCTTATTCCTAGAGAGCCGTGGGCGAGGCAATAAAGTTCTGTCCACAGACAAGAACGCACTGTTATCGGATATGTGAATCGCGGCCGAACACCTCAGAAGCGTCACCAACTCTATCCGTGATCGAAGAATTTCTTCGTGTTCTGGAATACTACCAAGGAATTATGTTCTTGACCACAAACCAAATTGCCGAGTTTGACGCCGCGATACCTTCACGCTTCCATCTAGCGATCAAGTACGAGAGTTTGCAAACGACACAGATGGAAGCTATTTTCAACAGCTTTCCCAAGGATCTCAATGAGAGAAACATCATCAAAGACTAGCTCGACGGCAGCGTATATAAGGAACAGCTTGATGGGCGCCAGATTCGCAACGTGGGTACCACAGCTCTAGGTCTAGCACGAGCAGAGTCACGTTCTGGTGGAGGACCGAAATTGAACAAAAAGCATATAAAAGAGCTTTTGGCAACATCAGTGACCTTAAGAGGGATTTCAATACGCAGATGCAGAGGTATCTCGATGGTCAGTCTGGTTGTTGACTTGATGTTGATCTGTAATGCTACTACTTTCTTATAATTTCCCCTCATCTCAGTGAATTGTGTCTCAATTGTCTGCTTTTGGGCAAAATATGCGACCTGTTCGATTGGGCTATGTTTGACCTATGCTTCCTGACCAACTAGGCTATGAGAATAGCCATCCATCTTCAGGCAACCTTGGAGGGATTCCAGTCTGGTTGATGACGAGAGCAGCACGGACAATAGCGAAGCTCTCCTGAGAATTCTCCGCGGAATCTTTTCTTGCATGACGGGCACTCATACTGGGTCCGAAACCCCGACGACTTGCCACAAACAAATTGGATAAGATCCGCTGTGAAATGCGGCGCCGTTCTTATGAGTTCACAAAAGCCATCCTTCCCGATTAACTCGTCAATGTTCTTACTAGCAGTCTCCACAGCGATGTCGCGAAGTCCCGGGAGGACCGACTCGTAGGCAACAGCAACAGCAAGTGGAAAGTCATCCATGCTCCATCCGGTGGTTACAGTAATCTCAAACTTCTTCTTTGACTCCGCCATGAGGGCAGGAATGTCGTACTTGTCGGCAATCTGCCACATCTGGGCGTCAAACACCATACTCGAAGTGCCGTAAGTGTTGCTGTATTCAAATGAATAGATGAATCGGAGCATTGCTTCAACGACACTTGGGTCGAAATCTTTAATGTCGATCTTTCTCTCGGAACTCTCCTACATACTATAAGCGGATGACCATTCATGGACCTGGGGAGCATGTAGTACCTTCCAGTCGCCATTCAGCGCTTTGGCAAAGCATTTGGAGTGGGCAGACAAGATGACCCGGTGAGCCTTGAACTCCTGACCATCGCAGGTAACAGTGACGTCGGAGAGCGCATCACTATTGTGGTACCTAAGCGTATGTCAGAAGAGCTGACTGGAATCAGTAGATCATCTTACTCTTTTAGAGACACGAGGAATTCCTCTACTCCTTGAGGCGCCATCTTAAGGTGGAGCGGAGTGCTTGGGGATATGCTAGATGGAGAGACAGTCTTTTCAACTTTGACACTGACGCGATTCTTCTTTTTCATCTCCAAAGGACTTAGCAAGCGATGTGGTCATTCAGAAAGATGAGATATGTTGTTATGTAGGAAAGGTGAACTGATATTCGAGACGTATTCCTGGCTGCCTGTATGTGACTACCCGATCTGCCACCTGAGTGGTTGGCCTCCCGCATAACTTATGGCCGGCCTCCCACAGACGGCGAGCTCAACACTTCTCCTCACTAGACCCTTCGGCCATAGAGTTCCTTGCAACATGCTTCAAAATTGTGCACCATATTCTTCGCCACTGTATCCGTCGGCTTCACGCATCACTATGCTACTTTGGAAGTTTAATGCGTCATACATACGCGGAATAATCACAATCACATGGAACTCGTCTTGATCCCTCGCCGCGTTTTTAAAAGAGGATATTTTAATTGCATAGTAGCTACATGGTCTCCATTCTGCTACATAATCTTTCCGTTCCTCTCGGGCGTTAGCCACTGTCGGCATCCCCTGCTCGTGTGCAGGAATTGACCCGATGGAGCATGTAGCAACCAGTTGACATGCCGCTTCTTCTTTCTCTTTTCCTCGATCAGGCAGCAAACGTAATGCAAACATTCAAGATCCTAGAAAGTTCCGCCGTAGATAAAGAAATAAAATGGGATCTAGGTGACCTGCTGTTTATTTAATTATTGCGTGACCCTATTGCTTGACCCGCCAGCGTCTCTTATTATATGCATGGTCGGTCTCCCATCAGAACGTACTCGTGACTCCTAACAACAGTTGAAGCCCAGAACTCTGACGCCGAGTGTTATAACGTGGTCTCAATGATTTCTTCGAGACTCACAGTCTCTTTCGCATGCCAACCTAAACGCGAACCTGCAGGGGAATAATGTGTCTCCCCGCGGGTGGGCTACAAGAAACTACCGATAAATCCTGTCACTTGCATTGGTCTAAGTACCCTTGTACCTTAGTGGTCTTGCTAGCGGTTGACAGGGACAAGCGGCAGATAAGGTTCATGAAAAGTTGGGTGACGTTGAACTCTGCACCTATTAAATCCATCGGAAGTTGGTCCGGAACCTAACACTTGACAAGAGATATAAGCGAGCGTGTGGGCGGGGTTTCAGGGCGTGACAAGGTTGATCAGTTGATGACTCTTTTCGAGATTTACAGGGTCAGGTCAATTCCAGAACAATGATTGTAACAGACAGAGTTGAACTGCCATAAGCACGGTTATTATAATATCATACTAACATTAACTAACGGCACATAGAACGATTTTGTTTTATCATAAATATATTTGTTAACATCCATTATCTAAGAGATAAAATACATATTTTGATTGGTCTCAGGGACCTCGTCAACCCGGTTAATCAGTGCCTGCATTGCCAGCAAAGCAATGTCCCTTGATGCTAACCTTTCCGGGACTTAAAATGAAATTATTAAAAGTAGACAGAAAGAAGATATTAAAGCCCAAGAAGTCAAGAGACAGAAACCGGGGAGAAATATAAAGAAGTAGTACTAAATCAAGAAGCAGAAGAGCATATATCGCAGTCCAGATCCGTAGTCTCTCAAAAAGCCAGGAGCAACATTCTGCACATCAGGGCTCGATTCTCATTTCATCGTATTTGTCGTTGTGTTTGGAAGATTCAGAGAACAATTGCTGGGAATTGAGACTTGTAGTAGGAGTGAAGGGTCAAGAGAATCAGAATAGAGAAGATCTACTATTCTATTCATAGTGTATTGAGATAGCCATAGAGAGTAATCTCTTCGTGCTGTGTTATCTCCTTGTGGTGAGGAAGATGGATGTTGTTTAATAATAGGCATGCTGAGGGGGGCTTCCGTTAGGTTAGATCCGCGAGTAGTAGAGATGGTATTTGTGGTCATCATGTTGTTCGAGGAATGTTTTCTCTATCTTCTGTGATATTTGCATGTCAGGTTGCATCATATTTTAAAAAAATATCGAGAAATGACCCGGCCTAATATACAGGCCGTGTTGAAAGTTATCAGAGAATTTACTAACGTTTTGGCGGGGCATCAGGCCTCAGGTTTGCGGTGAAGACCCTGCCTGCACCACTAGCGCACCACTATCATGTGTATTGTGTCAGGCGTACGTCACTGGCACGGCAGGGTTCACCCGCTACGAAACCAGGGTCCTGGAATCCCCGTTGACGAGTCAGATCAGCGTTCCGCAGCCATTCCCCTTCATCCTACCGATCCTAAAATCACCGAATTTATTTTCTGAGAATAATCAGTTTAGAATTTCTCTATATTTACCCTTTCATTATGGATGACACAGCATGCACATGGCCTGCCTGGAAGTTTGGTATGAAGAGCGAAGATCTATCTAACAAGCTTCACGACAAGTACAACACTTATCTTGCGCCAATCCAAAGCCCCAAAGCCTTTTATCACGATATCTACGAAATTGCCCATACCGCGCATTCTCCAGCCGAATTCCATCATCTAGCCCACGATCGAAGACAACAACGACTCCACGAACTGAACGAGGCTCTTGAATCTGCAAGTTTCGAGATTATTGGCAATCCGAACCTCATCGAGACACCTCAGTGGGAGCATGCTATCCAGCTCTTCCGTACCAACTCGCTCGATTCCCTCGTTCAATACTTTGCTTCATACCTTCCCCAAGACCACCGTTGGCACCCGTTGCGTCAAAACTCTGTCCTGTCAGACGCTGATGGCAGTGAGGGTTTACACAAAAGACATACCTCTGATAGTACTAGGAAAGCAATTCAAGTAAGTAGAGGCGCAGGAATTCCCAATGGTATCACGTTTGAAACAGGTGAGCACAAACGAGGAGAAATGCACAACGAGAGTGCACGTCGCATGGCGAGACCCAGTAGAAACCTACGTTCTAGGGAAGTTGGCTTTGAATGCACCCACTCAACCGCACAGAAAAGAGCCTCGTTCGATCATCATACAAAGTCAAAAGGAACCATTCTAAAGTTTTCTCCCAAGAACCCGCTATCCCCAGTGGGTCTCAAAACTCATGCTGCACTTGGTCATGGCGCTGGAGGTGGTAATGGAAGTAAAGTCGGGTTAAAGAGGAAACGAGCTTGAACGAACAAACATCCATAACGACTCTTTGTACTCGTATATTCATACAACTAATTCAATAAATTCTTTTAACAAAAAAGCTACTTTTCTTCTTATATATTGGTATTTCTCAATGTCTGTGATGTCGAAATGCGGAACATGAACTCGGACCAAAGCAAAGCATGTCCTTAGTGTCACCAGCATGTCGGTATGGGCATCAAGGTCATTCATGTCCCGAGTAATCACATGGGATGTCGATTCTTATTGTTACTATTGATTCACAAGCTGAGTTGAGCACATGTGTAAATTTACCTCGGCGTAAACAAGCAAAATATTAGCAGAATTCGTCCCAACAAAACGCGATTAGTCGATCTCAACAAAATCGAAGGGTCACAGCAAACTACCACTTTGCTTTTCGCTTATATACTTATCACCAGCAGTATTGTTTATTCTTCGAAACCTAAGTCCAGAAGCAGCTAATCTTTTAGAGAATTACACAACGACGAACACTGCCCTGATGTAATGGCGGGAACATCACTATGGGATTACATCTTCATGCGTGCATCTATCTTGGTCTTACATCTCATTGCGCCCCTGAGCGTTGTCGGCTCTCTCGTCCTATTACTAGTCCCCCTCCCATTTCAGATTCCGAGGCTTCTCAAGGCATGGCTTGCTCTTGAAGCACTTTTCTATCTGGTCATATACCTACCGCTTAACAACCACCTCCAAAAGCCCGCAAAACATCCTACTCCGCCGTGCCGAGCCGATCGCCAAAGGTTGTTCCAACAATGTCACGATAATATTCCGGACGCAGGCCAGTATCTGAAAAGGTGGTTTCGAGATGCGCCAGAGCATGAAATCAAGCGTGATAACGTTAAAGACTTCTTCCGCTGGGGTTTTTTTAACATGGAGGAATATGATTCGACATATGATTCGGAATTAGAGGGGTATATCGAGAAATTGGAGGAGCTGCTTGGGAAAAAGTTGGAGTTTGGCAGAGGGAATGCGAAGTGCCTGCGCATGACTCTTGATAAGGTCGAGATGCTTCATCGAAGTTTGACATGGTACCTGGTGAGTCTCTAGAGCAGGATTAGCATTTCACTTGACAAATGCCACGGATCACTGACTTTGGCTCTCTACTATTCAGTGCATATTTGTTGTCGACACGATAGCGTCTACTTATCTACACTGTCATTCCTTCAGCTTTCACCGAACATCGTTCTCCCAATTCTTTACCGTTTTCCCGCTTCGGCCCTTAACTCTTTTTACGTCCTATAAATCTCCTGCCAAGAGCCTTACCTATTGGCACCGTCCACACACTTCCAAAACAAGGCTGCCCATTCTATTCATCCATGGCATCGGCGTGGGACTCTATCCGTACATAGATTTCCTAGCTGACATTAATGCCGCCGAGAGTGCAGATGGAGATGTTGGGATCATTGCTATCGAGATATTGTCAGTAAGCTCTCGCATCACATTCCAGGCTATGTTGAAAGAGGAAATATGCGAGGAAATTCATCGTATATTGTCTACACATGGGTGGAAGAGTTGCGCCTTGGTCTCTCACTCGTAAGTACCATGGGGTGACTTTCAATCAAAATGACTAATATTTGAGCCCGGAAGCTATGGAAGCGTTGTTGCAGCACAGTTACTTCGCGACCCCAAGATCTCTGTGAATATCGGCCCTGTTATATTCATCGATCCTGTATCCTTCCTGCTGCATCTGCCTGATGTGGCCTATAATTTCGTAAGTCAACAAGGAATTTGACCCCGCCAGTCGATCTCACTAAACCTCTTTCTCCAGATATGTCGACGCCCAAGTCATACCAATGAACATTTACTCTCCTACTTTGGTTCGAAAGACATAGGTATAGCTCATACGCTATTTCGGCGCTTCTTCTGGGCCGACAATCTACTGTGGAAGGAAGACCTACAAAATCGCCCTACTGCTGTGGCCTTGGCCAGTAGAGACAGTATCATCGATACGAAATCAATTCGGGCGTATCTTGTTGGTTCAAGCGATTGGACGCAAAGGCCAACTAAAGCGACAGGAGAAAGTCCAAGAGATGGTAAATTGGACGTGATCTGGTTTGAGGACTTAGACCATGGACAGGCATTTGATCACAAGACGACAAGGCTGCGTCTCGTTGAGACTGTTCGAGCATTCTGCAACCAGACGAAAACATTGTATCCTGAAGTCGGGGTAGAAGGGATTGGCAAGAAGTGACTGGATGGTCTGGAGTATATCGGCTTTATGTAAGGACGCGTGTTGGTTGAAAGAGCCTTTAGGAGAATTCTCTGCTTTGAATCATCAGTGGTTACCGCTGGTATGTATCACAATGACGCATCGGACTGTTTGCCTATGTGCCTATTGTTTTCCAGCACCTATATGCTCTTTTTCATCTCAGTGTTTCATCCTCTTATGCTAACCTGTTTTGGAGAGATCAGGCAGAACATGCGTGGTAGGTAATCCAAATTACATAACACTTGCCTCAGTTCCTCGCTTGAGACTAAGGGTGAAATCGTCCACAATATGTACCATTGCTCCCGTACGTAGCTCACTACAACCTGATAGTCCTGCGTAGCACTGTATGCAAAATCCCTTGTTTATTGGCGCCTTGTCGATCGATTGGATCGGGGCCTTTGGAAGCCGCTGTTGAAAGCCAGGCCCATATTATTGGTAGATCGTCTCTGTTATAGTGGGTATGCTGCCTGGGCTTAGTTATGCTTACCGCTCCTCTCCTTCGTCGCAGAATCAAGGTTCTTTGAGCAGACTTGTCCATTTCAAATTGCTTTGAACAATATTTACTTCTAAAGGTCGTCTTCTAGGTCCACTGACTGTCCTCTATGGGAATTCCTGCTTCTTCTGCCTCTACACACATCCAATCAGCCTTCTGATCAATCAGACGTCCCAATACTAAGATGACCGAGACTGAACGAAATCCGTGCTCCAGAGCTCAGGATGATACGTCTAATACAAAACCGAAACTAGACACATTTCACCTATTTAGGTATCTCCCGTATGATCTGAGGCATTCGATCTACGTCCTCGCTACCCCTCGCCGGGTCGTTCGTGTAGAAGAAGGGCCAGTTGATATCAAGGAGAAGCGGGCTTGGATCGACCAAGATTACGACAGCTATTTCGACTACGCATTCGAAAAGTTTTACAATCAGATGCTAGTTGAAATGCCGGATCTGAAGCTACACGCCGACCTGGCAGGTTTCGCACATAACTGGCGACATAGAATTCCATGGGCAGCATATAATGACTCATACAAGCAGACATGCTTAGAAGCGTACGGGTTCACTTCCAACCGGCCTCTCTACGAACCTTGGCAGCCGTCAGAGGAAACACCACGCATTCCCACGGACTGGCTGGTCGACTATCCTGAACTCGCATTCGAATTGACCCGCAAATCTTGTTTGTACAGCGACGCCGAGATACCTGTGTTTTTGCATGTATGCTCAGAGTCACGACAAGCGCTCGTTGACTGGGGCTATCGACTCTTTTTCGCGACACGAACAGCCGGACCAAGGACTTGGTTCCATCCCGGCCGAGATCGTCTCTACGTCCCTTATACAATAGAATCTTTCCCTCGAGCGGATGATAGCGATTACGGATCTGGCCTTCCGGGGGAGGCTCACACGCCATATCCGTGTCTTGAGCCTGGCTTGCTACTCTCAGGTTGCCACTGGGACATAGGACAATATCACGTGGATGATTTGAAGCAAGTCAAGAACGTCATCCTCGAAAGGCCCTCGATAAGTACGGATCAAGACCTTTTGGTCAAGGATCTTCAGTCTATTCTTCCTCTCCTTTCGGCTCTTGACGACCTGTTTCTTGAGGACTGGGGACTGGAAGACTTTGGGATTTGGTTTAACGTATTCCGTGGTTCGCACACTGTGGAAGTGAAGACACCTGCCAGCTCCGTTGCTTGCATCCCTGTTGAAGATATTGATGCTATAGGATATGCTTTTTGGCAGCGTTCCCTATTACTTAATGATGACAGGATAGGACCATTGTGTTACACCGGATATCGGAACAGCCATTTCAACCAACATCTGACGAGCGCGTCTCGATCTCAACCCTACCATCCGGCGCACGCCGAATCAGTAAAAGCTCAGCTTCTTGCATGGAGGTCCGAGCTTGCAACAGCCCAAGCTCAGAAACCACGGATCCCTACTATTTGCCACGTCAATCTCTGCCCGGAGTCTTGCTCCGAGGTTTACATGGCCAACAGGCACAGGCTCTGGAAGGCTCTCAAGTCTCTTGACGATGAGCAAATACAAGAACCGGACTTTCGATCAAGATTCTCACAACAGATGAACGATTGTCCGTCTCCTTTTAGGATCAAGTGGAGGGATCTAGATTGGGGCGTCGAGTGGCCAGAGGCAGTTGAAACTGCCCGATCAACTGATGCAAAAGGGATCGATTGGCACATGGAAGGTATACTCCAGGCTTGGTATTTAAACCGGACTGATATTTTGGAACCTCAGTTTGTGGAGCTTTAATTGGCTTTTGGCTTCGTTTCTCTCTGGAGTAGCGAACCTCTACCTGCAGCGGTACTGGATCGGCAATTCGATCCTGGATATAGCAATAGTGCACTAAAACCAAGTCTAGCAAGTAATAGGTACATAAGTAGCTTCTAATAGTTTAAATTAATGAATCCTATAAAGGAAAGTTGTCTTCAATATCTTGGCTTAGTTGCTTACTATAACCTGTATTTTCAATTTAGCTAATTCTAAAAGCTATTAAGATATAGCTATTACTTTTAAGCTGCTAAGCCAGGGAGGCTTATAGTAAGATAACAGCTAAGGATGCTATCAATAATCTTTGATCAGCCTCCTATCTGCAGCTGTATTATGGTATGTCAGATCCATTAATATGGTGGGCTATCAAGGTCTTCCACGTCAATGTGATACAGTTTTCTGGGGTTCGTGGAGGTCTAAGGGTGAAAATATTGCTATTCGCTGTGGCGGAAATTCGCAGTTTGGACGAGTGGGGTATCCACGGTTTCCCTCAGCTGATCGATTGCCTGGGGCCAACGACCAACAACAAATACAACAACCAACATGCATTGAACCAGGCAGCAACCCCTCATTTCAAGGTAATTTATACAAGAAGGGCCTACCCATGGCTGGTCATCACTAACTGAGCAACCCATATTCGCGCTCTGGAAATGTTAGTGGTGACTACCCGTAGGTACGCAATCGTATACGCGAGGAGAAAGTGTAACAATTGAGAGCCAGCTCTATGATCAAGATAGCGAGAATTGAATGCAGAAACGGATATGGTAACCAGGCCGATCAAGTTATCTCTTCTACCTCGCCAAGTTAACAAAATGGCTACTGCTCAAACTCTTGCAGTCGTAGATATCCCTTGTCTTCATCACTTGCCCGACGCTGAGGACTTCGCAGACTCGCGGAATGTGTATGCCTGATGCCTTCATGTGATCTTTGTGCTAGTGCTAACTGGACGTGTAGCTCCAATAGTCTTCCCCAGCCTGACGAACAGCCGGAGATATCTGGCTCTCCGGTATTCCGAGATGAATATCTTCTATAAGGTGGCGTTCAACAAAGGCCACCCAAGTGCGCTCCAACAGGTGATTATCTGCCAGCAACCACCACCAAAAGTGCATCTGCCCCACTGATACACGTACAGTGCACCAACGTGACGCATAACCTCAAGGGCCTTTTAATTGTGATAAACGTGAAATATTAAGCTACTATACACAATCCCCAAAGTAGTGGAAGCTGCTCACCAAGCACCATTGGTCACATCATTCCCGGCGTCTGGCAAAGGTGATGAAGGCGCTGACATCTTTATACAGCAGCCCATCTTGTAGCCGCAGATGTTGGACCTCCCTCTCCTCCATCATAACTGATATTAACCTGATCAGTCCTGACTATGCCTTCCTTGGGACTCTCTGGCCTGGACGAAGTAGTGCGGGATATCTTGTCGGGATCGACCATGTTTTCCTCACTCCCTTCCTTGCCTTGAATGGTAAAACCGTAAGTATCAACCTTCTTTCTTGGTTTGTCTTGGAGCTCAATGCCAGGTTGCTGCTGTCCGCTTTGCTTGCTGTAGTCTTCGTATTGGTGCTTACTAGAACCTTTCTTGGTGCTCCAGATGTTGCGTCCCTTGAACATCTCAAGAATGGGTTGAAGCACTGGTATACAGGCTGCTATGATGATCAGATTGCCTTCGACACTTTGAAGTTTGTAAGTTACTTGATGGCTTTTCGTGTGCGAGCTGGATGAATTCACTTACGATGTCCAATACAGAGGGTCGCATAAATCGTCTAAGGCTTATTATTAGTGCCCGAGTTCGAATGGGTGAAGTCCTGAGAACGACCTACAGCTAACGTCTTGACTGGCTAGTGTTGGAACTCCTGTTGCTTTAACAATTCCAATGGCGCCGCATCTACATGTGTAAGTCCAAAAGCTAGAGGCCATGATAGACTCGCACTTACACCACTCCCATGCCAAGTGCAAGACTTAGTATTAGCTTTTTCTTTAAAGGCATGAGTAGCTTCCAAAGAGTAATTGCTGGGTACACGGCAAGGTAGAAGTCCAAGAATGCAGATATTGCTAGCAAATGGTCAGTTCATGTATCAGGGCCTGATGAGACTTGAAGCCTAACAACTTGCCCAAAACGCCAGCCCCTCCAGTTTAGATGGTGCTAAGCAGTTCCGTGGCATTGCCAAGGTCCACAGGGCCCTTGGAGGACTGCATTGCAAAAGCAAGGTGGTGACCATGGCCGTGAGAGAGAGACAGCAAATTATGCCCATGCTCCACAGGATTACCAGGTGCATTTTGTTAGGCATGAGAAGTCTGGCTAGTAGAGCGATGACGGCGAGTTTAGGGAACCCGAGTGTTTCGATTCCTGGGACATACGCGGCCATCATCCACTTGATAGTGTTTTGTTTCTGTTCTAGGTTCAAGACATCGAAGTGTTTGCCATTGCCCCAGGATACAGACATCGTAACGAAAATATTGGAAAGAATAGCGCATATCTGTTGTAAATTGGTCAATAGAGAGATCATGTGACAAATAGAGGACTTGACGGGTAACTTACAATTGACAGAATGATGAAATAGTCGTCGATGAAGAGCGCCCGATGGACAGCTCCACGAACGAAGAGGCGAGCAATCACAAAGAGAAGCGCCAAGACTGTGAATGTCCAGCAAACTGCAATTATCATTGGTCCCTTGTCTTCCATGTTGTCGAAGGTTTCAATTCAGGTGCAATAGCGCTAGAATATGGCCGTCATATTGAGAGTGTCTGTTCTTTGCAACATGGTGTCCTTCACCATTTAACAAAAACAAACAGTGACGGAGTCATCCTTTTTTTTTTCGCATATAATTAATCTCTCTTGTTGGTTGCCTGTTGCATCATGCTTGATGTAAACCAACAAACAAACCTCGCCTCGGGGATAATTTACAGGGTGCAGAGCTATTGTCGACCCAACACCGTAAGGTAGATGCCATGCAGTTGAGATGTGATATCACACATGTGAGACAACTTGCAAACCTCGGACCTCTTACCCCGGACACTTGACCTGCACTCAAATGCTAGGTCAGGAGTGGTTCCGTGAAAGTTCATTTCAGCCTCGAGTTCAGACCACACATATATACTCATTCGCCTACACCTAAGAGAACCCAAAAAGAACACCAGTTTTTTTTTTTTTTTTTATCTCCTCAAGAGTTGCTAAACAAGCTGCGTTGAGGAATAAACAATTTCATGACATTCCTTTTTTAGCAGCACAACCAACAGTAAACATGGGTACAACCAACATGTTTGTGGAGTCGGACAACCTGTTCCCTGTGCCACTTTGTAATATCATTGGTGGCTGGACTCGGGAACATCATTGACATGATGAGAAAGGCCTGGAAAGACTTGGCATCGTACGTGCAGGCCAGAACCAACAAACATTACCCTGTCCGACGGACCAACCCCTCCAATCATCGCCATATCACCTGGATAGTGGCTAACCGAGATACCTTGGTTAAATATAAGTGGAACTCGACTGTTTGTTTGCCAGACGTATATCCCTTTGCTGTTACTCCTGGGAGTTTTCCTGTTCTTCATTCCCACGAAACTTGCCTACTACCTGCGCCATGGCTGATTCGGTCGATCTCTCGTTTGCAACGCGTCCCGGAAATATCGATGCCGTAGGAGACCTGATTCAGGAGTTATCCACTCTCCAAAGAGATCTTAATCATGGAGACGAGAACATCCGGCAGACGATGCTTGTCAAAGCTCGGACCCTCGTCCACTCTCTTCAGACACCCCGCGAGATCATGGTACAGCATACATGGGCTGACGTACGTTGATCTCGTTGTTAGATGGTCATACAAGCTGACAACTGGAAGCCCGGATTAAATGCAGTACTCATCACTGGAGTTGACATAGGACTCTGGAAGCTCATGGTTAAGAACGGTGCTGATACGGCACAAAAGGCGGAAGACCTTGCGAGATCTCTAGGCATAGATTCCATTTTACTAGGTCAGTCAGTATTTAATTTCATCATGCATCAGCTATAGTTAACATGTGGTGCTGATAGGGCGTCTCTTACGCCATGCTGCCGCCATGGGACACCTTGAAGAAGTCGCGCAAGACGAGTACAAACTTTCGAGTTTCACCAAGTCATTGAGTCTCGATGTCATTGGTGATGGTTATCTTGCTCTGTAAGTAGTACTGATAAATCATCCCCACGGCCAAGTTAATGATATCTCCAAGACTCGGCGGGATTGGTCGCAGCCCAATCGAGTTTTACAAGTTTCTCCGGCAGACCAAGTGGAAGAACCCAACTGATGCGACTCACACTGCCATGCACGTGTCTTATAACACAAAACTGCCGAACTGCTTCGAGTATTTGCGGTCTATTGGACTTGGCCCTCAAACAAATAATCATAGTGCGTACACCTGCAGCCCTTAGATGCAAGTATATATACTCACCCCGGACAGTGGGCGGCTACAGACAAGGTCGATTGCCCTGGATGCATGCATCGATCTATCCTGTTGAGGAAACCCTTTTCCCAAAATTGGACGAAGAGCCTGATGCCCCGCTACTAGTCGATGTTGCAGGAGGCCTTGGTCACGATATACACGAGTTCAAGAAGTTTTATCCCAATCACCCGGGAGTGAGTTTCACATGTGACGCAAACATAGCCACTACTGACAATTTGACCAAGAAATTGATTCTTCAGGACCTTCCAGTCGTGATCAACGACGTGAAGGATATCGATCCCTCGATAGAATTGATGCCGCATGATTTCCTGACCGAGCAACCTGTCAAGGGTGCTAGAGCATACTTCATGCACTCGATTCTCCACGATTGGCCAGACGACATATGTCAAAAAATCTTGGCTCGTCTAGCAGAAGCCATGAAGCCTGGTTACAGCAAACTTCTTATCTTCGAGTGTGTTATTCCACGCACAGGAGCCTACTGGGAGGCTACAGCTGGTGATATTCTCATGATGACGCAGCTTTCAGCTCTCGAGCGTACAGAGGATAATTGGTACCAGCTGATTGAGGGAAGCGGGCTGAACCTCAAGATCGTCAAGTTTTGGAAGTGTGGAGTTGCTAGTGTTGAGAACCTTATTGAATGTGAGCTTGTATAGAGTACTGATATCCATAGTATTTGAGTGTTTGGGACTATGAGATGTGCTTTGGTCATGAATTACATTGACGTGTTACTAACATGTCGCATATATGATGTTTGGCTGTTGATCTTATCAGAGGCTAAATTCGATCGCTCCTCTCGAGCGGACCCTTGTGGTCGTTGTCTCTGGGGATAGCCTCCTCCTCGCCACGGATCTTGGCACCTTCAGCATCCAGGCCCCAAGTAACAATATCAGGATATTTCCGAACATAAAACCACATCCCCATAATAGCCACGATACTTCCAACGCTAAACGCAGCAGCCAACGGGAAACCAACAGGATATCTTGGTGAATCACTAACCCGCCAAGCACGAAGTGGGATAGAAGCATGTCCAGCATAAACAAGCGTAACAGCAATAGCCACCAAAATAGACCTCACTTCAGGCTCTTTCCTCAGTATCTCCGCCAACCATGCGAGAAGGGCATAGCCCCAAGCAGCCGTAGCAAAAGTGAGAAAATAGAAAGCCATGATAGTCCGCCACGAATCGGGCCACCCGGAAAGAACCGAGGTCGCGATGAGTTGCAAAGTGGCGGCGCCGACGCTGACTTGCCAGCGCCAGGCTTTCCAATCACTGAGGGCGTTAAGACCAATGTTGCAGACTATACTTATAGCGTAGCCACCAAGTGGGATAAGGTTGACGGTGTAGACTGAGTAGCGGGGTGTTCCGTCGGCGTTTTGGAGACCTTTTAGGAAGAGGAGGAAATATGCGTTTGCGCGTTGACTCCATGCGAATTGAAGATAGCCCGCGAGGAAGAGATATGAGAGCGGGCTGAGGACGAGAAGTTTCATTTTTTGGACAAGGGCTTTGAAAGGGATGATTCTGGAGGTCTTGACGCCGCTGTCGCTCATTCGAAGACGACACAGTTTTCGTTCAGATTCGGACAGCCAAAGAGCTCGGGTGATGGCAGGCGAGTCTGGAATGATGACAAGACCGACGAGACCCCAGAAAATAGTCATTATACCACTGATAATGAAAAGCCACTGCCAACCAGCAAGACCAGACACGCCGTTGAGGTTTCTGTAGAGAGCGGCTTGGACGATGCCGAGAAACATGTTTCCTGCTACGCCGCTGACGCCAAAGATGGCCAGTCGTTTTCCCAGCTCCTCGGGACGATACCTAGCAGTAAGTTAGTAACGTATGAAGCTGGAGGATTTCGATTAGTGATCATACCAGTTGAAGATCAAGTTCACGATGCCAGGCCACGATGTAGACTCAAAAACACCGAGGAAGAATCGTAGCGCAAAGACGGTCTTCGCATTTGGAGCTCTATAGGTGAAGAGTGTGAATAAACCCCAGACAATCTCACAGAGCGGCAGGAATAACGAGGGTCGAACGCGAGTCTGGATGAGTTGTGATGGGACGATGAAGAGAGCGTATCCGATGGAGAAGTAAGTCGTAAATTCCACCAATTCATTGCCGTAGAGTTTTAGGTCCTCTTTCATCCCTGAGACATATGCAGCTGTCGTCGCGGATTGATCCATATCCTATAACCGTCAACATCACTTGAAAGAGTATCAGTTGCGAGTTAATACCTTGAAAAGACCTGCAATGAACGCCCAAACCAGTAATAAGCAATCAAGCTTGAGTACCAAGACATGAGCCGGGTTCTTAAAATACGGATGAACTTTCGCCAACCACGACGTCGACTCTACATACGCAATTGCCTCCCTGTCCTCAGAGACAGTATCATTGCGTAGACTCGCCGGCGTCGACATTTTGATCCTCAAAAGACAAAGACCGTTGAATGAAAAAGAGGAGTTGAGAAATGATCGACACTTGGGGTCCGATGGAATATTTAGAGAATACCCGTCCGCCACATTTGACTCTGGGCTAGAGACGTTCTAGAGCTCCGGCAAGTACTGTTCTATGAAAAATGGCAGCCATGACGAGCTTAGACTATAAATATCGTAACATCACGAGTCAGGGGTACTAAGATCGGAGCCATCGAGTAAACTACCGTGTTTGTCATGATTAAGGGTCCGATTTAGCAGAAACACCATGAGATTACCCCACTGCTATCTCATAATACAAGAGTAATAATTGGCTAGGTCGTCAGTACGGGTACATTCATCCGCTTACGTCTTCAGCCCTGCAAATAACGAGTCCCCAACCTTGTCCAAATCTCCTCTCTTAGTTAAAACAATCGGACAAGCCCCGATACACTCGGGTTACACCATCCGAAGGCGGAGATATCTAAGACGTAGCCTGCACATTCAATTCACTACTTCCAAAGCCAAAAACATGTCTTCTGAACCGCTTTATCCCGCTTATCTTCCTACCCGCTCTGATGGCTACAACGCACCTGTAGCTGTACCCCTCTTCGAAGCTGCAGAACCAGGTCTTCGGGCTGATCCCGCCAAAGCGAATTTGCTAAAGGGCGCTACGACGGCTAATATTACCCCACGTATTGGCACCGAAGTCCGGGGTGTGCAGATTAGTGGGCTAGGGAGGGAGGGTCTTGATGAGTTGGCTTTGTTGGCTGCTGAACGTGGTGTTGTTGTTTTTGTGAGTTTAATTGACATGAGAGGGTTGATGGATGTACTGATTCTTGGGTAGAGGGATCAGGATTTTGCGGATATTGGGTTTGATAGACAGCGGGAGATTGTTAAGCATTATGGACCGCTTCACCAGCATCCTACCATGGGATATCCGAAGGGCACAGGGCCAGAGTTCCATGTTGTCTATGCCGATGAGAAGACGTGAGTACCTTAACAGTATCTATTCATGGGTGACAAGCCTACTGATAAAATACAGCGGCAACTTGAGAAAGCTTCTAGGTCCCCGGACGACATATGATCTCTGGCATATTGACCAAACCTTCACCCCGAACGTACCCTCGACCACGTTCTTCTGGGTGCTCGAGATCCCCGAATCAGGCGGTGGCGACACTGCATTCACCTCCCTTACCGCAGCCTACGAAGCTCTCTCGCCTGCGTTCAGAGAGACTCTTCATGGTCTCCAGCTTCATCACACATCGGCTTCAGAAGGTGAAGTACGACGAGTCGGTCAAGAACGTGCTCTAGCAGAAGCTATCAACGCGACGCACCCTCTTGTCATCAAACACCCCGTCACTGGCCAACCATCACTATTTGTGAACCCCACGATTGCTCGCCAGGTGGAAGGCTTTCTACCAGAAGAGTCAGATCACGTGTTGTCGTTTTTGAAGAATCACATCAGAAGTATGGACTTTAGCTGTAGGATCAAGTGGGAGAAGGGTACGGTTGTGGTTTGGGATCAGAGGGGAACTGCTCATTCAGCTGTGCCGGATTTCCAGGATAATGAGAGGAGGCACATGGTTAGGATTATTCCTTATGGGTCTCAGCCGGAACCTGCTTTCAGGTGATATAGACTAGAAACTCCAATAGAGAGATGAGTAAGGGCTGTGTGCTTCGGAATTGAATGGAAAAGACAGTTCAATTTTAAATCTTCAACTAGTGTACATAGGTATCTACCGACTGGTATCATCGCGCTATCGCATCAAACAACAAATCACGATCTCTTTGAAAGACTTAGCCAACTCGATTTGCGGTCGTCCAACGATACGCCGGGTCAACAAGATGGTTCTCGACCTCCGTGACAGGGATACCGCCAAGTGTTGAAGTAGTGACTGTAGTGTCGACAGATCGACGGTTGTCGGGTCGCTCGCTCATGATCTTGTTGTATCTCCTTGAAGCGGGTGAGAGGGCACTGAGGGAGAAACGGCGCTTGGAGCTGAGGTACTGTCAGTACTAAAATACGATCGAATTATGGGGAAATACCAACTTAGGAGCCATGTTGTATTTTAAGATGTTGGTGATATGGATGAGTTTTTATGGTCTGAAAGTGGACTTTTATAAGTGATATGATAAAATCTTAGTTTTTGTTTTGTGTTCTCGGCTTCAAGTTCAACATTAGAAGACACAGGACATTTTTATATAGAGAAACATCATGGTGATCGATCCCTATCACAGAAGCACCCATATTGTGGATCATCATAATTCAACTGAGAAGATTTGCCATGGCAATGTCATATCGATTATCGTTTCCCCAAGGACACCTACAAACTTCAACGCAAAACACAACGATTCGACGTCAATGCCACAGTGACATCAGCTTAGACCCTGAGTTCCTAAAAGGGTACGCCCTGATCAACCGTGCCGCAGTGATGACGCGCCAGCCTGACAGGTGACGAGATATAGATTTAGCCAGATATATAACCGTCCAATTACAGCTTAAACAATCCGCCAATCGCTTCTGCCTTATTGCTACAACATTGCTACCGCCAGTGGCCGATGCTCAGTAATAGCTGGATAAGACCCTGATCAACGGTACGGTAAGATAAGTGTTGACCATGCTCTTGCCTCAAATCACGGGCAAAAGATTATCACTAGAAAGCTCCGGGCAACATATGACGCAACTATATGCCTTGGCCCTACAAACATAGAATCTGTTCAGACTTGAAAGTCGAAACTTACTGCTCTTTCCTAGAGGAAGAATAATCACTTGCCTTATATGGCGACTAAAGTAATATTATATAATATGCTTTCCACCCTTAAGGCTTATTGAGGATAGACATTATAAAAAACTTCTACTGAGTCCAGAAAACTCAAACCAAGCATTACTAACATTGGATAGATCCAGCCCTTGATTATACTTCTGACTGATAGAAATCCTCCAGGACGTAAACGGACCCGGCAAAGCATAAATATGATCCACTGCATCTTGCATATTCCCATCAGTGATTACCTTTCCTGTGCTTATATCATAGTGGAACTTGATGGTCGATGAGTTGTGAGTGAACTTGAGGCTCAGGTCATCAGGCGCCACCATTTCGTCCGTACCACCATGTACCAACGTTACTTAGAGCTTGTTGCTTGCTGTTTGAACACCGTCGAGGTAAAACCTCACCCTTGTAAGTCGAACATCTGCGTACCCTGCAAATGGACTTTCGCCTAACGAGGTCTTTTTACGAGCCGCTGGTATGCCCATTATTACTGCGTAATCGCCGTCCTTTCTCTCCGGCTCAAGGAGTAGAGATTGCAGCTGGACCTCAGTCAATTCATACTTGACCGCATCGTTTTCACCCCCGAAAGGTTGTCTCAGTGCTTTGCTCTCTTCGATGGCATTAGCCCATCTCTTGATAATGTCGATCTTTTCTTCCTTCAAGGCTGTTGCAAGTCCTTCCTGTAAAAAGCCCTGGTCCCTAAGTCTGGTGAACGTTGTGGGCTCGACCGACAAGGTTACATAAGACAGTGCCTTCGTAGTGCGGTAGAGCAATTCCATTACCGTGGAGATGGTAGCGATGTAATTGCGCTCAACGGTGACAGCTAGCTGGGGAATTTCATCGTGTATTTGTTCAATGAATTCGCGACCGAGACTGCGCTCCGTCTGAATGTAGGAGACAAGCTTTGAATTTGTCGTAAGCCACAGAACCAGGCAAGCATTATAATGGATGACGAGATTGTTCCTATCAATGACAACTTTCAGGTAATCATCAAACATCTCGCGCACTGCGCGAACCTTCTCACTGCCAAGAGTTTCTCGGTACTTGGTCAGGAGATCTTGGATATCAGATTCTTTAGCCATGAGCTTAGCAGCTCCAGGATCATCCACTGTCAGTGCGCCATCGCTGCCGGCCTCGATGGCCTCTTTCAGGCCTTCAAGGCCCGCCGACATAACTGTAATCTTGTTGACCACGAATTCCTTTCTTATCTGTATACCCGCGTCATCAGTGATGGTTGCTAGGCCAGTATGGAGGAGACTAGCTGCCTGAACAGCCCCCATAGCCAAGCCCGGGGCAAAGACGAAGGTGGAGGCAGCATTCACAAAAGACTCCATGCTGATGTTGAATGAGTTCTTGATGTCTTGTGAAAAAGCTCGGATCTTCTCGACTAGAGCCTTACGCTTTGTCGGGAGACCTTCCTGCAATACCGCTATGGCACTTGCAGAAGACTTGAGCTGAGAACTGAGAGTAACGAGGTCTGCTCCGCAACTCCTTTTTCCCACATCAACTGCTGCACGAGCGTACGCGATCCTTTCCTTGGCTTTGTCCTCCTCTTTGGCGATCTGTTGATACTTGAAGTAGTTGGTTTGGATCGATGACAAGTCGTCCAAGGCGGAGTTTAACTGATGGCTGTAGAATTCGAACGATCCCGATGGAACCCAGGTAGCCACATGCCCGTAGAAGTCATAGCCATTGTAAAGCTTCCTTTCAATAGCGCGAACGTTGTCTAAGCTGACTTTCAAGGAGGCTATGGATGTCGGTACCTCTTCTCCGGATGGTATGATTAGTAAATGGCTCTCGTTATCCACATATGCCTTGAACAGCTGATCTTGAGGTTTCAAGTAGTCAAGGAATGACAGGCGTTCCTTCACAGTCTGAACATGTCTGATCGCGGTCTGGATTGTTGACAAGGTTCCGATAAAAAACAGGTTTTCCAGTTCCAGTACGGCGATAGAGATTTGGTCAGGGTGAACCAACATTTCCGCGGAATTGGTCATTGACTCTTGGATCATAAGAGTTGAGTTGATACTACCCAGTGATCCAGCGACACCATTATGACCTTTCTGGGAACCGTCACCTCCCATGCCATAAGCACCTCCTCTAACGTCAACGCTGATGCTGGCTCGAAACTTGGAGCTTAAGCCATCAAGGTCTTCTTTCAAAGCACTGAACGCTTCTTCAATATCAGGATCCGCCTTGGCAGACTTTTCGATAAGACCTTCGAGGGCCTTGAGCTTATCCTCAATGTACTTGTGGCTGGGAGTGTCGACCAGCTGCCTTCTGGACGCCTTCAGCCAGCTCTGGATCCTAAGTCTCCGCTCTCCTGGCGTCTTGACTTCATTGGCCTGGCGGCTTGCACGGAGTATGTTTCTGAAAAGGTCGTTATATATCATAGTGACCTTGCCTCCAGCTCCGCCATTGCCTCCATTCCCTCCAGTGCCGTGCGTAGCCACTGCGTCGACTCCATCACACCCATCTCCGCCTTTGGCATTAATAGCAAAGGGGAAATGCGGACGAATAAATGCGGAAGAGAGCCAGACTCCAGATGCACCTCGTGCTGGGACAGCAGCTGTTGTAGCTGTTCCAGTCTTGCCAGGGTCGCCATCAACAGTGATGCGAAAGTCCTGGGGATACCAGAAGGAATTTGTGTGCAAATGGAAATCTTGAGCCTGGACTTGCGAGACTGTGGCAGAACCCTCATGTGTGAATATGAAGGTCTCACGGAAAGAAGCAAAGTTTTCGTTGCTGAGGCGGTATTCCAAGCCCCCCAAGATTAGGCATTTAGAGTCGGTGGTGAAGGACTTGTAGCTAGACATTTTGGGGATTGTATTAGTACAAATAAGTAATCAGAAGTATGAAATAGCATGCAGCCTTGTGTGATATAATGTGATCCTGTTTGTATGAGTTTGAATGGAGAGTCTTTGTAACGAAGGTAGCTGTGCCAGGAGACAGAATAATGACCACTCCTCCGCAAACCTGAAAACAATGAATCCTAACTTTTCCTACTCGCGGAGCGTACGCCAGCTTAAATTGTTCAACATCATTTCGCCTTGGTATGTGACAGTCAACTCAAATTTAGACCTAGAGTGAAATCTCACAATCAGCCAGCCATGAACCTTCCCCTAACATTCATTTCACATAGCGGGGTAAAGACGCTCACAAGTTGAAATGTGATAAATACTAGAGAGAACCAAGTCAGACCCGTTGCCCTTGTGAATCTCTACCGTTGCCCAGACGTTACCCCTAATAACGCTCCGGGTTAGGCACGTCACAAGCTTCAGCTCTCAGCCAGTTTCAACTTTAAATAATGCACCAGAGCAGTTCAGTCAGCATTCCAGCTACAGAAGAAATTATCAAAAGATAACCAATAACACTCTCTGTCACCTGTGACTGCTAATTGTCTCGGAAATCCGGCAGGCCAGACATTGGGACGGTCTAGGCTACGCCAGAGTCAAAGAACCATCCAGTTTTGCACTATCTCACCTTTGCCATAGAAAAGAAGCTCTAAGCACTTGAAGAGTCATTATGGCTCTTCCTGACATAGATAAAAGATGAAGTTCGATTTCAACTATTAGCATGCCACCAGTAGTAGAAACTGTATTTGTACTATCAGCGTCATCTAGCTTTGGACCTCTAATATTCCCTCAAAAGATATACATTGCTTATTTGCGTTCAGCTGTCAGACACTAACTTTCAATCACAAGCTTTGTTTCTGCAGCTGTTGATGGCTAGCTGGAGTCAGACAGATCTAGCCGCTATTAGACTTGCGGCTGAAGATCCCCTCATTTGACAGCCCAAAACAGTACAGGTTTATGAAAGAAGCCTCGAAAAGGGTCATAGTGGTGGCGTGTCTTGGGGATGGCTTGTTGTGTCAACCCAATGTCGTACGTTTGGCCTTTCGCAGATGTGTCTAGACTCATTGACACCAACAGCGCTTGAGCGAAACATTTGACTTCTCCATACCAGCCCAAATAGACCTGGCTGTTCTTTACATTTTAAGCGATCCAAGTCAAGGACATTACGCAACTTAGTGCTATATGGGATGGGTAATAAGATTAAGCTTGTGTTCGCGAATAAAAAGTCTCAGTTTCCCTAGGAGTCATAATCACCATTCTCTCCAATCGATTTACTTACCAAATCTACATTTCTATTCATTGCGAATATGGATGCCTTCCCTTCGGTTGACGCTCTCATTGACGGTTGCAAAAGCGCCGTCGGGATTACTGCCAGGTGGGACGTCGTTGTCAGCTACTCTCTGGAATCCCTAAACAGTGTATTACAAAGAATCTGGACCAACTCAGTCACTTCAACCACAGTGGAGCTTATAACTACAAGCCATAACGAAGACGATGAAGAATACAATACGAAATGGTGGCTTCGTCTGGGAGCACCAACTTTACAATTCACAAGAGATGGAAAAGCTTCCTTGTGTATACCACTCAACGGAAAGCGCCAGGTTATGAAAAAGACGGCTGCGGGTAATGAAAGACCTGTCCGTGAGATCCCGCTAAACACCTACGTCCTGTACGCAGTCATTCCGCTCGGCGTGGTGAGCGCGAAATCTGGCTCGGGTCCAGGTGCTTACGAGTTCAAGGTTAGTACTTCCCATGAGTGATGGAACAGCCAATAAGGACTAACGTGATCGTTCAGGGCTCCGGTAGCAATGTTATCCGGTTTGACGAGCATCCCGATGCCGAGTTGCACATAGTGATCAATTTCGAGACCACTACGGCAGAGGGGGCAACTTACGATATTGATCTCGCCCCAGAGGTCAAGGCCCAGCAAGGGCCAAACGCGCCGATCATTACAGATGACTTCTCAGTTGGTCTTCGTGGCAAGCTGGCCGCGTGGTTCAAAGATCCCTCCAATATCAGCGCTATCCAATACGCACTCGCAGTCGTTAACAAGACGCCAGTTCCACAAGCTACATTTCTCACACCCAGCAGTCTTTCATTCAGTGTATATTCAAGCGACAAAGACCCGGCTGTTGCGTGCTTGAGCATCTACATGCAAACACAGGGATCTGGCTTCGAACCGGGCAATGTGAAACGCACTTTCAACCTTCCAAACTCAGGTGACATCAACAGTTTCCCCATTCCGACTGGCTACACTGCTAGCATCATCATTCGCCACGATGTCTTTGCTGAGAAGTTTCTTCGTGACTCCATCTTGGCCCTGCAGGTGCCCGGGGGGGATAAAAAGATCTTTAAGTCTGTTGCTCTTATGACACCCACTGAAGGCTTTCACTTGACTGCCAAACTCAACTCTGGAGCTGTCGCGGACCTCGGCAATGGCACTTGGTTTGGTGGGTTTGGTGGCGGCTTTCGCGTCACTGATGTCAACTGGGACTTTGGGGCTAATGACCTCACTTTCAAGATCAAAGCTGCCAAGGCCAGTTGGAATTACTACTTCAAGCCAGAGTTGAAGTGGAGTGAGACTCCGATGTCAGGCGGCCCTGGCCCGAAAAGCAAGCCCATGTACGGTCGAACAAACTACGAAATGAAGCTCGACAAGTCAGGGCTGTCAGTATTCGAGAATGTTTCGGACGAGGGTCTAGTGGCACGGATTCAGGTGAACAGCAACGATTGGCAAGCATCCATTCAAGCCTGGTCCCCTGGGTTCGGGGAAATCGCCAACGGGGCCTCTGCCCTGGTTCCAGATTCAGTTGAAAAAGGTTTGCAGAGAATTAACCTGCCAGCCTTTTCTCATACCCTAGCCCTGCATTACTTTGCAACGACCAATGTCTTTGCGCCTGGCAAGCACATGCTGAGCATTAGCGGTGCTTCTGCTGTCCACACACCCTACGATGTTATCATTCTAGGCAATGTGTTAGAGACAGTGGCCATGAGTCCTCCGAAATTGAATGTTCACGGTCAAGGTCTTCTTGGAGCCACGTCAGGCAACAAGAACATCACAGACTTGATCGATGACCTAGCACATGGCAGACCAATCATGCGCCAGCTTACAGCATGTGTATTATCAAACTCATCTACGCAACAAGTATTAGAGAAATCTGGGTATAACGTCAGTGATAACGATATAACAACCGCTCTCCAGGCAGCAGATGCAGGGCCTCAGTTTGACCCCCGTTTCGTAGCAGGGCTGTACTCTTTCAAAAGCCCTGCAGACCTTGCCAGTACCAAAATGACAGTAGATGGTGCCACTGGAAGGTAAGCTGCAATTAACCTCTGGATATAAGATCAGGTTTGGCTGAAAAGAGTTGTTACAGAATCTATCTTGACGCGACGAAAATGAACTCCAGTGTTGATAGTGAAGGCTTCTTGAAATGGACCTGGGGCGCCTACTCTTATGCCATTACATTCGCTACACCGTACAACTCCAAGGGCACCGCAGATCCAAAGACTTTCCAAGGCACCAGGACGAGTCTGAATTCGGGGAACATCGAGTCAGTATCAGGTGCTGAAGTTATCCCTGATCCATCAGACGACTGGTTCACAAACACACCAGGTGGGTTAACCAGCGGGTGGGTAGCAACAATATTTAGCGCAGGACTTGCTGTCTATCTTTGGATAATGCAAATGCGCGCTGACCGTCGGAATGCTGGTCGCGATAGAATGGTACAGGCAGCTGCCCTTACGATACAGCTAGCCGAAATGCAAGCCACGCGCCATCCACTCCCGGCTGAGACGTTGGATAATGTCTTGAACGAATTTCAAGACGGTATCGAACAAGCGGCTCGAGAAAAGGGACTCGTTCCGAGTATCATTGACGACGAGCCGGCCCACTACGACCCTGCGGCAGCATCTGAGGCAGCCAAGGAGAAACTCCGAAGTCTTCTCAAAGAAGCCATAACGCCATATCTAATGCACAGACTTGCTCCCATGGCGACTTTCATGGGTCCTGAAGCTGTCAAGGCGGCTATCAATCATCGAGCTAGTATTGTATTGGACCAGAGTCGAGTCCTCGACCGTTTTAACGAAAATTCACCATACATTGTCGATATCATAGACAGTGTCAAGAAGCGAGAGGAAGCCAGTGAGGCACGCGTAAGGGAGGAACATGCGGTGGCTGCAGAGAATATCGCAAACGCAGAGGTGAAGACTAATAGAGACAGAGCAGACGTGGCAAGGAAACTCCTCGCCGAACAAGCGGAGAAGTTACGCGAAATGAACAAGAATATTACTGAGGCTGAAATGATGGAGAAAAGGGAGTATAAGGAGATAGCGGATAGAATCGAAGATCTGAAAAAGGGTGAAGTTGAGGCACAGAAGAAGTATCAGGAGGCGTTGGAGAGACACAAGGAAGCGAAAGGGGACAGGGAGAGGAGGCACGCGGAGCAGGAGGTAGCAGATAATAAGGTGAAGGAATCTGCTAGAGATGCTTTCAGGAGGACAAGATAAGAGACAGTGACCTAGGGTATGAAGGAGAATACTGATTTATATTAGTTCCTTCAGTTTTTGATTATAATTCCTTTCAGCCTGATTAATGCAACTTGTCTAACCTCAGGTACATCATTCTTATGTATGAGAAAGAGGAGTGGTTTGGCCGTTGATCAAATGTATTACACGGTTGAAAGCTCTGAAATAAGTCGTCAGAATCACTCTGTGAATTCATATGCAGAGGTCCTAGCTCTGCAGCTTGGCAACAAGCCTGTCTCCCAGAGCCCTAACGCTCCTCGAGAAATCAGCACGGCTCTTGGCCTTCCAATCAGCACCATTCTTTCCAGGAACGGCCTCGTCGCCCTTGAAGGCAATATATAGAACATCCTTCTCACCATGTCCCATGTTTCCATTGAGACCCTGGTTAGGAAAGCAAAGCGAAGCGAGAGATATTGAAGCTTCGCCGGTGGAAGTGCCTCCGTTAGTATCTCCCCAGATACCGTAGTGCTATGCAATGTTAGCAGGAAATTGTTGAAATACATTGTGAAAGACTTTCCACTTCACTGTTGCAAACAACGGCCATGACACTCAGTGGCTTAATGCCATGCTGCTGAGGATCGAAGGATGGTGAGGCTCCGTCGTTGCCGAAAACCACGTAGGGATGGACATTCGCATCCAAGTCAGGGATGCCGTAATGGTTGACTGTGTCCTTGAACGCAGTGGTACTCTGTCCGGAGGGATCGCTCGAGCAAGCACCTGCATGGTTATTTGCGCCATCGCAGTCAATGTCCATGTTGTCATAGTTTCCGTTTGAGCCTTTCAGGAAGATAGCCCCTGAGATATCACCGCAGTATCTAGCGCCCTCAGGGAACCTGTCGGAAAGGCGGTTGGAGCACGAGCCAGCCTGTTCTGTTATTAGAGTTGTATCTTCGAGGGATAGGGGTAGAGTTGCCTTATGGTTATCGTAGATGGATTTCAGGTTTTGGGGGAGCTGGTAAGCAGAAGCTGCTGTGCCCAGCGTGAGGGTGGTAAGGAGAGTATAAGAATGCATGGCTGCCTTTGTGTCTGGCCTGATAGAACCACTGGCTTGATAGACTTGAGAGCCTAGAAATTCTTCAATGTTGCACAGAATGTTAAAGGGAAGCTTGAGGCTTTTATATCTGATGTGGAGATTTTCAATCACTTGAGTCTAATTTATGATTCAATACGGATGAAGTACACTCAGTCCCAGTTTCGAGTTCTCCATATGATATTCTTCGATGATGATCGACAAGTCTTAAGTCCGCCAAACCTGCCGAACTGCCGAACTGCTTTGACCTAGTGACAACTTAACCTTGATAGGAGAGTCAAAGCATGCTCCTAGAGTTCTTTGGTAATACCACGGAAATAGACTAGTTGTAGACCGCCCTAGACATTGATTTACAACTCCGTGCATTCGGCTTACATGTGACTGGTATTGCCTGGCAGGGTCACCTTGTTTGAATCGGTCCTAATTTCGTGGGCAGGGGGAACTACCAAGTACAGCTGAAAGTAAATTAGATCTTATGGTTGGGGCCATATCCTTCAAAGATCACTCAAGTGGCAGGGCGTAGCAACTTACACCTCGGTGAAGGTCTGAATTTTGATGGTTCAACCAAAGACTCCACGTTCGTGGCCCATCTTTACTGAGCCCAAATCAACTACCGTTAGGAAGACCATCCTTCCTAGGCATTGGGTTCGCCTTATTTTAGTGTCAAGCAAGGTTAGATATTATCTACAGTATAGGAGAAATTACCAGCCATAAGGTTGGACTTTAGGCAGCTAATATAGACAATAAGGACATAATCTTCATTTATAATATAACTTTGTTAAAAGGTTTTCTAATAACTAATAAATATTAAAAGGTTTCTCAGTATAATAAAGCATTAATGCTATATAGATAGAGATTAATGAGTGCGGGGATCCCAAAAACTCTTGATCTTGCCTATAGCGTTACGAGCGGCCCGCTGAGTTGGCCCTAGTCAATCCAGCATACCCCTGTCTCTTCCTTTAGGGCTGAAAAGCACATAGAAAACACAGAAAGGAGATGTGTTGTTGAACTACTATGGCACTACACGATGTTACCATTGCCTCGGCAAACAGTCCCAACTTAGTAGTTCATGGTACAGTTATCAACCATTGGCTGATTATTCTTATGCGTTTCCATTCAAAGGTCCATTACATGTTATTGGATGTGAAAGCTATCGTGGAGTCATTGACACTGAAAGCAAATCCGGAGTGGCCGGCTGTAATGCAACGTCGGCCTCTACTCGGTTATCTGTATGCAGGATGATGATCTTGGTGGTATGATCATTGCTCAAAGAGGAAGTTCCATAGTCTCTCCGCTCAATAGTCCCCCTGGGATCGGCCGCCCAGCCTGATCAACAAGGTTGCTTTCCATGATATGGACAGGTATTCGGTAACGTAGCGGATACTTCGGAGATAGGAACCAATGAAATAGCCATGTTCTGATGCCGATGAGTTGAAATTCTCCTGTTCCCTGGCCCTTTTTAGCTCAGTCTGGGGTGCAGCTAACCAAATCGAGTATCCCATAAATATACCCAAGCAGTTTCGAAACGTGAATCGAAATTCGAAGGAACGTACTAGTGCGAGAAGTATCAAGCATTGAGAAACAGTGATTAAAACCAGTAAATGATACAGCGAAATGGGAAATCCGCATTCAGCCATCGGTTACTACAAGACAAGGACTATGATTTCTAAATGTCTTTACTTTACGAAATCAGCTCATCCTTGAGGCATCAGGAGTACAAGTTGGAATGCCCGCTTACTGAATGGCCTCGACCTTCCGCAATGGCATGATCCGGGGTACTTTAATGCAGCTTAACGGGCCGAATAAGCCCAATATCCTGATCAGCTGGGCCTATACATTAGAGTAAAGGATATAGATGGCGAGAAAGCAGGTTGGGACAAATAAGCGGAATTTGAAATGATCGGCATCATGCGAGGCTGAGACGAATAGCCTATAGCCTGGAGAAAGTACTCCGAGTATATATCTACACTAACTATCCTTATTGATAGTGTTGTTATGCTTGTTCTCATCTCCTCGTTTGCAATTCTCAACAAGATGCATTATTCTACTCTTCTTCCCTTGATTCTCGCTGGCTCAGTCTCAGCATGGCTTCCCCATGAGCGTGACCTAGCTGCGTTTAACCAGACTGCTCGTCACGAACAACTTGGGAAGCGATTCAAGCCGAGTTTGCCCAGTGGTGTAACAAAGATCCGTGGTGTCAACTTTGGCGGTAAGTGAAAGGCATCTCCTCCAACACGCGTTGCTGATATGCATAGGCTGGCTTGTCTGTGAGCCCTGGATGCAGCGAGATGAATGGGCAAACGTCCTCAAGTGTGGCGACTCTGTATCCGAGTTCGACTGCATGCGCGATCATTACCTAGGATCCAACCGTGAGACTGGCAACAACCGATTTGAAGAGCACTGGAAGAATTGGATCAACCCCGCAACCGTACAGTCTGTCCATGACGTAGGACTCAACACCATCAGAATTCCAATTGGATACTGGTCTTATACCGATATTGTCGACAAAGCCAGTGAGCCCTTCGCTGACGGTAACCGCATGCTTCCTTACCTCGATGCTGTTGTCCAAAAGGCTGCTGATCTTGGTATCTACGTCATCATTGATCTTCATGGCGCTCCTGGTGGTCAGCAGGAAGATGTTTTCACTGGTCAGAACAACAAACCTGCTGGTTTCTTCAATGACTATAACTTTGGTCGTGCGCAGAAGTGGCTTGCTTGGATGACGAACCGTATTCACACAAATTCTGCTTACTCTACCGTTGGTGTGATCGAGGTTCTGAACGAGCCTGTTTCTCGCCATGATGCGAATAACCGCTATCCTGCACCCGGCGAGGACCCTGGCTTGATTCAGAAGTACTACCCTGCCGCCCTCAAAGCCGTTCGCGATACCGAGGCCTCTCTCAAAGTCCCTGACAACAAGAAGCTTCACGTTCAGTTCATGTCCAGCAAATGGGATTCCGGAAACCCCCGCTCCGTATCCTCCGTAGCTAATGATCCCTACACTGCTTTCGATGACCACAATTACATTGGTTTTGCTCTCGGTAACGACAACGGCGATCAATATAAGCTCATGCACAGCGCTTGTACAGACTCACGTGTTGTAAACGGCCAGGACTTTACTTTCACTGGTGAATGGAGCATGACTTCCAATGCCGATTGGCATGATAAGAATTTCTTTAACAAGTTCTTTACGGCTCAGCAGCAGCTTTATGAGAAGCCTGGTATGGCGGGGTGGATTTACTGGACTTGGAAGACGGAGACGAATGATCCAAGATGGACGTATTCTTATGCGACTTATCTGAATTACATTCCTACCGATGCTGCTGGTCTGGAGAAGAACGTTTATCAGGACGTTTGCGCTGGATACAGATAAGATGCATACTGTCGAATCCTCAAATTCTGTCAGTATTCTGTTCTTCATCGGGCTAATCAGGGGGGGATTCTTCCATCCTGAAGTCATTTTTATCAATAAATCATCATTCTTCTACAAGAAACATTGAAGTCTTCTTAATATTGAAATCCAATGTGTCCCTTCTACTGAAAGTCATCGAGATCCGACAATGTTCGACGAACTAGTTACGTCGAATATCTTGAAAAATAGAGTCAACACATTCTCGTCAGACACCAGCCATTAAACCTCGACTCTTGTCCCAAAGGCCTCTGAAGCCTTTTTACTAGCCTCCCTATCATCCATTCTCTCGAAGTGTTTGACAACATTCTTCCTTCCCTGATGAAGTATCCAAGGCGCCATACCCGTCGTTTTTCCTTTCATCAGAGCATAAAAGTGAATATCCGCAGCTGAAAGTCTTTCACCGCAAAAATGCTTCTTTCCCTCCAACTGCTCATCCAACAGATTCAGATACTGTTGAATGGTGACTTTCTGTGCCAGTCTCGCCTCGGGTATAGGAATTCGATGTCTTATGTAGAAGTCCGCTGTTCCTGGATCGTTGCGAACCCATGAGATGACTGGTTGTGCAATTTCAAGATCCATTCTTCTGAGCCACATGCGCGTTTCGGCACGTTCGAGGGGTGTTTCGCCGAAGAGTGATTTGCCGCCTTGGGCGATCTCATCAAGATATTCGCAAATAACGGTTACTTCAGTTAAGACAAAGCCATTATCGAGAATGAGAGCGGGAACCTCTCCCCGGGGATTGATCTTTCTATATTCCAGGTCTCTGTTTTCCATAGTCATGACGTCGATGGTCTCAACATCGAGGCTGATGCCGCCTCTTTCGAGGACGAAGAGGCGAACTACCATCGGGTTGGATGCTGGGGCGTCATAGAGCTTCATAGCTGTTTCGATCCGATGAAATTATTACAATGCTAATGAACAAGATGTGATGTTTGACTTCTGTCAGCAGTAACGTTGTATATATCTTGAAGTCAAATAGAGTTTTGGCCCCCTAGGTCTCATGAAAGCTGGAGAACTACTTAGTCAACGCCATCTATGTAGAGAGCCCAGAATAACGAAGAAATCTCTATAATTGTATTTGTCTCAGGAACCGTTAATTGTCTAGCCATTATTCCCACTCTCGGCATGAGAAGACAATCGCCAACCCTTCGCAGCATCATAAACACTAAACAACAGTGTGATTCCTCCACCTGCCAACGCAACAATCTGATCCAAATCCGTAAGAGAGACGTTACTCTTTGGTGTAAATCTCATTATACGAGTCTGGTATCCGAGCACCCTTCCAGCAAAGTACTGTGTATTGCCAACAAACCCATATTTGACCATGGAGATGATACTTGCGATGAGAACTGCTGCGAGTATATTCGACCATTTCTCAAACCTGCTGCGCCTTTCCTTCAACAAGTCTTGGCCTTCGCTACTAGGAGGCTTTGCTTTGCGATAGACCGTAACAACAACTGTTCGAATAATCGATACACCCGTCATGATAGCCATGATCCCCGATATGAATCCCAACGCAAGCACGAAGTTGAACAGAAACGGTCTGGCGAATGTACTTCTCGAGACAGGAAGATCAGGATATGTAAAGAAAATAACCAACTGCGGCGAAAAGCACAAAAGAGTCGAAACAGTAACAAAACCCACACGCTTCCACTGATATGTCCGAGACGCAGCGCTGTGGAGGAATATAGCCAGTACAACGTAAACTTCGCAGATAGCAAGCGGGGCTTCAAGCGCAGCGACGAGTTGAATATCCTCTGGTGAATGACTCAGAAGCAACCGTGGACGATCAGGGCGGTCATATTTCGCAAGTTGATAGAGTGCATCTGCAGCTGCGACTACAGGTAGTGTAAGTGCTGCGATCAAGTCATTTGTGATTGAGTCTGAGCGTTTTGTGACGGGGTTGATGGTCCAGCTTATGAAGACGGAGGCTACGATGATGAGCCAGCTCCAGAAAGTGCCGGGGCCGTAGAGAGAGGATACGAGGGCCCAGCGGTTGAGAGCTTCCGTTGTGTTTGTCATTGATTAGAGGTTCTAGTCGGATATTTTGAGTCAGGCCTGTTGCGAGCTGGTCTTTATGAAGATGTGATTATGCCTTGCTGGCGCTGCAGCTGAGGACAAAAACGCCTTGGCGCTAAAGCTGTGCTGGACAAGACAGTGTTGGAGAAGCCAATGAGATTAACGGTAAGCAAAAGCAAAGGCGCATAGAACAATGAGAACTTCTATGGTGCCGAGGACACGTCTGACCGACTCCCTAGTTCCTTTTCCTAAATTATATATAAGTATTTAAAGCTGTTATACTTCCTTAAGATACTATTATCTTCAGGGCTTTATAGCGATTAATTGCTGGTTAGAACTACACTATGCTCATGAGGTAATGAAAGAAATATCCAGTTTAATATATATAAAAGACATAAATTTAAATAAAATTATATAAGAATATAAAAAATATCTAATAAATCTAAATTAATCTTTATTATTATTATTCTAGTTTTCTATAATCTTACTTATTTCTATAAGTCTTTTAATTCTTCTATATAAGACCAGCTTTCTTGACAATCACCAAGCTAACCGAACCAGCTTTGTGGATTCACATTCTTGTCGAACACTATTGCCAGATTATAGCCACTCTTTTATTTGCTAAACTCTTATCGGAAACCTTATTCAGATGGAACATATCTTCCAACGCCTTCTATAAGCTGAAGTCTATCAGGTGAGCGGAGGTTTGTCCGATCCTCCGACAACCCTCCATTTCCAAGCTCAAGCCACCACCAAAATTATCGGATCCAGAACTGGACCCGACTCCGCTAAGCACAAGCAATCCAACAATGATGTCATACTTCAATGTTCAATCCAGATGGTCAAGATTTCAATGCTCAATTGCTGGGGAATTATCATCCAAAACATCTATGTAGACCAACAAAAACATGTCCCAAAAAAAGCTACGCAAAATGCCATTCATATGAGTACAACCGCTCTTTCTTTCTTTTCCCTCCTCTTTCATTATGTAAGTCCCTTACCAAGGCTTAACCTTGAGCATGCTACCCTCCTCAGCCAAAGCCTTGTGCAAGTCAAAGGCGTTGAAGAGAAGGTGAGGCTCATGTCCCATACCCTTCTTCAGACCCTCCGACTCAGCCTTGTCGAAGTAGTGGGTCAAGATGGGCTGGTACTTGGGATGCGCGCACTTGCTAATGATGACGCGGGCACGCTCACGGGGTGAGAGGCCGCGGACGTCGGCGAGACCTTGCTCGGTGACGATGACGTCGAGGTCGTGCTCGGTCTGGTCGACGTGGGTCACCATGGGAACGATGCAGGATACACCGTGGGGATCGGTCTTGGAGGGTCGGCTGGATGGTGTGTGCATGATGGAGTACTTGGAGTTGCGGAGGAAATCGGCTGAGCCACCGAGACCGTTGAGCATGCGTGTTCCGCTGACGCAGGTGGAGTTGGCGTGGGCGAAGATGTCGACCTCGACTGGGGTGTTCATGCCAATGACACCGAGACGCTTGATGATCTCGGGGGCGTTGGAGACAGCTTGGCTTCGGAGGAGGATCTTGTCGGCGTAGGCATCCCAGTTATCGTAGAAGCGCTTGAAACCATCGGGCGAGAAGCGGATTGATGTGGCGGTAGCGTAGTCGAGCTTTCCAGAGTCGAAGAGATCGAGGAAAGTATCCTGAATAACCTCTGTCCAGACCTTGAGGTTCTTGAACTTGGACTCGTTGAGACCGCCGACAATAGCGTTGGCGACGTTGCCAATACCGGACTGAAGAGGCAGAAGGTTGGCGGGCATGCGGCCCTGGGCAACCTCGTGCTCGAAAAACTCAATCAGATGCCCGGCGATCTGGCGAGATGACTCGTCGGCATCGGCGTTGGGACCGGTAGCATCCCAGTAATCGGACTCGACGATAGCGACAACCTTGGAGGGGTCGACCTTGACTGAAGGGGAACCAATGCGGTCCTCAACAGCGGTGATGTTGTAGGGAGTGCGGTGGGGAGGAACGTCGGTGAAGGTAATGTCGTGGAGGCCCTTGAAAGAGGGGATAGCGGTGTTGACCTCGATGATGATCTACCAAGCGCAATTGTCAGTAACTAAAAGTTGGCGATGCAAGCTTAAGCTTGGCGGTGACGTACCTTGTCAGCCATCTGGATCAACTCGGGTGTAGCACCAACAGAGGCACCGGGAACAAAGCTGCCATCCTCAAGAATGTCAGTCGCTTCAACGACGGTGACATCAAGGTTGGTGTTTGATCGATCCTTGGTGTAGAAACCCTAGAGTCAAATTATCAGCTGATTGTCTCTTATCGGAGCCGCAATAGCTCGGTGGGAGATTAAAGCGAAGCCGAATGGTGGGGCCGCAATCAACAAATTTCTGTGCTTTGCTGTGCTTTTGGAGTTACGTACATAGACAAGATCAGAGGGGAACATGGACAAATGCTTGTCGAAAAAGTTGATTCGTCCAGAGTTGATTCCCTTGGCGATGTCCTTGCCAACCTGGTGAGGGCTTCGTCGGTTGATCATGTCGAGAGCAGCCCATCGGTTCTCCGTCTCGGAACCGGCCGAGGCACCGACGAAGAGAGAGTACTTCATCTTGCTCTGGAGATTGTTCTGCTCGACATAATCGGCCATAGCAGCGGGAACCTTCCTGTTGCGATTGTTAGTTGCATTGTTTGCGCCAAGCTCGGATAATGATCATAATAGCCGGTGCGGAGTCTGAAACTCAACACTCAACACAATTGTAGGGTAATGGATTGATGAGTGAAGGTACAGAAACGTACTTTGGGTATCCAACAGCTGTAAAGCCAGACCAGCCGATATAAGAGCCATTGGGAAAGTGGTGCATCAGATCCTCAGGTCGCGCAAGCTTCTTGAGCAGAGCGGGATTGCGAACGCGCGCCTTGAGGGCGGCAGAAGCAACAGGTGAAGCCATGTTGATCTGAGCAAATGTACCAAAAAAGGAAGAAAGAAGAAAGAGGGGAGATTGTTCCGTAAAAACGTTTCAGGGAGGGAGAGTAAAAAAGAGGAGGAGGAGGAAAGGATAAATAAGAGGGAAGAAAGAGAGAGAGCTCCAACCTTGGTTAGTGGAGGTCACTCAATTGGATTCGTCGGGGTGACGGTGACGAGGGGTGGATCACCGAACCCACCGAGTCCTCAGAGCGGGGATGCATCGATTTCGGTGGTTGGCCTGTCGGTTATAGTGGACGCTTCAGTGTGTCTTCTCCAAATTTCCATCCAGGTACCGTTATGCCTCTTGGTTCAGCGAAGAGGTACAACGCGGAGAGAAGGGAAGTTCTGCCAAGCACCGGATTTACAATTCCGTTGTATCATAGAGAGCAAGAGTGTAACCTACGTAGAGAGAGTAACTTGCTGATGTAGTTGATCTCCAGATCTACCGACGTTGCCGAGAGAAGAGTGCATCGGTCATGACACTATTAGGCAATATATGCGTGTGGCCTGATTCTCTCACACATCCTTGACTTTATATCCCGTGATCTTTTCAACTGCTCACCTTGACACTATTAACCTGGCGATGTCTTCTATAAACTCCATTATGCAAAATACTTCTCCGGTCTGTTTTTTAGAGGCTCTTGTACACCGGCTCTCCCGCCGCTCATCACCTCCGAGCCCGCATTGTGGATCCCCGCCATCTTCTCCAAAAAACCATGCGCCCCATCTTCCGCCCGGCCGAGAAGAGCACAGACCACCATCGGCATCACTCGGTTATCAGCCTCCAAAGACGCACGCTACAGGCATATTCCAAGCCATAGAAATTCTAGAACAGCCCGTATCGGGTGTTGATTAATGACGGCGCTTCTTTTTCATCCGGGGTCTAGCGTCTCGGTGCCGTTTTATCTTACCCCGGAAAGTTTGGTCGGCAATCATTTGCGAATCACCGCTCTTGAATCTTCCCTTAGGTTCGTCGGGACAAGGGTAAGATCTGGGGTAAAGTATGGAGTGCTCTCATTCCACCATTAGGTGGCTAGGGGAGGCAAGAAAACTTAGGACTTCGATCCTAAGTGATAAAAAGACTTGGGTAAATTATCATAAGCTTAGGGGGCTCTTAGATGAGTTTATTTTGGCATCCTTTGTTAAGGTCTGAAGTTTTCTTGCTCCCTGAGGCGGGGATTTGCCTTGCTGCCCATACCTAGAGTCTTCAAACCCTCCTAGCCCGTGTATCTCCCCCGATATATTCTCTTCGCGCTGAACCCGGTATAAGCACCAGCCTACCATCATTGACATGTTTTGCCATCCGTCGTTAGCCATGGTGCCGAGGACACGTCGATGTTTTGTTGCTCTTTCGCATCGACTCGCCAGTCCGGCGCGGGATCTCGGCTGGCGACGCTTGGTAGAATGGGCATCGCGACGGCGCTTAGACTGGGTCTGTGCTGCGGGTATGAGAAGGAGAAAGTGGTAATGCTGGGATAGGCTGATGGGTTGCTTTGGAGAGGTGAACTGAAAAGGGATCGATTTGGGAGCGAAAATCGTAAGGAGCGATCGTGCCGTTTTCTTTTTTGAGTTGTTCGTGATAGAGGAGGCATACTAGCCGATGTTGATGAAGATGCTTGTGGAGTGTCCCTTTCAGAAGACATGTTGGAATAATGTTGATGATAATGACTAAATTGAATGGAACGGCTGGTTGAGATGTAAGAATGAGGAACCGATCGTTGACTGGCTCAGCGCTGGAGCATGTACCTAGGCCATGCTTGGTTGGTTAAGGGAAGTCGGGACCCTGACTTTCTAGTGAACTCGAAGGCCAACTGATAATGGGAGCGAAATACATTTTGGTGTACCTTACCTTAGGGACTGCGGAGTTCTCGAGTATTGCCTCTTCCCTGTGCGAAGCAATCATTGGTTGAGGGACTACATTGGGTGGAAATGACGATTTGGTCTTCCCATCTCTGGCCTCCTGTTTAGTCTAAGAATCAGGATTCAAGACGGCTGTTGGAAGATATTGAACCATCACTTCATCTCACGCTTTGGTGAAGCAGTGATCAATAAACGGAAGATCTCATAGAAGTCTCAGACCAAGTAGACGGTTCTAGGATGAGTCTATCCATAACTTTCACTCTTTACATAATTTACACATCCCAATTAGTAGGCAGAGTTCTCTAGTCTCTTTGCACCCCAGGCCTGTGTAAGTCAGTCAGCAAGCAGTAAGTAGCCTACAAATAGTTCATTGCAATGACAGCTCCGAGCATGTCTGGGAACAGGTTGTCTAAAGCCAAAGCAACTGTCTGATTGTCTATCTGCGTGTCTGGCAACTCATTGAGCTAGGGCTCTGTCTTCTTCTCCAACTATTAAGCCATAGGCCACCGCCGTCCACCATGTTCGTCTCATTCCTTGCTTCCATCCCCTCTAATACATGCGTGATCGAATACCAATGGCCACCTCTCTCACTGTCCTGCCTGGGGCTCTTGCTGGCGCTCCTCAACATTGGTCTCAGCCTCCTGCTGCGTCACAGGAATATACTTCAACTCATCATGAACCGCCGCCTCGAAGTGAGCTTCCTCCTGAGGAGTGAATCGTGGGTTAGCCGGCCAGCCTATGAGTGCTTCAATCACATCCTCATGAACGCCCCAGACCGAGAGTCTTCCATAACGCTCAATCTCTTCCATGCTCCATCGAATGTCCATCTTGTGTCGGTTTGCCTTGTTTCGGACCCAGCGCCAGCATGCCGTCGTCATGTCTCCTAGGTTCCGCCAGCCGTAGCCGGCGTATGTCGTACCCAAGACGCGCAGGAAGTTTTCTTCCCAGTTCTCGTTGACGATTGCCTTGCCTGGGATACGCATTCCGCTTCCAAAGTGATCAGCTGGGCGGGGTGTGTCCGGACGTGGAGCTTGGGGGCTTGGAGGTGCGGGACGGAATTCTTTCAGGGTTGGGGATGGAGGAGGAGGACCCATTCTAGGATCGTAGACAGTACCGCTGGGATTACGCTCGAGGCTATCTACCTTCCTATAGAACTCATTGAAGTAGATCTTCGCAATCATGCGGGCCTCCTCGGAGGTATCTCGTTGTTCAGACATTGTGGTTTCGTTTGGTGTAGTGAATGTGCTGTTTTGTTGTGAAGTATTGTCTTTTTCGTAACGTGAGTCTCGTTTTGATGGACCAGCACATTGTTACAGCGCCCGAACCGTCTTATATTACCCATTGCTATGATGCAAGGGCTCATGATTCACTATCGCATTGAGGGAGTGATGCAGAGTGATGCAGTGGAACCAGAGACCTACATATCTCATTCTGACTAGCTGCTAACTTCACTTCACACATTGTCCAGGGGGAAAGGCGAAGGTTATTATGCCATCACAACAGCAGCTTCACTGCCATGATTCTCTCGATCGTCTGTCAAAGTCCTTCACTGCTCACTCCGTAAGGCTTTATTCACCGTGCAAAGTAAGTCGTCGTGATTTGACATGTTGAACTAGCTTCAGCCTTTGAGTGTCACGCACCGTTCAGTCGAAGCTGTACTGTCCAGAGTGAGATGGATTGGTCAGTAGAACCGTCACTCCGGGCAAAATGAACATTGGGGTCTACTGCAGGTCCTTTTTCTGACTTCAACGGCTATCGTAATGACTGACATCAAGTATTCCTGGTAGAACAGACTTTAGTGCTGCTGAACTTGCCGCTCATCTGCCAGATCCGCATCATGATCCTTCGCCACCTCGTCCCCTGATCACCATTTTGGGGGATTTTGCCTTCTTCCAATCCACAATCTCAACTTCTTCCAGAACCTCGTCTTCTTCCAGTATCTCTCCCTCCTCCAGTACCTCTCCCTCCTCCAGTACCTCTCCCTCCTCCAGAATTTTACCTCCTTCCAGAATCCTCTCCTCATCGTCCATAATCTCCTAGAATTCCTTCTCGGCCTTTTCCGTGACCGGGTTATCGGGAAACCCGACGATCGCCTTGACAGCCGCAGAATCAACTCCCCACTGCGTCAGTCTCGCGGCTCTGTCAAACTCCTCCTTGGTCCAGGGGCGTTCCAGGCGATGACTTCCTTCAGGCTTATCCTCAAGCTCATCTTTGGCTTTGTTGACCATGTCGACACAGTTCTCGTACTTGCCTACGTGTTCGGGGCCGAGAACGCGAGCGACGTTTTGCTGGAAGTCGCGGTTGGCTGGCGAGTCGTGCAGTGAGGCGTCGGCACCCGCTGGTTCGGAGGCATACTCCTTGTTCGGGATTTGTCTGGGCTTTTTGATCTTTGAGACGGAGTGCTTTCGGATGGAGGCTTTGACAGCAGCGGAGTCCTTGCGAGTGGAGGCCTTTTGGGCAGAGACTTTGGGGGCGGTCTCTCTCAGAGGTGAAGGACGAGGAGGTGGTGGGCAAGCATACTTTCTCTCATGGTCGGTCAGGTCGGAGACGCGCTTGTAGAGGGGGTTGTTGTAGAACTCCGAAAAGTCATCGTCGCTATTGATGTCGTTTGGCTGAGTAGACATTATTGATTGGTTGTTACCTTGAAGGTTGTTCGTGTTGGATGTAGTGTATTCTTGTGTTGATGAGTATGTATCTCGTAGTAGTTCGTAGAAAATACTACTCCAAGGAGATGTTTGTGTAAAAGGGTGAAAGTTAGAGTTCATCTTGTTGTGATTGAAAGTTGACTTGATGTATTGTTCAGGGAGGTGTGATTCAGCTTGCTGTTCTGCCACTGCCAGAGCAGTGGCGATGCCCTCGCAGTGCGCGCGACTGCTCACGACGCGTCCAGCTCCCACTGGCTCCTTTCTGGGTTCAGCGGCGAAGGCCTGAGGACAGGCACTGGGACTTTGGAACTCGGCGTTGGCCAACAATTACCTTACTGGGTGATGAGAACCATCTACGGAAGTCAAATCAAATACAAAATTAACATTAAACTACAGTACGCTTAAATATCAGATCGCTCAATATGCAAGTATATATCACCAACGCCTGCTCCATCCTTACTCCTCTCCCTTCTTATCGACGCAACACTCGTCTTGACCACCTTCTCAATGGCATCACCACCACACACAGCGACAGCAACATTCCCAGGAACACTGCCGACGGCCGTTCTGATGAACGTCGCTATCTCAGGCCGACCCTCTGTATGTTCAACAGCCGAAGCATGCGCTCCATCGAAGTCCATGTCCATCTCCTCCTTCAGCAACTGTTCTTCTCTTCCACTCTCCGACGATGCAGTGGAGTCTATCGAGAAGCGCTCCAGTTCGACACTCGGTCCTCTCGTGTGCTCTTCAATCAGTCTCTCGCGACTTGCGTTCGCGTCGTCGCGAAGAACCGCATCAGAAACGGTACCAACACCCTTCGTCACAGCGACTTGAACATTCACAGAGATCCCCATCTCCTTCGCTCTCAACAGCACACCCGATACATGCTGAAGATATGGCTCTGCATGCGCTTTCCGACGAACAATGTACAAAGCATTGATCTTGCGAACGCACCCAGGCGATTGTGTTGAAAGCAGATCCTCGAGAACAGGTGTGATGAACGATCCTCCCGTCGACGCAGCGACAAGAACAACATTCTCATACTGTTTCCAAGTCACCACCGCACCAAAAGGCCCTGTAAGCATAACCCTCATACTCCCATTATCACCCCTCAATCCCGCCCTTCTCGCCCAATCATTAAGATCCCTCGTCAATCCAGTCTTCGTCTTGATCGTAAGCTGAACATCCTGACTCTTCCCTTGAGAATCCGGAATATTAGCAATCGTGAACGGATGCGGTGTCTCCCATCGAAAAGTCGGCGACCAAATCAGAACATGTTGCCCGGGCTTCCACTTGAAGCCAACATTTCGAATAGTCATGATGGTTAGTTCGTCGTCGACTGCTTGGATACTGGCGTCGTATGCGTATCGTACAGATGGATTCGCCGAAACCCGAAGCCGAAGATTCCGCCAGATCGGGTTCGCCGAGCGTGTTACTACATCGTATGCAAATACGCCCACGGCGCACCAGATGCTGAAGAGGTGGTGGTCTGGAACGTGAAGGACTAGGAAGACGAGAAGTAGTACGACTGAGATGATGTGTTGTACCACGAAGAGTTCGTACTTCATGCGTCGGAAAAAGGGTAGCGTCGACACAACAGTCCAAGCTAGGATGAACCACGCTCCAATTCCTGGTAACACCATCTTGACGGTCTTTATCTCTGTCCAGAAGAAGCTGGCTGCTAGCCATTCCCATGTGAAGAAACTGCCGTGGATGGTTGCGCTTGCGAAAAAGACCCTTGATGCCCATCTGTGAAACCAATTGAGCCTCTCGTATGAAGTTCCTAGTAAGAGACTAATTGGATTGAAGCGCACGGCTAAGAGGAAGGGTAGTGAAGTCTGTGTCGCAGTAATCCAAGCCGCGCGAAACGCAATGCGCTCGTGGAAATTGGCGTCGTGATGAATGGACTTGTATGTTACAAGGCCTGCCACGAAAGCTGTATACGCAACAACGACGATTGTCTTGCGAACTGGCAAAATAGCCGACTCAATTGGAAGTCGAAATATTCTTGATACAAGAGACTTTGGCGCATCAACCAGCTTCTCTACCGTAGAGATGGCCGTATCTGAACTTGCTCCAGCATCTCTTCGTTTTATCCTGGGATGTCTCAGCCTTATTCCTTCGTCATTTTGAATCAACGTACCGTTGTTTAGCGATAAAAATAGAGATTAATCGTGAGACAGAACCAATTATCAATACCATCGCCAAGACGTACCAGTAAAGGCATGCGAGAAAGTGCTGTCTCACTGAATCCTCACTATGATGCCCATGACCGTGACCGTGTTCTTCCTCCTCATGGCCGTGTCCATGACCGCCGTGTCTTTTTAACAAATCCATAACGATAACATGAAGAGGAGAATTAGACAAGTGAGATGCCTCGTGTTGGAATGAGAGCTAGCTTAGCCAACAGGGTAAGGTTAGATTACGTGATGCGAAATCTCCGGATGGGCCGGGCCGTAATTGGTGGATGGAGGGAATCTTGCTCAAATGGACTCAGCCACGAAGAGCCTGGACGAGCATTGATGATGGCTGATTAATTAAGGTATCTGGGCTGGGTTCAATTGGTAGCTTGGTCTTCAGTACCTCCGTATTGAGAAGGCTGAACTTAATCTCAGCTTTGTGATGATGCTATTTTGGGCGAATTACCCTATACCATTGAGCTCTTTGGAGATGGGTTTACGAAATGAGGAGTGAAGCTTTCCGAATAATATCTTGTCAGCGATTGGATAGCTCGTATGCAGCGTCCAACCAGGTAGACCTCAGTATCTTCTTTGGGGCCATTGCGCAGTCCATGCTGACAGGATCGATGCGGTAAAGACAGTTTCCATTGATTCGGCGTCTGGAGTCCTCTGCCATTTATGCCTGGGTTACATTTACTGAAGGAAACAAGTTGACTAGACCGATAGAGAGAGACCAGCCACCAAGACCCCTCGCATTTTTTAAGTTGCAGTTGTGACTATTTGCATTGCAAACGTCGTTGTGGTGAGTGGTAGCTTCAAAGATGGGTGTTCTTTCATGTACGTACAGGCCAAGATGCCCAGAAAGCCGAGACCAACGAATTCCTGATCTTCAATCCATCCCCGTTGTATTCGTAATATCTTCCCCAAGGTCTTCACCGAATGTCATGACGCAACACTGAAGCAAAATCGCATTGACCGACGTTGACAACCCACATCCAACTCATCATCTGCAAGGCGTCTAATGTCTCAGCCGTATCAACATTCTTCCACAGTCCCAATCACCACTACCGTTCTCAGCACTCTCTGCCGATCACCCATCCGTAACCGGCGTCACTCGTGCACCTGACCAAGCCACTGATCGTCAAGCTGCATAAACAGCGTCACATTCTAAAAAACATGTGAAGGTCAATTTTCGCAATCAATACGACTCTATTGGTTCCGATGTCGGGCGCGCCATCTGTCTCAAACAACATCTCTTCAATGGTTCTCTCACAAAGATAGGCGTTTATAAAAAGAAAAGAGCATGCATTATTGAGGGGAGAGGTGGTGTTGGTGGTAGAGATTAACTTGCAGCTGTTGAGGCACAGCTCGTAGGTGGCTGTCTCTTTTTCGTTCCTGGGCGTGGCACCCCAAGACCCCCAAAGTTATCATGTGCAGCACGAGACCTTTACCACGACAAAGAATGGGTCATGCAAAAGAGGGTGTTGTCGTCTTATTGCATCAGATGGGACATGAATCTGATCTGGATGAAACCCTCGGCTGCTCATCTTATCTTCACATGCTGCGAAATACACTGATGATAGGTGTTTGATGATTCAGGCACAGGCACAGGTACAGTGAGTTGTCATGCATCTTCTATTTCTGGGGGTCCCTATCATCATCAACGAAAAGGTTCCAAGCGCTCGCCAAGACATTTACCCCATTGACGATTCTCTCGTAACCAAACCACATTTTCAGTGACGGCGTCAATATAGCCACGGGAAGACCCGGCGTACAAAAATCGGGAGGGTCTGTGTTTCAGACGCTGGGATCACCCCCGCAATTGAGTGAGTGAGTGATTTTAGGCGCTCTGTGAAACTGGTCTGTGACTTTGGGATCAGTGCGAAAAAGAACGGACGAAATGAGACCTTGGATGATTTGCATATCAGGTTCAGCTATTGACGGGTCGATGTATGCAGGCATGGATGGTTATGCATTGGTATTGTGTCCCACTTGATGTTTGACACGTGGATACCTTGAAGCATGATAAACTTGAGACTTTGATCATGAATATTATTCAGTAGACACTGTGAGTACAGATATCCAGCTACTATTGTAAAGCTTGCAGTCTACTGAGAAACAGAGCACGGCGTAGAGAGTGTAAACGCCGTTGGATCTCAGCGGACGGACCGACAGAAAAAAGGCGCAGCAACGCGAAGCGGGCCGCCCAAAAGCCAAGTCCCAATTAACCCCTGTCGCTCGCCTGCGTGACGTGGGACAACCCTGCTAGACCCTCTAACCGTTTGGGTCAAAATAGGTGTAGAGAAAATGTCAGTCCCTGCAGACAAGATCGATAGACTGCTTATTCCTCAAGCCTTCGGTATGTTTGTTCCGTAACGCGCCGACTTATGCTGGTCCTGAGCTGATGAAAACACAGAGGCTAGGAGCACCGAGAGACACTAGAGACGGGCATCATGCCGGGCCACCCCCAGACACTCGGACTCTTTTTCTTTTGTCGGGGATACAGTGATACAAGCTCATGTCTCTCATTTTCACTCTCCCATGAAGCAAAGCTGAGCATGTGAAGATGAATATCTAACACTGGTCCTACAAGCCGTCCACGTCATATGATTCCCTGCTTCACATTCCGTACCTTCATATACAATATCTATCCGTTCATCCTCCTCAGGACCTGCACTTCACATTTTCGCTTCTTCTCGGCCCATCTGCAAAGCCCCATAACTTCTCTTCTCTTCCGGTCCCGCAGCCGATCATCAACGCGCAAAGCCGTCGTGGGTCATACCGCAACCCACCAATTGAGTAACAAAGATCCACTGGCTGGCGAAGTTTGGGTAAGGTGACATTTTCTTCTGGTGATCGGTAGACTGTTGGACTAACAGGATGGTCTTGTTGAAGAGAAAAACAGGACCGAGTTTGACTAAAACAACGCACCGCTTGAGATCGTCAATATCATTCGATTTGGGTTGACGACGTGTGATATTGAGATCAGAGCGAGGCAGAGCAGGATTGAGAGTCAAGTCGACAGATACTCACATTGTGTTTTGTCTACTTGCTTTGACTCTTGAGCTTAAGCTTATTGTTACTCATAATTAACCTCACTTACTTCAACCCACCAAACGCAAATACCCGGCTTTTACTCCCGACATTTCTACTCACCATTACCTAAAGTCCATTATCCACCATCAAACACTGCACCTCCTCTTTCAGCAACGCTATTCCTTAGGTACATGACACCACCACCGTCGTGCATATCCTTTCACCGCCCAGAGTGCCAATTCAACACCCCTGGTCCCCAGCATCCCGCTTAAAGCCCCTGCTAGGGCCCTGAACTTTTTCTTAACCGGGGGGCTTGGCTTGTTTAACTTGGGTTAAATAACAAAGAGAGTGCCAGACCGCAACTTTTTTGGTTCTTGTTGTTTCTCCCGCAACCAGGTTTTCGCCTTCGCTTCGCTTCACCGCGGAAAAGAAGTGGAAAGCTTTCTCCTTTTTTTATACTTATACTTGTCTTTCGTTTTTTTCTTTCTTGGCTGTGACTTGTACCTTGGCTGGACTGGGTCCGAGATTGTGTCTGTCGTTTTTGGGGGATTATTAGTAAAAGGGTGCTGTTGTGAATACCCTCTACCTCAACATACACCAACATACTTTCTTTTACTGGAACGACACGCAACATATTAATCTCGCCTTCAATTCACCTTACCTCATACTTCAACTGGCCAGCTTGGTATCGTCGAATGTTGGCCCATCATGGAGGAAAGGTCTGAGTCGCGAGCTTCAGGTACAACATACCATAGCTTCGCAGACACTGAGCTGTTTGAACCCATGTCCCCCCCTCGACCACCCGTCACCCATGATACAACCAGTCTTCAACACCTCGAACAACTTCAACATGAGCTTCAGCGTCAACAGCGTGAAGCGCCGAGTAGCAAGGACTGGGTGAGAGAGCGTCGACCTGGCACGGCAAAGATGCAGCGACAAGATTCAGGCTACGAGTCAAACACGCCCCGACGAACATCCACTTCTAATACATCCCACGGCGGATCTACTATTAACAATGCTCACCTCCTCGTTGGTCGACGATCGTCAAATGGTTCTTCCAAGGATGGTAGTGGTAGTAGCAATGGCTCAGGAGTCAGATCTCGTTTCCGAAATCGTCGCCCTTCACTCCGTCGAGCAGCAAAGACTCACCCCGTCCAACCAACACGTACATCCAACCAATCCCTCCATCTCGTACGCACTACAACAGCTACTTCTCCCCCAAACAATCCGCCGCATTCTTCCACTTCCCATCGCCAGATCCAATTCAACTCGCCGACACCGTTCCCGACCGTCGCGTTCAACCCACGCCCATCCCCTCACCCCCACCTCAGACAACACACTACTGGACCAGCGACCGCACCCGCCGTCTTGAATACGCCGCCATCGACGCTGCAACGCGCGGTGTGAAAGGCTGGGTGCTGAGACATCTCGTACCGGATTGTTTTGTGTCGTGCGAGAATAAACATGTCTCGTTTGATGATGATTCGGGCAGCGTGAGAAGGTATAGACTTGAACTTGAGGATGATCATGCTGAGAAGTCGGGAGGAAAGTCTGTGCGGCGACGCAAGGGATGGAAATTCTGGCGCCGCCGAAAGGTCGATGCTCAACCTACGGCCTACATCTAAACACAACACACACCCCTACCACGAACAAAGAAACACCACATCACCCGCATATCGCATCGCATCGTTGGCGTTATATACCCGTTGGCTTTTACATCGAGTTAATTTTACAGAAAGACACCTGCATGATACAAGAAGATAATGATTTGAAGGAGCATTTGGAGCGAAAGAAAGAAAGTATGAACTAGATGAAGAGATGTTGCATGAAGCTTCTGTTCTGGCGAGGGAAGTTTATTTATTCTTTATTTTATTTTATTTATTTGCAAAGTTACTATTTAACAGATATTTCGACATTGTTACCATTTATACCATAAGCAAAGTTAGTATTGTTTAAAGACAAGAATGATTGACTTTTTGGCAAACATGTTCAGCTTGGTGAAGTCCGTGACTTGTTGTTCTTTGTTCTCGGGGTGCTCAATAGCTTGGACCGAGCGTCGTTCACGAGATTGGTGATGATATAATGATCGGGCCTCTCCATTGTCCGCTTAATTTCTCAAATACTGCAATTTATCAACCGATTCATTATGCCAGAACCGATCTGCAAGAAACAGCCCATGATGCTCATCTCACCGAATGAAACGCCGGCCACGAGCCGCTCCGCTCCCGAGGGTCCACTCCGGAGGTCAGCTTCGGAGCCTTGTCAAACGATACTCCCGATCCGTCGCAAATCCCTGGAATTAGTGGCTCCGCTGACCAGGGAGGAGGAGATTGATCGAGAGGTGGAGCAGGTTCCGATTAGACTTGGGAGGATTGTTGTCAATATGCAGGAGCACTATGCGGCGGAGCTGGAGGCTGAGAGACAAAGAACGGAAGAGTTGGCGAGTCAGAATGAGGAGATGATGAGGAAGATGGGGGAGATGGAGAGGAGACTGCAGATGCATGTTATTCTCATGGATGGATTTGTCGGGTTTATGAGGGATGTGAAGGAAGGGAAGTTTGCAACTGGTGGAAGTGCAGAACTGGAGATTGCAAAGGCATTTGGGGGGGAACATCTCCAAGAAGTGGGAGGGCTTGTCGCAGAGAATTACATGTCAGTTCAACAGGGTGTGGAGCAGCCGGCTACCGAACCCATGGTATTTGGCGATGAAAATCAGGTTCGAGAAACAGCGGCGGTCATCCGACACGTGAGCTTTGATGAATCGCCGTCAACGCCAGATCTAGAAGCGCCTCCTGTGAGAAGCACTGGACGACGAGCACCGAAACGCAAGAACCCTCCTGTAAGGCCACATCGCGAGGTCAAGCGACAAATAAGGGCAAGTTTGCGAAGTGTCAAACTTCGTAATACTTCATCATGGACTGCCATTAATACGAGGAAGTCCCCGTATGCAGGTGCTGACTTGAGCAATGGGGAGGATAAGGACTTCAACTACACCCCGGAGCCTGAGATTGAAGAGGATGACGAAGAGGAGGGTGAAGAGCAGGAGGAGGATGACAGCGACGATGAGGTGGAAGATATCCCAAATGCCCCGGCAACACCATCGCCATCCCTCTCAGACGAAGATCTCGAAACAACAAAAACACGATACGCCGCCCCCCGCTCCGTCGCATACCGCTACGCAAGCGGTCCACCCGGCCGCAAGTTCAAATATCGCCGCATGCCCAAGACCGTCGCTTTAGTATGGCAAGAATGGAAACACGGCAGTAACGGAAATCCATCGATTCAATCACTCGAGGAGAAGTACAGCACGAGATGGCGAATGGGAACATTGCAGGAGCGTAAGTATGCGAGTAATTATGTTGGTGTGAGACAGAAGGTTGTGAGAAAGGTGGAGGAGATGTGTGAGCAGGAGGGGTTGACGCCGGGAAAGGCTTGTGAGATGCTGGATAGGAGGGTTGATGGGAGGATGCAGTTGCTGATGACGGCGTTGAGGAAGGGACAGGATCCGTTGGTGGTTATTCCGAGGAGGATGTGAGTCAGTCAGCGATGTTCTGTGATGGTAGTCAAAGAGATGATTGACCTGAATCAGTGGTGGTCATTGTTGAGGGAACAGCTGGACAAACGAACAAGCCTCATTCAGGTGTTGTCAGAGAAGTGTTCAGTGGTCTGAAAGACAGGTCCTTTCATCAGTGAACAACTTCTTCGACGCCCCTCCTGAGCTGACCATTGCTTTGTCTTCACCACCTGAACAATGATACGCACACAGAACATGATATATCATTTCACCCACAGACCTCACTAACAATCGTTAAAAGCACTTCATCATGCCTTTCACTCACTTCTTCAGCTTCAATCTGTCTCTGGAAGCTTACACAAAACACTACTCACTGTCTCTGACAGACTACACGACGCTACTCACTGACATATCAACACACGTTTCAACTCAATAATGTGCTACACACAGGTCATCCATATCACACGCTGCGAGACCCGTCGTCCAGCGATCATCAACACCACTACCGGCGAAACAGTTTACCATCCGCTCGAACCGCCTCGGAACTGCGAGCACTACCGTCCGTTTCGCGACGCAACCTGTCCTTACCACGGAGACTGCTGTTCTCCCGGGCAGATCTTCTTCTGTAATGCAAAAGACCTGAGGGATACGTGTTGTGGTAGGCAGGCCTATCATATAAATATTCATCCTCATTATATGTACGACGATGGTGTATTACACCAAATGGAACCCATTGACGATTGGGAGATACTTGAGACAAATACGGATGTTTTCGCTTATGAGGAGGATATTCGATATCAATTCTTTGAAGCCGGCGCAGCAATGTATGAACTTGCGCAGGACGCCGATAAGATTGTTGAGTGTATTCTCAGCAACCAGACATGCTGCCCCGAGGAAGAAGCAGATTTGTTCATTGAACATGGCGATCTTTATGAGATGTGGAGTGAAGCTCACCATGAATTTGTGGGACTGATGGAAGCGTGGGAGATTCTGGCTAATGTAGGCTGTATGGAAGTCTGCCCAGCTTCTCTCCTCCGCGTTCATCCCTGGAGGGACTGCTTCCAGGAATGTCAAACGCTACAAAAAGGGTTTCCGCAATTTAATTGTCTTCCGTTTGCTTGGGTTGATAATCTTGAGCGTCAGGATAATATTCTGCGATGGCATCCTTATTACTCTCAGTACAGAGTCCCTCGTCCTCCGCCAGCGAGGGACGACTCGCTTTGGACATCGCCTGCACCATACAATACCAAGTCGTCTTTTTCTGAACCCCCTGTTACATGGGATCCTGAGGTTCAGGAACAAATTGAGGCGTTGCCTTATCCTGGACAATGGGTTGAGGTATTTGATGATAAGGCTCGACAACTGGCTCAGATTGAAACTGAGCTTTCTGGGCGGCCTAATTCATCACTTTCATCGAGTTCTGGGCCAGATACTCCTTCGTGGGTTATTCCTTATGGTCAGGAACCGGATATGGGCTGGAAGGACATTGATTGGCACAACTGTACTACAATGATCGAGGCTCCTATGAGTCCGAAGACTCTTCCTTGTAAGGGAGAGATTACACGGGTCATGCCCCCGAGGGACAGTTATATGAGACCCGAGGACGTGCCTATGAGTCCGAAGGCTCTTCCATACAGGGGAGAAATTGGAAAAGGCATCCCCCCATGGAGCAATCCCATTGTATGTCAGGAAGTTATGCCTAGGGACCTATTTGGCGATCAGCACGAGGTTCCATGGAATGGGTCTAGTTTCACTGGGACGGAGAAACCGGCAGAGCAGGAGTTTCTCCATATCCCGACACCAATGGAGAATCTCCATACCATTGCGTCTAAAGCAATGGAAACTCTGAAGAGGAAGAGTGAAGAGGATTTGGATGGGGATATTAAGAGGAAGAGACCGAGGGGGGCGGAGAAACCGGCAGAGGAGTTTCTCCATGTCCCTTCACCAGTGGGATATCTTCAGACCGTTGCATGTAGAGCAATGGAAACCCTGAAGAGAAAAAGCGAGGATGATTTGGATGGGGAGATTGAGAGAAAGAAGCTGAGACTTTGTACTATGTGAGGAGTTCATGGATTAGGTTTTGGGAGTTCTAGGAGTTTAGGGGTCTAGGAGTCTGGGAGTCTGGGAGTTCAGGAGTTCAGGCGTTTGGGACACAAGGTTTGAATAGATTGTGATACTACATAAAAATGGTGGGAAATATGTGACTAGTTTGATCGTGAGAAAAGTGATTGTCTTCATTCGTGCTTTACTAATACTGCTTATCGTTTACTTGTTGGGTTGTCTGAAGCTGGTGACCAGACCAGTCTCCTCATCTCTTTCAACACCACCACCGATGACAATCCCGTTCACACGGCGCGGAAGACTCAACAGGCCTTTACCAACAGCATTATAGTCCCCGAAGAACGTATGAGCGCGAACATCAGATCCAGTAGTCAATCCATGACCCAGAGCTACACCCCACATATCTCCAACACGAATAGCATGCGCAGAAGAACTAGCATCGCGCTCCAGAAGAACGGAGTAAATACATCCTGTGTACATCACAACGCCATCGGCTTCGTTAGCGGGAAAGTCCCAGCGTTTGCCGTCTGAAGATACAGGATGCCACGGTGTGACGAGTACTTTGCCCACGCGGCACAGGATCTCTTGCTCGACAGGTGTTTTGAGAACTAGGACGACACGGCGCGAACCTCGAGGTGTGCGGACTTTCATACCGCGTCGAAGTTTTCTGATCTGGACTGTTCGGCCAGAAGCGAGTGTGACGCTTGTAGAGCCTGCGAAGCAGACGCCGCTGGAGTTGCGGTAGGAACTCATGCTGACGGGTGTGAATGAACTTCGTGAACGACCGCTTCTAGCGTGTACATGTCGTGAAGGTTCGGGGGCGGGGAGATTATCGAAGATTTGATCCAGTGCGTCGCGGCACGAGATGAATAGAGGGCTATCGGTGCTGTACTGAAGAGGGCCGGGGTCTTTGAAGGAGTTGCACACTTGGCGGGTATGGGCGTTGAGTAAGGATGGGAGGAAATGGCATCCCCATCTGTTGAAGTACTCTTTGCTTTCAATGGCCATGGAAACTTGACCTTGGGGTTCGTCGGCTGATACATCTTTCATCAGGGACTGATTCTTCTCATCGTCAAAGTTCTTAGCGGGCAAAGTGTCGATCCATGTTCGAAGCTCTTCGCGCTTGTTCTTCATACCCCTAGTGATACTACGCTCACCATCTACCCCAAGAGGAAACATGGTCGAGATGAAGTGGCAGATTAGAGACCTCGATTCGTGGTATGCGATCTCAGAGGCAGGTAGATCACTGTACTCCAGAATACTGCGCTGATTACTCGCCATGGGAATGAAGTCAGCGTCTTTTGATTGCATTGACTCGAGAACTTTGCGACTCTTGAGACAATCCCCAGGCTTGACGTATGTCAAATGCGCATCGACAAGAGAACGAGTTGGATTCTCTTCATTCACGGACTCAAGTATTTTGAGACCATCAGCCCGAAGGAAGATATCGCGAGATTGCCCAAACTGCAGATTTCCAAGATTGATCGTAAGTTCAGCCTGACTATCCTCCGAGTCGTCCGCAAACTCGGGGGCAATCTGCTCCACAGAAGGTCCTGTTGTTTCATACAACTTCAAGGGCTTAGTGTATGAGAGCTTGAGAACAGCGCGAGTTGCGAATGTACTCTGGAGGTTTGCGACAGCGTGGACGAATACAGTGCCGATCATACCGGCGTCGGGGATGAAAGCGTAGTTACCGCCGCCAATCTCGGCGATGGACTTGAGAAGGCCGGAGCGGAGACTGTAGCCGAAGCCGAAGGTGTGGATTGAGGCTGGGAGGGGACCCATTGCGCGGATCTTGGGGACGAAGCCTGCTGCTGGGTTCCTGTGAAGGTGAGTATGTGCGATTGGGGGGGATGGGAGGGGACTTACATGTGGTTTGGCATGCCATCAGTGAGGATCATGATGGCAGGGACGTTGGTAGATGATTCTCCAGTGTTGAACAGCTTGATACCGTCAAGCATACCTTGCCAAAGATTGGTAGCATCGAGAGGTTTCATGCTCTTAACATTCTTCAACGAGCGAGCTTTGTTCTCTTTGTTCATGGGAATAAGAGGTTGAAGAACCTTGGCCTTGGAGGCAAAGGTAACGATACCAAGACGATCATTTTCGTTCATCGACTCAATGATAGTAAGTGCAGCATGCTTTGTGAGGTCAAGAACAGATAGACCATTACTCTCGTCACTTTCTCCGGGTACTGGCGCCGCAGAGACCATGGAACCGGAGACATCAATGACAAGGACGATATCGCAAGGGACATGGGGAACGTTGACGGATGGTTCTTTTGGTGGTTCGATCTTGATCAAGAGGCCATTTCTGTTTGGTACAGGCTCTAGACGAAGAATTGCATCTTTATCAGAAATGGTCCCAATGGGTTGAACCTGTTCCTTTTCGGAGGTTTCATTGACTTTCTCGTCATTGGTGCTCTTAGAGCCACTGACGAGACTGCGAAAGATGGGTACTCTCTGAACATCATCAGTTACAGTAATCCTTTGAAGACTTATCGATACATACCACCATGATGGGCTATTATCACCGTGTCAAACGGATGCGAGATCTCACAGAGTCTCAATGAGATTAGAGGAAAGAGTTGAGATGCTGTGTGTAAGCTGACAAGCAGCGACAGCTAGCAATTTAATAAGTAACATGTTAATGCGAAAGCCAATCTTGGGTCCTACAGGAGGATTGTATGAGTCTTACCAATTGTAAGCTAACGCCATGTCATGATCCGCCTGTCATACCGAACGGACCACATGGCTGTACGCTAACATGCCAAGGTGATTCGCCAGGCAGATTGTTTGGCCGCACGAATACGGATGGTAGCATAGACAAATATGTCTGCCTTAAGATGGCTAATTTAGATCCAGATTGTCGGGTTTGTTTGCGGGCGAAACAACAGAGTGTTAGTGTTTCATGGGCTGAGCTGGTGGGCCAAGGCAGACATGATACTTACCCGAAACAGGTAAGACTTTTGTTATGAGGTGTCTTGTGGTTGGCCGTAGTGGCACACGGCGGACTGCGAGGCATCTCCAATGTTGCGGGGTAGACTGTGGGATTGCGTGTAAGAGGCTGAGGGTCAGCAATAGAAGCTTGGACTTACTCATTGGGACTATTGACCAGCCTAAAATTAGATATTTGAAGAAATGGTAGCAAGTTCATGGAGTGTATGTTTGTTGAGTTTGTGTCTTGTAAAGCATGACAGGCAGAAGAGAGCCTCCTGTTTGTGAGCAAACTCCACCAGACATGAACAACATCCATGCCAACTACACTTGAAGTCATGACGGTTGGCACATATTATGACCCGTGATTTCTCTAGCAGCCACAAACTCAAAGCTTGAGTAGAAAGACGAATTGGACAGGCGTTTTGGAGTTTGTGCCTAATGAAGAACTGGGCAGTCATAGTGTACTATTGCGCAAATAGGCATATTCGCTACAAGCAAGATATTTTGGATTCTATGTGTATTACAATCATGGTCACTGCAAATATCCGACTTTTCATTCGTAGAGTTGATCTCAGGCATACGCATGGAAACTCACCCAAGGATCATAGTGCCAGGCGGTAATTCTCATGGATGGGAAGAGTGATACAAGAGTTGTTCTTTACAAGCGGTCACCCTATACCATGAGCTCCGTTACGTGGAGGTTCGAGTACACACAGAATAAGAAGAAGAATATATATTCTCGATCGCAAGCCAGAACGCACCGGATTTGGGTATTTAATGGACCATCGATCAAGTATATAAAGGGCATGGTCTGAAGCCAAGGTGAAATAAATACATAAAGTTGTTTCTACAATCACAAAAACAACCAACTTACAGGTTTGGCTTCCAGGCAACAAGTGCTTGGGCCCTGAAGCTCCCTTCTCTCCTCGAGATATTTTTAGTATAGAGATAACATGCGACTCATCTTCGTCCTTGTCGCTATTGTATATATTTACGAAAACTCTTGGTTTCTCGGATGTAATAAGGTCTTTTTTAAGCATCGGCGGACTCCGAATATTATAGTGGATCCCCCGGCGCTGATGTGGAGAGGTCAAAAAAATTGCCTGAAGATCCTAAATTCTTGCAGGCGCGGTTGCCTCGGCCCTACTTTTTTTTTCTTTTCCTTCTTTTTTCTCTCTTTCCTTCTTCCTCTTGGGCATTAATATCTCCTCATCTGTCCCCGTCGCGACTCTTTCATTTCATTCTTCTATATACTAGATATTCTACGTGCGACGTATAAATACCGCAAAAATGGTCGAGAAGCTCTACGTCACATACAACGATGTAAGGACAATTTACCCCGCCACCCCGCCTTGATGATGGATTGTGATGTGCATCATGAAAAGTCCTATGAGACAGTACTACGAGCTTGATGGAACCCTGTTCGCTGGCCTTGGGACAACTATAGCGCATACGCTACCATCACCAGCTATGGCACAAGATACACCAAAGTTCAGTTGCTGACAGCTACTCTAGGTGCACAAGATGTGCCAAAAGTCCGCTGAGAAGCTTCTCGCCGACTTCCAGCCCCAGCTTCTGATCGCCATCGGTGGCGGTGGTTACGTTCCCGCTCGAATCCTCCGATCTTTCCTCAAGAAGGCTGGCTCTCCCAACATTCCCATCCAGGCCATCGGTCTCTCCCTCTACGAGTCTCTCGGCAACGATGAAGTCGAGGAACCCGGCACCAAGGTCACCCGAACACAGTGGCTCGACTTGACTGCTCTCGGCGAGATGGAGAACCTCGTCGGAAAGCGGATCCTTATCGTTGATGAGGTCGACGATACCCGAACAACCCTCGAGTACGCTGTTAAGGAGCTTGAGAAGGATGTTGAGATTGCTCGTCAGCGCATGGGCGAGGGTGCTCCTGCTCCCAAGACTGAGTTTAGCATCTTTGTCCTCCACGTATGTGTCACAGTACCTAGAATCGAAGTTTCCACTAACAGCTTCGTAGAACAAGGACAAGCCCAAGAAGGGAAAGCTCCCCCATGATATGCTTGCCACCCGTTACTCCGCTGCCGAGACCGTCGGCGACGTCTGGATCAACTACCCCTGGGAGGCCATCGACATCGACGAGCATGACAAGAACGCCAGCCTGCAGACCAAGAGCAACTAAATATTTTCTGAGAATTTGGAGTTGGGAAAATGGCGCACAGATTTAAACGAGATATCATAAACATGATGAATGAGATTCCTGAACTATCGGTTCAAAAGATTACCTATACAATGTTCCTGTCCAAAAAGGACCATAAGCAATCCCGAACCAGCTTGAACTCAAGTGCGATGAACTTTTGCGCCTGCTAACATCCAATATACTAGATGCTCGATTCTATGTCTCTTTCTTCCTCCAGAGATTCAGGTTCATTGCTTTCAATTTATCCTGGAACTTGTCTATAGCTGGGGTCATGTGAGTCAGCTTGCGGATGAAACGAATCGGGTAGTCCTTGATATATTCCGTCGAGTCCTGTGCCAAGATCCTCTCACTTGCTAGAGCGTACGCTATGGTGAAGCTCTTGTAAGCACACATCGCTTGGTCATATTGTTCTAAAACGGCATGATTTCGGGATGATGGAGATCGTGGCCATGCGGAATTGTTATAAACAGCTTTGGCCATCGCTTGTGTTTCGTCTTGACCTGGTTGCAGAGGCTTGCAGTCGCCAAAGTTGGTCATCCACAGCCTCACGCGCTTTCTTTCGTCAGGTGCGAGGTAGAACTTGACACCGGTTGCATCTAACCTGCAATCCCAGTGGAGAATTGCAAGAGCTATACCCATCTGTTCACACCATGTTTCCAGGGGTCCGTCTGCCTCGCGCATGAGCTGATCGAGATACACGGGGCGAGAAAGGAGTCTTGTGCTTGTGGCTTCTTCTGGAGTAGATGTCTTGCCTAGGTGAACTCGAAACCTGACATTTGACAGGTTTGAATCATTCTTGACTGACTCGCGAATATTGAGATCAAGAGATGTATCGACAAGAGCGCGGACGTGGACTGGGTGCATAGGTGGAATGAATTCGGTAACGTATCCTGTGGTTGCAAGATCTTGTCCTTCATGATCACGCTGGATGATCTCTGACTCGAAATCCGGGATGCTGAGCATAGAAGGCCCATCGTAAAGCTTGGGACGATGTCTCGCTTTTGCGCTTGTTTGTGACGCATCATCATCAGGCAGCTCATAAAAGTCCCGTGTCGCTACGTCCCATGAGAGACGCATTTTCCAGAGGACCGAAATGTGGTTTTGCATCTCCTTTGCGATATCTTTGGGAGAACTGGATATTTTGGCGGCATACTTTCTACATCCGACTTGGACTGTGTGTATGTTCGTGTCTTTGTTGGAGGGTAGCTTTGTGACTTGGTATTCTGCTGGAGATCTCAGTGTCCAGTTGATCCAGTAGATGCCGCCGGTGTAAGAAGCGAGTTTGTCGAGGGGACAGTCCCACTCTGTGCTGAGAGTGTATTCGCCGTCTCGATTTTGTTTGTCAGTCGTGTTGGTCACTGGTGTGGATAGGGTCACGACATGAGGCAGACGGTTCTTGGAGGTGAGCTCCATGGTGTTATCGGGAGTGTCTCTTTCGTCACCCATGATGAAAGGAGTTATTGCGACTTCGTGATGGAATAAGCTGCTCGCGTTTTGAGGCGGGTGACTTTGGGGTGAGTGTAAGTCGCAGGCGAAGAATAACATGTTCAGGTCCAGAAGAATTGAGCATAGAAACGGACAGGCGCAAGTCTTATATACCAAATTCAAAGCTTGCGATACCAAAGTTCTCCCATCTCAAAAGTTTATAATACAGATGTTCATGTCTATAGTCTAATCATCAACTCTATCATCCCAAAGCCCCAATAAGTAAAATGCAAAACAGGGTATAAGCTTTTTCACCATGACTCAACCCAGATAACCTTTCTTAACTCACGCTCCACTCAGCTCTCTTTGGTCCTTTCGCTCTCGTGCCTCTTCTTCAGAAGTTTCTCCGTCTTCATAAACTCTCGAATGCCAACTGGCAAATCGGCATACAACTCCTCATCCCAAAAGTCCTTCGCAATCTTGGCCTTCCCAACCTCTGGCGCAACCCAAATCGACTCTGATCCTCCCCCGTCCGAATCCATAGACCCCTCGTGTTTTCTTAGCGCAGCTTGTGCTTCTGCGTTCTTGAGCTGCCACTCCTCCAGCTCATCGCGATATTGATCATAGACGCAGTTTACACAGCCGCTCATGCAGCAATTATCCGGCTCAACCGGTTTAGGCGGCACGAGAACACCGGCGATATACGTCGCTTTTGCTTTTCGCGCTGCTAGGCGTTCGTCTTTTTCCGCGGAGCCGAATAAGCGTGAGCCGAAGACTAGGCGTGCTTTTTCTTCTGGTGTTTGGACAGCGGTTTTGGTGGGGAATTCGGATTGGACTGAGGGATCTGCTGTTTTTGGGGGGACTTCTGGTTTGTCGATTGGAGTCTGTGACGGGTTGTTGAGAATTATTTCGTAGTATGGACCGAGGGAATTGCGTTGCGGCCAGTCTTCGTTGCGGTTTGGTGCGGCGCTGACGATGCTTCGTGAGGGTATTAAGGGTCGTAACCGAGGTAGTAATCTGGATGATAATGACATTTTGAGATTTGGCGATGTTAATTGAGAATTATAGTGGGAGTTAAAGGGGGAGTTTCGGTGTTGAAGGGAGGAGGAGTGGCGGGCGAAAAAAAGTGAAGAAGTTGGGTTGGTAATACAAATAGCGAGAGCCGAGAAACTTGGTGTTGAGGGTCGGAAGTCCGTCATTTTTGCCTCGGACGTCATCGGCTGGGGTGAAGCTAGCGAAAACTGGGGTGTGTGGGGGCGGAATGAAACCTCTTAAAACGAAAGACAAGATTGTATTTGATAATTTGGACTCAGTATAATCTCAGAGGATGGCATCCTGTACGTGGATCTAGTTCTCACAATTAGGAGTAGACACGTGGTTATGCAGTTTGCACCATGATGACTCGAAGGCCCCTAGGCGCTCGCAACGATTGAAGAGGCACGTGATTCTTTAAGATGTTGGGTTGTTGATTCACCTGGGGCAGTTGCTGGCTATGCTTTCATTATCAGTCAAGGCTTCTTTGGATCTGAGTATACAAATGCAACCTTGATGGTTCCGTTTCTGACCTTTCTGCAGTGAGCTTGCAGCCCTCAGAGGTCTTTGGAAGACGTTTGTGTAACCTCAATCCACATTGGCATCGCGAAAACAATTTGCCCGTTTCGGTAAGCGGTGAGGCCCACTTCCACAGACGCGACAGGGTCATCCAAAGTAAACACGAACCAATGCGACCACCAATTATCGACAAGACAATCCAACATCGCCAAATGTTATAACCAAGTTCTCTTAGTTCGCACAGAAATCACATACAATGGAGGGATCTGCGCCAAAGCGACGGCGTACATCGCCGCGCACTTCTCTCAACATCGGCGCATCTGAAGAACCCGCGTCACCGCAAAGACGACGTCCCTCATACGCATCACCAACCAAAGCAAGCATGTCACGAAATAATCCCGATGCTTTTGAGCGCCGAAGATCAAGATCGCCACAGAAATTACCAAGTGCTAGAGCTTCAGGCCAATTCACTTTTGATAGTCCTTCTGAAGCTCTGGCAGCGCGCTTGGCGACGAGTAGGATTGTTAGCGATGCTCCTACGCCTACGCGCCCTGAGGAAATGACGCCTAGGTCGATCAGACGTGTGGGAGGGGGAATGGCTTCCGCTGCGAGGAGGACGCCGTCCAGGGCGAGTGCGAGAGCGGAGGATGATGAGTTTAATCCTTTTCGGGGGAAGGTTTTGAGAAGATCGCCGCAGGCTGGGATTAGGATGGATCTTGATGCGCCTTCTGCTTCGTTGCCGCAGCCTGAGTTGCCGCCTGCGATTGAAGCGAGTTCACCTCCTGCGCCGCCTGCTTCTATGCCGGAACCCCAGCTTGGATTGCCTTCACATGAGCCTATGGTGGAGCCTGAGGAGAACACTCCTATTCAGTCTGAGGAACTTGCGCCTGCGGAGGAGACGTCGCCAGCGAAATCCGCATCGCCAGCTGGAAGTCCGTCACCAGCACGGTCGTTTTCTTCATATAATCTTGAGATCCCGGCTCGGTCTTCATCTCCGACCAGGTCGCCAGAGCCAGAAGTGGGAGAAGAACCAGAGGAAGATCCAGAACCGGAGTCTGAGCAAGAATCAGAGCCAGAACCGGATGACGAGCCTGAGCCTGATCCCGAACCAGAACGAGACTCCCCAAGTCCACCACCACCTTTACCAGATTTCTCATCCTCGCCCCCGCCAGCATCAATGCCACCACCGAGAATACCACCATTGGTTCAACCCAATTCACAAGACGCTGCTCCATCCGCTTCACAGCCAGTACCCAGACTACCAGCACGCGATACAGGACCACGAAAGAGCTTCCAGAACAGTCCTGTCCGATTCCGCGAGTTTTCACAACAACGAGACTCACCATTAGCCAAACCACCATCGCGTCTGTTGGAGAAGCCAAGGAAGAGTTTCGCTCAAGCCGGATCAGCGCTCAGAGAGCAACCACCTGCTCAAGCCAGCGCTCCAGAGGTTAGACAGACTCGGGCCTTTGATCCAGATGCGGAGAAGAAGAAGGAGCGGGATAGGATTCAGAGGGAGATCGAGGACTTGAAGAAGGACATTGAAATTGCGCGAAAAGAGAACGAGCGCATTCGTTTGATGCAACAGTCTGGTCGCACCCTTGCACCGACAAATCCAGACGAGGTCATCAGCCTAATCGAGCGCCACCTGCTGTCTACTGGTACAGAACCACCCCAAACAGCATCACAGCAGTTGTTACAAGCGGCGCTGAATCCCGCTGCCCTTTTGCCTTTCAGCAAGCCTACAGCCCCAGCCTCCCGACCATCAGTTGAAGAAAAGCAGCCTGATATCAAGTCACACCACCCTGTTGTCATGACAGCGACAGAGGAGTTGCCCTATCTTGAACTTTTCACTCCATTCTCAATGACATCCAACACCTCCATCCTACCAGAGGCTGACGGAGAACCATTGAGGCAACATTACTCCATTACACTTCGATCTCGCGAGATACCGGGAATCTTTACAGCCAAGATTGAGATGACAGTCAATGCGACAGAGCTTACGGTTCTTGACCTCGACGTCACAGCCTTGGAACCAGCTGCAAAGTCTGAGCTCGGTCCTTTCATTCAAAAGATATGCACAGGCGACTGCAACCGTTCTATGCAACGCAATATCGGCATCCTGTCGTGGGCCATGGGTGAGTGGCTTCGAGTTGCGATCGATAGAGCAGGCTTTTGGTGCCAATTGGAACAAAGTCTAGGCTCAAAGGACGGTGTATCAGAGACTGCAGTTCGAATGCGCTCAAAGAAATACAGACGTAGGAGGGAAAGTGGTGAGGACTCGGATGAGGACGAGCCAACAAACCTGGAATCTGTCAAGAAAGCAGACCTCATCCGCTATTTGGGCCAGCAACACTTCGACATATCAATTCCGTACGGTGATGCAGAGGAGTCAGGCACAACGGTACGCCTTGAATGGAAGACCGAGTTTGACTGGACTGGAGAAGCGCAAACCAGACTCTCAGTCTTGGTTGGCGCCCCAGGGAAATGTAAGTACATGCACAACTCCCATGATCTGAACAATTACTAAAAAAACATCACAGGGCACCAAACAGACGAACGAGGATCACTTGCAAAGATCCCCAAACTTTTCGAAGAACTTGTACACGGACACGAAGAACCCGAAACAGCTGTACGAACAATTGTAGCACTCATTGCCGGCGAGCAATCATGATAGAGTCCATATAGATGACAAACCTCACAAGCATAGGCGTATGATGTGTAGAATTCCTCTGCGCAGGTCGCACGAACAAGATACCAGATTATTGTAATTAAAGTTTTGTAACCTCATCTACCATTCCCCCCATTGCCCCTTCTATAGCCGTTTAGATCATCGTGTGTGTTTTTCGCCAATTTAGTCGACAGTAACGCCGAGCTGTCGGAGCTCAACCTTGGCCTGCTCAATCTCCGCCGTGAGCTCCTTGTGTGCGTTGGGGACGTCGTTGAAGGTGAGGATGCCGAAGCCGAGACGGAAGAGGAGATATGCGCCGAAGGAGACGAGGGCCCAGAAGGGGAGCTACAGTATCGTAGGTTAGATAATTGACCGTAGAGAAGTTTGGAGTAGTTGTTTTGGGGGGTTGACGTACCACGGGGACGATCTGCTCCTGGATCAGAGGAGGAAGAGGGATGAGCTCAAGGAAGAGCGCAAGGTAGAGCTGTACAGCGTTAGTTCAATTCTACCCAGACATTCAGTCAAAACATACAGAAGAAACCAAAAGGGCGAGAGAAATGGTCTGCTGAGCGCGAGTCATCTTGACGGTTTTTTAAGGAGCGTGATGTTTGAATGAGCGCGGGGGAGAGACTGTGATGGTATCGTGGTGCTTGAGGAGACGTGTCAGGGGTGCGCGTTGTTGGAAATGCTTGGATGACTAAGATAGGTTAAGTAAGCAGCTGGAGACCCCAACCTAAGTCCCCACCCAGCAAAGCCAAGCAATAAGTAATGTTACAACTTATTGTTTTCTTAGTAGAGTACTACAAAATATATAAATATATATATATTTGACAAGTCTTTATTAATATTATTATTAAAAATACTTTTGATTATTTTTATATTAATTATAGTTGAGTCCCACGAGGCCGACCAACAAGTAGTAGGCCTTATTTCAGTTCTCCAGTCGCTCCCCGCCGAGTTTCCTCAGTTAACTCGGCTGGTAATGACAACAACTCGTCTCTGGCCAGCGACTCATTAATGTCCTCGGCATGTTCAAAATCAACCAAGCGCACGCCGCTTCCAGAAACCCGGTCAACAAGGAAGTTGTACCGATTCACGTCCCCATGGATCAGCCCAAGGTCATGATGCAGTCGGCGAAGCAGTGTCTCGCAGTGATCCAGATCGTTGATACAAGCTGACTCTCCGTCTACTTTTTCCAGTAGAAGACCCATGATTCTACCATTCTCGGTCAGATGAGCGAGTAATTTAGGTGCAATGGGTGATTCATTTGGATTCTGGCTGTGATCATCTGCCAAGAGCGAATACGCCCACGTTTCACGTTCAATTCTGCGTATCTCCCATTCGAAGCAGGCAATTTTGTCGATGGCAGGTACATCATCATATTGGACCTCATGCACTCCAGAGCGAAAACGCCCCGTACTCTTCAGGGTCAAGACGTCCACATGCTGTTCATGCCAGGCTGTGCGGATCTCGGGCAGCGGGTCCATAGAGATGACCGACGTGAGGGAGCCATTCTCGTCCCGCGAGATGGCCATGGTAGTCCACTGCGAGTCGGGAAGGTCTGGAAGGTTGGGAATATGGCCGACACATGGTATCATCGTCCAATGTGCCGACCGAGATCGTTAGGTAGCGGACTCTCAGGCCGGTGCGAAGACGATAGTGTCCATCTTCATGGATTATTTCTTGAGAGAGAATTTCCATGTCTGATTTTGGCAGCATTGCCATGGTAGACTTGACGAATAGCTCTCTTTCTGCTGCCGTTCTGTGACGATAGCTTCATCAGGTCAAGTGGTCTGGAGAAGAGCGCGCGCTTCCATCCGCAGGTGGAATGCCAATCAATACGCGCGCAGGTATGAGCTGAAACTCACTAATAATAACCGCTAGCGGAATGGTTCTGTAAGCGCTGATGGGTCGAAACCGAGTCACTTTGCAACCAAAGGGGGGCATATGAAAGAGATAAGCGCCAATGTAACTCCAAGAGTTGCACACTCTGTATCTAGCAAACAAATATGGATATCAAAGTCCCAGGCAAGTCCTCTGGGAATTTTCATTATGTCCAGAATTATATGTATATATAACTAATACCTGCTCACTCAGTTATTCTCTCGGGTAAGAGTCAACATCTATTTAACAAAGTCCATACTAACATTCAAATAGACTAAAGCTCTGGAAAGTTCCCCTGATTTCATCATTCGCCTCAACGCATTGACTTACAATTTGCGGCGCTCTGTGTCGTTTGTAATTTGGTATCTTAAGTCCCTAGCCTTCCATGGATTACAAAGTCGTCGTCGCGGCGGTACACGCCGCGCCCGTTTTTATGAACAAGGCCGCTACTACTGACAAGGTCATCAACTTGATTGAGCAAGCGGGCAAGGAGAACATCGAGCTCCTAGTCTTTCCTGAGACATTTATTCCTGGATATCCGGTATGCCACTTCATTATTTGCCCTCAGTCTCAAACAGTGCTGCAATGGCATAACTAACATGGCCAAGTATTGGATTGAGTGCTACCCGCCCCTCCAACAAGTAGGGGCCCTTGCCAAATATGCCGATGAGAGTGTCGTTGTCCAAGACGGCGACGAAATCGCACGGATCTCGGCTGCCTGCCGCCGCACTGGTGTAGCCATTAGCCTCGGTATCTCGGAGCGCATTGCTCGAGGATACACGCTCTTCAATTCTCAAGTCAATATTGATGCAAATGGCACCTTGCTGGGTGTGCACCGCAAGCTACAGCCAACATATGTTGAGCGTTCTGTTTGGGCGCAAGGTGGTGGTCATACTCTACGAACATACAGGCTGACAGCATCGGGACGGCCTTTCAACCTTGGCGGTCTTTGTTGTTGGGAACATACCATGAACGGCGCGCGCCAGGCGCTGATCACTCAGCACGAACATATCCACGCCGGTGCCTGGCCGGCCTTGTCTACCATGGCTGGGTTCGACACCGTGGCTGATTCTCAAATTGAGGCTTTGATGAAGGCGCATGCCCTCACGGCTCAGGTTTTTGTCATCGCCGCGTCTAACTATGTTGATGATACTTGTCTCGAGTGGATGGAGAAGAATCTAGGCAAGCAGGAGTTTGTCAAGGCGGGCGGGGGCTGGTCTGCTGTTATTCACCCATTTTGCTCATTTCTTGCTGGGCCACATACTGGTGCTGAAGATAAGCTTGTCAAGGCTGAGGTGGATCTATCACAACTTGGGCAGGTCAAGGTTTGGATAGATGCTGTTGGCCATTATCAACGTCCGGAAATCCTCAAGTTCAGCTTTGACAACCAGCCTCTGTGGGCAGATGAAATAGCAGCACCTGGGAGACCTTCACCTGTTGAGAACAGTCCTGAAGAGGAATTAGTGCCAAAGACGGATTGTTAAAAGGGTGTGTAGCAATTGTTAGTAAGGGAACCTTTGGCTTTCGTTCCCTATTCAGTCCCTACCCCGTCTTCCTCGTAGTGAGGAATGGACCGTAGCCCGCATCTCGAGAGACGAAACTAGAGGCGACTTGAAAACTTCCATCTCGAACCGAGCACTAGCTGGCGTCAGGTGTCGATGTCATCATACTCAGGTTGGTTGCCTTGAGTTGGAGAAGACCAAACAGTTCACGGCAATGGCTTTCGAAGCCATCTCACATTCGATCCTTCCAGTCACCCTCCCATCACCAGCCACCATAATCGCCAAAATAGCACGTTTCGAATGGGAGCTGCCTCATATTGAACAGGAAGCAGGAGCATATCAGTTGCTTGAGGGTCCCGGGCTGGCCCCGCGCTTCCTCGGCCATGAGAATGGGCGCATCATGGGGCTTCTCATGGAGAAAATAGAGGGACGCTCTGCCTCCTTCCAGGATCTGAGCATCTGCAAAACAGCTCTAGGGAAACTTCACGAATTAGGACATGCACATGGGGATGTGAATCGACACAACTTTCTCGTCACGGAAGAGGGCGTAAAACTACTCGACTTTGAATGCCTCCTGGAGAATGCTAGCCCAAAGTCAATGCGTGGGGAGTTGGAGAGTTTACGTGCCGAATTAGTTAACGAGTCAGGACGCGGTGGAGGTTTTATTCTTCAGGGTGGTAGCAATTGATATGTCTGATTTGACCTGGTCACGGTATTTGTCGGGTGAAAGCTTGGGTTAGGAATTAGGTGGGTTAGATAAGCGAACCCACCTCAGCCTCAACACCATGATTTTTGGATGGGACATCGTGGGTTGATGGGTACATACGACCATAGCTCGTGGAGAATACGGGGTCCCGTCCGCTCCCCCAGAGTCAAGCCGCGAAGCGCTGGATTAGTAGTTGGGTCGGTGACGACCAGCGAATACCTGGTGTTGTATGTCTTTTGGTGTTTGGACCTTTTTGTTTCAACAATAAAGACCTGGTAGGAGTGAAGGTATTGTCAAGGCAACAATGGTTACACCAGATAAGTTGAATGAATAGCCTCTTTTTTGTGATCCGCACACTGAAAGAGTTCACTTGCCTTGCTGCACTATTGTTGTCATGGCCTACAAGATCAAGCAGAAGTACCCCTTTCCGATGGCTCTATCATTTGACGGCGACTGAATCTAAGTTGTAGTTCACAATATCTCTGTCAGTAGAGTGAGACTGCTCATGTTATAAGATGCAAGGAATCAATGCGCACGGAAGTCGATTCAACTAAGGGTACTGTTTTGTCAGTAAGGGTATAAAGTAATGGAACTGAGGTTTATAGGCAGGCTGGGATGACCGTTTCCTACGCCATATAATAGTTGAATATTGATTTCGAACTTGAGCTTGTTAAAGTGGCTGCCTGGTCCCTATACTCAACCGAATGCATTGGGAATTGACAGTGATTCACTCCCTCAACGCGAGCGAAGCTGGCCATTCTTTCAAACCAACCTTTCTAATCTCATCTCTCATTTTCATTAGGTTGACTTCTCTCCTCCAACCCAAGTCACCCCCAGAGTAATTCTCTCCTTCATCCAACACTTTCTCAAAACAACACTCTGCATCGCCAGTCATCCAGCATTCGAGGACTGTCATCATTCAAGGTAATATCATTCCTCTTACAATATTTGCCAATATTAACCCTTCTGTCTCGTCCCAGCTGTCTCTTCATCCCATCGCCACTTGCCTCTCATCCCACATTCATCCTTCTCTTGCATCATCCTTCTCCTTTCATCCTCCACGTTCCTCTATCATCATCCCCCCTTCTGCATCACACACCTCGTTCTGTTACTCAAGAACTTCTATTCTTATGTTTAGCCACGTTCACAATCGGCTGTTGACATTTACTCCAGAAGACCTTCCCATCTCTCCCTGCATCATGGATACAACCCTGGCGGCAGAGCAGCCTCCGTGCGTGAAGCGTGAGCGCTCTCCAAGCCCAGTGCCCGGGGCGGAGATCCGCGACGTTAAGCGCCAGGCAGAGGCGACGTCTGCAGTCGTCCGCACACCCCCGGAGTTTCCCTGGCGAGCCTGCCAGCAGCTGAGCGGTGTCGAGCGACTTAAGATCAAAGAAAAGGCTGTCGAGCAGGCTGAGGTGGATTGCCAGAAGATCCGAAATGTCTTGGAAGTAGCCCTCTACCGACTGGCAAAGGATCCCGACACCAAAGACGCCGTCATGATGGGTCAAAACATCATCAAGGAGTGGCTCAAGGAACACGGTAAGCTCTTCGATCTGCCATGTCACCCTTTCGATAGCTTTCTAACTATTAGTCAGAAAACGTCTACAAGAAACACGAGGACCTTCAGATTCTAGTAGGTGTCGAAGGCCCTACCGGAGCCGGGAAATCGTCATTCCTCGGTTCACTGCTCCAAATCCCGGAGCTATTCCCATCTGGCCAGGAAGCTGCCGCGACCGCTGTCATTGGCAAAGTCTCTTGGAACGACTTGGATGATCCTGACTATGCTTTTCGGGCGAAGATCGTCCTCCGAAAGAAAGAAGACATTGAGAGCGATGTTGAGTCACTGCTTGTAGAACTCAACCGCTACTCGGACCTCTTGGCCAATAGGTTCGACGCACAGGATGACGAAGATGCACTCAGCCTTGCCGACGCGAAAACAGAGTCCAAGAACAAGATTGACTACGAACTACCCAAGATCAGAGCTGTCTGGGGCATCGAGAAACGCGATCTAGAGATCATGGCTAGTAGGTGCCCGGGAAAGCGATCCTACACCGACACCGTCCAGAGTATTCTGAGCAGGAACAAGCCAGCTCTGAACATGCTTGAGAAGGGCACCCTGAACGTCAACAGGCCAACCGCGAAGCAACTCTCTGCTTTGATCAAGCCGTATCTTGACTCCACCACAGTTCAAGTGGGATCAAGTGTCCGGTATGCGGTTTGGCCTCTCGTTGAGGAGGTTCATATCTACGCCAAATCAGATATTCTCAAACCTGGAATCACCCTTGTCGATCTCCCTGGGTGCGGCGATGCTACCACTAGTCGCTCCGAAGTTGCGCAAAAGTTCTCCAGTCAGCTGGATGTTCGAATGGTGGTTAGCCCCATCATCCGAGCGACAGATGAAAAGCAAGCGCAGGCGCTCATGCAAAGCGGATTTGATGAAGCACAGATGAGAATTCGTGGGAAGCTTGATGGAAATGGTTTTGGCGTGATCGTTTCCAAGATGGATGAGATTAAAGTTGATTCCTACATTGATGGCTGCGACGAACTCTGCGACAATCCGGAAATTCTTCAGAAGGAAGCCAGGAACGAGGAACTCAAGACCGAAAAGTTCACCCTCAAGTCTCAGAATGCAGCCTTGAAAGACAAGAAGAGGTACGCCGAAGCTTGGAAGAAGAAGGCACAGAAGCAATACCAGGTTGCCTTGAAGAAACATGAAGGGAAACTTCAAGGTAAGTTTATCACCTTACAAAGGCTCATGCTAACAACACACCACAGCGAACCCAGATGATAGTGACGAACAAGTCAAGAAACTCCGAGACATCATGGACATAAAGGTCCAGGAGTTCGAAGCAGCGGACAAAGCGCTTGATCAGCACCAGTTGCGCCAGGGCCAAATTGAGAACGAGATGGCGTACCTGAAGGACTGGCTTCATCATCGCGCCAGCCAGACTCGTAACAGACGAGTCAAGAAGCGCATGCGTGACGACTTTGCTACTCGACAGGCTGAGTATGACGATGTCGTCCCGGGCAAGAGATCTCAGCACCTCCAAGAGTATGTGCTTCCAATCTTTCCCGTATCAACCAAGGCCTTCTGGCAACTTCAAAACAGAGAAGGGCCATTGGAAGGATTTCCCAGTCTCAGGTTTACCGGGATCCCTTCTGCAGAGCAATGGTTGCATCGAGCCACGTTGAGCAAACGTGAGAAACACCTCGACGAAACTCTGGATGGTTACCAGAGCCTCATGACCATGATGAGAATCTACTCTCAAACAAGCGGCCAGGATGGAAATTTTGACTTTAGCAGGTCTGAGGTGGAGAGTGCAGTGGCTAAGACCCATCAAATCTTTGCTAAGGTAAGTTGTTCCCACGAAGAAGTTGTTCATTGGATATTTCATAACAATGTGTACAGGAGCTGTCTTCCAAGCTCACTAAAGCTTGCGACGAGATTCGAAAACTTGATCCTCTTGAGCACCGAGTACGCGCCATGAAGAAGTTCACGGCGGAGGCAAAGAAGATTGTTCTGCGATGGTCATACAAGTTCCCTGACGTTCTCACCAGCACCATAAAGATGCACTGGGCCACCTACTATGCCAACATCTGCCGTTATGGAGCAGAATACACAAGCTTCTCAACCCCGAGAGTAACCTATAACTGGATGAAAAGCCTGTGAGTATTCTCAGCGTGGAAAGCAACACGTTCGTTAACCAGACCGCATAGCGCCTCGCCTGTTCTGAAGACTCTTGGCAAGGATTGGGATTACAAGATGAACAAAAAACTGCCAAAGATCCGAATTCCCATGATGGCCGGATTCTCAAAGATTTGGAAGGAATATCTTGATACGCTCCAGCAAGACATCAGCAGCAAAGTGCCATCTCTTGGAGTGAGCTTCAACAGCATGAGGCCAATTCTCGACACTTCTCAGCGAGCGACGGAGAACAAAATTCGCAAGACTATCGACAACCTGTCTCAAAAGGCTTCCAGCGTCGCGTTTGATTCTGTCGAGTTTTTGACAGAAGAAATGCAGCCCACTTTTGAGGACTGCAAGGAGACTCGTAAGTTTTGCCATTGATCGGATATTGAACAGAAGATGACTGATGGATTCAGATGGCCGTGGTTCCTATCAGAGACGAAGAACGATCATCAACGAAAAGGTTGAGCAGGATGTAGAGCCTATGTGCAACGAGATGCTGAACCGTCTCGCCGATGGTCTTGATGAAAAGAAGGCCGAGGTCCCCGGTCAGCTGGTCCTCATTGCAGAGGAAGCCATCAAAGGCGTCAAGCAACAACTGTCCTTCCTGGTGAACAATCTGGTGGAGAACTCCGCAGATGGTTCTGAGATCAACACCCAGAAAACCGAGCTGCAGACGGAGATCCGCGAGTTAGTTGAAGCTTGGGAGGATGCATGGGCTGAGAAGGGAAACTACCCAGAGCACATCCTCGACCTGGATCTCAGCATTCCAGAGGAGATTCCGGCGCCCATCTTCGATGAGGACAATCAAGACGACATGGATCTTGATATCCTCGGTGACGAGGACTTTGAAGACGCGGTTTAAGTTCACTGTGAGCTTGGGGCGAACATTGCGGCGGTTAAAATTGGTGTTGGGTATGGGTGAACTAGGAAAATAGCTTCACGGGAGATCTAAAGAATGGTGGAAGGAACATTTGCTTCGGAATTCGCATGGCGAAAATGGCGCATTGAGATGAGATTTGAGATTGATGATACTCAACAATACCCCCAAATAGCACAGATCAGATTGACATATAACCAAATTGAAACTAACACACTATTGCTCTGTCACTCCCGTTCTCTGATCGCAACTCGTGCCCAACGCAGCAAGACTCTTTAAAGAATCCCGTAGAACTCCAATGGATACAGGAAAGAGAGGAGAGTGTATCGGCCGAATGAAAACCCAAGGTTTGATACCAGCCAACAGAGTGAAGCGATTTGGCCATTGTAGCACTCTAATTAGAGGGTGATGGCTACTAGATGATGAAATCAGGTTCATATCTCCACGTCCTTTCTTGAACCTCGCGCCTTGGAGCGACATCGGCGGCGAATTAGCCTGTCGAGGTCAAATCCTTTTGAGGCAGAGAAAGCTTGTGCGGGCGGGAGAAATACAACACCTCAGATGTGAATATTGAGATAGCCTTGACTTCAAAGCCTTCCTCCATCCTTTCATTCATGTGCAGGGCATTTATCAGCCAAGTATGGTAGGGGGTTCATTGTGAAGCTTGATTACGTCAATTTGGATGGTGGGGCCGTTCCGTTGGCGGGGGTCAATCATTACCCCGGAACTCGGTTAATCCATCTCGAACTCCGTACCCATATCTCGAGCTTCTTCTAACATCTCTCATACCACACGATAGACGTGACAGTACTCATTTTTCTTTAGATCTCATACCGCAGACACCGAAAGAACCACCAGAGATTGCTGATCTCGCCCGTCACAATGCCAAGAAAGCTCAAGCTCAATCCCACGCAATTCACACAGGCGGTGCGTACACCTAATGCACCTTGAGGCGCATGCGTTGCACAGCCAATTGCAATTCATGCGACTTATGTTTTCTCAAAGCTTGGCAGCTAACTCGTGGTTGTGTTCCAGGTCGTGCGCTCCTTTATGGCAGACTCCGGTCTCGAGCCTCGGTATGTACCCAAGCCACCGATGGAGACTCGGCATTTGACGACGAGATCCCGATACTGACTCTATTGTCTTCAGTCTTCTAGGGAAACACGTATTTACACTCAAATTCTGGACTTGAGAAGCGTATTGACATGCTGTAGTTCCGCGTCATCAGCGCCACGGAAGGCAAAGTTGACTTCGAGCTTGACATTCAAAAAGAACATACCGTCAGTCTCTCCCCTCATCACAAATGAGCTCTCACTTATCTCATCCAGAACCGCCTTCAAACACTCCATGGCGGTACTCTTGCCAGTCTCGTCGACCTCGGTGGCTCACTCGCAGTCGCCTCATCAGGCCGCTTCGCAACAGGCGTGTCAACTGACCTGAACGGTACGCAGCTTTCTCAATCGCGTATGACTTTGCTGACTTGACAGTGACATATCTGAGCCCCGGAGGCCGTCCGGGAGATGTTCTCAAGGGCACCGCCACTCTTGACAAGATTGGCAAGACGCTTGCTTTTACGCAGGTGACTTTCACCAATAGCAAGGGACAACTAGCTGCGCGAGGCAGCCATACAAAGCGAGTCTAACAATCAATCGTTCAAATGGAATCTGTATACTGACTGAACAAGATACGTAACGGGTACTATGGGTGAAGATGGCCCATTCGTTGCTCCAGCCGAGTTCTCGGACGTGGACTAGACGGTGTCACGGGGTGGTTGTAGACATTCTGTTGATGCAGTAGAAATGAGATGTACTAAATATCATAAAGTATAGAAGGGTGGTATCATATTTGTTAAGGTTGTCCAAATTCATTCACGCCCATTATCCTTGTCATAAACCGATTCATTATCTGTCCCAGTATGCCCCTAATGCTTCTCCGGGTAAGGCTGAGGTGATACCTGGGGAGGAGTACCGTCAGCCTGGTGGTTCAAGCCCAACGTCTCCTCATGAGGAGGTGGTGATCTGGACTGAGACACAGGAGATATAGCATCATAAGCGGCGTACTGAGGTTGTTGTGGTGCATAGTAACCATTTTGCTGCTGGGGCATTTGTTGTTGAGGACTCCATCCCTGAGGCATCTGCTGCTGTTCCGGCTGTGGGTAGTGCTGCTCTTGAGGCATAGGTACAGTGTTCTGTGCCTGAGGAGCGACCTGTCCATAACCCCAAGCCGTACGCTCTCCAGCCTCAACACCCTTCACGGGCTCCTGCTCCTGCTTCGACCAAATACCATTGTTCCTAGCACGACCAATAGCGAAGACCATACAGAGGACAATGAACTGTGGCCAAATGGCAAAGACGACTTCGAGGATGTAGTAAGCATCTTTATACTCAGGGTCGCGGAATGCACTGCTCAAATTGGTCCAGGCAGCTGTCGACGCCATATTGAACGTTGTGCGCATGAGCCAAACAACAGATGCGGCGATGAACATGATTGAGCACCAAGTGAGAGCATTCTCGCCCTTCGATTGCACCTTGATCATGATTGCTCGAGCAACGATAGCGAGAGAGATGACAAAGATCAGAACGCTGAAAGAAAAGCCGATCTGTCGAGATTTGGTGAAGCTATCCGCACCAACGCGAACATCGTTGAAGAATACTTCATAAATATATCGAATCCGAAGACCGAAGGCGGTTAAGGCGAGAATGAAGAGGATAGCTGCTGCGATGTATGAGAAAAGGCGGAGGATCTTGCCCTTTGGATCGGGGCGGCCTGTTTGGACCATGACGATGCCGGTGCCGAGACGGAGGAGGATGATCATGATGAGAATGTCGGTGACCATATCATAGATTAGAGCAAGGGTCACGAGGACTTGGACGGTGACTAGCAGGGTTTTCGAATAGTGGGAGTCAAAGTCACTGTCGATTCTCCCGCTGTAGTATAATTGAGAGTGCACGACTGAGACAACGTATGAGGCAAAGTCGAAGAAGGTATAGCTAAGATGCGTCAGTCATTCTGTTTCATCCAAATCAAGTAGGAGAGCATGAGTGCTTACCCTGAGAACACTAAAAGAGCCAACTTGAGGTACGTGAAAGCAGTTCTCGCGGGATCCTTCTTGCGACGGACGAGACAGAAACTGCAGAAGAATAGAACGACGGAAGGGATCCATGCCCCTAAGAAGACCATGGCCCCGTGGGCAATCCAAAATTTCTCAACTTCGTACATTGTGTCGTGTTTTGCAAGTTGTCGATGCTAAGAGTGTCTCGATGAATGTTCAGTCCTGTTGTGCTGAGGATGTGTATAAGTTACACAAAGATTCGTAAATCCCCGCCAAAAGTCGGAGAGACAACAACAGTGATGAGAAGTGTCAAAGCACACCACTAATAAAAAGTTAAAAAAGAGATCCAAGATATCAAGAAATCAGAAACACAAACAAGAGCGCCACTCCCTCATATTTAGTCTCAGATGTATCATCTACGCATCGTCCATCCCACCTCATCACAGTCGAGAGTTTTCAGGGCTGAAGCAATCAGCAACCTGCAGCTGAGCACAAACCAATAGGCGACCATCCCTGCTGCAGGGGTCCCGGCACTGCCTCTCCGGGCGTTTTAGCAGCGTCGCTATTGGCTTGGCATACATGAGCTTTGAAGCCTGCATGTGTTTTGTAATTTACCAAGGCTTCCTGAGCTGTGGTCAGGCTCTGATCGACATGTTTTTTGTTTAATGTTATTGATTTGAGAGGAAGTACAGAATGAGTTATTGAGATTGTTGCTCTGATGAAGAAGTGTTAACCGCCGACGTTGAAGAACTAAACTCTAAAAATCCCATTTATAGCACGATTCGGGTGGTCCACAATATTCGTAACCGCCCAGAGAATACGATGCGATGTGATGCTGGCGCAGAGTGTTACGTACGTCTCAGTCACTGGCCCAGCCGCAATAGCGGATTAAACGTGAATCGGCATTTCAGTGCCGCAATTGAACAAGTCTCAAAAGGGTAATGACCGTGCGAAATGCCTTACAAGAGCTTGCTTTGGCACTTGGTTCCAAGAGTGAGTAAACGAACGATGCATCTGGGGCTGAGCAGCTGCTGTCTTTTTCTAAGCACTCTATACGGATATGTCAGCACTGTACTCCGCACTAATGTAGTCCGATCTGAGCTCTGGTGATGAATCCTGAAACTTCATTCTTCCGCTGGGCCCAGGAGCTCGAAGATACAGAATGCATTCGAAGCGAGCAAGTCTTTTGATGGCACAATTGAGGTGGTATGCAGTCATTGTAACCCCCAACGGCAAAGCAGAAGCTAACAATTCAACTCTGACTTGTCCTTCCAGCCGAGCCCAACCTCGTCGCTGAGATGGCCTCACTGCCAAGACCGTCCGGCCATAACCTTTAAACTCAGCCACACTGACACTACCACGAGTCCAATCCGCAGCCTCAATCACAAAAACAACACCCAGCACAAAAAGATGATGGATATAAAGTAGTACATCAATTAGTCATCTAACCTCAGGAATTCCTTTGGGCATACAGAAAAGTCGGCATTATATCCGAAGCTGGAAAAAGATCCCTCGTCCCACTCTTCAACCAACAATTCCCCCCTTCGCTTCATAATTCTTCGCCATCTCTCTATTGAACGCAATACTATCACAAAGCGTAGCGTTTTCTTTCCCGCTGTTGACTGCGGTGTACATTGCGCATGCATGCATGCAGTCGAACGCGGTGTAGGCCAGTATAGGCGCTATATCGTTCCCTGGGTAGTCAAAGCCGCAGGTGTATGTAAACACGTAGCCGTTGGTGGTGGTGTAATCATCTTTGCCGTTTGATTTGGAACATGCGTCTGGGAGGGTGAGGTTTGTTACTTGGTCTGCTGGTTTGGGCTCGTAAAACTTTGACTCGGCGGTTTCTGTGGTGTCGCTTGCGCTGGCTGCGAGGGTTGGACAGGCGGAGGTTTGTCTCGCGGAGGCAGCAGAGGGTTCTGGAGTATGTGAACTGTAAATGTTAGCATTCTCTCAAATGCCATTTAGACTAGGTCGTACTTTTTGCATTGAGCCAGAGCTGATCCAACACCTCCTCCAACACCAGCTCCGACAATAATTGCAGTGACGATAGCAACAAGCGCACATAGACTCAATATGCTCAAACCGAAAGGACCTTTTCGTGCCTCGACGACCTGAACATAACCAGAGATTGGATCCTTTGAGTCCTGGTTATAAACACCATGCGGGCTGACTTCTGGTGCATGAGCTGCGCTGTCCGAGTAGACCTCGAGGCCTTCGTGATATCGTGACTCCGACATCCTCCAGATCAAACAGACGTTGTAAGGTGAGGGCTTCGCCGTCACGAGTCCAAGTTGGCGACGTGGGAAGATCAACTATTCAAACAAGGCCATTGTCGAACGGGATAAAGGCCCCGGCCTCGGGACCGAAGCAAAGCCAAGCCATGTCGACAAGCCGTCACGTCAAACCCTTGGTGTATCAACTCGCTTGCAGCATTTGAGTCACTTGGCGGTATATATCTAAAATGAAAGTGGCTTCTCAGATCCTGCAGGATCATTTTGGTTACATCGATAAAACCTTATGGATCTGTCAACCCATGCTCAACCAGGTTTCATGGGATGAGTACCCACGTGGACCCGGTAATTCGGCAGTTACATGTTAATTGTGGTAATCGCCGGGAAGCTTGGTATAAGACAAGATGAGACTTGGTCTGGAGCTTGGAAGGAATCTCAAACACTGGTCTGTGGAGAGCGAGATGAAGTGATGTGACTCGTCAATAAAAGTTCAGCCGTGGCCGTACATTCGTTATCAATCTCTGCTCGAAGTAATTAGGTGAGGATTGCTTCTCTTTCTCCTGGAGTGGTGATAGTGAAGCCGTCACTCAGCCCAATTGTGTCTCCGGTGCTGGGTCCACACGGGGTTCGGAAGGGTCCCACAAATGCGGCAGCGAGCACCGGAGGTTAAGTTTAATTGATCAAGGATCACGGAGTACGATACAGTTGAACGGTGCACCGTGACATCCCTATGTATCAAACGACGATAGAGCCTACTGCTGGGAGAAGACAACGGAAAGTCTATCAATCTGGAGCATTCTCGACCTGTGTCAACCTAACCAGCTCCGTCTCAACCTGCGAAACCCCCAAGCCTAGATCGACGATCACAAAATAAGCACTCACTGACGTCTCTTCCCCGAATAATCCTCCACTTAAAAGAGCCAAGCATCAACCATCAAATTAACTAAAAGTGACATCTCTTCAACGGCCATTAGCCCCAATCAATCTCATCACATTATCCTGTTTTGACAAGGCTGACCTGATGTAAAACACTTCTTACCTCATCAAGACGCAATGTTTCACAAACCCTCTCCTAACCTCGTCGCGTGGTTCATACTCCCGGGGTGACGTCACATGCACATCGCGAAATCGAGAGCATGACGACGTCACGACTTGCTCTTTAAATCCAGGAACAAGAAAGTCCAGTAAATAAGTATTAAAAAGGCAGCCAAGAGCTCTCTTTCTACAACACGCTCTTCCCATACACACTCTAACCGAACGTACACTTTGACAGAAACACAACACGATCAACAGACAAAATGGCCATCACAAGTGCTATCAGCGATCTCTTCAGCTCCATCTACGAGCTTCTCGCATCAGTCTTCAGCACCTTCTACTCCGTCATCCACTCCATTCTCTCTGCTGTTCTCGGCTTCGTCCAGGGTCTTTTCAACCTCATTGGCGATGTCGTCTCCGGTCTTGTTGACGTTACCGGTGGCGTGGGCAAGTTTGTAGCCAGTGAGTTCTCTCCTCCATATTCTCATTCATCTTGGTTTACTGACAATGAGATAGGCAACGCTGCTATTCTTGCTATCGGCGCCCTTGGTGCTTTCGCGTACGTGAGGTACACTGCGCAGGGACGAGCTGTTGCGAACAAGAAGGCTCAGTAAATGTCTTCACTTGAAATGTCCTGGGAGGTTTGCTTGGCGTGATGGATATGCACGATACCCTGATGCACGATGGAAAGGACCTGGTTGGTGTTGGGGATACAAAGGAACTTGTCGTTCTTTATTGAGTCCTAGTTTATTCGGTCAAAATTGATGCGTTGCTCCTTCAAACTTCCGTTACCTGACTAAGGTGATTGGTATTATCGGGTTATTAAACTGCGGCTCAACCAATACCTTGCCGGTTCTGCAGATCATGCAATAGCCCTTGTGCTAATCTAGATCACCTCATCCAGTTGCCGTACTAAACCCGTTCACTACCTCTGATGTACACGAGACTTCGGGTCTTGTGACCAAAGATGAACATGAGTTCCCTGAATCACTTCGCAAACGCCACATTTCACGTTACAAAGCACATCTGACAAGGTCATCCAAACGAAATATGGAATTAAAATAAATGTCATAAATTCGTTAATGTTGTAGTGGTTTTCCAATAAATACTCCAATCCCAAACTTGTCTAAATCCTTGAAACACTGTAAATATCCAGAATATACACCTATGTATCCCAATCTCGCGATATATCCTGTGAAAATATTCGGTTGCCCTCATAAAGCCATCAAGGCCGTATCGTTTTCGTTCAATTCATCCGCCTTGGTAGTCGGTAGTCGGTAGTCGGTGACATGTCGTTCAAGTCAGAGTAGCGAGCATGGCCCGCATGAGCTTAGGAGGAGGTCCTGTGCAGCCGAGTCAGCCACACGTTCTCAAAAGATTCGAATAACATAAAAAGGCGCACCTTTAACGGTACTTAGGTACGCTAATGGCCATCCTACCTTTCTTGTCCTTCTCAATACGAGGAGGTTTGCGGTGTTCAACCACCTTCTCCAATCTTTCCTCATGGATAATGAGTTGTCCATCTGGCAAGCGCTCGGCGCGAACGATCTCGCCGCTGGTAGAACGTCCTCGAGGTCGGTGAGCCAGCTCACGTTCCAAAGCTTTGATTTCCTTTCGGATGTCGCGACCGCTGCGGGATCGAGAACGAGATCGGACTACCAGCTCCTCGGCGGGGTGGTGATGATGGTGGTAAGAGTCCCAGCTTGAGGAAGTGGTGGTAGTGGTGAATCGGGATGGCGAAACGTCACGGATAACAGTCTCCTCGGCGTAGTCATAGGGCATTTGCTGAGGAGGCGGTCCTGGCTGGTAGAAACCAGGAGGGGGACCTCCAGGCTGAACCATAGGAGGAGGCTGCATCTGGATCGGTGCTGGGGCCGGGGTCGGCATTGGAACTGGTTGAGGTGGAGGCATTTGCTGAACGGGTGGGGGAGCTGGAATCACAACTGGAGGTGCAGCAACGGGTGGTGCAGCAACGGGTGGTGCCTGAACTGGAGGAGCGGGAGGTGGAGGAGTCTTTGCAGGCGGTGGTTCCGGGGTTGGCTCCTTGAGCTTCTCCTTGGGCGGAGGTGCAGGCAAAGCAGCAGTAGGAGCCTTTGGTTCGCGAGAAGCGGCGATTTCAGCTTCAACTACGGAGTGTTAGTAGCGTATCTTTTTCAAATTGCAGGACTTACCCTTCTTGTAGTCCTCGCTGACTTTGAGCAGCTCATCAATGTTATCCTGGCCAAGAGCCTTTTGCACAATGATTGTGTTGCCCTAAAACACATTAGACACCGAACAGGAATTATGGGCAGTTAATTACAAACCTCTTCAAAGAATGGGTATCCGAGATCAATGAGAGCTCGCTTGGAAACAAGCTTAGCAGGAATGCGAGTCTTGCCCTTCTTGGGATACTCGCTCTTCACTGTCGTACCACCGCTGCTGCTAGAGGAGCGGCTTGAAGATGAAGAATAAGAGCTGCTTCGAACAGAGCGAGTTCGAGTAGAACGAGATTCTCGGCTGCGTCCACGACGGTTACGAGATCGAGTATATTCTCGCTCACGAACACGCTCAGGCATGGATCTGTAGTCATCGTCGCCATAGTAGTCGGGCTCGGCAATCTTGATGTCGTCATAGTACTCGTCGCCGTATTTGCGAGGTGGGGGCAGTCCTCGGCTCTTGGGGAGAGGAATAGGTGTGTAAGGAGGAGCACGGTAGTCATCTCGAGGACGGACATCCTCGCGGCGAGCAGGAGGGGGGTATTCCTCACGGTCCTGGAAGAAGCGTGGTCGGCGGTCAAAAGTGTCAAGAGATGATTGTCGGCGGAGGAAACCTGGTCGACGAGGTGGAGATTCGCGACGAGGATAATCTCGCTCTCGTTCTCTCTCTAAAACATCTGTGCGGCGAGCCCAAGGAGGTGGCACGTCTCGCTCTCTTTCTCGCTGAGGTTGGTAGCGAGGCTCATCGCCGTAGTAGCGGCGGTCACGGACTATGTCTTCTTCCTCGTAGTAACCGCGGCCAGGTCGACGGTCATATCGCTCATCTGAACGGTCGCGGCCTTGTGTGCTGCGTGTATATGAGCGATCGTCATCGAAGCGATCTCTGTTTTGTTCTCCGCGAACTCGCTCAAAGCGATCGCGATCCCAGCGTTCGGCCATTATAACTGTGTGTGGTGTTGTGTGATTGTGGCTGCTTAAGCAGGCCGAAACGTATAGAGGCTAGTCCTCTGGTGTTAGTGGTATAGCTGATCGCCTTGTAGCGAAAGGGTATCAAGTGCAAGTTAGAGGTGCAGAAAACGTTGATGAAGAGAAGGATGGAAGAGAGAAAGAGAAAGAAGAGATGATGTACTGGAGGGTGGGCGGGATACTTGATGAGTCGAGAGGGAGGGAAGAGACCAAGGATTGGTGGTAGGAATATTCAACTGGGATTGGATGACCAAGATGGAGAGGATGGATGATGGAGGGTGTGAGAGGCCGATGACGTTGACAGATTCAAGACCCCGCTTGTCGAGACATTCCAGGGCCGAACTGTCCAAGTGGATCCCCTTCTCTCAGTGGCTTGTGACTCTGTCTAGCGACAATTACAGGGGGCTGAGCGGTGCAATTGCATGAGGGGAGAGCCCTGGAGTTTTACTGTCCAGCTGATGACGACTTGTGATGAGACCGAGTTGAACAGTGAGACAGCACAACAGCTGATATATATCAGACAAACAATCAAGAGTCCTTGAATACCTCGGAGAACCAATGCACGAGATCGGGGAGAAACGTTACGTGCGTAAATGTACACAAAGACAAGCTTACACAAAGAAAAAAAGAACCACCACTGTAACTAACGCCCATTCGCTTCGATAGTGGTTTCGACGCCCAAGCACAAACCAAGTGGGCCGGCATAGCCAAAAGCCGGATTATGGCACATACATGCAGGGACTGGGATTAATTGAGGCTGTGGAAAAATGTTAACAGTCAGATAATTCTCGATAACTGATTGAATCTGTAGAACCATATGAAGTCCCATATACGACAAGGAAACAGAAATATTGGAGATATGTCAAGTCTTGGTATTTTACTTTCAAGGCAAATGATCATCCAACATGGGCCGATCCGAGTGTGCACTTCTAAAAATGGCATCTCCATCAGGTTGACCTACCCTTCTCCATCTTGACGTTAACAGAAGAGAAAGAAGAAACCCACAGGAAACAAAGTTTCTCAAGCCTGCAGGGTCTTCCCCTGAAGTGAACTAAACGATGGAGGGGAGAGCCTCAAAGGGCTTCGTTCCCATTCTCGTCTTTACCGAGACCAACGGCACAATCCGTGTTTCTTTGATCATGGTAGCCCAAGCTCGCCGCTCAGGCTTTGCTGCGTTGCATTTGGGTTCTTGGCCCAGTACCTGAATAGCTCACCGGCAGATGGAAATTACAATGGGTAACTGCAGCATCACGGTCTGTGCAACTTGTGAATCGGAATAGCAAATTCTTAGCGAGCGTTTCTTCGGGAAAATAACAAACTTGTTACGGGGACGTGTCAGCTTGAGAGGTCTGTCCTGGACTGAAGCTGTCGTGCAACCAAGGACCTCAGTCGCGGGGAGATTTTCCTGTACGATGACGTCGAGAAACCAAGACACAAGGCCTTATGCGACCCACACAAGCTATGCAATCTCCGAACCAATCATTTCTTCCAAATTCTAACCAAAAGGTGTTGGGCATTGAAACTCAAGATCTCCCCCAGAAGATCAACCAAGACTCGGCAGGATCCGATTGCATTGGGCAATCACTGCTTGGTACCTGATCAACCTTCTCGACCTGCACGAGATCAAAATTGATCTAGGCTTCTACGGTAGCTGAATGATGGGACCCTTGTACGCCCTAAGAGGGGCCGCTCTTTGTGCCTTGGTCTAAGGGACGGACTGCTAGCTTGTGCCCTGCAGATGCCAGCTCAGCTTCACCGATTTGTTCCACCTTTTCTTTCATCTTGAGTGTTTGGGCTAGTGCTCTTTCATGACCCAGCTCGCTCAGACTTTGTTGACAGACGTCTACGGCTAGTCCTCGGGGTGTCAGGATATTGAGGACTCCAGATCAGGGGTCGAAAAATAGTAGGTAAAGAGCCTACAAGTTTATCACAAGTCTTTTTGTCACCTGGGATGGTTTCCCGCCATACTCTAACTGGCGTCAAGTGTCAACGAGGATATCCTTGGTTCTCCTTTCAGCACGGGTCACCCAGTGGTAACTTGTCAAAGATGGCATCACTTAATCAGCCTATGATCGCGTCAGACTGTTTCGCGTCGTCTTAGCAACTTCAGATATAACGTATAGTGTTTTGTCCCTCAAGCGAGTATCATCAAACGGCCCTTCTTATACAGGCATTTGCATTCAGCGTTAATTCACGTAATCTAGTGGATTGCTCATACAAAATCCGCCTTCAAAACGCCGTCCTTTTTATTGTGTGCCCTACATGATCCAAATTCCACAAACCCTCGAACAAACTCATCGGTTGCACGTATGTGCTACCTGCTTCACTGACCCTCTAACATCCCAGACTAACAGCGTTGGCGAACAGAGCATAAGTATCAGCATGGTTGATGTTCTGCTCAGCAGTCAAGCTCTGGAGGAAGTTATACCCATAACCACCATAGTCAGAAGTTCCCTTGATCTGGTTAAGATGGGTCATCTCGTGCAAGTTGGTGTTACCCTGGTCCTGAGCATGGCAAGTTGAAGTGGTGGCAGGCAGACGCTCAAAGTAAAGGTCGCAGTAGGCCATGTAGTTTCCTCCAGGAACAGTGTAGGCAAGAACACCATTCTGACAAGCGCCGTAAACATCGGTACAGTAGTATCGAGTATCTCCAGCGTTGGTAGATCCACACTCAGCGGCAATCTTGGCAAAGACATCAGCGACAGTTGAGCGAGTCGCAGCGTCAGACTTCTTAAAGTACTCCTCCACCTTCTCAGCAGGACCATTAGACGCAGCCTCCTGAGCAGCAGAAGCCTGTCTAGCACAATTCGACAGAGCAGCTTGAGTGACCTGGAGCTTGTCACCAGAGCAGTCGCTCTGAACCTGAGCGCGCTTCTGGTGGAAAGCGGTGCGGACGGAGAAGGCCTGGGGACCGTCGACTTCGGCGTCGAGACGGTTGGAGTAGAAGGGGACTGAGCCGATCAACTCGGTCGAGTTCTCCTGGGCGAAGGATAGGGCGCCGGATGAGAGGACGCTGAACTTGCCGCCGGCGGAAAGATCGTGGAACTCGGCGATGTCGAACTCGACTTCGTAGGAGTTGCCCGAGGGGATGCTCTGGAAGGCGGTGTCATCGAGCTGGGTGGTGTCGAGGGCGATTCGAACACCATCAAAAGGGACAGTCTTCTTCTCTGTGGAGTGTTATTAAAAGTGAACAGCTTTTGGGGATAATGGCTGAGCGAGGGCAGTGTCGAGGATGTACCAGAGAATATTTCCCTGTTATTCTGCCGAGTGAGCTGAGTTTCATCCATGATAGAAATCGACTCTCATCGCCCGAGCAGTATACATATCCTAACCACCCGACATTTCACTCATGCCTCACATCCAAAGAAGTCTTACCAGCAGAAAAAACCTGAGCCCTCTCAACAGGAGCCGTATCAAGGAATGTTCCAACCTTGAGCAGCTTCAAGTTGCTCTTCCCATTATTGGTAATAACCGCCTTAACCTTTGAGTTCCCCTGCATCTTCAGCTCAACGTTCAAGGGAGTAGGAGCGCGCTTGTCCACCAGGGGCGCAGCGATAGCCATAGAGGCGAGAGCAAGACCAGCAAGCAGCTTCATTTTGAACGATAGACCAGATCGAACGAATGTGATTTAAAAGAGTGAATAGAATGAAAAGAACGAATGAATGGAAGGAATGACTGTTGTGAAGAGGATGAAGACATGCTGAAGGAGTCGAGGTATAGTGAATACTTATACGAAGATCGAGTTGATACCCTGCAACTCGTCTGAACATGGGAGCAGGGGACTTGCGACGATATTGATCCGTCTTGGTGTGGACCGATTCAGGGTTTCGTTTCGGACATGTCAATATGTTTGACACAAGCCATTTCCGCTCTCTAATCTTGGCGATTCTCGAATCGATTATCCGATCCAAATCCAGTCTCACCATACCCTCCTCTCCCTCCCTGCCTACAGTATCATTACATTTTCGCTATTTGAGTTTATCTTCCGATTTACACAATTAACTTTCCAATTGACTCTGTCCGATGTAACAAAATCGAAGATCTTCCAAAATTAAAAAAGGATCAAAGTCAGGTCCGGGCGTCATGCTCTTTCGAAACACACCATGTAGCATCGTCAGCTAGGATATGGACGCCCCACAATAGGATCGGTTAGGGCTATAAGAGATCGTCGTAAATCAAGGTTAAAGATGTTCTGCGAGATTGGAAGGGTTGATTGTGAATATATTACAACAAGGTGACTCCCCGTTCAACTTGAGACGACTTTGGGCCGTTGAGGAAGGAGATTGTGGCTTGTTGTTTGACGGGCCGTTTCTATAGCGTGATGATTTGAGATTATTGGATAGAGGTATTGTTTACGGATTTGAGTAAAAAGACAGGGCATTATGGTGTATCAGATTGCTGACGGCATGTGATTTTGAGATGGTAATAATTGTTTCGATGAGCAGCTATGGTCAGCCAACGACGAAGTGGACGAAACAATGATCTTTTGGTAAACTGATAGGTCTGACTGAAAATCTCGAGGCGTCTTGGCTTTCCACTATGCTGCATGTCTTCCAACGTCTGAACATGCCCCTCCACACTACCACTTAAGCTTATACACCAACCTCCGATCATTTCCATTCTCATATTTGACTAAGTTTACAAGGATGATAGATTCATCTCCCGTCTAATAGACCCATGAGCTCTCAGAAATAACGTACAAAGATCGGCACGGAGCATTGACTTGAGAACTTTTAATGCAGGTGCCAAATCTAAGTCAAACAAGCTTGCTTGGACCAGTTTGAGAACATGACTTGCGCACTATCGCCGGAGGGTTCTATTGGTAAGATGTTCTAATAGTTTGAAGGATGATGGGGTCTTGCATGTGAGTCTTGTTTGTTTGGCTTGCCGCGTTTGACGAGATATTTTAAGGTTGGGGCCAGTTCAAGGCCTGAGTTTGTGGCATCAAGACTAACAAGAATGAGACATGTGACAACTCACTGGAAGGGAGAACTCGGTCTACGCTGGGTTTTTGCAAAGGTACGGCATTGATCTATTGGATAAGCTCTCAAAACTGTCCATGGGACACAACAAGGGAACGTTTGCATCGTTGGAGGCGATACTGAGAAGATACAGCACGAGTGATATGAAGCATTACGCAGTTCAAGCTATTTTTAGGCTTTTATTCTTCAACATGGCGATCCTTTCGCGGACACACATCCATATCAGACTTGTTTGCTGGGGAGACACGGTGAGGATATGCCATCCACTTATGTCACGGCGACTTCAGTAAGGCATTATGATCACAAACTTATCGGGTTGCTTTGTCTTCCTCAGGATGTTCAAGACAGTATAGCTATCAGGGGATTAGTAGCGACACGTGTTGCAAGCTCATGGCGTCCGTGGTTGGGTGAGTTTGCAGATTGTCAATGAGAAGCCATTCTTCATCATTCGGGCTCCTAACTGCTGTGGCGAACCCCATTGCGACATCTTTATTGAGAGTTTCCACCGAAGAAAAGGATTCTTTGTTAGATGTTTCCATATAGTGAGTTCTAGATGCGCTGGTTGATCCGTTAGCGGCCGCATTCAAACATGAAAATGTCTCCGTTTACCCGGGACCAGTCCGGGTATCAGGTCTATCGTAGATGTTAGCAGAGCCGCAACGAGTTACAACAGTCAAAACTCAAAGTCAACGCATTCATCAATATTGAAGAATTACTTTCAGCCAGCAAGTGATACAATCCAGTCAATTGACTTGCTAGCAAAAAGATAGAGTGGAAGAGGCAGAATTAACAAAAAGAATGATCACGCTGGGGATCGAACCCAGAATCTTCTGATTCGTAGTCAGACGCCTTGCCATTGGGCCACGCGACCGTTTCTTGTTATTGAATTGAGCTTCGAAAATGTGGTTTACGGATTCTGTCAACAAACTTTTGTTAGACACGGAGGATTGTGGACTTCATCGTCTCGGTACGCCGCCCACAATCCGCGCCAAGCGACAAGAGCTAGCATAAGATGGTCAAGGACAGGAATCTGCTAAATAAAGTCTCCATAGCGGCGTTCAATAGCTCAAGTAGACCCTGGACTAAAACAGGCAATAACAGTATTTCGGCCTTTGCGCCACCTTTATAAGGGAGGATAGCGGCACAGTCACAAAGAATGCAATGCACGTGAGATATTTGAGCCCCTGGATCTTGCGTTAGTAGACAGTCGCGTACCTTTTAGCTCAACGTAAGGTTAATTATTATCTTAAGTTATTTTAATGGGACGTACTCCAAATTCAGCTCAGCTCCTGTCCGCCGTCTGCACGTTCATTTCATTCTCTTGGATCAAATCTTCATTCATCCTCACTCTCCTTTATGCCATTATCTACGTGATACAGGGACTGAAACAATCCCTTGTTCCTTTGACGTCAACTCACTCATTTCATTTCATTTTTTCTTGCGGGTTCAGTTCAAAAACCTCATGCCATGGCCATCTTCGCCTCTTCAGCTGTACGCCTACTCATCGGCCTAACAATCGCACTCAGCTTCATCGCCTTCTTCACACCAACCGGCTACGTACCAGACGTCGCATTATCATTCAGGATGCCAGCTGCACTTAAAAAAATCGACGTTTCCATCTCTCAAATGGAGAAAGATCCTGTTCTTCTCCGCGCAACTGTCACCAACAACAATGATGAGCCAGTCACTATTCTCAGCTACGGCTCACCCCTGGATCCGTTGGGCATTTCTCTTGGCATTCTTCACGTCACGCCAAAGGGCGACAGCAAACCACTTGAAATCATGCAGATTGAAGCTTCACGACTTTGGCCGCCTGCTGATGATGCTTTGATTGAGATTCAACCTGGCCGAACGGCTATTTGGGAATTTACCCTCCAGGAACCTGTTGTTCCTATGGACAGGGTGTTTGAGGGCGCGACGGTGCAGCTCAAGGGGACGTGGAATGCTGTGTGGACAAAGGAGAAGAAGGATGTTGACTATACATCTTTTGAGACGGGCACACCAGCAAACGAGACTCTAACAGGGCCATTCAAGTCAAATGTTATTGACATTGAGGTCGCCTAGGCATGAATTGTATTATTATTATGGCGTTTGGGGTATGATTAATTGGTTCACTTGTCTCTACGTTAGATGACTAGAGTGATTGATGGGTTAATTGGAAGGGAAAGCAAGGGGTGAAAATATTTTTTATTAGAATACATATAATCCAATCCAACAAGCAGGCATTCTTTGTCTCTCCCTGAAATCCATGCAGTCAGCCTTTCGAGGCAAGCCACGTTCATACCCTGTAACAGACCAGCGACCAGCCAAGCCCAGGCATGGACAAGTGTCTGAGATGACAGAAAACTACACAACGCCGGTTGTTCGGTCTAACATCAATAGATGGTTAGTCTGGTCAAAGATTGATAACGTTGGTATGACTAGCTCAATAACCGGCGTTCCGGAAACCCCCTTTTACAAATAAGCGTCATCATCACTACCCTGAAGTTCGAGAAGTCATGACGAGTATTGGCTCCGATGAAGAAATACTGGCACTTGTGTGTTATACCCGTGAAGTGACAATACATGACTGTGTAGAATGTCCCTATTCTCACTAGTTTGGCAATGAAGGGCTGTTAAATTGCCGGTAAGGCTATATCCTGGAGACTATCTTAATCTTTTTGACAGCAATGTCTACTTTGGTACAATTCTTTTTCTTCTTTCAGGACACAATCGACATTCCCGTTCTCAGTATCAAGTGAAGTATAAACCAATGTTCCATTTTATTTGCTCCCCAATCTACTTTTTAAACCTTACTTTCCCCGGATATCAATCTCTACTCCCGAACAAACAACCCAGCCATACCCATACCCGTTCCAACACACATACTCACAACACCAACCTCACCACCATCCCTCTTAAGTCCATGCAAAAGCGTACTCGTCATTCTAGCACCCGTAGCTCCAAGAGGATGTCCAAGCGCAATAGCTCCTCCATCAGGGTTAACCTTCTCCTTCGCCCACGCATCCTCAAGTCCCAACTCCCTCACACAGTGCAGCGCTTGGCTCGCAAACGCCTCGTTGATCTCCCACCGTGACACATCCTCCGTCTGAAGACCGACTTGGTTGAGAAGCTTGGGGATGGCGAGGGCGGGACCGATACCCATCTCATCGGGATCGCAACCAACTGTAACGGCTGAGACGAACTTTCCGATGATGCGGTCTTGGAGACCGAGGGCGGTGGCTGTGCTTCGGCGCATGAGAAGTGTAGCGGCAGCACCGTCGGAAACTTGACTCGAGTTTCCAGCTGTTGAAGCACCATCTGGCTTGAACGCAGGCTTGAGCTTCGCCAGCGCCTCAATGGAAACGCCCTCACGAATACCATCATCAGCAGTGACGGTAATGTGCTGCTCCTCGCCAATCTTGTTACCCTGCTTATCAACCTCCTGGAATCTCGTCTCAACGGGTACAATCTCCTCCGCAAAGCGCCCCTCCTTTCTCGCACGTGCAGCACGACGGTGAGACTCAACAGCCATAGCGTCCTGGTCCGCTCTCGAAACACCATATCGCTCCGCAACATTCTCAGACGTCAAACCCATAGGCATAATACAGTCTTGAGCATGACGATTAGGCGAGCTCTTCAGCTCCGGCCACACATCCACAGGAATAGCTCTGCTTCCGTAATTCCTCGTCATGCTCTCCATACCAGCCGCGATACCCGTATCAATCATGCCCGTCTGGATCTGCGCCGACACAGCAGCGATGGCCTGCAGCGAACTAGAGCACGCGCGGTTCACGGTGTACAAGCTAGTGGTGTTCTTGAAACCGACGTGGTTGAGAGCCATGCGCGCCGCCTTTGAGCCGCCTAGCTCGGAGAGCACCACGCCGACTGCTACATCGTCGACGGGGGCTTCAGGATGTGCTTTGAGAGTGGCTTTGAGGACGCTGGCGAGGAGTTCCTCGGGGTATGCGTCTTTGAGCTGGCCGCGGTAGGAGCGGCAGATGGGAGTGCGGACGGCGGAGAGGATTACGGTGTCGGAAGGGGATTTGGCGAGGACGCCTTGAAGGCCTTTGTGAAGACGGACCGACATTGTAGCTATATGAGAGGATATGGGGTATATGAGAGATTACGGGGTTAGAGGGAAGGCCAATTGATAAGATGAAGGAGAAAAGAAAAGATCAGAGGTTCATGATGAGAAGTGAGAGAAGTGTTTATGAACCGGGTAAGTAAATATCCCAAGCTCCATTACCCTCCACCCCCGCCGAAAGCCGGAACACTCCCGTCCCGTGGCCATGAGCCGAAAGTGGATCCTCGACACGGCTTCAAACATCGGGTAATGTTGTCGCTTGTCGCTTACCTGTCGGAGTTCGGGTAAGATCCCTACAGAGTGGCGTTGATGGCTGTGCAACACTCATCATGAGACATTCACATTCTGATTGAGATTCAATATCATGTTGAAACTTGAACAATCTTTCCATTTATACACAATTCCGGCTGTGGCATTCTACCCTCTTTTACCAAGCCAACATACGTAAACAAACTCGCCAAAACAATACCACCAACGCCCTCCTGTGCCGATGCCGTCGTTATAATCGTATGGGTAACCCCGAACTCCATTTGCAATCTGCTTCTGAACTAGACATTTCACTGTCTATACTGAATCCCCAGTCCTAGCTTATCATGCCCATCTGTCATTGGTTCAACCACTTTGGACTTCTTCGCTGGACTTCCTCGATCGAGTCGTATTTCCTCAGTAGATGAATGGTTGCCGCTGAATTTTCGCTTGTCGCTATCTCCATTTCGATGGGAAAGTAATCTCTCCTGCATGCGGACGGTCTTCTCCATTGGTCCTGGTGTGTTCTTCAAGGTTTCGGCAACCTCAAAGCTCTGCCGCGGATCTCGCCGCAACATCTCTGCAGCAGCTTGACTGGCCTGGCTATCAAATACCTCTCCATCTTGGTCGCTCCGGTTCCGTGACTGTGATGTAAACGACTGGGCTGCGGCAACCGACTCAAGCGCCTGTCTGGCTAGCTCCTCATTATCGTCTGCTGAAATAGTGCTCTCTCGACTCCTACGGCGGCGGTCAGTCTTGGCCACAGGTGTCGTAGGAATGAACTGTCTTTGGGAGTATCGATGAGGCTCCGAGTGAGGTACCAGATCCACCGATGGAAGAAGCCCAACGTTTGTACCCACCGGCCGGTTCATAGGCGTCGTGGGCAGAGACGACATGGATTGCGAGTTGCGGTTGTGTTTTCCGACGCGCGGTGCAGGGCGGTGAGAATGCATCGGTGTCGAAGGTGCGCTGTTGTTATCCTGGCTCATAGCCTGCAACAAAGCCGAGAGACCATGCTCGCCTTGTGATCTAGATGTCTGCTGTTGCTGAGAGCTCCTATGCCCTTGTGTCACGACAGCAGCTTTCTGTCTGGGCGTCAAGACTGCATGAAATATACCCCCAGGTCTACAGAGCATTTGCATATGCTCTCTGTTCTCGCGTATTCGTCTCAGTAACATATCTCGCTCTTCATGAAGAGCAATGCTTTCATCCTCGCTTTGCTTGATGACCTTCTTAGCAGTCTGGATCCGGCGTTGGAGGATCTCATTCTCTTGTAGCATGGCCTCATACCGCGTCTTCATCTGTAAATACTTTGCTTGTAATGCCTCGGACGGCTTATCGAATTCTTTTCTAGCCAGTCGGGTGAACTCTGCATTTCGTAGCGCGTCTACCTCGCGACGCATCATCTCGTGTTCCACAGCAGCACGCTTGGCATCGTCGTCGGCCTGGATAGACAATAAGCTATACTGTAGCTTATGATGAGCTGTCTCCATCTTGAGCTTTTGTTGTTCTGCTAGAGCTGATTGAAGCATGACGCGCAGCTCGTCGGCAGACGCCTCGAGGACCTGATGTGGAGCGGGAGGGAGGAATTCCGTTGTCACAGGACGTTCGCGTATGTTATTGGGTACGGTAGCTGGTGGGGAGAAGAGTGTTGACGACTGCTGAGAGCCAGAGAACTTTCGTTTGGAGGGACCGGGCCCAGCTTGACTGGCATGGCTGTTTACCTGGGTTGACGGAGGCGGTGTAAGTGACGATGGGATAACAGTAACGGCCGGTCGATCTTCGTTAACTTCGGTTCTGAAGGACTCGTTTGGATCGATGGGCGAGTTTGGTATCTCTGTCGAGGGCAATGTCACCGCAGCTGGATCTTGGGGTCCTGCTTCCTGAGGTTGAGGCGTTGTGGGGTTCAGTCGCTCGCGAGGATGCCTAACAATAATCGTGTCGCCCTGCAGCATATGCGAAGCCTGCGTGGCTTCAGTAGGAGAAGTCATGTTGAAGCAATCGTGTTCTGCTGTCAAATAATTCCCCAGGCAACCAAGTCGCGTCAACAGCTCTCGTCGTTCCGATCCGTGAGCTGAGGAAGACGGATCTTCGACAGCGGGTGATATATATCGCAGAGATTTTCCAATGTGTACATGTGCTTTGCATGCGCGTGTGTTTACTATCCTTTCAAATCAAAGTTTATGCGTTGTCGTGCAGCGCAACGCAACGCACAACGCGCCGCGAGATGGATCCACAATAAACAGCGATTGTGACGAGGGAAAAAACAATCGATCGCAGAACTTTCAATGGAAGAGGAGAAATGGGGATATAAAAGCACGGTATGAGCAGAAAATGGTAGACACAAGTGATAAATGCTTTGGCTTGTGACGCCGTCGTTTTTGGTTGCTTCCAAGAAATGAGAAGCTAGCTTGGCTGAAGATGAAAGACCCAGGAACAAGGGTTTTTCCGTTACGCGCCTCTGTGTTTTCAGTGGAGGATGGCTGGGTCCAGGGTTGGAGATGCTTGTTTTTAGGCACTAAACTAGAAGAGGTTCGAGATGAAGTTCGGTAACCACGACCTGTGAAACCACTGGAAATTGATCCACAGGCGTTATCTGTCAGTGCCCGAGACATTAAACCGACGGAACCGAACCAAACGAAACAGACAAACAGGATGAACCCGTGGAGAATCTCTCAATTTTGAAACGAATGAATCAAACCCTGTAGCCAAAAATGACTGTCAAATAAAATATCCCAATTTTTCACTCGCCCAACTCCAGACCTTAAACACCAAACACCAACCAAGTCGTGATACCCTCAGACAACAACAACCTCAGCAGTCTCCCTCTCCTTCTTCTCCTTCCTCTTCTCAGTACACTTCAAAAACAGTTTCAGAATAGCCCTCCCAGTAGCGAAGATCACATAGACCACCCATATGGCAGGCCAGAACAGAATCACAAACGTCCACCAGGCCGCCACAGCGAGTTTTGCCCAGACCGTGCCGTTAGAGTCGAGATACCACTCTGGGACAAAACTACTAGCTTTTCCGCGTGTGTTGAGGACCAGACCGCTTATTAGGCCGAATGTGATCCAGCCACATGTCGACATTGCTGCGACGATCCTGAGGGTTGCGGAAGGGCCTGGGGATTTGCTCTCAAGGACATCGTTGTTTTCTTCCATGTCGCGGGCCATGAGGGCGAGGGTTTGTATCAAAGGAGGCATAGTGACGATTTGTGACGATATATCAAGTATTGATTGTAGTTTTAGGTCGTGCAGGTCTTGTAATGTGATGATATCGTGAAGTGGCGCTTGGGCTGGTGCTTGGCTTGTCTTGTGGTTTTCGCGCGTGGGTATCGACGTGATTGAGGGATACTTGAAGAATGTTCCACGATGGTATGAGTAGTGATGAACCATTCCATTCATAGGCGGGATACTCCTGTGCTTTATACTCGGTGATAAAGTTTGTGCTGATACTGAGGGAGTCGTCGCGTCCACTGAGACTTCAGGTTCACGGTGCCTTAGGTTCTTGCCCCAGATGGCCACGAGGCACCTTCCAAAGTCTGGAGACATCTGTAACTGCTTGAGCGTCCCATGTGTAGGTACACATCGATTGTAGTGAAGAGGCGAAGTAACCAACGAATTCATTGGCTTCAGCATATCGGATGCTCTTAGTTGTGCGTGACTCACGGTTGTTGTAGTGTGACCTCGAGATGGTGGACTCCACGCTTCGTTCTCTCATATTTAACCTTAAGATTTTGGTAAATGGACTCGTCGAATTGAAGCACTCTTCTCGTGCATCAATACCAAAGGAAAATAGGGGATGAACCAACAATCAGGACTAATTCATAGCCTTGTAAGTTCACTGCCCATGGATTCTCCTCCAACCCATCATTCAAATCTCAAGAAACTCGCAAAGGGTTTCCTCAATAACCTCAAGGATATGACCAAGGGCAGTCTGCCATGTCTCGTCGTGCTGGACACCTTAAACTAGCCTCGAGAGTTAATCGTCGTTAACAAGAAGCTGTTTGGATATAATCATATCGCTATTTTACCAAAAGACTCGTCCTCCAATTTCCAGCGACAACGTGGTGATTTGTTGAACTCAAGGCAAAAAGTATAAAGGAAGACTCTTCAAATTAGAGTAATGCAGTAAAGAATTTTCGGGATTTTGAGCCAAACTTTGGCGGCGAAATTACCAGACCCCATCAAATCTGTTGGTGGGAGGCTGGGTGGGCTCACGTATAGCAGTCGGAGATTAGTAAGGAATTTTCTCGTCTCGAAGTAATCCCTTGATGGTATTTTACACAGATCAAGTCCAACTTCTCCCGTGAATACAACGACTCTGAGCCAGCTGATGACATGGATTCACCTGCGCCAAGCAACTCTGCACTTCTACTGCCAGAGTATCGCCCAAGGTTGACAACGATGCCAATATCATGGATCACATAGTAATACGGCATCACAGCTGTCTAATGCAGTTCCAGCACAGTCGTATGACCCAGGTAAAAGTATATTAACAAGAAAGCAAGATGGTATATAGTCCCCAGTAATAAAACTAAAATACGTCAAAATATGTACCAAGAAGCGAAAACAACCACCCATGACAAGTGCGTAACAATCAGCGCCAAGTCTACAGCTCATAATCAATCCACCTCAGGCTCGTCGTCATCTCCTTGCCATGACGCCATATCAGCGACTGGCACGCGGCCCCTGAGCCACCGCAGAGTGGCATCTGTGCCTCGCTCAATCACATTCCATCGTGGAACTCTGAATCGGTTACCTGCCACTTCAAAACGTTCGAGTCCGCCGGGGCCGCCGAGAAGACCAATGCGAGGGTTCAGATGAGCGATGTCGTTGTTGCTCACGTCAACGATCTTGAGACCCTTGATCATATCTGGTTCGAGATCGACGATGTGATTATTGCCCGCTAGCAAGACGTTCAGACTGGGGAAAGACTCCTTCAGATTTGTCGGGAGAGCGTTGATGCGATTCATCGTCACATCAATCTTCTCAAGACTTGGTGCATGCAAGAACTGCACAAGCGCTCCAAGACCAGTAATGTGATTCGATGCCAAGTTAAGTTCCCTCAAAGCCGGGAGTTCCAATTCCTCCGTTAGATACGCCTCGCCGACCATCTGATTGTGAGACACAGACAGGGCAGTCAATGTTTCGGCAAAAAAGCTAAGCGAGTTGGGTAGGGTAGCAAAAAGGTTGTTTTGGAGGAAGATTTGTCGGACACGGTGTTCGGCAGCGACTTTAGAGCAAACGACAGGATGGAGTGATGAAGACTGGGTTTGGGATCGATCTAGGATACCGCCAGGCTTGACGGGCCAAGTCTGGTTCGACAACGTGTGCGATCGAGAACGGTGGCTTGATACAGTGTGAGATCGGGAACGATTAGGGCTTTGGGGAGGTGTAGCGAAATCATCATCTGACCTGTCATTTTCATCAAACATTGCGTCAGGGTTCGATTGCGTGTTGTCAGGACCCTTGACATCAGCCAGAACGTCTAGAATTCCGACTTGAGAAGCTGGCTCTTGGTAGGGAGGTGGTGGTTCCAGGCGGCCGGCAAGGACCTCCTTCAGATCTTCGGTAGTGATGGAAAGGAACTTCTTGTCACGGAGAGGGTTGCCGCTAAGTCGGATCATAGACAAGTTGTCCATGCGAGACACCTCGGGAGGGATCACTCTGATGTCGTTGCTAGAGAAATCAGCATGACGAAGTTTCTCCAGGCCCATGAAACTGTTGGGAATTCCTGAGATGTTGTTCTCTTCGACCGAAAGCGTCAGAAGACTTGTCCAGGTCGTCATGTCTGGCAGTCCTTGCAGACGGTTCATCGACAGAGAAAGAGAATGCAGAACCGGCAGGTCGATGGAAGCACCCAGGGGCACCAGTCTTTGCAACTGGTTTGCAGAAGCGTCCAATGTGTGCAATTGAGGCAGACAGCCGATTGGCTCCTCAATCAAGGTGCCCTTGAGCTTGTTCTTCCTGATGTTCAGCTCGGTAATAGGAAGTGTGGCAATGCTATCGAAAGGCAGAGACTCGAAGCTGTTTTCGCTCAAGTTAAGAATACGAAGACGCGACATGTTTTCAACCTTGGGAGGTAGTGCAGAGATGTTGTTACCATGCACGTCAAGGATTTCCAGCTCGTTCAGACTCGAGAGTACGGGGTTGAGTGGGCCGTAGAAGAGGTTGTTGGCAAGCTTCAAGTCGCGTAGAGAGCTGACTTGTGAGATGGTGTCCAAGCTGTTGTTTGTGAGGCGGTTGTTCGACTAATAAGGTTAGCAACGAGGACAATCAGGAATGCGAATACAACATACCAAGTTCAAGGAGGTCAGGCAAGTCAAACGTCGAAATCCCAAGGGGACATTGACCAGGAGATTGCCATGCATATCCAAGGTCTCCAGACCAGCAAAGATGTTTCCTTGACTAGCCTGTGCCTCGTCGAACGAAGAGGGGTTACTGTCAGGGAAGATGAAGTCGTCCAATTCTTCGAACTCGTTATCCGCAGCAACAAAACGCGTCAAGTCAACACTCTCTGCCCAGCTTCCGTCAAAGGTACCAATGCTCTCCAGATCATACATTTTGAGGACCTCAACAGGAATTTCCTTCAAGTGCAGAGCCGCAATGTTAAGTCTCCCAGTTGTCCTTGCAGTATTGACTCGGTTCTGAAGAACCTTCTTCTTGGGATCTTCGCCCTTGCGCAGATTGAAAGGGTCATCATGGTTAACGCCAAAGTCAAAGCCAGTATCCGAGGGGACGATTGGTGCTTCTTCTTCTGGATGTGTTTCGATCTCAGCTGCTTGCTTCATCTGTGCACGTTTCGCAGCCTTGGCCTTGGCGATCTGCTCACGCAGAGCGGCTGAGGACTTGCGAGCCGATGGTGGTGTTCCAGGCTCGGCTGAATCGGCTGTCAGAGACGTATTGTGAGAAGAACCTGCTGAAGGAATTGTACCATCCCAGGAAGCAGTCGAGGCAGAATTGACCGACACACGACGGTTGGAGGTTCCATTCAATGAAGCCTTGCCAAGAGCAGGAAGTGAAGGCTTCTTGAACAAACCCTGTACGGGAGCCCTTGACTTCGCAGGTCGCAAAGCCATAGACTGAGAGCCTGACTTGGGAGACATCATGGTAGGCTTGCCTGGACTGGGGCTTCTTGCGTCGGAGAAGGGAGCTGGCTTGGAGGCTCCCGCTCGGGTATTGGGAGTCTTGCTTGTAATGACTGAAGCCCGCTTCTGAGGAGTTCCATCGATCGGAGTCAGAGGCTTTCTGAAAGCACTTGCAGAACCTCTGAAGCTGCTGTAACCGAGGTCGGACTGTTCTGAACTAGAGCCCGGTCGGCTTTCGGTCCTGTAGATTCTGACCGAAGCATCTGAAGCATAGCTAGAACCCGGCCTTGAGCCACCACTATCTGCCCTCGAACGCGGTCGTGAACTCGATCGTCCTTGGTCGAAGAAGTTTGACGACTTCATCATGGCGGGAGAAGAGGGAATGGAAGCAAGTGTCTCAATGGTTCTCTCGCTTAGAGAAGGTCTCGGCTTGCGAGAGCGAGCCCGCAGTGTATCGGGTTTATCATCATCGTCAGTCGAAGCGGTTTGCGGTCTTGCTTGGTTTGGGTCGAAGATATTGTTGGCAGGGTCGTACAACGGTGAGGTTGCAAAGGTTTCTGAAGGTCTCCTTGTAAGGGTCAATTGACGAGGGAAGATATTTCCATCGAATTGAACGCCCATGGCTTCTCCCGGGGGATCATATGGGGGTGTTGTAGATTGCTCCTCGATAATATCAGCTTGTCTCTCCATCGATCGATGCGGCGTCGAAGGAATTCGTTGAGCCATGGGCTTTGCCGGCGATAGATGTGTAGGAGGTTTAGTGATGAGCGATGTGCGTCTTGTTCCAGTGTTGAGATGTTCTCTCGAAACTGCAGGTCGTAGCCTTTGAGCTCGCTGTTGAAGGTCTGGTTGACCAGTTCGTAATTGATCTCTCGACATTGAAGGTCGAAGCCGAGGATTCCGTAGCTCACCACCGCCAAGACTCTCCCTTGACGGCGAGGGACGAACAACGGACGTAGGCCGTGGTAGAGTTGATGTAGGCTTTGGAATTCCTGAAGTCGGTCTTGGTACAGGTAGCTTCGAGAGTCGCGGAATAGCGCTCATGCGCTTTTGGGAGGAATCCTCCATGATGAAGGTATTTGCAGGAGTATCGTGTTCAGCAGAAGTCGTTGTCTTTAAAAGGAATGCGGTTGACAAGATTGCCCGAGACAAATGGACAGCTTTTGTTTGTAAGGGGTCCAGGAGGGGATTTTGTTTATCGGGGGCCTAGCGTTGGCGGGTGGACGACGGGACGGAAGGGCTTGCGGGAACTAGCGATGAGGCGAACGATGAAGGCATCAACCTGGCACAACAGAACAAAAATATTGAAGATGCAAGTTTGAGACAGGAACAAAAAAAGAGAGTTGAAGAAGGTGACAGTGACAGTTCGCTTAAGCTTGTTGCTAATGTAAAGAAGAAATGATATCTCCAGGGGTTCAAGCGAGTGCCGTGCCTTGGGTTTGGAAAAGATCCCGTCCAGTCAATGATACCCAGAGGTCCTTCAGTGCCAGGGTCGGGTTGGGTTCCAGTGGGGACAGGCTGCGAACCCACTAGATTGCGCTAACTTGTTAATGATGTTTAGTGGCTTTTTGCAGGAACGGTGTTCCTAGGCCCGGTCCGCCTTAGACACGCGTCTAGGCTGCATTCTCTGGTAATGATACTGGATAAAAAGTATATTCTAAGCGAGGTCTGTACAACAGTTTGATCGTTGTTGTTCTCGTTCGTTTCCGGAACAATCAGCCATGTGTTCCTTAACCCCTCCCATACCATCCTGTGGCTAAAGCTTCCGGCGTCCCGTCTTTCATCCCCAGTCCAAGGCACGGGCGGACCCTTTCCACCGGTTAGGTTGACCTGGCTAATCCCTGTAAGGAAGCCCCTGAAGTTTCTTTGTCCACTGTGTGCAGAAAGCCTCATTTTTTACTTTTTGCAAGCAAAGGCTTGGAGTTATTGACATTCTTTGTTTACAATGGCGTCCCAGAACCAATGACGACACTACATTCTTCGCCATCTACGGAATATGATACGTTGTGGATTGATCTTGTGTTCAATATTAACATTAGGTACGGTCATTCAGGTGGGTTACGAAAGAATCCACATAGCAACCGGGTACCTGGCTTTATCTGCAGGTACAGAGTAGCATCTGCATCGATCATTTTCAGGAATTCCCATCATCATTGACTAGCACATTATAAGATAGCCTTTAATTGGGTTGAATGATGAAACATTATTGAACTCAAATTATTCTCTCTCAAAATATGCACAATTGGGGCTCTGGAAATTTTCTGTCATGTTCCTTTTGTAATGAAGCCTCAGATCTCTATCAAGTGAAACATCGATCATGGATTATCACACCTTGTGCCCCTGTCGGCAGAACGTACAAAATATTCCGCCACGGGATTCGTTTTTACCCTTAGCTTATGTTTCAAGTGAACCTCTTTTATGTATTGGATAAAGTTGTACCATTCACAGTCACATTCTTGGAGCTTTGGTGACAGTTTGACACAACCTTGGGGAGCAAGAAAACTTCTGACCCTAAATCAAGGTAAAAAATGATTAGGTAGTCTGAAGGTATATAAAGTGTGTATTATATTTACTTAAGTCTTTTTGTCATTTGAGATAGAGGTCTTACATTTTCTTGCCTCCCCTTGAAAGAGTAGCGATTCTTACAACGTGCTATGTAGTCTAAATCGCTGATGCCCTCGCAATACAAAACACGCGGGCACACGAGAATGTGATGACGACAAGAAAGGATATGTTCGCTGCTGATTTGGCCATGACCTGACTCCCAAGCGCCAACAAAGCCAATCAAGAATCTTAATTGAAACAGTAAACATAGAAAAAGTGAGTCCCCTCCCGCTTTCACGATGAGTAAACACTCCACAAGCGAACATCTCACCATGGCTTTGCAGTCCTTTCACCTTATAATGGATCTTCCACCCGAGATTCGTCATGAGATTTATTTTTTGGCCACACCAGACCGTGTCGTTCACGTCCAACATTCATACCCACAGTTTGATAATTATAACACAAAAGGGCCTTTCTCATGCAGTGCCCTTATTCCTCCTCTACTACACATGTGTTCCGAATCCCGGGACTTGCTGACAAAAACGGGCTACAAGCTGGTTTTTCGGGACCAAACAACCGGGCGGCGATTCTGGTTCAACTTCAAAAGAGATACCCTGTTTATCGACCGAGGGGCACTGTTCAAGATATACGAGGGAATTAACCCGTTCCCCTGTAGAGATACCCAAAGAGTTCACAGAATAGGCTACGAGAGGGGGGACCTGGGCCTGCATGAACATGGTATCAAGTTTGTTCTTCAGAATTTTGGGGAGCTTCAAGAAGTCTTTCTCATCGAGTGGACTGGAAGGGCGATAGAAACCCGCAAAGAATACCGCAAGCCTGGGTTCAAGTCCGGTAGCCAATATTTCCGCGACGTTATTCCACAGAGACACAGCTACGATACTAGGAACCTCTGCAAGTTTGTGGAGATCCAAAAGATTGATGGGCATCTCTGTTTTATTCGTCGCTTTGATAATTTTTATATTCGGAGCCCTCAGTCATGGTGGCCGGGCCGTTGGTGGAACTCCCTGGGCCTTCTTCCTCCGGCGACTATACCAAAAGACACAGATCTTGTCAAGTATTTCAGCGAGCCTTACGAGAAATGGGAATCTGTTGATCACCCACGAAAACATTTAGAGGCAAGCTTCGCGACATACTGGGCCGAGTTGGGGCTGCCAAGCGAGAAGCTACCCAAGATCAAACCCGTGCACCTACTCACCGACGCCGAACACCAAGCGATCCAACGAGAACGACGCACCGGTTTCAGAATTCTTCAAATAAAGTTCCATTTAAAGAAGTATTGTGGATTGACTGAGAACAATCATGTTAGGCTTATTAGGAAACGGTATTAAACTTCAGGATGTCAGTGCAGGTACAAAGAACACATCATTGCACTATGATATAAGCATCTACTAGAAGATTCGATGCTAATACCCAAATCTTATTAGAAGCCCAAAGAAATTGTTAATGTTACATATCCTTTCAATAGCCCAGAGCATGTTGAGACAAATAGAAAAGACGTTTGTCAAATAATCTCAACACTGACATTGGGACTTTAGAAGACTTGAAGTATACATTTTGTCAATAAAAGCTTCGCGAACACTCTGATTGCCACCGAGAAGTCTGTCGTCATGCTGTTTTAGTTAAGAATCAAAATTACAAAGTTTGCCTCAAGTTAAGTTTGGTTGATGGCCAAGTCACGCACTTTTAATGGAAACTGAAGGAATAGTCCTCGTCAACCCCGGATATTGTGACTACTGCTAAACTACAGTCAGAAATAAGTCTCGTTGTGAAAGTGCTTAGTATGTCATGCACAGATATCAAGGTTTATCGAATCATTCAAGACAAAAGATCGAAAAGAATACAGCATAATACTTGAACCTTTACAGCAAGAAACTCTCTCATGGTTTGACTTCCTGCGTGATACATAACTCTAGTTCTGCACCTATTTATACGTCAAAAGCCCCAGAATATTAGCCGACTTCTTTTTCCTACTTCATCCACTTCCTAAATATACAGGCAATGGCCACCTTTCAGAGCCTCCCGGCTGAGATCCGGCACAAAATCTATTTCCTCGCTACACCAGCTCGTGTCGTCCATGTCAAAGCTGACTTTCTCTATTCCAGCGAACTTGATACTCTCTGGAGGGTTTCAGGGTACTCAGGGTCCTTTAAAAATTGGCTGAGATACAAAAAGGGCGCAATTGCATATTTCTACAGCAATTCTCCAATCCCCGTCCTGCTTCATACCTGCTTCGAATCGCGAGACCTTCTGATGAAGATGGGGTACCAGCTCACTTTCAAGACCAAGTCACACGGGCCAAGAACGTGGTTCAACTATGATCGAGACGTCTTATTTAAACGTGACGATACTTGCGAAGTTGCAGAGTTCGATCCAGTTGATGCTATCAGAGTGCGTCAGCTGGCTGTTGATCATTTCACCGGTTGCCTCTACGGCGCGTGCCAATTGCAGGGGGCCAATGGACCGATCTGGTGGCCAGCTTACACTAGCTCCTCTCTCTATTCACACTTCAGGGAGTTCACGGCCCTCGAGGAGCTTCTTCTGGTTGACTGGACTCGAAACACTGTCCCCAAAGGGCTGACAAATGACACGGACTATCCTGTCAAACCTCCTTCGAAGCGACACAGATACGACATAGAGAATCTCTGGAAATGCGTGAAAGTTGAGGACAGCTCCCTAATACGAACGGTGTACGACTCCGACCCTAGGGAAGAATACCGTATTGGACCAGAGATTTCCAGAACAGTCAATCACCATCCTGCACCTGGTCTTGCAGACTGGGGTACGTTCAGCACACAGAGTGCATGCCTACAGTCGGAACTTGTTCAGCACTGGAAACGAGAAAATAATTTCGCCGAAGGATGGAGGGCGCCGAGAGTAACCCCCGTGCACTTGATTGATGAACAACAGAAGGAGATCCTGCAACAAAAACAGAAGTTGGCTGTTGATGAATTGCACAGACTGCGGAGATACTGGGCTCTTGTGTTACAGGAGAGAAAAGAACGAATAGATGCTAGGAGATCTGAGATTAGTTCACGTGAACATCAGTATCTCTCGGCATATTCTTGGGAGAAGATCTGCTGGATCGAGAAGGATGTCTTTTCATAGTTTTGATTTCTAATGTCTGATATGGGACATTGATGACATTGACAGAATAGTTTCGCCAGGTTACAGAATTCAACTTGGTCATTGTTATATACTTAGAGATGCAAGGTGAATATACTGGCCTTAAGGAGCAAGAAAACATCAACTATTGACTTAAGTCGTTGGAAATAATTATTCTAAAGCCTACTAAAACTTTCTCGAATTTATGTAAAATACGTCTTTCTATTATTTAGGATAAAAGTGTTGAGGTTTCTTATCTCATCTAGACTAGTTTCGATATCAGGATCCATATTACGACTAAACTTCTGATATGACAAAACCAGACACAGGAGGACATGGCGGATAATCTTTATGGTCGAGAGGCTCCTCACCTCTCTCAACCCTCCACCGATTCGTCGCTTCCAACGGCCCAGAAAGGTCTTTGAACAACCAACCCCATTTCGTAACGAATCCCTCCGACATTTCCCATCCTGATACATCCCACGGCGGTGACCAAGCAATCAAACCACGTCTTTCCATCTCATCGTCCGGGAACCCCTCATACAAACCACCAATGCAATCAGCCCATAAATCATCTTCATCAAAAGTCCCATAAGCTCGAATCAAACAGTCCCGTGCCTCTGGGGAGGGAAACATATCAATCCAGTCACAGTGCATAACTGTTTGTTGAAGAACTGTGGGGAGAAGTGCTGAAGGGAGCGAATCTGGGTTGGTGGGGTAGGGGACTACGTGGATAGTGTCTTCATCGCCGCAGTCAAGAGGTGTGGTTAGAATGCCGGAGATGAAAGTCCTGTTGACAGCCAAGGCGCGGAGGGCGTTGTATTGGAGGAGTGTAATTAGATGATCTGAACTGAGGGGAAAGGCGACATTTGACTGATTCTTCTTGGTTCTGTATGCTAACAGAGGCTGTCTGGCGTTGTATATGTTCTTGACATGGGATGCTGGGACAATAGACATCGATTCTTGGTTGATATCCCAGCATTCAACCACTGGTTCAGATATGATTGTCTCGGCTTCAGTCTTTGACGCCTTGGCCTTCTTTTCTTGAGCCTTTCTCTTCCCTGTTCAATCTCTTTAGCAGGACCAATGAGGGGCCGCGATAAGTGACCTACGGTATGCTCTCATGTTTAGCCTAGTCTGAGCTCGTCTTCTTGCTGCGGCATCTGTTGTTCCAGTCCAGTTATCTTCTATGCTTATCGCCTGTATCAGGTGAGTAAGTTATGCCGAACCATCTTGCGGGCTCATACCTCAGCCAATTGCGGCATCGAAGTGAGCTGAACGGATGGTTCTTGCGGATAAATCGACATCTTGAAACTATCGAATGTTGATGCCGAAGGAAAATGCAACCTGCTCACATTCTTTGGGTCTAACGATTAAAGACGTCGGATATTGAGGCACAGACTAGCAAGGGTAGTGTGGCGATTGGGTAAGGTGATTGGTTACTGAGACATGAGCGAACTTGAGATGGTTTAGCGTCATGCAACCTGCTCACTCGTCCGTTTCTGGATTTGCGTATCAGCGCCTGATTAGTTCCCATAGAGTTGATCGTGATTGGTCAGACACTTCTTTATGTTACCTGCTCACAACGCTTGATATCCGAACAGGCACAATGGAATTAGGTATGGAGTTAAGCAGCGGACTTCTGTTGCGGACTTTGATGGGAGGAAATATATAAGAATAGCCTTAATATGGCCTTGTCAAATCGCTACTCACCACTTTAAAAACCATCAAGTCTCATTAAGGTGACACTACTCTTCAGCTTACTTACCTTGATTCAACTTCTAAGACGACACGATGACCTTTCACCCTGATAGCCTCCCCGATCTCACTGGGAGAGTGTACATTGTTACAGGTGGTAACTCTGGCATGTCAGTCTACTTCGTATTCGCTACTGAGAGGTCTTGATCGCTGACTTTTCTTACAGGGGACTCTACACCGTTTCCCATCTAGCGAGACATGGTGCCCACGTCTATATGTGTTCACGATCTCGCGACAAAGGAAACAAAGCTATTGCTGGGATTCAAAAAGATCACCCTTTAACCAAAATTGACCTATTGCAAATCGATTTGATGGATCTGGCAAGTGTCGTTGCGGCCGCTAAGCACTTCCTCTCACTCGAGACATCCCTCCACGGCCTCGTCAACAACGCAGGCATCATGGCTACCCCGTTTCAGATCACCAAGGATGGGCATGAAGCTCAGTGGGAGACAAACTATCTTTCCCACTGGGTCTTTACAGAGCATCTCCTTCCAGTGATGCTGAAAACATCAAAGTCATCACCCCCCGGAAGTGTGCGCATTGTCAACCTCTCCTCATCTGGTCATCTAATGGCCCCCAAGAACGGCATCAACTTCGAAGACACATCCCTCAGAGATGCAAACGTCTGGGAACGTTACGGTCATAGCAAACTTGCCAATATTCTGCACACCAGAGCCCTACACAACAAATACGGCCCTGGCTCAGGTAACAAAGAAGGCGAGATCTGGGTGACATCAGTGCATCCCGGCCTTGTAGAGACAAATCTCTCATCGAGTGTGGATTCAGCTGAGACTGGGAGTTTACGACTGATGTCAATGCTGAGATGTATGAGACTGCTATGGACTGCGGATCGAGGCTCGTGGAATAGTCTTTTCTGCGCGGCGAGTCCGGATATGAAACCTGAACAGAGTGGAGAGTATATGGAGATTTACCATCGGCTGTTTGAGCCTTGGTGGCAAAATAGTGCGGCGAAGGATGAGGAACTGGCGAAGAAGTTGGATGAATGGACGAGGGAGACCATGACAAAGGAGGGATGGGTTCAGTAGGAGTTCTTGCTGTTATCCAGTTATTATATAGACTGTACTTGTGTTTAGAGACCTTGAGAAATTAATTTCAGAATGTATCATAAAGATTGCTGTTTTATTATTTCTATCATATTACAGTACTTGAGCCAGTCGTGGCATTATGTAATACAGCATTCAAATCTTGACTGTTCTGCCGCTAGGCAACCTCAAGCCATGAAGTCTGCGCCCAGCCGATCCAGCATGTTCTCTGTCGCATCATGCATAGCTTCAACTAAGTCCCAATCCATTCTATCCACACACCCCTGAGACGAACCACCATCAACAGCTAGGCCATTTCGACTCTGTTGGTCGTAGGATATCCCGAGTTTCTGCGGATCAAACATTTCTAGTAATGGTTCACCAAAGATGTCCCCATCGGCAGCAGAGAGCTTGGGATCCGTAACAAAAGCCAACAGGTCGTCGTCGATGAGACCCGTTTGGTTAGTTGTTTGATCAGTCGTATATGAAAGTCGACGTGGCCTGGTTCTTGATCCTTTGCTCCTCTTCAACAAGCAGCGTAGCCATGCTGGGAAGTCGAATTCTTCCGGCTGTCTGCCCTTGCTGATGCAAACATCAACTGTCCAGATCATTCTCAGGTACATATTCGGCTGACTTCTCAGAATCTGACTCCAGTCTGTCAAGGAATTCCCGCTGGCCTGGAGTAGACATTGGCTGTCAATCTGTGCCAAATTGGCAACGTGTCTCGCTGTTTGTCTAATCCACTCCACACCATAGTACTGAGGAAAGAAAACATTCATGGTCTCAACTAATACTTTCAGTCGATCCTGATTTGATGCTGGAGTTGAATCCGCTCCTACCAACCCGTTACTGAGCCTTGCTGTGATGGTATGAAGTGCCAATGGTGTAGCCATACACGCAACGCTGTGAATGAACTTTAGCTTCAGAACTGAGGAACAAATCTAAGGGCGGTGCTCGGTTTGTTGGACTTACGCTGATATCGGGAGCCAGCGGGCCAAGCGACGGCGGGTAAGCTCCTCATAGCATTTTGTGATCTTCTGAGCAGCATCTTGCAACTCGAACGAGCTCTGCTGGAGTTTCAGACTTCGCCCAGGTCTTGATGTATCTCCACCAACGGAATCGGATGTGAGAGACTGCCGAAGTATCTTATAGTGACAGAGAGCAATAGATGCAGTGCTATACCATTACTTAGTCTAGCTAGAATGAAATCATGATATAGGGCAACTCACTGATAGTAGATGTACATGAGATTTGTCTGTAGCACAATGGATTTGTCTTGGTCATTGCCCTTCCCGTAGGAGTCTTTGGGCTCATTCTCAAAGGGAGGAAATTGAGCCGAGACCCTCACATACCAGGCTTTCAAAGAGGCCTCGCACTTCTCAAAGGCGAGGTCTTCGTGCTCGAGGAATCGCGACTTGGACTTTACGGAATCCTCGAATGGGTACGTCAGGGTAAGCACATCAGTCAAAAGGATCATGAGTTCAAGGAACTTTGAGAAAATGCCAATTTGGCGCCGTTTGGTAGCTGGAGTGAATACGCTTGACCGATATATGTCGTCCTGGAGATGTTCCGCCCCTAAAGGGATCGTGTTCTTGAAGTCGAAACGGTCGTGGGTGATATGGAGACTAAAGCGCGTGCAGAGCGGTGAGATGCGGTCCATGATGACGCAACACCACCATAAGCGGTGAAGAGAATTTTGGTACTTCCGTTGTTTTGAAGATGTCATCTCTATTAGCTCCGGCATCTCCGTGTATCGATCCGCGTTGATACTTCTGGCGTGCTGAATGGCTAAGCTCAACCATGCCTTATAAGGGTTTAGGGTCGTGTTTGAAGGTGGTACCCAGCCCATCATGAGAATGGCTGCTTGTGCCAGAGGGAGGGACGAAGTTTCCGATCCTAGATCGTACAACAGCTGTACATGTTCAGTTAATTTAGTAGCGAACCCTTGGGTTATTGTGGCACCAACCTTTGTCCGCCTATAGAATTCTGCTCGGGCAGTTCTAAGACTCGAGAAACCAAGTTGCTTGATGATATGAAGAGATACGAACTACAGAGGTTAATATGGTTAGTCGATGGCGCCGTATCAAACGATGTAGCAGAAAGGATAGACTCACGTTACAACTAGCAAAAAGCATAGCCTGAAACACCAGGAGTGACATGGTGGCCTGAGGACCTGTAGACTCCTTCAGAGAATACATTTCCCAAAAGTCACCTTCATTCAGAAGTGGAAGTAGAGGATGTTGGTGTCTGAAGTACTGCTCCACAAAGTTGTCGAGTATTGGTCGACTTGGGACGTGTAAACATCCTTGAGCTTCCATGTAGTTGAGATCTTGTTGAGCAATCGTGTGAATGTTGTTGACCTTCAGATACGGGTAGTGAAGGAAGAGCACCGTAGTATTAGTGCTGGTCCTCGGCGCCCCGGGCTGGGCAGATGGAATGTTAGGGGCCGTCATCCTATGACTATGCGTAGATCCTTGTTCTGACGAGCTTGTTTCTGTATGAATCTGGTTAGATACCAGGACCAAGATGCAGTGAAGAGTATGGTGAAGATGGGTTGCTTACCTCTGACGGGTGGACCATCATCATATCTAGATGACGTCGAGTGTATCTCTGCGGTTTCTGTCTCGCTGTCGCCGACGCGATTTTCAAAGAATGCCGTGTCGTTGATAGTATCGCCGAACGTCAGCATCCCAGGGTCGAGACTGGGTGTATGAAATGATAACCCGGGGTGGTCATCGAGTGCCTCAGTGCCTGTAGGAGCGGGTTCAGGGTCATTGGCGTTATTGTTTTCATTGACCTCGTCGTCTTCCAGTTGCTCCGACAGCTGCCGGTCATCCCCCTGATAGTCATCCTGAGACGACCAACTTGTCTCATTTCTCGGTACCTGATGATTTCTTGAGTCGACGTGAGTTAGTAAAGAAAAGGCAAGGGAATGCAAGCAAAAGAATCAAGAGGTGAGGGTGCCTGCTTACAGCCTGGAAGCGCGCCCAACTACCAGACAGTTCTTACAGTCGAGGTGGCAATTGGTGCAGGGCTGGCCCCGTATCGAGACATCACAGCGAACCTTTCGGAACCTGCAAGACAGACAAGCCCGAGTTGATCGCTTGCGGCGCTGTGTGCGCTTTGTTTTCTGATGGTCAGGCGACACGGGAGAGTCCATTATCACGACTAAGTAGGAGAGTCTAAGATGGGAAGAAAGGAGCTCCAAGGGAGGTGAGCGATGTAGGATTCAGATTACTGCGGTAGTTCGATAGGCAAACAAGCCATTAGATGGATATGCGGGGCAACGGGGCTAGTGATACTGTTGCATGCTGTCGCATTCACATCCATGGTTAGACTGTTGAGGAGTCGAGAACTTGACTAAGCTGGGGTAGGCGTCAAACTTTGCGGGGAAATGGATTTGGCGGAAACGTTTCCGACAATCTAACGAGTTGACTTACGCCTCACCTTCTGTAAACCAGCAGCAACATATGGATTATAGTTGACTAGAAGGCAACCATCAAGTTTAACAGGCTTCTCCTCGGGGTCCCGGAAAGACACAAGTCCAGGTCTATTCTAGTGGGGTACCTAGTAGTTATACGGGAGTGCAGCTCAAAATCTCGTACCTCTCTTAGCCCCGTGGCATCCCTCGGTAGAGCAGCTAGCGCAGTACCACTTTGCCGTGGTAATAAGTGTGGGTCTGAGGCAGCCTCCATTTACCCCATATTCTCATTTTAGGTATAGATTCGTCTGGGGTAGTAAACTAAACCTTAAGGGACAGGCTATCGAGACGGCATCTGATGCACTATGGTAAGCCAACCTGGAACTGTTGCCTCCAGCCAATATTATAATACATTATTCATCCTAATCAAAAATGAATATTTATATGGCACTCAGCCTCTCCGTCTATCGTGCACCAAATCCAAAATCCTCACCCGATCACTTTCACACTGTACCTTTCATATACCCAACTTGGATAATCACCATATAGCTATAGACTGATGGCTGCCAATCAAGCTTCATCCATGGAGCCCATGTAAGCAAAGTTCCACAGCAATTTTATCTATTAGACTAATGACAACGTTACAGCCGTACAGACCCGGATATTCCGGGGACAGTTGATATGAGCCTTTCTGGTAACACCTCAGACTTTTAATTTCAAGAAAGTCTCTGACTAATACCCTTACTTCAACAGAAGGACAAGAGTCGACTGCCTACGGACTGGCTCTCTATCCAGTTCCCTCCGACGATCCCAACGATCCTTTGCAGGTGTGCACAGCTTTCACTCTCTCCAAGCCTCAAGTTCTGATTATACAACCAGTGGCCAAAATGGAAAAAGACTACGCTATTGTTGCTCGTGTCTGTCTATTCATTCCTCGCAAACGGCAGCTTGTTCGGTCCAACTGTATATGTCAACTATCTGGCTGATAAATTTCACAAGACGCCAAACCAAACATCTCAGCTGACCACGTACCCAAATTTACTGTTTGGTTTCGGTTAGATCTTTGATCTGCCACTGAGTTTCAAGATGCTGACTTATTACTCGCTAGGTTCTCTCGTTTTTGTACCAATGTATCGCAAAATCGGTCGTCGTCCCGTCATGCTCATATCCCTTTTGCTGGTAATACCTCTATGTCCATGACCGAAACAGTAAATCCATACTTACACAGATAAATTCACAGTACTGTGCTGGTCTCCTAGGAAGTGCCCTCTCCAACTCTTACGACACCCTCCTTGGTTTCCGAATGCTCCATGCATTCGCCTCTTCCGTTTGCGAGGCTCTCCCTGCGCAGGTCGTTGCAGATGTATTCTTTCTCCATGAGCGTGGCAAAGCCCTTGGCTGGTATACCTGTAAGCGACGTCACCAATGACCTGAACGAAACCTGCTAACACAGATCTCAGTTGCACTGACCACTGGTACTCTCTCTGCTGTTGCCGCTAGCTACATGCTGGCGGGTGGCCACTCCTACAACCTCTTCTTCTGGGTTGAATTTGGAATAGGATGTCTCTTGCTCCTTGCTGTTTTCTTCCTTTTTGAAGAAACTATGTTCTTCAGAGATAGCCACATCCCAGGTGTTCAATTGAGCGCTGATGATTTGGCGAGACTTCAAAAGGATGATGAGCAGCAGACTACAGAGGAGATCGAGATCCAGGCGACCCCGCGAACCTACGTTCGTGACAGTTACTTGCAACAACTCAAGCTCGTTAGAAGGACGGATCCAAACTCTCCGATTTTCATGATGATGGTAAGACATCTCAGTGACTTCAGCGCATGTCCTAATGGCTTGTAGATTCGATCGTTTACATATTTTGTGGTTCCGCCAGTCTTTTGGGTCTGCTCAACTTATGGTATGTCACATGTGCATCAGCTCATAGCAGGTAGAGTAACTCTACTAACTATTCACCTTGGTAGGAATCATCATTGGCCTGGCAGCCCTTGCTTTCACCGCAACATTTCCAGGCATTGTATCAGCTCCGCCTTATTCCTGGCCAATTGTAAGTGTACCAAAGAAAGTTCCTGGATGAATATTGACATCTTCTCAAGGAAAACACAGGGCTAATAGCCGTCTCCGCCTTTATTGGCTACCTCGCTGCTGCCGGGCCGTTCAGTTCGCTCCCTGATCGATTCTCCGCAAGGTTGACCAAGAAGAACAACAACATCTACGAAGCTGAGTATCGCCTCTGGTGCCTCGTGGTGGTACTTTTCGTATCTCCGGCATCTCTGATCCTATACGGATATTCGGCTGAGAAACAACTTCACTGGTTCGGCCTAGTCTTTGCGGTTGGGCTCTTCCAATTTGGTATGTCTTGACAGCATACATCTAGGTTTTGTGCTAACCACGTCGTCTTGAAACAGGAGCCTTTTTCTTCTTGACGTATACACTTGCGTACGCAATGGACTCGTATGAAGCAAATGTACCAGAGATGTTGATCGCGATGAATATTGGCAAGCAGGCCATCTCTTTTGGATTTGGATATGAGGTCATCAACTGGATAATTAAAGACGGGTATGTGACGGTATTTGCAGGAATATTCTGCAGTGTTCTGTTGGTTAATAACCTCGCCGTTTTTGTCTTTTTGGTCTTCGGGAAGCGACTGAGAGGGTGGTATACCCACACTCGCCTAGCCAAGATTCATAAGGGAAGCATTCATTGAAGGGTTGGCTATTGCGTTGGTTATTATGCAGTTAGTAGCCTTATAGGCTTGCTATGGAAAGCAACCAGACCTGCCGGTGCGCGGTCTGAGATGTGCATCAGATGTGTCATATGCAGATATTCAATACTGACGAGAGCCTATCATACGCCCTCTGGATGGTGCATAACGGCTGTTCTGTGCGACCCAGCTCATTGTAACCTAACGCGCTGCCTGATTGCCAAGAGATGGCAACAGACAGCTGTATCGCCCTCAAACTATTGTGTGTGGGATTTGGTCTGCAGTTCACACTGGCACCTCTGTGGGTTGCAGCAATGATCCCCTCTTTGACGGAACATAGTTGCTCCCTCTCAACGGTGGGCGGCAGGTTTTCCGACTCGTCGCGCCATGTATGGAACTCACAGTTTGAGATTCGAGAGCCCCGCCTGGTTTGGAATGTGTTCAGCAGCTGTAAATCTGTCTGGATTGACGGCAGCCTCTATACCAACTGTCCTGTTCCGCACCTAAACGGCCTCCTGCTTCGTACCGCAGAGTCTAGCACCAGAAATGAAAAGCCCGTGCCAAAGTTGGACAGTTCTGGTTCCAGTCAAGATCTCTTTATATGATCTTAGGTAACTATCTTAAACAAAACGTTTTAAATTTATATTTACATTCACAGCCTCAAATCAGTCCAACTGTAAGGCTATATGTGCATCAATGTATGTGCAATGAGTACATACGAGACTATCAATTTTCCATTGCATTTAGAAGCACAACAGACACCTTATCTCGCAACCCTTCCTGGATCCAACCGGGGAACCCGCGTATCATAGAAGTCCAAGCTGAAGAATTTGGGACAACGACTTGAGCCCCATACCCAGTGTAAAGCTGCTGCACAACACTATCAGCGACATGCTCTGCAGATATCGTGGTATCCTTCATTTTCCCCTTCGCGATAAGTTCCGCGATCAACGGTGTTTTCACCCAAGTCGGATGTACGATGCTATAAACTATTAATCACACTGCAGGATAAGTAAACATACCCTGATATATCTTACCTAGTTCGCACCAGTGGTGCCTTGTAAATATGCCTCAGCTCCTGTCCCAATCCCTCGTGGAACGCGAGGAGTCCAGACTTGGTACAACCGTAATCCACATTACTGGCCTGCGTAGCAAAGGAAGCCAGACTTCCAACGTTGACGACATGCCCGTGGTTTCGTCGTACCATAGCAGGGAGGAAGTGCTTTACAAGCAGTATCGGCGCGATCATATTTACGTCGAAGACTTTGCGGATCTTGGACTCGGGCAAAGCGAGGATAGACATGGCGTTGCCGATCCCGGCGTTGTTAATGAGAACAGTTGGGTCGCCATGTTCAGAGACAATCTGTTTGGCGACGTTGGAGATTTCAGCTGGGTCGGAAAGGTCTGCCGAGGAGAAAGACACGTTTGGGGCTAGAATCTGTCAGTCTAGGTTGCTAAGGAGTCATGCTGTTGACTTACGAAGTTGATAGCTTGGTGCGTTGAGATCAACAATAATGACCTTGACGTGTTTCTTTGCAAGCTTGATGACAATCTCTTTGCCAATGCCACTGCTACCACCAGTGACCACAACGATTTCTTTTGTCCAGTCCCAACTGTTGTCGGTAAGGTAATTGTTGACCTTCCTCCTGCTTAACCAGACATTAAATCGGGGGAGCAAGGTGACCAAGAGCGCTGCAGCAGCACCAGCCAAGATATTCTTGTTCTTGGCTAATTCTGTTACATGACCCAGGGTGGCCTTGTCTAGCTTCGGGAACGACATGGTGAGTGGCAATGTGATGGCGACAATTCCGAGTCAATTGTTAACACGATGGTATAGATCGAATAAAAACCCAAAAATTGACAGTTTCATCCGGATACAAGGTTCATTAATTACTGATGCGAATTATCTTTATCGACGCCTCGGGGCGCACGGCACAGGCGGTATAATTTGCCATGGGGTTGAAATGCCGAGGGATCGATTTCCCGAGGGACGCCATCATCCACAATACATTGTGCCTTGGGTTCAGAACCATTGCTTCTACTTGTGCCTCAATGTTTAGTTTATTAAATATCAATAGTTGTTTTCTATTTCGAATTGAAGCCAATTCTACAATCGACTCTGTTCTGCTCAGTAGACCAACCACTCACAATTATTCTCACATCTGTCCTCGTGTTAAAATGGCTTCTCACAAAGATGTCGATATTCCCACTTATGATGGACTAAATCTCAAGGGAACCTTGTTCTCTGTCGGTCAGAAAAAGCCTTGCATTATTATGTCAAGCGGTGTAAGTCACATGGAGGCTCGAGATCCTACAATCTACTAACTCACCCTTCAACGTAGTGGTCAGGACTGCGATCCCATTTTCTGCCTGAATTTGCAGCACGATTTAGCAAAGCTGGATATGGTGTTCTGACCTACGATAACCGGTGCTGGGGAGAAAGCGAGGGTCTTCCTCGAGAACAGGTCGATCCTACCTTACAAACACGCGATTACCTCGACGTCTTCAACTTTGCGGTCACCCAGCCCGAGGTAGACCCTGCCAAAGTTGTCTATTGGGGCTCCAGTATGTCCGGTGGAAACGCCATCTGCGCAGCAGCTGTGAACCACAATATCGCGGGCGTCATCTTGCAAGTCCCCTTCATATCAGGCGAATGGCTCTCTCGTATGCCAGGAGCGTCGACAAGCTTACTCCTCGGTGAACGAGCCAAGGCCACAGCGGAAGGGTCTCCCTCTAAGATCGCCAACTTCCCCAGTTCTCTTGATGAGCTGAACAGCGGTGCATCCCAAGCTGTTCTCAAAGACCCAGAGTCGATCCCTTTTATTAGTGAAATGGAACAGCGAGGACTTGATTGGTCCAAGACGTGTACGGTGCAGAGCCTAACATACGCTCTGCTTCATGAGCCACTGGCTTATATCCATCGTATCTCACCGACGCCGATGTTGATGATCGTGGCTGATCACGATGTTACAACGCAGCCGCATCTCCAGCTTCAAGCTTTTAATAAGGCATTGGAACCAAAGAAGCTCGTGGTTCTCAAGGGTATGGGCCATTTTTCACCTTACTTTGGAACGCCGTTCGAGGAAAACGTTCAGGCACAGATTGCATATCTTGATGAACTCTTCGCGTGATATAGCACACAAGAGGGATTTGGCTGAGGTAGTGAAGAATTAGATACATGAATCATTTCCGAATTCTATTGTCTTTAGAGAGCACAATTAAACTTTGGCCTGGTGAGGAAGGAACTTAATGCTATGATGATTTGGTGAGTACGTGCTAACTTCCAACTCTTTATCTTGCCTTTCCTTCTCCATCCTCACTCTTCTGCCAGCAGAACTGGTGGATTGGGATGCACTTTACCTGCCGACAAGCCCATGACCTACAAATGCACCATCGCTCGCTTGCTCTTTCGTGATTGCAGAATCAACTTGTGTGAACAAGATATCTATTGGCTCAAGCTATATTCACTCCATGAAGTAACCATGCAGTGGCAGCCGAGTCGAAACAAAGCACTGTATCGCAACCATACATCCATTGTAAATAAATGTCGGGCGCCCTTGTTACATATCAACCATACATGATTCACCCTAGAGCTTAGATGTAACCCCCGCCGACTTGCCCTTCTCTCTCGTTTGCAAGATCCGTCTAAGAATCTTACCGCTGGGGCTCTTCGGAATGGCTTCAATAAACTCCACACCTCCCTGAAGCCACTTGTACTTTGCCTTGTGGCTCTCAACATATTTGCAAATTGCAGTCTTTACCTCTTCGTCAGGCTTATTACCCGTACTAACATCTTTCACCACAAAGGCTTTGGGCACTTCTCCAGCGAAATCGTCGGGAACAGGGATGACTGCGCAATCTGCAACGAAGGGATGAGAAAGAATATGCGCCTCGAGCTCCGCGGGAGCCACTTGATTCCCCTATTGTCCCGGTTAGTTGTGCTTGTGTCCAGGGCGGATTGAATGGGCTGTAGATACCTTAACTTTAATGAGCTCTTTGATACGGTCGACGATGACTACGTGCTCTGTACCAAGAGGCGAGAGGCGTACGACAACAACATCACCTGTTCGAAGCCATCGGCCGTCCTCATCCCACACAAACGTCTCTGCTGTAGCTTTGACATTGTTCATATAGCCGAGGCAGATGTTTGGAGATTGGACGAAGAGTTCACCTGGCTTCTCGAGCTCAGTCACTTCCTTTCCATCTTCATCGATAACCTTGCATCGGGTCCCGAGAATGATGGACCCCGATGTGCCGGGGAGAATGTCATGCTCGCTTGTGGTGCAAACAGAAGGACTGCTCTCTGTCAAACCTGTTAAATGAAATTATGTCAGCTATTATTCTAGGAAACGTTTTGTTGTAGATCAACTTACCATATCCCTGCCCAACTTTCCATTTGGGCCATAACTGCTGTATACTCTCAATGGTTTTGGAACCAAGTGGTGCAGCACCTGAAGTGACCCATTCTATACTACTCAAGTCATATGAGTCGCATTTCTCTTTATTCTGAAGCAGTTGGATAGCGACAGGCGGGACCTATAACACAGTTTCCGAGTCAGTCAGATACAAGGGTGATGTATAAAAGATCAACTTACAAGCGGCAGGTGACGAACTTTGTACTTCTGTATGGCTGCGAGCATGTGGCCTAAATTGTATCTTGGGAGGACCACGACTTCATCACCTTGCCAGGGTAGTATGTGGGAAATGATGACTAGACCATAGATGTGGCTGAATGGCAGCAGACCCAGCCCGACCTGCGTCTCAACCCCAGCTAGTTTCCGCCCGTAAGTCTCGTACGCAACTTGCAAAGCAATGTTACTGATGATGTTGTAGTGAGATAGCATCACACCTTTCTAAGAACCACATTAGTATCTGCCTAATCGCCAGAAGCGATCATCTCTGGATCCCGGGGAAAGAGAACTAACCGGAAGTCCAGAAGTTCCGCTTGAGAAGCAAATATAAGCAACCTGTCGTTTTCCTTGCTCCTTTATCCATCGCAACGGGGGAAGGGAAGCGAGCTGTCTTCCCTCATCTATCAACGTAGATAGAGCGATAAACTGGCTATTATTTATCTGACCAGGCATATCGAGGATGAAAATATGGTCTTTAGAGATATTTGCCGCGGCGGCTGCCTCCAATGCCACAGGAAGAAGAGGGATGCATGTGAACAAGACTTTTGCACTTGTTGAACGAAGTTGATGCGTGAGTTCAGAGGCACTATAAGCGGCGTTCGCCGTGGTAACAATGGCATTGAGACGATGCAAGGCGTGAGTCAATGGGACGTAATCAATCTAGTGAACACAAACTTAAATTAGTAATTGCCTCCAACATGTCTTCGAATTTTGCAATCGCACCGTATTCCATGAAAAGACGCAGGCCACCTTGTCCCATTCCGTGCCATTGGCAACACTCCAATCGAGTCGTTTTGCTATGGCCCTCGCCATAGAGTCGACCCTTTCTTTGACCTCAGCAACAGTATAGGTATGACCCGTCAAACCACAAGTGTATGGATTACGAGAGAATTGCAATGATTTGCGGCCATATTGTTCAGAATACATGAAATCTTCGACTGTGATGTTGTCTGGGAGTGGCACCGAAGGGAGCGCTCGCGCCCAGGCTGGTGATTCAAAGACCATTATGGCGTTCAACTGGATCAAAGGAATAATTGAATCACTACTATTGAGACTTGAGAACTTTCTGTAAAGAGATGATTTTATTCTACATCCAGCCTCTTTGTCTTGGAGTAACTCCAATACACCGGTGACCCTCGGGACGTTTACCTCGGCATTAAGTCGACGCACTGTATTGATATCACGCAAAAGCCTCGTTTCATTTTACCTTGGGAGTTTTCCGAATCAGAGATGACCATATGACCATTATTCTGTAGTCCCTCGGCAGTGCCGAGTTGTTTGGTTACAATCGAGCATCCATAGAAGTGTATTTATGCTTAGTCTACCCCACACTCTACATGTAGCATTCAAACGACAATATCACCAATACGAGAGCGAAAAACCATCGGAGAATTACGAAATACACATTCCATACAGAAAACATGATTGACGACTTCTCCAAGAGCAACGGTGATCATTTTGGTCAGAATGGCCATACTGCCACACCGAGCAGTTCTGGGGAGAACCCAACCAAGTTTACCCTGAAAGACACTCCTGTCGAGAATCAACGACCTATGAGGGTTGTAATCATTGGAGCTGGGTTTTCTGGTATCTATTCAACTATTCGGCAAGTCATCAGTCTACCCAAGGCTGAAAGTCTTCCAGTGACCGGTGAAAGCTAACGACTCGAATAGAATGACACAGAGGCTGAGAAATATCGACCTTACCGTGTATGAGATGAATGAGGAAACGTCAGGGGTTTGGTAAAGCATCTGAGTCTTCAAGTCCTAAAGGTCTTGGTCTAATCTAAGCAATAGGTGGCTGAACCGCTACCCAGGCCTGGCGTGTGATATCCCATGTAAGCCTCTACCTTGGTTTATTTATCCTTGAATAAAGACTGATGAAATCTATAGCGTACTGCTACCAGTTCAGCTTCGCACCCAACCCCTATTGGTCCTCACTTTATGCTCCGGGCGCAGAAATTCGTGCATATATGCAGGAGATCGCGGAGAGGTATGGTGCGAATCGGTTCATCAAGACGTCTCATCAAGTCACTTCGGCCACTTGGGACTCGGAGAGCAAGGTTTGGTAGGTGATGCTAAAGCGATATGATTGGCGCGAAGAGGACTGATGAAGGGCTTCAGGAGACTTATTGTTAAGAACAACAAGACCGGGGAGTCATTTGAAGATACTGCAAACATCCTTGTCTCCGCAAAAGGCGGTCTCAATCAGGTTGCTTGGCCCCAGATAAAGGGACTGAAGCAATTCGGCGGTAAGCTCATGCACTCCGGTGCTTGGGATGAAAGGTCAGTAAAAGGTCTACTTGCGTCAAGTGAAAGGAAATTAACAATTAGGCAGTTACGATCTGAAGAACAAACGTGTGGGGGTCATTGGCAATGGATCAAGCGCCATTCAAATTGTGCCAGCCATCCAGCCACTTGAGGGCATCAAGGTGTCCTGTTTCGCTCGATCCCCGACTTGGGTTATTCCTTCCTTTGGCGAAACAGCCATGAAGCGTTTGGGAATGGATCCTGCAGTTACTAAGTGTGAGTTGCTGAAAGAGTCCTGTATCTGGGGATGGTGGGCTAACATGGACAAGTCTCGCGACGTCACCAAGAAGCGTTGGCGAGGCAGCCAGAAGTGTACGCCAAAATGAGAAAGACACTCGAGGATGAAGCGGCAAAGGTTTACCCCCTGACACTGATGGGCACCAAAGAACAAAGAGGTGCTCAAGAATTCTTCAAAAAGCAAATGAAGGAGCAACTACAAGCCAGACAAGACTTACTTCAAATCATCCCCAAGTTTGCCCCAGGGTGTCGCCGTTTGACCCCAGGCCCTGGATATCTCAAGGCTCTCCAACAGGAAAATGTCACCTTTATTAGCCAAAAGATTGACGAAGTCACGGAACGAGGAATCAAATTGGCCTCCGGGGAAGAGGTTAAGCTTGATGTTCTGATCTGCGCCACAGGATACGACGTCGAAGCACCACCTACGTTCGAATTAACCGGCCGCAACGGGACGACGCTGGCCGAAAAGTGGAAGCCACACTTCGAGTCCTATATCTCACTGGCAGTAGACGAATTCCCCAATTTCTTCCTCATTGCAGGTCCCAATTGTGGTTTAGGCTCTGGCAGTTTGCTCAGCGTCTTCGAAGCGCAGGGCGACTACATCGTCAAAGTGATCCGCAAGCTTCAGAAAGAAGACTACGCAAGCATTGAGGTCAAGCCCCAGCGTGTAGCTGACTTTAGCCAGTACATAGACGAGTACTTCAAAGGCACTGTGTACACGGATGAGTGCTCATCGTGGTATCGCGCTGGTAGGCTTGGGTCGCGCGTTGTAGCGCTGTGGCCTGGATCTTCTGCGCAGTGCCTTGAAGTGTTGAGGGCGCCTCGATGGGAGGATTACGAATTTGAGAGTGCGGATCCTACGGGGAATTTGCTGCGGTGGATGGGGAATGGTTGGAGTCAGGTGTTGACTGAGGGTGATCCGTCGTGGTTTTTGGACCGTGATGTTGTGGATGCTCCGGATGAGGGGAAGCCTGAAGACAGCGACTTCTATAGAAGACGTCCATTTTCACACTAGTATAGGTATCGATGCAATATGGAATGAGTTGTTACGTCGATAAGGCTAGCCAACTTATTCGTCACCGTGGCTGGGAGACTTCCGATCTGATGTACAACTATATCAAAGGCGTGCTAACAATTCTGCTCATTGATAATGGCTATATTAACAAGGACGGTTGTGGGGACGAGAGCCCAAGATATATGCTTGAAGCGTAGCACGCTCCATTCTTCGTGAGCAAGTACTAATACTAGCGGCGGACAAGTCAATTAATTCTAAGGATATATCTTTTTTTTTAACATGGAGATAGATCTGTAAGCATCGACACGACAAAAGATAGTCTATATGATCCTTTGAGTATACGACATTGGTAAACCCTCTGTGAACGTGTTGGTCTAGTCGGTCCCGCTGAGCTCGAAAGGATGAAGAAGGCCAGGGAGCAAAACTTCAAACTTGAGATAAAGGTGCTAAAACTAACTAGTCTAAAGACCTACTAAGCTATACTAAATTTATATAAGCCTTTTTGTCGTTTAGAATAAAGGTCCTAAGTTTTCTTGTCTCCCATAGGAAGGAGATGGTGTTCATTACTGAGTCGCTGTGACTGTAACTCCAGGTGCGCGACACAAGGAATCCTTTGGAGTCATTTGCATATTACTCGCTATTTATCGGCCAGTGCCTATATTTTTATTCTTCGTCTAAAGTACGTCTACTCTTCGGGATCCAGATGCCATGTATCTCCAACGCGGAATCCTTCAGGAAATGGATCTGTGGAATCCAGCACAACTTGCTTGAAGCTTGTTATCCACGCTTGCCCCTCAACAGAGGGATGAATAGCAGAATACTCGCCAACCTTGGTTGTCCCCTCTACCCTACCTACAAACTCCGTTCCAGTGATGCCCCGATGATAAAAGTTCTCGCCCTCCTTCAGCTCTCCCTTGGCATGGAGAACTGCTAGTCGTGCACATGTTCCTGTTCCGCAAGGGCTTCTATCCAGACGCCCGGGAGAAACAACAACGGTATTATTTGCTGCTTTTCCATCCTTGTACTCATAGAGAGGCTCTGTGAACTCTATAATTGTGACACCATGAATACCGGGGTTTTCAGGATGTACTGGATCCGTTTGCTCCATGACAGCTCTCTTGATGCGCTCTCCGACTTTGACCAGCTTAGCTCCCTCGGTGGTCTTGATCTTCAGGCCAACCGATGCAGCATCTACCAACACGTAGATCATGCCTCCATAGGCAATATCGACTTTCACTGTGCCAAGATCCGGTACCGAGATCTCTTTGTCGGTGGCAAACACAAAAGCAGGTACGTTATGGAACCTGACACTCTTGCATTTCCCATTTTCACACTTCGCATAAGCAGTAACAAGTCCAGCCGGCGCATCAAGCTTGACAACCGTCTCGGGCTCCTGCATTGTCACCATGCCCGTTTCCAAAAGACACGTCACTGTCGCAACAGTATTTGCTCCCGACATGGGCGGATACTCTTCATGCTCCATGATGATAAAGCCGTAGTCAGCTTCGGGGTTTGTAGGAGGCAAGACGAGGTTATGACACATGGCGGAACATCCTCGTGGTTCGTTGAGGAGAAGATTTCGGAGGTGGTCTTCTTTCTCCCAGAAGTACATCATCTTTTCGTACATTGTCTTTCCGGGGACATCGCGAACGCCGCCGACTACAACGTCGCAGACTTCGCCTCCGCAGTGGACACCTACGGTGTTGAAGCTGCGCTTGAAGGGCATGTTGAAGAGGTAGAGTGCACTTTGTTGTGATGGGGATATGGATTGGTTAAATTGCTGATGGTTACAGATAAAGTTCTATCTGACATTCAAGCTCTTATACAATACTAGAGCTCGGAATCAACAACCGTAGGATATCGCTGTATTTATCTGGAGTTTATCGAAACTCCTCATAATTGGCTGCCAGACCGAAGTCAGGAACGACCTTCCAGAAAGCTTAGCTTCTCCGCATCTCCAGAGGTTAGCTTAGCCGCCGTCAACTAAATTCACGGGGTTTATCAAAGGGTCTTATTTGAGGTAAAGTTAAGAGACATCGGTTGGTGATCCGTAGTCGGATGAGACACCGTCTCGGTTCGGGTCGGATTATTCTTGCACCAAAACCTATACCCTATATAAAAAGACACAAGACGACAAGATACTATTTATCAATGTATTTAACTCTTATCAGAAATCGAGTGAATCTATAGATTAAGGGGAAAAAGAAGCCTAGATCGTATAAACTCATTCACTCAAACTCTGATGACCATCCAAGGTCAAAACCCCAGATCATACGAAGTCACGTCAACAATCAAGGTCTGAACTCCCAAAACTGGCCATTTAATTGAAGATCTCCAGCTTCACTCCTCATTCCCCGCTTCTTGGTGCCTCGGCTGTGGATATAAGGTGACATTCGGCCTAATTATCGGATGCTTCAGGCTTGGATACAAAATGACTCGCGATACCATTCTACGAGTCCAATTGCTTTCACTCGTACCTATTTACAGTGAGAGGTGATGATTCCGCCAAGCCTTTCTCATCTCTTAGCCGTTGGGGCAGGGATTGGCACCTTGTTCGCCAATCATGTCTCTGCTCTTGATACGACAACTGTAAAGACGGATAACGGTGTTGTCAAAGGCTTTACTGACGAGTCTTTTCCCAATGTGGCTCAATTCCTCGGTATACCTTATGCCGAACCCCCGGTTGGAAAGAGAAGATGGTCTCCTGCAGTTGCCAAAGGACGATTCGGGACATTGGACGCATCCCAGCAAGGTCCAGCTTGTCCTCAAGCTGAACCATCCAACAGTGGTCCATGGCGTCCTGAGTTTCTGATCAAGCCGAACAGTACAAGCGAAGACTGTTTGTATCTTAATGTTTGGACCCCGTTCAAAGCGAGAGGCGGCAATAAGGAGAAGCTTCCGGTATTGGTTTGGGTCCATGGTGGAGGTTTCACTGGCGTAAGATATCTTTCTTCATTCAGTCCATTGGTGAGAGTGAAGTGGCTGACATATCGTGCAGGGCGGTGGTAACATTGACTATCAAGTGCCTCCACACTGGATTACAAGAAGTCAGAAACACATAGTCGTCAGTCTCAAGTACGTGACTGACACACTTTCTCACTTACATAAGTAGACTAACCCATGGAGCAGCTACCGTTTGGGAGTTTTCGGCTTTCCAAATGCCGCTGGTCTTGGCTCAAAGGACCAAAACCTAGGGCTTCTAGATCAGCGCCTCGCCATTCAGTGGGTGCGAGATAACATCTCTCGTTTCGGTGGTGATCCAAAGAGGATCACTCTCTGGGGTCAAAGCGCTGGCGGTGCTTCGGTTGGATACTATCAGTATGCGTACCCTGAGGATCCGATTGCGCATGCATACATCCAGGACTCGGGAGGTGTCTTCATACCCATCAACAATGCTGATTCCTCACACTCCAACTTTACCTCTATTGCGAAGGCGTTCAAGTGTGATAAAGGCAATCAAGTTGACTGCCTCCGCAAAGTACCATTCAAGGATATCCAGAAGAAGGTGGAGAACACAGCGGGAGTAAGCTTTGTTCCTGTTGTCGATGAGAGAACCAGGTTCTCCGACTACTCGAAGCGACTTCTGTCGTCCAAAATCCCTAAGTTGGTAAGCTCTCCATCACATCATCTTATCTCAAGTCAAAAATAGTTATACTGACCTCCCTCCCTCAGCCATCCATCATCGGTACAAACAGAGATGAATGGAACTTCGGTTCAGAACCAGCAGAGCCTCCAGTCAAACCACCACCCGAACAAGTCCACACAGACAGCACATTCGGTTGTCCCGCGCACTTCGAAACAGCGCTGCGATCCTCTACCAACGTCAAGACCTGGCGATACATGTACTCATCAAACTTCACCAACATCATGCCCGGAGACGAGGGGGCTTTCCATTCTGCTGAACTTCCTTTGATCTTTGGAACTCATGATATCGCGCGTAGTAAGTCTGGACCATTTGAGTACAAGGTTAGTCATGCTATGCAGGATTACTGGTTGGCGTTTATTCAGGATCCTTATGCTGGGTTGACAAAGAAGGGATGGCAGCCAACGGCACCTGGGGGAGCTGATACATTGCAGACGGGTGTGGAGTTTGGGTTCGATAACAGGATTGTTGCGAGGAACTATGCGTTCAAGTCATTTCAGAGTGGGTGTAAGAATGCTACTGCAGTTGAGCAATAGGTAGTCTCACAATTTGTGATCAACGAAGCTGGTTATAAGCCAATTAAATACGACTTCCAAAGTAAGGTGTTCGCCAAGCTATCGCCAATTCTTATCTTGTCAAGAGCCATATGTAGGGTGAAGGATATCGGGTGCTGATCCGTAGTCGGATGGACCGACCGGCAGTGGGGTCAACACCGGCACCGTTAACCGGCACAAGACCGGCTCCGACGCTGGCCGTTCTGCCTCTCCAACGCCGACTTCGCAGTCATTTACCACGATAAGCATCTGGTTTATATACCTATGACAACATTCCATGTAATTACACTGAGATTATCGCCACACTACTCACCTAGATTACCTCAAACAAAATGACCAGCAATCTCGTCGTCCTTGGCGACGCCGAAATCCGCGATCTTCTCATCAGTCTCTCCAAAGATGAAGTCCTCAGCTTCAAGCGGGCTCTAGAACAAGTCCTCATTGACTTCACTGTCGGTGGTGAAGGTAAATACCAACCAACACCAGATTTCGTCAATCGACCAAACGGGCAAAAGACTCTTTTCCGTACATTCACCTCTGCGGACCATGTAGGAACCAAGATCGTGGTTACACCAGCTCCCATCAAGGATGCAGATGGCAACACGCTGAACCGTCCACTTGGAGGACTTTTGTCTTTGTGTGATTCAGCGGGTGTGCCGACGGGTATACTCAATGCTGCTGAACCAACCGGTTATCGCACCACGTTATCCGCCTTGATCCCGTGGACTTGGAGAAAGAATACAGAGAACGTCGTCATCTTTGGAGCAGGAAAGCAAGGGCTTTGGCATACTCGTCTTGCATTGGCTCTCAGAGGTTCTGAGATCAAGAAGATCACCATCGTGAACCGGTCTGTGGGCCGGGCGAAGGATATGGTCAAGACAGTGACGGAGGAAAACCAAAAGTACTGGAAGTCTTCTGCTAGTCTGGATGTTCTGGATCCTGCTCAGTCTGATTACGACCAAGCTTTAGCATCTCTCTTATCATCAGCCGACGCGGTATTCTGCACAGTTGGTTCAACAAGTCCCCTCTTCTCACTCAAGACCATCCTAGGCGATGGTACGCGAAGCAGACTGCCTTTCGTCGGCGCCATAGGTTCATGGCAAGCCGATATGATCGAGCTTGATCCAGAAATGCTTCGCCATGCTGCCTCTTGTGACGACTCGTACAGCCCTCATGGTGCAGAGGGCAGTATTCTTGTCGACGATCTTGAAGAGGCAATGGTCAAGTCGGGAGAAGTGATACAGAGTGGTCTTAAAGGAGAGAGGTTACTTCAAGTTGGACAGATACTGGATTGGCTTGATGACAAGTCTGAAAGGAAACCTGAAGGGGGTGTTGAGAAGCTCAAGACGTGGATTAGTGAGGGCTTCGTGGTATATAAAGGCATTGGCGTGAGTGTCACAGATCTTGCAGCTGGAAACGCGATCCTGGACCTTGCCAGGAAGAGAAAGGTTGGAACGGTTATCTCTAACTTTTAGCTTTACAGCGGGAATAGATTAAAGCTAGAGTCTCCAGTGTGCCAAGTCATTTTGGTGAAAGGCATAGTCGATTTCAGAAACTGCATTCGAAACAAAAATCGATGATAACAAATTTCCTATTGGTTAGAAGACAGTTAATATGCTAGGATCATTTGATATAGAAGTTCATGTCAGTCTGGATCAACCCTTCTCGATGTAGCCTGTGTTCACGGCCAAGTATGTACTCGGTCCTTGGGAAGGTCGATGGACGTGGGTTGTACTATAGTATTCTCCCTTTCTAGAAATCCAGACTTATTGGGAAGAAAGCAAAGGTTCAATTATAAGCTATTATATCTGCTTACAATCACAGCTGTAAGCAGTTGTTGTAAGTCGATGATCTGTAGATCGATCGCCCTGGGGTGCATGTATGACGTCGTTTACCGAGCTTTTCCCGCTAAACCCGCGTCGCTAAACGCTAGCCCGAAAATAATTCGTCGTGCCTGGAGAGCTCATGCTCAATAGCTTCGTGAATCTTCAAAGAACTTCAAATCTTTGACCTTTCGACACATTCGACCTCACCACATATCGGCGCTTGATCGACACCGCAACACATACTATCGCCTCTTCTACACTTGTGTCAACAACATCTATATCATCAACACGCTCATCGAGACATCCTCTCTCAAACTATCACCCATCGATCATGCGATAGCACCCTTAAATACTGACTGACAGAGCGCTCCCCCCCGTCGCCCAACATGTCAGTCAGCCCAGCGCCCTCCCTCCAACTCGCGGAGTATCTCGAGAAACTTCCTGGCACGACCTTCCGCAAACTCTACCAACAGCCCTCAACCGCGTTCGCCATCTTCCGTCGCATGCTACCGCACCTTGGTTCGTCACCATAACCACTACACCCGCGCAACTTCTAACACACCCCTAGCAAAGACCTTTGTCATGCGCATTCTCTACTCCCCTAAACCTATCCTCCTCAGCGATCTAGATGACTGGGTTAAGCCAAGCCATAAGCGGCAGAAGGACCAGGCTTTGTCCATTCTGCGCGTTCTTCACATCGTTTCGATCACGGCGCCTTCGAAGGAACGACCGCAGGAAATGCAACTTACTACGAACTTTAAACTGTCCCTTCGACTGGCGCTATCAGGCGGTGGTACACATAACTCCTTCGGTGTACCATCAACACTCCAAATCCCCCCCGAAATCGACATAACCTTCCTCGATCGCTACGCCCGAAAGAAATGGGAGGACATTCTACACTTTGTCGTATCTAGTGTTGGCTACAAGAGCGCCGGCGAATCTTCTGGACCGAATAAGAGCGTGAAAGAACTCCTCGTCGCGGGTCGTCTTGTCGATCGCAAAGCAAGCGGTAGCGTTGGTATCACACAAGCAGGTTTCACCTTTTTGCTACAAGAGGCCAATGCGCAGGTATGGACTCTGCTGCTACTTTGGCTGGAGGCTATGGAAGTCAACAAGATGGCTGGGCTGGAGGCTACAGATATGCTCTCGTTCCTCTTCGTACTCGCCAGCATGGAGCTCGGTCGCGCGTACGACACGAATGCGCTGACGGAACAGCGTAAGAACATGTTGCCGTCGCTTGTCGACTTTGGCTTGATCTACATCCCTAACCACAAACGATCCATGTTCTTCCCAACACGTCTGGCTACAACCCTCACCTCGAGCAGCAATAGTCTTCGCAGCATTAGTGATGGCGTTGCAGCCGCTACGGCGGCTGCTCTTCAACCAGGCCAATCCGGCGGACCGGGTAGCAGCGTGACAGCCTCCAACACCGAGCAGCGCGGCAGTGTGATTATCGAGACCAACTACCGAATCTACGCCTACACCCAATCAACCCTTCAAATCGCCGTCCTCGCCCTCTTCACCAAACTAGCCATGCGCTTCCCCGACATGGTCGCCGGTCGAATCTCCCGCCAGTCCATCCGACAAGCAATCCAATTCGGCATCACCGCCGAGCAAATCATCTCGTACCTCTCCGCGCACGCCCACGATCAGATGCACCGAACCGCAGCTCTCAACAACAAACCCGTCCTCCCCCCCACGGTAGTCGACCAAATCCGTCTATGGCAGCTCGAAAACGAACGTATGAAGACAACGAGCGGATTCTTGTTCAAGTCGTTCGAGGATGATAAGGAATACAAGGACATTTCAAGGTTCGCTGAGGAGGTGGGTGTTTTGGTGTGGAAGAATGATGCTCGGCAGATGTTCTTTGCGAGCAAGCATGAGCAGATTAGAGACTATATGAAGATTCGCAAGAAGACAGAATGAGAATGCTTTTCGCAAGACTGGAAAAAGAGGGAGGGGTTTGCAGCATTGGAGTTTGGCGTTGGGGGGATATCTAGATGGACTCTCTAAAACGATATTTCAACTCGAAAGGGGGGCCAAGATACGGTTGGCGTTGTATGTTACTGCAATTCCGGCTAGAATTCAACTACAATCTGGTAATAAGTTTGTTCAAATGTGATCTTGAGAGACGCCAAGACTTTTACCCGTGATTGTATCTTACGATATTATCAGAATACCGGTCTTTTCAGACAAAGATGTCCCGGCCGGGGGGCGTGTAAAGACTTGAGATATCTCTTCAGCATGATGACAATTATTCAATGGCCAAAGCCTAGCATTTGTTACACGAACCTCAACTGAATAGTCAAAATTAAGGGTCTAATTTACCAAACTCATCTAAAGCTATTCTCGGATTTCTGTTACTGAAATGAAGGGCTCACGTTTTCTTCTACACCTTCGCCGGGATACTCTCATCATCAACATTCACATTCTTACCATAAAGTTGCCAAGGATTCGACGTCAAAAAGAAATTAATTAAGTTATAGCTACAGCATTACTTACGTTCCTTCATGCCTCTTCAATCATAATACAAACTCGCTAATAAAACAAACAGCTCGGGCTTCGACACCTTGCGACTCCTTCAGGAATAAATCGCTAGCATAAGAGGTGTACCACAATGCCAACTGTTGGCTGTAACATGTCCCTTTCAACTATTATACACTTTTAAAATGATCCAACCGATGACAAGCGAATTCAGAACAAATAATAATGCCATGTGTGTCCGTGCTTGTCTTCTTACTCCAACAAAGAGCATTCAGTTGATGGAAACCCGCTTCCCACGTCCTCTAACCGCAGGGGCGTGCTTCGTCTTTCTAGCAATTGGTACGCGCGATTCGCTCATAGCTGGGAGGCTTCTTCTTCCTCCTTTGTTGGGGTTTGTGCCAAAAATCTTCCCCATCAGACTCTTGTCCTCCATGCGGCCTCCCTGGGGGAGGAGTTGCGGCTTTCCTACGCGACGGGCATATGACTGCTGCCAGGCTACCAGTGACCGGCGTGCTTCGCTCGTGGTACAAAGACTTTCGAGATGTTGGAAAATTCGCAAGCATCTAGCATCCTTATTGCATGGTGGGTTGCGAGGCTTTGTTCCAGTTAGGCTTGTAAGTGCCGATGTGGTGGTGGAGTGGGAGAGGTGAGTGGGACGGGAGTTGACAGCCACGCGGTCGGTAGTCATTGCGTGATACTGAAAGGAATTTCCAGGACTCGAATCTGAGGGGTCAGCCTCCCCATTGCTGTATTCTTCGGCTAAGAAACGATCATGCAGAGAAACAAAGCGCCCGGACCAATATGCAGATGGTTGTGACGTGGTGATTTGGCTGGGATCTGGTTGCACTTCTGTCGCCGTGGTGCTTGAACTGCTGCTGGATCGAGAAATTAGAGAAGCTCGCGACAATCTAAGTCGTGAGGTAGTTGATGCGAATAAACTACTTGTTGAAGATGCAGACGTTTTGCGAGATGATGGATCATCGGAATCGCGGGAGGCTGAGAGTTTGGAGTTGAGAGAAGATCGGGAGATGGATGTTTTAAGATCGCTCAAAACGGCCAACGTTCGTGACTTTGGAAGACGACTTTTGTTCTTTTGAGAAGTGTCCTGAGGAGAGTGTTCCGGGAGTGCTGGCTTTTTATGGTCGGAGAGGGGGACGTTCTCGTCCTGGACGGCGGATTCGAAGCTCAAGTCCTCATAGATAGACTGAAATGAGCTGGTTGTGGGCAAAGGCTTGATTGGAGCAGCACTCGGAAGGTATTGGTGCGAAGATAAAGTAGTGAGGCCAGGCTTTGGGGAGCTCAGGGTTCTCTTTGTTGTGGGCAGATGAAATTTCGTTGTTGGTATGCGGGTCTTTGTTGAAGTTGAACAAGAGGCTGCGTTCAGGTTGCAACTCGAAGTCGCAGTCAGCCCAGACTTGGCAACAGTAGGGGGACTAGCAAGTGATCCATGTGCCGAGAAACTAGCAGAGATTCGTCGAGTTGCCTTCCTAGCTTCGACGTTTTCTTTGTCAGACAATGACTCGTCTGAACCGCTGCAGTCTTTGATGGTGGGAACAATGATGAGGGTTTCACTTCGAGTGAAGTCGGGACCTCGAGAGTTCTTGACAGGTCCAATTGGACCTGAGATAACAGGGCGCTTCTTCTTTCCTCGTGAGAAGACATTAGATGGAGTGGGTAAACGCAGTCGAGAAGATGATCTCTGGAAGCCAGTGCTGTTTCGAAGAGCTTCCATTGTTGTTGTAAGTCGAAACGGAAGCTAAAGACGCAACGTTGGACTTGTTATTGAATTAGATTATGCCCTCCCACTCAGCTTGCCAGAAAATCCAATGACCTATAGTCTGAAGAACCAAGAGCACGATAGCCCGAAAAAGAATTAAAGGGAGCGAAGGTCGAGCGACCAAAAGGGCTCTGGGTAAATAAGTGCGTACTTCTGCGATTAAGTCATGGACGATGGCGAATTCAAAAGGGAACCACAGAGTAAAGAGTATTAATGTTGTATCTTGAAAGTGTTCCTAAATATCTCTTTGGTCGAGAGGGAACAAGCGAACTGTGTTGGGGTGCAGACGAGCGGCAGCGAAGAGATAGAGCAGAACAAGGAGTCGTTCGAAGAACATGACGCTGAGAACGGTAAAGAATGGGACAGTATTGAAGAAGGCTGGGAATAGTAGAGATTGTGCGTTTGTTTTTGGACGCGTTGCCTTGAGACGTCTGGTTTGTTTTGATGTGTCGTGGCGAGGGGTTTTGCCAGTGTCAGTGTCAGGTCGAGATTTGCGCTTTGCCAGTGATGGACAGTTGACAGCTGCATCACCACTTCACGCTAGAGGAAGTCGTTCCCCAGGGCACTTCTTCCCCAAGCTTATAGAGGAGCTACTGCTGTTATTATCAATAAATTAGCGAGGCGGGTAGGAGCTCATCGTGGTCTTCGTATCGGTGCGTGTCTATTCTTTGTCTAAGGCTTCCTATCCAATGCATCGTCTTCATGACAACCATCTCAACACTATCTACAAATGGCCATTCGTTTCTCCATTCGTAACATTTGTGCTCCCATTACAAAACTCATCATTCCATCCATTGATCTCAAACTCAAACTTGAAATCGCCTTCTCCCTTGGGCACCACATTGCCATTTCCATCCCAAAGCGCCCTCTCCACCATCGTGACATTACCCTCCCAGTCGACCAGAACCACGGTCTGTCGCTGGGTGCCGTACATGCCAGTCTCGAATCCCATGATAGGTGTTGTGCTTGGATCCGGTCGTCCTTCAGACATCAGCTCTTCAGCAGCTACTTGATCGTCTGTCCATTCGCCGGGGCCTTTCGCCATGGCCGCTTCCATTGCCTTTCGATGCTTTTCGTCGCCAATCAATGGGATGAAAACGCTCTTCTTGAGTTCGTAGATATACTCGACAAGACTGGCGTTTTCGTTCCTTGGTAGTGTGTCGTGGCTGAGAACATCAAAGAGGTCCGAAACAAAGTCATCCTTGCTTTTCTTGTCGGATACAGATTTGTCGATAGCTTCGCGGAATAGCTTCTTGCCCATGGCGATCTTGGGCCATTCGTCTTGTTTCCCTGTCGCATCGAAGGCTGTGTTGCTCAGGCCCCAGATCTCACCGCGCTCTTTGGCGATAATAGGCACCTCCTCCACATTACCTGCTCGGTTGCTTACGATGGCGATGCCTTGGGTCTGCTTCCTCAGCTTGCCGCAAACCATGGAAAAGCCGCCGACGCCCTTAACGCCGTCGTTCTCGACCAGTTTGTTGACGCTGTCCTTGAGGCTCTCTTCGGGTGGTGATCCCAGCCAGGCGGTGACCATACCGCCGCGGCTTTTGGCAGCATGAATAGGATGGTTCTGGTCCTGAACATCTGTCTCTCGGTAATTGGTGAGTACGGCCATCAGACCGTCCTTGCTAATGCCCATCCATGTACCTTTCTCTGCTCGTTGAAGATCCCGTGACGATAAGACTGGTCGGCCAGATGTACCATGAGTCCACCAGTGAGGCCGCGATGTAGGCCTAAGAATGAACTCGTCCCGATTATCGATCGCAATTAATGCATAATCGGGATGCGCAGTAGTGAGAAGTACGATGCACATGACTTTGGTGGCTTTCCACTAATAAATATGTGTGTCTTGCTTTGTTGCAGTTTAATTCGGAGATTTTCTCTGTTCCTGAAGTGACGTTGAAGGTGGTTGACGCAAGTGGCATTCATGAATGTTGAACCGTTGATTACAGTGGGGGGACCTCAGCGCCTTTAAGCTTAAAGACCCCCTAATTAAAAAGTGCCTTGGCGTGTTTTGCCTCGCCATGACAAACACGTCAGTTTCCCAAATACGTGTCGTGTTCCTGAGTTGTCCCTCGGTAAGATAGCGTCTCTCACTTGAGTTAGATGCCGAAATGATCTGATGTCGCGGCTCACGGGCTACGGCGGTCGGCTTCGGGATGTCGCCCCCAGCGAGTTGCGTTGCGGGGAATCGAAACAGCTGAGGCTTAGAACGTGGGATGACAGGGCGTGACAATTCCACGTGAAAGACACCTGATAATTTATATACATCCTTGCTCATTTAGATCGATCCAGATTGCCGGGGGTCTCCGGTCTCAGATCTTTTCTATTTGTGACTTTGTGTCGCCTTACTTATCGTCACTTTAGATCACACCACCCTCAACCGCGATATACTGTTTGCGTTTGACAATCAAGGGAACAACCATTTGTGGCCAAGAAAATGTTCTATTTGGTGAGACAAGATACAGTCTGCTCTGCAATGTCATTGCCAAACATGTAGTTGTTTTGGCTCTGCAAACATCATCGTTGCTCATTGCTATTTTAAGTTACCGGCCGGTGTAAGTGCCTAATATTTGAACCTCGACAGACTCACTCGCATGACACCAGGGTGAATGCATACGGGACTTCGTGTTGCATTATTCATGCACCACGTACAATTCCACGTGATCTCCTTTCTCAAGTCCGCTCTTTCAAAACGCGACTGGCATTCCCTCACAAATGCAAGATTAAGTGATGTAGCATGTGGCATTCATACAGGCAATGCAATGAAGGTTCTCAAAGGAGGACCCTAATAGGCTGTCAAGAAAGATGCCTTCTTCGTGAGCGTATCAAAATGCGTGCTCTTTAACAGTATAAATCTAAAGTTTATAATGAGGACCTGGCAGTTTATTTGTCAATTGCTTTTTTGAATTTGGAACGCGTGCATTTTCCGGGGTAATTTGAACCATAATGAAGCTATGAGACCTCATGTAAGTGGTGAAGCCTCAACTATGTGGTCCTTGTCATTTTCGTATTTCGGCGACCATTTTCGTATTGAATAGTTTATCATATTCCCAACTGAAGGATTGATCTTGGAGGATTCGCAGTGATTCATACAATACTTGTAATTATGCCAGAATGTTAAGCACTGAGCAACTCATGGCTATGGCCACTTTTGGTCGCAAGAACAGCATGCTCGGCAATATAGGGCTTTGCTAAGCAGCAGAATTCTCATCATGACTTTCTATGAGAAGCTAAATGGGTCGTCTAAAAGTTTGTCAAGGCTCACAGTTTTCGTGTCTCCTGCTTGGAGTGACATGGAAATGCACCACGGATGCCATACCAGGGTAAGTACTCATCTGATGACCGTCTAAACTCGACCATGTTATCACCAAGGGCTCTAGTTATCTAGGCAGAAACAATTCTATTAGACTGAGGAACATGAAGAGTTCCTTAGTCAAAGTATGTAAATGCTATCATGTTTGTCTACCCCGCCAGGGTGGTGTTTTCCACTTGCATGCGACTCTCATCCCAAGGCAAAAGCTCCATTTAGGTCAATATTATACAAGCTTTCATCTCGAGCTTCGCAGATCAAGGGAAATATAATCATGGTTTGTGCGTAGCAAAAGTTTACCCCCGGGGAAAGCGAATAACCTCACACTGTAGTTCTCCTGACTCACCGATGATCAAATACTTTCTTCAAGAACAAGGTTAAATAGGTTTGATGTTCGTGGAGTAGGGGACACCCAATCATTCAAGGGGACCAGTTGAAGATGGAGTATACCATACACGCATGGAAATGCGCGCAATGTGACTGCCTCCTTCTCAGTGGTGATCTCAGCCTCCAGCTTCACTCGCGCACCAAAGTATATCATTTCCTCTTGATGAAAGAACTTTCATGTCTTGAGTATATCTTCTCATCTTTAGACTATAAATATAAAGAAATGCCCTTGTCTTTGTGGTTTCTGTTCTTTACTCTTTATCATATCGAAACATCTCGACTTCCTCACTCTCAATCAGACAAAAAGAAATTCGACTTCTTCTTCTCTATAGTATCGAAATAGTTCGACTAAACAGTAAGTCATTTCCATCTCAAGTTTTCACAGGTAACTAACATAAATAGTATATTACTTCACATTTGATGAAGAAGTGAGGGTCTAGAATATCCACTCTGATATTAAACTTACTTCTAACCTGTCACCAGACAAAATGCCGTGCTGGTCACCAATCAACGCTAAGCAGGTCGCCGAGAAGCGTGCCCAAGTCGAGAGTAATCTCTTCTGGAAAACTGCCATGAGAGTCGAGACACAATACTCAGAGTCTCCCGAAGAAGTCGAGGAGGGATACTTGCAGCACTGTCGTGATGTTAAAGAGAAGCGTCGCAAAGAGGAGGAAGCTGTTTCCCAAGCAGAGACTGAAGCGGCTGCTCAAGCGGCTGTGGAGCCACCCGCCGCCGGGGAAAAGGTCGAGGTGGAAAAGGTCAGCAGGAGAGGCAAGGTAAACAATTGGAGGGAATGCCTCATCTGCACCAGCCGTGGGAAGAAAGGCGAGGGGAAGAAGTACAACATGAGCAACTTCTCGGACCACATCAAGGTCCACAAGCTAGAAGAGGGTGGCGGCATGGGGGAGCAAGCCCGTCATCCTTGCACATCCTGCAAGGACGCCAGACAGTGCCGTGTGGCTCGCCGTCCCCAGGCTATCAGGACGTACGCTTGCATGTGTTGCCTCAGGGCCCATAAGTGTTGTAGCTTCAACATATTTAAGAAGGGGGGTAACAAATGTAAGGATCAAGTACATCCCGCTCTGTTGCCCTGAATATAGGTGTAGTTTTCGTGTCTGTAGTTCAGTAGTTGGAGTTATGGTGGTCTGGGGGTTTGGTAGTTTTTGGAGTGAATGCTGGATAAGGACGGGGAGTAAAGTGTCTTTTGGTTCTTACTATACCCATGGTTTACAGCACAGCATAATTAACTTGATACATGGACGGAACGTAATGTCCTCTTTGATATCAGGTAATAATTTGTTTGTTTTCTTTACTCTCTCTAGTCATTCATATTTTTTCCCCTTCCAGTCATTCAGTCAAACTTCTGTCTACATTGATCTCCTAACGTTACACCGAGTTGACACTGCAACATGCAGTTTTACTACGCCGGTTGCCTTGAGGTTATAGAATACCCCAGCAGTGATTCCAATTCTGTAGTACAACCTCCCGTTGGTGGCTCCAGTCCTAGATTCTTCCTCATATAACGTGTCTGTATGTGGCAGTGTGCTGCCTCCTTGAGGTTGGGGGAAGGCCAATAGACTGGTACTTTCGTAACCCTACGTTGCCTACTAGTCCAGTAACAAAACCTCTCATCTTTAAAGCCGTCTGAATCTGAAAACCCCAGGTCTAGGGTAAGTAGCTACTGAGACATCTACACATGTTGTCTTGATAAGAGTTTTATAAGCAGGTTTGTAGAGTTTAACAATGGACAAGACGTTTCTATCCATGTTCCACCGATGCAGTAGCCAATCTAGAGCCTGAAACATGTAAACTTTCTTCATACCAAGAAAGGGGATTATATATCTCTGACTACGATTAAACGCCAACATCCTACAGAGTGACCTTGACAGAAGCAATCATCAGGTGCAGAGCGGTCATCCTGCCTATCACTATATTGCAACTGACGGAATTTAAACTTCAAAAACAAGGTCACCAAAGTTCAAGTTGTTCAGCTCCAGTTCCGGAAGATTGGTGACTTCTGGATGAATCGAAAAGCCCAATTTCATAACAGTGTGGGGATAGACTGCTTTGCCTTGTCGCTTTATATCAATGTTCTTTGGAATTCGGTAGGTTGTGAAAGCCCGAACTAACGCATCGCCTAGGTTTATGAGGATGCAGGCCGCCAGCACAAGTTGCTCGTGGCTCTTCTGCGTTTGTAAATCTTGAAGATGGTGGTTGAGAAGTTGACTAGGAGACTCTTCAGCCAAAGGGCTTAACCTTACACCTTCGGGTAAGATGCTAAGGAAGAGCGACTAGATATGAGTCAGTCTAAGAATGAATTTGACCGCATGATTGATTGCGACTCACCTGGCTGTACTGTGACGTCCTTCGTCGGTACTGCCCTTGCAGCATATCTCCCACGAAAGTAATATATATATATATATACCAACTCTCCCTTAAACCGTGGTAGACGATCGTCCACCAGGGCATGACGTGCTACTCTTCCCTTCCAGGTATTGGTAATGTCTTCTGTGGTGTCGATATGGTTTAGACTCCGTCATCTCTACAACCTGGTTGTACAAACAGAGACGCTTCTCCCACTATTCTGGGAGACAACTTGGCTCTTGAAGCTTTCATGTTCGAAGAAATATTGCCATGTTCCCCAGACAGAGGCATATGGGTTGTAGAAATCTCTTGGGAGACATTCTTGGGATTCATACTTTGAATCTCAGCGTCGTAGCGCCTCGCTGCTATCTCTACAGTGTACTGCTCACAAACCTTCTCTTGTGAGGCGCATAACCACCCAAAAGAGCAATACTACAGGGACTCGTCTCCCTCGCGCAGCACTTCCTCGACGCCCGGTATATCTCGCACACAAAGTATGGTGATGCAGAAAGGGGTATTATATTGCTCCATCTTAACGGCCATCACCAGCGGGCATAGTTGTCAATGGTCTGGCAGGATGAGAATCTCTAATAGACTAAGCCTATCAGTAAGGTAGGTGTGGTGGCTTCCATCTTGGTGGTGCTGCTTCCAAGACTTTGTTCAGGTTGCGGCGGCATCTGATGAGGAAACTCCAAGTGCAATATAGTACATATAAGTCTAATGTTTACGAAAATATAAAGTCGAAGGAGGAAAGTTGTGAGAAGACTCGTGGGGGGCGACATTGGAACATTTGTCGGCATGCAAGCTCAACGCCAAGAATATAAACCGATATTGGCTGAGGAACGGCAGTAAGAGAAGGAGTCATCCACGCAAGTGAAAACACGTCAAGGCCTTAATTTTGCAGTAATGGTGTTCGTGGCCAGCAAAAGTTTATATATATAATGATAAGAAGAACTGGATAAAAGAGGCAGATGAGGGAGAAGAGAGAGAAGCGGGACGCCTTGACATTATATAGATGGGCTGCGATATGTATTTGCTATCTATTTTCTAATTTTTAATTTCCATATACAAGTATAAACAAAATTGGGTAATTATTTGACACGATATGCCTACTCATATTGTGGTTTGCTAGGCCAATCATACAATATCGCAGATTGTTCTGGCCAAACCAATAGTCAGAATCAGTAACAGGCCATTTTTTGGGCAAACAGCAAAGCCAGTCAGTTCTTCCACATGTACAAGAAAATCACATATTATATCAATATTAGGATTTAGCCGTTTTTGCACGCTCATCATCATCACTCCTTGCGCTTATAACTGCGATATTGGCTTTTGCACCAAAATCACTGCCAAAACAACAAACAATTATCGCAAATGCTGATGTTTTTGCTGGCGATGTCTAAACCAAGAATGAGGCTGCCCGAAAGCGCTACAATGAGGTCCATATTCCCATTTGTCTCGTGTGCATGTCAATCGGTCGCTAGAAGGAGTCTGTCAACGTCCCGTTGTTGGCTTGCAATTTCCAGGGTCAAGATTCCAGGCCAGTGTTGTGCAAGAAACTTATAACGTATAGAATATTTTGTTTATTTTAGCATAAGTTTCCATTAATGAATTTTAAAAGCCTTATGACGACTTTAGTACAGCTGTGGATCGCCTACTCTGGGTCTTATCAATTAGGACTCTCCTTCCTTAACCAAATGCCTAGCCAAATTCACTTCTGTTCAAATTGACAACAATTATCGCAAATTATAACTGGTTTTTTTTCTCTCTCTCTTACTACTTACACCCAAATGCACCAAGTTCAAACAGATACAAACCCAACTTCCTCGTGTTTTCTCTACCATGTACATCACCTCAAACCCAAACATCAATCACCTCCTCCTCCTCCTCCTTCCTTATACAGAACAATCGTGAGAGTCACTTGCGGAGGGGAGACTTAGGCTCAGCAGAAGACCTCCTTCGCGTTCCGGGCTTCTTTTTCGCATCACCGTTTGCACCGCCGTTGCTCTGTGCCTCTTCAAGCGCCTCAACAACAGCAGCCTGATCAGATCTGAGCACAACGCCTTCAGCGATGACTTCGTCACGGCAGACGAACTGCGGAAACAGAATCGCAAGGGCCGCTGGCTTGGGACTTCCCTTCGTCTTGCGCGCATTTCCGACATCGTAGTCATCATATTTACGCGCACCTCGAGAATCTTCCTCATCAGGCATCTCTGCGGTGATCATATCGCGAGAGCGCTGAGCATCAGCCCAAAGTGCAACAGCCTGTCTGAATAGTGTCGGGACAGCATTATAAAAACCAGTCTGTTTGTACGCCACGACAAGCGGATGCAGTGTACTTCGCACCTCGTTGCTCGCTTTGCGCACAATGTCCTCTTGAACCGTCTCAGTTTGCTCAGCGTCAGAGAGTGACCCGAGAATCTGAGAGCGATACACTGTTTCCCGTCGCTCATCGCCTTTGAAGAAGCCCAGCATACTTGATGCGCTGGCCCTCATGTCGCTGGCGACATAGAACGGGACAAAGACGTAGGAGAAGAGTGTTTCCGCGATGACAGCATCAGCGACAGCACAGCGCATCTTGGCACTCGCTTTGGTGATGCGAGTCGAGAGTGGGATCTTGGGGAAGCGGGCGTGAAGTTCCTGGATCTCACTCGCAGAGTCCTAGCAATTGTCAGTACAAGTCAGAGAACGCAAAACGCCGAGACCTACATGTGCGCCATCGTGATCATTGAAATACTCATTGACAAAGTCATGAACCTTCTTCGACAACTCCTGGAGATCAGATCGCCTATCCCCGTTAGTTCAGCCCGTCTCTCATAGATCAAGCACTCACAATTTCTTGACCTCCTCAGTCCCAAAGTCGCGCAGAATCCCTTCTCCAAGATCACTCTGCGCCTGCGTCAACTTTTCCTTGCACCCCTTCAACTCCTCGATATTAGCTTCCATCTGCGATTTCTGCAGTTCACACTCCGCATTCATCTCTCTAATCTCAGAAGCGTGACTCGCCAAATGCGCCTCCGCAGCCGCCAAATTCTGCTTCAAATTCTCAACCTCTCTCTCCTTCACCTCTGCAGCAGCGAGCTTCTCCCTCGCTTCTTTAACTTCCTTCTCCATGGCTTCAACAGCTGCTTTGTTAGACTCATAAGTTTTGTACTTCTGTTCAAACTCTGCAAAGAGTGTTTCTGTCTTTGCGTTGGCTTGTGCTTTATGGTCTGAGAACTCTCGCACAACCTTGTCGTTGAATTCCCGAAGGCGCTTGTTCTCGCCCTGTTTGGCTTCGAGTTCTTGCTCTAGAGCTTTACGCTCCTCAGACGATTTCTCAAAGTCTTCAATTGAGCCGACATCTTTAGATACTTCTTTCGCTAAAGCGAGGAGTTGCCACAGTTTGGTGTTCTTGGTGGGTGTTTTGTCAGCCGTGCCATTGCCATTAGTATGGCCATTGACCTTGACCTTTGTATCTGCCATGATTGCCTGAAGAAAGAAGTATCAATTTTATCGCTAGAAATGGTCGACATTTTAAACTCGTCGCTAAATACACGATCGGGGATTCTCAATTTTGAGGCCATCGCAGAGCCTCATGTTCCGTTCGTAGGCTTGAGGGACAACTCATCAGCACACCACCGCACCGGTCAATTAAGCAAGTCATCTTCCACCCCGCCCCTTCACCCTACTGGTTCATTTCCAACCGCTGTGTCCAATCCTCGGAATATCAGGGCTGGAGGGCGTTACACAACACGCGGGGTAACCCCAATGGCATTGAGCCTTTCAGCACCATCATCGTCTGCAGAGTTGAGCCCCAAAGCAAAAGTTGTCTCAGTAGCCTATTGAGGTGTGTTTTGCTGTATGACGGTAAGCGCATTGTTTGGACAATTGGCTGTCGACGTTTCGGTATGCGGTCGCCTTACAATGAATTGCCTGAGGCCCTTTGCAGCATCAGCCTAGTCTTGTGCTTCCTTCTCCTTCTCTTTCTTTCCCTTGTGCTTCTTTCCCTTATCTTCCTCTTTCTTGTCCTCCCCCTTCATCTCACCCCTGCCATCGCTAAGTCCAGATTTGTCGAATAGATGAAGCTCGACAGATTGAGGCACACCACCAAGGACAGGCTTCGGCAAGACTTGCTTGTGAACGCTGTACCAGCTTTCCTTGTCCATGAGCTCAAACAGAACCTCTTCTGATTCGTGGCGAGGTTTGGTGGCTAGGAATACTTTTGTAGTAAATGGTTCGCCTTCGGGGAAATAGGTCAGATTTGCTGCATGAATGGCTGAGAGCGTTTCAACGAGCGCTGGAAGCATGTCGACATTGTAGGTGCAGTCGCTGAGCATCACGAGATCCCAAGGTCCAGATCGAACCTGGGGACCAAAGCGACCTTGTCTGCCCTCCTCCCAATCCAGATTTTCGTAGAGCATGCGAACCGGGTTCTCTTGGAAGCGTAGATGAGAGTTCTCCAACCTCTTCATGTTAGATCTCGCACGCTCCTCTGCCTCTGGTAGATCAGTCATGAGAATAGTGCAGTCGCCACCTGAAGGCTGCAGTCGGGGGTACACAGCGGCGAGCCCAACACCCAAGATACCCACACCGCAGCCCAATTCCAACACACGGATCGACTTCTGGCGGCTGAAGATGTTCTTCATTGTTCTCATGCAGGGGTTTTGACTAGACTCGCTATCGGGGGCGGTCTCAATTCCTGCAAGTGCGCACGTCGCTATCACGCCGCCATCCCAGATGTGACGCGCAATACTCTCACCGATCTCCTCCTCAATCTCAATCGTTCCCAGCCCCTCAGGTGTGTCGTTCAGTTGAAGTCTTCGGATAGACACAGCATTGTCTGCAGGTTTGAGAGTTAGAGGCACCCAAGCTGGCATGACAGCGCCCTTCTCTGCAGCTTCCTTCCGATACCGCATCTTCTCAGCCGACAAGGCCAAAATACGCGGTACGCTTTCTGCAGTGTGAGCAGGTTCTGATGCTCGAACACAGACATGGACTCTCATTCCGGATTCAAGAGCTCTCTCAAGAGCAACAGGCATTTCCAATGCTGGCTTTGCAACGCGCATGCCGGGTTCCCAGTCAAGATGTCCGGGATCTGAGAGGAGCCATGTTGAGCTTCCTTCGGGCGAGGCGGCGATAGCAACAACTTGAAGGTCTAGAAATCTCTCTGGGAAGAGAAATGAGTCGCCGAGGTCTGTTGTGATGGTGAAGAGTAGTTGAACCAGGGTGCCGCGGCGGTTCTTGATCACCTTGGGTGGCCCCAGAAATCTGACATAGTGCATTGTGATGCGATGAGTCTTTCAATGACCCAGAACAGATCCAGATATTTATTTGATGATTTGACCACAATTGATTGTTAGGCGTCGTGACTATTGGCGTTCTTGTTGTTTATTGAACCTCGGGTTGATCAGCTCAACCCAACCTCTCGCATGAGGTGATGGGGAATTTTGACCAGCTACTGCATGCTTAGTCATCACCGCTGCATTCACATGAATACGGTCTCTAGTGAGAATAATGTCAAGATTCATACAAGATGTGTTTGATATGTCATACGTAGTAAGAATTGAATTACTAGAGGGAGTCCGACGATTCTTCAGATATAAGTCAGCTGACAAGCACTTTGGAATGTTGTGAAATTGAACTGCAGAATAACAAACAAGCTACAGTCAATCAACTTCATCCACGAAATTAAAAACCACGGCAATTAATTGAAAAAAGATGCCAAAGACTCGAAGATGGTTTCTGGATTCATAAGAAAACTTTTTCATACGGCCTAGGACTGACTATAAGAGGATGATGTTGACTCAATGTTAGACATCAACTTGAAGTATTAAGTTACCTACCCGAGACTTCGTTTGCACTTCAAGGTGCCGCCGAGTGGTCAGTAGAACAAGAGGAATCTTTGAAGTCGTCTGGAACATATGAGGTATGTTTAAACATGGCGGCTAATTGATTGTATATCTTGGGTTAAATAAGGACTCAAAGTGGATAAAACATATGCCCTGTTGATCACGTCTTGACACACAATTCGTGCGTTATCAACTTAACTCTTACAAAAAACACATTCGCAATACCGCGAAATATCACTGCAATGTCTTCTACTACCGAGAAAGATAGAGATCAGCTACGCGGTATCCTGCAAACCAAAACTTGGTTCGGATTCGATCTAGACGATACCCTCCATGAATTTCGCAAAGCCAGCCGTGCAGCAACAACCCATGTTCTCACCCGCATTGCCAGCGAAAACCCATCAACAACACTTCAAGATCTTCAAACCCAATATGGAATCATTCTAAAACAAGGAACCGCTGATGCGTTCACCGATGGAAAGACCTCACGCGACTACCGCCGCGCTCGCTTCGCTGCCACACTAAGCTATTTTGGATTGAGTCACGACACTGTCGATGAACTTCTAGAGGACTACGAGCGTGTTCTTGTGGATAACTTGACACTCAAACCTGGAGCTATTTCTCTTCTTGAAGCAATCAAGGCTTCAGGGAGAAAGATTGCTGTCATTACAGAAGGGCCGCAGGATGCACAGCAGCGAGCAGTGAGGGATTTGGGTATCCAGACCTACATCAACTTTCTGGCGACCACAAACTTCTTTGGTGTGGCAAAAATCGATGGACTCTTCGGTAAGGTACTTGATCATCTGAAGATCAGACCGCAAGATATTGTGTATATCGGAGACTCGCAGGAGCGCGATATCGAGCCTGCTACCAAAGAGGGGATACTCGCCATTCACTTACACGAAGCTCAAACAGAGCCACTTGTCCTACAACCCCCCAGTATCAACTCACTCGAGGTATTAGCCAAGCTCATCTAACCTCTGCTGCACACATGTCTGAGACGAGACAAGTCACCATGCTCGTAACCACACAGCATTACAAGGCTAAGAAGATCTACCCGCATATACAGCATATGTAGCTCAATCGATACACCCGTCAAACGTGTCCATCTCTCACAGGATAGTCCCGAATCTCTCACTTACAACAACATGCTGCGTCTAACAAACAAATCAGACGAGTGCAACGTTTTGTGAAACGTGAAGCTTTTCAGCTGATGTCATACATAATCATCCCACGGCACTGGGCCGAGACATGCCATTATCCAAGTGTCATCGAGTTCTACAACAGGGTGTATCTTGCTATTTAACAGGCTGGACTTGACATTCTATAATTATTGCTGCACACTCAGCCTTGTATGCACTGCTTACGCTGTGCATATTTGTCGCGTTACTTAATTCCTTCTGCAGGCTGAGCCTCGCAGCTTAGGTATGAATCCAGCCGTGAATGTTACACACCTGCCATCCCAGGATGTAATCACGGCTACACGCATTTAACAATCCCAACCTCCATCACGGGATGACGGGCGTCCTAGACGCCGCCGCACAGGGACCTTTGCCGGACACACATCACATCGTGGTGGGTATCAAGGTTACAATTGGGGGCTTGTTCAATGGTGTACGTAGAATGTGCTCTGTAGGACCCAGCATGCAAACATTTCTAGACTGGGATATTTTTCTTACTGCGGCCTCAATCGAGACCCCTTCCGTCTTATCACATCAGTCACATCACATTGGATCACATGTGCCTCTCAGATGCAAGATCCAGCATATCCATCTGGCCCCCCAACCTCTCCCCCTCCTCTACCCTCCATAAGCCACACGTGGTAAAAACCGCGAAAAGCAAGGTAATTCACCTCTGCACTCATTGGCCTTGTAGCCGCTCGCTGCACCCACACCACCACCAATCCTCTCTCAGTAACAATGCTGCCATGCGAAGAAAAGAAACTTTTACTAAGTAGAAATGGTTTATTGTGACGGTTTCATACATGACAAAGTTCACTGTCTAGCAAAAACTCGAGATACGGCATTCCCGGAACAACGTCTAACGCCTCAAGCTTCCAGTTCAACTTTACGAGTCAAGGGAATCATTCATTCCACCAAGTCCCAACACCATTCTCAACGGCATCTCCACCTTTCCATAATCTGAAACCCACTGATTCCAACGTTTAGCTCCCTCCACAATTCAGACCTGCAAGTCATTCTTCAAAGTTTCACACATTCCAATCCCCCAAGCCCCAACGCGAGTCGTGCAAACTGGCTGAAACAAAGCCTCAAGTCTACGGTAACAATCGCTGGTCAGGTGTTGATCGTCAATCTTGGAATATCCTAGTAAATTACATCACAATTATGTTTAATCAATCCTATAAAGTAAATGTCGTCTCTTCAATCCAAGAGCTCTTGAAACTGCATGACGCATTGTTTGTCCAGGGGTTGCTTGGCCATGACCTCATGCCGGATCGTCCATTCACTAACCCACGTTGTAAAAGTAAAGTGCCTCAAACCAAGCCATTTGCGTTTATACCCCTCTCGCTCTTACGCGGGGTTCGTTAAAACGGAAACAAGAGGGGATTATCATGTTCAAACAGGATCAGGAAGTTCAATCACCAAATACAGTACTGTACATGTAAGCAAGGATGTTGGGTGTCAGTCACATCAGAGACCGGCTTCAAAAACATCACGAATAGAAGAGACAAATGTGTAGATAGTTTGCGATTTTTTTGCCTAAATATTAAAATAATCCAAGTCAAAAGTATCCATCTTGAAAGTGGTATAGCCAAATCCATAACGCCCCCAACCCCTCCTCATAGCTCTAATGCATGAGGACATTGCTTCCATCCATCAATGAGGAACGTTAAAGACGTCAAATCCTCCAGATTACCGTGTAGTAGCCTTCCGTTCTAAGTGTCAATCACTTTTGTTATCCTAACGCGCTGATCCCAAAAGACGAATAAAATACCCAAGCTCCAAAACAAAAAGAGTAAAAAGGAAATCGGAGTCTGTCACTCCTCGTCATCACTAAAGATGACTCGCTTGCTTGCTTGCTCCCCCTCGCCAACTGCTCGCGTCATTCCGAACGGAAAAAACACTGGGTATCTCGAATTGGAAGAAAAAGAAGCCCCCTTGATATCGATCCCCTCCTCCGCGCGCGCGTTTGCATTGCTGGTGGTACAGGTCGCCCCATGAGTCTTGGTGTCTTTGTTTCGATTGCCAAGTCAATAAAAAGAAATCGCTTCCTTGGGACGAGGTAGAGATGTCGTAAAAGAAAAGATGGAAATCCTTGTGAGGGTGTGTGTGTCCAGGAGATCCGGGTAATAGTGGTAGTATACAACGGGTATGGGTATCCAGTCCGGCGAGCTTTGGTAAATGTCACTGGCCGGTATCATAGGATCCTCAGGTATAGATAGGTATGGTAGGTAAACAGAAACAGTCCAGGGTCCAATGGATGATCCGCTTATTTGGTAGGGTTCCGGAGAATTTCTTCACAGTTGGCGTCAAAGCGAAGGTTGAAGAGCCTCACGTTTTGCATAAATTTCTCCGTCTTGTCGAGCTCTCGGTCACGTCCAAAGAGGGTCTCAACAAATTCGACACCAGCATTCTTGCCGAGGCCAGCTTGCTTGCGCTTGGCAGCCTTAAGCATGGGGGCTTCACAGGCTTTGAGGAGGGATCGGAGCTTCTCCGTGAGGCGCTCACCGGCCTCGATGAACTCCTCAACAAGGTCACGGTTGTCAGCAGAGCGGACGCGACCAACTGTCTCCTCAGCTCGCTTGACCTTACCAGCGAGCTGAATGAGAAGAAGCCACATCTCGCCAGCCATATCAGAGATGGGAGTGGCAGGACCTTGGTGGTAGACGGTCCAGTCATAGATCCACTTTCCGAGACTGTTGGCATCAAAGACACTACCTAGGAGAAGGATGGGCTCTTCGGCAGGGTCCCAGTTCTTGAGTGAGTATCCAGCAGGAATGCGGTGCTTTCGAGCATCGGCATCAGTGGCCTTGGGAGTAGAAGGGGTAGAGGCGGGCTTGCTGCGGTGTGAGCTAGCGGGACGGACAGTCTGTGGCCGGGGAGGGGGGACCGCGGTAGAGGATCGACGGCTGTGGCCGAAGCTGGTAGGAGGTCGAGGTTGAGGCTGAGGCGACTGGAAAGCAGGAGCCTGCTCTCGTGTGTAGTAGTCATCGTAGATAGCGGCGGTGGTAGCACCCTGCAGGTAGTCGTCGTAATTAGTGTACCGTCCCCGGTCATCATCAAAGTCTCGAGGTAGGAAAGCGGATTTGCGGTGATGATTGATCTTGGAGCGGGACTGTGCGGGAAGCACATATGTATGTCCCAGCGCCTCGATGATCTCGTCCTCGTCGGATTCTCCATATGGGGTGGAAGCCCGGACATAGGTAAATGAGAATCGGCGGTCGCGCTTGGAGCGCGGAGATGACTCGGATAGCCTGCGCGACGAAGAAGTTTTGTGACTCACATCTGCCGTGCTATATTGCCCAATGCTGTTGTAGCGAGGCGAGTCCTTTGGAGGACGTGGGCTGAAGTCGCTAGCCTGAGAGTAGCTGTTGAATCGCGAATGAGCCGCTCGCGTCGCCGGCCGCCTGGGAGTCGAGTCGGCCCAGGTCGGCCTCGGAGAAGGGGTGGGAGTTGCGGACGACATCCTCGAGTAGACGCTGTCGTAGTCGTGGATCGGCGTCGATCCAGGAGTTCGTGGAGATTTGTAACTCATGTTATTGTGTGGCGATGTCCAACTGACATCCGCTGTTTCCAGGGTTCAAACAACTGCTCTCCTCCCGAGCACCCGCAGTTGTTGGGTTGTCGTGTCGCTCGCGGATCTTCGGGTATTGTTTTCGTGTCTTTTTTCTTCTTGTTTTTCTAATGAGTAAGTTGAGTGGCTTGTCAGGAATGTCAAGGCTGCATGCAAGCAGATTCAACGATCAAGATGCGCCGGGGAAGAGACGCCCAAGGGGAGGTGATGGAGTAGGCCCGTCACCTCGGTATGTAGTCGGAGGAAAAGAGGTTAGAAGATTCTTTTGCGACGGTGAACATGACCGATGGGTATTATGTCTCTCCTCAACTTGGAGGAATAGGCACCAGATCCCGTAGAACCTGGTAGTAGTGTCGAGAAGATGCTGGACACTTCGAAGGTCCAGATACCAGATGATTAATTAGAAAAAGAGCGATGACGTCGATGCAACGACGTGCTGAATAAGTTTTGATGAACTTGTTTGGGTATTCAGAGTGATTGGCAAGCGCCAAGATACGTGAAAGAGAGGAGGAAAGGAGGGTGAGCGGGAAGCAACAGAGATATATATTCCAAGATTTGTGTGTGCCTCTGGGTGTGGACACGCACGGTCAACTCCCAAACCTGCCTACACTACCTTAGCGGGTAATGACAGGGGAGGCCGCTAGTGGGAAGAGGGGCCCGACCGGGGTTGAGTAAAAAAAAAAAGTGAGGACAGGGGGTAGGTTAGATAGGGGCAGGGGGTGGAAAAGCCGCAGGCAGGCTTTGTGAGGGTGTGGTAGAACTGTGACTCTTCCAACAGGGAGACAGGGGTGCAACCTGGCTTATGTAGGCTTCGCATTTGCACTCTTCCCGCCCGTTGCTGGATTGATTCCAGTGGTTGCAGTGACTGCAGTGCTGCGCTATGCTGCTGCGCAATGCTGAGTGAGTCTTGGTGATTAATTTAGAATCTTTGTGTTCTCCAAATGATTGACAGTCCAAAGTCGTGCATTTATTCGACGTCGCTGGCGAGTACTAGAAGCACCTCGAGCAAATGATATGACTCAGAAAGAGGCAGTGTTGATTGCGACCGAGTATCAACCGTACAGCACCGTATCGTATCGTATTGCTAATCAGAGCGCAAGAAGAGACAGAGTTTAACGCTTAGTCAAAGCCCATACTGTACGTGCGCACACCCAATTTCTCTCCAACCAAGTGAGTCAACGTGCGCCGCGCACTGGCCTCAACTTTGATTGTTTGGCGAAATGAACCAAAACGGTGACGCAGTCTTTACCAGGACCACCGCTGCAAGGCCAGACGTTGCAATGCGGCCAAGTTTTGCTGGGTTTTCAGGATTGATTCCGATAATTTTGTGGATGGCTGTGTACTCGCTTTTTTCTTTTTAAACGCCCTACCGCTTCCGCAACCCAATTCAATTTTATCTTTTGGTTGGGTACTGGTATTTTCGGGTTTGATCAATTATGATTCAACTCGACTTCTCACGCGCAAACTATGACTCAGTCTTTGAATCACTTG